CGCAATTACTACTTCCCGAACATGCACCGAAAAGTGAGAAACTACATCAGAAATTGCGACACGTGCCAACGAGACAAGACACCAAGACAACTTCCTCAAGGAGAAATGCAAATCCCGAACACACCAACACGACCATGGGAATGGATAACCATGGACTTCATCACGAAACTACCTGAGTCGGAAGGATGCGACATGATCATGGTCATAGTCGATCGACTCACGAAATACGCATACATGATTGCGACAACAGAGAACATCGACGCAAATCGCATGGCGAATATACTACTTCGTTACGTTTTTGCAAACCACGGAACACCGGACAAGATCACATCGGACCGAGACAAGTTGTTTACGTCCAATATGTGGCAATCATTTGCGGACCAAATGGGCATTGAGCATAGACTCTCTACCTCATATCATCCACAGACCAATGGACAGACTGAACGAGTCAACCAGACGTTGGAACAATACCTGAGACACCATGTGAACTACCAGCAGGACAACTGGGCAAGATTGTTGCCAATCGCACAATTCGCGTACAACAACGCGATGCACGCAACCACGAAGGAAACACCATTCTTCGCAAACTACGGGTATAATCCCAAGTTAATCGGGGAACCACGGAACAAACACAATGTGGCAGAATCAGCGCGATTACTAGCCACCGGAGTCAAACAGCTTCACACACAAATGGCTCGAGACATCGAATTCCTGAATCTACGCATGAAAATGCACTACGACCAACGCCATCGGGATGGTCCTGACTTAAAAAAAGGGGAGAAGGTCTACCTCCTACGACGAAACATCAAAACCAAACGACCAAGCGACAAGCTCGACCACAAGAAACTGGGACCATTCACGATCGAAGAAAAGACGGGACCAGTCAACTACCGACTGAAACTACCGGAGAGCATGGGGAGAATTCATCCAGTATTTCACATCTCATTGCTTGAACCCGCACCGAAAAACGCTGAACTCACTACCAATGTGGAAATCAAAGAAGAAACCGAAGGCGAATACGAAGTCGAAGCAATTGTGGACGATCGCTGGCACAATGGTCAACAACAACTTCTTGTGAAATGGAAAGGGTACCCCACCTCAGAAAACACATGGGAACCTATTGCGCACTTGGGGGGCTGCCACCGGATGGTTGAGCAGTACTACCTTGCGGCGAAAAGGACGCCCCAGCAGCGACAGCAGAGGAAGCGCCGGTGCCAGCGCTGTCCCAAAAAACCGAAGGGATCCGAACAATTTCATCCCACATCTGATCAAAATTCGGATTCTCAGCAGTAGCCGCCAACTGCTGGAGATCGAGAGCAGGGGATACAACCTGCTCTGGGGACGTTTGTTTTTCGTCCAGAATCGCCAACAATTCCGCATCATGCTCTGACATCTTGAAGCCCTTCTGCTTTAAGAAGGCCATTTGTTTCCGCAGACGACGTTGACGACTCATCGTCGCCTGATACTGCTTTTGCTTATCCAACACCTGTTGATGCAACGCTGCGAGACGATCTTGTAACTCGCCCAGCTCAGGCTCCAACAAATCCAACTCTGATTCACTCCTTTCAATATCCGCCGACAACTTCGACTCGGCACGAGACAGCAGGTCCCATTCCACGCCAGTATGGAATTCCCTCTTGCAGGAACGACCAGCACGAGTACACGACGCACACTTTGAATACCTTCGGGAACGATCCATCACGCAATCTTCGCCAGATTCGGCACAATGAGAACACGAGACAGAAGCAACGAAACCGTTGTCCGAAATATAATTCGACTGACGAATACGACCAGCGACTTGATCCCGCAACGACGGAAGCTTGGGGGTACTCTCAATAACTGCGTCAGCCTTTCGTTTAGGCATTGCGAACGAAGGACATACCGAAGGAAGAAGACACCACCTAGGGATAGACAGGTTATAAGGGATTCGAGGGCGAAACCCGAGAAGAGGGGGAGGTGATGTTACGAACCCTGCAACCACCAATCGATCTGGCCCACATGGAGCGGCGCAACAGATCACCAGACAGAGATGATTAAGATCATCACGTGACCACATGCAGGTGGTAGAAGGGTATGCTGATCAAACGGTAGACGACGCCAAGGTCTCAACTACCACTATACCATCTACCAATCTACCAACCCAAGGACGGAGGATATAAGGACACTCGTTCACCAGGATGTACCTAGTTCTTTGTGATCAATCTTCATACCATTGTTACTTGAGTACCGTTCACAGTCTCGACTATAAAGCCAAAAACCTCAACGATCTTGGGAGCTTACTTAGTGATCTTTGATCCCTAAGTGACTGACTTGATCGGCGCCCTAACTGTCACACCCTGCAAGTACCCTAGAGACCCGAGTCCATCTAAGGCCCTGCGCGGCATTGGTACAGGTTGCGGACTATACTTGGGGCTCGCAGTATTCCAAGAGAAGTATCATCCTTTGAGGACCCTACTCACCGTGACCAGTTAGCGGTTCGTAACATTGAAGCAATTATAGAGAGTCAGGGTTGGTATACAGCATATTAATCAAATTCATCCCTTTTTTTGGATATATTTTTGATATTTTCTGCTGGCAGAATATTATATAATAATAGGGGTGTGGGGCGGGGGTGTTGAAAGTTTTGCTGTGTCACTGTAACTGGCCGGCGTGTGGCTTAAGTACGGCTGAGCGGACGGGAAGCCCTGTTCTCCATATCGGATGGACAGAATGCTTCCGCAAATTACGCTTTTTGGACTAGTCTCCACTATTTGGGTTTAGCGTTCCTTGTTCTCTACGCCCCGCCGTGCGTGGTTCTATAAAGTCCCCCTTCCCCCCCCAATGAGTTTTGATTTTCTTTTGCCCCATCCACTCTCCCGCCTCCCCTTTTTTGCTGCGCCCTTGCTGTCCATAAGGCATTTTTTGCTATTGATCCGTTTCGCCGAACTCTACCACTCTCGTCTCGAGCGATCTCTCGCCCTCCCACCGGTCGCTCTCGCCGACCACCCTCCTTTGCGCTGTCTGTATCCCATAAGGCATTTCTGCTATTGATTCGTATCGTTGAATCCTCCCCACTCTCATTTTGGGTGCTCCTCTCGCCCCCTCGCCCTCGCCCTCGCCAACCACAGTGACTACAGCGACCACAGCCGCTGGTGATCACTCCCTATCTTGTCTCGCCTAGCCCCTTCGGGGTGTCGGTCAAAATGTCGCATCTTCCTCCTTGACCAGTGACGCTTGCCAGCGGTCCGTTCACATACCGGCCGGTCGCTAGTCGCCCTGCGTATGTTGGATTCATCCATCTTCTTGCAGATCTTTCGGGCCACGTCGGTCGCTCTTGTGTGCTAAGGTTCGATTCTGTCTTGGGAGTCTAGTGATAGCGCAAAAATAACGCTGGCACTTGCTCATATTTTTTTTTCTTTTTCTTTTTTTCTTTTTTTTTTTGGTTTAGAATCGACGCAGGTTTGACGACTTGAGCCTATGTGATCTTCCGGGCTGCCTCTGTGATCTCTATCCAACACCAGCTACCTTCCTGGCCTACGATGTTCTACACCCAAGCAAAGCAAAGCGACCCTTCCGTTCCCGATAATCGCCCGAGATGACGATGCGCATTTCGAAAGATATGGGTAGCTTCCAGGTTTCCACCGGTTGTATCTCGGACCTCTGTTGCCCACACTGCCTGCTGCGTGACCCTTTACCGTTGAGACATTTACAACCAATCAACCGCTGTTATTGGTGGCACTTTGGAACCGAAGTTCCGTTGCCTACGCGATCGATTGGTGCCGAGGACAGAAAAGTGGATTGCAAAGCAGGTTCCACTCTCCCGGCATGCGTCTCGTTGGAGATCACATAGGTCACCAGGGGCTTTCTTCGTTACACTGGCCACTTTTTCTTGTCTCATATTCTACCCTGGGTGCAGGGACGATTGGCTTGGAGTGCTCAGTTGTCAGTAAAGGAGAAACTAGGCGCAGCTGACGTGTAGGAACGGAGTGGTTCATTAATAGAAACTTTTTTGTGTGGAGCTATTCCTGGACCGATTGGACGACTAAGTCTGTGAACTATACGGCAGTCCCTGCTCATCTAAGACATTGAGCAGGTGATTAGTAGGTGGCCTTGTCTAGAAAAGATTCCGGCGTTGGAAGTCAAGGGGCGAATCTGCCTCAGTGCGCAGTCGATCAGGTACTTTCTCTCTACCTGATAAGTTATAAAGTCCTCCATCTTCCGCGTCCCTTTTATGTCAACATTATCTGAATTCAATTCCCGGCATTGTCATCTATCAAGATATCTGTCCCTGTTTCTGTAAATCGCAATGGAATCTCACGCAAACCAAGTTCGCGGATCCTTCGGTAAGGCGCCTACGAAAGCATATACTATTTCGCTAACCACATTCATGATAAAGCATCGCCTCCCACCAAGCACTTGACGTGGCTTCCACCCATCGTATACGACCCCAGGGATTATTTCGGGGGGGGGGGACGATGGTCACCCCCATTAAGGTTGAAGACACTCCTCCGCCTGCCTTAATTCCTCATGTCAGCGCGACCTATATCTATGAAGATTATGGTTTTAACAACATCGGACATATCAGCTCTGATGCAGAGACCGAAATCTTCTGGGATGCCTTTTTGGATGAAAGCTTTTCTCACGGAAACGATGTACATATTGCCTCAGGCTCTGCCTCTGCGCAACGCGATCCAACACGCAGTCACACGGAGGCGCTTCATGATGTCGGAAACCCAACCGTGTCTCAGGTGGATGGTCAAGTACAAGGAGCAGTAGATAGCTCTTCATATGAGTCCGATCCTTGCTCTGGCCGGGTAGATGGGGCATCTATCGGACACTATTGCCTCGGATGATGAGTCTCAAGACATCGGAGAATCCGAAGCACAATGGATGCATGTGGAGTTTCAACCAGCACAAGGAACCAAGCACTCTTCCTTCGTTTCTGACTTTGTTCCGATCGATGACAGCTGGGAGCGCGCTGTCGATGGTAGATGCCTTTCTTTGCAACCCTGTTCCGGCCGATGTCATTTGGGACGACGGTTAAGATTCGCAAGCAGGTAAGTCTTATGTTGCTTTTCTCTTATCCGTTCCCGACTAAAAACGAGCAGTCCCCACAGGAGACGACGAAGAGAGCTGTGGTAAAGCCCAAACTCCGGTTCCTTCATTTGACACCTCCGATTGCAATGGTCGAGCTTTCCCATTGCCCAGCGACCTCAGCAGGCCTAAAAGCAGGTCAGAAGTCTACCATAGAGCATCACAAACGACTGCTTCCTGTGTCACGGCACCAGCGAAACGAAAATTTTCGCACAGGCGAGGTTTGACAGGCGGATCAAGGCGGTCGAAGCGTTTAGATACCAGATTGCGACGCTCGAGTCGTTTGGCTAGGAAGACTAGAGGCGTTTGAGATGGCCAATATCCATCGGCTCTTTCTATAGTGCAGGTTCGCCTTTATAACTATCTCTGGAATCGAGGTGCCCTTCAATTAGGCCCCTCGAGCCCTTAGACAGCCTATTCCGACCTTGGAAACGCTTCTACATCCCTTTCCCGCCCTCCCCGACCCCAACCGCGGTACGCTACGGCCAGGGCCGGATATAGAGGTCATTACACCTACGCGCCCTCTAGCGCCGGCCGACTCCAACTTCACTCGGCCATAGGAGCCCCCTTCTCCTTCTAACTTTTATATAGTAAAGAGAAATACTAGCCCTAGGCGCCTACCCCTAGCTCTAAAATGTCCTGCTATAAACAATAGTGTTGCCTCTTGTAGGACCACGTACCTATCTCACGTCTCAGCTAGACCTTGAAAACTTGTTGAATAGTAGATATAGTCCGAAGGGCAAGCTTACGCAACGTGTGTCGCCTCAGTTACGGTCTTCTCTTTTGCTAGTAATATCGTAAGAGGCCAGTGCAAGCGAAGAGGATATAAGTATAGCGCTGTGTTCCTGGGAATTGAAAAAATCATTCTATTCAGACCATCCCAACATCGATAAGTCCGCTGTATTATATACTATGCCGAGGAAGAGACGTCCCCAGCCGCCGACCCCGTAAATAAAGAAGAAGTGTTAACCGACGATGAAACCGAAGCCAGCAAGCGGTAGGTCTCACGTAGCAAAGTGGGTTTTGTCCCCTCGGACCCTGCATTGTCTCGACCGAAGAGATCCCAAACCCTGCTGTTTTGCAGCTGCAAACGTTACTCAACGGCAAGACCATGCAAAATGGATCTGCCGATGGCATGATTTTTAGCGTATCTGAGATTGTATCTTATGTATCACAGGTTTGTTTTCAAGTTCATGTTCAGTTCGAGTATTTTGGTCTGACAATAACAGGGACACATGTCGTTACCAGGAACAGTCATCATCACCGGGACGCTGTGTAGAATTGGCGTTTCGCAGAAACCCCCTCGGTTCCTTCAGCCAGGTGACGACCTTAAGATTCATATCAGCCATAGACTAGGCACATAGATTTGCCCTATAGCAAGAGATTAAGTCATAGTAATAGTCCCAACTGGATTTTCCGTGTCTCATTCTTGTGTCTTCAAAGAAAGAAAACCAAAACAACCTTGGATCCATATATCTCAGTAATTCAAGTACTGATCGAACCCCATGGGCGACCTACAGTCACTCAGACTTCTCATATGACCCGACTTGAAATAGCAATCCACGTACTTGAAATTTGCGTCGTTAGATAGAGATGGACCATGAACCAGTACCTGTAGCTTCGCAAACGTCCAATCAAGGGTCTGGTAGCGTCCAGCTACCCGTTTCCCGGAGAGGACAACACGGCTTTACGCGAAGACCCAAGGTAGCTCGCAAGGCGCGTCGTAGAGAGAATGGATGGAGTTTGTAACACCAATCACAGTATCTCAGACCACTGTCTTTTTCGAGTCGGGACATCAAGGAATGTATACGCGTTGGCCACTCAAACAGACCACAACCTGGGTGTTGACAAAGTCGTGGTTTATGGGAACCAAGCACGGATTTCACACAAGCCAAAGGGTATTTGCAACTAAATGAGAAGCAAATCAGGTCTGTGACACATAGAGATCCGATTATCATCATCATGATCTCTGGCGGAAGAACCTGAAAACCGCGGGATGGCGGTGGCGGGGGTTTTTTCAGCTTTCGAAGCAAACCTTTCATCTTGTCAGACCTTGAGGATTTATGTGAAATATTCATGGGGACATGGGCCTTGGATAACCAGCCAACAAAATAATTCTTGGAGACGGGCTAAGCTCTATCTGTACACCCTTGACGTTGAGGACCGTCATAAACTAGATAAAATGAATCCATGGATGCACACCGTATTTGGAACATGGTTTCCATGCCGCAGCCAAATGTGAGTAGAAACAGTAATACTTTTTGTTTCCAAACTGCTTCAGTTCGAGTTGACTGTCTATTGATACAAGGACCACACTGTGTCTACCACTGACAGGTATTTACAGTGAATGCATCTATAATAATTGTCTCAATTGTCTCTCAGTTTCTGATCGGTTCGGGCCGATGCATTCCAATCTATGGGCTCCGGGTTCCTTCCATCATCATGTGCTCTTTCTTTCCTGACCTCGGGCTCGTTGCGGTTGACAACTAATTCCCCAGCAACCAGTCTATCTGTTCCTTCCTCAAGGATGTGTAGGTTCCCGTATTTGACCCTCTCTGTAGCCATGTAGACCTCTCTTCTTTTCCTTTTCTCTCCAGTACGCATTTCCCTATCCCCTTGTTTTGATACTGCTAACATGGTTGTTTGGACAAGTTTTCAGCATTACGCCACGGTTATCGGCAGCATAACTGCGGTTCTCGCGAACTGGCGAGCTGGCCGCGCTTTCGAACGGTGGTCCATTGGGAATCGGGTACGACAACTTCCCCTAGGCGTCGCCCTAGCCCACCTACCCTTTCACCTCGACCACTTGCCTCGACGCGGCGGTGGCGCAGATCAACAGCCCTGGATCGCCATTGAATGGACAGACTGGTGGTTCACCAGGGTGATCGCACTCCGGAATGGCGACCCGGAACCTCCTGAGCCGCAGTTCACCGAAATCACAATCGAGGTTCCAAGTCCCACCTTGTGGGTTCAGGGGAATCAAGGTGCTGTTGGGGGGCAGCATTCGACTTGAGGACCTGAACGAGTAGGGGGATGAAGAGCTGGGATGTGACTGCTGGTAGCCGTCGGCGGCTGAATTTTGTTTCTTGCTGTGTGTGTACGTTACAGGGTCTTGGGTACTCACTTCGTAGAGTAGATAGGGCAGGGGCCGGCGGAGGAGGGGATGAGGGCCAGAGGGGGCACCGGCGACGAGCTCACCCTTCTACGCAGGGTCGGTGACTAGTAGCCTTCGGGTGAAGCTAAGATGAGCTCACATGTATTTAATTTTAGCAGAGACCACGTTGCTTCGGATGCTTTTTTTTTATCTGAAAATCTTGTCCATTCGTTTCGTTAACTGTTTCCAAATGAAGAGATTGTTCGGATCGGAGATCCTGCTGCAAGTAACGAGTCGACCTCCCAAACAACCAACTCCATTCCTTGTCCTCCACTCTCAGGATCACTTGGTCCACTTTTTTGAGATGCAGCCAGTTGGGACCGTATCCTACGGGATACCTCATATTTAGCTGTGTTGGTGCTCTCCACTTCAAGACAAAAATATACTTCGGGGCAAAATTGCCCTTGCTCTAAACATGGGAATCCACACAAAGCTAGAGAACCCCCCTTATCTAACTCTATGTAGTAGTTGTTGTCCAAAATCAGTCCGATATCTCTGCGTTAACGCATGGATACGGCGTTCTATATCTTCGATTACGCGGCCGCCTCCCTTGCAAATGACCTCGACGCACCCACCACACACCACACAGGGCGTTAAATAACGTACAGCTCTGACTTGTATCATCACTATCCAGATGAGATCTATGTATGTGCTACGTGGAAGCACCCAACGATATAATTAAAGGAAATCAGCAGTCAACTCCTGCTCCAGAACAGCCATCCTTCCCGGTCAGCCTGTCCCCCTATCCCAACCAAGTCCTCTATAGACCGAGCATCAAGAGCATTCTCGAACGCGTCAAAGTTCACACCCTCGATCTCCCCATCAGAGCCGTTTCTGAACAAGGCAGGGAAAAGCAAACCAACCCCAGCCATCTCATACTTTTCGAATCCCTCCATCGCTAAATCCTCCTTGAGTGCTTGCTCATCATCCCCCTTAACGTCTGAACGAGGCAGTACGATGGCAAATCCACCGCCACCGGCGCCAGTAAGCTTTGCCTAGCCGATATGTGTAATCGCTGCGAGCTTGTAGACGTGGTCAAGGAGAGGGTGCGAGGCACCGAGCCTAATAAGGAGCTTCTAGCTGTCGTAGAGTAGGCCCCCGAGATTCTCTATATCAGCCTATCTATTATAGCTGTCGCTAAAGTAGTCTGGGGAAGAGCTAGAGAAGACTTAAAATGCCTTTTCGGTAAGCTAGCCGATTTAATCTATAGTCTACTCAAACAATCTAGGTTGTTCGATCTTTAGCCTACAAACTTTCTCGACCTAGTCGGCTATTGTACGCGGCTATTTAGTATAAACAAGAAGAAGGCGCAGACTCAGGAAGTGATCGATCGGGGTAACGGATAATAGCTTATACCCATCTCCACCGGCCGCCATGTTCTTAGAGAAGAGCACAGCTTTACCCTAGCACAAGATAGTATTATCAACCCCGCTTAGGTCTCCGTAAATATAGAGCTCTCCAGTATATACCCAGTTATTAATACGATCTAATTACTACTCGGCTTCTTCGATAGATTAGTCTAGATATAGCCTTAAGATAGCCTGTATTTAAACGAGTAGTACCGTACTCTACTGTACTCAAGCAGACACTAATACTAGCGCTACTACCTAGGCCAGCGCTAGCTAGGATAGTCGACCGAAGCGTATGCACGAATCCGGGGCTTTCTAGGGAGCTAAAGGAGAGGAAGAGGTAGAGAAAGGTAGTGGCAGAACCTCTATAGATCTTACGCTCCTTTTCAGGGAGATTTAGGGAGACAAGGTATACATACGGCTTAATAGCGGCCAGTAGGGTCTTATCTAGAGAGTTAATGTATAAGTTATGAAGCTTCCGGTTAGGTGCCTATTAGAACGCCTCCTAGGGCAAGCTATTGATATCCTAGGTGTAGTGCATTCCGATGTCTTTAAAGTTAAGAGTGACGGTTCGCTCGCATTTAGAGAGGATCTTGACGCTGAGGTAAGATCTAAGCGAGATAGCGGCGGAGATGACTGGCTTGCCATACACGGCAGCATATTCACCAAGAACAATGACTTTTCCTGGTGCAGAAACCATGAAGGAGGGCCCAATGGCCGATGAATGTGTGTTATCCATTGACTGACAAGAAAATAGGGATGATTTTGGGCCGAATAGTGAGAAATGGAAGTAAGTAGACCAGGATTTTCTTTTTTTTTTTTTTTTTTTTTGGTATTACTCGTCCATCGCCGCACGGCAGAAAATAGCCATACCTTTCAGCAGGCCAGAAGCTTAGCCAATTCATTGCGACTGATCTCAACAGTTACTAGTAGTATACCGTATACGATATAGAGAACGTGCGATGGTGCCTTCCAGGGATCATACCGGACTAGAGCTTGTTCAGTGAGCTGGCTATATAATTTCTCTGCTCTAAGTGTCCTCGTGAAAACCCTGTTAGATAAAATCAACTATATACCTCTATAGATCTAAATGTAGATACTCTGGTATTACCCGATTGGGTAATCCAAGAGCAGGAGATCACGTATATAGGGACGCCGAGTTTTCCCGCTCTCCCGTTATAGTATTTACCATCGATACCCAAACTCCCGCCTAAATCGGCCTAACTCTGATAAATAACGGGTTATTGGAATATAGGTAATTACATCGGAACCGCGCTGATTAATTGAGGATTGAAAGCGTCGCCGAATTTCTTCAACATCCTCGAGACTCTCCTAAGGTCCTCTAAACCCCATCGGTAGAATAAGCGCTTCGCAGATCCCTACCCCGGCCTACACGCTCGTAGAATCTATACTATCCCGCCGCTTCGGTAGAGAGACGGTGAACTACTTCTCTAGTATATACTACGGGGGAACCTAGGAGGTGAGTACGCAAGACTAAACATCGCTAGGCTCTCTATTAAACCGATTGTTATTTCTACGTAGCAACTATCTATTCCTATTAACCGCCCTAAAGCACCTAAGCACCCGTTTTATACTCTTGAATAACCTCGCCCCGTTGACCCCCTCCCCGGCTGGGCTGTATTATGCTAAATATGACGAAGTGCGTAAGCTCGTCCTGTAGGACGTCTATGACTAGTCGGAAGAAGACATAATTAAGAACTTCGACTTGCGTAAACCGTACCCGAATCTGATTTTCCTCGGTCTAGATGAGAGTCGTAAGGAGGGCGGTTTAGCGTGGAAGATTTACTCCGGAACGCCCTATTTCGCCCTCGATATTACGCCTAAGGGCCCCTAGGAGCAGCAGACAGCTTCTAGCGAAGTAATTAAGGCAATGGAAGAGAAGGGGCTTTTATTCTTCTAGACTTACGTCGTGATGACTTTCTCGTCGGACAAAGGTATGTTGGGCCGAGGCTGATCAATTCTCGCCGAGGATCAAAGTTTTGCGTTTATGTTTTCCTGCCACCCCGATCATAATATCAAGACTAGTTTGAGAATATAGATTCAAATATCATACGACCCTACAATCATTATCAAATCGTCAAACCGCGTAGGAAAGATATCTTTAGCCAAAGAAAAAGGAAAGAAAAAATAGAACCGATTGAGACAGCTTGGTCACCTGCCAACCCTTGGGATTAAGCGCCTAATATTTTTTATGCACCGCTCGGGCCGTCCGAGACCCATGGTTTTGAAGGACATGGTTTTCCAAGCCACGGGAAACCATGGAGGGTGGGGAGTAGCTAGGTATTTATACCTACAGGCTGATAACATCCTCAAAAATATCTCATTTCCATTCAAGCAGCTATATTGAGAATTCTATCTCGCGTTGCCCAGAAGCTCGGCCTTGTGACAGTTCACGTCACCGTCATCCGTAAACGCCGGGACACACTACAGGTCATTGAATCTACCTTTCCATATAACACAGATGTTGACGTATGTTATTAATGGCCCCACTGAGAAAGCTGTGATTGACATAGATCCCTAGGTTGATGTCCATCTTTCTTTCCCACCGCATGAGCAGGAAAACCATGGCATATTAGAGAAGGAGGTTAGCTAAATGGCCCATGTTGAATGGACCATGGAAGCCATATTCTGGTTTTTTGTTTTTGTTTTTGTTTTTGTTTTTGTTTTTTTCTTTTTCTGGAATAGGATCTGCGTGATTTGATCAATGTAATCACTCTGTTATTGAAATTTTTTTTTTTTAAAAAAAAACTATATATACATATATATATATATATATATATATATATATTTATTTATTTTCTCAGAATAAACTCTAAGATTGAACGCATTATTGGGCGTGGGATAGACACGAAAAGCCCTGTCTTGCGAAAGGAGAAATCACAGGCCATAGTATTTCGTGGGATTGTTATTCCCTCAAGAAAAAGTCTGTCTTACGGAAGAAGGGATCGTGGGCCAGTGCATATCGTGGGATAGGCGCCGTAGGCCGTGTCATGTCGTGGAGATGGGATCTGCCATACGATAAGCCATGTATTAGGATAAATAACGCCTTGGGAATAAAAAAAATCATGGGTCAAGTTCTGCCCCACGATAAGCCCGGTGGGAGCAAAATCGTGTCCCAATACATATCGTGAGATGAGCTTTGTCATACGATAAAGCCCCGACTTTCGAGACAACATGTCAGCTGATAGGTTTATCGTGGGAAAAGGCCTGCCATAGGATGGCCACCATCCTATGATAGCGAAAATCATGGGCCAGATGAAAAACCATGGCCTTCATAGAAATGGTGGTCTATGCCTTCTCTACCCCTTTGTCATCATTCCCTTTCCATCGTCCACCTTCTATAAACTTATTTGCAGCATCGGCCTTCCATAAGCATTTAAGAGAATATTTCGATGCATCATGACTACCTCCGATTTGCATATTTCACGCCAATTGCAAGAAGCCCATATAGGCTCGGTGAGAGTGGAGCAACTCGACCAGCTATTCTACGACGACATTAATTTATATGGCCCACGGACTTTGAAACAATCGAGGATTGACCACCTCATTCATCGGTTCGAACATGAGGGGTGTCGTCGACTCGATTCACTGACCTGGATCCTGTGTGAAATTTCGAGTTTATAGGTGACCAGGTGATCAGGTGGAAAATCCACTTGGTCACCTAGTCACCTAGGACTAGTTTCTACTAGTAGTTACTTAGAGATACTAGGTATTACTTGGAATTACTTATATCTACTTAGTATTACTAGGATATTACTAGGATATTTTTACTATATATTATAAGGCTATAAAGGCTATACTAGATAAATTACTAGACCTTGACAAACAAGGACCCATGGGATATAGTTTTTGTCCATTTCCCATGGGAATCCCATAAATTTCCTATGCTAGCATAAATCCTTCGACTTTACCTATTTAAGTTATCATAAAATCATTTATTCATTAGTGTTATAAACTAGTTATTTATCCTGTCTACTAGGGTTTTACGTCTTACAAGAGCTCTAATACCCCAGGAATAGAAGGATTTCCAGATTAGATCTTTCCTAAGGTTAGAACAAATAAAAATTTATTACTTTAGATATTGTAGTGGGGGATCAGCTGATTCTGATGTGACGCCTGACAAATAAGGCTTCAAAACTTCTGTACAATAGATTTGGCTTCGGCCAGCATTAGAGAATCAAGAACCTTTACTATTCCGGTCCAAGAAGATATTGTTTATTATTCTGTTCTGTCCATGATACAGCATGCAAGCCGGACCATCTTCGTGATCCCCTCCCTGATATCATCCATGCTGTCCGCGACATGACATGGTGTGGTGTTTTGGTGCTCGCTCTCGTCCCGTCTGCTTGACAGACTGCCATCGCGCTTTCTGCTCTTCACTAGTTAGGTTTAGTATATATTGAAGTGGGAGATGCGCGATGGCTGTCTGGCAAGCAGACGGGAGCTGAGAAGCGGACAAAACACCCACACTGTCCTGCTGGGGACTGTAGAGGGCCGGTGTAGTGATCAGACAGACACTGAGCAAGTCATACCGAAGAAATAGTGAACCGAACGAGATCCTGATGAAACCGAAAATTGCTTGGGTAGTTGTCTTGTCTATCTCATCCAAAGAGGGTGATATCTCTCCCATCTCTCCCATCTCTCCCATCGGGACTCTGCGATGCCTTATTGCTTAGGCGCTGCCAATCCTATCCTGCATGCAAATCCCCCACTACAATATGTAAGAAGTGCAGTAGAAATAAACGCTAGCTATACCTAATAAGGTTTAGTCTCCTGGCAACCGAACTATACCAACTTCTGCGCGGAAACGCCACAGTTTTCCCACGATAACACCACGTAGAACTATGGTCTCTGCGCCCGTACCCCCCAATTATTCCACACCCTGTGGTCGTATGTACTAGAAACAACATACAAATAGTTTATATAGCTATATTTAAACAGTAAAGCTGCTTTCTTATGTCGCGCAACCTGAATGAGAATGATGGGCTCGCAATAGACAGGGTGAGAAGCAGGGTAAGCCAAGGTAAATTCTCACCTTTTTCGCACAATCAGCCAGCATAGACCCCTGGCTGGTTATTAGACTATGATCTCTATTGCACAAAAGCCCGCGTCTTAGCATCTGTATATAGCCACGATCTGATGGTATATATCCGCCAGATAAGGTCAAAGTATTCCGTTTACAATAAATGTTAATCTATCTTCAAGGCTCCGTTAGCACATAATACCCTAAGTTGAAATGCTTCATCAAATACAAGCGTTGGAATATGGCTTTCGAAGGATGTTGCTTGCCTAGGTTTGAATTGCTTGTCAAACCTCTGCATTATCTCGTAAATTTTACTACTTATCGAATCCATATGCAAGACCAGAAAACATCCCATTGAAGAATATCGTATAATCGATGCTTCGTGGAGGAGGCGGGCCGTGGATCTGGTGAGCCATAACTCAGGCCGGCGACAGGAGGTCTTGGCCACTCGCAACCGAAAATTTGTAGTTCTGCCCCGTGAACCACGCTGCAAGCCTCCCGTTCTCGCTTTGCACGATAGAATTGGTAAATACCGCCCGATTCAAGAGAGGCACACGGTCTACTCTCTCGGCAATCAGAACAGTGAAGCTCATCAGTACTAGAAGGTACACTAGATGACAGATCTATACATCCCAGATGTAACCAAGCATAACAAACTGAGCAGTAAACCCCACTGTCGTCCGATTCATTTCGGTTGCTACAACACGGTATGGAGAGGGCAAAGTTTTGTAGCTTGAGACCATCGATTTGGGGAATAGTAGAGTAATACCATTTTTCAACCAAATCAGATGCCTGGGCCATAGAGATCAAATCTCTTGACATGGTTGCTGAAAGGATCATCTCGAAAAGCTCTGGGGGTATTGTGACGCCCCAGTACTCCTTGGAATTGACTGCACCCCCCTTCCAGCGATTCGAAGTGAATATATATGCCCATATCCTGAATCCCGGGGAGCAATGCAGTGCTGAAGTATTGGTAACATGTGGAATAGCGGCATAATGGAGTACATTGCCATTGCAAATCTCAAAAAAAGCGCGATATGCCGGGTGGAAATGGCTATTACATGAACAGGCCCTTTGTGTTTAGTACTGTGGGCGAAATCTTTTGCTTTTGTAGTAACAGAAGTGCCAATTTGGTCGGTGTTGCAGCATATGATAAGATATCTATGGAACCAGAATATCTCATCGGCGGGTGCCCTCCATCGCAGAAGCGATGAAAATGTGATTGGCAGTTCCTCGGTACCCATATCCCCGACCTCAAGGTCCCATGCTGCGAGACGTAAGAGTCCGATCGCAAGGGCAGAGAAAAGGGAGGGCGATTGTCCCCAGATAGAAGGGGCGTCGAGATGAAACCGCCATATGAAAACAAAGTCCGTAAAGAGTTGGAAGTGTAGCTCATTGAGCCGCGTGGGGATGCTAGGCTTGATATCGAATGACTTGAAAAGACGTTGAATATTGGTTTTTTCACACATATCGCTCGGCGAGTGTTCATTGTACTTAGACGGCCTCCCTAGATCATGAAGGAGTGACTCTATTGTAGAGAGCGGCGTCTCCCGGATACTGGCCAATGCCGCCTGTTGGGTGATCTGGTGTAGATCTTCATTCACCGTTCTCCACCGAGTGACCGTGAAATGACCAGCATGTTTATCAATGGTATAGACATAGTCGAGTTGAAAATGAAGTGTTGTCGGAAATGGGACACTGTCCCATTTAAAGTTTTCGGTTCTTGAAAGAATTTAGTGAAGAGTCTTTAGAATTATAGGTGAGTCTGGGGATAAAGATTGTCCACGGGGAGGGTGGAACCAACGGTGCTATTTCCCTAGAACGATGTTAACAGTGTTAGTCCGTGAGGGGCAATCTATACTATGGACGTGTAAGTTCCATAGTCCCCTTGTCACCACGTTGGGAGCTAACAGCGAGTCAAGCTATGGGACCGGGGAGCAAGACAGTAGCTGTAAACTTACAGGTTAGTTGGACATGTTGCCAGACCGCCTGACAACGTGACCCGTAAGGCCTAGGGCCTTAACAGTATTTATCACCCTGGCCTCGGTCAAGTCATGTTTGGTTATTTCATCTTTGTTGTAGGAGATTATACTTGATTTATGCTTGATATAAATCATGAAAACATCAATTCTAGCACATACGACCACAGGGTGTGGAGAACAGGGCTTCCCGTCCGCTCAGCCGTACTTAAGCCACACGCCGGCCAGTTAGTAGTTGGGTGGGTGACCACCAGCGAATCCTGGCTGTTGTATGTTTTTCTTTTTTCCTCCTTTTTTTTCAATTCGTCTTTTTGCGTCCTACCCTTCAAGGCGGTTAAGCTGATCTTTAGGCCTTCACCTAAATACCCGTCCAATCTTTATCCAAAACTCGTATAACGTAATCCACAAGCGAGCGAGCCACGCCAAAACATATAGTAAATGCAATAAAATACAACCTCGAATCTCAACATTTATTATTTAAGAATTATATTTAGCTACATAACTCTATTATATACAATCATGTTATTATATTGCATGAGTCTAAGCTCTATTAATATAGTGGTTGTGGGGATATATATATCTCTTTAGATATTATTAAATTTACAGTGTATTTTTTGTAATCTCGATAGAAAATTATTTGAATTATCTAAGACTCAAATATATAACTATTGACATCTTATTATATCTCTACCCTTAATGTCAAAAAGAACCAATATTTTGTTGTTGAGATTGACAATTACATTTACTCATATTTACTATGTGTTTTAGGGTGGCTCGCTCGCTTGTGGATTACGTTACCCTTAAAGCGCTGACATATTCCCTCGGCTCAATTTGCCTTCCCCCTGTTTTCGCTGCTTATTCCCCTACAGTTACGTGCTTACTAGCCTTTTGGTACAAAAATACCAATCGCCGCCACCACTTCCTGGTCTGGTTTTGGCTACTGTAAGAAATTTCAAACCTCGAGATGTGGATCAATGTAATGGCCAGATGTTCAGGCACCCACCGCTAGATATTCATCTAATATGTATACATACTTCACCCATTTTTCGGTTATCGGCACCGGGATCTAGTAGAGCGTGATCCGAGCTGCTCTGGGTAATATTCTTCCAATTTTCGAGTGACGCCACACTAATTTCGGGTCACGCTCTACTGTACAGTACACTGTATGCCCGCGTGCTACTGTAATAGCCAAAAAAGAAAACTGGATGTGCCCCTACCAATACCCCTCTATTCCACATCGTGCATGATGTCTTATGCTATTCAAAGAACCTCACTTGTTCCCAGAAATTAAGCAACATTGGCACTAAACTTCGACACCGTCAATGTCGACTTCCCGCCTGTAAAAGGCTCCGTGCCAAATTGCAAAGCTGTAGAGACAATATTGATTAGTCCAGTGCTCGGTCTGGGATTCCACCCGGATCAGACCCGGATCAGACCCGGATCAGAGAAAACATACTGATGAGATTCTGGCTCGATGCCGGAAACGAATGACTCTGGGTCAGATAGTCGAAGAACTTCTTGATATCCCCGGAGAAGGAGGTAATAGCGTTACCCGAAGGGACGAAGCTATAAGTCTTCATCGCATCCCCGCCGTACCAAACATCCCAGCTATACCCACCGATGTTGGTGGTATCGATTTGCTTCCCGATGGGCTGGACAGATCCGTACTTGGCCAGCCTATATGCGAGTACGAATATTAGCCTAGTGCTTACATTCGTGGGCTCCCAAAGAGAACAAACCAGATCATTAGCTCATAATCGCCACTCGAAGTTGTATGGTTGATGTCCGCAGCCGTGAACAAATCATACGCAACATCGGCCTTGATATCGGTGTTATCATAGCTCCAGGAGGCCGTCGTTGGGATCTTCCCGATATCGCTGACATATTTCTTGGTGAAATCGAAGCCCGAGTTGGCGTAGCTCTTCACCTCGCTGTCAGTGCCGGACCAGTTCCACGTGGTGTGCCAGGAAACCTCGGACGAGGAGATCTTATCGACGTAGGTGCATTGGGAGCCGGATCCCTTGTCCTTACCCCACAGGTTGTTGTTGAGAAGAAAGGGATATTTGTCATAGATTGCGTATTGGTCACAAAGTGTGGCGACCTGGGCCTGAGCCACAGCCGAAAGAGCCAAAGCCAAGGGTAGAGTAAATTTCGCCATGGTTATTTGATAGGTGGGATCAAGCGAGATGGTGCATGGTTTGAGGTTATCACTCCGTGGTGCCATACTTATACGTCTTGACTTTAGGCCCCCATTTCAAGAGAATCGCCCCCAAAAGATCATAATCTCATCTCATCTTGGTGAGACATGGGTGGGGGGGTGAAGGTGGAGTAGATCGCCAAACAAGACCTCAGGAGTGGAGATGAGGGGACCCTCATTGAAAAAGGGGGCCCTTTCTGAGACATTTAATCTCGGTTGCTTAGTCCGCTGAGGTGATCCCCAGACACTGATAAGCTTTTACTTGATCTCTTACCCTAAAATCCCTAAATAATATATTCCAAACCCCCTATCCAAGCCTCCCTATTTCCTACTTTCCTGAATACCGGAGATATATTTATATATTTCAATAGGCTATTAACTGCACATTAAAAATATAATAAAAATGTAAGATGTATTTTGTGGTATTGTATTATAACTGATTCTAATAAACCAATTATAATTCCACTCTGGAGAAAGACTCCATATTAAACCAATAAACTGGATCCTGCTATCGTACATACTATAGCTAGCCACCACAGTGGGGCAGCAAGGGGTACCGGCTATCCGTCACACCACCCAATCACACCCTACTTTTCTTAGGCCTAATATGCTAGATGAAGTATTTCAAGCACCTCCTAGGAACGATGCTGCATTGCGTGTTGGTTAATTTAATAGACAGAGCGTTATTATATAGAGTACCATATTGTGCTAGGAGGAATTCATAGGTTTTGTGCTTATGAATAGATAGCAGAATCTCATATAGTCACTATATGGTTGGAAACTTCTGCTGTCTATAAGCGTATATATTATGCACTTTCACAGGTGGGCCTGCTACTTGTGCTAGGCCTATTTACTGTAAGTTTGGAAAAGTGCTTACAGCGAAAAATAAGCCGGGTGTGGTATGCAATTATCCTAAATAGGATTAATGCGGTTTGAATGTGACAGACCCATAAATTAGTGGTTCACAGCTGCTTCCTGGCTGTGGCACGATATTGGGGGCCATAATCCCGGCCCCCTTGTTGTCACCCTATTCACGTTATCCATCCGCTCTATTACTCTCTTCCTCTCTTCTTCACAGAGGCACTGCCTGTTGGACCGCGTATAGCATCACTTATACCACCATGCGACAACTGCTTCTCTTCGTTTTCTCAGCGGTCCTACAGGTGACTGATGCCGCAGCCAGTCCCTATGTGATGAAATGGTCCGACCAGGCCTATGGGCCCGATGGCCCGTGGCAGGGCGTCGCGGTGGAGATTGGCAGCAACAAGCAGCCAGTTGCGCTATACCCCGGGGCTAATTATGCCAGTACAATCCTGTTAGATTCGATCTGCTCCAACAAAACGACATCATCAACATGCTATGCCAGCCAGGCAGGCACCTACAACCAGACGGAATCGAAGTCAGCGGTTGTCCTCAACCGCACCTCGTGGGAGACAGTCTACTGGTCGGTGGAAGGAAAAGGCATCGAGGGTCGGATTGGCGACCAGGTCAGCTTTGGCCCATCGGTCCCGAATGTCAGCTTCCAGGCAGTCTACGACACATACGAGACCTATCCCAATGGCAAGGTGTATCCGGTCCAGGTGGGCAGTCTGGCCCTGGGCGCCCCATGGACGGCTGATGAGGTTGACAACAAGACAACGTTCAACTGGATCGCATCATGGCTCTACCGCTCTGGAGGAGACAATGCTATCCCATCCTACTCGTATAGCATGCATATCGGGTCTGCGGGGACCAAAGTTCCAGGCTCTTTGGTTTTAGGTGGCTATGACAAAAGCCGGGTCCTCGGGAATGTGAGCGCGCAGTCCGTCAGTCTGAATTCGGATACGAGCGGCCAGCTGCAGATCCGGATGAAGGATATGGGCCTGGGCATTGCTGGGGGGAGCACTCCACCTGGATTTACCAGCCAAGATGGAATATTTCAGCAAAGCAATGGTGCTACCTTGCCGAAGACCGTTGTTATCGACCCGACAAAGCCTTATTTATATCTGCCCGAGGCCACCTGCGATGCCATCGCCAATTCCCTCCCCGTTTCGTTCAACGACGGCCTGGGCCTGTACTTCTGGGATACCACACACAGCAACTACGCTACCCTCATGTCCTCCGCGCCATACTTGTCCTTTACATTTGAACAGGATGGGGTATCTAATCAAAACATCACCATCAAGGTCCCCCTGGCGCAACTAGCGCTCACGCTGCAAGCGCCGCTCGTGGAGACCAACACCACGTACTTCCCTTGCTTTTATTCCACGGATACCCCGGTACTCGGTCGAGCGTTTCTCCAATCTGCGTTCGTCGGGGTCAACTGGCATGAAGGGAAGAATACCGGAACTTGGTTTCTGGGGCAAGCGCCAGGCCCAGCCCTTTCCAAAGCCGAAATCACCCCCATCCATGTCAGCTCCGAGACTCTCAGCGGATCCAGCGGATCATGGGAGCAAACCTGGGCCCAGTACTGGCATTTGGACACCAGTTCTTCCGGTGACAAGAGCAACACAAACGCCGGCCTTTCGACTGGGGCCAAGGCGGGCGTCGGGGTTGGAGTCAGCGTTGCTGGCCTGATCATCATTGCTGCTGCTGTATGGCTTTGGATGCGTCGCGCCAAACGTCACCCCAAACCAGCCCCAGGGACCGGGCCGGCTGAACTACCCACACTGGCTAGGGAGGGGTTGCCACAGGAAATCGGTGCAAGAGATGTGTACAAGCCGCAAGGATTGTTGGGTTCAGACAAAGCGGCGCGAGAATTAGAGACGAAACATCATCCAGCACATGAACCGGCGGAACAAGTTGAGCCACCACGCTATGAACTGGGTTGATATGAACTGCCGCAAGAACCACCAGGGACTGGGTGTTGAAGGATATCTGTGTGTTTGGACTTTCAGCTATAGTATTTAATAGATATTTATTGCTTTGTTATCACGATACATGTATATTTCGAAGCCATACCAACGTGTGGAGTCCCAAGACTGATGTTCTTACACTACCCGTCCAAAAGTCTGCCGACACTCACTATATTCCCCGCAAAACTTGATGATTTTAATCATAAATATCTTAACAAATTTATATGGTATGCTATTTTTTTAATTATTTTTAATTATTAAATAATTGGTAGACAATTAACTTTTATATATGATACTTTTATCTAGGTTTTTTCTTAAAGAGCTGTACGCCGTCAAAGATAGGTGAAATTGAGAAAAACTGTTTTTTTTTTGTATGAGAACACAAACAAAAAAAATATCGAAAAATTTTGCCCGATTCTAGTCTTTCTATTTTAAAGAACTACCTTTGTAGTGTCGGCAGACTTTTGGCACCCGTTGGATAGTTCCATTCAACCGCCCCATGATCGAGTCGAAGTTCACGGCTTTTCTCCCAAATATTCAGCTGAGGTTTTCATCAGTTGGTCAGTAAACAAGTAGGCCAGGTCGGTGAGAATACTGAGGTGATGCAAAAGGTTTCTGGCAACATTTGCAAAGGTCTTGCATTTATCACCTGTTTAACCACCTGTCTATCCCACCTACCATTTTATCCATCCTGTTTCTGTTTGCATTCTGCACCAGACGCTATGAATGAAAATAATATGCTGACCGAAATCACTAGTGAAGATACCTCATAGACTCCAACGGAAATATCATTACTCTGTCGCATTTTTTTTAATTCCCCCGCCTCTCCTTCTTACTCTTCGCCCCGTTTTTCTTGCTTACCCTCTTCTCCATATTATCGATTTTTCATGCCCCACAAGGCTTGGCTATGTTTATTGCGCCCTGTTGCTAGTCCATCGAGTGTTTGGCTGCCTCAATCACTATTCATTAAGAGAGCCAGTAAAAGGATTAAATATACCTACTTCAATCGTAATTTTAGCATTCGCTGCTTACTAGTAGGTCACACCGGTTCTCTTCTTCTCAAGTCCCTAGATAATCTCCCGTGTACACTAGTCAAGACTTGCGTACGCAACAAAATGCCCAGGTGAACTTGGGAAAAGAAAGTGATTACATAAACCAAGTTTATTGGTATACAAGTTTTGATCAGGCATATTCACCCCCATTGGGGGGAGGTAGCAGAGTGGCGGTGAACATAGCTCTAGTTATAGTCTACTTTTAAAGACAGCTATCTACCAAAGGGAAAGAGAGGGAAGGAGAGGGAAAGAGGGAAAGAGGGAAAGATATAAACTTCTTTTCTGAGGTCCTTGGCGACAAAGACATACCTAAACATTAGTAGAAAGCAAATCCGACCATGTAGACATTGTGTAGGAGTGAAACCGCCTAGACATCAGAATCGAAGTGAGGAAAGCAGGGATGGTCACTTTGGGATTTATAGGATCGAACACTCGGGCGCGGTACCAGTCTGTCGGTAACCCACGATGGCCCCAAGCCTCTCCCCCCACCTTTTCCTTTCGCTTCTCCTTTTCTCCCCAGCCATTTCCTCGAATTTCTTTCGACATTCTCCCCATACCTAGTCTTTTGAATAGAAAAAGTCCCAGAGTCATGGCCGAAAATACGGAACAAATCGCGGTGGTAGGTGGCGCGTGATGATCCAAGTTGACTATGCTCACTTTTTCGTCTAGGACGACTCGGATCTCTGTTCGGTGGACTTTGATTCTGGAATCGATCACCAGGACTATCAGTCGTGAGCGCTACTGCTACTCGTATCTATGGTTGTGCTCTAAATCTCAATATTCTAGGGAAACCACTTCAATCGCGTCTAAGATCGCGAGGGGGCGGTTTGAAAACGGCCGACGGTTTGTCCACTTCCCGTTGATGGTCACTTGCCGAGATTAACCGGAAATGTAGATATCAGGCGACTAAAGAAGATGACTACTGGTTCGTTGCGAGAAACCCCGTTCTATTTGATTCTATTTCTTTTACATATAGTAACCGATGTACAGGGGTCCTTCAGACGAACAGCAGTTCGAGGCATTTGAGCTTGGGTAAATCGCATCCCATCTCCGTGCCTCTTCATGTCTCATTTACTCAAAGGGCTGCGATATTGACAAACCCAGTCACATAGTGTTTCTCGTGCTAGATTATCATGAGGAGAATCCTCTTTTCCGCGCTCCTATAGGCGAGTCGCCTCAGGTAAATTTATACCCCCCCCCCCCCCCCCCCCCCCTACACGTTTCTCTCTTGAATGTCATGCTAACTATGTAGTATAGAGTATTCTGGACATCGGAACTGGCCAAGGGAGTTGGGCAATGTAATTCAACCACTTCCCCCACTTTCCGGTTCAAAAGCATTAACAGGTCATCAGGGATGTTGCCGATCGCTATCCATCAGGTACAGGATCTCTTGATCCAAAGTCATATTCTTGTTGCTAACCCCGGTTAGCTATCGTCCGCGGCGTGGATATCTTCCCCCCACCAGTGTCATGGACACCACCAAACTGCATCTTCGAAGTGGATGATGTGCTCCTCGAGTGGACATGGAAAGAGTCATTCGATTTGATCCATATGCGCCTAATGTATGGCGCCTTCCCTCCCCACGGATGGGACCAGGTATACAAACAGGCCTACGAGTAAGTTTCTTGTCCTGAAATATTACTCCCAATAATAAAGCCCTGACATCTTTTTGTTAGCTCTCTCAAGCCTGGTGGCTGGATAGAGCAGCTGGAATTTGACGTGCGAGTCCGCAGCGATGATGGCACCTTGAAGGAAGAACACCAGCTAGCGGGATGGGGCGACATGTTTATTAGATGCGCCGAGCGAGCCGGACGGTCACTCAACATCCAAGAAACGATGCGCGGATCAATCGAGAAAGCCGGATTCGTGGACGTCCATGAGCGAAAGGCCAAGATTCCTTTAGGATCCTGGCCTAAGGACAAGTTCCTCAAGGAGGCTGGTCAGCTCCAGCATGATCATTGGAACACTGCTCTAGAGGGTTGGGCTATGTGGCTTCTCACTCATTTTGGGGAGCCGAAGCCGTGGACACAGGAGGAGGTGCAGGTGTACCTGGCTACAGTGCGCAAGGAGCTGAATGATCCGCGCATTCACGGCTATAACTTCACGTAAGTCCTTTTAAGTTGCCAACCGCATTGTTTATCTGTTGGATGCTAATAACTTTTAGGAGACGAGTATGGGCACGAAAACCTTTCCAAGGGGATTGAACGCAGAGATCAAATTCGGAGTCAGGTCATCACCATACATCACCGCCACAAATAGTCGCCGCAAAAGGCGCTTTGAATTGTTTTGGTATCCTCGGATTCCAGATCCCAATGTTGCCATCATTGTGGGCTCTCTTCGGCGCGACTCGTTATCGCCGTATTATCTCGAAATCTCAAGCTTATCCTTCAACCGATGCATATAAAAACCACGCCCGGTCCTCCTCTCTCGAAAGACTGGTTGGTGGAAAACACTATACCAAGTGTGGAGCCATATCAACCACCAACGGCAGCAACTCTACCGAATACTAAGGGCAAGCCTACCGCCAATAATCATATTGACACGAATACGTATCACCCGAAACATACATGCCACCCTTAGCTCCTGAACTTCAGCTAGCGAGGGCATGGTCATGTTTCGGATGTCGGCGTTGGACGCGCCGTAGGAAGTAGATGGCATGGGCAGTGGCTAGGGGTTAAGCAGGGTACTTTCCAGTTTTGGATAATATAAAAATAAAATAACCGTACCGGAAAAATCTAAAAGCGATAGCATCCATCAAGGCTGTGAACACGACCGTCTCCTTCATGAGCTTGATGAATGCTCGGCCGACACCTGGCCTTGTAGAATGCGCCAAAGAGCCGAACCATCCAGTTAGCCAAAAACAACGAGACCTGTAAATAGAGAGAGAGAGAGAGAGAGATGAGTCTAACAGTATAACAAGGCCCGTGTTAATCTTACAATATCCGTGTGACAAATTCCACTAATATGTGCCTCTAAAAAAGTTCTATAAACACTTGCTTGTCGTCAAACCAGACATACAGCACTTCCAATGTTAATTCATCTCAATATCGTAATCATCATCATATTCGCCCCAAAACTCCTTCAAGTCTTCGACACGCCAGGCCGTAGCCCAGCCAGTCTCACGCTCGATCCGTATCAAGATCTCGATGATAGCTGCATGCTCAGAATGGTGCGACATGACTTTCCCAGCTATCCACAACGGCTGCAGCGCATTAGTCCAGCAACCGCTAATGCAGAAAAAAAAATGTTAGCAATTTTCTTTTCACCCAAGTCTATATTTTTTTTTTTTAAAAAAAAAGGTCAATTGGAACACGCGAAACTCACTGGTGCGCGTTGGAAGCAGAAATCGCACATATTTGGCGCGCATGCCACAGAACAGATCTCTATCCCTTTCATCAGCTTATGCAAGGGAATAATAATCCATGAATAGGTTGAATGGTCACAACTCACCGGCCTCTTCGATAAGGTCAATGTCTTCGGCTTCCGTTGAAGCAACAGCAGGGCAGAAACATGATAAAGTTGGTTCCCGGAAACTATTCCAACATTTAGTTCCCAGCTACTTCCATGATTTTGAGTAGTAGCAACCACTTACTGGCAGATCCATTTCCATACAGCACTGTAGGAAAGGGCCGAACTCGTCCGCAGTCCGAGTTGGAGACACTAAAGATGGATTTCATCTGGCTCGGCCGGTTCTCATACCACTGCTCAACACAATTAAACAGCTCTTTCCAGCGATTGACATACAAATCGCCCTCCTCATTGGCCACCGACTGGTACGAGGTGCAGGGCTGGGCTATCTTTGACGCGCAGCCAAACAGGACCCCAAGCGTGCGCGCCGCAAGATACACGGTGTAGTTGGCGTAGATGTCGAAGTTGCTTCTCGCTGATGAAAGGAAGATTTGCGATGCCTCGGTAGAATGCATATCATTCGGCCGCCAGTTGTGGATAGGAATAATAGTTTCTTCCTCGGATATAAGACCACCGCAGACGTCTGCGAGAGATGTTAGTATTGAGGACGTTATCCAAGAAGCGGATAGAATTGCCCATACCCATTCGAGCAAAACACCAAAACAAGGCTTGTTCTTCTTTTCCAGAAAAACCGTTGATGCCGGCGGCTTGTATTAAATATGCGCAGCCGTCCAAGTGGCGGCGCCACTCTTTGGGATTGCCTGGTTTGATGTGAGAAAAAGAGATAGAGTAGTGGTTGATAACGTACAGCTAAGCATTTCAAGAACACACAGAATCACACAGGATGCAATGACGGGCACAGTTTTGCTCCCCAGCTCAGGAAGAAGGAGATGGATAGCTTCCTGGTAGAGAGACAAGCTCTCCGACTGAGATTTCTCATTCTGCTGCCTTTCCAGCTGTCGCGCAGACAGAGCCAGTATTGAGTACCGCAGGTGAGGGGCCGACTTGGCCATTTGCGGGAACGTCGAGGCAAAATGGCGATTGTTATCAAACATGTCGAGCTGCTTGCCATCAGCAAAATTATCGTCTGAGTCGACCACATGTAGTCACTTACCCATGAACAGATCTCGTTTAAATAGTTTTGCCAGAGAACATCCTCCCGGTCCGGTGACAGCTCAAAGCGTCGGCTTACCCCAGCCCGACGAAGATTTCTCTCGGGCCTGGCCAACGACTCGACGTCACTGAAAGCTGTCAAAGTGTGCACCGAGGGTACAGACTCGGGCGAGCTGCGATGGCTAGGAACATCAGGCCGGGCAGTCCATAACTGACGGTTTCGCAGTGCCTTATGCAGTGCTTCATAAGCAGAGCCCGGAATGAAGACATCGTTGACGAAATCAGCTGGGTCAGAGAAAACACCGTGGTCAAACAGAGGCGATGGAACAGTCTGGTATGAATCGGCGACAGATGAATGGAACTGAGTGCTATTGGTGATATCTCTCAGTGCAGCCAGGCCGTCGATCACATATTCTGGACTGGAATTGATATAGGCGTGCGATGAGGAGTCATCCTTGGACATGGAAGGTGGACGAAAGTCGCATTGCAGGCTTGGTGGATATTGTGATTGATCCTGTATATCCAGATGACTCGAGTTTCTTTCATCGCTGTGGTGACTTGGAGAGCCGTGGCTATGTCTCGGCGATATATGCGACAGAGCCTCACTGGACAACGGCGGCGATAGACCTTGACCAAGATGAGGGGTTGGATCTGAAAAGGCGCCCTCAACAAGAGGCGCAGAATGCTCACTAGCTTCGGAAACAGCAACAAGAGCCGACGCAGCCTCAGTGTCTGGTGCAGATGTCGACGAAGGCGAGTCCTGTCGGTCAGGCAGACCTGTATCAGTTTGATTCTGTCGCCTCGCTGCGCCCCGTGTCTGCGGAGCAGTTGGCAAAGCATTCAAAATCTTGAATTTACTATGCCTCTTGGACTTGGTCGCTGCCACACCCTGGCTCATGGAGGGGTGATCCGATCCCAGCACCCTGATATTTGAATCGCGAAACGAACCGAGCATTCGCCATTGGCACTGATCGCCTCGGCGCTTGCAGCCCGTGCAAGTCGGCTTGGCTTCGTCGCATTTCCGTCGTCGACGGCTGCAATTGACGCACCCAGTCCTGGTGCGTTTCTTTCGCCCGGTCCCCGTCTCTGAGGCTTGCTTAGAGCCCTGCGTCTCTGCTTGCGGGGATGATTTGCTGTGCTCGTTATCGCTACCAGCCAAGGGGCTGTTAAAGCGCGTGGTCGACATTTCCTCCCAAAACAGTCACCATCCCGGAACATTGCTGGGAGTCGTGAGTCCTGTCTGTTCGATATTGGGCTAGAAATGCGGCAGAGTTTTACTCGATCGGGTAGCTGGAAGCGCCGGGTTCTCTCACAGCCAAGTCCCACTCGGCGGGTTGTTGTTGGCCGCGGACTGTGGAGATGATCGCGGGGTTTGGCCGAGTGGCGCTGGCCATCCGGCAATAATGGAGACGCAGGAGAAAGGCGGGACTTCCCCGGAAATGGAGTACAGAGATATTTTTCTTGTCAAAAGATGAGAAAATAATGTCGAGTTTTTTTTCTTAAAACATTATAGACCAAATGCTGCCTGATATTCTAGTTATCCTATGTTACAATCCCATATTTCAAGTGCTGGTCTATGCGAAATCCCTTAGCTCTCCCCCAGAAACGTTTACTCGACATGCTCAGCGTTCACAGTTTCCAGATCTTTGCTTTGACCGACACGAGTGTCTACATCGCCAGGCATGCCCATAGATGGCTGCCAGTGGAGCTGGACCTTCTCGCTGGTGAAGAGGAGATCAATCTGCTCAAGGGTAAGATTGCGCGGCTCGGGGTAGAAGAAGTAGATGAGCGGCAGGAAGCAAAAGTTAAAAAATATTTTCAAAAGTTAGTCAATTTTGAACTGGCAGTAAACATGAGCTGCGAATTGTACATACTGGCAAAGTAGATGTAAGTGCGGTAGCCGATATTGTCGATGCTGACTGGAGTGATCTCGACAACGAGGAAAGTACAGATCCCTGGCAGTTTAAGTGTAAGCTTAATATAGAAAGCTGCAAGTCATGAGTAACTTACAGTTGGTAGCAGTGGCCAAGGATGCCGCACGAGTTCGGATGGCGAGAGGTGCATATTCTGCGGGCACTGCAGGGGTGATCAATCAGTAAGGGGGCATAGCTCCAAGTAGGATTACCCAAAAAAAACTTACAGAGCCAGGGGATTGCCAGAAGGCCAGTTCCGAAGAAGAAATTGAAAATGAATAGCATCACCGTCGCAACTAAGCCAGCGGCGTGTCCTCCATCCCAAACTGTGCCTGCTAGGATGGCCATGCACGCTCCTTGTCCAGCAACAGCAAACAGCATGAGCTTTCGACGACCGAGACTAAAGAAAGTAAGTATAGGAGCTGGATCGGAAGAACCAAAGGTATTTACCGATCAATCGTCCAGATAGGCACCATGGAAGAAAAGAAGTATGCAATCCCGTTGAATCCAGCCAGTAAAAGCGCTGTATTGTGGGACATTCCAACGGATTTCTCGAAGATCACAGTCGCATACTAGTATAGTGTTAGAGAAAGCATTATGTGTGAATGAATGGGAACTCACGTAGGTGATTAGGTTTATACCCGAAATTTGCTGCATCATCTGTCCACCCATACCCAAAAGAGTCCGATACAAAAATCGTTGCTTGCCATTTTGGAAGATAAGCTTAAAAGAGCTCTCAGAGGAAGCCTCCTGTTCTTCTGCAATTGCTCGGGAAATTTCTGTCACATCCAGATTGACCACTGGGTCGTACTCGTCGATTTCCCGGGCATTGTGTTGGAGTGCCCAGATGATGTGGCGAGCTTTGCTTTCGTTGCCGTGTTTGATGAGCTATAATAGTTAGCTTTCTTCAGGACAATGCTTCCATCTATCTTGACATACCCATCGAGGAGACTCGGGAAGGAACAGCACGCCGAAGAATGTGAGAACGGCGAAAAGGATCTGCAAGGCAATGGGGAATCGGAATTGCGCTTCGCTTTTGACGAAAGAGAAACCATAGTCTGTGGTTCTCATCGTCAGTAGTAATCCAATAAAGAGGGGAAAAAAAGACTATCATAACTCACCAACCCAATACGAAAGCATGACACCAAAGATGTTGATGGCTAGTTCGATAGCCAACTATGTCCAGGGTCAGTTCTGTTTGAGAAATGTCGTCAATGAACGTACCCCTTTGCCTCGGCTGGCAGCTTTGCTCAATTCCGAATGCCAGACAGCTATTAAAAGGGCGTCAGTGATAAAACAAATGTATTCTTATAGTGGACCACAAACTCACGAATAGTGCTGGTGTTGAGACCATTCCCAATACCAGCAATGATACGCCCAACAAGCATATGAGGAATGCTATAGGCACTGCATTGGAGCGCAGCCCCGATACTCAAGATGACACATCCGGACATGATGCACCTGCGGCGACCAAGACGTTCTCCTGCAATCAAAGATATGATTGCGCCCAAGAAGCAGCCCTATCCGGGTCAGCATCTAACAAGTGAGGTGAATTCGAGTTAACTTACTATCTCATAGATAGCGACACTGGTGAGCGAGAAGATATGTCAGCTTATATGCCTCTTCATCTGCTGCCTTGATACGGGAGACCTCACACTGTTCCTTGGAGAGACGAGCTTCCATGACCTGCCTTTGTGGTGTCTATCTCCGGAAACCTCGCAACGAATGCATCTCCACTCAGCAAACTGGACATGACCCCTTGATCATAACCAAAACTATACTGTCAAGTCAACAGCGCAATCACTCGAGATAGACTCTATTCTGGCAAGAAGGTCTCCACTCACAGTAAGAAGCCACTGCCAGCAGTGGCCGTGATGGCGTAAGTTAATAGTCGTCCCATGAGGAATGTCATGATGCTGCAATGACAATGGTCTGATATCCTCAGAACACCAAAGAAAAGTAGATTTCTTCTAGTATGCCCAGAGTAGTGGGGCTATTCAATCCTTTATAAGATGCTCACAAACAATGATATGGCCAATAAGTGGTGCCATACAAGGTTCCGTGAAACCGGGGGGTTAATTTCCGGGACGATCTGAAATGTCCCAGCTGGAATGTTTCTATCCCGGGCAAGATCCGCCGCAATTGCGGGGTGTATGAAGACAAGACAAAATGCCGCATCTAGTGCTTAAATTTGCTTTAAATGTGATGGTCTCTACTGAGTGTAAGCTATCTAAAGCTTCCTATGAAGGTCCTAGAAAGTAGGGTGCTTATTTTTAGTTATTTTTAGTTATATTTTATTTTTATATTTTTATATTTTATTTTATTCTATTCTATTTTATTTTTTACCACGAGTGAATTTAGAGAGTTCATGCTGTGATCTTTTCTGCACTTTAACGAAGACAACATATCAACGATTGACAGGCACGCGTCTTTAATCCGAACAGAAGCCATCGGGGGACCGAACCGAGTTCTGTCAGTTCGGCATCTCCACGCTTAAATCCTTAAACGGCCGAATCATACTTTCCTAATTGGGAAGTATTAAGCGTCTCTGGGATCTACTGCGAAAGAGCCATATTTTAATCAATTAGTCTTACAAAAATGGAAAAGAAAACTCATGGAATACGAGCATTTACTGGATAGACTCCACTATGTGAGAGAATGTCGGCTAAAGCGCGGCCTCTTGTATACCACGCGGCATCCCCAGTTCCCCAGTTTACTGCCCCAGTCTCCACACGCTTGCATCCCCATGTTTTCCGTAACAGGCAGCCTTTTGCGCTTGTTCACCTATGACCGGCCCGTTGGCAGCACACATCGGCATGATTTGTCGGGCTCGGCGAAGAAATCGTGGAAAAATGGGCCTCGGACAGGAATCACTGTATCGGGAGTTCCACTGCGGTGCTTCCAGCTCAGCATTTCCTAGTCGGGTCGTATATGCCGCAGGCTGCTGAGGACTGGGTACCCGCGACCAGCTGCGAGATGAATCCTATATGAAGAAGGGATCTCCTTAGGCCCCTCGAGGACTAAGAACCCTTCACGCAGAGCACTTTTCTATTACCATCATTCAACAGCACACCCACCATGGCTCCCTCCATTTCCCTCGATCATACCACCCCGGCGGTTGTTCCCGAGTCGAACGAGACCCCGGCTGCTTTTGCTTCCACCGCCAATCTCTTCTCCCTGGGTGGTCGTACAATCGTGATCACGGGAGGTGGTCGTGGCTTGGGAATGACTTTGACCACGGCTGTACTTGAAGCCGGGGGCGACGTCGCCTGTCTGGACCTTCTCCCTGAACCAAGCCAGAAGGAGTGGCAGGGTGTCCAGAAGCTCGCGAAATCGCGTGGTCTTCAGGCAACATACTCGCAGTGCGACATCACCAACGAGGAGGCCACCAAGACGCTACTGGAGCAGATTGCCGCGGAGGGACTGCGTCGGAACATGCCTCTGCGCGGTGCCATTACCTGTGCGGGCATCCAGCAGATGGTTCCCGCCTTGGACTATCCAGTTGACGGGTACCGCAAGATGCTAGATGTGAAGTGAGTTGGATGAGAATATGTGGAAAGCCAGTGAAATACTAATGTGATGTTATCTAGCGTTCTGGGAACCTTTATTCCTGCTAAACACTGTGCTCGCATTTTCGTGGGGCAGAAGACCCCTGGTAGCATTGTAATGATTGCGTCGATGTCTGGCCAGATTGCCAACCGGGTGAGTCTTTCCTGGGAAAGTTCCAGTTAAAGAAAAAGTTTCTAACACTCTGACTCAGGGATTGACCTGCACCGCATACAACTCATCCAAGGCCGCCGTCCACCAGATGTGCCGCTCAGTCGCCCAGGAATGGGGCCAGCACAACATTCGTATCAACACGCTGTCTGCAGGAGTAAGGAAGCCTGAGGCAATATCACGAAAGATTCAAACTGTTGACAATTCTACTAGTATATCCGCACTGCCATGACCGATGCTCTGCTCAAAGAGAAGCCCGAAGTGGAGGAGACCTGGATGCGCGGCGCTCTTCTCGGTCGATTGGGTGCTCCCGAGGACTTCAAGGCACCTACGGTGTTTATGCTTGCTGACGGCAGTGCCTGGATGACAGGTGCCGATCTCCGCGTGGACGGTGGCCATTGTGCCTCGGCATAGATCTACTTCGTCTGGAGTGGACCCATGATGAATTAGACGTGGCATGTTTTTGGCGTTATAGATTGGGTTGGATATCAGAAGAGAAGAAAAAGCTAGAATAGAAGTTTGATGGACCGTAATTCAAGATTTAAGCAAATCACTGCGATTTGGAAGCTTCCTCATGCATGCTCATTCCGGGTGTATCCAGTATATTGAAGCATAGATGGAGTTGATTTCATACAAAAATGATCCAAATAAACAGACTAACCAGACGACAAGCTTGCTGGTCTTCAGAATATCTCAGTGACCTCAAGTGCAGTGAAGTTCACCTCCATCGTGTGTATGGCAGTTCTATACAAATTAGTATCTCATTCAAAACAACACGACGGGTACATCCGGGTGAACACTTACAGCAGGCACTTCCGATGTCTTGGAAGGTGGCTCGCTGGTAGTCCCAGTGGCACTCGGCTGATTCTGAGAGGTCGTAGGCTTCTCTTCGCTACTATGCTGATGATTCTGAGCCCCAGGACATCCGATCCCAGGAACAGATATATCAAACGCATATACCTCCAACGCAAAGTATTGAAGTGTTTCCGAGTCGCGGGTGGACCGAATCGGAGTCTTTGCCGCTAGATCCACCACTTCTTTATATCCATCTGCAAAATGATCAATCCAGTCCTGTCCAAAAGTAGGTAGATGATAGAGCCGGTGCAGAAGGTCAGAAGCCCAGAAAGTGTTGGTTTCAGAGCCCGACACAGTGTATCCAAGCGCACACATAGTTGAAAGCGAGCGACGAGCTTCATAGCTAAGGTCGCAGATAACGGTTTCGCCGGTCCCATTCTCACCGCGCCAATGTCCAGCGTAGCCTGCAATATTATTAAATATTGAAATCAGCATAGATTCGTCGAACGGAAGGAATAGTTCTTTTCACCATCGAGATCGCAATTTCCGTCCGGATTGTCACAGCGGAAGAGGGCATTTTCTTTGTCGCCGTTGATCACGATATCGAAGGCACCAACAGGTTCCATTGACGGGCGGTTGCCAAAATATTTTCGGTAGATCTCGCTTTCATTGCGCCATCGTAGGATGTGAGCTTTGGCATGTTCTGCGAGGGCGATGGTTTCATTGAGACCCAACTCGATCTGCCGGCGCTGGGTTGCATTGCAGCTCGAATGGATAGGGTATTGGCTAACGGCTCCAGCGTCCCAAGGAGCAAGTGCCATTTGGGAAAATGGATGAGAAGAGGCGTTCTCTGTATGCCCAGTGGCAGGTAGAGCAACACCAATGGCCGCGGAGCAAAGTAAAAGATTGAGTAGGAGTGCCATGTTCTATGTCAAGTCTAAGCTTAAACATATAATTCTCTGAAACTACATGACGTCTAGCAACCTTTTATATTCATTTCTGTCGGCTAATTCGCTCCAACATGCTAAGAAGATCAAACTCTGATTCTTGTGCCAAGTACAACTGCTCGACAATCCTCACTCTTGTCCTGCCGGTGTACATCTAGCGAAGTATGCAAGAGGAATTCCCGGCTCAGTATAGATCAATAAGGTAAATAAAACTCTGTTATACTCCACACGATAGCAAGCGCCAAGAGAGGACCTTGAGAGCGCAAAACAAGGCACAGACCCTTTCCCACTGCAACAACCACGCGGAACGTGCCTGCCATGCCAAGAACCCAAGCTCGGCGGGCGTCAAGATGCTTGGAAAAGAGGACCTTGGGAGAAACAAGCGTTGCGGGAGCGGTCTTCTCCGTTCCATGAAGCCCGATTTGGTACTCGGGTCGCCCTTGGCAGTAGAAAGAGAAAATTTCCGCCTACTTGGCGGCAGGCACCTTGGAGGTAAGAAATTCTGTAGCGTGGACTCGTGTCTCTGTTGTGTTCGGAACTTTTATAGACATTCTCATCCGCTTGCAAGTCTCGCTCCTCTCGAGCAAATAGCAATACTTTGCCATCGGTAAATCTGATTGTGGTTAATTTGAACAAAAAGCTCGTTTGTTTGCTTTTGTTGGCTGCTGTTTTGGATTTTCAGAGGACAGGATGCTCGTTCTCAAGTCTCTTCTCGTATCCTTGAGCATTGCGCAAGTATATGCAGCCAGTCCTACCACATCAGGGGCTTCGACGTCTATCACTGGCTGCCATAACCATGGATCAGACATTTTTTGTATTGATGGCGACGGTCATGAGGTGGCGGTCTCGGCAACAGCTACACCCACTGGTGGAGCACCGGCACAATACACTGGATGCCACTCTCATGGAAGCGAGTCGTAAGTAGCCTGAGCAATTTCTGAAGTTGACATACTAACCTCTTGTGATTGTGAAGATACTGCCTTGATCCAGATGGCAACGAGGTCTCAATCAAAGCAGAGGAGACGGGTCACAGCGAGAGCGGGCATACACATGAGCACGAGGATGAGCACGAGCACGGCGAGCATGACCATTCCCACGAAGAATCTTCTGGGGGAGGCAAAACCAACTGTCACTTCCATGCTGGTGTGGAGTAAGTCTAATTAACCTGGCTTTTATCTAGGCGGAAGCTGACTTGCATTGACTGCAGGCACTGCGTCGCAGAGGGTGAATCGGAAGAAAGCAGCCACTCCTCATGCGGCATTCAGACCAGAGACTATGACGTGCCCTTGCGAATTGGCACATTGTTTGTTATTCTTGTCACCAGCGCTATTGGCGTCTTCGCTCCCATCCTGCTGTTGAAGCTTCCATTTGCGAAGATCAATGGAGTGATCTCGACTGTGATCAAGCAGTTCGGAACGGGAATTATCATTGCCACAGCTTTTGTTCATGTCAGTACCGGAAGTCTTTTACTTGAGGGGACCATTGCTCACAGAAACAGTTATACACGCATGCCTCCCTCATGTTCACCAACGACTGCCTCGGCGAGCTCGACTACGAAGCTACAACTTCTGCCATAGTCATGGCCGGGATCTTCCTTGCCTTCCTGTTTGAATACATCGGCCACCGGGTGATCGTGGCACGCGGGCGCAAAACAGAAACCTGTGCCTCCAGCACCTCTGAGTCCCAAGAGGCATCTCAAAAAGACCAGCACTCGTCACCCCAGACCGCACCTCAGCAGCCGATGCTGGCTCATCTTGGACACAACCACGGCCCAATGGACCCATTCAAGCCCAGCAGCAAGTTTTCAGTCCTGGTCATGGAAGCAGGAGTGCTCTTCCATAGTATTTTGATCGGTCTGACCCTGGTTGTTGCCGGCGACTCCTTCTATAAAACTCTTCTGGTGGTCATCGTCTTCCACCAATTCTTTGAAGGGTTGGCGCTCGGAGCTCGGATTGCCATGCTTCCCGGTGCTATCTTCCCATCCAAGGCGTTGATGGCGGTGGCATTTGCTCTTATTACACCCATTGGCATGGCCATCGGGCTGGGTGTGTTGCATTCGTTCAATGGGAACGAGAAGAGCACGCTGATTGCTCTCGGTACGTTGGATGCGTTGTCTGCTGGTATCCTGGTTTGGGTGGGAGTCGTCGATATGTGGGCACGCGATTGGGTGATTGAAGGGGGGGAGATGCTGGATGCAAGTATAGGAAAGGTGTTGGCTGGAGGGATTTCTCTGGTGGTGGGGCTGGTATTGATGGGTCTGCTCGGGAAATGGGCATAAAGCTGTCTTGATGTGTCGGGAGATTTGCTTAAGCTAGATATTGATATAGCTTAGGACTTCGGGTGTTATGTTACTCCAGGAATTAACCCGCAATTTCGGGACTCAAGCTTCGGCCTTTTTCTAGAATCAGTATCTTGGAATTAGATTTTATGGAAACGCAATGATAAATTCATGTTTCTGAATCTCAAGTCATAAAAACATCAGGTCATGGAATGCATATGTAGCTGCTAATGCTTCCTGCGTGTGAAGTCAATCTCCCGTCCGTGTTCAATATCATATGTAAAAAAAAACTCGCAGAAACAAAACGCATTCAAGGCTATGATAACCTAGATCTTGAATGTTGGGTACCGAATCATGCAATAAATCTAAGAGAGAGTCCAGTCAGTAACCACGAGAAACCATAAGAAGCCAACCAACGGAGATCTGGTACTCACCTTGCAAACATCCGGTCCATCCGCACACTCAATCTCCTTGACAAGATGGAACCCCATCTTTTCATAGATCTGCACATTGGGATATCCCTTAGAGCTCTCGAGGTAACACGGCATCCCCTCCTGATCAGCTAGATCCATAACACTCTCCATCAACTTCTTTCCCACGCCCATACCGCGCACCTCAGAACTGACACCCAGCACATTGCAGAAATGATACCCGCGCGGGTCATCCCACAGAGAGATATGAGCCTCGTGCTGCACCTGCTTCCAGATCCAGTACCGGCGGATATTCAGGCCGCCACGGCCGAAGAAGCGGATGTTATTGAGGAGTTGCCGGAATGACAAAATCCATTCCTGGGCCCATACAGACCATGTCTGGGTCGTCGACGCGGCCTTGGGTGAGTACCACCAGCCAACTCCGACAACGCTACCGGGCGGGAGGCGAATTTCGCGGTTAGTTTTGGTTTCGCTGGATGCGCGAGTTACTTTGGCGACTGAGATGGGGCAGCCGCAGTTGAGTCCGTACTGGAAATGTGCGGCGAGAGAGGCTGCATTGCGTTGTTTATTGAACTGTTGAGCAAGATTATTACTCGTGCTCTCATCTCAATAGAAGTGTTCATTTTGTTTCTTCTTCGCTCCTGACATTTCTTGAAATAGTTGCATTGGGGAATGGTATTTCATACCTGAGATGGATCATCAAATGCCCAGCAAAAATAAGGATCGTCTTCGAATGCTTTCTGCACACATTCTACGGCACCAGGTATATCGGTCTCCGCCAGGGGGACGATTTCGATGGACATTGTATGGATGGTTTGTCCACTACGGTCTCGCAATCGCGGCGTTGGGTCGATTCAACGGACAGGTTTAGAAATACACGTATTTCTTCTACTGGCTCTGAGAAGGGGCTGGGACAGAGATATAGTATAGTAGTGCGAATGGAGCCGTAGTGGATAGAGGGAGAAAGCCGCCATCTAAGGAGAGTTGGAGTGGGATGAAGCCACCAGTCGTGGGAGGGAGGAGAGAAAGAAAGAAACGTGAAATCCGAAGGTGGTAGCAAGCCAAGCAGTCAATAAAGTGGTCAAGAAAAAGGGTGAAGCTGTTTAAGATCCAAGGAGAGAGAGAGAAAGAGGGGTGTGATTCATATAGCTACGACCGATAGTCCCCTAGCAAGACTCTTATCTTATTTAGACCCGACAACCTCTCTAACCTTTCTAGGCAGCTCCACCCGGGACACCAAGATGTTGGCGAAGGTGGGTTACACCTCTCCTCACCCTCGGAGACTGGTCTTTTTGCTTTCACTCCGACTCTAAGCGCCCGTGCGCGCATTTGACAAGAATGCGCGTGACTAGAAAGATGGAAGATCTACGTTGCACTAATAAATCGATCGAATATGCCGCTCTGCTTTGACTGTCCGTCGCCAGACGCGGGGATGAGTGGAGCAGCTATGCGGAATCAGGAAGGTTGTGGCGGATAGTGGACATTGACCGTCGGAGATGGGGGCCGGGGCTTATCGATTTGGTGTGCGACGAGGAGGACCGAGGGAGCCAAGAGATAAAGTAGTTGGCCGAGGATAAGATCACTGATCATGAGACATGCTCGAGGCTATGAATATACACAGTTGGACATAATTCTAGGCAAGAATGGATGTTCCTCCCCTACGTCATAGATAGATTGGGTCAGATAGCGGATGACTTCTCCACACTTAAATTGCCCTTGATCATCCTTTGGGCTTGCTTGCAGCTCATATTTTGTATCTTGAATCAGTTCTACTTGTCGAAACCGTCAACTGGCGATGGACCAGAGCGGGTTTGTCGATCGGTGGTGAATGACGATTGCTTTGACTACTATAGCCTCAATACACTTCTTGTTAGTAAATTCAATAGCTCCAAGGCACATATAATAGGGCATTTTAAAATGGTGTTTATCTCCCCAATACTCTTCGAAGATATGTGGAAGGTATTGCTTAAATATGATCAGGAGATTTTGCAATATAGAGACCTTGTGGACCCCAGATTGGCAATCTCTAAAAACCTTGACCTTGAAGTCTAGTAGTAGACGCCCAACATTAAGCTCGATTATGGATATCATTCGTCACACAGCTTAATAGTAGATCCCAAAATGAATTCCATAAATAAGGTCTCATCTAGCTTTGAAATAAAGACTAAAGAAGGTTCTTACATACTACTAGTGGGATATGGCTTCCTTTTTTCACTTGTATCACCTTCAACAATCATACTACAACATGCCGTGGAACATGATATATGTATACTGTAGTTACTTCCTATTGCGATTTGATTTCTTCTTTCAAATCATGATCCATCATTTTCAAAGTTCAAAGTGACTATGTAGGGGTTTCCGGTATATCATTATGGCATAGAAAAGTCACCTTAAGCGCTACGTTAATTAATACAGATGATATTATCCAATAGATAAAAAATAACTCTGATCATAATGGATTCCTGGAATTTGGCTCTAGCCTTGGCGCTAGTATCAGCTATCTCTAAGCGCCCTGCTGGCGCTGAGAGCTAGAGGCACGGGCTTCAGGCCTATCAACTTGGGTAAAGATTGCGTGATTTAAAATGCAACTTCTTGAGCAAGATGCATAGCCAAAGAGACCAAATTATGCCTGAGACTGGCCTATTTAAGTATGCCGATTGGTGGATATGTTTGGTAGCCCGCTTCTACAGGTCGATCAGCGCTAGACTGGCGGCACAGAGCTCGAATCTACCCAATCTTAATTGTCCAGAATATTTGAGTGGGGCAATACCCTAGCAACAAATGCTAGCCGCTGTCTAATGCGGCCCTAAAGTATGCGCGCGGTCTATACCCAAGCCTTGAGCGCCTAGAGCATACTGATGGTATTCCAATTGGCAGATTCGGTAGCGCCAGATCAAGAAAGTCCTTGGTATAGCCAGAATCTTTTCCAAGAGAAGACCTATAAAGAGGTGGGTGTTTCCTCGCAAGACTTTATTCGATTTCATTCTGAACAGGGAGTCGAGTATGAGAGACTGAATCAGCGGTTATTGAGATCGGTGGTATCCAACTCTCTTTCCTTGGTTGCGACTTCCATACTCTCATAAGAACAGCAGGTTATAGTCGTTCTCATCTGACAAGAGAACATGATATGCTCCGAAAAGAAGTCCTTCGGGAATAGGGGTATTGTTATGGTGGATTGAGATGAAGGTAATACTAACACTGATTCAAGTATTTTGGTCGACTTCGGGACAATGCGATAATGACTATTTGTGGATGGGACATGTGGAAAAGAATACCCGTGAGTCGGCCTAGCTGATCTAGAGTTAAAAAGGCTTTTGAATCGAATCTGACTACCTTTACTTAGATCAATAGGTGCATAGCTCCATCGGGAGCATCGGATCGGTCCGATCGGTGGTGGACAGGAGGGGGTGTGGAGGAAAGGGGAGAGAGTATGGGGATGGAATGAATTGCATGTTGTCATTTGACTTTTGTTGTTCTTTCTTTTGTTCTTTCTTTCTTTTTCTCTTCTGTTGTGTTTATCTTTTTCTTCCTTCTTTCTGTCTTTCTTCTTCTTTGCCTCTTCTGATACTTGATATTTTAATTCCCTTTCTATTGACCTGTGCTGCCTAATTTCTAGACCCCAATTCCTTCTGTATAATAACCTGACTCGGCCTGAAACGACTCCACTATAGGCAGCATCCGAATACGAGATACCCAATAACTCGCCAGGAGCCAATCGGCCCCACTGCGTAACAAGCTCAGCGCTAATGGGCTGCCCTGGTGTTGACTCTGGATTTGCGTCAGCGCAGCGACAACGGGATTGGCGGAGATAATGTAATATCGAGAAACTGTTATTTCTAATTCTCATAATTAGGTCCGACTCGGAGTGAACAGTATTAATGTATTAATATCCAAGTATTGAGCATTACATGTTGACCGCATCGAACGCGATCTGCGAGAGCCGAACCAAATCATTGGCCCATGTGGCCGTTGCCAGCCAATTAACGGGCCATCCGGCATTGCGAATCTGAGGTATCGCCGGCTGTCGTCAGCTCTTTTTCTTTCTTTTTTATGTTGCCTTCCCCCTCTTTCTTACTTTACACTTCCATCACCTTAACACCTCTCTTTTCTTCTTTTCTTCTATGTACCTAACCCGCTATGCGTTGACCAACTCATTTTAGCCATACTATCTCTCTATCTATCTTATAACCACCATGGCTCGCCTCTCAAACTCCGCCATCATCGTCATCGTCCTGGTCGGCTGCCTGGCCGTCACCGCGCTCGGAGCAGCCCTCTTCCAAAAGTACAACCCCGCCGACAATGATTCGCGATACAGTCCGCCCTATGAGCAGGGCCAGTACATGCGCACAGTGCGAATGCGCAATTATGGGCATCTGAAACAGGAGTCGTTGGAGGGCAGGGATATCGAGTCACGCTGTATGTTTCACTCCCACCTGATAATTGATAAACAATCAACAATCGTATCAGATGTGCCGATCGCTAATACCTTCATCAGTAACCCCAATGTCGGGCTACTATCAATCCCCAGTAGAACGACAGTGACCAGCCAATCTCTTCCTCCCTCTCTCTCTCTCTTCTCTCTTCTCTCTATGGATCTCCGACTCTCACGACCCTCATGACTCACGACGAATATCTCTATGGCTGGACCAGGAAACACCGGTCGATGTCAATGGGTGTGACTGGGTGCAGCTGGCTATCGACATCTACGAAGACTTAGATCGAGGGCAAGTCAGGTTGTGCTCCGGTACATCTCGTCCCCCAACGCACTATGTCATCTCATTCTCGTCTTCGTGTGTACATTTCCAACCAGCTGCCCTCCACTTTGTATAAAACATGCTGCAATCATCTTTACCTTCATAGCATCTTTATGCCCAAGAAGTCGAATCTAATTTATTGATATCTTCCAAGTCGCCTTAAAATGATACTGACTTGCCCACAAAACAAATTATCCTTTATAATCCCCTGGCACACGCGGAATCGAGGCCCGTAAGGCTGATCAAAGCTTCGTGCGAACCACGGTACTTAAAATCGATATCAACAAATGACGTCAAATCGAATCAAGCTACAACATTGAATTTCACGATAATTAGCAATTGCGCAGGTGGGGTTCATTCGATTGGAAGCCGATAACGATATGCCAGATCCTATAGGTTTGCTGCAGCCTCCACAAAGCCCCCTATCTCTCGCTCTATGGAATTTCTCATCGCAGTGGTTCCTCGTCCCGCAAGGAACAGGGATCATAGGCGTCATTATCAATCGACTGGACCACCGATTCGACGGACAGCGCACTCTATCAAGAATCGTGTGGTTCTACACCATAGTTTTACTAGGAATCTGCCTGTTTATCTACTTACTACGACTATCCCTATACCCCAGATACGTCTGCCGGCAACTACGCAACAACCTCAATGAGACATCCTGTCTCGCCTGCATCCCCATCACCTTCACCTCGATCATCCAGCTAGCAGTCCTGCAGCACGGTGACACCGCCGGTGTCAGCATCTACGTCCTGTGGTGGATCAACAGCGCCTTCGCCATAGCCGCATGTCTCGGGATCCCCACCGTACAACTCAAACTCCAACCACCAGGCACGCAGCACGTCTCGCCAACAGTGCTCCTCCCCTTCATCGCAGCCCTCACAGCCGCCACAGGCGGCGCCGTAATCTGTCGTGCCGGGCATCTCAGCCCCCGTCTCCAGGTGCCCGCCATCCTCGTCGCATACCTGGAAGTGGGCGCGGGATTGGGGTTGGCCGCCGGCACCAACGCCGTCATTCTCTTCCAGCATTTCGACCGCTCGTTCATCGACCCAGGCACCGTGTTTCAGGACATGGTGATGTGCGGGCCCTTCGGGCAGGGCGCGTTCGCGCTCCAGGTCCTCGGCCAGGCCGTGCAGCGGGGCAGCTTTGCGGGGTATGAGCGTGGTGTCTTCTTGACGGCAACAGCTGCCGGCTCGGTCGGCTTTACTAGTCAGTTTCTGGCGCTGCTGATCTGGGGCTATGGGGTCTTTTGGTGGTGCTTCGCCATCTTAAGCATTTGACACGTTGTGGACCCAGCCTGGAGGTTGGAAACAGACGCGGTTTGGGATATCGGCTTCGTCGATCATCTTTCCCTGGGTGCGTGCCGATCTTTCTTCTTTTTTCTTTCTTGTTATTCTTCTTTTGCGTAGTATCTCTGCTGCCTTGTCGCGATGTGATGAGAATTTTCTAATTCGAGGCGGTGTTGCTAGGGTGTTTTCACCAACGCAGCTGTCGAGTTTGGGAAGATCATGGACTCCCCCGCCTTCGCGGTTGTGTCGACTGGCCTGTTGCTGCTGTTGGTGATGGTCTGGTTTGTCAATCAGGTTCTCATCGTCAAGGGTCTGGTGACAGGGCGGTTGATAGGCCTGGAGCATGGGTGGCACCGCCCTGGCGACCAACGCTCGCCAGAGATCAAAGAGGCCTGACGGTGTTGCGAGCAGATGTGTAAGAGAAGAACACTTCAAAGGAGCGATCTCTGCCAGCAATGACCTCACACACCAACTGGCCGGTGGACATGTTTTGTCTGAATGGAGGCCGAGGTTAAGGCTGTAAACCAACCTGCCAAGACCGATCGACAGGATAGGGATGGCGAAAGGGAGAGAAAATAGTCCACGGATGAGAATCAATCAAGGACCAAATTCTCAGAGGAAGTGGTCCAGTTATTTCTGAGCGGGTCCACGTGTTGGCAACCTCCACAGGGCGCGGGCAAGAGAACAGCCATCGCTAGACTGCCGATCAGCGTATACCGGGTGTTTTATCCTGAAACAAGGTTCACAAGGCTATGAATTGATCGACAGGCGTGTGACGGCTTCTTAAAATATCATGGTTTGGGGGCGTGACAGTTCAGGGCTCGCAGGTGTTCGGCCCAGGGTGTCTGAAGATAAAGAGGAAAATGAGAAAAAAGATCGCGATGCTCACGTTTTCGTTGGTGCCTAGCGTACTGCAGAACCAATCGAGTCCCTCGCCAACCCGAGCCGGTCCACGGCTTTTTCGACCGGTTCATGCCGTATTCGCCAGGCCCACCATTTGTCTTAAAACGAATACGAGTAGGGCTGGGCTATTTATATGCTGGTGAGTGTACCTTTTATTTTTATTTTTATTTTGATATTATTCTTCTTCTTTACTTCTCACGAAGCTTACTCCCTAGCAATTGTCTTTCTTTTCCCCTTCTATCTCGCATGCCATGAATTCCCCAGACTCCGGAACCTATGATAGCGGCAGCAGCGACGAGCGGTATGCTCAGCCCTAAAATAAAGACAAGCTCTGTATACCTAGCTAATGCTTGTAAACACAACAGACACCAATCACAACCAAAAACAAAAATCCAAGCAACCTTCCAAATCGCCCGCCCACCCCCGAAATCCCACCAGCGCCTTCGTCTCACCCCAAAGCTCCTGCTCCAATTCCAGCAACTCACTCCAAACAACCGCCCCATCCCCGTCCTAGAGATCTGGCAGCCGTCTTTCCGCAAATCAAAGCTGACGCGTGGGTTCCCCAAGCGACCGAAACTCAGCACGGGCGATCTCTATGCCGCGCTGAACGAGCCGTACATTACGGGCAACAGCAACAGCCACCAAACCAATAGTGCAAGATCCTCGTCGTACGAGAAAGCCGACGCCAATTCCCAGGAAAAAGATATCGTCGCCGTCATATGCCGACCCGCAGGCGAGGACCGTGCGTCTGCGATTCATTTTCACCATGCGCGGTGCGCTTGGCAAGCGATACCCGGTAATGCGGGCTCGGAGCGCAATATCCCCTGTTACCGGTTCGTGGTCGATAACGATGATGATGAAGCCGATGAAAGTAAACCAAGTAATGTCGAGCCTGGGCGCATGATTATGCAATGGGAGAAGCGGACGCCGCCGGACAGAGGCGACGCGCCTCGCGGGCCATTGGACAATGACCATTTTGTTTTTGTCATGATTGATCGCAAGGCGCGGCGGAAGAGTCGCATTGCTACGATGACGCGCGGCGGGCTCGACATTAGTGTGCGCAAGAGCTCGATTCTTGAGCATCTGCAGGCGTGTGTGGATTCGCTGAGTCCCCGGTCGACGTCGCGGAGTAATACTGATTCTGCGGCGAGTCTGGAAACTTGGCTCTATATACATGTCCTTACATTGGGGGTGTGGGTTGCCTCCCAAGAGGGATGGCTGAATTGATCCTGGGATATCAGATGTATATACGAAGTAATGAGCAATGACCCATGCCACGACACACATAAAGGTCCTAAGATAACGGGGAAAGAAAAAGACAAACTAGTACGAAGCAAGGCCTACTTCCAATGCCTTGATCTGCAGCGCCAGCAGTCGTGAATAGTACCGACACAGCGCCAGATTGCCGCCCATAAACCAGAAGCCCGGGTGCCCACTGCGCTGCCACATCATGCGCATTTCGCCCTCGGCATTCAGGCCCCAGACATTGCCCACGCGGTCTGCAACCGCGTCTCCGAAAATGATTCGCGCCTGCGACCTCATGTTCTGGTACCCCGTCGCAAAGACAATCTCGTCAGCCTCCAACTCGGACCCATCCGCGAACCGCAGTCCCCGCGCCACAACCTCGCTAATTTCCTGGCCCTGCTTGACCTTGATCTTTCCGTCGACGATCAGCTGGCTGGCCCCAACGTCAATGTAGTACCCGCCTCCGCGCTGCAGATACTTGAACAACAGTCCTGCATCCATGGGGCCCTGGTCAACCTTGAAGCCGGCCTTCTCTAGTCCTTGGATGGTTTGGGCATCGTTCTGGCTTGTGGCTTTGGTGATATTGGTTTGCTGTTTCTTGAACAGCTCTGGGGGAAAACTCCACAGATATAGATCTGCGTCTTCGGTCGCTGGGCCCGATTCCTCGTACAGGCCTTTCAGGGCGATGTTGACGATCGATTCCGACGAGACTACGCACGTCGAGCTGCGCTGCACCATGGTCACGTCGTATCCCTTCTCATAGTAGTCTTGCGCAATGTCGTGTCCCGAGTTGCAAGACCCAATAACAATAGCTTTCTTGCCTTTGGAATTTTCGTTCGCACCCGGAAACTCGGAGCTATGGCACATGCGATCGCCTTGGAACGACTCCATGCCCTTGAAAGTCGGGGCGTTTTTCTTGCCAGAATGCCCGGTTGCTTGGATGACGTGGTGCGGATGCAGCGTGCGAGTTTCGGTGGTTCCATCCTCCTTCTTGCGTTGGAGAACGACAGTCCATTGCTTTTTGGCCTCGTCATAGGAGGATGACTGGAGTTCGGTTTGGGTCCAGACATTCAGCTCCAGAAGCTTGACATAGGCTTCGAAGAATCCCGCGAGCTTATCCTTGGGGGTGAAAATCGGCCAGTTCGAAGGGAAAGGCAGGTATGGCATGTGGTCGAACCACACGGGGTCATGGAGAACAAGCTGATGGTACCGCCGGCGCCACCTGTCCCCGATCCTATCCCCGCGGTCGATGATCAACGTATCAATGTTGAGCATCTTGAGACGCGCAGCAGCGGTCAGGCCACCTTGGCCAGCACCTACAATAATACAGTTAGCTCTTTGCAATTTGGCTTATGTGGAACACACCATCTAGATGAAATATATACCGACGATCAGGACTGCGGGCTCTTTTCCCTCAAAGTTGGTGTCTGCAGTTCGTCGATCCTGCCAGTTCGTTCTACCCTGCTGCTCGCCATGCCTCGCACCAATAGGTCTGCGATGGCTCACAGCTTCCTCGTAGCCAGTCAACTCAACCAGAGAAGTGAAAACAATGTTAATCTTCCAGTCATTGTTCTGCTGAGCCAATCGCACGACACCATGTCCACGTCGAACGTCCGTAGCGAACAAGATGAAGAATTCGATGCCATGGACTTCACCAAAGGCATCAATGGGCCCATTATGGGGAGCCTTGAACGCCGACGACCGGTCGATCTCGATCTTGCCGGATGGCGATGGTTTTGTTACGAACTCTGCAATCGCATTGGGGCCCTTGGTGGTATGGAATTCCCACGAGAAGCACAGGTGGTCGCGCCAGTAGCTGTTCTCCAGAAACAGCCCGGCGAGGGATTGTTGGTCCTTCTTTGCCAGGCTGTCATTCAGCTGCTCAATGATCTTTGTCGCAATCTTGTCTGGGTCGTCTGGGGTCGTCGAGGCTGTCTGCGGGAACTGGCCCACCGGGATGTTGCACGAGCCGGGCTCGGCTCGGTCCCGCGAGGGCAGGTTGGGCTGAGAGTCTGTGGCAGCAGCGGCCATGTTCACGAATCAATCAATCAAAAAGGGAGGCTATTTTTTTTGAGTCATATGAATCAAAAAGAGAATCAGGTAAAAAAAATGGCAGAGAGGTGTGCGACCCCGCGGAATTGGCCCAGTTTTAAACCCCACCCTCGTCTCGAAATTAAGAACTCCACCTGTAAGCACACGTACAACTGTCTGCTTTGGCAGCCGAAATTATCGACTGGTTTCTGAGTAACCGTTCTTGGAGCCCGGGGTAACCGATCCCGGGTTTGGCCCATACTCTATCTGTGTTCTGCGCGGGGATCTTCCCCGCATCCAAGTAACTAGACAGAGAGCTTTATTGCGAGTCTGCCACGGAGTTATGAGGTCGCCAGGTAGCCAGGCGAGGATTCTTCTTAGGGAGAACTAGGGGGAAATAGGGAGAGCAGAACTGCTGAGGAAAGGGAGTAGAAGAGAGAGAGAGGATCAAATTGTCTGTCTGTAGGATCTGTCTGTCTGTCGAGAAGAAGATAAGCGAAGCTATCTGCTACCTACAGGTCCGCTGCGGGCGGGCAGGGAGGCGGTGGAGAAAGACTAGCAGAACACCGGTCCCAACAATTCTGTATCTAGTAATAATAACTAGTAATACCTATAGATTACTCTTCTATCAAAAATGAAATCAATTACGCTTACTTTCTATTTAGGCAGTTTGATTCGCATCTTAGGGTTGGGGATCCCAACCCTAAGACAGTATAACTTATGTGATTTACCATTTTGTGTTTCTTATACTATCTGTTTATATTTGCTTTTTAGCCTCTCTTCTCTTTAAATCTTTTCCATCTTTTCTAGGTCCTATTATTGATAATGTTTAATTTCTACTTTTCCCCCCCTCGAATAGTATCAAAAAAGACGGCCTTATAAGTCACGGCCAGTCGCAGTCTCCACCGGTTGCTTTCGCACTGCATCATTGGTCTAGTGGTAGAATTCGTCGTTGCCATCGACGAGGCCCGTGTTCGATTCACGGATGATGCATTTCTTTTTTAGATAGTGGTTTATTATAAAACAATTATTGAAACAGTGACCTGTTTCTCCTGTGTTTAATGGCGATGGTCTGAAAAACGTTGGAACTTAAAAAAGGTTTCTACCCTAATAAATAAACCATATCCTAAAGTTCTGTATAAAGCAGTGTGGTATCTGATATAACTCTACTAATCAAGTAGTATAGAATCCTCGAGCGAGCAGTAAAGTGTCAAGTAAGGTTCAATTTCTAATGAAAAAAGGCACTGGTTGCGTTATATCATTGTGGTTGGAACGGCCGTATATATGCCTCTCCTATTATCTGAAGCGAGGCAGAAACGTTTAAAAATCAAGCAACTCAAATCGTATGTACGCATCTTGGTGTCGCTATTCCGAGAACAAGTCCCTCGACACCTATGGTTAGTGTTCCGCGGCATGTCACCCCTCGGTCAGGAGAGTATAGATCTCTCTTTAAAGGTATTGACCACTAAAATTACACTTTCTGCAGCAAACAGATATGCGCTACTAGACAGAAGGATTAGACCTTGATAGCGAGTAACTAAGCACGTATATCAGTAATTTTTCAGTAATTTCTCGGGGTTAGTAGCTATTTGATGTCCATACCAAGCCGCTTTCAAATCTCTCTAGCTCGACGGCCATTCTTCCCGAGAGGAAAAATTGCTGACGTGAACAACCTAGACTAATAGTGACTGGGATTGCTTGTTTTGAAATAGTGTGACAGATGAGACTAAAAGTGAGGACCAGAGGTTTCAGTTGAAGGTTCAAAGGCACAAAAAAGGTAGCGCATTTGAGCATGGACGGCCAGAAAGGTGAGAGTATCATTCACAATAATGAATCAACTTAGAAGGCGTCGACCGGAGGAAACAGACGGCCAACCATCCCGAGGTACAAGTGAGTTTGTCTTTACTAAGAGCATGGGTCAACATCCGTGGATTTTCATGGGAGATCATGGAAGATCAACGGACTCTCGAGCAAGTAACATTATCGTAATTATTTCTTCAGATCGGGATTTTGCATCCGAGTCAGTAATAAAGAAAGAACAATAATTCATGTTCTTGGGGGTGTGAAACACCTCACTTCGTCAAGTGGGAGAACATGATATAATTAAAGTACGCGCGTCCCTGAGTGATTAAATATTGGGAGTGTTTGCATGAACTATCGAAATGAATCGCATCATCAAGTGGAAAGGCTCTATGACGCCATTTGAACCAGGAGGCAATAATCTCCACTTCTCATAGGAATCGTAGAGAATCTTTGAAGAGGCCTGACTCTTGGAAGAACACGAAATGAAGTGATGGTCTATGAGTTGGAGAACGATGTGGGGACTCCAGCATAGACCGCCATTAGCAGGATGAGTCGATTTCTCGTTGCGTTACTCAAATATCATGGGATTTCATAATGTCATTCCTTGACTAGAGCTCCCTTGACCCGGTTCTCATGCATCATGATTATTTCTCTCAAAGGTCCGTTTTCCTGCGTCATGTTGATCCTCTCCCAAGGCTTAGACCAGCAAGTTTGTCTCAGATCATCCCCTACCTGCTCGCTAGCTTGCAGCCCTAAATTCTAGTCAGTATCCACCAGGAGAAATCTATTGGAAGCCCTGCTAGCTAAGCTCTCAGTGATCGACTAACTGCCCCACCTGTTGAGTCTCGCAACAGCTCATCATGATCGACGAAGCAGGGAGCTAGCGTCGGATGTGCTAGTGCTGGATGATGCTTGTTTTTCACATGGATTTATTGCAAATGAATTTGACATATCCGAGGAGCAGGGTCGATATACATGATATACACACTATATTATCTGTCATTTACTACGAGGGTCTTCTCTACATTGCTTTACTTATTTGGGTCTTAAATCCATGACATTACTGAGACTCTATCCTGGAGTCGTATAAACTGCTGTTTCTCTTATATAATGTGTTTATTCCTGCAATGAATGTGGGTGCAATATATTGGCCTGTGTTGGTTATGACTCGACATGGGCTCCTATTCAGAAACAATGATTCACCTAGGGCGCCAGTAAAAAGCCACCACTAACCCCATTCGGCATAGAGGATGAGTTTATCCGAACAAACCATCGGATTGTTGAGTCAAGTCACCACGGCTGATCGTCATTCTATAGCTATTATAGCTCGGTAGCAAGGAAAGCAGACTTGGATGAACAACGTCTGAAGCCACAGGTCCAGGCACGTTGTGCCGGATGATAGTTGTCTCTTCCATACAAACTCAAAGTCCGGTTGGGTACATAGATCTGCTTAGATATTTTATGACTATATTAATTTCGGTCGGAAGGCAATCATTAGCGAGATTCATTAAAAAAAAAAAGCCAAGATATTCATCAGCAAGCGACCTACCAGTCTTAGAAGGTAGACACTAGAAGTGCGTGCCCCGTTTCAAGTGGATGTAGATCATCGGAGAGCGCGCGTTGCTAAATCCTAATTTGTTGCAAAAGCCCTCACGAGAAGGAAATTACCGTTTATTTAGGGGCTTACGCATAAGCGCCTCATAGGGACCTGATTTTATACGGGTGATATTGGCGCTCCTTCACACGTAAAAAACCAACACCCGCTAGCCCACTTAGAAGGGGTAAGCCCAAAGCTGACAGGGCGCCATTAATAATATTTAATAATATGTACAGGGCACTTTAGTTGAAAGTCACCAACAAACATCACAATAATTGACAGGAATTAGTCCCAGAGCATTTCATTAGGCATCGTCATTGACACGGCATTTCTCCACAACCACCCCTTCCGAACTTTGTAAATCCCCTCTTAAGAATGCGACAAGGCCATTCCAAGTGGAGAAAGAATTTCCCAGGGGTAACGTGCGAACTTAAACTCATTTTCAACCATTTTGGAGTGTTATGATGCGATTCTTCGGACCAAGAAGACAGTCAGGACCTGGATCTATCCGTGTGTCGGCAAGTCCAAAATTCAGGATTTGCATTTCGTGGCCGTGAATCCCGGGCGGCCCGGGGCACAACCGGCCAACACTTCACGGTGGAGCCCTAGTTTCTAGAACCAAGGATCCCCCGATCTACCTGCAGGAACTCCATTGCCCACAATAATGGGATTGTGGTCGCGCACACGCTGGATATACTCTCTCTGACTGGACCTTGGTTGTATTAGAACACGGAGAAGGACGTGATTGTCTCCAGTTCTCTCCAGCGGTCTGTTCCTCCAACACAAGGGATTCGGTCCAGGCGTAGATGATCGACAGTTCACTTAATTCCTTTCCTTTCCTTTTTATGTTTTTTTATATTTTATATTTTATAGTTGTTCCTGGATTGCTAGCCACAGGGATTACTTCGATATGCAAGTAGTGGCATTTAAATCCCTCGCAATGCCCCGGCATTTGGGTAAAAAAAAATCCAAGAAATCAGAATAGTAAGCAGACTATTCTTTGATTTTTTATCTTTAATCTTATTCCTCTTTATTTGTCTGTCTTCCATTTCATCATGAGCGTTCCTAGCTTTACCGACTCGAATTCGGACTGCAAAATCCACTCTTTGCTCGAGCAACATGGCCTCGAATTCACATCAGATGAAAAGTCCATTCGCTGGTCTGCTGGGAATCCACGCCATCCCCGGAACTGGCCGGTCTCTCGAAAGATATATGACAGCACGGTGATTATGTTTCTGGAAATGTTCACGTACAACTCCCCACTTCACCTTCTGGATGGGTATATGTGCTGACGATTGGGATCTTGCCTTCCGCTTGAAGTACAGCGATTAGCACAGCAGGTGTAAGTTATTCTTATTCATTGATGAAATACACATGACTCTAATTTGCAAATGTCCATATAGAGTGCCGCTGCCAATTACTCCCAGCAAGAATTTGGTCTTAGCCGTATATTGGCCGTTTTCTCCTTTGTGTCAATGTATGTCGATGTGCCCTCCATCTGTTTGATCTTTGGACCATTGCTAACCACAGCACATATCAGATATCTCATTGGACAAGTCCTCGGCGGCATCATTCTTCCTCCCTATTCCGAGGCCTTTGGTCGTAAGAAGCTATACATTGTCAGCACTGGTCTTTACAGCATCTTTTGTGTCTTGGTGGGCGTGATACCCTCCCTCGCCGGTCCCATCATTGGCCGTCTGAGCTCGGGATTCCTGTCTGCCATCCCGACCATTGTCGTCGCTGGCAGCATTGAGGACATGTTCAATTCGAAAGACCGTATCTGGCTCATCTTCTTATGGGCAATGGTTGCCAACATCGGCATGGTTCTGGGTCCCATCATGAGTATATATATCATCGTTCACTTGAGCTGGTATGTTGATGCTGGCGAGCCAGTGCCATGGATTGGGTTCAGGCTCTTTATTTTGCGCATATACTAACCTCAATCCAGGAGATGGGTTTTCTACGTTGCCGCTATTGTCACCGGAGTGGTCGCACTTCTTCTCTGCGGTATGCGCGAATCGAGACCATCGCTACTCCTCACCCGCGAAGTAGCCAAGCTCCGCGAGATCACCGGTGACGACACGCTGCGCGCGCTGAACCCGGATCACACGCCCGATTTCCAGACCTTCGCCAAAGTCTGTCTCTTCCGTCCTGTACGCCTCTTCTTTACCGAGCCCATTGTGTTCATGGTAGCCACCATGAGCGCCATAGCCACCGCTCTCATCTACCTGTTCACCGAGGCACTGCCCCCAGTCTACGAGTCCATGGGATTCACGTCTACCACATCATCCCTCCCCTTCCTCGCTTTCGTGATCGGTCTTCTTCTGGGCCTCATCACCCGAATCTTCGACCACCGAAAGATCTCCAAAGCGCACCGCGCAGGCAAGGCCTTGAAACCCGAGCACAAACTACTGGGCATCTCGATCGGCGCACCAACCCTTGCCATCGGACTGTGGTGGTTTGCCTGGACCATCCCCCCAAGGGTATTTGGCATCCCTTGGATTGTATCCGCGATTGCGCTGGTGGGTATTGGAAATGCACTGAACGAATTCGACGCCGTGCTGGCGGGGTATCTCGCCGACAGCTACTTGGGGTACTCGGCAAGTGGGTTTGCCGCTTTGGCCCTGGTCCGGTCGACCCTATCTGCGACCTTCCCTCTCTTCGCGCAGCAGATGTTCGACGGGCTCGGTGCGAATCTTGCGACGTCAGTGCTGGCGGTCTTGGCGACGGTATTTTGTATCGTGCCGCCGCTGTTTACTCACTATGGGCCGCAAATTCGGGCCAAAAGTAAGTTTGCTTGTTATAGTTTGCAGGTGTATGAGGAAAATGGAGTCGATCAGGATGGGTTCTAGATGAGTTGGCGCTTTTGACGATTTTATGCGAAACGAAGTCAAAAGTTCAAAGAATGTTTTAATTACAGGAAGACAAAAGTTCAGCAATATTGGATTCAATTATGACTATCATATTTGATCCATTCACTTTGCAGTTGTAGAGAAGTATGATCGTCAGAATAACTTATTCTCGCTCCAAGAGTTCAGTGCCAATGGCCATCCCAGTCTTAGGTCGGTGGGATGTAATCACCCCAAGCGCCGTGAGAATATACAACTCAGCGCATTGCGGCATATAGAAAGTTAAGAGCTATTTTAACCAACTGGGCATTAAAACGCTGTTTTAAGTTTAGTTAAAGCCCATACAGTCAGCCGCACGACCTCCAATTGCCCCAAACCTTTTAGAGGATTCCTGAATAGGCGGCTGATGGATCGTTGCCCCGATTATTTAACAACCCAGGAGCTGGAGGATTCACAGGTGTCAGCGCCAAGAATTCTCGAAATCTCACATGCGAGTTCTAAAGACCGTGCGAGGCAATCTAGGAAAAAAAATTCTCATTCGCTATAAAGATCCGAGAAATTCCATCATCCATGCATCGTCAATGCCATCTAGCCGCAAAGCGTTAGGAGTATCCGCCGTATATTCGAAGGATGCTTCAGCCGCCCCGGTGACAGGCATAGCGCACGAAGCCTGAATCAGCAATGGTGCCCATCTTTGTTTGATCGACAAGATCATTTTGGCCCCTTTTTCGAACATGTTCACTTCCGCGGCTTGGTGGATGTGGTTGGACGCTCTTTGGAAATTGAGGTGCAAGGTGTCTAGATAATGTAGGAGGTTTGCAGTGTTCTGGACTGCAGCTTTGTCCCAGGCTGGGTCGTCGAGCGTGGAGAGCTTGTAGAGGTTTATAAGGGCTCGGCAGAATTGGAACAGGATGGTGAATGATACTGCCATGTAGTGCTCGGGAGGAATAGCTAGCCAAACATCCAACCATGATTTTGTCGCTTGCAGAGAGATCTGGAGGCTTTTTGGTCCTTGGGGGTCGGAGCAGTGGGAGATGGTGGGGGTTTTGATGTATATCTCGTGGATGACAAGTTCGGCGTTCGCGTGGTAGAGTTGAATGACGCCTGTTTCATCAGATTAGCAAAGCTGTCGAGGATGCAGAGTATAGAACATACTATTATGGGTTAGGTGGAGAGGGATCTGGCTCTTAGCTGAGTTTAATTGCGATTTTAAAAGTCCCATAACCACGGGTGTTGAGCTATGGTCCTCGTCTCGACGAAGATGATGCACTTTGTCGACGACCAACTGAATCCTAACGAGCGAAACAAGTATTTCATCTTCTGCACACTCTTTCGTGTCTGCAAGAATTTCGAGATTTTCTTCCATATGAGGAGTCCAACGCAAGGCATCACCTTTTCCCAAAGATGACGCGACACTATACGGACAAGTATTAGTATAGTCTCAACAAAGAAGGCCAATTAAAAGTGCTAAGCTAACCTTGATGTGATCAGGAAACACCCCAACACAGCCCTTCGCTCTTTCAGAGTTCTGCTTGTGACAGTCTCTGTCTTGCCACCAGCTGCACGTTGAAATCCTTGCATTATTGGTTGTTCCTTCGAGGCAGCTTTGTTTATACCAAGGTCGCTGACAAGACCCATAAGAAGGTGACTGTAAAAGTTGATGAATGGCTTCGGGGAGTATGTTTTCCTATATTATCGACTTAGCAAATACCAGCGCAGGTCTTCGCGTCGTTTTTGACTTACCATGAGATGAATGTCATAATGCCAAGAAGAATTTCCAGGCTAGGGTCAGTGTCTATAAGAAGTTTCTGGTGAATAGTGTCCTTGATTTTGGTGAACAGGAGCTCTCTCTCAGTTAAGTTAGGAGCAAGCACTGCAGTGAGACATGCCCAGAAAAATGGCTTGTCCCGGGCAAGTTCTTGAGAGGTGGTATGAGGCGGGATGTAAATGAACGGAAGATAGTTCACGTTTTCCGTGCGAAACTGGTGGAGAAGTTTATCGGCCACACCAGAGGGACCAGGAGCTAGAAAACTTGGATCTATTGAAGAGCATTGATTGAGGTCACAGCATTTTCGTGGGTGAATTTTGAATGACCGGTGGGATCGCAGCGCTGGGTGTCTCGGTAGCGTGGCATTGCGGCGAATTGTCACTTTCACTGGCTAGGCCTGAATCAGGGGAGGTATAAGCCACGCCAGAAGAGCCTGTGGTTTTTTGCAAAGCAGATAGAAGACTGTCCAGCTTTGATTCAACCTCGGTAAGCCGCAAACTTGAGGAGCCTTTATTGCGCTTCCGGACTGTTGGCGAAGGTCGACACTCTTTTCCCAAGCGAGTGCATCTATTATCTGTTAATAAATACCTTTTGGAAGATTGTACGTTGTCACTCACCTTTCGCACCCTTCTCCAAGAGAAAATAGTATACATTTGCATTTAGCGCGAGAGCAGTTGATGCAGGCTTGGCCGTATGGCGCCGAATTCCTTTCTCGGGGTCTAGTGAACCCCGGGTTCGTCGTGTGGTGGGAGGAATTGGGCATTAATCAAGATGCAGATCCCCTCTGACAGGAATGTTGATTCTGGAAAACGGGATTCGAGACCCAAACCCGCCGATGAGCGGCTGACTAACCATGTACACACTTCCAAGCAAGGAATATTGGAAGGTTTCTATAATTCTTTAAAACAAAAAGTAGGATTGGAATATGGATCAGAATAGTGATTATTTAGAGTTGCTTTCACTTTGAAGGGTTTTGCAGGTCATTGATGCACTTATGAAGGCTTACTATATAAGTTGGTGGAGCTCTTCAGATTCCGCTGCCATCGGTATTGCAGTCCCGATTCCCGATGTAAACATGTTCTCTTTCAACGTTGATCAGATGGTTGTATTTGATTGCTTGAATAATCGTACTCATGCAGCAAATCATCTAAAAAGCCGAAACAAGCAAGAAACCTCGAATACCAACAAAAGAAGATCAAAACTGCACGCGTTACGAAGGCCGGCTGTTCTATACAGCAGGAGTTTCCCTCCTCCGCATCTTCATAGGCATATTACCAACCAAAAGATTGAACGCTTCATGCCGCCGCAGCCTCCAGTCAGGGCCTGGCAACGCAAACTCATAGCGATGCACCAATGAAGCGAGCACAACAGTCTGCTCAAGATATGAAATATTGCGCCCGATGCAACCCCTCGCCCCTGTAGAAAATGGAATAAAGTAAGGTTCCATTCTCTTCCTCTCCTCAAGATTCATCCACCTATAAGGCTGAAATTCTTCAGGGTTCGGAAAGATGTTCGGGTCATGGTGGGCGGTATAGATGGTCATCGACACGCTAGTATCCCCAGGAATCCACTCACCCAGGATCATCGCACCTTCGGGAGGGGTTCTGCGAGGCAGCCCTGCAGACGTGGGAGGAATAATCCTCAGCCCATCGAAGCGATTATTGGCCCCTCGCTAGTACATCCTCAACCTGCGCCCATTGTCCGCCCAGTCGGGGAGAATATGCCATTCCGTCGCCGTGAGACTGACAAGGCAGAATAGAAACACACGACTTGCACGCTCGTTCTTTCGCTCCTCGGTTACTTGTTACTTACTATTCATGATTCTGTGTGTCTTTGCAAATTGTTCTTTGGCTCTCCTTGTTATGTATTCTTAGGCTTACAATCAGGATGAATAGCAGCTGGCTATGGAACCACCGACTTTTCACTTGCTCTACTCATAGCAAAAGGTATCACAAAATATATTGTAAAAGACATTGAAAAAGAGTTAGTAAAAGGGTATCCATTAATTATTTTATACAAACCGCAAGGCCATCCCACTGTCTATACAACAAAAAGACCCAATCCATTCTATATATTCTATTTTAGACACAAACCAAGCAAGAAAGAGTCAAGTCTATCCGCACACCGACATAGCCCGCTGTCGATTCGACCTTTTCCGAACATCCGCATCCCGACTCTTGCGCCCCATCCGGCCAAGCGACAACGTCTCCAGCGTCTCCAGCTTCCCACCCCACAGCTTGCTGCTGCCGTTCTTGTGCTGGACCGGCGGGATCCAGAAATGCGTCACCGCCGCCCCGATGATCATGCAGGCGCTGAACACCAGCAGAATAATGCCGTGGTGCCGGGTCGACGTGTCTCCCGGGGCGGTACCGAAATGGTAGTATGTAGAGAAGATCTGAACAAGGATCGAGCCTAGTTTGCCGGCGCCGGCGCTGAGGCCGTGGCAGGTGCCGCGGTAGCGGGTGGGGAAGATCTCGGCGGGGATCATGTATGTTGTGGCGTTGGGGCCTTGCATTGTTAGTTTTGGTAACGATGGGAGAGAAGGGAGCGTGTCTTTGTTTGTAGAAAGAACATACCAAAGTTGAACATGACCTGGCCGATGATATACAATGCCACGACGACAGGCGGATCCGAGTATAGCTTGACGAACATGGTCCCCAGGACAATAAAAAGGGCGGCGAGAGCAAGAAACATGTATTTCTGCAGCGCGACACGGTCGATGCGATGCGCAAGCAGAATCAACAGCAACCCACCAACAAAGCTGCCGATATTGAGAACAATCAGCCCATGCACCGAGGTGTTCAAGAACATATCGTAGATATTGACTCCAGGCCGGTCGTCCGTCAACCACACCGGTGCAGCGCTGGTGATATGCAGCGAGCCCCAGGTCTTGGCCAGAAACTGTGGACTCGAGAGCCCAATCCCATAGAAGCCAAAGTCGAGAAGCAGCCAGGCGATTGATGTGCCTGCCAGGCTGCGCCAGTTGCCTTCGGTCCAGAAATATCGCACGATGTCGGTGCGCGCGAGCCGCCAGTGCGAGTTCAGGGTTGCTGGTGGCACTGTACTATACTCTTCTTCGTGGATGGAGTTGCTGGCAATCGAAGAAATCGGCGGGAGCTGGATTGTACTGGCGGTGCCTGTTGCAAAACTGGCCGAGTCAAAACCGGGGCTCAATGGAGGCTCGCTGAACAGTGTCGTGGCATCGAACTCGGCAGTGACGGGGTCGTCTTCGATATCCAGGAGATAGCGTGGACTTTCGGGGATGGCGAACCGGAACAGAGTCGCAATAGCGCCGGGCACGACGCCAATGCCGAGCACCCACCGCCACATGCTATCGACGCTGCGTGTTATATCATCCTCGCTGCCACTGTTGTTGCGGGCAACAGCTATGACAACCAGTGAGACGAGGTTGCCGGCGATCTGGCCCAGCGGTTGCATGAAGAAGACGCTGGCCATCATGCGGGCCCGGTGTTTAGTCGGAGCGAACCTATAGAATCACTAGTCAATTCTGGTCCTTGCCCCAAATCTCTGGCCCAATCCCCCGGGAAAAGCAGTGAAACATACTCTGATGTGATGACTGCGCTGAGAGGATAGTCCGCCCCAACGCCAACTCCCACGAGAATCCGCCACCAGATCAGCCACGCATAGATGTTCATGCTATCGTGCACCCCGTTCGCGGACATCACCACGCCCAGCGTTGCTGTGATCAGCAGCACCAGCTCGACTCCGTACATTCTCTTGCGCCCGTATTTGTCTGCCATAAATCCAAATGCGACCATTCCTAACAGGGTGCCGGCTAGTGTCGAGATGTTGATACAGGCGAGCCGTAGCGAGGAGAGCTCGTTCTTCCAGTAGACGTAGGAGAGCATCGGGAGGGCCATGTTACTGGCAAAGAGCTATGCGGAGTATTAGCACTGTGTTGTATGGCTTTGCTTTTTGAATATTCACAATTACTCACAGTGTATCCGTCCAGAAAGAAGCCGAGTCCGGCGACGAGTACCACGATCCATTGGTATGACTGCCGGTCGATGGTCTCGTAGATCTGTCGCATACGCACATATCGGTCCTGGTCTTAGGGTCAATATCTCATTCCGCACATCTTCCTTTCTCTTTTTTCTTGACAAATACCTGTTCGTGGTCAAAGTCCCGCGCACGATCGGTTTTATACAACCGGGCATGGAACTTCCCCATGGTGATACACGATGTGGAAGTCAAGAATCAGGACATGGCCAGCATCACCAACAAAGGACTTCTTCCGGGGTACACGATCAATCTTATCACACCGAGGGGAAAGATATACACCGACCCAAAAAAACGTGCTAAGGTAAGGTTGCACCGCATCACCAATCACACGTTTGCGGAGCCTCGACGCAGACCCCTGCACAATAAACACGCTAAAATAGACCCACAGAATCACCGCCGAACCAATTGTTCCCTCCACGTGCTGATGTTGCGATGCCTCAGACGCCTCGGAAAAGACCCACCGGTCCCCACGGAGAGCACGACGTGGGTGGATGCGAACTACACAAAGTCAAAAGAAGACATGGATTGGGGATGTGCATGGATGCCGGCAAATTTCGTCGAATCAAGTGGGTTCCGCGCTAATTAATTAATTTTACATTTCTATGTTCCCCAACGCCTTGCTATGGTTCGTTCGTATCGTGACAACACTCATCCAATCGTCAGGTCCGACGACAGCAGCTGGCAGAAGCTCTTGCGGTCTGGAGGTGTCAGCGTTTGGAAAGTAGCTCGAAGGTGCAATATGGGAGGCACTGACCATCGTCGTCCAGGAACTCTACTTGCAGGTTTCGCATTTGTGCGAGGATATCAAAATTCGGTTGGAGATCGAGAGCAACTGGTCGTCCGGCTTTCTTGGGAGGTTTGAAGCTCCCAATGCAATTTACTAGAGGCGAAAAATGAACAATGTCAGGTAAACATCCAAGAGAGGTAGGGATGGTTTGCAAATCACACTCACGCGGAATGGACACATATCGCTTCAGTTCTTTCCGTTGTGAATTCGCAAAAAATAACATCACACGCTTGTTGTTGTGACCGCGCAGGATGCGCAGATTCTGGCTGATACACTCTTCTCCTCGGCCCTTGGACTTGGCCTCGGCGATGCCGGCAAGGAAGACCAATTTGGATCCCAGCAGGAGCTCTTGGAATTGTACACAATCTACACACTGTAAGATGATTAGGCACCCAAAAGAGAATCTGCGGTCGCATACCATCCCAGCTTTCAAATTTATATGACAATTGAGTCATAAACACTGTGCGGGCCGTCTGCACGGTCTGCTGTTCCAGAAAGGATACGCGCAGGGGATATTCCCCAGACGATTTGGGGTGCTCCAGATGCGGCACCGGCAATTTAGTATTGTTGACTGGCATTGATCAGGCTGGGTCCTCAATTTAGAAGAAAAGAAGTGATCACTCGGAAAGACTCACAGGCATGGATAAAGGGCGACTGTTGGCCCACCCCGCCCCCAAGCTCGAGGCATTTCAATGCCCCGGTCGCATCCTTACAGACATCGATATAGCTATAGCGGAGCTTGAACAGCTGGCCGCCTTTCAGAAAAGAACTGCATCCCGGTCAGTCCAATCCAATGGCAATGGGTGCATTCCAGGACAGACATGGTCACAGAAGGATTGAGCTCCAGCCGCACCGCGTCATCGTATAACTGCCATGACTGCTTCCTCGAGCTGGATCCAGAAGAGGCCCCAGGACTCGGGAAGAGAATGCTCGTTGACGCCGACGACACGGTGGATGTGCTCTGTCGGCGAGAGTCGGCTGACCACTCCTGAAAGTCCTGGGAAGCGAACTGGCTCATGGCCAGAGTCGGTCTCCCACAAAAGGAGCTTTATTTAATGAAACAAATACACGAGGTGCATTCAAGAGGATTCGACTATCAGGCGGACCCCGCCAAACTGAGATCGACCAGGAACAGCAAGAACATACCGTCCTGGACATTATATCATTGCCGGGACAAGAGGGTGGGAAGAAAGAGGGATAGAAAAGTAAACGGTCGACTATCCGGTGGGACTAGAGAGCCACCGAATCCACTCGGTGGAGGCGAGGCCGACAACGTGCGGAAATGGCTGGCTATCAGATCACCGACAGCTCCACTCGCGTTCATCGCTCTGCCCATGTGGCATGGCGATGACAGAACGTCCATCTCATCTGCACACAGAGGTCTTTTTTCTTTTCTAGATGACGTTGGAGTCATGTTTTTCTACAATTTTCTCACGCGGTGATAGACCTGTAGCAGTCTGTCCCTCTGTCACCCAGTCCCCCTGACTCGGACTATTTTGGCTCGGGCACAACCATTAAACATGCCTCTTGGGCCTGACAAAGCTTATCGCGTAGAAACATCTCCGAAGTATTCTCGAAATAATCTGGATTTCCTTGCCGATCAACCCGAGCGGTGGTCATAGCTTCGATGAAGGTTACTTCGCGTCCCACCGGAAACAAATAGTGCACTCCTGAATATGCCCTAGTCTTTCATGTATTGCCCAGATATCCTTCCCCTTCGCGATTGATACAACCTTGAAAAACTACACTTGCACAGATCTCCAGCCGTTGAGTTTGCCTGTGTCACCATATCCCAGCCCTACCTCCACATGGATCAGGAACACCTCCACTATAGCAATAAATGCACCAGATGTGGATCGGTCCCGAATAGATGGAACACTGGCCTATATTCAAAGATACCTATGGTTGCACGAGGATCCTCCTTTGTTCGGTGACACGTTTTGGCTGCTGGAGAGCCACAGTGCCATTTTATGCATCGAGTTAGACGGCTCGGCGTCACATGGAAACCGAAATAAAAGAGCTCCCATGAAGCATAGTAGATTTGAAAGACGCATTTGTGATGACCAACGCATACAGGCATTAAGCAACACATGCGAGAATGACAGGTTCTCCACGTTCCTTGACACCTAGGATCTGGAACCATACATGGCGAGGGCTGTCAAGGTACGGTCGAGACCATTACAGAATTGGACCTTTCCCTATTGTCCTCTTTCTCATTTTGTTGTGTTTCTTTCTTTTCTCTCCTCCCGTTTCTCGTTAACCCTTAGTATCATTACCTACCATTGGCGCATGTTGTACCCGATTCTGGGCCCACGCGAGACTCAATAATCCTGTGTGCCATATTTTATCTTTCCTCCTGTATTGAGACTTTGCTTCACAGATATATCTTATTCTATTACTTTGATTGCTTATATGCAAGCAAACTGCCTTGCGGGGGTTATTACGGCCACTGGTGCTCCCTCGACACTATAAGCCCTGAGGGTAAGACCCAAGACGGGGTCTCAACGATGCACACCCAATCCAGCAATGCAGGGCCGGGAAGAGACAACATGAGTTTGCTTCGGGATTACTCAAAGCAAACTTATTCCAATTGCCATGCATTATTTCCACGACATCTTTTTGATATTGAGATCTAAGATTCGCCTTACCCAGATGTGGGGCCCGGAGATATTGGCCCTAATGTCAAACTACGCAGAGTCTTTGTTCTCTTTCTACAGCTTCTAGTGGGAGATCTGGGATACAGACACGGAAATATCGGCTTTTAAGAATGCAGCCGGTTAATTGCAAAGACTATCCCAGGAAGACCAAGGTAATTTAGATTTGAAGTGGACCTATCAGCTTGATTATGTATGAAGACTGACTCGTGAAAAGCTTGGGGAGTGGTGGCGCGGAGATATCGGGATTTGGGATGGCTTGGTATTGATGAAGGCATAGACTCTTAAATGGTAAGATCCTTGCGGAGGTTCAAAATCACAACAAACAGGTTTTCCTTGTCTGTCTGCGTATCTCACATCTCTCACCAGCCGCAATGCCGATCCTCGCAGGAAAGTCCATCGGCCAGAATGGGCTTGGTCTTATGCGCAAGTCTCTCTATACTCAACGACTTGAGACACGAGGCGCTAACCTCTTACTAGGCATGACATTAAAAGGCGATGTGATTCCCGAGGAGAAAACCTTCGCTGTCCTAGAGGCCGCTTTGAAGGCTGGGGCAAATGTCTGGAACGGAGCAGATTTCTACGGCACACCCGACTACAACACCCTGCATCTCATGAACCGCTACTTTACCGCGTACCCCGAAGATGCCGACAAGGTGGTTCTGACAGTCAAAAGTGGCATCGCCGACATGAGCACGTTTGCTATGGACTGCTCACCAGCAGCCATTCGGGGCTTCGTCGACCGAGCCAACGCCATCCTCGATGGAAAGAAAAAGATCGACCTCTTTGGCTGCGGGCGTGTGGACCCCAAAGTGCCCATCGAGGAGACGGTGCGTGCGCTCGGGGAGCTGGTCAAGGAAGAGAAGATCGGCGGCATCCAGCTGAGCGAGGTCAGCGCCAGCACGATCCGCCGCGCCGCGCAAGTGGCCACCATCGACATAGTGGAAGCGGAGATCAGTCTGTGGGCAACGAACGGGTTTGAGAATGGCGTTGCGGAGACCTGTGCCGAGCTGGGAATTACGCTGGTGGCCCTCACGCCGTTGGGTGCCGGGATGCTGACCGGCCGTATCAAGAGCCCCGATGATCTGCCGGCCAACGACTACCATCGATTCTTTCCTCGTTTTCAGCGGGAGAATCTCCATATCAATCTGAAGTTGGTCCATACACTGAGCCAGTTGGCGGAGAAAAGGGGCTGCACATCGGCCGAGCTGGCCTTGTCTTGGTTTAGGGCTCAAAGTCGTCTTCCGCGCATGCCAGTTATTGTTCCGGTTTTTGGCGCGAGGTCCGAGGAACGCGTTGCGGAGAATACCCGCGATATTGACTTGTCAGACTCGGATTTGGAGGAGATCCGATCTATTCTCGACAGCTGCCCCGTAGTGGGAAGTCGGCATCCCCCTATTGCAGCCAAGCTGTGCGAGTACTAGCAACTTGGTTTTTACTCTTGCTGGGACTAGATAGAGACACGTGCTCTCCTAAAATTAGGTACTTGGAGGTGAAATATAGGGCAATAAATGGGTCATGGAAAAGAGATCCTCTGGAGAGATCCAAGAGGAAGACGGTCGTAGTCAATCCTCCGCCACATTTCCACTGCCATTCTTAGAGAGAACGCTTGGAATAACTCGTCCGGTCTTATGGTGCCTCTCCTGGCAAAATCCCGAGATCTCATAAAGGATTTCAGCTCTCAGCCCCGGAGTGGGGGTGGAATTTATGGTTAAATCTCTCTTCTTGTTCAGATCCACTTTGGTAACAGCAGGGACCTAGGATATATCGAAGCCTTGTTAAGACTGATAGTTATCCGTAATCAACTGAAATAAAGTCTACGTCGGGAATATACATCCATAGTCGCCTTAATCGCACTTTTCATATCCATTCTAGCCTTTCAATTGGGCTATACCCTATTTTGATACTCTCTTTTATCTGGTTTATCTATTTCACTTTTTGTCATTATATATTCATGATATTCTTTATTATATCTTTCATGCTTTCGTTGATGTTACAACCTCGGGCGGGATGTTTCTCTTTTACCTAATTGATCGTCCTTAGATCCCATAGTGATAGGGCGCTTTTGCGTGGCCATAATCCCTGTACTTAATTCATTTCCACAAATTGTTTCACCAATCATGCTCCTGTGAAAATCAAAGGAGGGGAAGATTAGTTCCACATCACTCCATAGTATATTTTGGGAGAACCTTCAAGTGTATCCTAGAAGCTTCTCAAGTTCACATCTTGTAGAAAATCAGCAGTGACTAGGCCACAGAATTACAAAGCAATACGGGGCAAAAAGTTCCAACGGAAGAGAAATATTAAATCTGGAGGCTGCGCGTATATACAAGTGGATAGTGATAATCAATAGTTACTTCCAGACTGCGAGGACCCAATCAGAAGTTGATTATATAACGGCGCGAGGGGCGGCCCTAGCTTGGCCCCAAGTCCTTATATTGTGTATACAATACCACATCTCTGTCGATGTATCCACAACTTCGTGCCGTGCCCAGCCTGTCCTTGTCCGCACATAGACAAGATGTTCGATACTAGAGATTTTTTTTCGACTAGTTTTTGCTCAATTACATCATATCCAGTTCTTGGATATTTTCGCCAAGAGGTTTTGCCTCTTCAATACCGACATATATATATAGCCTTCAACCTTGATTCCTTCGCCCGATCGGTGCTGCAGTATAGGGGATGGCTACAAGTATACAAGTCAAACTTGGGTGTATTCTGTTTCGGAGAGCATGCTTCACATCCTACTCTATGTTGAGTTCGGTTTTCTAAATAAAAGAAAGTAAGAAAGAAAGAAGATAATTGAACAAAATGTTCTTCTTGAGCAGCCGAGAGTCGGATGATTTTCGATTTCCCTGGTGAGGAGGGCTGTATACGATGATTGTCGTCAAGGTAAAATTATTCTTCAAATAGAAACCAGACAACGCCCAATTTATGTCTAGGCAGGGCGATCGTTCTTTTGCTCCCACTGTGCACTAGAAGCCATTGTTACACGCAAGGGCCGGGAGTTATCATCTAGGTGTCTCTCCGGGTATATTGATGTCTGGAGGTGATTGAGGCTAGCTTAATAGAGCATATATCTATAATATGCTCCAGCATTTGTTAAATATAAGGAAGGAGTGAAGAAACAATCAATCGTTGCAATTTGTTTTGATCATCATGTAAAATAATAGAGTCGGGGATTGGGGGGTTCTGCATAGCATTCGGAAAGTATTACAAATATCCCATACGAATTGCGTATATATAATCAAGGATTGCAGTACGGAGATATACATATGAGTACAAGGTGGGGGGGGCCATGTTCGTTGTTGGTTAGTTTCGCCCCGCTGTTAGGTACTTGGGGGTCCAACCGTTGTTCAAACTCAGAAGACGCTACCATATGCCGGCAATGACCAAGGAAACAAACCGAGTTTCGAATGGGGCGTAGATGCTACTAAAGCAGAAGATGCCCGTGGATACCCCCCCCCCCCCCCCTTTGTCGCACTTCCCTTCTGCTGAGCTCTGCTTCAATTGATGAATCCGTATAATGGTGCCCACAAGTCAGTTCCTTCAGCGGACTTGCTTAGTGGCTCTCCTGCTTGGCGTGTGGATGCTAAGCACTAATGCCGACATCATCCATAGCTCGTGTTCTAACATGAAAAAGCTCGATTCGAGAGGAAGAACAGTTGGTTCGCTTGGTGATGTGACTCAAACCGTTGATAAGATCCTCAACCAGGCCCATGACATAGTCAAGACTGCCTACGAGGTGATGGTGAAAATCGAGAAAAGAGACAAGGATCTGAGCTGGTTTGACAAAACTAGAACCAAGCTGAGCTTTATTGCTCTCCAAGTCCTGACTGGCAAACAGTCTGTTGTCCTGGAGCGCGCCTGGACTCAAACAGTGGGTGAGCTGGTTCTGCGCCTTGATTGTGCTTTTTTTTTCCCTTTGCAGGGAAAGAGGGTAAACACCAGCTAACTATCTCTATTATCTCCGTTCCAGATGATTTCGAAGATATCAAGCACTTCTTGGACAACCGACATAGAGGACCACGCGTGATCCTCTGCGGCGACGCGCACCTAGAGAAATACTGGATGCTTATGAATGGCAGAAAAGTCAGGCCGGAGGACGTACCGAGGGGAGCGCGAGTCCAAGGATTCATCTATCGAGGTGTGTGGGCTCACTTACCCTTCATCTCTAACTCACTAACCCTAAGCCTTACCTATCGAACAGACCGCTTCTTGGAAAGCCGAGAACCAGACAAGGACAGAATGTGGTGGGATCTCAATGAGGAGGCATGTCGCGACGACCCAGAATTGCAAATGAAAGCGATACATGGGAAGTATATTTTTTTGTGCCCAGTCTCAGTCGACCCGGCGCGGTCGGAGTTCCATACTATTGGCGATCATGATCGACGCAAAAACTGGGGTGATCGTATATACAATTACGCGGACGAACATTTCATAGACTACTGGGCAGAGTGGGAAAGCTACAAAATGCTTCATGAGTTCTTCCATTTCTTATTTCACTGTGGGTGCCTTGGTTCTTGTCCTTTTGTGGTATACTGACTTACGCCATCAACCCATAGATCGCGATCAGCCTCTTTGCCCTCCATGCCGACCACGCTACAAAGGTAACATTCTGGACAAGGCCTATGGCTTCGATTGTAGCGTCGAGCTGCTTAGACAAACACCCCGTGATGTCCCCACTAATGTGGATAATAGAGGGGTTTTGGCATTGTGTATGTTCAGTTGTTCTTTCCCCCCTCTGCTTATCCTCCTTTTCTCTCTCTCTCCTTTTTTGTTACGGTATAGCTGAGGCTAATTACTCGAGCATTATTACAGCGATATTCATGAAGGGTTGCTCGTGGGATAAGGGAGAGGCTGTCAGCGAGGCGACATTAAGGGACAAATTACATGGAGGGAGAGGAACAGGGGGCCGTTCATGACAAATTGGTGACTCGATGCATCCTTTACTGGGTCTTGTCTTGTACATATTTGAGATGCCTGATTCCTTTTACGAAGAATGAGGAATGCCCGAAGCCTGGTAAGAGGGTTCTCTGAATGTATAAATTCTGGTATTTAGTGTAGTAACTATACCGTTATGGTGTTTTGGCTTTTTAAAATGCCAATGCAGTCCTAGAAAAAACATGTATCTCACTTTACGGCGTTCTAAATGAAAGAAGTAAAGAACATGTCGAGTCCTCGTAGTGTGTTGTGCAGTCCGATAAGTCCAAAACTCCGCAAGTAAAAAAACATGACCTCATAACCCTCACTCTCGATGTTTATTCTCTCTTCGCCCTTCACACCCCTCTCTCTCTCTCTCTCTTTCTGCAACGATGCCACCCAAACGTATCGCTATCGTCACCAGCAGTACGCGCCGACCGCGCCTCAACCCCACAATCACGCGCTACGTCTACGATGTCCTCTCCGCCGACCCAACCATCCCGACCACGCCCAACTCCGACCCGAGCATCACCGACCCACGCCACATCACCCTCGAAATCCTAGACCTAGCCAAGCAATCTCTGCCCCTATACGACGAATCCGTCATCCCAGCCAGTCTGCCCGCGACAGACCCAACCCCGCACTACACAAAGCCGCATGCGCAAGCCTGGTCAAGTATAGTCCGCAAATGCGACGCCTTCATCTTCGTCACGCCCCAGTATAACTGGAGCATCCCCGCGAGCCTCAAAAACGCGCTCGACTATCTTTTCCACGAGTGGAAGGGCAAGCCGGCCGGCATCGTGTCGTACGGCTCGCGGGGTGGCGGCAAGGCGGCGGAGCATTTACGGGGCGTGTTGAATGGGCTGCGTATGCGGGCGGTTGGTACGGCTCCTGGGCTGATTATCAAGCATACGGGCCTGCCGGTGGGGTCGTTGTCGGAGGAGGAGGAGCAGGTTGAGTTAGATGCGAGGGATGTTGAGGGGTGGAGGCAGGCTGGGATTGAGGGGATGATGCGGAATTTGGGGATGGAGTTGGTCTGTGAGCTGGATAAGGAGTGATTGCTATAGACTCTACAAGTGTTTGTGTATCGATATAGACTGGAAGTTACCGTATGTGAATCTAAGTATACCTATCGTCTCGTGTACAGCCTACCCGTAGGGCTGAATGCCATTTCCACTTTAGGTCCACTCGAGGGACACTCACTCCAAGGCAGTCAGTCTAACAGCATCGGGCACATCAATATAGACTGCCGCTCTCATGGCATCTATCGTAGGACGGTCATGATCGTGAGAAAATAATCGTGGAACTTCTGTTAGAAATTGTGTATACTTGCTTCTCATGCTCTTTTACAACCATGAAATCATTACTTTTAAGCTAAAGAAAGAGGTGGGGGGGTTCATCAATCAACCTCCAAGATATCCTCGCGCGTAATCCCACTACGATCACACATAGCCCGAAAGATCCCACCAGCCCGATCCCACAGCGCCACCGGCGCATCCATTTCCGCAATCTGGCCCTGGTCCATGACACAGATGCGGTCATAGTGGATGATGGTGCGCAGCCGGTGCGCAATGCACAACAGCGTCTTGCCATGAAAGCCCTGGGCCATAGTGCGCTGGATCTTCTGGTCGGTCTCAAAGTCAACGGAGGATGTCGCCTCGTCGCAGACGATGATCCGGGCGTCGCGGACCAGCGCGCGCGCCAGTGCCATTAGCTGGCGCTGTCCCAGTGAGAAGTTGAGCCCTTCTTCGTCGACTGGCGTTTCTAGGTGTAGACGGCTTGCTGTCGGGCGCGGCTTTGCGTCGCTGTCTGTGGCTGGGGTCGTGGTGCCGGTGCCGGTGCCAGGCTCTGAGATGTTCTCTGTGTTCTCGCTTTCCGCAGGGTCTTGTGCAATTAGGTATGCCTTGCGCAGCGCGGACCACAGCTCGAGATCGGTGTGCTCGTTGAACGGGTCCAGGTTCGAGCGGATCGTGCCCTTGAACAGCGCGGGATCCTGTGGGATGATGGCCAGACGGGAGCGCAGGTCGTACAGACCAACAGTGGAGATGTCGACGCCGTCGATATGGATGGAGCCGGTCGACAACTCCGTTAGCCGGAAAAGTGCAGACATAATACTCGATTTGCCGGCGCCGGTGCGTCCCACGATACCAATGCGCTCGCCACCCTGCACATCCATGGTCAACCCCTTGAGGACGAGCGGCAGTCCGTCCCGATACCGCATCTGCGCGTTGTCGAAGGTAATCCGGCCCTTCTCGGGCCAACTGGCGGCCACGGGGGTCTGGTGCAGGGGCGCTTCTTCCTCCAGCTCGGTTCCGTAGTAATGGACGCGCTCGGTGGCGTTCATATTGTTTTCCACCTCGGCTAATTGCCGCACTGTGAACTGCAACATCTGCGCGATGGCAAGGATGTATGACAAAACTAACCCGGAAATGCTGGGAGAGACGTCGAACCGAGACGTGACGACCAAGACGCCAGTCACGAATACCAGGGCTGTGGCCACGGCGTCGAGTCGAATGCTTAGCCAGCGCTGGTTGGAGAAGGTTAGGAAATATGCGCCGTTCATCACATCGATCGAGTCGCGGATGCTGCGCCGGAACTGGTTTTCTACCCCATAGGCACGAATGCACGCAGTGCCGGTGATGGCCTCTCCGAACCGTGCATACACCATAGACCGCAAAACGGCCTCGTGTCGCTTCATCTCCCGTGCAGATGCTCGGTAGTAGTTGGAGGCGAGGAGGTACAGGATGGTCAGCGGAACGAGTGCGATGACGAACTAAACTAGGTTAGCACAATCCCATTAGAAATTAAATTTGAGGGCCATCCAAAAAGAACCCACATAGTGAAAGAAGACAATAATCAAGATCATGATGGAGAGGATCATCGTCATCGTCAGCGCATAGATCCGCATCGCGTCCGAAAGCTCGTTGTCCATCACGCCCACATCCTTCGAGAACCGGTTAGTAATGCGCCCGAGCGGCGTCGTGTCGAAGAACGCGATGGGAGCGCGTAAGACACGGGTCATAGCACGCTGGAGCATGGTTCTACTGGCATTGGTGCCGCAGGTTGTCATATAGGTCGAAAAAGTAAACATCAACAGCACGACGCTGCCGCCCAGTCCGGCATAGATGCCGATATACTGGCCATTCGACAGGTGCGGGTATTTGTTGGAGGTCCAGTACGAAAGCCACAGACTGGTCCAAATGTTGGCAACATTGGCGAGACACACAAGAATAATCAACATGATGGCGTTGAGATAGCTCCCGGATGCTCGGATGTACGCTTTCCACACGCTCCAGCCGACGGAAGCGGTGGCTTTCTCTTCCTGTTGCATCAAAGCGGCTGCTGGCTTTGCAGGTGCGGCCATCTTCGGACTTGCGGGCTTTTCCTCGGTCTTTTCTTGAACTGTTTCCTCGGTGTCTTTGGGCTTTTCGTTCGAGTCTTCTTGTCGCGAAGTGGACATCAGCCGCTTGAAGAGCTGGTTCTCGCGCATCAGGTTCTCGAATGTGTCGACCGCATGAATGCGGCCCTCTTGCATGACCACAATGCGATCGCATCGACTGAGCACATGCAGCTGATGGGTTGCCAGAATCCGACACCGGTCCTTGAGAAGACCGCAGATAGCCTTGTCCATAATGTGGCGCCCGACATGTGCATCAACTGCCGACAGGGGATCATCCATGAGCACGAGCTCTGCATTGAAATAGATAGCGCGGGCAATGTTGAGACGCTGCTTCTGTCCACCAGAGACAGTGATGCCTCGTTCTCCAATCTCTGTCTGGTCTCCATTCGGAAGAATTTCGAGATCTGGGGTTAGGGCACATGCGTCAACCACTTGGTCATACCAGGTCTCGTCGTAGTCTTTCCCAAACAAGATATTATTGCGCACAGTAGTGTTCTGGATCCAGGCGTACTGGGGGCAGAAGGACCGGCTGGTGCTCAGTCGCACAGATCCGTCTATCACTCGCATGTCGCCCGCGAGAGCAGAGAGCAAGGAACTCTTGCCGCATCCCACGGTCCCAATAACTGCCAGCAACTCGTTGCGTCCAACCTCAATCGTCATATCCTGTAATTTGAATGGCTCCGCAGGAGCCTCGTTCTCGGCATCGGGGATTTCTTTAGGGGTTGAGACCCCCGAACGACTCGGGCGTCCGCCAAGCGTTTTCTGGACTTTGTCTTCATCCTTTTCTGCCGGTAGCCTTTCCCATGTAAATGACGCCTTATCCATTTCAATGGCATTTGCCATGTTCTCATCTCGTTCAATGTCTTCCTTTTGTTCTTCAGCGAGGAGAAACTCTTGGACTCGGCTCAGGGCAGTCGAAGCATCGGTCACTTGGCCAATGACTAGTGGCAGCATGTTCAGCGGCATGCGCAGTGAGTTGAATAATGCAAGGGACGAAAAGATCGGAGCCGGGTTCAAACTGTGGCTCGATAGGGAGTAGGTGATAAAAGCCAGCATTGAGGCGAAGGTGGGAATGGAAATAGACACACACAGGATGCCATTTCGAACAGCCATCAGGGTCTGAATAGATCGGATCTCGCCTCGACGGATTTCTTTCAGGCGGTTCAAAAAGCTGCTCTCCCAGCCGAAGAATTTGACAAACCTCACGGCCTGTAAGATCTCCTGTGTTAGTGATACGCGCTGGTCGGTCATCTTGTTGATGTTTTTTCGCAACTTGACCAGGAATCGCACGGCGAAGGTCAAGAGCGGGATTCCAATAACCAGCAATGCGTACCCCGACAGACAGCTGTACCCGATATTGACCAGCAGCAGAACCAGCGTCACAATGATGGATATCGGCGCCGTCCATATCAAATGGAACATGCCGCAAGCCAGGTTAATTCGGTCCACATCGATGCTCATCAGTGCAATGATACGGCCATTATTCCATCCACGGCCATCGCCTGCGACTCCGCGTGCGTCTGCTGCAGCCTTGGGCCTCTCCTGGGTCTTTTCACCCGGTTTCATTAACTTCTCTTTCGTGGACTCCAGCACTTGAATCTCCTCTGCAGTTGGCTTCCCTCCTGCCTTTGCACGACCAGACAGCTTCATCGCCTTGTTGAAAATTTGGGAAATCAATACCGCGCGGATTTGTCCGCCGACCATCTGACCCCGGTAGAGAAACTGGTTCGTGCATAAGCTCTGTAGTGCCTGCATGCAGGTAATGCCCACGACGAACCCCATGCCGCGGCCGAGGTACGGTGCCGGGGAATTGCTATGCTGAGCAATATAAGCTTCAGTAGCGAAGGAGATCAGGTAACGAGTCAAATACGGCGCAAAGACCAGCAGCAGCGAGCTGAACAGCTGGCAGACGCCGCCCAGTAAGAACTCGAACCGGAATGTATCATACAGCGCTCCCAAGAGCGGACGCTTGCTTCCGCGCTCTGTGCGCCGGGCAAGCGCCGCGTCGAGCCGATCGGACAATAAGTCCACGGCTCGGTTCGGGTTCACTGTCCAGATATCCTGCAGCTCGAGCGGGCGCAGATAGCCCACCTTGGAATCGAGTCAGCAATGCAAACCATCCATGGCATGATCTACATGGTCAACACAAGGAATAGCTCACCTTCATGAGCGGCGACATCCATTGAAACGAGATAATGCTCAATATCGACGCCTGATATTCCCTCGACACCGACCGCTCACTCGGAACGGGCGGAGTCTTTTGCAGTCGCAGCGGGTTGAGCTTGCGATACCATTTTCGCGGTTGAGGCAGCTCGGAACCGCCCGTCTTGGCTTCTGCCGAGGTCGATCTAGTCGAACTGGAGGCAGTCTGCAGCTTTTCATCTGCGACTTGCCGGGGCTCGGGCGCAGACATGATGGAAAATCCCCGAAACCATGAAACAGGTCATAAAGAATGACAATAATTATTCACTGGCCTTGGTGGTCATCGCAAGCCCAGAAAAGTATGGCTGTGGGGGGACGCGCTGAAAGCGGAATGCTTTGCGATCGCATGGATTTTTGGGATCTTTTGAGAGAATGTCAGTCTGTACTCGGGCTGAGACATTCGAGCTTTTATAGTACTCGATCTGACAGGAGATAAGCAAAAGAAAAAAAGCCTACCTCCGAGGGAATTTCCAAATCAATCCATCGCCGAGGCTTCTATATTCGAAGGTCTCTTGAGTGTCCACTCTGTGAATATAGTGGTCACGGTGATGTGTAGGGGGGATCAAAATGCTTGAAACGGAAACGGGACAGAAAGAAGAGAAGAAGAAGAAGAAACAAGCACATCGCCGAATCTAAGCAAAAAGGAACCTTGGGACTCTCGGATTCGCATTCGCTTAGTTCTATAGCCGGACATTTTGGAAGTCCGTGGCCGACCGGGTCTGAGAGGCTTATAGGACAAGCTTAGTTGAGGGTCCAATTAAAAAGGTTCAAGCAGGAAGGCCCCGTTTATTTTCCCAACATGGCCCATAGTCCGTCAACTATCTCCGACCCGTCAGCAAAAAAAAAAAAATATGTATATATAGTCGCAATAGCTTGCGCTTGCTTAGCTACTCATTCTCCTTATTTCCTGATATGGACAAAAGCAATATATGGTCTAATTCTTGGAGATCTGGCAAGTCAACTTTTCATGTCAAACAAAAAGCCATTCCATCGTGTCGTGGTAACATGGCATTGTCATGGGCCCCATCCCGCCTCGACAGGCTTGTGACGACTAAGCATCCGGCCAAGCGCCTTTGATTCTGGACGCTAGAAAGATCGCTGTTGGGAGCGGAGTGGGGATTTGGTCCCACCCTTCTAGTTCTCTACTCCGATCTTCACCTTCTTCTCCGGCGGCGGAATGACTTGGTCCTCCGCGGCACCCTTGAGCCCTGGGAGGTCGTTGACAGCCTCCTCGATGATTTTCAGGGCCTTTTGAATCTCCTCGTCGGTGATAACAAGCGGCGGAGCCAAGCGGATGATGTTCTGGTGAGTGGGTTTGGCCTGGACAAGGCTCATTAGCGGGTGATTTTGGTCATCCGACAATAGTACATACCAGCAATCCCTTTTCTTTCATCAGCATGCACAGATCCCAGGCAGTATGACCATTGGTCTTGGACTCGTCAATCACCACAGCGTTGAGCAGGCCCTTGCCGCGCACGGTCTGAATGATCGGACTGTCGATGGCCCGCAGCCCGGCTCGGAACACCTGCCCGAGCTTTTCGGAGCGCTCCACCATGTGCTCTTCTTGGACCACCTCAAGGGCGCGAATGGCGACAGCACAGCCCAAGGGGTTGCCGCCATAGGTCGAGCCATGGGTGCCAGGCTCAATTGTAAGCATAACGTCCTTGGAACCCAACACGCACGAGACGGGGTACATGCCCCCGGAGATGGCCTTACCCAGGAAGACCAAGTCGGGCTTAATCCCGCTCCATTCGTGGCACAGTAGCTTGCCCGTGCGAGCGATACCTGTTTGGATCTCGTCGCAGATCAGGAGCACGTTATGCTGATCGCAGAGTGCGCGAGCCTCGCGCAAGTAGTCCTCATCCGGCACGACAATGCCCGCCTCGCCCTGGATTGGCTCGACGAGGAACGCCGCCAGTGTAGGGCCGGCCTTCTCAAAGGCCTCGCGCAGCGCAGCCTTATCATTGTATGCGATGGGCTTGTTCGTGCCGGGGATCGTGCACCCGATGTTGGGCAGATACGGGCCGTAGTTTTCGCGCGACTCCGGGTCGGATGACAACGAGATGGCGGCGAACTAATGCAAGGGACCATCAGCCACATTTGAGGGGCTTCGTTTGTGACCTCCCCCCGCACGGTCTCATTGAAGATGCTGGACAAGGGGGCTGGGTAACAAAAACCAACTTACCGTGCGACCGTGGAAATTGTTCTCCGCGCTGAGAACCAAGGCCTCGTTCTCCGGGATGCCCTTGACCTTGTAACCCCACTTGCGGGCGATCTTGATTCCCGTCTCGACTGCCTCGGCGCCAGTGTTCATGGGCAGGACCATGTCGAAGCCGAAGTAGCGGGTAACAAACTCGGCGAACCGGGGGAATACGTCATTGTAGAATGCACGGGAACTCAACGTCACACGGGAAGCCTGTTCAACCAGGGCGGCAACCAACTTGGGATGACAGTGGCCCTGGTTCACGGCAGAGTAGGCTGAAAGAAAGTCGAGATAGTGTCGGCCCTCGGGATCCCAGACAGAAGTTCCCTGAGCGCGCGCGAAGACGACCGGCAGCGGGTGGTAGTTGTGGGCGGCATACTCCTTCTCGGCCTGAATGGCGGCGTCGGTGGATGCAGCGTGGTGGTGGGAGAAGGTTCCGTTGGAGCCGTTGGTGGCCATGGTGAAGTGTGGGGTGCTATTTGATGTGGAGACTGCTGATCAATGAAAAGGTGTCCTTGATGCTGGAGAGATGTAGGAGATAAAGAAGAAATGAAGTTGCAGAACAATATCCAAACCCCAGAGAGGACGCCGTATTTGTAGGTCGCCCCAAAGCCTCCCCACGACGCCTCTTAGCTTAAACCTGTACTTAGCGAACAGAGTGGAGGTGATTGTCAACCGCGCGGGTCCACTTTGATTCCTATGCGCAGTTCGAGCCGGGGCGTGTCACCGGATCTAAGGGGCCTGGATGGTCAATGAACATGGTGTATAAGATTGATAATAGATCGAGATAGATGAGACGTTGAAATATGCACAGCATTCTATCATCTGTTTTTTTACTATTTTTTACTATTTTTTTACTAATTTGTATTTCGTTCATGTAGGAATGAATGGTCGACTCGTGAGATCGTCATGGCCTCGCCGCCTTTTGCCGGCCCCGGTCTTCTGCCTTTTCCCCCACGTCATGACGGACTGAGTGGCTCTTTGTTCTCTGGCTGTTCGTGTCTCATTCCGCCATGGCCTCTCCCCGGCCCTCCAGATCCCGACCATCTACGCGATCTCAATCATCCACACCATCCCCGCCATCCACGCCATCCCAGTCATCCGTGCAATCCAAGTCATCCACGCGACAGCTCGAACCTCTGTCCCCCACCGCAAACGTTCTCCTCTTCCTCATTGCCTTCCGCCTTCTCAATGCCTTTGTCGTCCGAACCTTCTTCCAGCCCGATGAGTTCTTCCAGTCCTTGGAGCCGGCCTGGCAGATCGCGTTCGGCAATGATCAAGGCGCCTGGCTGACGTGGGTGAGTGGCATTGTCACTGCATCTATGCTCCTCTCCACGACTCATATACTAACATTTCCTCGCGTAGGAATGGCGACACCAACTCCGCTCCTCTCTCCATCCTCTTTTCTTCGCCGCCCTCTACCAAGGCGCCAATCTTCTCGCGTCAGCCCTCCGTCTCACTACCGCGACGCGCGCGGAATTGTTGATCGCCGCGCCCAAGGTTGCGCAAGGCGTAATCTCGGCAATCGGGGATTTCTACACATGGAAGCTTGCTCTTCGCATCTACGGAAAAGATTCACGTGGCGCGTGGGCAACGGTACGTACTCACTCCAGCAAATATTCCGGGGGTAAAAAAGCGGGGAAGAGCATTGGTTGATTGTTGACAGCTGGCCGCGACGGTCCTCAATCCCTGGCAATGGTTCTGCTCGACCAGGACTCTTTCCAACTGCCTTGAAACGACAATTACCATCGTTGCGCTAGAGCTATGGCCATGGCAGTGGTCGGCGGGCCCGGAGTCCGCTAATAGCCGTGCCCAAGATGTTAGCACTGCAAGGAGGGGTACGGACGCAGACCGAAGTATTCTCCGCAAGTATGACTAGGATATTTTGCACTCGGACTCATGTTAGAGCAGCCGCTGACGCACCCTTTCCGCAGCTTACGCCAATGCCTGTCACTGGCTGCTGTCGCCTGTATCCTTCGACCAACCAATATCTTGATCTGGGCGACCCTGGCCAGCGTCGTTTGGTTTCGGACCTCCTGGGCACAGCGCAAGGTCCTTTTTCGCGAAGTCATACTTTGCGGGTAAGTCTATTTCCTAGGTCTTTCCCGCGGGGGTGGATAAGCTGACCAGTACTTCTAGACTGTCCGTGCTGGCAGTATCAGCTGGTGTGGACCGTCTCTTCTATGGGTTCTGGACATTCCCACCAGTTCGGTTCTTATATTTTAATATCGCGCAGTCACTAGCTGTGTTTTATGGCCACAATGACTGGCACTACTACCTCACGCAGGGTTATCCACTTCTGCTCACAACCTTGATATATTCCGCTCTCGTTGGTATCTACCGCACCTTGACGACCCGCGAGGCCTCGGCGGTCGATCGCGTGCAAACGTCAATACGGGTGCAGTTGGCGACGGTGTGTCTAGTAATGCCCTTTGCCCTTTCTTTGATCTCGCACAAGGAAGTGCGCTTTATCTACCCACTACTTCCATCTCTCCACATCTTGGCCGCTCCGCACCTGGTGCAATCCTTCTGGTCTGTCATATATCGCGAGACACTTGTTTCAGATACGCCGCGAAGGCTCACACTGATCTTCCTCGTGTTGGTCAACGTGGTCATTGCGCTCTACACAACCGTATGGCACGCATCGGGGCCTCTCAATGTCCTCTCCTACCTCCGCCAACGACACGAAGCCCATGTTTCACTGCCCAAACCAGAGGGATGGTCGACTGCATTTACTCAATCTAGCGCTGTTCCCGCAACGGGAATCACGGCAGGATTCCTCATGCCATGCCACAGCACACCCTGGCGCTCCCACCTAATCTACCCTAGCATCCACGCCTGGGCGCTCTCCTGCGAACCACCCATTGACCTCAACGAAGCTCAAAAGGCCGTCTACCGGGACGAGGCAGACCAGTTCTACGACGACCCAAACCAATTCCTGCGCGAAAACATGGCCGGCGGCCTGCGCCATCTCCCGCGCCGACCAAGCTACTCCTCCGGCGCGCAGGCCCTGTCCGGAACAGAAACCACCACCAACACACCAACCCAACACGAATGGCCCGACTACCTTATCTTCTTCGCCCAGCTCGAACCCACCTTGCACAATCTACTCCGCAGCTCCTCGTACGCCGAGTGTTGGCGCACATGGAACACCGCCTGGCACGACGACTGGCGCCGCCGCGGCGACATCATCGTCTGGTGCCTCGACCCAGCCGAGCAGGACGCCTGGCGCTCTGAAACCTATCGCCGCGAGCGCGAGAGCCGCGATCGCCAGTTCGACCGCATCGTTGAGGCCATCAAGAACGAGGCCAATGGTCCCCGGAAGAAGCATGGGTGGAAGGCATTCATCCCTTCGTCTTGGCCGTGGTCGTCTTCACCCTCTACCTTTGCCTCGTGGAAACGCTCGGCTCGCTCGCTGTTCGCCGGTTCTTCTTCTTCCCCCGCGTGGCCGTGGGCTCCGCGGTCGCGATCTGCTACTTTCTGGGAGAAGTTCCATCTCCCTGTACGCAGGGGTAATTGGATTCCGTCCTGGCCTGCCTGGCTGGGAGGTAAATCTAAGAAGAGTAAGACTCCGTTGAATCGGGATCTGTGGTCCTGAAACACATGCCCCTTTGATATACACCGATTCCGCCGTTTCTGCGAGAGGTCTGGCTCTCGAAACCTGGCTTGTCCTATTTCTTGCCCGTTTACTTAATTATGGAAAATTGGGAATGTAAATTAGATTTAGAGATTGCTATTTTGGAAATAATCATGCTGTTTCATTCCATGATCAATCTCTGTACCATTTTCGGATCGCTAACCATAAGACCAAGTTGTTGTACAGCAGAAGAAAGGCAGATACACAAAGAGAGAAATGAAGAAAGAAAGAAGTGAAATGAAATGAGTGAAACAGGCAAGAAATTCTCATGATGCACCCAGACATGTACATCGATCTCTATATCCATATCATAATCAGTATCCATGTCCATGTCCATGTCCATGCCAATACCGCATGTCTATTATCAAAATCCTAGAAAAAGAAAAAGAAAAAGAAGGAAAAAAAGAGAAAAGAAAAGAAAAGACATGCTTCACATCAAACCAGATTCAGCCATAGCGAGCACTCAGACTAGCAAAAGCATCCGGGCTGTGTCGGCCGTTCTGCATTCCACTGACGTCCACACTCGGCTGGCTCATATGAGGCCTGGGCATCCCCGGGTTCGATGGAGGAGGTCCAGAAAATGGACTCGAGGAGAACGGGCTCGCAGAGAAAGGAGTGGTGGCCGTCTTCAGTCCCGTGAGCGGGGCAGTGGCAGTTGCCCCAGTGCCAGCACCCATGCCAATCCCCAGTCCTGACGAGGGCTGGTATGAGCCAATGCCTGCTTGAGCAGCAAGACCCGAGCCGGTTGGAGCGGCACCACTGTATGGGTTGCGAGATGTAGTGGGCGGGGCACCTCCAATGCCAGGCTGAGGGGTGGGGAGATTAGAGCCCAGTTGAGACTGGGGCGTCGAGGTGACGGAGCTGGTTAGGGGTGGAGCGGGGCTAGGGCCCATGCCGAATTGCGGCTGTGGCTGCGGTTGTTCTGGGATGGTGGATGAAGCCGGAGCAAAGTTGTACAGGGATAGAATGCTATTCTTGTCCATACCCGTGGGTTGCGGTGCCAGCTGCTGGGGTTGTTGGAGCTGCTGGGGCTGGTGGGGTTGCAGATGAGATTGGAATTGATTTGGATAGGGCCCTGCGCTCTGCGGCGTGGTAGGTGCTGTCGCCGACTGGAATGGGTTATAGGGTTGGCCAGCGGTGGGTACCTGTGACTGCGGCTGCGGTTGGAAAGAGGGAGTTGGGCCAAATGGCGAGGTACCGAATGGTGATGTGCCAAATGGAGAGGTCGAAGAGACCGCCGGCATGGTGTTCGCATGGCGGGGCGGGTTGGGGACTGCGAGGGTGGGCACGGAGCCAGTTGGCTGCGGCTGTTGGGCCTGAGGAGGGTTTTGCGGTGCAGCGCTGAAGAACGGGTTGTTCTGTGTTGTACTGGGGTTGGGGTATGTTTGGTTGCCAACCCCGTATGGCTGACTGGCCACGCCACCCTGTGGTTGAGAAGGTCCTTGGAGGAATGGGTTGTAGCTATTCTCCATCGACTGTGGCGATGAGACGAAGCTGCTCTGGGAGAATGTCGATGTTGCGGAAGGCGCGAAGGACGGCTGGTACGGCGCCTGGGGTATGGAACTAGCCTGGCTCGGGTATCCTCCCGTAGAGTGCGGGAACAACGGCTGTGAGACCTGCAGATTCTGGAACGAGTTTTCCAGGGGCTGTGCCGATGCTGGTGGCTGGCTAGGCCGGTCGAACGGGTTGTACGAAGTAGACTGCGACTGTTGCGGCGCTGGGTTTGAAGCTGCCCGCTCGAAGGGATTGTTGGACGTCTCCGGTTTCGGGGTTACCGCGCGAGCGGGCGCCGTGTTGCCCGTCGTGGCCGGAGTACGAGCCCGTGCTGGTTGATTTCCCTCGCCCAGTCTCGCCAGAGTTTGCACCGACCGATCCAGGTCCTCATTGAGTCCGCGTAGGACCATCTCGTTCCGGCGGTCATTGGTGAACCCCATCTCCCGCATTGCCGCCATCTTGGACTCGAACGAGGCAGTGGTCACATCAGCGACCGGCGCGCCGAGTCCTTGTGTTGTGTACGACTTCTTTGGGGGCGGTGGAGACCAGGACTCTTCATCGGAAGGTGGCGACGTCACCTTGGGCTTGGATCCGAAGCGACGCAGGTTTGAGGTCGAGGACGCGGACCGGAGGCCGAACCCAAAGAGCTTGCCGGTCTTGGGCGGCAGTGGGGGAGGCGATCCTTCTTGAGATCGATCGCGCCGTGACTGCTCGGGGGACCTGGTGTAGCTCGGATCCTCACGGCTCGGGGGTTTGGGCTTCCCATCTTCCAACGACCGGTACTGGTATTTTTGCCGGATATACCGTTCCATGCACGAGTCGGCTTCATCCACATCGGTCGGCACAGGGGGCTTGACGTTCTTGGGGTTGTATATTTTATTCATGAGGATATTGCCGTGCGATTTCATATTCTGCTCATATCACGCTGCGGTCAGCTCCATGGGGGATTGATCGGTTTCGAGGACTTGGATTCGACTCACATCAACCTGTTCCGACGACCAGGTGTCCATGGACAATGACTTGACCTTGGATATATGTGTACCCAACTTGCGGTGCAGCGCGGCGCAGCGCATGCAGAGGAAGATACCCATCTGCCGGTGATTGAACCATCAGTGTGTGCGCGGACTCGATCGAAAGTAATTGAAGACATACGTTCCAGCTTGCCCATCCTGCAACAGAGCAAAGAAGAAAAGTTAGCCCGGGGGCCGCAAAACAAGCAATTTCTATCGTTCAAGGACGAACCTGGGGTCAAGGCATCGCAATCGGCACAACGGTCATTGCCAGGGACTGTACGGATCAGCTCCGCCAGAGTTTTCTCATTACGCAGCTGCTGGCGCTTGCTGATGCCATTCGGCATGGTGGAAGGATATCCAAGGAGTGGTACAGAAGAGCAAAGGAGTGGAATGAATAGGGGAGAAAAGTGACCCGGGCACCCCGGGGCGGAGACCGATGGCGGGCTGCGAGGGGCACTCAACCCCTGTTCTGCTCTACGGCGGGACTGCTTAATTCTAGTCAAGTAGCCAAATAGCCAAATAACCAGGTAGCATTGCAAGCCAAGCCTGGGGTAGTCTTGCATTCCTTGGTGATTTGAGCCCGACTTGTCGGCCCAAACAGGTTTTCAGGGTCTTCTACGTGCTATTGCAGACCTCGAGGGTACATCCACACCAGTCGATCCGTAAATATGCCGAATGCACCGACTTTAGGACCGACTTCAGTTGTTACACAAAAGCAACCCTCGAGATCAGGGTATGTCCGAGCAGCAGGTGACTCGCATCCACCACTGCACTCAAGGAGCCGAAACTCCCCAGCGCCGTCGAGGAGCCTTAAGTTGCTCAGCGGTTCTTCTAGTACGCCAATATGACCTACCATCCTATGGCATGGAGGAATTGGAGGTTGATTATGCGTTCTTTGATTTTTCATGAAGTGTAATGAAGAGAAGCAAACCCGAGGGGACAGCCGCGCGAGAAGAAAAAGCAGGTGGTCACGTGGATCGGTGGATTGTCACGTGGCAACTCGGTTTTCTTGTTCTTTTCGCTTCTCGCTTCCGCTTCTTCTCTCCAACTCACTGTGGTCACCAAGTGTCTCAGTCCTCATGATGTTGGGGGACTCGACACAGTCATGACCAGCAGAATCTCTATATATCAACCCCACATAGCCCGCGTGGTGCCTCTAATGACACTGACGCTTCTGGGTTTTTTTTATCGTTCGGTGGGAGATCAAAACCAAACAGTTTTTAGCAGAGCTGCGTCTACTCCACCCTGGTGTTCGGATCAATCGAGCAGCAGGACTATTTTTACGACGGACATTCCAAGCTTCCAGATTTCACAATGAACAAAAAGACTTTTCCTCGCGAGTGTGTTTTTCCTTTCCCACCTAAATCATCAGCCGATACGCCGGGCTCAGGTCGCCCATCTGCGCCTTTTCCGCCTCCGTAAACTCCCTCCCCCATCCCCGAGCGGCTCGTCGGCGATTCACCCACCAGCAGTACCCGGCGTACAGGGTGCACCAGATGATGGTGAGACAGCAGAATCCAATGCAGATCGCGTACGAGAATTGGTACCCAGGTCCGTCCTGGGCCCGGAAGGCGTAGGACCCGATGATGCCGCCAAAATTACCAAACGCGACCTGCCAGGCGCTGCCGATGGCGCGGCGGCGATGGCCGCCCAGGTTCATCATGTTCCAGCAGATCTCCACTGCCGAGACACCATTAAAATCAATTTCCAAGGATCATTATGAGATCTCGGGTGGAACATGTCTCGACTCACCGGGCATCATACTCGGCACACCCGCCATGGCCAAGAACAGCGCCCCGTACCGCACCCGCACATTATCGCGCACCTCGAACATCACCAAATACCCAACGACAGAAAGTAGCGCGCAGGCCAGGGCCACAGCGTACCGGTGGCGCATTACATCCGAGACATAGGCCACAGCGAGAGTGAGGGCGGTGGTCACGATCCAGACGGGGACAGTGTGCAGCTGCGTCTGGATCGACGAGTAGATCCCCAGGCTCTGGACAATCATGGGCGCGAAATACGCACCCATGTATCCCGGCACCGAAGCCGACATGTGGATCAACCCGGCCATCAGGACCTTGGGGTCTCGCACAGTGGTGTAGACATCACGAAATCGAATCCCAAGCTCGATGGCCGAGGGTCCCTGTTCGGCACGCAGCCGCGCCTGCACAAACTCGCGCTCCTCGCTGGACAGCCAGCCGACCTGCTCAGGGAAATCCGGCATGATGAGAAAGAATAGCAGCGCGACGAGACACGTCAGGATCCCTCCCAAAATGAATATCCACCGCCAGCCCGCTAGTCCGCCCACACCATCCATCTTGCCAATGGCCCCGGCCAGCAACCCGCCGAACGCGCTAGAGAAATTGACGGCACTGAGATACAGGGAGAACCGCCGCTGCGCCTCTGGCCGCGTATACCATGAGCTCATGAGGTATGTGCAACCAGGGAAAACACCGGCTTCCGCGAGACCCAGCAACAGCCGCAGGGCTAGAAGACTGGAATAGTTCTGCACAAATCCCGTGCAGAGCGTCACGATTCCAAATACAAAGGCGTTGAATGAGACTAAACCTGACATTTTTAGTGCGATGACAAAATCACAGGCTGGGGGGACAGCCGTGGCAGACATACGCCAAATCCGCGGCGTGAGCTTCTTCAGCAGGATATTCCAAGGGATTTCGAAGACGATGTATGTGATGAAAAACATGGTCAGGGCTGTTGAGAACTGCGCCCCGGTAAGACCCAGGTCTTCTCGCATCCCGTACACCAACGCATTGCCCATGTTTGCCCTAGGAATTGAGGATTCTATGTCAGTTTTGTTAGTTGGTTGCTCTTCGCCCGGTGCTCACCGGTCCAAGAAGCACATCAGGGCGAGCGTGGCAACACATGGCACGACTCTGCGGTCGATCTTCCACAACACTCTTGAGGAAGTGGTTTGCGGCAACGGCGGAAGCTGATTTGGACTCGTATCGGACACGGTGAAGTGATGTTCCAGATCAGAGACCACCGTTGCGGTGACACTGCCTGTGGTCTATAGTTAGACACGCTGCTTTGCTCGCGCTTCTGAGGAAATCGATACGTATTGGGCCTTTTGCTTCTACAGGGCTCATGTTGACGGTCTCAATCAGTGCAATTGAATTGATCGGGTAGCAAAGTAAGAGGTTGGAGTCTTCCTAGATGTATAGCATCACGCTTTCTACGGTCTCGGAGATGTTCATGGTCTCTGGAGCAAGATATATCCAATATGCAGGTCAGTCAGACGGCTCTTTTTTGTTCTTCCCTTGATATCTTCGGAGGTTGTACTGTGTGACGCCCAAAGAATAACCAATCTTGGCATTTGCGCGATCATATTCGGCTCTCGAGGGCTATTCGTTTTGGGACAGTATAGCGCTATTATACCCGTGAACAACGTATTCAATTGCGAGGTCAATCGATCGGCTGAACCACGGGAAAGCCTCGCGCAGCCACGGGTCAGACAGGGAGGTCAATATCTCCCGGATAGACCCTGAATGACCACATTAACCTCATTAGCAAGTACGAGCCAGACCAATTCGATTGATCAGCAAAGTCGCAGTTTGGCGAAAACACGAGTGGGCCGTGTATTCTCTCGGCCAAACAGCATCGTCGTGTTTGTCATGCTGGACCCGCCACAACAGCTGTGGAGCCGATTGTTCACGAAAAAGGCTTCAGCTATGAGGGCCCCCCTCTGCCTCCTTGAACGTGTGTACAGGCGTGTGTAGACAGAATCATCGGATCAGAAGTACTCATAGGATGCAGCAACTTGAATTGAGGTGTCACACCAACCCACGGTTTGGCAGGAGGCGAATGTTGGCGTCTTCGTGAACCCATGAAATCGCGAAATGCGGAGAGTGCTGAGTTGCTGAGTCAAAGACCGAGGCTCATGGCGAGTTGGGTACTCGGTACTTGCACTGTTATGGTGGGCTGCATGCTGGGGAATGGTACAAGTAACTTGGCTCCCCCCGATTCCTGCCTGGTGTCCTTTTCATCCTTTCTTTTCTGGCTAAACTCCCTTCCCTTGTACAACCTTTTCGATCCTTTTCCGTTCCCCTTTTCACTTTCACAATGGCTTCCGCTGCTCGGTCTGCTTCCCGGGCTTTCCTTCGCTCCACCCCGGCGACCTCTTCGTTCCGTCCGGCTGCTCGCAGCTCCCGCTTCGCCCTCCCCTCCCAAAGCCTCCGTACCTCTGCTCGCCGTGGCTATGCCTCTGAGGCTGGCTCCGGCAAGTCCTCGTCTGGTGGCATCTGGGCTCTTGGTCTGGCTGTTGCCGGTGGTGCGGGCGCGTACTTCTACCTGAACGGCGAGCCCAAGGGCCCCTTCGTCCCCACCAAGGACGACTACCAGAAGGTGTACGATGAAGTGGCCCGCCTTCTGGCAGACGAGACCGACTATGATGATGGCAGCTATGGCCCGGTAAGTGTGCAATTCCATCAGAAACCTATGAGGAAGGAATTTACTGACGCCGATTCGTCGCAACACCAGGTTCTGGTCCGTCTCGCGTGGCACGCCAGCGGCACCTACGACAAGGAGACCGGCACCGGTGGCAGCAACGGCGCCACAATGAGATTCGCCCCGGAGTCGGACCACGGCGCCAACGCAGGCCTCAAGATCGCGCGCGACTTCCTCGAGCCCGTCAAGGCCAAGTTCCCGTGGATCACCCACTCTGACCTGTGGACACTGGCCGGCGCCTGCGCCATCCAGGAACTGGGTGGCCCGCAGATCCCCTGGCGCCCGGGCCGCGAGGACAAGGACGTGGCGGCGTGTACGCCGGATGGCCGGCTCCCGGACGCCACCCAGGGCCATCGCCACATCCGCGATGTGTTCTACCGTATGGGCTTCGATGACCGCGAGTCGGTTGCCCTGATCGGCGCGCATGCCTTGGGTCGTGCACACACCGACCGCTCCGGGTTCGAGGGCCCCTGGGACTTTAGCCCGACGGTGTTTAGCAACGAGTTCTTCCGTCTGCTGGTTGAGGAGAAGTGGAACCAGCGCAAGTGGAATGGACCTGCGCAGTTCACGGACAAGTCTACTTCCACTTTGATGATGATGCCTACCGACCTTGCTCTCGTCAAGGACAAGGCTTTCAAGACGCACGTTGACCGCTATGCCAAGGACAGCGATGCCTTCTTCAAGGAGTTCTCAGAGAGCTTTGTCAAGCTCCTTGAGCTGGGTGTGCCGTTCCAGAGCAAGCCTGAGGACCGCTATGTCTTCAAGGCCTCGGAGTAAGCTGCGAGGTGGTTTGTTGGTCCACTTAGATTGTCTATGTCTTGATATCCGAATGTTTTGTAACTCAACAAGATGGTTGAATATTTCTCAATATACCTGAAGATCAGTTCTTGGTGTTCTCGAATGTGTCGGCAGAATAAGGTAGCTCTAGCGGGTCTTCCTGGATAATGTAGGGCCCTATAGCCTATGGCATTGTACGGATTGGGTTTAGATATGTGACAAAGTAATGACAGTCAAGGGTATCGGCCTCATTCCCAGGCGAGAATAATTCCAGGGATGTGTGACTAGTCATGATAAGACGACCAGTGGATAAGAGAAGTGTAATGCAGAGTCGATTTACCTCTTGGTTGTAGATATTGGTTTCTTCCAGGGTTCCAAGGTTGGATGGTTCACATCAGCCCAGCCTGTGGATCATCATCTAGTTTATATTCCGCCGCGGGACTTATTTGCATTTTACATCTTACATCCTACAATCCTAGATGCAATCGCCGAAAAGTCAAAGCCATGGTGAACCTCCGAACCGTTCAAGCCCATAATGCGACTCTCAAAACCCTAGCCCCGGGTTTAGTCGCGGTGTTCGGTACGTCAAACATACCCTAAACCGGAGAATATGCCACTTTTGCTTCAAACCAAACTAATACAAAAGATACTCTTCTGTCAATGGTAATGCCAGACTCTCTCGCGTGGTCTCTGTGCTCGATCCCCTCGTCGCTGTTCGCGCCGGTGCCTCTGGCACACTCGACTAATTCGATCTCAGTCTCAAAGAGACCTTCAGTCTTGCGAAATGCGGTGCGCACGCTAGTCTGATGGGTAATTTCTTTCTGGAGAGCATGGCGCGGCAATACCCGCATACCTCTTTCGTCCATGCGTATCCCTCCGGCGTGGCGACGGGCCTGATGCGTGAGCTGCCAATTGCGAGCGGAATATCGGCTGTACTTGAGCTACTTCTGCGTCCGTTTATGGTGCCCGTCCAGGAGAGTGGGGAGAGGCATCTTCTTGCGGCGACGAGTGGCAGGGTTCCCTGCGAAAGCTGAAAGCGACGGGGTGGAAGGGGATGTCGCTGTTGGCAGTGATGGGTCTATTAGGAGTGGTGGCTACTGGCTGAATTGGGATAGGGAGGTGTTTCCTGCTAATAAGAAGTTGGAGAAGATTAGGTCGGAGGGCGCGGTTGAACAGGTGGTGCAGCATACAAACGAGGTGTTTCGGCGGGTGTGTGAGGAGGGCAGGACTTATCCGTGAAATGTTGAAATGTCGAGGGCTTTTTTCATGATTATGGCAAGTAATGAGTGCCTAGTTGATCTCTGGCTTCAATCTTCGTCTCAACTTCTACGTAGGCATATTACTTGGTTGCAATCTTGTATTTGGTCTTATAGGCGTGTATGTTTGGCATATGCATTCTGCATGGTTCTCAATAAACTTCTTGTCGGTAATTAGTCTACAAAACTAGTAGAAATCCAATGTTCTACCTAATCTTGACTTCTGTTGTATACTTGGTAGTAGTATAGATCCATGTGGGTGCGAATTTGCCGGATGTGGCGCTAGTCCCGACTGCTTTTTTTCTCGAGATCACTGCCCCCGCGCCCTCTCCTACTTGACCTCGCCAGGTTCAAATCTACCCCCTGACATGCGCTCGATAAAGTCTGCACGTTGATTCCAAAAACGCCGTATCCGAGACCTGGGCCTCGCCGCCGTATCGCCGTTCGTTCAGAACCCCCCAACCCCCACCTGCATACCAACGACGCCAGAGCGCAAGGAGCCCCTCGGACCAGAATGACAAGGACGACTGCTTCGAACACCGACTACTATGAAATCCTCAGCCTCCCCTTCACCGGCTCCACAGCCACAGTCCTCTCCAAGCAGCAAATCAAACTCGCCTACCACAAAGCGCTCCTAAAACACCACCCAGACAAGGCGGGTGCTGTCGCACAAGATGCAGGACTGAAAGGCGTCCCAGCTGCCAATGGCATCTTCTCCCGATCCGACGATGATACTGCGCGCCGGCGCTCGTACACCATCGACGAGATCACCACTGCCTACAAGACGCTGTCGGATCCTCTCCTCCGGGCCGAATACGATCGCTCGCTGCGTTTGGACCGGAGCAAGGCTGCAGAGCGCGAGAAGGCCGGCGATGTCTTTCATACCGGGCTGGAGATTGTCGACCTGGAGGATCTGGCCTGCGACGAGGACGGTGGTGCCGGGGATGAACATGGCGGAGCTTGCTGGTATCGCGGGTGTCGGTGTGGTGATGAGAGGGGGTTTTTGGTTACGGAGGGTGATCTTGAAAGGGAAGCAGAGCACGGCGAGATTGTTATCGGGTGTCGTGGGTGCAGTCTGTGGCTGAAGATCCTGTTCGCGGTGGATGTGGAGGGCGATGGGTGAAGAGGCTGCCACAGTTCTCTTGGCTCTTCTCTTTTCATCTTGTCTGTCTGCTCTTGTCAGATGCGGCTGGGCAGTCCTTGCGGCGTCTCTGCTGCTCCATGTCACGCCATATGCCGCGACGGGCTGATTCAATGCCTGGTGTGTAGGAGCAGTCCGGAACTCGGGCAGGCTTCAATGCCATGATTTATCTCATTCTAGGCCGTGCTGCAGTACCGCAGATACAGGCATGGGCATCGAGTTCTGGGAAGTCGACAGTGACATCCAGCTCGAATGGCGTGGCGATACCACACCCAAGCAGCTTCCCATGGCTTGGATCCTTGCACTCGAGATCATTAAGAGCCCAGATAGAAACCGACGCACTGGGCACCTTGAATATGGCAGGCTCCTGCTCTTCATGTGTCGCAAAAGACATGCGTTGACGGGCTGCCTCATACACTGGGATAACATCGAGAGGAATCAATCCCAAGCTCCTAGCTAGAGGAATATGGCAATAAAACCTGAATTCTAGATCCCTAGGTGATATGTTTCTTGAAAAAAAAATTCCATAGAAATATTTGTAATTCATCTGGAGCTATCATGAATACATCAGCATAGATAAATAACTATCCAGCTATTCCATGGATATATATTTGAAATGCCTACAATCCCGAGGATAGTTGGTCACAGAACAATGAATTTCTTTCAAATATTGCCCTTGATATAAATACTCATTCTTCGAGACAAATACCTACACCCATCTCTAACTTGGCAATTGTTTATTTTGGCTGATATGCAGACCGTGTGAATGCCGCGGGGCGCTGATGACATATATGCAACCACAACACCATCTCCAGTCCTCACCTCCCATCTCTTCCTCCAAGATACCCTCTCATCCCCTCACGATGTCTGTCGTCAACATATCCTCCAAGGAGCAGTTCAACTCGCTCCTGAACTCGTCGTATTTTGTCGTTGCCGACTGTAAGTGCGCTGCTGGCTCCCCGCACCTGAGATTCCTGCCCCTCTGCCAGGGCTCCCTTCCCCCACCGACACCGACAGTCCGATCGGATAGCCGCCAACATTGCTGACCTGGGGCGTGAAATTTAGTCTATGCCGACTGGTGCGGACCATGCAAAGCCATCGCGCCGGTCTACGACTCGCTGGCGCGGCAGCTCACCCGGCCGAACCACATCACGTTCACCAAGGTTAATGGAGACCAGCAACGCGACCTCGCACAGGCATATAGCGTGAGAGCGTAAGGATATCACTCGTGCCAGCAATGGATGCAATGTTACGAAAAGAAGAAAAGCGCGACTCGCTGACGCATACTACGATCTTTAGATACCCGACGTTCCTTGTTTTCCAGAACGGCCGCAAAATCGAAACAGTGCAGGGCGCCGACCCGCGCAAACTAAACGAGGTCATCCAGCGACTCGCGTCCGAGGCAAGCAAGTCAGACGGGGCCGGGGGCGATGCCGGCGAAGGGAATGGCGCGAACGGCGGCTGGCTGGGTGCCGCCGTGCCCAAGGGATACGGCGACATCACTGACCAGGTCGATCTGACGGGATTGGAGCTTCTGAACCGCGACAGCGAGCGGGGCATGCCGCGCTCGTTGTTCGAGACGGCGAAGCCGTCTGCGCTGTCTGGCAAGGGCAAGGGCAAAGGCAAGGCCGAGGGCGGCGGCTCGCCGGACTGGGTGGAGAGTGACACCGACGAGCAGCTGATGCTGTACATCCCGTTCCAGTCGAATATCAAGGTGCACTCGCTCCATGTGACCTCTGTTCCTCCTGCGGCCGGCGAAGACGAAGATGCCGACGACGACGAGCTGCCCATGCGGCCCAAGACCGTGTCGCTCTACACCAACCGCTCGCAGGTGCTTGGGTTCGACGAGGCGGACGACATTCCTGCGGTGCAGACGGTCGAGATCAAGCCCGAGGACTGGGACTCGAAGACGGCTACGGCCAAGATTGACCTGCGTTTTGTCAAGTTCCAGAATGTGACCTCGCTCGTGGTGTTCTTTGTGGATGGAGATGGGGATAGCGAAAAGCTGCGCGTCGACCGAATCCGCATTATCGGCGAGGCGGGCGAAAAGAGGACCATGGGCAAGTTGGAGAAGATTGGTGACGAGCCTGGCGAGTAGATTATAGAAGCAGGCCAGTCCTTTCTTGACCGGGATACGTCGGTAGACAATGGAGTTTAATGGATAGCGAATACAGCGTCTACGGCACGAAAACATTGTTCTGTCGGAAGCATACAGCTTATCTCTTTCATTGGAATCTAATATGATCTAATACTGCATCGACAGTAGAAAATGGTATGTCCGATCCCAAACCAAATGGTCTCATCCTTGAGAGAAATCAGAAAGACCAATAAAGTACGAACCGGTGTGCAATTCCTTCGCTCTGTGGCGCAACTGACACCTGGTAGTACATCACTGAAGCCACCAGCAAGGGCAGCAGGGATGTCCAGGCAACACGGGTAATAAATTTCAGAGTTGCGCCGCCGCACGAAGGAAGAAAAGAAAAAGAGAAGGAAGGACGGACTCGCGTGCGAAGATTTTATGTGCGAGCCGGATTATCGTTGTTCCTGGGTACTAGGCTGACTTAGTTATCTTAAGGAGGCGGTGTGTGATGGCATAAAAATTTCTGGTGTTCCTCTCTTTTGCTTCGTCCTCCTCCTCTTTCTTCTTTCCATTACACAATTGGGCTGATGATGAGGTTTATGGATTTATGATAGGAAGAGACTGACCCCTTTTGATCAGGGGGGATGATCTCACAATTTTTACCATCCACTGAGGCCTGTTTGTTGGATTTGAGATTGGAGGTTTTTCAGCTTCCAAGGTTGCGGGAAAGTTAGCATTTATGTTTATTCCCATCGGGCTGAACTCGCTTGTTAGTCGCAGGCATTGCTCTGCAGCAACCAAAGACACAAGCACCTGCAAAACATCAATTTTTCATATCTGCCAGTGTGCAGCTCGCAAGCGAACTCTGACGAGGACCCCGGGAGAGATTAAAAAACAAAGAGAACAAGAATCAACACGGCTCGGCAGTTGCCCGACACTAACCAAGCCGATTCCACGGTGCACCTGGAAACTTTACTGTATATCCCTTCGTAGCTCTGTAGCAGGGCACAGGGCACAGACAATCGATGCCGAATCTTGGATCTCGTGGGTCCCTGCGACGATATCAATCTCGGGCCGTCATCCACAGAACCAGAAACTTCGTCCCTGGATGGGCTCTGGTATTCCCAAGTCCATACAACATGTACACATGCATCCACATTGCACAGAGTGCATGTCGTGCGTATATGGATATAGGACGGGGCCCAGTACCAGGGTAGCGAGTCCCCGCCCGGTCGTGCCCTTCACCAGATAGAGACTAGACAGGATGAACTTGCGAGATTTGCAACTTCTCCACTGGACCGAATCGGTGGCTGGATAAATTGAATAGTTGGGATCATTGGATCATTGGAGTCGGCACGTTCTCAAGATCCACGGCCAGGGCAATCGCAATCCGAAACATACCCGATCCAGGGCCCATAATCGTGATCGGATAGGTACCAAATCTCCAAGCTTCAAGTCATAGTCATACCGTAGGTGTGAGCTGTAGAGCAATCTCCGCATTGTAGCTCATTTCTGGACCCAAGGTTAGCAGATGTCTTTCCATTCGTTGGAGAAGTAAAAAAAAAAAGAGTCTTTACTGGATTTAGCAGAGCCTGCAGAAGTTTGTTTGGTTGCTCAAAACCAGGTCCGCAACCCAGTCCACATTCTCATGCCTCGATACGAGAACGAGATGTTTGAACGGACTGTACACTATGCGCAGTATGATGTACTCAGCCCGGCGCCCAGTCACGAGCGAGTGGGTGGCCTGGCATCGCCAACCGGCGTATATACATTTAGTTAATCGGGTGGAGGGATGTCGCGTTTAGTGGGACTAAGAATTGCGCCCATGGTTAGCAGACAGGGCAACAAATAACCCGTGCTAGTCAAGACCTGACGTAGTAGTAGTAGTAGTAGTAGTAGTAGTAGTAGTACATAGTGGAAGTCACTATGTAGGTTGTGTATACACACCTACATATCGCCCCCAGACATGTAAGGCTGCCTGCAGTATATGTTATTGTTTATAGACTTTTGGCCCCAGTGTATCATCGCAGTGTTTCGTGGTTGTGCAGAGGCTGAAACCAAAACCGCCCCCTCCTCTCCCCTCAGGGACCCTGAGCTGACAAGTGTTGCCACACGGTGGGCTCGTGGTTCAGGTCGTGAGCTGGAAAAAAAAAAACAGAAAATCTGGTACGTATTCGGGCCGCATACACAAGATCTGTCTTACTCAGGACCATTTTCTGGGTCGAAGAGCCATGGGGCCCTCTTGGCTTTATTGGGACGAGTGCTATCTGATGGCAAATGGACTCGGGTGTCGATCCTGATAGCGAGAAAAAGAGAGAAAAAAAAAGCAAAAAGGAACCATCGCACACGAGTATTGGGTGTCTAGTGTTTAGTGGATGTTCTTCAGCGTTCCTGGAGAGTTCGGTGGATCAATACTATATTTCAGAAGGGTCCATGTCCACTGCCGTGGGGGTAATTATCTGCAAAGATAGACTTAGAGATATACGCGAATCAGTATGCATCTTACTTATTAGTATAGTTGTGGCTATGTAGATATCCATGAATGTTTTGTATTGCGTGCGAGTTAGCATTTCAGCCCACTCGAGTACAAGGACCCAGCGATCGGGATACGAAGATACGATACCTTCACATATCCATGGATGTAGATTGTGATCCTCCCAATCACTTTAGCCGGGCCGGGTATTTTGGCTAAGGTGGCAGATAAGCCCAAGTCAAAAACCACGGAATCGGGTTGCACGAGTTCCCAGGGTTGCGGGTTCATAAGTCAGGCACGGGTGAGATGGAATGGAGAAGCGAAACAGAGGGATTTCGTTGGCTTATTCCCATCTGCATCTCTGTTAAGTGGCACCAGGGCTAATGCAGCACGGCACCGGGGGCTGGGAACCTCCAGTAGTGTCCAGTTAATTACAGTAGTCCATGTAGTACAGGAAGTACAGGAAGTATACAGGAACAGGAACAGGAACACAGTTGTGTATCTCCGCATTCGATCGAAATCATTAGGCTCGATTGCGTGTGATTTGCGCTTCACCGAGGGAAAAAAAAAAGAAAAGAAAAGAAAAGTGGATGGAACCGGTGGGGAAACACAAATTCTCCCACTAGCAGGATGAAGCTTCACTCTCACACACTTTCTCTTTCTATGGCATCTCAAGCCCGGGGAGGAATCGACATCGAGAATCTTCTATTGGCCCAATCTCCGCTAGTCGAGTCAGTTCAGTTAGTCCAACCGAGGACCCTGGTGTGTTATACCCAGCTAGGAAGACCTCCGAAGCACGGAATTTGATGAGCAGCAGATCTTGCCCGGATGAGCCCGTCAATTTCCCACGTTCCCAGCCCGCGCTGGGAATTAATTAGGACACGTGCTGTGATCCCAAGGTTTTCTTTCTTTTCTGGCCGGATCTTGCCACCATTCCCATTCCCGCACCCGAGACTAAACGACTACGGATATTGTCGGGGAAAACCACTGTGAGACACCAGCCCCAAGGTCCCCCAGCGATCGACACTCCGATTCCATTCCATTTCCAAGAGTGGAAATTGGTATCGATTGGGGCCTTGGTTCACGCCAGCACGTGCGACACTGAGTTCACAACGTGGCCAAGCTATACCATCATAACCCTCACATTGGGAGCGGGATCGGCCGTCTGGTCCAGGAACAGAAAACTCAATGGCCAGAAATGAGTGAGCCGTGAGCAAGAGACGGCGCGCCGTGTCTCCCATGGATCGAGGAATGCCGCACAGGTGTTAGCCGAGTCTCTCCCCGCACTCTCTGTGCTTGAGTAGGTAAGGTACAAAGGTAAGGTCTCCACGTTCCTTTCGTAGCAATTGGGCCAGGGTCGTCAAGCACAAGTCCCGAGGAAGAATTTAGCGAAACGGTGAACTTCAGCCGTTTGGGGCGGCAGAGAGAGCCCCGTGCGTGAGGCTACCAATTACTATGTACACTGTACGGAGACTGCATGTCTACTATGAGATTGATTCTTACTGTCAGCTACAGTCAGCGACATCAGCGACATGATCGACGGGAAGCCTTTCTTTTTCGCCATTGAATCCACCGAGGCGTCCACGTCCACGAGACAACGCCCGAACCAGCCAGCAGAGCTCAGCTCGACCAGGCACAACATAACATAGTGGAATAGTGGACTTCGGAAATACACCATACTTCCTGATTTGGCATTGCCGCCTTTTCTTTCTCTTGGGCATTGATCCCCATTAGCATTAGTCATTTTTCATTTATGCGACTCCTTCGACTATCAGGATGTACAATATGGAGTCGAGCATGGACACTACACTACACTCTACACTCTACACTCTACGCACTACGCACTACACCACGAGCTAGCAGCTCCGCTAGCAACGCCCATGTTTTTCTCTTGTCTCTCTTGCGAGGGTCTCGATTTCGCGTTCCCTCGGTGGGAACTAGCCAAGACCCGGCCCACAATAGCGCCAGACGCAGCCTCAGAAACGCGTGTTCTGTACCCAGCGTACCTTCACGCTTTCCCGTCGACTGGAGCTGTTTCAGATTCGGGCTTGTCAACGGCTCACGGAAAGCCCCGACCGAAAAAAAAAAGTGACCCAAAAAACACCAATAGAAACACTAACGAAAACATGAAGGAAACCAACTTCTTCCAGTATGGAACTTTCGCACCGAATGGAGCCCGACTTTTGTCCACTAGCCCTTCTCTTCCTCGTTTCCTCTCTCTCCACATCGCTCATCCTCATCCTTCGAGGACTGGACGATCTGCGCATGTCGAAAGCAAAATAACATTGCAGGAATTCCGGTGCTCTCGGCCCTACTCTTATGGGAGTAGCTTCATTTCAAGTGGGAGTTTATATTTATTTATTATTTATTATAGGTTTATTCATTATTTTTTTCTTCTTCTTATTATGAGCACAAGACAGGCCTAGGCCACTGTAGTGTTTGAAGTGCTGGTATCCGGCTTGCACCGGCAATGGCTGGGTTGAGGGCATCCGAGTCAAGGGCTTCAAAAACATGCCAAGTATATTAGCATAACAGGGTTTTTCAAGGCCTCGAGGACTCGGCGTCCAATTGCATAATTCACTCTCTCCACCGTGATTCGCTTCAAAACAGACCAAAAAAGAAAAAAAAATCCACTTCTCTGCGCCCGTGTGATGGCTCCATTTTTTGTTCGTCTTGCGAATTTGATGGAGGATCAAGTTGAATCCCTTGAGCGCGGACCTTGCGGCAGCTCCACCGTCGCTAAAGCGTTTTCATTTACAACAGTACCTTTTTTTTTTGTTCGACAGTGGCAATCGTGAAAATCATACGGCGCGGCTCGTTCCACACTATGAATCCTGGCGTGTCAATTCGCTCTCGGACCAAGTAAGCTTTTTTTGCTGCGACGCATGGGAGATTTCCAACGCGTTATCTTGCTGATGTATCTCTCTCTCTCTCTCTTTTTCTTTAAACCCTTGCAGCGGGATGCTTAGCCCCGAGAGTTTGTTTTATTATTCGGTGCGTATCTCTACATAATTATCCGGGGTCAACCATGCAGACAACTGTAGAAGGTATGATGTATGAAGGATAGACCGGTCAACTACAGGACAGCAAGACCACAGGGTGGTCTGGTCCCTCAGATGCGGACATGATGATCGTCAACGGTTTCTCGCATTCTAGGCTGTTCCCAAGCTCCCAAGACTTTACAGTAGTTGGTTACCCTTTAGGGCTACATCACTCTAGAGAATGGAATGATTCGTCGGGGAACCAAGCAATCCTCTTCCTCGTTCCCCACTACCGTACATACATACAGTCAGTAGTATTATTATTTCATTTGCAAATGCTCGGCCTCGGTCCCGGAGCTCTGTTTGCTGGGACCGAACTATTGGCAGTTTGCCTGGCAATCTTTCAAAAGAAATGAGAAAAAAAAAAAAAAAAAAAAGAAAGGAAGAAGGAACCCACAATTATTTAGTTGCTTCTCCCACTCCCTCGGAATCCCGCCTGTGCCACTTGGTAGGTGCTCACTCCTTCTCCCCCCCTTCCCGCGGCTTGGGAGAGACTAGGAACCGCCCGTCCGCTCTTCTCCAGTTTGGGCTCCACCCGGGAAGGAATCCAGAGCTGTCTTTCAAAGATGGATGCCAATTGCTAATTACTGGGATGGAATTCCATTTTCGACGAATTGCGTGTTGGGTCTGGGAATACTCGCTAGGAAATCAGTGTTTTTGTTTGTTTACTTATTTACGTATCCATGGACATATACATCGTTCATTCATGTGTTTCTGTACTTTGGTGCCGTATCGATCGAGGCAATATACGGTGAGAGTGGCAATCCAATCGTGCCCCAATTTTTGGTTTGGTTTGGTTTGGTTTTTTTTTTTTTTTTTTTTTTTTCTTTGTTTCAAGCGTGTCAAGCGATGAGAAACAGTTTTCTCCCCCGTGGACCTTGAAAAAGAAAAGAAAACAGACTTTCGGTGCGACAACGGTGGCGGCAAGGATATTGGGAGTTCGTCCCTAGAAATCAATAGTTCGCAGGACAGCCAAGATGGAAAAATTTTGGGCGTCCATTCCTCCGACTGTCTCTCTGTCTGTCTGTCTTGTCACAAGCGTCATAATTTCCGAAAGTCACATTCTACAATATCTCCGCAGATATATGCAAGGGTGTTTTTCTCTTCGTAGATTATAGATATAGATAGATAGATAGATAGTAGAGCGGCTAGATTAAGTTCTCCAAGTGACAGCCTTCTATGCATGGACTCTTGTTTCCCCCCAATTGCCTGGAACGGAAGGGAGAGAGAGGAGAGTGGACGGGCTTATTATCTCCAGCTTGTCCCTGAGGAGATGTGGAAACTCCCATGATGATCAGACATTTTCCCTGTCCACAGCGGGTTTTGTATTTCCCATTTGTGATTGGCAGCGGAAGTATGGAAGGCTCCGCCCGGTACCGACGCTTTGTCCGCGATGGGGATAGGTGGCCAATTAGTGGAGTAGATGAGTGGAGTTAGTACTATGTTTAGAAGCATTTGGCCCAATGCCTCTAAGTGGTTTGATACATCAGGTGGGTCGAGGGTATGTACATCTTCATATTTGTAGGGATGAGATGATGAAATCCCAAGTTGGATACTCTCGAGGACCATAAGCATACTGTCTGGTCTGGACTGGAGGCGAAGTACATAAATTAGGATATAATTTATTTTCTTACTAGGATTTTTGTATTGTTTCCACACCCTCTCGACTCAACAATTGGCCCGGGCCTTGCTTGCGCGGGCTTGCAGGTGGGTGGCCTGTCAGTCCCGTAGCAGATGGATCACAGAGGGGGAAAGTGCGAATATCCCCCGGATCAGCGATAGGTCAGCAAAGAGGGCGTGCCATCACATCACCCTGCGCTCGAGACACATCATTCTGTATGTACATGGTGTCCTGCGAGCCAATCGGAGGGTCCTAGAGGTGTTCTTTTCAGCTATCAACCCTTTGCTCGGTTTTGGGGTTTCACGATGTATGTAGATCTGAGGTGTGTTTACACCACTCGTCATCGGGCAGCTGGCACCCATCGGTGTGGCAAGATGCTGATTCGACGCCAACTGCAGTTGAGCCTTGCCTCTCAGGCCAATGAGCGGGATTGATGGTTCTCGCAGTGCCTCCGCAGGTCGGTTCCTGCAGTAGGCCGCGCAATGGAATATCGCAGCCTTGAGCACTGCCTTTTGGGTGTTGAGTGGTCTCTGTCATATCGAGAGAAGAGCGTAGACACATCCAAGAAAAAAAAAAAAAAGTGGCAAAACTGAACTCAATAGGAGCGAAGGAAGGGTATTGCGATTCGCATTTTCGGGGCGATCACTAAGAAAAGACACCGAGGATCTTTTTTTGGTTGCACTGGGATCATATGAAATTGACCGGGTCAACCGAGCCATGATTTTTCTTTTTTTTTTCTGCTCACCAACTGCCGACCGTTTCGCAATGGTCGCACGGTCGCCACCGTTGATAGCGTTTCTGATCGGGATTCATTGAGTATAGTGTTGTTTCTCGATATGGAATGGATCCGCCCCAAGAGGCTTTTCCATGCTGATCTTGCCGGGGGGAAATGGGTCTCCGAGCGGGGACTCTCTTCAGCCAGTCACATCAGAAGTGGTCTGTCGATCCCCATTGCGTGTTTCCCCTCTTATTTGCAATAAAATACCAGAAAATACCGAAAATACCGAAATATACCGAAATATACCGAAATCTAACACGGGACGGGGCGTGGGGCCAAGCCAGCCAATCCTTCGGCCCCAGGGCACTTTCCACCTACGTAGGTAGGTCTACTGTGCTTGATAAGGCTCATGGCTGTCCAATAGTGGTCTCCCTCGTGGCCACACGCCATTTGCGAGGTTTGCCCTAACCTTCGTGGTTAACCCTACTTGGATACGGATGTAGAGGTAGCATGTGAGGGTGAAAGGCATCATGGGTAGAGAGTGAGATATTAGGATACTTCCCATATTTCACAAGATAATAGATATAGATAAAGATCCCAATCCAAGGGAAGTCTTGTACATGGATTCGGCTCCTACTCTCCGCATTTCGCTCTCGTGCTTTTGCTCCACTTGCGTTACAGTACATATAATATAGTAATAACAATAATAATAATAATAATAATCATATATGGTATTTTATCGATGGGTCCAAATCTCCACTGCCCCCACCTCTTGCCTCGATCAACGCGATTGGGGCTTTGCCCAGAATCTCAGTGTCTTTCCCAATCCCGCCCCGGCCTGATACATTCCTTATACAGTGCTTGAGACAATAAAACATATAAAATATAAAAAAAATAATAAATCATAAATCCAAATGTACCCGTTCCTGGCCCACTCCACGACTAGCGACCCGACAAGAGAAAACAGCAGATCACTCTTTTTATCCCGACACACCTATCTCATATCTCTCTGTCTTTCTCTCTCCCTCTCTCGCTCTCTCGCTCTCTCTCGCGTCTCTCTTTTTGATTTTCCCATTTTTTTTTGAATTCTTTTTATCTATTCTATTTTTCTTTTCTGATCATTCCCTTTCTGACTAGCCTTGTCGATTTGACCTTTTTTCGGTTTGGGGCCTCTTATTTGGATCCGTCTCTTGCTCTTGCTCTTCCTCTCATCTCTCTCTCTCTCTTCGGCCCCAAACTAGCAACTTGTCTTCCCGGAATCCTGTGCTCTCTCCAGGTTCCTGTCCTTCATTTGACATCTCTCTCCCACCCCCCATAAAATCACGGTGCATTGAAAGCCTTCACCTCTCACCCTCCCCCCATCTTATACTATACCCTAATTTCCCCGTTCATTCCTTCGAAACATCATCTTTGGCCATTTGATCACAACCTCTACCTCTTTATATTAATATCCTCAAAACCCAACCGACGCTCTGGCCCATTTCGAAAGGTGTGTTGTTTGCTGGCGTGGTAACTGCTCAACTTCTCCCACAAAGCATACTGATCTCGGAGGGAAACAGCATACTTCCGCAATGGACTCAACATACACTATGGCACCCGTCCAGGGCCAACCCTCTTTTGCATACTACCCCGACTCATCACAGCCCCGACAGCAGGGTCCCTACACCGGCCAGCCGTCAGATGTGCCGTACTATGGACAGATGCAGTACTCGGGTGCGCAGCGAGGCACCGAGCAGCCAGTCTACTCGGCTCAGCCCGTGATGAACATGCACCAGATGGCCACCACCAATGCCTTCCGGGGCGCCACCATGAACATGACCCCCATTGCCTCGCCGCAGCCCTCGCAAATGAAGCCGGCCATCATCGTGCAGCAGGGCTCTCCAGCCCTGCTGCCCTTGGACACCCGCTTCATGAGCACGGATCTGTATGGGTTCCCATCGACGCCGCCGCTCTCTTCGTCGGGCAGCACTATCAGCAGCCCTCCCTCCGCCAACGGCACGCTTCCGACTCCGGTCAATGACGGCTCCTTCGGCTTTGAAAAGGTCGAGGGCGTCAAGGAGGGCTGTGAGACCGATGTCCACACGGAGATTTTGGCCAACCCGGACTGGTCGCGCTCTGGCTCGCCTCCGATGACACCTGGTAGGTGTGACATGTACCACATGGCCCGAAATTTGACGTGTGGGAGTTTTGGGGGGGACGATCCACGCAAGGGCGAAACACAAAATGCTAATTTCCGCGGCCCAGTCTTCATTCACCCGCCGTCGCTGACCGCCAGCCAAACGTCTGACCTCTTGTCTGCCAATTCCTGCCCCTCGCTTTCCCCCTCTCCCTCGCCCGTCCCGACCGACATTCTTGCTCAGTCGCAGTCGCTGTCGGGCGAGTCGTCGGGCGCCGATTTCTGTGACCCCCGCCAGCTTACCGTGGAGCCTTCTGTGAACGCTCCGACCCCCCAGGAACTCCCTCCTCTGCCCACCCTCTCCTGCGAGGAGGAAGAGCCTCGCGCCGTTGTCGGTAGTGCGTCTGTCACCCTGCCTGTCAATGAGAACCCGTCGCCCTCGTTTACCAGCTCCACTGAGGACCCCCTGACCTCGCTGCCCACCTTTGACAGCTTCTCGGACCTCGACTCGGATGACGAGCTGAACCGCCTGGTGGAATTTCACCCGGGCGCCAATGCCGTGTATCTGGGTGACAAGCGCCAGCGGGTGGCCCCGTACGCCACCGAGGACGATGGCTTCCTCAGCGAGCACAGCCTCGATGACTCGGAAGACTCAGAGGTCTACATCCCCTCGGGTCCTCCCTCCTTTGAGTGGACGGAATCCGTCCAGCCTCAAGCCAAGATTGAGGAGCCTGCTCCCGAGGAAACCAAGAACAAGAAGCGCACCAACCGCAAATCGTCTCGCAAGAACTCCGAGGACGATGGCGAGGTCAAGAAGTCGGTGACCGTGCCTGCACCCCAGTCCGTCAGTGGCTCTGACTGTGGCTCCATGTCCGACTCGCCCGAGTCTGCACCCGTGTCGGTCAACCGCCGTGGTCGCAAGCAGTCGCTGACCGAGGACCCGTCCAAGACCTTTGTGTGCACGCTGTGCTCGCGTCGCTTCCGTCGCCAGGAACACCTCAAGCGCCACTACCGCTCACTCCACACCCAGGACAAGCCGTTCGAGTGCAACGAGTGCGGCAAGAAGTTCTCCCGCAGTGACAACCTTGCCCAGCATGCCCGCACCCATGGTGGAGGCTCCATTGTCATGGGCGTCCTGGACGCCAGCGATGCCGCTTCCATGTATGACGAGCAGCAAGACGCTGGCGCTCTGGGTGCGGTCATGTACGAAGCCGCCCAGGCTGCCGATGCCGAGGATCCCTCTGTGGACCGTCGGCCAGCCAAGAAGCGCAAGCGGGACTCGGCCTAAATGGGCTGGCTCCCTCGAGGGCGGTCATGATTTCAACGAGACCAGGAGCTTCCTACTGCATATATAATCACATTCACCTTTCGTCGGTCGTCTTTCTCTGGGAAGCTTGACTGTCTTGAATTGGGTTCGGCGTCCGGGCATTTTCTTTTTCTCTCCTTTACAGCTGGCGGAAACAGGGGTCATCGGTGTACGCGGCAATTGGGTTTCCCTCGGCAACATTTTTTGGTTCCTCTTTTTTCTTTTCTTTTTTTACCACAACATTTGCGCAGGAACAGTGAGGAGAACAGCGAGGAGAACAGCGAGGTTGCCAAGTGACTTTCTTGTCTTTTCTTTTCTCTTTGCCCTCGGATTGGCTCCTTGGCTTGTTCACCAGGGAAGAAGGGGCATGGGCGCTATACGGGGGTCCATGAACCACAAAAGAAGCATTTATAGAGCGATGGCATCTGTCTACATGGGCACAGATGGCGGTGTTGAATTTCCTTTGTTTTGTCATTTCCTTTGTTGATTCCCTTGTTTCTTTTCCTTCTCCCTTCCAACAGGACCAACACAATCGGGGCGTGGGCATCATCTTCACCCGCTCACATTATCAGCCTCGACTTCTGTGCGTGTACCTCTTTTATTCTATCCTTTTGTTCTTCTCTTCTTGTGACTTCTTTTTTTGCTTCTCTTCTGCTTCGGTTCGTCTTCGTTCATTGTCATTGTTCTGCTCTATTCGATGTAATATTTTTGTCTCCCCCCTTTTTCTATTTGGCTTTCATTTTACCCCCCTGTTTCTTGTGCTGGTCACAATTCGTGTATAAGTTAATTTGACCACTCCTGTTTTTTTTTTCATACCCCCTTCGTGTACTGCATTCATCTTGTCTACCCCCTTGTGTTGGTCTGCTATATTGATGTTGGCGCATCACAATCACAAGCATAATTCTCACTTGATATATCTCTGATCTCGTAGAAGTAAGATCTATGGATTTTAATATAGCTCTAAAATGGCCATAGTTGTAGTAAAGTAGAAGTAAGGACAAGGAACTACAGGCATTATCGTCTGCCTCGGCTTATCGATAAGTGTCTCTCGCGGGGACAAAAAAGTCCCGCCATTCTTGACTTGAGCAAACCAACCTTTGAAAATATCAAGATATACAGACCCAGAACATCTGAGATCGGCGATACAAACACACAAGATTATTTCTGTGTCTGCCACTCTGGGTGTATTATGTCGCCCCCCTCGACTCTCCCTCCCGCCCCAGGTCTGAATGTCATCGCTCTGATCTCGGGCGGGAAGGACTCGCTCTACTCGCTGCTTCATTGCATGCGCAACGGGCATCAGGTGGTTGCATTGGCCAATTTGTATCCGGCACCTAACAATATTCGTCACCCTGCCACACGGCCTGATGAGACCAGCAATACCAAAAACGATGATGATAAAGCGGATGAAAAGGATGAGGAGGATGAGGAGGAAGAAGATATCGACAGCTTCATGTACCAAACAATCGGCCACAGCGTCATCCCGCTCTATGAATCCGCCCTCGAAATCCCGCTCTACCGCGCCCCGATTACCGGCGGCGCGGTCGACACAGCTCGTATCTATCGACACGACGCAGCAGACCAAGCAGCCGAGAGCAGCACCAGCACCAGCACCGGTACCGGTCTTGATGCAGACGAAGACGAAACAGAGGCACTTGTCCCTCTTCTCCGCCGTATCCAAAAAGCCCACCCGGAGGCCAACGCCGTCTCCGCAGGTGCCATCCTCTCCACCTACCAGCGCACCCGCATCGAGAACGTCGCCAGCCGACTGGGTCTCGTCCCGCTAGCCTGGCTCTGGATGTATCCCTCGCTACCTGCACCAGCGGAGCGGAGCAATGATGATCCCAGCGCCGTGGCCGAGGCGGGGTTGCTGGAGGATATGGCGGCGTGTGGGTGCGATGCGCGCGTGATTAAGGTCGCGTCTGGTGGGCTAGATGAGGCCTTTTTGTGGGAGAATGTCTCTGCAAATACTACTGCGGGTGGTGGGCTTGCGCTGCGCAGGCGCATGCTTCAGACTATGGGCCGGTTTGCGGCGCCCGAGGATATTCGGGGTGCGGTGCTGGGCGAGGGCGGCGAGTATGAGACGCTTGCAGTGGATGGGCCTGGGTTTTTGTGGAAAAAGAAAATCGTTGTTGAGGCCAGGGAGCCGAGGTCGGGCGAGGGGGGTGTGGCTTATATGAGATTGAGGCGTGCAAGGTGTCTTCCCAAGGTGTCTGAGGAAGAGGAGAAACAGCAGGTCTTTACGCCGCGGGATGTGAGGCAGCCTGCGTTGCTGGATGCGTCTTTTGCGACAGCTTTGGAGGAGCTGGTTTCTTCTGCGTCGTCGACTCAGAATATTGCAGATCCTCTTGCCAATTTGAGGCTCTCGGCTGACTCTACAGAATCGTCTGAATGGCCTGCTTGCAAGCCGTCCACCCGCAAGTCCGCCATGACGTGGACGGTTTCGAATCTCGCTGCGCCCGAGGCTGGTCCTGGTGCAGGACAGCAGATGCAGGCCATTGCCACGCAAATCATCGAGGCCTTGACAACATACTCTCGTCCTTCTGATGCCGGCCCTCTGTCTACAGACGACATCATCTTCGCTACGTTATTGCTCCGTTCCATGGACGATTTTGTCCTGGTGAACAGGGTCTACGTCTCCCTATTTAAGAAACCCAACCCACCCGCACGAGTCACAATTGCCTGCGGCGACCGACTGCCGTCGGATGTTAAGGTGATGGTTTCACTTGTGGTTGATGACCTTGGCCCGCGAGACCAGCGCCAGGGCCTGCACGTCCAATCCCGGTCATACTGGGCACCGGCCAATATCGGTCCCTATTCGCAGGCCATGTCTATCCCTCTGCACGGAGACAGCAGAGTGGTTTACATTGCCGGTCAGATCCCGTTGGTGCCTGCATCTATGGAAGTGGTGGGTCGAGAATTGCCGTGGTTTGAGGGATATTGTCACCGGGCTGTACTGGCTCTCCAGCATCTCTGGAGGATTGGTGATGCCATGCAGGTGGGCTGGTGGCTGGGCACCGTGGCATTTCTGGCTGGCGAACACGCCGACGTAATGGCTCGTTCGGCATGGCAGCTCTGGGCGAACATGCATGCTCGTTCAGATGACTCAGATGACGAAGACAGCAATGATGAGAGCCCGCAGTTGGATGCCTGGGATATCAAGTACGGACGCCGTGCCGATGAGCTGGCTCCGCGTGCGGTTGCGTCAAGGCTGCCCAAGTTCGCTGTCTTTGATATCACATCTGCCATTTCCGTCCCGCCCTTCCTGGCCGTGCAGGTCTCTGAATTACCCAAGGGTAGTGATATCGAGTGGCAGGGACTGGGGAGTCGATGCGATCAAGCTCGCGTGGATCTGGATCTTCCAGGTGGGAGTATCTCCTCTACCACGGATGGCAGGTACAGCTACACTGCTTTGGAGTTCGATGAGAAGTCTGAAGAACTGGAGATGAGCCTGCAATCAGTGATCCAGACCCATGGCGGTGACTCGAGTCTGTCGCAGGCCGTGCTATACACCACATGCCCTGAGCCCAACGGCTTCTGGCCGGGGCAGGTCGTCCCATGCCTGTCGGTTTGGGGACGAGAAGGGCGACGATTGACGGCGGCAGTGATGCTACATAAAATGGGGTAGAAAGAAGTAAAAGAGATATACAACATGGCAAAAGAAGAAGTGTGTCCCAAGCAGTAGACGGGTGACGTGCACAGTCCACCGACATGTGATAAGCAGAATCCCTTCGTTCTGGAAAGATAACAACATCGCTTTTCCACGTTTTGGCCTAATCAGCTGGAATTCCCATTGCTCCACAAACTCTTCTCCCCTCTCCCCCCAAAACCTCGACATGTCATCCCGCTCAACATAGGACATGGCGCCATGAGTTCGTCGTGGGGCCCGGAGGAACAAGCAGCCACCCCTCGCAGCAGCACGCCTGCCAGCTCCGAACCCATCGAAGATCTGCGACCGTTGACTCGCTCCCCACACCCCTATCACCTCCGCAGCAGACGGCTGGGATCGCAAACTCCCCCCGATTCCAGCGACCGTCTCCACCCGCCCTCCTACTACTCCAGCAAGTCCTCCCGCACCCCTAGCGACAGTGGCACAGAGGCCGACGATGAGAGCACCGGCATCCTCAAGGGTCTCCCGGCCCCGCCATTGCGTCTTCGGAAGGGCCTGCGTCTAGCTGGTAATGGCGCCGTCGACGTCGATCCCTGGTTCCCCACCCTGCAGCCGTGGCCGTCGATTGTGCGGTCAACGCCCCGGGGCTCGCGTCGGAGTTCGGCGGAGGAAGCGGAAGAGGAGGCGGTTGAGGCGCGTCTGAAGCTTAACCGGAAGAGTCGCGTTGAGGTTCTGAGACGGCTTTTGGAGGCTGCGCTTTTGCTGTCTGTGGGTGCTGTGGTTGTGTTGCGGCCTGATGCCCGGTCGTTTGCCTGGGCTTGGAGAAAAGGTAGCGTGGCTGTGGACAAGACTCCCAAGGTTGATAAACTATACTGACAATATGACCAGAGCTCGTTGCGCATGGCCTGCTGGTTATTGGCCTGTATGCTGCCTATCCAGTTGTCCTGCGTGTGTCGAGAAACCGAACCTGGCGCATCTGGCCTTCGAAACGTCCGTTTTTCTCCATCCCTGCTCGATTCGATCCGGCTCCGCTGCTCTATCCAATCTTCATCCCGGTCTTTGTTTCCTTGTCTCTCACGCAACACTACCCGCCATTGATCCTCCCTAATATCCTTCTCGGCCTTTCGTCGCTCCCTGCGCCGGTGATTCCGCTGCGCGACTGGGTCCATGGCTTCAGCATCCCCCATTGGATGGTGACTCTGATTCCAGTTCTGGTCTCAGAGCATCTCTCCCTGGACTATATACTCCCCAAACCACTATCGCTTCGCGGGGTGGATGCGGAAACGTTGCTTCTTCTTTTTCCTTTGCATCAAGCGTTGATACCCACTTTAGACTTTTTGTTGACGACCAGCGTTCTGCCCGCGGAGTTGCAGCTTTTGACGACCGCTTTGACCAATCTTTACCTCTTTGCAGCCTCTCCACAGGCGGAAATCCTCAAAGCCCTGTTGTGGCTCGGTGGCCTGTGTATATTTGTTTCGTGCCGCCATATAATGCGCTGGGAGGTCGCCCTGGCTCGAATTCCCAGCTGGAAGTTTCGCCGTGCTCCCAATGGCTCGCGATCGCTGCGCAAGTTCCTGAACATGATCGACCATCGACTATGTCAAAGATTGAGCGGGACACGTGTGTCCGACGAACCCACATCCGACAGCGACGGGCCCGGTGGCTACTCGGCCCTAAAACCACGCAAAACGAAGACCATGCGTGATCTCCAAGACTTGGATTCGCCTGCAGAACCTGTGTCTGCAGTGGGCCATGTTACCACGGAAGAGATCTTCGAGCAACGTATTCATACTGTGCAGCGCAGGCGACATACTATCTCCACGTTTGAAGAGGTTATTCATGAGGAGAGGGTTCGCACCACGCCTAGTGGCCGGCGCAAGAAGTCTATGGGGCCCGGGCTCGCCTCTTTCCTGTCATTTACTGCAGCCCAAGCGCAGGTCCGCAAATGGGTGTATGCTCTGTACGTCTACGCTGTTTCAGTGGCGATTATCCTCGGACCAATCCGGAAATATGTGGCCGAGCGCGCGCTACAAGGCCAAGATCCGTTCGGTTGGGCTTTGGGGTACTTGCTGGGCAACTTGTCTGCGGTTCGATTCTGGGTTCTCATGATGAATCTCGAGTATTGGATTCAGCTCCCGCCCCGTGCTGATCCGGACATCCCGCATGCCTCCTGCTGGCTGGGATGGGTTGAGCATCTCCGGCAGGCGACATTTGGGCCTGCCAACACCCGTCTTTTGCTCAGTGGATACTGTGTTCTGGTGTTGCTGACAGGGCTGGCCGTGGTGTTCCAGCTTAGCTCTATCGCCGAAGTTGACACACGGCGTAAGGTCTTCCACGGCATGATGGTGTTGATGTTTCTTCCCACCGTCTTCGTGGACCCAACATTCTGTGCTTTGGCATTAGCGCTGGTCCTGTCGATTTTCCTCTTGCTGGATTTGTTCCGTGCCTCTCAGTTGCCCCCGATTTCTCGACCCCTTACCCACTTCTTAGCGCCTTATGTCGACGGTCGTGACCACCGTGGGCCTGTTATCATTTCTCATATCTTCTTGCTGATCGGATGCTCCATCCCGCTCTGGCTGTCGCTGTCGGATCTCCCGCGGTCTACCGAGGGTCCCTGGGCCGACTGGGATGTTCCCACCCGGGACGTGAGCATGGTCAGCGGTGTGATCTGTGTCGGCATGGGCGATGCTGCTGCTTCCTTGGTCGGCCGTCGGTTCGGGCGACTCAAGTGGTTTTGGGGCGGCGGCAAGTCCCTAGAAGGCAGTGTGGCTTTTGCTGCCGCAGTATCCTGTGGGCTGATTTCTGTGCGTGCCTGGCTCGTGCTCGGGGGTTGGTCTGCATCGGGGCCCGGTTCTGCCCCTGCTTCTGGTTTTGATGCGCACTTTTGGCTCTGGACTACCTGCAAGGCTGTTTTGGCGGCAGGGGGCACTAGTGCCACGGAGGCCATTCTCACTGGTTGCAATGACAACGTCGTGGTGCCTATTGTGCTTTGGCTGCTGGTGCGGGGGCTTGGCGTATGAGAGGGGGCAAATCTATCTATAGAAGCTATCTCTTTTGGGTCTGGGATTTTGCTGGCATGATTTTGCCATTTGATGCATTTATGCCCAATTAGAGAATCTATTGCTACTTGCTTTGACAGACAATCTTACTGTTGTATGATAGAGCTCATCTATCGTAAATTCAATAGTGTAAATAGGGGCGATAGCTACCTGGACATTTAGGCAGTAAACTGGTGGCTGCCTGTGGATCGCGCAATCCACTGGCTAAAGATAAGCTCCGATCACGTGGCACCGATTTCGGCCTTATCTAATCGATAAGCACCTGACTGGCATTGTTCACTTGCTTTTCTCTCATGTCTCTCTTCTTACTCTAAGTATTCCCCTGAAATTTTCATTTTTTTTAGACCATTCCCTCCCTTTCTCTCATCCGGCATCATTTTTATATATACATTCCAACCCATCTTTCTGGAATCCTCGACCCCAACGTGCTGTGTCATTTCCCCAGACCCACGCCGCCCTCCTGACCGCCTGGCCCGATCACTGCCGCCTGTCACTCGTTATCGCCCAGGTCACACCCCCCCAGGTCCTTGGGTCCGCCCTCTTCAAGCATCACATCATCCTGCTCTCCCATTAGGCCAGGTCCCATTTGCCTTTTTTTTGCCCCCTCCCTCCCCCAACTCTGGTTCCTTACTTTTATACTCGAGCTTCCTCGACCAGCTCCGTCTTGTCTCCACTCCTACACATACATCATCACTCGCCTCACCGCTTTCATCTGCGTGTTTTGGATATTCTCATCTGAAGCTACCAACCTTGCTAGCTAGAACTGGTCGTCATCACCGTCCGGTCATCTCTTTTGCAGCTTACCCAGCCCGAGTTCGCCGGTTCTGGTGCCACGGCACCGCTGCCAGCCCTCTCCCACACTCGTTCCCCCGGTGGTTCCTTGTCCTTCCAGGCTTCCCGGCAGTTGGCAGCGTCATATTCTCTTCGTTCTCCGCTCCCCTGATGGTCCTCTACCTACGCTGGTTGTCTTACTTGTTGCTGAGGTAGTCGTGGTTGACGGGGTGTGGTAGCTACTGGATTATTCTTTTTCTGTCTTCCGCCCAGGACATACCCTCCCCCCACCGAGAGTGGCTTAGCTAGCCGCCCAGTTGGCAGCCATGGCGTCTCAACACTCACGGCGCTCACGAGAGCCGTCCCGTCCCGAAATGGCCATCGGTCGCTATACTCGCCTTGATGAGATCGGTCGAGGGAGCTTTGCCACGGTCTATCAGGGCGTGCACACGGTGAGTCATGTGTTGCCACAAGCTTGGGATGAATGTTGATGCTAATCGACTTTTTCCCCCACTCTGGCAGAGAACCCGTACCTATGTCGCTATCAAATCTGTCAATATGTCCAAGCTCAACAAAAAGCTCAAGGATAACCTTTCCTCCGAAATCGACATTCTCAAGGGCCTGCATCATCCGCACATTGTCGCCCTGATCGATTGCCATGAGTCAACCTCCCATATTCATCTGGTTATGGAGTACTGCGCTCTAGGAGATCTGTCGCTTTTCATTAAGCGCCGGGATACTCTGGCAGACCATCGATACACTCGGGACATGATTGCCAAGTACCCAAACCCAGCCGGTGGGGCTCTGAATGAAGTTATTGTTAGGCACTTCCTGAAGCAGCTCGCCAGCGCGCTGCATTTCCTTCGAGACCGAAATCTCATTCATCGAGATATCAAACCGCAAAATCTGCTGCTGTGCCCTTCCCCTTCGTCATACCGCAGCGGTGTGGCCCAGGTCATTCCTTACAAGGGCAGTGATGATTCCTACGATCCGATGACAGGTCTGGAGTCCCTTCCAATGCTCAAGATTGCGGATTTTGGCTTTGCCCGGTCTCTTCCCGCAACATCGCTAGCCGAGACTTTGTGTGGTTCCCCGCTGTACATGGCCCCCGAAATCCTTCGGTACGAGAAGTATGACGCCAAGGCCGATTTATGGTCGGTTGGTACTGTGCTCTACGAGATGGTAGTGGGCCGGCCTCCCTTCCGTGCCACAAATCATGTAGAGCTGCTACGGAAGATCGAGAAAGGGGAGGACCGAATCCGATTTCCCGAGGAGAACCCGGCTTCGGATGATATCAAGAAGCTGATCCGCACGCTCTTGAAACGCAACCCCGTGGAGCGGTTAAACTTCCCCGAATATTTTAATAACAATGTCATCAAAGATCCAATTCCTGGATTGATCGCCGATGATGCCCCGCCAGCGCCTCGAAGGCCTTCCGCCGATCTCGGCCCCATATCAGAGTCGTCCCGAGCTCAACCCCGACCGGCTCGACCGGCTCAGATTGATACGAGAAGTCCAAGGGAGTCTCCCTATTCTGCTGAACCCGAGGAAACATCTACATACCCTCGTCGGCCGACTGCGTCGCGGCAGAAGTCTGGGACTCCGCCGGGAGCCGCTCCCATGCGTCGGGTTGGCAGCGCGGACCGGCCTCCGTCCAGTGCAGCTAAAGAGCAAACACGGGGTGCTACTCCCCCACAACGGCCCAGTGCAATTAGCCATGCGACTGCCCCGGGACGTCAAGAACTGGTAGATCGCTATGCGACTACGGCGGCGATGGAGCGGCAGAGAAGTCGAAATACTTACTCTGGTTCTTCAAGGGCCGAAGAACCCTCCAACCGTGCTAGAGAGGAGCAAGACCGTGCTGCTCAGGAAGTGGCATTCGAGCGCGATTATGTTGTCGTGGAGAAGCGCGCGGTGGAGGTCAACGCTTTCGCAGACGAACTGGCTCATAGTCCCCGTATCCAAGGCGGCTTCGCTCGACCAGGCCAGGCTGGCACTGTGTCTCGTCGTGCGACTACGCAGGGTGTGCCGACTGTCCCAGCGACGTCTCCGCATGTCAACACTACCAAAGCCATCCGGGTCGTGTCGGGTCGTGCCCGGGCAGACTCATCACATCAGCGTCAACACTCCTACGAGCGACGCTACGGACAGAGTCCTACATCAGCGACGTCAGCCATTTCTAAGGCACTCAACATGGCCAGCGGCCGTTTGTTTGGCATGGGCTTCTCGCCTCCGATGGCTATCACCAAAGGTGGGCGGTCTCCGCCTTTGGCCTACAATCCTTTTCCTGTCTACCCGGCCACACAGGCAAGTCTGATGATTACGGGGGATGGAGCCAAGACCAACGTGGTCTACGATGAAGATTGCAAGACTGTTCAAGTGATCGAGGAATGCGCCACTCGGAGTGATGTCGTTTTCGGGTTCGCCGAGGTCAAATACAAGCAGCTTATCCCGCTGGCGCCTTCGGCACAAACCGACCCGGCTGCGAGACCCAGCCCTTCCGCTGAGCCCAATTGCAGTGATTCCACTGATGAAGGGCTCACCGTTGATGCGATCGTCACTTTATCCGAGGAGGCTCTGGTCTTATACGTCAAAGCTTTGTCTTTACTGGCCAAGTCCATGGACATTGCCGGGGCTTGGTGGTCGCGCAAGAACCGCGAGGAAATCTATGGAGAATCCCCGTCCAGCCGGACTGACGGAGGAACCAGTGCTCTTGCCGGGACGCGGATCAATCACGTCGTGCAATGGGTCCGGAGTCGGTTTAACGAGGTTCTGGAGAAGGCGGAGTTTGTGCGCCTGAAACTCATCGAGGGACAGAAGCGTCTTCCTCCGGATCATCCCAGCCACCCAGACAACCACTCAGTTGGCTCTACTGCTGGCTCCAGCACGGCTGATGTCGTGGTGAGCCCGGGAGTCACCGCCGAGAAATTGATGTACGACCGCGCGCTCGAGATGAGCCGCGCTGCAGCCATCAACGAACTGACGGGCGAGGATCTTGCCGGGTGTGAGATTGCGTATATTACTGCTATCCGGATGCTGGAGGCCGTCCTCGAGGATGATGGGCTGCGGTCAGTGCCTGGTAGTGGGGGTGACCGGCAATCCGCCTCGCAGACAGCCGACAAGGCGGTGCTGGATGAGCTGCAGGCGGAGGACCGGCAGGTGGTGGTGAAATGTGAGTTTCTTCGGATTTGTCCCCTTGCCATGATAACAAAAGGCTAATTTATTATAAAGTGGTGTCCAGCATGCGTGGTCGACTGGCGGCTCTTCGGAAGAAGCTGGCCCTCATCACGAAGCGCTCGTCTGCGCCAACACCCCCGATGGGCAGCACGGGCCGCGTGCCGCCATCCAACATGGGCCCCGTCACACAGGCGATGGGCGCAACATCGCCTCGGTGAACACCCCGATTTCTGTTATGATTTTGATTTGCACCGTGGTCCATTCTATATAAGTGTGCCGCGCGGGATCTTCGCGTTGATTTTTCTTCTTTTCTTTTCGTGTTTATTTCTTTTCTTGTTCACATTAATGACTTGCCATATATCCCACAGCACGAGTCGGGGGAGTTCAGTTTTGTTCTGATTTCCTTTTTTCTTTTCTATTTCTTCAGTCGCTTTGACTGGCGTTTGACCTGGGATCACGGTATACAGATTGGCACCTCATTGTCGAATTGAATCGGGTTTGCACACTGGGTCAAGGGAGTTTTGGGTGCGTCGTTGCAGATACTGGCCAGATGAGATGTATTGTACATAGATAATTTGAGGAATTTCCTAAGGGTGAATATTGCTTCTATATCTGCGACTTGCTTTGTAGAAATAGGCCGGTTTTGCTCTAGATCCGACTAGATGAGACAGATCTGACGCCATCGAAGCCAGCTGACTACTACCTATACATACTGTACATATGGACAGCATGGGATTGTCTCGACCAGTTTTTGAAGCTTGAAGCCTCGCTAAGTGGAGAGAGGCCGCGGTCCTAAGAGATGGCGTGATCGGTTTTGATGTGTCAGGGCTTCATTTGGTCCTTGGACTCGCAGGAGCTGCCTCCTCTTCGCCGAGATTCCAGCTGAAGCTTGAGTATCCACTCTCTTGGCGAGAGTGTAGGGTTCTGTTCAATGAAGATATTGATATGTTGATATCCTCCACATTTTAGCCTCTCCAGCTTTTTGTTTATAGATTAGGTCCCCCTTTTCGGTAATTAATTCTTTCTTTCTCTCGTTTTTTTTTTTTTTTTTTTTTTTTTATTGTTTTTGTTTCATTGAGCACTCCAGCCGCAGGATCCGCTGTATTCTCTCAATCTTCATGGGGTGTTCGGTCTCGCCGATGTTGAGGCTTTCTGGGCAGGCAATGGCGCCATTGTGGGCTGCTTAGCAGCCTTTTGTGGTTGCATTGGGTTCTTTTTCTGGCCTTTCTTTCTCTCTTTTTAATTCCATTCCACTCATTCTATATTTCCATTTTTCACGTCCGTGCGAGAGAAATCAATTTGCCGATAGACCGAACTATATAACTCGGCCTGGTAGCCGTAAGCCGGTGTGACCTTCTCGAATCCTTCCATCCGGCGGATCAAGCAACAACCCAGTCACCTCATAGCCATTCAATGAGTCGATACCCGCTGACCAGGGAAGTCTGAGTGGCAAAAGGGGTAATAACAAACTCCTTGGCCTCGTCTTATGAAGTAGTATTCCGCCCAGGCGCAAGCGCATATTGCACCTTATTTAGCGCCAGCACACCATCCCTCTAGATTCGCCGCTGGTAACCGTCGCCATCACCCATTTCACACTTGGATATTGCATAATATAAATAAATAAATCATGGCCGGCGACCATCGCGTGGGTGGTCGTCCTTCATCGTCAGCATCAGCAGCAGCAGAATCAACCTCGTCTCTATTGCGACCCAGTATGGCTGGTTCTGTTGACGTAGTAGCCATCGAGTCTGGCTCCGACAAGACGCCAGTGGCTAAGGCCAAACCCGCCGAGGATGGACCTCGGCGAGCGGATGGGATCTCGCAGTTATGTATGTGCGGGACGATGCATACCCTCCCTCATACTAGGGAGATTTGAATGTTCTAATCATCTGCCCTTTTGTGGTATATATAGATGAGGGAAATGTCTTCGAAGCATCACCCGATAACCGTCGCCAGATCGGCGTGTTCAGCGCCGCGCTGTTGATCTTTAACCGGGTCATTGGCACTGGTATTTTCGCTACGCCGGCTACCATCCTGGAGTTGTCTGGCAGCGTTGGTCTTTCATTGTTTATGTGGGTGATTGGGACAGCCATCGCATTGGCTGGTACAGCAGTATATCTGGAATGGGGCACTGCCATCCCGAGGTATGTTCACAAAGACCCCCCGGTATATAATTTGAAAAAACACTTGGAACACGCAAAGCTTTTAAGAAGAAGAAGAAGAAGAGGAAGAAGAAGAGTATCTAACAGGGTTCAACCAGAAACGGCGGCGAAAAGAACTATCTGGAGTATGTCTACAAAAAGCCCAAGTTCTTGGCCACAGCCATGTTCGCCGCCTATGCCTTCCTGCTCGGCTGGGCTGCCAGCAACAGCGTCATCTTCGGCCAATACATCCTCAACGCCGCGGACGTCGAGGTCGGACGCTGGAACCAGCGTGGCATCGGGCTGGCGTGTCTGACCGCGGCGTTCCTTATACACTCCACGGCTCTCAAATGGGGTCTTCGGCTGTCGAACCTGCTGGGTGTCGTCAAGCTCATTATTATCGTGTTCATTGTTGTTTCTGGCTGGGTTGCTCTGGCGGGTCATACCAAGATCGAGACACCGCATAACTTCACCAATGCCTTTGAGGGCACCAAGGGTAGTGGGTACAGCATTGTTATGGCGCTGTATAATGTGATCTGGTCGTTTATTGGCTACTCGAATGCCAATTATGTGAGTTGGAGTGACGACACCCCACACTATATCTTCTAATCTTTTGTTCTAGGTTTTGAGCGAGACGAGGAACCCAGTCCGTACCTTGAAGATTGCGGCGCCGGTGGCTATTGGTTCCGTTGGCGTTTTGTACATGCTTGTCAATATCGCCTATTTCGCCGCCGTTCCCAAGCAGCAGATGCTTGAGTCTGGCTCTGTCGTGGCTGCAACCTTCTTTGGGAATATGTTCGGCAAGAAGGCTGAGAAGGTCATGTCGGTCTTTGTGGCGCTGTCGGCATTTGGAAATGTGTTGTCTGTGCTGTTCTCCCAGGGTCGTAGTACGTTTTCCCCTTCGTTCTTAACCAGCGCTTGCTTGTGTTTCGACAGCTAATATTTGGAATGTACAGTTGTCCAGGAACTCGGCCGCGAAGGCGTATTGCCCTTCTCGAAGATCTGGGCTAGCAACTGGCCCTTCCACTCGCCGGCGGCCGGCCTGTTCGAGCACTACATTGTCTCGGTGATTATCATGCTGGCGCCTCCTCCGGGCGACGCATACAACTTCCTCCTCAAGTATGTGGCTATTTTCTTTCATCACTAGCGACTGGAACTAACCAACTGCTCAGTCTCATCTCTTACCCTCTCTCTATCATCAACGCCTTCGTGTCCATCGGCCTCATCCACATCTACCTCACCAAAGACAAGAATTTCCCAAACTGGTCGCCCGGTATTCGTGCCACATTGCCTGTCGCCGTTTTCTTCCTGCTGTCGAATCTGTACCTGGTGGTGGCGCCGTACGTGCCCCCGAGCGCGGGCCAAAGTGTCTACAAAGAGTTGCCCTACTACCTGCACTGCGTGGTGGCTCTGGGGCTATTTGCTCTGGGTGCCCTGTATTACGTTGTCTGGGCGGTATTGTTGCCTTGGCTCGGTGGGTATGTGCTGGTCAAAGAATCGGTGGTGGATGCTGATGGATGGTCGCGGAGTGTTTTTACGCATCTACCGTTGGCTGGGGAGCAGTCGTAGACATTTGAGTTCTATATTTAGCAGGGTAATTGGATAAGACGTGAGAATAGACATTCATGAGTTTAGACGAGAGAAAAAAGCTTCAGAAATGGGAATGGCTGCTGTAGATAGGAAGGCACTTCGAATGTGATATCCCACTGAGCACGTTCTGTAGCAGCAGCAATAGTAAGCTCCATAAACTGATTCTGCGGCGATAGAGCCACAAACTAGCCACAGGGAGCTTACAGCTACTACCATAGCACTTGGTGTTGGTTGGAGTCTGTCCCAGTCCTCTATGGAAGCCCACCCACAGAGTGCACTCGGCTCTGATGGACCCCTCAAACTGGCTGGAGCATAGTCTGGCAAGAGAAAACAGCAGGTGCTGTTCAACAGTCATTTGCCACAGGAGGAGGCATGCGCTGGGAGAACTTGCGTGAGATGAAAGAAGGAAGGACGTGAAGAGAGCGATGAAAGAAAAGGATCCTGTCCCGCGACTCACCGCCTGCCCCTTCGGATCGACCGCTTTGGACTGTTTTTTCCCCCCGAGTTTCGCATTGTTCGAGTTTGTCGGCGCCATTGTATGATATTTGTGTATAATTAGTGGTGTTGGTCTTTTTTGTTTGATTGATTGCTTTTTTTTTCCTCTCTTCCTTTCCCCTCTCGTTCTTTGTCTCCCATCCCCGGGGTCCGAGCCAATGCGTCGCTTCTCATCTCGGGTGCTTCAAGCCCGTCCACCGCTTCTCTCCGCCAGAGCTCCCCTCCTCCCCCTCTTCCGTTCCCTTCGCGCTCCTACCAAAACCATCCGTCCTCCCTCGCCCTTTTCCTACTCCCCCACACGCTTTTGTTCCTACCGAATGTGTCGCTCTCGCCGTGACGGACCCTCCGGTTCGACCAACACCCCGAGCCGTGAGGTCTTGCCCACCAATGTCAAGCCGGTGCACTATGACCTCACTCTCGAGCCGAACTTTGACAACTTCACCTACGATGGAACCGTCGTGATTGAGTATGATTCCCTTCCTCTATCTATAGCTCCAAGCAGCTTCTCACAGGCGCATATAGCTTGCAGGTGGCCGAGGATACCAATTTCGTTTCCCTTAACTCCCACGAGATCGACATCCACAGCGCGGTGGTCTCTGCCAAGGGCTCGGTGATAGAGTCCAAGCCGGAGATTTCTTTGAACAAAGATGAGCAGACGGCAACCATCAAGTTCAGCCAGGCCCTTGCCGCGGGGTCCGATGCCCAGCTGAAACTCACCTTCACCGGTACACTCAATGACCAGATGGCCGGCTTCTACCGCTCCTCGTACCAGCAGAATGGCGAAACCAAATACATTGCCTCGTCGCAGATGGAGCCCACGGATGCCCGCAGAGCTTTCCCCTGCTTCGACGAGCCCGCGCTGAAGGCCAAGTTCACCGTGACCCTGGTTGCCGATAAGAGCATGACCTGTCTGGGCAACATGGACGTTGCCTCCGAGACCGATGTTCAGGGCGGTGCGAAGAAGGCAGTTAAGTTCAACACCTCGCCTCTCATGTCTACCTATCTCGTTGCGTTCATTGTTGGTCACCTCAATCACATCGAAACCACCAACTTCCGCGTGCCCATCCGCGTCTACGCTACACCTGACCAGGATATCGAGCATGGCCGCTTCTCGCTGGAGCTTGCGGCCAAGACTCTGGCTTTCTACGAGAAGGCCTTTGACAGCGAGTTCCCGCTGCCGAAGATGGACATGGTGGCCGTTCCCGATTTTAGTGCCGGTGCCATGGAGAACTGGGGTCTGATCACTTACCGGATCGTGGATGTGCTGCTGGATGAAAAGACCAGCGGTGCTTCGCGTAAGGAGCGCATCGCCGAGACGGTTCAGCACGAGCTGGCCCACCAGTGGTTCGGTAATCTGGTCACCATGGACTTCTGGGACGGTCTGTGGCTCAACGAGGGTTTCGCGACGTGGATGTCGTGGTACTCGTGCAACGCCTTCTACCCGGAGTGGAAGGTCTGGCAGACCTATGTCATCGACAGCTTGCAGGGTGCTCTCTCGCTCGACTCGCTGCGTAGCAGTCACCCGATTGAGGTCCCTGTCCAGCGGGCTGATGACATCAACCAGATTTTCGATGCCATCTCCTACTCCAAGGGCTCATCGGTGCTGCGCATGATCTCCAAGTATCTGGGCGAGGATGTGTTCCTGCAGGGTATTCGCAACTACCTCCGGAAGCACGCCTACGGGAATACCCAGACTGGTGATCTGTGGGCTGCGCTGGCCGACGTCAGCGGCAAGCCCGTCCAGACGGTCATGGACATCTGGACAAAGAATGTCGGTTTCCCTGTCATCAGTGTGACAGAGAACGCTGCTTCGTCTTCTATTCAACTGAAGCAGAACCGCTTCCTTCGTACGGGCGACGTGCGTCCGGAGGAGGATACCACTCTTTATCCCGTCATCTTGGGCCTGCGCACCAAGGAAGGCGTAAATGAGGGTGTCATGCTGACCGAGCGCGAGAAGGAATTCCAGGTTCCTGATCTGGATTTCTACAAGCTCAACGCGGACCACTCGAGCATCTACCGTACCTCGTACACACCTGAGCGCCTTAAGAAGTTGGGCGAAGCCGCCAAGGAGGGCCATCTGACCGTGGAAGACCGCGCAGGCATGATCGCTGATTCGGGTGCTCTGGCTGCCTCGGGCTATCAGCGCACGTCAGGACTGCTCTCTTTGGTGCAGGGCCTTGACGCTGAGTCTGAGTTTGTTGTTTGGAATGAGATGCTGACTCGCATTGGCACCTTGCGTGCCGCCTGGATGTTCGAAGACGGCCAGACCAAGGATGCACTCAAGGCCTTCCACCGCTCGCTCGTGTCCGCAAAGGCGCATGAGCTGGGCTGGGAGTTCTCTGAGAATGATGGCCACGTTTTGCAGCAGTTCAAGGCTCTCATGTTTGGCTCTGCGGGTTCGGCCGGAGACCCGGTGATCGTCAAGGCGGCCCAGGACATGTTCGAGCGTTTTGCGGCTGGAGACATTGCCGCCATCCACCCAAACATCCGCGGCAGTGTCTTCAACATCGTTCTCAAGAATGGCGGCGCCAAGGAGTACGACATTGTGCTCGGCCGTTTCCGCAGCGCCCCTACCTCGGACGAGAAGACTACCGCGCTGCGCTGCCTCGGTGTCGCCGAGGACCCAGCCCTCATCCAGCGCACCCTAAACCTCGCCTTGAGCGACGAGGTCAAGAACCAGGATATCTACATGCCCCTCGGTGGCCTCGGCCGCCACCCGGAGGGTATCAAGGCTCGCTGGGCTTGGATGCAGAGCAACTGGGATACGCTTGACAAGAGCCTGTCGGCCGCTTTGAGTATTCTCAGCGCTGTTGTGCAGCTCACTACGGCCAGCTTCTCTTCGGACGCACAGTTGAAGGAGGTCCAGGACTTCTTCGCTACCAAGGACACCAAGGTAGGCTCTTTCTTACCTCTTCCCCTTCCCCTCTACCCCTCGTTATGTACCATTTCTGACCCGACTTTTGCTTGCAGGGCTTCGACCGTGCTCTTTCACAAAGCCAAGATGCCATTCGCGCCAAGATCAACTGGCTCCAGCGTGACCGCGCCGATGTCGAGACGTGGTTGAGCAACAACCGCTACCTCCAGAGCAAGCTGTAATTCGCCGAACCGGTGGCTGTGTGATGTTTTTATCCTATGTTGTATCGCATTCAACGGTTTTCTCGGGCTTTTCTGTATCTTTTGAACCTACATCACTCCCATCCTATGTCCTGGTGACACAGCCCTATCTAACATTTGGGGTTTACCTTGACTCTCCTTCTACTCTCCCTCACTGGCAATAGACCTAGTTTACCATTAGAGGTAGATTCAATCTGTTCCTTGGTTGGTAGAGCTCTCTGCAGTTAATATCTTTCTACACGTATCCCAATGACTTATCCCACATCGAGACGAAGGATAATTCATAAGAGTGCATATAATACTCTACGAAGAAAAACATATGGACACAGTTCGAAAGCCTAAGAAGTAAATGGTATCGATGGAGAAAGATAATACAAAACAAAAGAAGAAACGCCTAGCCCAAGCCCCAACCTGAGTTCATTCATGCCCATCCTCCTTTGCCTCCGAACCCAGAACTGTCCTCGATCTTCTTCGTGCCCGGGCCACGGGAGGGTTTGGACTGGGCGGCTTCGTGCTTGCGCAATTCCTCGGGGACGCGGGAGATGGGGGATTTCATGAGCATTTGTTTGAGGTCGTACCTGTAGACGAAGATTAGCACCATCCATATCACAAAGCCAAGAAAAAAAGGGGAAGAGGGAGATAGGGGATAGAGAGTAGAAAACATACATGACATCAGAATCCTCGCTGCCCAAGAATGTAATCGAGACACCACTCTTGCCGGCACGACCGGTACGACCGATACGGTGGGTGTAGCTCTCGATGGAGGAAGCCATGTTGAAGTTGACGACGAGCGACACGTCGGGGACATCGATACCTCGACCGGCAAGGTCAGTAGCGACCAGGACGTCGGTGGCGCCGCTGCGGACCGAGCCGAGCGCGGCCTCACGCTGTTCCTGGGTCTTAGAGCCGTGCAATGTAACAGACGAGAAGCCCATTTGCTTGATCTCGCGGGCGATGGCGTCGCAGTTGCGCTTGATGTTGACGAAGACGATGATCGGGGGCCGGAAGTCGCCTGACGAGAGGATATCGGCGAGTCGCTTTTTGCGCTTGTCTTCGCCGGCAACCATCTCGACGCGCTGCTCGACCGTGTCAACGGCCTCGCCGGCGCTGCCGATCGTGATGATGGCCGGGCGGCGGAGATATTTGCGGGCGATGCGCTCGACGGCCGCTGGCATGGTTGCTGTATACATCATGGTCTGTCGGTAGCGGTCGCGGCCGCCGAGGTGCTGGCTCATGACGCGCGAATTTTCGGCTTCTTCGGTGTCGGGCTTTTCGTTGGCGACGGGGAGTGCGTCAAGGATTTTGTTGACGGGCTCTTCGAAGCCGAGGTCGATCATGCGGTCTGCTTCGTCCATGATCACGTAGCAGCATTGACTGAGCACCAGCATGCGGCGCTCAATGCAATCCACTAGACGACCGGGGGTCGCAATGATGATCTCCGCGCCATCACGTAGACTGAATGCTTGCTCTTCGATTGAATGACCACCGACAATACTGACAACGTTGAAACCGAGCGGCTGCGTGAATTTCTTGGCTTCGATCTCGATCTGCTGTGCCAGTTCACGGGTGGGCGCGAGAACGATAGCGTAAGGCCCGTCGTTTTTGCGCCACTCGAACTCGTCGAGCCGGGGCAGCTCTGAGATGTACACCAGAAGCGGGAGCAGGAACGCCGCAGTCTTACCGGAACCTGTAACGGCGACACCGATAAGATCGCGCGACTGCATGGCAATCGGTACCGCGGCACGTTGAATTGGAGTTGGCTCCTTGTATCCGACGCGGTCAATAAGCTCCAGCAAGCGTTTCGGCAGCTGGCTTTCCTCCCAAGAGCGCATTGGGTTCGGCACGCTGCCACCCTTGGTACTGATATTGAAATCTTCCTTGAAAATGCGCCAGTCCCGCTCGCGCATGTGGTCCAGCCGCTTCTCGCTCCAATGCTTGTCGAGCTGGTTGCGAGTGCTGTCTTCACGGCGCCGCCGCTCCATCTCCAAAATCTCCTTAGCACGCAACCCACCTGCTTCGTGATCCTGAGTTTCGAGAGCCTGCGCATATTTACGCGCCACGTTGTCAGCGACATCTTCTCCAAAGCCTGCCAGGCGGCCCCGTCCAAAGAAGTGTGCCTCGTGTCGGTGTTGGTACAGAGGATTATAGTCGCCGCTGGTGTCTTCCTCAGCATTCCACTCAAAATTAAATTTGCGGTCCGTTGTTCGCTTCCGTTTTTTCTTCGCAGAGAAGTTCGACGTCTGGTCCGCTCCCATGTACCGTTGTTTGACTAAGGCAGCTTGTGCTGCCGTTTCGTCCTCCTCAGCAAGCCGTTTCTCGCTCTTAGAATCCTTCAGACCAAAAGACATTGCCTTGGGTGGTGGGGGCGGCGCCAGGTCCTGGTTCCGGGTCGATTGTCCATTTGCGTTGCGCTTGGCACCTGGCCCCGTCGAGAGTTCGCCGCGCATCGCTCGGGGACCAGTAGGCACGTTCCGATCATTCGAATCTCCTTGTCTCCGAGCGGGGGCCTCAGCTGCCAGATCATTGCGCTCGGCGCCGTTCGCGCGCGCTTTTGCTTGTCGCTCCGCCTCCACTTCCTTGGTACGTTTCTCCAGTGCAAGCTTTTCACGTTGAGCCTTTGACAAGAATTTCGGCTATCACACAGAAAATCAGATATTAGTCACTTTCCACTAAGCTTCCCCCGGCACATTCATCGCCTTGAGTGGCTAGACAAGACATACCTTGGCCGCCGCCGCATCGGCCTCTTTCTTCTTCCGGATCAACTCCTCCACACTCAGCGGAGTAGCGGCCGGACGTTTCGCACCCCACCCAGCTTTCTTTTTCTTCGTCGATTCCACGGGAGGAGGAGGAGGCACATCGTCCGGGGGAGGTGGAGGAGCCACAGCTTCTGGCGGCGGTGGCGGAGCGCCCGATTCCTCGGGAGGAGGAGGCGGTGGAGTGGGTGGACGCTCGGCAGGAGGGAGAGGAGGCCCCTCGGAGCCGTTAGTGTCTATTCCATCCATCGCCATTGGGGTATAGGCGCGAAACAATGGCTGGAACGTATCTCAGGCGGTGCGAAGATCGAGCGGCGAGACGAGCCGGCGCATCGAATTTCTACGGCAGACCGAACCCCCCAAACGCGAAGTCACGTGCTTGGATCGAATATCTTACATGATCGAAGTCGTGCTGCAATCAATTTCATTGCGAGCGAGAACAAACCAGTAGAATACAACGGATCCGATGGGATCCAGAATCGTTCCGCACAGGCCCGAGAGAAAACAAAAAACACGACTGTCCCTTTGCCCCTCAAATCGCTAACAACCCTGCAAGAGAAAGAATGCCCAGTGTGGGCAACATCATGATGCTACAGAAACAAACTCACCTGCCCACCCTGGTAGATCAGACAATAAAACAGTAAGCGGAGAAAAGAAAAGGAAGAAGAAAGGGGCAAGGTGCAGCAGACGGGACCGTTCATGAAAGACGTATCCAGAGCTGCCGCCATTGGCCAATGTTGCATGGCCCCAGAGAGGAACCAAGAAGTTAAGCAGCAGAAGCACCATTCAGGGGGCTTTGCTGATAGTAGGCATACGCCTGTGCCATGGCGGCTTGGTCGGGAGTGGGGGATACTTGAGGAACCGCGGCAGGTTGTCCGTCTGTCGGCGGAGGAGGGACAGCGACAGTACCGCCGGCGCGAGCAGCTGCCACAGACACTGGGCCATGTACTTCACGATCAAGAGTCATGTACTCTTTAGCGGCATTGGTGGTGCCTCTCTCCAGGAGATAGGCCATGTAGATCTGCACCAGTTCCTTCACGACTTCGACGGGGAGAGTGCTCTTGGTGCGGATATCAGTAACGACCTGCTTGATGCGCTCATACTGAACAGACTCAGTCGCTGCGCTGGTAGGCTGGTCAATCTCAAACATGAGATAGCTGGTCCAGAAGGGTCGGCTGTCCAGATAGTACTGTTGGTTTATATCGAAAACTTGGCGGGCGTCCTCCGGCGCGCCCTTGATTTTCCACAACAGACGAGCCCATTCGGCAACCAGCGCGGCTTTGGTGGCCATTTCACACTCGGGTGAGTCCAGCTGGGTCTTGTAGACTTCGATTGCTGCTTCCAAGCCACCGTGGCGTCGAGAAAGGTTCGCCAAAGAGATGATGGTTTCCACATGGCTGGGCAGACACATCATGATGGCACCGTGGATGTCCTTGGCCACGTCGACTCGGCCCGAAAACTCCTCAAAGTAGGCGTAGTGCAGTCGAATGGTCGGGTTGGCAATCGGCACATAGAGATAGCTGGCGCGCTGGTAGATGATCCGCACTTCTTCGTCCTTGCCCTCCTGGGCTGCCATCCATCTGGCATAGCGGAACCAGAACTCGTCGTAGTGGGCGCACGTCACCAGGCACCGCTCGTACAAAAACTGAATTCGAGAGAACGAACCTTCTGCTTCTTCGAAGTCAAGGTACTTTTTCCAGTTGGTCAGCTGGCCCTCGTCCAGCTCAGTAACATGGAAGTAAGGCCGCTTGATCTCTGATTCATAAGTCCAGCGCTTGGTTGTCTCAGTTTGCGTTTTGGAAAAGACCTCGAGGTGGTAGTTATCGACGCGTAGCCGGAGGTCCCGTTCAATCTCGGCGTCAGCCTTTGCACCGGGTGGGACCTGGGACGAGGCAGCCTCAATTTCAGCACGGAACTGCGACATGGTTTCGGGCGGTGCCAGCTCAGACAAAGGCCGGGTCTGTGCAAGCTGGCGATAGCGCTCGAAATAGCGTGCATATTGATGCATAGGGATGTGAATGATCCGACTTAGGATACCGAATATCTTCTCTTGAGCTTCAACATGTTCCTCGAACTCGATGTACTTGTCCCAGAATGGGTGGGCAAGGAAATCAAGGCCGACACTGCTCGCACCTCGCTCAAAAAGGCTGTTCAAAACCCAGTCAGTATGGTTTGCGAATGTTCAAGGGGTGAATGGGAGGGTGGGAACTGTGAGGAAGAAAAGGGGGGCAAGAAATGACAAGGACGGCAAACATGAGCGGGGAGCTTTGTCGGGGTGTGAGAGCCCAAATAATCAACGAGCAAGATGGTCAGAGTATGGGAGAGGCATCCAGCGCTTCGAACGCAGGGTCCGAAGGCCTTCGAACGAGACTGTTCCTTGAGTGTTCCGTGCAATAGAATGATATCTTTTGTCATGATAAAAAAAAAGGAAAGCAGCCTGAATGAGCCATGGGTGAGAAGTAGACTCCACTTGAATCCGGGTGGTACGGTGACGAACTCTCACCCATCATCAATGGAACTGCTGGTTAGGCACTAATCCAAGTGCCAAATGTAATCGACACCACCCGAGCTTTTGCGAGCTGCATTGGTGAAAGGTTATAAGGGAAATGGAAGGAAACCAGCACCCATATACTCACTCTCGAATGATGTCGGCATCGTGGGAGGTCTCTACCTTGAACGTGCAGTAGTTGGTCCAGAGGTCAACTGAAGGCGAGATGCTAGCAATTCCTCTCTCATAGACCTAGAAGACACATCAGCAACCATGCGAATTCAAAAACATGACCGCGGACAAGTTGAAAGAGACGCGACGAAGGGAGAGGGACGCGGACATACCATCTCTGCGGCTTCCGTGCCAGTGATAGAGAACTCCAGGTCGGCATATTTCTTCCAGTATCCGAAGAGCAAGGGGAATTTGGCCAGGAAGCGATCGTAGGCGCTGCGCACAGCTGTGATGGCTTGCGGGTTGGAGTTGCGATTGATTCCACCCTCGAGAGCTTCAGCGGCGTGCACGACCTTTTCCCAGGTCTCGAAGTTGTCCGGGTCATCGATCTATCCAAAACAGTTACACGAATTAGCCAGCAAGTCGTGGATGAACTGCGCGCGCTCCGTACCAGTTCAGCCTCGAGCTTCCTCAGCTCCGCATTCTCTTCTTCCGAGCCTCCGTAGTTGTAGTCCGCCATGATGACAATGAAAGCATGCGCGAGGGAAAGGGTCAGAAAATATAATAAATAAACCTTGAGATAAAAGAGGGTATCGATAAGCAAGGCGGTAATAATGGCGGGTGAAGCTCGCGGGAAATCTCTGGGGCCGAAGGAAAAAGGCCGAAGGGAAAGACGGCCGAGATGGGAAATGTTGTTGCCTCAGGCAGAAGTTCCTGTCTGGGCTTAGCGGCATCACGCCAACTTTTTGTCTGGAGAAACACGGCAAACTGTCCATCTTTTGAGTACAGGGATCCTTCCACTGGTCGCTCAATCATCATGTCGTCCCCCGCTACAACGGTGGGCGCACTCCCCACCCGTCTACGCAACTTTTTTGCCCGCTATCCCCCCCCAATTATACTCGTCACTCGTGGCTAAGCGCCCAACCCCCCCGACGGGGGAAACTCCCGCGGAGGAGCCTCTTCCCTCACCCTATACTCCTGATCGGGAGGCCAAGGGTGCTCATAAACAAGATCCAACTGCCTTTTCACCCTCTCGTGCTCTTCTCCAAAACAACCCCTCAGCGCGCAATCCCTTCCTTCCTCAAAAGAACTTCCGCACTGGAAAGTGGATCAGTCCGCGATTTGGGCTACGGCAGCAGGCAGACCTGGTGAAGCTGGCCATCAGATACAACGTTGAGCCACTCTTGCCCCTGGGTCGCAAGTCAACCGAGTTTAAGGCAACGCGGCTGGCCGAGCGTGGCCTGCGCATCAAGGGTACTGGTATTGGACAGAAGGTCAAGGGTCACAAGTGGGAGCGGACGATGGAGACAAGACTCGAGGATCGTCGCAAGGCTATGATGGAGATGCCGGAAATGATTCGGTTGTGGAAGCAGGTGAGTGATTTTTCCTTTTTTTCATGCCTTGTTCTAGGGTCGAAACTGACATGGTTTCACAGAGAGGTCATGGCCGCGGCTGGCAAAGGTGGCCCAAGCGGTAAACGAGTTTTTCTCTGCATATCGTGTCTTTGGTGGTTATCGGTTCATTTTTACCATTGCTTTCAACCTGCTTCTTGTTTCGAGTGGATCACTCCGGTGGAAGCTTTTGGTAAGGATCATTGCAGGGGTTCGGGCTGGGAGTTTCTCTGTTTCTACTACCAATTATCATGTGTACTATACAAAGCGTGGGTCTGTCGCCCCGAGGAGCCCGGAACTGGTCCCTGCCTCAACACTGTATAAAACTAGTTACCGGAAATCTGGACTTGTCACACTTCATTTAAGCGAAATTCCGATGGGGGGATCATGGCGACGCCTCTCGTACTTGAACAAGATCCACAGTCACCACCAACATCCCAGATGGCCAAAAGGAAGCTGCAGAAGATGTAACTGTGACCGAGAGCTGCATTCTACAGACGGTGGATCGGATGGATGGAGGGCTCCATTTTCTGATCACCAGATCCTCTTTTCTTTTCGGTTTTAGATCGATGAGAGGATCTTGGAATTCCATTCCCACTTGACAAGCGGGAGGTTGCTATTTCTGCATTGGACAAAATCCCTGTTATTCTTTGCTTCGCTTCAGCTCTCATTCAGCTTGTTGTTCTGCTATTGGCATTTATGGGGAACTAGTCAGGTTCAAGAGACGAAGTAAAGGAATCTGTCGTAATGAATTGGTGGTCTTTGGCCCCGTTGCCGTAAGCCGGTATATCATCTCCAGCTCAATCCCTTTACCCTGGGTGTGATATAGAGTGATATTGAGGTGGCTCGTGGGAGAGATGAGGCTTTGGTTGGATCACTGTTGAGAGCCACATCACATGGGGATGTAGGAACATGATGAGTATGGTTACACTGGGTAAAGTATTTTCTGTTGAGGATAGGCGGTGGTGTTCGGTGTAGTTGGTGATGTGATGTGCATGGACATGCCTACTGCAGTATGTCCAATAGTGGCGACATCTCGGCCGATCCCCCGTGTCTATACATGTGGCGGGTGCGTGGGCAGAGACTCGGTTACACTCAAATCACGTCCAATCATGTCACCTGACTCTGCAACTAATTTATTGCCACGACTAGGCTGATTCCCGCACGTGTGGGGATCTACATCTTTTCCACATCCGCTCTGCTTTTCCCACCTTCTGCTTCTCATCAGTATAAGAGCAATGGAGACCTCTACTTTGTTCTCTCATGCTCCTTCAGAAGAGCAGAGAAGAGCAGAAACCTATCGGTTTGACGCGACCTGTGGACGCGACCTCGGTTGATTGTTGCCATCGGTAAGCTCCGAAGGATCATAGTTAGCTGCCTTATCTGCGGTTTTCCCCTCCCGCGTGAGCCCGTTTTATATCGTGGATGGCTGCACAAACACGCAGTCTACTATTCCTAGGATTTCTCATTGATGCTGGTGCAGTCTTGTACTGATTCATGATATGGCTTAGCTATATATACTGGCAACAACTCATATCGTGAACATCTCGACGCCATTCAAATCCAAGACCGAGACCAGTGCTCAACTTTTGCTACCTGAATATTGTTCTCACTTCTGCCAACCATGGCCGAAAAGGACAAACCAGATCCTACTCATGCTGAGTATGCCCGGGGCTACTCGGTTGATGCGGATACTCTTCGGGAACACGAGTATCCGTTGCTGAACAGTATGAGTTGCCATATTCGATGATGCTGAATCTTTGCTGACTCCAATCCTGAATGAACTGTAGAGACAACCTATCTTGATCATGCAGGAACAACACCATATGCAAAGTCTATGATCGAATCCTTCTCGCGTGACCTTATAGCCAATCTGTTTGGGAACCCGCATTCAATGTCCCTGTCTTCACAGCTGTCCACTCAACGGATAGATGACATTCGACTTCGGGTACTGCGGTTCTTCCAAGCGGACCCGGATGAGTTCGACGTGGTCTTTGTGGCAAACGCAACTGCAGGCATCAAGCTGGTCGCCGACCTACTTCGTGACTACGACAATCGAGGCTTCTGGTATGGTCACCACATTGATGCCCATACCAGTCTCATTGGCGTCCGGGAGATTGCAGACATGGGCCATCAATGCTTCCAGAAGGATGCCGATGTCGAGACCTGGATCTCCGAACTGGCCAACAGTCAATCAAAGGCACCGAGACTCTTTGCATTCCCGGGTCAGTCCAACATGAACGGCCGGCGCCTGCCTGTACGGTGGTGTGAGCAAATCCGCTCAGCCGCAAATGAAGGCGGAGGGAATGTGTTCACTTTACTTGATGCTGCCTCGCTTGTTTCGACCGCCCCTCTTGACCTGAGTGTAAGCTCAGCCGCGCCCGACTTTACAGTGGTCAGCTTCTACAAGATCTTTGGGTTTCCTGATTTGGGTGCTTTGGTTGTTCGCAAAGACACCGGAAGTATCTTGGAGCGGCGCAGATTCTTCGGCGGTGGCACTGTCGACATGGTGCTTGCCACCGGTGCGCAGTGGCACGCGAAGAAAGAAACTTCTATTCACGAGCGACTTGAAGATGGGACTCTTCCTTTCCACAACATCATCGCATTGGATGCTGCCCTAGACACTCATAAACGCCTTTATGGTTCCATGGCAAACATCTCGGCCCACACCCGATTTCTTGCCAAGCGGCTCCATGATAGGCTTTCCGCGTTAACCCATTACAATGACACGAAGGTGTGTCAAATCTACGAAGCGAACTCGGCTTTCGGTAGTCCCGCTACCCAAGGCCCGATTGTTGCATTCAACCTGCGAAATAGCCGTGGAGACTGGGTCCCCAAGACTGAATTCGAGAAACTCGCTACTGTGCAAAATATCCAGCTGCGTTCCGGATCCGTTTGTAACCCTGGCGGGACGGCGTCTTCTCTTGGATGGACGGGTGCTGAGCTACGCCGCCATTATTCGACAGGGCTGCGTTGTGGTGATGACCATGACGTTTTGGGAGGACGGCCCACAGGAATTCTGCGTGCCAGCCTGGGTGCAATGACCAACCTAAGGGATATTGACTCGCTGATTAGCTTCATCGAAGAGTTTTACGTTGAAAATATTCCTCCCATCGTTTCAGTGGATCCTCCAAAGGGTGAGGATGACATGGTGGCTCGCCATTTCTACATTGAAAGCCTGTCGATTTTCCCAATCAAAAGCTGCGGTGCCTTCAAAATCCCCGAGGGCAAGCGCTGGGAGGTCAAAAGAGAAGGGCTAGCTTGGGATCGAGAATGGTGTTTGATTCACCAAGGAACCGGAGCGGCGTTGAATCAGAAAAGATACCCTCGGATGGCTCTCATTCGGCCGGCAGTTGATCTCGATCGCGGGGTTCTTCGCATCACTTGCGACACCATCGCTGCAGCTGACCCCGTCAGTCTCGAAATATCTCTTGGCTGGGAAGACACGAGCTTTGTGTCCACCTCTTTGTGTCCGGCCTCTACAAAACGGTCGTCTACAGTCTGTGGAGACCAGATCTCTCTACATGCCTACGCATCACCAGTAGTCTCGGCCTTCTTCTCCGACTTCCTCGGAGTGCCTTGTGCGCTCGCCCGTTTCCCTTCACAGACCGCAAACCGGTTCTCGCGACCACCGCGCCTCCCCGGCACATGGAAGAACCGGTTCCGCAAATTCATCATGCCAGGATCCTTCCCACCCGACCTCCCACCTCCGCTGCGCGAGAATGGACAGAATCCCTTATTACTATCGAACGAGATGCCTATTTTGATTGTCTCTCGTTCATCTGTCAATCGTCTGAACGAGACCATCAAAGCCACCACCAAGCGCGGAAGTGGTGTCAGCAAGACCGTTGCGGCAGACGTGTTCCGTGGTAACATTGTGGTAGCTGAACGACTTGTGCAGCTGGAAGATGCGGAGCAACCCTACGCTGAGGACGGCTGGTCATCACTTCGCATCGGGCCGGATCAGCTTCGCTTTGATGTCCTAGATGCCTGCCAACGGTGTCAGATGGTTTGCATTGATCAGCTCACCGGCGTGCGGCGTGATGAGCCGTTTTCGACGCTCGCGAAAACGAGGAATATTGACGGGAAGGTTTCGTTTGGTAGATACTCGGCACTCTCTCTACAGGAGATTGATGGCCTCGAGTCTGACACACCGGATTGCAGGACGGTGATGGTGGGCGATGTTGTTTCGCCAACATATTGGGAGGAGTAAGACGTGGTAACCCAATAATCTCGGCGCTCTTTCCTCCTTTTACTCTATCTCGGTTGGCTTGATGGGTTTCAAGTGTTCACTGCGACTCCCATGGCGTTTTCAGATATGATAGTACATGTTTGTGCACATGAGTTTCATTTCATTTCCATGACATGCCTCTTGATATCGACGCAAGTGTAGATTTTCAAGGCCTTTCGCACTGTATCATTGGAGACTTGTGGGTGGCATTCTTGATGGAATCAAGAAGGGTGTTTTGAAAGCCATGTAGAAAGGCCTTCAAGGATTATCTAAATGATTAGATTGAGTTTCATGTAGGCTATGGCTTATTTTATCTGATATTGAAGGTTTTTCGCCTTTGCACCGCTAATAGTGACATCACGGCTCAATACTTAGGCTTCAATAATGTGGAGTTGGAGACATACAGCATTACACAGTCCTGTCTCAAACAATATTTGCGATGGATTCCGTTCCTCGCCTTGTATGTGGCCAGGAATGCACAAATAGGCTCGACAAGAAAATATTTTTCGAGGATGTCGAGTGGGAGAAGCATTACAACAGTGGAAGTCAGTCGAAGATGATCTATGTTGATCCTAATGAGCTAGAAGAAAATTACTTCAAAGAGAGCATTTTATGGCAGGTACTTCATCGTCTCGGTAAGTTGAATCCCTAGTGAACCATCTCGACTCAGCTTCCCAAGAGCCCAACTCATTGTATGCACATCACCACATTCGTGTACGACCCCTTGACCGAACAATATCAGCTGTCGGGGATTGGACATGTCTACTTCTTCGGCCGTAACCCGCTCCTCCGGTCACCTCGGGATTCAAACATGGCTTATATTGGCCCCCCGAGAAAATCAGATTTCAATTTGCTTCGAATTCAGTACGAGTGTGCCACCTGGTGGCATGACATACAAGATCCCACGCCAATAGACTGGCAGGAAATGACCGCCAGCATTTACATGCGGTGCTTAGCTCGGTAATATATGGGGCCTCCAGCCGAAGAAAACTGGGTCCTTTCCTGGCTGCTGGACTGAAAAATGGGCGTCGACTAGATTATGGCGGCATGGATGAAGCGTGGGAAGAGACTCACAATATCAAAGGTAACACAGAGTGGTGACGCTGTGATGAGAAGCATGGCATAAAAAGTCTTGATACACTAACATTTTCTTTTTGGGATATTGAGCAGAGCCTTTTCGAATCCCCGAGATTGGAAACATCATTGAAGAAGTACCAACGGCGCCAGAAACAAGTACAGAACTGTACTTGCTGTAGTCGGTACCACACCCGGCTGCAAAGCAAAAACGTCAGCTCGATTCTGAAGTCTTTCTTCGATCGCTTGATTAATCTTCCTTGGGAGATCGTTCACTTGATTCTCGACTCTACAGATTATACCTTTCCCCTGATGCTTCAGCTACTGTTCCAATCATCCAGCTTGGATTATTACTGGTGTCGGCGCGTGCAAAAAATTCTATTTGAGTTTGAGGAGATTCGCCATCAAGACCTTGACTGGCAGTTCTTGTGCTTGGGGGTCGAAAGGCTGGACGCCACGACCCACCTACTGGAGTCTCGGAAGAAGATCTTGCACATTCTGGGAGAGATCCCTGAAAGAAGTGGAAAAGTCAAAACACAGCGGCCCTCTATGATTTCTCCAACGCTTCTATGCCTAAGAAACTCTAGGTATATCTCCATAATATGGCTTGAGAATCAGTTTGTTTTCGATCTAATGGGATTCCCTTGCGCAAGAGACAATGGTCTTCCTTTTAATCACTCGGTCTGAGATTCTTGTGCTGTATAGGGAAATTTTATATCTTATGGCACTCTTGATCCAAAGAGTGGGGATGGAATCAATAGGAATATCACTGTAATATCTTCCATTTGGATAGTTATAGCGCTCTATTTTTAGAACTAGAATACTGTTGGATTCTAAGCTGTCAATCTTCCAATATTATTGCTGGTCAAGGTAGCTCGATTTTATATTTAGCAGGGAGGTGGTGCAATTTCTTTGTTTCTTCTGTTTTTCTCACCAAGCCGCCCTATCCCGCCGTGTCCCACGTCCCACAGGGGGCCGTTTGAACCATAACAGCTTTGCCCCACACACTGTTGACTCTCTGCCCGATAAAACAGAATATATTAGCAGCATACCGGGATTACATCGGGATTACCCCCTGAAAGTATATAATATGAAGGGGCAAAAGGTAAGCTTGGGCCCCCGTGGCTTCGAGGGGCATGTCGAGCGAATTGCCTATCTCGGGATTATTAACACCCCTATCTTCCTACGGGAATGACCAGAAATATAGATCCTCGGAACCAACCCGCGTTGCTATCAATGAAGTCACCGAGAAAACTTGGACACGAGATGACTGTTACATGATCTAGTGAATTCCATAAATCTAGGCGATAATATGGCCTGATTTATATACTCTGTGGTCTTATCAATGCAGCCCGTTTAGAGTATCCAGGATGTACAGTAGGCGCACTTTTTATTATTTTGCGTGTATATATAGATAGATACCACACCCAGCAGTAATTCTCTCATACCTTAACCCCCACTTATTGCCCCATTCCACGTTGTATGCAGCCGCCGTATTTGTTCTTCTTGGCTGGCACATCACTGTACTGGAGGGGTCCGAGTGTGGTCAAATACATGGTGGTGCACACGTGTATACCTAGGTCTATACAGACTCACACTTTTGAAGGCATGAATACCCACTTAGGGCATGTAGAGTGCGATATGTGACTCTAGCTAATGACACCTACTATACTATGACCACGTAGTGGCTTATCCCTGTTACTCAGTATTCCTGCAGGATTTCAAAGGTCCCAAGGTTAGTTCCTTTAAGGTATAATTATGTAGGGCCCAAACATGCCAAGAATTCAAAAATCCAAAAAAAAACAGCATCAAAACAAGACACACGGCAGAGGCAAGGCTTTGAGACTCTTGGTCTTTTCTTCTTCTACTTTCTAGCCCATTTGAAACCTTGTGGTCCTAGAGCAGTAAGCTGATTTTGAGTTGAGGAAACATTCTTATATGCTATATCTAACCTCGGTAGATAATTAGGTTCTGTAAGGGCAATCCTTAGGGATTCTGCTTCCTGTTTCCCGTTTTCCTGCATAAGGGCCGTAAATTACAGTACATATACTCTTTCTTCAATTTGTACAGTGATGTACCCTAAGTTTCGACAACACCGACCCACATCCCCTATATTATATAATATTCTGCCAGTCAAAAAAAAATTAATAAAACTAAAAAAAAATAATGAATTTGACTAATAAGGCGTATACCAACCCTGGCTTTCAATAATAGCTTCAGCACGATATGACATACTCTCTGAGAGATGCTCTAAATGCCTCAATTCCAACTGCTGCCATGCCTCTAAAAGGGGGATAATATTAATCCAAGGGTTGATATACTTAGTTGGCGGTATAGGCGGTGTAGATATGCCGAAACTTATGGAACATCACTGTAAGAAAGAACCCAGAGTCGTTGGTGTGGACTCGTACTGTATGTATGTATATAGTATGATCTACATGTATTTCGGTGATCTGTACTGAATTGATCCACTTTGTCTCGGGCAGTTTTCCTTAAAAAAAGAAGAAAATATAATTACACCATGCTGTATTCAGTTGAAATCATTTCAAGACGTCATGATAGCCCCAGACTATCTCTCATTGTGAACTGAACACTTTTATCGACCGCATCTTCCAGAAAGGCGTCGATACCCTCATGCCGAAAACCCACCGAATATGGCGGTTTTACCATCCTTTCATTGCCATTTCGGGCAGCTATTCTGCATGATCCTCTTAATGACGACTATGATATCCGCAGACCCGAGGATCCACAGGAGTTGCCTTGATGTTAAGGGCCTCAACGACAGAGAAAGGGTAATCATGGAGTATGGAAATCTGTACCCACACGTTTCTGCCGCCCTTAAAGAAGTGAAGACCATGACCACCCAAGGGGCGAATCTCTTGGTAGATTTCGAGGATGGGGAAACGAATTGGTGGGACACGGAGAGGGTGAAGCGGACGATGATTGCTTTCCAAGGTGACACTTGGAAGCGCCCCCGCGATACACCAGAGTGGCAAAGGCCGAGGGATCAAGCTATAAAAAAGCAGCCAAATTTCCAAAAATATATGGGTGAGTCTGGCTAAGATTCTTTTCTTATGCTCTCTCTCTCCTCCCAGGCGATTACGAGTCATTGAACAATGGCTAATGGATTTGACGCAGAAAATGTTATGGCCTTTGAAAGAGGCCTGAATGGGAAGGGGAGACCATATGATATTCTGTGTGGCGATGGTCATCTGAAGAGATATTGGTATAATTATAGATATAGGGATTGGCAGCGAGAGAAACCCAGTCACGGTGCTGGAGATTTTGCATACTTTGGTACGTTGAATCCCCTCAAACCCCTTATTTGGCGTTGCATCCGAGTTCCATATTCACTATAATTACTGCAACGACAGACACGTTCCTCAACAAATGGTGGCCCAAGAACGAGGAGGCATGTGCCAGTAAAAAGTTCGCCGGGTCAGCGGTAGCAGATCGATATGTACAACTGTGCGCGGAGAGAATAGCAGAAACAAATTGGCGAATTACGATAGGAGATGACCGCAAGGTGGACTGGACTTCTCAAAGACTTCATGGGTTGGACAGAAACAAGCTGGTTCTCCGATGGTGGGCACAATGGCTGGTATACACTCTCAAGCATGAACTCATTCATGTTTTGATGGAATGTAAGTCAATCGGCATCCGTTCTCACCAGCGTGAGACCTGCTAACTAGCCTCACTGAACAGTCGATGATGTTGAGGTCTGCGGAGAAACGGCTGAAAACTGGGTGGGTGCAACTTCACTTGCGGACACAGATCCTCATCTTTGCCCCGTCAATGTTGACAGCCTTGGGCTTCCGCTACTTAGTACGTGCCTAACCTTATCCTTTCCCCCACTTTTTCATTTTCATTGGCAGAGGCCTTTCTGTTATCGATTTATTTCTACAACTGGGATCATGCTCTAATCAGGCTATAGCGCTGTATTTAGAAGGGGATGAGTGGAGCAGCGGTGGAGCCAAGAACAGAGAGACTGTACGAAGGGAGCTGGAAAGAGAACAGCGAAAACGTCCCTAAGGAGTTGAAGTTCTAACATCGCAAATCGCTGGTTTCGAGGGGGCGATAGTTGGACTGGTTGCCCTATAGTTCATTGATATCAGTAGCGAGCATAGCACAAATATGATAGCGTTTCTTTTCAAATCCACCGCTGTTTCCAAGCTCTCGCTGATTTAAGGTATTCAACAACCTTTTCTAGAGAGCCAGTCACTATATATGGAATTCGGAAGTATCTGATTCTATTTGGACTGACTCTCGAGGTCAAAAAGCTAGGTCTACAACTTGACGTTACATTTTCCAAGGCCAGCTTTCAGCCTTGAAGCATTAAGGACATAATATAGCGGGAATGTGGGGGTGAGGACCACAATTGATTGGAGGGAATTTTAACTATGTTCAAGATCCATGGATATAGATAGCTAATTGATCCAAGCCTAAATACACAGAGACTTGCCATATCGATCTATTATTCAGACCTAATATAACATCTACCTTCTCCTCGCTATATCTTTTATTCGTGCAGCACCCAAGGGCGAAAGGATACAATTTAAATGTACCCGCGCACAAAGCAGAGAAGAAAAAGATAAACATGGGAAAGAAAATATCCCAAATCTACCTCTTCCCCGCAAGGACCAAGAACCATTTCATAGGCAGAAACTAAAGTCACAAAACTAGTTAGTGTTCAGGGCCTTTCTAGAAGTATTAAATTTTCCTCAGAATAGAGCTCAACTTACTTAGTGGCTCGTCCAATCCCAACCGCACTTGCCATATGAGGCGGCAAGCCAAAAGGTTTCTCCCACCCCGAGGTTCTTGCCCATGGAATCGCACCTGATGTCGAGTTTACCGAGGTTTTGGTCGTAGATTGCCGCTCGGACGCACTGGACCGAGGAGTCAAAATCACCCGAGGCACTCTTGTGCTCGTCGCCGGTCTTGGATTGGATGCCCTGTGTGCAGTCCTTGTCCTGGAACAAATCGAGGTGCCAATCTGCCAAAGCCGAAGAGGCTAGGCCAAGCAAAACGAAAGAGAAGCCAAGCTGCATGGTGTGGGCTGATCGAAGTGTAGGGTTGTGGATTTGGTTTAGAAGAGGATAGAACGTAGATCTAATTCCTGAGAACTCGCGGGTTCATTGAGCACTTTTTGTACCCCATGAACAACCCCTTTTCTTTGGCATATAGAATATGCCAAAGTATGGTTAACGCGGGGTTAGAGCCATCCTTCGATTATGGCCAAGCATTTATCCCGCGAACAGTGCCAGTATGAAGTTCATGTTGGGGGGAGGGGGGCAGTTTTGCGTACGATGCTTGCTGGAGAGCTAGGCAATGATCATCCATAAACATGTTAAGAGGGATTTGGAATAGAAGACTCAATTACGTTACCAAGGGTGTATTGTATCCTTGTCAAATGATTTTTATAGGTCTACGTATTGACCTACGTAAAACCGCAGTGCTCTGGATGATAGATGCAGCTTGTCTAGTACAATATGCATGACTCGAGCTGCATAAGTGGACACGCTCCACATACAATTGCTGACATCCATAATGGCCCCAAAAAAGGATTGCCAATGCTCTGATGTCCTATTTTCGTCGGACCGCCCCGCCCTCTATGGGGGGCGAAAGATCAGCCCTGTAAGCATGGTTGGGGATCTGCCTTCAATTCTCACCCTAGTACGCGCAATGGCCCTGACCGAGCCCCTGCTGTCAATGATAGCCTGTCGCTAAGGGTAAAGCCAAGAAAGATGCGGTAAGACATAGGTTATGATAGTTCCCTTCGGACTTATCTACTTGCGGGGCTCCTTCTCGGGTATGCCCAGGAATCTCATGAAATCCCCAGCCCCAGCATGTCTTTGCCAATCGCTGAATCCACATGCCCTAAGCTGATGTCTGGGGCAGACAATTGATTGAACACAATTCCTTTTCTATTTTCATTCATCTGTACTAAACATCACTTTGGGGCGGGGCATTGAGTTGAGGATGGCGTTAATACAACGTTTTTGATCGATCGTCGCTAGCGTAGCTGAAATGAGGCACCAGGTACTGATCTATGTACATTTTGAGTCCCGACTCAGCCTGGATGAAGTATTCGGTATTCTTGGGTTCAGTCAACATTGACATCCAACCCAGGCAGTAGTGATTAAGGAGCTGGATCCTCATCTGTACTTTTCGCAATAGACTGTTTTAAAGACCGCTTCTCTTTCTCGACCCCATTTCGCCGCTGAGCGACATCACAAAGCTCGACATTCCCACATTCACAGTCCCCGTCCCGAACCCACCGATAGGTAATACTCCAGCGGTCCGCACGCGGCCTCACAGTACCGTCAGCGAGGGTATCAGTCTTGCGCTTCCTAATCCCATGCGTCCAATGCAAGCGCGCCTCACCAGTGAGCTGCATCATACTGCACGGGGTCAAATCAACCTCGATCTGGCGCTCGCCCTTGCGGAACTGCATCATGGCTGGGGCGCCCAGCGACAGCGCGTACAGCTGGTCGTACGCCATGTGCGCGTCTACATGCGGCGGGATGCCCGCGCCCGGCGGGTAGTACTGCAGACACACCTGCTCCGGCGGCCGCGCCTCGGTCGTGGGGATCAGCGGCTGCAGCCAGGCGGGGAACTCCTTGTACGGGATGTCCGGGTCTATGCCAAAGGTTTTGTAGTCGAATGAGTAGCCGTAGTGTAGGGATAGTCGCCCCGGCCGGTCGGGCCATTCTAGCTCATGTTGAAAGATTGAGATGAGTTGTTGCTCGTGTTCCGGTGTGATGAAGTCTTCGTGCCATAGCAGGCCGCGTGGCTCGATGGGTAGCTCTGTGAATGGACTTCGTCCCTCCATGCCCTTGCCACTCTCTTGGGACGCTGCCGCAGATGAGCCAGCTGGGTTGAAAGGTGACGAGATGTCGTATATGTATATGCGATGGTGATCAAATTCTGCGCAAACGTGATTATGTAATGGGATATCTCCGCCAAGAACTTTATAGTCTCTAAAAATTTGTATCTCTTTCACCTTAAATGAAGGTTATTTCAAGTCTGGTTGCACAAAAATGTTGTAGGGAAGCTGGTTCCATGGCATGTGTTGTGTTGGCTGACGTTGAGTCTGCTGAACTACAATATACGGCGAGGCGTGAGATGCAAGGCTCTTACAGTAATAGAACAACTTAATTGTGGTATTCGAATTCATTCCAACACATCCGTTTCCGTCATCATCATAAGGAATATCTGTAGTTCCAAACATATCAACTATTTTATTTTATTTTATTTTATTTTTTTCTCTTCTAAGCATTCTCCTTCTGCTCAACGGCCCCCTTCTCCTCCGCGCGCATCCACACATCCACCTCAGCAGCCTCGCCCTGAGGCAGATGACGGGCCATGGACACAATCTGCCATGTGGAGGGTGCATCGCGGAAGACGTGGTTGAGGGCCTCCAGGTTGCGGTTCATGGTCTCGGGGTAGAAGAAGTAGACCGCAACGGGAATGCAGGCGGAGATGACGGTATACACGATATAATAGCGGTAACCGATGGTGTCAAGTGCAACTGGGGTAATCATGACAACGACAAAATTCCACAACCAGTGGTTGGCCGTCGAGATGGCAGACATGGCGACACGCAGACGCATAGGGGCGACCTCAGTACAGTAGAGGAAGTTGCCACCGAGGAAGCCGACAGGGTAGAAGGAGTTGAACAGGAAGATGAAAACAGCGGACACGATCGAGCTGGTGTGGTTCTTGCCAAAGCTGTTGGTGATGGACAGCACCATCATGCAGACGGCCATACCCGTACCGCTGATCATGAAGATCTTGCGCCGACCAAGCCGGTCGATGGCGAAGAAGGCGATGAAGCTGCACAGGAACTTCCAGGTCATGGCGCATGACGACAGAATACGGGCGAGGTCGCTGTCCATGTTCAGGTTTTCTTCGAAAATCGTCGACACATAGGTGGAGATCAGGTTGCCACCGCACATCTGCTGGAAAAACTGCAGGGCCACGCACAGGCAGAATCGGTACAGCAGGCGCTCATCGTCGGGCTTCTTGGGGTTGAAGATGTCGCCCAGCGAAGCACTGTCGTTCGTCACTTCAAGGGACGTCTCAATACCGGAGATCTCAACTCGAACGGCCTCGTCATCGGCGGACGTGCCTTTGTAGGCGGCCAGACTGTGGGTGGCATCTTCGATGCGACCAACGCGCACGAGCCATCGAGGGGACTCGGGGAGCAAGAAGACCGCGAACAAGACGACAAGCGAGAAGAAGAGAGAGATCACCAGCGGGATTCGCCATTGCAGGGTGCCGTCGATCTTGCTCAGACCGAAGTCAATCCAGTTGCAGAGAGCATAACCGAGACAGATACAGATACCGTCGACAACGACATGCTGTCCGCGGTGTTTGGCGGATGTGCACTCGGACTGCCAGACGGGGACGGCCACACTGAACTGGCCGACACCAATTCCAAGAATGACACGACCGACAACAAATTGCGGCAAGCCATATGAGGCGATTTGAAGGATTTGACCGATAATAGTGAGGATGGCACCCAGGAAGATGGTCTTACGACGACCAAGACGATCGCCTAGCGCCGTACATGACAGGGCTCCTGCCAAGGCGCCCAGTTGGAAGGATGCAATGACAGCACCCTTACCGGTAGAGTTCTTTGCACGCAAAGCGCCTTCGGTGTTGATGGTGTCGATTTCAGGGAACACCTCCACCCAGCTCTGCAGGGTTGCCAGCGGCCCTAAGCCGGACTGGTTGTAACCGAAGACAATGAAGGCAGGGGCCACAATGAGCAGCGCCTGCGCCACACGTAGGGCCTTTCCATAAAACATCGTGACCGAATGACTCGTACAGCAAAGGGAAACAAGGTCACTGGGGAGGAGGGAGAAGAAGGCGGGAGGAAAAGGTCAGATTCGGCTGGCCTCAGCTCCAATTTAAACACATTTCTCTCCCTCGTTGGAGACCTCCCCCAAAGATGGTCGTGGAGACCCCGCATAGCAATCGTGATTTTGAATCCCGAGAGCGGGTTTGTTGATTACACCGGGTGTGGGTACGTCGGCCCACTACGTACTGTACTCGGGGGGTTGAGCCCCTTCTGTGACTCGCGCGCACGGCTATCTCCCATTGGGGGTACATTAGGGCTGGGAGGGGGCCTCCGGTGGCCAAAAGGTCCCGTTGTCTCGCCCCCGAAACAGTCCGGGTGAGGATCCACGGCTCGAGGGGGCGAGAAATTGTATGAACTCGGATCTTCTCATTGGCGGGAATGCCGAACATCGGAGACATGCCGCAATTTAGTGTTCAAGGGGGCGGGTTCCGAGTGAAAATTTCTGGCGAAGAATGCGACACCCAGAATATGGCCTCCCTCGACATTCTCAATTGTTCATATCACACATATACAAGGTGGATTTTATTCTCCGACGTTGATACCGGGCAAAACTCAAACGAGTCTTAGCTAGAGACACATCGGAGATCCCCTTTCTCGGCGGTCCATCATTGCCTACTCGGACCGGCTACTGCAAAGTCGGTCGGTCACACGGGCCAGTTGTCGGGGTTCCTTTGATTGCGACCCGCTCGCATGCCGCCTCCCCGCCGATCGGCTTCGTACACCGAGTTTCGCTCTAGGGCTCAGAATGTTTGACTAAAGGTACTACCTAAGTCTCTTAATATCATTAAATACACTCTAGATAATTATTGTTCCACACAAAAATATGCAAATCAGAAATAAATTAGAAATCTATGTTTGATCTTCTAAGTGTTCGTAGACCAGTTGGGGGCCACAATGAAGCGTAATCCTCTCCCTTACTGTATGTAGCTAAGCTGACGCCAGCAATGCCAGGCGGGGTAGGCCAAGACTCCCCGGGTCTCACCGGATAGCCTCAATGTCATCTCTCTACCTCGGGTTTCTCTCGCGTGGCCCCCGCGACAAGAGCTCGGGATTGAGCTGTCTCGAAATGCAGCCTTATTAAACTTTGCGTCATGGAAAGCTATCGCCAAGAAATCCCCCACGGCATCAATCGTAGCCCCTGGGCCCAATCCGGGGTCTGTCCGGGGGTCCCAGTGGGGTTCCCAAGGGGAAGGGTGGAGGACAACGTGGACTTGATGTTCCATGCTCCTGCACCCCACATTGTCTCGGTGGTTTTCCGAATTCACCCGTGCTGTTAGGATCAAGATGAGTGAAAGACGTCCATGGGTGTGCCGGGTCTTAATTTAGTAGGTGGTTGTAGGATCAGGGGCCGGGAATGGTAGGACCATGGACAATCACGATAATGTTAAAGTTAAAAAGGATCTCAGCTTCTTTCTCTCTTTCTCTCTTTAGCTTTCGGCGTCATTTTTGTCATCACGCAAGCCATCTCCCCTATCATTTTATTCTATATGTGTAGGAGGGGTCGCCGACCACGATAATCTCTGCATCCTGGCCCACAGGGACCCTATCTATGATTGGGCTAGCAGCCCGTCCTTGGCTAAATGGCTTTGAACGACACCAGAAGAGTGGCGCTGGACCTCCAACTAAACGACTGGAATTTACCATTTAGCAACGGAAATCTCACAAAAACACTGCATACATCACACTCTAAGGTTCGAAGGATTCAATTGACAAAGAAATGAGCGGAGGTGATCCTTGCGGCGGAACATGGCGGAGCTGGATACGAAATTCCGCTGAGCACAGGTGATTCTTGTTGCAATTGCAGAGTCCTGCAAAGGTCGTGGTTTCTTCCTCGTCCCTCTTTATTTATTATCTCAATTTGTTGCCGCGTGTGCCCAATATAACCATTTTCTTTGTATTCCTTTTCAATCAAGTATCCGAAGTGAAAATAGGTAAATTGAAGATGGCCAAGCAGTTCCCTCATAATCATCAGATCTATATTCCAGGAGCATCGAGCCATAAATCCACGTGTAGTCAGGGAACGAATCTACAAAATATTCAGAATATTGCATGTTGGAATGGAATAATGGCCGTGGTACTTAAGAAGAAGATCTTGACCCTTATATGCGTCGCCTTACACATAATGATACTGCAGTGGGGTGTTTGACCTGCAACTTCTATATTGAGATTCGGTATGCCTTCCATAACCATTGAACATGAATAGCAGAACTATGCTCTGCTTCCTTCCTTCATTGCAGAGGGGTAAAGCGAAAATACATTACATTTAGAAACAGCCGATGCCAATTGTGATACCCGAGACCTAAGACTGAACATTGAACCATAAACTTCTTTACTTCTCCAGCCTAGCTGAGTATCAAACATGAGCATTGTTCAATCAGGACCAGCGTTATAAAAATAAATAGATAAATAAACACATTACAGATGACATATAATCTCGCCCACGTCATGCCAGATAGTATTATATCAAATGCTTCTTGCACTCGCCGAGCAAGGTATCAGGCTTCGCATTAGAATGCTCGGTGGTGTTGCTAATGGCATAGGGAAGGTAATCTGCCGGCGCGCCTCTGCCGAGATCGAAAGACCAGCAGTTCAGCCCTGGCGTAAGCCACCGATTATACATATGGCCACCTTCGGTGGTGTTTGGAAGCTTCTTGACATCTTCCAACCAACCTTTCAAAACCCCCTCGGCACCCCACATCCCAAAGACCGTGAGAGAGGTATTATCGACGCCGTATTGCATCAGAATGAGAACATGCATCTGGTTTTTCTCATCGGCAGCGACATCAATTTCACCATCCGTTTCCTCGTAGGAGAAGTAGCCTTCGTCTTTCGTCGTCGTCGTCCCGTCGTTGAAGAGCTGGATTTCGAAAATCAAAGTCCAGTGGCGTGAGGTTAATGTCGTGGATGGCATCGGGCGAGAAACTATCCGACGAGATGCTTCGCTTCCTGGTTGCCAGTTGATGGGTGGAATACCACGCCCGATGACAGTTTTCTGACTTGCAGGGAGTTCTTTTCTCACTGATCAACCGAGGAAGATCACGGGACTGGCGGGCTCGTCGGCGGTTGGGAAAAGAACCTGGCAAGCCTTCCAACATGTTTTCTTTGACAATGAGGCCCAGCCTGGCCGTGTCGACGCCATCTTGTCCACCAACTTGGTCTTTGAAGGGGTTGTAATCCTCCGTTGCAGTCCTGTGCTTTTTGACGGCAGCCTCCCAATACTGAGAAGCTTTGTCGAGGTGCTTGTTTCGTGTCTGCTCAGAGGCCCACTCTTTCTTGGCTGCCTCAAATTCCTTCACGCCCTTCTCCAGATCGTCATGTCCTTCGTCTCCGTCTTTAATGAAACTTTGGTAGTTCTTCAACGACACCTCGAATTCAGCGTTGGTTTTCGCGTCCTTCGAAACGGCAAGCGATCCTCTGCCGGGAAATCAGGCATCACATGGAACTTGGCCTTGCTAGCTTCAACAGGAACGCGCCGCCGAGACTGACGGGCTGAGACTCGCCGTACACTTCTTGCAGACCCTCGAGGATGCAATTCGTGAAGTTTTTCTCTCCGGTGCGGGCCCGCGCTGTTATCTTAAGGACGGGGCCTGGTTTAACATCTGACCCGTATAGATTCAGCATTAAGGCGCTGTTTGTGCTGGGGGTGGGGTCGCAGGTTGGGGATTGGGTTTTGGGGTTTATTTGGATGACTCGTGTGCCGTTTGTCACTTTCAACGAGTCTGTGTTGTTGAAATCGGGTGTGTTGTTGTTATTGTTGTTGTTGACCCCTCTGCTGGAGACATTTGCATGTCCCCTGCCAGGGACGAGAGCAGGTACTTTGCATTGAGATTCAGTGTAGGAAATAGATTCTGCTGGCCACCAATGTCTGCGACACATGGATTGCCCGACAATCCAGAGGCTGCGAGATGGAAGGGTGGTTGTCGAAGATCAGGACATTGCACCACGCTGGCCGTGGCCGTGGCAAAGTTCGACCGCAGAGGCCGTTCAATCACGGCGGCCAGCTCGGTCAGGGGTGGAGGACGTCGCGGATGTTTGGTGACTGACATTACGCTTGAAAAGAATAGGAAGAGATTAAGTAGATGGAAGATAGAATGAAGGTGGATGTTATCTTCCTTTTTATTTTTTTCCCCGCAGAGCCAAATGCGGGGGCGATTGTGTTACGGCAGACGGGCTCTCTTTTTTGTTTCTATTAATCCGCCTCATCGCGCATCGAAATTATTTCTTTTTCTATATGCTTCAAATCAAGGCGTCCGTGTCCTTGTAGAACAGGTTGGCTTCTCGGTCGGCCTTCTTGCCCGAGGCGAATCCCAAAAACAGACGAGGCTTGCCCGGCGACACCTCATAGATGGCGAGGCCCTCAGGCTCGCGGTACGACAGATTGGCACCCGCCCTGGTGATCAGGGGGCCCTGGACGATGCCACCGGTGTTCATGTCGACGGTGGTCATCTCGGAGTTGATCTGGTTGTCGGTGATCTCGTACTGGTTGCCGGTCAGGATATACATGTACTGGCCGTAGGCAGCGACACCCTGGATAGTGTTGGACTTGGTAGGGAGCTTGGGCTCCTTGAAGTTGGCCATCGGGTGCTCGAAGTCGCCCTTGTTGGCCTTGTCCAGGTCATACACGGAGACATGTTTGCCGTCCTTGAGCTGGGCGCGGACGACCAGGCGCTCGTTGACGGTGTCGATGGAGCACGTGTGCTGCGTGGCGCCCTCGACCGGCGTGTACTTGGTCAACTTGGGGTCGTTGGATCCCAGCGTGGCCCCGTTGGTGAACTTGAACCGTGCCAGGCGCTGCCCGTAGCCATTGGCGTCCGCGTCGACTTCCATCCAGAGGTATGTGGCGGCGCCCATGGCCTCGGCGCCCAGCGAGGCGCCGTGCCCGAAGCCGTTCAGGTACATGTGGCCGACATCCTTGCCGCTGTAGTCGACCTGGGTGATGACCAGGTCACCCTCCTTGTCGGGGACGGCGTTGCGGATCTGGGAGAAGAAGAGGCGCTTGTTGGTGTTGTCAAAGGCGAAGCTCTGTTGAACATTGACTCCCGCGAGGGGTTTGCTGCGGAAGTATTCATGCGAGGGTTGTGTCAGGTCGAATCGCTTGGAAGACAAGGTGGCAGATGCAAGTTGAACGCTGAAGCTGAGGGCCAGAAGGACAATGCCCAGGTAGGAAGGCTTGAGAAGGACCTTCCATGGGGAGACCATTTTTGCGGGGAAGGAAGAAACGGCTGGAAAGAGGAGACAGAAAGGTTAAGGAGAAGGATAAAAAGACAAGCAGATTTATAGCTCGGGGCATTGGGCAAGGCTGCACGAGCCCCATCGCTGATCATTACCCCCAAGTTCTTTGGGGTCTAATATCGGCTGCATCGATAGCAGGTCGAGGCCAGCGCAGGATGAGATGCTGTGGGACTGTTGGCGTTCAGGGGGGAAATTCTCGTTATGCATGGGCTATGATAGACCAAGGCATACTACGATACCACGATAGACCACTCAAACAGGGAGAAATCGTCTTTCTTGCAATGACCAATTGACCTCGAGAACTGCTGCCGGACGATCAGCGTGCAAGGACCCGAAGGTTTATTCAATGCTATTTCCGTCTTTTTGTCGTATGTTTCTGCCTTTCTCGCAATTGTATACCCTCCATTCAAATACATGATACCTATGTGCTTGCACTCATCAGCCCATGAACTCCTTTGTGCGAGGAAAAAGTGGGTTCGCGGAAGAAAGAGGCGTGGAGCAACAAGAGCGGGTCACGTCGGTTCTCAGGGGGGCCTGGCCCACCTGTGGATAATCTTACTAACAGGCACGAGGCTGCTGATTTGTCGACATATTTTTTGTACAGTCAGCTATCTGGAACACCTGGGCAGTCCTGAGGCATCCAGCTCAGCATGCAATTAGCCCTAAATGCATGCTATCGACAAATGATAAATGATATTTCTACCCCTGATCCACTGAGCTCGGGATCGGAATTGCGAGTACGTACTTCATCGTGCCGTCGGCCTTGAAATAAGTACCGTGGATACATACACATGTCAATGGATCACTAAAAATGATCAGATGGAATTGATATTGCAGGCGCTATGGACGACCCTCCCCATCAACCTTGGAAGGCATCGTCGAAACTAACTATCTTCCATATCCCACTTGTTTTTGTTTTGTTTTCTTTGTTTTTGGTTTCGGTTCATCTTCAGTCCCGTGGAGATCCTTCCAGACCATCTCTTCATAAGCACTATCGTATCATCACCATCATAAATATCATGAGACTCCCTGTGAAATCAAAGAAAATGAAAAAAAGAAACAGAAAAGAAAATGGCCAGTCCTCCTGAATCAAGGCAATGACTCGCCTTAAACCACATAGTGCGGCCTGCGACTCGAGCTGCGGTGTCGATGATGCGAGCCGGACCCCCCACGGCGACTACTATGGCTGCGCCTGCGGACCGTCGTCTCCTTGACCACCGTCTCGCGATGGGTATGGTGCAAGAACAGAGCCAGCAGCGCCGTCCAAAAGAAAAAGATCGTCTCCATGATCCCCAACGCGAACGAGGTCTTGAGCATGGCACAGGTCTTGTTGAGCTGGTACGACAGCGGGTTCTCAGTATGCACGCCCCACGACCCGAACGGGCCCAGCGACACCCACGCCGAGCCGCCGTGCCAGCTGCCGCAGTCGGCGTTGGCGATGAAGCGCAGCTGGTAGACTCCCGCGATGAATGCGCCGAAGAAGAGCAGGTCCACGAAGGCGACGAAGATGGCGGAGCGTTTGGTTGTTGAGAAGCGGATGAGTGTGTCGACGGCCCAGAAGATGGCGATGACGCTGACGATGAAGAGGACCAGGATGAAGGGTGGTGTGAGCTGGTTGGCTTTGAGGTAGCCGTCGACGAACCAGGCCTTTGCGAGAGAAAAGATGAAAAAAAAAATGTTAGTTATCTGTCATTCCCCGCCCATGCGATCGATCTGTTCCCTGGTGGGATGGGACACATACCAGCATGCCGATGATCGGGATCAGGAACACGATCTCCACCAGCCGGTTGAAGATGAAAAACACACTGCCAATCATCGTGCCGACGGAAGAAGGTTACCCTTCTTGTCTTCGAGATCTTAGGACTGTGTCGATCGAGGGGGTCTCTGAAAGCAGTTGCGCCGGGGCCCGCGATGTACCGATGTACGTCAGATTGGTGCCACGATCGATCTACAGGCGCATTCGCATTCCCTCGGGTCGCAGCGAAGTACAAGGATTGCAATCACAGCAACCGATGCAGGTGCACAGGAAATGATGCAGAGAGAGATGAAGAGAGGTATGGAAAGGATTAGAAGGGAAAAAGGCTGAACATTCCCATTAAAAAAAGAAAAAGAAAAGGGAAAAACAAAATGAGAGGGCTCGGCGACATCGTTGCTGATGGAGGGGGGGGGGCTGGGACACAATTTGGTGGCTGGGGCAACCCCTTAAGTCCCCTAGACTGTTCGTAGTCAGTAGATTAAGTGCCTACGCCAATAATAACCCATGAATTCTAGGAATAAAAAAAAGACTCGGTAATCTTGCTGCACCCCGGCCTGGGTCATGTCTTGCATTTGTTGATCTGTTCCATAGATCGGGCGTTGTTGCTGAGCCAACGGTGGAACCTGGGATGGTTCCAGGTTACCAGACTACACCTTGACCACTACGCGTAAATACAGTGACTGTTCAAAATTGATCAAATTAATAGATTCAGAAATAACTATTTCTTTTGAACGCCATCCAGTAACCATATCCCAGACCTAATCAGCCGAGATAACGAGAGCAGAAATACGAAATCGGATCCAGCCGCATGCTGATGCGAAGAGAGGTCTAAGCACTCCGGTATAATACTTCATATCCACAAAATAGCAAGAGACTCGCTGCGTCGCATCGAAGCTCGTTAAACATCCCGTGCGGGCGTATCCGTCAACGGTCGCCCATAGCCGGACTGGGTCATCGTCGGCTCGAACGGCGTATGCAGTCCACCGACCGGCATTGGCGCCTGTGTCTGTGGTGGATACGCGGTGTTGGTATCGAAATGAGCCGGGTGATGACCCAAGCTGGGATTCTGCGTCATGGCATAACCATGTTGCATCTCGTACCCATTCGCGACATCATCCTCGCTTGACGACCAGTTGCCATCCGGATCATGATCGTGCGGACGGCGAGGGTACGCATGAGAAGACGTGAATGGGTTCGCGGAACTCAGGTTCTGGGATGACCTGGGCCCGGGTGGATTTAGTGGGGGAACTGAGAGCCCCGATGCGGCCGCTGGATTCATTCGCTCCTCCTCGGAATTGCGAAGCGCCGTCACACTATCGCTGGGTCCGACGGCGCCAGGGTAATCGGGTCCCACTGGTTCACTGCCCCAGGTGCGAATTGGGTAAGCCCGGCCCTTGCGCCAGGCCTCGCTAAGCGGAGGGAAGTACTGGCGGTAGGCGACAAATCCGCTCGCCACACCCAGCAGCGAGCCAGTGATCACATCGAAGGGGTGGTGTCGTGCATCCATGATCCGAGAGACGGCGACCAGTGTCGCCGCAAGAAGGGGCACCAGACAGAGCAGCGGCTTCCAAGCCTCACCGCGGTTGTCCATAACATGCAACTTGCCGCCCAACCACAGCGCGGTGTAGACCAAACCGGCAAACGAAGCTGTACTCGGAAGAAATTTAGTTAGCATGGGGAGTCTTTTGTGGGCTATTAAGCACCGAGAGGAGAGACGCACAGCTGCTGTGGCCTAAATTGAATGAAAGATTAGCGCTTCTCAACTTTTCCAAGGTTTTTTTTTTTTTTTTTCCCACAGAAATCTTACCTGATGGCCACGAACGAAATCCATCCTTGATGATTGCCGGGTCGCCGGTACAGATTGTAGAGTTGGACAAGCCGGGAATGAGATCCACGCTCCCCTCACGCGGTTTGCAGCGATCGATCAAGTCCGGGCGAGGCTTTCCGCAGGCATTCTTCAGCACCTGTGTGATGACAAACGCCAGTCCCTGCGCCAGCAGCAGACCGAGGATGCCGCAGTTCAGCTCCCAGAGACGGTCCTTCCACCGATATGGACCCCTGAGCTTCTTCTTGCCGGATACCGGATCCTGCGGCTTGTGATGTGAGAACAATCCATCGAGGAAGAGAGTGTAGATGATGATCAGCGCAAGAGGGAAAAGCCCCGAGATGCAGAGGGCAACTGGGATAGGGATGCGCTCATGTTCGGCGTAGGGGTATTGCAGGGAGATGTTGCGGAGGGAGAAGTGCTGGTGATAAGGCTCGATGGAGTCAAGGATGTAGAAGCCAACGACGCAGGCACTATTTGACGAAGTGATTAGCTGAAAGATGCAATGGGAGAAAAAAAAAAGGGATCGGATTCTCGAAAGAACCTCAGGAGAGACACACATGAGGATCACATAGTCGAAGAGGTAGCTGGGCGAAGAATGTCAGCTGCGGTTTGCGGGGGGATACAAAGGAGGCTGCAACACACGAAATGACAATGCGCGGTCGGAGCCGCCTCTTAGAGAAGGGCAGTTTGACAGGGAGCTCCATGATGCGCCGAATGGATGAGAGACTAGCAGAGGAGAGAAAGACAGAAGAAGCCAAGTCATCCACAAAAGGATGACAATCTTAAATGAACTCGAATAAACATCTGCCTGGCGCAATGGCGCTTTGCTTAGCGCTTGGCTGGAATTAATAGGTGCATATCACATTCTAGGCAGAGTTGAGTGGCCATGGTAAAAATAGCAATCAGCAATTCTTCTCTCATTTCCTACACTTTTTTTGTGTCTTTTTTTGGTTTCATCTCTTGCGACGCCTCCGTGGCGGAGTTTATACTTTGGACGTGGAGCTTAGGTACCAGGTACACGACCCCACCTGCCATTGCCACCCTCTGGGTCAGGTACCAGGTACCAATGCCAGGGTCCAGACTCCAAAGAGGTAGTCGAGTATTCTTGACCATTTAACAGTCCAAAAAGAAGGTGGCAGAGAAGGGGATAATCACTTAAGGATAATGTTCGCTTTATTGGGCTACATGCATTCCTAGCGCTCTACAGGCATCCCATTTGCTGTGTGGGATCCACCGAAATCAGGCAGCCACCATAAACCAAGGGCTTTGGGCGATGTATTGCATACAAAGAGAAGGGGAAATTAAGGAGTCGGGTGCTTCTATGCCAACCACGGGATAGGATACCAAATATATTAGAAATAGAGCGTACAATCCAAGACTATTAAATGATGACCTGCGAGTTTCGCTTGCTGCCAACAATATTATATACTGGACACTTGGAAAAGACAAACAAGACCTGAAAAGAAAGGATCTGAATAGAACTGAATTTGGTAAATTAATACCAACGTGTACATTTCTGCCAATAGATACAAGCCAAAGGATATTCGCCAGTCGACGCCAGCTACCCAGGACCCATTTTTGTGAATAAAGATGTAGAGGCAAATAAAACATGGAAAGAAAGGAAATGGTACAAAAAAAAAACCATCAGGACATGGTCACATCAGATCAATAACTGTACAAGTAGATACTCGGGCAGCTATACATGCCTGCGAGGGGTCGACGGCCATTGAAGGGGGCATGCACCATGCGCGTTTAGCAGGTGGTGATGTACAGACCCAGAGGAGAGGGGTTGTAGTCCTCGAAGAAGTTGAGGTCGGTGCTGCCCGCGTTCTTCATCTCGTATGCGACGGTCTGGCCGGCAGGGCACGAGAAAGTGGAGACAACGTACGAGTTGCCAGGCGAAACGGTCTTTTCACCAAGGTCCTGGGCCACCGAGGGGACGTTGCTGTAGGAGGTCGAGGAGCTGGCGGCCGAAGACAGCTTGGCGAAGTCGATCTTGCCGTCACCGCTGAAGCTGTACGATGAGGTCTCGAGGTCCTGGAGGTGGGGGAAAAGGAACACCAGGCTGCAGGTCTTGCCGGAGTACGACGATGGGATGTCGAAATTGAAGAGGCTGGAGATGGTCGAGGTGACCGTGCCATTGTACGATGTGCCGGGGGCGCTGTTCGGCGACGAGGAGTCCACGGGAATGATCAGGTGCGGGTACTGGTATTCACCCGACAAGTTAGTGGGACAGCTGCCACCGGACGACTGAGTACCCGAAGGAGTGCTCGACGCTGTGCCGGCCGGGACGCTAGCGGAGCCAGAGGACTGAGAGCCACCGTTGGGAGTCGAGGGAGCGCTGGACTCGGGGACACCCGTAGAGGCAGAGGTCTGGGAGCCGCCGCCAGGAACCATCGGGGTGCTGGACTCGGGAACACCGGTGGAGGGGGAGGGATGAGCACCGCCAGTAGGGATGAAGGGAGTACTGGACTGGATGGGAACACTGGGCGAGACAGCAGGCTGCGATCCAGGAGCAGAGGGCTGACCACCAGGAACAGACTGGCTAGGCGCAGGAGAGCCAGAAGATCCGCTGGCAGTGCAGGGGCAGTCGGTGACCGTCACGGTAGTGTGCACGGTCTGGGGGGAGCCAGACAGGGCAGTCTCGGAGTCTGAGCCTGAGCCGGATCCAGAGCCGGGGTAGCCGGTGGAACCAGCACCAGGGACAGAAGCCGAAGAACCCGAGCCCGAGCCGGGGTAACCAGTCGACTCAGTAGCGGGCATCGACATGGAAGAGCCGGTGTCAGATCCAGCGCCCTGATAGCCAGTAGAACCAGCACCAGGGACAGGCATAGAAGGGCTAGGGCCTGAACCGGGGACAGAAGCAGAGGAGCCAGCGCCAGAACCAGGGTATCCAGTCGACCCAGCGCTGGGGACAGGCATGGAAAGGCTAGGGCCCGAGCCGGGGACAGAAGCAGAAGTACCAGCACTGGGGCCAGGCATGGAAGGACTGGGGCCCGAGCCGGGGACAGACATGGAAGAGCCAGCGCCAGAGCCAGGGTAGCCAGTCGACTGGATAGACGGCACCGAAGACACGGGGGTCGAGGGGATCGGGGCGCTCGACTGGCCCCACGAGGAAGCAGGACGAGAGGGAGCACCAGAGGGAACACCAGAGGGAACACCAGAGGGAACACCAGAGGGAACACCAGAGGGCACGGCAACAGACGAAGACGCGCCACCACCGTTACCGCCACCGGAGCTAGAGCCAGAGCACGAGTCAGCCGACAGGTCGACATTCTTGCACATGGTCACATCAGAGCTGTTGGTGGTGTAGACATTCATGCCGTTGTTCTGGCCAGTCTGGCAGGCAATGAAGTGAGTGCTGCCATGGAACTCCAGCTCGCCCTGCGAGTTGACCGAGAAGCCCGGGGTTGGGTTGGCACCCTCGTCACACTGGAACTGGGTAGTTTCCGCTAAAAACAATTACATTAGTTTATATCCTTTGAGAGTGTATATCGAAGGCCAGTGGTATGTTGCGAACAACAACTTACAGGTCACAACGCAGCCACGGCCCTTGTTGTCGGTGATGGCACCGTTCGAGTCGATGCAGAACTGCGAGGCCGACAGGCTGTTGTCACCAATGCGGACCTGGCCGTCATTCAGCTGGCCGAGCGAGCCCGACGCGCCGCCCGAGGAGTTCAGGTGGAAGCAGCAGTTGTTGCTGCGGCCCACGAGAGCATTGGTGCCGACGGCGAACGCCGCCAGGGTGGCGAAGTTCTTCATGGTAATTGGGGATAACGAATGTGAAAACTATTTTGAGGGGGGGGAAGAGAAGAGAACGAATGGAAAGGAGAGAGAGAGAGATGAAACGACCGTAAGGAGGATGGGAACAATATCACAATTTGATAATGCTAAGTGATAGGAGGTTTAGGGCAATGATTGTCAGCTCCTTGGGGCCAGGCAAATATTTATAAAGAACAGTGGATTGGGGCCACACGATTCCAAGAACAGCACACTCAAAAAAAAAAAAAAAAAAAATAGAAACAAACAATCCTACTCATCCCAGAGAAATGACTTATGGATCGGTGGACCAGTATCTGCATCTCGTAGTTGATCCAAGCTCCGATTCAGCCAGAGAGCAGAGGGGAAAGGGATTGGATCAATGGGACAGGCACAACTGTAGACGTCATTCTTTACATTATACACTATACATGACAGGGAAAAGACTCTTCTTTTTTTACTTTTTCTTGGGACTGTGGAGCAATTGCCATGCACAAGGCTCCACCATAAGGAAGCATCCAACGATCCGGACAACCGTCAATGGGCCACCGTTGAAGGTGGATCAGGGCATGGTGGATCCCCTAGGCCTATCATAAAATCCTATGACAAGATGTGTAAGAGAGAAATCGGGGCCTGGAATTCTTTTCTTTTCTTTTTTTGTGCTCTTCCAGGACGCAGGCAACGAGGATGCCAGTGGCAACACATCATGCTCCCCCCTTTCCATGGAACCTGTGCCTGACCACGCCCATGAGAAGGCGGCGACCAAGAAACAACCCGGATCAAACGGATGAAGAATCTGCATTTCCATGGAAGCCCGGTGGCACTGCATGTTTCTCATTGTCTGCCGCACCTGTGTGATCCGGCTGGTCGGGTACTCGAGCTCGATGACAGGTCCTTTGCTCTCTGCTAAGCTTGGAGGAAGCTCGAGGTTCTTGTCCAGGATGGTTAAGCGTAAATATCGAGAAAAATTGCCATTGTTTTGGCGCATCATGGCTATCCCCAGAGTGCGGCTGGAGTATACAGTATGTCCGAAGTTCACCCATTGGGAATGACAGAGGGCAGACGCAGACAAAGCCACCCAAGGATGAGATCCAAATTGCTCAAGGCAAAAACCTGAAAGAAGTTGCAACTTCCCCTCAAGACAGGTGGAGTTAAGCTTCTTCATGAAAGTGTGTCTCACATACCGAGTGTTGACCAGTGTGGATTGGGTTGCGATACCCGGCCTGCTACATACATACATATCATTGGATCACCAACTCCAGTATGAATGCATTCTGGAGGGGCTGAGTCGTGTTGAAAGGTATTGTGATTTGATTTTATTACATTTATTCCTTGATTATTGGGACAAGTCCACTGGAAGAGTGGACCCGGTGACGCCGTGGGCCAACAAGAATGGCCGCTATTTCGGTGCTCCGACCCAGACATGGGCATCTTCTGGATGCCCACAATCGAGCCTCGGGGTTGTGTTGCCGAATTCACTGGAGAGGCAATTCGTACACAATCCAAAGTGAAAAGCAAAAAGGAAAAAAAAAAGACAGAGAATGAGCCACGTCATGACTGCTTGCAATGTGTTTCGTATATGTCCAGGGGTTCTCAACATAGTATATGTATGGCGTCGTAATGGGACTATTCACGACGCGTGTTCAGAGAGCCCGATCCATGTCAGATTGACGATCGGGGGGCCGAAAAGACAGCGCACACTGTGCTTCTAGAATTCTTACCGATTTCGAATAAAAGGAAAAAAAGAATCAAGGAAAAAAGGAGACAAAAAAAATATATCGTGGCCTTGGGAAGTCCTCTGGTACGGCAGAGACATTTCCACCGAAAATAATGCAAGTCCACATGGCATACGATGGAGTACGTCGCCAGGACATGAGTACTCCGAAACCCTTTTAATTTCATCGGAGCAGAGTTGGATCCGACACAACTGGTCCAATGGACCTGGATGAATGGCAGATGCGAAGGCCCATCGCACGCCGTTGCCATCATCGACTCCAGATTCTAAATTCAACGGTTGAGCTAACCGGGCCCCTTAGCGTTAGCTTGGACGCCAGCGCCAAGTTTATCCCAACATGCGGTGTCGATCGCGACGCCAAAGCGAGTCTCCACCTTTTGCTTCTCCACGCGTGTCTCGGAATCAAAATCTTTACGTGCCCTTACATCAAAGTACTCCACGACATGCGTCATACATCGGACATTTTCCAAATCTTGCTGGAGCCAGCGATGTGAGATGGTCTCGTCACATCGACAGGAATGGAGCATCCAACCCGGCAAAGAACAGGTTCCAGTCAACGGTGGCCGGGTCCACAGCGGCATCGAATTTCTGCCAGAGATCATCAAGAGAGGCGAGAGTGGGATCAGCCGCAGAACGCTCGGGGCCGGTATAGGTCGGGTCGAGGGTCGCAGGCGTAGTATAATGATGATCCAGGTTGGCAAAGGGTCGTTGGCTTGATGCAGTGTGGTACGCCGTGCCACCCTCGGTGGGGTCGTGGGCAGCTGTATACCGATAGAAGACAGACTTGAAGGAGTCTAACAACTGTCCTGCAAATGGCGATTGTTGCTTGGCATCGTCCAAGATGCCGAATGCAGCAAACACTTCTTGTCGGCGCTGTCGATCCTCGTCTGGCTGAGAACCCTTGTTGAGACAGAGCTCCATGAGAAGGATGTTGATGGCCATGCCCACGCAGTGTAAAATGCCGGAGAATTTCAATCGCGACTCAGCAAACGGGAATGACTCCTTGGCCATTTGTCGCTCGGTGAAAATAACCATGCGGGCTGCCTCCAGACATGCCTGTCTCGAATAATCGTACGCAGGCTCCGTAGAGGCCCGCGAAAGAAACGGAAGATGCAACCTGCATCTCTGAGTATGAATTAAAGAGTGAATGATGTATCGTTGAATGATAATTCCGGGTGAATTTCGAGGATCTGTCTCCGAGAGATCGCTCGTGTTATAGTTCAGGGAAAAAAAGGCCGGCATCTCGTTTGCAAATTTGCAGATTCGGGCATCGATCTCTCGCAAGTGTGGATAGCTAAAGGCATCGGAGCCAAATTCGACAAACGGGACACTGTCGGTGATTTCACGACAGATCTCTCCCCACCGAACTCGCTGAATGCTGTACGACATATCTGTCGGCTGTGTGACCGGTTGATTGACCCAGGGAACTCTGTGGAGGTCTTGATCGTTGGCATTACGTGGTCTGTTTGTCGCGATTTGGCGAGGGTTCGCCGTATACGTCCCGGTTTGCGGGCCCGCAAATTGCGAGAGTTGCCTGGCACAGCTTAGTCTTCGACGCTTTCCAGCCGGACACAATGTATTCACGAGCAAGACATACCAGTCTGTTCCCACCAGATACCACCAGACCCTTCGGCCGATTTCAGCTCGAAGCGAGTCTGGTGGAGGAACATCCAATCCCTCGTTGCGCGGGTGATCTATGCGGTGCAGGCACAGTTGCCATGACACAGAAATCCCCATGTTGATCAGATATCGCGCTTGTGAGGTGATTCCCATGATATTAAAAACCACAAAACACAGAATGACCATGGTCTGGACGTCTTCGATCGAGTCCGAGCGTATGCGACGAGAGTACTCCAGCACCTCGAGCGCTGTTTTCATCCAAGTAGGAGATTGCCGGCTCGCGTCTTCCACAGAGGAGAATACTCCTTTTTCCATGTCGCGCTCTGTCCACAACCACGTGGTGCTGGCAAGAATCCCCAAGAGCAAGGACACCTGCCCGAGCTTGACAGGGTATCTTTGGTGCAAGTCCTGGTACAGTGCATCAAGCATTTCATACACCGAGGGGACATGGACAACATGATGGAGATGCGTAATGTCATTTAGATACTTCTTGACTATCGTCCTCGATTCTTCGTACAGCGGAAGCCAAATACATCTGATGGCGAAATTCCGGTCGGAGAAATTGAGGGAGACAGCATGTTTAATCGAGCAAGTCCTAAACTCGATGCCGTATGACACTAGTGATTTCTGTAGACGCTCGGTGATTAGCGAATCTTGCTCACATAAGATATCATTCGGGTCCACATCAGTACCGCCGAACATGGAGACGAGATCTCTCCTTCCAGCCAATCTTGGTCTGCAGTCGATGATCGTTTTGGATGCGATGAAAAAGTGGGTCCCTCTGGGCGAGAAAATGGCGGAGGAACGGGTGATGGTGATGGAGGCTGATATACAGCCTGGGTAGAGGGAGCAGGCGTCGATGTAGCTCCCAGCACCACTTCTTCCAGCCTGCGCAACCGGGAGTGTACATCCTCGTCAGTGCTATCTGCCAATGGCGTGACATTATTGTCGGTGTTGGCTAGCGGCGACGACGGGTAGAGCTGGCAAGGTATGCCACGGCTGGTACAGTTGACGCATGGAAATTGCCGACTGCACCGCAGCTTTCTCGACCGACAAAACTGGCAAGAGACCGGCCGCTGACGTGAAGGCCGTTGCTTTTCAACTCGGTTCATATCTCTAGACTCCAGGTCTCAGTTATTCGAGACTGGGACATGGAGGATTCAGCTTGGTGTTGGGGGCCGGTCAGCCCCCGAAGGATGCAGGGACCTGTGGAGTGCTTGTGCACATTTCTGGGGCGACTCGACAGCCTCGTTGTTCAAGCCTCACCGCCAGCTATGTCAGGCCACAAGGAATTATACTCCTAGTTGGAGTTTACTTTGAAGCTTGAAGCCCTGAAGTATAGGGAGCATAGAGGCCGAGCCATCCCTGAATCTGTTTCTAGGTCACTGTTGCGATCCCAGTAGCAGCGTCTGACAAGCAACTGTCTGTGGATTTCTTACCAACAAGGCCCTGGAGGAATCAATGCATATTTAGCTATGAGCCTGAATACAATTGCTATACAAGGAACCGTTGTTTCTCGCAGGACAGATACGTTTTTGTGGTCAATATCTATATCTCTGCCTTACAGTGCCGTGTCTATACCCACATCATTAGACTCGATTGGTGCTCTGATGATTATAGCATCTCCTTGTTTCAAGGTTGGAGTAGTTCGCCCTGAATAGAACTCAGGCTTTTTCGGCATCTTGTTTATTCTGAGAATGTATTCACAGTTGCAGGGCTTGCAGAGGCGACTGGTTACAGGTGAAAAGCCCAAAAGAGGAAAGAAAAAAGAAACAAAGAAGAAGAAAGATTTCCAATGAAACAATGCCGCTTTCCATTTTGACACGCATGATCTGATTGTCCAGGCGATGCCAACCCTCCTTCACAGAAAACAAACACTTAAGGTCTCACCAGCAACACCAAGACCCCTTTCCTAAAGACCTTCAACCCGAGCGCCCCAAATTTCGACTGGCTCGTCGAGCACCCTAAGATTCATGACGCCGCCGGCCACGGTGGCAGCCTTGCAGGCTGCGATGGCGGCCTCTGAGACTACAGAGTGGTTGGAGGGGCTTGAGCCCTTCAACACCGAAGCACAAAAAATCTCGGAGTTGCCTCCAGCGGCTTCAAAGAAGGCCTTCTTTGTGGAGATCGGTGGAGGCTATGGTCACCAATGCATCAACCTGGCAAAGAAATACCCCGGCCTTGAAAGGCGTCTAATCTTCCAAGACCTGCCCGAGGTCGTGAACAAGCTCCCTCCCATCGACGGGGTTCGAATTATGGCCCACAGCCTTTTCGAAAAGCAGATCATCCGAGGTCAGTATCCTCTCTCCTCCCTCTGTGCATAGAAGATACCAGCGGATAGATAGCCCAGCTATCAAGAAAAGCAAAGCCTGAACTTTTGTGGGTTGAAATCTAGGTTCCAGATTCTACTATCTCCGTCAGGTCCTTCGCAACTGGCCCGACGACGAAGTCATTAAGATCCTTCAGAACATTGCTGCAAATATGAGCCACCGCTCTCGAATTCTCATTGACGACATTGTCCTACCGGATAGCCACGCCCCCTGGCAGGCAACTTTGGCCGATATGTTGCTGATGATTGGGGTTGGGACAAAGGAGCGCTCTCGCAAGAAGTGGGAGTCGTTGGCTGAAAGAGCCGGCTTGCGAATTGAGCAGGTCCATTCTTATGTCAAAGCAGGATGCCCTGCCGTGGTCGTTCTGGCGCTGAAGTAGATCGACTGGGCTATTGCCATACCTAGTGGTTCTAGGGGCTCTCGGCATGCTCGCATCTCCCAGCACGAGTTATGCTTGCCGTACGGGGTTAGTCCCTGCTATTCTGTGCCAGATGACCTTAATTCACTGCTAAGAATGATATGAATTTTCCCTTTTAATGTCAAACTTGGTGGTCGGGGTTGGCTGTGGGCTGTATACTAAATCGTCTTGAGGCTATCGAAATCAGCAAAATTTGAAAAAGCGAGACATAAATAGATGAAAGCAACAGATCAATACAGTTTGCAGGCTTAAGGCTCGCTCATTTGCGGCATAGCTATGGCCCGTCCCGTATAGCCTCGACCTCGTTTCCAGCAGTTGGACAATGAAAGGACAGCCTGCTCTTCCCCGAATTCGCACCGTCCGAGTTGCTTTTTACCCGCATATCTTCCTCTTCAGGAACCGAATCTCTGATCCGGCAGTCTTCTGGAGGCAAGGGTGCATATTTGTCCGTTCTTTTCAGTTCCGCGATACGCCCGGGTGTGAGTTTGATGCCATGCTCCTTTTCAATGATCTGCAAACCAATCCTGGTCATGACATCACTGTCCCATAACATCTCTCGCGGACAAGATATTGTCTTCATCAGCGACAGGGCTTTCAGACGAAGAGAAAGATTCCGGCATTTGATGACCACAAAGTACAGCAGGGGAGCAAACCCCATTTCGAACGCGAATCTCGGAGGACTTGATCCATCCGACGCGCTGGATTGTACTTGCTGAGAAATCTCAACAATGCGCTCGAAGTTGTCCATGTACTTGTCATATGTGGTCTCGTTCTGATCCGTGCAGGCATTTACCCACATCTTGCATAGCAGCCATCGCACCTCTAGCATGCGATAGAGAGCCCCTTTGACCACGGCCGAGTCCTGCTCAGCCTTGAATTTGGCCATTGCGGATGACCACGCATTCAAGCTTCGATCGATCTGCTTCTGTACCTGGACAAGAGACTGTCGGTTTCGTTCGCGGGCCAGTTTTAAGCCCTGGCATGTCAGCCAGTCCATTGATTCTTGGGCCTGAGCCAGGGATCGAAAAGGACCAGCGGGGCTCGGGCATCCAGCAGCACTCAGAGGAGGGAGGGTTGAAAGGTCGCTCACAAAGAAGAGCGGGAAAATACTCAGATGTCGGAAGATAGCCAACAGCTCAGTATTCCGGCAAGTGGAATTAAGCAACCGGATGCCGTATCGGTAGTGCTGCACCGCTGCCTCGGTATTCCCACGTAGAAATTCAATGCAGTCAAAAAGAACGCAGACAATGATCACTGAATCTAGCTGGCCGGACTTCGGTTCTTGCAGGTTAATCACGGATTTAATGGCCCGGTTATAATGCTGGATTGCAAAGCCATCTCTATACGGAGCTACGGACTCCCAAGCGCCCTGGCCAAATTGCTCGTACAGGGCACTGATAGCCACGGCGGCATGTCTAGCAGCGGGTTCCTGATGAGCCGCCTGATTGACCAGCCCCGTCCAAAACGAGCGACCCAATGGGCCTGAAAGGACAGGGGCCACGGCCTCGCGGAAGAAGGCCAAGCTTCGCAGCTCTGTGCGGTCTGCGTCTGGCACGGTGCATGGTTGAATGTAGAGTAGCTCGTCCCAGGAGAACGAGCCCGGAGGAGGGGCTCTGTAGCCGTCACATTCCCGGCCAGTTGATGTACATTTGATGCACCGAGGATGTGTTTCGTCGCACTTGACTCTGCGGGCTCTGTTTCGGCGTAAGCTTGCCGATCTCAAATCTACCAAAATAAACCGCGCCAGTCACTTACTTGCAAGTGATACACCCAGTACGGACTTTTTGATGGGCCTTTCGAGCCATGAGGCTGCCTCTGGTGAATCCCAGGGAGTAGCAGCCCCCACGGACGAGATTGATGTTGCTTTTGAGGCTCGGGGAGAAGAGTGGGGGCGGACCATCCTTCAATTCCAGGCGTCCTTTGCCCCAAGTCCACAGCGATCTACTTCGTCCCGTACATTGCATCGTCATGCGAGTGCAATCCTCGGCTCTTTCGAATCTCAAGGCGCCCGTGGATTGGGACATCTTGGTGAGACCCCCGTCTTCAACTGCGTCGACAGCGACCGATTCTTTTCGTAGACCCTGGCGTGCGGTGCTCCAGTCTCGCAAATTCTGTTCGATGACACTCACCCCTCTGCCGAAAGCGGGAAGGATGCAGAAGAACGATTAAGGTAGCCAATGCAATGTATCGGCTGTGTGCTGTTCTCATGTTTATCGTCCGGGTACGAGGAGCACAAGATGCTGGACCACGTCATGACGTTCCGACGGCAGCGCATCATAACATCCTAGGCGTTGCATACTTTTGAATGCACGAGGAGCTTCGATGGAAAGTTTCAGCTAAATATATAGAAATATTTTGAACAGCAAAGGAAAGGATTGAGTATTCATCGGGAGAGGATATTCGACAAAAGGTGTAGACTAATGCACACTATCAGATGCAACAGTTGGAAATATTGTACATGATTCGAACAAAACTCCATCTAGAGCTTGCCACCGGTGAGCTGCTCGCCCAGCTTCTGGACTCGGCCTTGCGACACATCCCAGCGCTCCGTCTCGCTCTTCCGAGGATTCGTAACAAGGTTGAACAGGCTCGGGGGAAGACCAAGGTTCCAAATGTTGTCTCCGGCCTGCATGTCAGAGCGCCACGCATCATTCTCACCCTTGGGGAAGACGCGGTCGATTTCCGCCGCGAGCTGTTCCTCGGTCATGATGAACGTGCGAGCATTCATATAGAGGGAGTGCAAGTGATCCTCCTTCTCCGCTTGCTTCAGAGCCTTCCGGGATGCTATGCGCTCCTTCGAAAAAGCAATTCGCTTTTTTCGCCCGTGGTCCTGTAGCACCGACTGCTTCCGAGGCTGCATTTTCTGGGCAATCGACGGGCGGGTTAGGCGCTCATCTTCGCGTTCCGGCTGATTAAGGATGATGTTTCGTTGGTGTTGGCTCTGAATACTCTTCTTCATCATGGACGACTCCGTCGATTCTTTCCGCTTGTGCAGTTCCTCCAGCCCTTGGCGGAGATTGTCGCGCCGCAGCACCGACATCTTGTGTTTGAACTCTGCCTTCTCAGGATCGCCGCTCCTCGGGTTCGGCTTGCGTTCCGTCTTGGGGAATGGGGCCACTGCGTCGAGATACGCTTTGTTCGGCTTATCCGCTCGGCGAGCCGGGAAGAGCTCGCGCGGCACGGGGAGGGAACCCTTGATGCGGGGCTTGACAGGGTTGGTGGCTTGGACCATCGGGGGGATTTCAATAAAGCGAGGGGACTCAGGGCCGGTTCGAAGACTCGCCGAAGAAGCGAAGCCACGGGCCTGCACGGTGGCAGTCCGGCTGTTGCGGAGGGCCGACATACTGGGCCCTGTTCACTCCGTAGAGCGAATTGCGATAATGCTCGTCACAAAAAAGGACTGTTGTATCCGATAAGATGCGAGCTCGAAGGGGGAAAAAATTAACAGTGGAAATGGCAATGAAAAAGGAGGATGTCGCGCTGAGGAACTCGACGCAGAAGCGATTTTGCGTGGCCCGTGCACGCGATCTTGGCGCCAAAAAAATATTTGCTGTCCGCCTTTTTTTTTTCTTTTCTTCTCTTCGCGCTCTGCCATTTCTTGTGCTTGGTCTTGCCTTCGAACTCTTAGAAGGCAAATAATTTTTTGATCCAAGACTTCATTCTTTAGGGACTTCATCATGGGTTCCGGAAAGAAGGAGGCCACTCGTAAAGAGCGGCAGGGGAAGACCGGCGATGGAATGGGCAATGTCCGGACCAAAGGTGAAAACTTCTACCGGTATGGGCACTCTACGGATTTCAATGACAATGTGTGATGGCCTGTGTTAGGCTAACAACCTTCTTAGCGATGCCAAGAAGTTGAAAACCTTGAACATGTTCAAGGAGGGCAAAGCCCAACGTGATTCCGCCGGCAATATCACCAAGGCTGCTTCTTACCAGTCTCGCGAGACCCCGACTGCTCGTATCGAGCCCAACCGGAAATGGTTTGGCAACACCCGAGTCATTTCGCAGGAGGCCCTGACCTCGTTCCGTGAGGCCGTTGCCGAGCGTGCCTCGGACCCATACCAAGTGCTGCTCAAGACCAACAAGCTCCCCATGAGCTTGATCCGAGACGGTGAAGGCGCCAATGGGTTAAAGCAACATCAAGCCAAGATGGCGATTGAAACTGCTCCGTACGGCGATACGTTTGGCCCTAAGGCGCAGCGCAAGCGCGTCAAGATGGGTGTGACGTCTTTGGAGGATCTTGCTGGTGAAACCGCCAAGATGCAAGACTCGTATCTCGAGAAGCTTGACCAGGGAACGCACGCGGATGGAACTGCGATCGTCTCTGGTGATGATGTTGCCACGGAGGATACCACTCACACCACCGCTCGAGAATCAGTCTTCTCCAAGGGTCAAAGCAAGCGGATCTGGAACGAGCTCTACAAAGTCATCGACTCCTCGGATGTGGTAATTCATGTCCTAGATGCTCGTGACCCCGAGGGCACCCGCTGCAGGAGTATTGAGAAATACATACGCGAGGAAGCGCCGCACAAACACTTGATCTTCGTCCTGAACAAGTGCGATCTTGTGCCCACTGGTGTTGCTGTGAGTGTTGCCTTCTTTTTATCTCAAACTATCTGCCATCCACCTCTTTTTTTTTTAATTTTCTTATGTCAGTGGCCGGTCGGCCGTTCCATTGCTAAGTCAAGGCTTCTTCCTGCGACTTATGTCGTGTTTTCTCCATGGAAGTCTGTCTGTTACAGCTTTGGTATATCAACATTGACTCGCACCGAACTTCTTTCTGAAGCTAGGTTGATGGGCTTTCGTATTGAAAGCCTGTCGCAAGAGTCAAAACGTGTTTTGTTTCATTATTTGAGCTCTGTCTCTGCCTTTTTGGTGGCTTCATGGCAGAGCTCTTACCGACATCCCATACATTCCGTCCTTAATCACATTGACTGGTGACTGCTTGCTAACATGGCATCTTCCACCAGGCCGCCTGGGTTCGCAATCTCTCCAAAGATTACCCCACTCTTGCATTCCACGCCTCTATCAACAACTCCTTTGGCAAAGGTTCTTTAATTCAGCTTCTTCGTCAGTTCTCTTCTTTGCACTCGGACCGTAAGCAGGTCTCGGTGGGTTTGATTGGGTACCCCAACTCTGGCAAGTCGTCCATCATCAACACCCTTCGAAAGAAGAAGGTCTGCACCGTGGCCCCCATCCCAGGTGAAACCAAGGTGTGGCAATATGTCACCTTGATGAAGAGGATTTACCTCATCGACTGTCCCGGTGTGGTACCTCCTAGCCAGCACGATACTGAGGAGGATATTCTCCTTCGCGGTGTTTGTCGAGTGGAGAATGTCGAGAACCCTGAGCAATACATTCCTGCTGTGCTCCGTCGTGTTCAGCCCCGCCACCTTGAGCGTACCTATGGCGTGAAGAACACCACTGACTCATTTGAGTTTTTGAGCATTCTTGCCCGCAAGGGCGGTAAACTGCTGAAGGGTGGGGAGCCCGATCTGGACGGCGTTGCCAAAATGGTCATCAACGACTTCCTCCGCGGCAAGATACCCTGGTTCACTCCGCCTCCCAAAGGCTCTGGCGGGGACGATGAAAAGATTGACGGCCGTGAAGGCCGACTTGGAGAAATGGGACGCAAGCGGAAGCTGGAAGAGACGACCTCTGAAGCTGCGGATGAGGAGCCCGAATCCTCGGACTCCCAATCTGGTAAAGAGGAGTTCGAAGGTTTCGGCGATGATGACGATGACGATGACAACGACTCGATCGCCAATTTGGAAATAAGCGACGAGGAGAGTGGTGAAGAAAACGACTGAAGGTGTGGCATGTGTTTCACTGGATAGCGTCACATCATCAATTGCTTCCACCCGCCGACTTGTTCTAAGGAAATTGGTCCGCGATAGCTCTTGAAACACTAGAGCATGTACGCCCGCCCGATTTTTCTCGGTCAGCTATGCATATATGCCCTAACGCAGCATCTAGCGTTTGATGCTTGCGATCCACAAATGTACCTCGGCGTCGCCCTTGCAGCCCATTGAGAAGCACACTTCTGGCCTACCAACATCCTGGACAGTCACACGATCCATGATTGTACATTCCATGTATAAGTGTCGGTACAGCCACTGGCCAAGGCAGGCGTCATCAATACCCAGTTTGGCCCTTTGGTGCCACTTTCGATACCCGATTCTTGAAGGATCACATCAAAAATACAACACTCTTTCTGAGGGCTTATTGCAAACATCTAGTTCTTTTTAGCTTGGCTTATGTCTGGTAAAACCCATCTGGTGCTCTTGTAAAAGTGAATCCGAAGTATAGAAAGCTTGGACGTGATGCATTTCTCGGGCGTGGGGGTTTTGAACAGCCCTCCTTTTGGGTCTCAATTTGGGCAGATGAAACAGTTGAAGTGGACAAGAAGAGCCCAATTTGATCAGGCGATTATTCTGAAGATTTTCTTTTCTTTTCACTTTCTTTTTTATAATCATCTTGTAAAAGGGTTGGGCCTTGTTGATCTGAGAGTCCGTTTCACCGCCCGCGTGGGGCTTGACATCGTCATCGTCATTGAGCTCTGCGCTTTCTGCTTGCGATGTGCTTGCTGCCATGCCAGAAGACATGTCGATGATCCCCTACACCGGGGGAAACCTCGATGTTGTACTGTAAGTCAAATTTTCTGATTTAAGTTTCTTTTCTGACCTGAATAGACGGCATAATGACTCGGTGGTGGTCTTCGACCGTGACTCCCAACAGCTGGTTCTCCGCAATACCGCCGACACTCCCCATGCCGACTTGGAGCTAGCCAACTGTCCGTACTGCGATCGCCCAATGCGGGATAGCAGTCGGGGCCGTCACCAGGGGAATGCTGAACCCGAGGCGGGATTCACCAACCCAAACTACTTCCGCATGCTCAACAACAGCCTCCCGAGCTCCGCCAGTTCATCGACACCTCCTTCTCCACGCCGACGGCTCGTCCAGCCTGCCCTCCAAGATGGTCCCGCTCATGAATTTTCCGCGCGCTCACCACCCCCGCAGGGGATTTCCTCTGCCGCCTTCAGCCCCGATTACTTCAAGCGGTTCTTCGTGGAGGAAAGGGTGCTGGGAAAAGGTGGCAAGGGAGTGGTATTGCTAGTGAAACATGTGCTGGATAGCGTCTCGCTAGGCCACTATGCCTGCAAACGTGTACCCGTTGGTGACGACCATGAATGGTTGGAAAAGGTCCTCGGCGAGGTGCAGCTCTTGCAGCATCTCTCACATCAGAACCTCGTGTCGTATCGGCATGTCTGGCTGGAAAACGCTAAGATCAGCACTTTTGGCCCCAGTGTACCTTGTGCGTTTATCCTTCAACAGTATTGCAATGCGGGAGATCTGCACAATTACATCTGCGGCGCGGTTCAGACCTCGACCACGGCGCAGCAACTGAAGGAGCGAATTCGGCGGAAATCCAAGGGGGAACCGGAGCCTCGGATGAGCCTGGGTGGCCCTCGTACCCTCCAGTTGGACGAGATCTATTCGTTCTTCCGAGACATTACATCGGGTCTTCGATATCTTCATGTCAATGGCTATATTCATCGTGACCTGAAGCCGCATAACTGCCTTCTTCATGAAAGTGGCGATGGAATACGTGTTTTGGTCAGCGATTTCGGCGAGGTACAATCCCAAGACGCAATGCGCATGTCAACCGGTGCCACAGGCACGGTCTCCTATTGCGCACCTGAGGTCCTTCGACGCGAATACCCCGATGGTCCGTTTGGGAACTTCACATTCAAATCCGACATCTTTTCCCTGGGGATGATCCTCTACTTCCTCTGTTTTGCGGGACTCCCATACGACAGTGCGGACATAATCAACGAGGAAAAAGAAGACCTGGATCAGCTCCGTGCAGAGATCACCAGTTGGACTGGCTTCGACAACGCCCGGCGCATGCGGCCCGATCTACCCGAGAAGCTCTACACCTTCCTCGAGCGGCTACTCTCTGTGGAACCCAGTCTGCGACCCACGGCCGATGAAGTGTTGAGCGGCATCCAGGTCGGGGCCAGTACGAACGAACACTTCCGCTTCAAGCGAGCCAGTTCGACCGGCCCTGATTTGCCAGGAAGTACGCGTATCCACCCCGTTGATAGCCCACGGCCATCAATAGAACGACGCGCGCTCTCCCCAACGAAAAAATTGCCCCGTGGCTCCCTGGCCTTCCGACAAGACTCGATGTTCGACAGTCGTCATTCCCGAGCCAGCACGACCCCAATCCCAGACACCGGCCTCGAAGACCCATCCATGAGTCCTGACCGGGAAATGGTCGTCCGTTCCCGGTACCAGACCTCGCCGCCTCTATCTCCCACTCGCCGCCCTCCTCCCGAGGAATCGCCTGTTTCCCAGCAACCCCTTCTTCCACCCCCGCCCAGCAGGTTTCCTGTCCTTCGTTCTCTCGCATCCTTGGCACCCTCTTCGCCAGTCTTGCAGCTCTCCCTGTTCTTAGCCAAACTTGTTTCAACTCTGCATCCTTGCTCGCCGCTGGCGGTAAACCCCTGGATCCTCTATCCTCTACTTCTTCTTGCAGCAGTTACCCTACGCACACGCAGCTTTCGAGCACAAGCTCTTGCAATCTTCGTACATCTTCTGGTCATCGGGCTTGGTCTGCGCCTGGGTGCTCTATGTGCTTGGCATAGGGGCTCAGTTATTGACACATAGCATAGTTCACCCCCCCTCCTTCTGTTTTGCTTTGCATCTTTCATTCTTATTGCTTCATGTATTGATGACCCGTCCATGATGATACCTTCGAGATACCTTCTCTTCTTACGGAACAGCCCAGAGATAAAACATGGCTTGTGCATAACAATGCTGTATTGTATATGATGAATCTATATCCTCACTGCTGCGTCAAGTTTACTCGCAGATCTATGGCCTTGTCTATATGGTGTTTACATGTCGGGGGTCAAAAATAAACCGCATCTCCATAGAATAGAACCCCACAGCACCCTGCCGCCTTCAGAAAGAGGGCCCCGTAAGTACTCTTGACGAGCACAGTACAGGCACACACCCCGACGTCAGACGAGAACAGAGATGACCACAGGAACCTGGGTGATGCAGCCAGAGAAGCCCTCGAAACAGATTGATCTTGGAACCTAAGCAAAATGGAGACATACCACGGAGATCTTTCTCTTTTCGAAGAAGAAAAAAAGGGTATGGCCATATTGCTGCCACGGTATAGGACCATGACAGAAATGGATTCCTGTGGCGTTTTTCTTACTTTGATAGATAGACAGAAAAGAAAAAAAAAAGGAATGAGCAGGACCTACGGTATATCATGCAATTGGAAATGATCAAAAATGTGGATCTGGTTGGATAATCCAAGTTCCATGCAGATGCAAAAGATGCTTCTATGCAAAGATGAGCAGCACACCAAATTCTATTCCCACACTATGCCATTCGAGAGGCTTTGAACTTGCTCACCCGCTTGGGCGGGTCCTCGGGTTCAAAGAGCTCTTTTTCATCATTCTCTTCAGTACCGCCATTCTGCCGCGCCATGTGATTGCGCATCCTGTAGAACTCGGAGGCGATCTCCCGGCAGTGGGCTTCCTCGTCCACGTCGTCTATCTCTGGGGCCACGGCTGATCCTTGGATAACATCCCGCTCAACCAATTTATCGGCTAGCGTTTTCCCTTGGGGCGGCTGAGGCGCTGAAGGGCGGTCGGTGACATCTGTTATCGGAGTGGAGAATGGTTTAGGCTCCTTTGGCGTGGCGGGAAACAAGGGCGGTGGCACTGAGGATGGAGTCGTGTTGGTTTGCTTGCGGGCAGCGCTGGACTCGGCAAACTTGGAGGGTTTGGTGGGTGCGGTTGCCGCAGCGGATAATTCGCCATTTGGGTTGCTGTCAGAAGTCGCATTTCGAGCGCTTCTGAACCGCGAGACCTTCCTCGGGGGATCGGCGGGGCGGGCCTCTTGGGTACTTTCCGTACGCTCCACGATCGAGTCCGAGAGCACCGGCGTGTTGGTTTGTGGCGGAAGGGTATCGTTGTCGACCGGGGCCTTGGACGCAGACGCAGGCGCAATGTCCAGGTCATCGGCAAATGCGACCTTCTTCTTCGGCTTCTTGCCTTTGTCGGAGGCCATGATGCTGTTCTGGGGCTGCTTGTCTTCAACCACAGAGAGGTCTTCAATCTCATGTTTCACTTCATTGGGGAACGACTGTGCATCCTTGCCCATATTCCACATTCCCCTGGCGTTCAATTTCGCCTCCAGCTCCCGCATCTGCTGATGGTATTCTTCCGTCAGCACGGGGTAGGAGCGGCCAAATTCGTCTTCGTTCTCATCTTCATCAGTCTCATAGTCGTAGTCCTCGTCAATAGACACATCACTGCCGCCCTCGTCCAGTTCCAGCTCCGCAACAATTGCGCCCACCTCGTTAATCCCATACTGTAGCATTTCACGTCGTAGTTTGGCTTCTTCGGGGGACTCGTCAACATCGGTCACCGGTGGCTCTTCGCGGTCTTCCTCTGTTACAAGGGACACAGGACGGGAGACATCCACGTTGTCGTCGCCAGTAGCAAAGTTTGTATCCGGGACCGTAGGCTGGCTACTAGATGCAACGTCTTTTTTCTTTTCACCCGCGGATTCAGCCGGGGCAGCCTGGTCTTCACGCGCGGCAGAGACCGTGGTAGCATCGGCTTTTTTATTCTCCGTATCCGGGATATCTTTAACGCCAGCCTTCTTCAGCACCCCCAAGAGTTGCGAGGCCTGATCTCCGGGCGTATTGATTGAGCTGGAGACGACTCTTCCCTCCTCATCGAGCTCCTCCATGATCTCTCTCATGGGGTATTCCGCGCCACTGTCCGCAGGCCACTGGTCCCTTGTATCCATGGCGTACAACTCATCTTCCGCCGCGCGTAGCCTCTTCTCCATTGTAGCAATGTTCTGTTTGACGTAGTCGATCCGTCGCCCCAGGAGGTCTACCACTTGTCCGGGAGAGCGCGTCATGTCTTCTTTCCCGAGGAGCGCGCGCATTTCCTTCTCGTCTACCAACGCCCCTCCATATTCGCGGCCCACAGTGAGGATATCATCGGGTGTGGCGTCATCTTCGAGATTTCCAATCTCTTCTCGGAGGCCGTCGTACTCTGCTTCCCAGGTCCGCCAGTGGTAGAGTGATTTCTGGAGTTGGAGAATGTTGTCTTCAAGTGTGAGGCGCTGCTGCTCGAGGGCGTCAAGGTTGTGGTTTGGTACGCCCATGATGCGAGCTAGAAGACTGTAGTGGCACAGTTGCAGCCCTCTAAATACCAGTGAGTGTCAAAATGAAAAGATAAAAGGATCGGAGACGTGAAAAGAAAAAAAAAGAAGCACGTGGTCCGTGCGCGGTGGATCCTTATCTCCCCAGCTCCGGCGAGTCTCTCTCATCTCCCACGCTTCTCTCGCCATGTCGTCGAAGAATGGCATCGCCCGCCGCGATGAGGACGGTAAGTTGAATACAGACTTATTTAAAGCTTTCGGTTTTACTGGCATGCTAATTTATTCGTCTCAGAGGTCTGCCCCGTCTGCAAATCGTCGCGGTATCTCAACCCGAACATGCAATTCCTCATCAACCCAGAATGCTACCACAAGATGTGTGAGTCGTGCGTGGACCGCATATTCTCCTCTGGTCCGTCAAACTGCCCAGTTGCTGGCTGTCGAAAGACACTGCGCAAAAACCGGTTCCGGAAGCAGACATTCGAGGATATTGGGGTAGAGAGGGAAGTGGATATTCGACGACGAGTGATGCAAGTGTATGTGCCTTTCTCCCCCTTTTTTTCTATATATCTATTTATCCCTGGGATTGACTGTGTTATGTATGAGCTGACACGTAGCAACCAGGCTCAACCGGCGCGAAGAGGAATTCGACTCGAAACGCGCCTACGACGACTTCCTCGAGCAGCGCGAGGAGATCATCGCGAACCTAGTCGGGCGGATCGATGTGGCAAAAACAGAGGCCCAGCTCCAGCAATACGCCACCGACAACATGCAGTCGATCCGAACAAACCAAGCGCTGGAAGCCCAAGAGGCCTCGTCCTTCCAGGCACGCATGACCCAAGAACAAGAAGAAGCGCGACTGCGCCGACAAGCGGCCCGCGAGGAATACGAGAACGAGCGGCGCGAGATGCAAGCAGGACGCGAGGACTTTCTGTCCCGACTGGCAGCCGGCACAGCGGCAGACGCCACGTCGATCGCGCGCGAGGGCCACAAAGTCCTGCTCAAGAAGTCGTCCGCCCGACGCAGCGAGGAAGACCGCATCCGCCAGAAACAGGCCGCGCTGCGCGGCACAGAAACCACCAAGCGCACGGGCGGGCCCCTCACAACCGCCGATATCGCCGGCGCTGCGCCCTCAGCGGACACGGGCCTGGTCAAGGGCCTGCGCAAGATCAAGACCCCCGAACCCGAAAAGCCCTACGATCCATTTATGGGCCTCGTCCCCGAAAAGCGCGATTACTACTCCTTGCAGTCGTTCTACCCGTCTTCCTACCTCGAGCCTATCCGCAAGGATACCCGTATGTTAGCCGGTGGCTACGATCTGCGTGAGTACTACTCGCGCACGTTGTTTGAGGCCTTTGCCGGGCTGGGCTGTTTTGTCGGGGAAGAAGTTGCCCAGCGCGATGCTACCTCTGCTGCGGGGATTTCGAAGCCCGCTGCCACTGAGGGTGCTGCTATGGCAGCGGTAGGAAATGCAGCCGTCAATGAGAACACGGCCTGAAAAGGGGAGTCTCTTTTCCACTCTCCTTTGTTCTAGTTCTTGGGGTCGGAGGTGATGTCTCTTTTTCTTTTGGTTATTTATTGCAAAACGGGGCATAGCGAGGGCGTTGTCTGTTTTATATACACGATCAATTGAGAATTCAAAATACATGATGGAAGTGTTCATGTTCACCAGTTGCAGTCTTTACCATCCATGGATGCTATAAGCACATATCAAGGCGGTTTGCCTATTACCTGGATAATACTTAGATAGCTAGGCACGACCTTATTTTGGCCAGAAGAAATATCAAATTGACAAGGCTGATAGCATTTGCGAAAGCACACCCAGCTTTCGATAACAATGAGGTGTATGAAACATTAATCCCAAACTCCGAGGGACAAAAAATCACAATCCAAGCCCCAAAAGAAAAACACATACATACAACACTTTCACCCTAGTAACTCAGTGCCGACTATCAGCAGTACGACCCGTCATGTCAGCAGTGCTCTCAATTCCCTCCCAGGGAAGCTCATCCTCATCCTCATCCAAATCCAGGGGAACAGCAAAACGCGAAGACTTGTCCGTGATGCCAGTGACATCCTGGACAGGCGGCACATCAATACCAATAGACTCGAGGGTCATTTCCATTTCCTGCTCGGTCATTTGATGACCGGCCTGCTTCTGGCCCTCCAGAACATCATAGAGTGAATAGATTTGATCGGACTTCATGTCGACGTCTTTCAAAACCTTGTCGATGCGTTCCAGGAGTGATTTGCGCTGGCGCTTGCCGAGAGACGCATCGAGCTTGTTGTAGGCGCTTTGGTAGGACGCCAGCTGCATCTTTAGATGGGACAGTTCGTCCTCCAAGGTCTTGAGGACGGTAGCAAGGGCGATAGCTGGCGGCTGCGAGGGGCGGAGGGTAGGGTCCTCGTTGTAGGGAGACGGCTTCGGCATGCGTTCCGACACGGGGACAGGCTTGGGGATCTTGACGGGTTCGTGGTTGCACGAGCCATCATTGGGGAGGACGTTCTTGCAGACCATGCAGTTCTTTCCATCGTGCTGGGCAATCCCATCCAGGGCTTTCAGGGCTGCTTCGGGCAGACGCGACGGGTTGGTGGCCGCCAAATCGGCGTGGTGGAGCGTGATGTCCGGCAGGATGAACGCGGACGTCATGTCCTCGACATTGCGCCACTTCTTGCGCGGAGAGATCACCGGCACCGAGTGGTCGGAGTGGCGTCGTGGACGTTCTGCCGTCGGCACTGCCAGACTGTTGTCCCCGTCCGTAGTCGCTCGAGACTCGGTGGTAATGTCACCTGCAGCCGACGCAGGCCGCGGGATTGCAGGCTTGCTCTCGCGGGGTGAAGACTTGCGAGGGGCAGGAGCCTTGAGAATACTTTGGCGGGTAGAATTGACGGTTTCTGTGGCAGTAGGGTCCTTGGGGACACTCGAGCGACGTTGCTTGCGTGCCAATCTTTCCTCTTCGAGGGTCTTGCGCAAACGGGCAATTTCATTTTCCTGCAAAAATCAATGGTCAGCTCTGAATAGGACATCGGAGGCCGTCACGGGTCAAGCTACTCACATCAATAAAAGTTAGATAGGTCAAATCATCATCACCAGAGGACGCCTTGGTCGGCTCGGTCGTCTCAACCGGCTCAGTGACATCCTCCACCACGACTCGCTTGACACGCTGCTTGCCGGTATTCGGTTGCTTCTTTGCACTCTTGGATTCGGTCGGGCGAGATGTATCAGACTTCGCTGCTTTCGCTGGCGCTGTACGCTTGGGCGTTGGTAGATCAATGGAGAAGAGGGCCTCTTCGGCACGCTCCTTCTCAAGTCGAGAAATCTCCTTATTAACCTGGGTAGAAATCTTGGCCCGAGAGTCATCCTGGCGCTTGTTCTTGTAGTTGGATCGGGCACTCTTGGAGGTCACATCTTTCGTGCTGCGGCTCCTGTCCGTACGCTCTGTATAATGCTGGCTGTCTTCTGCGTCGGAGATGGCTGAGCTGGCGTCAGAGTCAACTGTATCCTGTTCGCGAGACTTTCGGCTCGAGATGCGGGTGGATTGGGACTTGAGCTCCCCGTTCTCCTGTCGGAGCACCTCGTTCTCGGCCTTGAGCTCCCGAGTCTCAAGATAGGCGGCTCCAAGTTGGGAAATGGCAGACTCGCGGTCGTGATTGAGTCGCTTGATGGCAGACTCTTGAACCTGAGCCTTTCTATCGGCAATATCCAACTGGTTCTGAAGGGCAAGGTTGGCAGCTTCCAGCTCTGTTTCGATAATTAGCCGAGAGAACTAGAAAAGAAGAAACAAATGGAAAACTGACTCTGGTTTTCACTTGCCAACCGTTTCGATCCCCTCTTATGGTCGACATCATCCGTCTCGTATCTGTCTGAATTGCGAGGCCGGTTGCCCTTCAACGTGGCATTTTCCTGACGATAACCCTCAAGCCGTTTCTCTGCTTCTGACTTGAACATCTCCAGCTCAGACACCTTGTCCTGAAGCAGTCTGAGAGAAACAAACAAGGCTTTCTCATCTTCCGGGATCGGAACGGCATCCAGAGGCATATGCTCACGGGTCAAGGAAACATCGGTTGCATCCTGCTCAAGTGGAACGAATCTGGTAGAGCGCATCTTTTGCTGGCGAGAAAAGACCGGCGTGCCATCTTCATAGACACCGGAAACAAGCTCGGAGATGTTAGGAAGGTCGGGGAGAAGAAAAGACTGCCGGGTCATGGTGTCCCCGGGAGCATTCGATGTATGGGTAACGTTGGCAGCCGGCTTGGAAACATTGTTCGGCATGCTTCCTCTGCGCATCTCCTTCGCGTAAGCCTCCCGTGATGCTCGCTCCACTGCGTCAGCAATATCCTGGGAGTTGTGTGGATTGCTAAAACGCGTCGATCGAGAGTTGGCCGCAACGGGTGCAGGACGTTCATCACCAAGAAACGAACCATCATAGTTGTCGCGGACTTTGGCGTGCATTTCGGAAAGCGACCGCCGTTGGTCCGCACGTTGTGTCTTGGATACTTGAGGGCTCATGGCTTCCTTCTGGGCTTGGCTGGCTCGTCGCAATTGGGCATCCTTGCGGAGGTTCTCGCTGACTGCGCGTCGCGACGTGGAACGCATGGCGGGCTTTTGGGGCGTCGGGTAATCCACTCGAACGGCAGGAGATGACGAGCGCACACTGTTTTCGAAGCTCATGACGGAGCTGCGCGAGTCATCCAAGCGACGGGCGGGTTTCGCGATGCCGCGTCCAGCTTCAATGGACATGTCGCTGTTGGACGAGTCGTCTTCTTCGGAGGTCTGGATCTGGGAGAATTCGGGAAAGGCGTTTTCGAGAGTAGATGTGTTAATGGCAAAATCGGGTTCTTCTTCCTGGACGCGTTGTCGTCCAGATCTAATTTTGTTGCTGGGAAGTCGAGGACTGAAGTCCAATTCTCGGGTCGAGGCCATAGCTTCGTGTTCAGGGTCGAAATCGGACACCGTAAAGCTTGCTGAAGACGCGCCTGAGTGTCTCGTGTTATCTTGAGACATGCTCAATGAATGGGGGTGTTCAAGAGGGTGGTCAATGGCAGAGCATGGAGGAGGAAGAGGTTTGTTTTGGGGTCGGGGCTCGGGAATGTTTTGGTCCAAGCGCGTCTCGGCAACCAGCCGATCCGCTTCAGTGTCTTTGCTATACACAGAGTACATGATGGGAGAATAAAATAAAGAATAAAATCCAACTTACTTTGAATAAAAGACTCGGTCGAGCTCCGTTGTGTGAGTAGAATTGGGGTTTGAAGAGGGACAGAAGAGGGCGTGAGTTTGTTTACATGGTGAGCTCTGCGGCTACCGTTCTATCCAGGCAACTACAAGGTACTTTGCACCTACGCAGCTGATCATAGCTACTCAGTTGGCATACATCTACAGAATCATGGAAATATAATCTTAAAATACGGTCAAATGCATTCTTGCTTGTCTAAAGCAACTCTGCCTCAACCAACCCCGTCTCATGGTATCCCTGTAGAGAAAACAAAAATCGCAACCCCGTCGCCGGCCAGATATAACCCTTGGAAACGCCTTAACTATTGCAGTCATTACGAGCAATCGGAGATAGCATTCGAAGGAATGACAACAAATGGCCAACGACGCGGAGAGGACAGAGAGTCCCCGAAAAGTGTTGCTAATACAAGTCGTGAATCATGCTCGTGAAGAACCGTGTAGCAGATAGGCCCTGAGGCATTGCTCGCGAAGCTAATATGCAGAAGTGCAAGAAAGGAAAACAAGTCGCCATGGAAGAAATCATGTCATGAAGAGGAACAGGGTCCGTGCGGAGGGGGACTGGTGGTCCTTTCTGGTTCCTGCGCAGGTCCTGTGGGGGTCGAGGGTTCATTCTCCCTCTCATGTTGGTGAGAAGCAGTCGGGGTGACTGGGGATGTGGCCAAGGGACTGGCCACGTTCACCTGAATGGCAGGCAGGGGTGCAAGGCTGGGCAGCCGCCGCAGCCCTTCATTGCGTTCTGTGATCGGGCTTTCATAGGCAGGCGCATCCCCCCAGTCCAGATGGTCATATTCTGGGGGAGGCGGAATGTCTGATGCCCCGAGATCGCCGTCATCTGCTTGGGACAACGGTCGACTGGATCCACCGGTCACGGACGGGGTGAGAGATAGATCGGGGTCTGCGGCCAGAGTAGAGGTGGTCCTGGTCGAGGATGCAAAGGACTCGACGCGAGAATGCATACTGGTTGGATCCTCCAAAGACGGAGTGGATTCATTGATGGTGGCATGCTGCAGCAACGGGTGATGATCGGAGTCGTGCGAGTCGGCCCGAAGGCGTGAACCATCGTGGCGGACATGGCCGATCGATGCATAACTAACACTGGAGATGCGTCGCTCCCGTTCTCGAGACTGGTGCTCCGCCATAACGGTAGAGGCATTCACCGAGGTACTGCTACTATTCTCCGGACGAGTGCGCTGGCTCCGGGCGCGAGCCTCGACTGCGAGCTGTTCGAGGCGAGCCGAATCGCCACGCGCCCGAGCTTCTCGTCGATCGCGACGGCGGGCCTCACGCTCAGCGAGTTCTTGACGGCGCTGCAGACGAAGCTGGTACAGCGCATCCATCTGCTCTTCGCGACGAGCTTCTTGTTCCTCTGCGGTCTCGGGGTATTCCACGACCATATCCATTCCATTTCGCTCACCCTCTCGCGCAATGATCTGCTCGGTCGGCTTCGGGCTCGGCGAGTAAGCAGGCAATGTCATGATGGATCGAACCGACGTTTCCCGCTGAACGCCGGTGGTGTTCATCTCCGGACCCGACTGGCCGCCTCCACGATACGAGGTATCTTGGTCGGCATTGCCGGCCGCTGGACTAGGAACCTGGCCATACGAGGCGCTGCCGGGACACCACTGCTTCCATTTGCGTTTCAAATATTGCCCGGGGATATATTTTGGTTCGTGATACTGCTGCCGCAGATACCGCGAGCCAAAATAGACGATCACACAGACGGAGAGCACAAAGATAATACACGCAGCGCACTAGAAGAGAGAATCCAGTCAGTCGGAAGGCAGGACAAAAATAAAAAAAAACATCGACCATCCCAGTGATAAGCCGGATGGAGCCGGGGTCAACGTACAATGATGAAGACATTATTCTTGTTAGTTGTATCACGTTTCTGTGGAATGTACATGGTGAGGGCATGGGCGAACCCTTGAAGAGATCGAAGGCATGGAATCTCCCCAGATTTTCATGAAAGAATGAGAGAAGATGGCAAGAGACACAGCCACCAGCAATAAATTCTAGACACAAGTGGAGCCCGAAACACAAGAGAAAAGGAGAGAGAGTGGAGACAGTGAGACGAGATGATGTGGACGGGGTGGAAATCCCAATGCTGTCCAGCGCCCCAATGTCGGTGTCGATCGTGTCTGAGGTGGATCCTCCTTCTCCAGGCTCCAATGATTCTCTTCCTTTCTGCACGGGAGTGATGGCTAGTGAGGATCGAGTGAAACTGTCTTGCTTCATTGATCGTTGATCGGCTCGTGGACGAGGTACTGCACGAGTCTCTCTTCTCCCTGGGATGCAGCAAGGGTTTGGCCGGTGACACAAGCATTCGCCCTTACTGCGATGGTTAGAAACCGTGCTCGGGTTGCAACGAACTTCGTGAGATCCTAAAATAGTGACAGTATGTTTTCCGTAGCGTCCAGAGGGCCGCTGCGATGGACAGTGTCGAATGTGAAACAAACTTGAATCGGCTCTATCAACGGTGGTTTCTTCGACGAGTCATGCCCCTGTTCTCTACGCATAGTCAATCCAAGGCGGTGTTTCTAGTTTATCTATTTGATTCATTTCTTGTTATATCCTGATGGACTTGATTTGACATATTTCTCAATTGTATACTCGCTAACAATTAGAAATCAGCGGGAATGGCAACAATATATCCTCAACCCAAGTATATACTACTGTACCCGATCACCACAAAAAAATATATTCCAACCACTGGACATTCATTTATCATCTATGGATGAATGAGCCTTGATTCTGGCCATGTCTTTTTGAATTTTATGAGTACTTCGATGCTTCAACCTAACAGCGAAAAATGAAATCCAGCACCAAGTATGTGTCTTTCTGGACTCGTTCAGCCTTCCTGCAAAATGTACAGCAGTCATAATTCGTGATTTTCGCGGGGAAACCCTTCTATACCATGCAGCTTGTGGATCATCATCGGCATGACCTTAGTGCCTACCCAGGAGTCTACAAGCTGACCGACAAGTAAGGACCACATGGCCTTGAAATAGCTTCGTGGCTTCTCTCAGAGCTGCCACGAGCAGAGGGTAATCGGCAAGTACTCGAAATTGTCCAGGATACCCTGCTGGAGATACTTCAATACCCTGATGCTTCCTGGCCTTCAGTCATGCGACATTGACGAAACCCGTCTTTAGTATAGACATCGTTACCAGGAATTATCACCCTCTTTCCAAGTGTGAAGGTGACTGGAGAAATTGGAGACTGGGAACACCATAGAACCAAAAAAAAAAAAAATAGTCTCTTGGCTTCAAATCACCCGGTCTTTGTGGTGGCTGGGACTCGGATATTAATCCCCACAGGCCTTCTGACATTCTCTCCCCAATGCTTCTGACCGTTCCCCAAGAGACATGCCCGCAAGAAATAAACAAAACTACGATCGAAAACCCTGCAACTGCGAGATCATCCGGGCACACAACATGATCGCGTTGGCCCGCCATGGCGCTGGCCGTACGTTTGGTTGATATTGGCGCGCAGTCTGCTCCAGCGATCGACATGCCCCACGTCCAGCACTACGATGGCTGGTCCAATAGAGCACCGCTAATGCCCCCGGGGGACCACCTGAGGTCATCGCAGCCAGGCATCACCGGGTCTCGTCAGCCTGCCCTACCCGATGCCGGACGTTGTGTGGGTTGGCGAAGCGGCGTTTCCCCGGAAGTATAAATATTATAGACCCAGCGACAGATTGAAACATCGCCTACCACATCGCACATTCTTCATCTGCGGGCCTTGGTGAAGAATCTCCATCTCTTCCTGTCGGATTTCTTGCGCACATTAGCCAGGGACATCTCCAGCCACTCGAGTTTCCACCTGGATCCCTCGATCGCCATCCCCGATCATCCTCGCAATGGCAACCTTGAACTTCGAGCTGAAGAACCAGACCGCTTCAGAAAATGTCTATGCCTACATTACTGGACAGGCGCTCGACAATAATAATGCGCTCTTCCTTTTGAAAACCGACGGCAAGACGCCCTACTATCCGACGTCGCCGTCGAGCACCATTTCAGACCTGACGGAAGACTGCGCCATCCACCTGGGCACTCCCGGGAGCACGACGACAGTAACGATCCCGCACCTGGCGGGCGCGCGACTGTGGTTCGTCCGCGACGGCAAGCTGACGTTCTATCTGAACCCGGGCCCAGCACTGGTCGAGCCCTCGCCATCCAACACGACAGATCCCAACTACAACCTGTTCTGGGACTTTTGCGAGTTCACGTGGAACGACGCCCAGCTCTACGTGAACATCACCTACGTGGATTTCGTGTCACTGCCCATCGCACTGACCCTGACCAACGCCGCCGGCGAGAACAAGACCGTGCCGGGACTGCCGGCCAACGGCCTCGACACCATCTGCAGCGAGCTGCAGGCACAGCATGCCCGAGACAACGTCGGCTGGGACAAGCTGGTCGTCACCAATGAGAACGGCGCCAACCTGCGCGCCGTCTCCCCAACACGGGCGTCACTCTGCACCCGTCCCTGTTCACCAACTATTACGAGCCCTACGTCGACCAGGTTTGGTCCAAGTACACCGGCGCGACCTTGACCGTCAATACGCAGGCTGCCGCCGGCGACGTCACGGGCAGCGTGGTGAATGGAAAGCTGACGTTCTCGCCGGGGAACATCGCATACGACCAGCCGTCCACGGCAGACGTCTTCAGCAACAGCTCTGGTGCCTTTGCCGTGTCCGGGGACCCTACCAAGGATGCCGTGACTGCGCGTCTGGCTGCCGCGTTGAATCGGACCACGCTGCTATCTAACCCCATTCAGCCCAACGGCGAGAATGTCGCCGACTACTACCAGGGCGCGGTCACCAACCACTTCTCGCGTATTTGCCATGAAGTTACCATCGGCGGCAGTGGATACGCCTTTCCCTACGATGATGTGGCTCCGTCCGATGGGGCCGACCAGTCCGGCAGCGCCTTTGATGCCAACCCGAAACTGCTGACGGTTACTGTGGGCGGCGGCGCTGTTGGCAGTAACTTGAATCAGAACTCTGCCGACCACGCAAATATCCCTCCAGCGCAGGGTGATCCCGGAGACGTGGAAAAGAAAAGCCGGCTCCACGGTTTGAAGAAGTTGGTTCATAAATTCTCGCACTAGCGAAACTCCCGACTTGATTCCGAGTGGGATCTTTCAGTCTCAAGAAGATGGATATTTGTACAGATCATGTAGATAGCTGCTATGTTGCACATATATGGGAACCTGGAACATTCTTGGGTATGGGTTATTGTGAATATGACTGACGGTCTTCTACGACTTCCCTATCTGTTTCGATCATAAAATTCATTGTAAAAAAGAAAAGCTATAATCATAAGGCTAGGAATATCCACTCTTCAAACTGCCTCGCCAATCTGTCTCTTGATATACGCGGCCACCTGCTCCGGCACCACCAGGTACGGCGTATGGCCCGTACCAATCTTCTCTGTCTCAATCTGCGCTCCCTTCTCCCGAGCCCGCTCAACCATAACCTGCTGAACCGCGATAGGGATCGCCCGGTCTTCCTCGCACAAGAGATACGAGGCCGGGATGTTCAGGTATGCCGCACCGGTAGCCGGCGCAACCTTAGTCGCCCAAGCATGAGGTAGAAGCGTCGGGGCCCAGGCGGCACCGTCGGGGACATCATGGAAGAATAGTTGGTGGGGGTCACTGGCCGTGACAGTTTCATTTTCGAGCTATTAACCCAGTCAGACACACACGCACACACACACAATCTTGAACAACTCCCAAGGAAACCGAGTCAGGGAAAACAATGAAATAAAAACGAACTTACATCCCGATTATACCAATCCGGCGGCGTCCCCCCAAAAGCCCCGATCAAACTCTCCCCCAGATCCGGCAGAAACGCCGAGATGAAAACCAGCTTGACGACACCACCTGGTTTTCCTGCCTGCTCGCGTTCCGACTTGCTCAGCCCGTCGAGCGCACTGTTCACCGGCAGACCGGACCAGCTGTGCGAGACGACCACAACCTCCTGCCCTGCATCTGCGGCCTCCTCGACGAGCGCGCGCACGGTGTCGATGTCTGGTTGCAGGTCCTTGACGGTGGTCGATTGCTGGACGGACGGGAAGGCGACCGTGTGGCAGCGGTGGTCGTCTCTCAGGAGGTCGATCAGCGGGTTGAATGCTGCGGCTGGGTACCAGGCGCCTGGGGTGAAGATGAGGGTTGGCTTGGACATGTTTTTAGAGGAAAGGCTGTTGGTGTGAGTTGCAAAATTGCGGGATTCTTCCAAGGTTAGACGGGGCTCGTTTTCTGCTTATCGATAAAGCTGAGAAGGTCAAAGGGAAGAGGGCTGCTAAATAGTCTTCCCCGTAGGGCACGGCTGACGCCAAGGCGACTTTTGGGTCTTCAGATAGACCCCAAGTGGACTAATTCCATGGTGGGGCCTTGTTGAGTAGGCAGCAGCTGGTCAGCATCGGCTGTAAGAATCGCTTCTTAGTGCCTTTTCCGAGCTAGTCGGTAAGGTCTGGAGGAGAAGAGGAGACGCGGCCGATTATATTGTCGTTTCCAAGGCTCTTCATCGTTAGCCCTATGTCTCAACTATTAACTAACCATTTCAGATCTTTCGATGTAGTTTGTATTGCCGGCTGCATTTTTATAGTTCGTCTAGATCACATCCCCGTCTACGTCCATCCATGGATGGGTCGAGCCCGTACTTCTCCGCCGTGGCTCTCGCGCCGGGACGTTCATGAAATCCGACTCAGAGACTATAAAACCCCCGGCGCCAAATTCATTCCCAAATTTGAGAATAATAACATGAAATGGCCCTCGTGACTTGCGATATCACTTGGAGGGTCCATCTAAACAACATTCTGATGGAATTGATCAAACTAATCAGTAAACTACAAGGGTAGCACAAACTCAAAGAAAGAGCTAAATTGAAGCAGCATAAAACCATCAATCGTCAGACAAAGCCCAGTCCACTTAAGCCTCACCAGCCTCGGGATCATTAAGCAAAGCATGCAGTTTCCCGCCATGTCGACTCGAAAGAGCTCGATACGTCCCGTTCTCCACGACGACCCCCTGATCCAGAACAACAACATGGTCCGCAATCTCGATCATCTCCTTCGCATGCGTGATAATAAGCACAGTGAGTCCCCGGTGCGCCGCCACCAGCTGCTGCACCGTCTGGCGCACGATTTCCGCCCCGGCGGGATCGAGACTCGAGGTGGCTTCGTCAAGAATGAGGATTTGAGGCTGTCGCAAAAGAGCCCGGGCAATGACCACGCGCTGCTTCTGACCGCCGGATAGCCCGATGCCGCCGTCTCCGATGACGGTGTAGTAGCCGCGCGGGAGTGACGAGATGAAATCATCAATACCCGCTGCCTGTGCTGCAGCCCGGACTTGGGGTGGCGATGCTAGCGGCGAGTGCTCGTCGATTCCGTAGCTGATGTTGGCGTGAATAGTTCCCGGGAAGATAGTTGGTTGTTGCGAGACAATGGAAATTTGGGAGCGGAGGGTCGGGACGTGCAAGCGTAGTATGTCTTCACCGCCGAGCGTCACGGTGGGCTGGCCGTTTCGGGAGACTGGGGCTTCGAAGAGAGATAGCAGGAGTGATGCGATGGTCGACTTGCCAGACCCAGACCGGCCCACTATTGCTGTGCAGGAGCTTGGAGGGATCGTGATGGAGACATTCTTCAACACGACTGTGTCGGGTCTGGAGGGATACCGGAAGTTCATGTGTGTGAGCTTGATTGGTGTCAGGCGAGAGGCTTTCAGGGTGCCGTGATGCTCGTGGGATCCCGCTTCGGGGAGATTTGCAAGACGGAGAAGTTGCGTTGCTATCTCGCGGGAGGTATTGATTTGCGGAACTGGGGGCACAATAGTTAGAATGGTATTCTTTCTCAAGAAAAGAAAAGCTCAATTAGGAGCTTCACGAACTCCATGACAAGATTTGTGCCGCATATCCAATGCTGAAAAGAAGCATTGAAAACACCGTCATCACATCGTTCACTTTGAACTCCGAGGCTGCGAGCTCTGCACCATAGTAGAAAATCAAAGCTATGTCCATGTCAGATAATGTACAACTGCTGCTGAGCGTGATGTCTGCTTACCGCTTGCAAATACGACTGTCGACTCGACCATGCCAAAGAGCATCCCACTATACAGAGCGCGCTTCAATCCAATTGTCAGACACCGTGCAATAGCATTGGCCTGTTTGCTGTGAAAGTAGCCCTCGAGAGTCAACGTCCTCACAGTGCGGATCTCCGAAAATGTCTCTGTGAAAATATCCGAGGCGATGCTACTAGCCTCGTTGCACCGCCGTTCCCACAGACCATTGGTTCCTTCGAATCCTCGGGTGATTGCATAGATAACCGGACCACAGGCGAGAGCCACCAGTGTCAGCTTCCAGCAAACCACCAAGCTCCAGATAATGGACATGAATGTAAGGGCAGCAGCGACAATCACAAATCCAGCGAAACGGCCCAGCAGGTTGCGCATGTCCTCACCATTCTGGTCAAAGCATGCGGTCAGGCGCAATGCGGAATTCCCATCCTTCTCAAACCATGCTCGCGGCTGGTCGAGAACTCGCTGGAAAGCTCTTTTGCGCAGCGTGTCCATCCACGCCTCGCCGCAGAACTCCAGGAAAGAGTGCATGAAGTAGGACGCAAGACCGTCGCCAAAGGAAACGCCGAGCACAGCAAGTGACCAAGTCATTGTGATTTTTGCGCTATTTGACCCGGCATAAAAAGTCCCGAACAACTGAGACAGGCAGTAGGAGAAAATGGGCGTGGCACTAGCATGAGCCAAGGCTGATGCAAACCCCAGGAAAAGGATAACGCGTTGCTTGTTCGTCAGGTTTGGAACAATTGTACCCATTATTTGTGTCAGGGAGGTCATCTCTTCTTCCTTTGGCACGCGTCGCTTCCCTGACTTCATGGAATGTCGATGATGGGCCCGTTGGCTACGCTTCCGCTTCGCGGGAGATCGTGTAGTGTGAGAATCGACATGGTGAGCGTAGCGATCCGTTTGGAAGTCATGCTCGTCAGCCTGGCTTATCATCTCGAGCTCAGTTAATGGTATCTGCGCAGAGTCCTCTTTATACTCTGGTGGCAGATCTGTCTTTCTGCCTCGAGCAAAAGAAGCTCGCTTGCTTCGAGCGTATGTAGTTGCTGGCGGCGTCTCTTCGGGCTGGGTCGAGTAGATCGCATACCTCTTTGATGCCATATCCAATGAGCTGGACCGAAAGTTCGGAGGGATGTGATGTTGTGCCCAAGATGTTCTGGACGCCCGATGGGCACGTCGAGGCATGAGTGGCTGTATATCGTCCAGGCTCTCGATTGAGGAGTCGTCCGGTTCGAGGAAAGATTCATCTTCAGCAGCGTTTTCAGATGCTTGCTTCTTGTTTCCCGCAGTGCCTTTTGCTGTTGACTGAAAATACTTCTCACTTCTTGGGCTATTCTCCACATCGCGTCTGTAGCCAGACTGTACAATTGAACCCTGCTCCAAAATATAGAGGAAATCCTGCTCAAAGATCTGAGACATATCGTGGGTGATAATGATTGTAGTCTTGCCCTTGCGCCATTCTCGAATGGCTTTCATCACCACGACACGATTGGTAAAGTCGAGGGCACTGGTCGGTTCGTCCAGAATCAGAATCGGAGTGTCACGCAGCTTTGCTCTGGCAATTGCTACTCTTTGTCTTTGACCACCACTTAAGAAACTCCCACCGGGACCAACGCAAGTATTGAGTCCTTTGGGCAAGCCATCAATGGTATTCTGGAGCATTGCAAGGTCAACAGAATCCTGGACATCCTCTTTTGTGACCATGTTATGACGTTGACACCCGAATCCGATGTTCGTGAGCACAGAGTCATTAAACAAGACGCTCCGCTGTTCCAACAGAGTGATGTTGTTCCGGATCCAATTGAGGTTGAGCGTCTGCATTGGATTCCCGTCGATGAAGATCTCGCCCGAAGTCGGCAGATAGAATCTCATGAGTAACTGACTGAGTGTACTCTTTCCCGAGCCGCTTTGCCCAATCACGAATGTTGTCTCGCCAGCCGGGAAGAAGAATGTCGACGGGTTCAACACGCATTGGTCCGGCTGCGTAGGATATGAAAAGGACACCTTGATAGACATCCAGTTAGAACCAAAATAGATTGCGTATGTATAACTCAAAATAGACTCACATTTTCGACTTCAATGTCACCTTCGCAGTGCTGCGGATACTTAGTCCCCTTCATCTCGCTGACTGTCTTGCTCTCGGCACCATTTTGTATAATCTGTTTCAGAGCGACGCTCGCAGCCTTGCCTTTCTCCAGCACGATCATCTGCGGTAGCACCTGCTCAATGGACTGAGCCGCCGTCAAGCATGCCCAGAAAGTCCTCAGAACCTCCCCAGACGACAGTTTCCCAGCACGAGCCAGCGTACTGCCGTACCAGAAGCCCTGGACAAACATCCCGAACATCATCCACCGGATGAATGCAATCTGGAGGGAGTTCAACCGGGCCTGTCTGAGATAGTGCATAGCCGACTTTTCGATTTGGATAGAGAAGCTGCGAGACTCGAGAGCCTGTCCATTGAGACATTTGACCGTGTCGATGGAGGCGATGGCATTATTGGCGATTTTGGAGGCATTGGTGAGTTCGACTTGCTGTTCCCTGATGCTGGACTTCATTCTGGTAGACAGAAATGCGATAATTGACGAAAATATGGGAATCCCCGCAAGAGTGACCAGGGAGAGACTCCAGGATGTGTAGAAGCCCAGGGCGAGAGATGCCAACGACCGACACGAGTATTGCAGCAAAAGCCCTAAGGGTTGCGAAGTTGCCATCTGCAACTCATGGACGTGACTGGGAAATAAAAGTGTCAGATGAGCATATTGGGGGGCGTCGAGTACAACCACTCACGCTTGAACGCTAGATAAGAAAGCCCCTGAGCCCTCTTTCTGTGCCTCGAACCACTGGACATCTCGCTTGAGCAGCTCAACAAAGACTGTGCTACGAACACCAAAGGCCTGGAGCTCTCCAAAAGCGACGAACAGTGCAAAATATGCACCGTTGAGAAACCAGCCTGCCACCCCCAACCCAATCATTCCCAGACAATTCGTGACGATGTTTCCTCGAAGCCCATCGGCATCAAGCTGGCCAGCACCATAAGACGTGAACGAATCGAAAACACCACCCAGGAAAACAGCAAGGACAGGAGTCACGCAGCCAGCAAACAGTGCAGAGAAGGATCCTATAATGAGTGTTGGCAGATGCTCTCGGGCTGTAAAGCCGAATAATGACTTCCAGCTGGGTTTTATCCCAGAGTTGCTCTCTTCGGTTGGTTGGGCATCAGTCCTGGGAGGCTTTCGGAAAGGCATCGTTCACAGGTACAGCCAGGGTTTCTCCCAGGACTGGATAATCTTTGGAAAGATGATAACCGCGCTAGAGGTGCATGGGAAAGTGGTAAGTAGGAAAACATGGCTCGGTGGATGGCCATTTTCGAGGGACTATTCAAGGATAGATAGCTGGAGAACAATATATAGAATTTCCCAAATCCGGTAACATTGAGTTTGTAGAGAACAAAGAACTTGGCTCGACAGGCATTGTCTGGCACGTGATACTTTCTCTCCTTGTCAACACTCTACTAGGTATAATTCTGTAAAGGCGCAAATCGATGAATCTGTTAGATCTGTTTTCATATGTGCTTTCGTTCCTGATAGTTGTTTCCGTTGGCTAAGGCTGGTAGTCGAGCATGCCACAAAGGGCTAATATCCGAGGATGAAGAGCCATAATACTCATCCTCATAGTCATGAGAAGTGAAAATCATAACGTTTTATTTCTGGGTATAGTGACATTTCGGCTCATGAAATCCGCCTGAATCATAGGACAAAGGCCAACCCATATTTGAATCAGTCGAAAATTTTGTGCAATACTCGATCCACTGTCTATCGGCTATGACGGTTGCGTTTGCCATGTCGCTCGAAACAAAGCTTTGATGCTGCACGGCACTGCCCTCTGCAGCGACTTGACCTTGGAAGCTATTTCCCACCAGGACTGCGAGGAGACAAGTCCATGCCGTCGGTCAGGGAGCCCGGGTGTGGAACCGTACTTGACATCACGTCAAGAACAGTGTTCAGCGTAACAAGCTGTGCAATCACGAGCTTGCCTTCTGCGATCGCTCATAAATCCAGTCGTTCAAACCCGCACGGTTTCTACAACCGTCAGCTGCAATTCAGTCTCCAGATTTCAGATTAATACAAACCTTGCGATCTCAATGGCATAGAATTGCATGCGCACACCTGATTGTTCTGTCAGCTTCGACCCAGCGGAACGACAATCCCCAAATCAGTCACCCAACCACGCTAACTCACCGAAGATGGTAGTGTGCTGGTCATACTCGACATCCGCTCGGCTCCGGATGATGGTGCCAAAGTTAAAGTCATCGATCTTCTTTTCGAACTGGTTCACCCAGTTGCGCCACTTCTCTTTGCCGGCCTTGCTCTTCATCTGATCCTCGTTGATGGTCGCGGCGGGGTCGAAATCGGGAAACTCGGTCTTAAAGGATTCGTAGATTTCGTCGTCCATCTTCGTCAGACGCAGCTGAGAGCCCTTCACTTTCTCCAGGATCGCCCAGTATGTCATCAGATGTTCCACCGCTGTGTTGAGACGGATTGTCAATATTCATGAACCCATATCAAGTCGTGCGCAAATATAAAGACGTCCGAGGGATAGGATTTATCTGGCGACCGACCTTTAACGGCGAACTGCTTCTCCATCTGCGAGAATAGTCAGCGATCACCTAGCTGTTCTCATCCTCGGGCAATCTGGAACATGGCGCGGGGTGCGTACATCCTCGAAGTTCTCGGCATTCTCGGGATCAAATGGCTTAGACATGGTGGCAGTTGGTTATAGATGCAAGCCTGCTCTATATGCAATTGATGATGAGTCAAGATGTCAAGGGAAGAAGAGATCAGGTGGGATGTTCGGTGCCCCGCGAATATTTTTTCGGCGGGCGGAGAGTCTTACTGCCGCCATAACGTCATCGGCTTTGTTTTCTAGAATCTTCAACTATGAGTAACTTCTCATTCGTGATCCTATAGATAAGACAACAAAAGCAATCGAATTTGTTGTTAATAGCTGTGCAAAATGCCAAGAATTGAACCTCGAAAGAAGGGTATATATGCATGCTGAAAAAGCACTACTACAGCATTAGGAGATTGACACTCAATTTGTGTGTACAAACGACCTCAATCACTGTCAACATCATCAGGAAGTTCTTCGAGTCTTCCCTCGTGGAGAGCCTGGGTGACTGGATTCTCCACGCTGATGAGACCGTTTGCTTTCGCCCTATATCAATGGTTAACACATTGTATTGGAAATCCAACGAGGACTTGTTTACCTTTCGAAAAGCACGAAGAGTCTCTCTGCCTCTCTTTCTTTCTCCTCGATTGTCATGGGTGGTTCCGGATCCTTGGGCTCCGCAGCCCACCGTTGCCCAGTAACGGGGTTTATCTCAGGGTCGAGGCCATTGGAGCTGGAGTTGGTCGCAAAGGCCTCGCCAGCCGACTGAGGAATTTCCATGCCGCGAGATGCCAGGAAACCGGCTGCAAAACCGTATCCAATTTTCTTTGTGAGGTTCTCTGCATTCTTGCCGGACAGGACAAACATGAGCTCAGAGATACCGGTTTTGAGATTCGGATAGGGGCTGGTGGAGAGTTTGAGAAGTCGTGAGGAGAGCGTATCAGATTGTCCAATGGGTGTGCTCCGGTCATTGTCCTCGGGCAAGATAAGCCATTGCATGTACTTGCGAGGCCCCTCAGGTGCAGCCTCATGCAAGACAATCAGCGAATGTAGTAGCGGGACAGCTTTCGTCTCGAGCTCCTCGGGGCTATATGCAGATACCGCTTGGTCCAATATGTTGATCAGCTTATCCACGTTGCAGTTCTGGTTGAATGTGGGGAACAAGGGGTTGCTCTCGAAGTGTTTGCCTTTCTTCTCCTCCAAATCGAGAGTAGACAGACAGTTGATCAGATAGCTAAGCAGTCCCTCCAGAGGCTTTGCTGGAATATCGATGCGGCTGATGATTTTGAGGATGTGGGGTATGGAGGGCGAAAAAGTAACGGCGAGGTCGGGGTAGAGCTTAGAGATGTTGAAGATCAACTTAAGGGTATCTATCAAGGCCAATTCATCGATTTGCTCCAATGGCTTTCTCCCCGACTTAGGGAATTGTTTCGCGTGTCGGCTTAATTGCTGCATGGGTCAGCATAGCTTGAGAATTATGAGGTCAGACTATGAACCGTCACTCACGTAGTTGACATTTTCGCCCAGGGAGTGGTTTTTGATCAGCGCGTCGAAATTCTCTGTCGTGTCATACGTCGATAGGAACAGAATTCGACTTGTGACCATTTCATCCTCCGAGCTATCGGCCTGGGCAGTCACTAATTAGCTTCACTTGTAGCTCCTGGGCCACTATACCCATACCTTAAGTCTCTGGGCCAGTTTTCCACCATAGCCTGTGTCCACAAAGACTTGACGCATCTTCGAATCCAGCAGAAGAGCATTGGCGACACACCGCAAAGCTGCTCGTCGTACATCGGCTGTCTCTCCATCAATACCGTACCGTACTAAGAGTCCGATGCCCTATATGAAATATCAGAGCTCTGAAAAGAGAGCTGAGCCGGGTGTCATACATTCTTAGAGTAGATCGGTTCGGCGTTGACGGGGCTCGTGCCATGTTGTCGCAGTTGAAGAAGGATTTGGGCCTTTTCTGTATCACAAAAACCACCAGAATCAGAATCAGACCGCATATGAAGTTCACGGTTGGTTAGACGTACGCGCCGACGAAAGCGTCTTCTCTTGTAGGTCTTTCTCGAGGGACTGGAGTAACTGGGTTACTTGTTGCAGTTTTTCTATGGGACACATAGAGTTAGCAACGAGATCCACGTAGAAATTAGTTGGGCCGCTTGAACATACGTGCTCCTTGCAGCTGGCCAAACATGGTGATGGTGATGCCGAAGGATCAAGAACTCGGAGGACAGGGCACGTATATATCCTCGAGAATAGGAGCTGGCGGTGTGTCTGACTGCCTGGTCCAAGAAAACACAGCAAGTCCCCGATCGCACAAGCTGAGCGCAAAAAAGTGGCAAACTTGGGGAAGAAGCGAAGTTGACGCGGGGAAATTTTGGGCGCAAATTGACGATCCTTCGTCATGAGCCCTCCCCACTCGGCCTGCCGGAGCTTCTCTCCTTTGTCCCCCGTTCAATGCTTTGTTCTAAGAACCGAGTGGAGCCGGTGAGAAGCGCCATGGAATTGAATTTACAGGCTAGAAGCTAGAAATCACATTTACAATCACAAGAAAATGTTGATGGAGAGTGGTGCTGTACACAAATGGCAAATCTAGGGAGTGGTTTCCACGATCCACTTTGATATTGAAAAGATTCAGCTACCTATGTAGCTATCTCTCTGCTTCTTAATTCATTGTCCATTTATGTTTAGAAAAGAAAGATTGGACCCCTGTGCCGGACAGGGGGAAAGCTGGGGGGATGATACCTCGGTAAATACATACCCAAGAGCACCAGATTTGTTGTCTCTGTCTGTGGTCAGACCCCCTTGATGAGTATGAATTAAATTATCTATGTGAGTATTCAAATAATCAGCACAGGTTGCCAGCAAGGCCACATTTGTCCACCGCGGGAGTCGAAGCGACGCGTACAGGTCGCGGAGGTGTACTCCGTGTCTACTTTGTGCCTTGTAAATATGGATGGCATCAAATAACCCGAGGCAAGCGAGGGAAGTTAGGAGAATAACTAGCATGACCCCTAGATATCGCTAGTAAAGAAACACGAAGAAATAAGCTACTTGATGCGTCCAGACCTGAGCGCGTTGGACTGATGCCTGAGGCGCTCCACTTAACGCGATCGCGCCAGGCGCGTCCGAACTTGGTTTTCTCCGGGCCCTGGCTTGACAGTCCATGAATCAGCACCACCTCCTCTTCAGCAATGGTTTTTGCCTCTTCCTTGACCTTTCTGTTTTTTCCTTGATCTCGAACTATGGTGGAGATCCTCGGACCTCTCTCTGCTCGTCCACCCACACCTCCCAGGACAGCTTCACGAATCGATGAGAACAACCCAGCCGAGTCGCCGCTGGTGCAAACTCCCGGGGGTTCGCCCTTTTCCACAGTAGGATCTGGCGCTCCCCCATCCAGCCGGAGTAAACGTGTCAATTTCTCGCCATGGACCAACTTCATTAAGCCGCCGACCTCTACAAATCCCTCTAAATCGGCTTCGGATCTCAAATCCCTCCCACCATCGAACGAACGTCGTCCCTCGAAATCAATCCTGAAAGCAACCCAATCGCCGATTGCCGTATGGTCCCCCAATGTCGACACATTCACCGCCGAATCGCTTGCCATGCTGCTCGAGTCGGTCATCCAGCAATTGGCTGGCGAGTCGATCAGCTCGAGACTCGATGCCTACATGCAGTTCTTTGGTGCACTGCGGACCTACGAAGGCCTTCCAATGGGACAGGATATTGCAGAAAAATTGAGCTTGATTACGGATTTCATCCAGCGTGATGTCAGCAGGGATTTGGTGAATGGCGGGCCATTGGATACGAACCTCGCCAACCAGGCTTTGAAACTGTCTGCGGCCTTTGTCTGGCATGGGGATATATCGACTCAGTTGCCGGAGGAATTCAAGATCTTTCTGGTGGATCACTCTATCATCTGCCTCCAGGAGGCCAAGGTGCCCAAATCGGTCTTGACCCATTACATGTCTATCTTGTCCACGCAAAACTTCGGCCCGAAAATTATGACCACTGCACGAGTCACTCGCCTCCTCTCGGTCTTGCAGGACGTCACCAAGCAGGTCACAGGCAATGCAATTGTCTCCCATCGACTGAGCATTTACCAGCGCCTCCTCACGCAAGCCAAATCGACGTTCGTCTCACAATCAGCACTTTGGATGGAGCATCTGATCTCGGGCTTGTTGAATCACCTGAAAGATACTCGGTTAAAGGCAATATCCCTTGGCTTTCAAACATCCACAGCCGCGGGCCCAAACCCTGTTTTATCAAAGACCATTCGGGACCTCTTTGATCGACCTCTGGAAAACGATCGAAAATTGATAACCGAAATTCGCGAGCGCATGTCGCGTATGATGGCCTCTACAGAGAGCGGTGCGCATGTCCCACAGGTCTGGAGCATCATTATTCTTCTTCTACGGAGTAAAAGATGGAATCTGGGGCAGTGGGAGCATTTCAAGGAATGGGTGCTCGTCCTTCAAAAATGCTTCAACTGCAGTGAACCCGCTATCAAAGCACAGGCGATTCTTGGCTGGAATCGTTTCGTTTTTGCTATCAACCCGAACGAATCAACCAGCCCATCCTTGCTGAAGATGCTGGGCAAGCCCATTCTCTCGCAGTTTGAACGAAAGAAATCCGACAAGTCAGGGTCGTCACCTACTCACCTTGCCCTAGGCAGTTATTACAACCTGCTTTACTACGCTTTCCGTCCCTCTGCTCCCTTCCAACACTTGGACGTCGTCTGGGAAGAATATGTTGCCACCCCTTCCAACATTTTCTCATCTGCGCCGGCTCTTAGTGATTGCGTATTTCGTGTGTTGGCAAATCTGCTATGGAGTTCGCAGGCCAAACTTTGGACTGAAAATCGAAACAATGATCCCACCAGGTTGGAGGCCGAGGAACTTCCCTCGATTGACAGCCGCTGGGTACGATCGAGGATTCCCTCGGTTTTCAAGGTGTTTGAGGCTCTGCTCAAATCATCGGTTTGGAATCCCACTGTTGAAAAGTCAAATGTTGCTCTTGCCTGGAACAGTTTATCCAGCGCTTTGTCGTTTGCCTCCAGCAAGGAGATTACACCCTCAGGGGAGTCTATGCAGGCTGTTGCCAGTGCTCTGGGGTTACTTAGCCGCCTCTGCCTCGCTGGACCATCGTCTTTGAATGCCACCGGGGACAACTGTGCAGATATTTTCTTTGAAAGATTCCGATTCTTGTCAAAGACAGTCATTATCTCTCTTGGGAGTATTCCATTCACTGAGAAGCTTGTCCTCCGAACGGCCGACAACACATTTCAAACCGTGAATACCCCATCAAATCGTCATCCGCACATGGACATAAACCTTGACAGTCCTGCTCTGCATCTTCTCCGAGCTCTCGGCAGCATCACCTGGACAACAACACCAACTCCATCCTTTACAAATCTTGTGGCTAGTACAATTGAGGCATCTTGCAATGGAAGAATCTCTCGAGGGTCTCGCCTTGAGCTTCTGCAACAGTGTGCAGACCTGTGTACTGGAGACATGGAATCCCTCCCACGAACGCCTCAGCTTTCCGAGGTGGTTTGGAAGGCCACCGCGCAGGCAACTGCAGACGCATTGCGGTCTTTCCCATCAGAGTCTGCTCGGGAGCGCGACGGGTCTGTCTTCCGGGATTATGAGAATGTCATCAAGATTCTTTCTTCTGGTCTGGGATTTCCGACTGCATTTTTGGAATGGTCTCGTCTGCTCGAGTCGTTTGTGCGTGTGGTGAGAACGGAGAAGGGCAATAGAGCACTTGCCACCATGATTGTGGAACCCATGGCCGAATGCCTCATGCGTCTACCAGCTTACGACACTCTTCTGCCCTCGACATCATTGTTCGGCCATTCTCTGTCAATTCCATTTTTCCTGGGTTCTGAATTTGGATCCGAAAGCGATAATGCTCAACCAGCGGACCCTTCACTGTTTCCCCATAAATTCCTGGGATCGATCGGAAGAACACTTCGTGGTGCCTATGACGACTTTGACGCCTCTGAGACACACGCCCTCGCCGACTTCATTGAATCCTTGACCTCTTTTCTCGGGTCTGGGGTGCCTTCATTCCGCTGTCAAGTCCTTGAAACGCTTCAACCACCTTTGGGACTGTGGTTAAAAGATGATGTTTGTAAAGTCGACGCCGACCATAATGTCGACAGTAGAGTATTGACTGCGGTAAGAACACTCATTCAATAAAATAGGACAATTGCTGATTCAGATAGTGTCGTGCTCTTTCCTCTGCGATCCTCAACATCCTCCAAACATCTGTGTCTCATGACCTCTCTTCTCTACAAAGATTCGAAGTCATCATGTGCGCTGGGTTGGAGTCATCGCATATATCGAGTATCAAGCGATTTGTTGAGCTTTGGGGCACGACTTTTGGTTCTCACTCATCTCTCGCTTATGCCGACACTGTTGTACAAGCTTTGCAAAAGGCCGAGTCCAAACTCCAAGGCCCTGCCTTGCCCTTGCAGAGTGATGTTCAGGTGCTGCTCCAATGCCATTCTTCGTGCTTTAAGTCAGGAACTAATTATCTTTACAGGATACTGATATGCTGCCTCCTGGATCGCAAGAGCAACTCCATCGCCCAGTAAACGAGCTTTCAGGGAGCTCCGTTGAGATTTCACAGGCTGCCAATCTTAATTCCTCTCCCGTCGTCAAAGCGAAAGGTTCGACTGTCCTCGAACTACCAGTGCAACCAAATGAGCCGCAACTACCAACCACTTTGCAGCTCGAAGGCCACGAGGCGCAGAGTGCTGAAAAAATTCCAAGGAACAGCAGCCGTAGTAAGCGCCGCGAAGTCTTCAAGATGATCGATTCCATCCAATCTTCCTCACCGGCGAACTCTCCTCGGGGATTAGGCTTCCATACGCCTCCCCATCTACGCAAGCTACAATCTTTAGAGCCTGGGGTACCATTGACCCCAACTCTTGTTCCGGCTGAGAACGAAGAGCAGTTCTTTGGCTCGTCACCCACACCTGGAACAAGAGACCCAACACCAGCCGCAAATTCAAATGTGCCTCCATTAACATCTCATGATATTACTCGCCCGGAGGCCGACCCTCCCTCTTCGCCGCCAGAAATTCATTCCCGAAGCCCCAGTCCCCGGAAGCGTTCGAAGCGCTCAAGGAGCGAACGGCGGAGATCTGCGAAAGCAAGAAGAGCGCTCGCTGGTGACGTTGGACAGCAGGAGCCTGTCAGCAGCCCTGCCATTTCAGAACATGCCGAGGCCAACGCAGAAACTCCTCGAGCTGGTACGGACAAACAAGCCCAGCAGAGTGCCAACACCTCCTTTCCGGCAGATGAGAGACCTCCGAGCCGATCACTTCGGTCAGTATCTGGCAAAGACGCAGCCGCCAATCCAGAACCATCTACACAGACAGCTGCGGCTGAAATGTCCGGCAACCAGCTCGTTCAAACTCCCCGTTCAAGCTCGAAGTCGAAGAAGAAGAAGAAGAAGAACGTATCCAAGTCCGCAGCCCAGATGAACCAGCAGCCGACGGAAAACGTGCAGTTGGCCCCTGTTAATGCGGTCCCAGAATATCATGTCGACTCTTCCAGTGAAGATTTGGAGACGCAAATCGCATCTCAACTTGAGCAAGACCTGGAACTAGCTGTGGATATGGACGATAGGACATACCGCAGCAAACCTATAGGATTTCCGCCTCCAGAGACAGTAACAAAGAAGAGGAAGCGTGAAGAAGATGAAGCGCGCTCGGCTTCTACGAAAGACAGGCGTCGATCAACGAGACTCTCGTCGACGAAAGATCTGGCCTTAGCCGCAACGGACACTCAAGAGTCCGAGGCTGTGCAATTGCAAGCCTCTGCCGTCTCTGATCTTGCTCAGGATACCTCGTCGGCCAAATCTTCGTCGGTTGCCCCGCGCAGATTGACTCGCAGTTCGCAGCACAAAGAGAATGAAAGCACTCTAGGGGATTCAATGCCTCAAGCCCAAGATACCGATTCTGCGCAGGAACCGCCCAAAGACTCGGAGGCCTCACGGCCGCCATCGAAGAGATTGCGCAAATCTTCCCGTCTCGATGCCCCTTCTGCTCCTGTTTCTGCGGAGGAAGACCCCGGTGAGAGCAAATCTTCCTGCGACACGCGCTCTCGCAAGGGACGATCTCGCAAGAGTGCGAGGCAGAATGAAACGGCTCTGTCTCAACCAGAAGAGCCCCCTAGTCAAGCTGAGTTGCCAGCGACCCAGGATGGTGACCTGGATGTTGTTCCCGAGAGCATCATTGCTGAAGAGAAGCCAGCTGAACTGAATGTGCCTCTGATTTCTACTGAAGAAGCGACCGATTCTCAAATGACGGACATAGCCCCTTCAAATGAAGCTGATTCGGTGAATCCGGACATCCAAATGGACATGGATTACACGGATATGGACAAGCAACCTGACGGCGAGGTGGCCAACCATGTTCCGAGTGTTGCCACGATGGCAACGCAGACCGAGGGACCAGCGCCTCCTGAGCCCACAGCAGACCGCAGCGAGGCTGGCATCACACAGTCCCTGCAGAAACTCCTCGGTGATATGAAAGACGCAACCCTGGGCCCGAGTGCCCTTCGCGAGGTTGACGATCTTCTTTTCAACATCCGTGTCGCAGCGCACGACGCGTCACGGCGACACAATACATCAGCATAGCGATGGCGTTTTGCAAAGAAACTTTTGGATAGTGCTTTTTATATTGGCTTTCTTCTCATCATTATCCCCCTATTGCATTCTACATGTCTCCATAAATCACCGGACTAGCGTCTATTGCATGTATGTTATTTGTTGTGGTGCAAAAAAAAAAAAAAACTCATTTTCTTCGGCTTTGTATTTGATCTTTCTCTTCCTCTGAGTGGTTATAGGTATATTTTGAATGCTTGAACTCAATGCAATACCCCAAGCATAACTCATTAAAAACACCTGTTTCGAACAAAATGGCTCGTCAATCGTAGAGGGATGGCCACTGCTTAGCGGGGCTGTCTCTTGATAAAGCTCGATGTTTCTAGTTCTTGGAGACTATTGCCACGATTATCCAAGAGGCAATGGAGTGACCCTTTGGCCATTTGGGATGGAAGCCGACAGCCCCACGGATATATGATACGGCCTATAAACAAACCGTGTGTCTATAGATAGCATGTCATGATGATGGCGAGTGACGCAGGGTGCCACCCATATCTCCACAAAGTGTAGATAAAAACCGAAGGCAAGAGCCTCCTGTCCCTGCGATTTGAGAGAGTTGAACTGTCGTTATGTGAATAATACCCCAAGGGGTCTGCGAACCGCAATACGATCACTCACTTTTATATGTATATTGATTTCTTTTTTCGAATCCGAGAGGTTCTCTGAATAAACCACAACTATGGCCACCTCAGGAACGCAATATGTTATGCAAGCCGGCCTGGCATCAGGCATGTCGGCGACAGAGGGCATCCACTCGCCGCATCCCAAGCCCGTCGACCCGCACCTCAGCGACCCAGCCTACGTCCTCCCAGCAGACGTGATGCCAGACTCGCAGAGCCGGATCGCGCTGCACGGCCGCGGCGGAAAGGACGTGCTGACGCCGTACATGAGCATCGGGACATGGTCATGGGGCGACAAAGCCACGTTCGGGTACGATGCGACGCGCGACCTGCCCCGGATCCACGCGGCGTGGAAGAAGCTCAAGGCCGTGGGCCTGACGTTTGTGGACACGGCGCAGTCGTACGGCGACGGCGAGAGCGAGCGGATCTGCGGCACTCTGTTCAAAGGCATGGCGCGAGACTCTTTCGTGGTGCAGACTAAGTGGCTGTCGACACCGGACATGACCAACATGCTGCTGCAGTCGCGCGGGCCCAAGGCGCGCCTCAAGGACTCGCTGAGTCGTTTGGGCCTCGACTACGTGGATATCTATCTGGTGCATGGGCCGATCCATCCCAGCATGATCTCGACTGTCGCCAAGGGCATGGCCGACTGCGTTCAGGCGGGGATGACGCGTGCCGTGGGTGTTGCCAACTACGACACCCAGGAGATGATCAAAATGGCCGACGAGCTGGCCAAGAACGCGGTCCCGCTGGCCGTTTCGCAGTGCGAGTATTCGGTCATCCGTCGCTTCCCCGAGGTCAGTGGTATGATTCGGGAGTGCCGCAAGCGTGGCATCTGTTTCCAGGGCTTTGCCTCGCTCGCTGAGGGCCGTCTGACGGGCAAATACTCGCGGCTCAATGAGCCGCCCCGTACCCTGCGCTTCAGTAGCTACCCGATGCACATGCTCGAGCCTACGCTCAATGTGCTCAAACGTATTTCCGAGGAGCGTCGCGTTCCCGTCCCTGCGGTTGCGCTCAACTTCTCCATCAACAAGGGCGTCGTGCCCCTGGTGGGGGTGCGCGATGCCGAGCAGGCCGAGCAGAACATGCAGGCGCTGGGCTGGCGGTTAACAGAGGACGAGATCAAGCGCATCGAGGCCGTGAGTATCCGAGGGAACACGTCGTCGCTTCTTCAGCATGGATAGAATGTATATTAGAATGACAATGGCACATAAATGGGTTTAACTAGTCTGAAACGTTGGAAGTGTACAAAACGCCCGAGTTCGGAGGAACCAGTGGGGGTCCGAGCGATCAGCATCGCCCCGCCATGACCTCAACGTGAACTCAGCTTTCTTTCCTTTCTACTGTTTCCACGCAGCTCACAATCTCTCTCTCTAAGCTTCTTCGATCAAATGATGGACCGCTCTCACAAACCTTCCGCCATCGGCGTGGGCGCATCGCTCCCCCAGCCCACCGTCTCTATCAAGGACCACACCATCGAAGCCAGCCTGCCCACCGGCCAATCCGTCACAGTCCAGTTGTACGGCGCCACCGTCACCTCTTGGAAATCAAATGGCCAGGAGCAGCTCTTTCTGAGTGAAAAGGCCCACCTGGACGGCTCCAAGCCGATCCGGGGCGGCATTCCGCTCGTGTTCCCGGTATGTTGATGTTGGGGGCTTGGCCCCGTTTATACTCCATGGATGTATTCAGGCGCTTGGTACTGGGTTACTCATTTTGCAACTTCCACTGCCACAGGTCTTTGGTGCTCCGCCCAAGAACCACGCAACCTCTGCTCTGCCGCAGCATGGCTTCGCTCGTAACTCGCACTGGGAATTCCTGGGCAAGTCGTCGTCGGAATCGATGGAAAGGGACCATGGCCAGGGCGATCTGGCCGTGAAGCTGGACTTTGGACTGTCGCACACCATGCTGAGCAAGGAATTCCGAAAGACGTGGCCGTATGAGTTTGGGCTGGTTTACAGTGTCACTCTTACCAAGGATGCGCTGGAGACGACGCTGCAAGTACGCAACGAAGGAAAGCAGAACTTTGACTTCCAGGTACTAATGCACACGTACTTGAATGTCGAGGTATGTCCATCTTTCTGTATATTTGTGTCTTCGGTGTATGACTTACTTTTTTGTTCTTTTCTTTTGTTTTTTTTTTCCTCAGGACATCTCCAACATTCGCATTAAGGGCCTCGAGTCCAAAACCTACGTCGACAAGACCCGCAACGCCACCTCTCACACCGAAGCCTCGCCCGCGCTGTCCATCACCCAAGAAACTGATCGCGTCTACCAGGACCTCGACCCCACTGTTCCCGTTGTAGTCGCCTCGGCGGCAGACGACAAGCCAGTGTTTTCCATTACGCGAGAGGCTTTCAACGACGTGGTGGTTTGGAATCCGTGGATCGAGAAGGCTAAGGGTATGGCTGACTTTGGGCCGGACGAGGCTTACAAGAACATGATCTGTGTGGAGGCCGGCTCTGTTTCTACGTGGCAGACTCTTGAGGCCGGTGATTCCTGGGAGGGCGGACAGAGTGTCAAGTCTCGAATTTGATCTGCGTCCTGTTTTTTGTTTCATGATATTTGACGACATTAGGAAGTTCTCTATGTTAAATCAAAATAGATTATCGCTATGAAAGCGGCTGCAATATTTCTTACGGCTTTGCGCGAACTGTATCCTCGTAGTTTTCGGGTTTGTAAAAGAAGCAGATGAATCAAATCTTATATTGTGATTATATCTATAGAAATCCAATAAGTATAACTACAAGTGATTGTTCAACAACAAATCCTCTGACCGATGACTATCGGCATCACAAGCGCTTCCATATTCATTCCAGTCATATATTCATTTCACATGGCCATGGGCTTCGACACCAGCCGCAGTCGACTCACCCACGATATCAATAAAAGACCGACGGCCCTCCTTCCCCGCCTGTAAAGCCGTCAAGCGCTCCGCAGTCTCGAAACTGTACTGCGGGCCACGATACTCGCGTCTGGCACGGAAGATCCACCACAACGCAGTGAGAGACATCAAACCGACAGTGATAACACTGGTATAATTCATATTCTGCACAGTAACAGGCAGAACAAGCGGGAAGCAAAAGAAAACCACCGTCACAAGAATATACGCCAAAGCGACGATATTCACAACCAGGCCCAGCTTCTGGCCCATATAAAACGGCCCGGGAACCATATTGCGGCGGGCGGACAAGACGTGGGGGAAAATCGCCCCAAAATACGACAGCGAGCTGAGAACAATGAACGACGAGATCAGCGCCTGAAACGCAGTGGTGCTGCCGACGTAGATGCAGCCCAGACAGGTGACCAGCGCGCTCATGGCGACGGTGGCGCGCACGGGACAGTTCAGGGTCGGGTGGACCTGTGCGAAATAGCTCGCAAATGGCATGGCGTTGTCGCGGGCGAGGCTCCACCACATGCGGCCGCCGGTCACGAAGGTGCCGATTAGGGTTGGGAAGGTGGCTAGGAAGAGGACGGCGATCAGCCCGATGGCGCCGGTGTTGGAGCCGGTTGCTTGGCGGTATATTTCGGCTGTTGGGAAAAAACCGATGCTACTGCCGAGCACGGCGTCGAGGTCTTGGATGGAGTAGAAGAGAGCGATTAGGTAGACGAAGGAGGTCGTGAAGGCCGTCAGCATCTGCAGCATGATGCCCTGGGGGACTTTGACCTCGGGTTTGGGGACTGAACAATAAATTTATTAGTGGATGTTCTTGATTTTAGAAAGACAAGGCATACCTTCTTCTGATAGATGGCTGATACAGTCTGGAACTCCCACGGCAAACGCTGCATTCAGCAGCCCCGTCATGAAGCACACCCCGTCAGACCAGCCGCCGGTGTTGTTGTGGTATTCCGTCCACACCTGCGCATTACTCGCATGTTGCTTTGGCATCACTGCCAGAACCACCACAGTCGTGACGAGGCCACACATGGACAGAGTTAGGGCGAGGCGGTTGATCAGTGGAATAAACCGATTTCCCAGACAGACAATGGCGCAGCAGGACCAGTTGACAATCTGGAAGACAACAAACACCTGCCAAGAATTCCAACGCACATGGGAATGCCGAAGGAGGTACATAGCCACAGCCTCGTTGCCCAGCATCGAGCTCATCGACGAGGCAGACAGGAGCCAGGCGCAGGCATTAAGATATCCCGTGAAGAAGCCGGTTGCGCGGCCTCGGTTGCGGCTCAGTACTGACGACCAATAATATACGCCACCGGCCGAGGGCATGGACGAAGCCAGCTCTGCTAGTGATGCTGATATGGCTGTGTAGAACACGCTGACCAGGATGAGTGCATATAGAACAGCCATCGGGCCTCCGTTTTGGAGGGCGGCGACGATGGTTCCACCGGTTGAGGCCCACGAACTGGAGATATGAGTTAGTATTGAGAAGACTGAAGACGAAGAAAGAATTAACTAACTTGGCAATTACAATGCCCAAACTGGTTATACTCCACAAGCTGAAATTTCGGACGAGTTCTGGCTTGTGGCCCAGTGCTGCCTCGAGACGCACCTCGTCCATCTCTGCTCGGCTCTTTAATGGATTATCTCCATCTTGGGAAATTGGCTTCTCAGACACCGCCATGATGTCTTCTGCTGGGTTATGCACAAGAAGAAGACATTCAGAGTGTGAATAGGAAAGGGAGTCAAAGATTAAAAAGAGGAGAGGGGAGATAAGTCAATATGTATAGATCAGAAGCAGGGGTGAAAATAAGAAAATAAAAAAGCACCACGCCACCCCACTAGATCAAATTGACGTACGCATCCTTTTCCTGCTGGCGGGGCAAACGGAGAAAAGAATCTGAGACGAGATGCAACCCCCGGAATGTTTCATGCGAGGGTCGATGCCCATATGGCCTCCACGTGTAGTACGCGATTTGGAAAAGACACGAAAAGAGAATACTACGAGACACACAGGCTTTGTTCCGACATTCTTTGGAATTATTCCAGGGTATCTTCGGGATGAATCCTGCCGGGGAGCGAAAGTATGTCTATTGGCAATAGCGTGTGGTTAGTTGCTTGATGCACATGCCCCCTGCTAGTAGCCGTGATACAGTCTGCAGTAGACAATCTGTACAAAATGTAAGCCTGTGCGTACCCATCAAATGCAAAGAAAAGGGTTGAACAAATGGAATTAGCTCTCTTGCGACCTTCCCCGAAAGGCAAACTCGTGGAATTGATGCATCGTCGCAGAAGCAAGGGGCATCTGGCGAGGTGAATTAGGGTTAGTTCGGGCGTCGATCGGGCGATCCTGATGTGGTTCTTGCGATTGGGGGGGCAAATCCTGGGGCAAAACTACAAATCAGTGTTGCATGGAAGGGCAAGGGGGTTCCTTGTTAATGGAAAGACACGCTGTTCGGGGCAATTTCTATCGAGCCCTTCATTCCAGCATTCCTGGAAATCTGCGCAAGATCCGATTGGCGTGCGTGATGCAGATAATCGGGTCTCTTTGATCGCCCACATGGCCTCGCGCGATCGATTGTTTTTCTGGGCGACTGGGCAGTATGGAAGGATCAATGTGCTTTCCGGGATTTGTTTTTTTGTTTTTTGTTTTTTTTGTTTTTTTGTTTTTTTTTTTTTTCCTTTTTTGATTTGCTTGTTCCCACTATATACTTGGTGAAATGTCTACTCGATTTATCTTGGCCCAATTTTATAGCGACACCTCGGTTTAAAAGTATATTTATTTCGAAATTGCCCTCGAACAGTGCTCTAGAACATTTGAGGCTCCATCTATAGCTATGCATAATTTGAGCATAAATTCGCCAGACACTGCGGAGTAACCCAAAGCGATGCCGGAAAGACCATGAAACTGCGTGATGTTGGATGTCAATTCAGTACAGGGACTCAGTCATTAAGTCTTGGGTTCAATCATCATATCAGGTATAAAGCTCGAAGGTGAAAGCGCTTCCACCATGAGTACTCGCTCAGTAAAACAAATTTTATAATCGTAAGCTGCTTGCCCTCGCTTCGATCGGGCAGTATCTTGTTTAGACGTTAGAATCTAAAATAAGCAAACAGATTGTCTAGGCATTACACTCAACTTTAGGCTTCTAAACCCAGCAATCTAGACATTTCCACTATGAAAATCCCCCAAAGACGACTTCCTAGTCTATATTGATAACAAAAAGAAACTGCCACTGCATAGCTTGACCGAATCCATCCCGGTCAAATCCACACGATAATGAGGCTCCCTCTATGCTCCCAAATCAACACACGAAATCTTGCACAGCCCAGTCAAGGTGTCTAAAACAAGCCGGAACAAGCTTCTGCCAGCCAAAAATGCCCGAACGAACCCAGTATTATACCGACTTAGTTCTGCGACTCGGTTGCGGCTCGGAACCCTGGGCACTGTTAGTCTACAAATCGCTAACGAAATATGCTTTCATATCTAGTGACAAACCAGTTGTGCTTAAAGATCCTGGCTATGCAGCCTTGACTCGAGCAGAAATGCCGGGTCTGCATTTCTCCGCTATTGTAGTCCTCTCGCAATCGAAGTTTTGGCGTTGGAATCTGGGAGAAGAGTTGGTTACCGCTATTCTGAGCGACATAGAATCCTCCTGCAAGTATATGTGACCCGATCCCATATCTGAAGTAGGGACGAAGCTCCAGTAAGAAGAAGCGAGATCAATAACAGTGTTGTGTCTATCGATCAGGACATCTTGGCCATTTCTGAAGAACTTCTGGTGTCTCCATGCTGCTAGACCTTTATAAGAAGAAAAAAGGACAACAGGAGAGTAAAGCAAATTGTGGTGATGGCTCGTGCAGTAATGATACTTTTGTAACAGAATCAGATATTGGAAGAAGCAAATGAGAGTACTGGATTTGGCCCCAGAAAACCCACTCGGGGCGAGCTGGAGTCCCTAAACCAGATTCTGGCAAAGCACTTGAGAAAAAGAATGCCTCATCTTCCAGATTCTGGTGACAGCCAGTCATTGAGTTGGTCTTTTATAGAGGCAGTGTGCCCCTGAAACCAGAATTGGGCATCGGCCAATCAGCTCTCTAGATAAACACGTCAGCAACAAGGGCATTGAGCAGATGCCTACACCTCAATCTCTTCTCCTTCTCAGCAAGAATCGAAGTTTGGGAGTCCAACTTATCTTCGTGGCTTCTCTCACAATGCCGGCAAAAGCGCACCAAATCCGGGACGACATATGGAACCAACACAAAGAAGAGACCATTGATTTCTATTTGGTGCCAAACTCACTGGACCGAACAATGGAGTATATGGCAGAGAAATATGGCTTTCGGGCTAGGTACACTCTTTACTTCCCCTGCCCGACCCTCTGAATGAATCTGAATCCTGACACTGTCATGGCTACTTCTAGTGAAAACCAATACACCAGAAAGCTGGAGTCGTGGGGCATAAGAAAGTATGTCCCTGGAAGCAGTTGGGTCAGTGTTGCCTCCGTGAAACGAAAGCGAACCCAAGAGGGCAAAGATAGCGATTTTGCTTTCTACGGCCGCAAGTACACACGACAAAAAGTCGACAAAGAAATCGCACGGCACGTTTCCTCCAGGACAGAGTTGACCAGCTCTGGGAATGCTGTACTTCCAGATTACATCACTATCTCTACGCCTCAGACAGAGTCAACTGGTATATCTCGCGAATTCCTCTTCGTGACCTTCCTTTGCACCGATACACACAGGATATACAAACCCTTAGTGAGTTCTTGGAGTTTGGTAGCTGTTTACAACATGCCTGCATATATGCCTTCACTTTGAGAATCTTCAACAACTGTCATTGGTTCTCTCATTGTTGACCGAAACTAACGAGATACCTAGTTTCGAGTGGACTCGCCACAGAAGCGCTTTCTTCTCAATCCAACAGCAATTTGCCCCAACTGCGTGTACTTTCACATTTTGACATTGACGGCAGAGCAGGTCTTTATACTTATCTTCCACCTGAAGATCTGGATACTGGAAGTTCCTCGACCGGAAACCTAGGGACACTACAGAATTCTCGGACACTACAGAATTCTGTCGCCAAAGTCTTTCTACAACGGTTTTTTTTTTTTTTTTGTCAACGAACAACCTAATCTTTCAATCGAGATTCAACACAGACTATGACTGGATTATGGACAAATGGGGTGCTGATATCCTCGTTTTTCTCTGTCGCCTGGAGTCCCCCTCGATGAAAATCTTCGCGAGAAAGGTCCTCCTCAGTGCTGTTGAGTCCGAAAACCTACACCTTGCTAGCGAGTTAACTCGGCACGGGGCTCAGTCGCAAGGTCACATAGAGGTGGCCGAACGTCTTATCGAATCTGGAGCAGATGTCAACGTTCCCACTGTCCATCTTATCCAGCATTATCGTTGGCCTAACTCTAGGACGTACGACGTCACATCTTTTCATACCAGTTCAAATTGCTGCAAAAATGAACAAACTTACTCTTCTTCAAATTTTGTTGAAGCACAGAGCATCTGTGACAGCTTGTCCCGTCTCCACACACATTTGAAGATCGTCAAACTTTCACTGTCTACAAAGAGAGTTACTCCAGACTCCCAGGTAGCAACAGGTGTAGGCGACACACCCTTACAGATATCCGCAAGGTTGAGCAACTTTGAATTGTTTAAACTCTTTTTGAACCACGGTGCTGATGTCAATGCCGACTCCGCGGCTGTCAATGGCCGAACCGCAGTGCAAGGGGCAGCGGAAATTGGAAACTGGGAGATATTGTTAAAGCTTATAAGTGAAGGAGCACTCATAGATGCACCAGCAGGAACGAATCGAGGCCTGACTGCATTGCAGGCGGCCTGTTGAAACGGCCATTCTCTAATAGCTGGGGTCTTGTTTGCGTACCAGCCAAATTTGAACGCAGCTCCTCTATCGGTGGTAGGATTAACTCCAATTCAAGCAGCAGCCATATACGGCAGCATTGGACTCATAAGAGATCTGATTAGCCTTGGGGCAAAGGTCGACGCCCCAGCAACTGAGATGGGCACAACCGCTCTTTTGGCAGCCACAAAATATAAATCCCTGCCACTTTTCAAGATACTCGTGCAAAATGGCGCGAATGTCAATCCAACGGGGGATTGTGAGCTCAATTCTCCTCTTAGAGAGGCTGCTATGCAGAACTGGTTTAAGGGAGTCAAGTTCCTCTTGGTCCACGGAGCAGAGGTTAACGACACTCCTTTTGAGAAAGCTGCATCTGATGAATATACGGATACTGTTAATAAGCTGCAGAGCCCTCTGGGCTGGGCTATCTGGAACGATGCTGAGGAGATGGTGAATTCATTGTTGCGACATGGTGCAGATGTTCTTGCAACAGCCCCATTCGATAGGATTGACTCTGGAGGTGCCCTGATATATGCATTACGCCAAGATTTAAGTCTCAGCCTCATTGATCGGCTTTTTGAAGAAGTTCAGGAATTGGAAAAACACACTGGGTGGGAAAATGCGCTAGAGACTGTCCTCGAAGACTTCATAGGTTGGAATTTTGACCTTTTTGAGCTGATGCTTAGAAGAAATAAGCTCAATGCCACGGCCTCTTCGTCACAAGGTAATCCAAAAGGGATGGGACGCATTACCTCCATTTGAATTTGACTTACTTTGGTGGAGCTGATTAAGCTTCTCAAAAAATCAGGGGCAGGTTTGGACTCTCGCGAGAAGGATGGAAGCACTCTCCTTCAACGCTTAGCCAGCGCTGATTATCAAGAATCCTGCTGTTTTCTCATCAGCCGCGGTGCTGCTATCAATACTTATGCGACTCCAAAGTAAGGAACATCTCTTCAAGAGGCTATCAAGCACAGTTATGTGAAGGTAGCCGATCTCTTACTGGAGCATAAGACAGATGTGAACGATTTATCAGCGGATAAGCAGGGTGTTCCTGCACTGCAAGCGGCTTCCATCAATGGGATGTTTGAGATGGCTGTACGGCTTCTGAAAAAAGGCGCAGATGTCTCTGCACCAGCTGCACCATATGAAGGAAGAACGGCAATTGATGTAGCTGCAGAACGCGGTCGTTTTGACATGATCAAATTGCGGGAAGAAGTAGAGCTGGGGCTGTATGTAATCAGGCGGCGGGTTATGCGGGAAAAGAGGGTCATTATGAGATTGGCCAGTGGCTTCGGGGGGATTCACATGTTTGGTTTTGTTTTATGAAGATGTCTCACTGTTTATGTATTTTGTTCCGTTATTATCCAATTACCCTACGATTTTGCAGCATTCATCAGTGTGAGGCATAAGTGCCTCGCTGGAGTATATCGAGTGCCCCACCATAACAAAGGCCGGATTTCAAGAAAGTCAAGCCTTCCGGCTCAGTTCACCAGCTCATAATCATTAAAAAGTCCAGCTCCAAGAGCCTCTTCGCTTATCTCAGCTAATGCGACGAAAAACCTCAACGCTGTATCTACAAGAGCAAGGATAAGCCATAGCACCCCTTCCTTAGGATGTTGTTTGGGATGCGAACCCTAAGGCCACAAGGCAGGCAGCCGAATCTTCAGCAACTAGGGCAGTTCGTAAACTGCAACATCTTGAGACATTGTGGATAACAGATACTCCGGCGTCTATTGGCGGCCAAAATTTGTCGACAACAGAGAGCGATGTCAAAATTAGCGCTTTGTCAATCCTTGTCTACACTTTCAGCCGAGTGTCTGTTTATCGAGAGAGCTGTGGCTGACTTGCAATCACTGAAATTCTTAATTATTTAGAGTCTTTTACTTCAAAAATTGTTATAATAGTGGTAGCTGCTCTCCCCGAGATGTATCAGCGGATTGAATCGCCAGCTCGAAATCTGCCCTGGTGAACTCTAAAGGGATTATCAACAACCTCTTTGAAGAGATTTGTCTTCGCAGATATCATCAGATTAAGCACGAAATCCCTGAACCCAAGAAAGCATGAGGGAAAACCTCAAAGGAACCAGGGTAATTCTCAAAGATAAAAACATGCCAATTCCTGATTCATGAGACTGTTTGTGCAGGCGTACCGAGGGATATGACGCAGGCGAACATACCTGGTGTCGAAGCATCTATGTATAGTGGAGGCAGCTGCCGACGATCAACCCTATCGCCAGCTCGGATATCGCATCTCCAGTGATCCTATCCCGGAGTTATTGGCACTGAGTCCGGATCCTCTTGCAGATCAACGTTCTGATAAGTCCAATCAGCGACCTGGTGGCACCTTCGGTGGAATTTGACCTGTCATCCCAAATTGCTTCTGCTCGAGGCGCGCACATCTTCACACTATCGGCATCGTGCAGATGAAGATCTCGGCGCCAAAATATGCTGTTTGAAAAATTTGCACCGGGTTTCGAGTCTGCAACCGTGCGGTGACACCAGAACTCGCTTAGAGTCTCCTATCCCAGAAACTCTGTATACTGTGTGAGGTCGAGGTTCCGGATAACAACATCGCTGTTGATCCATCCAAAACATAGGATCCCTTTCTATCTGGACTGTTTCATTCTCCGTTCCGTACGACGGAAAACCTCCTTCCAGATGGCCCAAGTAGGGATGTGATCGGTAACTTCACAGGATCTGCATTCCAAACTCAACTGCCATCGATCTTGGGACTTGATCCCTTGCGTTTCTCGCTGCCCATTCTCCTTGCTTGTCAACCCTCCAGCCCAGCACGGACATTTCACACGCCAAGATGTGCGTGACGCTGCAGCCCTGTCCTCGGTTGGCGGTGCAATTAGCCTCTCTCGATGGCAGAGTTTATTCATGCTGACCGACTGCAAATGCGATGCTGACTTTTGCTGAGCGGTCGGTCCTGGGCAAGCGAAAGTCTCATCAACCTGCTGAGGAGCTAGGGTATGGCTTTCTGTCCGATCCTGTGAAATGATGCTCGTCGGTTGTCAGACATCTTCATGTTGATTCCTTTTCTCCACCCTTATGGCACTTGACACATCCTGCAACACTTTGTGACCTACTTGCTGAGGGCGACTGTCGCTCCATCCGGCAGGATGGGGAACGTCTCGCCCACTCCACACCAGCTTTTCGTGGAAGCTGTGATTTTTTGGAGCATTGCGGTGGTGATATACGTGGGCCGGATGTATGTGCCAACAAACTCCAATTCGGGCTCAAGACTGACCAGAATAGGGCGGCCCGGATAATTGCCAACGGATCACTCAAGCGTCTCTTTTGTATGAGAATCTATACTGTCTCAACTTCTCTCGGATTCGGTTTACTGACCAAAGTCACTGCACGTTTTAGGGGACGACTATGTAATGACAGCAACGTTTGTGAGTCGAATGCTTCTCATTGCACCTAATCTTGTTGGCTGGAACTAACCGAAGATTTGGGATAGATGATATACACTACCCTTCTGGTGTTGATCCAAATATCAGCACGCTATGCAACCAACCTGATGGACCCAAAGGACTACGACAAGGTACTTGCCGACCCGCAAGAAGTCAGCGACCGAATCTATGGGAGCAAGATTGTCATCGGGCTAGAGCAATGCATGCTCTTCTCGACATGGGGAGTCAAAATATGCATGCTGATGCTCTACTGGCGGATCACGCAAAACCTGCGTTCGAACCTTTATATCAAGATCCTGTCAGTGTACGTCGCGCTGGGGTTCGTGGTGATCATGATCACCTACTACGCAGTGTACTGCCGACCCTTCTCGCAGTACTGGGCAATGCCCGTGTCTAATATGCAGTGCGCAACATACCAGCACTACTCGATCACACAAGCCGTGTTCAACATCTCCTCGGACGCAGTGATGTTCGCAATCCCGATTCCGCTGCTCGTCAAGGCCCAGCTCAAGCGGCGACGTAAAGTGTTACTGCTGGGCGTCATGAGTCTGGGCCTGTTCACAATTATCGCAGCTATCCTTAATAAATACTTCAACTTCGCCTCCCCGCTCACCACCACCTACCAGATCTGGTACATCCGGGAAGCCAGCACCGCCATCTATGTTGCGAACCTGATGTGCTGGTGGCCATTGCTGCGCAAACTCTTCGGCCTCAAGGCCTTCCAGTATAACAGCAACCGGGGCCAGCGCGCCCGCGATCCCAACAACAAGAACAAAGACAGCAATGCAATGTCTCAATCGGGCGGCTCGCAGTCGCGCCCGTCATTTAGCCTCCCGCGTGCTTTTCACTTCGCTCGACCCGGTTATCGCAAAGCATACAAGAATGCAGCACCCGCTCGACATAACGACGGTCGACGTTCGAGTCAGGAGGCAATTAACCGGTCCTCGGCTGAGTTTATGGCGGATCTCCATCGGGTGGAGGCCGTTCCACTTGAGGACTTGGATAAGAACGATGGGCGAGTCATCAACGCGCAGAACCCGGCCAGTCAGGAAACGATTGCGGTTCTTGAGAAGCGGCATCCAAAGACGGATGAGCTTGAGGAAGAGCGCGTCTACCATGGCAATGCCTGAGATGTTGGCTCTGATTCCAAGCACCAGAATCATTCTGTGATAAAATGGTCATCTTGATGGATGGAGTTTGGAATAATGGGATATATCGAGAGTTTATTTTTATGTTGACGCATCAGCTGTTTTTTTTTTTTTCTTGGATACCCTGTGGTCGTTTGAATTTTGTAGAGCTAGGTGATTTTTGAATTAAAAAGTAGCGGTTAGCTTCAAGGATAAATAAATATGACCAATCAGGACGGATAATGAGATGATATAGGGGCATAGAAGAAAGAGAAGCAAGCAAGAAAAGAAGAAACAAAAAAGAAAGATAAAGGTGATGCGCCAGGCGAGGATCGAACTCACGATCCCGATCTAATCCATGTAATATGGGAAGATCGTATCCTAACCACTGGACCACTGGCGCTACATTATGTCAGGCTGGCACTAATTTGTCTTATATCCAATATATCAAACAAAACCTCGAAAGATTGTTTTCTTCCCAAGTGGATCTGCCAAATCAGCAAGGGGAAAGAAACATGTTGAATTCCGACCGGACACAATCGGTACCAACTTTACTATTAAACTTGGGGTTTGCTATTTACCATGTATCCATGGATAATCCCTACTTTCAAATGAACACTTTATACACTCTCTGCCATCATACTCCATCGCTGCCACGGTTAAGTCGGCAAGGCGCGCCTCCGCATAGTCTTATCCATAGCCACCCACACGATGTGGGGGAGGGGATGGTGTCATATTTTTCTGCTTCTTTCTTCTCTCTTAGCTCTGATGCTGTCCCGGTCTTGCATTGATTGCTATCCATTCAATGCGACGCAGGACGAGTATTTCCCTTGAATATATACAAGTCATCTCGTTCCATTGCCATTCGCCACTCCCGCTTGAAAATTGTGGTTGTTGATGGGGTTGACTCACACCCCACACGAACATCATGCGGGTCACTCCCGCCCCGAGGCCACAGAAGGCATTCAGGTCCCGTATCAAGACAACCCCGACTTCTTAGAAAACGATTCCGACTGGGCCAGTACCGACAGCGACAGCGCGAGCACCGCCATCTTCAATGGCAGCTCTCCACGCTTGCGAGAACTGGAGCCCACGCCGCTGATTACAGATTATCACCAATTCCCATCCAGGAACGGATACGACAGCGGTGACGATCCCGACGCCGTACCCAGACGCATTGATGAAGACCAAAACGAAAAGCCGGTGACCTGGCGGTCGCTGCCGAAGAAGGGCCAGCTGGCGATCATGACATTTGCGCGGTTGTCGGAGCCATTGACCCAGACTTCGTTGCAAGCATATATGTTCTACCAGCTCAAGTCGTTTGACCCGTCCTTGCCCGACTCAACTATCTCGGCGCAGGCTGGTATGCTGCAAGGCAGCTTCACGGCTGCGCAGTTTCTCACGGCCGTCTGGTGGGGTCGCCTCGCTGATGCCGAGTGGATGGGCCGAAAGCGAGTTCTCCTTATTGGTTTGCTCGGCACTTGTATCTCGTGTCTGGGATTTGGATTCTCTCGGTCATTTGTGTCGGCAGCGATCTTCCGGACTCTGGGCGGGGTGCTGAATAGCAATGTCGGCGTGATGAGGACCATGATTGCGGAGATCATTGTCGAAAAGAAGTATGTTTCATAGTCCACCAGTCTCTCACTGTTGAAGTGTCGTCAAAGCTAACAGCCCAGGTTCCAATCTCGCGCGTTCTTACTGTTGCCCATGTGCTTCAATATCGGCGTGATTATCGGCCCAATTCTGGGAGGCTCGCTCGCCGATCCCGTCAATAGCTTCCCGCAACTGTTCGGCCCAGGTTCATTGCTTGGGGGCAAAGATGGCGTTTGTTGGATGCAACACTGGCCTTATGCTTTGCCAAATGTTTTGAGTGCAATATTTATATTTGCGTCTTTGGCCGCTGTCTTTTTTGGCCTCGATGAGGTTAGACCACTCACGCACGCCAGCACAATATGATCAATCACTGACTCTATCTAGACACACGAAACGGCTAGATACCGGCGAGACTGGGGCCGAAAACTAGGAAAGAAGCTAGTCCGGCTCGCGTCCCGGCGACGACGACACTACCGACCTCTGACGCAGTCTGCTGACGACGAATCTTTGTATCTGGACGGCAGCGTAGGAACGTGGTCTGCACCATCCAGTCCAGCACGTTCGCGCGCGCCGCCTCGGCCACACAAACGACAAGGCTTCCGCCAGATCTGGACACGAAATGTCCTCCTTACGCTATTATGTCACTTCCTGCTCGCCTTCCACACGAGCGCCTTCAACTCCATGACCTTCGTCTTCCTACCCACTCCACGCGCCCCGGAAGGATCCCGGACCGGGTTTTTCCACTTCAGCGGCGGGCTGGGGCTCCCATCTTCGCGGGTCGGGCTCGCCACCGCGATCATCGGGTTCATTGGTCTCCCACTACAGATCCTGCTGTATCCCAAGATCCAATCGAAGCTGGGCACACTTACCTCGTTTCGCATGTTTCTTCCCTTCTCCCCTCTTTCCTACCTCCTCATGCCGTTCCTTGTTGTCTTACCGCGCATTGCATGGCTCGTCTGGCCTGCTTTTACGCTCGTGGTGGGCTTGCAGGTGGTCTCACGGACCTTTGCGCTGCCTGCGGCTATTATTCTCGTGAATAACTGTGTAACGGAACCTTCCATCCTAGGCACCGTCCACGGTGTGGCTCAGAGTATCTCTAGTGCGGCTCGGACTCTGGGCCCATTCTTTGGTGGTTGGGGTCTTGGGTTTGGTCTTGAAAATAATATTATTGGAGCCGTGTGGTGGGCCCTGGCGACTGAAGCACTGATCGGCTGGTTTTTGCTCTGGAGCATCTATGAGGGCAAGGGGATCGAGCGGAAGAAAGACGAACTGGATGAGGCCGAGAGCTGAGCGGCCACTTGAACAGCACTCGCCCTGTAAATACTCTATTGCCTGGGTATGTACACTTCTAGAGCTTGGTTTTATGCCCAATATACATAGCTGGATTGTCAATCACGGTGAGTGATAGAACTGAACGCGGGGTCTGAAGCTAACTCTGCTTCATTCTGGGTTGTCTTGTTTATATCATAATCATTGAATCGTGAAACCACGGCGTGGAAAAGATGGGATAAGCCCAAGTAGTCAAAAGCCTCCCGAAAACGAAGCATTACACTTGAACAGACGGGGTAACGAACGCTCTCATAGCCTTCGTAGCATCGCCATCATGAGCCTTGAGCAACTCTGTGGCCTTGTTCTTATTCATATCCAACTGATCCACCTAATAAATGTATCAGACAAGTCCCATAACAATACACCTTCCTCGGAAAAGATATAGAGGCATACCAGAAGTGTGACATCCGCCGCAGCGACCTTAACCGCCTTCTCCTTCACGACCTCCGCATCCTTGTTCTGCGCATCAGCCGCCTGCTTTCTGCCAGTATCATGCCCTGTAGCAATCTCAAGTCTGCTCATAGCCTTACCGAGTGCTTCCTGGTCTGCACTCGGCGGTGGCTTGGCCGAAGCATCGGTTCCAAGCTCGGTAGTGTTGAGCGAAGAAAGGGCGGCGGCAGCTTTGCGGTCCTCTGCGTTGGCAGGGAGGGATTGGTCCACGGTGTCGGGGTCTGCAAAAGCAGGAGGGATAGGATCAGACATGATGAAATTTTGTTTTCAGAGAGTGATTGGAACAAGATGTCTTCGACGACTCCGTTGGTTTTGGTGCTCAAAATAACGTCACTGATAAGCGGGGGACGACGCGATAACAGCTGACTCATTTCCTGCCTGAGGTGTCATGAGAGATCTACAGCCTGCGGGCCTCGGGGGTCAGGCTCTGGATGAGTCACCCCGCGAATAAGCGCGCATAACCAACTTTCCTTTGCGCTGCTCTTTTGCAATTTTATTCCTGTTCTTCTTTGTGTGGCTTACTAGCTCTTTGCTGTCATTTTCCTTCATAAGATATTGGTGTGTAAATTGCCAATTGGACTGCCAACTACTCACAGGGCATCGCTGGCACCATCCCCGCCTTTCCCAGGCTGTCATTTTTACCATGGCCGACTGGAGCCCCGACTGTATGTGTCTCTGTCCAATGATTCTGTCTAAAAGGCTAATATCTCTTCTCTAGCCTGGACTACAAAACCCATCAAGCAGGATGTGGTCTACGAAGATGCCCAAGGGGTAAAAGACGCACTAGACAAGCTGCAGAAGCTGCCGCCATTGGTGACTTCACATGAGGTAGGCTTGTTCTGATATTACTCGAAAGGAGCTCCCGCTGACTATAATTTTAGATAAATACTCTCAATAATAACTTGAAAAATGTTGCCCTAGGCAAGGCTTTTGTCCTGCAAGGCGGTATGTGTGCTTTACCATGTGCCCATTTCACCGAGTCCTGACAGTGGAATGTACAGGAGACTGTGCCGAGCTCTTCGATTACTGCAACCAAGATATGATCGAAGCCAAGGTCAAGCTTTTGCTTCAAATGAGCTTGGTCCTGATCTGGGGTATGTTGAGATGGAACGACCCCACGCAAGCACAACTATAGGAAGCAGCAGCTCATGATGTTGACAGGCGCCAACAAACCAGTCATCCGTATTGCCCGAATCGCCGGGCAATTCGCGAAGTAAGTTTCTCATTATTTCCCGGATATATTCCAATCACATATGACTTACAAGAAATCCAGGCCCCGATCTAGTCCGACAGAAGTGGTCAACGGGGTAGAGATGCCCTCGTTCCGAGGCGACAACATCAACGGCTTCGACGCTGACGCCAAGTCCCGACAGCCAGACCCATCGCGGTTGGTCGCAGCGTACTTCCACTCGGCCGCGACGCTGAACTACCTCCGAGCATCGCTGTCATCAGGCCTGGCAGACCTGCATTCCCCACTGGACTGGGGACTGGGCCATGTGATCACGCCATCGATCAAGGAGCAGTACTCACGGATCGTGGGCGCAGTCAAAGACGCACTGCGCTTCATGCGCACCGTCGGAATCGATAAGGACCGCGGCGTCGAGACAGCCGACATCTACACGAGCCACGAGGGACTGGCACTCGAGTACGAGCAGAGTCTAACGCGGCAACTATCGACACCCACCACCAGCAGCAGCACCAGTGCAGGAACAACCGGAGGGTTCTACGCAACATCCGCGCATTTCCTCTGGATCGGCGACCGCACCCGGCAACTAGACGGCGCCCACGTAGAATTCTTCCGCGGCATCGCCAACCCAATTGGAATCAAGATCGGGCCCAGCATGGCACCCGACGAGCTGGTGCGGCTACTGGACGTCGTGAACCCAACGCGGGAGGTGGGCAAAGTCACACTGATCTCGCGGTATGGCGCCGCCAAGATCGACGCGTTCCTGCCCGCACATATCAGCGCCGTGCAGGCGTCCGGCCATGTCCCCGTGTGGCAGTGCGATCCTATGCACGGGAACACGCAGGCGACGCCGTCGGGGGTCAAGACGCGCCATTTCACTGATATCTTGTCGGAGCTGCGGCAGGCGCTGGAGATTCATCGCGCTGCGGGGTCGTTCCTTGGTGGGATGCATCTTGAGTTGACGGGTGAGGCTGTTACGGAGTGTGTTGGTGGTGCGGCGGGTTTGACGGAAGAGGGCCTTGGTGAAAGGTATACCACGTTTTGTGATCCTCGTTTGAATGAAAAGCAGGCTCTGGAGCTGGCTTTTCTGGTTGCGGGCTTTTACCGCGAGGAGTCGGAGGATTGAGTCATATCTTCTTAGAGTTAAAGTAGGAGAACAAGATAAAAAGTTCGATACCGCATCCCTGTCCACTGTGAAAGGCAAATATCTATAATTGGCAGCATAGCAGTCTCATTGTTTCAGCTAGAATAAGTATATTTAGAGCAACTATCAACCCAAATAGTAAAGCACAACTGGTACACCTTGATTCCAAAATAAAACATATCACAAAGCATTTAGCCAAACCCCATCCGTGACAATTTGACCAAGGCACCAACACGAACACCAGAAGAGAAAGAGCACCCATATGTACAGCGTGGCTCAGTATAGGGAGCCAGTATCAACAAAGAGAGGAAATGAAAACAAGGCTAGAAGAGGGGATTAGCGCGCAAGCCGGCTCGCTACAGTAGGCTTAAAAGCATGACTCTTTCGCCGCGCAGCCTCCGAGCGGAACCGACGCTGACGTTGCGCATCATCATCATCGTTCTCGTTATCCAAACTACAACTCGACCTAGCTCCTGGGAACAGACCTTGGCCGCTCTGCTTGGGTGGGCAGGATTGTTGAATCAACCGGGAACGGTTTGAGAGGAAGAATGGAGTAGCGGGGGACATGCCAATGGCATCGAGGTTCGCAAAGTTGTAGCCCGGGGTAGCAGGGAAATAGGAGTTGTTGGTAGTGGATGATTGCCGTGTGGGTGTAGACGGCCCTTCAGGCTGAGGTGTTGGGGGTGTGATTTTGCGGAAACCCTCCACGGCGCCTCTGTCGGCGCCAGAACGACGTCTACTGGCAGAGGGCGTGGAAGGCTCTGGGACACGCACAAGAGTGCCATTGACATTGCTCAAAGCACGCGGCTCCATGCTCTTGCGGCGCTTGGCACCACCTCGTGGGATGATAGAGCTGTCGACCTCGTATGGGGTTTCATCGAGCCACTGGGATTCTCTTTCGCAGCTGCAAAGGACGAATCAGCATAAGGCCAGTTTGGATGTAAACCAGATAACAACTTACTCAAGAACCCAGCCCACGCCAACACACTTGACAAGACCCGCTGCGTGCTTGACCTTCTCCAAGGTTCGCAGACCTCCATCTTTATAGACGACATGGGTTATACCCACTTTGGCCTCCTTCGGCTCCGCCCCATCAACAGGCGACAAACTGGAACGGGGGTTCCAGGACCAGCCTTTAACACATCGAGCACCCATCTGCTGCAGGAGCTCAACAAAGATGCCGGATGCGTCCTCTCCTTCGGTAGTATGAACATCCACATGTACAACGGCGCCACGCAAAACCGGCGGACCACCTCCCAAATCTCGACGAGGAGTCTTGGCAGGACTACCGGCAGTAGAATGGGCCCTAGGTGTCCCCATATTCGACGCTTGGCCACTACTACGTCTCGCAGTGCTGTTACGACGCTTTGGGCTCGGACTTCTCTCCACTCGTGGTGATTTCCAAGGAGGGGAGAGAGCCGGTGGCGCATCATTGCCGGGAAGAAAGATGGACTTGCGCACCCGTGGGGAAGAACGGGTGGGAGAGGCGCCGGAGAGGGAAAGGCCTCGCTTGCGGGGCAGCTTCAGAGGAGACACGTCCCCTTCCGCTTTCAATGGAACTTTGAATACCGTGTGAACAGTCCGTAGATCTTCGGGAACAGACTTGACTGGAGTAGCCGGGAGCAGGACGGGGATATCGCAGTTCTCCTTATCTTCATCCGGGTATGAGTGCTGTTGCAAGGCTTCGGATGGGTCTGCAACAGAGACATCTTCGTGGGCTGTCGTTTGGTCGACATCCACTGCAATTGCACCACAGTCGGGATCTTCGAAAATATCACTGGTTTTGCTGGGTGAATCGGGCATTTCGGAGTCCTCGTGAACTGCAGGAGATTCAGGGGCCTGATCGTACTCGGAGATCATGCAAGTATCGTCGCTCTGGGGTGGAAGTGGCAGTTCAGCGAAGAGAGATGGTGTGTTGGCCAAAGAGTGTCGAGACAAGTCGGGATAAGAAACAGGGGCCGACTCGGGAGTGCTTTCTTTAGTGGCGCGCTCCAGAGGCCCAACCAGCGAGAACACACCCCGACGACGTGGTCGTGCTGGCCGAGCTTCAGATGGGGTGTTTGGCTCCCAGCGGCCAAACTTGTGTACCAATGGAGTAAAGCCCAGGTCAACATCGAAAATGGGGTTCCGTTGGCCTGTTGTGCTGGGTGTGTGGGAAATGCTATGTGCTGCTGGGGTGGACACCTCAGTCTCCGCGGTTTTTGAAGGACTACTTTGCTCGTCCATATTCATATCAACGGTGAAATCGATGGGTTCCTCATCCTGAAGCACTTCGTGATCGGTAGCGGTATCCTCCTCATGATGAGGAGACGAAGGAGTCGTTCCCTCGGTAGGTGGAGTCGGTACTGGAGGAGGGACAGCCTGCATCCTCCGGAGCGGGCTTGTAAAATCTTCCCCCTCGCTGATTTCGTCCGGCGAAACGGACTGAGGAATGACGTTGATTGTGGTCTCGGATGTCACAAGAGTTGGCTCATCATCTTCCGCCTCACTCTTCTCGCTCAATACACCCTGCTGCTCTTCATCAGGGTTTTGAGCCAAGTCATCGATGTAAACATGATCGTCCTGGTCTCCCTGCAAATCTTCCTCTTGAGCATCTCCTTCTGAAAGCTGACGCACGATGGTTGTTCCTTCGGTTTCTTCAACATCAGAAAGCTCAACGGTGGACTCGACCGGCGACACGGGATCTGCGAGAGGCTGTATCTCTATCGCGTTTTCCTGTTTTTCAGGCTCTGGCGTTTGGGCTGAATCCGCCTCCTCGGTGGAGTTCAAAATAATGTCAGATCCTGGAGGCGCAAGTTCTTCAATGTCGGGTTGTTCACTAGCAGTGGCCGTTTCATCAATAGGCTCCGCCTGTGCCACAGCAGTGTTTAAATCCAAAACTTGTTGATGGAAGTGATCCGATAGACCCTGAAACTCCTCCATGCCGTCAAAACATAGTGTTTCTTGGTCCTCCAACTCGAAGTGGGCTTGCTCCTGTGGGTCTTCGGTCTCCTCATCAGTCTCTTCTTCGGGCAATGAGCCCTTTTCATCATCCAGCTGGGGAATTTCATCATAGAAATCCACGGTTAATTGAGGCTCGGGCGCTTCTTCCAGGTCCTGGATATCTTTGTGGTGCGGTGATTCTGAGGAAGGCTTGGGATCGGACTGTAACTCAATACCGAAGATATCGCGGGCCACTTCTTCAACCATCTCCAGGTCCGTGTCCACAGCTGTCTCTTCAACATCTTCGCCGTTAAGCAAGGACCCCTGATTGTTTTGTTCATGCTCATGGATTGAACAGGGCGTCTCATTGTGAACCGACGGTGTTGACTCGGTCACGGGGGCTGGGTTGGAGAAGATCGAGCTTTTGAAGGGAGACGGCATTTTCTTGGCTGGACTCTGAATAAAAGAGGTTTTGTTTGGGATGGAAGGGGTCGACGTCTTGAATGGAGATTGCGAGAAAGAAGCACCCAAGTGGCCCTTTTTGGGAGACGACTTGAGCGGGGACGAGCGTCCGGGTGTGAAATTAGGTGCTGGAATGGGGTTCGAGTCTTCACGGAACATTGACCCGCCGCGATTCGGGGTATCTCTGAGGCTGAATTGGAAGGGCGATGAAGGTGCCGGGCGACGGGCGGGACTGGACATGAAAAGAGAGTCACTGAAGTCAATGGATTTTCCCGGCGGAAGAGCGAGGTGATCATTGTCGGCAGCGGCATGTTGGCTGCAATTGGGTGTGAAATTGATTTTCCTCACTGGAGAGCTCAGGCCGGTGGTTTCTGATCCATGTTTGGGGGTCGGGAGTTTCGGTTCGCCGTTCTCATCTATCAAACTGGATGCTTTCTTGGGCGTGAAGTTGACCCTTCGTACTGGGGAGCTCAATCCCGGGTTGTCTGACCCATGCTTGACAGGTGAATGGACCACTAGCTTGACATCTCTCTTGAGATCGTCTTTAGCAGCGCTTAGCTCATCTTCTTCGCCATCAGAACTAGCATAAGCTGATAGCGACTTGGCCATTTGCTTGGCCTTTTTGGGTGATAGTGGCTGAGCTGCGTCCTTTTTCGTTGCAGCAGGCTTTCGGCCCCGGCCACCTGCCGTGGCAGGCTTGCGAACGGGCGTTGCGCCCAGGCCATTGGCACCCTTAGTTGCTGCCCTTCTCCGTCCCGCTGCAGGAACAGCAGGTGCACTCGATTCATCCGACTCCGAGTCCGAGACATCCTGAAATGTGACTGTCTTCTTCTTTGCCGGTCCGCGCAGCATATTTGATCGCATCGTGGTAGAGTTGGTGGCAACCACGATCTGCTTGGGTTTTGCGTTTTCGGCAGCTTCCTCGGCCTCTGTAGCTGTGCGCGTCTTCTTGCGAGTGGCCACTGCAGTGGTTCCGCTAAATTGAGAAGCCTTAGCTGTCGTAGCCGCCTTGGGTCGGCCTCTCGTCTTGGGTGCCGTCTCGGAAGTGGTGTTCACGGCCTCAGCCGGTGGTGTTTTTTTTCTCGGCCTCCCCGCGCGTTTCTTTGGTGCTTCAGACTGCTGGAGCAGCTCAGCTCCAGTTTCCTCCGTTTCAGCATTCGATTCCTGGGGAGACTGTGCGTTTGTTTTTCTGCCACGGCCCGTGACCTTGGTTGTGGATTTGGGTGCTGCGCGACTGGCTGGGCGTCCGCGAGACTTCACAGGCTTATCATCATGTTGTGGGGCAGTAAATAACGCGAGCTCATCGTCTGTGTCCGAATCGGAAATGTGTGCTGTGTTGGGGGCAGTTATGGCCGTCTTCTTGGTGACTCTTGTTTTCGCGTTCGCTGTTACTCTCGCATTAGAGGTGGCAGCCTTCGTTGGGGCTGCTCTGGGCCCGGTGCGCGTCCCCCTCGTTGCGGGGGACTGGGGAATTACTGCAGCGCGCGCCATTATGGCGGGGGTATCGAGGGTCGATGCGCGTTATATGGAATTGGGTCGTTGGGGTTGTATTTATCAGAGTTACGCAGCGCTCATGGCGAGTCTGAGCGAGCGAAGAATCGGTGGTCGTGTCGGTCGCAAATGTCGAGTGTGTCGAACAAGTTGATGAAAACAAAGCACGAATTCACTTGTGGAGGCGTCCTGCTTGGGTGGGAGATCCACCGGTCTCCATGGCAACGGCCCAGGAAATAGCCGCGTTACAGCCAGAGCCCAACAGTCGGGAAAACAATACGCCGACTTTTGTGGACCGCCTAGCTTACTAAGTCGACTGGGGCGTCGACTTTAAGCAACATTATTATTTCTTACTTTACCCACTTACTTTCCTTACAGTATCTCTATATTCTTGGTCGACAAGGCGGGTCAACGGTGGACGAACAAGTGGGTTAAATTTTGGGCCCCTCTTGGCATTTTTAAGCTCCCCCCAGCTGGCTGGGTGCCCGGAATCAGTCTAGTAAATGCGTAAGTATATCTTGTGTACCTAGGTAGATGAATCCGGCCTTGAAGATCGCCTGCAGTAGATTAGACCCGGCTTGCCATGGGTTGAGCTGCGTGGATGCGCCGAGAATAGTAGGGGGCATGTGTCTAACCCTGCACAAGTTCCGAATAGTCGACTCTTTCCTCTGCCCCACGTCTGCAGCTGTTGACATATTTGCCCCCTCTAGTGGCCCGATACGGGGCCAAGAACACTATTTTGGACGACTGGGCCCGACCCCGGCCGGTATATATAAATCCCCTGGCTCCGCTGTCGCTACCTTATATGCGCTTCAACGCTGATATCCCACAACTATCTCGGGCACATCGCAGCCATAAAAACTGCATTCATTTTATGTCAATGGCTACTCTTACCCTTTGTGGCAAGTCGAGCATTGCCTGACACCCATGCCAAGTGAGCAATCCTCAGTTTCGACGGTACTTTATCCCAGCTAGACAGGGAAGAAAGAACTAACCGCGGGAAATATTTGCGAAACTGCGAATAGCGTTGATGTGCCATCGGCGCACAACCTGAAAGCAAGAGACGCTCAGCTTGTTCGGGGCGATGTCTTCTCCTATGATGACATCGAAAAGGATTCTACGAAGATGAAAGAATTCGAAACTCATGCGAAAAAAAAAAAAAAAAAAAAAAAAAAAAATCTTGAAGCGATTTAGTGACCCCCCAAATGATGAGGTGTTTCAAACATGGTTAACCCCAATGATCACCCTGCAGCTCAGAGAGGCTTGCATAACCTACGCGACACGCTCAACCCAGCAATCTCGAAGTCCACTCGCAAACGGGCGAAAGCCCCCAAATTGTGGATCACTGGAAATGACTGTGCCAACCACTGCGAAAAAGGCACGGCTCGAGCCTACACTTATGAATACGAGGGTCCGCAGGATCGCATTAGCCTGACACATCGCACGTCAATGGAGGAAGGTGACTGTATTATTCATTTCTGCGAAGATGTTGAGGAAATGATGGCCGAAATAGGACTGCATAATTGTGACGACGCCTGGGCTGGAGACAACGGTCATTTCAGTGACCTTTTAACTGCGAACACAACAGCCACAATGGCCCATGAGCTATTGTGAGTGCCACCATGCTCAGTGATGAGAGCTACCAAGGTCCATGTTGCTTACTCGGTCTCTCTAGGCATTGTTCACATATTGGAGACAGAGAGATGAAAGACATCAAGGGGAAAGAAGACAAAGAAGACAGCCCTATATACACTGGGTCTCTCCCGTTTCCTTCTCCATAGAGCCCCCTATATTCTCCTTTAATTCTCCTCCACAAAGCTGCCGCACAGCTTTCTCAACATTCCCACCATGTACTCTACCTTCCTGATATCATGGGCAATCTGGTTGTCCAGTATCATGCTCTTGATATAGAAGATTTTGGGAAGAGGCTGGTCTCTGTGCAATTATCTTGGGGTCATTGTATTATACTGTGGTGTTCTTAATCCCATGTTGTGTGTCACGTTCAATCATATAACACTTGCTATCTTACAATCATCCCAAGAACGCCATTTGATCAAGTGCATTAGTCAATTACCTAAAATAGACGCAACGCCGCACAGACTTATATACCCCAAGAGATCTATAAGTAACTCAAAGGCATCAACAGCAAAGAAGAAAAATAAAAGACAAGATGGTCATGGCTCAATATCACATGGGAGATCAAAAAAGCATCAAGAAACCCGAGATCATGAATCCGGAAACATAGACACAGGGACCGAGAGAACACACCCTATAATGCCATGCATTAATTAAGCCACGGCAAAGAGTGCCACAGCAGCGGCGACCACAGCAGAGAGCGCAGTAGGCACAAAAGCGGCAGCCGCACTGTCAGCCAGGATCGTCTTGGGCGCGTAAGCAGGTGGCTTGCTGGTATCGGTGGTACCGTTCCAGCAGTAGCGCGAGAAGCACTTGTTACAGATATCCGGAGGCGAGGTCTTGGTACGATCAAAGGAGCGGCTGAGGATCGCGCAGCCGACGCAGGCGGACCAGTCGGAGTCGCGGGTGCTGTTGGCCATGGTGGCGACCTCGTAGCCGTTCAGAATGACATCGTCACGCTTCTTGTTGTCATAGGACAACGTGAAGGTCGTGACGTTGGAGTAGGCCGAATAGGGCGAGTTGGGCAGGTAGACGATCAGGGGCGCGGGTCCCGTCAGGTTGGAGCTGTCGCAGCCAAAGAAGCTCGGGCGGCTGTTCAGGCCCTGGTTGACAAAGGTGTTTTGGTCCGGGATGGCCGGGAAATTGGTGCCGTTGGCGATGCCCGTGCGGTTGAGACTACGCTCGTACGTGGCCACGAGCGCGGTGCCGTTCGGCCAGCTGTTCTCGGTGTCGGCGGAGGAGTCGACGGCGAAGATCACGTCGACGTGACGCTCCGGCTGGATCAGCGGGTGCAGGGGCACGTTTTGCAGATCCTCGCCGCCGTCGACGAGGTCCAGTTCTGTCTGCTGGGCGTACGGCGACGAGTCCTCGTTATACTTGTAGAACGGGTTGGGGTCGTAGGCCGCGATATCATTGTCGGACTTGTCGAGTTTGTAGAGGACATTTGTGAAGACATCCTTGACGAAACTCGGCAGCGAAGTCGTGTTGATCTGGAGCAAGAACTGGTTGAAGAGCGTGGACGACGTGCCGATGATAAAACCCGCGTTGTCGAAACCACGCACACATTTCGCGTCGTTGGGAAGCGAACCGCCCACAAATCGGGAGCCTAAGAACTCCAGAGGCGCGAACCCGTACACCGTCGGGTCGAACGTCCCAAACTCCCACGGGTTGAATTCATAGACGGTCGAGTTGCTGCCAACCACGAGCTCGTGGGGATTGCGACCATCGGCCACGACAACCGGCAGCGGCATGTTCCCGTCCTTGAATTCCGAGGTCTCCGCGATGGACGACCAGGTGTAGCTGATTCCTCCATCGCTGGCGTTGAACATCTGGTACGACAGTGCCCGGCCCCTGGTGAATTTATTAGCACGGCGTCACCCCGGAACAGAAAAAAGAAAGAAAGAAATACCAGATATCCGTGATCGAGGTATCAAACCCAGCATCCTTCTTGCCATTGACAGCATCCGCAAGATCCTTGAAATAGCTCGCCGAATCAAAGATCTGAATCCCGCCCGTATCCGGGCCCTCGAGAATCGAGTTCCCAAACTGCCACACGGAACCAGCCTTGTGCGTCTGCAGGTCCGAGATGGTGGTAAAGTTATTAATATAGATGGAGCCGAGCAGCCAACTGCCACCACTCAGACCCGAGATATAGGTGGCCGACTGCAGCAGCCCACCCAGATGGCCCTTGGCGGTAGAATTCTCCGTCCGGCTGTCAAATGCCTTGACGGCACCGGCACCGTTGGTCAGGGCGCGGTACCCGCCGCCCGACACGGCAATACCGATGTTGGGCAAATTCGAGGTGTTCTTGGAGTGTTGGTCAAGGTACCCCGTGACGTCAAAGTCGCCGACCTGGACGTGCCCGAAGAAGTCCTTCATGGCGGACAGCGTCTTCTCGCGCCGGGTTTTCAGCCATGAGGTCTCTTGGGACGAGAGCTTTTCGGCGCTGCGGATTTTCGGCCGCGTCGAGGGACAGGTGGTGTTGGCTGGGGTGTATTTGTCCGGGGCATTGGGCAGGGCGCGTTCCGCGAGGGCGAGTGTGAGGTCATTGGGGTTGGGCGCGCTCGGGGCGGCGGTCGCATCTGGGGTTCAATATGATTAATACCGAATATGTTGAGAGGGGGGGAAGGGCGAGTCGCGACCGCAATAGTGGGAAACTTACAGGGCAGCAGGCCCAAAACAATGGAACCGATCAGCGCAGCCTTCATGATTGAACCCTTCACTGCACAAGAGAAATGGCAAGGAATCATGGAAAGGAAAGAATTCCATCCGAACATCCGGCTAAGGGAGGGAGTGCCTTACTTATGTGGTTCTCGGGGAGACCGGAAGCTTAGCAGGGCCCAAGCCCAATTTCACTCCATACCGCATGATTAGGAGCGAAAAAAAAAGGCAGCTCTCTCGGCATTTCATTAGCATTTCATTAGCAACTCCATCGTGCAATGATTTCCTGAGAGCATGGCGAATCAATGAACGGTGAGTGGACTGCGAGCGGGTGGAGCGGTGATGTCAGGAGGCCTGAGGGTTCCGTCTTGTAGTGAATCTTTTTTTCTTGTTCTTTTCTTTGCTGCCTACACTGGTTAGTCTGTTAGGCTTGGAGATATTGATGAAGTGCCAGGGCTGAGATGCACTCCGCACGCAGGGACTGCGCCTCTGGTGGTACAGCCTCAGCTGGGACACGTTGGAAATACTCGAATATTGTCTCGTGGATAGTGTCGATCCACCAGTTGTGCAGACATTCGCATTAACCGACGTGGCATTGGGGGCGGATTCTCAGGAAGCTAAGTATGCAGAGAAATCTATTATTGTCAGTGGCATAATAAAATAATATTGCAACTGCACTCATCAGGACCGAGGTTACCGATGTGCACAATTTGCATAACTTCTGAGGTTGCCTAACCAGCGTGCATCTCAAATATACCAAGAATTACGTAGATCTACTGCAACATCCTGGATGGCCTGAGATTACACTGTCTTCAACCCACTGTCGTACAATCCCCAGGACCCTAGATGGACCCCTGTCGAGACTGTGGGGGATGTTCAACGGATCGGCAAACCCGCGATCGACACTGATGCTGTGGAGAAGTAAGTAAATATGTTCAAAATTGCAGATGCAGAGAATAAAAAGCCAAAGAACTTTTCATTTCATAGTTCATAGTTCAATTTTCCACGATTAACGAAACTTGACGTCTCTTCGGAAATAGCGGATTCTCCACTCATCTTCATCCCTTGACTGGCCCAACCTCGGCGGCCACAATCATCCCTTCGGCAGACTTCTCGTTGGCCACCACCTGACCCTCGGGCAAGTTGTTGAGCTCGTCCTCCTCAAGATCCAGCTTCCAGAACTGCAGGATGAAGCCCCAGCCCCCAGCAAAGGCAAGGACGGCGAACACGCCGTAGTTCCAGATGAGCAGCGGGTCCTTGGACAGCGGATTCAGGGCCTCGGCAATGGCAGCGGAGATGGCATTGGTAAACAGTGCGATGGCCTGGATCAGCGAGCGCATGTTGCGCGGGGCCTTGGAGTACGCATACTCGAGCGAAGTAATCGAAGCGAAGATCTCCGAGAAGGCGACCAGCACGTAGCAGCCCGTCTGGATCCAGACATTGAGTGGGGCCGGGTTGACGCTGCCATCTTCCAGAAAACAGTTGTTGGCTTCAGAGCCGCATGGCGAGGTCTTGTAGATGTAGTACTGCACCACGGCAGCCCAGACCATGGCCATGGCCGCCAGCCAGAAGCCCACGGTGATCTTCTTGATCGCGGTGAATTTCACGCCCATCTTCCGCAGGCCTGGGTACAACAGTGTGTCGCAAATGGGAATGAAGATGATTAGCGCGAAGGGATCCAGGTTGTTGATCACGTCGTTGGGAGCTCCGTTCAGCGTCATCGTGCCAGCCTGTGCCGTGAAGTTGTTGGTGAGCTGGCCGTATGCCAGCCAATACAGTGGGTACCAGCAGAACACCGCACATGCCGCAAAGCCTCGGCGCACTTCGTTGACCCAGGCGTCGTCAAAGGTCATCCACTTGGGTCGATACTGTGGATCGATGTTGGAGGGCTTGGCCGACTCCCACAACGTGCCGTCGTGCGTGCGCTTCCACATGGTGAAGGGATTCCAGTGCCAGCGGCCACGCATGGCAAAGAAAAGAGTCTTGACTGCCTTGTTGGTCACTGAGCCCGTCGGAGGGGCCTGGCGGTATCGCTTGCGTCCCCACCACATCACGAACGGGGTGGTGCAGAACATAATGGTCGGCAGCAGATAGGCGAGCCAGAACCCAACATACTTCTCTGCATAGGCCATGCCAATCTGCCCGATCAGCGCGCCGATGTTGATGAACATGTAAAAGTAGTGGTAGATGCGGCTCTGGGTAATGGTCGGGTCGATGACCACGCGCTCGCCTGAGGGGAGAGTGCGGACTTTGAGGTTGACGGCAGGGATTTGTTCGACCACCAGCGCAGAGATGTTGGGCTTGAAGCCGCCCGTACCCAGACCCATGATGATAACACCCAGCATGAAAACGGCAAAGCAAGCAGTGTTGTCCGTGATGACCGGCGGGATGGCCGAGATGACGAGGATGATATGGCCGAGAATTGCAGCAGCGATTGACCAGCAGATAGTTTTGTATCGGCCCCAGTACTCGTCGGCAATGTAGGCACTGAACAGCGGGACACAGTAACACCAGAAGGTGTTGAAAGTGTTGACTCCGTTGGCAGTTTCAACACCTTTGCCCAGTGCTCCCGAGACCCCCTGAGAGCTCCCACCACCTGCACCAGTGTTGTGGTTGGAACCAAGCGGTCCGTAGGGGGCCGGGAGAGGCAGCGAGTGGTTCACAAAGTTGGAGTCTGTAATTTCTCATGTTAGAATCGGAACACCATGAGGGTAGCAACTGACATACACAAGACCTGGGTGCCATAGTAAGAGAAGCGCTCGCACAGCTCAACAAAGGCGACAGTGTAGACTGCCCAGGGAATAGGAGCCGAAACCCGGCGCAGCGCATTGGGTCCATCGAGGTCGTCGGGAGTGGGATCCTCGTCGCCAATGCTGAGACCGTACACGGCCGAGATCAGGCTCTTCTCGGGTTTCATTTGGTCGATGGGCTCATCGCTCTTGACAGTAGTGGTAATCTGGTGGTTGCCCTGGATCTCCATGGAGGCAGAAGAGCGATTCTCGACCGGAGTAGCCATCTTGAGATGAGAGAAAGCGAGAAGAGGGAAGGGTGGGAAAGAAGGAGATGGTAAGAGGGGGAGTGGTGGAAGAAGTTATGGCACTTGTTATATCCAGTGCTCGCATTGAACGACTCGACCAAATAGCCAACAAACAACCACAGCAGATAAGCATCTACTCCATATCTAGGTAATGAATTTCCAGATCATTTCTCTCCCATCCAAGTCTACCCCAGAGTTGCGCTATTCCGAACAAAGACAAACATCCGGCGCCAGAAGATAAGGCCTGGACATGAATGAGGCAAATTAAGCAACTGCTGTGCATACACAAGCGCCATGTTACTCGGGGTGGCATGGCTGCCTGCGCTAAGTAGAGAAAAGCACAGAGGCGAGTCTAAACTTAAGCCAAACTTCTCAGATTGTTTCAGTGCCCTGACTCGGGGTATATTCGGTATCTTGTAGCTCAGTATAGCCGTTAGCAATGCAGAGATCCCAAATGACAGACCCAGAAAGAAAGAGAATGAAAATGACAAGAATCGGAGCGTCCGTCGGACCCACCGCTCTAAAGCTTGGTTTGTTTAGTTTTACTTGAATGGGCTTATCTCCTGGAGAGATTGCATGCCCCACTTAGTTTCGTGATAACTTGGTAAAAACGTGGTTTGTGATTGGGGTAACCTTTTTGATTGTCCGATAAAAGAATGGAAAGAGTCGCTTCTTGCCGAGATCCAGAGTCGCATCCCGCCTAGACAAAAGGGCGAAACTCTGGAATCGCCACTGACCCTAACTTGGCAGATTCCCTGTCTGCGTCGTCATGAGGTTGCGGTATATCTTGATCTTGATAATAGATTAGACAGTGGCAAAAACCTAAAATTATTCGGCGATGAGAATTCAAAAACAAGAAAGTTATATCGCAGAGTGGTAACTAGCAGAGTTGTCAGGTTGCAGTAAATGTCACTATAGTAACTACAGTATTTCGCCCTTGCGCAGGTCCAACCATCCCAGACTCAACTTGAGCAAGACACCGTTGGGGCACGGGCCTCTCAACATTTTCCGGAATCTCCTAATTAGTCGCGGGTCTACTAATTATTTGTTTTTTTTTTTGAAGTATATCGAGTATGAAGTAGAGACTCGAGTATAGTATGGGTCATGACTTCAACACAAACTCTATACTTCCCCGTTGAACTGTACTTCCGCCAGTAGCCGGTGAAACAGCCATTTCTAGCTATCTCTTCATTCATTCTACATGGTTGGTTCCCTTCTTGGTTCACTTCTTGGTTCACGATGTGTCCCCGATCTTTTTGTTCTTCGGGGATGATCCAACAACTTCCCCCTCGATATAATTGGTGATCCATTCTGCTGGGCGCTCTTTGTCCTTTTTTTTCTTTTTTTTTTCTTTTCTCTATCTTTCTCCGCATTTCCCCGGAAATTGTGCTACCCACTGCCACTGTATATCATGTACAGTAGTGTACGTTGTATACTGGTGGGTAGATGTCTTCTGGGAGGAATCATGATCATCGGGATCATCATCTTGAGGTAATCGTATTTAATTTAATTTAAATTTTAAAAAAGGCGGCAGGCGGTCATGGGAAGACCTGGCGATGTGTTAGGCTGCCACTGGACTAGAAAGAGTCGGTGAGATGCGCTCGTACCTCGGCATCACTACACACAGAAAATAACACACAGAAACAGAATATAGACTTAGATCAGATGCCATGCACATAGGTCAAAGTAGGCTCAGGTGTGGAGCATGTCAAAATATCAGAGTGGGTCCGATATCATTCCAAGTCTATCCACATTACTTGACTCCATGCAATCAACAATCGACCAAAAACCGCATTTGCAGATCAAAAATAAACACTCCACAGCAAAAATAATAATCATATTAATAATAATAAAAGTCAAATCAACCCACGCTTCGCTGTCCCGAACCCTAAAACAACACAACGCCATGCAATGAGAGGACTCGGATGGATGGTCACACGCGAGGATTCAAAAACGGCAAATCAATCAGAAAGAAACACAGAATTTACCACGCCGCATGCCCTCCATCCATGCGCAGGTCACTGCCAGTCATAAAGCTGCTGGCGTCGCTCAACAAGAACACCGCGGCGCCGCGGTATTCCTCGGGGCGCGACAGCCGGCCCAGCATGTTCTCCTTGGGCCACTGGTCACGGCGCTCGGGGAATTCCACAAACAGATTCTCAACCATGGCGGTGATAATGTAACCGGGCGAGATGGTGTTGACGCGGATGTTGTACGGACCCCACTCGGCGGCGAGGTTACGGGCCAACTGGAGGACGGCTGCCTTGCTGGCGTTGTACGCGGGGCAGATGAGACCCTGGAAGATTGTCAGCCTGTCAGCCTTGGGATGAAATAGAAAAAAAAGATGTATGGTATAAGAAGAGAAAGAAAGAAAGAAAGAAAGAATCAAAGCGGGGAAAGCCAAGGACTTGGCTGGTCGGAAGTACCGTGCCGATGACAACCCCCAGAATCCCAGGGATATCCAGGGATGTATCCAAGTGATCAGAAGATAAAAAGTGGAACATACCCGATTGACAATAGTGCCACTCATACTGGCGATCATGGCAATGCTGCCCCCATTCCCAAATCGAATCATTTGCTTGGCCACGGCCTGTGCGGTCATAAACACGCCCGTGACATTGACCTCGAACATAGTGTTGCTGTCCTTGGCCGAGTATTCGAGTGCTGGAGTCTCCTGCTGAATACCCGCGGCAGCCACCAGGCCGTCCAAGCGGCCCTCGGTGTTGGCAATGCCCTCGATGACACTGTTGAGCAGCTCTGTGTCACGCACATCAATGCGGCGGTAATGCAGTTCCGAGCCCAGGGTCTTTGCGCGCTGCTGGATGTGCTGAAATTCTGGGGCCTGTTTGATGCCAGTTAGATTTCCATATGTTGAATTCCATGGAGTTTCGCATAGGGGGAGGGAGTAAAGTAAAGAAAGAGGTAACGTACCGGCTCCTCCAACCGATCCAGTGCATACACCTTCGCACCCGCTTCCAGGAGAGCCTCTGCCTGGGTCAGACCCAGTCCTCGGCCTGCGCCAGAGACGCAGACCACCTTGCCGGCGAGACTGAACTCGGGCATGCGGGTCTGTTGACCCAGCAGGATGGGCTGGGAGGAGACTGGGGCGGTGGGGACGGTGCTAGTTTCAATGGAGACGGACATTGTGAGAGGTATTAGTAGATTAAAAATAAAAGAGATTGGTGATAATCTGAGTACGGGTAGAGATGAGAAGTGTAGTAAAACAAGAAGATATTAAAGATAATAGTCTCGGACTGGGGGTAGATGAAGATGAAGAAGAGATGTCAAAGAGCAGCCATGGAAAGAGAACGACCTTTAAATATCTATCCATGGACATATTCGACGTGTCTGAGGGTCTCGTGAACACCAAAAAAAAAAGAAAAAACAATCGAGACTGGGCACAGGGCACAGCCAAGTCCAGACCGGGTGGCAAGATACACACTGGAAGTATACTATAGCAGCAGAGCAACTATAGCAACTACACCGGTTTCACTCTCTTCCCAGCTAGAAAAACCCCAGAAACTGGTCTCAGTATCTTCTCGATACATCTATACCAAGTCAACCGGTTTTGTTTCTTGTAGCCAAGCAAGGTCTACAAGGTCTACAAGATCTATACTACCCAGACGCCGATACAATCGCGGGACCAAGCGATTGGAACTCTCCCGCAGGATTCCAGCAAGGACTTTCCAAGTCACCCGACACGATGAAATCAATGATTGCCGCGCAGCCTATCCCCCGTCGATTTGGACTGGGTGGCAGGTCGGCAGCCATGGGTCGAGCGGCCATCGGATTTCTTGTTCGGGAAAGCCGATCTAAGAACGCCACTCTATTTTGAAAAACAAAATAACACACTTCAGGTGACCAACTCCTTTCCCTAGTCTCCGGGGAAATCGGAAAAGAAAAGAAAAAAAGTGAATATTTACCCCAATATTATTTTCTCCATCTTCTGGAAGATCGGTGTGGGGGTGAGTTATTCGTCAATTGCCCAACTATTTTCTTTGCTCCGTTCCTGTTCCTGGGGAGGTTGGTGATTGGTCAATTTGGGGTTTCCAGATTGGACATTTCTTTCTTTTCTTTTCTTTCATTCTTATATCCTTTTATATAGCCATGTTCTCTTTCTATATATATCCCCATAGCAGTATCATCATAGCAAAGAAGTATACCTAGGTATCCACGGTGACAATGCGCCAGATTGCAAAGCACACAGACCTATAATTAGCGGGCCAGACCATGCACATACCCAAATAGCCCTCTGGAACTAAGACCAAAACTGTTGAGTTACCTGAGATGCCGCGTGACTGTCAGATTCTTCTTTTTGTTTCTTTTATTTTTCTTCCTAACAGCACAGCCCTGGAGGAATCAAAAGAAAGAAAGAAAGAAAAGAACCAGCTCCTTACTCAATCCGGCAACCCGAGCGCTGCCAACGAACCCCCTTGTCTTTGGCTGGTCTCGTGAACAACACCTAAACAGCGATAAACATTGCCTGCTTGTTTTCTAGATTGTTCTTTTCCTGTTTCTCCCCGGCTTCTTGCCGGTGAACTGCTCCACGTTCCAGACCTTCGATCTAGTTCCTCAGTAGAAATCTTCCCCGCGACCCCATGTCTGTGATCGGCCTTGGCCCGTGCCTTGTTTCTCTTTTTCTTGTTATTCTCTTTGGTGTTCCTTCTCCCTTGCTCTTGTACATACCCGGCTCGGGGTCTCGCCAACAGGAATGGGAATCATTGCCACGCCCACATACTCTCTTTCTCTGATTGCTCGGATGGCGGTGAAATAACTATTTCTTTCTAGACAAGCATTGCCCCAGACTATACCCTTTTGTTGTTAGTCCATGCTTAGAGACGGCATGTGACCTGACAATATTGGAAAAAACAGTGATGGCCTCGGCAGTCAAGATGTGCAAGATGCAGGAGACGGGACTAGTGGACTCGCGGATATTTTAGATGAATGGTGATGAATTGTACCAGCGCAAATTTCAAAATCGACTAGTGGATTCGTGTTTTCTCTTTATCGTTCCTGAATATTTCTTTTCTTTTCTTATTTTGTGTTCACGAGCCATTATCCGCCCATTCTCGAATCACTCGAGGCATTCTATCTCAGCCCAAGAGTCAGATACCGGCTGCATTGTTTGACCAGAGAAAGGAATAAAAGAAAGCGAGAGCAATGATTTTGCTTAATTATAAGCTTTTAAGCTTTTGGTTCGTGTGTTTGACTTGGTAGGTCATGAAACCCTACTTGTCTTTACCACCAGCTGAGGTATGCCTGCATCAAGTCCACGATAATGGGTTACATTAGGCAAGTATCCCAGCCATTTTCGCCAATTCCAACCATCCAACCCCCAGACCACATGACAAGAAAAGAAATGAGACCCGAAGAGGCCATGTACAAGAGATGGTGATCGTCCCCCAAACTATTACAAAACCAGAAGATATGACCCAAGCCCGAAAAGGAGAGATCAAGAGAGAGACAGAGATGACCGTCGCTCACCAATGCACCCAATGCACCCGACGGCACAAGCCGAAAAAAGAAAAAGAAAGGACTCCGTCGCAATGCAGCCAGAAATATCATCCCAGATAACAAAAAGCTCCCCCAGAGCCGAGATAAAGAAAGATGCACATCATGACATGTATACAGGCAACGGCCATATGGTGGATCCCATGATCCATGAGCCACCTGATGCAAAGGAAAAAAAAAGATTCCTGAGATTTAAGATTCCTGATATCCCCAGATACGCCTTTGTTCGACGACCCACCATTTACCAAGTTGTTCGGCATCTTGGAGCCAGGCGGCGGCTTCGTCGCCGTACTTGGGTTTAACCGATTTAATGAGATCCTTCAAAGTCCATGCCTTCATGCGCTTCCGCTCGCCAGGGTCGTCGAGCAAATGGCTGAAAGTATACTCGAAACCATCTTTGATCGGCAGGACGAGACGGTATGGGTCGTTAGCCGTGGTGACGGAAAGCATGGAGCCGCCGGCGTTGATGAGACCAAAGTTCCAAACAGGCTGTACCCGAGGACCTTCTTCCGGCGAATATCGGGCGTGAATCGCGGCATTGGTGTAGTTTTGCTCCATGGGATGCCGCTCGACGGCTGGAACAAATGGGCGGATAAGCGACTGGCCCTGGTACGTTGGCAGCAGGGCCGAGGCAATCTCGGAGTCGCGCTCGTCTAGAGACTGCGTCTGCACGAGAAGGTCCAGAATGGTGGGGATGATGGAAATGGATGTTGCATTGGCAGCGATGTCGATGCGAGGCAGTTGTGGGTGGCGGAAAACTAGCGGCACACGGAAATTGCTGATGTGGCCGTTCTCATAGGTGCCGGTCACGGCCTCGTCGTCCTCGGCAAAAGCTTGGCCGTGGTCGCCGACAAAAACGACCAGGGTCTTGTTGGCGATGCCCGCCTCGTCCAGCATGCTCATCACCTCACCCAGCCAGCCGTCGACGAAGCGCACGGTGTTCAGGTAATCATTCATTTGGGTATGGCGCACGTCGCCTTGATTGCCCAAGTACTGCTCTTCCGGGAAGTCATCGGGCGTGCCCCACGGGTGGTGCGTGGTGCTGGTGATGTGCGAAAGAAACATGCGGGTTTTGTTTTTGGCAGCTTCGTCAAAAAGATCTCGCAGATATGGTCGCAACTCGGTTTCGGCATATCTGGTTGAGGGTTAGCGATTTCGCCCTAGAGCTTCGACGAACCAAACATACCCGAAATAGTTGACCTCGTCGCCTTGCGCACGGTATTTCCCATACAAGGATCTCAAGTTATTCCGGACGACTGTCTCCTCAAAGCCCATGTGATCATTCAAGATGTTCTGGCGGTCGAAGTCGTCGGTAATGGATTGCATGAACACAGGCTTCCAGGGGTAATTCAACGCATTCGTCGATGTGTTGGTTGAATTGGCCTGCGACTTCACTTCGTTGAACAGCTTGAAGATCTGCGGCAAACACGGCTGGTAGATCTCAAGCCCGCTCTCTTCCAGCATATCCACGGGTAACGGGTGCACCCCGCAATGACTCCCCAGGAGACTCTTGAAGGTCAAGCTGCTGCCCGTGACTGCTCCACGGATGTTGATTCCACCCATTCCTTCTTTCGCCGAATCCTGCCATTGGGCGTGGCTCAGGTTGACTTGCTGACCCTTGCTATCCGTTGCACGCTCACCAGTCAGCATCTGTGCGACCGGAGTCAACCGAACCAATTCATCGATCGCCTGGTCTTGTTTGTACTTGCGATGCGAATCGAGAAGAGCGTCGAACATGTAATTGCCCTGCTGCATGGGGAAGACTTCCTTGCGACCACTTTCGAGGGTCAGCAAGACGACATGGTCGACATGCACGGAGTGATCCTTAAAAGCCTTTTGCAGGGGTTCCAACACCTCACCACCCAGATTGGAGATCTTGAGCGGGTCGTTTTTCGGGTCGAAGAGCTTCCCTTGAGGGTTTCCACACGCAGAGGTGTTGTCTTTTCTCAAACGTTCCTCAGGGCTCAGATGCCAACGGCTGAACCCTGCAGGCGGGTTCTGCGGGAGCCACGCCGGTCGCGACCACGGATCGGCGACCGACGAGTTGGTCTGAAACCCAGGCGGAAGACCAAACGGGAAAGGGTTGGCGGCGACAGAACAGCTGTCAACCGTGGCAGACGTTTTGCGAAAGGCGTCCAGCAGCGTCAATGGAAGAGCACCTGAGAGATGGTCATAGGGCACCGAGGGCCGCACGAGTTCTAAAAACAGCAACGACACGCAGGCGGCTGCAGCAACAGTGATGCGTCGCAGCGATTGCGGGTTGGCCGAGGCTACCCAGGCCTTGCTAGAGAATGTGGGGATGCTATGTCGGGCTTCAAGGCTTCCCACGCATAGATCTCGGATCGCCTGCAATCCAAGGCCCGTGAAATTATAAAGCCGCGAATGAACCAGAAATGCCACCAGCCCTAAAGCAGTAGCCGCAGCAGAAACGGTGGTGATGCCGCTCAGCAAGATCTTCATGGCTGCCGGGTCACTCAAGAAACTATTGCTGGCGGCCCAGGCGACCTCGGCGCCTGTCTGCATGAAAAAGCCGAATTGGATGGAGGACGCGCCCCATGTGATTAAGCTGGAGACCGGTCAGTTCAGTTCGAGTTGCACACGGTTGCGTTCTTTTTCGTCCGCTTATCCGGGTCGATGGGAGGAAACATACGAGAGAAACCCCCCGATATATGTTGAAATCCATTGTAGTCGAGTTTCTGGCGACGAAAATTGCAGCAAGAGCCGGGTGACCGCAATGACGACCAAGTCAGGCAGTACCAATGTCGGCGAGAAGAGAATGAAATAAACAAAGGGAAGCGATCGAATATGCAGCGCAATATGCAAGGCCTTGGAGGCCAGGCCGCTCACGACGAGAGCCGCGAAAAGGAATGGCGGTAACGGAGGCAGACAGACGCGTAGCATGGTTAAGTCATGATAAGGTGGAGGGAGCGAAAAGAAAAGAGCAGAAATAAAAACGAAGGGAGGAAGAAAGAATGCGTGACAAAGGTGATTCTTGAGGGTCTTGGGGGGGTTGGAGCCCCGGTGGATCGGGGGGTTTCAAGGGTTCTCTCGCCCAAGCGGGCAGCTGAGCACAAGCTTCTCTTTCTTCCTCTCCCTTTGTGCCTTCACATCTCCGAGTGGACCCTGCATTTCTGAATCAAACCAAAACATCATTTGTTGGTCTCTTGAGACAGCTGACCCATTATACGCGATTACTTCCATCTCCACCGGGCGAGACGCTGTTCATTGCCCCGAATGAGCAAGGAATGTCGACGATCACTCTCCCATTTCTTGTCTCAGCGCGAGATTGATCGTTCAATAATCATTTCACCAAAAAAATCTTTCCCTGCCAAGCCGACGATCTAAGCCTTGTGGATCCTCGCGTCGCCTGCCGACTCAGGGGCTTCTGCGGAGGGACCGGCTATACGTCCGATTCTTCTCTGGGCCGTTGCGGCTACGTCAGACAGCCAAGGATGCCGAGGCCGATAGTCTCTCCTTTTTTACCCTTCATGGAAGGATGGATGCTATAATCAATCGATCCCAACGCACGGTTTGCAGCATTCGTCTCGAAAATCATCGACTCATTAACTTCAAGCTAAAGAATCCGATCCAGATTTAACTTGATTGAATTCGCTGTCAACCTTGAACCCTTTGGACCGTGTCAGTGGTGCATTGGCCCTTGTGTCACTGACATATTCAACCCTGTTTACTCTTTTACAGCTAACAACTCGGGGCCTTCGCAATAGGTTCAAAGTACAGCCTTAGCGCCGATGTTTTTGTCTTTATGTCTCTTTTTTCAACGGGCACGCGCCTGCACCGTCTGCGCGATACCCGAACCAACCTTGGTCCCCAACTGCTCACATCCCTGAACCACGCACGCCATGGCGATCCCCACTCTGCATCTCCCCACTCATCTTGAATTTCCCCTGTAGACGCTCGATTGTGATCTCAATCCCGACGACGATGTCCCTCTTCAACAGCTTGACATACGACCCGGTGCATCTGCCACGTTCCACGGCCCGGGCCTCGCTCCCCCGTGTCCCCCTAATTGACGATGCGGCATGCTGGAGCACGGGGATGTCCTTTTCTGCATGCGCGGCTTGGAGGTATATGGTTCGATTCGGTTGTTTTTAGAATTGTCCCTGTTGGAACTGGGATAGATTCATAGATATTCTCGCTCCTTCGATACTGATAGGCCCTTATATTCTTCAATATCCACATTCCCTTGGGAGTCATCGCCCTCAGTCGTAGTCTATCCGCGGGTCGTGATTGGGACTCTGTGCCGAAGCCCGACGATGTCGATTGCTGGCAAAGAAAACTCACAGCAATAGATGAGAGTTGATAGTAATACCTCTTAGGGCGTTGGTCTATTTCTCGGTGCATCTCGTGTGGTGTCTATAGTCTATAGTAGTTTGGGCGTGCCCTTACTCTGGCTTCAGCCATATTGGAAGATTCTGACCAGACCATACCACGAACACTGCATCAAGGTATGGGACTCGAAGGACGTATGACAATGCACAACCGGGTAATTCGTACGATTCTCGAGGGGGGGGGGGGCGCACTAATCAGAACGATCCGGATCCTGTCCCTGCAAGCATGAGACTCGGTGACACCACGATTGTGACAGGACTCGGAGCTCAATTGGGTTCAAGTCACATGAATTCTCGGTGTCTTGGTGGAAATTCAGGAGTAAAGAGAGGAAAGCCCATTTTATTTAAGGGAATTTGCATGTGGATTTCGTAGTCGAGGGTGAATCCGTCTCGATGGTGATGGAATCAGTCGCAGCTTAATACAAGCTTACGATGAAACAGGAATTAGTATAAATGCATAAATACCCCGACTAAAGAATAGCTCAAGAGACCTCTGGGCTTTCCAAAATCTTGCCACAAGAGCTGACTGAGTATGAGTAGAGATATTGCAATCAGATATTGTACAAAGAGTATACTCCCACCCCTAGAACCCGAAGCCATCAACGGAGTTTTGTATACACACCCAAGACACCAAGAAATAAAAGAAACAGAGCAAAGGGAAATCGCTATGCTATATCAACAAAGCCCACCAACTCTAAGACCCGTGCCCAATCATACCCGCGACACCAAGCCCTCCATCCCCAACCGATCCATAACCCCCGGCTGAAGACGCAGAATATTCTCAATCTCCGCGCGCGGCATCTTCTGTCGATCGCGCATCGTCAGCGCCTGCTGGAGCGTCAGCGCATCGACGAACCGTCGGCCATTAAAGCTCTGGCGCCCAAGTTGGTCAGACTCTTCGGCGACAGCCTTGGCCACTCGCTGGCGCGCGGTCATGACGAGGAGTGCGGGGTTGGAGGACTGCGGGAAGATGGTCTGCATGGATCCTGGGCGGTTGAAGGTGCTGGAGTTGGAGTGTGTGGGCGAGGGGTTGACGGGGCCGATGGAGCGGAGGGAGGCGGCGAAGTCGGGGTCGCGGCCGTCGAGGTCGATTGCTATAGATTGGGTTGTATTGTTAGTCTGTTTGAAGTATGCTTCAAACCTTGATAAGGTGCATGATTTGAGCTGTTGTTCTTGTTCCTTGATCCCCGACTCGGGCGAGGAACAGTAGATGGGCTGGGCTATGCTTACCACTAGATTTCACTTGCGATGCCTGCTCTGAGCTGTGATATATCGGTCCTTGGGACATGGTGGCGGGCGCAGGAGCTGGTGCTTGAGAAGGGGATGGAGGCGTGGGCGTAGATGTCGGAGAGGGCGCTTTTGTTGCTTTGGGTGCCGGCGCCGGTTCCCTTGGAGGAGGCGGAGGCTGTTTAGGGTATTGGCGGCGCGAAGCTGCGCCTGCAGCAGATCTCGCAGGCTTCGAAGCAGCGGAGCCCATGGCGAATTAACAGAGAAGAGGATGTTGAAGTGAGAGATGTTTTGGCGGCGTCGGGGAAAAACTACGGTTCGACTTGGCGATCTTTGCGCGCAGCCACTAAGGTGACGTCAAAATATAATCCTCCATTAGTGTTTCAACTTCGTCTGAAAGTTGTTTTTGATGGATAGATAACTATTACTATTGATGTAAGGCCTTCTAGACCTATCGTATTTTTCCCTAGCAACGGGGGTTGTGGTGTGTAAAGGGCGTGGCCCAGGGCAAACACGCCAGTACTTCGACGCGAGACGAACCTACCCATTTTGACACCAACATTCGTTCCATACTATCGTACGTTGGCTCATGTTGATCGCAATGCCTACAAGTACGAGTATTACTCTTCAAGACTCAATTTTGCTCGAACAGAGCGGATATCATAGCTAAGATACAGTACCACTAGAGCGTTAGCGGGCGCTTCGTCGGTAGCGACACGCCAACGTGCTGGAAGGTAGGGACATCGAGGTATAAACCCATTCCAGGCATTTAACGGAGACTGGCCAGACGGCGGCTCTGCACCTCACCCAGGGCACGGCTGCCGCTCACGAATGCGACCGCACCGACGGCGGCGGCCGCGGGCAGGGTCTGGAACAAGTTCCAAGTAGTATAGTAGAGGAAGAAAACGCCCTCGAACGAGACGAGAGACGCAAGGAAGACGGCATGGGGGAGAGGAGACGACTTGAAAGCGGTGGACAGGTGGTTGACGTTGGTGCCGAGGAAGAGCCACTATATGATGAAAGCTGTTAGCTAGCGCACGACCACTGTCGGCATCCGAACAAAGTCTTACCAAACCAGCCAGAAGCGGAAGAGCAGCGCCGACCAGACCCACAAAAGCCAGAGTAATGATTACGGCCGGGCTTGAGGGGTCGTCTCTGAAGATGTGGTGGATCTCGGGCAGTTTGCCATATCGTGCGGGCTCGATGGTCGGCACGGCCTCGTCGGGGTTGCGGGCGATCGAAAGCTTGAACGCAGACTTGTCATATGCTTCGGAGGTGCCCAAAGAACCAATCACCACACGCGCATCAACCGGGTCCGACAGGGAGAGGAATTGGATTGGGAGGTTCTTTTGGGTCTGGAGAAGAGATATTGTGAGCTGCGCTCCGGGCAGCACTCCCAAGGTGTACATACCAATTCCACTCTCGACTTGCCACTTTCTTTGACAGTAAAGGGATAGGAAATGTCCAGTCCAGTCTGGTCATCCTTCAGCAGGAGGAAAGCCTGGTGTGGCCGCTTTGGGGAGCTTCCTTCCTGCGTTGTCAACGTGACGCGCAAGGTGTCGACGGTGGCTAGCGAGATGGGCTTGGACAGCGGCTTGGAAGCAGAGAGTCTATCGCAATCCCAAATTAGCTTGAGAACACCCGAATTGACTAGGATATGCATACTCTTCCTTGAGTCCGCTGTTGACACCGGCGCCCTTGGATTGAACGGCCACCGTGGCATCAGTAAAGCCCCAAGCAGACGCAGCCGCCGCGGGCAGGGCAGCCGAAGCCAGGAGGCAGAAAGGAACAGTGGCCTGCCACAGATGCATATTGAAAAGAAACAATAGGGAAATCCACAATCCACAATGGCCTGAGCTTGACGGAGGTTGGGGTTTGGGAGAGTAGCAGAATAAAGGCGGACAGGGAAGCCGATAAGCGCCGATCGACTTAGCCCTAATTTCTTTCCTGCTCGACCTCAACTCTTGCGATTCCGAGTTCCCTTGCAGCGGCTCCACGTCGGGACTAAAACCCTTCAATTGTCGTTTTTCAGCAGTGCCTTCGGGTACTGTGGCTTTGATCTGGTGAGTCCTTGTGCTGTCAACCCTGGCCCTAAATGCCCTTCCCCTTCCATGGCACGGCGGAATTTCTGACGTCGGCCCTGGTTTCGCCGTGGGCTTCTTCACGCCTCCGTTCGTTGATTGGATTTGATGAATGCCTTGGAATTTATTCATTCTATTCATCTTAGGGCTTGTTGCCTTTAAACCCTTTCATTTTCCCACGAATAAACAACTGACAATTCCGCGTACTTCCAGACGACTAATCATGCCCCCCAAAAAGGGCCGCAAATCCATGCCAGCGCACATCAACGCTTCCACTTTAACTCCCTCCCGACGGTCACCTCGAGTTCCTCCTTCAAGCAAAAGCATCACAGAGAGTGCTCAATCCTCCAAAACCCTAGCCATGCCTGCCGCAACTCCATCCGAGAACACCAGCAACTTCCGCTACTACAACCCTAATTCCCCTTCAACCAGTCACCGATCCCGCCCCTCAACACCAGAAGCCCCCTCCACACGTCGACGAGCCTTTCAGTCACGGCCTTCACGTCTCTCCACGGTACACACACCTGCCGCGGACACACCGAGTTCCAGTCAAGGTAGCCGAATGACACGGCGAATGACGGCTCTCGAAACCCCCAACAACCAACTGTCAGACAACGAGATCCCAGACAGCGTGGAAACCACAAGCTGGTCATACAATCAGTACATGGGCGATTTGGGACTCAACGGAACAACGGACGATCCCACATCACCTACTAGTGCCTCTTCGCTTGGGACCAGATCAGCCCGGGTCCGCAAGCCCACTATGCGAGCAATGGAGGCATTGGAATCTGGGCAGAAGAAGGCCCGTGTCAAACGCTCCCGACTTTCCAGTCCATCCAAGGACACCATGCAGCGAATGGCCTCGGCTAGGGCTGCGAAGAACGCCAAAAATGCGAGACGATCAAAGAAAACGAAGAATCTGGACAAAGCGCAGAAGCCTGTCCGCAAAGGCGCCAACATCAATGTGGATGTGGCTGGAAAGAAGATGTACGAGCTGGTCGTTCTTGCCCTGACCTCCGATATTGAGCTCCCTTCGGCCCCGACCCAATTTTTCGCGGAGAAACGGAGCGAATTCGAGCGACAGCAGCTTGAGGCTCTTAACAACGATGACCCAACCTCAGGAGATGTGGAAATGAATGAAGGAGTGGCTGACAACGTGCCCGAAGAAGTAGCTGAAGAAGTAGCCGAAGAAGTTGACAGCACGGGTACGCACGCCTTCCAGAAATACGCCAAAAAGTCATCTCCCCAGATTGATGCCGATGGCTGGACTCACACTGGTCGCGTCAATGAACACGGCGAAGAGATTGTCTTGATGCCGCCGCACCACAACCCGTATCGCTCACCCCACACCTACGTCGACGAGAACCTTCCTATGCCACCCGTGCGAGCCCGATCGGACTTGCAGGCCCAACGTGATGATGCTATGGGATACCCGCCACTCCTGGGCGACCGCAACATTCCATTCGATGTGCAGTCGCAGTTCTTGTGCGAGGACGTGTCTGAACAAAAGACACGGGCGCAGGTCCGCGACGAGGCCCGACGAAACCGAGCAAGGTCGATCGATACCCCCGCCATCACCAAAAAGCCGCGCGCCCGTAAGCGTCGTCTGGCAGAGTCAGCCACCGCCGAGGTGGATGCCGCCCCTCCCCACCGCAATGCCAACCAGAATGGCGATTGCAAGTCCAAGAGACGTCGTCACACTGAGCCGGAACCAACTGCAACTTCTGTCACCACCCCTTCTCCCAAGACCTCGACCACCAAAGCCGCCAAGAAGGCGAAGCAGTCGGAACAGGCGCAGGTGACCCCTGGGGAAGACAAGAAGCCGAAGGTGCAGCGGCTTCGTTTGACTCTGAAGCCAGCCGACGATGAGCCTGAGGCCCCGACCGAGGAACCTCCAGCCAAGAAACCCTTGGCTGTCACCAAGGCCAAGAAGCGCGGCGCCGTCATGGAGAACGAGGCCGAGCCCAAGCGACAGCGTGTCGCCTTCAAGCCCGAGGCAGAAGGCCCGGTACCCAATCATCGCCAGCGCGCAGCAACCACGACGCCGACCGGGGCCAAGGGCAAGAAGCAAGAGGCAGACGCCGCTGTTGAGCCGAAGAAAGCGCTCAACTCAGAGAAGAAGCCAGCTTCGGCAAAGGGGGACAAGGGGCAGAAGTCAGGTGAAAGGAAAGCCAACGGCAAAGCCGACGCCTCACCCAAGCGTCGACAGGGAGTGTCTAAGCCTGCGACCCCCAACCCCGAGTCGGATGCGGTGGCCAAGGGACGTGGTCGTGCCTCGTCTGTCCCCACGGGACGTCGAGGCCGACGAGCCAACTAAACGGCAACTGTGGGAGGCTTTTTGGAGATCACGACGGATCTCCATTTCTCAATTCATGCCAATGTCCGATTACGAGTTTCTTTTGTTTGGTAATCAGCAAGCACGGGAAGGGCAATCATGAAATCCCGATCGCATAGCGTGGTGTTTGAGTCCCGGGCTGCTCTTTGTTTACTCGGAATTTCCGCTTTGTCTGCTTTTATTCTTACTTTACTTTTCATCCCGTATTGTGATACCAACCCATATTGCTCGTTGTTCTTGCATTAGCTTATGACTGTAAGGATGTTACTATCTGTGATCTTGCTGTAGAGGACTTCATTATTGTATTTCTGGTATGGATGCTGAAGTTGTGCGGATCTTGAGCCCTAATTTCTTTTGCGGATTCTTTTCACTCCCCCACCTTAACTAGGTATATCTAGGGTTTCTATGTTTAAAATATCTGACCTTCGCCTCGCTTAGGCGGCTTTGAAAGATATAGTAGGGAACAAAAATGATATTTAAAAGGCTTATTAAGTAAATTCTATTCTATTTATAGGGTTTAATTCTTTATTAAATATATAGATAGCTATTTTACTACTACTACTACTACTACTATTATTTTATTTAATTTCTCTCTTTATTTTCTAATCTATTTTCTAGTCCATTTTCTAGTCCTGTTTTAATCTTTTTTTTATGTCTCTACTTTCTACTTTCTTTCTTTCTTTTCAAACAAAGATTTACGACTGTACCGGCTATAGAGGGTCATAAGAGTGAATCACGTACGGGGTAACGAAGTCGAATCCCCCAGTTTTCTGCAACCCACTTCCCATCTTATATTATTAAATATCGTGAGGTGTTAGGTATTGTAGTGAACTCTCGCAATTTTGATTGATTGGCATTCTAAGCTAACTAACAAAAGAAGACTATGAAAATCGGACTTCGGTTGCTCCAGTTACCGCACGAATGTCGTTGAAGAGGTCTTCGACGTGGGTGAAATAAGCAATGTGGTCGAACTCCAAGCCCCCGAACATCAACCCAAGCACCCCTCCACCCCGTGTAAATACGAAGGAGCCTGAGTCCCCTCGGAGTGCAAAAGGTTTGCCCTCAATTCCCATGATTTGGTGCTCAAGTGTCGGTACCTTGACCTCCTCGTCCTTATCATTGAGGACGGTTGCGATGCGAGCAACCCTGAGGCCATTGAAAACACCCTCAGACTTTCCAGAGCGATACCCCTTCATAAAGATTCCGCGCCCATGGAGGTCTATCCGAGTTTCAGGCGTGCTCAAAAATCCGAGGCCATCGACCTGTGCAACATTAGTCTGGCAAAACATACTATCGGGCAGGAACAGGGGAAGAGTTCTTACAGAATTAGAGCCTTTACGATCATCACGAACTCGGATCAAGGCCCAGTCCATGTTGGTCAGGTCTGGGTCATCCTGCACTGTCTTTTGATCCTGGACCAATTGGGAACGTATAACTTTGTAGCCGGACGCAGCAGCCACATGGCCAAGAATCTGCTCAGGGTGATCACGAAAGTCCCAGATATCCTGTTGGAAACTGCGAGAAGCCGCGATCTCCTCCTTTAAAAGGTGGTAGTTGTTTTGGCCAATTTCGCTCAGCTCGGTCAACAATCCATCCGGCTCTAGCAAGGCGCCTTTTTGGTACAGCGGCTCATCTTCAACCGACTTGATGCGATCTTGAAGTTTTTCGAGCTCTTCATCAATGCCACGCCCACTCGGGTGGTTGACTTGTAGATATAGTTTGGCGACCGGGTCATCCGCTCTCACGCCATTTCGTATCCAAGCCATCATTTCTAAAACGGATAGTTAGTCATTAATAACAGACAAGAATCGCAGGCTGACAGCACTGACGAGAACGATATGTGGCATCAATGTCTTTGGACTCAAGGTCTTCCTTGCTGGGGATAACACAATGGAAGCATGTGATTGCAAATTGTACCCAATCGCCCCTGACTGGATTCTTCAGCTCGAGAAATCCTCCAAGACTTCCGCTTCTCTTGTTGTCCTGGGCAAGAGCAAGGCTCTCACCAATTATGGCAGGCCCGCGGAGAACAGCACGGCTGAGTCCAGTATTTTTGGTCCAACCCGTCCCCATCCATTCTTCATCTTTGCTGATTTCCACGGCCACCATAGACAGATTGTATCGATCAAGAATACCGACGATCAGCTCTCGAGTAGGTTTCCAGTCTCGGATGCTGGTTGTGTCGACAATGACAAGAACGGTTGGGGGGTTATCCATTATTTCCTGGCTTCTCCCTCGTCGGTAGCACCCTACCATCTTCATGCCAGTGAGGTCGAGCTCCTCCAGCATGGTTTTGAGAAAAGAGTCCCAGAATGAAAAGATCGAATCTGTTTTCAGAACGGGAAACATCTTCGGTGGGTTGAAGACTTCAGGATCGGCGATCTCCACAGAAACATTCTGAATATCGTGTGCAACCAAGTAAGAATGGATGTCTTTGGCTGCCTCCAGCCATTTCCGGTCCACTGTTTCGCGATTTGCATAAACCAAGGCAGTTGGAGTAGGACTGGCTTCCGGGTTGAAACGAGACTTTCGTCCAACGAAGTTGACCATCCGTGGGCGAATCTCATGCTTGGCGAGGATCGTGTAGACTTGGTCGTGGATCGGGCGGCTTCTGGAGCCCATGAGTCTCTCGAACAAGGAATGGGATTCGGGAAATGCGAAAGTTTCGGTCGGGATCGAGCACAGGTATGGTCCGCCAACTCGGAGGTCCTCGTTGGTGAAACCGTCGAAGGTGATTTTTCCTTCGTCATCACTCGATCCTCGATTCCGTCTCCTCCGACCATCTCTGTTTAGGTTTCCAGATTCGTCACTGTAAGCTCTTGGTCGGTGACGTTTGCGGCTGTGGCGCTCAAGGCTCTCTTCATCTGCTCCCTGACGTTTAACCACCGTAGGTGAGGCGTAAGTGAGCTCGAAATCCGAGCCTCGCGACTTGGTCCGAGTCAAGGATGTTGCCATTTTTGTTGCAACAGAGCAATAGAAGTCAGGAAACGAAGAGGAAGAAAGAAGGGAGTTAAGGTCAAGAGAAAGAGAAGGAAACAGAAAAGAGGAGATGGAATAGAGAGAGAAAGAACAAAAGTGAACAAGGAGACAAGGAGAGAAAGAGTTATTGATGACAGTGAGGTAGAGCTTGACTAAAGTCTAACGTCAAAGATAAATGGTGAGGCGATAAGTGCACAAGAGGACAAGAAAGATGGTGAGGGTAGAAAGAAGAAGAAGAAGGCAGGAGTCAACAAGAAGCTTTATATAGCCTTTGGGACGGAGTTTGCCAGGGTAGCAAATAGAAAGTATAACGCTCCTTCACTTATTCAAGAAAGGCTTAGTATCTATAGCCGCATCCTAATTAAGAAGACTTGATTATAACTAATAGCGAAGTTGTATTAAGTTCTAGTTCTATAATTTCAATCTTAGCAAACTTAATAAGGGATACCGATTAAGTGTATTTACTATTTTTAAACATCTTTCTACCCCTTATTCCAAACAGTATTTTGCCTCAGGCATCAAAAGATACAATCAGGCACCCACCCGATATCTCCACTTGGCGTCTTTGCCTCCGTCTTTTCCATTTCCATCGGACTATGTAACTCCACGCTCAATTCCTTTTCTCTTCAACTAAACTCAAAACATGCCTTCTAAAACCCCCAACCTCTTTTCCCACAAGAACTTCCGCGTCGTGGATCCAAACAATATGCCCGAGCGCCCAGCACCACAGCCGCAACGACAGCCACCACGCGCAGCCCAGGGACAGCCAGATATCCGGCAGACGAAGCAGTACAAAGTTGCGGCGCGGCGGTAAGTATCCGTTTTTTTTTTTTTTTTTTTAATTCTGCTCCTATACCACTCCTTCTATATTCAAAGTTTTAACCCGGATGTTTGACTTGATATGCATTCTATTCGGTGATTATTTGAGCTAACCTATGTCTAGGTGGACCTCAATGATGGTGGGGTTGCCGGTTTTGATGTATACTTCCTACATGCTCTATGAACGAGGTTCGTCCTGTCATTTCGGTCCCCTGTGGGTGGGCCACCAGGGTATTAACTTGTCCTCCCTAGTGTATGGTGAGAAGAGTCCCAGACGACTAGGAGAGCGAGAGCAACGGCAGGAACCTTCTTCCTAGAACAAGAAAAGGATGGCACTAAATGTATGATAAAGAGCGATTTCATGTATCGCAGATGCGAGAAACTATGTCCCAAACTTAAGACCATTTTGTTAAATGAGAGCCCCATGCTATATATAAGTACCTGAATTCCGAAAATGTAGAGCAAAAGGAGAAAGGAAGTTAACTTGTACCTTTCGCAATAATAAATAGCTTTCGCATAAGAATAGAGACCATGTATATCCTGATAATGATGCCCGAAAAAATTTCAATTCAATAGATACATAGATAGCTTCCTAGTCTGATTTATCATCCGGAGTGCAGCCGTGGCCATCACAAATGGCCTTTTCATTCTGACAAGTGTACGCGTCATTATCCTCCCCACACATGAGCGGTTCCAGCGATTGTTCAAGCCCGCCAATTCCTTGGTATTCTAGGAGGCACCAGTTATCGCCTTCATGCCATGGGTTGTTGGTGGGGATGCCGTTTGAACTACTTTGGGGGTCGCAGCTTGACCAGCACTGGCGAGGGTGTTGGTTTGTAGAGCAGGCCTTCGCAACCGCATCTCGCTTCACTAGAGGGCCTATAAATCGCAGAAAGAAGACATTGGTTAGAGACATAACAAGAATAGGGGGTGTTGGGGGAGGGGGGCGTCGCTTACCAGGAACGGCGACAACGCAGGTGGCTGCCATCATGGCGAGGAGGATATTCGTGGTGAATTGCATCTTTGCTGAGGATAAAAAACAAGAGCACAATCAACGGATTTGAAGATGGGTTTTATTTTGTTTGTAGATGGGATGGGGGGAAAGCAAATCAATCAACAAGCAAAGCGACGAGTCAATATATATACACAAAAGCCCTTACGGTCCCCTCAAAATGCGCCTAACCATCAATTTATCTCCGTCGCGAAACTGACTCGCTGGTGCCTTCCTGCCGCTATATCGATTGACCAGGTCGTATTTACTGACTCGTAGGGGAGTCGATCTCCTACCGCAATGGGGGTTGGGCCCCCAAAATCAAAACTGTCAGTAATAAGCCGCCCCTAACTAACGTGCCCAGGGGCCAGAACAAAGAGATGGCCCGGGAGTCTATCCATGAGTGGGAAGGGATAGGGGTATAAGAAGTCGGTGACACAATGGTCATTGGAATGAATGGAGAGCGCAATTTTATGTGGTGAAGCAGGCACTAATTTGAAATAAATTGAGTGAAGAGAAGGCTACAGGAGATAATTATATCACTCACTATTATTTTCTTACCCTTTGCTTGAGATGGTATCAAAAATTGAACAAATTTCTATATCTTGATACACCTGAACTGTTGCTATATCTATAAACCAAGACCTAGGATCTCATCCTTCCCAAGCATTGTCCACCGCAACACCAAACTTTCAAAGTCACCAGGGGGTACAGCATTCTCTTTTGATGCATGTTCCAGAGCTAGTGGCGCTGGAGGCAAAACCGACATAGACGACGGTGTCTGGGCTATCTTGTCAGCGAGGACATCAACATAACGGTCTTTTCGTCTAGCCCGGCCACTTCCGCGTCTGCGAACCGGGGGACCATCCAATAACAGATGATCGATTTGGTCTGCATGACTCAGTGACTCTTCAGACCGAGAATGATTCGTTGAACCACTGGCCGGAAGCAAGGCAGTCGAGCCAGTGGCAGCAGATTGGTGTCTGTTATAAAAGGCACTCGATGGCACGTTGATGCAGGACACTTTCGGCTCTGAAATGGGCATTGGGTATGAACTTCGACAGGGGCGACCAGAACCCTTGGGAGGGGGAACAAGACCTGGAGCAGGACGAGAAGACGGACGGGGAGGAGGCGGCGGTACATAAGGCACGTCCTTTTTCCTGGCCCACTTCTGTAGCTCGTGGTCGTAGTAAAATAAGCTCTCCTGGCCAAGCTTGGCTTTTATAGGCCCACTAGCGGTGTCGGTATTTGTCCTGTTGCTTCCGAGCCAGCCGGCGAATTCCCACGATCTTTTGCTTTGTCGGGCTATAAGAGAAGTCAGGGGAGACTGTGACTCGAGAGTGTCCAGGGAGCTTTACCATCTGCCTCGGCGGCCTTTATGAATGCCTCGTCTGCTTCGCGTGCCCTCTGATCGGCTGCAGCTTTGGCCCAGCGACGATAATTATCATTGTCTTCGGATGAACTGTCGTCAATCGCTTCTACTGTTGGCTTTTTGGTCTCCGGAAAGCCAATGCTCACGGGTTCGCTCCATGTCGGCGGCTTTTGAGAATGAATTCCAGAAGGAGGCGGAGGAGCGTTGGAGACCGGTTCTCTGCCCAGGTCAGTATTCCACATATTAAGCCAGCGATGAAATCCCACATGATGGAGAAAAAGTGAACGCACTCAAAAAGTGAAGCATCAAAGCGCCCAAGAACCGAGTTCCCATGCGTGAGCTGAAACCGGACAACCTCGGTATCATGAATGCCCAACACGCCTTTCTTGATTCTGCTATGGCGGCTGGTTTCCAGCTTGGATTTACAAGAATCGACTTCATGGACCATTTTCTGGATCAGCACATTGTACTCCCCGAGCTCGTCGAGCTCCTCCGAATCCTGCTTTTGCGGGAGTGGCGTCTCATTCAACGTAGAGCCTGTGGATGTTTTCGAAAGCTGACTGCTGTTATCAGTCTGCGCCCTCGTTCCAAACTCGGTTGGTTGAGGTGACGGCGACTCGTCTTTTTGCTTTTCTTCCAAGAGTCTCTCTATCAAAGTGCGCTGTTCATGAAGCATTGTTGGGACATGGCTACTGTTTCACATTAAAAAAAGAAACAAAGAAGGGAAATGAAAAACACGGGAATATAACTTACTTGCGCACTTGCCCAGCATACATAATAACATTCAGCAAGAGCAGCATAGCCGACTTGAGCCTCTCCAGATTTTGCTTCAAGAGATCCAAATCAGTCTCGATCAACACATTGCGAAAAGAGTCCGCTGCCTGCTGCAAACGAGACTTTTTCGGCAGATCCGTATGTCTAATCATATCCTGAATCTGTCGAAGCACCTCCTCGCACTGAGTGAGGATGTGGCGTGCAGTACGAAACGCCTCTTCCGAACAAAGCTTGGATTGCTCATCAGACGCCAAGCTCTCGCCTAGCTCACGGAGAATGGCACATGTCAGAGCAACATCGCTGGACAGGTTCTGAATAGATTGCGAGGCGTTTTTCATGCGTCGGTAGGAGGAGAACAGCTTGACGGATAGTTTTGTGCCCAGGTCTGCGATCTGGATGATCCCCGCTGCGATGCCAACGGCCTCGAGTCCGGACATGGCGCTGTCTTTGAACTATATGAATGTTTGAAGCGATTTACACAGAGACAGAGTGCAGGACATGAGGCTGAAGTTGGGTGTTGTGGCTGTGTCTTGTGTGCGCTTAGATGTTGATCATGGTGGGGTTGGCTGTGGACATGATCATTGTTTGGCATTTTTACTCAAATGGCATCAAATACTTTGATTAATCTTATAATTTGCTAAAACGAAAAAGAAATTAAACGATACAAATAGTATCCCCCAGTGCCGGAATAGTATCACTATAAATGCTGAGAGTTAAGGCCTTCATCCCATCTCTATAGTAAAGAACAGGCTAATGATATAACTATATATTTGAAACTTATTTATTGGAACTTTGTATCTTAACAATAGCAGCAGTTTCTGCAGGAAGACAGAATCCAGATAGCATTAAGTATACGGCCGTTGTCTTTCCAGTGGACTCTCTAACTCATTCACCTCATTCCTGCCACTCAACTCACTAACCGCAGTCCCATTGCTCAGCTCAACGACACGATAGCCCTCTGGAAGCTCAGCCACGAGCGTGCCACCAGGCGGTTGAGGACCCGGATTTATAGATGATTCCGTCATGGACGTCGACGGCTTCTCCCGCTCTTTAAAGGGGCCTAAACCAGGACCCGGCATTGCTGGCGGTGCATATCCCATGCTTCCACCCGCAGCAGCTTTTTGTTCTTGATGGCATCGACCAAACCAGTACAAGGCACTTCCGATGATCGCAACACCCCCGACGACACCAATCACGATTCCCGCAATTGCGCCCCCAGAGAGCGAGGATTTAGAAGAGGAGGACGAAGAAGGGCTCGATGTAGACGATGTCGCAGATTCACTACTCGTCGTCGTAGTAGTAGTTGGAGTCTGGTCCGACGACACAGTTGTAGTCAACGAAGGCGTATCATCAACCTTGAACGACCGAATAGGTTCCGATGCGTTTTTCCCAAGCCAATGCGTTGCCCGTCCCCCGGGAGTACCGGCGCAGTCGCTGTTCCCGTACAGGTAAATGGTGAAGGGCTCTTCTTCGGCGTCCCATTCGAACTGTTTACCTTGCGGGTTGTGGATCTGCTTGCAGGGCTGGCTGTGGTGGCCATCTTCGACGGCGGGGACGTTGGTTGCGTTTCTCCAGACGAATGTCCATGCGTGTGTTGGTGGTATTAAGGAGAAGAAGGTGAGGGCATGGAATGCCAGGAATACTAGCTGTAGCCGCCTCATGAGTGGTGAGTATAGGAGGGAATCCATTATATCTTTTAATGTCAACTCCAGGGAAGGGAGGTGTGAATGTGAATAATATTCGCGATCTCGATTTTTTTTCCCCTAAATTCTTCCCAAGAACTGTCCAAAGCCGCCTCGTATTCTGACAGCCAACTGCCATCCTTGCATGCTCTGATCATTGCTTGTCCTGGCAATAGATCAGCAGTCACTTTCTCGGATCCTCCCATTCTGGCACTCCGTAAACTCTCAATTGGACTGGGCTGAGTGGACTGGACTTAAAAAAGTGGGTGAGAGTGATTATCAGTCGATTGTCTCTCTGGACTTGTTGCAGGCTGCCGAGAATATCATGACGAGTTGTATGCCTTTGACCATTGCCTAATATACCCGGTGAATACGAGTTTCTGTACAACGAGGTTAATGTCCTTGTTATAAAATTAAGGCAGCCACCCGGGAGACTGGTTAAGAAAGGCGGTAAATTCTGGCTGGCTTCGAAAGGCAAATGTGTGGAAGAGAGAACCCTAGCCAAGCATGTTAGGTGGCGCCCAGAATTACAATGTGCCAACATCCTTGCAACGACCCTCGTGTTGACGTGCCAAGACAGGATGCTCGCCCATATACGAAGAAAAGACTTTTGTGGCTGATGGATATCTGCCCAGAGAGAATCAATTATCTGGGGAAAAGGTTTATATCTGCGAGGGTGTATATGTCAATGAGCCACACGGTTGGTGGATCACCCCTGGGGGATATCACATCTCTACAGGTAGCCTGTGCTTCTAAATGTCTTTGCAGATGCAAGTTTGTCACTAATGGGTCTGACCTTCTCTTGAATAAGAGTAAATAGGCATTGTCAGTCATCACATTGCATTGGTTGCAGACCGGCTCTAAAATATCCATAGCTACCTTCGTCCCAGGGACATTTTCACATCTAGAATAATCCCAAACCACCCATATCTTGCCAGTGCTGGGATGAAAGTAGAGGCAGCAGCAGCAAATTGACAACATGTATACAATCCAAATGGTGGTATCCGGAAGAAAACCAAAAAAGAAATAATATGAATCAGAAAGTAAACATGAGACCATATCGTCATGCAGAATCATAGCTCACTAAGACCAAGCTCACTCAAAAGCCGTCCAATGCCGCTTTACCCGGCTACGCCCTGTATCGGAACGTGGTGATCGCCTGACCCCGCCGACGGCGGAGGAATGGTCGCTGTGCCGCTGCCGACACTAGAGGGCTTGCCACTACGTTCACGCATGCGACGGCCCTCCATCAGACCACGCAGACCACGCTTCTGAAGACCAATGACGCTGCTCAGATCCCCGGTCCAGATCTCACGGTGCGGACGGCGCAATTCGGCCTCAGTATCGCAGCGCTGGTGACCGGAGCGGGACCGCGAACTGCCCTCGTCGCCGCTGACGAATTCCGAGTCGGACTGGCTAAAGCTCGCGCTGGAGGCCGAGGTTGCTGTGCTGGCGTTGCTGATGGAATCCTCGCGATCGCGTTGTGCGCTGCGCTGGCGGGCCTGCTCTTGCGACAACGAAGTGTCGATGCGGAGAGATGGGAGGCCACGTGCAAAGTTCGTGAGATCACCTGTGCTGCTGGCCGCAGAGCGTGATACCCCGCCGTGCTCTGTGTCGGATGAGTCGGAGGCTATGAGCTCACTGTGGTAGGATGCAGCGCCCTCTGCGACGGCTGGTGCAGAACCATTCCGGAGCGCGTTACCATTCAGAGCTTCTAGCGTGCCACCCAGTCCGCTGGTGAATCCGGTGCCGCGGCCCCCGCCGGCGGCCATCGCGGCTGCATTGAACACAGCGGCGGCATTGCGCCCATCAAGAACCTGGTGAAGTCGCTCCACGGTCGCCTCCAGCAGCCCACTCACCTGGTACGGGCGTGCAAGTTGGAGAAGAGAGCAGAGGATTTGCGGTGTACACAGAGAGGAGCCTGCTGGGGGCAGGGCAGAGGTGTAGAGGAATTGCACGAACACTTGGAGAGTGAGGATGGTGTGCGGGAGGTACAACACGCGCGGTCGGGAGGTTGGCGTCAAGCTGTGGGCGGAGGGAGATTCCAGGTTCTCGAGCAAGGACTTGGAGGGGACAGAAGGGTTGACAAGGGTTGTCGCATTGGAGTAGGTGCTGTTGTGCCCGATCGATGGGGTAATGGTGATGCTCGAGTTGCGGCTGGGATGCATTTGCGACGGGCGAAGGGTTGCGGCTTCCGTGGCGTCTCCTTCCGACGATTCGCGTAGGAGTTGGATGAAATAAGGACCCCAGCGCCGGGTGAGAAGACGGGAGTTGACAGGTATGCGCTCTCCTCCCACAGCCTGCAACTCCATGTCGGCCATCTCCGGCAAAGTCAGCGCAAGCTTGCCGAGCTCATTCGACGCGGAAGATAACGGCCGCCCACCCGAGGTTAATTGGAACAGCTTTTGCTGCAACGACGCAGGCACACATGGCGCACTGTTCGATTTATATCCCGACGTTGATGACGTGTGGCATGAGTTGTTGTAGAGCCCAAAGGCCTCCAGTTCTACCAGGCACACGTGCGAGAAGTTGATCCGACGATGGTTATAGTCATCAACCAGGCTTCGCTTCCGATGTCCCAGAATGACAAAGGTATTGCGGCGAGGCCAAAGAACCCCGCGATTCCAACTCCCATGGCCAAAGACCGAGCCGCCGGCATCAATACGACCCCAGGCCAATGTCTTCAGGTCGAGGGCCCAAAGTGCATACTCCTGCTTCGAGGAGGTCAGGTACGTACCACTCACAACGAAGTGGCCGTTGGTAATACCGCCATTAGGAAACCTCAGACCAGGTGGGGAGGCCTGGCTCTGCATTGGTCGCTCAACAAGACGCCCGTCCGGCAGGCGTACCTGCAGTTCCAGCTTGACATCCAGGAAGTTATAGTTAGAGTAGATGAGCATGGGACAACCTGGCGACTCGGAACGCTCGATTGGTTGGTGTGATTCCCGGTCTGGGGCGGCAGAGCCAATTTCAGAGACATCCATATCCACCAGCGGCGAGACGACACTGCGGTACGCGCCACAGCTCCGTCCCAGAGGGCTAGTGTTGGTCCACTTGAGACTGCGGAGGTTGAACACGCTGATCTGTTCAATATAATGATTGGAGCTGTCCTGACCACCAACGACCACCATCTCTGCACCACCAAAACCATCAATGTCCACACCAATCGAGCCTTGGTGGGGGTTGGTGGACGCGGGGTTGTGATGGATGGCTGACAGCGGTGCACTGGCTGATGTGAAGCAGGCCCTTGACGGAAGTATGGTCGCGCAGTGTGCATATCGCCCTTGCGGAGACTCATGTGCTGAGACCCGCGTCCATGCCCGCGATGGAACGTCGAAGATGTGAATGTCCGACATGACCACAACTTCCGACTGGGATTCTGATGTGGACGCCGTAGGGTTCGCCGGGTCTTTGGGGGAGCTGGGTACAGGCGACATGCCTCCGTAGCAGACGAGCTTGTTGTCCCCCAGGGCACACATGCTGTGGAAGTAGCGTGGCGGTGGCACATCTCCGCCGGCCTCGATCTTAGTCCAATGCCGCCGGATCAGGTCCAACTCGTACAGATCCGACGTTAACTTCGGGCGACTGCGTGAGAGGACCCGACCTCCGTAGACATAGAGCCTGTCGCCCAAAATTGTCGTGGTGGCTCCCACGAGAGGGTGTGGCTCCTTGCCGGTTGTGCGGCGCACATTGCACACCAATCCTGAGAGGTTGATAGGCCCGGACGCCGGTTGTTGGTGGAGTGATGGAGACACGCCCGCGGCCGAGGGATCCTGGTTCGCATCCATATACCCCAGACTAGACTGACTCCTCGACATTATGGCGAGGGGGGGCCGAGTTCCTTCCCGCTCTCACTGAAACCCGGTGAAATGTGGACAGCCGTCAAGAGGCTCTCTGTTGCTCGTTCGCCCAATCGATGCCCAGCCCGTCGCATATGCCGGTATCCCTCCTCGATTTTGCCCGGGAATATAATAGCCGGAGTTGATCGGCCACGCTGATCGCACGGTACAGTTGTTGCGGCGCGAGTCGTGGCTCGTCTGTGGGTCAGGAAAAAGAGTGTGGGTTTTCCCCGCTGCGTTCGAGGCCGGTGGGTGACGCCAGGCACCAGGTCTCGCCAGGCAGACAGGGTCAATGCGAGACAAATGCAGACAGCTCTGCCGAGTTTCGCGGTGGAGAGGTGACGAAAGGGTCAAACGGGGAGACGGTGGATCGGCACGAAAAAGGGTGAGACCGCCCTTTTTCGCGGGTTGTGGGGGCGACCCCATCCGTTGATACTTCCCACCGGCAATTCGCTGCATAGTCTAATGCAGAGGAGCTATGGAATATTTGCAGAGTAAGACTAACACTTTCCAGGACATGCAGCCAACAGTGACCGACAGAGAGTGGCAAGACGTCGCGTTCGCGCTGTTCGGAATGCCGAAGGCCGGGCTACCGTTGGATGACATAGGTGCAGTGTCTAGAAGCCATGGATAGTTTCCCTGCATGATTTATAGCTCATCAACAACCATAGCCTCTACATCCCGATCTTGAAATATCGCTACTCAAACTACTTGCATAATCTCTTCAATTCTTCATGATGCCCTCACTCGGCCGTGCTCTAATCACCATCGCCGCCATCTCCAACGTCATCTCTCCTTTCCTAGCCGACTTCAACCACACCCACATCTATAACCCGCGATGGACGGGACACGCGAAATACCACACCGGCCAAACACTGTCCTTCGGGGTGCTGCTGGGCATCTCGACTCTCTACTACACCTGGAAAGAGCCGCGGGGCAAACCCGAGTCCTTGTGGGTCGCGGCATGGCTCGGCACGATGTACTGGGTGACCTCCCTCAGCGCGGTCTTGTATCCCAATACCAAGGCAGTCGATCCCGAGTTTGGGGATGGGTTTCCACAGTTGTGGGTCAACACGGCGCATCTGACGTTTGTCTGGGGCGGACTCTATCTGGCGCTGGCTCGGGAGGGAGCTCGGCAGAAGAGGGAGTAAATTGATGGTAATCATGGTGAGGAGATGAGATGAAAAGGATGCAACGTTGATGTATATTTGGTCAGTAATGTGATGTTTAGTGTGACTTATCTGGCATTTGTCAGGTTATCGCGGAAACCGTAAAGGGTTCTATACTTTGCTAACGGGTTTAGAGAGAAAATGCAATGAGAATATAGGACTCAGGAAAGCCAGGATAAAGTAGAAATTTTACCGTGAAATATAGAACTGAATCCCTTTTCAGACAACTCCAGTCAGACCGCCTACAACTTTTAATAGAAAACGGCAGTATAAAGATAGTACAAAAAGTTCCGAGTAGCTCTAGTGCAGTGCTTAGGTGGCGCATTTCTACGGTGGCATTGCATTTATTAGGCACGTCTACAGCAAGAATTGTTGGATCAAGCAGAGATCATAGCATATTGGTATCAAAAGGGCTAGGCGCCTGAGCCAAATCTCAAATCACTTTCGGGAATTTTCACATCATATCATTAGACCCTTTAATCATTCTTGAGGTTGGTGAAGCGGAGGTAACTGTAATAGATATGTTAACAGAGCAATTTAAAAAAACACCAGAGAAAGAACTAAACACTTACGGCTTCACCTCGCGGATCTCACCGAACTTCTTCTTGGCGTCCTCAGTGGAAACCGGAGGCGGGATGACCACGTCGTCACCGGGCAGCCAGTTGATGGGGGTGGCAACGCCAACCTTGTCGGTAGTCTGGAGCGCATCCACGACACGCAGGACCTCGGCGGTGTTACGACCAGTGGAGGCGGGGTAGGTCAGGATCAGACGGATCTTCTTGCTGGGGTCGATGATGAAGACGGAGCGGATGGTCAGGGCCAGGCCCTTGGAGTCGACGTTGGTGGTGTCCTGGTAGTCGACCATGTCGTACTGGTGGGCAACCTTGCGCTCCGGGTCGGAGATGATGGGGAACTTGAGGCTGGAGCCGCTGACCTCGTCGATGTCCTTGATCCAGCGGTGGTGGGAGTCGACACCGTTGGCACTCTGGGGGGGATTGTTAGCTTGGGAGTGGTTTGGTTGATCAAGGTCTATATTTTAACTGACCAGACCGATCAGCTGAACACCACGGGCAGTGAACTCGGGCTCGAGCTTGGCAAAGGCACCGAGCTCGGTGGTACAGATGGGGGTGAAGTCATCGGGGTGGGAGAACAGGATGGTCCACTTGTCACCAATGAAGTTGTGGAAGTTGATGGGACCAGTGGAGGTCTCAGCATCGAAGTTGGGGGCAGTCGAGCCCAGACGGAGACTGGAGATGTGGTCAGTATGGAGAGAACGGGAGTTCTAGCTACTACTAGATAGTAGTAGATAGCTAACTCACTGAGGCAAGCACTTACGGAGGAGCACGGTCAGCCATTGTGGAAGAGTGTGGAGAGGGAGAGAGGTGAAGTGAACAGAATAGAATGAAGATGGAGATAGAAAGAAACAGGAAGAGACGGGGTTCAAATAAATGCCCCTCCAAGGTTTGTATGGAGATCGACTTACTTCATCCGGCTGGCTGTCGGTGATCACGCAATTGCACGAAGGCAGGGCGGTGATTGGCTTCCCACACAAGTGGGCTGTTTAGCGTGCCTGATGCAATTCTTCTACTTACTGCCATTAAACAACTATTACTTTTTCTATTACTATTACTATTACTATTACTATTACCACTAGTTAATATAATAATATATGGTAGTATGGTCCCCCGGAACCCCTCACTTCCCCGTCCCTGGCACCTGGTTTCACCTTGGACATTTGTGATCTATTTCTATCTATATCGAGATACTTGAGATATGCAACGCACTTCCCCCTTGACCAAGTTCTCACCCCAAATTATCGGCCGAAGCATTCATGCTCAGGTTAAGTCGGCCGATAGTTTACTAGAGTGGGCCAATGGCAATTCAAAGGGATGGCGCAATTCGATGGTGACATTGAGGCCTGCCCACCGAAAGAACTTATCAGACAGCCTCAGCAGTAGACCTCTCTGGCCCGGTCCGCCCGATTATTCACTGGAATCAAGCATATTATTCACTAGATACTCCATGCTCAACTGCTCAGGTGAACCTAGAAGTGGGGCTCTTCGGTGGGGCGTCGGCATGCTTTGATAGCGGCATCTATGTAAACCTTTCAGGGTTTCGCTCTCGCAGTTTGCTTAGATATCGGGAAGACGAAGATTAGCCATAGCATAAGAACAGTCATAGTAAATACCATTTTGTAGTGGGCTCTTTTGACCTCAGTCCACTGCCTATTATCATGGATATTACCCGAAGTCAAAGATTTTGCGACTGGGTAGAGCTATGGACTATCTGTGAATGGGCTGAGTTAATTGCAGCTCGTACCTTCACCGAGAAAGTGGCTTGTCAAGCTTGTTTCGGTCATACATCTGGCCAGCCGCTAGCCCTATCTAAGCCTACCATCGACGACCGGTCTGAGTGGTAAATAACGTTGCTCTTGAAGCATTGACATTCTTGAAAAAAGTTATGATCATGTAGCTTTGAACCAATAGTTCTTATAAATTTTGTAAAAAATGAATACATATTGAAATATGTCTAAGTAGTACTTTGGTCAGGGTTTAAGTCTGCCAATGTTTTCTGGCCTAGATAGTCTTAATCGTGCAAAAGAAAAATAACAATAACAATACCTAAGCAAAACAAAGTAAGATGAAAAAGAAAAAGAAAGATCAAGTTAATAAGTTAACACGTCAATGCATTTTCTCATGAAATAAGTGAACCCTACAATGGTAACAATCCATATCACCCCCTTAATGGATCATTTTGAGATAAGATGACACAAAATAAACAGTATACTACAGAACTTCCCTTCACTTCCAGTCTCCTCTTAATAATTCATCTCATGCACCCCTAAATCAAGACTCGGGTATGTGCAGCTCTACAATCTCCAGTCCATGGCCAGTCACGTGTGGCCCCGGGACCCACACCCGCGTCGAGGACCAGCGCAAACAAAAAGCCTCGTGAGATGCGATTTTGGGCAGACCTTGGTTCGGGACTGTCTGATAGTTCAATTTGCTCGTGAAAAAAAGGGGGGTTCGGTATACCATCCCATCTCTCTCTTCCCATTTCTTCCCTTGCCCACCTTTTGCCGTTTATCCATCCGTGCGACCCATAATCCGATCGGACAAAATGCCGCCCAAGCGCAAATCCGAGGACGCGGCAGTCGTCAACCCCAGTGACCTTACTCCAGCAAAACAGCCGCACAACATCTCATCGAGCAGTCCGGGGTCCGGTGAAGGCGCATCCCAGGTAAGCATTGTCTACGCGCGCGCCCCCCGAGTCATTTGGGCCGGCAGGAACTCAGCGGGTCATCAATTCTTGTTGATTGTCCCCGAGTACAGACGAAAACCAAAGGCCAAAGGCAAGAAAACTGATACTGGCTACACAGGTCGCCGCAACCCCGCAGACAGGCGAGAAGAGAAAGCGCGGCCGTCCGCGCAAGTATCCCGACGGCTCGACACCCAAACCCGCCTCTGATGGACCGAAGCGAGGACGCGGCCGCCCTCGCAAGGTCGTCTCGGAGACACAGACTGGTACGACGCCCTCGCCTGGGCCTAAGAAAGGCCGCGGACGTCCTCGCAAGGAGCCAGGTACGCTATCTGGCTATTCAGGGGTACCATGATACTTATCATCGGGAATATCTTTCTTATAGGTTCCGCTACTCCTGCCGCTCCTATCCCCAAGCCCAAGAAGAAGGATGGCCGTGGGAGGCCGCGCAAAAACCCGCCGCCCAATGGCACTGCTCAATACACTGAGTCGCCCTTTGTGTCTGCTGGGTTGGAAGTGCCCCCGAGGATGCAGCTCGTTCTTACTGGCTCATGAAGGCTGAGCCCGAGTCTCGCTTGGAAAAGGGAGTTGATGTGAAGTTTTCCATTGACGATCTGGCTGCTGCTAAAACACCAGAGCCCTGGGATGGTATGTGTGCTCGGCCTCGCAAACAGACCAAGGATTGATTGCTGACTTTTGATCTAGGAGTTCGCAACCCTATTGGTAAGATGCTCATGTGAACATCCAATGGTTTCAATATGACTCGGCTCACAATTTGCCAGCACGAAACCTCATGCGCGATATGAAGAAAGGAGACCACGCGTTCTTCTATCACTCCAATTGCAAGGTTCCCGGTGTAGTTGGAATCATGGAGATTGTTCAGGAGCATTCCGTTGATGGTGGGTTATTCTCACAACATACCCCTGGATCATATATCTGACAGGCTGTTGCAGAATCCGCTTTTGACCCCGCGCACCCATACTATGACTCCAAGGCCGACCGCGATGACCCCAAGTGGGTGGTGGTGCATGTCGAACACCGCCGCAAGCTCAAGAATCAAGTCACGCTGAATGACCTCAAGTCTCACGCCCACCCGGGCCAGCCACTCGAGAATCTCCAAACGCTCAAGCAAACGCGGCTCAGCGTGTCCTCCGTAACCCCGGCGCAATGGCGCTTCATCCTGGGGTTGGCGGGCGAGGACCCACAAGAGGTGTCTCAATCGCTAGCCGGCCAGGCTACCAAAGCGGATTCAACCTCCCCCAGCATCGAGAGCGAGGAGGAGTAGGCGACCGGAGAAGGAAATTGGACAATATGCGATCAACAAGCGGGATTCGTCTTTTATAACATTCCAAGAGAAAACAAAAACCCAAAATATTTTCGATTGATGGCGTCGGATGGAACATGGGTATCTGCAGTTGTGTCTTTTTCTCTAATCAAAGAACATTTTTGAACATTAAATCACGGGGAATATTTTTCTTTTCAAGAAGCAGGACGCAGGGCATAGAACCGAACAGGGAAGAGTTTCAAGCTGGCCGGGAACCCAGACTGCTCCTCGGTCTTGATGAGGTTCAGCCCAGCGGTCTTGAACAGCTCCCGGAATTTGTCGTCAGTGCGAGTGACACTGCTATCCAACTCGTCGTAGACGTCCTCGCCATCAGGATCCGTCGACATATTCTCCTTGACAACAATCACCCCAGCAGGCGACAGCGCATCACGACAGCGAACAAGGTATTCAACGAGCTGCGCATCCGTCAAGTGGCCAACGCACCACTGGTTCCAAACCAAGTCGTATTGCTTAGACGGAGTCCAGGCCTCTAACCCGGTGACATAGACATCGCCAACGTTGCCCGCCTGCTTCAGCTCGCCGTCGCGCACCACGCGCGCGAAGTTGTCCACGGGCTCCACCACGTCGACCGTCTCGCACGCCTGGCTCAGGAACCCTGCTGTGACGCGCCCAATGCCCGCACCGCAGTCGACACCGAGCTTTAGCGGGCCCGATGCGGGGATCGCGGGGACCAGCCGCCGCACCTTGGCGAGGAAGCTGGCGGAGCCCCGTAGGTCGATGCGCGAGATTTGGGGGAAGCCGCCGAGCATGCCATCGACGTTGGGCGCTATTGAATTCCAGTAGTTGATTGAGGCGGCATGGTCGATGTGGGAGTCGGGCGCGTCGGCCATGGTGCCGTACTGGTGGTATGTATCTGTGTGTGCCCCGCGATGCGTTAAGTCAGGGACCTCGGGTGGATTGGATCGGCGGGGAAAGACAAGGTAGAGAGGGGCAGGGAGAAGCGTGAGGAGAAGAGGGTCCCAACGCCGAGCGGATGATATAACCAACCAGGAAGCAAAACAGCAGAATGGCGAGATTTTTTGGCGGATGCGATGGCTGCGAAGAGTAAGTGTATCCGACGGGTGGAGCAACTTTATCGTTATCGCTGGGGAACGTCACCTCTTCCTATTATATGCCCCTCTCTTCTCTTTTCTTTTCTCCCGTTTTTCTTTTCTTTTCTCTATGTTCATCTGTGCTGGTGCATCTATTAGGCCCCTGCGCTGTCTGTTTACGAACCTCCCCTCGACATTGACGGCGCGTTTCATTTCAAGTACTCCACGTCGACACTTCCACAACACCTACATCATGTCGAACGTCGCGCAACAATTGACAGCCCCGAACGGGCATGCTTATTCACAGCCCATTGGCCTTTTTATCAACAACGAATTTGTCCCCTCCAAGTCGGGCGAGAAGTTTGCCACCATCAATCCCTCGTAGGTATCGCTGAGCCAGTCATACATATCTGTCAATGTGCTGATTAACGGCTAGGAATGAGGAGGAAATCACCTCGGTGTACGCGGCTGGTGAAGAGGATATCGATTTCGCGGTGCAGTCCGCGCGCAAAGCTCTTCGAGACCCGTCCTGGAAACTCCTGCCCGGCACGGACCGCGGCAACTTGATGTTCAAGCTGGCCGACCTGATTGATCAACACCGGGAGACGCTGGCCACAATCGAGACCTGGGATAATGGTCAGTAGTTGCGCTCTCCGGGGAAATGGAGACGCGGTTGATTAATGGATTCGTGCAGGCAAGCCGTATTCCGTCTCCTTGAACGACGATCTGGGCGAGGTCATCTCTTCCATTCGGTACTATGCCGGGTGGGCGGACAAAGTGACAGGCCAGACTATTGGCACCACACCAGCCAAGTTTGCCTACACGCTGCGCCAGCCGATTGGCGTGGTTGGCCAGATCATTCCCTGGAATTTCCCGCTGGCTATGGCGGCATGGAAGCTGGGGCCGGCCCTTGCATGCGGCAATACGATCGTCCTGAAGCCGGCCGAGCAAACTCCACTCAGTATTTTGTATCTGGCGAATCTGATCAAGGAAGCTGGTTTCCCGCCGGGTGTGATTAACATCCTCAACGGCCATGGCCGTGTGGCTGGTTCTGCCCTGGTGAACCATCCTGGCGTCGACAAGGTGGCCTTCACTGGCTCAACCCTTACGGGACGCGAGATCATGAAGATGGCGGCAGGCTCTCTCAAGAACATCACGCTCGAAACGGGCGGTAAATCACCACTGCTGGTGTTCAACGACGCGGATCTCGAGCAGGCCGCCAAGTGGGCGCACATCGGGATTATGTACAACCAGGGCCAGGTGTGCACGGCGACATCACGGATCCTCGTCCACGACACTGTGTACGACAAGTTCGTCACCCTCTTCAAAGAAGCCGTCGCCAGCACCAGCAAAGTTGGCGACCCGTTCGCCGACGACACCTTCCAGGGACCGCAGGTTACCAAGGCGCAGTACGAGCGGGTACTGTCATACATCGAGAGCGGCAAGTCTGAAGGCGCTACGCTTGTGGCAGGCGGCGAGCCGTTCAAGAACGTCGCCGACGGCCGCGGCTTCTTCATCGCCCCAACCATCTTCACCCACGTCAAGGACTCGATGCGCATCTACCGCGAGGAAGTGTTTGGTCCCTTCGTCGTAATTGCCAGCTTCACTACCGAGGATGAGGCCGTCACCCGCGCCAATGACACTACATACGGTCTGGGCGCGGCCGTCTTCACGCGCGACATCGAGCGCGCGCACCGTGTCGCCTCGGATATTGAGGCCGGCATGGTCTGGATCAACAGCAGCAACGACAGCGACTTCCGCGTGCCGTTTGGTGGTGTCAAGCAGAGCGGGATCGGGCGCGAGCTCGGCGAGGCGGGTCTCGAGGCGTACTCGCAGACCAAGGCGGTACATGTCAACATGGGCACGAAGCTGTAGACTGTGCGTGTATCTTGAAAGATTATTGATGTAACAGAAAAGAGTATGATTGATTTCAATGATCTATGAGCGTCTGTCCATCTCATACTATTTGCCATTCCTGTTAACTCTAGTCTCCGACCCTGACTCTCCTTGAGATTGTTTCCTGTAGAGCATTGCCTCCGGTTCCCTTTTGGGATCCCCAGCGACATCCATGGACTATACTTCTGCGCTAAACAACAGACAGCCTACACATCCACCGTCGCAAGAATGGAAAAATGGAAAAACGGGGCCTCCCCTAACCGAGTGTCAATCTTGTGGGGACCCAGGCATGTAGCTACTGCAGTAAGACGGGGGACTGAAGAGGGATGTCGATCACCCAGCAAATCATCGACCGAAGCTGCAAGTTGAAGGACAAAAGGCACATGTCGGGGATGTTGCACTTGCATGTTTTGTTTTGTTTTGTTTTTTTTTTTTGAGTGCACCGAGGTCGAATGTGATTCTTGGTCTAGGTCCTGGTCCAGCTGCTCGGAGATCTACCCTACTTGCATTGCATACCTGCGGTGTGTACGTGCGTGCGTATGAGTTGAGTGGGTGGGTGTATGTATGTATGGTCCGGTTGATGCCCAACTCTACTCGGCGACCCTCCTCCCCCGCAACCATAGCCACTGTGCGTTGCTGCATGCAAGCCTTACTCGGTTTCGACGTGAGGTTATTGGTGCATATGAAAGAGCGAATGACTTACATAGAGAATTTCTTGAACCGGAAGTTTAGGTTGCGAGGCATGCCGATGATAATTACTAGAACAGAAAAGAGAAAAGGAATATATGAATGATTTACTACCTACTGTAGTAGGCAGGCACATAGGCACATCAGAGATCCTTCGAGTCATACTCATTTGAGTGGATCGTGGATCTATATCCAATAACTGACTCCATACTCTCGTAAAATATTGTCCTTATAGCCGAAGGCCTATTCAACTCGCCAAGGTGATACAGATATACAGGCCCATCTCGCGCTCTTGCATGGCCAACTGGCACATTTCACTTGTCGACCAAAAAATAAATAAAATAAATAAACCAAAAAAAAAACCAAAAAAAAAATCATATTCATGCCCAATGTCGAATCAGGCGAGAACGCTTTCCCGGAAAACAGAGGAGAGAGGGAGAGAGGGATCTAAGAGCCCAGCGCATGCTATTTCATGCCATCTCTTGCAGATGCATGCAGAGACGGTCATGTGGAATGCCCATCGTTTTTATAGATCCTTGACCTAGGCGATTTGGCCATCTCCCTCGAGTCTTGCCTGGATACATTATAGAAATAGAGATGGCGATGTGACTAGAGTAAGTCATGCCACAGAAAATGGAATGGTAATACAGTAGAGATAACAAGAACAATTATAATACACAGAAGAGAGAGATGGGCCCCAAATTTGGTGTCTCTGCAAGATATCCAATAGTGCGCGCGATTAACCCGAGATTTTTCCAGTATGCGACCAGATGTAAAATATCCCAGTAGACAGTAGATTCTTGGAGATGCCTATGTGATATCTTGATCTCTTCAAAAGCAATAGGTCAAGAGTTACTTATTGAACCAGATATCCATGTACATCGGCTCTTGTACGGGTTCGCGGATGATCCCACTCCACTGGGAGAGTAAGAGTGTGGGGGGGAGGAGGAGATGAAGCAAGTCAGAGGGGCTTGGCATTTTCAACGCTGTCTCTCTCTCACCTTCACTTACTCTCCCGACATTCGGCCGACTACAGCTGTTGGTTCCATCGCGATCCACACTCTCTTCAGCGTTCAAGTCCAAAAGCAAAAGCCCAGAGTTTTCAAGGTTGCCTACAACTGTATGTAATAAAGGCTCCCGGGCTCGGCGTGATTCCGCGATCAGCGCTGCCATGCCTTAACTTCTTGAAGAGATTCGTTGTCTCACACTCCATTCGGTGAACAGGGGTTCTCGCCGACAGCATACGACTCGGGGTTTTTTTCGTAAATCATCCAAAAGAGCGGTGTCCCTGGTCTCGGGAGTCCGATCGGCAGCATGTCTGAAATCCAGAGCTGGACGGTTAGGGAGGTACGTATTGCATATCCCCGGCAGATCCCCCCTTATCCTATATGTCGGTCAGATAAATCAATAATTCATCAAAAGGAAACACTAAAAGCTAAAAACCAATCACAGCCCTACATCGACATTGCCGGAACCCTGCTCGAGGGCCCCTATCACGATGTGGCCAACGGCGAGTTTCGCTTCGTCGACATCTGGGATCAGAAGCTCTATCGGCTCAATCTGGCCAAGGGGCCATCGTCGTTGAAAGCTATTGACACGACTACATCTGTTGGGTGGGTATATGAACCATTATCCTGGGGAATTGAATTAAAAAAGAGAAAAAAAAACAGCAACTGACATGAATTATTGCGGTCGGCGGATTTTAGCGTGACCGCCAACGCGAGCGGGTCGTACGATCAGCTGATCGCAGGGGCCAAGTATGGATTCGCTCGGCTGAACCGATCCACCGGGACGCTCAGCTATATCCACGAGGTTTGGGGCGAAGAGGGACCGGGGAAAGCGGAGAGGTAAGATCAGACGGCATGATCCTGGAACGAATCCTGGATCCTTCTACAAAAAAAAAAAAAAAAAAACAACAATCAAACTCACCAGAAGATGTTATGGGTTCATAATAGAATGCGTTTCAACGACGGGGCCGTCGATAGCCACGGCCGCTTTTGGGCCGGCGCCATGAACGACCCCAAGATCCAAGCCCCGCAGCCCGACGGAGTGCTGTTCAGACTGGACCCGGATCTGAGCGTGCACCGCATGCTGGCACCACTGACGATCCCCAACGGGATCGGCTGGAACCTCGCCGACGACACCATGTACCTGACCGACTCGCCAACGGGCAAGATCTTCGCCTTTGATTTCGACGCCGCCACCGGCGCTATTGCCAACCGCCGCGTGCACTTTGACCTGGGCGAGCCCCTCGAGCCGGATGGTTTTGCCATCGATGTCGAAGGCTGCATCTGGAGCGCCATCTATGGTGGCGGGAGAGTCGTGCGTATCTCGCCCGCCGGCCGGGTTATCGGCCAGGTGAACTTGCCCACGCGCAACGTCACCTGTCCTACGTTTGTGGGTACCGAGCTCTTCATCACCACGGCCAAGGACGATCGGAATGATGAGAGCTTTCCGCAATCGGTGCGCTATGGGGGCCGGGTGTACAGGATCGACGTTGGGGTCCGGGGGCAGCCCAAGAACGAGTTTCGCCTCCCAGAGTAATCTGTTGTGCTGAATCCTGGCAAGACAACAAGGGGAATCATAGCTTGTTGTCTTGGTTGATTCTACCCAGGTAACCCCGTGCAGTCCATAACACTACAGGGAAACTGAGTATATTATTCATATGTAGCTAGCCATGTAACTAGCCAAAGATCTACTGTGCATTCCATGATTTCTTTGCATCTCCCCAATTTCGTTGGCTAGTCGGTCACAAAAGCCGTCATCCCCAACTACCCGATTCGTCGATTATCGGCTGCGGCCGATGATTCTTCGGATTTACATATATATGGGTCGTCGATCCAACGGATGCTGTACCGCTGTCACCGACCGCATGGTTCAGACTGCAGGTCGCAAGGGACGGGGCTGGAATATGAATTTACACATCGAATCAGAATTCTCTGGACTGGACTTTTGTCATGTTGACCATAATTTTTGATTTTTTTGATCATCGTAGTCGACTTGCCAATTGACCCGATCTCGGTTCGAGGCCAGGCATCTATGTATGTATATGTCTGTGTATATGTACAATGAAAAAGCACTGCCACTCTGTTGGCGGATCTGCCGTGCAGGGCGATGCAGGTGGCGCTTGGGGCGGACACGAGTGAATTGGGTGCATGCGGTGAGGCTGATCTGCAAGAAAAGGGGGGGGAAGAGAATCAAAAAGCAAATATAAGAAAAAAAAAATAGAATAAAACCAAGGGGAAATAGGTCACACAACCCACACCACACCCCCTTGGGGCTGCAGCAACACTATTGAAAAGCCAGTGCAAGTCAGATCCTCGGAACTAAGCTACGCGGTTGCTCTTAGTACGGCTGTTCCCACGTCCCGGTGACTTGGGAACTATGACGAGCGGAGACCCACCGGGTTTGAAATGAGCTTCATGACACGCAGGGCTTTAGGGGGGGAGAATTATAAATCACGGAATAAAAAAAAAACATGGCAAATATCAAATCAAATGCAAGGCTACTCGGGGGAAATCAACCCAAAGGTGACCCGGTACTTTGGGAACGGCGGTTTGAGCGTGCAAGCCACTCAACGAGGGGAGGGGACCTTGCGGAGAAAATACAAAATAATAATAATAATAATAATAATAATATATATTTATATATAAACTGAATGAACCAGTCACAAGCCGTGGATCTATCAGACTGCAATTGTTTCCCGTCAACTACGGCGATTCGCCATCTGACGGGGTTGCCGGGGTATATATACATTTTGTCAGCTCTCAGCTCCAGGGACGAAAAGAAAAAGACAAAGACAATAATAATAATAATAAAACAGACCAAAACAAACACTTGCATATGATCTATCACCCGGCCCTCAAGCTCCAAGCTGTCAGGGAGATCGTGGATCCTCGAGCATCCCCGAAATCTTAGGAGAGACACCAAGTGGAGACTCAGCTTTTCCCTCCCTGCAAGTGCAAAACGCTCGAAGGATTCATGGCACCCACTTCGCTGCAGCGGCACTGCCTCGACGCTAAAGTGATTGGCATGATTTGATCCCATTTTTCCGGAGCCTTTCTCCCGAGTGTCTCCGGGGATCTGATCTTCCATGATACACAAGAGACAGGGAGAAAGGGGAGAAAGGGGAGAAAGAGAAGCGAGCTATCCGACTCGTTCATGCAATCTGATGAGGCTGCAAGAGGTCCTTGCGGTAATCCTTCCCGCCCCCGAGAGAGAGAGACTATACTCAAGTAAGTGCATAGTGATGAGCTGTCAGACATTTTCTTTTTCTTTTTCTTCTATATTTTTTCTCATTTTGTCTTGTCGTAACACGAATTGCAACTTGGCTTCTCTCATACCCCTGTCGAATGACCTGAAGTTCGATCTACTATCAACTATGGAATATGCAATTTCTCCTTTTTCCCTTTCGCATAAATGGCCCCGGAAGGAACCCCACGGATCCCGCTAGGGGCCTGTTAGGTCCCCAATAGCGGGCCAAGCAGGGTCCGAGTGGATGGTCCTTTTTTCCCCCAACGGCGACAACGCTCCTTTTGGGTCACGGGGAACGCCGGTGATGCATGCACAACATCCTAAAGCTCCTTTAGAGATACTAGTTGGCTCCTGAGGAGATCTGCCCCTTTTCATTTCGCTTTCTTTTCTTCCTTTGTTGCTTATCGCTCGATCGTCATTCCTTTTAGTAAGACTTAAGATTACTATTATCCTTTTCCTGTGGAGCTAGTCTCTTCCCAAGCACCAAATCCTCGGAGATTGACAGGACCAGCGTTCATCAAACCAAAAAAAAGGGGTGGGGAGGGGGAGGGGGGAGAGAACTGGGATTAATGGCCCCGGGACTATACCACACCAAGTATAGATCTGACTCTGCTAACGGTGATCCGAAAACCCCGTGGACAAAGCAAATGCGGCCTGCGTCATCGATTCCCTTCCTAGCCAGCCCGGTCTGCCTGTCATAGCCATCACACTCCCCTGACATTGACCCGCCGAAAAGGCAACCGGTCCTGGGCCTTGTTTTTTTACTTTTGGCCACCTCATCGATCATCCGGGACAAGGGGGGATTGAATGGTCATGGTAATGGGAATGGGCTCCGCCGGTCCCTGTCCATGTCCATGGTGACGGCGCCGGCGCACTTGCAGGTCTTTTCTCTCCATCTCTTGTGGTGATTCGTGCTTCGCATACCGACGCATTGCTGGTTGGTTGCCCCAGATCATGAATCCCACCGTCAGAATGGCATCCGCAAATGAGAATGATCTAGTTTCGAGTAAAATAAAAAGGAAAAACAAACCAAAAACAAACCAAACCAAAGCATGCCGAGTCAGCAGTGGAGCTTCGACATTAGGGCCATCACATCCCACACGAACGTGGAACTAAGAAGCCCACAACTCAGCCCCCTTCCAGAAAAAAGCCCCCAGACGACGGGAGCTAGAGAGGAGATAGACTGATAGACACAGAGAGAGCTACCAGATCCTGCCCAATATCCCGCCAGTTTGGGTCAGACAACTTTCTTTTCTTGTCTTAGGGAAGTGATGGATCATGGCCCCCCTCTCTCTCTCTCTCTCTCTCTCTCACCGCTGCATCTCTCTCTCTTTCTTACGGTGAACTAAATTATTAATTCTACTCCTTCCCCTACTTTGTTTTTCTTTTCTTTCTCTTTTGGTTCACGTTCGGATCGCTTCCGTGCACATGGGTTGATTAGGGTCTCTTCTTGTACTCTTGACTTGGATCCTTCTTCAAACCCTAACCCACTTTGGACCTTGATATCATTCCAACCTCCTTTTTTATTAGCCTCAATTGGAAAGCCCTTTTCTATCTTTTCTTTTCTGATTCTTTGCAATTCCGGGAACCTATCCCGCCAGTCATCGTGGCGACTCTGGGCATCAGCGTGTTGACCGCGCCTTACTCGGGCTCACTGCATTCACCAAAACTGCCCTTTCCAGCAGATCAGCGATATCCGTCATCATCATCACCTTCTTCCTCTTTCTCTCACATCTTTCGAGAGACCCCCGGCCGCCAGGAAAGACGGGGGACTCGGTCATGTCCTAAGCGCCGGTCTATTCAGACCGATTCGGATTTTATGTCGCAGGATCCTCTGCGCGCAGGTCCCGTGTCTGACGATGCGTCTCCAGCCGATGGCCGCGGCTTGATTAACCATGAGCGAGGGCCCGCAGGCAACCGCCATCCATCCCGCCGGCCACCCCTCCGCACTCGACCGCAGTCCTGGCACCCCTATGGGCCGGTGGAGCCGCCATTGGAGTCGGCTCAATCGCGGCCCACGGGGGTCCATGCCATTCTGAACCCGCCAGAGCAGGGTGCAGCTGGCAGCCACGAGCCACGAACTTTGCCAGGGCCGGCGGACTCGCCTCGCCCGCGACAGGGCTCGTCACCCTCGCTGCGTCCTGTGCGTCCTCTTGTGCAGCAGCCGCTGTCCCCGAGATCACATTCGCGGCCTCTGATGCAGCCTGGGTCACCCTCCGCACGCTTTGTGAGCGGCAGTGGCCGCAGTTCAGGCCCGCCCAGCGTGATGCATTCCCCCATGATCCCACAGGAACCGCCGCTGAGCCAGCACCACCCGGCTTCCAGTTCGCCCTTGCCGCTCGATTCGGCACTGCGGCCCGTCGCCTCTCTCCCTGGCACACAGCCTCCGGTGTTGACCTCGCTGCACTCGACACCGGCCATTCCCTCCCGACGAACCAGCACGGGACCGGGACCTCTTACCAACCCCAGTTCCCAAGAGACAAGTCCCAGCACGCCGCAGTCGAGCTACAGTCATTTTGGACGGGTGTCGCCGGCTGTTACCAACGTCTCTCTTCCACCCAGCGCCACACCTTACACCGCCGCTCCACCATACATGAAAGCAGACCCCCTGACCCGAGGAGTCTCAGCCACGGCAGACCCGCGAGCCGTGAAAGAAGAGCCCTCGACAAGCACGTCACAGAGTGCATCGTCTCTGCCAGGGATGATACCGTGCATATTGGACCTGAAGTCTGGATCCTCGACGCAGGCCGAGAAGCGCAAAGCAAATAGCGACGCCTCGCGACGGTTCCGGAACCGCAAGCGCAACGAAATGCAGCTCGAGCAGCGGCTCACAGCCCAGCAAGACGAGATTCAGCGCCATGTCGACACCGTCCGGCGCCAGAGCGACGAGATCCGCGCTCTCATCCAGCAGAGGGACCATTATCGCTCCGAGCGTGATTTCTTCCGCGATCATCTCGGCCGCAGTGTGTCTCCAAACCAACTGCCCCCGAGACCGGCTTCGCCCCGGCCTGCGATGGTTCCCACCGTCGACGCGGGTAGTGCACAGCACTTGTCTTCTGCTGCCGACCCGGCTCGATCTGCTGCTGCGGTGCCGCAGCCCCCGGCTAGATTGCTGGATGCTGCTCGGCCGCAGGGGAGCTGGCCTGGTAGTCCTGCTTCGTATTCCCCGGTTCCTCTTCCCCCTGCCGGACGGGGTGTTGCCGCGGGACCGTCACCTGTGGCTGGGGGGCCTCTGCCCCCATTTCAAGGGAGTTGGTCGCGCCCATAGTGCCTGAGCGAGCAGACTATATATACTTTTTATGTCCTTTTTTACCCTCTTCTGCCTCTCTGCTCTCCCCATCTTCCCTATCCTATTTCTTTCCTCCCCCTTTCCCTGTGCCCCCTTTCTAAGATTATTTCCTTTTATTTTCCTCATGTTTTTTTTTACCCGTTGTTATGTTTTTTAATTCCCACTTCCTCCCCGCTAGAAAAACCGGTCACTGGCATGACCGTTCTTCTGGAGGAAGAGTGTGTGAGTGTGTGCTCGATTAGCGATACCATTTTCCCATCGCCTCGTCTTTCTGGCCGGGTGTATTAGTATCGGCTTCTTGTTTTGCTGGATGCATGGTTTATCGGGGTTGTTCAAAAGTCATCCCTAGGTACTTAGATACCTTTTTTTGTCACTCTCCCCTTTCTGCTATATTCCTCTTGTCCAGTTCCCCATTTTTCTGTTGCGCGGCAGTGATACCTCCATTGGCAATGTATTGAGTTATCTCAAGCTACCTGCCCGGACCAATGTGTTTCTGGGGTTGTGGTTTTGTGTGGTGTTTCCCTTTTTTTTTTTTTTTAACGTGAAGAATAGAACTGAGATTATAATGTGATTCCAATTATCTATTTTCCGTATCAGATGCCGGACAAGCTGAAGAAATTCCGACTGACGACCCACTGCTAAACGGAGATAGCCATGATGCATCCACTCCACACTCCACGTGGAATAGCAAACCTATTGGGGCTCAATCGGGTATTTAGCAATCCTTCAGCTGAGCTAGAGGCTTAGCATTAGCACTTGCAAGTGATTTCAAATCCATCAAACTGTGTCCTGGCGTCATACGTCCGAGTGTCCGAGTGTGGAGACGGGGATAGGGCTTATGTCCGTGAGGGCTTGATATCGAAGGTCCATGACAGTTAATTATATCTCAGGCCATGGATATAAGAACTCACCCCGGTATCTTGGCTTGATACCTCAATTCTATCGAGTATTCGATTTACTCGCAAGACTTGACTGGCGCGCACGACTTCAAGTGTGATTTACAACTATCCCTACAAGATGACCGACTCGACCATCGTCCTGATCACCGGTAAGCCACCACACCCACCTACTAGACACATATATACCAGTGTGTGCCCATGGCGTATACAGTGTTTGATAACCAAATAAAGGCGCCAACTCCGGCATCGGCTACGCCACCACAAAACTCCTCGCTTCTTACCCAAACTACCACATCATAATGGGTTGCCGCGACGTGCGCAAGGGCGAACAAGCCCTCAAAGAAATCCAGCAGAGCCTATTACCGCAAAGCACACTCTCCGTTCTCGAGCTCGACGTCACAAACGACGCCTCCATCGCCACAGCAACCGAAACTGTCGAATCCCAACACGGCCGCATCGACGCCTTCATCAGCAACGCCGGCACGACCGCGCAATCCAGCACGGGGCGCGCCAAGTACCAAGCAATCTTCGAAACGAACGTGTTCGGGGCGGTGCTCGCCTCCGAGGCATTCATCCCGCTGCTCCGGAAATCTCCACGCTCGACGTATCTGATCCAGGTGTCGAGCGCGTTGGGGTCTGTTGGGCTTGCGGCGGATTCGGAGAGTCCGTTGTATAATGTTCCATGGGATCTGTACCGCATGAGTAAGGCGGCGCTCGATATGGCGACTATTCAGATGCATAAGCGGTTGAAGGAGGAGGACTCCAATGTGCGGGTTTTTGCGTTTTGTCCTGGTTTGGTGCGCTCAAGGTTGCGTGGCGAGTCGGAGGAGCAGATTAGTGCGCAGGGGACTGCGGGCGATCCCATGGATTCGGCGAGGGCGCTTTTGCGGGTGTTGCGCGGGGAGAGGGATGCTGATGTTGGGGGGTTTGTGCATGCTAATGGGACTTGGCCTTGGTAAAGGTAGATAGAGGTGGAAGTTCTAAGATCGGATGGCCATAGTCCTGGTATATGAAACAGTTTATGATACTTTTTCTGTCTTGCTATCAACAATGCTGGTGATGTGGCTGTTTGCAACCCCCAAATCTGTAGGACCTCAGCTCTGCTTTTCATAGCAGCTCCTCCAGTTGCCGCCAGAGCGCGCAAAGCTCAGTCCGTGAACAAAGTCGTTCCGACGGCAACGACCGAGCGAGTCAGCTGGGCAGCCATGCAGTGGGACCACGCGGTCATTAACAAGCACCCGGACCAAAGGCTCCGGGTCTAGATCAGCAGCCCCTGACTCGGACCGGCACTGCATCATTTCAATATAGGCGCGAGCTGCAAACGGCACCGTCCAGGTGGCGGAGTAGCCGTCTTCCTCGGCGGGAGAGCAGACGTGCGTGCGAGAGAGGGGCGCCGTGCCGTTGTACAAGCCGAGAGCGAAGAATATTGGTGTCAGGCCATTATCGTGGGTGAAGTCGGCGTAGAGTGTGCGGTTAATTGGGAAGGATGCGTTGGCGTTAAGCGTATGGTTCGTGCTGGTGTCGTCGTGGACTGAGGTGTGGGTGAGACGGGCGACCAGCTCGTTGACGAACCCGATGCCCTGGGCGGGTCCAAGTATGTTGCCCGCGCCGTAGCCGTAGTACTTTCCCAGTGACTGCAAATAGTTGTACTGCGCCCATTCGGCTTCGGTGAACAGATCACAGAAGGGGGACTGCTCGCTGCCGTCCGGAGTGCGGGACACCGTGTCGAACGGACAGATATCCATTAAACTGACGATGTCTTGATCCGAGAGCCGCACGCCTGGGATATCTCGCTCGAGTCGGTGGCGGATGGGTGGTGCAAAGATCGCAGTGTAACTTTCCTTAACCTTGTCCCCGAGCTCGTCCTCTTCGAAACGCGGGCAGCTATTGTGGTTCAAACTGTTGTTGGAAGAGCTCCCCTCTGTAATGATGACGTCGATCTTTGGGTTAGGTTGCTGTTGATCTGCATCTTTGTCTTGTCTCTTTGCTTCTTCGAATCCCTCGATGAACGTCTCGCCTGATGCCACCACACGGTCTGACCCAGAGGCACGGATGAAGGGCACAGTATGGTTGGCCAATTCCCCATATCGCCGGTAGAACTTGATGCCCGAGTTGAGCATCTGACGCTGGCCAAAAATGGTCAGATCGTTCCCGCCCATGGTGTACCTGTATGACCGCAGGAATGCATATTTGCCATAGAAGGCGGTGGCATTGGCTTGGATACTCGCCACAAGAGCAGCATACCTCTTGCTTTTCGTCTCCGTTGGGTACCGGGCGCCATGCCGGGAGAGTGCTTGAACGAAGGTCACGCGGCAGTTCTCGGGGACGTCATCTGAGATGCTCGATTCGGACGCAAGGGAGAAGTATGGCGAGTACTGGCCCCAGTGGCGAGAGATGTCCCGGCCGCACTGGTATCCGCTGTCGATGCTGTTGCAGTCTCTTTGAGGGGTTGAGAATGAAGTTAATGTTCCGCCTGACTCGACTGAATGTAAGAGCACGGCAGGCTGGTGTCTGTGCCCTATCAGGTACACAGTCGATAGAACGAGAATACCCAACAAACTCAAAAGCACCGCCGTCCATCTGCGGGGAGATTGTTGGGCATTTTGGTCATTTCCGTTCCCCAGCAATCTTTGCTCCTCTCCTGGTTGGTGCTGGCCATGATAGCGCCCCATCGTCAGGCCGAGTTCATTCTTCACTTCACAGTTCGGTTATGTAGATCTGATGTCAGAGTTACCAATGCGACGGAAATCTCGTTGCTGGCAGCAGACCGGGGAAACATGGTGAGGGAGAAAAGAAGAAACAAGAACAGAGGCATCAAAAGCAAGTCTCCAGTCCATTCCTCAAGACTTGAACTGTTGGACATGAAAACCTGACAAAGCAGCCCGTGAGCCCTTCCCGCGTGTTGATTGGCTGTCGACCACAACTGACGCGTGGAGGCGGTGACCAACGGGATACCTGGGGTACCTGGTTCCGGTGGTATTTAATGCAGTTACAAGGGTATCTCGATGTACACTCAAAGTGGGCTAAGAGGCCTGAAGGCTTTACTAAACAACTATACAAGGGGACACCATGTAGTCTAAGATGCTGTACACAATGCAAATTGGCTCAAAGTGCGCAAAACGAGATAAGTAATAATGCAGACAGCCTCCAGCTCCGAGAACACCTTCTCTTGCTCATCTACCGTGGCGTATGGCCATTGTGCATGTCACGCTGCGGCCCGGACAGCACCCAGGCTTCCCAGAGGCGTGCCTGATCGCTTTGAACACATGCTCCATTATCACCCAGATCGTCGAGTGACATGCTGCGTAACTTTTGCGTTGGCGTTCCCTTCAAGGGTGTGCGTCGACCTCGGAACAGAGCCGGGGTACCGTCTGGTCCCACGGCGGGCGCCGATTGTGAAAGCGGCGGCGAAGTGCCGGCAGCGACGGTCAGGGGGTGTGGAAGAGGCCCCGTTGGGGGGTTTTCGAAGACCTCAACGCCGCTGGCGATCACAACGGTGTCAAAGTGGGCGGAATAATCAATCTCACGTAGATCCAAACGTTCCAGCTGCTCCATCTCTTCGCGCAACACCGACAGCACGTCGCGCCATCGACCCGCGCGAAGGTAGACTCCGACTAGGCGGAAAACGCGTAGTTGGCGGCGGTGGCGGCGTACAAGTGCAATGATTTCATCCGCATCGAGACGCCAGCCCTGAATGCTGAGCGTGCGCAAGGTCTTCCAGCGAACATCGTGGAAAAGTCTCTCTAGTTCGAGGTCCAAGGGCATCTTGCTGGGAAATCCGATGTGAATGGCTATCAAATTCTTGGCGGCCATGAAGAAACGGTGGAAAACGCCAGAAAGGTCCGCCATGGTGGCGGTGATGTTGGTGGTTGAATGGAAGTTGATATCCAGGCTCGTGAGTCGCCCACCCATGGCGGCGAGAGTATTTGACGGAGCACGAAGCAGCTGGAGAGTTGCTTCAGGGCTAATCTGTGGTCCGATAAACCGAATAGAGCTACATTGGGAATCCAACAGCGCAATACCCAAGTTGGTCACAGCGCGCGAGCAAGCCGATTCCCAGTCGAACCACATAGGCCCATCAAGAGCATGATCACGGATGAAGTCGATCAGGCTTTCATCGGCCTCATCCTGCAACCGGAGTAGCTTGATTTCTTGGAGAGACGAAAAAGCTGCGATTGCGAGTCGAAGCCGAGATAGATCATAACCGGTTTCGACAAGGGTGTTCTGTTCTTGGATTCGGCGGGCGTGTAATTGAGAAAGAGTAGGGTTTTCCGAGCCAAGCATGCGCAATATTCGTGCACATCCTGTAGTTGCCGTCAGTCGCGTGCTTTTATTTTCCGTAGACGAGGCATGAAGAGCTGGTACCGCTTCCTTGATAAAAGGGTCGCACCATGTACGTCACAGTTCTCACATAGCAGGCTAGTTGCATGTCGAGCAATTCCTCCAGTCTCTGGAAGCCATCCTCGGAAAATCGAAGGGTAAAGCGAGAAAACTTTCGAGGGGTCCCGATCCGCATGAATCGTTGGCAGACGAGTCGAAAGCGATCCAAATCAGACGCTTCTCCGAATCCAATTGCCGTAGCGTCGGTTCCCACAGCAAGATAGTGCCCATTCTCAGAAATTTTGCCATTGGTAGTTCTTGCGTCGGCGAGAAGAAATGTCAGGATTTCGCTCAGCAGCTCGTCGGCGAGGTCATGAATGTGACGCGGCGGGTCCATGATCGGCGCTCGAGGCAGCCGAATCGTCGGCTGCATGGGCGAGTAGCAGCAACATGGAATCACGAAGAATTGGGAAGGAAGCGGCCTTGAACCGGTCCTCCTGACCGAGAGGAGGCGAGGTTATAAAAAAGACCGTGAGAGGGGGGAAGCGTGTTAAAAAAAGAAATGGCGCGCTTCTAGAAATGGAGTAGACTAGTCGACTCTCACTCCTGCAGACATTTGACTTGTCTCACCATGGCCGCATGGCGAGAGCTCTGGCCCTAACAATCCCTCGCTGCGACCAGGATGATCATCAAGACCCCGGTTTAGCGCAATTTCGCGCTGACATGCCGGTCTCTGTGTCACGATCGTAGGCGCCTCATTGGCGATGCCGACACATTGCAATCACATGATTGATTGAATCTGCGGCCAGCCAGCGCGAACCTGCAGAAATCTCAAGGCCGGAGAGCGAGTCAGGGCACGGTGGACGGTGGGGGATGAGACACAAGAAGTCCATGCAGACCCCGCCAGGACCGTCACATCTGCAGAGTGACGACCTTGCGTGTGTGGTGGGGATTCTCTGCGATTGAGGGGAAATTGGCCGGGATCAAAATCGTAAGCATTTGAAATATCTACTGTTCGTCCATTTTACGTATCAGACCTTGGCTCGGTCCATCCGCCGCCGTCTGATCTCTGTGCTGCTTATTTTAGAGTCGAAGCTCTCCACGTCGGTCGCCGTGGCCGCCGCAGCGTCGCCAGAGTGAAGTACGTCCACCTCGAAAATGGCGAGACCTTTCCATCCTTGTTTCGCTCGCTCACCATTGACCGCGATCCCTCCGGCGTGAGTCTCTTTGGAAACGACCAGCGCAGTGATGCTCTTCTCCGTGATCGTGGGCCCAAAGGGATCCGAAATCTCCACAAACTTGAACGTCAGCGATGGCTGCACTTGCACGCGGACAAAGTTCCCGTTGGGGCCGGGCACGGACACTCGCTCGACCCGCGGGGCATTCGGGCCAGGCGAGAAATCCGTAATGGCCGTGAGGAAAGACGAAGCGCCCTGGAAACGCTCTTCCCAGCTTTCCAAGACCTCGGCATATTTTTTGTTCGCCAGCAGCGCATCGCAAGACACCCCAACGGTCAGGAGCCTCTCAGAGTCTGGGTCTGCCTGTCCAAGTGGCTCCGACGCCAACATCGTGGCGGTGAGTAGAAGCTTGTGGCCGACATGAAGGTGGTCAAAAGTGCCTCCTACGGCCACCGAGTAATGAGGTGTGAGCGGCTGCTGCTCATCGGGAACTAAAAGGGGCTGGGGAATCGTCCAGTCGGGTTTGCTGGAGATGGCCTGCAGGCTCGCCGCCATGCGTTCTTTAGATTGAGCGGGAAGACTACTGACGAACGTGCTGGTCAAGGCTTTGCCGGTCGTGTTGTTTAAGTGGAAAATGTAGTCCCATGATCGCTTCGACGTTGCTAGCGACTGCAAATCCAGAATAGGCCCGAATTGGGAGCTGCCGAAGCCGGTCTGATCTGCGGCTGTATAATCGACAAACACCACGCGAGCATCGATGCCTCCAGGTGAGTCAAGCTCAATATTGCGTGCCGCGCAAACAGCACCGATGAGGGTATAGATGCTGGTCAGGTAATGCTGAAGCGTTGCAAAGACCCTTGCCCTGGGCCTGCAGGATGGGGACAGCAAGTCAGGAATCGCTAGAGCCAAATCCAACGTGGCAATGTGATTGGATCCATCCAGGGGCTCTGAAAGCCTGGTCAATGCATCCGACACGGATGGCTCAAAGGCATCTTTGACTGAACCGAAAGAGAAGGATGGAGGCGGGGGAAGTAAGAGAAGAGCCGAGGACGGACTGGTGCGATTAGATGCCATGAATGGGGAGTATACACAACTACAAGGCCATAAAAACAGATTCAATGAAGATGCAAGCAAATCAAGCAATTAAGCCGAAGATTAACAAAAAGCACGAAGTTCAAGAGAAACGGAGACTTCATCCATGGAATGGCGGGCGGGAGGGTACCCGGCTGACTCAGCCCTTTGCGCCTCGCCCACGAGCGACGACTCCTCCACAGCTCCCACCCTCCGATACAAAAGCGCCAGCATGCCATTGTGAGTCAAGTGGCCTGAAAAGCTGGAATGATACCCGGCTGTCACGCCTTTTTTGGTCGGAGCTCCCTCGCAGCTCGTTGCGCCAATTCTTGTTCCGTTCTTCAACCTCCCTTCCCGGGTCTCGAATCTTGCCAACGAGGGACAGCGAAGCTCACCCTCGGATTACGACCCATCGCACTCTACCCTGCATAGACAGCGTCGGCCCACCCGCAAGCCAGCATCATGTCGAATCCCGCGTCCTTCGATTCTAATCGACGGTCAGCCGTGTTCGGCCGTCAACCAGAAGAACTGCACATTCCGTCCACGGGGCTGAACAACCCGAACCTGTCACGTCAGCCCTCGTCCCATGACTACCCGACAACGCCAGATGCCGGAGCTACCCAACTGCCTTCGATCAATGTCCACACCAGCTCGCAGCAGCTGCAGTATGGAAGCTCCGGCGCCAGTGGAAACAATGGCGGGGCCCTTCCCGGAGCCTTGACGCCCGGGAATCACAATCGCCCACCCGCCGTATCGGTAAACACGGCTCCATCGGTAATCCCGACTCTACCACAGTCCTCGCAGCATACCAGCCAGCGCTCTAGCATGGTCAACCTGCACGGACACTCGCGATCAAGCCCCGCGGGGTTTGATCAGTCGATCTATAAACAACATGGTGGATCGGATGGCTCCCGATATCCCTCTTCCCCCGGTGGAGGATATCCCCCTCAAACCCCGCAAGGCTCCAAATATTCGCCACTGGGGCTGGCCGACATTCGCCCACCGGGTGACCACCTGTTAGGCGATACGCTGATGAGTCCCGGGTCGCTGCCCTACAACGGGGACACTCAAGTCCCAACAAACAGCAACTACCTGGCACCATGGCCTATATATGCTGTGGATTGGTGCAAATGGCCGATTGCGGGAAACTCAAGTTCATTTGGGGGAAAGCTGGCTTTAGGGAGCTACTTAGAAGACAACCATAACTATGTTGGTGTGATTTGTGACTCAAAATTGACCAGTGCTAATCTTGTATAGATCCAAATTGTCGATACGCACTGGACTCAACCGGATCCCGATACACAGGACGCCGCCGCCGGGGAGATCAAGCTGGATTATGTCAAAACTGCCGAGGCAACTCACTCCTATCCCGTCACTCGGGTCCTTTGGGAGCCCCCCTCGTCCCAAAAGCAGTCTACTGATCTTCTTGCTACCTCCGGGGATCATCTTCGATTATGGTCGCTACCCAATTCCCAGCCAATGCAGGGCTCCAATTCGATCACACGACCCACAAATCAGCGAGACGCTGGCCCATCCAAGCTCTCGCCGTTGGCGTTGCTGTCAAACTCCAAATCCCCAGAGCACACCGCCCCGATCACCTCGCTTGACTGGAACACAATCTCGCCAAGTCTCATCATCACCTCGAGCATCGACACCACCTGCACTATCTGGGACATCCCAACTTTGACCGCCAAAACACAGTTAATTGCTCATGACAAGGAGGTGTTTGATGTTCGATTCTGTGCCAATAGTGTTGATGTCTTCGTCAGCTGTGGTGCCGACGGTAGTGTGCGCATGTTTGATCTGCGAAGTCTCGAACATAGCACGATCATCTACGAGCCGTCAGATAAGAACGATAAACGTAAGAATTCTTGCTAGTTGCCGCAGCGTTTTACTTCCTATTGTCTCTCGGCTAACCTATTATTTCAGAATTGATGAGTCCCGGGAAGTCTAGTCCCTCCGGTCCATCGCAGTCAGGCCCTTGGTCTCCACCGCTGCTCAGAATTGCCGGTATGTACAAAATGGATATACTTCTGGAGCATCTTGGTCATAAGCTTACTCTTTTCAAAGCATCCCCTCATGATGCTCATCTCCTCGCCACCTTTTCGCAGGATTCCAACGTTGTTCGTGTCCTCGATGTACGGCAACCTGGCCAGGCTCTGCTTGAGCTCAAAGGTCACTCTGCCGCTCTCAACTGCTTAGAGTGGTCCCCGAACCGGCGGGGCGTTCTTTCCTCTGGTGGAGACGACTGTCTGGTTCTCCTGTGGGACCTGATCAACCAGCACAATGCCGCACCCCTCTCCCCGCCGGCCCACAACCCTGGCGCCCCATCCACGACGTCTGAGCGGGGCCCCGCCGCTGCCTGGCAGTGTGACTATGAAATTTCCAACATCAGCTGGTCCCCGCAAGGCGGGCCCAACCACTCGGGCCACTCACGAGAATGGCTTGGAGTTTGTGGTGGACGGGGTATTTGGGGCGTTGCGTTATGAAAAGGTAAAAAGAGAGAAACTAAACAAAAACCGATCACAAACTCTTGAGGATCTGGTCATCTGTCTGCATTAGATGGTTCTTTTTTTTTTTCTTATCTCCTTTTCTTTTGTTGTGTCAGTGTTATCTTTTTGATTTTTTTTCCTTGTCCCGTCGATTTTGCTTCGCGCGGATACAACCCATCCGACTCTTGTCCCTCCATATCTTCCATGATTCTTGTCTTTGCTATACCGCTGGGGGGTTCTTTTCCCTGTCTGGTATATCTTTGCATAGGTCGAGCCCAGAGCCAGTTGACGTCCTTGTGGGGATCTCTTGTTTTCTCTTGGGGGAATTCTCCCAGATCATCTCGATCTACGTCCTTGATTTGGTACGAGTGAATGAATGAATGAACAATACTCGATATTTACAAAGGGCATTATACTTGCTTGCTTACTTTGTTCTACGTAAATTGTATCCCTGCATTAGAGATAACCTATGCTTGGACTAAAGAGTGAGAATGTGGTCTTGGAGACACCTTCAAATCTGAAGGGCAGATAGATCTGTATATTGATATGGCCGTCTTATCACCGAGGGGCCGACACATTATCTAGGTAACCGTCATTGCAAGGGAACAGGGGGGAATTGTCAACAAAAGACCAGAAAGCATTGAATCAGACCAAGACTCGCACAGCGAGAAAATATCAACATGAAAAAAAGAAGGCGGGGAGGAGGGCACAGCGAACGCATTCAAGATTGTCGATGTTCTTGTCCGCTGGGGGTAGCAGAAGCCGGAGCCGCTGTGGCAAGGACGCTGTTCTCAACCCAACGAGTGAATTTCACACTGGGGACATCGACCACGCGCCAGAACAAGTCGCCGGCCCAGATACAGAGAGGCAGGCAGATGAGCCAGCCGATCAACAAACCCAGGCAGTAGTGGAAGTCGTCTTGCTTGCCGGTGTACTTCCAGACAGTAGGCATCAGCGAGTAGCCAAAGGAATGCAGGATCGGGCCGTGGACAACATAGAAGGCGAAGGAGATTTTGCCCACGTACTGGGACAGCGGATGGGTGAACAGTTTCTGGAGGTCGGGGGAGTGGTTGATGGAGAAGACGATGATGAGGGCGCCAATAGTTTGCGGGAAGCGGTGCGGCTCGCCGTAGGTGACTGGGGTGAGCCGCCAGAGCCAGTGGTAGCCGGGCGTCCACTTGTAACCGATGTTGGGCGACGAGCCGATATACAGGCCGATCGTGAAGATGGCGAGCCACAGAAAGCGGCGCGGGATTCGGAGGCCGATCTTGCTGCCGGAGCGAAGACGAAGGCGCATTTTTTCTTCTGGGTGGTCTTGCGGACCGCCGGCGGGGCGCTCCCACGTCCCCAGCATCAGATCTACCTCGGCCATGAGCATGCCGCTGAGGAAGATGATGATGTCCCAGCGGCCGTAGCGCGAGCAGAACCAGATCAGACACCCGACCAGGGTCATGCGCGCGGCCGGCATCAGGCGCGAGGTGGCGAGGAGCGTCAGGAACAAGACAATCGAGCTACGGAACTCGACGGGGATCGTCCACAGGTGGGGGTTGTAATTGTTATAGAAGGTCTTCCAGTCGAATGGATCCGCCAGGGTTGTGAGCGTGTAATACACGTCCCACCATTGCTCCTCGAGAGTTTCCATAGCGGGCGGGTGTTCCTCGTTCGTCCCGATTACGGTATGGCCCTCCATGAGGATATCATAAGTGCGATCATAGAGTCCACACCGGACGGCCACTAAAACACAAGCAAGTCCACAGATGGCGGGGATATAGAGGCGCATGGCACGGCGGAAAGTCGCCGAGGCCAATGTAGTGAATGTCTGGTCGAAGGACCGGTTGCGCATCGTCTTGAGTGGCTTATAGGAGAGGACATAGCCGGAGATGACGAAGAAAATAGCCACCATGATGTGGCCTGAGATGAGCATGTGAAGGATCGGGAGCTGATGGATATAGACATTCTTGTGGGTAAATCCCCATCCCGCCGAGACTGTCCAGGTATACGTGAAGAGGAAGTGGAAGTTGAAGACCAGCATACAGGCCCAGCCGCGCAGACCGTCGAGCGCTCCGATGGCATGGAGCTTGGCCGGCTCAGGGTCCTTGGTGCCTAACCAATGCTGAACAAAGCTTGGTAGGATCCATGTAATCAGCTTATATGTCTGCACTTCGACGTATTGTATCCAATCCTCCTCCTCGGGCTTGGACGTAAGGTCATGATGCACGCGGTGATTCGGAGGGGGGATTTCCAGGAACCATTCGAGCGGTAGGGACCCCTTGCGCCAGATTCAAGATCGGATAAAGGGATAGCAGCGGCCGAGGTAGAGGCGCGGCCCTCGGCAGGGGTTGGCATTGCCTTCACGTTGTGCACGGGAAAAAGATCTTCAGGTGAACATGCTCAATGTGAAAGGAGAGTCAGCCATCAACACCACTTCTCAGGGCGGCGAAGACACAGGGAGATCAGGTTGCTCTCAGTCGGGAAGAAGAGAGAGAGAGAGAGAGAGAGAGAGAGAGAGAGAGAGAGAGAGTGTGTGTGTGTGTGTGTGTGTGTGTGTGACAATTTCTTGAAGAGTTGAAGAGTTAATAAGTTAATAAGTTAACAAGTAAAGAAATTAAGAATATCCCAAAATGGCCCACGCGCAACAGGGGCGGCCCCCAAGTAAAAAGCTGACGTTTATTCAGATGACGCGCAGATCCTTTGCCCTTTGCGGGTAGGGCTACCGTGTTCGAATTGCTGGGGCGTACTGGGGTTTCTTGGCGTATTTCTTGATATATATAGAAAAGAAAGATAGACAAAGCCGATATATCTTATAAGTAGGTCAACTCAAGTTCAATAGATATTGATATCTATTTTTTCTCCAGTAAAAGTGGCTCGATCGGGAAAACTATAATACTATAAGGCTTTAGAGGAGGTCACGCGAGCCTTGCCACGTAATACTGAGAGTTTTTCATGAGAAATTGTGGCTATAGATGAAGAGAATTGAGAGTCTATATTTTGGTCTTTGTGGCTCTCAGTTGCTGGCTATTTCCTGTTGCCTAGCCAGTATATATAGTATAACAACAACCTGATAGTCGAAGAGTTTCCGGTTTCAATGAATAGTGCATAGATAAAGTATATCTGACTTGAATGTATTTTATCTATGCATAGCCCCGCATACTAGCTCCTAACCTTTCTTCTTGTTTCGGGTTAAGCTTCTGATATTTGATATACAAGTAATGGTTGTGGTTGGCTTAGTATCGTTGATGTCATCTCCTATATTTCAGTCAACCACAACATATCACAGACCGGAAAGAATATATCCTATTTAATCAAAATAGAGAACTAATCAGAAGCCTATTCCATCTATGTATTTCTAGAATGATGCCCAGAATTGGACCAAGGCCCCGCTGAGTCATGGATAGACCACGTGACTACGACTCGAGGTAGATTCCACCCTGGCCTTTCTTTTTTCTTGCTCGTTTGCCGAAAACATCAGGAGCTATGACGAACTGTGCCATGAGCTCAAAAACACAAACCAAAATTCAAGGCCTAGGATACACATATCTAAGACAATTTCAATCGGTGCCAATACAGTTAGTGGCCCCCAATGCCATTGGAGTAGAGCTCTGTAGTTACATATAGCCCCGTAGCCAAGCTCAACCTGTGAAAGCTCCCGAGGTCCTAAAAAAAAAAAAAAAGAAGAAGAAGAAGCAGAAGAAGAGAAAACCAACAAGATTGATCCGTCAATGCCAATCTCAACCCAACAGGTTCTCTCATAGTTCTCTTGGTTCTTTGCGAACCGAACGCCGATTCGCGCAATTCCGCAGCTCGAAAACTTCCTTTCTCCCTTCCCTTTGTTCTCCCACCCACCCTCGATCCGCGCTCACTTTCACCTCCGAATCCCTTGTACATTCAGCCTGGATGTCACAATTGCCCGTCGCGTGTCCTGTTCGATAATCCTGCCCGCGGTGGTCCATGGTCGCAAGTGGACACGGTCACCATGGATTTGCGCACGATCATGAATAGCGACGCCGGCGGCGCCTCCAACCCCCCGCCTGCCACACAATCCTCTGGCCCTCCATCTGATGCATCTCATCAATCGCGCGCCCAACCACCCTCCTATCCTGACTATGCAGCGCGCCCACAGCCTCCGCTGTTGCACACATCGCCGAGCCAGTCGTCACCCTATGGCCCAACCCAGTCGCCATACCAGCAGTTCAGCGCCCCAAAACTGAACACCGCAGTGCAGTCCCAGCGAAGCCAGAGCCCCCCACATGTATCCGCTCCATATGGGCCAGGTGCGCGAGATCCCTATGGCGCCGCATACCCGAATCCGCAACACCCCGCCGGCCCGTTGGCGTCGCCGTATACGCCGCAGCCCATGAGCGCAGGGCCACAGTATCCAGAGCAGTCATCACAATTTGCCCAGCAACGATCGCACTCGCTTCAGTCCGTCATGACCAATCCGCATGCCCCGAACGAAAGCTTCCGTCCTCAAGACAGCCCTCCGTCTGCATCGCAACCTCTGCCATCACAACAGTTTTCGCCTTCTGCGCACCGCTCTGTCCCTGACACTCCTCTCGGTCCTCCTCCTGCCTTTTCCACCCACCAATCCCCATTGTCGACGCGACCTCAGTCCTCTGGTCGTGATTCCCCGCGCAACCCGTTATCCAGCCCACGACCCGCGGTAGATATCCAATCCCGGGAACCAGGCCCAACGCAGTCCCCAGTGACCCAGCGGCAGTTCTCTCCGCGCGGCTCCCGGCCACCCGAGCTACCCTCCCATCCTCATCCGGCGAACCTCAAACCGGAGCCCCGAGAGAGTGCCAGTCCCAAAACCGTCTCCCGCCAGAATAGCGCTGCTGCGACCTCTGAAGATCGAAGGTGGAATGAGAGTCCCACAAGTTCTTTGCATCCCGGGGCGGGGTCAGATGTGCGCGCGTCACCCAGTGCTCTAGGCCACACCCCGATCAATAGTTCTCCTTCAGGCCCAGGGGTGGGTGCCCACCCCCTGAAGATGGAGGTGGACCACGAGCAAGAACCTCGTCCCGAGATCCAGCCGCCCAGGCCCAAGAGAAGAAGATATGATGAGCCTCCAGTTTATGCCCAGAGGTCGGTCCGTACCAAAGGCAAATGTCCTGTCATTCCGAAATGTCAGCCACCGATCCCAAAGCATGCGAGGAAAGCATATCATGATTCCTGGGCCACTCGCAGACAATCATCACCAGGGGCTGGATCTGCCGTGCCTGCTCCAACGCGAGCTATTCCTGGTCCCGCTGCACAATCACCGACTACAAATGGACCATCGTCACAGCCTCCCTCATTGAACCCCCCGCCGTTGAACCCTCCGAAAGTGGGTTCCCTGGGGCGTTGGGAGCCATCAATTTCTGGATATATTCCATACGAAGAGGTTACCAAGTTGCTCTGTGATTTCCTCTTCCAGCATGTAGTCATGAGAAACGATGTGGCGGCCGGGCCCGCTGGCTCTGCCGCCGCAGGACAAGGGGCAATCATTGAGGTAGAGGCAAAACTAGGTCATGTCATGGACATGGATCGAGGAGATAGGCTTCGCCTGCCGGTTCTGACGGAGACTGCCATAAACCGGGAGAACTCACGGTTTCGGACATCGTTTGAGAGTAGCATGACCATCGTAAGTTTTGTGATTAGTGCCGTGCAGTCCATTCGCAGTCAGCTAACTTGATATTCTCTGTTTTATCTAGGAGCAACACCGCGCCATGAATAACTTCTTGAACGAGACGGTGAAAGCATCTCTACCGCAGAGTGGCCCGAATCGCATTCCCCTCTCGTATGCCCACAAGAAGGAGCGTGACACATTCTATGAGGTCTCGCCGGCTGAGCTGCCCCCGGTCATCCGCCAAAACTTGAACCCACGGCACAAGCCCAAGGTTCGTGTGACAACCGACCAACGCACGGGTGAGGTCCTTGCCAAGATCATCAAGTGCCGCGTCGCCGATATCGATGTGAGCAGCCCGCGCACCACGGTAGATTGGCGCGTGAGTGTCAATCTCGAAATGGAATACCCGGGTGATGTACATCACCTTCCCGTGGTCGATGCAAGCAAGGGTGGTCGAGGCGAGCGCAATAAGGATCGTATGAGCTATCGGCATCTGGCATATCAGATCGATTTGACTCAGGTAGCCAGAGCGGAGGTGAGTTAGAAAGCCCCTGTTGTGTCTTGCGTATTTGCTAACGTACTCCCAGCCTCCAACGAAGAATGATTTCGAACACGAACTCGAAATCGAAGTCTCTGGCGCCGAAATCCGCCGCCAGGGTCAGCTTGCTATCTCGGGCGATCCGACCAACCAGTACGAAGACCTCATCAAGGGTTTTGTGGATAATATCCGCATTCTGGCTCGGGCTGTGCCCCCGTGAAGTGGGCTGTTCAATTATTATTTTGTAATATTGTCGTCCTTGAAGTTTTTTTAGGTTGATGTTGAAGGTTACGCATGTCTACTTCGTTCTACTCGTGCAGATACGCTTCTTTCTTTCTTTCTCACTCGCATTGAATGGCAAATTCAAAGAAGCACTCGACAAGAGACAGGTGTGTCTGTTGCTGTCGAGCCTGAAGATTCATGGTTGATTATATTCCAAGGTTAGAGTATGTTAGATTATGCGATTGTAATCTTGTCTTCCCGGATTCTCGAGTTCATTTGGTGAGATTCTTGTGGATTTGATGGAATTAACTAGGATACAAGCATTGTATTTCGTAGTTTCGTTCTCTATTCCCATCAACAGTCTAAAGTCGGAATACTGTCAAACTTCCACGCATTTATACAAATCTATCAACATCCATGGATGCGAAGTATACAACGGATTTGCCCAGACAGGCAGCCCAACGCCTTATCTTTATCACCGTGCTCCACACCGGATCCACTCAGGGTCCCCCAAGCTCATCCGCACTTTAGCACTTTAAACCCCAGCAGTCCTGAACGACGGCATCAACGCGCTGCACTCCACCTCGGCCCGAGACAGCATGCTGCAAGAGCGGCTCCCCGATCTCCGCCAAGAATCGCATGCCTTGTATAAGATCTGTCTGGCGTTTCAGCTTTCGCTCGCCAGCAATCTCACGCCGCGCTTCTTCGAGTACCTTGACACAGCAATGCGGACATTTCGATCCGAACTGGCGCGTAGCACCAGCCTCGCGGATGGTATGCTAACTGCCGAGACTGTTGTGCAGCATTAGCGTGCGTACCCTTCTCTCTTTCCCACCCCAAGATGTCTTAGTGGTTCTTGGCTTAAAATTCTGACACGCTCACCTTTTTTTTTTGGCTGGTCCAGCTGATGCATGGATTGCCCTAGACGATCCATCTGGAACGCGTGCACAGCATCCTACACAGCCATTGCTTCGAAAATCTGCGCGATCCCTCCATGTCCGACTTTCGCACCCACCTCCTGGAGGTCATGAGGGTCATCGACCTACCCTGTTTCTCTGTTGGCTGCCGCATTCCCTGCATCGGCATCTGGCGCCGCTACTGCCAGGCCGCGCGCCCAAGAGACGGCGTCGAGCCCGTAACGGGTCTGCCCCGGACCTTACAAGATATCTTTGCGGGGATCGGGCTGGAGACGACCGAGCAAAGCCTCTGGGATTGGTACAGCGAACCGCGCAACTTCCTGCAATGCTAATTGTGGGAAGCCCACCAGCTGGCCGCGATCTTGACTCTTCGCCGCCAGACCCGGGATATGGTGAGCCCTGCCGCCACGCCGCACAATCTGCATCTGCCGAACCCGGCCACCGTATTAACATGGCGGCACCCCCAACCAAACCCGTGTCCCGTGGGCACAACGGTCCTGGTGGCCCGAGTGTTAGCTAACCTCGACGCGCTCCGTCTGGGGTTTCGAGAGCGTCCAACTGAAGGTACTTTCATCAAGAATGCTATTCTCTACCCGCTCTTTGCTGCGGGGATGGACATTCCTGTTCTCAATCGCAGGCCGTATTGGAAGGATACCATCCGCAGTTGCGCTCTGGGCACTTACCAGGATGGGATTCTTCTCAACTTGCTGGAAGAGATATGGGAGAGAAATGATCCTGATCTCACTACGGACGACTTGGCCCGAAGCAGAGGAATCGAAACCGGATTGATATGACCCTGTCCTGTAAAAGAATCCGCCAGCCTCCATCAACCGATCCAATGGGAGAATAGAAAGAGACATGGATTTAGTCTGGTCTGTCCTCTTTCTCTTTCCTCCTATATCCTACATTGCACGACCCACGCACACGCATTCCCTCGTCTGGGCGAGTCTATCGACTATTTTCCAACCTTGACACTGATTGTTCTCTCATCTTATGACCAACTCTCTTGGTTCTTGTCCGCCGAGACTTCCTCCACCACCCGAAACCTCAACCTCTCGTCACTCCGATATTTTCCTCTTGCGTACATCCTAACCGCAATAGATCTTCTTGGGTGTGATCCAAACCCAATATCTCTGCTCCTCAGATCAGTCCGCGTGATAGCAATGAAGGATGCACAGCAATAATCCGAAGGTGCCACAGTCGCTCGTGGATATTGTACTTGTAGCGGTGCCAAGCTGGTCTCGCAAGTGTGCATGGCAGCTTCTTTAGATGTTGGAAGTGGGCAAGTCAGCGTTGATTGAATTCCTGGAGATGTTTACAGGATGATCTCTACCATTTCAATTCTTCCTGTCTTGTATATACACGGGATTCAGACCATGCATCCACCATATCTCGTAGATACTTCTACTTAGACTAGCCCTTGGACGTCTTCTTTCTTGCGTGCCAACCTGCACGACACTTGACTGACCAACGCATCAACACCGCCGACCCCCAGCATTATAACGTTCTGTATGTGTGACACAACTGGTAATCCCCTGCTGCAGCCCTACGACGCTGTGGTTGGTCGTGGCCATTGGGTCAATAAATCTCATACGTGTTTTGGTGATGGCGATGAATCTTCAGCATTGTACTCTACATCAGTCTCGAGGGCTCTCTTGCACCTATCTTCTTTCTGTAATATTTGTGAACACAGCTCGGATTTCAGACCCTTGAGCCGGCACGAGATTCAATTTTGCCAACCCTTCCGTTTAACACAGCTCTACTAGATGGTCTATAGTCCAGACCAGCTCATTCTTCCGTCCGTCTTGCAGCTTGCAGTTGAGCAACCCACGTTTTGTGCCAGTTATTTCACATCTGTCATGAAAATTAAAAAAAAAACGCAGTATTTGTCCCCGCTGCTATATCTCCTGTCTACTCACAAAATCATTGAAGCCAGGAAATGCACCGCTCGGCACTGAGAACCCCTCGACAAGTGCGGCGTCCACCTAACGCACCAAGGCAAGACCAGTCTTAATCGTGCACAACGGGAATCTGCGTGAAAAGGGGGGCCAGACGACAGCGTAAATACTCGAGTTCTTCCCTCATATTAGATAGATAAGCCAGACCATAGCAATTGGGTAGTTGATTTTTTTTCTCTCTCAACCCAGGTTGAACTGAAGATCGCCCGACCCGGATCCCGTCCAGCGCTGTGTTCTACAAAGACACCACGGATTCTCATCATGGGCTGGCGTACCTGTCACAGCGGGTTGGAAACGACAATCACCTATCATGTGGACGACTGGTCGGGTCTGAAATGTTGAGTGTTGTGTTGACCGAGAACCCCAAGTCTATATATACAGCTTTGGTGTCACCGCCGACTGCATCATCCTCAAGGAGGGCAATTTCTTTTGTTTTCTTTTGTTCAATTGAGAAATGGCCGATAGCCCTCGACAGTCATTGACCGGAAACAATGTCATCCATCCCCCAGGCACGTTTCAACTGATTCGAGGTACGCGGCAGGCTCATTGTTTCTTGGACATTCCTCGTGCGAGGCTGACTAGCTCCAAGGCGACGAGACCGATCTTCATGGCCAGCGTGTTGTCATTCTGGACCCAATTCCATCCAACGACCCCAATGAACCCTTGGTATAACAATTGCTTTGCTATTTTCATGCTAAATCTCTCAGCTGAACTCGGAAATATAGAACTGGAGTACGACCCGAAAGACAGCCAACTTTGCCATCGTGCTAGCCACGACAGCCATCATTTTTACCGCGTGAGTAAATGAAACAGATCCAGCATATTACCTCTTCACTGAATACACCTTATCATCCTGCCATCCTACTGTACAGAATCTCCATTCAGGCGGTTTTCTGGCAACAAATGGTCGTCGACCTCCAGGTCTCCTACACCCATCTCAACCAATGCATGTCGGTCAACTACGTTGGGCTCTCGACAGGCTGTGTGGTTTTCATCCCGCTAGCCAAGAAATATGGCCGACGGCCCGTGTATATCGCATCGACGGCGCTGATGCTGGCAACGTCGTTCTGGACGGCCAATCTACAGAGCTTAACCGAGCTGTATATCACCAATCTCTTGCAGGGATTCGCAGGTGCCACCAATGAGTCCATTGCGGAGATTACCGTACATCTTTCTCTTCTCTCTTCTTTCTTCTTTTATTTTATGATTGATCCCCTCACCCTGCTGATGTTGCACAGATAGCAGATCTCTTTTTTGTGCACCATCGAGGCAGCATGAATGGTCTTTATATGGTCATGATCATGATTGGGGTATGTAGCACACCATATCTCACATCCCACATCTGCTCTGCATTAGTGTTGTGTTTCTCGGTTGAATATTAAGTGCTTATTGCTGAGATGCGTCAAAAAAATCCACCAATAGAGCTTCCTTGCTCCCATGGCAGCAGGCACTCAGGCTACCCGGCAAGGATGGCGCTCTTCTTACCGCACCATGGGCATCTTCAACGGCATTCTGCTGGCGCTTTTTCTCCTCTTCTTTGAAGAAACCAAGTATATCCCCGTGATTACCGGACGAGCAAGCACAAGTCCCAGCGAAGACGATGACCTCTCAGCCACCCCCAAGTCAGACACCAAACCCGAATACTCAAAAGACAGCAAAGCCCGCATCACACTCGAGAATAGCAACCAGCAGCACGAGCTCGACCCAACAATTCCTCGAAACCCATGGCAGAAACGATTAGCCTTGATCACGGCAACCCCAGAACCTATCTGGCCATACTACTGGCGCCCATTCTACGTGCTCGCAACTTTCCCAACAGTGCTGTTCGCCGCGCTGCAATACGCCGCCGGCGTCGTCTGGCTGACCGTTACTGCCAACGTGCTTTCACTTGTCTTCCCGCTGCCACCGTATCAGTTCACCCCCGAGCAGATCGGGTTCATGAGTCTCGGCCCGTTTGTCGGCAATGTCCTCGGCGGCATCTACGGCGGAGTCTTGGGGGACTGGTTGATTGTGTATTTCTCACGCAGAAACCGAGGGCTCTATGAGCCTGAGATGCGCTTATATATTCTGCATCTTCCGGCTCTTGCTATGGCCGGGGGCTTGATTGTTTTTGGGACCGCAATTTCTCGAGTAGGTTCTTCTTCCTCTTCTCTCTATTCTATATGAAGTGTTCTTGTATGTGTCTGAATAATCACTCTTTGTTAATCACCACAGGGCATGCACTGGATCTACCCCAGCATCGGCGGCGCCCTATTCGGCTTCGGGCTCGGCAGCATCAGCGACAGCGCATTGACTCTAGTAATTGATAGTTACCGCGAGGTAAACCACCTTCTACCCTTGCTATAATTACTGTCATTACTATTATTTTTCCATACGTTTTTTTTATTTATTTTCTTTATACTAAATAATTTAATATCAGATAACAGGTGACGCCTTCACAGGCATCGCCTTCCTCCGCAACGCTGTCAGCATCGGCATCCCCTTCGCCATCATCCCCTGGATGCAGCGCGCCGGTCTCCAGAACATGTTTCTAGCGTGTGGCTTCCTCAGCCTCGGCATGACCCTGCTAATCCTGCCTATGGTTTTTTGGGGTAAGGCTGCCCGCCGGGTTACTGCCGCGCGGTACGACCGTCTGGTTAAGCAACAGGGACGACTTCATGCGGCTTGATTGCTGTGTGCTTGTACCACCTCTATCTGTCCGAAGTATTGGGCTTGGCTTGGGGGTTGGAGAAGGGGGTGTGCCTTGTGGGGCCGGGTAGAATCCAGTTGCCTAGTTATGGTATATTGGGACTTAGGACTTGAGGATTTGAGGAATGTGTGTTTATTGACGAGTGATGATGAATGTGCCGATGGGGTATGACTCTGCTTTTTTGGAGGTTAAAAACCTCTTGCTTTTACAAAAATTCGGATCCATAACTTTGATAAGCCCTGAAAACGAATGGCATATTGACGGGTTTGCATTTGACGCTGTGGTTATTGCATCCCATGTGATATCAAGATTCTGTCGCGGCCAGACAGACTAAATCATGCACTGCAACGCCCAAGAGAAAAAGCAAATCTCCTCTGCCTAAAATCATACATTTCAAATAGATTGCACACATTCTTCTGGAATATGGATGCCTGGTTCGATGCAGGAAGAAAACAAATATAAGCAACACAAGCATATTACACAGTCCGGCTCGGCCAAACCCTAACGCAGCCCCATTAGAACAACTTTCAGAGATTTGCCTGACAAGAAGTATCAACAACAGACCGGGGCAGCTCTGCAGCCTCTATCCTCTTCTCGGAGACCAGCATTTGATCTGGGAACCACGAGAGATCTGCTTGGGCGAGATCGTCCTCTTGCAAGAGGAGCATCGTCGCCAAGGCCTTCCCACAGAACCAGGCTTGCACCATGCCCTCTCCACCGAAGGCAGCACATACCTACTCGGCTTCGGCTGTGGCACCATCCAAAGAGAAAGAAGAAGCAGAGCGATGATGTGTCACTGGCCTAGGCAGCCGTCCTACTCATGGAAACCCGTCAAAGCTAAACGCCATGTTGCCGGTCCACATCGCTTGCACTGGATCACCCTGTATCCGGCCCCAAGACTGCCCGGCAGCTCGAAGATTGCACTCAGGGCACCCGAAAGATGAATATCGATGTACAGGCTTAACTCAGAGTCGGTCGACACGCCTAGGTCGGCGATCCCGCCTCCCTCGGTCTGTGCGAACCCCCCGCCCAGCATCATCTGGCCCTCCAGCAACTGTGTCAGGAAGTCGAAGCCTCTGTCGTAGCTGAAGAGCCACGAGTGTTTGGCGGCCTGGCAGGGAAGCCGTCGCCTGGTGTCTGTGCTGACATCTGTCAGGCGCACTGCGGCCTCGGAGTCCTGGGACCAGGTGCCCAACGTGTGCGTTGGTGTAGTGAATGACATGCCGTGCAGAGATACTGCCCCCGGCCGGTTTCTACTTGGTATCGGGGACCCAAGCTTGATGTGTCATCTTTGACGGTTAACTATGACGGGAGTTTGTTCCTCGACTCGAAAGTCGACCGGAAAGTCTGCTAGCAACCGGGCCAGGATGCCAATTACGAACTTATAAGGCCACAAAGCGTCTTCCGGGCCAGCAATCACGCCTCTAGCGTAGGGAAGATTGAATTCCTGGAAATGATTAGCGCAGACCCGGGATCAAGTGAAAGAAACAAACACACCTTCGGTATTTCCTCCCCGTCATAAGCAGTCCATTCCGCCGATTCATCAGGCATACCAACTTGAAACCGAGCCAATCGCTCCAGCGCCGCCTTCCACGGCTCCTCCCCGAAATACACACTCAGGAACCGCACCTTGCGCGCCTGTGTCTCGGAAGTGAGCCCCCACTCCTCCGCAACGCCCAACATCTCCTTCAGATGCGATAGGCGGAACCGCATCGTCTTGCGCGTGATGTCCACTCCAAAGACGTCCGCCAGCTCTGCGTATTTGTCTGAGGTCTCGAGGATATGACCTCCATTGCGTCCCGTGGCTCCGCTGCAGATACTGCGAACTTCGAGCATCACGACTCTAGGATGAGAGCTTGAGGACTGGGTTTGGATCTTGAGAAATGTACGCGCGATTGATGCGCCTGTGATGCCAGACCCGATGATCACCACATCGGTCTCGGTGGGTAGTGCTGCGGCGGTGTGCTGCGCGAACCGCGGATGCAGGTTCTGGAGTCAGAATGACGAGGTCGTGGACTCATTGGGGATGCCCGGGTCCGAGAAGTTGCCATTCAGGGCATGTTGGCGCTCGGAGGCTGGGATGCCGGGGTCATTGAGGAGCGCTTGCGCGAAAGGCATAATGGTGTATTGAAAGAGCGCAATGAATGACCTATTGTTGGATTGCCATGCCAGATAAGACAGAAAGGTGTAAGCACGCAGCGGTTCCGTTCAGCCTGTCATGGAGCTCTCAAGCTGCGCATTGAAATAGCTGCTCTTGAGAGAGAGGAGAGAGGGAGATAGGGAGGACGTTAACATCATCGCTAATCGGATGCTGACTCTTGGACCTCCCTATTTGGTGCTTGTCCAACCGTCATTGCCATCTTCGATGTAATATCTTCGGTGGCCTCGACGTTATGGTCCGAAGCGAACATGTTAAGAGCCGAGGGGGGGTCGACTTGCTTGGTTTGATGTGCAGTGTGAATAGATCTATGCAACGGAGCTCCACTTAGGATTCGTTTTAGTTGGTTGGGATGTATATTTTGTATCTATAGACTTTTTCATTAGCCTTGCTTTCATCCATAATCTCACCTCAGCAACGTTGCTACCATGTCTGCACGGAGGTCAACATCAGACGAGCTTAACTTACGACCTATAATCCATGGACCATGATCTCGTTGGAGGTCGGGTGTTTCTCCAAGAATTAAATCCAGCTGGAAGACGTGACAACAGAATCTATACAATTTTTGAGCTTTCCTTTTTTTTTGATAGCACCTGGGCGCAAGCATAGACACTTTCTTCGCCTATTGTTGATTATATTACTCAGATGACGTTCATGATCTCCTTTTTCTTCAGACAAGGCAGATCGACCTCGCAACATGCTATACCGATCTGGTAGGTCGACACGGCGGGCAAGTTCCGGTGTGCTGAAAGGAAGTGGAGTCCTCGCGGTGCTCGCTTGGGACTTTAAAATCCGATTGAATCATTAATATCGGCCATTAGTGATGTTGGAACGTATGAATATTCGAAGGTTAGTTTGTTGATTTTCAGTTGTTCGTCAAATACTCGAGAATTGATCTACATTCGATTGTACCTTTACCTCACGACCAGATGGCCGCACCAGTCCCAAAAGAAAGCCGGAATAAAACTGAAGGGTTCAAGAACATGAGGGTTCAGCCCAAACCAAGTGCCATTTGCTGCTGTTCTGAAGAAAATACATGGGCGTGCAAAGTAGAATACATGTGAGAACAAACCAATCCCCATTTGATATCTAAAGCATGGTTGTGTCGAGCCTTTTGATGCATCAAAGTGAAAGGAGAAATGAAACAGAATGGGGAATCGTCCAAGAGCAAAATCATGGACTCGGGGTCCCTTCGTCGTACCGCGGTCCACCGTCATCGTCACCGTATGTTCCCGCCCCAGGTGTGGCAGGGCCGCCCATGGCTGGTGTCGGCGCATCAAAGGCAGCAGGGGTCGGGGCATCGTATCCTCCCCGCTTCGAGGGGCCACCGGGGGTGGGCGCGCTGAAAGCACCGCCAGGTGTAGGGGCACTGTCGGGCCAGGCACCCGGTGTAGGCGCAGAAGCGCCGGGGGTTGGGGCACCATATGCGCCCGGCGTAGGCGCGTAGTTGCCGCCCGGAGTAGGGGCATCGTCGTAATCCCGCTGCTCTCTGCTAGTAGATAGCCCGCCCCAGGCCGGAGTACGGTTGCCAGCATTTGCGCCACCCCAGGCAGGAGTACGAGATCCTGCAGCGAAAGCATCGAATCCAGAACCGGAGTCGTAGGGGGTTCGAGATCCAGAATTCCATGCCGGAGTGCGGTTGCCCACTCCTCCATAAGCTGTGCGGTTTCCCTCCCAGGGGTTCGAGGTGCGCGATCCATCCGCCTTCCACGCCGGGGTACGAGAGCCACTCATGCCGGACCAAGCAGGTGCTACATAATGATTAGCATCTTCACCAACAGCCTCCAGGATCCAGACTTACTCCGTGCGGAGGCACCACCCCAAGCAGGAGTTCTCGAGGAGTCGGCAGCAGCCATCGGGGTGCGACCTCCCTGCCACCCATCTCTCCCAGGAGGGGCCGCCGAGGAGCCGAACGGAACGCGCGGGCCTTGTCCACGGCCCATGCTCACTGGCTGTCTGGAAACAGGACTGCGAAGAGTCAGCAAAAGGAACAGTAGATAACACAAGAAGAAACGAGTACGCACTCCTTTGCAGCCAGAGAATCCCGCGCCACATGTACGTGCTTATTGGATGTGTAAAGCTCAACCTGAGCCAAGGTATCATCGGCATCCCGAACAATACCGACCAAGCCCTTGAAACGACCTTTTCGAATCGTTACGGTCTGTCCAAGCAGCTTGTCACGGCCGCGGCGGGGAGGTGGCATCGCACCGCCGCCAGGTGTCTGCATAGACAAAGCAGGGTTCATCTTGGTCAAATCAGGCCCGGCAGCCCGGCCGCCTCTCGCTGAGACAGTGACGACGTTTGTCGTCCGCACGACAGCAATACCGGCATTCTCAGCTTGAGCCTTGTTGTGAACAAAGAGAAACGAGCGGTAGACATGGCGGATAACCCCGCTCCTCTGCTCTCCGTAAACCTCACGAACGGTATCCCCGAGGCGGATTTCAGCACCATTGCGATCAGTTGCGACTGCGTCGCGGCGGGGTGTGATCTTGTTCGCAATCTGAGTGGGAAGAACATTACGAACAGAACCATTTTGGTCCACGACGCGAAGAGACTCGCGGTCGACTTTGATAACACAACCGACCGTGGCAGCACTAATGACAGGTTAGCTGGATTCTCAACTTTATAGGGAATGCACTCACTCAAGTTGGACCAGGTCGTGAATATCATAGATGCCAAGTTGTCCATCCGCCGTCATCTCCGCAGAGAGCCGGAGATCCTTACTGAAGACTGTGATTTCCTGCATGCTCATGTCGCTAAGCAGGGTGACGGTGTCGTCCTTCACTTGCACCACCATGCCCAGTTCATTTTGATACCGACTGCCCCCGATCACCTTAACATGATCACCCTCCCGGAAGCGTTTGCGGAGAGTCCGTACAGGTGCATCGATCGTCTGTCCGGTCAAGTCACCCTCAGTGACCTGCAATGAGACAATATCTCCTCGTGTGGAGACTGTGCGGCCAACCAGACCCTGCTGTTCACCGCGGTACACCTCCACGGGATCGCCGGGCAGATATGAGTCCTCGGCGGTCGAATTCTTTAGGGTTTCGGCAAGTGAGGCCAGATCCAGGTTTGCGGTTCCATCCTCTCCTCCACGCGCAAACATGGTGACCTCTTCCAGCCGTGGATTCACATTCTTGGCGATCAAGTGCTGCACTTTCATGTCCTTGATGAGGAAGCCATCGACGTAGTTATCACCATGGTAGTTCCATGACTTGCCACCCAGTCCCGAAGTAGCCGACAGATACTTGGCGTGCTTCTTCTTTGCCTCTGCCTCGCTGAACAGGCGCTGCGGAGGGCGGATGGCATTTGCAGCGCCTCGCTTTCGCTTTGCATCGGCTCCCGGGATGCCAAGAGTATCTTCATTCATGCCGTAATCCAACCGTGGAATCAGTCGTACAGTCACATTCAGGCCATTGGTCTCGACCTCTTCAATTTGGGCCAAGTCGCCCTGGTAGCGGCCGCGTTTGATGCGAACCCATCCACCTGGCATTAGCTCCTCCGATTTTTGGACGCGAAGGAGATCCGGCATTTCCTTAACTGGGACCAGGGTCATCTTTTGCGATGGATAGTAGAAAGTGATACCTTCCAGGCCTTCGATGACATCGGCTTGCCTGCGCGCTTCGCAGTAGAACCAGCCTTGCATGATGCTTCCACGTTCAAAGGCTGAGATGATGCGTATAGGGTTTCGGGAACCAGCCGGACGCTCTTCAATTCGCTTCTGGACAGAGTAGACAACCTCCCGTTCTTTTCCAGGCTTGCAACGGCAACCCCAAATGCTGGGATCCTCCACACTGGGAAGGAGTAACCGCTTTGGGACCACGAGAGCATCCGCTGCAGCAGCGCGATTCCGACCGTAACGTTCCTTAAGCATCTGGGCCTGTTTCTCTGCGTCCATGCTTGCATCGATCTCACGCTGACGATCCAGTTCTCGGTGACGGCGGTCGTCGGTCTCGGCACCCACGGGCAATGCATCGAGGTCATCGGGGTGCATTTCCGTGCCAAACTCGGCGAGCTCGTCCTCCTCCTCTTCTGCTTCGTCCTCATCTTCATCGACACCAGCCTCGTCTTCAATGAACGCGGACATGCCGCCCCTTCTCCGCTTGCGAGGTCGACCCTAGAAAACACACAAAGGTTAGTCAATCTGGAACGCACATCCAAGTCACCACGCGATACAAACCGATACTGCTTCCTCTTCTTCCTCTCCCTCCTCTTCCTCTTCCTCGTCCTCCTCGGCATCTTCTGCATTCTCACCATCCTCTTCTGCGTCTTCGACGTCCTTGGCATCGTCCTCTTCCGGCGCATCGCCCTCATTTTTCACATCATCGTCGATAGTAGTTCCTTCCCTCTTGGCTGGCTATTCATCCCCGTATTCGTTAGAGCCAATATATTCACCCAACGTAACCGGCTTGATCATCACTAACCTTGGCATCAGTCTCCTCGGCGTCCGAGTCCTGAGCAGGGGCGGGATTGAAGTCATCATCTTCATCCTCCGAGCCGAATTCCTGGTTAAGAAAGTTGCGCGACATCGTCGGGATTTGTAGGGATCGGGGTATCGATAAGGGAGTGTTTGCGCCGTCTCAGGGAGATCGCAATTTGAAGTAAAGAAGGAAGCGCTGTTGGTTCCTGAAAAAGCATGGGGCAATTTAGAATCCATAATGATCCAAATTAAGACTTGAAGGGGGCCACGTACCTTGTCCCGCGAAATCTTGCAGCGAGTCGCAGGCTGAAGGGTCAAAAGCGTGGACCGTACCAAACGGACCGATCAGGGCAAGCAGCACCTTCAGTCTAAACCAAAGTCTGCCGAGTCCAAGGGATCAACCGTGATGGCAGACAGAAAATGAAACCATGGAGTTGGCAGAGATAGTCCTGCGGGTTTGCGGGCTGCCACCGAGTGCCGCTACCGCTTACGGAGAACACGGTTGCAATCGAATGGCATGAAAGGAGGAAGAATGAAAAATGAGACTCGCCTTGCGGGGACCGAAAGGTTTTTGTATCCCGAGAGAAGGTCAGCTGATGAGAACGAATCTTGAAAGATCGAAGGCGCGGAAAGACAAGCGCGCGTTGAGACCGATGCTGCGTAGTTGGTTTCTCTGGTCACCCCTAGAATATCTCATAGCCTGAGAAATATGGCACCAACATCTGTCTCTTAAGTGAGCGATCTAAAACAACCCCGGGCCTGAGAAGATTTCATACATGACCTAGGCTTGGGCAATATTTGCTTGTTAATAAATCAAGATTATTTGTCCTGTTTCTATTGAAAATATTGCAAAAAGAATATACCAAAGAAGCCAATGTTAGAGTACAGGACAAATATTAGGAAAATGCTGACAATGGCACAGGATATCTAGCAAAAGGGCTCCCACAGGAATGACCAAAAAACGGTCTACCCTGCAATTCAAAACACATCAAAAATACCCCAAACCCACTACAGCTTCATGCCAAACATTTGGTGTACCCGCAAGCTCTGGCGCATGCTCAGGTCCAGCATGATCTCTTCGCTGCCACCAGGAATGGCATAAGCACGAACATCACGGTAGAGGCGCTCAATCTTGCCACCCTGGCCACCACGGCTGTAACTCAGACCACCAAAGATCTGGCTAGCTTCCCGGGCACAGAACTCGAAAGTGGAGGTAGACTGGGCCTTAAGGCCGGCAATGGCACCACCTAGCTTGAGCATAGCCTCGGTCTCTTCCATCGACTGGCACTGGAAGATAATGTTCTCCAGCCAGTTATATGTGGCTTCGATCTGGCGAGCCATGTGGGCCAGCTTCATTCGGATAACCGGGTGGTCGATAAGGCGCTTGCCGAAGGTCTTACGCTTGTGGGCGTACTTCATCGACTCTTCGTAGCAGACTCGGGCAAATCGCACACACTGGATGACAATTCCAATACGCTCGTGGTTGAAGTTTGTCATGATCACTTGAGAGGTAGGGTTAGCTCTCGCTCGTCGACAAACTCCAGGTCACAGTGTCTTTCTCAACTCACCCTTGAAACCCTGGTGCTCCTTGCCGATCAGGTTCTCCACAGGCACCTTGACGTCCTCGAACGTGACATATGTTGTGCCACTACTCCAGACACCTTGGCAGTCCATGCGCCGAGTGCTGACGCCACCTGCCTCCCGCTCAATGAGGAGAACGCTGAGGCCGTTCATGCCGGGCTTGCCGGTTCGAACAGCGGTCGTGAAGTAATCAGCGTAGACGCCGTTAGTGATCCACTTTTTCTCGCCGTTGACGATGTAGTGTTTGCCGTCCTCGCTGAGTTTAGCCTCGCAACCCAAGCTGGCAACGTCACTGCCCGCATCCGGCTCGGTAATAGCCAGACAAATCCGCTTGTCACCGGCCAAGATACCAGGCAAGATACGGTCGACGAGTTCCTTCTTGCCAAACTTCACCAGCGGCGGGCAGCCAATCCCATAGCCACCGATCAAGTTCCAGACCAGCCCACCGCTGCCCGCGCGCGACAGCTCATCGGTCAACAGCATTTCGTGGAACAAGTCCCAGCGGTCTGCCGGCACCGACTGTACTCGGAACTGAGTGTGCTTCTCGGGGAACTTGCCACCCAGCAGACCCGCCAGGTAGCCGCGCTCACCCATCTGCTTGTAGATATGAGCCGGAACATCCTTGGCTTCATCCCATTCGGTGACATTCGGTTCGATCTCGGATTCGACCCACTGTCGGACCTCGTCACGCAGAGCGGCATGTGTCTCATTGAAGTAAGGCGAGGAATACTAAAGCCCAGTCCCAAATACGTTAGTGTCGTTTCCAATGTATAACTATCATAGGCAACATGACTTACTCCTTGGTACCACGACGGATCGGCAAACGGAATCAACTCTCCATAAGGATCCTGAGGCGCGGCAGATGCAGCTGGTGTCGTTGACGAAGAAGCAGGAGCCGGTTTGGGATCGGCCTTCTTAGGGACCGGTGCCGGTGCCGGTGCCGGGGCAGCCTTCTTCGTATCCAGGGAACCAATTTGCAGCTGGCCCTTGTACTTCTTCAAAATCCCTTCATTGTGGTACTTCCAAAACTGTTTCGACGCATCCTTGCCGGCAACCCGTTGGAGAACTAGACGCGCAAAGTCAATATCGGCCTTCGCGGTGGCAACACCGAGCGTGACATACTCTTCTTTCCACCTGGTCGCAAGGCAACTTGTCAGCGGATGTGATTCCGGATACTTGCGATCCCGCACGGGCCGGGTCGCATGGCTTCAGACTTACCAGGATGCTCGTCTTGAAACTTTGTCACGTCGTAGACGTCCTCGTCGATCACGATCCAGAGGCCATCGCCTTTCCCATGCGACGCGACGTCGTCCTTGGTGAATGTTTTCGACATGGCGACTCTTGGGGGTAGGGGGGCAAGGGAGCTAGATGAGAAAGAGAGAATAAGGTATACGGGAGGGAAAGATGTAAGAGGAAAAGAGTATGATTATGAGGTAGTGGTAGGTGGGGGAGAGAAGAGTGAAAAAATGCAGTCCGGGGACCTGGGGTAGATGGAGCACGCCTGATATATAATCCTGGGGCAGTCAGAAGCCCTTCATCCGATATTTTCGGAGGATATTCTACTCCAGGACATGACGATGGATCCAAGCCTCGGAGCCCAGGTCAAGCAGTCCAGTTTTCACATGGAAATGAGCTTATCCACACGCGCTTGCAAAGTCGGCAACCCTCGGCCGCTGATCGGTTCGGTCATCGCCGTATGTAGACGCGGTGATTGGCCTACCCTGCGTCATCGCGGGCGAGCCGAGGTACAAGCCACGTGACCCGTCGAATGTGATCGAGTGACCGTGGATTATTGGAGGCGTGATTGGAGTAGAGCACGTCTATAGAGATCTACGAAGATCAAGAGTGGAAAGGGATCATAACGAGAAAAAGCTTCATATCAATCACACGCGGCCCCGGAAGACCGCTCCGAATAGATCAGGTTAGGAGATAGACACAAGAGCCTGATTAGTCTAGTAATACATCCACCATGCTTCCACTCTACTCTTCCTCCTCCCCTTCCGTCTCGTATGTGAACTCATCGGGAAGGGGTGCATCTTCAACACCCTCCTCATCCTCATCTACCGCCGTCAGGACACCCGCTGCGGCAGCTGCCCCGGCGGCCCGGGAAGGCTCGGCAGCCACAGCAGCCCGAGCTCCAGCCCGCTGAGGGGTCTGCAAAGCAGCGGTGCCGATGGCAGCCTGCAGGCGGTCCTGGAGAGTTTCGGTCGGGGGAGCTGGCTGCCGGGATTCTTTACTAGCCTTTAGCTCGACAGTCTCACGAGGCTCGTCGGGTTGCTTGTCAAGGACGACCACAACACCACCAGTAGGCTATAGAAATAAAGTTAGTCTTGGCTTCATAGCAACAAATAAGCATACTACACATACCCTCTTGACCGGCTCATATCGTGGGTCGGGGAAAGTCAGGTACTTGAGCTGGGCGGGAAGAACTCTCGACATGTTGTCCAGCTCGTACCCAACCTTCTCCCGCTCCGCCTTCTTCTTCTGGCCCTCCCCAGCACCCTTCTCGACCTCCTTGCCTTCTTCGCCCTCGGGCTTGGTCGCGCCCTCCTCAGTCTCCATCTTCTCCGGCAACTGATCGGAAACCTTGGGCGTCGTGGGGGTCTGGTCAATGTCCATGCTCTCTCGTCGTGCCTGCTTCTCCCGGCGCTGTGCGCGGCGCTTGGCTTGAGCAGTCGTGGAAAGCACAGCGGTCTTGACCTTCTCCGGTGCCTCCTCCGTCTTCACATGTTGTTCGGGGGGTAGTCGAAGAGACTGGGCCGAGTGTTGCTGTGGAACTTGAAGTACGGGACTTCGAGTTTCTGGTCCACGCCAATCACAGATGTAGGCGCAAAGCTGAGTGACAGGAAGTGCGTGAAAGGGAACCAGTACCAGTACTGCACAAAGACTGCGGCGCCGACGATGCCGGGCATGTTAAGGTTGCCCGTCTGCGTCTGCAGACTGATTGTACAGTTTCGGCCACCAGCATCGATGATACCCAACGCAACTGCGCAACCGAACTTAGCCATGGCATCCTCGTGACGATCACCGATCATCTTCATCATGGCCTTGCGAAGGCTGGTGACACGAGGGTTCATAGCCTCGTTCTGCTGAGCCAGCACCATGGCGAGCGCAATCAAGGCACCCTGTCGAACAAAGTCTGTCGAGTCCTTGAGCATCGGCTCCAGAAGATCGATGGCCTCGTCGAGACCGGTTCCGGCGCAAGAGATACCAAGCGCCATGGCCGCACCATATCGGACGTGAGGATTGTAGGACTCCGAGAGCAGCTCAACCATACGGGGAACACTCTGGTGCTTCCGGAACAGAATAAAACCCAAGCTCAGCACCGCAATTCGTCGGACGTCGTCGTTGACGTCGCTGACGGCAACATGAAGAAGCTTGCGAACAGCCTTGTTGCTGCCACTGCCACAGTATGCCAGGGCAATCGTCATGATACCACCATAGCGGAGAGTCGAGTCAGGGTCGCCGAGGAGACCGTTGATCAACTCGTCGGCAGCTTCCTGACGTCCGTACATGATCAAAGCCATACCAACAGCCAGCCCCCGAACGATCTTCTCGTGCTGGGTGTCGTGCGCGTACTGAATCATGTCCTCGAGGGCCTTCATATTGCCGGTGCCCAACATAACAAGACCCATGGCAAGGCCAACAGCCTCACCATTCAGAGCTGAGTCAGTGTAGAGAACGTTGCGAAGGTCGTCGTAGATGCCTTCATCGCCAGTAGCCATGCCCGCGACACCCAATCCCAGAGCTCCACCGTGCTGCACCACCTCTTCCGTGGCCTTTTTGAAGTGGTCACGAATGAGATCGACCGCCATTCCACCGTGGTTGGCGTAAATGAGACCGAATGCGTACAATGAACCACCCTGGCTGTAGACGGAGCCTGAGCCTCCCACTCCGGCGATGTGTTCCCGGGGTAGGTACGGCTGCAGGAGTTTCTGGCCTTGGCTCAGGTTGCCACGGTGAATCACACCCAGAGCAGCAGTAGCTGTAAACTTGGACCAGTTAACCGCCTTTCCGAGCCACTCCAAGTTGTCGCGGAAGAACTTGTCGTGTGTGGTACCAGCATGCATGAAGGCGTTCGAAAGCGTAACTGCAGTGTGGAAAATAGAGTTGCGTGCCTCAAGGCTATCACGGATCTTGTTCAGAATCGCAATATCGGCCTTGTTATTCCGGTATAAGAACTCCAAATTCAACTGAATTGTTTTCTTGCCGTCCAGGATCGCAAGGATATTCTTGAATGCGGTACGCAGCTCGTCAGGGAGATCTGCACCCTTCTCGCCTGAAGGTCGGGAGGAACTTGACTGATTCTCAAGCAATGGATCCGACTCCCTGGGCTCGCCCTCACCCTCATTGTCCTTTTGCTCGGCCTCGGCCTCGGGCACAAGCTCGGCAATTTCTTGGTGAACTTTTTGCAGGAACTCCTGGGTGCTATTGTCGTATAGGTCGAAAGAGATCTGGTAAGCAACTGCTAGAGATCGCGCATCACCCTTCTCGACTAGTTGGCGGAGAATGACAGATGCCATCGAGTGCTCATTAAGATAAACCACGCATTTCGCAATCGAGAAGTAGTCCGGTGCAGGGATTTCGTTCAGGAGCTCCAAAATGAGCTTCAGGATCTACCAACAAGAAGAAAAAACAATGATTAGCAAAGAAAATTTCATATCAAAGGGTGCCAAAGGCAGACAAACCTCGTTGCGGAAAGCCCGTTCTTGTACGATGCCCATACAGATGTCCAAAACATACTCCAAAAGTTCCTCGCTTCGACGAGATTCGCCCTGCTGCTTTTTCTCGTCATCGCTGGCTCGGATAATGGCCATGCGGAGCACATCCAAGCTTTTTGCCTCGATCGCGATACCGATCACCTGGCGATAGCGCTTCTGGTGGAAACACTCCTCGAACAAGCGCTCGATCACGGTCTGCAATTGACCCTGAACGCCACGTTGCAACACAAGCGGCGTTTCGGCGTGTTGAAAACTGGTATCTTCGCCGCCGGGATGGGCGGCGTCGACGCCAGGAAATTCCTGGCGCGATAGCAAGGATTTCGAGGGCAGGGCGGATTTAGAGAACGGGGTGATCGGGGAAGTAAGGCTTGCGGATGTGCTAGTGGCGCCATCGCCGGAGGATGGGAACGCAGTGTTCAGGTTGGCGGGCTGGTCACCGGCGGCAGGCCGTTGGGTGGCAGATAGAGAGATGAAGGTATCGACGCATTTCGCTGCATGAAAGAGACATAATCAAAAACCAAATTCTACAAAAATTGCGAAGAGGGCTCGATCCACTCACCGATGATGGTTTCCTCGAACTCGCCACCATTGTCCAGCTTAAACAGCTTTCCCGCGCCCAGGGCAAGAACCATACTCTCATTATATTCCTGGAGATGATAATATACCTTCGCCGCAACCAAAGCCGCCAGTTCGCGTTCTGGAAATGATTCATCTTCGTAAAGAGCCTCACTGGGAATCGGGAGTCAGCACACGTTCCGGGGGATCCGTCGGGCTCAGCGGGGACGAGATCCAAAGCACAATAGTCATCGGAAGCTCGTCCACCAGTGGAAGAGATACTCACATTTCGGGAACGGAATTGACAACTTCTGTCCAGAGCAAGTCGATCTGGGAATCTAATGACTTCAACGCAAAGACCTTAAGCTCTGGGTCAGGCTCCGAGAGGAAGCCAACCAGGCCGGCGGCCGAAACAAGTCCGACCATAGTTATTGTAAGAGACGACGTGCGTCACGATCCACTGCACAAGGCGCAATCTAATGACTGCCGCGTTGCTGGGGTTGATGGAGCAACGTCGACGGGAGGGAGCTTGGGGGAACAGCAAGGCAGGCCCCAACGCGAAAACAGGGTGTAAAGGGAAAATCAGGAATCCCTCGTTATGAGAATAAGACAGGAAATACAGAAAGAGGTAAAAGAAAGAACTCGAAAATGGATGAAGAGGACGTGCGAATGGAAGCTGAGAGCAGACAGCAGAAGCTTTGCAGGCGCGAGACCAACGTCGACGGACCAAGCTGACTGTACGCAGTATCACGTGACCGCACCAGGTCATCGGGGTCCGCAGGCCATCATCTGGGCATCTTTTGGACCGGCTGACGATTTTCCAATCCGCCTGCTGGGGCGCTTGTCGAGACATGCTCAATACATAGTCTCCGCGATCCCCCGAGGGCGATCTGCGAGCGAGTATTACTTATTCACCATGTCTACTATTCTGCCGTTTCGGGACAAACGACTACCTCCGGTGCCAGCAGCAGCAACGTCCATGTATTATCCTGATCCCCTCCTCCATGTGGAACGGCAGGCAAAACACATCCAGAACAACCTCCAGGCTCTCATTGATGCGCAAAGCGATGGGCTGCTCTCCGGTCTTGCACGGCCCCAGTCCGACGATGCTTCGAGTGGAAGCTTCACACCAACATCGACCAAAGCTGGCCGTTCTCAGTCTCCATCCACGATTCCAGCTAGACGGTCTGCACCCAAAAAGATTGGGCTTCTCTGTGCACGAGAAGGCATTTTCCAGTCAATCTATGATCTGTTGAAGCTCCGTGAGGAAGAGCGAGAGATTCTTTCGTCCCAAACGGACGAAAGGGACAAGGCGCTTCATGAAATCCAAGGCTTTAACTCCCGACGGAGTGGACTCGAGGAAGCCATTGCCACGATCCATAGCGACCAAGAGAATCAACACTCCAAGCACCTCCAAGAAGAGGCTCGCAGCCTCGAGACTGACATTCATGAACTGGAAAACAGACTATACGAGATGAAAGCTAGACACCGTGGTCTTGTGAACAAGATCTCGCATATCAACAACTCGGTCGATGCTAAATTATCTTCCTACACGGAATCGTTGTCTTTGCTCCAGTCAGATATTCAAAACTACTTGCGCGACCCTCCGGTTCAACCTTTGCCACGGACCGCTGGCAAATCCACATTCCATTCTTTGAATCCGCAACGACGCACACTTGAGATGGCTCAGGAGCACTGGAATACGGAACAAGCAGACCTGCAAAGAAGGCAGCAAAAGGTAGATGCCGAAATTCTGGCATTAGAGGAAGGGGGCGGAGTATGGAAGCAAGTGGTGACAGACGTTTCCGGTTTTGAGAAATGGTTAAAGGCCAACATGCGACATTATGTTCAGATGGATACATCTGCGACCGGGTCGAACGGGGCTCAGGTCCCCAATACCAAGCAAGAACTGATCAAGAACATTCTGGAAGATCTCGAGAAGACAACGCGCCGCGTCGAAGCCCATCTAGACCTTGCCGAGGCCAAAGATTGGAAACTCCTTGTTTGTTGCATTGCGGCGGAACTAGAGGCATTGCGGGAGGCGCGTGGAATGCTTCTTCCTGCCTTTGGCTTGCCTGCGCAGGAGGATGCGCCTTCTCCCAGTTCGCCAGCTCGCGGTGAGCCGCGGGAGGATCATTCGGACTCCCATACAGATCCGTTGGGGAATGACAACCCAGATCCGCCCGCCGGTCTTCTGAAGGATGGAGATGCTCCCATGGATGCTACATCCAGATCGGACGAGGAAGATGACGAGCCAGACCCGGCATGGCTGCTACCTGAATCTTGATAGACCTGGGAACGAGTGACGACATGCAAATAGCGATCAAGTAGACAATTTTGTACAAGAATCATGAAACCATCGCCAAGTTATTTCTGGTCGTCTGGTCATTTTTTTTTCTGGAAACATCCAGGGATTTATTGCGTAGAGAAAGGCTCCAACAGAGTTGACCTCAAATTCATGGGGCGGAACCATTCAACTGCCACCAACCTCTCTTCTCTTCGAAGGGTGAATGGAATACCTCATGATGGACCTTTCATCCCCCAGTTTGTCATTTATAATTCCCTCGATCCACGATGGAAGCAAGCTAGAATGCCGCGTCTATCTCCCCACGGGACAACAAAACATACAATCGGCGACCGGGCCCATCCGCGGCGCCATTGTCGCCCACCCCTACGCGCCTCTCGGGGGATGCTACGATGATCCAGTCGTGGGTATCTTCGGTGGAGAGCTCTTGAGCGCAGGATATATTGTAGGGACATTCAATTTCCGGTATGAGCACCGATGCCGATGTCCATGATGGTTGATCGCAACAACGTCGCTAATAGATTCCATCTATATAGCGGAGCTGGACACTCCGAAGGACGGACCAGCTGGACAGCAAGACCCGAACTGGGCGATTATGTATCGTTCTACGGGTTTATGCTGCAATATCTTAAGTATCTGAAGCATGCATTTGCAGTGAACAAGAATGACGGAGATGATGGCTTGAGTCTATCCCAAATCGCCCAAACCACTGGGGACAATGAAACACCCCAGATCCATCTCATCCTCGGCGGATATTCATACGGGTCACTGATCGTCTCGCACGTTCCAACCCTGGAGGCCATGGTTGAACTGTTCCGACCAGCCGCTTCTCCAAGCAAGCCCATCGGCGAGATCGCCAGAACCGCGAAGCAGATTGCTGCCTGGTCGATCGACCAACTCCCGATACCCAACGCCCCAGCCCTGCCCGACGACCCTTGGCTCGGGTTACAGACAGCCACCGTATCCTATCTACTTGTGTCACCTCTGCTGCCCCCGATCAGTCAGCTCTTGACAGTCTTTTCCAGCCTATCGCTGAATGTGACCGTGGAGACCTCCCGGGGCAGACATGTTGCTTGTCCCCGACCCGCTGACCAACTGACCACCCATCGGACACTGGCGTTGTTTGGGGACCAGGACAACTTTACCTCCGCCCAGAAACTGCGGAAATGGTCAAGTGAGCTGGCGCATGTGCCGCATAGTCAGTTTCAGTGGCGTGAGATTGATGGCGCGGGCCATTTCTGGCGAGAGGACGGAGTAGAGTTGCGGGCAAGACAGATACTGGCCGAATGGCTCAGTTCGATACGATAGTCTGGACCTATAGACCCATTTGCCTTGTTTATTGCATGGCCATAATGTCATCTCTTACAACAAAGGGACACCAAATTGACCCCCAGAGTGCCTGACGGCGATTGTGGAGACTTCACATGTAAAATAAGATAGGCCACATGTTCAAATGAGACCACCGAGAATGACTTGCGTTGACTATTATTATCATGCCCAGGTTTGTGAGTATAGGACTTGGAGAGATTCCTGGCCAAGGCAACTAAGAATTCCGGGGAAGTTGGGGATTTACCCTCGTGACGTCCTTCAGACCGCCAGACCTGCCCTCTTTTTCTTTTCTTCGCTTGTCTTTCGTTTTATTATTTAATCGCACCTCCCGCAGTATTCCACCGCTATTCTTGGGGTTCTCTTGAACGTGTTTTGGACTTTTGAACTTTGAACTTTGGATCAGCGACTCCAGACCCTGGCTGCATGGCTTGCTCTCGACGTACAGGCCTGCCATGTCGGTGTTGGGCGACTCCACCCTAGTTCATTCGCAATGCCAGGGAAGTCGCACGCACTCGGAACACATCTCGTCGCCTCCGTCGCCCCCACGCCGGTCGCTGCGCAAGGCCATCTCCATCCCTGCCGTATCGTCGATCGTCAAGGACTCGTGGAACTGGGCCGGAGACACCCTGCATACGTACCGCGATGGCCTCACCACGGAACAACGGAAGCAAAGGGCGGATATCGAGGATCGCAAACAAGTACTGTACCTCCGTATGAAGAATGTAAGTACACGCGCCCCGCGTGCCTGGCGGGCGGCCGCATCTGCGGCGTTACCATTCTAACCGTGACTCGTGGCTGCAGTCCGTGTCGTACGAGGAATGGCGAAGTTGTGCCTGTGAACTGGACGCCCTGGAAGACAATAACGCCTGGAAAAATACTTTTGAGTGCTCCGAATACCAGCCGAGGCTGGTCCAGGAACGACTTCGACAGCTGGAAGAAGCGCGCATCAGCTGTGATGTCAGTCGCATGCTGTTCCTCGTCCGGACCGCGCTCTCCCGGGACCTGGGAAATATGAGTAACATATCACTTTACCGACACTCTCACATTGGGACGAAGGATCTGATCGATCGCTATATTACTACCGCCTTGGACACTATCACGACGCTGGTGGATCTGTCGGTGCACAATCGCTGCGACGGACTCGAGCTGAAATATATCCTGGACCAGCTGCTGGCAGCGCGACAGGCATTTGGCCGCAGTGCACTTCTCTTTTCAGGTGGCGCTACCTTTGGGATGAACCACATTGGTGTGCTCAAGGCCTTGTATGAGGCAAATCTGATCCCCCGTATCATCTCCGGAGCCTCGGCAGGCAGTATTGTATGCGCAGTATTTTGCACTCGCACGGACGATGAACTGCCAGGGCTCTTGGAGACCTATGCGCATGGCAATTTTGCCGTCTTCAATGAGCAAGGGCGGGAGGAAAACATCTTGCAGAAGACAGCTCGATTCTTGAAGTATGGGTCGTTTTTGGACATCTCCCACCTGGCGTATACCATGCGGAGCTGGTTGGGCGACATGACCTTCCAAGAAGCGTACAATCGAACCCGCAGAATTTTGAACATCTGCGTCTCGAGCGCCGGAATGTACGAGCTGCCGCGGCTGCTGAATTACATTTCTGCCCCCAATGTGTTGATCTGGTCTGCCGTGTGAGTACATCAGCTCTTATCTTTCCTCTCGTCTGCCTGTTTCAGTTTCTGACCTTTGGTAGAGCGGTATCTTGCTCCGTGCCGTTGGTCTTTAGACCTTTCACACTCATGGCGAAAGACCCCTTCACGGGAGAACCTGTTCCGTGGAATGATCTGGACAAGCAGTATATCGATGGCTCAGTGGACGGCGATTTACCCATGACGAGGCTCTCCGAAATGTTCAATGTCAACCATTTCATTGTGTCCCAAGTCAACCCCCACGTGGTGCCATTTTTGCCCAAAGAAGAAGGGCCCAGAAATGAGGCGGACGAAGGACCGGCTTTCATTCCCCGTTGGGTGAACACGATGACCCATCTTGCCAAGGATGAGGTGCTCCATCGCATGACTGTCCTTTCGGAAATGGGAGTCTTCCCAATTGCGATGACAAAGTTTGCCTCGATTATGAATCAGAAATACAGCGGTGACATCAATATATACCCTGAACTGATCTCTTCAAACTTTCCACGGCTTCTGGAAAATCCGACGACGGAGTTCATGCTGCAGGCTTGTCTGAGCGGGGAGCGAGCAACCTGGCTCCGACTGAGCCGGATTCGGAACCACTGTGCTATTGAGCTTGCACTAGATGGGGCTATTCAACAAATGAGGGCCCGAGTGACCTTCCGGCCTATCCAAATTGATCCGCAGACACAAGGTACTGCTCGTCACTCGGTCGATTCGAGCAACAGCAGCACTGGACTGAAGTCCATTCGCCATTGGAGAAGAAGTTCTCACAGTCAAGAGTTGGAGAAGAGGCATTCAATCGACCAGTCACGGCTTCGCCCGGCAGAACAATTGAGAAAATCACGCAGCACCGTTTCTCTTGAGAATCCACCCTTGTTGCTGCAGAATGAACCGAGTTTTGAGCAGACCCGCCAGAAGGTGCGCCGGCAGAGGTCTTCCATTTCTTTTGGGAGCCGGACATTCGCCATTGGATCTGGGAGTGACGACGAAGCCGAGCCCTCTGCCGGACCTTCCCTCTCAGTCCATCAACCTTCAGAGTCACAGCTTCATAGTGGGCTTTTCCTGGGCCACGGACCACGTAGCCCAGTTCGATCCCGGCGATCATCATTGTCTACTGGTCCATTGTACGGCCATTCCGGCTCAGCGCCAAAAAGTTTCTCCAAAAAGTCGGCTCGCGACCTTCCCGTAACTATGCCGTCTTCCCGCCATCTACTTAGTATGACACCAACGCTGCATCCGAGGTCTCCTGACGCAGTGACGCGCAAACAACGCCACTGAGCAGGCTCTGCGACATTTGATTCTTCACGCTCTGCAGCTCGGTGTTTTGATTAAATTACTTCCTAGGGGAGGTTGTTTCTATGAAACTGGAGTATCAGACACGAGGTGTCTGTTCGATGCACGAAGGAGCGCGCTATTCGATCCACCCGACGCAGGCCACCCGGGCGGAAAGGATCCGTGCACGAGCCTTCTGGAGAGTGGCACTATACTCACTATTGCATCCTGCACTCTAATGGTCTTTTTTTGAATGCCATTAGCGCCGGGTTGGCGAGCCTGGTGGTCCCCGTTTGCTCATTTGCTCGAGCTATCCTTGGGCTCAGGGTCTTTTCGGGGTCCATACTAAACCTAATGCTAGCAGCAGCTAAGTGCCGACCTGGTGCGTATATACAGGAAGAAGGGGCTATCATGTACATATACGGAGTGAAGTATTCCTGGATGTCATTTGGCTACCAGGCGAATTTCAATAGATCTGGGATTAGGTTTGAGATAGATGCACCATTTGAGTTCCCGAGAGATCATCTGCCCTATACAGTACATCTCTTCTCCGAGAAATAGTCCAGCCGTAAATTTGATCTGGTTCGGAGATGTGCGTACCTCGTCCAGAGGGGGGTGTGGAGACAAAAGACTCCACCGACCACTGTACCCAACACAACCATTCCGACGACCTACCCAACTCACCAACACTATGGAAACAGGATCGACGAGCAAAACTCAATTGTCGGCCAAGATCATCCTACGAGAAACTATCGGCCTTGGCCCTAATGAACGAATGTACTATACCGGCAGGGGCATTCCTCCGATCGACATTTCAAGAGGATCTCACGATATACTGGAGCAATGCAACGTGACACAAGAAAATTAAGATGCGATGAGATGGAAGGATTCGCGTGCTTATCGGACTTCTTTCCCCTGTTGTTGATACCCTCTTTCTCAACCATTTTGCACTCACACGCCATAATGGTGCAATTCTCCTTTCAGGGGTTGGTACTCCCCTCTCCACCGGCTTGTCCCCCGTCGATCCCCTGAATTCATGGCTCCACTTGGGCAGCTTCGGCGCCCACTCGATAGAGTTTCGTTTACAGGAACCGCAATTCACTTTTAGGGCTGACGACGCTGGTGGACCAGGGCGTTTGTGACCTGCCCATGAGAGAGAAAGAGACCCCAGGACACTCTGTGAAGAGCCCAACCTCTTGACTACATCGGACCGCGGTTATCAATCAGTCGATCGTCAAGTCTAGTTCCCCAATGCATGCATGGACACGAGGCGGTGGAGACTCTGGGCACGCTCTGATACATGAAGTGTATCAGCTTTCTCGAGATGTGACGAATTCGGATGAATAACCCTGGCAAGGCAGGAGTGAAGATTTCCTGTATGCATTTGTTTATTTACTCAATTTCTGGAGCAGTCCATTTCATGAAAAGGGCTGGACTTTTCGAATAGTTCGGAACTTGGCCGGGATACTTGCAAGGTTGAATGGATGAAATGGCGATTTGTCAAAATCAGGGCATGAGTACCTCTGGGTCGAAGATTAAGCTCTTTAGCCTTTTTCAATTATCTCGGCTCCTGCAATCCTGGAGCTCGCACTAGATGCTGTAGGTGCAACGAAAAAAAAAATTGTCAGGCCACCGCGAAGATGCTGATCGGCGCCACTATTTTCGCTGGTACCTGGCCAACCCGTGCCCTAACCTCCCTCCCCTTCACCACCCGAACGTCGATACCTACTCGAACAGGAACCTCATTATTTCTTGTTATTGGTTTTTCTATTTTCTTCTTTTCTTTTTCTTTCTAAACTGCAAATGCCTCAGCCCCAGGCACGTCCCAGCGTTGCCTCCTTGTTGGTCAGTAAGGGTCCACCGCTACGATCGACGCCCGCCTTGAGTGTTTTGCGGAACCACCAGCCTCCATTCAGCCCTGAGTTGCGGCGAAGTATTGAACTCATTTCCCGAGATCACGGCATCCCCCGTTGCCATAACCTTGAGGGTTGGCTCGCACACACCAGCCTTCGGGGAGGGGTGTCCCAGCGATGGCTCCCCTACTATAAAGAGATGTCCCCGTTCCACTGGAATCGGCTTTCTTCTTCTACTCACTCCAACCGCATTCCACTCGTGTGATTGCCATTGAACCATACAAGCCGAATTCCTTCGTTCTTTTCTTTTCAGGCAACAAAAAACACCCCATTCTTTTTTTATTTCATCTATATATAATTACCCAAAACCCTTCCACAATGAAGTACGCCGGCGCTGTTATGGGCTTGATGGGCTGTGCCCTCGCCCTCCCCCAGTTCAACCCATCGGACTTGCCCTCCAGTCTGCCCTCCGGCTGGCCTACCCCGACGGGCCCTCTGCCTACGGGCCCGCCCCCGACCGGCTTCCCCCGGTGCCGTCGTCCGGCAACCTCGGCAAGCGCGATGGCCCTCCGATCCCATCGGACCTGCCCTTCTCGCTGCCCTTTGGCGACTTCCCTCCCCTTCCTAGCGACACCCCCACCGGTGTCCCTACTCCCTTGCCCCAGTCCAGCGGCAGCTTCGAGAAGCGCCAGGCTCTTCCCGCCCCGACGGGCCTGCCCTTCTCGCTGCCCTTTGGCGACTTCCTCCCCTTCCCAGCGGCACCCCCACCGGTGTCCCTACCGGCGTCCCTTCTGCTTAAATGAGGGGATGTTACTGGAATGCCTCGCGCAATCTTCGAATGATCTGGTGATTGCGCCTTTTGTACAGTTCATGGTTCTTTTGTGAGAAGAATTGGGAGGCTGTTGGTTGATCTAATGGTCCTCTCTCTCTCTTGCTGCTGTATAGGATGTACGGGCTATGGGCCACCGAGATAGATGGAGATGGGATTTTTTGGACGTGTCTTAATGTTATGCAAACCCGATGTTTTCTGTCTCTAGATTACAATATTTACTCTTGAGTTGGAATACACTCGTTTGACTTGAATGGGTATGCCTTGCTGGTAGTCCTTGAAATATCTCTCTATGGTGCCACCAGTTTCCTTATCGCGATTACTTTGGATCTGCTATCTCAGGAAATCAATCTTCCAATATTTCTGGAATTTGAATTCTTGTATGGAAAGGTTTCCGTGGACTTTTAAGGACTTCGTATACCCTAGCTGACTACTACCCCCAAATAATTTATAGCTGATGGCTATTTTCAAAGCATGGTCAGTTATGTCACTCAACGGGGTGTTTCAACACCTTCACGAACCGATGTTGCTAGATTCCTTCTAGAGACATCTGTTATTGGACACTAGGGACTGAGCTTTCACAATTGGGTAAATTAATACATAAGTTGGCCGAGCAGACAAGAAATTCTGGACGTATCCGATTCCATGCTGTATCTTTCATTCTAATCCTCATTTCCATGACTCCAGGCAAGGCAAGTCAATCTAGTCAGCGGCCAACCTCGCTTGGTGGTAAAGATCTGGATCTGGATCGACGGGGTTTAGCTGGCATCACAAGAAAATATTCGTGACAATCAGGTAGATCTCCAAGTATAGTATCCGTGACTTCGTCGCCAGCAACAGTCTTGTACAATTGTGTCGCCATCTTGACACCCCCCTGGCGCCAGTATTCCGAGCACTCTCAATGAGCGCAGCACTTGGTGTCGGTAGAGAAGTCACAGTGCGCTATCGGCTTGATTGAGAGGCTGAAACTGCAGGTTCAAAGGATTCGGGGAATGGTAACTGTGTCCTAAATCTCTCCATAGTGAGGGATGAAAGCTGGAGGACAAGTGGGCCAGTAGTGGGCGGTGGTGCCTGGTTGCGTAATACCAAACACCACATCTTGTAAGGGTCAAGAAGGGGAGCTTGCAGGTCAAATGAACAGTTGGGAGCATAACATAAGAGCACATGTATATTTTCCAGAAGAGAAGATGTAAAAGAATATTATGGTTAGTAATATAATAGCGCCATGAAAAAGTTTAGTAGCCCTAAAAATTCCACCAACCCTAATTATATTCAACTTTGACATATCTCACAACTGGCCACTGAGCATGGTAAATGAAAATAACCCATTAAACAACCAAAAGCCGCTCACTCCTTTCCTAAAAGATGGCCCACAACATAAGGAATCGGTTTGCCTCCCTCCCGAGCTGTGCTTCCCTTGGGATCATCTCTCGTGTGCAATTTGACCGTTACCTTGCTTGCTTGGTCCTTGCTCAGTCCGTACAGCGGCACAAAAGTTTTGACACGCAGATGAGTCTGGCAATTCGCGCAGCCCTGCACATGCCATCTACTGAGCGTAGAATGGAAACCAACCAGTCTTTCTTCCCCGTTTTCAGTCGTCGTCCAGGTTGACAGTACGAATGAACCGGGAATAATTCCGCGGTTGATGCCTGAGATACGCACTAGATTGGCTCTAGACGCGTCGGGTGTAGCCGCACCGGGTGCAGCCGCATCGGGTGCAGCCGCACTGGGAGTTTTGCGGGGAAGACCTTTAATAGGTGAGTAAGTGTAGCCAAGCCGGGTCTCGATGTCGATCACATCCTGACAAAAGGTTTGAGAATCAGCATTGCCCTGTTTTCAACTGGTCTTTATTATCTTACCTTCGATTTCATGGTCTTGGTTGTGCCAGGAAGCTGGAATGGATCTAACGGCGTATCCAAGGTCAACCACGTACCCCCAGGTGTTCCCGGCGTGGGACCCTGACTGTCAACGCTGTTGGTCCCGGGATACTGAGGGATGATATCGAGCTGCTTTGTTTTGCCATGCTCCTTCTGCCACTGCCAAAACATGGCATCGATAAAGCAGTGATGGAAAAAAAACACGGGATCAAATGCCGCCGTGTCATTTTCACCCATGTCGCCATTGGCACCGGGGTATTTCCCGTCAAAATGGCCGTCGCCGTACTCAAATCCGCCGATGGAGACATGGATATCGTTATGAGGACTCTCGAGGGGAACCACATGCTGAACCAGACGCGGAGAAACAGTAGCCGACGTAGGTAAGCCCTCATTAAAGTGGTCCTCGTTCCACTGAGTGGCGGAAGTCGTGTTTGAGAAAACAGTATAGTTTGGGGCCTCCAAGCAACTGAAGTATTTCTGAAGAACACCACCTCTTCCCTTCTGGCCGTCAACATCTGTGTGAAGGAGCCAGGATTTCACGTTCTCGTTGAGGATTTGATTAACCTTATCATCCCCCAACTTGTTGATCTCTGCGTTGTGGGCATCGGTTTTCTCTTTATCTGCAGGCCCAACGAGACCAGAGTAAGGGTAGCGGCAGGTCACATACCCGTCCCCTTTGCTATAATCCGCATCATCACGGGACGATGGCAGATTATCCGTAATTTTCTGTTGGAACTTGTAGGAGTACAGTGGGTTATCGATCACGCCACCATCCTCAAATGTCCATTTCTTTTTTAGGAAGGCCCCAGGAATCCCGCGTTCCTGGGTATTTTTTTCGATCTCGTTCCAGTATGGCAAAGTGACATCCTTGCAGCCATGGATGCTTTGAAGAGCCGATTCAAGGGCGAAACAATAGGCCCGATGCCACGTAGGAAACAAGACATTTCCATGATTGCAGTATCCTCCCCACCAGCTGGCGTTTCCCCAGCCGGCACCGCGGAAAGGCTCCCCGTGCAAGCCAGCAAGGAAGAAGAAGGAATTTGGATTATCGGGAGAGAGCTCGTAAATCCCTTTGAAGGCACGGATCAGGGTGTCCAAGGGCTTCTTGTTGCCTTTGTCATACTCATCTTGGAGGTCCCAAAAATTACGACGAACGCGAAGACCAGCCATTGTTCTTCGAAGTGGAGGTAATGCTGACAAATTGATTGACTTAAGCCTGTAGGGATACCACTCTGGCTTGATTGAGTTGATGTTTGTGGAAGACGGACATGACACGGATTAGCCGTGCAAGGGGGTCCTTCTTATACCCATTCTTCCCTTATTTCAGATAGCATCCTAGGCCCCAAGGTAATTGCGATAAAAGTTCACAGGACTGAACCAATCGAGATACTCATGTGGCCGATTTGTAAGTTGAACCTCCAGCTGGACTGATGCAAGCGGAAGCCGTAACCTTGCTGCACCGGAAACAGCCATGAAAAGGGTTTAATCCTATGGCTGTTCATGCTGAGATCCGACAGATCCATCTATACAGAGTTTGACATTGATGTCCTAGACGATGTTGACGTTCATAGAACATCTGCTACAACATCAATGATATCATCTCACCGATGTTGTCATAGAACGTCGGTACATCAACTCTCTTATCTTTAGACTGATTTTTAACTTTATAGATATAATTTCCATGAGTGATCTAGAAAATACTCGCTTTGTGTTAGACCATAAGCTGTTCATCTCGACGTTTATAGAATATCTGCTAGAAAATCAATGATATCATCTCACCGATGTTGTCATAGAACGTCGGTACATCAACTCTCTTATCCTTAGACTGATTTTTAACTTTATAGATGTATAATTTCCATGAGTGACCTAGGACGCTCGCCCTGCTTTAGACCACAAGCTATTGATCTCGAGAGGGAAACTCTGTTTGTAGTGAAACTCAGAGTAATTATTTGATTGAATTGTCTCCCTTCAAACACGATTTAGTAAGATTCGGTAAGTTATGTCATTGTCATTATGGTCGAACCTCTCAGGAAAAAAGATTGTCGAGTTGGAAAATGACGGTATAGACTAAGAATGTTGCCTATGGTGCATTTTTGTTGTACCGTTTATTTTGCCTTGTCTCTGAGCGACAAAGATGCCAAAACAGTAAGATCCAAACCAAGCGCTCGAATTTTCCTATTTATCTCTCAACTCTGCATCATTTTCCACTTGGTTTTGTTTCAGGCCACAGCGCGCGAAGCGCACGTCTCCAGTACTGATAATGTAAAGGTTATGTAGCCACCGCAAGCCTAACAGAATCCTTTGGCTTAATCCTTTTTAATTTACAATATTGTGGTAAATATCTTTTGAGGTTATTGGGGTATAGGACATGTGACAAAGTAAGAAATGACCAGATGGTGTGAAGCAGGGATCCGGGACAAAAAGGCAAGATAGGGGCCAGCAAAGGGGATCATTTCATGATTTGGTTTGGTTTATGGCTGGGGATGCTGGCTGGGAAATAATGAAATATTGACAGGCTAGATAGTTGTAATAATATTTTCGATATGGTCTCCAAGATCTCGCGGAACGACTGCTGGCCTTCAGAGTGGATGGAGAGAGTGTGTGTTCCTCATCGAAAGGTTGCCGTTACTTCTATACGGTGTATAGAATCGGTCGTCAGAATCTAGTCGTCGAAATGTACTCATTTGTGCCGACTTTGTACGACAGACTAGTTGGCCAGCGGTGTGCCAGCGAAACGGACTGGTGCCCATCCTTCGGAGTTAGAGTGGTTTCCTCCATTTGACTGGCTTGGGTGTGTAACTGATCCATCCACCATTTGGGCGCACTTTCTGGATCGGGAGGAGTACGCCTGCATTTTGCACATAGCATGTACATTGCGGCCTCTGAAAGTCTCACTTTAGGTGGGTGACTGGTAAGGGAGATCGTGGAACATCTTCAGGCATATCGCTCCATTTATTCGTGAATCCTTGGACACAGGATTTTCGCAGCATACTCCGTTTATCTTCGACCCATCGGCACCCCAAACGATGAGTAGGGTCGCCAATAATTTGGCCGAGGATCGACTGAAGATAGTCAGAGCTCCAGTCCATATTGGTGGATAGTACAAGAGGATGTGTAGTAGGTACAACGCAGACCAAAGGGAAAAGGATATTAAAACCGAGCAAGTGAAGAGGCTTGTTGGTCTTCGAGGACACCTATTTATATTAATAAAGTGCTCCGAAGGTACAGTAGAATCTCTGGTGCGACCGGACGGGTCCATGCGTCTAGTGAAATTGAAAAGCCCTAGCGGCTTTTGGTGTTCATCATTACAATCGGAGGATGTCAATTCCTTTTACCAGCTGGCAGGCGATATAATAATATTTTGAATCTTTTGTACTGGGTCAGATGGCGCAGAACTTGGTGGCCATGTGCAGCTCCATCTGACGAGATCGTGCGCAGGGACTTTCTAGATACAGCCAAACATAATCCACCTTACACTGACTCGCAAGCTACTCATTATGATTACTGCTACGGCCGGATGTCACCATATACTTCAGGCCCATTTTAACTGATATAGATTTGACAATACCTTCGTCCGGGTCTCGATGTGCGCTGTACGCTTTGCGATTGATTTTAAATACTCATGTATGAAGGTAAGCAGCTTATTTAGAACTTTGATCAATCTGCGCATGGTCTTGTGTTGATATTCCTCAATTTATTGAATGAGATAAGATCAAAGATATCGAATGAGACGTTCTGGTTGGAAGATCAGACCTGGACAAATCTCACCCGCTTTGTTCGTAGCTGAACTAGGCCTTGTCCGTTAGAAAAAATACTCTCGTATATCATTTTCCCATTACTCGGAAACACGCTAACCTTCGAAAACATCTCAGGGGGCTCAGCGAAAGTGAAATCTAGGAGCAGATCTTTGATGGAGTTCTTATTGCTGATATATGCCTCGATCTATGGCGAGAATCCGTCCTGGTCCTTGATATCGAGATTGGCGTCTCCTGAGAGTAGTAGACTTGTTAATTCCCTATTTCCTCGGTAGACGGCAAGCCAGAGTACTGTTTGGCCTTGGCGATTTGGAAGATCGATCTTAACACGAGGGTGTTGAAGAAGCCGACTCACGGCCGTAAATGATCTATTCTCTACGCCGTACCATAGAGTATATATGCCGTTTGTATTTCTCGTGGTTACGTCCGACTTTCTTTTGCGTAGTAAGTGATCGGTAACTGGCTCTGAGCTATGTTTAGCGGCTATCATAAGAGGAGAGAAGCCGTTGATTATTGTATCTACGTCGGCTCGGTAGGAAAGCAAGATCTTCGTAAGGGGCGATTGTTGGTTTTGGCGGCCTAATGAAGCGCAGAACTGTTTTGGCGTCTGATATTATATTTGATCAAGGCTAGGCGTAGCTTGGGATAGAGTGTTGAATATGTACGAGCAAGAACAGAAATATCGCTTCCCTGCAAGGTGCTGGCTATGATCTAAAGGATTTCTGGTGGGCAGTCGAGAATGGAAATCTGCCCTATTATTAGTATTTAGAGGACTCCTCTCATTTCTACTGTCTATACCATGATTTTGGGCGCTCGGTTTTAGTTTGCGAAAGGAGATAAAACGTGCTGCTTAGAAAACTTTTATTAGTCCGAAGATAACGGGTGATGGCAATGAGTTGTTGGTGCTTTTAAATTAAAAATCCAGGCAAAAGCGAGATGACTCGGTAAAGGAGAAGCTCGAATAACACTCGTAGCCACCGGCTAAGCATCAGTTTTCTCCTGCCTACTAACGTAGCAACCGACTAGTAGTCCTGGGAACGCTGTCTGGGCATTGAGGAGTTTTGTATCTCCTGGGAACGTCTACTTAGCTTCTGGGATCGGAAACATTTTACGGGATTCCCATAATTGAGATTCCCTGGAAAATTATAATTCTGCTCCAACTGTGGACTCCACACCAACCCAACTGGGTTCTGTCAAGAAGTGTCTTGACATTAAAGCTAGCTGGGGCTTCACATTCATATATTCATATATTCATATATTATACAACATTATAAATACCCGAGTCAAACTAAACAGGATAGGTTTATCTCTGAGGATAGATTGTCCAAGGCGCGTATATCCATATCTCGAGAACCAAATGCGATGTGACGAGTGCTAAGCGCGTCACCTGCAGCGCGAAGATGATCTAAAAATACTCGCTAATTATCCGGAGGGGTGCAGCTTGCAGTAGCACAAATGACCATTAATTTACTAATTTTCTATTTTAAGAACTTCCCCTGCAAAAACACGGCTAATTAAGGAACATCTCCACACTATTCTGCAGCTAATTCTATGAGCAGCGCTTTGAAGGTGCACATCATCTCTGCACAAATGATCGAGCCCTAGTTGGGACTCGCCGATTCAAGCTTTTATATCCGGACGCCTCCCGCTGGCTGTTCTTCAACCCATTCTTTTTCCTTTCTTTCTTTCTCCTTTCCAGCGTTCGATGGTTTTGCTTTCTTGCATACTTTCTCTTCTTTTCTATAGTTTTACTCCTCGAACCCTTTCACCTACCAACGGGAATCCCCATCCCAAACAGGGCCCTTGCTTATTGTGATCCTAACTGGCTCCAATCCGAGGCCAGTCCCATTGTCACCAACAGGCTGATTGATCCTCCAAGGAGTGCGGGGGAAAACTAGTTCTGATTTGAACGAGTTCATTGTGTCACACCTACTTATCCTATCCTTATATTTTGTTCTTCTTCTTTGTTTCTACGTCGACGCTTCACAGAGTCCCGAATGTCCCCTTCTGTCTCTGCTGGAGGGCAGTCTCACCCGAACACCCTTCTTCACCCAACTACACTATCCTCATTCCACCCACCATGGCTAGCATCGTCAACCGGCCCCGTTCATTCTTCCGCAAACCAGACCCTCCCAAGCCGCTGCACGCTCGCTGGGGAGATGTGGCCATCTCCGTGCCTACAGAAGGCTCATGGAACCAATATAATAACCCGCACCGGTCGAGTCGGGGCAGAAAGCCATATGGACATGGCTATGGACTCGACAACTCTCCATACGAGCGAGTCACCGATGCTTGTATCGACGACGATGACGAGGTGGATCTAATTGAGCACCCCAAGAACACTTCCACTGAACCTACATCTATCTCGCGACGGGCATCTCTATCACTGGGAGCCCTACGGCCAGCACGGCTCTCCGTGCGCCTGGCCTCCCGGCCAAAGCATACAAAGGAGAAATTCCAGCAACTCGAAAGAGACCCTGAAGTCCACAGAGACACTACCCCCCAGCAAGAAAAGAAAGAGACTGCCTTCGCCTACAAGCCCATCCCCCACCGCGACTACACAGCAGAGGTATCCGAGAAAGCCAACAATCTGCACGCGCCCCGCTTCCGGTACATCCCCACAGATGGCCAGTATCCCGAGCAGCCGGGTGCCAGTGTCCTCCGGAGCCAGTCGGTGAGCTGCTCGCGGCGCGGCTCTTGCGTGAACCGAGACTCATTCTTAGCACCTTCCTTTTCCTCTTCTTCCAAGGAAGCGGTGCCAGAAGATGGCCGGGACCGGTCGAGAACGCATCGCTCTTCTCTACGGCTGGACTGCCTTGATGAAGGAAATGACCGCCGCCGCAGCTTCCGCAACAGCCTGAGTGGTAGCTCGCAGCATGGATATGGCTTGCCGCCCAGACGGCGCACGTCGCCTTTTGTCGCGGCGGATCGGAAGAGGACTTCCATAGTGAAGCCGATGACTTTGGATATGGTTCCAAATGCCGAGGAACTCTATGAATGATGTGTTTCTTCTTTTGTGTTCATGGCTACAAATTGTGTTTGTGTTTTGTTGTTGTTGTTGTTGTTGTTGTTGTTGTTGTTTATTCTTTTTGAGCTTTCATTTCGGGCTCTTCTATGGCCTTCATTGCGTGGAGTACAAGGTGTTGGCATCCACGGCGTTTGGGACTAGGGTCATTATCATATAAGCGAATCCAGAATGAAACTAGATTGTCTTTGATATTTCTCCGCTCTTTCAATGTCTGATATATTTGACACAATTCTAGTGACATATGGGCAGAGAATATAAGGCTATATGACAGACCAGAAATGACACTGTTAGGAGCCACAAAGTAGTCTTATTGAGGTGGGGGTGGTTTATAATACTAGCTTCTCTTTGGCTATATGGCAGATGCGAAATATCTAATCCGTTTCTTTCCCCCCTTCAATCAATCAATCAAGACCAAGATGATATCTCCACCACTTATCATGGTTATTGCTATACTTAAGAACATCCTCCAACCCGCTAGCTATAACGTGTTCCTGCTGGGGTGACAATGAAATCGACCCTTTTGATTGCAGATACCGGATAAGCTGCACTGCATGTCTTACATCGTTCCAACGCTTTTCTTTTAAAGTCCGCATCCCACAGCAGTGAATCTTGAAGACGAGTAAATCCAACGCAGAGATATTATGGTAGATCACCAGCGCGTTTGGTCTCGAATATTGGTCGCGCTTCTTGTAGAGTGTAGGGTGACTTTAATCAGAAGTTAGTACGGGCAAACAACATAGTAGGATTATTCCATTCCATAAATATAATATTATCAAGGTTCACTCACCATCTCCGTGGGTGTGAAATTGATGGGAAGATCCTTATCCCAGGTGCTCTTTGTAGACATATCAACCTGGAAGTATTGATTCGATTGCCAGAATTCATCTGGATGCATCAACGATAGCCCTAGCTTGAGGAGCTCCGGGGCCCCCGAGGGGAGCTCATGTATTCGAGAATCAAAGCTATCTCCCAGATCGACGAAAAACTCCACATCCTACTGGGAGTGAAGTCATAGACGACAAGCTTAGCTGTCAGGTTTGCATCCTAGGGAAAGAGGGAGAGAAGGAGCCTGTCTTTGTTGGTCGACCGTTGGGAAGATATCGCCAAAGGGCCAGACCGCCAATAACAAGGATCCGAACTTGTTGGAACTCGGAGCAGGAGTTACAAGAAGAAAGAAAAGAAGAAAGAAAAGAAGAAAGAAAAGAAGAAAGAAAAGAAGAAGAAAAGAAGAAGAAAAGAAGAAGAAAAGAAGAAGAAAAAAAGGGCAGCTTACTTCCATAGACAAAGTCATTGCAAGCAGAGAAAGGGCTATCCAGCCCCAGAGAACATTAGGGACTTGTGCTTCATCCAAAATACGGGCCACATCAGAAGCTGCCTTGGAGCGATAAGTAATGCGCTTGAGTTCCGATTCTTCCATGGTGGTGGTTTGAACGGGGAATGAGACAATCCGAGGGAATCGGCTGATTCCTTTTATACCTATGCAATCTGACTTCCTTGAATTTGAGTATTGTTCATTGCGCGTCTAATTTCTTTGACTCCGGTGGCTTGTAAGTTTTTTGTGTGGAATTCGTCAAAGCCTCGACATGGCGCACTCCATAGCAGCCACGGTAAGCGGGAACATTCAAGTCGTTGGTTCAGGAATAAGATGAAAAAGCCCATTAAGAATAGAGAGATTCCTCGACTCGATTTAGAAACTAGGATTGCAACCCCATAAATAGCAATAAAGACATGGTCCTTCCATGAGACGTGCTAATGAGGGTCCAATCCTTGCTGGACGAACAACAAAGACATGATTAGTACCGAGATATTTTTGGAAATCATTCATAGAACCAGGCTGTTAGTCGAGCCTCGAAAGTCAATATTCCAAGCCTTATTTCAGAGCCAATTGGCCGGATAGAGTATTCCCTAGGTATCGAGGGGCACTACTGTGGATGTGAGTGATTCAGAATTTTTGTTGTTTCCTTTTCACATTCAAATGTTATGACATAGTCTGCATCGAGTTACATTTCGAGTACATCCAACACAGAGAACAAGAAGTTCATAATGGCTCAGTGGTTCGGCCAGCGGTAGAACTTCTGGATAGAGTTGCGTCATTTTGAATCATAACCACCGGTAATGGTTGATTGATAATCTTATTGGTGGCTTCCTTCTTCCTGATCATCAATTAAATCACCATTTATTTGTCTCTGAACTCGTCAAATTTCGAGATAGAGCGTCAGACCCCGATCAACCATGACGACATGTCAACGTTCTTGTCCTTGCCCAATGCTAGACCCGGTATCACTCAACCCTCTTTCCTTTTTTGACAATTTTGTGTGACTTTTGAGAGGAAAGTGTTCAAGGCTTATCTATTTATCTATTTATCGATCGCGTTATACTTTCAGGTCAACCGGTAGATTGACTGCCATTCGAAGAGACTTGCCCTGGAAAAATACTGAGCATGGCGGACGCAGTGGTTCAACTTCGTTGCGGTGTCAAGGTACGATTCACCTTGGGACTAGACACTGGAAACAGTGAATACTGAATATTCTCTCAAATGCAGAATGATACATGGGGAAAGAAAGGCAAAGACTCCGTGGCCGCGCATCTGTGGTCTCAGACCCCCGGTCACGCACGCATCGATGAGGCCAAGATGTACTCGGAGGTAAACCTTCGATTTTGGAGAGCTTAATACATAGGTATAACAAGGCTGACCAGAAAGGTTTAGATGTGGATGGGAACCTATCCATCGAACCCATCCTATTTGCTCCCTACCGGCCAGTTACTGGCAGACTATCTGAAGAAGAACCCCCAGCTAGTGGGCAAGTCGGTGTTGGATCGATGGGGACCAGAGATTCCCTTTCTGCCCAAGGTACAGGACCAAAACCTTCACTCATATTGGTATGATGTCAATAATCCATGAAATAGATCCTTTCCTTCTCCAAAGCGCTCCCACTCCAGATCCACCCCGACCTCACTCTGGCCGCGCAACTGAACAAGCAAGACCCGAAGAAGTATGGCGACACGAACCACAAGCCAGAGATCGCAATAGCACTCTCCAAATTCGAACTCTTTGCCGGATGGAAGCCACTCAACGACATCCAGGCGCTGTTCAAGCTCAAGCCGCTGGAAAAGTTCGTCCCGTCGCCGACGCACTTCAACGACGAGACCCTGCGGCAGGTCTGCAAGGCGCTGCTCAATGCAGCGCCTAAGACGGTGGCCGCCACCATCAAAGAGCTGCAGAGTATCCCCGAGCCCCAGTTTGGCGCATACCCGTATATCCCGGGGCTGCTCGACCGGCTCAGCAAACAATACACCGAGTGCGACAACGGGAACCTGGTGGCAGCGCTGCTGATGAACTATTTAACGCTGGGACCGGGCGATGCCGTATTTGTGCCCGCAGACAGTATCCACGCGTACCTCGAGGGCGATATTGTCGAGTGCATGGCGCGGTCGGACAATGTCATCAACACGGGGTTTTGTCCTGCACCGGAACGCGATAGCGTCGAGTTGTTTGGTCAGGCTCTAACTTTCCAGCCGCATAATGCTCAAGATGCGCTGCTGCCACGTCGCAAGAGTGACAAGGGCTTGAATGGCAAGACGGATGTCTATGCGCCCCCGATCAGCGAGTTCAGTGTGCTGTGTACGTGTCTCGGCGCGGGGGAGAAGGAGACGCACAAGTCGATTCTCGGGCCCAGTCTGATGATAGTTACCAAGGGATGTGGCTCCATGAATATCCCTGGGGACAAGACGGTCGAACTGAAGGAGGGATTCGTGTTCTTTGTGGGTCAGGGCGTTGCTCTAGACTTCTGTACCGACAAGGGCATGGCCGTCTACCGCGCGTATGCAGAATAGAACGGAAACAAAAAAAAAAAAGGGAACCTACTGGTCCCATGTAAATGGGCTGGGCGGATCTCGAGTGAAAATCAATTTAATATGGGTCACGTATTGTTGGTATTCCTGGCTGTATTCCGGCGTAGTCAAGGTGCATCGGGCGAGAAGCCCTAACTCGATCAAAGCCAACACACCTGGGACCGACAACACACGAGTCTCCATTATTATGCACCGAAACTAAACCTAATCGCCCTCAATTAGCGGTGACACCCTTTGGATCTTATAGTCGCCCGGCGCACAGCTGGTGTTGGGGCCATCAAAGGCTTTTATTCGCCGATCCCATCCTGGCGCTTCCATCCCCGTAGCCGCGCTGCACATGAGCCATCACCGGCAATTGCGGCGCTGTGATTCGCAGACCGATGAGAAACCCCAGCGACTAGATTCCCCCTGCAGGGTTTTTTTCTATTTTGGAGATCTGATATGACTCGAGTGGGCGTCTTTTTCGGGCCTGGGCCATGCGCTGCTGAGCTGGCATTCGAATCACTGCTAATTATGTTGCTTTTCTTGGTGCACTTTTTCTATCTATAGCCTGGAAGACGCCAAATGAGTTCTATCTTTGTTATTCTCCGTAACTCGCGTTGACTCGTCTCAAAATATCCTACTTGAAACAGGGACCGTGTGTCAGGATGTGACCAAGCTTCGAGAGTTGATCGGTTTCATGGGCATATATATCATGGTCTTTGCCGGTATAAGTTCATCACTTGTTTCCAGAAGAGTGCGCTTCCCAACTTCCAGACTCTCCTTTGCTTTGTTTTAGAAGCCTAACCACCCCAAGTCTGGCACTTATGCGGCTGACGTGCCTGGTGTCTGTCTTGGTGTTTTGTTTTGGCTCATATCACTTGATTTTATTTTCTTCGCCTTCTCTCTTTCATGCGGGATATAATTAATGCTCCCGTTCTCACTCCTCGATCGAACAACGCTACCTCCCGAACTGCGGTTATTGTTGGGGTGGTAATTGGCAGTGTCGTGCTCGTGGCCAGTAAGTTCGACTTCAGAGAATCCTTGGAGCATGGGGCATGCAGCAATCAAAGGAATCACATCTCTAATGCAACAACAGTGACTGGCGGCATCCTCTTCCTCCTCTCCCGCAAAGAGCGGGCAAAGAGAAAGCACGCCCAGCAACGGACCGAGCAACTCGTGGCCGTTCAAGTGCCGCCAGCCTACAAGGCCGATCTCTTCGACGCGCCCGCGGGGTTCCACCCGGCGCAGCGCCGGCCCTTGTCCTCCTTTGCGCCGGACTACAGTCGCCAGTCGCAGTATTATCATCGGCAGCAACAGCATCAACATCAACAACAATACGACTGGACGTCCGATGAACAGCCCCCACCTCCATATCCAACACTACCTGCATACGATCCGTCGCGATACCAGCCCATGCGACCAACATCGACGGCGAGTGCCGACCTGCACTCTTACGTATACGGCAAACCGGCAAGCAACCAGTCTTCCCGCCTGAGCGCCATCCATTACGACTCGAGATCGTCTGTCTACCGCCCGTCTTCGGTGGCAGACCAGTATCAGTACCAGTATCAGTACCCGGCCCCAGTGCCGGCGCGGCCTCGGGAGATTCTCTCTTCCAACCCTAGACCTTTGTCTATCTTGCCGTATCATGCCGGTGCTTTGCATGAACAGAATTTGACTCGTCAGCCTGACGGAAGAGAGAGGAGCGTCTCGGAGCCTATGCCTCCTGCGACCGTTGAGACTGCGCAGGGCCCGCGACGGCCGAAGCCTGTTCTCTCGCGGTTGATCACCAACTTTTGATGAAGTATTATTTTGCCTGGAATTAACGGATACGGCTATGACTGTTATGAACAGCGAGGGAGTTGGGAGTCTTAATTTCGGGTTTATTTCATTTCATTTGATTGTCGAGGTGTTTGGGGGGATTGCTGGGGATCACCCGGGTTTATAGTGCAATGAAAACCACTCATCTTTCCATCGCCCCATCACTCCATCACACACTTGGGCGATCATTTCCATTACAGCCAAGAAACAGTTAGTTCCGCACGATGGAGCCTCGCTTGTCGTCCCACTGCAACTGAAAGCACAAAAAGTACCAAAGATGGAGACCCCAAACAGGCGCCAGTGGCCTGTGCCGCGATCTCCACCTCCCTTCAGGCCACTTGTGGAATCGGAGCATGCCTATTACATCCGGGCAGCGATGATTCATTCGCACGAGAGATCACTCGTGGAGCTTCCCCTTTGGTTCCCCGGGCGCCTAGATAAGCTCCTGAATGGTGCGCCCCAAACGCCTCCGACGGCAGCGGGTCGATCGATCTGCCACAGTCGTCGACATCTCTTCTTTCTCGAGCTGCTTGCCGATCGCTGACAAGGCACTTTTCGGGGATCTGGGCATTCATCTGACTGCTTGTCTCCACTGTGGTAGAGGCCCTTTGTCTCTTGATGTACCCTCGATCTCCACCCATCAGCTCATAATCCACTCCGGTGCAGGGATCGGAATGCGTCACGGTGAAACACGGGTTCTTTGGACATCTTGACGAGGGGTCCACACCCCCTCTTTGTCTGATCCCTGCGTGTGCTGGCGGCTGAATTCCCCTGCGAGGCTCTCTACGAGGCCATTGACTGGTTCGAAGACCAGATGGCAGCTTTCCCTGTCGCTCATCGGGGTTTTGCGGTATGCATTCCCACCCTCCTCCCACCCTCCCTTCTGGAGGATAATCTTCCAATGACTGATACCCCCCACCGACAGAACTAGTCAGGGTGTTTTTTTTTTCTTACGCACGCCGTAGCTTTCCGGGCGTAGATCCCTGGACAAGCGCCATGCCAAGACCGACGGCGGACGGCGTGCGTCGATACAAGGCACGCTAGCGGCGAGCTATGCCTGACTCGCGTCAAATCTGTCAAGCAAGTTGACTGCGCCAGATGCTGCAGATGCCTTTCCCTGGTTCAGCTCACAAGCACCTAGGAAGGATGAGGGGCCGGCATATCCACTCCCCCCCCTCTAACTCCCTCCACCCTCCTCTCTTGTGGCCCTGCAACTACGCACCAACGCTGCAGCTATCGAAAAGAGAATTCCACTTCATCTGCGGCCCGCTAGGCTCCTTCAGCCGGCCAGCTGTCGCGGCTGCGGTTCGTTCGTTCGGCCTCTCAGAAACGCTGTTGTGCCGCAAGCCAACGTCTTCATCGTCAAGTGGCTCCCCCTCCCTGGGGCCACCGCCAGACGGGGATTGTTGATCCAAAGCATTGGGCCCTGCCCTGCGTTTTTTCATCTCTCCATGGGTCCGTTGGAACCCAACATCCGCCCGTCAAGTACTCATCTCCAGAAGATCTTCTCTCTTCTCGGCCAGGCGAGAGGCATGCGGTCATCGACTAGCGTGGCTTGGATGGACGTGTTTTCTGTTGATATAACTTCACCTTACGCAGGCAACTTGCCTGCCCTGTCACTTTTCACTTCTTCTTCTCCCCCGGGTCTTGTGTCTGGTCTGGCACATATTGACCAATACTCCACGGTCTCTGTGGGGAGAACACCATCGGCCTTGAGATGATCACCGCATTGGGGAGTTGTCGATCCTCCCTCTGAATACCCCTCTGTCCTTCTTCTGGCACTTTAAATGGTCAACCTGTGCCAAACCATGGCGAACCTTGTGAAGAAGTTCAAGCGAAAGCGGAGGATGTCGTCGGAGCTGCACTCTCGATGGGGCGATGTGTCTATCAGCTATCCCATCCACGGGTCCTGGAACCAGTGGGACCAACCCTCTGGTTTCGCCGCCAATTCATCAACAGAAGCACCACCCATTAATCAGGACGACATCAGGAGGCGGTATATGCCCGTGGACCCAACGTCACGGTCGACCTCCGGGGAATCTGGTGGACTACATTCTCGCGGCGAAGCCACCCTTGAAGACTCAATACAGCCCAGTCCGCCCTTCCCGACGGGCCACTTCGATGAAAGTGTTCGACACCGCTATGGAAAGAACAACAAACCGCGATTGAAAGGCCTGGGGATTAGTGGTACTCGACGCGACCCCGGCTCTATCCCCGATGCGGCTACCGAGTCATGCGACGAGGACGAGGAGCGCGATACTCTAGGTGTCCAGCTAAGCCGGCGAGACGATGCGATAGGTGACATGCCGCAGTATGCTTCAAGACACGACCCGGAGCTGTATGCAGATCGCGAATCAAGATCGCCGCCATTATCCGTCACGTCGCGCATGCGCCGCTGTAGTCTCCAGAGCTGCTCGACGGAACTATCCACAACCGGCTCCAGACATACCAGCTATACTGCAGCCTCCTCTGTCTCGGCACCATCAGTGCACCCTGATACGCCGCGGTTCGCATACAATACGATGCACTCGGCTCATTCGGAGAAACGGCACCCGCCCCGTCCCAAGCATCGGGAACCCTCGCCTGGGGCTCGACAGCAGATGGTGCCGTCCTACGATGAGCTTTACGGCTAACGTCCCTATTTGTTTCTTCATCTATATTATTTGAAATTTGTAAATGTGGTGGTGTGGTTGGCCGGTTTGTTGGCCGTGGTTAGGGCACTTGTCACAGACGAGAGTAGAGCACTGCCTTGGAATTTACTTTATGGTCTAACTGGGGCTTTTACCCCCCGATGTTTGTCTATATTCACACCTTGGTATTTTCATTTAATTGTGGACAGAATGTCAAGAGAATAATTTCCTCCTTCTATCTAAGGTACATTTCATTGGACTTTTGCGAACCTGCTTCCTCCCCGCGGTCGTTGACAAGCTTGGCCCTCTGTCAGAATAACACTAATAAGCCGAAGACAAAAGATCGCCACAAAGCCGGTACATAATATACTCCATAATTCTGTGCCGGCATCCGCCCAGCACAAGTACTGAGAGAGAGAGAGAGTCCCCACCGTCGCAAGAGGGGCATCCCCGTCCCGTGCATCTGCAGAGCGAGTCACAGTCACAACCGCCCAACGCCAATCACTCTCCAATGTTCATCACACTTGCTCTTCCCCAATTGATCCACCTTGATGACGCTGACTGGACGATCATGGAAAGTGATCCAATCATCCCACTTGGCTGGTTGTCGTACGGCCTTTGTGCGATGGTCTTTAAGCGCCCGGGGGTTGACGCTTAGAAGGAGGGGTGATGGGATTGATTCGATCGACAACATCCTGTGCCCCAAATCCATCTTTCCCTTCTTTGTCGCGCAAAGACTCGACCGGGACTTGACCGGGGAGGCAAGAGATTGTCTACGGAACTTCTCGCTGAAGCTACTGCACGTCTGCTTGAATCACTCCACATACTCCCCGGCCCCGTCACATCTCGGTTTGCTGCGCCGGCCACCTTTGCGGGCGACTGAAAAAAAGAAGCTTTCCCTCCCCGAGAAAGAAAGCTCTCTCTGTCTCTCTGCTGAGCGCTCTTTATCCGTGTTGCGACTTTCATGCGACCGTAATCCCTCGTTCTCTACGGCGACTCAGCCATCTATTACCCTCCCTCCTCCACCCCTTCCCTCTCCTCCGCTTCTCTAACTGGCGGTTGCACAAAGCGAATCAGAAGCTAGTTGGGGACTGTCTGATTGCCTTTTTGATCCATCATGCTTGGGCTCTGGGATGGCGGGTTCATCCGCTCCCGGCTGCTGGCCCTCGTGCTGACGGGAATCCTGCTCAGTCGCTTCTTCCCCGCCGTGGATGCATTGAGAACCGCAGAGGGCTCGCCGTGTGCGGATGTCTGCCATAAATCGTCGTCAAATACCACCTCGTCCGAGATTGCGTGTCTGGATGCATCCTACAACGCAACAAAAGGAAGGACCTTTGAGAAATGTGTCGATTGCCAGTTGCGCAGTACCTACGACAACCCATCTACCGGGGAATCGGATGTCAATTGGGGTCTATGTAGGTTTTGCACAGACGCAACATAAATGATTCGGTCTTTCTCTAACAGCTCTGGAATAGATAACCTGCGCTATGCCTTCTCGACCTGTGTCTATGGATTCCCCCACTCGGTTTCGAACGTCTCGTCGCCATGCCCTGTGGCGTGTGATGGCATCCGCCCGGCAATCGAGTTCGACCTGACGAACCCCAGTTCATTTAATTTCGACGCCTGGTGCTCGACGTCGTCATTTGCCGATAACATTGTCAACACGTGCGAGTTCTGCTATAACCTCACCACGACCCAGGTTTACCTGGCCAACTGTATGTATCTTCCAGGTTTGGAGTCATGAACCTCAGTGTAGTGGCTGATAATACCTGGAAAATAGTCCTCGAATCTATTCGGTACAACTGCCACTTCCGCACCACCAGCGGAAAAGCATTCGACATCGCGCCCTCTCGGATCTTCACACAAGTCCTCCTCCCATCCAGCATGTCCCTAACAACATCCACGCCAGGCGGATCCAACGTAAACCTCCCCCTGGTAATCGCACTGCCCATCCTAGGCTTCATTATTATCCTCTGCGCCCTTACAATCTGCTGCTTCTTCTTCATCCGCCACCGCCGCAAGCGCATGCGCCGAAACCGTCACCACAACCACCTGTACAACCGCTGGAACGACACCACCATCAGCACCCCCAAACAGGGAAACAGTGGCTGGCCCGAGCAGCAGTACCCCTTCGCCAGCGGAGGGTACGGACCTGGGTTCAGCGACTCGGTCGACACCCCAATCCACGCACCGGGCCCCTGGGCCGAGCAGCAGATGCATGCGCCCGGTGGGTATGGGAATGGACTCGGGTTTATGGATAATGATGGCCGGACCCAGCAGCTCGAGTATGGATACTATCAGTCAGGTCTTGCGCATGGCAGGGCGGAGTCGCCTGCTGTGCATCCACAGGCTGTGCCGTTGACTGGACCACATGCGGTCGAGCCGGAAAAGCATCAAAATCCACAATGAAGGCAGACAGTCGCTCCGGCGATTACACTCGAGATGGTGATGGCTTGGAACTGTAATCCTCGTTTATCCCCAGTAATTATTCCCCCAACCTGTCATGGCCCCCGGCGTTCCTGTGTGTTTCGAGTTGCGTGCATGGCGTTTGTTGTCTCGGAGTCGAATTTGGCATGTTCCATATGTATATCCGGACTTTGTTTTGGTGAATAGTCCAATAAAGAAATTCGAAGATAAATAATCAGATGGATAATGAGTAGATATCTCAGGTATAGATATGGTGGAGATGTGTAAAAACATAAAGAGGTATCCATGGATCCATCCCGACTGGATCGGTGGGCCCTAACCGGACTATTTATGTCTATAACCCGCGCAGGGCTTAACACGACGAGCTGATCGTCCGGGCTGGAGGTATAGTTTTGGAGCGGATAACGCATGGGATTGGTGGTTTCAAGCGTTTCAGCACGCACTGCCAAGGGAGTCAAGGAGGGAACGTGGTTATTTTTGGATATTTGTGTAGCAGGACATGAAACAAACCCCCAACGAGAATAAAATAGACACCTTGTGTAGAAGAAGGATCGGGGAGAGGATCCCTCTATAAAACGCCCGCCCATGATAGATGTACAGAAATGTACCTTTATATAGTCTATGTACGTGAACCGTTCAAGTCCTCAGCATCGCCAGGTGCCGCGGCCGTCGGCACAGGCTCATGAATCCCCAACCGCGACGGCGATGACCGCAGTACCTCTAGACACAGGTAGTCAGCCAGAACGCGGCGCATGGTATCCAGAACCCGTTGGCGAGCCTGCAAGACGACGCCGTCGCGCTCCGTGGCCAGACTTTGCGGGTAATGGCGGGCGACGTTATCCGAGATGAAATGAAGATACGCGAACTGGATGCCGTCAGCCTGGCAGGCCTCGACGAGATGGCCGACTTCGCAATCCACCCACTGCGCCCTGTCCTCCCATTGCGCGAACCAAGCGTCTGTTTCGACAAGTGGCGTCGGCACCGTGACATGGACGCCGTGGCTGAGATTCGGGATTGCTGTAATATTTGCGAGCGTGCCGTCTAGCGTGCTCTTCCACGACCGCACCGTGCAGTCCATGTGACTGACATTGCCCGTGGCCAACACCTCGTTTGGCGGATCTTGAGGGCGCAGTGACCCGGCCTTGCCCATATACAGCACGCGCGAGACGCCGTTTAGCTGCCGCAGCACGCGCACGAGGTTACCGATGATGTCGCCCCAGAGGCTCATCATGCTGCCCACAAAGGCGACCACGGAGCCGTCGTCGCGATGGAACTGCTTCCAGGCGAAGAACTGGTCTGGGGCGTCGGTGCCGGTCTCCCAGGCGACGGGAGGGTCCGTCGAGGCCAGGTAATCGACGTAGCCGAGAACGACGGTGTCAACCTGACCCATCCAGCGCAGATTCGACTGCAGAAACAGATCTATGCACTGCTCGCGCGACGGCGGAATATATTCGACCGCCGACATGGTCGCAGTGATCCCTCTCAGCGCCAGATGCGAGGCAATGAGCAGCGCATAGTGCTGCACATAGTCGCGGCCGGGAAAGCAGCAGATCTCAAGCGTGATGGCGTCTTGGCTACCTCCCTTCCCCTCCATGACGACGGCAGCCGTCGGCCGGTGCCAGTTAAAGCGCTTGTCTCGTTTCTCTAGCGGAGAGACCAGCACATTGTCCCCGGTGCGCGCATAGTGGCCGCGCACCACGATCCGCGGCCAGATGCGACTGCGGACCAGCGGGTGGATTTTCGTGTCGATGTACGCCTGCAGACTGCCATGCATCATGTGGGTGGCTTTGCTGAATGCATCCTGGTCGATTCTTATTGTAGTCATTGCGGGTTTCAAGCCGCCCTTGTCGGCTCTCTTTTTCTTTCTTCTTTCCCCGACGTGCGGGGGGGGGGGGCTTCTGCCACGCGAAAGGAACAGCCTGATGCCAAGAGGTTTTGATTTGATCGAAATGGGCCGGTGATTGGCTGTTTTTCTTGCCTTTTCCACCGCGGGGCGTTGGGGTGGTCTTCTCGTGGTTGTCGGACTATATCTGCCCCTCGTCTCTTCTGTTAGACATTCAATCTCTCACTTTTTTAAATGTGTAACGGTTGAGAAACTATGGGCCACATTAGACGATCATGGCTGTCTGCTTCCTTCTTTACTTAGTCAACCTCTCCAGGGCTGCTGGGACCGTGTCATGACCAACCATGTCCAACTATAGGCTCACTCTTGACTTCTCACCAGCTCAGGATTGCACCGCCCACTTCTGAAAGTCGTGGCTGAGTCCTGCGCACGTGGATTCGCCTCTTGGACATTCGGGTACTTTCCAAGACTTCTTTCGCGCATGGATGGGCCGAGAAATCGACTATCAGCCATTGAGGGGAGCCCCAACAAGCTTAAGCAGTATACCGAGCCTTGATCACGGGTGATCAACAAACGAAAATCCAGGGTATGACACACATCTCCTGCTAAGCACAGCCTTGCGCTGTAGTAGAGTCAGATACAGCTCAATGACCCACAGTGTCAGTGCGGCCCCATCAGAAAGAAAAAGTAAAAGAAAAAGAAGGGGGGGGGGGGGTTCGGCCCCCTCGATGGCTCCGTCAAAGACCCACTGGGCGACTAGTCCAATAGTGCCCGAACCTGTCAGCCAAACTCGGGTGATGTTTTGGTTCCTGGGCTCCAGTTTTCGGGTGGGGAGGAACGCATCAATAGACCGTTGCGCGTGTCATGCAAGACAAGACAAGACAAAGTCCATCCGCCAACGCATCGGCTTCTCTCCCTGGAAAGGAATGGACAGCTCGCTGTATACCGCCGTTGATAGCCAACCAGCGGACGATGGCGCAAGCTGTGCCGTCGAGATGGGTTTAGTTGCGATGCAGATGCAAGCCTGTTGGTGATCAGTCTCGCAGAGTCCTCCACCCAAAGAGTCGATCCATCTCAGCTGAGGGAACAGGGGCTGGAAATGAAAACAGACACCTCTCCCCCGCTCAAAAGGTCAACATCGAAAGAATTGAAGCTTTCTCTTATCTTTCTCTATCTCTCATTTCCTCTCCTTTCCTCGGCGGTTTCTTCGGGTCTCCTGTGGAGCAGCTTGAATTAGCCCGCGCTCGCCTTGGCTAATAATGGCCCACCAACCCGCAATCAACTACTGGCAGTGGATCTACTCTGGAGATGCCGAACCATTGCCGTCTAGTGAAGGACAGGCGCCGGTCCGCGCGCTTGATCAGACCGCGTTCTTGAACGAGGACGTATGTATACTTCTTAGTGTTGATATAAAGTCAACACAAACCCAGATCGAACGAGGCGTACTGACGGAATGTGACTAGTTTTACCACAATCCAGGAATTCATGTACTGTAAGGCGGACTTCTTGATATATCCACGAAATAAAACAGCATATTCATTGTCTGGACCAAGTTGACGAACCAAGATTCATGCCCAAAGTCGAACAATACCTGGCAGTCGATGGCCAGGAAGTCTTGCGCAAAACCTTAGCAGAGAAATTCTGCATTCCCGAGTTCTTCTTTGAGAGACTCGGCTGGAATGCCAACGGCATGTTTGGCAGCGCTCAGAACCCATCGCCGAGTACAACGGAAAAGAGCTTTGGTGAGTTCATACTAATCTAAAGATCATGATCAAAGGAAAGAGAGTCACTAAACTTCCGCGGCAACAAAAGGGACCTACTCTCGGTTTCTATCTAAGAAAGTCAAAGAGTTTCAGGAAGTGCATGAGAGCACATCGAGGGGACCGGCTAGATCTGTGAAAGACCCCAAGCATGGCAAACGGTCCACGCAAAGAACAGACATGGAGATCCCAGCCGCAAGCCCGGCAGCAGCCAGACATAATCTACATGACAGGCAGACTTTTGTGGCTGATTACGAATGGAACTATATGGGATTCTGTACACTGTGGCGATCTCCTCACACCAAGTCCCAGGCCGAGTCTGCAGACGAGACCGTCTTGCTTCTCTGCTTCGACCTCGACACAGCCGGCAGAAACCGGCTGCGGTGCATTTTAGATAGCGCCAATCTAACGGGCTGGCGAGAGGACCCGTTCTGGGTTCTTCAGTCTGTTCTTACATTTGTCATGAACCGGTTCGAGGAAGATTTGTGGACATTTCGGGACCCGGTTCGATTCATTGAAAAGGTCTGACTTGCCATTTGTCACTCGGGCACTTGAAAATCATCACTGCCTTGTCTTGTTTTTTGAAGCTAACCTCGTCCAGACTCGTGGAAATGGTGAAGTCGGCGCCTCGGCAGACGAAGGAGACGATGCATTTCATGATCTACGGAAGCGATATGCGCAGCTGCATGAACTCTCGCGCCATGTGATTCACATCTCCGAAACCATGGATGCATCTACTAACGCCATGGAGGCCATCGTGCGAGACCATACGCGGTGGCTTTCATCCATGCCTTCAATCGCCTCCGAACAGGTGATCAAAGCGCTGCTGTTCCGCGAGAATATCATCTCCAACTTGAATTTCCGTGCCAAGGCCTTTGTGGATCGAATGAACAACGAGATCAAGTGTGTAAGTATTAGACGCAAGCCAGCGAGGACCGAGCCCTACCGAAGTATAAAACTAACCCACCGCTCGCAGACCTCCAACTTCCTGGCTGTCGCCGAAAGCGCCACCTCCAGACAGATCCTGAATCAGACGCGAGGCGAGGGTAAAGTCCTGGCAGATACCGTGTCAGCCTTAACGCTGCTGTTCTTACCGGGCACTTTCATCTCGGTGAGAACTTGGTTTTGGCAAACTGTGAGAGAATTACTGCGCAACTAACCAACGTTTTCCTGCGTTTGTTATGCAATAGGGCTTCTTCGGCATGAATTTCTTTAACCTCGAAAAGAACGATACCACCAAAGCCATCGAGTTTACGACTCACCCTAAGATTTGGATCTTTTTTGTCTGCGCCATCCCCATCACGACCTTTGGCTTCCTTATTTACATGTCGGGCTTTGATGTCCGCGAGTGGATCCGGGACACTAGGGCGCTGGGACAGGGTCTTATTGACCGTTGTCGGCCGTCGAGAGATCCTGATGAAGAAGCTAATGCGAAGAATATTTGAGTCTGGCAAGGAGACATTGGTTGATTGTTTTGCAGATATGGCGTTTGATGTATATCCTGTGTGGTCGTGTGAGATATAGGGATATAGGCCCCAAGTCCGGAGCACATAATATATATGAGAGGGAGGAATCCACCGAGTTACGACCGAAAATTTTAAGATCGAAACCAGGGCGAACGTCGTGAAGAAATATCAACAATTCCGTGAGATCTTGTAGATCTCGACGTGGAGCTCTTTATCTTATCCGGGGAGTGCGACAATCTTCCCTCTTCACCTCTCCCATCTTCCTCGTCCGGTCCACCATGTCCTCCCTCAACCCAGACCAGATCAAAGTCCTCGAGCAATCGCGGCAGCGTTTGGTGCAGCTCACCCGCTCTCTGGGCTCCCTCATCAGCAGCCTGAACCAAAGCGACCCTCTACCCCCCTGGTAAGCACTCTGATGCCGAAGAAATGCAACGACAACCTGCACCCACACCTGCAACCTGATCTTAGAGCTTCGAGAACTTCATTTCGTCTTTGATTGTCCAATTATTTAACAAACAACTGACTTGATTCCTGCAGGTCCTCCCTCCAATCCCAAGCCAGCATCATTTCCAACAACCTCCTCAGCGTCTCCGAACAACTCTCCGATCAGGGCGACCTCCTCTCCGCCCTGGTCGCCTACCCAGGCCCCGAATACCCAGGCCGCACCCAAGCCAATACCCTTGAACAGCTCCTCCGCACAAAACTCGATCCCCGCGTCGAAGACTGGGTTGCGCGCGGCCGAGCCGCGGGGACCGAGTCCGAAAATTCCCCCGCAACAGCACCACCAGACACCCTCTCAGACCCGAACCCCAATTCCAGCATCGAGGCTGCACCGGCCCACCCACCGCTTAGCGGATCGCAGCTCGCCGAACTGTGGGAATGGGCGCCGCTAGAGGCCAACCAGGAAGCGCGGCGGCGGAATTGGGGTGGGAATTTTACGTTGGAGGAGCGCGAGGCCGGCGTGCAGAATGTTGTGACGGGCCTGCGCAGGCAATTTGAGGATGACGATGAGGAAGAGGGCGATGAAGAAGAAGAAGGAGAGGAAGAGGAAGAAGGAGAAGAGGGGGGGGAAGGAGGGAAAGAGGAAATGGACATCGTGGGTGTGCATCGCAAGTCTGGGGGTGGTGCTGGCTTCGAGTTCGATATTACCGTTCATCATCCGCACGCTGTGGAGCCTTTTGTGCCACTGGATGAGATCTTGAGGTATATGACCACCGGCCGCATGCCATAGCTTGCCCACCAGCTACATATACACCTCCGAGATTTTGCGACAACACTATGCTACGGATCATGTTGATCGACAGCACATCTACGAACACAGATATAGTCCAATTTGACTCTCGAGTCAATTGCATGAATTCCAAAAGATGAAATGATTATGATTAAAACATGTTTGAAACCAAAAAAAAGAAAGAGACCAATTCCTTAGGCTTTGTTTTTTCTAACCCCGACGTCGTGTGGTGGGAGTCTTCGTGCCCGGCTTGGGCGAAACTCCCGAGCTTTCGGCCACAGGGGCCTTCTCCACGGGCTTCGCGCGGGTCGTCTCTTTTTTGGGTGGCGGGCTGTTCCAGTAGTACAGCATCTGAGAGGCCAGGATGACGTTGAGACTGAAACCAGCGATGAATCCGTACAGGATGAGCTTGTCGTCAACCTCTTGCAAAGTGGTAAAGATACGGGACAGAGACCCGGCAAGATAGTTGAAGACCTAAACACAAGAGAATCACTGTCAGTATGTGCATTGAAACCACTTGAAAAACATAAAAGAACATACCGCGAACGCGCTCAATTGACCAGTTCCTCCTTCGCGCCAGATGGTATAAATTTGAGGGGCCTTGCTGGCAATTCCCAAAGCTCCAGCACCAGCCTGCAGATACGCCATTGTCTGCGCATCCACCAATGTCTGGTCGAACAGCAGCGCGTACACGCTCGCCGCGACGACGGCGACAAAGGTAGCCGCCGCAGCAGACCGGCCAGCAAAGGTCAGGACGAGGACGCCAACCGCGACATCCTGGACAGCAATAAGGGCGGACTCGCCGTAGGTGCTGAAGGGGAACTGGTTGCGCACGCCGTACGACAGGGTGATAAGCAGACTGGCGGTTTCCAGGGCGTACGAGACGAAGGACACGCCCGCCGACGAGCGAGAGCTGATCAGCTTCAAGATCTGCGGAACCTTAACCACCGCACTGGCGCCCACAATGGCCAGACCGAGCGCCTTGGAGATGGCGAGCGACGTGCAGGCAGGGTCCTTGGTGACATCGAGATCGAGGAGCAGCGCGCTGTGGCAGGGTGATCCGATCAGGGAGATGACGGCATCATGGACGGGTTCGGGGATAGCGGACACGATGGGCTGGAGGTGCGGCCGGAGAGGATCCAGCACGGTCTTCTGAAGGGCATCCATGGTTGTCGAGGGAGGGTGCTGAAGATGCTGGGAGAGCGAACTGTCTGAGGTGTTGACATTCCACGCATGGTCCGTGCGCCGGGGAAAGACTCGGCTCCAACTTCTCGCTCTCTTTCATTTTCTTCTTTTCCATGCCCGCTATGATCCCCCTCCGGTCAGCCGTGAGGCCGGGGGTGCCTCGAGAAGCACTTCTGTGCTCGCGATTCTCATTCAGGGCAAGGCCATTGTCTGTCCGCGGGTTCCTCTCGTCCTCGCACAGGCGATCGGGCATCGCGGATGACCAGGCCTCTTCGGCATTCCGCCGTACTTATTTCTCTGCCAATCGATTGTACGATGGTTCAGAGGCTAAGGGCGGCTTGCTCTCTTCCTTTGAATCCGCCAATCCCTCCCATAATTCGACCTCACCCAATTCTCCGGCCGCAAGCGAAACCCCGACACACACCAATTCGACAGAGACGGTGTCAACGAGGCCAATTACGACAGAACAAACCATACACGAATTACCGCACCGACGGAGGAAACGTCTTAAGGATTCCGAGACCGGCCAAACGGAGCAAGCAATCCCACTCGATGCATCGGCACAATTGTCCAAGTTCTCATCCGCCCTCCCCACTACCTCCCTCCGCCGCAAGCTCGCGGCCTTTCTCGCCCTCACAAAACCCCGACTTTCTTTCCTGATTCTCCTTACCACCACATCTGCATATGGGATGTACCCGATCTCGAATCTCCTCACCCTCGATCCGGCCATGACCCCGCTGCCGACTCTTTCGACCTCGACCCTCACTTTCATATACTTGACCACGGGCACATTTCTATCCTGTTGTAGTGCCAATACGCTGAACATGATGTTCGAGCCGCAATACGATGCGCTGATGGCCCGTACGCGCAACCGTCCCTTGGTTCGCGGGCTGGTCTCGCGCCGCGGGGCGCTGCTTTTCGCCATTGGCACTGCGACGGCCGGTCTCTCACTGCTCTACATCGGAACCAACCCAACCACCACCGCACTATCTGCTGCAAATATCGTCTTGTATGCCTTCGTATACACGCCGCTGAAACGCATCCACGTCATCAACACCTGGGTTGGCGCCGTGGTTGGTGGCATCCCCCCGTTGATGGGCTGGGTCGCGGCAGCGGGCCAGACGGCAACGACGGGCCACGACACCTGGCGCGATATGCTCTTTAGCGAGGACAGCATTGGAGGCTGGCTGTTGGGAGGTGTATTGTTCGCCTGGCAATTCCCGCACTTTAACGCGCTCTCCCACATCATCCGGGAGGATTACAAGGCCGCCGGCTACAGGATGCTGTGCTGGGTGAACCCGGCACACAATGCGCGCGTCGCCTTGCGCTATTCCGTCCTGATGTTCCCTATCTCTATTGGTCTCTGGTGGGTCGGCGTCGTCGGCCACGGGTTCTTGGTCGGCAGCACTGTCGCCAATGGCTGGCTCGTTCGCGAAGCCTACCGCTTCTGGCAACAACAGGGTGCCCACGGTACGGCGCGCGGCCTCTTCTGGGCCAGTATCTGGCAGCTCCCCATTCTCCTGGTCGGCGGCCTCGTGACCAAGAAGGGTCTCTGGGATGGCGTCTGGCGCAATCTCTTTGGACAGCCGGAGGAAGACGATGAAGAGTATCTGTACTATGAGGACGAGAAGGACAGCATTGAGGCCGAGCCCGAGCGTCTTGGGAACACTAAAGCCGGCGCATCGGTTCCTCCCGCGTCAAATCGTTCTGTCTTATCCACATGATAGACTGGGATTTCTGGCATGTGGACAAAGAGCAACCATATACATTCTGCCTGCACTTCGTCTGGCAACTGGAAGCTTGTCATTCTATCTGATCCCCATTTTGACTTCTCTGGTCTTGTCTTATACAGCGGTTTGGTTAGGGCGTTTTCTGTTTCTTGTATAACAATCCATATGAAATCATACAGACATCATATTTTCTGACTTAAGTTTGTGTAAGAGTTCTTTACTTCCGTGCTATAGAAGCTGAGAGTGTGGGTATCATTGTATTGTACAGTGAGGGTGCTTGCCCAGAAACAGGTTCTAGAGTGTTTATACAAGTTCAGATCCCGAGTAAATCCAACGCAAGTACAACCAAAGATGGCTACTCCCTCAACCGCAGGTGATAAGTCTGCAACGCCTCCTCGGTAATAGGACTCGGGGCGCGAACCATAGCATCATCACCACCCTTCCCCGTCTTGGGGAAGGCAATGACATCGCGCACGGACTCCTTACCAAGCATAACAGCAACAAGACGATCAAACCCAAGCGCCAACCCGGCATGCGGCGGACATCCAGCACGGAGAGCATCAACAAGATGAGCAAAGTTCGCAAGTCGCTCGGCCGGCATTTGCAGGATCTCGCGCAGGATAAACTCCTGGACGGCGGCGTTGTGGATACGCCGACTACCGCCGCCGAGCTCGACGCCGTTGACCACCAGGTCGTAGTGGTCGGCGACGGCCTGCGTGGGGTCGGTGAGGAGGCGGTCGACTTCGGCGGCGGACTTGGGGGCTGTGAATGGGTGATGTGTTGATGAGATGCCGGCGGTGCCGCCTTGGCCGGGTTCAGAGTCTGACGAGGGAGAGAAGAGTGGGAAGTCGACGACCCAGAGAAAGTCGAAGCCCGAGGGCGCGGGCTTGAATCCGCTGGCGACGGCGGCGCTGTGGAGGGAGCGGCGCAGGTCTCCGATGGGTGTGGAACCGCCGGAAAACGGTGCGCGCGGACGTGCTTGGAGGATGATTAGGTCGCCGTGGTCTGGTTCCAAGAGGTCCTCGACTTGCTCGGCGACTTCGAAGCCGAATGGCTGTAGTCCGCAGAGCGGCTGCTTGCCGTTGTATACGAAGACGCCGGGCCCGCCGTCGGGGTTGTTGTTGAATGGGGCACCGGCGGGGGAGTCTAGGAATTGCGTGATAAATTTGGTGGTTTCCGCGGGATCATTGTCATTGCCTTCCACCTTGAAGGCCTCCACGATAGGGTCCAGCAGTGGAGAGATCTTGCTGACGAGGTCGACCGGTAGTGCATGCTCAAGCCGGATGATCTCCATTCCGTATCGTGTGTCTGGCTTGTCTGAACCGTACTTGGCCATGACGTCCTGGTAGGATACTTTGCGGAATGGGCCATCGGGGGCAGGGTCTTTCATCAATGAAGACCAGAGCCGGCGGATGACCCTTTCAACGGTGCGCATCACATCGTCGCCTGTGGCAAATGACATCTCCAAATCGAGCTGGAGGGGTTGAATTAGTATGAAATGATGGTCTATTTCAAATAATACCATTCATACCTGCGTGAATTCCGGTTGCCGATCCGCCCGAAGATCCTCATCGCGGAAACAGCGCGCAAACTGAAAGTACCTCGGCACACCACTCGCCATCAAAATCTGTTTATATTGCTGCGGGCTCTGAGGCAAGGCATAGGCTAGGCCCGGACGCCGCGTAGGCACAAGGAACTCGCGCGCGCCCTCCGGCGTCGACTTGAACAACAACGGAGTCTCAATCTCCACGAACGGTGGCTGACACTGTTCCTCTAGCTCCTGTTTGCAAAGATTATGCACACGGGCCCGGAACCGGAGCGCCTCGCGCAGTTCCGTATCAGAACGAAGTTGCAGGTACCGTTGCTCGGGAGGGAACACAGTCTCGGTAGTCATGATAATCTCCTTGGGGAAGTCGTTCAGAGGGTAGATTTCCTGGAGCGCGAGCTCCCACGCATCTTGTGCAGGTATATCTGATGGGTCCGTGCCTTTTCCCTTTTTCCGTTGCACTGTTCCGCGCACTGCGACGGGGCTGTGGGCGTTGAGGGTCTTCAATTTGTCGAAAGCATCGTTCTTGGCGAAGGCGATTACTTGCAGGCTATGTTGCATGGTAGGGTCTGTCAGGCGCACAAAGGATAGCTTCTTGGAGAGATCTGCTCGGTGGCCGAGGTAGCCGTGCAGCACGACTTCGGTGTTGGGCTCGGCCTGCGAGAGGAAAGACTCGAAGTCATGAGTGGCCGGTGGGAAATCCACTACATGGAATTGAATCAGCCATGGGGCAAATCGGCATGTCGCAATACTATTCTCACTTACCGGCCTTCTTATATGTTTCTAGGAAGCTAGGAAGCTCCCTGGGAGTCTGCTCGAGTAGACAGATCCGGGTATGGAACAACCGCGGCGTACGGAGATGGCCATGGCGAGGAGTCGGCCAAGCAGATCTTCCACGAAGAATATTCGAGATCTCGATATAACTCGAGCGCAGCCGCAACGCGCGAATTTGAGCGCCAGCCAACATATTGCGAGTCAATGGCTTCACAATGATAATAAAGAGAGAAAGAGAGAAAACGATAGGTATCAAGAGCTCCGAGCAAAAGAAAACATAAAACCGGCACAATCACACCGCCCTAGTGCGGGTCCGTGACCGCCATGAAAATCAACACTTTTCTTAGCTTCTCTTTCCCTTCTTTTCTTTTTTCTTCATCCTTCCAAGTTTTATACAAGTGAGTCCTACATCGCCAGACCCTTAGTATTCTATATGTGAACTCATACTAACAGTCTACCAGATGATGAAAGCCTAGCGTGTATTATTCGAGACCATCACCTCTCCCTGATACGTGCGGCTCTCTTTCTTTGGAGAGCCCAAGGGCCGCACGACTCGGGAGGGCGGGAATGTGAGAAAGGCGTTCGGCACACCCAACCTTGTTTTTTTTTGCGGACGCGATGAAGGCATCTCTGATTCTTTTCTTTTAAGACTTGGTGGTGTTGTCCACAGGCTTGAAGAAGCCGTGGACTTGATATTTTCTTTCGACATTGGGAGAAGAGACCTGGGAAAAGCGGGCTCTCAGTTCTTCAGTACTTGTTGATTGAGGATTGCTTTGATGACAGATGTCTCTGCTTCTTTGCTGTTGAATTGATTTTACATAGTGCTCTTGAAGCTATATATCCGCATAACTCCCATGCAGTACATCAAAATGAACTTTTTTTTCCAAATCAATCTATGTCACAAACTTCCCTTGACATGAATGCATTCTATAAAAATTGCAACCCGCAATTCCATCCATCCATCCATAAGACACCCCGGAACAAAACAATAAACACTTTTGATTATTCGAAAATCATCTTGTGCAACACCTCCTTCTCCCCACTGTTCTCCACCAGATTCCTAAACACGCCGCCCTCAATCCCCATCAACTCCCTCGGCGTCCCGAACTCCGCAGCCCGGCCAGCATCCATAACAAGGATACGATCAAAGTCCGCAATAGTGCTAAGCCGGTGCGCAATAACCAGCAGGGTGCTAGCATTGCGGCCGAACTCAGCGCGGATGGACTGCTGGATTAGAGCATCCGTCTCCATGTCGACGGCGGAGGTGGCCTCGTCCAAGATCATCATCTTGGGCCGCGAGACGATGGCGCGGGCCAGACACAGCAGCTGGCGCTGGCCCTGCGAGAGGTTGAGCCCGCCCTCGGAGATGGGCGCGGCCAGGGACGTGAAGGCATTGGTGTTTGCTTTGGCCGTTGCGGTGTCGGGCGTCGTGGCGCCTGTGCCGCCGGGGATGCGCGGCGTGGCCGCTTGCGAAGTGAGGGTTTCGGAGTCGTTGTCGTTGGTTGTATCTTGGATTAGGTGCACGCGTGCGAGCGCATCGTAGAGCTCGGTGTCGCTGTATTGGTTGAACGAGTCTAGGTTCGAGCGCACCGTTCCGGAGAAGAGGACGGGGTCTTGCGGGATAATCGCGAGTCGGCTGCGCAGGTCATGGAGTTTTATTTTGGATACGTCTACCCCGTCGATCAGGATCTGGCCCTCCCGGGCCTCGAGGAACCGAAATAGGGCCAGAGTCAGCGACGATTTACCGGCGCCTGTACGGCCCACCACGCCGACTCGCTGGTTCTTCTCGACTGCGAAGCTGAGGCCGTTCAGCACGGGGGGAAGGTCGGGAGCGTAGCCAACCACCAGGTCCTGGACTTCCAAGCGACCCTCTGTAGGCCAGGCAGCTGGGGCTGCAGTGCCGCTCTGACTCTCGGTTTCGATATTCGAGTATTCAAGCACGCGTTCAATGGCGTTCATGTTCAGTTCAATATCCGCGTACTGGCGCAGAGCAATCGCAACCACCGAGTTGTACTGGAGAGCGAAACTAAGAGCAAAACCTGCGAGCGAAGCCGTGATCCCCGGGGCGTAGACGACCAGGGCGGCCGTCAGAGTCGAGAAAACAGCGCCGATGACATTCATGCGGAACCCAAGCCAGCGGTTGAACAACCCCAGATTCCACCAAGCTTCGGCATGTCGGTTGATCTTGTTATAGATGATCCCGATGTAGGTGTCGCTCTTGCTGAACGCGCGGATCGTGACCAAGCCAGTGAGACCCGAGCCAATCTGCTCGAAGACGGGGCTTTTGGCCGTGCTTTCGAGCCGTTTGATCTCACGGGCACCCGCCAAATACCATGTAGACAGCTTTGTGCATATCGCGAGCACTACGACTGCAATGGCAATAACCACTGGAGAGACCATGATGCCAGCAACCATGATTCCAAGAAGCTCGAGGACTTTGGAAGCAAAGAACCCAATGTCATACCCAATCCGGCCATCAGTCGTGTGGAAATCGGCCGTGAACCGGTTAAGAATTCGCCCCAATGGGACGGTGTCAAGCCATCGGAGTGGAGCGCGGAGGACGGCATACATCAAATTTTTGAACAGGTTCCTCGATGCCCGCACTGCTGCAGACAGAATTAAATAGTAACGCACTGTTCCAATAATACATGCCGCGACTGAGATACCGACGTAGATTCCAATGTACATGAAGAGCTTGTTGTCTTCTGGGGGCGCCATAGATCGCTTCATCGGATGCTGTAGCAGCGCCTGGTACTGTTCGGTATGCGGCTGAGTGCTGGCCCCAGAGCTGGTCCAGATATTGATCCACCAAGCCTGTTGGAAAGCGAAAGTTAGTATGGCGAAATTAAATTGCAAGATGAATGTTTTGCACTTACACGTCCAACCATAAGACTTGAATATGTAAGGTAGACCAGGATCCCAACCAACCAAAAGGTCCAATGGCCGCCTTTTGACAAGTAAGCCGTGTAGACTGAGAGCTGAATAGAGCCCTTCTCTCGCTTTTCCTCCTCGACGAACTTTTTGGGCGCCGACCCAGCATTTTCCGTGTTTTCATTTTCATTCGGACTCGTGTTGGGCCGCTGGTGCGATGTATTCGAGATGACCTTTTGGAGGGTACTCTCTCCGTCGTTCAAAATTTTGCTCTCTCCATCAGCTGAAGCTTGACCCGTCTCCTCGGTGGCATGTTCCTCTTGAAGAATATCTTCCAGATGGTTCGCCTTCATGAGCTCGTCTATGGTGCCCGCATACTTGACACAACCATTCCCCAGAAGCACGGAGTAGTCTGTACGCGGAAGACAGAGTCCGACATGATGGGTGACCAGGACACGGGTTCGGTTCTGTCCAAGGTCTCCAGTCAGGGCATGTTCGTAGACATGACGTCCTGTGTGAGCATCCAGGGCGCTAAATATGTCATCCATGACAAGGATGCCGGCCCTCGAGTACAAGGCACGCGCAAAGGATATACGCCATCGCTGGCCACCACTCAGATTGACTCCATTGGCGCCGATGTCAGTCAGCTCGCCATCGGGCAGCATTTCAAGATCCTTTTCCAATGCACAAGCAAAGAGGACCTTCTTATACCGCTCCGCGTTGTAGGGCAGTCCGAACAGGATGTTATCCTTGATAGCAGCATTCTCAATCCAAGGGATCTGGGCAACATAGGCAATGGCCGAGTCAATGGTCCAGTTGGCGCTGGTGGCCAGATGATCATAGCGATCACTAATGGGAGGTGGAACAGGCACCTTGACAGTCCCACTCAACACTTCGCATTCACCAAGGACAGACGCCAGAAGCAGGCTTTTGCCCGAACCTGTTCGGCCAGATATCACACTGAGGCCCTTGGGAGGAAAGCTCAGGTTCAGATCCTGTAGGATAAAAGTGTCTTCATCGACCTCGACATATTCCGACCGGTTCACTGGCCAAGTCACAGAGGCGTTCTCGAACGCAATATGATCCGCAGGGAGGGTGTTGGCAACCTTATCCGGCGACGCCAAGTACTCGTCAATGCGCTCTGCGCTGACCTTAGCCTCCAAAGCAAATGAGAAAAGTTCCGGCAAGATAGCGAGAGACATTTCCAGCGAGCCAAAGACCGCCATAGCTGTGAAGGCCACCGAGGCAGACAAGCCGCCATGGATCAAGGCATAAACCGTCAATGCCACTGCAGACAGACCAACAGGGCCAAGGATCCAAATGGAGATCAGACAGATATCATAAAGGAATAAGACCCACAGGGCACCAAGTTCGGTCTCCCGTACCCCGGAAATGCGGTCCTGCCACTGTTGTTCCAGCGCAGAGAATTTGACCTGCCGAATACCCTGGAGCACCTCGGTGATGATGGCCATCTTCTGGTCTCGGAATTTCATAAGTCGGCCTTGGGACTTGACGAACTTGCCCGCTACATAGTAATTCAACGGCGTCACGAGAACAGACACTGCCATGCCGGCGAGGGCACTGCGCCATCCGAGAACATTGACCAGAAAGCCGCAGCCGATCACGACCCTGGCACCTGCCATGGGGAAAAGATTGAAATTCGCTGCGAGGTCTGCAATTCGTCGCGCATCCACCGCAGCCAGGTTAATCGTGCTCTGGCGACTCTGTTTCAAAGCCTCCTCCTCGTCGTCCTCAGGCTTGTTGTCGCCTTGATCCTCCAAGAGCGCTTTTGCTGCAGAATCGGGACTACTGGGGTCCTTGGCCTTTTTGACATATTTCGCGTCCTTACGGCGCATGGATTTCGCGAAGATCACAGCCGATAGCTCCGCATAGACGGGAATCCCGAGTTTCGAATACATTCCCCAGAAAAGCCAGCTCTCGATGTTAGAAGCAAGCAACATTATGCCTCCCAAGCCTGCCACCCAAACCCAAGTCTGCAGTGCATTCCAGGAATCGGTCCCACGGGCCTCCAAGGAACTCAAAATCTTGAGCAAGGCTACCTGCGGGCCGAAGCCCAAAACGCAGACAATCAGCGTCAGAGTGGCCTGGAAAATAAAGGATTCGCGATGGGCGACGAAGATTGCTGTCCACAGCTTTCGAGAGCCTCTGACCCGTTCGAACTTCTCGCGGAGACGATCCGTGCGTTTGGAAGCCTCGAGGCTAGGAATATCATCAAGTTCGACTGTCTGTTTTTTGACTACGTAGTTCAGTAGGTCATTGGCCCAACTGAATGTGAGACGGCCAAGGATGGAAACTGTCCACTGGCTATCAACGACCTTGCCATCGTGATATACATGGGGTCGGCGCGGCAGGAGCACGCAACACAGTCCGCGTAGCAGTGCACTGACAACCTGCGAAATGGTCAAGCCAACCCAGGTCTGGTTTTGGACAAGAGTGCTTTGCGAATTCCATGCCGCCTGTACTTGAATAAAAGGAAGCGTGATCGCAATGGCGCTACCCCAGAATGCAAAATGGCCCAGCACGAAGCGGGTCGTTGGTCGTGGTTCAGCAAAGAACGCGACGGCCTGAAGCGAGAGTAGACTCTATAAAATAGCCCCGTCGATCATCAGCTAATTTTTTTTCTTTTTCTCTTTTAAGATGTAAAGAAAGGGAGCCTTTTCTACATACCCAGACGCCGAATTGCAGCCATATTAAACCAGTGTCATTAGCACCGTGGTGGATGATTGTGACAACAGCCAAGGCAAGCGTCAATAACAGTCCAGCGATAGATAACACCGCGATAGCGACCCTTTGCCATTTGTCCGAAAAGGCGCGAAGAGATCCCTCGGTCGCCTCGCCGTCCTCGTCGCGATAAACCGTCTTGGCTAAAAACGGCTCATCTTCCGGTGGTGCTTTGCGCGCGACTCGACCGACGATGCTTTTGGCAGCAGGTATGCTACTTATCGCGGCTAGTAACAGGGCCAGCGAGCCTGTTGCTAAGGGTGCAACCTGCCAGTGAGGTCCCATAGCTTGTCGCTTCACCCTGAGGGATGTCAAGAGGGTGAGGAATGGAGAAGGAAAAGAAAAAGGTGTGAAGAATAATAATGATCACGTCTTATTGTAGGCATCAGTCATAGCGGATCCTTTTTCCCTAGTTACTAAGAGCATCACTCAAAAGAGATAGAAAAGACCATTACCAGTCAGCGAATAGGTACCTCTCTAGCGCTGGGAGGGTAGCATCCACTTGAGCGGGGAAGCTTCTTGCTGGAATCAGTGACTCAGATGCCTCGTATCTCGCATCGCGTAGTGTGCATAATTAGGTAGATCTCACACCCCTCCGAATGACTCACCTCTCCGGCGGCGAATGTCGCAACAGAGACCCCATGGAAAAGCGGGCAAGGCTGTAGGATAAACGGTGGAGAGCTCCTGTAGGACGCCGATCTGAATGGTGGATCCAAGAGATAGATCGACGTGAACGCTTGAATCACCCAACTGAAAAGGAAGAAAGTGCGATTCCCGTGAGTCATGCGGGTTCCTTCTAACGCAGGACCGGCCTCCACCCTCGTCGAGGCACAAAGTCTCGAACGCCCTCATCGTTCAAAACATCTACGCCCCGGCGTCCCGTCACTATGCTCCGCTCCGATTCGGGTCCGAGAACGTGGAACGGTTTGAACCCGAGTAGTCCCTGATCGCCGTCGGATGTTCGTGTCCACCGCTTCTTCGACCTCTGACCGTCATTTCTTGCGTCACTCGACATCTCGAATCCCGAGTTTAGCCGGTCCAGGCTGAGATACCATCGTCGCTGATGGATGGAGCCGATTGTATTCGAGGAACCTGGGTAAGCATTGTTCTTTTGGATTTGCTGGTCAATGTCGTCCGAATGAGTACCTTGCTCAGACTCGGATTTCAGTCCTGCAGTCGACTTGTCGACTTCTGTTGGATTTAAAGACGGCCGCAGAGCTGGTTGATCAGACAATGATGGTGATTCCGAGTCCGATGTGGACGGTGTCTGTGTTGCCGTCTGTTGTGGTCGCAGACGCCTACGCCGTTTGGGACCATCCCGCAGAGGCTTCGCAAAATCCATAGATTTATCCATGCGAAGAACAAGCGTATAATTCTGGGGCAGACGCGTCCCATGCAATCGGAGTCGGATTTTGCGCTTAAACGGAGGATCAGTGGAGCTCAAACGGCATCTAGCCCGAAAAGACTTGGTTATATACGCACATTTCGAAAGGCTTCCCGGAGTCTCGCACTGTCCGAGATTTGTTCAATCGGTGAAGCAGGCTCATCAGATACCTCTGACCGAGAATCGTCGGTCTCCGGCAGAGACTGGTCAAGCTCATACGGCAAAATCTCATATTCTCCCGTATCCCAGATAATCATGCTTCCCGTTTTGGAAGAAGCCGTCTCAATGAGATGGTTCTGGTAGTTGGCGTAAACATTTGACACAAAAGAATGTCCCGACACTCTGCTTACCCATAAACAGTGAACCCGAGTCTCGGTAGCATTGCGGTTGAGCTTGTGACTATTCGGGTCCCCTGGAAGCCCATACATGACCGACCAGCTCACAGAGCTGGACTCGGAGAACTGCAACCGGAGATCGTAGTGAGGGCCGGCCAGGGGGTGGTCATGCTGATGGATGACGAAATGACGTCCCTCGGGATGTTCATTGCGCCGATATAGTTCCACCCATTGCTCGATGGGGATTCGAGGCGTTGGCTGTGGATATGAATGGAAGCGCATGTACTGGCGGAGTTTTGTGGAGACGATGCTCAGATGGTCGGTAACTTCAACCTGGCCAGCTTCGATGGCGGCAAGACTCGGTGTGTTCTCCAGGTTTATTGCTCCTGATGGCAACGCTCGATTGGGCTCTCTATTTCCATTGAATGTGGATTTTCGTCGTGGAGGAGAGACTGGTGCAATTAAGCTGGAAAGAATGGATGTGGACTGTTTGGTTCTCGTTTCATCAAGCTCCTCGTTGCTCTCGGGGTTCCGGGTGCGCTTCATCCTCTGCAATGAACACCGCCACGGACCTTCGCAATCAAGAAGTCGTGAAAGAGCCAACGTTGAATCCAGGCGATCCCAATGACCCATGGATGTCGATCCACTGGCATCCATGCGCTGGTGCTTAGTCATCTGTCTTTGTGGATGAATTGATTTACAGACCGGATGGTTGCGATAGCATGGAAATCAGCTGGAGTAAAAGAGGACGATGTATTGCATGTGGTTTGCTCAAGGATACTAAATTGATAGTGTGGCTGCCGCCGGTTCTACTTCCCGTTCTATAGCATTTCCGATCCCACAAGGACATCCACATCGCACCAACCTAGGGCGTTTTAGGAATAGCCTGCACGCTCTGTGGGTTATGAAAGACGTCTTTCGGATCAACATCTGTTTTGATCCTTTGGAGTCTGGCGAGGTTAGGACCCCAGTAGGCCTTTTGTGCATTAGCCAGGTCCGGGTCCACATACCCCGGATAGGAATGTAAGTCGGCCCCAGGACGAGCAGCAGAAAGAACGCCGTGCAAATCATTGAGGAATCTTTTGGTGGTCGATGACACCGGTTCGGAGAAGCTGATTGCATACGACTGCATCCACATGATGGCTTCCCTGTGGGCATACGCTGTGGCATTGACTGGGACATCGTTTGTTGCTCCACCTTCTAGGTCGAAGATCACGAACCATGCCAGGGTGCCTTTGGGCGTGGTATCCAGGTACTGGAACATGACCTCTAGGCCAGCATCAGGTATCAGAGACTGGGGCGTGAACGACATGGACTTGGCATAGAACGAGGTCGAAACACTACCCGCAATTCGCAGCATCAGATCCTCTGCCTGGCTACTTAGCATACCGAGCCAGTTTGTCAGATATGCCACAGTGCCGGAATTGCTGAGTGGGAATTTCTTTTCTAGTTGGAATGTGTTGAACTCGACTCGGGAGCCGAAGAAAGTGCCAGAGATGATGACGCCTCCTTCAAAGATCACGAGTTCACTCGCGAATTTGCGAGTGAGGTTTTCTTGGGTAATCAGTCTCTGCCAGTCCTTGAAAATTTGTGCCCTGCTGGCAGCAGTGCCAATGCTGAAGCTGTATGAATACTGAAAGGCCTCTTGCGGCGCAGGGTGAGTGTGAACCTTGAATTCGGTTACGACGCCAAAGCTGGCTGCTGCACCCTTCACGGCAAAGAAGATGTCTTGATTCTGCATGTCCGAGGCTCTCACAATGCTGGAATTGGCCAAGACCACCTCCACCTCCTGGATATGGTCGAGTGCTGTGCCCCAATTCCGGGACATAGGGCCGAGACCACCAATCGTGAAATGACCTCCCGAGCCGACTTAAGGACAGGAGCCATGCGCCATTGCTCTCCCACCTGCTTGATAAAGCCGCTGATGAACATCTCCCAAGAGCGTCCCGGCCCCGATTGTGGCAATGTGGGATGTGTTATCGATGGAGAACTGCTGGAAGTGTTTCAAGTCGACGACTATCGCGCTATCTGCTCCTCCAAGACCTGACAGCGGGGATTTCATCAGACATAAGACAAGATAAGACCAAAAGTATTACGTACCATAGTTCCCATAACTGTGGCCACCACTGTATGCCTGCACCTTGTACCCATTGGCATCAGCGCATCGCACAATCTTGGACACCTGGTCGGCTGTCTTGGGAGAGGTTATGACAGCAGGTGCCACGGGAAGATTGAGGTTGTACAGGGGCAGGTTGCGCAATGGGAAGAAAGGCTCTCCGGGAAAAGCAACCAAATTAGTGTTGTTCCCGACAGCTGCCAGAAAGCAGTCGTGCCCGGGGATGCTGTGTGCGTGGCCCATGGTGGGAGAGCAGCCCCGAGTGTCAAGGGGGAAAACTCAACGAAGGGAATTAAATTGAGCAAATGAAGCTTGGGGATTCAACTCAGGTCAATGAGAACGGAGAGAATGGTTGTGGTAGTTAGCAAAAGAGAGAAAGACAGAGAGGGCACCTCCCTGTCTTGGAATTCAGAGCAGCCTTGCATCTCAGGCCCGTCAACTCTGATTTCTATCAAGACCAAAGATGATGCCTTGAACATTCTAGTCTACTGGATGATCGCACTTTGCCATGGAAAACAATCTCATAGTTCCTCGGGTTCCATTGGCTCGACCGCGTTATACAAATGGGGTAACGCCTGGCGTGCAGAGACGCATGGCAGCCACGAGTCTCACAACGATATGAGCAATGGCATCGCCAGGAGACGATCACAGGTGCTATTTATCAAAGGATGCGGCCCGAAGCCCCAACAACAAGATGTTCGGGGACCACGGTGGTCCCCGAACCCGGCAATCTCTATCCATATCCCTAGAGCACGCGAGAATGTGCCAACTTTTTCGTTTTATTGCTAATTTGCTGGGGTTTCACAATTACTTCCTCAATCACCTCAATTCTCCTACGCCAAAGACCGGTGAACGGTCCGCTTCGACGCGATTCAATAAACTCCCGCCATGTGGCGTGGATGACATCAGAGGGGAAAAAGGATTTCGGGACTGAAACTCTCAAGAACAAATTGGACCAACTTCACCTCAACGCGTGTAGTCGAGCTGCAGCATGTTCACTCCAATTCACACGTCGCTGGGCGCTCTCCTTCTCTTCCAAGGCTCGTCCGGCCTCCTTCTCCACAACGGCGCCGTCTTCGGCATCTCGTCCCTCCTGTCGGGCAGTGTCTTCGGTCCAAGTCGTGACAATGTGCCAATTGTTGCAGGCTTGGTGTCCAGCGTGGCTCCGGTGTATCTCCTGGCACCGTCGCTGATCCCGAGTTATCCGGCGTCTCTGCATTCCTGGGCCTCCGTGGCTTCAACGTTCGGAGTCGGGTGCCTCTTAGGCTGGGGAACAAAGGTGAGGAAGATTGGTTTTCGGCGAGAATGAAAACAAGCTGATCGGATGGCCAATTTTTAGAATGGTCGCGGCTGTACCTCGGGACACATGCTGTGTGGTCTTTCGCGGCTCTCGGCGCGCTCGTTGATCTCAACCGCGGTTTTCTTCACAACCGCCTTGCTCACCGCAAATTTTGCGGCAGGAGGATCCAATATCTCCTCGTGTGGTGCGATACCATGCTATACGCCGGTATATCCGTCTTCATCGGAGTTGGTTTTCATGGTCACCGCAACAGTAATCTCAAGCATCACCAACATGCTGATCATCCCTCGAGTCCTCCGTCCATCAGTGGAAGCAAGAACTGTGTTCTCCTTTCTGGCAGGACTGGAGTTTGGTATGGGTCTTCTGATTTCGGGAATGGCCGACCCGGCCAAGGTTCTCCGCTTCTTCGCCTTTCTGACCGACCCGTCTCGGTTTGACCCGTCATTGGCGCTGATCATTGTGTTCGGGATTGGACCATCCTTAATCACGTTTTTGACTAAGAAGCCTGGCCAATTCGTGGAAAAGGGGAAGCCGGGTGCAAAACCTACCCTGGCCGAGGGATGGAGACTCCCTACAGCTACCGTAGCGGATATTGACTGGCGCTTCATGGCCGGGGCCGTGGCATTTGGTCTGGCCTGGGGTTTGAGAGGAGTGTGCCCCGGCCCAGCTATTTTGCGAACAGTCCTCGAGCCAGCGTGGGGGCTTGTGACGATGGGCGGGTACATGCTGGGAAATCTGTTTTAATGGTTCAGTGCAGCGGCGTATGGCCGAATTGACAGCGTCCTTGTCACGAGACATCATTCAAAAGCTGCTCTCAAGAGGCAATCAGCACATGCACAAGACCAGAAGTAACGTATGACCGCGTGGTTTAGAAATATATATGGGACGGTTGTTCAAATAAAGATGCATTGGGTATATAGCATGCTCAAAGATAAAAAGAAGAAGACCGCAAGAGTAATAGAGTGCAAATGAATGGTGAGGGCTTACAACTCGGTCTTTTTGTTCAAGCGAATGGCCTCTTCCTCCGTGTCCTCGTCCTCGCGTTTCTGAGCGAGATCGGAGTGGCCAAAATAACCCTCCAGCTCCATCCATTCAGCGGCAAAAGCCGTGATGAGCATGCTCCAGTCCTCGACAGTATCCAGGTCCAGATGCTCGCCATCATCCTCAATGACATGCCAAACTTCGGGGAAGCCTTTGAACGGCGCGAAATCAATGAGGTGAAGAATTTCCACACCCCGCGCGAGGAATGGGAGATGATCATCCTGGATCCCACCCATGGGTTTGAGCTCATGTTCATTTTTGGAGGTATCAACCAGCCACGGCTCGGTCGACGAGGATTTGAATTGCTTCAGTGACCGGAAGCGCCGCTCCAAGGATCCTAGGTTTCGATAAGCCCAATGGGTAGTCTCGTAATACGACTGGATGACCGGCGTTTTGGCACCAAGCAGGTCGAGCAGAACGAACAAGGAGATCGACGAGAGCGGAGTCTTGAACGAGGACATTGCTGGATTTGCCTCGTTGTCCCACGCTGCAGCCAGAGATCGAGACCCATAGAGGGAGTCCTCATCGGTCCATGTCTCAAAGGCTTCCTCACCATCCAGGAAGACCACTTGAATTCCTCGATGCTCCTCTAGTGATGTATCCACACCTTGCTTCTTCATGGCAGCCCATTTCTTCTCAAGAGCATCATCAATGCTACGCATGGCATGCATTAGCATAGCACAAGGTGCCGCGCTATCAATTGCCCCAATTAATCCCTCCGGTTCTAATTTGCTGTCGTAATGCGCGACCAAGGTCAACCGACTCACATCACCCACATGAGCCCAAGGGGGATCACGCGAGGCAATGAAGTTGACAAATGGAACCTCCTTCCACTTCGATACCGGGGTTGTTGCAGTGGAATTCTGAAACTGGATCTTCCATTTTGGCAATGTAGTGCGAAAGAAGTCGGCGAAATGGTTGAGCACAGCAGTCGACCCGGGGGTGCCAGGAACACGAGGCCTGAGGATGGGGGACAAGAGAGCACCTTTGTGGATATCGAAGTCCTTGTTCGGCCGTGGCAGCGCTTTCAGGGTATCGTCGGAGATGCTCTCGTATGCTTCCCCTAGGAGCATCAGTAGGGCAAGCCATAACAGCCAGAGATGGCCCCAAAGACCACGGTTAGCCAGAGACATGGCGTTGCAATATAGCTGTGCTATATTCTCATCCCATCGACGCCTTCAGATGAACAGATTGGGATCAGGAATGATGCAGAGAAACACAAGGGTGTTCAAAGGAAGCAAACAAAGCGGCAGCCAAGGCGGTGACGTTTGGTTTGGGCTCGCATTGCGCTTGGCATCGCAAACCTCCGTTTCTTTACAACCCAACGCAAGATGCGACCACAGATTCTCCTCCACCCTCAGTTGAGGACAGCATTGCCTCAATGTGCCCAAAGAGGCTTGCGCAACCAAATATGGGCCCGGTTCAAGTCACAAGTGCCCATGCCATCCAAGAAGCATGACTTTGTCGGATCTTTGCCCAAAGGCACGGTCACACGGGTGCCAGAAACGCCGTCGGAAACATCGCGACCAGATCCCCCACAACCGGAATCACCCCCAAAGACCGTTATGCGAAAAGGTATAAAGAACAGCACCCTGGAATATGAAGGACATACATGCTGAAATAGGGCTACAGGTCCCCCGGAACGGATCTTGGTCTACTATGGAGGAACCGGCCGAGCCATTTATCTTGGAATGTTGCGGGTTTCTACTTTCATTCTCTTCGGCACAGCCTGTCTTATCATTGCTCCGGCTTGCTATTCAGCAGACTATCCGTGGTATACTCTGCCAGCTAGTAAGCATTGCTCCATTCTAAACGGCACATGCGCCCGAGGAATAATACTGATGGTGGTTTAGTTGTCGCGGGTGGTGCCCTGCCAATGGTCTTTGTTGCATATACCGCTGCACCATATGTGAATTTTGTTCATCTGGCACTTCCTGCCTTTGCTCGGAAAACTCGAGAGACGGCTATCTATTATGCAAAAGACCTGCCCCCGACGGCTGTCTTGTACATCACAACCACACGGTTTAATACCATTCCTCGTCAGACCGCTGTGCGAATGGGGGACATTCTTCCTGGGAGACAGAAGTACCGTCCGATCAGCTTCTCGAATTTAAACCCTGCACCCCGACCATGGTACCGCGGCAAAGCCCCTGCTCATTTTTTCACCTCCTCACATAGCCGTCCGGGGAGGCAGTCGACGGCCTTTTACCCTGAGCTTTGGCAGCATATCTACCCCCAGATACAAAGAAATGGGCTTCGCCGCTCTTATTGAGTGTGTGTCTGTCACTTCTGATTCTATGTGTACAGATCAGCTCACTGTATGACTATACGATTGTATTTCTACTATCACTTCTGGAATACACCTACACTATTAATCCTTCTATTGTTCTATCTTCTCTATCTGAAAATCCTAGATGAACACGCTACACCTTACATTGATATACGCGAAGCTATGATTGCGAATCCTAACTGAAGCAATTATGCGAGCCGTACTTGGTTCTATTGATTATGCTCTCTTTCGCTTGACTTAATCTTCCAAATTCGTCTAATAGCGTACTCTATTCAACCTTGATTCCGTTGGGTATACGCTAGGCTACTATTTTGATCCCTGAAGTGAATATCTCCCTCGAGTGAATATTCTCACCACACCTTGGTTTTAAATATTCACTTCCTCTTCTGCTTCCACTACTCCCCTACTTGTCTACTTCTTCTTTGACCCCGTCTGGTTTTCTTACCCTCCCACATCTTTGAACCTCTCTGAGCTTTGCATTCATCGAGCTACCTATCACGAGCCACCTCTTGCTCTTTTCTTTCTGTCCTACAATACTGTCACCTTCCGGGTAAGTGCTTGAATCACTATCCACACAGTTCATTTTTTAAGACTATTAAGACTCAATCCTTGGATGGAATTATCTCAACAGACCCGTGACCATGTCGTCTCCTGCCGACAAGAAGAACGACTTCCTGGGCCTCACCCAGAAGGATGCCAAGCTCCTTCTGCTCGGCATCGCGTGCACCTCTGAGAGCGACAAGGTACGAAGCTCTAAGCAAGCGAGCTCTGCTTCAATTCTCGCCCGCTTTCCTCCCACTATATCTCTCACAATACTAATACCCAAAATGATTTATAGGTGGACTTCGCCAAGCTTGCCCACAAAATGGGATACACTGCGAATTCGGCCCGTGTCCTCCACGGCAACGCGCGGCGAAAGCTGCAGCGGCTGCACGGCGGTGATGAGACTGAGGACAGGAAGGAGATCGACACATCTGCCAAGGCCACCGTGACCCCCAAGAAGTCCCAGAGTGGAACGTCAACCGAGTCCAAGAAGGATGCTCCTGCCACCGAGTGATTGCCCTTTTCCTATGCACCTTGTGTATTCAGGACGCGGAGTATCGGATTGAGAGGTCGGAGTGAGGAACTTGCATCTTTGATTCCTGGAGAAAAAGGACATGGACTTTGTTTTCAAGGAGAATACTTGCTAGGCCATGGCCAGAAAGCACAGTCAATGGCATACAACCTTTTCTAGCTAAATCAACGCACATCAGTAGAATGATTCAAGGTAATGAAGGAACTTCTCGTAAGAAAGACAAGCAAATTTTAGGCATTCCAACAGTCGTAGGTATTAAGAATAAGATCTTTCTACCTCTAGATATTTCACTTATCTTCTTTCATACCTCTTGCCTTGAACAGACTTATTTTCTCTGAAGTTACTGCTCATATTCTATCTCTTTGCTTTCTGGTACTCAATGCTCTCAAGGTCACTCTATTCCTTTCTGTCTTTCTCCTGATTTACTTCTTACCCTCTACCTCTCTATCTCTTCTTTATCTCCGTCAGCACTTGTGCCTAGCAGATACTTGCTTCATCCACACCACTGCTTGTGAACTTTGTGTCACAAATTCACTACTTTCGAGTTAAGTTTATTTACTTTTTCTCTCTGTCCCTCTACCAACGTCTCTCTTCTTTACACTCTTCTTGTCCTCGAACAAAGAATCCACACAATATCTTATCCAAAGAAACCAAAACTGACTCTTCTGCTCGTACTATCATCACCACAGAACCACCAAAATGTCTTCCCCTACGACCCCGACCAATCCTACCACCCCATCAAAGAAGACCAAGAACGAAAACCTGCTGGGGATCTCCGAGACCGAGACCAAGCTCTTGCTTTTGGGAATGGTCTGCACCTCCGACGCTGGCAAGGTACGTAAAAACCCCTCCCAAGCTATCTATCCCCTCGTCACTTCTACGTTACTATCTCCATTTTGGTTGTGTTTGTGGCTTTTAATACTTACTAACCGCTGAATTCAATCATGTAGCCCGACTTCGCCGAGATCGCACCCAAGGTGGGCTGCACCCTTGGCTCGGCCCGGACCCTGCACGGCGTTGCTCGCCGTAAGCTGGAGCGTCTGCATGGTAGTCAAAAGGTTACTGGTGCCAACGACGGGAAGGTGACCAAGCCTACTCCATCCCCCAAGACTCCCCGGGGCTGCAAGGCCACTGGGTCCAAGAAAAAGGCTGCTAGCAAGGTTACGGGCACTCTTACGGAAACCCTGGAGGCTTCGGCGCCTGCCCATCAAGGCCCCTCTGAGTCTGACACCGGCGATGCTCACGATACTCAAGATGCTGTCTATTCTGCCGATGCTCCCGATGCTGCCGATGCTGCAGCTGGCGCTTACTGATTACCTTTCGCTGTGTGCGCCGTGCACAAACGGCATGAATTCTGGAACTGGAAGAGGATTTCGGTGATGGAATTGTTTCTTTATTTCTTTTTGTTTCTTATCTCCCGCTCCCCTGCCTATGTCGTGTCCGGTGACGAGGGGATTGTTTGCTGTTTTCTGATGGACAAGGCAGGGGAGAAGAAGGGATCGTTCAGCTAGAACTGTGTCTAGACCATAGCCAGAGAGCATGGTCCAAAAAAAAAAAAAAAAAAAAAAAAATTCCAGAGCCATTCGGTCAAATGAAGGCGTCTCCAGTAAAATTGTACAATATTTAGGGGTTTCAATATTCAAGAAGCTCAGTGGTAACTTTCAAGAGTTTTGATAGTGGCAACCATTAAGAATAACATGACCATCAGATCCACTACACGCCTCCCAGAACCGAAATATAAGAATACAAAAGAAACACAAATAGACAGTCAGAGTCGACACAGGTTAAAAAAAAAAAAATGGGGTATGGGGAACATAGAGATTCCGGGAGCCCGTATAAGTAAAAGCAACATGCAACAGAAGATCTGCAACAGAAGACAAGCGAACAAGTTTCCTAAAGAGCCTCAATGGCTTTGCACAGCACCTCCAGGCCCCGGTCAGTAACATCACCGGCGTTAGCATCTTCACCTGCAGTGGGCTCGCGCAGCGCCCAGGCAACATCGCTCCACCAGCCCAGGCCTACATAACCACCACCCTTGCGGCGCTCAAGGCTCTCCTTAAGACGACTGGTGTGCTCCCACTGTTGGGCAGCAACCTCGGCGCGCTCGATGACCTTACTGGGAATCCCACACATGGATGCACAGTGCATACCGAAACTGCCCTCGGCGACACCGGTCTCCAGCTTGTAGAGGAAGGTGACACGGCGCTCGGCGTCGTCGACGTGGATGGCCATGCGTTTGGGTGCAATCTCGGGGTGATTCTCAAACTCAGCAGCAAGGGAGTGGTAGTGTGTTGCAAAGAAGCCCAGGGCTCCAATGTGCGTGGCGATGTGGTGCAGCACGGCTTGAGCGACGGCGACGCCGTCGTAGGAGCTTGTGCCCCGACCAAGCTCGTCGAGGATGACCAGTGAGCGCGGGGTTGCCTCGGACAGAATCTTCTTGGTCTCAGATAACTCGACGAAGAAGGTTGATTGAGCGGCAAAGATGTTGTCGTTGGCGCCCAGCCGGGACATGATACGGTCAACGGGGGTGAGTCGAGCCGACTGGCACGGGAGGTAGCACCCAATTTGAGCCATGATGACGGCGACGCAGGTCTAAGATTATCTTGGTCAGATATGCAATTTACTCAAATACCGGAGAATTTTGGAGAGTGACTATACCATTCGCAGGACAGTGGACTTGCCGGCAGCATTAGCTCCCGTCAGCAAGTCAATGCTGGCCTGGTTCCCACCAAGCTGCACATCATTGGGAATGAAGTCTCCAACAGAAGAAAGCAGACAGGGGTGCCGCAGCTCCTCAAATTCCAGCACGCTTCGCTCGTCGTCCACAAAGACAGGCCGGCAGCTAGGTTGGCCGAGTGCCGACGAAGCCTTGGCCAGACTGATCAGGCAGTCTAGCTGAGAAACAACTCTCACGGCGGCCAGCCATGTGCCATAGTGCTCGTCAAACCGGGCATGGAACCGACCAGCAACTTCCTTGACAATCTGGCTGTGAGTCTCCTGGGCCTCCTGCAACTTGCGGATAAGGCTCCGGAGCTCGGGGAAGTAATACCGCTTCACCTGCTTGGTGGCAGACATCTGGTCCCAGTTCTTGGGGATGTTCTTTACCTTGATGGGCACTTCGAGTTGGTAGATTTCCTTGCCGTTGTCCCGGTAGCAGATGGCAGTCGATCCGAGGTCACGGCGTGCCTTTTTCAGTAGGTTATCAAGATCCCGGTGAATCTGCTCAATGTTTTCCTGAGAGCTGTCAAAATCTTCCTCGACACCAGGCTCTGGGACCAGGATCCCATTTTCCTTGGCCTTGGATCGATCGAACGCGGTCTTCCAGTATCCCAGCAGGGAAGCCAAATCAGGCATTGCGCTGATTAGTTGCCCGATGAGCCCGTCACCCGAGCCACTATCCTTGAGGAGACCCATTGTGTAGTTAATCTGCTCGAAGCCCTCTAAGACCCGCACAAAGTCCTGGGCCTTGCAATTCCCAGCATGAACACGCGAAATCAGCCTCTCAAGGTCAGGCATTTTAGTCAACTGCGAGGAGAACTGGTCTCGGACACTCGGGTCGGCATTCAGGGCATCAACAGCATCCAGTCTTGCATTGATCTTCTTGGCATCCATCAATGGATGACAGACCCACTGCTTGAACATACGCTTGCCAAATGGGGTGATGCAGCGATTGAGCAGCTGGAACAAGGTTCCGTCCGAGCCGCCATCAAAGGAATTCGCAAAGATTTCCATGTTGATGAGGGTCTGGCCATCCAGCACCAGGCTGGACGCCTTCTTGATGGGGTCATACCATGTGAAGTTGCCAATGGTGATCAGATCGCGCTCGATCTTCAGAATGCGCAGGTACTGAACGAGGGCACCGAACGCAGACATCAGCAACTCCTTTTCACGGGCCTGACGCAGGTTCTCGGGCCAAGCCGTGAGATTGTCATCGTCCTGGGAAACAAAGTACTCGCTCACGTCCAGTTCTTTCAGCGTGATATCGGCTTCCCAAAACTCCTTGCCAGGCTTGAGATGGTTCCAGAGAGTGGTAGGGCCTGTGTTGTTTTTCAGAATGCGCATCGCTTTCTGGGAAACGCAAGACTTCTCTAGCAGCAATTCCTGCGGGCGAGTCTGCGCAACAAAAGTCTCGAACTTGGTCATGTCCGCGTCATCCACGAACTCAGACAAAAAGAATTGGCCTGTTGCCGTATCCACAAATGAAATCCCGAAGGCAGGCAGATCATCGATAATCGCCTCTTTGATCGCAACACAATAAACAGACATGTCATCTTGAAGCATCGATCCTTCGACTAGCGTGCCAGACGTGAGGACACAAGACAACTCTCGCTTGATGATTTTGTCCTCTTTCTTGCTCTTAGCATCTCTCTCTCGCATTTCTTTGCCGAGAGCAGACTCGGCCTGGTCAACACGGGCGATCTTGTATCCCTTGGCCACGAACTGGTTGGCCCAGTGGTCCAAGCTCATTTCGGGCACACCGACCATGCGCATGTTGACTCTATCGGTGAGCTTCAGATCGAACAGCTGGTGGCCGATAGTGGCATCGTTCTCGTAGAGTTCGTAGAACTTGCCCTTCTTGAAAAACACCACCGTATCCCAGAATTTTTGCTTGATTTCCCAGTACTGCTTCTCGAACGGCGAGAACCTGGACCAGGCCAGTGGAGGGATATAGATAGTACGAGGATCGTGCTCAGGGTGGCCCACGGGGTTGCCGTCAATATCTTTGATCGTTGCAAGCCACGGGTACCGCTCTTCGGGGTCCTTGAGATGAACCTTCTCCTTTTTGGCGCAAGCAGGCGTCTTGGGCACTGCCGCTCGCTCAGCGCGAGGCTCCGTGTTTTCGGGGTCAAAAGTCCACTTCAACGCAGTGCCAGACGAGGCCTCAGGAAGATCGAGATCCAGGTCTGCATCGGGCGAGGGCGGAGGCGGCAGCGACGAGGATTTGTGCGAAGCCTTTGGTGCAGGCTTCGCTGCGGGCTTCTTTCGCTTTTTGGAAGACGGGGCCTCCTCTTCTGAATCATCTGCAACAACAAAATCGTCCATTTCTGGGGCGAGTCAGTGGCGAAAAGGCCTGGCAGGAAGCAGGGGGGGGGGGGCATACCATCGTCAGAGTATCCGCCATCATCTGCGGCTTCTTGGAACTCGTCTTCGCTGGCGGGCGAGGTCTTTCTTCTCTTGGCTGCGCGGCCGCGCACGCTGTTATTGCGTTTTGGGCGGAAAATGACCTCGTCGTCGTCTTCGCCTTCCGAGTCGGACTCTTTATAGCTAACCTGCTTCTTGGACTGAATGGACAGTTAGCACGGCAAATTGGTTAAAACAATGGCGCGCGTATTGAACGTACTCGGCGAGAGGGAGACATTGCGGAAGCCTCGTTACCAGCCTATCCAACCAAGAGCCATTACTATTAGCACTCGACACCTTGGAAAAAGAATCCAATTCCAATTCCCCAAGCATACCTTCACAGTATCCCCATTTTCCTCTTCATCATCAGGCACAGGCAAATCACTACTCGGCACGGGAGTCAGATCCTGCGCGAAGCTCGAGAAGCTCCGTTTCTGGTCCTTGGGTGTGGGTTTGGCGGCGCTGGCACCACGCTGTTCGGAGGCTCGCTGGGCCGGAGACGACGCAGGTTCACGGATCTGGTTGGATGACGGAGTGGCCGGCGATGATTTCTGGAAGAAGCCAAGAATGGACTTCTGGTTTCGCATATTCTGGGTGCTCGAGGTCGTTCGCTTAAGGGCACCGGAGGGGGGCGTGGCGGTGGGGGACGAGGTGGAGGGTCCCTTGGCCATGGGGGGCAAATAAACAAAAATTGAGATGCAACACGCTATAGAGGCACTCGAACCATTGCTGGGTGTATACGGTGCTTGAAGGAGCGATGGGGGAAGTTGTCGAAGCCAGGGACGATAGGAGATAAGCTCCGGCGCGGATCGCGTCGACGCGTAAAGTGGCTGGCCCCACAGCGCATCGCGGTTGGTTTTTGTATGTAACTGTTTACTCTACCACTATGCCTTGAAATTGCATATTGCATATATATATGTATGTATATTTTACAGAGGGATATTTGATCTAGAATTACAATGTCAAGTAGAGAGGCTCATTCCTTCGGTTCTTCTTCCCATCCCGGAGCAGTCAGCCCACGCTCGCGGAATTCCTCGTCGCTGACAATCTGCACGATCTTGAACTTCCACTTGCCCAGCTTCAGCATCAGCAAGTTACCCTCAATGATGTAGTCCTCGGTCTTCTCCGCGAACCAGGTCTTGATGGGAGTGAAAGAGAGGTCATCCGACATGGGCCCGCTATCGCCGGGACGGCTGCCAACCGAGGCACCGTTGTTCACGATGACCCGGTGGCCCTCGCTCTTGGAGGAAACAAGCCCTGCTGACCACAAGACCTTGTTGAATGATTGGCCATAGACGAGGGAGCGTGGAAGGGTCACATTAACCCCGGGCATGTTGGCAAAGTTTGTCTGGGGCGCATATGGGTTCCCAGACTGAGGCGTGATGAACCCAGCCGTGGGAGACTGGGCGTGGCTAGCGGGAGGACTGGATGACCGACGGAGTGGCGTAGGTTCGGCGTTCGATGATCGCGGCCGGAACAGCTGGCGGTGCTGGAGCGCGACGGCATCCGCCTCGTCTTTGCCATGGATGAGCTCCACGAACTCAAATGCCAGCGCATGTTGAGCAACTCGCTTCGAGGGGTCTTTGTTCTGCTCCTCCATGATCGTGGCGATCTCGGGCAAAGGCAAGAAAGTGAATAGCTTCAGGTAGCGCTCGACGGTATCATCAGGCGTGCGGACGAAGAACTAGTCAGATAGGGATTAGTATCTTGTTTCGTGATCCACTATCAGCGAGATAGATCAACTTACCTGGTAAAGTTCAAATGTCGAAGTCAAGTCCTTGTCGAGCCAAATAGCATTGCCGGCAGACTTGCCAAACTTCTCGCCCGATGGTGCTGTCAATAACGGGGTGGTGAAGCCAATCGGCCTGTCGATCTCCGATTCCAAGGGGTTCCGGACCTGCTCGTTGGCAGTATTTTGGCTGATCGACTTGACGGCATCCATACCAAACAGGATGTTTCCATATTGATCGGAACCTCCCACTTGCACCTGAACACCCCTCTGGAACAGCGTCCACCAATCCCACGCTTGCAGCAGCGGGTAAGAGAACTCAGCAAACGACATGCCATCTCCGGTGTTTAATCGGCTCTTGACACTAGCGAAGCACAGTCAGCAATGCCATTCATAAACGGCGCCAGACCCAACCAAAGACTCACGTATCTCTGCCGAGCATCGGACCAACTCTCATATATACTCCCAGATCGCGCAGGATTTCCAGGAAAGGCATCGAGTTCCACCAGGTATTATTGTTTGTCAGGGCGCGCTTCCAGATCGGCTGTCGTTCGTACCCGTGTCTTCGGCCGTACTGCTCAATGCTCGTACCCAGCTTCTTCAGCTGCATATGCATGCTTGCCATATTTGCTTTCCGAATCGACGAATGCACTTGTTCCCGACCCTTTAACCGCCCTGTAGGATCGCCGACTCGAGACGTAGCACCACCGAGCTGGATAGGTCAGCGAAGATCCGCCAAAGACCAGAAGAAAGACAAGTCCCAGAGGAACTCACCAAAAATGTCACCGGTAGGCCCCAGACGTATCCCCAAGCCAACACCATAAAGGGAAGCATATGTCCAACGTGCATGGAGGGCGCAGTCGGGTCGATTCCAACGTACATCCCAACTCTCTTCTCCGTGAAGACCTTATCCAGCAATTCGCGTTCCCTACAGAAGATAGAGTGGTCAATATTATATTATAGGAAGAAACAGAAGGACAAAGAAAAAGGATAGGTGGTTGAAGCCGTACCCAACGACATCATGAATCAGACCCCGTTCCTCGAGATGCGCCGTGAAGCTCTTCCTCTTCCCGGCCTTTATTTCCTCGGCGAATCCAGCCCATTCCTTCTCCGCGTCCTTCATGCGTCGGATATACTGCTGCGTAATGCATCGCTGCTGCTGGGAATTTGCCCCGATGCGCGGAAGAGGCAATGTTGGTCGTCCCGGCGTGGTTCGCGCGAAGCTACTCGCTGTGCATAGTCGAGAATTGCGATATGTCGCTGCAGGGAGCAGCGCCGACCGAGGCCGCATTGGAATAGAAGTCTATTCAAACAAGAAAAGACTTGCGAAATGCTTGCGAATGGACTGCAATTCAAAAGATCGAAGATCGAAGATCTCCAAGAGCTCCGGCATTATTTTCGATAAGCCCGGAACATCGATGATGCGGTGCTCACTGTAAACTGCCGTCTTCTCGACACATGCTGCGATGCTTCATGAAATGCTTAATGGTTCAATTATTGCTCCTTTTTTAAGAATTCTCCTCATTGCTTCAATTCAATATATTACCGGATGCCGAAATCATTAACTCATCAATTTCTCTAGACCGGCCGTCGACAGTGAGTATCTATATATCGTGCCAGCAACACATTAACCCACATAAACCTGGACAAACACCTCGTTGCTCCAACCACTGTCCAGTTTCATGGCCTTCCAAGCCGACAGAACATCAATAGCCAACACATTGCCATTGTCACCACCCTCCTTCCAAACCGTCTTGCGCGGCACCGGCTGCCCGAGGATCATGACCATGAAGTTGTGCGCAATGCTGCGATCCTGCAGATCCGAGAAGTAAATGCCCAGGGTACCAAGCGCCTTCAAACTAATATCAAAGCGCAAGCGGCCGTTCTCCACAACAAAGATCTCTGAAGTCACCAAGGCCGCCGCGCCGGTCATCTTTCCAAGAAGACCCAGGACAGCGACATGGGTCAAGCTGTCCCCGGACGGATTGCACCCGTGACTACCCTTGAGAGTGAATGACCGGGTCGGGTACGCAGTGAGAATCTCCCATCCCTTTTGTGGTAGAACCACCGAGACGAGCGAGTCCTGGGCGAGCGGCCGCATACGTCCACTGATCTTGCCTGTGGTGTGCGCGCGTACGACATACTGTCCATCAGAACTCTCGTATATGCCAGGGAAATCTATTAGCGAGACCATGCATGAAGCTTCGCCGGAGTGGATGTTGAACAGCCCCAGGATTCCGCTGCCCGTCTTGGCCCAGCCCGTGTAGCTGCCCACGCGAACTACATGACCCTCGTTGTAGTCGTGATATACGTCAATGGTGCGGCCGATGACACTGGGCCTCAGGATCACTGTGCTGCCACGCACTGTCGGGGCTGTCATCTCGTTCAGGATCTTTAGGTCGTGTTTCCCTGGCTCGTCGGTGATATACACCGGCCCTCCCGACACGCACCGGGCGGCAGCGTGGAAGGATGCGTACGGGTGGCTGGTCTGGAACATATCCCAGTCGGGCAGCACATTTAGAAAGCGGGTGAGTAGGGCATTGTGGGCATTGCAGAAAACATGCCACGGGTGGGACGCCGGGATTTCGGGGAAGAAGTCGTCCGAATTTCGGAGTGGAAGCGTTGGCTTGTTGGTGGGTATTTGCGAGTGGAAGATGATCTGAGGGATCAGCGACATGCAGGAGATCGCCCGAGTGCTGAAATGCTTGAGTGATGAGATGGACCATGCATCTTGGTAAGAGGTCATGAACCTCTTGCGGTCCTCAGGGTCTTCAAGAAGGTCAATGAAACACTGCGCGTCTGTCTTGACCGAGTCTACACCCACCGAGGTGAGGTAGCTATAGAACTCGTCGTAGAAGCGTTGCACATCCTCCGGGTCAATGGCTAGGATCTTGCCATCGGTGATGTCGTGCGCGATGGGACCTCCGGCAGCAGGGTCCTTGATCTTCACTTCCTTGGTTTTGTATCGCTGTGCGAGGTCACTGTCGGGTCCAATGCCCCCCCAATACCCCAAGAGGGCATGCCAGACTGCGACATGCTCGATATTGGGATGGGCTCGACGAATCGCTTGCACAGTCTGCTTCAAACCTCGCGGGAAGCCCGTAGGATTTGCCTCGAACTGCTGCCAACGCCGCTTGAACTGAGATTCTCCCTCGTTGTCTACGCTCTGCCAATTGTCGTCAATGGTGAGATTGACGATGTTGATTCCATGGTCTTTCAATGCACCCAGCGCATTCAATATCTTATCTTCCGTCAGGTCCTGCCCCAGTCCATTCCATGTGCAGTACGTCAGGCCGTCGAACCACTCGGTTAGCCACTGCATTTTGGGATCTTTCTCTACGACGACCATGTCATCTCCAGGAGGAGACGCGGGAGGCGGCTCGTCCAGCGTAGTGTCTGTGGTCTGAGTCTGAGCAAATGGCTTCACGACTTTCCGTGCTTCGTAGATTAGCGCAGACAGCGCAATTTCAAATTCCTCAGCCGCAGCGACCAGGACATGAAATTTGGAGGTTTCGGTGTTCTCGCTCCTCGCCTTGATCATGACCTCGCCATTCTCACCAGACTGAAAGACCGTCAAGACGTCGTTGACTCCCGAGACCGCCAACAGCACCAGATGCACTCCATCTTTTCGAAGAAACGAGCACAAAAGCGCATCTTCCGTCAGTCGGAACTTGTCCTTGCCATGCCTCGGTCCCAGCCAGGGACTCCACACGCGCACTAATGAGAAGTATTTCACCATCGAGGACGGCGTGCCGAGCGCCAGACTCTTGAACCCAGAGGACCCCTCTTTGGCGGGATCGGCATCTCCAGAAAGAGCCCAGAGAACAGACCCAGGAGCCTCGCTTGCTCTTGATTCAGTTTGGACCTCAGACGTGAGACTGTCGATATACTTCCCCAGTTCTTCAGTAGGGTTTGACGTAGAAGATTCCGTAAAGAATTCCGTCGAGGGAGCTTTATCGAACCCCGAGTTCCGCGGACTAAACACAAGCTCGCCATCGCTGACTGGATGCTTCTGGTTTGCCCATTGCCATTCAGTGTTGGGGCTGGTTCGGAACCGCACGGTGAATTGCGCATGCCCCCCTGCGGCGGGGAGCACGATTTCATCCGAGAAGACGTAGCGGTGGTAGCTGTACTCAGTCTCGTTTCCGCTCAGCAACGGTGCACATGATGGATCGCATTTGCGTAATGGCAGGGCTCCCCATCCTGATGCTGTGATGTTGTGCCAGATTTGCGCTTCCCAGGATTGCGCGGGGAATGAACTGCTGGACTCGATGACAACCGTGAAGCGCAGCTATGGATATACGTTAGCTTGCCAGGAAAACACATATACAAAAAAGTAACAGTAAATATAATATATGGGATAACCAAAATATATACACTTGCTATAAGGGGAAAAACTCACTGCATCATCTTTCTCGGACCGCAATGCCTTCTGTACCCTCTGCAGACATGTCACTTGCCCCAGAGGCGGGTAGCAGGTCACTCGCGCGAATAGAGTCATCTGTGCCGGGCGGACGAATGTTGTCTGCGAGGGGCGAGGGCGATGGCCGGGTCCCAGAATGGGGAGGGTCGACGGCGTATTTCTAGTGTTGACCTGCATATGGAGGGGCAAACGCCTATCTAGTCTGGTGAAGCAGGGATTGGGGAGATTTAGCCGGACAGCTTGGCGGTAAACAATCGACCAGACAGCTATTTACTGTACAGACTGGGGTGAGGTGGTAACGTATGTGGAGTAGAAGGAGAGCTGGGGGAAGGTGGCTGGTTCTTTTGCCTGGTGATGATGCATGATGAAAGTGGCGGGGAGCTGTTCACCTCGGGCCAGCTATCGCGTTGAAGTAGCTTAAGAGAGAGCGGGCTCATGATTTTTATTTCTAGCATCTAAACCAGACAGATTCAATCTTGAGAATAAGCACAATACAAGATATATTGGGGTTGAATTGTTTGAATTGCAACTTGCAACTATCTCAAGCTGCCATAGTATATACTCGGACTAATCCCCGCGTCCAACACGGAAATAGGTTCTCCGGTATCTATGTCCTAAGCAAATAGAATCTGCTCGAGTCTAGTCGATTTTGACCGTCAATTTTCCAAAATGCTTTTGGGCCCACTGTACATCTCGTTAGTATATCCATGAACAAGCCCTGGAGAGTATAAGCCCACTCACCATATAGTCATAGGCATCCCGGGTTTGGTCCAAGCGGAACACCTTTTCATCGACCACCGGGTGGATATTGTTGGCCTCGATAGCGCGAACCATATCCTTCATCAACGCCTTACTCCCCACATAGACACCCCGCACTGTGCAGATGTGGCTCAGCGTGTCCAGGACACTAGGTTGGCCCTTAGGGTCGACACCGCCGAGGAATCCAATGATACTAATGATGCCCTCGAACTTGATGCACTTGAAACTCTGCTGGAGCGTGCCTGTCCCACCAACCTCGACCACATAATCCACGCCGACCCCACCGGGAGTCAACTGGCGCGCCGACTCGCCCCAGTTCGCGTCGATCTTGTAGTTGAGGACGTGGTCGGCGCCGAGCTTCTTGAGCTTGTCGGCCTTGGCTGCCGAAGAGGTCGTGGCAATGACAGTCGCGCCAGCTGCTTTGGCAAACTATATAACGAAACAAGAGTCAGCCAGAGGCAACAAAACACTTCAAAGCACACACTACGGTGCTAATAACATACCTGCAGAGCAAAAATGCTCACACCTCCCGTTCCCTGCACCAGCACAATCTGGCCGGGTCGCAGAGGCTTGAGACCATACAGGGCGTTCCAACTCGTGAGGGCCGCACAGGAGAGGGTGCTATTCTCAAGAGCATTGAGGTTTTTCGGGGCCTTGACCAGACCTTGTTGGTCGAACACGGCGTATTCCCGCAGAGTGCCGTCAATGGCACCACCGAGACCAGTCCCCGCAGCCTGGAAATCAATGTCGCCATACTGGTGGCCTTGGTTGAAGAGGGTCGCAACCTGATCGCCCTTCTGGAACTCGGTGACCTTGGATCCCACATCGACAACCTCGCCGGCACCGTCGGAACCGGGCACCACGGGGGACCTGACCGCAAATGGGTACATACCCTGGTAAAAACACTCATAGTTAGTTTCTACTGAAAGAAAAAAGAAGAAACAAAAAAAAAAGAACACAACACAACACAACACAACATAAATCACATATGCATTGCGTATCATACCTTCGGAATGATCAAGTCGCGATAGTTCAGCGACACGGCCTGCAGCTTCACCAGCACCTCGTTCTCACCGACCTTCGGCACCGGCGCATCCTGATAGACGAGTCCGTCGAAGCCGTTCTCTGTGTCCTGCACCACCCATTGCTTCATGCTCGTTGGAGCCATCGTGAAATCGGTGCTATGTGCAAACAAAGTCAAGATTGTATGAAGATCAAATCGACATCAATTGAACGCGGGGCTGGGGGGGAGCAGTGTATATAACGTTTTGTCAGCCTTGACGTATGCGAAATGATGTCGACTCCACCCTCATGACGGCACGATTAATAAGAGCCAAACACTTGAACGTCTGGACGAATGAGACTCTGCGATCAGATCATATTTGGGTGTTGCTGATAAATCCGGGATTTGGTCCACGGGTCCTCGAGGGCCAGCTATAGGCATTGAAGGAGAGTAGATGCCACCAGATCACCGTGGAGTGGATTGCACTCGGCTGCATTATCTCGAGGCAATATATATATTTATGGCCCGAGTAACAAATCGTTCAATCTGAATCGCAAATGTGTCAGTTCAATCAAAAGCATTGTTCTCAAGAACACCCTGGCCAAGGCGGGATGAAGCGAAAGCTACCGGCATTGTTATTTAGAGCTCTGCTCCACTGAGGGGCTGACGGATGGTGCAATTCGAAGCTTCGATCACCTCTTCCTATCCAGTGAACGCAATAAAACACAAACCCAGGAATCACGCGAGATCAACACGCGTATGTCGACCCCTGGAAGAGCTAGTGGAGGAGGGGAGGGGTAGATGAGATCCATGCTCAGCAATGTATTGAAATAGCGGGGATGCCGCGAAGACACCAAGACACCTTTTGTCTTCTTGGGATTATAACCCTACAATTCCAACTCAATTGTCTATCATGTCTCTTGGTCGCACCTTTAAGCTCAACTCGGGGCACGAGATCCCCGCCGTTGGTCTCGGAACTTGGGTAGGATTTATCTTCCCTAGTGAATAGTCTTGAGATATAAGCCTGGACTAATAATGTGTCTGTATACAACAGCTCTCCAAGCCTCATGAGGTCGAGAATGCAGTCGAGGTGGCCCTGCGCAAGGGCTACCGACACATCGACGCCGCCGCGTGTTATCTGAACGAGAACGAAGTCGGGCAAGGCTGGAAGAAGTCCGGTGTGCCGCGCGAGCAGATCTTTGTGAGTGGCCCGTACACACCACGGTTATAAGAAAGAAAAGAAAGAGTCCATGTTGAACCAAGCGATATAGATCACTAGCAAGCTGTGGAACACCCACCACCACCCAGACCACGTCGAAGAAGCACTCAACAAGACCCTGAAAGACCTCCAGACCGATTACTTGGACTTGTATCTGGTATGTCCACTGAATCCAGTTTCATCACGACATAATTTGTTTCTCGGCTCACTCGCATAGATCCACTGGCCCGTCGCTTTTGCCCACACCAACGACACCCTCACCCCGATCGATCCGACGACGAAGCGATTCCGCATTGCCGATGTCCCGGTCGCCGACACCTGGGTCGTTCTGGAGAAACTTGTCCAGGCGGGCAAGATCCGAAGTATCGGCATCAGCAACTTCACCATCGAGGCCACGCGCGACTTGCTCAAGACGGCCAAGATCCCGCCTGCTGCCAACCAGATCGAGGCGCATCCATACCTGCTCCAGCCGGGACTTTTTAGCTACCTGAAGGAACACGTATGAGTTTTCCATATGGCCTTTATGAGAGAGTCAAAAAAAAAGGAAGAAAAAAAAGTCTTTTGCTAACTGGATGTCTCTAGAATATCCTCCCGGTGGCTTATAGTCCGCTCGGCAATAATATCTATGAGCTGCCACGGTATGGAAATGCAACCCTCATGGTTGAAATCCCTTTCTCCGTTGAATAGCTTGCTAATCAGACCCAACAGCGTCGTCGATGACCCGATAGTCCGCGAAATTGCCCAGAAGCTGGACAAAGACCCCGCGGCTCTGCTGATCTCGTGGGCTGTCCAGCGCGGCTCGTCAGTACTTCCGAAGAGTGTGACGCCGTCGCGCATTGAAAGCAACTTCCAAGGTAAATACAAAATCCCAAATAGTAAGGGGGCTCACTTCTAATATTTCTATTCAGACTTTGTTATCCCCGACGCCGAGTTCGAGGCTCTCAACAAGCTGGACAAGAATACGCGGTACAACTACCCCTTCCGCTGGGGCATTGATGTCTTTGGGGAATTGGGTGCTGAAGAAGCCGAGAGACGTGCTGAGGAACACGCTGCGAAGCTGAGAGAGAGTGCGTGATTGCGGAATGCTCCTGTTCTGTACCTCGGTCTAGTTCCGTGGGAGATGATTCCAGAAGTATGCGTAGCTCGCCATATACTGTAGATCAAGGCAATATATCCATGTAGCCCTGCTTGATGAACGCACATAAAACAATATTGGGAATGTAGATGTAGAATATAATGCAAGTGAATAAGGTATGGCGGCGAATAGACAACCGCGTGCCTGTCGTCGCGGTGATGCGCGGGGACACGCTCCGACACACTTTGGCAACGCCAACTTCATTCTTCTGTTGACAGCCATTCACGACGGATGCATTGAATTGATCATTCGTAATCACATCCGAGATTTTATTCTGATATTTGCAATTGCATTGAATCCATTCGAATCCAGCAGAATGCCACCATCCACCAAAGAAGGCCGAGTGATCAAGCCCAAAACCACACAGACAGGTCGACGCGTACAATCGCACAACAAAAGTGAGCCAGGCCGTATTCATAGATTCCACAAGCCCTCTGACCATACAAATATTCAATCTACTACCGGATATCTCCCATTCCACTCAATTCTCCAATTCCCCATTCCCCCATCCGACGCGTTCTAACGTACTTCTACAGATCTCCCGCTGGTCGAGCGGACCAACGCACTACTCATTCATGAGTTCATTTCGCACTACGTGACTCCACTGGTAGCTGCTGAGACACAACAACTACCAGCAGATGTGACCAAGGATCAGACAGGTCCGGTCGCAGGCCAGTCCAAGCAGGATGCGTCTCCCGCAGCGCCGCTGGACGTGTACTCGGCGGCATCCATCTCCAACACAGATCTCGAGGCGTGTCTCGACCTGATTGAGCTGACGTCGGGAGAGGCCTACTCGGCATCCAGTATGGGCTGGTCGCGCACCAAGAAGCGGAAGGAGATGAAGTTGCCGGATATGAAATATTTGATTGTGCGGGAAGACCCAAAGACCAGCAACAATGACAACAATGACAACAATGACAACAGTAACATAAACAAAAACAACAAGAATGAGGATAGGTCGCATCTTCCCACAGAAGAAGGAGGAGAAGAGCAACGCGATGTTCCACCCGACGACCTGGTTCCACAACCCGCCCCTGCACCGGTCCTGGGCTTCCTTTCGTTTATGGTCACCTACGAGGACAGCAAAGAAGTGGTCTATTGCTACGAGATCCACCTGTCGCCGACGGCGCGCGGGTGGGGCATCGGGAAGATGCTGATGGGTCGGATGGAGGAGATCGGGCGGCTGGTCGGCTTGGAGAAGGCGATGCTGACGGTGTTCAAGTCGAATGAGTCGGCCCGGCGGTTCTACGAGCGGGTCGGGTATGAGATTGATGAGTACTCGCCGCGGCCGCGCAAGTTGAGGAATGGGACTATCAAGGACGTGGACTATTTGATCTTGTCGAAGAAATTGAAGTGATGGAATGAACAAATGAACAAATGAAGGGAAATATGAGGGGAAATGGGTTGGTTTTGAGATACACACTCGTATCTATGCAATTATGAAAATCAATGCAATACTACGCTGCAGTCAAATATACATCACACTTGTTTTACCTCCACTCCTTGGGCTTCGGGGTGTGCCTGCTCCCACTCGTCCCTCAGCGCCGCAAAGATGCTGTCGGCTAGCAAGATAGACAGGCCCAGACTCCAGACCAGAGTGATGGCATAAAAGAAGTTGGCGTTGCCAGATCCCGCATAGATCCACAGGTGATAGAAGGCAGGGCCCAGCAAAGTCGAGTATAGGAGCACAGAGATGGCGACAAATGTATACCGCATCACTGTCTATGATTAGAAGCAGCCTATTGTGAAGATAGAAGAAGACTCACATGGGAAAAGATGCCGATACAACGGCAGCAGTGCAAAAAACAGAGAAGCATCGGAAATGCTAGGATACGGTTTGAAAATTGCAAACACCCCCAGGAGCGAGGTAATGATGAACAGCGGTTGCCGTCGTAGCCGCACGGTCATGCCCCCGACATAGCTGGCCAGGTGCAGCCAGAAGACCCCGAGGAAGAACTCTCGAAAGGAGTCGAACATCTCGATGAAAAAGTACCACCAAAGACCCACATTCGGGGTCAGGTCAGGAACCAGGAGATGGAAGCCATAGGTTGCAGACATAAACTCCCAGAAATTGCCAGTGATCAGATATGACAGGCCGAGTAGGCCAGACACACTAGCTAGAAGAATGGCCCCTTGCTGTGCCACGAACACTGCAACATTGGGCAACGGGTTCTGCGTCCGCTGGTCATAACAGAGGAGGATCAATGGAATGAAGAGCAATGCCGGGTAGAGAGACAGATAGGATGCAAAGCCGAGAGCCAGCATTGCGTTCACATTGTTCCCACCAACAGCATTTGACACCGCGAAAAGAATCCCCGATGTAGTAAACACACTCGTTGACCGGGCCAAGCATGTTGCAATAGTAAAAGGGTTAAACAGGAACCTATACCTGATTAGCAGTGGGTCTCATTTATTTCGAAAGTCAGCTTCAAACCATACCAAGCGGCAACCGAGACCCCATCCCACCGAATATGCTTCCGAACAGCAGAGTGTAGTTTTCCTTGAATAGATTGACCCGACTCGGAGATGGTGCTCAAGGCATGCGCGTTGACCAGATCAACCAGGAAATAGAAGATGGCCGTGGGGAGAGGCGAGCTCCTCACATCGGGGAGTAGGGCGAAGAGCGGTAATAGGAGGGGTGCCTATGAGACCGGTGTCAATTGAGTGGTCCAAATCTAAGTAATGAAGTCCACTGACCTGGTGGAAAACACCGCCATCATAGGGCGAAACATTCCGAGTGTACAGAAACAAGCCCTCTTGTACTGCGATAATATTAGCTGCGTCAATCCCACTGCCAATTGGCAGCTCACGTACATCGTTTGAAGCTGTTGACCGGGGTTGAGACCTCGACTCGACCGGTCAGCAAGTCAGGCAATGAAGGAAAAAGACCGATGAGCAGCAGCCGCAACACAAAGGCTGCCCCGAACACAGCAACCTTGCGGCGGTCGACCGACATGACTGATGGTTGGCGAAAGGGCGGCTGTCCCTTGGCGGGAGACACTCCGTACACTCCGCCCTGACGCACGGACCAACCGGGTGTCCAGCGAAAAAAAAAGTTATCGAGGAATTTTTTCTTCTTTTCTTATCAGCAGACAACACTCCCCGTTTCCACCATGGCCAAAATCAAGAAGAAGGGTTTGTCTTGAAGCGCTTGTCTTAATTGATTCTGGCTGACAAGATTGCAGGCACCTCTGGCCAGGCCAAAAACTATATCACTCGAACGCAGGCCGTGCGCAAACTGCAGATTTCTCTGCCGGATTTCCGTCGCCTGTGCATTTTCAAGGGTAATAATGCCTCGGTTTAGTTTGGATTGGAATCTTGAAGCTGACAGGAATTGCGATTTTAGGGATTTACCCTCGTGAGCCCCGTAACAAGAAGAAGGCGTCCAAGACCTCGACTCCCAACACTACCTTCTACTACACCAAGGATATCCAGTACTTGCTGCATGAGCCGTTGCTGAACAAGTTCCGTGACCAGAAGGCCCTTGCGAAGAAGATTGCTCGCTCGCTGGGTCGTGGTGAAGTCAGCGACGCTTCGCGCTTGGAGAAGAACCATGCTCCGAAACTTACCTTGGACCATGTGATCAAAGAACGCTACCCGACCTTCGTTGATGCCCTCCGCGATCTGGATGATGCGCTTTCTCTTCTGTTCCTGTTTGCCACGCTTCCCTCCACCAACCATGTGCCTCCCAAGACCATTGCGCTCTGCCAGCGCCTCTGCCACGAGTTTCAGCACTACTTGATCGTCACCAATTCGCTGCGCAAATCCTTCCTCTCGATCAAGGGTATCTACTACCAGGCTACCATCCAGGGACAAGATATAATGTGGCTGGTGCCGTACCGGTTCGTGCAGCGGGTCAACGGTGATGTCGACTACCGCATTATGGCCACTTTCGTGGACTTCTACACGACTCTGCTAGGCTTTGTCAACTTCAGACTGTACTCGACCATCGGACTGCGATACCCTCCCAAGTTTGACACTCGGAGCGACGAGAACGGTGCCGAGTTGGCTGCTTTCACTCTCGAAGGTCGTGCCGTTGGCGAGACACCCAAGGCTCTCGAGGCGAGCAAGCTCCAGACAAATGGATCGAGCAAGGAGATTTCGCGGGAGGTCCAGGACAAGGTGGACAAGGTGATCAAGACCGCTGGTTTGAACCAGACCAAGGATGAGCAGACTGCCGAGACTACCGAGGAATCGACTGATGCGATCGATCGCTTTGAACCCGCAGCCCCCGAGGCCGATACGCTTCCCCAACCCGACATGAGCGGTAATGAGGCCGGTTCTCTCTTTGCCCCATTCACCTTCTACGTTTCCCGAGAAGCTCCCAAGGCTCCCCTCGAGTTCATTCTGCGCTCTTTCGGTTGCAAGCGGATCGGCTGGGATGCCGTTCTGGGCGATGGAGCATTCACGCACGACGAGACCGACTCCCGGATCACCCACCAAATTGTCGACCGGCCCCAGCTCCCCGAATCTTCTCTTCCCGCTATCCCCGCAGCCAAAGACGACGGTGCTGCTCCGAAGGTTAAGCCCGGTACCCGTATTCCTGGGCGGACGTATGTCCAGCCGCAGTGGATTTGGGATTGCGTCAATGAGGGAAAGCTTCTCCGCGCTGACCTCTACGCACCCGGTGCCACTCTTCCGCCTCACTTGAGTCCTTGGGTCAAACCCACTCGCGGTGGCTATGACCCGCGGGCCACTCTGGCCGAGCAAGAGGAGGAGGGTGAGGCTGAGGAGGCTGCCGAGGGGGGCGACAGTGACGAGGAGATGGAAGACGAAGCTCCGGAGGCTCAAAAGGCCGTTGATGCTTCTGACAAGTCCGAGGACGAGTCGGTTGATGGAGGTATGGATGTTGCCGGAACTGACGATGATGAAAGTGATAGCGAGGACGAGGACGAGGATGAAGAGAAGGACTTCAACGGATTGGAGGAGAACGAGGCCACATCCGAGTCGGAAGATGAGGACGAGGCCGCTCGCACGCAGCACCAGAAGGAGCTCGAAGCTGAGGCCGCCGGTCTGCCATTCTCGTCTAGCGGAGCAACCGATGAGGCATCGAAGAAGAAGTCTTCTCAGTCCAAGAAGCTCGCCGCTAAGAAGCGCAAGGAGGATGAGGAGCTCGAGCGACAAAAGATGATGATGAGCCGGAAGAAGCGCAAGCTGTTGGAGAAGATGATGTACTCGAACAAAAAGCAGTCGGACGAGGCTGCCAAGCTCCGCTCAAAGCGGCGCAAGCTCGAGAAGGGTGCGCAGGAGTAAAATGACGGGAGCTTCATGGCATGTTCAATAAGTGCTTTTCTCGGGCGTTTGCGGTTCGGATAGTCCCCTGTATATGCGCCTTCAAAATTTGTTCCCAAAAATAATTGTTTGCATGGATAGAGAACTTTCATATTGATCATTTCTTTCATGTTACTTCTATACCTTATTCTCTAAGTAGTCGGTAGTAGATGCTTGTACAATCTACCTTGGCCACCGGGTCTGTATATCAGTCACGTGTTCGATCCACCTCATCCATTTGAATTTTTGACAGCTTCATCGTTTTATAACAATCCAGACGCGAGCCAGGAAAAGCTGATTCCACTGGGGAACAGACACTGAAAAACCAGACAAATGCCTTGTCATTCCGTGTAACTCGATTTGCGTCGTTTTCATTGCAAGACAGCATCGATGTGACATAGGCGCACTTGTCTCAACGTGCCTCGAGACTGACGCGGCCCAAAGGCATGTCTTCGTATTTTGAAGACCAGATTCCTTCATCATCTCAGTTTCTGCCCCCGCAGTCTGCACAGCCCCGACAATCATTGTTTGGGGGTCCCAGCAGCGATGTTGGTCCGTTGCCATCTTCCCGGCTAGAGCCACCACCAAGTTCAATATTTGGTGGTCCTAGCAGCCAGGATGTTACAGCAGAGCCTCTTTTCGATGCAGAGCCCATGTCCGAGGATGAAGGCGACGAAGATGACGAGGATGATGTGGATGTGATCATGCGCGAAAGGCCCTTGGCGCTTGACTACGGCTCGGAAGGAGAAAGCTTCCAGGGCAGCGACAAATCTGTGAACGAAACAGACCCCGCTGAACAGTCTGAAGACCAATCCAAACAGCTGCCACCTCCACCTGCCAGACCGCTGCGTCCGCGGACCTACGTGCTAGACCGAGGCCTTGACCTGCCATCAGGGGTTAACCGTCCGAATCGATGGACTGGTTCTTCATCTACATATCACCGCGTGACCGCGGATGATCGAGGAGCTTACAATGCGATATTGACTAATCGTGCGAGGGACCTTACGGCTCATCTCTACAATGCCCATGTGATTCGCCAGCGGGCGCGGCAGAATTCCCAAGGTCTCGGCGAAGTCAACGGGCAGGGGCAGATGCCCAGGCTTTCTAAGGGATGGGCAGCGTGGCCCATGCCTGCTGTGCGGGTGCCCCGGGTCGAAGAAGCTGGTCGCACGGCGCTCGAGGACCCAGAGACATTGCGGATGCCATCTGATCTTCGCCCAAGCGCAGAATTGGAAGAGCAGCTCATTGCGCGCATGCTGAAGGTTTCCAAAGAACGATTTGCGGCACGAGAGTGGGATCTGGACGAAGTGAGGAGCAGCCAGGTGAAAAAGACGAACAATGCGGATAAGATGGTTGATGAAAAAACCAAAGACGACACGTTGGACCTTGTTGATGAAACACCGCTTCGACCCGTAATTCAAACTGACGATGACATATCCCGACCTCAACTACGACCCCTTGCCCGGAACGTCATCTCTGAGTTGGACCGTCTGCTGGTAGCACTGCATCGTTCGATGAAGGGTCGGGTGTTTGAATACGACGGCAGCGAATCTGCCAGCGATACAGATGGTACAAGGTCCCTCTCTCGATCAAGCCTCAACAGTGCCAGTCGAAGTCGCTCGCGTGGCCGAAAGCGCGTTCGCCGACACTCTCGTCACAAACCCACCTCGAGTCGCCGCTCGCGCAGCGTGCGCATGTCGTCCGCAGCAGACACTCAGGATGAGAGTCTACCAAATGCATCTCAGTCCCGTGGCCGATCCCAAACCTCCCGAGGGAAGCATGACAACATCAAGTCAAAGCTTGCCCTCCGTGACTGGAGCGAGGCAATGGGCCTGGCCTCGATGATGGACCTGCCTGTAGGCGCGGTCCAGCGAGCCTCGAAGCGCTGCGCCGACCTCTTCGGCCAGGATATGACATTCCGCACATTCCCCGAGGGCCAGATCGAGCGAGTGCCCGGTCCCGGATATACCAAATATACTGCGCCCTCCGCCGACCTTCGCGCCTGGGAGTTTTTTTACGTCGAGAATGAGGGTGAGAATGAGAGCGAGACTGAAGTTGCGCCGTCGAGCCAACCCCCCAAAATCCTGCGTCGCGTCGGCTCCAAGTCTCGCCAGAAACCTCAGTCTCGTCGGCCTCGCTCGCATCCACCACCTCCAGAAGTGCTGGTGACCCAAGCGTCTCCCGATAGCGGACCCACTAAACAGACTGAGCCCGCGCCATCGGGCAGAGGAAAAGGCCCGCATCGCAAACTAGACATCGTGTGTCCTATCAAGTCGTGTTATCGACATACGCAGGGGTTCTCACGGCGGTGGAATCTCAATCTACATCTCAAACGAGTTCACCCGGGATACACTCCACGGAAAACTTCTAACGAGCGATCCCGTAGCGAGCCTGCCACTGCCATTGAAATCGACTAGGGTTTTGTGAAGCCATGTACTATACTATAGACTCGCTTGCCATTGCTTGTTCCATAGACTTACCTCTCGTCTGTGTCACAGAGAGTTACTAAATCTTTCACAAATACTTGATAACCATCTTAGACCTCATTATTCTCCATGAGTACAACATCGGGTATGACTTCCTCTAAGGTCTGTAAATTGAAGCTCTGGCTTGTATTACCAATACGCTATCTCGGACTCGGAGAACATTCACAGATTTCCATTGGTTGAGAATCCCGACCAACTTCAACCAGATATCTGTGAGTGGTGGGAGCCTCCGAGTATTGTAATCTATAACACATCTATACACCACTATCAACATGGCCCAACACACGCTTCGAATGGCATCTCAATGCTCGCAAAAGAAAGAATATCACAGTGTTGAATATTCTGAAAGCACAAATTTCCTTCAAAACTAAATATCCAATCGAGGTTTCCAGGGCACAATACCGGGGAAGTACACTCCGCAACGGGCAGAGGAATCCCTCCCCAGATGACATCAACCTGGCAGCGTGCCGATCCCCATAGCATCCAGCTTCCCTTCCGAGCTCAGCACTTCCCCACGCCCTTTTCTTGATTTCATTATCAATCGGAACGAACTCCGGCCTCGGTGTTTTCGGGCCCAAAGAGCAATCACCATCGAGTATCCTGAAAAGGTCTAATTTCTCTTTCTTCACCGGCCAGTCCCGACCAAGGCAGCTTTCAGCTTTAAAAGCCGTCTCCAACTGCTCCCCGCACTCGCATCTTTGCCCGGTCTTCTTTGCTTTGCTACTTTTTGGGTGTTGTTTTCCTTTCTGGGTTGTATTATTATTAGACCGATTCTTCCTCCCCGCTCGTCCGAGAGTCTTGCTTCTCGTCATGGAACGGATTGTCCGCCCTGTCGCTCGCCAATTGCTCAGATCTCGTCCTCGATATCCCTTCGCTGTTCCGCCGACTGTTTATGCAAAGAGACTCTACACCATGGGACACAGTGCGCCGCAGGTATGTCAATCTCTCCATGCTCAGATATGTTGCATATTTCCTGCGTATACAGTGGGTTGATCCTGATTGGATTGCAGTTGAACGACAAGTCGCTCTTCATTGAGAAGTCGTATATCAATGGCGAGTGGGTTGGGGCCAAGTCCGGCCAGACCTTTGAGGTGCACGGTAACGAGGGACCTACCATTTTCAGTGTCAGTTCACATATATTGATTGTTTGTTTCTCGTGCCAGACCCGGCATCCGGCAAGCTGATCGGCACATGTCCCGAACTGGATACCGCCGACATTGAGAAAGCCATTGAGGCCGCCTCAGAAGCATTCCCCAAATTCCGAAACACACTGGCCCGCGAGCGCGCACGGATGTTGCGGCGGTGGTACCAGCTCATGATAGACAACGCAGACGACCTGGCGAAGCTGATCACATGGGAGAACGGCAAGCCGTTCGCCGACGCCAAGGGCGAGGTGAACTACGCGGCAAGCTTCTTCGAATGGTTCAGCGAAGAGGCGCCGCGCACCTACGGCGACACGATCCCGGCCTCGATAGCAGGCAACCGGGTGATGACGCTGAAGCAGCCCGTCGGCGTGTGCGGGCTCATCACGCCATGGAACTTCCCAGCGGCCATGATCACGCGCAAGATCGGGCCCGCCCTGGCGGCGGGCTGCACGGTGGTGGCCAAGTCGCCCGGGGAGACGCCGTTCACGGCGAATGCGCTGGCGGAGCTGGCGCACCGCGCCGGCATTCCGAAAGGCGTGGTGAATATTGTCACCGCGCACAAGAACACGCCGGCCGTCGGTGAGGTTATCACGACCCACCCAGAGGTGCGCAAGGTGTCGTTCACGGGTTCGACGAATGTCGGCCGGCTGCTCATGAAGCAGTCTGCGTCGACTATCAAGAAAGTCTCGTGGGAGCTGGGCGGCAACGCGCCCTTCATTGTGTTTGACGATGTCGAGGACCTGGACGCGGCGGTTGCCGGTGCCATTGCGTCCAAGTTCCGTAGCTCGGGCCAGACCTGTGTCTGTGCCAACCGCATCTACGTGCAGAAGGGGGTCTACGAGGAGTTCGCTAAGCGGTTCGCTGAGAAGGTCCGCGGATTCAAGTTGGGTGCCGGCTTCGAAGAGGGCATCACGCATGGCCCTGTCATTCACGAGCGCGCTGTCGACAAGGTCCACGAGCACGTCCAGGATGCTGCTGCCAAGGGCGCTGAGGTTGTTATTGGTGGCCAGAAGGCCTCGGCCTTGGGCCCCAACTTCTACCACCCGACCGTGCTGACCGGCATGAGCAAGGAAATGCTTCTTGCCTCGGAGGAGACTTTCGGCCCCGTGGCTGGTCTGTTCCCCTTCGAAACTGAGAAGGAGGTCGTTGACCTGGCCAACCGCGCCGAGGTTGGTCTCGCTGGGTACTTCTTCAGCGGCAATGTGCGCCGTATTTTCCGTGTCGCCGAGGCCCTGGAGGTTGGTATGGTTGGTGCCAACACGGGTCTGATCAGCGACGTTGCGTCTCCGTAAGTGATTCCCATGTAATCTTGAGTCCCTTGTGTGGCTCTTGGATCCGATACTGATTATTTTTCACAGATTCGGAGGTGTCAAGCAGAGTGGATTTGGTCGCGAGGGCAGCAAGTACGGTATTGACGAGTTTATGGTCATCAAGAGCGTGACCTTTGGCGGCATGGGGGAGCCATTGCAGGCATGAAAATCATTTTGGCAAAGGAGTCATGATTCATTATTTTCAATATATTATATCAATGCAGCCTCAATTCCCAAATTTTTGTTCTGCAGCTACCCATCGAGTAGGCGGGGGGGGGGGGTAATCCAAGACGCAGATGAGCCAGGGCTCCTATCGGTTGTTGCTGCACCAAAGACCAGGCTGTAGGCAGACAAACGGAACAGAAGCTCAGCAATTGGTTGTCTATCCACGATCTGTGATTCTTTCTGTGTATTGACTTTTGGCCTGACAGGCAGCAACGCCATTCTTGGCTCGACAGGTCATTGCTCAATCATCCCAGGGGAGGCTCCTTCCGATATCCAGGGATTATGAGAACTCTCTCTTTCTCTCTCTCTCCCACTCTCTGTCCAAGCTTTTCTTGAATTCCAGACGCCCATTGAAAACTTCATTCTTTGTCTTCTTATTGTGTCACCTCTTGCACCCCACGGAAATTCCCATCATAAATCCTGATGAGCAAACCCCCACAGGTATTGATGCTACGCATCCATGCTATTCCCAGTTTATCTCTCTTAGTTCGTAGATTCTGGTATATCCAATTGAAGAGTCGCCTAATCGGGACTTAGTATAATATCACGTGATTATGCCAATGACCGCGTCTTGGGGCTTGACCGCCTTCCCCCTTCACTTGGCCTTGATGCCATCCGATTTGAAAAACAACATATCATCCGCAATTCCCTCTGTGTCTTTCAGTGAGAATCTTCTAGACATGATATAGCATATCCTCGATGCGCCCATCCCTGAGCCTGCTGGCTGTCGCCCGTAGCCAGCCCCCGAGGCTGAAGAAGCCGGCTGTGAGTCTGGATCATGTAAGTACCAGATATTTCTTGGTTGTATACTCCTTTGAAAATGGCTGGGATTGTATCTCTCTGCATAATTAATGAGCTGCTGGATGGGCACTATACTAATATGAGGTATCTCTATGAAAACAGTTCATCCAGAGACAGCGAGTCCTGGCATTCTGGCGTGAGATCGTGCGCGCATTAAACAGTATGTCATATTTCCCTTTATTCCTTTCGAGTTGACCTTGGAAAGCGTCTTAATTACTTACGCTCATGTATCCAGAAATCCCGCCCTCGTCTACCCGAACGGAGCTGCATAGCTATGCGCGGCAGGAGTTTGAGCGGCATCGCGAGGTGACGGACTTGGTATGTAGTCTCTTTTCTCATTCAGTGAAGAGGATTGTCCTTAGGAGTCATAATATAGCTAACTGGATTGGCAGCAACATATCCGATACTTGCTTTCGGTATGGATATCTTCTCTGGGTGCTAATTGGCGCAGATACTTACGCGTGTACAGACAGGCAAGTCCGAGTTCGAGACTATGAGACGATACATCGACGAGCAGGTGGTTGGGTAATGGATTTCATTCTTGTATTTGTATACTGTGGGGGTTTTTCATGATGTAAATATACACTGCGACAAGATGGGCTCTTTCCTGGCCCACACTGACTATAAACGGCAACAAAACAAAGTACAGTACAATATTGAACATGCACTTCAAGTCCCCGCCGATTCTCGAACCCTGCATTTGCCACTGTCAAGGCTCCACCGATGCGAGTTCATTACAGCATCTCCACATACCTGGAACAGCAACTTTCCACCAGACAATGTTCATTGGGCAATGAAACCCGTCTCTGACAAATGACATGTGTCCGTCCGTTTGAAACTGTCAACCGGTTTCTGTACGCGATCGAAAGGATTTGGGCGAATTTACGTTGGGGGGGAGCTTTGACTCAACGCAGACCTCGAATCCTGCTACCAGGGTCTATGGCGTCATAGCCATTTCCTGGGCGTGTGGGGCGCGGGAGGATCTTGACCTTCCACAGGTTCTTTGCCATGATGCGAGTTCTGGATTTCGAAGATTCCATGGGTTATCGACTCTGTGCGATGAATTTTGTGGCTGAGGATATATATATCCGAGATGCTTTGCTCGATGACCCAGACTCTCCCTGATGAACGAGCTGCGACGTTTCTTGCTGAAGCATACTATCATCGGTTGAAATTGGCTGTTCAGTCTACATATTCTTCGATAATACCTCGTGATCTTTATTCGCATTGCCTTCTACGATTACGACCCTCCACATCTACGAACGACACGAACAACCTCTGGCACGAAATACCCCCAAACACTTCCCTTCCCATGCAATCCACCATGACGCGCCGAACACAAGCACAACACCCCACCACCAAAGACGTGACCCCCCAGCGGGCAAGACACCTCGAGCGCAATCGAGTCGCAGCCAACAAATGCCGCCTCAAGAAGAAGCAAGAACACCAGCAAATCCAGCGCCGCCTCAGCGACGAAACCGAGAAACACGATCTCCTCGTCGCACAGATCCACGGGCTCCGCGAAGAAATGTGGGAACTCAAGAACCGAATGTTCCAGCATGTTGGCTGTGAAGATACACACATCAACCACCAGCTGCAGACCATGACCCAGAATGCTTTATTGGGGAGTAATTCTTCTCTGGGTCGGCGCCCTTCATCGACCTTCTCGGTTGGGACGGCGTGGTCGGATGAGTCGCCGGTTGAGCCACCGGTTGAACATGACAATCTTTCAATTGGGGATGTCGCGGCTGATCTGGATGCTTCTACATTATTGACGGGGTACCTGGATGAGTCGCTTGACGATACACTTCCTGACTTGATGTTTGACGAGTTGATTGATCCGCAAAGCCTACAAGCTCTGCCGTGACTTTACTTTTCTTTTCTTTTCTTTTCGTTATTTTCCTTTTTTTTTCTTTCGCATGTGCAGAAATATCTATGAGATAATCATAATCTTTGTTAGCGCAATTCAAAGCAAAAAAGTGTTTGACGTCATCCAAAATTTAGTCCGTCAGGGTGTGGGTGGACCCCCGGGAAAATCAAGCTGGGTCGAAGGGTACGGTGGAGCTGGCATTCTGCATCCTGCGTTCAACGCCATTCGATAAGACACGAAGAATCATGAACAATCGGCCGCGTGGAGCTTTGTTTGTTGCCTATCAAATTATCCGGAATATTTCACCCGCTGTGGATACACACGGCGCCAGTGGGGGATCTGTGATGGCCGTTCCGAGTGGTATGGAAGTCGCAACCGCCAATAATAAGCTTAAATTACTCCAGGTCGGAGAGAGCAAGCTGTGGTTGTGAGGCTAGAGAGTTGTGCGTGTTTTCTTGTAGGGCGAGCGATCACCGAGAAAACGAAGCCGCTGATATCATAGGATTCGCATGTATGCTAGGCTTGTCGCGCATTTTCTTGTTTCGATGTCTTTTCTTTTATCTTTCTCTCATCCTCCTACCCCAGACAGTCTTGTTCTCTGTGTAGATATTTTCTTGCTTGCGATCAAAGATCCCATTCAATTGTTGACATCGTGATTCATTATGCCAGGCGCACTTCGCACAGCACCATCCCCTGGCCAGGACATGGCCAGGTTTTCGCAGAAAAACGTCCTGGGCTCCAGCTTCGAGACCACAGAGAGGTGAGCGGACATACCTAGAGAAAAAAAGAAACAGGATGTAAACGAAACGAGACTAATCGACTGCCAGATATTCACAATTACAACCCATTGGAGTCGGGGTGTCGGGTCTTGTCTGGTATAGTTGCTCTCTGCTGCGTGGATCGAGTTATCCTAACATTATTGCTTGGTTTGTTCTTTAGTTCTGCTCGAGACCAGATTTCCAACCAGACTGTTGCGGTCAAGAAACTTGCAGAGCCCTTCAAGACCGCAATCGTTGCCAACCACATGTTCCGCGAAATCAAGCTGCTCAAACAGCTTTGCCATGAGAATGTATGAATCTTTTCAACTAAACCTCTCTGCTTTAATGCGCGTATGCTGACCAGATCCAGATAATCAACCTGAACGATTTATTTATCTCTCCCTCCGAAGACATGTGAGCACGACTACACACTTCATTTGTGAGACCAGCATACTGACCGACAAAGTTACCTCGTAACCGATCTCATGGCGACGGACCTCCATACTCTCCTGAAATCCAAGAAGATCGAAGACCAATTCGCCCAATTCTTCATGTACCAGATTATGGTAAGAACATTACTGTGCTGTCAATACCTCCGAGTCAGTAACACTAACTAGATTGAAATACAGCGCGGCCTGAAATACGTCCACTCAGCCGGCGTAGTCCACCGTGACCTCAAACCCAGCAACATCCTCATCAAGGAGAACTGCGACCTAAAGATCTGCGACTTCGGGCTAGCCCGCGTGCAAGAAGCCCAGATGACAGGCTACGTCGCGACGCGATACTACCGCGCGCCCGAGATCATGCTCACCTGGCGCAAGTACAACGAGAAAGTCGACATCTGGAGCGCAGCCTGTATCTTTGCTGAAATGATGCTGGGCAAGCCTCTCTTCCCTGGCAAGAACCATATCGATCAGTTCTGTGTGATCACGCAGCAGCTGGGTAGTCCGCCGCCGGAAATTGTCGCCAAGAGCAGTCCCAACGTGAGTTTGCCCTAGGCCTGTGTCAAAAACACGCGATTTTGTTTTGCTGATATATGGTTTTTTTTTTTTTTTTTTGTTTTATTTTGTTAATAGACCTTGAATTTCGTCAAATCCCTCCCGGAACGACACCGCAAGCCTATGTCCAAGCTGGTTCCCGACGCCAACCCTAAAGGTATGCTACAATTCAATTCATATCACTTTGCAAAATCTCTATAGTAACTAACTTTGGAAACTAGCTGCGGCGTTACTGGACTTGATGCTGCAGTATGAACCGCAAAATCGCATTTCTGCCGCCGAGGCCCTGACGTCCCCGTATCTGGCACTGTATCATGATGAAAGCGATGAACCGGTGGCGCCGGAGCCATTCGATTGGGCTTTCGCCGAAGCTGAACTGCCCACAGATGTCTGGAAGACTGTCATGTATGTGCGATACAAAGCAATTACAAAGAAAGAAAGAAAGAGTGCATCGCTAATGATGTGATCCAGGTATGCCGAGGTATTGGGATACCATGAGAAATCTAGTCAGGGAGGCTCGGTGCAATTGAAGAGTCCGTCGAGCAAGATGGACGTGTCTATGGATTTGGGATAATGGGGCCATGGATCAAGAAGGATTATGTACCTTCACCTTGACGAACGTTACGCTTAATGTTAACGCTTGAATATATATGATCTCCAAACTCAAATGCTATTTGAATTGTATGAGTGGTGTACATAGGTTCTGCTTATTGACTGATTAAATCGCTCGAGCATGAAAACCGACACGGCAAGATCTTGGTAAATGTGCAGATATGACAGCATATCAACGCCCACTAGGATTATGTATCTCGTGCTATTGCTAGGTGGTAACTCGTCCCGCGGTCCAATAACTATGTGCATATCCAAATCAATCCCAAAATCACACACGCCCAGGCAATATCCAATCCATATATGGATCCCAAAGGTCAATCAATAACCGTCAAAAAACCACAGGGTATCTTTCCAAATTAACCGTCCCCTTTTTCTCAGAATCAAAAGTTCAAGATTGTTCATCGGCGCATCAAGTGGCCAGAAAGTGACACCTCATCTTCGCAATCAGACAGTCTCTTGACCATTCTGCTGACCACTGACACCCGACTGGGCATTGACCTCCGCAACAGGCTGGTCATTTTCCTGTTTCCTGCCGCGGCGCGAGTTCACCAAGTCCAAGACGGCAAAGTAATTGGTGACAGCAAACATGGCCCTGCCATGCATTAGTGTAAGTTTGAAGAATTCCTGTAATAGGAAACGGAAGTAAAGTTAAAGAAAACGTAGGGACCTACCATTCCACCGCGGCAATCACAATCTGCGCCTGCAAAGCATGGCAGCTGGGGAAGTTGCAAGACCCAGGTCCCGGGATCAACGCCGCCATGGCAATGAAGCCGCTGAACCACAGCCCACCGGTAATGATCTCCATAGCGGGGATGACGAATTCATGTGAGAAGCGCGGCAGCCAGAGAGGGGCCATGCCGAGGTAGGGGACTGCGATGGCGGTTGTCCAGCAGCCATTAAAGAGCATGAAATAGACCACATTGGAGAAGGACCACTCGCTATAGAGAGAGCCGATCACTAGACAGAGATAACTTGTCGGTTAGTCTTTTCTCAAGACCACAGCGTTGATTTTATGTTTGGCAGAGATCACTCACCATACGCGGTGACACCAATCGTGGCCAGGGCGAATATCGCCTGCACGACTCGTAGCGGGTATACCCAGGAGAGCATAGTGGAAGATTATGAGTGTATAATAAGAGGAAGTGTAAGGCTATTCAAAGAGAAGGCAAAGACAAAAATTATTGTCGAGGGAGAGGGGAAAGGGTCCACTCGAGCCATTAGGGCATGTCTTTGTTTAAATATCTCGTGGAACACGAGACTAAACCCTCTTTTGGCCGCAGTGAACGTCATGGCGTGAGGAACTAGCGGAGGGTAGATCGCATGGCTAGCGGAGAAACCGACAGGACAAACAAAGGTGGAGAAGGAGGTGAAAAAAAGTCTAATGCGGGTCGAGCGATTTGGAGATAACAGGTGGAAACCATGATGCTATACAAGTGTAGCCCTAGACATGTTATATTATGCTCTTTTTTTCTCTCTCTCTCTCCTTCTCCTTCTCTCTAATTCAATATTTCTCCTGCAAATCTCTGTTCAGCAATATCAAACTATTCACAGAAAATGACCAGGAAGTGCTGTCGATCTCACATGAATCCGAGGCCGACTGAAAAATGGAGATCTGCCGCTAGTGGGGATCCAAGTAACTTGCCCGAACCAGCAATGCAAAAATTCAGACCTCGGCTTCACAATCTGTACTTTGTTTTAGCCACCCGGAAAAAATTATAATAAAACTGAAAATAAAAAAAAAAAACCCTACAATGCTTTGAAATCGCCGTTACATATATACAAAAGCCCTATCTGTCATATCGTACACAATCCACATGGTCAGTTCCCTCGGGACACAAGTACTCGCACGGCATCCAACACCCCAATAGGCTTCTCATCGGCCGGCTCAATCGCAGCCCGAGCCGCATCGGGCTCACCAGATGACGGCCGCTTCCCGGCATCCTTGGCCGCCGCCTCAATAGCCGCATGCCGCTCACGCCACTCCCGATCCTCTTTATCCCGAATCTCCAGCTCGCGCAACCAAGCGTCACGCTTTTCCTGAGCCTTCCGCACTTCCACCGCCTTCTCAAACTCGCGGCGCTGCTGCCGCTCTGTCTTGAAGTACATCCCACCTGCGACCAAGGCCACCAGCGTGAATGCTTGTGCGTAGATTCGGGCGCGGAACATCCGGTTCATCTCGACCGAGTCGCCTGCTTTCATGGACCGGTAGGCACGGTAGAGAGCGTAGCATGTTGCGGCGCATCCTGGATACAGCGGGGGCGTGTTGATCAGTAAGTTGGGTTAGAGTGGGAATAACCTCCAGAGCTGGGTCTAGAGTGGGTGTGATCTCGTACCTAGTGGGATGAGTGGCTCTTCCTTCAGACGTCGCGTAAATTTTTGGAGAGAGGTTTCCTCTCGAAATTGACTGTTTAGCAGGGGTATATGTTAGCAGATCTGGTGTATCTCTTCCACCCCGAACATCTTGGAATCCCGGTTGCAGGGGTATAGACGCGGTGTCACATACGGGGTATCTTCGAACGAGGAAGGAAGAGGTTCGCGGCTCATGATGCAAATGGGGTGAGCTCGCTCAGAGCTCGACCGATGCGGGTTGTGCGGAGTTCAACCTCGTCCGCGGTGCGAATAGGATGGTTGGCGTGTTCGAAGAAGTCCAAAATATCGATCAGAGCAAGTTCAAGCAGAGGCCGGGCTCGTCGTTATTTTAGTTGTCCGAATCCCAGGCTGAAAATGCGTGATGCGGTTTTGTTGTCGGCGGGAGTCGGTGACGCTTGCCAAGGTATTTTCGAGGGCGGTCGGGTGTATGTCACTTACACCGAGTCGCCATTTGTTGGTTGACATTTGGGATTCAATGTAATTAAAGTGATTGGATAGTCAATATTATTTAGATGGCAAAGAATCTTATCCTTGTGGTTTTTACTGGTATTAAGCATTCGAAGTGAAACATTTTTACTTGTGTACCGCCTTGGCAGGACAGTATGCTAGCTGAATATATACTCTGGACTCTGAGATATAAAAGAGTTGATATTCACCAGAGAAAATGTTCAAGTTCTATGAAGGAAATATATTTCCTAGTCATATTTGACTCATTGTCTGGGATATTCGAAACATACAAGCAATTGTGATAAAATTGGATTGTAGCAAGCCCTTTTATAAGCGATTGTGCATATGCCCTGACTAGCAACTGTCGGGCTCCAAATGGACCAGGTACCACTTGGATGTAATTCAATTGGTGTTTTAGCCGCTTGTCCAAGCCTGCTAAGCTAATTACACTCTAAAGGATCAGGTTCCAAGGTTATCTTTAGCTGCCATCCTACGAGGTTCAACAATACATCACCCAAGGAAGCGATAACACAACATATAGGCCGCTTAGCATGAATTCCTAAACATTTCGAAGTCTCCTTACTGTCTATTTAATATCCGTTTATTATACTATCTACTTTAGACACTTAAATCATCCCAATTAAGCACTTAGGGCTAGCGGTCAGGGTTGATGACATAAGACCGCTCCGATCACGGTCCCGCCTCCGCGAGAAAAAAGAGTCCAAAGTCGCGAATTCCCCGTCGGCTGGCAAATTATCCCTGAAACAGCATCTGATTCACTTGGCTCAATCTTCCCGGGTAGATTCTTCATTCCCACGCCACTATGTCCGACGAGTCTGCCCCAAATGGCGTTACGATGCCTACCACTCTCAAGAGAAGCGGGCTGGGCTTGACCGAGTATACCGCCGCTCCGACGCCTCCCTCTGAACGCTCGCAACCCAGAGCTCTCGGGTTGCCCCCCAACTGGGGCATCCCTGATGCCTTCTTGCTCCCTAATGGATACCCCGATGTGAGATACAGCTCCCCGCCTGTTTTCTATTCGCATTCTAATGCGCTTTTTTCTGGACGTCTAGTATCTGCGATTGATCTTGACGTCACGGGTTTACGATGTCATCGACGAGACTCCCCTCACTCACGCCGTCAACATGAGTAACCGACTGGAAAGCCGGATTCTTCTCAAGCGGGAGGATATGCTTCCGGTGTTCAGCTTCAAGCTCCGTGGCGCATATAACAAGATGGCTCATTTGAACCATGAGCAGCGATGGAAAGGTGTTATTGCTTGCTCTGCAGGTGGGTGACTCGGAAATTAGATAAAATAACATGAAGAATTCTTTCTAACCTCCTTATCAGGGAACCATGCCCAAGGCGTGGCTTTCTCCGCTCGCAAATTGAGAATCCCCGCCACCATTGTCATGCCCTCCGGGACCCCGGCCATCAAGCACCTGAATGTCGCTCGCCTGGGAGGAAGTGTCGTCCTGCATGGAAATGACTTCGACGCTGCAAAGGAAGAGGCACACCGTTTACAGAAACAGCATGGCCTGACCAACATCCCGCCGTTTGACGACCCATATGTTATTGCTGGCCAAGGCACTATCGGCATGGAGCTCCTGCGCCAGGCCAACTTGGATAAGCTAGAGGCGGTCTTTTGCGCCGTTGGTGGTGGTGGTTTGATTGCTGGTATTGGTGTTTATCTCAAGCGCATTGCACCGCAGGTGAAGATCATTGGTGTCGAGGCATACGATGCCAACGCCATGGCCCAGTCTCTGGGGGCAGGCAACCGTGTCTTCCTCCAGGAAGTTGGCCTCTTCGCCGATGGAGCTGCGGTCAAATCCGTTGGAGAGGAGACCTACCGTCTCAGTCGGGAGGTGATCGACGATATCGTCCAAGTCTCCACCGACGAAACCTGTGCGGCCATCAAGGACGCCTTTGAGGACACACGATCCATCATCGAGCCTGCTGGTGCTTTGGCGCTCGCCGGTCTCAAGAAATACATTTCTCAAAAGCCCAGCCCCGATACCAGTCGCGAGTTGATCGCCATCACCTCCGGTGCGAACATGGACTTTGACCGACTGCGATTTGTTGCCGAGCGTGCTGCCCTCGGTGAACGCAAAGAGGCCCTCTTGAGCGTGAAGATCCCCGAGAAGCCCGGCGCTTTTTCCAGGCTCGTCGAAGTCATTCTTCCGCATGCCGTAACGGCATTCAGCTACCGATACGCACGCGAATCGTCGGCCGATGTCTTGATGGGCATTTCGCTTTCCGCTCTCACTGGCCGCGAAGACCTGGCCAAGATAATCGAGGAACTGACCAAGGGAGGCATGGACGCCAAGGATTTGAGCGACGATGAGCTCGCAAAGCGACACCTGCGCTTCCTCGTTGGTGGACGCTGCGACGTGGCCGACGAGCGGCTTTTTATGTTCGAGTTCCCTGAGCGACCGGGGGCTCTGGCCAAGTTCTTGACCACCCTCCGTCCCAACCAGAACATTTCTTTGTTCCACTACCGCAACTACGGCGGCGATGTGGGCAAGGTCCTGGCTGGCATCCAGTGCCCGGCAGCCGAAAAGGATGATCTCGAAGCCTTCCTTCGGGATCTGGGCTATCCGTTCAGCGAGCACACCGACTCGCCTACCTACAAGACTTTCCTTCGCTGTGAATGAGCTTCTGTCGGTGTTTAATGGAAACGAAGAACAAGAAAAAGGATAGATTATAGCTTTTTTTTATTGTTTACTTTTGCAAGCGACTTCAAAGCGCGGACCAGTTCCGGCATGCTTTCGTCCCCTGCTCGGCGTTTGGTTCTTTGGGGCATAGACTGGGAATTTCGGCTTCTGTATGATAGCTCTAATCTGGGTTGCTTTCCACCTCCATACCTGCTTTGCCCATGGCATTTCCTTCAATGATATATTTCATTCTCTTCTTAAAATTGTTATTTTCATTATATAGAATTCAAAATCCCCATCGTCCATCGTTTCACTTGATTCGAGTGTAGTTTAACCCACCAATCACAGTGCGACTGCCGGGCGATCGGCGATACAGAAGCTCCGGGCAACATTTGCTCGGCGAGAACCTTTGGAGCAACACATTCCCCCCATCGCCCTCACATCTCGATTGTGCCTTTGTCTCTGCGCGGCGAGACTGGAGGCATCGCCTCAAATTGATCACCCTTGAGAATTCGCCGCAAACATGCTGTCGCTCCGCACCGTCTTCGGCGCATCCTCGGGCACGCTCCGCCAGTTCCTCCCCTCCTTCTCCCGCCACTCCATCTACAGAGCCGCGTCATTACGGCCATTCTCGCATATGGTTCGAAATGGCTTGACGAAGTTGCGCGCCGGACAATCACAGAGCAACAATGCCGTCGCCGTGGGCGTGGCGTCCGCCAGACAGATCGAGCAGGTTCGGGGAATGAAGACCCGGTCATCAGTCAAGAAACTGTGTGACGACTGCAAGGTATGATTTTGCATGGCTCATTATACATCCCACTGGTGGAAAAGAAGGTTTGGTTGAAATGTTGTGTTCTGGATGCTGACGTTTTGAATTAACAGATGGTTCGTCGTAAGAAGCGTATCTATGTTATCTGGTGAGTTAACTTCCGTCCATGTCAGCAAAACTAGCAGATTATTTGAACCCCATTTGGTGCTAATGACTGGATTCGAATTCTATCAGCTCGAAAAACCCGAAGCACAAACAACGGCAAGGGAAATAGACGAGAGATATTCCTTCCGCATTTGATTTCGATACCACGCATGAAATTGGTTCCTTTGGTGACGGCTTTCATTTGCTCGGCTCCCTGCGCCCGCGTCTTCAGCGCGTGATCTCATACGGTCTTGATGATCAGGTCATTCTCCATGGGTTCGACACACGATTGTTCGCCTCCACTTTACAAATTGGAGGCGTATCTTGTTGCATTGTCTGACAACTGGACAGCTGGCTAGAGACTGCGGCGCTCATGTCATATTCCTGTATATTAGTGTTGTGACCAAGGAAGTTCTTGGTCCGTTGAATTCAACTCCATCTATGATCTCCCATATGGCTCTCTATGTCCAACTGCCCCCAAACTGAGAAGCCAATAGAATTCATAAAACACATCTCTAGAAGAGAATTTGGCATTTTAATTCCACCAAGCCATCGTTTCCAAGCACAACGCAGTAATGCGTTGAATCTGATGGGCCAATCGTACAATCACGTGATGTGTTCCTGGCTTCCCCGAACTTTTTTTTTTGAGAAAAACAGAAGCGCCTTCAACCCGGTTTAATTGCATCAATTTTGGTGTGACAGGATCATCGTCATGAGGTCGGCTTCTATTGCACGGCTGCAATACCGTGCCGTGTCTGGTTTGACCAGAACACCCCGTTTCCAGCCGCAAAGCCTGTTGCGCTCGCTATGCGTCTCCACGGCCGCTTTGCGCTCCTCCGCGGTTGCGCCGGTGTATCCGTCGATGCTGAGACAATGGGATCAGCGTCGGAATGCGTCATCGACGGCGTCAGAAGTGTATGTTTTCGATGTTAGCTCTTAGCATGGTTATGTGTCTAATTTCTTTGTGATTAGCCTCGAGGCCGCCAAAGCCAACCCGGAGGCCCTGTCCCAAGCCGCCATCATTGACAACCTTGATCCCCTCGAGGCTGCTCGACTTGACAAAGTTCGGAATATTGGCATTGCGGTACATAAAACCCCATTGACTTGTTTCGAGGACGTCTCTAACTGTTGACCGTCGCCCTAGGCCCATATTGACAGCGGTAAAACCACCTGTACCGAGCGTGTCCTTTTCTACACTGGCCGTATCAAGGCTATCCACGAGGTCCGTGGCCGCGACAGCGTCGGCGCTAAGATGGATTCCATGGATTTGGAGCGTGAGAAAGGTATTACAATCCAGTCCGCTGCTACCTTCTGTGACTGGGTCAAGAAGGATAAGGAGGGCAAAGAGCAAAAGTACCACGTCAACCTGATTGATACCCCCGGACACATTGATTTCACCATCGAGGTCGAACGAGCGCTGCGCGTTCTGGACGGCGCTGTCATGATTCTGTGCGCCGTATCGGGTGTTCAGTCCCAGACTATCACGGTCGACCGACAAATGCGCCGCTACAATGTTCCCCGAATTTCGTTTGTCAACAAGATGGACCGAATGGGTGCCAACCCCTTCAAAGCCATTGATCAGATCAACTACAAGCTCAAGATCCCGGCCGCTGCCGTTCAAGTGCCCATTGGTGCCGAGGACGAATTCGAGGGTGTCGTGGACTTGATTCGCATGAAGACCATTTACAACGTCGGCGAGAGTGGTGAAGACATTATGGAGACGGATGAAATCCCCGAGAAAGTCAAAGCTATCGCCGAGGAGAGACGTGCCAAGCTTATCGAGACGGTTGCTGATGTCGACGATGAAATTGCCGAACTCTTCCTCGACGAGAAGGAGCCTACTGCTGATCAGCTTAAGGCGGCGATCCGTCGGGCTACGATCGGGCTGAAGTTCACTCCAGTTTTCATGGGATCCGCCTTGGCTAACAAGTCGGTTCAACCCATGCTGGACGGTGTTGTCGACTACCTCCCCAACCCTTCGGAAGTTGAGAACCTGGCCCTTGACAGGAAGCGGAATGAGGCCTCTGTCAAGCTCGTCCCTTACAATGATCTTCCCTTTGTTGGTCTGGCTTTCAAGCTGGAGGAGAGCAACTTTGGACAGTTGACCTACATTCGGGTGTACCAGGGCACCCTCCGCAAGGGCTCTAACGTCTTCAACGCTCGCAACGACAAGAAGGTCAAGATCCCCCGTATTGTACGCATGCACTCCAACGAGATGGAAGAAGTCACCGAGATTGGCGCTGGTGAAATCTGCGCTGTGTTCGGTGTTGACTGTGCCTCGGGTGATACCTTCACAGACGGGCAGTTGGGCTACAGCATGTCGTCCATGTTTGTCCCCGAACCTGTGGTCTCGCTCTCGATTAAGCCGAAGCAAAGCAAGGACGGTGCCAACTTCTCCAAAGCCATGGCCCGATTCCAGAGAGAAGACCCGACCTTCCGAGTGACCTACGACCATGAGAGCGAACAAACCCTCATTTCCGGTATGGGTGAGCTCCACCTCGACATCTATGTGGAACGTATGCGTCGCGAGTACCGCGTCGACTGCGAGACGGGTCCACCGCAAGTCGCCTACCGTGAGACTATGGGTCACCGCGTTGACTTCGACCACCTGTTCAAGAAGCAGTCCGGAGGACCGGGTGACTTTGCCCGTGTCATGGGTTGGATGGAGCCGACTGGTGCGCTCGAGGATAACAAGTTCGAGCAGCAGGTTGTTGGTGGCAGCATCTCTGAGAAGTTCCTGTTTGCTTGCGAGAAGGGATTCAACGCCTCTTGTGAGAAGGGTCCTTTGATCGGCCACAAGATTCTTGGAACCTCCATGGTCATCAACGACGGTGCTACCCACGTGACAGACTCGTCTGAAATGGCTTTCAAACAAGCTACTCAGCAGGCCTTCCGCAAGGCCTTCATGGAGAGCAACCCTGCGGTCCTGGAGCCCTTGATGAAGACGGTTGTGACCGCCCCGTCCGAGTTCCAGGGTGATGTGATTGGGTTGTTGAACAAGCGCGGTGCCACCATCAACGACACCGAGACCGGCGTCGACGAGTTCACCATCTACTCCGACTGCAGTCTGCACGGCATGTTCGGCTTCAGCAGCAACCTGCGTGCTGCCACCCAGGGCAAGGGCGAGTACAGCATGGAGTTTAGCCACTACGAGAGGGCGCCTCCGCACATGCAGTATGTTTCAATCCTTCCTTATCTCACATTTTCCCTGCTCTTTTTTTCGTCTTTTGCCATGGAGTTTTCACGCTAACCTACCTGCCTTTTCTTCCCCCTACAGAAAGGAACTTATCGCCAAGTACCTCAAGGCGCAGGCCGACAGACACAAGAAATAAACCCGCCAACACCCCATCCACCTCAATCGCCCTGTAACAATCTTCCTCTCTTGCCTACCCTCACCACCAACCGTTTTTGGTCTTGGTACCGCATGGCTTTGACCCCGCTGCCTTGCGCTCTGTACTCTTTTGTACTTTCTATGATCTCGCACTATATCACCCTGCGTCGGCTTCTATACCTGTATTTCAAGACTCAGATATTACTTTCTACTCTCCTGTCTGAACAATAGAATCATTGTCATTATATGGTCTTGTACCTACTGGCTCAATAATGTAGGCAATTTCTAAGAGGAACGAACAGATAGGAGCACAGGATGACTACCTTAGGCTGTATATACACTAAGAAATGCTTCTTAGGTTGTGTTTATCACTGTTTGGTGATGAGCTTTTGGAGCTACTGCTACTAAAATTTAATAATATAAGAAGATATGAAGTAGGTCGCAGAAAGTCTGGGAGGATTCGACTTCGCTACCCCTATGTGATCCCCCGACCTTCAATACGTGTTACAAAAAAAGAAAGAAAAGAAAAAGGGAGAAAAGGGAGAAACGAGATAGTTAAAAAATAGATTAGAAAAGAATTTAGAAAAAAGATTAGGAAATTAATTAATTCTTTTAAGAGACAGAGAAAAATACTAATAAAAAAATAATAGTAGTAGTAAAATAGCTACCTATATATTTAATAAAGAATAGGACCTTTTAAATAGCATACAATACAGAATAAATTTTCAACTTTTTTGGGGGTTCGTAGTTTTAGGGCTCGTGGTTCCTGTCAAATAAATGACCCTGCGCCTCCAAAGATCAGATAACAACAACTAGGACCATCAATCATTCAAAAACAAAACAAAAAATAAGCATAATATAATCCAGGAAATTCACTATAAGGAAATATGTCAGCAGACCCAAAGAAACAAAGGAAACACCATCGGAATGCCTTGCAACGACTGAAATCCAAGGCGAACCAGCTAAAAGAATGTAAATCTCAGAGGTATCGGGGAGATCCAAAGCTCGATTGTCGCAAGTGACTCAGTTTCCACTCCTCCATAGCTTTAGCGACCCACCCCCTCAATCGATGCAGTCTCAATGGAAACACCAGACTCCCAGGACGTAGGTTCGCATGGGGGAGTCGAATCAGCCCGAGGGCTGGCAATGGTTTCGGACCCAAGAGAAGGGACCGGCGAGAGGGGTGGCAGAGACCGATTGAGGTCTTTTTCAGCAACCGAACGAGAGAAAGAAGTCGAGGCCTGTGTGAGACAGAAAGGGAAGGAGGGAGAAAGTTAGTCGATTGGGAATCGGGGCCGGGGTTGCACTTACCGAAGATGAGCAAACAGGTGCTGGGACAGAGGTTGGGAGGGACCGGTGCGGACGAGATTGCTGCTTGGTTTGGTTAGTCTGCGGCGAAGGGCTGATGGGCGCGGGATTGACGATCTCAGCGCTCATGGCGCGAGGCATGGATCCCGTGCCTGCGCGGCTGACTCTCCTTTCTGCGTTGCGTAAGACGGGACCGTTATCAAAAGACCCGGGGGGAGGTTCTTGGCTGTCAGTGGATGTCTGTGGAGTATCAACAAAGTGCTCGAGGTCGAGGTCGCTCAGGAAGAAGGGCCAGCAGATGGGATGAATGGGCTGTGGCGAGGGGAGGTGGTAGAAGGGACTATCCTGGGATCTAGTCCCAGTTCCAGATGCCGGGGTGGTTGCGGATCTCTGGGGCCGCGGACGTCGGAGAAAGGTCTCGTTCTTGTCACCGGGGCGCAGGTTGGGATCTCCTGGAATGAGGTACTTCCACAGAGGCTTGCCGTTGTCGTCACAGACGTGATAGTGCTCCAATATGGCATGGGCGATGTTGGTGTAGGACTCGCGGTCGTTCACCATCCTGGTTAATCTCCCGCCGATGTGGTCGTCGCGCTGATACAGCATGGAGGTAATCAGAGAACCCATTTCACTAGCCGGCATGTCGTTCAGAACCCACGTCGTCATCAAGCTCATGAGCTTCTGAATGCCTTCGAGAGTCCATGCAGTGACGGGCTGTCGTGTCTGGTCCTCAAACTCCGTGCAGAAAGACTCCGAGAAAGAATTAAAGGGGCTCTGTCCTTGCTGCATTAGAGGTCTGTTCCCTCGCCGAAGGGCACCAGCGCACCTCAGCCTTAGAGAACTTACCTGTGAGGGATCATCATGGATCCATTCCTGAGTCGTCATGGAACTTGCAGAGAACACACTCGAATGGTCATCTTCCACGGCGGTACTGGCAACGGGGGATTGAACCATGGCTTGCCTATCGAGAACATTTCCCGGCGGAGTCAATACCGACATGCTAGGACGTCTGGAACTCATGGGAAGCGGATTTGTCTGTCTGCGAATGGCACCGGACCGTTTCAGTAAGCCTGTCAAAGTAGCAGTAGTAGTAGTAGACCTCGGAGTGGGGATAACGGGGGGCGGATTGTTCATCAAGGATCGCTGAGCATTGTCTTCGTCAAGGTGATCGACTGAACCGCTCTCAATGCCGGGGTTCCCTCTGGATGGAGCCATTCTTGTCCATGGGGGAGAAGTTTAGCTATGAGCCTGATTCACTCTCCATCAAGGGCAGACCCGGACTCCTCGTCCTGTTGGGCTGAATGGAGTCAAAACAGGAGGGGTGTAGATATGGGAAGAACGCCTGAAGAGACCGGTGACTGAATTGAATATCTTGAGGACTTACCAGTCTATGAGGAAGTTGATGATGCTTGATGAGGATCCAATTCAATGGTCATGGTCGGGGTATTTATATCTCAAAGCCATGGGGCCAGATGTTGCCGTCCCTTGTTCGCCCAGATCACGTAGACAAAGAGCAGCACCATGTCTCCTATACTGGTCTTTGTTCAGAACAAAGACCTAGACAGAATGGGATTGTTCGCCGGACGCTGCCAACAGTCTCGGTTAGGAACAAAGAAAATGGGCAATAGGCAACATAGGATAGGTTGTTCGGTAGTCATTGGCCTTGTAGATATGTGCCATCAACGATGTTCGATGTCTTGGTCGACGGATGAGTTGGAAATTGCCGTTCTTATTCATTGTTGTATGAAGAAACGTGTTGACCGGTCTTGGGCAGTGCCCCCAATTTTCTGAAAGAGAGTCAGTATATCTGATAACGAGGAAGTAAACTGCGATAAGTTCATAGACTAGTGAGAAAGTCTAGCCAAATGCACCTAAATATAACTGCATAGGAGATGGAGGTATTCCGGCATGAGATAATTAAACCTGATATAGAGATGAAATATATACAGGGCTATCTTAGATCAGTATAACTTTATTCCGAGGGAACCATTTATTACGGAGGTACTTACATTTATTGAATTCTCTTTAATCTAGTTAAAAAAAGGCGATTTATCTGTAAGATCGACTTGGTAGTTCTACTATATTTATCTATCTACTATATTTTCCTTTAAATAAGGATTATTACTTATCTTTTCTGTACTTTATCTATAATATTATCTATACAAGCCTCTCTTAATCTCTCTATAGATCGATAAAATAATACTCTCCTATATAGCTATATTCGGCCTTAACTAAGACCTACGCCTTGTCGGAACCGAGTATAGCTAGCTATCCTTATTCTTCTATCTCGGGTTTCTAGCCTAGCAGCTACCCACAAGTCTCCTAAATCCATACGATTAGTACCTTAGGCCTTGAGCTTCCTCCTAGGTACATAATTTGCTATTCACTGTAGACTTCTTATTAACCTAGGTTAGACCTTGTAGCCAATACTTATTGATCCCCTATCATAATAGACTTGAAGTTTTAAGGAAGTATATTATATAAATCCTTTTACCTTATAAGATAACTTGTTATAGCCTAATCACCCCAGTGACCCTCATTCCAGTTTACCACCAAGACCGAGCTCAATGCTTCAATATTCTCTTCCAAAAGCCCCTGGATGGATTTGCGGGAGCATCATGAGTTGTCTCCGAAACATGGGCCATATCATAAGATTGAAGGATTCGGATAAGTTGATCATTGATCTTATCCACCTTTGCCGAGAGCCCAGAGAGTTGCACGTACAATCTCCAGCTCCCTCGATTTGCTTGGTCCCTAAAGACGAATTGTCTTCAGAATGCTGAGCCAGCTCGTGTCGCATTTGCCGGTTTGGACCCTACCCGAAAGAAGCATAGGCTTGATTTAATTCTCGATCAGTGAGTTTTGACATAGCGATATAGAGTTCGGTGTTTTGAACGTTGCATTCCTGAAAAATATTTGCAAACTCTGTAGATACCTGCGCTCCCTTTTCAAAAAAGGACCCATCGCTTGCATTATCTCAATAACCTGAGAGTAATCAATGTCGGAGGACCTCGCTCCTAAGTTGAGAAGCCCTTGCCCCACATCATCTAGCTCTCGGCATATTTTCCAGAAACGATGCTCCTTCTCAATGACAGAGGCAAGCAGATTTTGGCTTGGTTGGCATGATTCGTATTGGGGAGGGCGGTTGGGGCAGTCGGGGACTGTCTTCGATTATTGGCCTTCAAAAGATAATTCGGACATTTTCAGGGATGATTGAACGATTTTTGTATGTTAAGTTTTGGTGTCAGGGAGGTAAAAGAAATTTCTTGAAAAAATCTGGGATTGAGGGTCTAAATTATCAGAAGAACGTAATGTCCAGCCAACCGCCTCCTAATATAGAGCCATGGTAGCCTTGACTAGATCAAACTAATTTGAGCCCTGCTAAGTTATAAAGGTTTTTTTGGTTTAACCATTTTATACAGCCTTAGATTCTGCTTCAAGTATGGTATGTTTGGAAGAGGGACTCGAGCTTTGATACTTCCCACCAGTAGATATCAACGCATTACGAAGTGATTATATAGATGTAAGGATTCCTAGAGAATTACTGTTTAAGGTTAAATCCTGCGAACTCATCCTCAGATTAGCTTATACTGCCCAGATCGCGTGGGTCTTGTTGCTAATATCTTTAGAATCAATAAGGGAAAATGCCGATGACAGAAAATTCGGGAAATAGGGATATAAGAAGCACGCATTGATGATGAAACTTCCAATAAAACACGTAATGGATCCTGTGTGAGCACCAGATGGGTATATGCGCAGTATGAAAAGAGACAGAGCTGAGAACTTAAAAAGAAGAATACTTCGAGAGGAGTGGTATGGATGCAAGGGACCTTCAAAGATAGCAAGCCCCTAGAGCCAAAGTATCCATCGCACGCTAGAAACAGCACCCCGGAAGATACCACGGACGAGTTTGAAGACCATGACGATCAACCACACCCACCACAGTGCACCAACGAGGGCCCATTCAAGCATACTGAACCCTGCACGCCTCACCCAACGCAGCCGGCGTCGACGTTTCCGCACTCCCTTGTCCAGAGCATCGCTGAGTTGCTTCACAGCCAGCGTACTGGTGGTGTTGAGCTCGACACACAGGTCCTCGGCTTCATTTGCGGTGGCCCGGACTCGGGGTGTAAGAGTCTGATTGACCAAAGTTTCCAGGTCCTTGAGCTGCGAGCGCAAAGGGGATGATGTTCCAGTGGAGAAATTATGCATCGAATTCTGGAACGAGTACTGAGTGATCTCAAATCGCCGGAGAAGACTCTGAGCAGCAACATGAAATTCCTCACTCCGAGCCACCCGTGGAACAGATGCACTCGGACCCAAAGCACTTTGCAACCAATGAGGAACCGGGTCGCGTGAACTATGAGCTCGGCGGGTAATTTCTCGTGCTTTGATACCTGATGATAAAAAGAGAGCTCGCGTGCGTTCAACTTCGGTCTTGCCAGGGACGCCGGAATCCTTCGGTGTTTTGAGACTGCGATCGGAGATGCTCCAAGCGCGACTGGCGCCCGAAAGTATGGAACGATTATCCGGGGATGGGCCTCGAGATGCCCGGGCTTTGGCAAGACCGGTGACAGGGGGTCGAGTGAGACTAAAGGGAACGGACGGATCCTTGATCTGATGCGGCTTCAGGCGATCACGACTGGAGGGCAAGGCTGGGCCAAAATCCAGGGTTTTGCTGCGTGGCAGAGTTTGCCTGGAAATCTCACGATCGTCGTGTCTCCGTAAGGCAGGCCCACGTCCGTAGGGACTTCCGAATTCAGATGCATCAGTAGTCCCGCCCCGATCATCTTGTCGCAAGGGCGACGTGAAGGCTGGCAGAGACGGAAGAAAGCTTCTTGAAGACATGCCCTTGTCAGAATCCCTGTGCGTCAAGCGAGCAGGCTCATCCGCAAATGGTGGTAGACGTCGTAGAAGGCCCTTGGAGCCAGCTCGTTTGTCGGTCCTTGTTTCTTCATCGTCATCCGAATCGCTATCGTCCGAGGAAGATGTTGTTGCGGACGAAGACTTGCGTGAAGAAGGCATGGGCTCTTTTTTGAGAATGAAATCTCCAACCTTGGAAACCTCGTTGCCGACTAGTTTAGTTATCCGACCAGGCCCCTTGAAGATGCCCTTTAGCTTAGATTCATGACCATGAGGACCCCTGCGGACTCGATAATCATCCATCCGATGTGCTTCAGATGGAATTTGATCATCCGCGTAAGACGAAGAAACAACATCCGGAAGCGGACTTGGCTCGAGCTTCGAGGTACCCTCAGAGGAAGGCGCCAAGTTTTGTTGGCGCATTGCCTCCGAATCCAAGACATCGTCTTCATGTTCCTGGGCTTCAAGAATGCGTTGCTTGCTCTTGCTGCGTTCATGGCGCGAGGCTATCTTATGACGAAGCCCCTTCTTTGCTGGAGAAGGAGACCGGCTAGAAGGTGGAGATAGATTGACGGCAATGCTGGGGAAATAGCCGGCGGCATGGGCGGGAGAGTTAGGAGCAGTACTGTCCATTCCTTCCATGGACATTCGGGGATTGAATCGGTCATCCACGCTGCCATTTGACGAGAGTGATGCCCTTCTCGACATTTGTTTCCATTGAGTAGTGATTGGCGGAAGCTCAGACAGTTGCGATGCCGCGGTTCGGTCTGCTCTTGCATTGGGGACGGCCGCAGGAGATTTGTCGTAGGGTGTCCGAGATTCCAAGGCGTTCGGTTGCTCGTCCCTTGGATGTCTTCCAGTATCTTTCCGAAAATGATCCCACGAGGTCTGGCGGTTTCTGTCCATAGAACTATGAAGCTGTGCACTAGAATCGCTCGACACGCTACTCGCACGCACTCTGAGGTTGCCTAATCGTGAGCGCTTCCGCGAACTAGAAATGCTGCCGCTCTCCAAAGTGTGCGAGTGATTTCGCGAATGAGATTTGTCTCGTCCACGGCCTATTCTCCTAAATTCGGGGCCCAAGGCAGGGTGGGAGCTGGACATGGAAGTTGGACGGGAAGAATGTTCTTCTGATGCGGGATAGACGATTTCAACGGAAGGGCGCTGTTTTTGGGGCACAGGTGTATTTGTGTCCACGAGGGCCAGCTGCGTAGGGTCTGGATAGATTTTGTGGCCTTCCCTGTCGACGATCTTGGCCTTGTTGGTGCCATCCTCAACCCATGCAGCATCTGCAAGCATCTCGACAGGAGAAATAATCCAATCAAGTCGTGGCCGGGGGGCTTTTACGCTACTAGTACGGCTAGCGCGTCTCAAGCTCGAAGGAGGGGAGGCACCTATCATGTCCACATCGTCGGGATCATCACGAGACACATGTCTCTGACCGAGCTGGAAAGGAGGCAGCTGAAGCGAGTCCTTTTGATCGTGAACTCTGTGACTGTATTTCTTCTCGACGGCGTTGATCCACTGGTGAACTCTGTCGACATCATGCCAGCCGTCTGCCTGTGCATCAATGGTGCATTTTTCGCGATACCTAACCCGTCTGTTGCGAATCATTTGGAGTGGGTTATAGCCCCGGTTTGCTGGTAAAGGAGCATTGGCAGGACTCTGAGAATCGAGGTCACCGTCCACGGGAGGATTTCGCAGCGGTGGCAGCGAAGGGAGCAACCGCAGATATTCATGAAAAAGGTCAAAGTGACGCCGGGCTTTGTCTGCGCGAGCAAAAGTGCTATCAGAGAATTCATATTCTCGATGGTCATCAACCACTGAAGGAGGCAACAAATCTACCACGGGGGGCTGGCCTGGTCCGCCGGGTTGTGTCGCCCGCGCAAATCCATCACCAGATGGCCGACCTTGTTGGGGATGTGCAAAATCACGCGGTGATTGACTGGGCCCTGGTGATGCCCCATAGATATCTGTGGGGGCGGCAGGTTGAGAAATAGACAACGGTCTTCGTCCGGGCTGGCCTGGCGGTAGCCCAGAAGCGGTTCTCCTCCGAGACTCATTGAGATTTAGAGCCAGATTCACGATCTGGAGGGAATCCCTATCGAAACCAGGGGCAGACTGGCCTAGATTATCCTTCACTTCGGGCTGCGTCGAGCTTCTGGAGGGCTGGGTATCAGGCGGAGGTGTAGGAGTCTGGTCAGTCACCGGGGTCGACGACTGAGCCGCCGAAGAGGACTCGGGCACAGAATTTTTGTGCTTCTTCCATGGAAATCGCAAGCGTTTCTTGGGAACGACGATCTCGGGTTCGGGAGCAGCGCGCTTCTCTGTAGGCGGTTCTGGTGGCCGGGCACGATACGAGCCTGTCCTCGAGCTCTTTGAAGGAGGCAAGGAATCAACCAGAAAGCCACTCGAGCTTTGTGTCTGACGATGACTAGAAGAAGTCTTCCGGTCTCCCTCGCGAGAACTGCTTCCGAGCGTGCTACCCTCCAGCTCCCCGCTGGCTCGGCCATTGTTCATCGGGGGAGCGGCTCGCCGAGATGAGCCATCGGATCGATGCGAAGCTGAAAAGGTTCCGGAGTTCAAATCCCGCGGTGTTTCATCCGTGGCGATCATTGAATATCGTGCGCGTGGTTCGTTGAGTCGGTGCGACATCACAGCCGGGGAGAGGGGGGGGGAAGGTGCTAGATGACCACGCCTGGCAGGGAGGCAACAGACATAGTCTGGCAACAGGATAAAATCATAGAGGCGATCAAAAGGATCAAGAAAAAAGTAAAAGGACGGGAGTCAAGAGTGAATCAAGAACTCCGTCTGAAGCAGCAACTGCCGTCTACATCGGAGTTGCGCGTCAGCCCGCATCGGAATGTTATGTAAGCCTTTGCATCGAGGCAAAAGAACCTCGGGATGTACACAACCCACATCTTAAGACGAGAGAAAGAAGTAAAGTAAGGGGTAAAGCAGTGGAATGACGCATGGGGAGCCAGGGATATAAGATTTACGTGGTGTAGTGGCAGAGTTGCCTTGTCATGGCACATAGGAAAGTCCTAGCATTGGGGTCTAACCACGCAGAAGTACAACTAGACGTACAGTTCCTGTAAAAAGGACGAAGATGTACAGGATTAAAAAAAGAAGCAGTGCCGCTCCGGGCCAATGCTTACTCCACCCGCAAGCACTGGAGTCGGGCTTCCGTCTCAATGACCTGTAGAGGAGAAGTAGGTTAGCCAATCCGGACCAGACGTATACAAATCAAGTAACAAGAAGGATTAATAAAGCATACCTCGAGAGCCTGTTTGACTTCAAGAACACGGCGAACATCGGCAAGCCAATCCTTGCTCAAGATCTTAGCCCAGCCCTGAAGAGTGTTCATCTCCCGGGCGGCTTCGTCCACGTTGCCCTGCTCCAGGAAACTCTCCGTCCGAAGAAGAATACTCTCCACATCGTCACCTCCAGCAAGGCCATCCTTCTTGAACATAACCTTGCTCAGAGCGAGACTGGCGGCGTGGCTGGCGATACCAGCGTCTTCGGGCAGCAAACTAGCCTTTCGAACCTCGCTCGCCACGCGGCGGAAACGCTCAATGATCTGGGGAGTCGAGGGGATACCGCGCTGGTAGGCAGTGGGGTTGATGGACGCGATGGCAGCGTCAACAACTGGGTCATCCGCAGCCAATTCTTTCACTGCAACTAACTCACGAACGAACGGCCGAGGAGTTTCGGCGCGCTCAAGAACGGAACGCACAGCGTCCACGGCAACCTGCAGCTGCTGAGTCTTGAGGTTGGTGTCGATAACGTGACTCCATCCGCTAGTGATCTTCTCGAGCTCGTTGATGCTAGCCGTCAGCTCGTTCAGCTTGCTGAGGCGACCCTCGCGCTCGCGCTCAACCAGACCCTGAACGTCGTGGACGTATTTGCGGTTGAGCTCAATAGCCTGCTCAACCAGCTCGTTCTGAAGGCGCTGCTCGGCAAGCTGCTGAGCACGGAGCAGCTCTGTCGTAACCTTGTCCTGGTAGGCCAAGGCGAGCTTCTCCCGCTCGGCCTCGAACTCCTCCCGGTACTGAGCAGCCTCCGAAGTGCGCATTTCCTCAAAGCGGCGGATCAATTCGCGGGCCGATTCATCGAACGTAGCGTGAGCCTTGTTGACTTCCTCCTGCGCAGCATTGCGTGCCTCAGACCGGATCGTTGAGATCTTCTCACCGATCTTCTGCAGCTCCTCCTTGGCCTTGGCGACCGGTGCAGAGTACTTTTGGGAGTTCTCATCTGCGCTAATCACGGTGACGATGTCGTTGAAGGTCTTGACTAGCTCCTGAACGACACCTTCATCACCATCCTGCATCTGAAGCAGTTCGATGGTGGGTGCGGCAGAGACGGCGGGTTGTCGGGGCTCTTCCAGCGCGACAGGCTTCTTCTCCTCCTTTGGAGCAGGCTTTGCGTCCTTCTGATCCTTGGAAGCTTTGTCTTCCTTGGCCTTCACAACGGCAGCGTTCCGGTCCTCGGGCTTGGCACTCTCGGTCTTCGTTTGACCCTCGTGAGCCTTCGCACTCATATGAGGTCCCGCCTTGGAGACATCGCTTCCCAAGTCCTCCTCTCCGGTGACCTTCCAAGACAGACCACTTTTGCTAGGAATTGTGACGGCCTTGCCCTCCTCCCGGGGAGCAACCGGAAGGCGGTTCTTGTGCCTCGAAGCATTGGGGAATCGACGGTAGAAGTCGCGCTCCTCGAAGTAGAGAACGCATTCCTCACCGTACGGGATGTATTCTGTGAAAAAGTCATGGAAATTGTCGGACTTCAGCGCCGTGAAAATGCCGCCACCATAAGCAAGCCCGGAGCCGAGGATCAGATAAATCAAAAACCGGCGGAAACGACCGGTCTTGCGAGGAGCGGGTGCCGAAGACGAGGGAGGAGCCTTCGATTCTGGAGGAAGAAATTGGATGAGAACCCGACACAGATTTCAATTCCACCAAAGGGGCCGGTCATACCTTGTTCAGCAGCCTTCGCGATAGTCTTCGGAGGGACCGTTGACTCGGAGGAAGGGGAGGCAGGAGTCGGGCCACCGGTTGGCGGCTTGGAATCAGCGAAGAATCGCTTTTTGCATTAATTATTAGCAAAGCCCAACAAGCACGTGTAGAGGATGATGTCGTACCTGGCCCGACAGCCGGCCGCTCGCACCGGCTCGAGACAGCCATTGCGGAGAGATTCGTTGGCGAACAGGGTACGACAGCAATTGCCGACTCGGGGCAATCGAGGAACGCAGCATGACGAGCTGCACAATCGCCAAAGAGCGGGGTGGCTTTGGGGGGATGAAAGGCGGGTGAGGTAGGAAGACGGGAGATGCCCAGTTGCGCTTCCGATGATCCTGCGGGCGGTCAGGTCAGCTTGGCTTCACTACTTGGCTTGTCACTGTCCCATACTGACTCCATCCAAAACACTGTCAATATAATAATCAAATTTGACAAGGAAATACGGCTCAGAAAAACTTATTTAATTGATCAAGTTAATATTAAAAAGCTTCTAGCCCGTAAAGTGGTCTACCTACCACCTATTGACCACACGGCATACCAGTGACTGGGAGCCTGCTCTGTTGAATTCTGCCTGCGAATAAAGGCATCTTTTTTTTTTTTTTTCAAAAAGATTGTTGCTGATACTTCTTTCATTAAATGCTCGTCACGAGCTGCCACTAAGTTCGATTGAAAGTGCGGCAATTTATGATGCGAAAGGGCGATAATCCTGCCACCCATATTATACCCACAGATATGCGTTCTACATGTGCTGCCGTCGGTCAGAATGCAGAACCTCGACACATATCCACGGATATCTCGGGCCTAGTACCCTCACATTCCCAGTTGCTAGCAAGCTTCTGAGATCTCTTGCTTTAATCATCTTAACTAATGGCCATCTTTCGAGCTCTCATTGTCGATCAAACATATCAAGCACCGATGACCTTTTGGAGACACAAGGAAATATATCGTCCTTACAGATTGTAGGAGACGGCGGGTCTTTGTGGGTCACTAAAAAGACGCTAACCACCATTCGTATTCGTCCCAACTGACTATATTTCAGTCTCCGAGATCCCTATATAGTACTCGGATTTAATGGCAAGGCACTTAGCCCTAACACCGAAACAACGACGAGCCCCCGCGGCCGCAAAAAACGAGTGCATCAATTGCTACTCTGATTCGAGAATGTCATTAGCATTACGGGGTTTCAATGGTGTGTCAACAGCAGCAAACCGCTCTCCCAGAACCGGGCTTTGAGGACATATCGGGCTTAAAGAAAGATGAAGACTTCGTCTACAAATACGTCACAAGCAACCGTTCAACTATAAACCTGCGGTTGTATACCTCTTGTCTTCATCTTCATTAACATTTCACCTTCTATCATTCTTCCTTTCCACATATTTCGCCTGCACAGGTTGAATCGTCTACCCACCATGCCCGGACAACATAAAGCTGCCATTCTTTCCCAGCAGGGCGGTCCCTTGTCTTTGGGCGAGCGTCCCACCCCCGAGCCTGGCCCAAACGATGTTCTCATCCAAGTCAAGGCCGTTGCCTTGAACCCCTGCGACCATTCACAGCGTGACAATAACATTCCTCCGGTGCCTATCTACCCGGCCATCATCGGATGCGACACTGCTGGTTTAGTCGCCAAGCTGGGCTCGAATGTCACTACGATCCCTGGTCCAGGAAGCCGAGTGATTGCCTTTGCCTCATCATTCTGCCAGAACGGCTCCCCTGACCATGGATCCTTCCAACAGTACACGTTGGCACCATCCGAAGCTGTCATCCCGCTTCCAGAGAATCTCTCCTTTGAGGAGGGCGCGGTCTTCCCCCTGGCCGTCTTGACGGCCTTGACAGCCTGGACCACAATCGGCATCCCTCTCGACACCAGATACAACCCCGCGGACAAACAAGCGGTCCTGATCTGGGGCGCATCGAGCAGTGTGGGCACGTTTGCCGTGCAATCGGCCAAGACACTCGGCTTCACGATCTACGCCACCGCCAGTCCCAAGCACCATGACCTCGTCAAGAAACTCGGAGCCCATGCGGTTTTCGATTACCAAACAAGCGATGTCGTCTCCCAGATCGTCAGTGCCGTGAAGAAGGATGGGGCCCAGCTGCACACTGCACACTGTGTTGTCGATGGAGCTCTGCAGCCAACGCTGGACATTCTCAAGGAGACCAAGGGCGATACACAAGCCAAGGTTGTACACTCAGCTTTGCTTCCAGAAGGTCACCCTACCCTCGACAACACGCAGATCACTTTCAACTTCCCATCGATGGACGAGACTGTGAGGAGCAAGCACATGCACGAGGTCTTCAATGGTTGGCTGAGGACTGGTCTGCAGTCCGGTGAAGTAATCCCCAGCCCTTCTATCCAGATTGAGGGCGGCGGTTTGGGCGGAGTACACGCAGCACTGGACAAGCTCAAGGGTGGTGTCAGTGGCACGAAGATTGTTGTGCCAATCTAGATGCTCTTGTATCAGATCTTTGTCAATGATGGTTAGACTACCCAGGTATCTTTGGTCAATAGTGACACTCGAGCTCTGCAAGATAAGAGGCCAAGTTACAATTTGAAGAAAATGTATTATTTGAGCATAGCATACTGGAAAGTTGTGCAAAGGGGGAAAAGAGACAATAGAATGGTAACGGGCGTAAAGAGAATCAAGGAGAAATAAAGGAAAGCAGATGATGACGCCGGGTTGAAAGGGACAAGTACAGGAACAAGAAAAAGAAAAGGCACAGGCGAATCCTGTCGCAGCATGTCTAAAGCCAAATTCCATGCGTCCATGAAGAAGATCGAAATTACTCGGCCAACGGCAGACTCCACCAGCCTCAGTCGAGTAAAGACGAAAGAATCAAAACAAAAAAAAAAAAAAAAAAAAACCGAGACGACTAGATGGGACAGAGTACCGAGTGTATTTCTCGGGTCGATAACGGCGAGCAAATTCATAACTTGATCAAGCGACTGTGAAGCCATAAGGAGCTATAGTGGCACCGCGTGGTCGAATAACACCAGGACGTGCAAACCCTGGATTTCTTAGAAGATAGGTATCCAGGGACACAACGGTGTATTGAAGACAGAAACGGTCTTGTGTTTAGCAATTGCATGCGCCAGCGCCCTGGGTCCCGGGGGCTTCGGGTCGCAGGTCGACACCTGGTCGAGGTGTCGTCCGGAGGTTCCGAGGGCCGGCTTGGTCAAGAGGTAGTTTCTTGGCGATGGCGGTGAACAGTTCACGCACGTTTGTCGAGGATTTGGCGGACGTTTCAAAGAAAAGAAGACCAGCCTCCCGAGCATAGGCTTCGGCATCAGCTGTGGGAATTGCCCGCTTATCGGGACTTTCGGTGACCAGGTCGAGCTTGTTGCCTGCCAGGGCAATCACAATGTTCTCATTTGCTTGGCGCTGAAGCTCTTTCACCCACGACTTTGCCTTATCCAGCGACGACTAATCATTCAAAGTGGTCAGTCTTGGATTCATGAATATAATGAGAGCGTGTTGCAGGACTTGACCGTACAGCCTGGGTGATGTCATAGACAACCACTGCGCAGTTGGCGTTTCGGTAGTACATAGGAGCCAGCGACTTGTATCTCTCCTGGCCAGCAGTATCCCATATTTCAAACTTGACTGTAGTGCTCTCGTCGAGGGAGATGGTCTGGGTCAAGAAAGCGGCGCCGATTGTCGACTCCCGATAGTCATCGAATTGATCCTGAACCGACCGGTCAGCATCGTCGGTGCCCCTGATATCATCTTCGCGGTCCTCGATATCGGGCGACACATGCGATCATCGGCAACTCACTTTAACGAATCGCAATACCAGCGAGCTCTAAAAATAAAAGAAAAAAGTGTTCAAGTCAGCGACCGGCAGAGAGGGTAGCAAGCCAGATCCCGAACCTTTCCCACAGCGGACTCTCCTGAATAATAGAACCAGAAGACATTAGCAAACTGTTGTCTATACTTCAAACAACCAGAACGATTCGGGAGTAGCTCACCGAGCAAAACGAGTTTAAACTGGGCGAATCTCACGCCGGGGCGAGCTCCTGCTTGTCGGGACGCCATGGCCACTCAGGGGACCGAGATGATTCCGGGGGTGCAAATAGAAACAAAGAATGTCAAAATAAGCAGCGGTGATCAAGGCCTCAAGGGGACCTAGGAAAGCAAGGAAGATGGATGGGGGTGAAGATCAGGCTAAGAGGCAGGCAGACGGGAATAGATGACGGAAGGCCCAGCCACATGAGCAGCGGGGCGGTGTGGCGGTACCCAGTACTGACCAAGTGGCCCGGGGCGCCTACCCTGGCCCGGTATTGTGTACCTTCCCGCGGTTCGCAGTCGATCATGTGTTCCTGATTTCCCCTTGAAGAAAAATAATTAAAAAGAGCGATGTGCTGATCTCCTTTTCTACATCCTCCTTCCCCATATCTTCGACTTTCTGGCCTCGGGTCACCATGGCTCCCCCTATCCTCCCGTTTCGGGATATCAATCTGCACGCCTCCCCCTCCCACTATGCCTTTACCTCGCCCTCCTCGCCCCAGGCGCCGACGCTCGTGGTGGACCGGCCAACTGGCGATTTGCGCCTAAACGATGGTCCCCTCTCAGGTGCCAGGCGCATCTCCAGCATTGCTGGAATCCTGGGCATCGTCAAGCTCAAGCTGGGTACTTGCGACCGCGAATTCAAAGCGATAAGAACGTACTGACACGTGTGAATAGACAAATACATCATTATCATCACCAAGGCTCAACCCATGGGACGCTTGCGCGGTCATATGGTGTATAAAGTCGCCGCGACCGAGTTCCTCCCCCTGCGCGAACGCCCGCTCCACGACACGGACGAAGATACGTACCTCGCGCTGGTGAAAGATCTCCTCCGAACCGGGCCCATGTACTTCTCCTACTCTCTCGACCTCACCAACAGCTTTCAACGGCAATCGCAGGGTGCGCCCAACCTTCCGATGTGGAAGGGAGCTGACGACCGATTCTTCTGGAACCGCTTCATTCAGTCGGACTTAATTGACTTCAGCCTGGGGGAACATGACACGAGTGGTATTCGCTATGGCCCGCAGCCGGGGGTGGATCCGTATATCCTCCCGGTGATGTTCGGCATGCTACGAATTACCACCGCCCGAGTCAAATCCAGCTCGTTCACGTTCGCGCTCGTTACTCGACGATCCAGACATCGCGGTGGAACGCGATACTTCTCCCGGGGCATAGACGACGAAGGACACGTCTCGAACTACAACGAAACCGAGCAGATTGTGATTCTGAATGATGCGACTGGGGGTCTGTCGGGCTTTGCGGGAGGACAGTCCATGACCAACGGCAAGGCTAGCCAGGACCTCCAGGTTTATTCTTTCGTCCAAACTCGAGGTAGTGTGCCAGTGTTCTGGGCCGAAGTCAATAACCTCCAGTACACGCCGAAGCTCCAAGTCCGAAGTGTCGAAACGGCCGTCGACGCCGCCCGCAAGCATTTTACTGAGCAGATCCGCCTGTATGGAGAGAACTACATGGTCAATCTTGTGAACCAGAAAGGCAGGGAGGAACGCGTCAAAAAGGCGTACGAGCAGCTGGTTCGCACACTAGTCACCTCTTCCTCCGAAAGCACCGAGGCTGATGAGACGACCCCCGAGAAGATGCATGTCTTGGAACCGGGTTTCAAACAGAAAGAGATGGATCGTTTACACTATGTGTACTTCGATTTCCACAACGAGACGAAGGGTCTCAAATGGCATCGCGCAGAACTGCTGATGGGTCGCTTGAACGACGGGCTGGCCCAGGGCGGCTATTTCCGCGGAGTAGAACACCCCGGGGCCCCTGGTGGGCAATTAGATATTCGGTCAACGCAGGGAAGCGTGGTCCGCACCAACTGCATGGATTGTCTCGACCGGACAAACGTGGTGCAGAGTATGCTTGGGCGCTGGGCAGTCACGCGGCAACTCATGGATGCTGGGATCCTTCGCCCGGGCGAAACGGCCAGTGATGACCGGGAGTTCGAAGATCTATTCCGCAACATCTGGGCCGACAATGCGGATGTCGTCTCCAAGTCCTACTCTGGCACCGGTGCTCTGAAGACCGACTTTACTCGGACGGGCAAGCGTACGCGAGTGGGGATGCTGCAGGATTTGAGCAACTCCATCACTCGATACGTGCGCAACAACTTCATGGATGGTCCCCGACAAGATGGGTTCGACGTGTTTCTGGGAACTTACCTCCCTTCGGACTCGACATCGCCCCATGTTCAAACGATGTTGGACCGACGCCCTCTTGTCGTTCAAGCGATACCTTACATACTCGCGGCCAGCGTGTTCATGGTTTTCATCGCCACTCTCACAAGACAGGCGCCCGATTCTACGCCCTGGCCGCTTCGTCTGTTCGTGGTTTTCTGGTTCGTCATTGGTGCCTACTCCTTCCGTTTCATCTACGAACATGGTATGCTCTATGTAAGTTCATCCCTATTCGGTGTGCCCTACAACCTCTCTGTTTTGCTGAACTGACATGATTCAGGTAAACTGGCCAAAACTAAACACGCCCCTGCCTGGTGCCGAGGGTTACCAGGATGCTCTTGTCAAAGCACGGTCTGACCCGGTTATCGGACAGTGGCTCCCGGCTACCAGACACCAGCGCGGTGTCAGCAATGCCCGCCTCGTCTTCCTGGAAGAAGGAAAGACAAGGGTGGAGTAATTTTCTTTTCACCCCTTTCATACTTTTTTTTCCCCTTGGCCTTTTGTCTCCATATTTTGTATACCTCATGGCTGTATGTTTTACTACTCCTATTCCGACGTTTTTACCCGGATGCATTTCCTTCTTTTTTTTTTCTTCTCTTTGTCTCGTACAACATCATCTCGATGCTCTTTCATTCTCCAACCACTTGACCCGTCTTGGGATCGCATATTAAACCTGTGTGCTGCCTTCATGTCTTCATATTGCTCTATTGATCCCCCGACCTCGGTGTTCCTTAAAGAAGTAGATGACTTCCGAAGTGAAAAAGCATTCTCAGTCAATTCAATTGGTCAATAATTATCATTTGTAGTTTCATTAATTCCATGGATATACCTCATCGCAGCTCATTGCATACAGTAAGTAGTGTGAATAGTCCATCACGTGAGCTTCCCGACCCGGCGCGGTTTCCCGAGGGGAGGTGGATGGGCCTCGAGAGAAACGCATTCGCAAAGCTGCTGGGGTTTCTTGTCGCAAATACCCCCGCCTGCTCCATTACATTAGCAGGCAACGGGTCTCCCTTGTCGATGAGAGGGCTTTGGAGGACCATTCGCTGGCAGTTCTGTCCACAGCGCCGAGTTTCTACACACTCGACCGCAATGACTCGAACATACGAGGTATGCGATTCCGGAACTCTGTGGGTGATTTTCTGGTAGGGGGCACAATTTTGCTAACATCCGGCTCTTCCAGGCTGCAATTGCAGCGCTCAATTCGTTACAGACTAATTATGCCATTGTGAAGGAGCTTCGGAAGTCTACGACGAGGGAGGAGATGAACGAGCGCTCTCTGCCGGAGACGGTTGAATGGCTCCGGCGCATTGGGTACAAGGTTCGTTGTGGATGAAGATCACACTGGGCGAACGACGCGTGCTGATTTCGAGGCTATCCAAACCTCTAGCCCTCTGATCTAAACAGACTAAACCCCGTCCATGTCGCCGGGACAAAGGGTAAAGGTTCAACCTCCGCATTCATCTCTACAATCCTTTCGCAGTATACGAAGTCGGACTCCGGTCAATCGACACCCGCGATCCACAAAGTTGGACTTTACACCTCTCCGCATCTTCGGTTTGCTCGGGAGCGCATTAAGATCGATAATGCGCCATTGTCCGAAGAGCATTTCGCTCGATATTTCTTTGAGGTGTGGGATCGGCTTGAGGAGTCTGCCAAAGTGGCGGGGCAAGATCCTACTGCGCCGGGGACCAAGCCTCAATATTTCCGGTACTTGACACTGATGGCATTCCACACATACCTGAGCGAAGGCGTCGACGCCGCGGTAATCGAGTGTGGCATTGGTGGGCAGTACGATTGCACCAATGTAATTGAGCAACCTAGTGTGACTGCAATCACCAGTCTTGGGATTGACCACACGGCGATGTTGGGGACTACAATTGAGCAAATCGCTTGGCACAAAGGAGGTATCATCAAGCCTGGTGTGAGAGCGTTTACTGCCCCCCAAGCTTCGAGTGCGGAGAAGGTGTTGGCCCAGCGGGCTGAAGACAAAGGCACTCGGTTGGACGTGGTGGCTGGCCATCCTGAGCTGTCTGCCGGTAGCAGTCAGGTAAAGCTGGGACTGGCGGGTGACTTCCAGTACACCAATGCCTCTTTAGCTGTCGCAACTGCGGCCGAGTTTCTGAGGAAAGTGGGTGTCGCCAACATTCCGGAGAACATTCTGACCGCGCCCCTTCCTGCGAAAATCAAGACTGGCCTCGAACAAACTCGACTGGGTGGCCGATGCGAGACCCGGTTTGAGAAGTACGTGGCCTGGTATATCGATGGGGGCCACACATTGGAAAGTATCCGGCTGGCCGGGCAGTGGTTTGCCTCTCGAATCCAAGCGGACTCATCATCTAGTGAAGTGGCAACCAAGAAGCCTCGAATCTTGATCTTCAACCAGCAGACTCGTGACAGCACGGCCCTTGCTCGCGCCCTCCACGAGACTCTTGCAACGGCGCTTGGATCCACGACCCCCTTTACACACGCTTTGTTCTGTACGAATATTACGTACAAGCAAGCGGGATACCGGCCCGACCTGGTCAGCATGAATACCAACGCCGATGACGTCGAACTCCTCCGGGTGCAAAAGTCACTGGCGACTGCATGGAATGAGATTGACTCCCGGGCTGACGTGCAAGTTTTCGGCACCGTCGAGGAGGCTGTTGACTTCGCCCGAGACGTGGCCGCGCAGGAGCGCAAGGTCCTCCAGAAGGATGAGGCACCGGTCATGACCTTTGTTACTGGCAGCTTGCATCTGGTGGGCGGGTTTTTGGATGTCGTTGAGACAAAGCCCTACGAAGAGGCTTGAGTCTTTTCCTGATTTCGTTGGACTTGGCAGCCCACAGCTTTACCCCCTTTACTTTATTGTATCAACACTTGCCACTTATTTGGATATAGAGCCGTGGATATAAAGGTATTCTACGGGATTTCAACCATTCTTCGATTCCCATGCATTAATACTGTTGCCGAGGTCCCCTCTCATGCAGACAGCGAAAGCAGATCCAACTACGACAGTAAATAATGGCCACCCTCTGCCAAAATTAGCCAGCTGGATTTTTAGCTGACGGAAAAATAACTTTTGTTTGTATATGTATGTATCCTAAACCTTCTACTTTTTTTTCTTTTGGTGAATTTTTATTATTTTTGAGAAGGCGTTAATAAAAAGAGAAGAAGCCCACTATATCATTACCTTTATAATAGTATTGAACTCTCATATAAAGATAGCAGGTAGGAATACCTACCTTAACATATATATAATTCAAAAGAATAAATATACATACATACATATATATAATAACTAGAAATTTAACTAGAAATTTAATTTGAAAAAAAAAAAGATTACTATGAACTACTATATATACGATACTAAAATACAGTAATATTTACCTCGATATATATATAAGAGCAAGATTTAAGGAAAAGAAACCTAGTTACCTATTTAATTCCTTTTTGTCCTTTTTACTTTCTATATAAATTATCATTAGTAAATTTCAAGGATAAGAAGTAGTAAAAGAAGATTAAAATCAGACCTAGTATCTTTATTTACTCTAGGTAAGCGGTAGCTAAAGCGGTAATGTAATATATGGGCTGACTAATTTTGGCAGAGGGTGGCCGCTATTTACTGCCGTAGATCTAACGACGTACCCCCTGGATAGCGCAGGAGGATAATAGATAGATTCATAGATAAGTGTTAGGATTAATACACCGTGAGCAATTGTGAGCAATTGTTCAAATAGCTTAGAAATTGGAGAAGAAGCCGGGCGAAACAACCCCTCCAGTCTCCACCGATCCGCGCTGGATGCCGTACGTGGGGCCCAACCGAAATCCTCCTCTTCCCCATTCACCCATCCACACTCGCCACGCTCTTCTGGGCCAGCAGTCATGTCGGACCAGAAGGATAGCAAAGGAAAGACCCCTCAGCGCCCCGAGAATGAGTCCGGATCCGCCAGCGGAGACGGCGCGACAGGCTCGGGCAACGGTAAGCTTCTGGCGCGCATAGGAACTAACCCCCCAAGGCCTCATTACTGAACCAAGTGGTCCTAGACAATCGCTCAAATGAGTCGAAAACGGTCCCCAAGAACGTTGCCGAGTCGCTGATTGAAATGAACCCGGCACTGAAGAACGAACTCGTCTCGATGGACAAGGACAAGGCCGCGAATGCGCTGCGAAACATGGATATTTCGCAACTGCTGACCGGCCTGTCGATGGGAGGAAAGAACCAGAAGGATATGGCCTCATACAAGTTCTGGCAGACACAGCCTGTGCCCCGATTCGATGACCAGGCCGCGAAGGCCCCAATTGCCCAGGGTCCTATCAAGATCATCAAGCCCGACGAAGTGTCAAAAACGCCTGACCCGCTGCTGGAGGGGTTTGAGTGGTGCACTCTTGACCTGACAAATGAAACGGAGCTCCGGGAGCTGTATGAGCTGCTGAATAACCATTATGTCGAGGACGACAACGCCATGTTCCGGTTCAGCTACTCGCAGTCGTTCTTGCATTGGTATGATCATATCGTCCGTCTCTATCTGTCAATTCAACTTTGTCGCTAATATATGATGCTCTTCTCAACGTATAGGGCTCTCATGTCTCCCGGGTGGAAGAAAGAATGGCACGTTGGAGTTCGCGCTACCAAGTCGCGCAAGCTGGTCGCCTCGATCTGTGGTGTTCCTACGGAGCTTCGTGTCCGCGGTGAGCGGATCAAGGTGACTGAGATCAACTTCCTGTGTATCCACAAGAAGCTGCGCTCGAAGCGCTTGACGCCTGTCCTCATCAAAGAGATCACTCGGCGCTGCTATGTCAATGGCATCTTCCAGGCAATCTACACCGGCGGTGTGATCCTGCCCACCCCTGTCAGTTCCTGCCGGTACTACCACCGTGCGCTAGACTGGCTGAAGCTGTATGAAGTCGGATTCTCCCCCCTGCCGCATGGATCTACCAAAGCTCGCCAGATCACCAAGAACCACCTGCCCAGCAACACGTCGACACCCGGCCTGCGGGCCATGGAAGTCAAGGATATTGACGCCGTCTATGACCTGCTGGAGCGGTATATGCGGCGATTCGATCTTAACCAAGCGTTTACCCGGGATGAAATCGAGCACTGGCTGGTGTACAAGGAACAGCCCGGTAAGGAGCAGGTGGTCTGGTCGTATGTGGTGGAGGACCCGGAGACGCACAAGATTACCGACTTCGTCTCGTTCTACAATCTCGAGTCGACCGTTATCGACAACCCCAAGCACGAGGCTGTCCGCGCAGCTTATCTTTACTACTATGCGACTGAAACGGCCTTCACCGATAACACTAAGGCTCTCAAGGACCGTCTGCTGGTGCTGATGAACGATGCGCTCATTCTTGCCAAGCAGGTACGGCACTTTGGAAGACTACAGTTCTATATTTTGATTATGCTAATGCCGTTCTTTGCGTTTTCTAGGCTCATTTTGACGTCTTCAATGCTCTCACGCTGCACGACAACCCCCTGTTCCTCGAGCAACTCAAGTTCGGCGCCGGTGACGGCCAGCTCCACTTCTATCTGTACAACTACCGCACGGCACCCGTCCCTGGTGGCATAAACGACAAGAACCTGCCCGACGAGAAGAAGATGGGCGGCGTGGGAATTGTCATGCTTTAAAAAAACTTGCTGCCTGCCCCGTAGATCTGAATGCATAATCGGATACACCGACCACGAATTTCCTTCCCCCTGTACCTTTCTTGCGATAGGTAAAAAGAATCATATAATTCAAACTGCACATACCGTTAATTTGCTTGAGCTCAAGTGTTGTATTGTCCAGTGTTGATGGTTGTAGTGGTGCCTGAGGCATCATCCTGGGGGGGTGTCGTCACCTGAAACATCACCGTCGCTCTCCACCTTGTCGACTCTCGTACGCCTTAGCAAGGTGATTGTGCCTTTTGGGATACCCATTCATCCTGACTTTTATTCCTCGTCAGAAAGCACATACCATTCCGTAGCTCAGCAGCTGGTGCCCCGTGCCAGCAACTGACGATGGGTGCCGGCCAGTCAACTGAATATGCTGGATCATCACCAGGTCAGTTCTACTTCTCCCCTCGGGTGATCCTACATGTCATCCTGGTCATGGACTATGGCTGCAACTATCAGGCTCCATTTGGTTACAAGGCCAAACCATGCTTTTCCGAGACAACTGAGACTCAGCGGGGGCAGGCATTGCCCCCACTCTATCTATGGAACTTGCTAGTGTATCTGACCATGAATAGAGGAATTGAGCTACGTGCTCGCGGACCGTTTCGCTACGACATGTTTCACACCACTGGAGCTGACTCACTTCAAGGACAATTTCTTTTCTCGCGCCGCAAACCAAGGCGGCCTGAGATACTGGAATGAAAAGATCCTGTCAGATTTCTTGGGCATCCCCGATGGCAGCTACTCATCCGCGCATCAGCACCCTTTGGATGCGGGCCCTGTTGTTTTTCGCATGGTCTCGTACCTGGGCGCATTTCCATTTCAAAACACCTTGGCGCCAAGCGTGTTGAATTTCGAGGCTATGGTTAAGGTGGTTGTGCTGCTGACCGAGCGGTATGGGAGGGTGCTGAGACGGGGACGCAAGGACCGCATCAAGTTGCTGTTCGGCAGTCTGGCTGATGTTGGGAGAAAACAACCTGTGCATGCCCCAGACCAAGACACCCAAAAGGGCAATGAGGAACCCGCCGCTCAAGAAGCCGAGGCTGCTGCCGTTCAGTCTCATGCCCCCGGGTTCTCTATTGATGCGCCGGTGAACGACGAGTACGACGAAGACGAGGACGACGATCTTGCTCTGGCGGCATTGGAGTCTCTGGACGCAATTGAAGTCTTTAAACACGATCATCGCGTTGACCGCACGGTCTACGAAACCCGCATTTCTGTTGATACCCTCCGTCGTCTACTCATGCTGCTCCTTGTGATCGCGCCGCTGAAGCCTCTTGAATCCGTGAAAATATACACTTCTGATCTGGATGCCGAGCGGATGGAGGCCATTAAAAAAGAGGCTGACAGCATCCTCGCGGCATTTTCACAAGAGGAGCACGATGGCGGGATTTCTTACCGGTCATTCGCAAGAACGATATATTCGTCTTTAACGTACCTCTTTGATCCGTTGACGCCTTTATTCGAGCATCTTTTGTTCAGCAAGAACCTAGATCTCTCTCAAAAGCGAAAGAGAGGTGCCGTTGCTGAAGAAGAAAATGGCGAGAAAGCCGAAGAGACTCCATCACCAGTGCTCGTCACGCTCCCGGGTAGCTTCGAGTCAAGCATATTAAACTCGACCCTTACTTCTCATCTTTCATTCTTCCTTCCGTCTACCTCTTCTTCACTCAATCTCTTCCGAAGCGGTGTCCGCCTCCACCCGGTGTTCTCTACCACAGCCCACGGTTCATCACTAACCTCTTTCTCCCACCATGTTTTAACCTGGCAATCCGCCACCCTCTTGATTCTTCAAGGTGCACCAGCAAATTCGTCTGGCAACGACCTCGTGACATTGGGCGCCTACATTCCCCAGACCTGGAAGTCCTCTTCCAGTCATAGTACCGCCTCAAACCAGGGCTCGGACTCCCTGCCCTGTCTTTTCCAGCTCTCTCCATCACACCTACTCCTCCCAGGGAACCCATCCCCATCCATCCAAAAGCAATGCAACACCCCCGCAGCATACTTCTCAAACCATTCCGGCATAGCTATCGGCTGCCAGATCCCTCCCCCATCACGCAGCCACCACGCCCACCCCACCCCACACGGCGCCGGAAGCCTTCTAATCGACGTAAACCTCGAGACAGCCGAGTTTCATGCCGCCCCCATCGGTAAAGAAGGGGTCTTCCTACCTCCTGGGACCGCATCCCCGGAAGATACCCCGACCAAGACCCGTCTCGATCTCTATACCCTCGAGATTTGGGGTATAGTCCCTGACCCAGAACTGGCCGCGTCCACAGACCCAAGCTCGACCGCGGTCGAGATGCAACGCGCCAAGTGGGACTTCGAATCCCGCGAGGCTGAACGGCGTCGCAATATCAACCTGAAGGCCGGCGCCGGTGACTCGGCTCAGGAAAGTGCGCGTTGGCTTTTGGAGACGGCAGGTATAATTGGGGACCAGGGGCAGCATTCTGGTGGCAGTGTTTGATTCTCTTTTTCCCCCATGGGTGGGTGCTTGTTAGCTTGGGAGGATTTCTGTTTCTGGTTTCTGTATTGGCGGTGTTCTCGGGGGGGCGAGAGGCTATTTGATATCTTGTTTCAACACTATGAATCATCGACCTAGACACTAATGCACGGATGGCCTGGTAATCAATACTCAAATGCAAAAAGAATAAACCTAGGACCATGGTAAGATTTGATAAAGAATGCCTCAAATGAATAATAATACATTTCGACTGGACCAGCAGTTTTCCAAAAGTCTAGCTGTCTAGTCAGATGAACAAATAGAGTGTGTGTACAAGTACCCTCACACGCCCAACGGCGGGAGCGAGCTCGGCATCCCATAGAAATCAATTAAATCCTCTTCCTCCTCTTCGAGATCGGCGACAAGGTTCTCGACTTCAGACTCATCCTCTGCGAGCCTGGCCCCGCCACGAGAGAAACGACTACGGGTACCGGTCCCGGAAGCAGGGGTACCTTCCGCCTCGAACGCCTCCTGGGCTTCTTCGTGAGGTAGACGCAGAGCCAAGAACCCATCCGGGGCGCGCTCGGCACGGTCCATGACTTCATTCATGTACTTGCGGACCTCGTCTGCAGGCTTGACGACACGAGACAGAGGCTCGAGGATTCGGAGACTGGTGGCGTGGATGCGGAAAGTGACTGGCTGCCAGTACTCTTTCAGAGTTGTCTGGTTGGCAGCAGGGTCGACCGGGGTCGTAGGATTGTTTGGAGTTGCGGGGTCGGGTTTGGGCTTGGGGGTGTCGGATGAAGCTGGTTTCTGGGGCGTGTCGGTGGCAGAGCCAGAAGGGGGAACTTGGTTGGGTGCGGCGAGATCAGTGGATTCTTTGCCCTTCTCCGCCTTGCCCTTTTTCGATTTCGAAGCGCCTTTGCCCTTGCCCCGAGCATTGGCAGTGTCCGATACAGGCTCGATGGGGAATGGCGCGTTTGGGTCGACTTTCCGAACAACTAGAAATGAGGCGAGCACAATGTTCTCGGTAGGGATCCATTCGAGAATTGAATATTCAGGGAACAGATAGCGATCGCCAGATCCCGCATGGCCCGACGTGCTGCTTCCGTAGGGCGTCAAGGGAGATGTGAACTCAAAGACCACAGATTTGTATCCCACACGCGGAGGAGGCGGCGGAGGTCCAGTGGGGCGGTAATAGGATGCTGGTGGCGCATACTGGGGTAGACGAGACTGAATTGGAGTATGACCACCATACTGGGGTTGGGGGTAGGATGGATTGGGCAAACCGGGCCGTGGGCTTGCCTGCGGAACATTGCCTGCTGGTGGCGTGGGCTGTACGACAGGAGCCTGCTGTTGAGACCCCTGGTTGGAACCAGGCGTGCTAACAGGACCAGGCGTCGCGGATGGAGTTGGCACTGCTGGGCGCCCCGGCTCAGAGGGCGTAGCTTGAGCATTGCTTGGCCCTGTGGCGGCTGGTTCTTGCTTGACCGCAGACGGTTCAGTAGACTTCTGAGAGGCGTTGGAAGGCTGGCCTGATTGGGTCTGCGCTGGAGTTTGAGGCTGTGGTTCAGATTGCTTTTTTCCTTGAGCTTTCGGCTCGGCCTGAGTAGCTGGCTGGTGCTTCGAGGGTGTCGATTTGGGTTGCGAGTCCTTAGACGAGGCCTGCGTTTGAGTCGCTGGCTGTGACCGCTGCGAGGTTTGCTCTTGTGGTAGTGGTTTCGCCTCGGTTTCCGGTTTTCGCGCGGGCTCCGACGGCGTTGATTTGTTTTCTGATGCAGGGGTGGCTTGCTGCGGTACAGGCGTCCCGGCTGAAGTTTGTTGGCGTTGTTCTTGCTGCTCTCTTGATTTGATGATTGCATTGAGTTCATCAATATGTGCCTGGAAGGCTCGGAGCTGTTCCTGAGTGGCCTGGCTCGATGCAACAACCCTCATCAACGCCTTGAGCTCTGGGTCTGCAGCTGCTCGGGTAGCCAACATCTGAATCACTGGGTCTGGGCTCGGTTTGGCAGGCTGGCCCGCCGGTGCCTTCTGTGCTTGGGGTGGGCGCTGCCCCGACTGAGGAGAGGGTTGCGGACCACGTTGAGCCGCAGGCGGATGGCCGCCAGGATACCCCTGAGGACGCCCGGGAGGGGCAGGTGAGTACTGAGCAGGTTTTCGTTGTTGGTTGGATGGGGACGGATACGGCTGGTATTGCTGGAAGGTGTTGGGGTGGCCATAGTGCACCATCGGTCGTTGCGGGGGCGCATATTGAATCGAGGGCGGAGCATTAGGGTCCTTGACGGTGTATAGCATGGCATCAAAGAGATGAGGTCCGACGGTGACATCGCAGGGCCCAACTCTCGTCATAGACTCTTTGGGTGGATTATTTTGTGCAATCTGTTCGCGCTTTGTCTTCTTCGGTTTCGTGTAGTATCGAACCAGGATGCCATCGCTGAGCCATTTCTTTTTGGATCTTTCGAGGGAGGCGAGAGCCACTGCACTATGTGAGTTAAACAAGAAAGCGTCAGTTGAGTTAGAATCAGCAGCATGGATGTGATGGTCAAACCTTTCCGCGATGGACTGGTATTCCTGGTCAGACAAGACGGTTGGCTGACGCGCGCGAATGATGGGCAACCCCTCTCCATCTCTAATCTTGGCGGGCAGAGGCGCGTCAACGGGGGGAGGCGGCGGAGACGGGGCGCGAGGAGTTGGTGCTTTCTTCTTTTGAGGTTGAGGCGTGGATGCTTCGGAGACTCGCTTCTTCGCCGCGGGTTCGCGTCCGGCGCGCGGCGGGAGTTTGCGCTTTTCGGCCATCGGATCGATGGATGGTGAGAATGACAGCGACTAGAGAAACAATTTCACGAGGGAATCATTGTCCACGGGGTAGACCGGCGATCGACGGAGAGATGTGGAAGGGAGAAAAGCGTGACGCGATAAAGGCGACGCTTATCGGCAGCGCCTCTTCTCCATGTTTATCCCGCACACCATGGCGCTTCAGCCCATCTTCAAAAAGGCCTACTGGTCGCTGGCAGCTGGCGGTCTGATTTATGTGCTCTTTATTTGCTCGTTGACTTTTCCTCAGGTCCAGCGCTTGTATGTGTTCCTCGAGCTTCGGAAGGGATGTATGTGCAGTGATTGATATGTTGCAGTGCTCTCTACGCCAACAAGATCAACCCCAGCTTCTGGGAAGACTTGGACCATGTCGAGCCATTTGGATTCCTGAGTTGGTATTTTCTGCTATGATTCATGTGCGCTGGTTGACCCGCTCAGGAACCCAGGTGCAGCCATTCAATTTGGCCACCCCGGATAATGAGACGCTCTATGGCTGGCATCTGCTGCCATTGCATCTCTGCCGGCAGCATGAGAAGGAGCTGATGGAGAACCCTCCCTCCGGCCCGGCCGATGATTATACGCAAACTCTTGCTTTTAAGCTCCTGGCCAACGATCCCAATGCCCGAGTTGTCGTGAACTGTATGTAGCAACAAACCCGCTAAATGAGGCCGACTACCAGCGTTGATCCTAATCTCTTAACGCACAAAAGTCCACGGTAACGCGGCTCATCTCGGGTCCGCGCAGCGCCCAGCTGTCTATAACACCATGCTCGGTCTTTCGACGCCGCAAAACCCGGTCCATGTCTTTGCCATTGACTACCGCGGCTTCGGTGTATCGACCGGCTTCCCCACTGAGGAGGGTCTAATCACCGACGGTGTATCGCTCATTAACTTCCTCACCGCAGGTCCCTTGAAGATTCCTCCATCTCGCATCATCATTATGGGACAAAGTCTGGGGACAGCCGTTACAGCAGCAGTGGCCGAGCGGTTCGCATTCGGGTCTTCTGACCCCAAAGCTCTTCAGCCCGCCATTAAGAACGCCGAGCCCTTCGCCGGCGTGATTCTTCTGGCATCTTTCAGCAGTCTTCCCAGTCTCATCGAATCCTATAGTTTCAAGGGAATCACTCCCCCAATGCTATCACCTCTCATGGGATATCCTCGGTTTCAGAGATGGGTCCTCAGCCACATCGTCGATTATTGGGATACAGCTGCAAGGGTAGCGCGTCTGACGGGTGTTCATTCGGCGGGCCCGGATGCTTCCGGCGTGAAGTACACTGACAAGGATCTTGATCTGACAATCATCCACGCTCAGAATGATGTTGAAATCCCCTGGTATGAAGGACGCCTGGTCTGGGTGGCTGCCACAGGAGAGAATATCGAAGGTACCCTCGGCGCCTTGACCTATGAACAGGCCGAGACGGACAGCCCTAGCCAGGTGAAGATTTGGGAAAACAGCGTCGTTAAGAAAGACGGCACCAAGGCCGTGAAGAAAGTCCGCTGGGAACGGGTTCGATATGGAGGTATGTATAGAGCAATATTTTCCCGTCTATTGTGTTATATTGTACTGGTCTGAGAGGCTAACTCGCGAGTGCTCAGGTCACAATAGGGTCGCAACATTCTCTGTTGCTGGATTGGCTGCGCTGCGGGCCTTTGAAGAGTGATTTCCTGCCCGTCATGCCTGTATTTGTACAGCAAGCTTACCCTAGATCTTGAGGAGAGATTGGAAAGATAAGACCTATACAGGAATATACATGGTCTTTCTAACATAGAATCTGTCTAAAACAATGCACCTCTCTGGCTTGTAGACCATTCGAGTGTGGCAAAACCAAGTCAATTTCAAATAATCACTGCAACACTATCCCATGCAGCCTCATCGTGCCCCACGCACATACTAATACAACACGTATAAAGCAATATCAATGCCGTGATTGTGACCGATACTTGGACCCCGTTCTACCCACGGATGACTTGTCACTGGCCCGATCCCACGACCGATACTCTGATCTCTCGCGGCGCGAGTGCCGCGCAGGAGCCCCGCGGGTAGTGATGCGAGAATGGTCCGGCTTGTTTTTCGGCTGGCGATTTTGTTTTTGGTCATCAGACTCGACCTCTAGGCCGGATTGGAGATCGGTAGAGCGGAAGGGGCTGGCGGATCGGGAAGGCATGCTTTCGTCTTTACTTTTGAAGTGTGGAAAATGGGTAAAAGGAGGCTTATGTATGTTATCAAGGTAATATACAAAGACAGGGCATATTTTATGGCATAATAACTAGGCAGCTTCAATCAAGCGTTGCTCTATGTTTTTGGAGAGCGGCGGTGGCACATCGATGGCGAGGATAGGGTTACTTCACGATGAGCGCACCTTGATGCAATATCCAAATATAGGAGCCCAAGTATGTGATACTGTTTAAACACATAGGATGTTCAGTGCGTGAAAATGAATCTTAAAGATATATCCCAAAGGTATAATCATGTCCCACGGGTCGTAATCAATAATCACAAAACTGAAGTTGTGAGGCTGTTCAACCCGTAACCCTGCTCTGATCCTCACTCCCACCCGGCGTGTTCAGAGAATCTCGGCGGTTCTCTTGGTCGTCGTACATGCCAAACAGCCTCCGTAAGCTCTGACCAACAGAAGATGAGCTGCCTTGCTGTCTTTGCTGGCGCCGAGATTGGGGTCGCTCCTGTCGTGATGGGTCTTGTTGCAGGCGCAGTGAAAAGACAGAACTCTCTGACAGCCGGCTCTTGACCGGGAATGCCAAACCATCTGCTAAGGATGGATCTGGGAGTTTGACCCTCTCCCACAATCTTTTCAGTGACCGGCCCCTCCGAAGATAAGAAACATCGTTGTCTTTCCTCCGAGACCCAGAAAACAGCTGTTCTATCGTAGAATCCAGCGGCACAAATTCTTCGCCTGGGTTTTCCAACAACGAGAAGTTGTTGTACGCATCACAGACCATAGTCGGCAGCCTCAGCTTGATTCTGCCCAGATTCCCATGACCCCATGACAGACTCATACTTGCATGCATGCTGTGGGACCGCGGCGGAGGCATCACACACTGGCCATTACCAGGGTATTGAGATCCTGTATGAAAATCCTTGGTATGTCGGTCACATCGATCTATGAACGCACTGAAGTTTGCCGCAAGAGTGACAGAACACAGCGGTAAGAATCCCATCGTCATGTCATCGGAAGTGAGGGCTCTGAGGGAAACCCTAGCACACAGAGCCCAAAGATCAGCATATATGCGACAAACCACGTATAAATCACCACTCTTGAGATCGAATTCGTCTGGTAGGCGATGTTGTGGTTTTAGGTGAAGATACGAGGGATCAATCGACATGACCAGCGAGCCTTCCTGCATGGCCCACGCTTCGTTTCTGTCCAGACGAATGTCTCGGCACAAGCGGAGACGTGTGCAGAGAGTTGCTCTGCTCTGAGAGAAAGGCTTCTCCAGCGAAGCATCACCTTGCCCGATGTCTTTGGGGGGTTGGGGGCATTCTGGTTCTCCTGCGGCACCGGTAGCCTATGAAACCATCAGAAAACGCAAGGGCAAATGCAAGCAGAAACGTACGCCAGGATCTCTTGCAGATGTCATTGTCATAGTTTCTGCTTCATTATCTGTCATGGCCGACGCTGTGTCGCAGAACATCCATGGCTTCGAATCCGATTCACACCCATAATCCACAGTATAAAATACATGCGGTCCATGGCGGAAGGAATGCAGATTCAAGCCAGCATTGCAACTCGGACAAACCACACAAGGTTGCTGGTGGTACACAGAGTCACCTGCGTGCTGGACCGATGGCGATGTAGGAGACGTGGCCAGCGAGCACGAGCGTGGGTACCACACCGGGGGTCTGTGGAAGTACTCGCCATGTCGACGTCTCCTGGAGATAGTGTCTGGAATCGACGAGCACTCGGAGTGAAATTCATCAAATTCGTCCGTGGGTGTCGTGGAATCGCCATCCGACCGTGGTGAAGCCTGCTGATCGAGGGGGTTGGAGTGAAAAGGAAGTATAGCTGGCATGGTAAACTGCACGATAGACTATGACTGGACGAAAATGCAGCCCCTTGGACACATTCCCAAGATCTATTTTTCAGGCGGCCGCATGTGCCTGCCATTGAATTGCTTGGTTTCTACTTCCATGTTTGAAAGACACAACCAAGGAAGGATGTTGACTTGTGGTTTCCACGCCAAAGGGTCCAATACATCGAACGCCTTGAATGCTTGAGAACAACCCTCTATGGATGCAGCTCCCATCGCACAAGCGAGAGCTTCTAGATGAGTCATTTGTGGGATGGCAAAAGCTTCACCATCTCACCTCAACTGAGAACAGAAAGTATTCCATTTGGCGATCCTTCTCTTATTGTGTTAGGGAGTGTAGGGAGTGTTGTGGACTCCATTCCACTTTTACCGGGTCCAAAATCACTCCTTACATTTAGCATGTATCTAATTTCAAGACTTACAAGCAGTTGAAGCTTAATCTTAAAGAAGATTGCCCGGTCCTGGCTTTCGTCTAACGGTGAAAGGTTCAGTCTAGTTGTGGGCGCAGTCAACACCTAAAGTGGCGTGGGTCCGACTGGATATTGAAAACGGCCGGTATATAGTTAGCGCCTCGTAATAACCCACATTCGGGCAAAAAAAAAAATCCCCTTAGAGGATTCCACTGCCTCATCCACAGAGGGGTTGGTTTTTTGTGCTTCACGTCTACTATGAATTTCATTATATGATCCATAATGTTAGGGGCGCTTTATGTTTTCTTAGGAGGATGACGGGGATTTCAACGTAGATTAGTTGGTTCTGGACCATACTTCTTTCTACCTTCATATACGTAACTAGCGGGTCTACATAAGCTTAAAGGGCTTTAGGCCGCCCCTCGTTCCTTTAGTTGACCTAGGGCGGGAGGATTGGAGCGGGAGGTCCCATCAGACGATATTGAAAGAGTACAGCAACGCACGAAATCCATATAAGGTAAATTGAACGAGATTCGGAGGTCTATATATAGCATTGTGTGGTAAAATTTCGAGAGCATTGATATTATATAGATCACCCGATTCACCTGATTCGTCAGTTCGACAAAGAAGTCTCGAAGAGATAAGAGACCCGTATCTAGTGCAATCCTGATATTTTACTCTTTTACATAGTACAGAGTAATCAAGCTACACGTCGAGTTCGTGATATATAGGATTTACCTAGTGATCCAGGGCCTGGGGACCCATATGAAAGCAGCGACTAAAGCAGGAAAGCCCTACTTCTACCTAGGTATATTGGAGGTCCGAGAGTGAGTTGCCTTGGTGACTTCTAGCTTCTGTGCTAGGAAACGATAGATGTCTTGCTATGCAACCAAGACTAGCTACAAGATCCTATCATTCAAAGCACCTTAAAATTACTTGCCATTCTGTAGCTAGTACTTACTACATAGGTAGGTAGGCCCGTGGACCTCGGCCCAGCTGAGTCATCGGCGGAGAGGCGAACCCTCGAAAGCTTTACGATCTCCTTTTGACCGCGACAGCGAACATTTGATGAAGTGTTCCTCTTAGTATTGTGTGACCAAGTACTGCGAACTACTTTGAACCATGGCTGGCCCCCAAATCACCCTTTACCTGGACATTGTCAGCCCCTTTGCATACATCGCATTCCATGCGTTGCAAGTATGTCTCCGACTCTACCTCGGCTTGGGGAACTTTGTCGTGCTCACTACTCCAGACCTCACCCACATTTTCCAAGTGCAGTGTGAATTATGTCCCGATATTCTTGGGCGGATTGATGAATGCATGTGGCAACACTCCCCCGATCAACATCAAGAGTCAGTCAATCATCTGCCAAGACCCCTTTTCTCGCCGCATATATCTCCACCATATGGTTCTGTTGATCCGTCGCTGACACTCTTACAGATAAGAATAAGTGGATTGGCAAGGAAAGACTGCGATGGGCGCGATACTTTTCCGTTCCTATGGCTGAAGGCTTCCCCGAGAACTTCCCGCCACTCACACTCGCAGTCCAGCGTGCTCTGTGTGCCATCTCGAAGAACTCACCAGAGAAACTTGCGCCGACTTTGACGGCACTCTACCGGTCATTCTGGGTTGACGGCAATACGAAGATCGGGCAGCCGGAAGGCTTCACTCCGGTGCTGGAGTCCGTCCTGGGGAAGTCCGAGACGCAGGAGGTTCTGTCTGCGGTAAGTTGACAACACTTGCATGTTGATATTGCCATTTGCCTTGTGGTAAAATATGTCTCACAAAACAACAGATGACTCAACCGGACATCAAGACACTCTTGTCTTCCAACACCGATCGGGCTTTCAAGTCGGGTGCTTTTGGTTTGCCGTGGTTTGAGTGTACCAACTCTGACGGTAAGACGGAGGGCTTCTGGGGAATTGATCATCTGGGTCAAGTGGCCGATTTTCTAGGACTGGATCGCAGCCAGGACAAGGGTTTCAAAGCGTCTCTCTAAATGATGAGAGAATTGAGTTGCAGATATGTAGTCAAGGCCAGATATTGAGAAAGTCATGGAATTCAACTGACTACTGTATATGATCAGACTCTTTTGTCTATAGAACGGAATCAGTACACCCGGATTCAGAAATATGATGCAGCTAGAAAAAAGGAATACCGGTACTCATCCAACGAGTAGAGAAACAAACAAAGGAAAATATCGCAATCGTAGAAATATCAATTCGTTGACGGCGGTGGCGCAGTACTCGTATGCTTTTCTCGCAGAAAGTCGCAGACTCGTTCGGTGTCCATCTGATCGATGCATTCGATTTCGTCAGAAGGCAATGCGCCCGCATCTAAAGAGGTATCCAGTTCATTAGCAGACTGCTCACAACAATTCGGCATAAAAAAAAAAAGAGAAGACAAACCATGTGGCGTCTCGTTCCCTCCCTTCCCTGTCATCGCGCGGACTTGGCCTTGGACCGTCTGCAAAGCGCCCTGTGCAGCCGGCACTGCACCATCAAGAACAGTTTCCTTGATTCCATTGGCCTTCTCACTAGCCACGGCGGTGACCTTATTTTGTAGTTCTGCCACAGAATTTTTCCACAAGTTATCGAGTCGAACTGGTGTTTCGCGTCCGTCAACACCCCTTCTTGTCGATCGGTGTTGCTGAGTGCTGCATCTGCCTCGCTCTTTTGGTCACGCGAGCAATTGAAGTAGACCGAGTCACTGAAGGAGCCCATGATATATCCGGGGTGTGTTGGTGTATAAGTGTACCTGGGTGGTATATTCCGGGTTGTATTCCGGGTTGGATGGGTAGAGGACGATAGGGCTGAACTTTCAACGTAGGGCTGAGGGCGATTCCGTCTTTATTTGCGGGTCGGGCTTTCGCGATAACAAGTCAGCACCACTGGTCTAGGCAGCAGGAATGATTTCTGAGATCATGGCATGTTCCTGCTCCAATTGAACGAGGGCCAAGACGCATTGAGCTGGGTTTCGACTGTTGATCGGCTCTAGGAATGACGTCGCCGGGTCCACTGGCCGGGTGGGTGTTGCGACATTGTGAAACGAGTGCCGAGATACATCACTTGGTTTGTTGGCGGAGTTTGTTCCTTTGGTTACCAAGATGGGTTTCTTTTTGATGGCCAGGTTGCTACCTGTGGATCTTCCTGTAGGATGAAGCGAGCAGAGGTCATAAACAAGATTCATTGCTATTCGTCAACTCATATGCCCAGAGTCGATATAAAAAGTTTGCATACACAAACCCGTCAGGGGTCGCAGGCATGCCCGGCTGGCGGTGGCTGTTTATCATCGACGGCATTTTCACCATGCCCGTGGCACTGACCGGGTTTCTCGTCTTCCCTGGCATTCCCGACTCGCCAAAGCCATTCTACTTGACCGAAAACGACATTTCGTTGGCCAAAAAAAGAGCACACAGGGCGAAAATCAGACGGCCTGGAAAGCTGAGGCTCGATGTATTCAAGCGGACCCTGAAACGGTGGCATATCTGGGTATTTATTGGCTGCTATGTGTGAATATTGATATACCATATTTGCAATTTGCCAAATTCTCCCTGGGATGCTGCTGATATATTTTTCAGGTGCATGATTATCGGCCACTACCCAAAAAGCTATTTGAATCTGTGCCTCAAGGCCGAGGGGCACTCGGTTACTCAGGTCAACCAGCTGCCGACGGTTACCTATGCCATTAATATTGTTCCCTCGTGGCTGGGGAGTACACTGGCCGCTATCTATCCCACATGGGCTATCTACATCATTGTCACTGTGTGTTGTCTCTTCTCCACCTTGTGCATGATTGTCTGGAATATCCCTACAGCTCTGAAGTCAAGGGTTCTTCATTTGTTTGAGAAAAAAAAAAATATCATAGAGTGCGTTGCTAATGAGGCATTGGATATGTTCTTAGCATGGTACCTTTTCGGTGTTGCCGGGTGTTCAAGTCCAATTCTATTCTCGACAGTGAATACCATTGTGAAGGATGTGACTCGGAGGAGCGAGCCTTGATCCTGGTACGTTTTCTCTCAAGAGTTATGACTTGATCCAATCCATTTGAGAAGAGTAATCGCTGCATTTTTTCTTCTCAAGGGTGCAATGATGACATTTGGCTATTCCTTCAACATCTGGGTACCCCTGTTACTCTTTCCAAGAGCTGGGCCAGACGGGGCACCCAGATGGCGGAAGGGGTGGCCCGTGAAATTTGTGTTTTATTTCCTGCTATGGGCTGGATTTCGTCTCTTCTATTATTCTGTATAGAAGGTAAGAAAAGTCTTCTGGTTGGACTTGAACAGAGCTAATATGGCCATAGGGAGCGAAAAAGGGACTCAAATGCTTCCTCTCAGGAGGAAAATGATGAAGATAGGGAGACAGTTATTGTGAATGCTGGGTCAAATGCTTAAAAATGGGACTGAAGGCAATTGAAGTGCTTGAAATATATGCCCATCTATCAACAAGTACATATTCACACTCACTCCACCCGCAATTTTCACATCGATTCTGCCTATCTTATTAGTAGTTCGCGTAAAACTAGCGCTTCTTTCTTTTTTAATTCTTATTTATTGTTATCTAATTTATAGTCTCAAGGGGGAAGAATAAGGCTACGTATGATGAATGAATGCTCTCCATTTGCCCCAGTTTTGATGTCCTAAAAGTACGTTGACGTCGATGATAATGGAAGTCCGTCTATTTGTGGGTTGATGCTATTATGGGTTGATGCCCAAAAGAAGAGTATGGAAAGCCGCACGCTCTATTCAACTAAAGAGTCTAGAGAATGCGAAGAGCAAAATGCAACCAAGCAGATAGTGTATTAGCAAGCCCTGGCCAAGACAGGTTCAACCTAACAACAGTATTTTCAACAGAATCCGAAATCGACAATGAAAAGAAACCCGAAATCAAAAATATGCCATTTCACTAAAGCAGGAGCCCCACGGATCAGTAGTTGAGGAGAGCCGAAGCACCGGTCTCGCTGGAGATGTAGATGACCTCGTGGTTGTCGGAGAATCCGTTGAAGCGAGTGGCACTGCACTTGGTGTAGGCACCCATTTCCTCAAAGTAGAGCCAGTCGCCGGTGTTCAACAGGCCGGGCAGGTCAATGCGCTTGGTGATGACATCGATGCCGTCACAGGTCGGGCCCCAGATCGAGTAGGACATGGTCTCCGATGTCGCAGAAATCGGAGACCCGGATGACGATGCATCGGCGGCACGGGTCAAGACCTGGGCGACAGGGTGCTGGTGGTCAAAGATGATGTTGGAAAAATTGCCATAGACACCATCATTGAGGTACAGCATGTATGCGTCACGAGAAGGGTCCAGCGGATCCGGGACATCGCGGCGCGCAATGATGTTGGCGGCCAGGGTAAAGGCGCGAGCCACGTAGTAACGGCCGGGCTCGGCGATGATGCGGATGTGCGGCGGGAAGTAACTGTCCAAGGCATCGCTAAGGATACCCGCGAACTTTTCAAACGTGTCACCGCTGAACCCGCCGCCCACGTCCAGGGTATGCAGCTCATGGCCCACCTCGGTGGCTTGGTCGAAGACCAGACGCGCATCCTGGACGGCTTTGAGGAAGGCTCGCGGGTCCTCGGCGCCCGAGCCGACGTGGAAGCTCACGCCAACAACCTTGAGCTCGAGCTGGTGGGCCAGCTCAAGCAGCGGCCGAGCCACATCCAACGAGGCCCCGAACTTCATGCTCAGCCGGCACAAGCTGGTGGAGTCGTCGGTCAAGATGCGCAGGTACAGCTCCGCATCGGGAAAGTTCGCCTTGATCTTGTACAGCTCGTCGGCGTTGTCAAAAGTCATCTGTTTGACCCCCACCTCGGCGGCGTAGCGCAAGTAGGACTTGGTCTTGCAAGGCTGCGCGTAGATGATGCGGCTGGGATCAATGCCCGCCTGCAGGGCCAAGTCAATCTCTGACTTGGAGGCACAGTCGAATCCATTGCCCAGCTGGGCCATCAGGCGAATGATCTCCGGGTCCGGGTTGCACTTGACCGCTGTTGTAGCTCATTAGCACCGTGTCTGTGAAGAGCGCCAGGATCCTCCGTGGCCGGAGCAGACAGGGACAGGGACCTACCATAAAAGGGCTTGACGCGGCCCAAATTTATCTTCCAGCGCATGTGCTGGCGGTAGATCTCGCCCATATCCGCCACATAGAAAGCATCCTCCTCGCCAGCACCGCAGTGGTCGACATCGACCTCTGCGGCGCGCTTCTTCAACACATCTAGGACCAATTCCTTGGCCGTCAACCGAGATTGCAACAAATCGTCCTCGCCATGACTGCTGGTCAGACCGCAAGGGTCGAGACTACTGGTACAGTCTTTTTTGATGGTGCATACTTCAGTAGGCGATACACACGCAGTCGGTGCCATAACCGTGCAACTGCGACACAGCACGATTCGGGTAAAAAAAGTAATAAAGAAAAGAGTTCACCAAGTTGGCGACTGCGTATTAGGGAGGACGAAAAGTGTCGCAACCGTAGTTGACTGGACCAAGCCTCCTAGACCCTTCCTCCTGAAGAGGAAGAACCTTCAGAGAAGTCCTATGCGGCAGCTCAAGGGGTGAGGGAATAATGTGAGAGGGCGTCAACGGGCTAAAAAAAGGCGCACCGGACGAGAGCTCGGGAGTTGACAGTAGGAGGTGGAATGTTGTTAAGAGTGTCGCGGGGACGTCGAGTGGAGACAATTTGACTGAGAAGTAGAAGCGAGGCTGCTGGAGCCGTGGTGACCAAAGTTGCCTTTGGGGGTTCCAAAGGCAGAGGGATTTACGCTGAGTAGCTAGTCTGGTAGTGGTCAGCAAAACTGAATCTTGAGGCGGAGTTGTATGAGAGAAATAAAATGGACGACTGGTGGGAGGCAGCAGGGTTCAGAGTTTTTAAAAACTTGGGGGAATCTTCGGGGCGAAGCTGCTTAGGGCACAAACGATTGGGGATGGCAAAAAAGACGCACGGTCACAGGTCAATCTCAACCGAGAAATCCAAAAACAACTCACCTTGTGGAAATGGAGCTGAGCAATCTCAAGAAAAAGAGAGAGAGAGAGAGAGGAATAAAGAACAGGACCGGAGGAAGAAAAAAGGCCAAACGAGTTGCTTACGGCATCACCCGAACAGGACAAGTCCCGAACAGGACAAGTCCTCAGGTTCTCTAGGCACCTAGGCAATCCATGCGTTGGGCGACAAATCCTTGACACATCGCTCCTCCAGTATGAGCGATTATTTGCTTCTAGACCTTCTTTTCTTTTTTTTATCTTTGCTTGTTTCTTGTGCGACATGCATGAGAAGGCAGATCAGCCCAGCAGATCGAATCCCGTCTCTGCTCGGAATTGCTCTATTACACTGGAGACCAATACACTAGGAGACTATGAGATGGCGGTGTGGTAATGTCTATTTTTCATATATGATGGGATGATGGGATGATGGGGGGACGGGGTGACGGGCACTGTGGCGGCGCTGACGCCCCGTCCCACTAGGATCAACGAATTGCACAATTCGTCCAAGTGTTGCTGTACCTAGCAGTTAGGTACCTCACATCTCGGGGATGAGCCCCTGAGCATGCTTATTGGGTTGTGCCGTGCAGACGAAGATCGGCATCCATCCAGAGCTGAAGCACACACAGAACGAGCCCCGTGGTTGAATTGAGCGGTATGACGCACTAAATTCCACGCACGGGCCAGATCTCCGGCCTGTTAGCGCCTCGCTAATGGTCACATCGTGGATTTCGCACACGTTGGAGCTCAGTGGGCACGGCTGTAGCAATACAGTTCGATCTGATCTACTTGATCATGTTGCGAGGGGAGTGCAATGGTGGCCTGCAGGGGGTCAAATCCTGCAGACTGCATCAGCTCGAAGAAGATGGCTTCGCTGTCGTGCCGCCTCTTCAGAGCCACCAAGATGATTGCGTCCGGGGAGCTCCGGACCAATCGGTCGAGTACAGACACTAACGCGGGCAAGCTGTCGGCATTGTAGGTACAGTCTGAGACCAGGATCAAATCAATGGGGCGGCCGCACAAGTCCGGGGGCTCGTCCCAGTCGAGGGTCCGGAAGTCGATGGTCGACATGGGTGCCGACCGGGCAACATTGATATTGTGTGTTACAATCTCCTGGGCCTCAGGGAGGTCGGTGAGTAAGACAGAGCAGCAAGGGAGCATCGCTGCCAAGGCAATGCCCACAATGCCACATCCTGCCCCCAATTCCACTATTTGCAGAGGCGTGGGGGATTCATCGACCAAGAGACGACGAAGAGAGGGGATGCCCTCCGAGCCGTTGATCGTCTGGTGAAGATAAATTACCGATGCGAGTGCCGCATCCCTGTGGTATCCCGTTTAGAGACCGGGACCGGGGGGTATAAAAAGAAATTGAAATAGCTCACCAGATGTGCCGGGCAATACTGTTGCCAGTTTCCTCCCAGATTCTGAGCTCGGGATTGTCCTTAAGGCCGAGGCGTCGCTCGACTAGTTTTTCAGCCGGCATATCCCCTGGCCCAAATGGGGCACTCCATCCCGAGAACAGCAGGGGCGTAGAGGTTGCTCCCAATGGATCGCTTGAGAGCAATTGCGTTTTACCAGATTCCCGGGGTCGAATGGCCAAGATCAACTTTTGCTGAGCCACGTGGGATGAGAATGGTCCCAGAGACAACGCAAGCTGTCGATTGCCTGCCTCCCATGTCAGGCTTTTTTCATGTAATACCTTGGAGTGGTGTTCAACGGCCAGTGTAGCGATCAAGTCCACATCTTGGGCGAGGAACGAGTCTCCCAAGTCGGTGGTGATGCAGATTAATGCAGACACCCATGTTTTCCCTTTTGCTCCTGAAATCGAGGAGTTTTCAGGAAGCGGGCGTAGAAGACCATGCTCAACACACCAGCGTTAGGGTTGATTTCAGTGATTTCCTGACAGATCCATGATGCCGCATCGACTACCCCAGACTATCACGTGTGGCTGACTAACATGACATCGTTCCTCCTGCGTCACTCCCTCCATTCTCCGGCGCCTTCGCGATAAGGCCAGCTGAAGCGCCTTCGGGATCGAATTTTGGCTTTGTATTTTCTCATCCAAGATGATGCGCCCGCGTGACCCCCGTATCCGACAACGGATCAACCAGATCTCGCATAATCTGGAATCGGCCAACGAAAGCGCCCAGGAAGGCCTGTACACGTTCTCGCACCACTATATTTCTCCCTGCTTTGCGGCAATTGGCAATTGTGTCCATTCCTGCACAGCACCATGTCTCCCTTCTCGGGAAGACCACTTGCGACGTCGGCGACGTGGCCGTGCCGAAGCTAACTTTGACTTCTACGACGACTGGGACAACGAAGAAGGCGACGAGAGCCTGCTGGGATGGGGAACTGGAGAGCTAGATCGTCTTCTAGCGGGCAGTGGTTTGGCACGCACTCACGCCGAGCAGCCGCGCCGACCGAGGAAGATGAGCTACGGGACACGTAACACGAGGAGAAGGAGTGCCGTGCACATTCCAGACAACCGCACCGATCCGACCGTGATTCCGAGCTCGTCATTTCTCGGCTTTCTCGAGCGCTTTCCGTGGAGACTCGGCGCGCGAGGGATAAAATATCGGCCCTCTGCGGCTGATCTGCAAGAACACCCGGGAGGCTCACGTCGGTATGCGCAAGAGGATGAACCGTTGATGGAGACAACCGATGAAGACGACGGTCGAGTCTCGTATAGTCCCAACGGGCGGAATCGCAGTACGACACAATCTTCAGAGGGGACAACGAACTCTTTGAGCTCCCGCGGAGATTTATTACCCAGCGATGAGGAGGAAGATGCAGTGCCCCTCGATGATGAGTTTGCGCTGACGTTTGGGCGTCGAGGCACGGGCTTGGAGTCGGATGACCAATCTGGAACAAAACCGGAATTGGCGAAATCGGCCTCCGCTTCCTCTAGTTTGGGCGGTGCCTCGTCTAAAAAGACAAAGCGAAAGAAGAAGCGTTCATCAACCAAGTCTGCTACTACCCCTGATGCCGTGCATACTCCCTCAATGGCCGACTTGAAGCTCGAAGAAGAGCTGGCTGCTCGACAGGAGGAGTTGGAGATTGAGAGGAAACGAGTCGCCGCGCACGAGTTGGCTTTGAGCCGCGGTCTGGAAACGGATGATGTTGTCGATAAGGTATGAAATGGTTGATATTGTTTGCGGCGATTTACATGGCAACCTGACCCTCGGCTTCTAGTCTGATACGCTCTCCCATCTTCCCCCGCCATCAACAGAGTCTACCAAACAAAGCACTTTGCCAGCAGACCATGATCAGCTGCCCGGGGTCTCTACAAGGCGGTCGAGCAAGTCTTCAAACAAACAGCCATCTGGTGATCAAACTGAGCCTTTCCCGCCCCTCCCCGTATCTCCCACATTCATCTCACCAGGCTCTCCCGGCATCAGTGCCTCTCCTCGGCCCAGCTCTGGTCATGCCCCGGGTGATGTATCAGGTTCTCATCATCGACCCGGGCATGGCGCGAGCGATGCACAACCATGAAAACTCTTCCTTGGTCCATTGATGCGCCGACGGCGTCTCACGGATCGACCTTTTACATTGTACGATATAACGAATAATCTGCTTGCTGTACTTTATATTCGATGGACATGACTGTTTCGGCCGGAACTTGCTCTGCCTTCTTTTTTTTTCTTTTTGTGGATCTGCATATAGAGGTGTTTTACCCTTTCCAGCGTTGCTACTCGTGAGCCTAGCGCTCAATCCACTCTATATTCTTCGAACAGAAAATGTGTTCTCTCCTGACTCAACCGTAATGATAATTCATTCGCAGATTTTGAGCAGCTGCCATCCGAGAAAATGCTATTCTGCGGGTTATACGCACCTCATTGTGGCTCCAAATGAGCTGATCCCCACTTGACCACCGGCTTCCCCAATGAACTTTTCACCGTAGATGCGCATTGAGGAACAGGTGCATTTTCTTTAACCTTAGTCGCGCAGCTCATGCAGAAGCCACATCCTTCTCTGCTGATCCCTTACACACATGCATGCATGCAATTCACCCATGGCTAAGCCGAGTTCGATCTGCAGGCGACCCTCGATGTTGGATTCGACTGGATCAAGTTGCCTTGTTATAACACTGACCTGGTGGAGGTGTCTGAACCGACTAGGAATATTGTTGGGGATGGATAATCGAATTCCGGCTTAGAGGGGTGCTGAAGTATATCACGGAAGTGGTGTCATCGTGGCAGGTTAGAGATGGCCAAGGTTCGTTTTGCTAGTAAGAGGATGGAATAACAGACTTATTAGGACTATAGAAGTATATTGGTACATTTTGTGAATTTACTATATTGAGCGTGAAAATGTCCTCGCGTTTTTAGTCCGTCCTGCGTAGGCTGAAATAGTCCAGGGCGGTTCCGAGAAACGGAGATAAGGGAAGTGTGCCTCGTGGGGCTCACATTCTCGTCTGTTCTTGCGCTGCATCCCCCAAAGAATGGGAATGGATGCCACGTCTGCCAACCAAAGGGGGTGACTGGTTGGAGGCGTGAATAGCTCTGGTGCTTGAAAGCACGTATAGATCTTGCCAGCGCGTGAGTGGGGATTCGGGAATCCCAAGAGAAAGAAAATGCAAAAGAAAAAGAAAAGAAAAGAAAAGAGGAGAGCCATAGGACCAGGTATATACAAATATATGTACAGGGGAATGCAGGAAGGGACATGTCAGTATAAATGGGTAAAAGTACAGTGCAAGAGGTGGTGATACATTGCCGCCGGTAGCGGACTGGCTCTGCGAAAGAATCTGCAAGAGACAGCTGACAAGCCGAATAGGACAAGAGGCTGGGGTGCCGGGATGGGTTAGTTCTGCTTAGGTATCGGCAGCAGCGTCGCTCTGCACATCCATCGAGAGCTTGCGCACATTCCAGTCCGCGCCAGCCCAGTCTTTCTTCTCACCCAACACACAGGTCGTGTTCCGCGACGCATTCACCAGGAATCGATCTGCGACCTGGTTCACGTCCTTGGCCGTGACATCCAAGACCTGCTCTCTCCAGCGCTGGTCCATCTCGTGAGTCACGCCGCTCATGAAGTAGCGGGATCCCTCTTCATCCACGCTCATCGGGGCATCAAGGCCCTGGAAGATGCCAAGCTTGGCTTCTTCAATCTCCCGCTCAGACCATGCTCGGTCGCGAGCGAAGATCCCGCTGCTTTGGAAGACTTTCAGCGTGTTGATGGGGTTGGGATCCCGGTAACTCATGAAAGTGAAAATTCCCTTAATAGGTCCGTTGCTGGCACCGGCACCATACGCCCCTCCCTTTTCACGAATTTCAGGGTGGAGATAATTGTGCGTGAGAAGCTGGGAAAGGACAGTGAGAGGTGCACTAGCAGGGTCGACGAACGGCACAGTCTGAGTAGCTTGGCCAGAGTAGTAGACCTTGTAAGGCAGGTCGTAGAAAGCCTTGCCGGCAGATGGGAATGAGGAGTTTGTAGGCGAGGCAGTTGGTGATCGGATGTGAGGAAGGCCAGAAGTCCACTTCTGCAAGACAGACTCGTTGCGTGCAGCGCTCTCCGGCTCGCAGACCATCCGCACACGCATTTTAGAAGACTTCGAGACCGCAAATGACTGAATGAAGCGCAGCTTCTCAATTAGCTCTTGGAGACGCTCGGGAGAAGATTCAGCATCTCGAAGGAGATTGGCAGTCGCCTGTAATTGCTCCAGACCGGACTGCTGTTCCTGAACCCAGAAGCTGCGTGAGAGACCGGCTGCGGCTGCGTTAACAGCGAATCGGTGACCGGTTGCTGCAACGGAATCCAGGGCTCCATTAGTGGTCAACCGCAGAAGCTCTTGGATCATTGCCGGAGCGGAAGGGCTGGTGAAATCAGTCTCCATGACCAACGCCGAGAGCATTTCCAGCATCTCGGGGATGTTCTTGTCCAAGGCGAATCCAGAGAACTGCATGCCCTCCTTAAACTTGTCCAGTTGAGTTGGGGACGAGACAAGGAAAGAGGACGTTGAGATTCCTCCAGTCTTCAGTTTGATCAGGTCTTCCCACTGCTCCATAGATCTGTTCGCCATTCCCAGTCGCATCACGCAGTCATTGAACAATGGCATCAACAAGCGAAGATCATCGGGCAGGTCCTCGAATGTGTTCAACGCTTGGAAATAAGTCAAGCCATTTGTTGGTGCCTCACGCCAAACGACGTCGATATCATCGACCTTGGACTCACGCACAGGCTTGCGTTCCTTTTCTCTCGAGATGTCCCTTACATGCAAAGATGGGAGACATCCCAGGTCTGCATGGTGTGCATCTTCTTGGATCTTGAGCAATTGCAACTCCTCCTCAGCAAGCTTGGTGACTGCATTCTCCACCGAGCCGTGCTGTTCGATAAGCTGAGCCAGCTTGGCGTCTTTCCGCACAACTTCCTTTTCGTCCAATTCCTTGTTGAAGGTAGGAGTGCCAACCATGGTGAAAGACATGCATTGGTCATTGATGAGATATTTCTGGACAAGGGATTCCAAGTAGCCAGGCTGAGTATATCGTCTCTTGAATTCCTCGATCACGTCGTTCCAGGCCAATTCTTTCATCGGGTCGGATCCGTTGAACCAAGACGAGATGGTCTTGTCCATCACACCAATTCCGAAGTTGGCCGTCTTGTGGCGCAGCGACAGTTCCAGTTGATGGAGGAAACCTCGCACTTTCTCGTCGCTAAATCCAGCTGAAACAGATTCCTGAAAGACATTTTGAACAACCTGCTTGATGGTAGGGGCCTCCGCTTCGCTGACACCCGTGACGCCAACCGAGAAAATTGGAGTCTTGCCAGTGGAATCAAGACCAGTGTTTGGTGTAAACGAGGAGCCCAGTCCACTTTCGATGAGAGCACGATACATGGGCGAACCGTATCCATCGAGGAAAAGCGAGGAAATTATTCCGACGGAGAATGTCTCGACGATATCGGTTGTATCTCCCATATACCAGGAGGTCGAAGTCTTGTGTTGCTTGTCCTCGCTGGCAAATGTATCAATCGGTCCCGGTACCGTGACATTCAAAGGACCATGGCTCAGATCCACCGGCATTTTCACATCGGTGTCGGCTTGGCCTTTTGCAAATCCATCCAAGACAGCACCAACCTGCTTCAAATGCCCACTCAACGGCATGTCACCATAAGTGAGAATTTTGGCATTGCTCGGGTGATAGTTGCGTTTCGAAAAGTCGGAGAGTTGCTGGTGTGTGAGATCGGTGATATATTCAGGATCTCCTCCAGAGTTGTTCAGCGAGGGAGAAATGCTCTCCTTGTACCGAATGTAATACAGATAGTTTGCATCCGAGATCTGTCCTTTCATCTCATTGTAAACGACGCCCTTGAAAACAATATCCCCCAGCTGTGCCTTAGGCTCAGGCTGCCCCGGAACCGCTTGTAGGGCACGCGGGTCCTCGGGCCCTAGACGCCACCCTTCCTGGCGGAAATCATCCTTCTTAAGCAGAGGGTGAAGTGTGGCATCGAGGTAGACAGAAAGAAGGTTTTGGAAGTCTTGCTGGTTGGTAGTAGCGAACGGGTAGGTAGTGTGGTCGGAAGCCGTGAAGGCATTCATAAAATTCGAAAGCGAGCGAGGGAGCATCTTAAAGAAAGGATCCCGAATGGGGTACCTGAGAAATGGACTTCAGTTAGCAGCGCGACCAATGCGAGATCCAACTCCCACTCACTTTTCACTACCGCACAGGGTGGTGTGCTCCAAAATATGAGGCACACCCGTCGCATCCGGCGGATTGGTCTTAAATCCGATCCCAAACACATTATTTTTGTCGTCTCTCGCCACATGCAGGTAGTCCGCGTCGGTCTTGTCATGGGTGAGTCGCACCGCGGTCAGATGTAGCTCCGGAACATGCTTCTTCTCTTGAACCGTAAATCCATGAAGCTTCTCGCCGACAGTAGGAAAGCTGTCGAGATTCGTAACTGTCGATGCGGCTCTGGCCCAAGGTTTCCGCAGAGGGATCGCATAGCTCGACTTCGGTAGACGGCCACAGAGAGTTTGGAGTAGAGCCGGTGTCCGAGATCTACCGAAGCTCAACGATGAGCACAGCATGGTGTGGTGTGTGGTTGTCCTCTTCAGATATCACGTTCGGCCAGAATGGTGGTGTTTGATGTGGCGACAGGATTCAGGCAGTGAGCATCGCAAACTCGATTTTGGGAGAAACAAAAGCGCAGAATGAGAGTAATGCCACCCCCAAAGTGACAATGAGCAAAGCAAATGCAAAACGTAGAGAAAACTTCCCCAAATCCAACACCAGTATGAATGATCGAAGAGAGGATGAACCAGCAAGAGAACGCCTGGCCGCGGCTTCAAAAAATGCTCCGTCAGTCTGCTTATGTCAGCCGCGCTATGGCCCCGAGAAGCGAGATAGGTCAAATCCAAAGACCTGGGGAGGTAGGAAGTTCCTCTAGGATATATCAACTGTGCCCAATTGACCTGTTTATATATCGCATTTTGGCCAGTGTCTCTTTTAATACGGAGCCATGTCGTGGTGAGACAGCGGTTTATACCGATGACTAAGAGCCGGTCCCCTCGTCGAGTTTCTGCTCCGGAACAGCAAGACCTCCACTAGTTGTCGCCTGAACTAGAAGAACACCGCGGCAACGACGTTGACATCCCAGAGTTGGTGACTCGTGTCACAAGTCCAACTGCACTCTGGGATCCTCTCTCACTCTACCAACCCCCGCACCTCCACCCAGCCTCTCTCTTCCTACGTGTATCCCGCCTGTCTCTGCGCAAATTTTCGGCCTCCGGTTTACTTGCGCAATCACCGATAACCTACCACCCGGCCTACGTTATTTCAGCGATCTTCACAAGGAGCCGCCTATAATGTCGTCCACCGCCATGTCCAAGAAGAATAAGGGGAAGAAGGTGGCTGATCCGAACGAAACCTCCAAATTGCTGGCAGCCAAAATTTCGCAGTTGGAGCAGGATGCTGCCGGCGAGAAAGACCAAGAAGTGGAGATTGGTGCGTGAATATTTGTGTACTGGGTGGTGTTTCAGTGGATATCCGTTGTTTGCTTGATCTTACCTTTATTGATGTTGTGACTGGGGGCAAGATCATTCTCACTAACATGGCCTTGGTATACAGAACGTGAAGTCAAGAAAGCAACCCGAGACCTGAATCAGCTCCTCAACAACATCGAATCCCCCATGACCCGTCTAGAGACGGTCCACAAAAAGTACACCGAGCTCTTGGCCGATATGAAAAAGCTGGATCGCGATTATGCCAAAAGCAAGAAGCGCGCCGATCAGTTGCAGAAGGACCAAGACAAGAGCAAGTCAGAGTTGACCAAGACTGTCACTATGAAGGACAAACTGGAGAAGTTGTGTCGGGAGTTGACGAAGGAGAACAAGAAGGTCAAGGTAAGTTGGATAGGAATAAGCCTGGACCATTGTAATGGAATAAAGGCTAATGTGGTTCATAGGATGACAATAAGAAATTGGATGACACGGAGCAGAAGGCGCGAGTGATTGTCAATGAGCGCCTCGACTCGCTTCTTTTTGACATCGAAGATGTCATGGCTGCCAACGGAAATCCCCGTAGCGAGAAGGGCGATGTTGACTTGGATGATTCGTACGGAGACCTTGATATTGGGCTTATAGAATGCCTTGCTAACTGTGACACCAGGCTACGTACCAAGCTCAAGACCATCAGTGAGCAGTTCGACACTCGTGAGCTGCACTACAAGGGTCTCTTGCGCAGCAAGGACTCTGAATTGCAAAGCCTCACCTTGAAGTTTGAGGAGCAGCGCCGGACTGCGGAGAATGAGACTGCTCGGGGTCGAGCGTTGAGCACCCAGGTCTCCACCTTCTCACACACGGAAGCCGAGCTGCGCAGCCAGCTCAATATCTATGTGGAGAAATTCAAGCAGGTACGATACGCTCCTCGGCATTTTGAAATTATGCACTGGTTAACATATATCAGGTTGAGGACACCTTGAATAACAGCAACGAGCTGTTCCTTACATTCCGCAAGGAGATGGAGGAGATGTCCAAGAAGACCAAACGCCTGGAGAAGGAGAATCATACGCTCAATCGTAAGCATGAGCAAACCAATCGCAATATTCTCGAAATGGCAGAAGAACGTACTCGAAACCACGAAGAGCTGGAACGATGGCGACGAAAGTGCCACCATCTCGAGGCCCTGTGCCGTCGAATGCAAGCTCAGGGTCGCGGCGAGGGATTGGCAGAAAGTGATCATCTTGAGGGTGACGACGAGGGCACTGAGAGCGAATATGACGAAGATTATGAAGACGAAGAGGAGGAAGACATTAGCGACGAGGAACTTGATGGCACCGATCAAGACGTCCCTGGCCGTGTTCATCCTCCCGAACGACCTGTCTTTGGGCCACCTCCGCCCCCGAGCCTGTTGCACGCCCATTCCAATGGCAAGACTGTGGTCAATGGCAAGACCGCGGTCAATGGCTGCCACTGATGTTTCTCTGCGGTTCATGCTACCCATTCATTTGATGTATGATTGCAGTGGCTTTGCCACCACGAGTGTCCCTGTTTACGAGTACTAGAGTGTTGAGCATAAGTGAATGATCAAAAGCGGGCTTTGCTATCCTGTTATCGCTGGCAGACCCAGTCTCTTTTTTTCTATGAGACCATGGTCTTCCATTTGGCAACATTCATCTTCATTGTGGGCTGCAAGTCTTGAGTTTCATGTGTTTCTGTACAAGTACATGTCATATTACCAATGCAAGGATATCCAACCTGTATGAAGTCTTGAGCTGGGTATCGTAGATCAAAATGCCACATCCGACTGCTCTTCACAGTTTACTTCCTTGGCCGTGAATATACGAACCTCCTACTCTCAGCATATCCACAGCCTGCTGGACCATTTCCCTCACAATAACACCGGCCGGCTTGATCTCGCTGACACTCGCCGACACATCACCCATCAAGAACGGCATATCGATATCCTTCTCATTCTCCAGATCGTGCATCATCGGCACAACGCCTTTGGCAGTCAACTCAGCAATCTCCGCCGGCCGACTCTCCCAATCCTTGACATAGTCATTCGGCAGCATGCGCAACGGCCGACCCGAAACAACCAGCGTGCGGCAAGTTTCTCCATATCTTGCCCCAATAACAGCCTCCTTATGCAGCCGACTAGCACCACTCTCCTCCGACGCCACAAACCGCGTGCCCACCCAGACACCAGCAGCCCCAAGCATCAGCGACGCCGCCAAACTGCGCCCATCATTGATCCCACCCGCGGCAACCACCAGCGCCGGCTGGCCAGTAAGCGGGCTACGATACCGACGCGCCACATCAACAACAGCGGGGACAAGCACAGAAAAGGGCACATCGCCCGTATGGCCGCCGCCCTCGCCGCCCTGCGCACATACAATATCCACGCCGCACTGCAGCGCCTTCTCGGCGTGTTTGGGCGCGCCAACCATGTTCATGATCAGTATGCCGGCCTCGTGCAGCCGCTTGATGGTCTTCGCGGGCGGCACGCCGACCGCGGAGACGAACAGCTTCGCGCCGTGCGAGATCGCCACCTCGACCAGCTCGTCTAGCTGCCCGTGCGTGTAGTCGTGGTTGGTTGCTCGCGCGCTGCCCCCGACCTGGGGCAGGGCGAGGTCGACGCCGAATGGCAGCGATGGGTCCCGGAGTAGGGACTTGAGCTCGGTCAGCATCTCAGATAGCTGCTGCGGTGTGTACCCCAGCCCACCGACGGTGCCGAGGCCGCCGGCATTGGAGACTGCCGCTGCTAATGGGGCTCCTGAGGCTCGCGCCATGCCGGCAAGGAGGATTGGATGTTGGATTTTGAGCAGGGTTGACAGTGGTGTTTGGAGAGACATGGTTGCGAGTTGTTGATTCTGTGATGACAATTGTATTGGCAGGGATGTTTAGTGTTTGATATGTCTTTTCTCTTGAGGAGCCATGTATAAATATGGCGATGAGGTCGGCATCAATTAATGCAGTGAATTGTGAAAAATGCGGGGAAAAGCAGCTCCACCGGGCCGAGGCACTCGGTGGATCTTCACAAGGGGTGAACTATATGACAATAGAGATATACTGAGATTCACTATTTCACAGAATGCGCCCGACATCAACAGTCCCGCGCTAGGGATAAAATAGAGATGATACAGGGGTTTCATGAATGTCGATTTTAAATTTCATTGTATGGATATTTCAACGAAAGTTGGCTAGTGGTGGTTCCTACCTAGCTGCTCTTGCATATTAGGTTGATGAAACGTTGATGCCATGGTGACCATTACATTAGGGCTCAAGGTAGACCACAACCCTCTTTACACTTTCTTCACGCAATCTCGATAAAGTGAACTGTCCTAATAATTACCCCAGCGTTCTATCTCTAAAGACAACCTGAAGCTTGTTCACAATGTGCCTAGTCGGTCGTTGTCCTTCGTGTGGCCTTTGTATCGATCCATGGCCTCCCCATCTGGCTAGTTGGCGAGCAAGTAAGTTGCCCATCCCGCTGTCTTCTTTGGTCCATTGATAAAGGAAAAATTGGTATTCATTCCAAAGCTAGTATACAAGCCTCGCAAGGGTAGTACAAAGGGTGTTCAACTGACAGGCCTCGTCAAGATGACGGAGGAATGGAGCAGGAAGTGGTCTGGTTACACATTCCAGGACGGGGGCTATGAATCTTTGACACTTACCTTTGATCATGAACCAAGGACGGCCTATCAATTCCACAGTGGCTGTTGGGAGGCTCTCATGATGCATCTCGGTAATGAAGAACAAGTCAACCTCGACAAGCTTTTTGATCTGTGTGGCAATATGCCAATGTATTTCACGTACGACGGTCAGTTATCTCTCTCTCTCCTCAACAATCGAACGCGAAAATTGCTGATTCTCAAACTTACGGTTCAGGAAAATGCGACAGAAGGGTATACAGCCATGATCCGTGCGACTTGCCAACGATGCAAGGTCGAGATCGACCGAGACGCAAGCTGCCACAACCAGACAAAAAGTACAAGAAGCTGCGATCTCGTGCACAAGCTCCCATATCTGCAGTCAGGGATCAAGGCAGATTCAACCGTCTTCCAGTCGAAATTCTGTGGGAAATCGCTGTGTATCTTCCAATTGCCGATTTTTACAGGCTCCGCTATGTGTCCCGGCCCATAGCAGCAATATTTGCTGGCCAAGCATTTTGGAAAACCCGATTTTACCTTGACAGAGAACGTGGCTATCTTAGTTCTTTCCTTGAAGAGCAAGTGAGAAACAAAACATCCAATTCGATAGACTGGCGAAACCTTTACCGGAATACCAAGCCAGCCGGGTACGATGATGAGATACCCGAGCACGATGAGAAATTGTACTCGAGAGCACGACACTGGAAACAGAACAAATGGTTGATGGATAGGTATATGATGGTCCGCTCTAGAAATCCGAGTTTCTGTCAAAATCAAAAGCACCGGCTCAAAGGCTTGAGCTGGGAGATGGCCCAAGGTAAGGTTAAATGCGACATGGACCATTGGAAGTTGCAATGCGAGAGGGCTGGACATATCGACTTTAACCAAACAGTCCTGCTGCACAAGTCCATCGTCAGGATTGGAGTGTCAGTCCTCGAAGAAGAAGCAGGTACCTACATCGCAGGCATTGAGCTCATCTCCAAGGAAAGACGAAGGGGGAATCAGATCCTGGGATACCGCATCCCAGGAAGTCAGGTCTTTGTGGATATCAAATCCGCACAGATGCTGCGAGGGTTCCAGGTTGCGGCGGGCAAGGGAGGAGTTTTTGCGATTCGAGTTTATACTGGCTCTCCTTCAACGAAAGTACTCCAGCCTCACTTATCCAGATGGATAGGCCGCCCAAGTTTGTGGCAAACCAGACCCAAAACCACTAGACTGGTTTCAAGGGGCGAGATCGTCGCTCTTTCTGGAAGGTTTGATGTAAGGCTATTGTGTTTTGTTTGAGTTTTGTTGATGGTAAGCGGATGCGCTGATGAATTGAAACAGCATTCTAGGATGATTGAATTACATGTCGGAAGGGCGAAGGTACCAAAGGAGTAAGATGTGGATGGTATTATTTGCTCAAAGGGATTTTATTTTGGGATTTGCTATTGCTTCCAGGGTGGTCTCTAGCTTTGATTTTAGCAGAATACAAAGAACAACGCTTGAAAGGGGTGAATGAAGTCAGAAAAGCATTTCTTTGGTACTTGGCCGAAAGAGAGAGAGAAACCGACACAAAGCTCGGAGAAGGAGAAAGAGAGACACCAAAGTCAAGGCAAAAAGACCGGAGAAAAGGATGAGATGAAGTTGACAGACTGCTTGTAAACTGGATACTATCGAGTTGAAGCATGGTCGAGATAGGCCAAGCTTCTTGAACCGGGTAGATTCATCGCCCGATCTGCATCTTCCTTGTGCCGGGGGATGTCTTGGGTACGTTCTGGATCTTCAGCGTAGTTGACATGTACAAGAGGATCAGCTCTAGGCCACATCTTTGGATAGACTGAAGAACTGGCTTGGAATGGAATATTGGTCAAATAACTAACACACGCTGATGAATTGTTCAAATCTAAATCTCGGATATCCGGCCCAACTGATCCTTAGGTGAGATATCTCGAGTATTCCATGTTTGCATAAAGAGGTATTGACCAAGAATGGAAAGAGGAGAAGAAGCGCATGAAAAAGAAACCAGGAATAACCAAGACTACCACGAGGGGAAGCTGAACCTGTCCTACCTAAGCCCTACAAAGAGTCGACAGCCTTGCTCTTGAGTAAGTATACCCCAGCGTATATCTGTCGAACGAATTCATCTCATTCCTCTCATATCTAATAATTACCAGTACGATTTTTTTTCAGCCACGCTTTACCTTGATATTCTGCAAAAGATTTTCTGCTGAAGCAATGGAAGAATGGCTTGTTCGAATTTTATTTTATTTTTTTGACCATTTGGATATCAACTTCTCGCTACCACATGGCCATCTGACAATGTCGACATCTGTTCGCGTATACATCTCAAAATAAGACATATTGTGATCCAATCCTCTCAGATATCCATGTAGATCAATTTTGAAGCAGAACACCTGAAAAATCTAGAAGCACCTATACCTGATGATATGCCTAGGCTATGTCTCTAATGAATTGCTCTAAATCCTTGAAACCAGGATGCTTTAGAGGGAGTATTGTCATTTCGACTGACAGTCCTAGGTCGGAGAAAAAAAGCAATATCCGTTTGACAAGGAGGTCCTTACATGAAATTGCAATCCAGACGCTCGGAGAAACACTGTGACTGGTCTCTATTCTCAAAGCATCCGAGTCTCCTTAGTATACTTGCCGACACTCCGCGCTTACTCCGAGCTGAAGGAAGTAAACGTGCCCGTGGTTCGTGAGACATGGTACACATGGAAGGCATATATAAACTGGAGAAATTCGCTGAGACGAAGATATCATTCAACGCATCAAGAACAACAAGTTCTATCTTCATTGCCTGATCTCGTCAAGCAATCTGGTAAGAATTCTTCAAGGTACGGTCTCTGCATCATCGCAGACTAACGAATACTAACGAACAGACAAGTTGGTATCCTCAAGTCACTAAAGCAAAATGCGTTTCAACTATCTCTTCGCTTTCATTACCCTAGCCAGTGCGGCTGTTGCGGCCCCTGTCCCTGGGGAAGCCGGTTCGTGCCTTCCTATAGCCACAGATCTTTTGTGATAGATATTAACTATACAATAACTACAGTCTCTGAAGCCTCAAGCGGAGATGTCAGTCTTGGCGGCGGTGGCGGCGGCGGCTTCGGTGCTGGCGGAGGTGGTGGGCTCGGCGGAGGAAAGGGAGGTGGCGCTGGCGGCGGCGCTGGTGGTGGTCATGGGGGTGGTAAGGGAGGAGGCGGCGGTGGTGGTTTCGGCGGCGGCGGCGGCTTTGGTGCTGGCGGAGGTTGGGGTGTCGGTGGAGGTGCCGGCGGAGGTGCTGGCGCTGGGGAGGGTGCTGGCGCCGGGGGTGGTGAGGGTGGTGGCGGTGGTGCTGGCGGGGGTGTTGGCGGCGGTGCTGGTGCCGGTGCCGGTGCCGGGGGCGGCAAGGGCGGCGGTTACGGGGGTGGTAAAGGCGGCGGCGGTGGTTTTGGCGAAGGCGAGGGCTGGTAATTGACCCATAGGGACTTGCTTGATCTCGAGGGTGTGTAAGGGCTCTATTCTACCGTTCTCGAGCTGTGAAAGAAGATGGTTTTGACACTAATTCAAGCTGCAATCTTGCCATGACCCAGACTCCTCTTGCGGATCTACGTTATAATATCTTGCTGAAACCGCCTGACCTCTCTTTTAACTGCTTGCAAGTCCAACCTTCGAAGTATACTAAAAGACAGCGTACACCCGTTGCTAGACCTTAGTTCACTGATAATGCCGCACAACAATATGAAATTTTCAATTTTCAATTTTTTTTTTCGAAAGTAAGCCTCACCACGGATCGATGATATAGTAAATACGCAATGGCCCTCTGATTCCAGGTGGATCGACTAATGTAGTTGTCTCTTGGAGAAGAGGTATAGATGGAGTTAACGACGGACATAAGATGCCATACTAAGTCCGAGGGATCAACACGCGCTTTCAACTTCTCACGTAAATCCTGGCCCCTTCGATGCAGCATTGAGACCAATGAATCTGTTCGGGGCATCTATCGATCCGACAGAATTTGCTCCATCTCGTCAAGCGCACTGGTTGCCTTTTTGAGACAAGATCATTGGAGCGTATGACTTGTGGGTATAGTTAAGAAAGGGCCGTTTCCTTGCCCGACAGATATAGGATTATAACTCAAGGTATTTCTACTCGAATAATTGTTTTGTAACCTATTGAATTCCGACGTACTGCCACCAATGCATGAAACGTTGGAGTCATCTGTCTCCGACAGAGGCCAAGAGAACCAAATTGGCCTGTCGAATGAGTCAAGAAACGACGAGAAATCATTGGGCTCTAAAGGTTCCAACGAGTTCGAATCTACACCCGCACCATCCAATCCTCCCCCAAATGGAGGATCCAAAGCCTGGCTGCAGGTAGTCGGGAGCTGGTTTATGGTCTTCAACACCTGGGGTTGGTCACTATTATATCCCACTAGCTAGATTAAAAGTTGACCAGCTTTTTCTGTTAGGTACTATTGTCATGTTTGGAGACTACCAGGCCTACTACGAGAATGGGACACTTTTCCAGCAGACGTCTTCGAACATATCTTGGATCGGATCCATCCAGTCTTTGATGGTTTTTGCTTCTGGGGCAGTCATTGGGCCTATCTATGACCGCGGATATCTAAAGCTCCTGCTTATAGTAGGCACTTTTGGCATCGTCTTCGGCCACATGATGCTGTCTTTGTGTCAGGAGTTCTGGCAAGTCGTCCTCGCCCAGGGGTTTGTGGTTGGAATAGGTGGAGGCTGCCTTTTCGTTCCCGCACTGGCTGTCATCCAGCCCTACTTCAGCACTCGCCTCGGGCTGGCAATTGGCTTGGCGGCGACTGGAAGCTCGCTGGGAGGCGTTCTCTACCCTGTCATCTTCATTAACCCGATCGACCGCGTTGGGTTTGCTTGGACGACTCGCATTATCGGGTTCATTGCACTAGCCACCCTTGCCATCCCTATAACTGTGTCGGAAATGCGCATGAAACCCCCGGGGTGCGGAAGCTGGTCGATCTGTCTGTTTTCACGGACGGGCCTTTTATGCTTTGTGTCCTGGGATGCTTTCTTGGGTATGGGGGATCGCAGGTGGCCTTTTTCTATGTGCCCACATTTGGCCAGGATCACAGTTGGACGACCGGGAATTTGGCATTATACCTTCTTCCCATTCTCAACGCAGCATCTACATTTGGCCGTGCGCTGCCAAACTGGTTGGCTGACAAGGTGGGCGCGGTAAATGTGGTCATCCCAGGTATGTAGCTGAAGGCTTTTTTTTTTTTTCTTCTTCTTAAGACTCGAGCTGACCCCTCGTTCCAGGCTCGCTTTTGATAGGGGTGCTGCTCTTTTGCAACCTTGCTGTGCACAGCGTCGCAGGAATTGTCTGCACTGCTCTCTTTTTCGGATTCTTCTCGGGCATCTTTATTGCAACTCCGCCTCTTCTTTTCATGCTCTTCACGAACGACAAGTCCAAGCTGGGATCCCGTATGGGCATTGCCTATTTCCTTCTTGGGTTGAGTGTGCTGTTCGGGGGCCCGGGAGCTGGTGCAGTTCTGCAGCACCAGGCAGGTGGCTCAGACTGGACTGGTTCGTGGTCTTATGCAGGCGCATTTCCTTTGGCGGCATTTTTGGTCTTTTGTGTGTTGAGGGTCTGGCAAACTGGTGGAAAGCTCCAAGTCAAGATTTGAGTATTGCACTACTCCGTTCGTCTTGACGGCTTCTTTCGTCGATTTGGACCATGACTCCGGTCAATATGATAAAAAATTTGCTAGGCCAAACGGCATTGCAACCTGTCTGCAGTCAAAATAAGCGAAGAAGCTGCTGGGCCGATGAAACTGCTCCTCCCTTTTGGTGTCAATCCCAACTCCATTTGCCGAGTTTTTCGGAGTGGCCGCGAGGTGGATACAACTTCTGACATGGAGCAAGGGGCACGCAGTATATCAAAACCATTGGGGATGGCATGGGATGAGCTGGTCGAGTGGACGGAAGAGCAACGAGCTAGAACAGCTTCATGGCATTAGATCGAGCTCTTTTCATTGCAGGAGAGCTCGATGTTTTTTTTTTCACATCTTACTCGTAATTATGAAAATTAGACCCCCAGAGCCTAGTAATTTGACACTTTGAATTTGCATGAATCCATGAGAGATGAAGTCGAAGGAGAGGCCGAGTGCCCAAAGCGGGAATGTAAGTGGCGCGCCAACGCGTGGGGTTCGCGTCTCCCGATGCGCCGCGCTCGAGTCTTGCAACATTCAACCCCCACCAAAATGGTGTCAGAGCACGAAGATTATGGCTTTCTACGGCCTCCAAGGTTGGTCCTTGCCATCGGCTTATCTTTTTCTGCCACTCGACAAATCCTCGGACTGATTGAAACTCCCGCTAACCAGAACCATCTCCGCCACAGCAATGAAGAACCCGAACCTGTCTACCGTGTCCCCTCCCACTACAATCCTCTACACACCTTTCGACTGCCGGCCGGGCAAGGAAAGCATTACCAGCAGCAATATGGCGATATGTATTTCCTGCGACTTGCGAAGCTGAAGCCCGCTGTGGAACAAGTTGCAGCAGAGGCCTGGGATGGGTTTAACGTAAGGACGCCGGTCCTATGGAGAAGCTCTACATGATGAAAACGCGGTGTTTCTGACTTTTTATTGGCGACCAGATTGCTGGGGAACACGCACGCCGCGTGGACCGAGTGCTCGATGTTCGACAGGGCGAGCTGTGCTGGGTGGCCGGGACGGTGTACATGGACATGCCATTGAAGCCGAATATTCTAGATGACCTCACCAAAGAGGTGGGTTGAATCCCTCTCTCTCTTTGTCGAAAGTCTCTGACTCTTTGCAGAACTTCACGTCCGCACCGCCACCGCGCCGCACGTACGCCGATCCTTCGGACCCGTCGTTGACCCAAATCATGCTGGAGGACGAGTCGGGTCGCCTTCGTCTGACTGGCAACTTTTTGTCTTCAGCTCAGCTAGCTACGGGAGCTATCATCGCAGCTCTGGGAACGGAGAATGCCAATGGAGATTTCGAGGTGATTGATATCAAGGTGCCGGATCTGGCACGGCAGCCTCAGCGATGGGAGAGAGGCGAGGCGTCCACGGCGGATATCAAACAGAATGGCAAAATCGCGTTCATCAGCGGGCTGGGCATCACAGGGACGTCCAGCGACACGCTTACATTGGAGCTCCTGGCAGATTATCTTCTGGGCTATACTGGATTCTCCGGAAATGAAGAGAATAGTCCGTCCGGCAATGCTTCACAGATCTCGCGGCTTGTCATTGCAGGCAATTCCCTTGGAGCCAGTGTTAACACAGAAGCCACCGGCAAAGAGGCGGAGAAGAGGAAAGCCGCTCCCAAGAAGTACGGCTACGACGCTTCTGCCTATAACGCCTCGCCCATCACTCAACTCGATAATTTCCTGGCGGAGATCCTGCCCAGCATTCCCGTGACGCTCATGCCCGGGGATCGGGATCCAGCGAACTTCTCTCTTCCTCAGCAAGGGATTCACCGCGCCATGTTTCCCCATGCTCGAGCGTATGCTGCGCCTCCACCGTCCGGAGATGAAAACCCTGAGCCAGGATGGTTTGACAGCGTCACCAACCCGTGGGACGGTGATGTCGACGGATGGCGAGTATGGGGATGTAGCGGTCAGAATGTGGACGATGTGCTCCGGTATCTGGATTTTGCCGGGGAAGATGGCAATGCTGAAGGCGACATGGACGACTCTGAAGCTCGGGTGCGCATCATGGAAGCCATGCTCCGATGGCGATGCGGAGTTCCCACTGCCCCGGACACGATCTGTATGTTCTATTATCTGGTTCTTCCACATGCGCTGCGGAAGTCTTACTAACATCCACTGCTAGGGTCATATCCATTCCAGACTGACGACCCGTTCGTCCTTCAAGATTGCCCGCACATCTTCTTTGCCGGCAATCAACCAACCTTTAGGAGCGCTGTGGTCGAGGGCGAATCTCCCCTTCGCCTGGATGGGGACGACACAGAAATGACGGATGCAGCAGATCCTGCCTCTGGGGCTCGAGTGCGAGTGTTGTCTATTCCTCGTTTCAAGGACACCGGGGAATTGATCCTGGTGGATTCCGAGACGCTGGAGGTCGAGGTGATCCGCTTTGGGGTGTTTGGGGGATAAGAAGAGAAAAAGTGAATTGTTAGACATGCACAGCAATCACAGCGATATTCGTGACATGGCATATTTCAGTTTTATTGCAGCTGTAGTGTTTTGCTCTCCGTATCTAGGTAACCGTGTTGATGGATGTGCCCCACATCGACAAGAAAATCAACGCCGAGTCTCACTTCTGCCTCCATTTCCCCCAGTTGGACATGCCAATGCTTTCACTTACTCCTATCTCGCGCAAACACAAGACCTTTTTTGATCGCTGGACAAGAGCATCCGTGCATTGAGCTTCTTAAATCTTCGATCATGTTACTAAATACCACAACCGGTGCGCACTCGTATCTCCCACAATCTCAAGTTTATACATGACTTGGCCCTGTTTTGTATTTGAAAATGCGAATGATAAGAAAGGAAACAAAGCTCACACTCGTCCTTTCGAGGACACAAGGATAGCCCTCTCCACCTCGAAAGTCCTCCTAGTCCCATACTCTGCTTGGCATGTACCCCGATATCACGAATGGATGCAAGACGAGGTAGGAATATTCTCAAAGCACACTCATCAGCATGATCTCTATCCGTATATGTTGACTGATTCAAAATTCCAGGAAATCCAAGAAGCAACCGCTTCAGAACCCCTCTCTCTGGAAGAGGAATACGCCATGCAGCGCAGCTGGCGGCAAGACGCGGATAAACTGACCTTTATCATCTGCCAACCTGTTTCTGCAACCAACAACGACCAAATTCAAAACTCAGATGATACCTCTGGGGGTCCTGCTATCCAGCTTCATCCCGATAGCGACTCACCACCCAACATGGTCGGCGACATCAACCTCTTCCTGCGCATCGACGACGGTGACGATGGCGATGACCCGCCCCATATTGTTGGCGAGATCGAGCTCATGGTTGCTGATAAGGTCAACCAGCGCCGTGGGTTTGGGCGCGCTGCGCTGCTTGTGTTTTTGAGGTATATTGCTGAGCGGCAGAGCGAGATTCTGGATGAGTTTGTTTGTGGTGGGACTGTTGATCGGGAGATTTTGACCAAGCTGCATGCTGCTGCTGCTGCCTTTCCTTCTACGGGGAAAGATAGTCAAAGGCCAAAGCTTTCCTTTTCGTGCTTGAGTGTCAAGATTGGTCAGTCGAATACCGGCAGCCTCGCGCTATTTGAGAGTCTTTCGTTCGAGAAAATCTCGGCACAGCCTAATTTCTTTGGAGAGTTTGAGCTGCGCCGGGGGGATTTGAGTCGGGGGGCTGTTGAGGAGGCTCTGCAGTTGGCTGGTGTTGATGGTTACTCGGAGATGTCGCATGAACGCACGCAATAGATGGACCTTGTGGGTATGGTTGCTATTGAACACGAAGATGTGGTTGTAATCAACATCAAATGTGTACTACTTCCAATACTTTGGGGAAAGGGTGTGCCAAATACTTAATAATAAATCTGCACATCCTTCGTTCGAATTCATCAGATATTCAACCCAGTCACTGGCTATAACCACTCATCCCATTCCACCCTAGCAACGCCGTTCACGCAGAGTACAGCGCAGGTCCCGGGATAACATACTCAGCGCAATCGTCGCTGGAATTATCACCGTCCACCGGTTGCCAGCAGCAATCAGCTCATCCGTCGCCCATTCACCGGGCACACTGGACCCATCGACGAGCCCTCTTTCCTCGATCTTGAAGAATCCCAGTGTGCATTTATCGACCATGCTGCAGTCGCCGTTGCACGGGCCAGGTACGTGATGACGGGTCCGTGGTGCGCGTCTGGCCATGGCGTCCATTGCAGCTCGATGTCGGTGCCGGCGGTTACGGGTGCGGTCAGTGCGGCATTGCTGCCGTCGCGGTGGCAGATGATGTTGGGGTCTGCGTATTCGGTGCCGTCGGCTAGGATGCTGGACACATAGCCGTGGCCTGCCACGAGGGAGGCCGAGGCTAGGAGGGTTGGAATTGTGAACTTGGAAAATGCCATTGTGACAATAAAATTTCAATCAATAAATTTAATGTTAGGGCTAATGTTGAAATAAGAAGAGCGGTTCATGGTTTGTTGACTGCCTTTTATATCTGGTGCGTTCTCTATGAAGCATCACTAAGACATCCCTCTCTCTCTCTGTGCCAGAGCCAAAAACATCTGATCTGACCCAGAAGCGGGTTTGTCGTCCGCACCAACTGCTGATGTCCCTGTACTAGCAGTCATAAGCAACGCATTGTCATCCACTAGACTCGGGTGCCTCCTCAACGCCGCGACACGGCGCGCAATCGACAGCGAGACAAGCCCGCAAAGCCGGTTCAGCTCTAAGCGTCCGAGGTCACGGGTGACACTGGCGAATCGCGCCGGCGATACGGGTGTGCTTCGAGGTTAGTCAGTAGCAGATCAATGATATCTAGGGTCTCGCAGTCAACGGCGCGCTGCAGGGGAATATCCGGCGGAAGAGCATCACTTCCATTCTGGCAGATGTAGTCAATGGGAAACACAGGGGCCGGGCCTGTGCTGAAGAAATAGCGTAGAGTGTTTACGGCGCAGGCGTCGATCGTCAGACTCAGGTATGTCCAGCTGTGGCCGTTACATCCGTGTAAACCTGGCCCGCCTAGTAATTGACAGAGCCATTGAAAGCACCCCGGGCAGTCGTCGCGCATTGCACTTGACAGTGCATCGAGCCCTTGATCGGGCGGGCCATTTATCGGGGCACTCGAGTCGAGCCCGATGACTTTCTGTGCGGCTGCACGGTCAGCATGGTAGGAGATGGATGCTTGGAGGTAGCTTCTAGGAGAGTCTCGTTGCATGTAGTGGTTGACTGTTCCGTTCCAAGTAATACCAGTTAGAGACAGGCTCCTGATACTGCACACTGCTTCATGTGTTAGCCTAGGCTCGCCTTTGAGGAGATTGGTTGCATTGGCCATTGGGGTAGATGAAAAGGTGAATTGGCGACTGCTAGCAAGATGTGTTGACCAGGCGATCAGGTCGAGGGCATCAAGCCCATTTTAATAGATGGCACCGAGTCATGTCTTTCATTCGTTTTCCAACGGGCCCGCATTGAGCAGAAATGAAAAAAAAGACCATGTTGATGCGAGTCTCGCTTCTTTGATTCCGGTGCTCTCCATTGTTGAATTGGTTTCAGTCGTCGAGTACAAAGACTGGTTTCAGATCGCTGAAGATCAGAGAAAGAACAGGCACAATGGCTTTGTGAGGAAATGCATAACTTGGGGTTTGCCTTTGATCTTTCGGCACATGGTCAAGTGTCAACACCATGGCAGTCTTCGCGAAGCGCATTTTCACTTCTCAGTCAACCACCCCCAAATTCACAAGATCTAGCAAGACCAGCTCTTCACTAGGTATACGCCCAAACACCACATAAAAGTCTATGGTCCAAGGGGTCGAGAGTGCTTATCCACAACTCAATGGGCAAAAACTACCGGTTTACACAAATCATACTCAGAGAATAAGAGCCACAGGCATAGTCATCCCATGAGAATGGATTAGACAGGTCTCAGCGGATATCACAAAGAACCCAGTAAAGATATTTCAACTGTTTTTTTTTTCATTGTGTAGGGACCGGAAGCTCCGACACCAGCGTTCCTCGGGTACGTCCGGAAAATGCGAGTTCGACTTGACCGGCGAACAGTCACAGCCGCGGTTGACAGGTGTAAGGATGGATCCTCCTCCGGCATCAGCACGCGGAGGCATCCCCGTGTCGGCTCGCAGAAGGGATCAAGCCCATGCCATAAAATCCCCCTCAACAGTTGGTTTTGCATGCATCAACCAATCGCGCCGCACCCCGAGCCTCGAATCATTCCATGGTCACCCGATTTACAGAGCCTTCTTCTTGTCGCCCTTGGAGACGTCCACGACCTTCAGAGCTGTTGGAGGAAAGAGTTGTCAGTATAACGGATCCCAAGTCCTCGACTGCACCCATCGCTGATTATCTCGTGGTTCCGAGATTCATCGTATCGCCATCCAACATCACAGCAAGGAAAATCGATCACGGGTTCGACGCACCAGGGGGCAGGCTCTGCTTGAGCTTGTCGGCCTTGTCGGAGTCCTTCAGGACGAGGGAGTAGAGGCTGCGGTTGCAGCGGACCTTGAACTTGATCTGCTGGCTCTTGCGGTTGCGCTTGATGCGGGCAGCTGGAAACGTAAATCACACGGTCAGTACCCATCAGCCACGCTCGGAAGCTTCCCCAGCACCCCAGCACCACATTTCCCCTCATGGCACCCCGAGATAAGACGTACATGAGGCATCCTTGCGGCGGCAGATCTCAATGAACTGCTTGATATCGGAGACTTCGCGAGGCATGATGACGGTGATGTGGTAAAGCAAGGTGGAAGATAAGAAACGCGCTGACGACACCCGTAGACTACTTCGGTGAATGATGTGTGCGGATCGGGAGCTCTAGGGCTTTGGGCCGAGGAAGCCCTGCTTAGTCATGATTCGGCGCTGTGGATGTGGCGGGTGCTATGGCGGGGCAAAGTGGTTGACGGTGGCTGGTGTTTCCGTTCGCTCATCCAGATCCTCGGGGATGCTGAATGGCAAGTAGTCCATCGTCACTGGCTTGCGCTCAACCTGTGACCTCCCTCTGCGCTCATTGTACCCTGGCCATCCCCGTGTAGATTGCATACTCCCATGTCGCGAGTGCAGTCTCGCGGGCCTGGCAAGCGAAGCATCAGTGCTAGGCTCGGCGGCCTCCAGATCGATGCTGTGAACTGATGGAGCCTTGTCGGTGACTTGCACATGGATTCGATATCGTCTCCAGAAGTTTAGACTAGGAGGACATTAACCCTGCATTCCTCATGGACCTGGAAGGAATGACGCCCTACCCGTGGATCAGGGCACCTCCCACGGCCACAATGAAGGTGATGGATGTCAGAGCCAGCAGTGCCTCGTCGGTGGAAGACATCTTTTGGGTATATATATATATACCGAAAGCTGTCGGTGATGGTCTACAGCAGGAAGTGGAGGTTGGTATAGATATACGATGCACGATGTAAAAACGAATGGATGCTTGAAACAAAACGAGGCGGAAGGACAGTGCGAAAATGCAAAGACCTTTCTGCCCACGCATTCAGCTTTCCTACAAGCAAAAGCTGCGAGCTGCGACAGCATGGCAGGTGCAATCCATCCAGTTGCGGGATCGTAGACTGTCGAGTGGCGGTGGCGGTGTGAGCTTATCGTACAGTCCACGTACTTCGCATGGTCCTTCATCCTCACTTCGATGGTTACATTGCCCCAGCTTCAAGTTATTCTTATACTTTTCCCAGCTAAACAGTCCTTGAATTAATTACTTTTCAATATGCCAACCCAGTTGGATCGAGCGCTGAATTCCAAGGTACCCAATACACTCATTTATGATCCGAGCCATGCTAATGTTCTATAGAATTTGTTCCTCGGTAAAGATCCCAATAGAAAAGGCCACACATGGAATAGACCAGCACCTATCTAACCGATCGCTCAGGATTTGCGGGAATGGTCACGGCGGTGGCTGCCTGGTCAATCTGGGGCAGCGATGTATTCCCGGCTGAGCCAGATCCAACTGGAGGTGTGTTTCCATGCAAGCTTCATCCGAGTATGCGCTAAAGACGACTAGATCCGGAGAAATGGACAGCGGATGAAATGAAACGATGGCTTCGTGTGGTGAGCTTGGGATTGATTCTCTGCCTTGCCGCTTTCCAACTGACCAACACCAATTTCAGAGAGGGCTGTTGCCGGGTGAGAGCGCGACGCGCGAGGAGCTGCTCGAGAGAGTCAAGGCGAATCTGCGCGTGTCACGCACGGCAAATCCATCAACCGCCCAATAGTGAAAGCCGATTATGTACGTCTTTTGTGTATGTCCCAGCTCTTCGGCGTTCTCATCTCGAATGTGGTGGGCATAGCCGCAGTACTTTCTTGGTTCTGTTGCGCTGGGTTCTCGGGTTTCGGGGGTATTGTCGTATCAAGTGTCATCCACGTCGTTCGCACGCCATTAGAGGCTCTAGCGTCGCTTCCAATATTCAACTGCCTCGGTTTTTAGGCGACACTCATACCACCAGTCGAAAGTTCTGGCTCTGGATAAGCCAGTCGCGTCGTTTCCCTCGGTCCGCAGATGGATTGGGCACCAGCACAAATGTTTCGCTGAATCCTCGCTGCGGTTGATCGCGAGACTCTCCGTATCGCACATGCCCACTGACAATGACAAGCACCGACATGTCCTTAACTCCCATCTGTGCGGAAGGCTTCACGCCGGTGGCCGTGGTCGTAGGGTACGCTCGATTGACGACTTGGCAATCGAACGACTGCACTTCATAGTGGGCGGGAGGCATCTGGTTCACAAATATGTCCTGAACCGCAGCGCCATCCGCGACAGTGTTTCCATTGAATAGAATCGTAGAGGGCGTGGGCAAGTAGAACGAGCCGATGGCGTCGCGGTTGGATTGCAGAGCCGGGTAGAAGGACTGCACGAACTCGGTGGAAGCTGTAGTCGAAGAGGTGCTGTATCAGTATACGTCGTAGAATTTCCAGACTGGGAGAAACTGTGCAACAGACCATCAGTAGACACTTTGGTCAGGGTGTCGTCGTTGGTGGCGGCCATTGTAGACGACTCGGGATGAGGTCGGCGAGGACGGATTTGCGTGGTAATCTGTGTGAAGCCAAAAACAGGGAAAGAATAAAGCCAAAAATGGCCAAAGTGAGAACAAGTCCTCGAATATATACACGCGTGGGTAAGTGCTTGAGGCAGAAGATGCGAACGCGAAGGGGAAAAAATGCCCGGAGCTTGGACCATCCGGGGATCGATCGGGATACACCCTCCTCCACTCTCTCTTCCCTCCAGATTCTCGCTCAATGGCTTCAACAAGGACGCCTTTTCGTGCCCTGTCGAGGGCTTCCCAGTTTTTGGGCTCGAGACGACCATGGACGTGCGCATCCTGCAAAAATGGGCGAACAACCCCCCGACGCGGGTTTGCGACGGCGCCGGAACAGCCTCAGAAGCCTTACTATGTGACAACACCGATTTTCTACGTCAACGCCGGTGAGTTCGTCTGGCTTTTTATTCTCTCAACTGTATTCTGACCATTTTTGTTTGTTAGCACCCCATGTTGGCCATCTGTATACCATGGTCATCACCGATATCCTCAAAAGATGGCAGGTCCTACTCGGGAACACGAATGCTCAGCTGTTGACTGGAACCGATGAACATGGAATGAAGGTACCGAGAATAAATGAGGACTCGTGGGGTTTGGGTTGACACTCGACAGATTCAGCAAGCTGCCATCCAGGCGGGGATGGACACCCAAGCGTTTTGCGATATGAACTGCCGGACCTTCGAGGTGCGTATGCCGTCGCATGTTCCTTCACTCAGTGTGCACCTTCTTCTAAAGACATATAAATATAGGCTCTAGCCAAGGCAGCGAACCTTGACAACGATCACTTCATCCGAACCACCGACCCGACACATCGAGACGCCGTTCAATATTTCTGGGTAGGCAACTATGATTCCACTGCTGGCCCTGATGGTCGGAAGATAGCTAATTGCAAGTAGGATATGTTGAAACACCGAGGTTATATCTATGCCTCCAAGCATGAGGGCTGGTACTCGGTGAGCGACGAAACGTTCTACCCGCAATCGCAAGTGCAAAGCTCATTGGATCCATCCACGGGGAGGAAACGAATGGTGACTAAAGTTCTGGCTCGCTGCACATTTCGAATGCTTACCTTGGTCAGGTTTCGGTTGAAACAGGCAAAGAAGTGGAATGGTCTTCAGAGACCAACTATCACTTCCGTCTCTCGGCCTTCAAGGACCGGCTCCTTGAACTGTACAAACGACAAGAACAGTTCATGACGCCCCAAACATACACGAACTCTGTCATCAACTTTGTATCGTCGGGCCTGCAGGACCTCTCTATTTCCAGGCCAGTAGAACGATTGACCTGGGGCATCCCAGTCCCCGGTGACGACACGCAAACCATCTACGTGTGGTTGGATGCGCTAGTCAATTACTTGACCAAGGCGGGATATCCTTTCCCTCCCGGGCAAGAAAACGCCTCCATCTGGCCTGCCAATGTCCATGTAGTTGGAAAGGATATCGCGCGGTAAGTCCACGAATTCACCCGAACAGACAAGTCTGGAACTAATTGCTCGTTAGTTTCCATTGCGTTTATTGGCCTGCATTTCTCATGGCCCTTGATCTGCCCTTGCCCCGGAAGGTCCTTGTACACGGACACTGGACGATGAATCGCGAAAAGATGTCCAAATCCACCGGGAACGTGGTGAACCCGTTTTTCGCCATTGACCGCTTCGGGGTAGACACCATGCGATTCTTCCTAGCCTACCGCGGTGGTCTCTCGGACGATGCCGATTTTGACAACGCGTTCATCATCCGCGATTATAAGAAAATGTTACAAGGGGGCATGGGTAATCTCGCAAACCGCACCATCGGTTGTGCCCGTGGGAAGTTACGCTCGCACATCATAGACGCTGCATCGGGCCAACTCCCGCCTGCAACACCCGAGGATCTGGATCATCAATCCATGCTGGAACACACACCATCCAAGGTTGCCGAGCACATGGACGGCCTGAACCCACGAGCCGCGCTGCAGGAGACTATGAGCATAATTGAGAAGGTAAACAGCAGAAAGCCCCCCGCGTTTCATTGAATTGGTCCTAATTTGTATTCCCTTCAGACCAACAAATACTTCCATGCGGCGGAACCATGGAAAGGCCCGGAACCCCAAAGGGTTCTCTACAATGTCGCAGAATCGCTTCGGATCTCCGGCATTCTGCTTCAACCCTTCATGCCTTCCAAGGCAGACGAACTCTTGACTCTTCTCCGCGTAGACACGGACGCCTCCAAGCGGGCATTCTCGGCGGCGGTCTATGGCAAGGACCCAGACTACGGGGAGGGCATGAAGAGGGGCATTCTTTTCCCTCCGTTGCTTGCTGAGGAATAAATTGTAGGGTCCGCCGACCTTTCGATTTGATAACAAGAATGCTCCACGGGCCAATCATGGCTGGCCGAGAGCTCCGGTCTGAATAACGATTTGCATCGAGTTGCACCAGAGGTTTTCCCGGGTCCTCCACATCGCCAACGCTGAGTTGCCAGGTTTTCGAGCCTATCCAATTCGCGATGTCATCGTGACTCCACCATTGGCACCCGCAAGGTTATCGGGAAACAAATGGACCAGAACCGTGGGTGCCACCGGCCTAACCCTATCGCTCGTCGGGGACGGAAAAGTCCTTCGTTTCCCGTCGGAAAACCTTAGGCCGTCTGTATATCAAAACATTGTCTCATTATTTGTATAGTACTCGATTCTGAACATTTGAGAACTCGGCTGTGTCTGATGTTTTCTTATCGCTCTATTTTTGTTGGATTCTATACCACACCGACATCCGCGTAACGCCTCTATCTATCCCCAAAACATTTTGCTATTCTGGGAATCTTGTCTTTTTTTATACTTCTGTTCTTGCCACTTTCTTTGAGCAACATCTCTTCTTTCTTCAGGCGCTTTCCACCATGGGGAGCATCACGCCTTCCGTTTCCGACCCGAAGCAGGTCTTTAAAACGCCATGGATCGAGACTCCACTAGTCGAGTCTGCCTGCCTCTCCCGGGCAGCTGGATGTAGGATCTTCCTGAAGCTGGAGAACGTCCAGCCCAGCGGCTCCTTCAAATCGCGGGCTATGGGCAACCAGATCCTGTCGCATCTACGCAACCCAGCATACGCCAACCGCCCAGTCCATTTCTACGCTTCGTCCGGTGGCAACGCCGGGCTGGCGGCCGTATGCGCCGCCCGGAGCCTGGGCTACCCATGCACCGTGGTGGTGCCGGTGTCCACCAAGCCGTTGATGCTGGAGAAACTGCGGGCGGCTGGGGCCGCGGACGTGGTTCGCCACGGCGAGACGTTCTCCGAGGCTGGCGAGTACATGCGGGAAGTCATCATGAAGAATGGCAGCCCCGGTGAGGAGGACGTGGCCAAGATCGCGCTGCATCCGTTCGACAATCAGCCCATCTGGGAAGGTAATAGCACAATCGTCGACGAGCTGGAGAAGCAACTTCCGCGCGCTGCCAGCGTTGAGGAGGACGAGGTTTACCGAGGGCGGGCGCTTCCTCTGGACGCAGTGCTCTGCAGTGTTGGAGGTGGTGGGCTTCTTAATGGTCTCGTCATGGGCCTTGAGAAGCGAAGGTGTCAGAAGCAGAAAGACTATACCAGCGTTAACCACTCCTCCTCTTCCTCCTCCTCCCAGCCCAGTCCAATTCACCTTCTCGCCATCGAAACGGCTGGTACCGATTCTTTGGCCGCCGCTGTCGCCAAAAACTCTCTCGTCTCCCTCCCCAGGATCACCTCCCAAGCCACCTCGCTCGGTGCCATCCGCGTATCTGAGACCACCTTCCAGTATGCCGTCGCACCTCCGCCGGGAATCAAGGTACACAGCACCGTCCTCTCAGATGCAGACGCAGCTCGAGGGGTTCTCCGCCTCGCCGATGACGAGCGGCTCCTGGTCGAGCTGGCATGCGGCGTCTGCGTGGAGGCGGCCATTGGCGACGCATCTACAGCAACTTCTGTATCGGGGGCGGCCGGCACCGGAGGCCAAAGCACCAAGAAGCGGAAAAGGGGCTCTGGCAGCCCCTCGGTCTCGCACCGCGATGAAGGGTACGGCGATGACCGGTTGTCTTCGACGGAAAACGAGACGGACCAAGAACATGACCCAGATACCGGCGATGCCGTGTCATCTGCGGTTCCCCGGTTCCAGTCCAAACTCAAGCAACTCGTCCCGGACCTCAACCCACAGAGTAGAGTTGTGATCATCGTCTGTGGTGGGAGCAATGTGACCATCGATATGGCGGGCGAGTGGCGCAAGATGCTGCAAGAGGGGTGGGTTTGACCCCTCATGGTAGTGAGGATCTGATCTTGTTTTCTTCGCATTTATATACCTGGACTTGCTTTTTTGAATATTGGTTAGCACTACATGGCTTGCTTACGGGATGTATGTAGGCAATCTCGGGCTTGGTAGTTCACATATACACTGCATGTTGATTCGAGACTTAATTGAATTGAAAAGATTCCCAGCATAACAAGCGGTACCAAGCACCAGATTCCTTCCCATTCCATTCGGACATAAACATCTCAAGCTTTCCACTTCATACTGCCACCTGATCGAGCATGCGAATCCGATAATCCCAATAGTTCTTCCGAATAGGATCATACTTCTCCTTGAGAAGAGTAAACATATCAACAGCCCGCGGCCGCCTCTCCCCACCGGCACTCTTCGCATAAACATCCGCCAACCACTCAACGGCATGCGAGCTCTTAACAGCCCCATCATCACCCACAAACATTCCCACAAACCCCTCCCACTCCTCCAAATCCCTCGCAGCAGCATGCAACACCCCACGTGCATACCACCACGGACTCCGATTCTCCGGCGCGCGCAGAATCTGCTCCTGCGCATACTTCAGCTCCGCATCAACAAGCTCCTCATCAACAACAGGCAGCCGCCCCTTGTCGGCTGTCGAGGTCGTCATGTCGCCGGCATTGGCGAGTCCCGCGTCGGGCTCGGCGGCGTCGCGGGGCCCGAAGCGGAGCATGTACCGGTGGTTCCAGGCGGAGTTGTTGCGCACGTCGGCTTTGAGGAGTGTGTGGGTGTCGTCGAGTTCTTGGGGTAGGTCCCAGAGTTGGAAGTGGCGCACGAGCCAGTGTCGGTAGGTCCAGACGTGGTAGTTCTTAGAGTCTTGGGCGAACATCTCCATTAGGAAGTCTAGTTCTTTGGGTGGGAGCGTGGGGAAGTGTGTTCGGGAAGACATTAGGACTTGGCGGTGGTGCCTGTTATATATATGAGCTTTGTGTTTCTCTCACCACTGCTTGTTTCACTGTTTCTTGTGTGTGGCTAGCTGGGTAGGACGTACCAGATCTGGTAGTTTTTCAGGTATTTCAAAGATACTCCGTTCAACCAGTTTAGCTCGTCGATTAGATCCTTGTCCAGGGCGAAGAGGATCTTTGCACGGTAGATCCTGGGGATAATGTTAGTATATCATTCACATGAAATGTATCCCAAAACTCAAAAAAAAAAAAAAAAAAAAAAAGGATATACATGTATAGAACAATATATCAACATACCATACAGTATAATGCGCCGGGTTCATCGAGATCACATCCTCAGTCAGCTTCAGCGCCCGCTCCGACATCTCATTCGCGGCCATCACAGCTCGCAGATACGAGGTTGCCTCGAGATACTCGGGCGGGTAGGCGATCGTGGCCAGCGGCATAGCGCCAGAGTCCGAGCCATCGTCCAGGGGAATCGGAGTGACAGACGCCCACTCGGGGTCATTGGCATAGCTGTGCTCTTCTTCCATTTTGAGGGACAGTGTGCTGAGAGGACTATGGGAAATGCGGTTGAGAGCAAAGTGATGGGAATCAGCGGGAAGATATAAGCCGGCTCGAGCAGACCCAAGAGCAAGACTGCAACGCAGCGGATCTTTCAGGCTTTAAAAACAAGACAGCCGACTCAAATCTGGCGAGACAATCGCGAGGATCAAAGCAATACGCGCAGTGCTTGGGGTGGAAGTCGATGAAAAGGCGAGGTGGGGCTGACCCACCCAAAGAAACAGAACAATATCAACGCTCCCATTCTTCTTCCCTATTCTTCCTAGTTTTCCATATTCATAATCATATTTTGGCTTAGATTCATTCTACTGGTAGTTCCAAAGTCTCTTGCGTTCCTCCACCCACCACCTCCCCACTTTCTCCGCATCAGCCACCCAGTCCGCGGCTTTGTCTCCATGTTCGCGCCGCACGCGGTGAATGACCTCCACGACGGACCAGCCACGCAGAGGACTCACTTCGTGCGGGTCCATGTCGAGATTCGAGAATACAAACTCAAAGTCCGATTTAAGCGGCAGGATCAGCCGATAGGGAACTGCCGCAGATCCAACGCTGAGCATCGTGCCGCCGGCATTGATGACGCCGAAATTCCACGCTTGTCGGCCTTGGTGGGTGGCTTGGTACGGGCGAATCAATGATTGGCCCTCGTATTCATTCAGCAGGTCAATCACGACGTCTGTGTCTGCTTGGTTCAGGGATTGGGTCGTCGCCAGCAGATCGAGGATGGTCGGCAGGACTGACATCGAGGTTGCGTTGGCATTCACCTGGATGCGAGGCAGTAATGGATGCCGGAAGACCAGTGGCACGCGGAAGTTGCTGATGTGTCCGTTCTCGTAGGTCCCGGATACCGGGGCATCTTCGTGGAATGCCTGGCCGCTAGATTGGAGGTCAGCTTGTCATAGATGGTAGTTCCTGGATTGGTGTGCCATACTGGTCTCCCACAAACACCACCAATGTTTCATTGGCAATTCCGACCTCATCTAGCACCCCCAGCATATCTCCTAGCCATGAGTCCACATAGCGGACCGTGTTGAGATAGCGGTTCATGTCCTCGTGTTTCGTCCGGACACCGTCATCGGCAAAGTATTGCTCATCGGGAAAATCTGAGGGTGTTTTCCAGGGATGGTGGGTGGTGCTGGTGAAATGCGACAAGAAGAGCCTTTCGTTGTCTCTCACTGTGTTGTTGACCACGTCCCGCAGATATGGATACACCTCACGCTCGGCATACCTGGATTGTGGTTAGCATTTTGCATTAAAGCCCGTCGTAGAGTCCCAAGGCAAGGGCGGGAACTTGACGAACCCAAAGTAATTAATCTCCTTCATGTCATCGTGGTGGTATTTGGCCTCGTTCTGGCCAATATCCTCGCGATATATGGCCTTCTTGAAGCCCATCATCTCATTGAGAATGTTCTGGTGGTCATACATCCCCGTGGCAGTCTGCAAGAACACAGAATTCCACTTGCGATTGTGAATGGGTTCGTTGTCCTTACCAGATCCAGAGGCACCTGCATCTGTCGAGTTCTCTTTGAGCCGGTTTAAAAGATCGAGGATCTGCATAAAACACGGCTGGTAGATCTCAGTTTCCACTTCCTTCAAGAAGTTGACGGGAAGTGGTCCCACGCCACAATGGTTCATGACAACACTTTTGAACGACAGGCTGCTGCCAGTGAGGACGCCATTGACGTTGATACCGCCCATCCCGGGCTCTGCAGTATCTTGCCATGTCTTATTCGTTGAGGGGTTCTCGCTCTGCGAAAACCCGCCGGACTCGCCGGTCAGTTTCTCCGCAATGGGTGTCAGGCGAGATAGCCTATCGTTGACCTCTTGCAGGGCCTTTATTTCTTGATTGCGGTATGAAGAAAGGATATCCCGATGCAAGTGCGAGCCGTATTTGAAGGGGAAGATTTCTTTGCGGGCACTCTCCATCATCACAAGCACGACATGGTTGATCGGCACCGGGTGATCCTTGAGAGCCCGGGTCAATGGCTCCAACACTTTGTGGTCGAGATTGGTGATCCGCAGGGGGTCGTCCACGGGATTGTAGAAGTGCTTCGAAGTGCCGTTCTTGGGATCTTCGTGCTCTCCAGGTTGAGCGTCCCCTCCCGAGTTAGGGCTTGGATCAGTCCAGCGATGGAAACCGGGTGGCAAATTCCCAAATGCCCAAGAAGGACGAGTTGTTTTGTCCGCATATACAAGCCCCATGCCAGGTGCCCAGCCCTTGAAATGGCCATTTGACCCCTCCCAATTCTCCTCTCCCAACCCATCCTGTAATGGAAACACGTGATCTCCAGGCTGGTGTGTGATAGCTGGTTTTGGCCGCAAGGCCTGAAAGAAAGTGAACGGCAGAGACCCAGACATATGGGTATATGGAACCTGGGGCCTAAGCAGGTACAGCCCCAGGGTACCAAGCATGGCGCACACCGTCCAAAATCGAATGAGGCCCCTTTTGCGCGGTGGCTGCTCCACAGTTGTGATCGGTAATTCCTCGTCTGAATTATTGGTGGCAGCTAGACTGAACAACGCAGAGATCCAGTTGTTGATCCACACAGAAAGTCCCGGTGTGACGAGCCATGATATGATAGCGAGGACTACTGCTGCCCCCAGAAATGAGCCCAGCCCACTGAAAATCAACTTCCTCCCTTCTCGGTCATTTCCAACGCTGGCGGCGGCATCCCAGCGGACCTCGCTGCCAGCTATCAGGTAAAAGGCGGTTTGGGATGCGGAGAGAACGAAGGTCAAGTACCTATGATACCATCAGCTGACTTGGTTTCAAACCCAGCATTCAACCAACTGACGTTATGAGCACTGTCACTGCTGTTCCCAGAACAGACGGTACTCCAGTTGTTTTATGCAACAATGCCCATGCCCCTACAATAAGGAGCGCCTCTTGGAGGAAGAACGTGGGGAAATATGCGACAAAGGAAGTTGGAGGGATTGAGATCGCATGCTGGAAGAGATGGAGTCCTTTCGAAAACAGCACTGATACAGCCAGAACTGAGAGAACGAGGGGCCGTAGAAATGATGGCCGGGAGATGATCATGATGGGCAGTAGAGCTCGAAGGTCTTATGGGCGCACATGGCGCGGTAGAGTTCTCCAACTCTGGGTCTGGACTAACAGCAAGGAAAAAAAGAGTCAATAGCTAGAGAGAAGAGAATTATCGAAAGTATGGTCTTACTATCTTCTGTGGTGGATGTCCAGCTATCGGATGCCGGCTCCAAGAGCTATGAGGAAGGAACAAAGCATCATGCAGGCTGCAGTGAATTGGTATGGCTGTCTAACAGATGGAACAGTAGCCAGGTAAGGTGACCCTACGTTTTTCTGACATGGTCCTTTCATCCTGTCGAGCAAAGGAGATTCTCATCCCTTCGATCCCGAGCCTGGACAGGGAGGCTATGTGGAGTCGTGATTCAGCTCCATGTGCAATGTTGCACAATACTTCAAGCAACTAATAAAGATATCATCTTCCGAGGTGGTTAATAGATTGATTTAGATGTAGTTGCAGACATAATGCTGCACATCACACCAGTAATGACAGCAGTAAGAAGCATGAGGTCCCATCTATCACCCTTCCTTCTTGGGGTGGTCCACATACCAAGCCCTGTCTCTCGCATTTGAATCTGATCAGTACCTTGCCTCAAGTCAAAGTATTCCTGTAACTGAAAACTTAGAATATTGTCCTATGGACACTATCTAAAGGACTTATGAATATCTATGCTGGAAGGCCAAGACACAGTGATTCCAGAAATAAACTCCCGACACCCTCCAACTGGACTAAACAAATAGCACTGCATCACATTGTGCCACATACACATGGTGGAACTGGGTTGTCCTTGGAGCCATGCAACAACATACCTTCCGAAGTCGAGATCACCCCTTTGATCATTCAATTATTCCAAGAGTACCTCGTTCTCTTTGCGATTGATGCTTATCAGTGCACTAAGTAAATTGTTACAATACTACTGATATTTAGTATAATTTACTAGAAATAGTTAATTGGTTATTCTTGTATAATATTCCATTCAAATAGGGCGACAAAAGATGAAAAAAAAAAAAAAAAAAAACGGAAAGGGGGAACAAGGATAGAGGAAAGTTTACTTAAAAAGGGGCTCTGGTGCTCCCTTGCTGCCTAGATGAGTTAGAAGAAAGATGTGAGCTCAGATCTCATTGAGATATACTTGATAGTGTTGAAAAATGCAAGGTCTCTGGCAAAGAAGTTCTAGAAGACTAATCGAGACTGCTATTTAGGTAAAAAGCATCTAGTCCGCGGGATGAACTATGTCAAGTCGGGTACTAGAAGTTGATTTCAATCTGATTAAAAAAAATACGCTTTGCTTTATGCTGCGCTTATAACAATAGACTTGGTCTATGTTTCACAACAAGGCGAATAGCAAACTAACGCCGCCAAGTTCTCGAGCCATCCAATGTCGTTCATTTGCCAAGTGTTGGCTTTGGGGGCTAATGAATATTCTAAACCCCAGAGTACATCATTGCCATGTTAAGCAAATAAGATCTCGAAGGGCTCAATTTGCCGGCTGTCATCCGGATAGTCCACTCGTGGTTTTCATATCTGAATGTCCTATCAACTCCGTAAATTTAAATTTATATTGGCCATCTGCACCCGTCTCCACCACTCTTTGAACCTCATGGCCAATATAGAATGAATGAATGACCAGGACCGATTTCTTGAGTCATGCAAGTGTCAAATAGCATACCCCACTGCTAGCGTATGCCACCTGGGGGCCAGTTAGCCTTGCTCTCACCGAGTTGAGTCCTATACCCGAGGCGGTTTATGTTCTTCCTCTCGTATTCTCGTATATTCTCACTATTATTTTTTTTCTTTTGTTCTCCCCTCAACACTGATATATGCCCAGAAAGACGAATCTTTATCATGCGCGCTTTTCATTACATTGTCCTGTTGGCAGTAGCGCTCCCTAACAATGTATGTTTCCTCGACCAGGATTTTCTTTATTTTAAATTTCAGTACATTTCTGACCTCAAAGTCCCTGGATTAGTAGGTTTCTGCGGAGGTTTTTTGCCGCACCGATTCCGAAGAGCCTGCTCAGATCAAATACGTCAAAGCGGGCAATACATACCTCCACAAGCTGGACGCGGATGGGGCTTCAGCGCCGGTGAATGATGCTGGCCGCTGTGCTCAAGTCGCTTGCTCTTATAATACGGCTATATTGTGGTGTAATGACGTGAGCCTTTCATCCCTCTCTATCTGCCTGTCTGTCTGTATAGATGGTTTGTGGGGTACATAGCTGACACGGGGGTTTATTGATATAGTCCAAAGAATATAAAGAACTGCCCAACTACGGCGTCATTGCTGACTCGGCCCAAACCATCTTGGACGAATGTGCAAAGGACGGGGAACACACAATTGCGGGCACGGAGACTCACGGCGATGGATGGTCTGGCAGAATTATGCACACACCTTGCTAGAGTGAACGGTGCACATCACTATATGATACTTGGGATTGAGAATTGTGGGTCTTCACAATTACAGCTATAGCTGTACCAGGTAGAATCTCAATTCCTTGGGTTCTCGTTCATCTATCGGTATGTAGATATATCTGTGTATTCTCGTCCATCTCCTGGTAGCATACACGGCCTCAATATTCCTCCCAATCAACCCGAACCAAAGGTTTCTCCACCATTCTCAAGATAGGCAATCTCCTCAGGAGTCGACTTCCGGCCCAGCGCTTGGTTGCGGTGCGGATACCGTCCAAACCGCTCGATGATGACCTTGTGTCTTTTTTCAAAGTCAAAAGTATTGGTCAAGAATGCCCGGAGTGCCTCTTGCTGACTAGATAAAACGTCATGGCATTTCCTTTCATCCTCCGAAAGACCTGGGACATCCCGAGCAATAAACTCTTCCATATCTCGGGTGGTGATTTCATACCCTTCAACCGCTTTCTCGTGGACCCTCAAGCTTTCAGAGTGCATGAGAGGCATGTGGAACCAAACCCGATACGCCAAGCGGTACCGCACAGACGGACATTGGGTCGGGATGCCCGTGTCGATGGCACGCAAAGCAATTTCCTCGGCCAGGGGATCAAACCGCGTAAAGACTAGCTTGGCCTCGTCTCCGCGGTAGCAATTGCGGGGGATCTGATCCAGGAGGAGAATCAAGCTCAGCCACGCAAGGGGAGTATCTGGGTTGGCCGCGTTGAGGATGTCGGTAGCAGAAGCTCCAGATTCAATGATGGCTTCTAACGCGGAACGGAATTGCGCCCTAATTTCGAGACCCATGAGTCTTGTCGCTTGGAAATTTACAAATTTGCATAGCTGTAAACTTACACGCAGGCCCGATCGAAATCGGCATCGCGCATGAACCAACGCTGCATGTCGCTCTGGCCCGGTAGCACTCGCGACGCGTCGCCGTCGAGATGGTCAAACCAGAAGCTGCGGACATCGTCGAGCAGAGCTGGGGTCAGAGACTGACTGAGCAAAGAGGACGCGCTGGCCATGGTTGTGGGTGTCGAACGAAATGCACGCAGAGCACCCGGTATGCGGAGATGCTGGTGCGGAGGCTTTTGTATTGTGTGGGCTCGAGAGCGATTGGAGACAACCCGACTGGTCTGCGATATGGGCTTCCACGCTGATAGTGCTGGCAGGGTCAGTCTACTAGTGCTTGTCTGGATGTATGTCAGCTATTTGTTTTTATTGGATGAGCAAAAGTGCCAAACCTTGGTCGTGCGAACGAGATAAGCCATGGTCGTTGGGGAAAAGACGGATGCCATGGCGATGTTCCATGGAGTTGATATCGAGATGTTAGTCAGCTATGGACCCCCCCCCCCCCCCCCGTGCTCACCAACATCGACATCGAGATAGTTTTTCGAGGAAGTGAGGAATTAAGCGTGAACATAGGGAAAAGGAACGTCGATCTCAATCTGAGCCCTCAACGTCAAGCCTTGACCCACCAGGCCAAGGTACCCCGATAAGCCAGTCTCCCCGCACGCCCCTCGTCTCCCGCATCTCTCATGGCGTTGCTGGGTGGTTCTAACAGTTTCCTCTGGTGGGTGTCTATCCACGATGCGACGAGTCAAGAAATCCCGCAACGGTTGTGCGAGATGCAAGAGCAAACGGGTGGGTCTTCCCAAGCTGCCAGGATCCTCCTGCCTGTCACTGACATCCGGCGTCTAGGTCAAATGTGGCGAGGAAAAACCGCACTGTACCCGCTGTACTCGTCTGGGGGTGCGATGTCCCGGGTATGTTCAGTCGTTGCGCTGGGTCACCAAGTATGAACAGTCCAGCTCCGCCGCATCGATTCCAGATGCTACAGCACCGAGTCCTGCTGCTTCTTCTGTCCATGCGCCACAATCAAAATCGGGTGATCGGGCTTTGCCGCCGGCCGATAACGCTGATGCAGGCCCGTCGCATGACGCAAACACGCCAGCGTTCGGTTTTGATGAGTCGAACGCTCTCTGTGACAATCTGTGGCATCTCCCGGGCCATGGTTCCCTGCCCGAACTGACCGACCTATGCCCACCGCCCTCAGTGCCGGCGCCATCATCATCCTTTGTACAGCCCGGGGGCTCGGTCTACGATTTTGGAACGTCAGGGGACACAGCCGCAGATCTCTCGCGTATCCTATCTCTCATCGGGCCAGCTCCGAACGAACAGGAAATCGGTGGCGTATACCGAAACTTCTCGCCCTCGGCCATTGTGCGCAGCTATCCTCCCACCGCACCGCCTCCACCGCGCGATTTTATGTCTATCTCACGCCCACTGAATAACCCATCATGGACGCTGATCGAGTACTACTTCAAGGAAGTGGCAGCTTTGTTCTCAAGCTACGATAGTCAAATGAACCCGTTCCGCACCACAGTCTCCCGGCTATGGGGATCTTCGTTGGCAATGTGCCGGACAATGCAAAGTATGGCAGCCGCCACGCTGGTCAACGACTTCCCGCAGTTCGGTCCGATGGGCCGCAAGATGCGTAACGAGGCCGTCGACATCATCACACGCGACGCGGTAATGGATGACAAGGCGCTGCTGGCGCTGCTCATGCTCGGGCAGACAGCGAGCTGGCACGACCCAACGGACCTGGGCATTTCATTCTTCAATCTGCTCCGCAGACAGCTCAACTCAATCGGCTCGTCCAACAGCCCAGCGTTTGGCTCCATACCTAAAGATTGCGGTAACAACTACCGCTTCTTTGAAGAGGCGCTTATCTACTGGGAGATGCTGCTCTCTTTCGTCGCAGACAATGACTCCATGGTGCTATCGGACCACTCCCGCGCCGCGTCCTCGGGCGAGTCCCTCGTCCTGCAGCGCGTGCCGCACCCTTGGACCGGGATCGCGCGCGATACCCAATTCACCGTCCACGAGGTAGGACGGCTCGTGCGGCGTGAACGCAAACGTATCCGCTCCCGCCAATTCACCTCGCAGGCAGACATCTCCCGTGCCCAGATGGCCGTCGAGAAGGCTCGCGAGCTAGAAGACCGCCTTCTCGGCCTTGCCCATCCGTCTGAAGCCGAGATCGTCAGCCCCGGCGACGACGACACCCCGGTCTGGCACCTGCTCACTATGGCCGAGGTCTACCGGTGCACGGGGCTGATGCAGCTTTACCGTGTGTTTCCAGACTTGCTACGCAGTCGCCTTCCTGGCCCCGATGTCACCCCTCAATGCCCTGGCAGCATGGCGTCATCATCTACTGACCCGTTCTTCCCCATTGATCTGGACAGTATGGACTTGTCTGCCGGGTTCTGCGATAATAATCCAGACGATGGCACACATCCCAATCCAAACTCCAATCTCTCGCCATCCTCAATCCCTTCCCCGGGTAATATCTATACTGGCCATTTTTCACCTGAGAATCCTCAGAATCCTCAGGGTTCTGCCCAAGAATCGGCAAACCCCTCCACCTCCTCTCCATCAAACCCCTATCCCGACTCCTTCTACGACAACTGGCTCGCCGAGTTCGCCATCACAACCCTCTCGCGCCTCAAAACCATCCCCATTGAATCCCGCACCCGCTGCCTCCAGCCCTTCCTGCTCGTCGCCTCCTGCAGCGAACTGCGACTCCCACATAACCCATCGTCAACACAGACACAACAGCATGCTTCCGACGACAACCACAAAAATGACAATATTCATTCCAATACCAACAATGATAATGATAATGAGACCCACGACAATCACCTGAACCCCAATCCCAATCCCAATAGTGATACCACCAACAACAAAAACAACAGCAATAGCAGCAGCAACAGCAATAATCCCTCTAGTTCAAACCCCTCAATCTCCATGGAAGCCATCGAGGTCCTGCGTGCGCGCCGGTTCATCCTCGGCCGCCTCACCTCCTTCCTGCACGTGCTTCCCCCGAAGCCGATCAATGTGTGCCTGCGCCTCGTGCGCGAGGTGTGGCGCCGCATGGATGCGGGCGAGGCGGATGGGTATTGGATTGACGTGATGATTGAGAAGGGGTGGGAAACGACCATGGGATGATACCTGCGACATAAAGATTGTATAAATGGACTTTGAATTTTACTTTTCTTCCCCCTGGAAGCTGCAAACTACGTAGAAGGTTGGGGATATACTTCTTTCTAGAAGGCAGGTTGGCGTTGTACATGTGCCATACCCCTTCGCTTTACAATGTTGGCAACCATGAGACTGGTTCGGTTCTATTCTATCCAGATGGAAATTGGTACTATGCTATGTCTAGCGACGAGACGATTGCAGAGATTCAAAGCTGCGCCATCGACGGATGATTCATGCCCCAAGGAACCCGAAAGAAATCAACATAGAGAAATGAGTCATAACCAAGGAAGATGCGATGCAAAGGACGAACTCGATATAAAAGGGGCAAAAAAAAAAAGGTGTATAATGCGTGGTTAATGTGTACAGAGAAAGGGACATGAATGAGAAAATTAGGACACACATGTAATCGTTGCAGCCCAAGACAATAAACATCCCCAGAAGAATGCAAGGCACTCGGATCAGGGGATGGGAGGGATGAGAGGGGTGAAAGGGGTGAAAGGCAGGTCAGAACTGGGCCCAGGAGCGCGGACAGGATTATGGACCTCGGGCTGGCAGGAAGACGTGGGTATACGCAAAGAACCGTAGAGCGTGGGACGAAATCAACAGCCAAAAATGCGAGAGGAAGCAGTTTATGCCGGAACTCGCTTCCAGAACTTCCAGCTTTCGCGCCGCTCCTGCAGCCCAACTCCGACAAGACGCTCGATGCCCTCGGGGCCCTCGGCATTTTCGAATTTTTGCTGGTCGATCTCCTCGCCGCCCTCCTCGTCAGACCCGTTGCGCAGGACCGCCGGCCAGAGGACACCAACGCCGTCGCCGCCGAGAGTAGACTCGTACTTGTTAAAGCCCTCATTGGCGAGCTTCCTTTCTAGATCACGAACCACCTCGGGCTTGGCATCAGGCCGGAGAAGGGTGATGGCACAGCCGCCACCGCCTGCGCCGGTCAGCTTGGTCCAGCCGATATCGGCATAGTCCACAAGCTCGCGGATGCGCTCCAAGCGCGGGTGGGAGACTCCTAGCGACACGAGGAAGCCGTGGTTGATGCGGATCAAGGTACCGATGTGGGCCAGACTTTCGTCTGTGCTGCCGTCAAATTCTGGGGCATCGATGAGCTGTTGCGCAGAAGCAGTAATCTGATCGATGGCATCCAAAATTGACTGGGTCACGGCAGGGTGTCTTGCCTTGAGGGCGCCCACCTTGGCGACCTCGGTGGCTGTGGACCGTGATTGGCGGGTATCGACGAGCAGGAGAGGCAGGACGGGGAAGGTGGGGAGTGAAACAACAGTCGGTGGTTTCGAGTAGTCACTGCGCCGGTAAATCACGGCCTTGCCGCCCGCGGAGACCGTGTTATCCACGCCGCTGGGGTTGCCGTGGATGCAGAGCTCTCCGACAAACGCCCAGCGATTAATGCGCTCAATCTGCGTCTCAGCCTCTTCCGAGGGTTGGTCAGGGTGCGGTCCAGCCAACGTCCGGATCTGGAGGAGCAACGCGGCGCTCAGACAAACACAGACACTGGCGCTGCTGCCCAGCCCGGCGCTGGTGGGGATTGTAGAGCGGAGGGTGTAAATGGCGCCAGGGCTTTGCGGGGACCCCAGTGAGAGGAAAAGGTAGAGAAAAGAGAAGGCGGAATTGACGCGAGTTTTGCGTTGATCCTCCGGGAGGCCCTTAGCCACGCCTTGGAGGTGTGGTTGGATGGCCTCGACGAGCTCCGGGTCGAGCGAAGTCACGAGGTCGTAATAAAACTTCTTTTTGGACGGGCTCTGGAAGATATCCCAAGGCAGGGTATCAATGTCCCATGTGTGGGAAAGGCCAATGTCTCGAAAATTCAGGGTCACGGTGCGGTGCGACTTGGAGAGGGTGGTGACTAGCAGATACGACCGCAGGGAAATGGCCGCCGCCAACGCCGCCTTGCCATAAACCACGGCATGCTCACCAAAGACAATCACCTTGCCCGGTGCCGACACCATGAAAGCCGGCGCCATGGGCGATGAGGCCTTTCGAGTCATCCCGGGTCGCTTTGGTTTCCCCGCGCCGTTCACCTGTTCTGATTCCGTGGAGGATGCGCCGTCGGAGCTTTCCTGGCTGTCAATGTCCACCGCGGTGCCATTCGTAGGCCGGGAACGGCTTGGGAGGCTCTGGTCAGCGTCGGAGAAACGGGCCACGGTGCGGCGGGTGGGGTTTGCGGCGTTGCCGTTCAATTGAGGCGTGGCAGGCTTGGTCATGGCCGGCGATTTTCCGGTTCGGAGGGGGGACTAGTAGACGCAAGGGGGGTTGAACAGAAGAAGAACGGTCAAGAGGTAAGTGAAGCAACGAACATGGCGGACCCGAGAATATCACAAAAAAAGAAACAAAGAAACAAAAAAGAGTGGAGTATAGCGAGGCTCAGGGACAACAACGTCGGGGGATTTTCCCAATGCTCAGCGCTACTCGGTATACCATGGCACGGCACCACCCAATCACCATGTGTGATTTGGCCATTGGTCATCGGTGACTAATGCAATTGAATGGGCCTGGGTTGTGTGGAAATTATATAGAAATTAGTAGGTTACAAGATATTTTAGATCTATAGAGCATAGCATCTCTAAATACTAGGCTTGGCTCGCTGGCGGCTAAGGTCATGCACTGCCGATCTCCAATCCCATGAAGTCATCCCGAGTGCAAATCTATAAACAAGATCATATTCTAAATGCTATGTACACTCCAATATCAAAATTATAAATCGTCACAGATTCATCGTCACTGTCATGCTATTGCTGTGCACCAGCAAACACGGTGGCAGTCCCTGCCACAGCACCTCCAAGTCGCTCAAGTAGGACGCACTGTCCTCCTCACGCTGCGATGTGCCCTCCACCGGAGACGGCAGTGTTGTAAAAATCACCGCTGTTTCTCCGCTCTGCTGCACCATCAGCTCGTTCAGAATCAAATGCTGCGCGCGGCTGGGCAGGTCGTTGAAAGACAGGGGCACCGCAGCCATGCCGGGAAACCCTGATGCAGTCTGGCTGCTGTACGCGCTCGGGGAAATCGGGGACACAGCAGAGGGGCGCTGAGCATAGATAGAGTCAAGTTTTTGGAATCGCGGAGGAGATGATTCCGCGGCAAACATGATCGAGGGACCGGCGCTCTCTTCTGCGTCCGTATTGACTTTAGCTTCGGGGATAGGCGAGGAGCTGAACCGGTTGCTGGACGCGGAGCGGCTCATAGTAGGTCGAGGTGCAGGGGACTTGCTCTTGGGTGAGGTACTCTCGTCGGTTGCAATGATGGATGGGATTTGCTGGGACGTGGTGTCTCTCTGGGCTGAAGGGCCAGACGGCGCTGGTGGGCCGGTCGAGGAACGGTCGCCCGGATTGCGATCTTTGCTGGCCCCGTTCTCGTCCCGGCTAGCCAACTTGTCTGCCGGGTCATTGTCCTCGTCGCCGTCGTCGATTTCCGGGTCGCTCACGTAGGGGTCCAAATCGCTGTCGTCACTATCGCTAGACGGGTCGGAGCCATCATAGTCCACAAACGCGTCCAACAGGCGATGGGTTTGCATGCCCAGATTGACCGCTCCCAGGGCCCGGAAGCTCGACACAGATCGTCGGCGTCGAGACTGGATCAACTTCCGCAACCCCGTCACTCGTTGATATAACGGCTTCGCTCCACTTTCCTGGCTAGATGGGCCTTGCCAGCTTGGCACTTTGTCTAAACGCATGTCTTCACTTGGGCTCTCCGGGTCCTGCAGATTCGGGAGCGGGTTGCGAGCACGCAAGATCCCGTGCCACCAATCCTCATCTCGTAGAGTTGCATGCACATTCTCCCGGGCATCGGCTGTCTCTAGTGAGGTGTCCCCGTTGACAACAACACAGTATGTCTTCAAATCACCACGCGCAAGCCAGAACACCAAGACTTCGGCTTGGATCCGCAATTTCTCGAGCAATGCTTCTACTCTCCCTCTTTCTTCATCCACGTCGGTCTCGTATTCAACAAATACGGCCACCCGTAATGTGTATGTCTTCTTCCACGAAGGCACAGTATTGAGAATGCAGCCGAGTTGAAGAATCAGGGTATATGTGTCGAAGTTCGTGGTCAACACGTTCTTCTTACTTTCTGTATCGGCCCCGAGCTCGGCAGACATCTGAATCGGCCACAGATCAATATACTTCTTGGTATGTCGATCATGGGGATCGGGTAGTTCAAGATCTTCAAAACCCTTGGCGACAGCAACATTGATGCGAAGCTTGAACAGGAGATCTTCCAAAATCGTTACGTAGCTTTTCCTGCTCATCGGCGTATCAGGCCCGCCTGTCTCATGATGTTCTTCATTTTGCGGTTCAGAATAGGACGAACGACGTCGGACCTTGGAATCTCTGCGGTGGGTACCCGAGGATACGGTTTCAACCAGTGACTGATCTTGCCGGAATTGGTCGAGGATAACAATGTTGGGTCGCATGCCTCCCAGGCCAGAGTTCAAGACGATATTCCGCATGCCCCATTCTGCGGCGGGGGATATGGCGATGTTCACAAAGGCTTTGATCCGGGAGTATTCGACAAGTTTCGTCCACGCGGTCTGCTGGCGGCGAGCCTCTGGAACGGCGGCGGAGAAATCGTCGGTTACCAAAACGTGGCCGAGTACAAACAGCGACCCTTTCTTCAGCGAATTGCAAAAGGAGACCATTTTGTACTGTCTGTCGAGATCGCTCACAAAGAGCAAAATCTGGGGCCGCCAGAATTTGACATGCTCCTGGCGCAAACGCAGCAGGTATTTTCGTACCTGATGGTAGATGAGACTCTGACTGACATCTCCCCATGGCTTGGGCGGCGAGTTGTAATGGATCAGGAGAAAAAGCATGAGCAAAATTCCCACACAGCCCGTGGCATACAGGCCATCCACGAAGAACATGCTGACTCCGCTAACCAGTGTGCCGGCTGCTGCAGTCTGCCAATTGAAGTAGTGGAAAGATGGCCGAAAATTAGGCGCAGACCCTATTTTCAAGAGAAAACAGGCCAGGTTGGTCACGAGAAATGTCATCAAGTAGGTCATGGTCACGAACGATGCAATGCGGTTGATATCGAAGAGCATTGTCAGTTGCGCGAATACGTAAGTCACAATGATAGCATAGATAGGCTCGTCGCTCTTGCTGGCTCCTCGGCCAAAGATGCTCAGGCCAGGAAGCAGGCTATCTCGGGCAATCGCCTGTAGAAGCTTCGCGGATCCAATAACACCCATTAAGGCAGAGAAGAAACTGGTTGCAAATTCTCCAAGGAGAATAACGGAATCGGAGGAATTTGTCTGATTTCCTATTAGATCGTGTTGGGAACACCCTTGCTGAAACCCGACTTACTATTTGAATGACGTTGACGTTGTTATATAATGATTCTCGGGTGACCGAGGCCGCCATGGCAAAGATGACAAGTGTATACGTGATAAACGTCAAGGCCAACCCCGACAAGGTGCCCTTGGGGATAGACTTGCTCGGGTTATTCAAATCCCCTGACATGCTTGCGCCGCTGTTGGCCAGTCAGGTTACCGGTCCCATTTGTAACACACTTTGACTTACGCGAAAATGCCTCCCGTGGCAGGAAAGAGAATGCCAAAAAGATCTTGAAAGTTCTCCCTCTTCTTCATTTGGCTGCCCGCAGCACCTTTGGTCAAGTGAGGTTTGAGATTCCCAAGGAGGGTCTTGACACGAAGACCGGTAAACTCAACCCCCAGGTGAGGAGAGTAGAAGGGCTTCGCAAGAAGAGCAGACAATGGAATGCTGAAAGTTGCCACAAGCAAGATCACTAAGAGTCCGTTACTTGCTCTTGCAAAAATCGAGCTTCCTGCCAGGCAAATTCCCGTGCAAAGAAGAAGAATGACGGTTCCCCATAGGTACTGCCACCAAAAGCCTTCCTCGAGGAAGTTGGCCCAAGTGCCAGACTTGGTGCCAAAGTTTTGGGTAAAGCAGTCCACAAGACCGACAGCATTCATGCCGGTGTTGAACACGTAGCCTAAGTAAAATACTATCCCGATAGAGCCCCCAAATTCGGGCCCTAAAGATCGAGAAATCAGATAGTAGGCGCCGCCGCCTCGAACAGTCCCGTTAGTTGCAATTGCAGAAAGAGACATCGTTGTAACCAGATTGATGGTGTACGAGACAATAAGTAACCCTGCATAGTGTTAGTTTTCTTTTTTCTTTTTCGGGTAAGAAATACGGTGCGAGCCTGACCTAGTATACCCAACACCCCGGCCTGGCCAAGAATAAATCCGAAGCGAAGGAACATGAGGATGCTGAGAACATTCAAGGTTGTCGGAACAAAGACACCAGAAAAGGTGCCGAGCTTCTTAGGCTCATCCACCGAGCGGGATCGATGGCCATTCTTGTCTTTCTTATCGGCGCTGGATTCACGGAGAGGGCCTGCAGACAAAGGTACATGGGAAAATATTCTCTCTCCATTCTGTTCATCGTCTTGTTCATTCTCCGGATCTTTGCTCCACCACCGAGAGAATTCACGGAAGAAGTTGGCCGGTAATGAATGGCGTTGGCGCTCCGCCGGCTCCGAAGACGAGTTCAATGGCTCATATGGACGAGACCAAATGGTGGGTGCCCAGGGAAAGAAACTGCTTCGATCGTCGGACACGCCAGGGCCCGAGTCACCGGGAGCGAGGCGCGAGTCATCTTCTTGAGCGGTGCGAGTCGAGAAATTCGGCCGTCGGCGAGCCATCGAGTGGCGATCCCCGACTTGTTCCGTCATCGGCAGCGACTGTCGCTCTCTTGAGCATGGAGACGCGGACAGAAAATATAGGCCAGGAGTCCCAATGACACTATCAACGCCGGCAACAAAAACAATCTATTGAAAACAGGAAAGATAAGAAACACCACGCGTCTGATGGATGACGTTGGCGGACAAACAGTGCAAATCGACTCGCCGCACTTGGAGACGATCGGCCCCAACGCTGCCTCTTGGCGGTCCGCGTTTGAGACATCTCGTCGCCCGCTCTTCCCCGGACTTTTCCCCCTAAACTAACCATCGTGGGCTGCAGGGTCACTCCAGAAAAATACAGGTCCCTATGCCCATTCTCCCCGCCGAGAACGTGGACATTGTGAGTGATCGCGCTCCAACATGGCAGACAACGGTGAGGGTTCGTCGATGAACCCACCTCGGTCCATGCCGATTTCTACCTCGTCGATTCGCTCGAGATCCCCTGCGCCTGATGCAGGGAGTCGACAGGCGTCCATTGCTCGACTGGCCTCCCCCATACCCTCTCCGTCTCTCGGGACGTCCATCTCGTCTCGACAGGGTATTCCTGCCAGCCGACCTGTCACCAGCACCAGTAACGAACATAATTTCCGGGCTGTCAACGACCTATCTTCGCTACCGGGTCCTGGGCAGTCGATGATTGCGTCCCAACTCCAAGAAAGCCTTGGTCGCTCGCCTCCGAAGTTTGGTACCCCAGCCCGGCAAGGCGGGTCCCCGGCGCCGCACTCGACTCTAGATAATCGGCCTGTGGTTTCGCATTATGGTTCCTTCGACCATAAAAACGGCTCTGACTCTCCGGGTGTGGTTCCGTATGAGGATCCCGAAGTGGTGAGAAGGCATCTGGTGCTCCCACAAAACGACTCCGAACACCGCGATACCCACTCGGAAATTGCAAATAGTTTTGGCGACGATGAATTCTCGAGTTTACAGCTCCAGGGCGGCGATATCACGCGGCAGGTTTATCGGTGGGCGGAAGATGCCGACCCCGGGCGATTTGCGCGCAGCAAGAGTTTCAGTGTTAGTCGACCAAATCCAGAGAATGAGACGGAAAATATCCACACAATCCGAGTCCCGGGAGGGTTCCGCAGAGACTACCTCCGAAGGACTGTGGGAAGTCCGCAGCGTGGAAGTGCCACAGGCTCCAACTCAGGTGCACCACATGGCCCGCCTCAACTCCCAACTACGAGTTTCTTGGAGTTCTTGACGCTTTACGGTCATTTTGCTGGAGAGGATCTGGAAGAAGATGACGAGGTCCTAGGACCTGACGAATACTTCTCATCTGATGCCTGGGAGGAACCGGATGAAGGCCGGGAATCTGGGGAAGACGCGGCACTACTCCAATCGGACAACGCAGGCCGAAGGAAGCGAAAGCACAAGCAGCGTGCTCCTGCGGGTACAACGACCACAACGGGTGCAGTGCTTCTGCTGCTCAAGTCGTTCGTGGGCACGGGCATTTTGTTTTTGCCCCGAGCGTTCTTGAACGGCGGCATGTTGTTCAGCAGCATGGTGCTTCTGGGTGTCTCGATCCTGAGTTATTACAGCTTCATCCTGCTGGTCAACACCCGCATGAAGATCGATGGATCTTTTGGTGATATTGGCGGTATCTTGTTCGGAAAGCACATGAGACGCATCATTCTGGGATCCATTGTTCTGAGTCAATTGGGATTCGTCTCGGCGTATATCGTCTTCGTCTCACAGAACTTGCAGGCGTTCGTGTTGGCCGTGAGCAAGTGCAAATCCTTCATTGACATCAAGTTCATGGTGCTGATGCAGCTGGTTATCTTCCTGCCTCTATCTTTAATTCGCGATATCAGCAAGCTTGGGTTTACTGCGCTGATTGCGGACGTCTTCATTCTGCTGGGGCTGCTCTACATCTATTTCTACGATGTGAGCACGCTGGTTAACCAGGGCGGCATCTCGGATGTCATCTCCTTCAACCCGTCCACTTGGTCGATGTTCATCGGCACTGCCATCTTCACTTACGAGGGGATTGGCCTCATCATTCCAATCCAGGAGTCGATGAAGAAGCCGCAGCGGTTCCCAGGTGTCCTGGCCGGCGTAATGATCATCATCACCTTCATCTTCCTTTCCGCAGGTGCTCTGAGCTATGCCGCCTATGGATCGTCTACCAAGACGGTGATTCTTCTCAACCTTCCTCAGGACGACAAATTCGTCAATGTTGTCCAGTTCCTATACTCGCTCGCCATTCTACTGAGTACACCGCTGCAGCTCTTCCCTGCCATTCGCATCATGGAGAACGAGCTTTTCACCCGCAGCGGCAAGTACAATCCGTACATCAAGTGGAAGAAAAATGGCTTCCGCTTCTTTTTGGTTTGCATCTGTGCTTTCGTCGCCTGGGGTGGCGCCGATGACTTGGACAAGTTTGTTTCGCTGGTCGGAAGCTTTGCTTGTGTTCCGTTGATCTACGTATACCCGGTATGTCTTCTCTTTCAAGATTGTTGCTTTATGACAGAGAATCCTGACTGACTGATACCCCGGTATAGCCTCTTCTCCACCTCCGAGCCTGTGCCCGATCCAAGCGCCAGGCTGTCGCAGATGTCGTCCTTGCTGCCTTCGGCGTCATTTGCTGCCTTTATACAACTGTTCTTACCATCAAAAACTGGATCGGTGCCGAAGTCATCAAACCCCCGGGATACTGTGATTCCCACTGATCTTTTTCATGTTCATTTCTGGCTATTTTCTTGGTTCACTGTAAAGCCTAGCGAGCCCTCTTGTTTCGGGACTCATCGGCCTTTCTTTCTGTCTATTTTCCATCCTAGACGGTGACATACCCTTGGATCTTATATTCTGTGTTGGCACAGATGGATGGGGAACGACTGCGACTTTTTTGCTTGTATAATTATCTTTTGGTATTTTTTGGATGTCGGCTTATTCGGGGTGCAATCTGGATAATCGAACAAAAGAAATTGTTGGTGATTAAAGTGAAATCCAATTCAACCGCCATGCAGACTATGTACAGAGACCATGACCAAGGCACCTGAATACAGGAGTAATCTGGACGCCTTGAATCACGAGAACCCCCATGCCATCATCTCCTTTGCTGGATCAGTAAAATATCACAAGTTCCCTCCCACTCTATATAAACCTTCTTCTCTTTTCTCTTCTTCTCAATCAGCCCATCCAAAGAATCCATCGGCAGGATGTCAGGATAAGAGAAAAAAAAGACCAAAAGGTGCAAAAGAGATGCAATGCCGTGAAATCGAGGTAAATACATGAGAGTGAGAAGAAGGTATAGTATACAACAACAATCCCATATCTACGCCCCGGCCTCGGTAGCTTCCTTGCCCTTCTTGGCTTCCTCGGCGAGCTTGGCTTCGCGGCCGCCCCAGCTACAACAATTGAAATATGTTAGCACTTGCTTGCCCGATGTATTCTCCCAACACTAAAAAAAGAAAGCAAAGGGAGAAAAGGATAGGGAGGTTTTCGGGTAACGCACTTCCAGTAGGACAGATACCGGTATCCCTGGGTAGTCTGGGCACCGAAGTTGGTCAAGTGGCAGGCGAAGAGGAGGTAATTCTTGGGCGTGATGGCGAGCGAGTAGCGCATAAAAGTAGCGGCGTAAACTGTGAGAGCGGCAGTCATGGTTCCGGAGATGCTGCACAGACGGGGAAAAGGAACAGATTAGCGATAACTCGTTCCTGGGATTCAATTGCGCCGGAAACATCCCCCACTCCTTGATACGCGAAAATCAAGTATGATGGAAGTCGCTAGAAATCAAGGTGCCCGCTCGTCACTCAAAACACATACATCTCAGGGTCCTTCTGCGTGTCCATCACAGCGGCGAACGGGATACCGAAGTTGGAGACCGGGCCCCAAAAGTCTAGTTCACACCCATTGAATGTTAGCGAGTTTGTTTAAATAGATATCCCAGATGCAGCGAATCAATTTGTTGTCGAAATTTTTCTTGGGTGGAAAAGGTTGCGATATATCATCGCTGGCCGATCTCGGTCCGGGAAATGCTCCGGGAAACTCGGTTGAATGTGGGAAGTTGGGATACGCACGGGTTGAGCAGACATAGTCCAGCACCTTGTTGGAGCGGATCTTGGCATTGATAGCCTTGATTGCAGCAGCCATGGCGAAGTTGCTGGTGAATGAAGCACACAAGACGAATGACCGGAGGTGGTGAAGTTGGGGTCCAGCGGATGCGGAATTGCTCGACTCACCCGACATGGACCGCGTCACGTGATGGCTTATCGAAGGATGTTCGTTCCTAACAAGAGGTGTTTTCTTCGAGTTATTGGAATGAGTTGGAGATATTGGGGTCAATTTTATGCCTTTGGTTTTCTGCTTTACTTTCAATATACTAGTTTGGCGAGGATTACCGTGAATAAATGCTGTTGAGTTCTGTTGAAGTTTCAGGTATATCTCAAGATATATCTTGAAAAATGCTGCGAACAAAATACGTTTGATAAGACCAAATTCCATGAAAAACAACCCATATTTTATTTTTCGGAGACAGAAGCCAGTCAGATGGTAGATAGAATTATTGTAGCCTAATGCGAATTGCGAAAAAAAGAATTCCGGGCGTTTTCTCCCCGCTCTTGCACACAAGACCTCCATCCGCATGCGCCGCAACGCCTGGCCCGGTAGATTGTGGGATATCTAACATGTAGGGTCGTTTCCCGCTAGAAGTGTTGATCCTAGTTCCCACCCAGCATCGAACTGTGTCGGGGTTTCTCCCAGGTCAAACCAGACCGCCGAAAGTATGAAGCATGGACAAAATTTGTTGCTTGGTTAAAAGTGTATCAAATCATCTGCCGCCAAAGCCCGGGGGCGGGTATCCCCGTCCCTGACCCGGAGGCTGGAAGCCCGGCGGAGGTTGGAAAGCGCCCGCTGGAAGAAATTGTATGTTAGTGGGGACACGAAAAATGCGCTTGGAGGAGCAGAGGATCACTCACGAGGGCCGCCCGGAGGAGCAAAACCAGGAGGGGGTCCGAATCCAGCTAGAAGTTGAGAACATCAGTGTCTTGGTCAAGCATCTCTGGATCGAGCCGACAAAAACTTACGGGGTCCACCCGGGGGTCCTCCACGTCCGGGGAATCCTGGCGGCGGTGCACCGGGGAAACCACCTGGCGGGAAACCAGGGAAGCCACCAGGAGGTGGCGGTCCCCCGACACCAGCGGCAGGGCCACCGAGGCCGACAGGCAGACCACGGCCAGCGGGCTTGCTGATACCGGGGCCGGCGGCGAGGGTCGCAGCAGCGCCAGCGGCTCCCGGACCAGCGGTACCGAGTCGCGCAGAGGGGTCGGCAGGCGGCGGGCCATCCACAGAGCAGGAGATGACCTGAGTGCCACGAACGATGGTCAGGCCGAGGGTTCGCTTCTCCTCGGCTTCGACCAGCGGGGTGTTTGTGGGACCGGCGGCGGGCTTGGACTTGCGCTTGATGCGACGGAACTCTTCTGTATCGGCGAGTACGAGGTTCATGTGCTGTGAAAATTGAATCGTCAGTGGGCGAGTCGTCAATGCCAGCTGGAGAGAAGATAGTACCTTATCGAACGCCAGCATTTGACCGGTCATCTGTCGACCGTCGTTGAGGGTCACCCTCATGCGGTAGTTGATCTAGCAAACATGTTAGTGTCTCCAAGCAGCATAAGAGCCTGGAAAAGGTCGAACTCACGAGGTTTTGCTAGACACAAGACGTTAGCGACTGCCATTGGGCACACGATCTGGGATGGAAATAGGGACGCGGAAACTCACCATCTTGCTCTGCTTGTTGGCGGCCATAACGAGAGTGTGCGCACGAATGCGACTTAAAAGACCCCAAAAAATTAGGACGCAGTAGACAGAAGGCCTCTCTCTGCGGTGGTAGGATCAAGCGAGATGCGAGATCCGTGGGAGCTCGAGCTGTGACGGGGACTTTGCTGGTTCTTGATATTCGGCTGAGTCATCCACACGGATCAGTCAGCGACAGAAAATCAATTGACTGACATAAGCGCCAAGCCACTAAGGGCTGCCTCGCTTCCGACTCCCGTGACTAGCCCACACAAACCGTATTTGCGCTTTTTGATTCCGGTGATTCTTCCATCCCAGTCGACAACCACTCCACGCCACACCAGTCGCCATGGTATGTTGATATATCCATCAAAACAAAAAACCATAGCAGTCTTCGCCAGTGCTTGTTTCTAACACAATGCAGTCGGAAGGAAAGGACAAGAGCGCCAACCCCATGCGCGAGCTGCGCATCCAGAAGCTCGTGCTGAACATCTCGGTCGGCGAGTCTGGTGACAGACTGACCCGTGCCGCCAAGGTGCTCGAGCAGCTGAGCGGTCAGACTCCCGTCTACAGCAAGGCCCGCTACACCGTCCGTACCTTCGGTATCCGCCGTAACGAAAAGATCTCCGTCCACGTTACGGTCCGTGGCCCCAAGGCCGAGGAGATCCTGGAGCGTGGCCTCAAGGTCAAGGAGTACGAGCTCCGCAAGCGCAACTTCTCCGAGACCGGCAACTTCGGCTTCGGTATCAGCGAGCACATCGATCTGGGTATCAAGTACGACCCCGGCATTGGTATCTACGGCATGGACTTCTACTGCTGCATGTGAGTTTCTAAACCCCCGCAGAAGAGAAAGGCGGAAACAACGAATGAAAGCCTCGAAAGGATGTCGACTGACAATCTTCCAGGACCCGTCCCGGTGAGCGTGTCGCCAAGCGCCGCCGTTGCAAGGCCCCCGTCGGTGTCAACCACAAGATCAACAGCAACGAAACCATCAAGTGGTTCAAGAACCGCTTCGACGGCATCGTCCGGTAAATGCCCGTCAAGAGTGTTGGGGCGGGGCCGGTTGAGACTGTGATTTACGATGCATCGAGGGAACCAAAATTTTTCTCATCCCGAAAAGAACCCAAAAATTCCGGCCCAGGGCGGGGACCTGTCGAACACACGACGGGCTTCTTGATCTCTCCCGTCGGGCGTGGTCTTTTTTTACTCTGATTTTTTCTACCACGGCAAACCAGGATAGGCGTGTTAGAGACATGAATTCACTACTACCACATTGAACCCCCGCTTTCTCCTTTTCGCAATGAAGGCTTCACGAAGGGTGTTGTTTTCCGCATAACCATTGCTGAAAAGGCTGGCTGGCCACTTTCTCTCTTCGAGGGATTGCTGGTCTTGCCGTGACTCGGTTGACGTGATGCTTTTGTGCCTCTCAAGTCAAAGAGTCGGTTCTCTTCCTCGCAGGATTGTCTTGTGTTGGAATGAGTTCCATATCTTGGCCTCTCTTGTCCGTCCCTATCTCCAATTGGTGCCGCTTTTCTTGTGTAGCCGTAGATGCTTGTAGTGCGTAGATCAAACGCCCTTAGGGGCATGTTCCCTAGGATGAAGTATCCGCCATTCCGAAGAGTCTGGGTCAATACTTGCCCAGTATGTGCCCTATCCACCTCGATGGTGATCTATGCCTAGGGCGAAGCTTATCTGCATACTGTCTTGAGAAAGACCAAGCCCTGGACCTGTCAAGGCCAGACGGAACGTGCTCTACCAGTACCAGCTTGCCGGTAGCAGCAATGCTTCCTGCTAGGCATATGAGTTACCTAACTCTTCGTGTTCCTCTGGTCTGGATACGGATCTATCTGTCTGGGTCCTCCGATACATGATTATCACCACCTTCTTGAGGCCACATTCCCAATTAGGAGAGGGGTTGCACTCTTTTGTTTTGAGAAAACTCCCCTAGTGTCCAATCAAGAGTTCATGGTTGGTACGGTGACCTTGTCCTTTTCTTTTCAGGGTTCTTTACTTTCTATTTGTGTCTAATCCGATACTTGGCTATATTTCTTTTCAATAGGTAGTGATGAATCTGCTTATTTGATCTAACAATCAAGATATATCATACCATAATGAAGACAACAAGAATAGATATTGGAATAAGAAAACATTGAACATTGGTCAAAGATACCACATCATGTACAATCAGTCAAGTAGGTACAATTTGATACCCATCAGCACCGAGCATTCCAACCCAGTTCTTCCAAAGCTGACCCAGAGCAACACAGGTAGTGATGAAGCCTTTCCACAGACAACGAATTCCAATTTCATAACACAAGACATCAGAAAAAAAAAAAGCCGCAAAGTCAAATAATCAAATGGTCATCTCTTTCTTCGTCTCGTTGTTGTGGGGGTTTGCATTTCTCGAGATATCGGGTCAATTCCACAAGGAATATTTAATGGCACGGGTAGTCAAAAAGAAGAAAAGAAAAGAAAAGACAGGAGAACTGGGTTGCCTTGTTGCAACTACTTCCCCCGTGTGTACCCCTCCCACAACTTCGAAAAGAAGCCACCCTGCTGCGACTGCTCATTCCAGCTAGCCCGGCGCGAGACCATGTCCGGGTCAGTCGACTGTCGTTTTTGGGTTTGGAGGTTGGAGAAGAGGGCCCCCGACGAGCTTGTGCTGGAGCGGCGGCGCTCGCTGACGCTCGGCAGGGTAGGGCTAGCAGCGGTGCCTCCAGCGTTGTTGGCATTGTTGGCGTTGCTGGTAGCAGAGGAAGTGGAGGTGTTGGAGTCCTGGAAGAACAACAAGATATTGATTAGCATTGTTGTTACTCTACATATAAACCCAGCAACTATATTTAAAAAAAGGGTAGTTGTAATGCAAGGGACTGAAGATATGTAGAGAAGTGTATAGGGATTGACATACCCGTCTGGTTGTTTCCATGCCTGGAAGCATTGCCCATGCAGCTCGTCCGCTGGGACCTTTGGGCCCGCCCTGCACCCAGACGTTGAGGTGTTCGTGGCGGTCGCCGGGGTTCCCGTGCCAGTGGCGGCGTGTGTCGTCAGACATGTTGGAGATCTCGAATAGAGCGGAGTCCGTGGTTATGGTTTTAGGAACTGGAGTGGAGTGGATCAAGAGTAAGTGGAAGGTCTGTGAGGAAGATGGATAAATAGAAACAGTGGACAATCTGAAACCAGTTGAGGTTAACCAAAAGACCCAGAAACACTATTCAAGATATATAATAAAACAAATGCTGAGGTCGATGTAGGGGGGCAGAGTCAAGGACGTCATGGCACCAGACCCCCGGGGTGGATGCAGTATCCACGGAATGAGAGATGGAAGGTAGTCTAGATTGGGAATGGAATGGCATGGAACATACCAGAGGTATTGGTTATCCCAGTAATTCGAAGTGTGTTGTATAGAACAACTATGAGCAGGAGAGTAGGGTTGTGTCGATGGGAATGAGGATATGAAAGAGTGTGGGAGGGGATGGACGTACTATATGGGCGACCGGGGCATTACTGGACTCAGCAATCCGACTTGGTACTCCACAGCATCTCTGGCCATCATCCCTGCCTGTTAATATTCTTGTGGGGACACGCAATACCCGGATTCAATCCATGGATACCGGCCTAGGACTATACAGATACAATTGGCATGCTATTCTCAAGCACATTTAAACTAGAGTGATATAGTACCAAACTACTACATACTCTATAGCCAAGTGTGTCAATGCATAATCATAATGGTTGAACTCCTGAAGGCCCGGGGAAGTGCATCTTGACGTAACAAAGAATGCGGGGAAAGCTCCATGGCAAACCGTCGATCATGCCGCTTCTCGACTTAACCAACGCAGCCCGATTGTCATCATAGCCTGCTGCGGCTCTCTGCCTCGTTTCGGACTTCGCTTAATACTTTCCACACTCCCACGCCCTCGTCCCACTTCGCATCGCCGCGGATTTCGACTTTCCCATCTTTCGTCAGCGTACGAACACCCTGGTACCCGCTCGTACCCCAGCCAAACCCATCTAGCTGAACTGCATTTGGGCCCTGGACAAAGCGGCTAAGGGGGCCGATAAACGCCTCGTGAACGATCTTCTTCTCGGCAGGAGTGAGAACTTCGCCATTACCCCAGAACCATACTGCATAGTCCGATGAGTGCGTGACACCCCACTCGGCGGGCAGGCTGACGCACTGGGCCCGGAACTCGATGCGGTACCGGTGCAGCAGGTGTGATGCATCGACGCCGCCCGAGTTGAAAGTCAGAGCATGAATAAGCCCGCGCTGCATCTGGTAGACCTGCATGTCTGCGTAGATTCTACCCCAGGCGTCCGACGCCCAGTCCTCGCAGTCACTCGGCAGACGCCCACCAGGGTAATATAGTGGGAGGAGGGTATCAACGATGTGTTCCGGGTAGTCGGCGATCAGACGTGTGCGCAGTCCATCCAGCGAGTCTGTCGTTGGTGGGTACCAGACCCCGTATAGGAACCGCTCGTCACGGCATTCACCGAGGATCAGCCGCACGTTGCGTGCCAGCAGCCGCCGTGCGAACTCGCCATTATCTAGTGACTCGAACAGTGTCGGCAAGATGAAGCCCGTGTCAGTCGTGGGCCGGAATTGATGCACCTCGATTGTCTTGGCCGCGTCCAAGAGTTGCTTGGCTGGCGTCGAGCGCAGGCGAGTAATCTTCTCGGATGCAGACAGCGCGGATGGAATTCCCAGCGCCGAAAGAAGCTGATTGAATTGAATCTGAGACTCGGTGGGCTTCTTGGGCTGCACCGCCGGCCCATTGGACCAGATACATGCCTGGCGGATGATAGCCTTGTCGTCTGGTTGGCGAAGATCGTAGGCCAACTGATGGAAGACGGAGTTGGCACCTGGTTTTGAGTGCGATCAGCACTTATCCATGGTTATTTCATCGGATCCTCCATTGGCAGTCCTACCTGCAGAATACCCAGAGATGGTGATATTATCCAGATTCCCTCCAAACAGAGCGATATTCTCCTTCGTCCACTCCATGGCCAGCCGCTGGTCCCAGAACCCATGATTGCCCACTGTCTCCCCAGCCGTTGCAGCATCCTGCCCGAGCTCCGCCGAGTAAAGAAACCCAAACAAATTCAGCCGGTACGCCGGCATAACAACCACGCACTTGAAATCCGTCTCGCCCAGCAGCGCTGCCGCATTAAAGGTATTAGGCGAGCCGAACTGAAGCCACCCACCATCTGAGACCCGATCAGCAATGAGCAATAAACACCAACCATTCCTCGTAGGCGTCGAGACACCCATGTACAGAAGAACGTACGAATGAACATGAACACCGGCCACCCTCCGCGCGGCGGCTCCCCCGTCGGCACCCACACATTACACTGGAAACAGTCCTCGTTCCACGCCGCCTCGTTCTCCGGCGCAATACTAAGAAACCCAGGCTGCGGACATAACCCCGCGCCGCCGTCGCATTGGCCCGGCGCATCCCTGCTGCCGTAGACAAACGATGCGGGCAGTGGACGGGCGCGACGCCAGCGCTGCGAGGGAGGCAGAGCGTAGCGGACACCACCGAAGAAGTGACATAGATCCTGCGATTCGCGGCTGTCTCTGTTCTTCCGCGTGGAGATGGTGACGCCCTGGACGACGCCGCGGTGGGCGAGGGATTTGAGGAGCGGGCGGCGAGTGGTTTCCATAGCCATTGCCTTTTTGCACTATGCACTATGCTTCTTTCTTATAGTCCCCCTCTGCTTCTGTTGGACTTTATATCAGACGAAACAATGAAGGATTTAGAAGGGGGAGAGAGAAGTCGAAGAGTGTCACGTCAATTGAACCACGTGTCTTGGCGGGACTTGCTTGCCTCAGCTGTCTTCTTCCCTTCCAGCCCTTTTTATTTGCTTAAAAAGAACTCCGGGTTTCATTCCGCCGGCTCGTTCGGTGACTCCGACCGGAGATAGTCGTAGCCGAGATAGCGAGGCGATTGAGGTGTTTTTATTGGCATAGCAGACGAGCGGATCGGCAGGGAGAGTTGGGGATTGGAGATGGGGAGCTGAGGAGGGGGGAATTCGGGGTCAGATCTGGGTGCCGAGCGGTGTTGGTCATGTACCATATTCCATGATCCTACAATTACAGAGAGTTTAATGAAATAAAAAGCAGTTTATTAATATAAAGTAAGAATGTGAATTAGTATTCAAATTCAAAAATTCACATATACAACAGAACATGATTGGTGATTGCAAGTTCCTTTTCACAGGGGTATACTATCTCCCCGCTCTATGCATAGTTACCCACTTTCCAAGATAGATAGCTCTTAATCCATTCAGACAGGGAACTAGGTATTCTTTACTTCCCAGCATAAGAAAGATATTTCTAGCATTGGGTTAGAATGCTATAGCAAACACCTATAACCAACTCTACGAACAACAAAAATAAGACTCAAACCTCCAAGCCTATTTTTTCCGAACAGATAGAGTGAGAAAAGAGAGAGAGAGAAAGCCTCCCAAACCTGTCATCAGTCATCAGTCATCACTTCAGCAAGAATCCACCACCCAGTATCAGTAACAAGCAGCCGGTAACCCAAAAACAGATCAAGATCACTCCTGAGTTTCATCAACCTTTTCCCTCTTAATCCCGACCATCTGCAACATCTCACCCCAAAATCCAATATCCCTATCAAGAGTAGTCAGCTCATACCGCTCGATAGCGGGGCGATCCCACACGAGATCCGCCTCGAGCGGGTTAACGAATTTCGTGCGCTTGATGAGCTTCCACCCGCTGAAGGTCAGGATCGCCAAAAACACCATGGCGTAGTAGGTGAAGAACGTGCCGACGTTCCAATGGCCCGGCAGAAACGTGCTGTAGCCGTAGCATGTCACGACGCAGATCATCCAGCATAGAGCGAATACTGTGCTCCATGGTTGCAGGTACCCGTAGTAGGGTAATTCGCGGCGGTTGACGCCCTGGGCGCGGCAGGCGCGGTAGAAGAAGAGGAAGTTGACGCAGATTACGATGTAGTCGATGATGCCGCCGGCGGTGACGATGTTGACCAGCCTGTTGTTGCTGAATGTGAGTATTATTTTCTTCTTGCGGGGGTGCGTGGCAGTTTTATATCCAGGGGGTATTATTTACCATGTGAGAACTTGGTTGGCTCCGTTCGATAATTGCAGCAGCGATAGTAGCGGGAAGATCATGACAATCGCCAGACAGTAAATCGGCACGCCGTTGCGGGAGCACTTGCGCAGAATCGTGGGCGCGTGGCTATCGTGTGCCAGACCATGGAGTGTCCGCGTCGCGCAGTAGGTGTACGCATTACCAGCCGAGTAGATACTCGTGAACAGCAACGCATTGACTAGATGCGGCAGCCCGCTGACCCCCATGTTCTGCATGGCAATCACATACGGCGAAGCGGCACCGGTGCTGCTGCCGAGGTTGGCCTTGAGCGTCTTGTCGTTCCAGGGAAGGACGATGCCGACACACAGCGCACCACCGATGAAGAAGACCCCGAAGCGCACATAAACCGCTTTGAAGGCGCGCTTGAGTGTGATGCGGGGGAGCTTGGCTTCGCCTGCTACCATGGCCATGTACTCGGGGCCCACGATGGCGAAGCTGGCGGCCCAGAGGGCGGCTAGGAAGCCTTCCCAGCGACCTTTAGTTCCTGTGCTCAGGTGCTCGACGAATGAGCCCTAATAAGCACCCAAAATAGAAGTTAGTACCAAAGTCAAGCGATAGTAAGGACAAGGCTGAAGGCCTACCGGGTCATTCCAGTACCGGAAGCCGTAGGCGTCGTGGGTGGGATTGCCCCCGACCATCGTCACAAAAGTGAACGAGAAGACGATCATCATCAGCAACAGCTTGCCCCATGACAGCCAGAATTCAGCCTCGCCATAGTATTTGACAGCGGCAACATTGATCATACTTTAACAGAGCGCATAAGGGCATGGAGTTAGTATGAGAGTGAGTCAAGAGTAGAGTCGCGTAGGGGTGAAAAGTCGCGTGGGGAGGAAACAAGAGGAGCGAAGGGAAAAAGAGAAGAGAAAAGAAAAGAAAAGAAGCAAAGAGGCAAGGAAAAAAGATACCCATAAGTCACAATACAAGCAGCACAGATAGCTCCGGCCGGTATATCATCGCGCCAGAACTTCAAAACCAGATTGAGGGCACTGATCTCAAACGGGATGAGAATAGCCTCATAGAAAAAGAAGTTCCAGCCCGCCATGAAGCCCCAGGCATCGTCGACCCAGACAGCAGCATGGCGGATAAACGACGCATTGACCGGCATGTACACGGCCATCTCGGCCATGGCGTTGTTGACCAGCGCCAGCACGCAGGCGTACAGTCCGTACGCCAGCAACAGACTGCCCGGCCCGCCCGAGTGTAGAGCGCCGCCGATGCTGACGAACATGGCGGTGCCGATGGAGCCACCGATGGCGATTAGTTGGATCTTGCGGTTACTCAGGTGTCGCTTCAGGCCGTGGTTGTCGTCGAGGACTTCGCCGCTGTCGAATTCCGGGCTGCTGTGGGCTTGCACCACGGGGTCTTTGTACTTGTCTTCTTCCATGGTTGCCGCGTTGGACTTTTCTTTTTCTGTGGTTTGTCATGGAGTTGCTCACTGGGTCATTCGGGCTGGCGCATGGGAATTAATTTTCGCTTAGGGGGGATGTCGCTGAGGGCTTGAGGGCTGTAGAGAAGAGGGAAGAGGGAAAAGGGAAGAGAGAGGGGAAAGTACTGTTTTTTTGGTTGACTTTGCAATTGAACTTTCGAGGGTCCTTTTTTTTGTTTTTTATTTTCCTTCTCTTTTTGCAAGGATTTTTTTTCCAGGTTCACGCCTCGCCTTGATAAGCCCTTGAAGCCCTCCAAGCCCTCTAGTACAGAGACTCGACAAACACTAGTATACACTCGGACTAAATCCAAGCTACCACTCACGCTGATTCGCACAAACAAAAGTGCCCGACCCCACAGCAATCTAAAGACGAATCTAAAGCCAATTTTAATGGAGCGAGTGGCGAATAATAGCGCCAATAGTGAAAATGTCTTCTCCACGTGTGCCACGCGGACTTGCTTCACTGTCCCTCATGCGTTGATAAAACCGTCTGGCCCTATTGATTTAAAGCTGCATATAACAACGGCAATAACAGATAAAGTAGTCCATGGATTAAAGAAAATACCTCTACTAGTGGTAAGGGTTAGGGCAAAGTGAAAAAATAAGTGAGACCTTTCTCTTACACCTTGGCGCCCAGTTCGCCCAGTTCGCCCCCTACAGGGAGGGCACGGTCCGCGGGCTACTTTAGGGATGCCATGCCCTCCAGCTTCTCGATTATGTGGAAGTCGACTGTCTGGTCAGTCGTTGGACGCCACGGATCGATCCTGGTTGCCACCGGCCGCCCCGTCCCACGATGCGAACTAAATAGGGTTAGATTGGACATGCGCGATTTCATGCTGGCAAAATCCTTTGTAGTTTTGTCTTGCCAAATACATATATATATATTAGATTGGTGGTATGGTACCATGAGCGAGCGGGTGCCATATAGTCCTGGAGGGAAATCTATATGCCCTTGGTGGCAAGGGTAGCGGTTCTGGGTTTAACTGCTAGACCTAGGATTCTTTTTCCACCATTGAAATAACAATATTAACAATCGTTGTATATATATTGTGTCTATATATTTAAAAAATAGACTCACTGCATCTCGGGAAGGGTGGACGGCTCAAAATGACGTTCAGGGGATATGACCGTTTTCATCAAGGTATATCCAAGTTAGGGTTCAAACACATGGTTAGGGATAGTATAGTCTGTGGCAAGGCCGAGTCTCAGCGAAAGCAACAAGCCAAAAGCTCCTAGCAGAAAAAGCACTGTACGTAGACTTTGAATATAAAGAATTCCTAAGACTATTTGAAGGAACCGACAGGAAAAACAGAAACAGAAAATCCCAACTTGAAAATAAAAATCCCAAAACGCTGATCGTTCACGTCGCCTCGTGCACGGGGGAGTTCTTGTTCTTGTACAAAAAAAAAAAAGCAATTTCTACGCCTTGACGATCTTACAGACCAGGTCCTGGCCGTCGACCGAGTCGCCCTCCTTGACCAGCAGACCCGAGACCTTGCCGCTGTGCGGGGCGGAGATGACCATTTCCTAGAAGAGAATTGGAATTAGTAGATGCACAATATATATAGTAGACCAAAAGGTAAGGGGAAATCAAACGTACCATCTTCATGGCGCTCAGCACCGCAATCGGGTCGCCCTTCTTCACATCGTGGCCGTCGTGCACGCGGATCTCGACCACGACACCGCTCATGGGTGCGCCGACCTGGCTGCTGTCGGCGGCATCGGCCTTGGGGCGGGCGATGTTGTCGACGGAAGCGTTCTGGTCGTCGACACTAACTTGGCGCACTTCACCATTGACCTCGTAGAAGACTTCACGCTGGCCGGTCTGCTCGGACAGCGGTCCAATGGCCAGCAACTTCAAGATCAGGACCTTACCCTGCTCGAGCTCGACGTGGAACTCCTCGCCGATCTCGGGACGGGCCAGGAAGTAGCGCGTCGGCAGCACAGACAGGTCACCGAACTTCTGCACGAACTTGCGGTAGTCCTCGAACACCTTGGGGTACATGGCATAGCTGGCCACGTCGCACTCGGTGGCGGAGCCGAACTTCTCGCGGATGTTGTTCTTGATCTGTGCAAGGTCCAGCGGCTCCAGGTACAGGCCGGGGCGCTTCTCCAGCTTGCGGCGGTTGCGCAGCGCGTTGGACCGCAGCGGCTCGGGGAATCCACCGAACGGCTGGCCCATCAGACCCTCGAGGAACTCAAGGACCGAGCCCGGGAAGTCCAGCTCGGCGGCGCGGGCCACCACATCCTCGGCCGACAGTTTGTTCGAGACCATGAACTGGGCCAGGTCACCGACGACCTTGGACGTCGGCGTGACCTTGACGATGTCACCCAGCAGGTCATTGGCCGACTCGTAGGCCTTCTTGGTTTCGGCCCACTGCTGGCCCAGACCCAGCTGGCTGGCCTGGAAGATAAGGTTGGTCAGCTGGCCTCCGGGAATCTCGTGCTCGTAGACCTCCGGGTCGGGACCGGTCAGACCGGCCTCGAAGGGAGAGTACAGCAGACGGAGCTGGGCCCAGTAGGTGTCAATGGCGCGCACCTGCGCGAGATCCAGCTTGGGGTCCTGCTCAGTGCCGTGGAGTGAGGCCAGGATGGCACCGATGCTGGGCTGCGAGGTCATGCCAGACAGACTGTCGGTGGCGGCATCGACGGCGTCGGCACCGGCCTGCGCGCAGGCAATCATCGAGGCCACACCCGTTCCGGCGGAGTCGTGGGTGTGGACGTGGATGGGGAGGTCGGGGTAGCGCTCACGGATGGCACCGATCAACAGACGAGCAGCCTGGGGCTTGAGCACACCAGCCATGTCCTTGATTCCAAGGACGTGGGTGCCCAGCTGGACGATCTTGTCGGCCAGAGCCAGGTAGTACTCTAGGTTGTACTTCTTGTTCGGGTTCATCATGTCACCACTGTAGCAGATGGTGGCCTCGACCACACCGCCGGCCTGCTGCACGGCCTTGATGCCGACCTCGAGCTGGTCCACATCGTTGAGCGCATCGAAGACACGGAAGATGTCCACGCCGTACTTCTTGGCCTGCTTACAGAAGTGGTAGATGGCGTTGTCGGGGAGGGAAGAGTAGGCCACGCCGTTGGCACCACGCAGCAGCATCTGGAAGGGGATGTTGGGAACAGCCTTGCGCAGCTTGCGCAGACGGTCCCAGGGGTCCTCGTAGAGGAAGCGCATGGCCACATCGAAGGTAGCACCACCCCAGCACTCCAGACTGTAGGCGTTGGAGAAGGCGTGGCTGGTCTCTTGGGCAATGTTGAGCATGTCGATAGTTCGCACACGTGTGGCGAGCAGCGACTGGTGGGCATCACGCCAGGTGGTGTCCATGATCAAGCAGCCCTTGTTGCCGCGCACAGCGCGAGCGAAGGCAGCCGGGCCTTCGCTGTCGAGGATCTGCTTCCATCCCTGGGAGCAAGGCTTGGAGACATCAATAGGTTTGCCCGCAGCATCCACCAACCGGGGCTTGATGATCTCGCCCTTGAACTTGGGCTCACCAATCTGACCCTTGATGCTGCTGCCATTGACAGCGACATCACCCAGGTAAGCCAGCAGCTTCTGGGCACGGTTCTGACTGCCGACCAGGGCGAACAGCTCGGGGGTGTCATCAATGAAAGTGGTCCAACAGGTACCATCGATGAAGGTCGGGTGGCTCAGCAGCGAAGCCAGGAAGGGAATGTTGGTCTTGACACCGCGGATACGGAACTCAACGAGGGCACGCAGCATCTTGCGGCGACTGATCTCGTAGGTGGAGCCACGGCACGTGCACTTGACCAGCATGGAGTCGTAGTGCGGCGTGATGATGGCACCGGCGAAACCGTTACCACCGTCCAGACGAACACCATTTCCACCAGCGGACCGGTAGACCTCAATCTTACCGGTGTCCGGAGAGAAGCCCTTGGACGGGTCCTCGGTGGTGATACGGCACTGAATAGCGAAACCGCGGGTAGAGATGCGGTCCTGGGTGAGACCCAGCTGCTCGAGCGTGGCACCGGCGGCAATCTGGATCTGAGCGGCGACGACATCAATGCCGGTGATTTCCTCGGTGATGGTGTGCTCGACCTGGATACGCGGGTTGATCTCAATGAAGTAGTAGCGGTTCTGCTGGTCGACCAGGAACTCGGCCGTACCGGCGTTGCGGTAGCGGACGGACTTGGCCAGCTTGACGGCATCGGCAAGAATCTTGTCGCGCACGTCGACAGGCAGATCCTTGGCCGGAGCGATCTCCACGACCTTCTGGTGACGACGCTGTACGGAGCAGTCACGCTCGAACAGGTGCACGACGTTGCCCTGATTGTCACCCAGCAGCTGCACCTCAATGTGTTTGGGCTTGTCCAGGAAGCGCTCGACGAAGATGGTTCCGTTACCGAAGGCGGTGCGAGCCTCCGAGGTAGCACGCTCGAAGGCATCGCGCAGCGAGGCCTGGTCGCGGACGACCCGCATACCACGACCACCACCGCCGAAGGCAGCCTTGATGATGATGGGGAAGCCGTAGGTGTCGGTGAAGCCCTTGACCTGCTCGTAATGGTCGACGGGCCCGTCCGTACCGGGAACGACCGGGACATTGCAGCGGATGGCGGCCGCACGAGCCGACACCTTGTCACCAAGGGCGTCGATGGTGTCGGCCGTGGGGCCGACGAAAACAATCCCCGCCCTTTCGACCTTACGGGCGAATTCGGCGTTCTCGGAGAGGAAGCCGTAGCCGGGGTGGATCAGGTGCACACCGTGCTCCTGGGCGATTTTGATTATTTCATCGCCGGCCAGGTAGGCACCCACGGGCGTATATTGACCGCGGTGGCCAATCATGTAAGCCTCATCGGCCTTCTGACGGTGCATGGACAGACGGTCCTCGTGCGAGAAGACCGCGACCGTCTGTAGAGACAGCTCGTGGGCTGTTCGGAAGATCCGAATGGGGATCTCACCACGGTTGGCGACGAGGATCTTCTGGAAATGCATAATAGTGGAGTTGGCACGCAGGCGTCGGTGGACCGAGTCCTGGTGGTGCTCCAGATGGTCCTCAATGAAGTCGGACTCATCGATGGCGTTCTCCGGCTGGCGGTGCGGGGCAGCCATGGTGAATGTGGGGGGAAGGAAGGGAAGGAAGAGACAGGGAGGGAGAAGATTAATAGGAACTGGAAAGGATTGACCGTGTTAATGAACCGGTCGACCAATGCCCGGATTCAATTGCAAGCAAAATTTCCAGGTGACTCACTGGGGAAGCTGGCTCGCAGCTCCGGATTGAACTCCAGGCCGATGTCGGCAGAACACAGCGCAATTGCTTGCCCTAGTGCAGAATGGAAAAAAAAAACGCCGGCCGCCAAAGTTCCAGGAGAACGGCAATGGGGATTTGGAGATTTGAGATTTGAGAGAGAAGAGAGAAAGATGAACGAACTCACAATGGGGGGAGGGGGCAGATAAAAGAAGAGGGGGATCGGATCTGCATGTCACCAGTACTTTCCGGGGCGAGGGTTGACTCCAGGAATGAGGTAACAGGTACTTACCGCCAGAGTCTCACCGGCACACCGGGCGCGGATCCAAGGATTGCACGCCTAGAAAAGAAAAAAAAAAGCAATTGAATTATGATATTTTATTATCCAACTCTTTGCCAATCCTTTTAGTGTAATTTTCTCCATTTTTGATTTTATTGGCAATCCGCCTTTTCCTCGGCATTGTATATCCTCCCAGTGTACCCCTACGCAGGAGGTAGACACTAAATCCTCCGGAACAAGGCGAGAACTCGGATGATCTCATTTCTCTCCACTAGAAAGGTCCCCAGGCTCGGGTGGTTTAGGTATTATCAACCTCGGGTCGGAGCGAGTCGAAACACTCCGGAATGGACTGCTGGATTTGAGAGACGGCTAACGACGGGAAACCTGGAGAGAATGACGGCCCGGGGGAGATTCGGCGAACTTTCGACATGTGCAATTACATAGACAATAGAGCCAATCAGGGCCGGGATGAATTACAGCGAACATCGTTGGCCTCGGGGAAGATCTGCCCGATCTTTTACTTCTTATTTTATTTTCTCTGTGTACACTCCTCTCCCTCTCTCTTGGTATAGCGGGGTTATTTCTCTGGAATAATCATAAATCATCATAAATACAAAATCACAATATTCAAATCCTGTCGAAATCTTTGTCGGGTCATGCGTACCCCATCTCTAGAGGAAAGGATCACCTCTTGGCGACTCATCGTGCCAACTTCCCCCACCTTCATCCACCTTGTGTTCATGTGGTCAACATTACAGCGTCAATAGTCAATAGTAATTTCTAGTAATTAGCACTACTGTATGGCGACCTCTTGACTTTTGATTTCTCCCTGACATTTTTGGTCCTTGGCAATCCGCGGGTGATCTCCCGGGTATGACAGGTACAACCATCGTGCCAGGTCTGCAAGCGATGGAAGCGAGCCAAGTAGCCAAGAGCCGCGGTAGAAATCCAGGGAAATATCCAGGGGAATACCCAGGGGGAAGTATGCGTATGCCAAGTATAGAGAAGATACATATCAAGGGTTATCATTAATATCATCATTTTATCCTACTCTCTGGGCTATGACAACACCAAGATGATCTCCTAAAATCAAAACACCAAGAAAATGGCCATAGCTTTTATACACTTGCAGTGCCCAGACCACCTGGGCAATCCCTTTCTTGCTTGGCTGATAAGATGGACCACATCGCGTCAATCACCGGGTGGCTTCTTATCGTCGCCAAAAAGAAATTCAATTTCGACGTCATCTTGTCCTACGCGTCAGCCTGTATTGTTATAATTTTATTATTATTTATACATGGCCAAATTCACAGCCCCCCTGGTTCAATTCCCCTGGGGCACTCCAGCTGCAATATTCTCCACGGGGTAAATCCTTCGCCGGGAAGCTCCATTTGGCCCCCCGGGGAATATATTTTTATTAATGATATTACAATTAGTATAGAATAATCGTTACTGTCAATGCTGATTTCACCGAGTCTGATCTCATCAGGTGGGCCGATCTCGCAAGGACAACAAACTGAGAGAAAAAGAAGAAAAAAAAAAAAGAAAAAAACACAGGCAGATGCAGACTAAAGTGGGGAGGCCGGAGCTGGAGTGAATCGGGCCAATGCCCACCGTGAACACGGCCTCATGCCCTGACATCGCGCAGCAATCTCGTCCTCGATGGAGCGGCATAGTTGCAGAATGATTTGCCTTGGCGCCTTGGCGGGTGATCGTGTTCTTCACCGAGCTGTCAGCCTCGGCATCCCTTGGCAGCCTTGAAAGGGATAAGAAAAGTGCAATGCTATTATTCAAAGAGGCCACGACCCAGGCCGATGTTTAAAAAAATGGAAAACATAGGAGAAAAAAAAAAAAAAAACTGAAGCCTATCAAATACACGGGGGCGCAAGAAAAGAAAATCAAAGAAACAAATTAACGGGCCGTCATAATTTCTCCCCTGCCCCTGAGCTCACATCCTCGGGCCACCATATCAGTCGTGTCTTTTGCTCTCGGCAGAGATCGTCACGTCGCTTTATGTTACATATGCGCACGAAGAAAAACGTAGGGAATCAAGAACCAAACCAATGCACGACTCTAGAACGCGCGGTACCCGGTGGCCTGCGGCGTGAGCCCGTTGGCCTGTCCGTAGGGCATCGGACTGGCAGGTGCCCCGGAACCCTGGGTCAACATGAGTCGCGAGCCACCCAGAATTGGCGTGTTGTCCTCATCCGTCTTCTGCGACGTCTCCCGGGACTTGCGCTCCTCATTGTCCTTCTTAAGCGTCTCGATCGCCCGCGTCTGCTCGCAGAGGAAGTTGATCATAAACGGCATCGTGAAGTCGTGCAGGCCCTTGCGCCATGAGATCTCCATGATGACGTCCGGTCGGATCAGCTCGTAGCAGGCGTACAACATGCCCACGTAGCACTCGCGGCTTCCAATATCGACGAACTATATCGGGTTAGAAAAGGGGGAAAATAAAAATAAGGCAGGCAATGGGAAACTTACGTAGCGGAGCAGATCCTCCACAACCTCAGCCTTGTTGGAGATGGCAGACGTCTCAATGGCATCCTTGTAGAGCTTGTCCTGCTTCGACAGTGCAATCGACTTCTCCCAGCGCTTGTTGTTGCGGTAGATGCTGGCCGCAATCTGGCGGAAGAAGATTAGGTCGTGCTTCTCGAGACGCTGGGCGAGGTCCACGGCGTCGAAGTTGTCATAGTTGTCCACAGAGTCGCGCAGGGTCTTATAGTCTTCCTCCTCGATCAGAAGCTCGTTGATGGCATCGTTGACCGCCCGCTTGTTCTGGGTCTGGACATTCAGCAGGAACGGCTTGATAAGAGGGATGTTGTCTGAGCTCTGGAAGATGCGCACAACACGGTTGACGTCGATGCGAGAAGTCAGAACCTGGAGCAGGTCGGTAAGAAGGAGAGGCTGCTCTTGCAGGTAGAAGTTCAGCGCCCGGTAGTAGATCTCGAGGTTAGCAACCTTGACGATTATGTCCTTGAACGAGTGGTGCTCCCAGGCATCGGCCGCACGCTCCATCATCGCGAGGGCGGCGTTGTCCCACTCGTCGTAGTGGCAGTACAAGAAGACCAGCTCCGGCCAGAGGTTGGCTTCCTCGCTGGCGCGGATCATCTTGGGAATGTTGATACGAGACCAGAAGAGCTTCAGGTGCTCCATGACGCGATCCGGATGGTACTTGGACAGAGCGATGCCCAGCTCGGTGAACATGCCCATGTGAGCCCGCTCCAAACCAAGACCAGCCTCCAGGACGGAAATGAGCTCGTCAAAGTAGCCGTTGCGCTCGTATTGACGCACAAGGGCCTGCAGCTCCTCCGCATGGACGATGAGGTTGAGACCGCAAATCTGGGCGAGGCGGAACTCCTTCTTGTCAACGCAGGCCTCGTTAACCTGCTTCCAGACCTTTACGCTATTGGCCTTGCGGGCACACTCCACCGCAGCCTGGTAGTCCTCCAGGTGCACCAAGGTGGTCGCCAGCTTGGCCCAATTCGAAATGCTGGTGAAGAAGATCTTGGCGGCCTGGTGGTAGCCCTCCTCGTAAGCCTTGTCACCCGAGGCCTCGACGTCGGCCACGTTGGTAGTTCGAAGGAAGTCCTCAAGCTCGGGAAGCTGGTCCAGACGAGCGAAGCAGAAGGCGAGTCCGGTATCGATGGCTGGCTCCCGCAGAGTCTTGCGGGCCATACGAAGGAACTTGACAAGGTCCTCATCCTTACCGGCATGGGTAGCTGTCTCGATCACCTCGTTGTAGTTCGACGGGTCGGCAGCGTGAATGTAGGACTCAATCGAGTCGGAGACACGAAGGCCATCCAGCTGAGCCTTGGCAACCTTGCTCCACACCTCGGGCAGCTCGACACGCTCTGCGAACTCCTGGGCGCGGTCGATGCTCACGATGTTCTCCACAAGAACGTTGACGGCCGAAAGGTTGTTGTTGACCTTCTTGTAGATCTCGAAGGCCTCCTCGTACAAGCCAACGCTGATACACATCTCGGCGATTTCATCGGCAGAGAATTCGTTGAGCTGGTGGATGTAATCCATCAAGCGTCCCTTGTCGGCCTTGGCAGCGGTCAACATAAGGAGGTTCTGCAAGCTGCTGTTGTCGCTGAAAGGCGAGGGCTCCAGAATGATCTTCTCCAGAAGCTCAATCAGCTCACCAGGAAGATCGGCCTCGAGGAAGGACTTGACGGCCACGGAGACCTTGTCGGGCTCGGTGGACTCGGGGACCGCAGTGGCGATAACCTGGTCAACGAGCGAACGACGGTGGATGTTGTTTTCGCTCAGCACGAAGCTCCAGATCTCGGGGTCGGCACGCTCGACAAGGTAGCGGGCCTGGGCACGGTACATGGAGTTCTCGTTGGTAATGCTGATGAGCTCCAGGTCATTCTGGCCCTTGCGGTAGGAAATGTACGCCAGGTTGGGGTCACGCTTCTCGCAGTACTTTCCGACAGTCAAGGTGTCGTACATGTCGTTCTCCTTGAGGAACTTCTCAGGGTTGTTGTTGCTGTCGATGTAGATCTTCGCAAGAGCGTTGTACACCGCCTGCTGCTGGTTGCCAGTGGCAAGGGTGGCCTCGAGGAACGGCAGGAGCAGCTTCAGACGGTTGCGGCTCTCAACCTCTTGGACAAGCTCGTCGATGGGGATCACAGAGGGATCGACAGTCGACAGAAGATTCTTGATGATGCCCTCATCGCAGTCGACATCCAGCAGACCCCCAACCACAGCAGGAGCACGGGAAGGGTTGACCCGTTGCACGTACACCTCGATGGACTTGTATTGCTGGTTCTGGTAGAGGTAAAGGACCAGGTCGTGGATGAAGTTGAAGCGGTCGCAGACAATGATAAGAGGGAGCTGCTCGGTCAACCGTGCTTCCTTGAGGAAATTTTTCACCTTCTCGGCGTTGTAGTAGTTGCTCTCACGGCAAATCCGCTCGACCTCGGTGACTTGTCCCATGGCAGTGGCAGCCTCAATGTACTTGAAGTGCACCTCAGGGTCCTCGCTAAGGTTGACAATGCTTCCGAGGTAGTAGTAGAGACCCTCCGCGGTACGGTACTTTTCGAAAAGGTCCACGAGACGGTTGGCACCGAGAAGGTCGGAGAACTTGGTGGCAATCTGGACCACAGCCTGCAGGTTTTGACGAATGTTCGCTCCCAGCATCGTGTCCATGCACTCGAGGGTCTGCTCAACCGAAAGACGGCCGAAGTAGCTCATCAACCACTCTGGGCTGAGCTTGTCCGTGCGAACGATGTTGCGCTTGATAACCGCCGGGTCGTCAGAGTTCTCCAGGGCACGCTGGATCAGACCAGCATTCTCGCAAAGCTGAGAGATGCGGGGGCGATCAAAGTGGGTGAAGATCTCATTGCCAAGGATGGCATCCGCGACCTGCGGTGCGTTGACCAGGTTCATCTCCAGAAGACGGGTCTGCAGATGGCCATGCTCAGGCTTGTTGTCCTTCAGAGCATCCAGGAGGAACGAAGTGGCCTGTTGAATCATGTTCTGGGACAGGAACACGTCGACTACCCGGTCCAGGTCGACCAGAGCACCGCCTTCCTCATTGGCGAGCTGAGCAGCAAACTCGGCACCTTTCTCAGGGTTGACACGGACAATGTGCTGGAGCAGCTGCGTGTAGTCGGGTTGGTATCCGACCTGCTTCGAGTATGCGAGAATCTTGTCAAACTGACCGGTCTCGGCAAAACCGGCAACGACTTTGTGGGGAATGTTGGCCTGGAGATACACATTCAGGGCGAGAGTCATATCGTAAGGCCGAATAATGTCACCCAACTCCTCCGAGCCCTCAAGCTTATTCTCGCGCATCCATTTCTCCAGCAGGTGCTTCCGGTTCTGTTGCAAAACAGGTCGAACAAGCTCCACACTCTCATAGCGGTTAAGTGAACCCTTATCGAGCAGCATACCAAAGTACTGCAAGATGACCGACATCTGACCGGTCTGAGGTGCATTCTTGAAGCGGTTGATGGTGTCCGGTGTCCGCAGGAACCCGCGAGGGGAGTTGGCAGCGACCTTGGCAGCTTCAGGGTAGTTACCCTGCGCAATAAGGTTGTCGAACTGTTGCTGGTAAAGGTGATCCGCGCCAGGAAGACCAGCCCGGGAAGCAAGCTTTACTGCCAGGGAGGACATGGCGGGGTTCTCCATGAGGTACTGGATGATCGTGCTCTCATCAACACTAACGCCCAGGACCTGTCCCTTGCGGTTCACGCCAACCAGGCCGGCGCCGTCAGAGTCCGAAGCCGTAGTGAAGATGGTTTCACTGGAGATGCGGTTCATGAAAATGCATGTGCCAGTTTCGAGGTCGTAGAGATGAATGAAGCCGTACTTGGTCACGAGGTAGACCAGATCATATTTGCTGGACACCTGCATGGCAACAGGGAAGTCATTAACTGCTTCCTGGGGGAAGTACACCTCCACAGCCTTCTTCTGGAATCGGGGGTTGGGTTCTTGGTGGTCGATCTCGGCAATCTGCAGCTTCGCACCGGTTTGAGTCCGAACGGCGAACGTGAAAAGGCTGTGGGGGAGAGGCGAGCCCTCGACGTTGATGTTCGCAAATGCGGCGGCATGGCCCTCGATGAACTGTGAGATGCCGCGGTCTTTCGAGTACAGCTGCATCGATCCCACAACCCGGCCTTGCTGCTGACTGATACCGACCACGACCATCCATTTCTCCTCCGCGTTGACGCGGTAGTTGATAATTTGGCATCCCTAAAACCACGCACATTAGCACCCACCACTGTCTTTCGGACCTCATAAACCACGTACAGCCAGATTAGGAAGACGGTCGAACATCTTGACAGGGTTCTGCTGTGTGGCATCGTAGACATCCCAGTGATACACCGACGTTTCAGTGACCAGACCAAGGGACTTCTCGCTGAACCATTTCCAGTAGACAATGTCTTCATTCAGAACCGCTGACTTGAGCTTTTGCTTCGCACCGAGATCGAAGATCTGGACCGTCCGACCCTGGGCCTTGAGGGCGATAATATTCCGGTTCCAGTGCATGATTGCACTGTCGGCGTTGATGGGGCGTCGCATGACATCGTTGTTGTTCTTCAAATCGATGATGATGACTTGTGGCTTGTCGTCTTCGTCGAGCTTCTGGCGAATGCAGACGTAGTGATCCGATTCTAAAGTCTGCGGAGCGGGAATGTCCGATTAGCCCGAGTCCAGCCGTGTGTTTTGGAGGAGGCGATGCAGAGTACTCACACATGAAGCAAAACCAATTGATGCCGGCTATATCGCAAACTATGTCAGCAGCCTGCCCTGATAGTCTGAGGTGGCGGGGTGCGATCGGGAGGTTCGTATTGACGGCAGTGTCGCGACCACCGAGGATTTGTAGACAACATTGTACGTACCGCAATGCCGACATTGGTCAACTAGAACAATCACGAAGTCCGAATTAGTTTTTCCAGTACTCCAAAAGACAAGGGATAAGTGAGAGAACGCACATTGACCACTTCTGTAAACTTGATGGGAAGGGGAGCCATATTTACGTAGGCCGCAACACGACCTCGTCCACCCAACTAAACGCCACGCAGGTAAGACAAAAGAATGGGAAGATGAAGGAAAGTGCAGGGAATGGAAGCAATGAAATAAAAAAAGGAAGATGACAGGTATGAAAGGGTGAGAGAGGGGGGTAGAGCTTGGATTGAGGAAAGCAGTGACCTCAGGAGGCTGTTGACGCTGAGGTGTCGCTTATGGGGAAGCACGTGACACAGGGGTTGATTGCCGCCTTCCTGTTTGGGAGTGTTTGGTTGTGTTTGACTTGCTCCACTGCGGCCTGTTTTTTCAGGTGTACGTTAGTTGTGAGGGTAGAATGTGGAGGAAAAAAGGAATTCATATAGAATTGAAGTGATCCTTTAGTCCATTCTTATAATCTTTCTCATTTATTGTGCAAAAAAGAGAGAATTGTAATGATCTGGCTGACTGGTCCTCCGATCCACTATGCAAATCGGCTTTATATTCGACCAGCCAATGGCCTGACCGCTGTCAACAAAGGCACTGGCCGTTCACCGTTGGTCTCTCTTTCCATTTCGACTGGGCATCGCATAGTGCCAAAATACTTTTTATGTGGGTAAGTGACAATGAGAAACCAAGCTTTGTAAAATAAATCTATATAAAATAAGAAGAATCTCTCTGCTACGGGAGACACGACTCGACCAGGAATAGATAGTCCGGGCCGATGAAATATACACCGCACAGACATCCGAGTCCGGATCCTCTCATACCTCACAGAAAATAATGGGTAAAGGTTCCTCTAATTTCCAGGGTATTCGGAGGCACTCAAATCCAGGCTCATGCACGGAACCCACGTGGTTGGACAATTCTGAGCCTCTTCGGAGTCGATGCACTGCGGTGGGTCGGTCCACCTGCCATCGCATCCCTGGTAAAGTAGGCCGAGCACCCCGCGGAATTGGAGACACACCAACAAAGAAAATACAAACCAATGCCGGCGAAAATCACTGGGACTTTTGCACACAGTCAATCTCATAGATCAAATATCCCGCTTCGACACACCACAGCGCATCCATCCAGCCGAAATTGACGTCAGCCAGGCCCTTGCAACTGGTCTGTGTGAGCGAACATCCCGAGAACTCCTCGCGACCACCTCGATTTCCCCGTAAACTGGAAACCAGCCGAGACAGAGCAAACAGGACAGTGCGGCCCCCGACCCGAATTTTGCCGTGTCTCCTGCCCCGGCGCACCGGATCAATGGGGGCTATATCCAAACAGCCAGCCCCCGCGGTGATTGGAGGGATGATGTTCGGTATTTTGGCCAAGACCGACAGAATCTCTGGGCAGGGCTATCTCCACGCCGAGCCCGTAATAAGCCTGGGAGGCGGCATTTTCATCGTATAGCGTGGTCGTACGGGCGGGCACGGATAGCCGAGACCCTTGGCAGCAACCTTGGCCTGTCACCGGAGTGGGATATCCCCGCGTGGACGGCCGGGGTAATCTGGGGAACGTCGGTAGTTTCCCCTTTGACCACGAGGACAACGCGGGATAGGAAATGCGGGGCTGGGGGCGAAAGCTGTGTGTTGGGGGGGTATGTTGTAGTAGTGTTGTGAAGTGAGGTGAGGTGCTTATAAGAAAGACGGAGTATCAATCGAGGGGTCACACACTCTTCTCTCTGACAACTACCGCAACTAAAACACTGACTTCTTATCTTTTCTCTTTTCTGTGGACATCCCATCCACAATGGCCTCTCCAAATGAAATCGCAGAGCCAATAGCTCAAGGTTTTTTTGCTACAGCCCGTCAAGCCTTCAAAGACCTCTTCATTTGGAAACAGCGTGTGGAAGTCATTAACGAGCATGGAGAGTCCCATGCCGAGTGGCAGGATCCCGAGCCGATCAAAAACCCCATCAGCTTGATGATGCAGCTCTCAGCTCGGGACTGGCTCTTCTTCATCGTGGGACTGACAGCATGGACTGCTGATGCCTTTGATTTCCATGCCCTCTCAATCCAGACCCTCAAGCTGGCCAAGTACTATGATCGAACAAAGACTGATATTTCCACTGCCATCACTTTGACCCTGCTCTTGCGAAGTGTGGGTGCTGCGTTCTTTGGACTGGCTGGTGACAAATATGGCCGCAAGTGGCCTATGGTGATTAACATGATCATCCTGGGAGTTCTTCAAATTGCCACCATCTACAGCTCAACCTTCCAGCAGTTCCTGGCTGTGCGCAGTCTTTTTGGGCTCTTCATGGGTGGTGTGTATGGTAACGCTATTGCAATGGCACTGGAACATTGCCCGTGAGTGTCTTACATTCATCTCTACATTCTATCCTTCAATGCTTCATATAGAAAGTGGCTAATACTTGATGGATAAATAGGGTGAATGCAAGAGGACTCATGTCTGGAATCCTCCAGCAAGGGTACTCACTCGGGTACGTACTTGCTGCATGTGCCAACCTTGGGGTTGGAGGAGGCACAGAGAGCTGGAAGACAGTGTTTTGGGCTGCTGGTGAGTTAGATAACCCTCTCTATTCAAGTTCCAGAGATTACACAGTACTCATCACCTTAACCATTAGCCGGTATCTCCATTGGAGTTGGCCTCATCCGCATGCTGTTCCCCGAGTCGAAGCAGTTCCTCGAAGCCAAAAAAGCAGGAAAGCGAACAATGACCGCAGGCGAGTTCTGGCGCGAGACAAGAGGGATGTTAGCAAAGGAATGGCGCATGTGTGTCTACTGTGTCATCCTGATGACCTGGGTAAGTGTTGCCTGTGGTTGTGTTATTTACTCGCAACTGTGATCTAACATCGCTGTCCACAGTTCAACTATTACTCCCACACATCCCAAGACTCTTACACCACTTTTATGCTTACCCAAAAGGAGCTCGATAACTCGGGCGCATCAAGAGCATCCATCTTGATGAAGACCGGTGCCTGTGTGGGTGGAACCATAATCGGGTACTTGTCTCAGTTCTTTGGCCGACGCCGTGCCATTATCGTTGCCGCACTGCTCTCTGGGGTCTTGATTCCGGCGTGGATCCTCCCACACGGGGAGCGCGCCTTGAGTGCTACTGGATTCTTCATCCAGTTCTTCATCCAGGGTGCCTGGGGAGTGATTCCGATCCACCTTAACGAGCTGTCGCCCCCAGCATTCCGATCGTCATTCCCGGGACTAACATACCAGCTTGGCAACATGATTTCGTCGCCGTCTGCTCAGATTGTGAATGCAGTCGCCGAGTCAACCTGGGTGACATCAAGCTCGGGCCACCGGGTGTCGGCCTATGGGCCTGTCATGGGAGTTGCAACTGCTATTATTGCAACCGGGATTATCGTGACGACTGCGATCGGCCCCGAGAAGCGTGGCCGTCGCTTCGAAAGTGTCATGGCCGGGGTGGATCAGCACAACCAGGACAAGGTTGCCGACTTGGAGGCTACTGGTGATGATAACAAGGCGAGGGATGAGATGGTTGAAATGGCAGACCGCAAGGCTTGAACGAATTACGAGCACGAAGGCATGAGGTTGCCCCGCTAAGATAAGAATACAGTTGAAGAAAGAGACAGTGGTAGAGGGATCTAAGAGCGATGATACCAAGATATGCATCGATGATGTATATATTTGGAACTATTTGATCTTAGTCACATTACCACCCATATCGATGGCAAGAAATAGCAAGTTAACAGTGTATTCTCATGCGTGTACACTTAGCAGCATGAAAGGCCAAGGCTAGAGATCAGTACTTTTCGAGAAATCCTCCCACTCCGCCACCTGCCGCAAGGTATCCTCACACTTCTTGCGAATAACCGCAACAGCGTCCGAACCCACCAAAAGCGACATCGGCCATTCCTTCCCAGCCGTGCCATTCTGCCCCTTGACCACATCGATGACCCTTTCAGCGCCCTTCCTGGCATCGCCAATCTGGGTTCCATTCAGAGTGCGGAACCCACTCGACACCGTTTCCGTCAGGGCCCTGTAGTCCTCGAATTTGGTCCTCGCCGATTTGCAGTTTGGTTCGTTGAGGAGCTCGGTGCGGAATGTGCCAGGCTCCACGAGGAGGGTTTTGATGCCGATGGGGGAAAGTTCTTTGGAGAGAGATTCGACAGCATCTAGGGAGGAGTTAGCGGGCTTGCTTCCAGTCTATAACTAATATCCATGGAGAGCTCGGAGGGAATGGAGTATTGGCATACAGTGAATGGCGGCTTTTGAAGCGCAGTATGTGCCGACGGTTGGCACGCCGTCCCATGCGACCATGGACCCAATGAACACAATGGTACCGGCCTTTTTGCTTCGCAGATGGGGAAGAAAAGACCGAGTGGTGTTCAAAGTTCCAAAGACGTTAGTGTTGAACTGTTTGAACCACTCGTCGTTGCTGGAAAGACTGGCTGTCAGCTGTTTGGACAGTTGGCTTTCAAGAATTGACTAGGTCCATCCTACCTCGACTCTTCGACTGTTCCGAATTGCGTGTACCCGGCGTTGTTCACCAGCACGTCGATCGTGCCATATATGGCAATGGCTTCTTCTGCCTTGAGATCGAGCTCGTCTTTCGAGGCCGCGACATCTAGCTGCATGACTGCAGCTCCGATATCTTTGAGATGGGCAATGCGGTCCACATTGCGAGCCGTGGCAATCACCTTATCTCCACGAGCCACTGCCGCGTGGACGAACTCAGCGCCGAGACCAGAGGAAGTTCCAATCACAAGCCAGACTTGAGGAGCCATGATGTGCGATGTTCTGGATATGTGTGATGGGTCACAGAGAAAGAGAAAAGAGAAGAGCGTAAGAAAGTCCTGGGATTGTTTAGTTCGAGGCAAAGAACTTGAGATTCACCAGACCAGATCAAGCCCTTCTTATACCCAAAACCATATGGCCCTGGCATGTCAAGGTTCCTCATACTGATTCGGCCAAATGAACAGTTTCTTAGAACTTGACTCGATATCAGCCATGCTCATGGCTATTTAATTGGCTAACTTGATTCAATATGTGGGTCATGAGAATGCGCCGTCCGAAAGCTTTCGGGATTGTCGATCATCTTCGGGCGATGCGCCCGGGCTGCAGTGTCGCCGAAGATCGACGGACCAGCAGATAGTCTTTGGAGGCCGTTGGAATTGGGAGTATGAATCAAAGGAGTTGAATTGTATTCGCTTGCCTTGCGGTTAATTATTGCAGGAACCAGCGATTTACTCAAAGCCCTCAATCTTCATGTTTGCTACCAAAGTCTAGCAAAGGCCAATTCCTCTCGAAAATGCCAGCAATTCCCACGCGATGAATCATCCGTGGTCAAACCCAGCTGCCAAACCCTTTATACCTAGCCGCAAAGTTGCAATCACGCCAAAATTGATATCGGACGTCAGCCCCGAGAATCAAAACCATGACAGAAATCCGAAATCCTTCCAGCACCACCGTGGACCTGATTGCATCACCAAGGGTGCCTCAGTGGAGATGTCGAGCATCACAGTTCGAATGCTTATTCGCTCAGATCTACGAACTATTTACGTGGAACTCCACCCCATAAATAGGGATTGCGTGCCCTGCCCTGGCGAGTCTGGCCCCAAAGCCCCAAATTCATGCAATACCCCATAGATCATCGCCCTTGAGCTCTGGAGGTTTGAAAAAAAGAAATTGCCAGGCATTGAAGACGGATCTGTTTTTCTTCTCTCCTTTCTTGGTATCGTGCACCAGGACTGAGTCGCCATGAAATCGCCAATACTGACATATGCTAGTCTCGGCTTGGCGACATGCTTTGCCATGAACGTGGGTTTTGCCGGTGCGTCGGCCCATAATCACTCTCATGCAGTGAATTTGGCTGTTAAAGATGAGGGCGGGAACAAGTCGAGCCCGTTGCTCTATGGGATTATGTTCGAAGTGAGAACAAATTGGTTATTGTGTCAATGGCTTTACATATTGCTGACTCGGAACTGCTGCTAGGAAATGGATCGCTCTGGTTTGTTAGCCCAAAGATCCACTTCAATTGAGATGCTGATAGCGCACAAAACAAGGTGATGGTGGAATCCACGGCCAACTCCTCCAAAACAATGGTTTCCAAGGTAAGAGCCTTGGAATGACCGCATACAAATCGGTGGGCGACGTGGATATCTCCCAGGACCATTCGAAGCCGGTCAGCAAAGCGATTACGTCTTCGCTGCAAGTTGCGGTGCCCAAGAATGCGACCAAATTCGTTGGATTCGCCAATACCGGATACAAGGGCGTTCCGGTGAAGCAAGCAAAATATAAGAGCTCTTTCTACATGAAGGGCAACTATTCTGGCACCGTAACTCTGCAGCTCGTCGGATCGCACAGTGGTACCATCTATGCAGACCACAACCTGACTGTCAAGAGCTCCGATTCCAAATTCACGCCCTTTGAAACCAGCTTCCAGTCCAAGGCCTCACCAGACGGCGAGAACGAGTGGCGTCTGACTTTCGATGGCTCCAAGGTTGCCGGCAACTCGCTGAACTTTGGTCTTGTCCAACTGTTTCCACCAACATTCCATGACCGAGAAAATGGCTTGCGCGACGATCTTGCAACGGTCATCGACAAAGTAAAGCCCAAGTTCCTCCGGTTTCCCGGCGGGAATAACCTCGAAGGAGTGAAAATCGACTCTCGCTGGAAGTGGAACACCACTATAGGGCCGGTGGTCGACCGTCCCGGCAGAGAAGCCGACTGGGGCTACCCCAACACCGACGCCCTTGGTTTGGACGAGTACATGCAGTGGTGCGAAGACATGGGCATGGCACCGTTGCTGGGGGTGTGGGCCGGCAAGTCATACGGCGGTATCCTGTCGGGCGAAGAGCTGGAGCCGTATGTCCAGGACACGCTGAACGAGCTGGAGTATCTTCTCGGAGACTCGACAACGACACACTATGGCAGGCTGCGCGCAAAGAACGGACGCACAGAGCCGTGGAAGCTGAACTATGTCGAGATCGGGAACGAAGACCAGCTCACCGGGGGGTGCGACACGTACCCGGAACGTTTCAACCAGTTCTACAAAGCGATCCACGACCACTACCCGCACATCACGATTGTCGTGTCGAATGCAGACCCGTCTTGTCTTCCTTCGCAGCTGCCAAAGAACGTCATCCTCGATGTGCACTTCTATCTCAAGGACGATCAGATCGTGGACAAGTTCAACCAGTGGGACAACCAGCCGCGGAATCAGTCTGTCATGGTTGGTGAATATGGATGTCGGAACACTACCCAGGCTACGGGTGTCTACTGGTCATACATGCGAGGCAGCTGCAGCGAGGCAGTGTATATGATTGGCCTGGAGCGGAACAGTGACATTGTCAAGATGGCGGCATATGCTCCTTTGCTTGCGCATCGCGAATACATCTCATGGTCGGTAAGTGGGATACCCCTTTTCAGAACTGCACGTCATACCCCGTACTAATATGTTTGGGAGAATTAGCCTACTCTCTACGGCTTCGACTCCAGACCGGACTCGATCACTCCGTCGACCTCTTACTATGTCCAGAAGATGTTCGCAACCAACAAAGGCGACACTGTCCTGCCGGTATCTTCATCAACAGGGTTCGGTCCACTGTACTGGGTGGCCACGAAGACGGACTCGAAGTATTACGTGAAGCTCGCAAACTACGGATCCGTCTCGAAGAAGGTCGATGTGAGCGTCCCTGGCACAGAGAAAGGGAAGCTCGAGATGCTGTCTGGTCCCGAATATCATGGTAACACGCCCATGAATGTAAAGATCGAGACAATTACCATGGACGTGTCCGATGCAAATGGCAAATATACCATCCACATGGAACCGTGGGCTGTTGCTGTTCTGGCTGTTTCGTGAACTTTTGGTTCTAATATACCTTGGGTGAGAGATTTGCTCGCATTCATTGAAAAGTTGGGACCGGTCTACATGGCATAGAATACATGGATGGGCTATAGCAGTCCATATGGAAAGTCTTCTTCCGACATCGCTTATGGCGACAAAGTACCTAGGTACCGGATTTCCTATGCCATTTCTTGGCCATCCCTTTCCATTTTAGTGCTTACCCCTCGCCGCTTTTTGATCACTGGGTAGGATTGAGCACGCCCTTGAGCGCCCCGATCTGATCAGGGTATTGATCGGGGCACCTCACTTTTGATGTTGAGAGCATCTGTCAATTTTGTAATCACATGATCGCGCATTCTCTAGGTTTGTCGTATTCACAACCGTTCAAGAATAAGAACGACCAAGTGTTTTGAACATCGAGACGTAGGTGAACAAGACGGAGAAAAAAGCCCTATTTTTAAGGACTTCCTATAAATGAACGGAATGACGGTTACATTTGAACTTCACTTTGAGAGTACGTGCTGTGTAACACCCGTGCGTGCAATATCAGAGGTCGACGGTCTGGTTCGATCCCAGCTAAAGAAAAAAAAATTGTAGGTGCCAATTTCTCTATAACTGTGTCTCGAGTGATAACTGAACAGCACTGCACTTGTGTGCTGCAGCTAGCACTTCCTGTCGAGAGATTCTAGGGCGCTTCAGCTCAGAATTCCCTACAGCATATTAGTCGAGTCTGTGTTAAAGGGGTTCGGTAGGTATACATTACCGCTTCCAGTGATAGAACTATGTCAGGCGAAGAGCACTGCAATGGCCATCTCTGCACCCCTCACACAGATCGCTATTATGTGGACCTCTGCTCGTGCCACCATGATAGGGCTGCTCTACGGGGATCCCATTCCATTTCTTGAGGCGGTACGCCACTCTCTCTGCGTATGATTCGTCCAGAATCGGCCGACTGAGATGGTTGCAAATTTTGCACCGTTGATGGTAGACCCTAGCATTATATATTGCGCCAGGGTACATCCGTATAGTGATTGCAATCCTTTTGCTTGACCATCCGTTGGATCGGCAGGCGCGGTTTCGGCATATGAATCGACCCATGATATTCGTGTCGTACGACCTGGTGCAGTTTCGAGAATCGTCGTGCTCATGGAATTCGCAATGAACGTCATCTTCGTCTAGCAAGCGAGAAACTTGTTCATGGAAAGATGGAAAGATTGACCATCTTTGTTCTGGTTGCAACCTCCGGCCTCGCATGATGGGGTTGCAAAACCGCCCGATTGGGGTGAAAACGACGTGTGGTAAAACGATGAATATAACCAAAGGGAAAGTGAAGAGTTGAAGAAGCCTTCCGTGTTTTGGAAGGGCAAGGGATGATAGCTGGAGATATATACTATAAGATTCTCAACTCGATATTTAGGTCACGTACACCTTGATGCTTCACCTTTGTTCGCCGTGAATAACAATAGTACGAGCAATGTGATGAAGCTGTTAGTTGTTCCTCAAGTTGCAGTTTGTCGTTCTCAATACACCACTTGCAGGACGATGCAAGTATAGTGACCACTTAGACGTATTTACGTGTCTATATTACGTGTCTGTGGCCCGAAGCATTTTTATCTGCAGACACAGGCATAGTGCAGTTTTTTTTTTTTTTTTTTTTTTGTATCTTTGCAGTCAAACTCAGAGTATACTAAAGTATACTAAAAGCAAAGAGTAATCCAGCGTACCCGAGGAAGGAAAAGGAAAACCTTATTCGACCAAGCTATTACCAGCGCTTACGTGCTTTACACTCTCGTCGAACAATAAGTGCTGTTAGGGATGCAGTGTATATGGTTCTTTTCAGCCACTGGAGACATTCGGATCTTGGCTGTAGAAATTAGGATATTCCCGACCCATTGCTTAATTTATACCTCGAGATTGTTTACTCTTGTCACTCTATATAGGAGTTAATTGCCGAATGGTTTGAAGAAGATCTCTGTTTAATCCACACATAACTCCCGAAGCAGTGATGTTCTTGAATGACTTTCCTTCGGACACCCGTAGATCTTGGTGAACCGGTTGCTCTTTTTGTGTGCATGAAGGCTATGAAAAACGTCACAAGAGCCAAAAAAAAAAAAAAAACGAAGGGCTGCACTAGCCAGCCCATGAGTGCTTAGCTCTTTGATTGGCGACCTCCCGCATTGGTGGCCTCCCGCACTGACGGCCTCCTATACTGGTGGCCTCCTACACTTGTGGCCTCCCGCATTGGCGGCCTCCCGCATTGGCGGCCTCCCGCATTGGCGGCCTCCCGCACTGGCGGCCTCCCGCATTGGTGGCCCCGCGGTCGGTCCTTAGGACCAGAAGTATGAAGGTCAAGCTGAGCCTCAAGGTCCTGCAAATAGACCTCTCTTTCCTCCTACTGGGTTCGGACGGCTCTCTACACTTGAGAATGACAGACATGGAAACGAAGCACCGCTTGCCGCTTGCTCCTCATCGTGTTGGGCCGCCCAGACTAGATCCATACTACAGAATCCTCGCCCGACTTTATGAGCCATTGTTTCTTTTGAGAGCCCTTGGGCAGACAAGAGGCCAACATACACCTCAACCCACTAGTTTCGATCCTTCCACGGAAAAGAGACGAAGGTTTTTGCAGAACCTTTGTTATGTGTGTGATTTCAAGAAAGGCGGCAATACATGCACGGCAATCGGGCTCGAAGATTGCCAAGTCAGCTACCGATTTTGGGTTGCTTCGAACAGCGAGACTGGCAATATAGTGGCATTTCTCACGGATGCCTTACGTATGTTGTTCAACTCGGTTAACTCCGCTGGATCAGACCTGGATACCAAGAAGTCCGCGTTTGTTCAAATTTGCGCGGAGTTCGCGGATAAACGCATCAAGGAGGAAAAGAAGCTCCTCCTAAAAGAAGCGACCAACTGCACTTCGAAGCTCGTAACAAATTCACCGGGAGCGAGTGAGTAGCATTGTTCCCAATCTCCAATTACTGGCAAGAGCTAATAACTTAGGAAATGGATTGCACTCCTGGCTCCAGGAACTCATAGGTCAAACTGACAACATGGCGCTCTGCAAATTCGCGTATGATTATCGCCATTCAGAGCATATCGATGCGCTTGCAGCTCAAGCAGTGCAAGAAGAGACCAGATTAGGACCAGCGGATCGACGTTCGTCCTTTGCCCTGGTTCGACATTATATTGGAAGGCTTGCGCATCATATACGTGCACCCAACGAACTCATCGAAGATTCCTGTGATCTAGGACATCTGTTGCAAACGTACGACGTTTGTAGTGTTGGATCCTTGTCCGGTGTGCGAGCACCAATGCGAGATTCACACACAAATCTCCGCGGGATTTTGAATCGTATGTGCAAGGGAGGCAAAGAAGAAAAAGAGAATATCGAGAATGGCCTGTTCTACCTGAACAAAGTCGTCAACGTATTTGAGAATTTCATGTCTCTCTACGAGCAAGCCCAGCCTCAAGTCCATGCCGAAATCCAATGCTTGGAGCACTTTTACCGAGGGAGGCGTCGTTTTGCAGATGGAGATCGATTTATTGCTTGCAGTAAGCCTGCTTGCCTCTGCTGTGAGCTATATTTCAAGCATTATCCAGCACGGATGGTCATCCCCGCCTCTCATCGCAAAGTCTGGACGCGGTGGAGCCCTCCGCTGGTGGAAGACTTTGGCAAGAACGACGTTGCCACATGGCACCAAAAGCAGATATTGAACAAGATAACGCAGGAGCTCCGTGACCTCGTTATCACTCAAGTTTTGGAGCGTTCACCAAGTATCTGCTGGCACCCTGATTCCAGAACCAGTATCACAGAGATACAATCTATGGCTAGTGTTACCTCGGTCGAGGACCAAAGCGTTGACGGAGAACTATATAACGAATCTGTTTCAGAGTCTTCGAATGGCTTCGAGACTGAAGATCAGGCGTTTGACTCTGACGACGGCGGTGTATCTATTAACATAGGACTAGTTGCGAATTAAATGTGATACACTTCTTGCACAGTTTCTGCCACGGGACATATTCGACCTGTTGGCTTGACGCCAGCCACAACTTTGTCATTTATCTTAATCTATCCGCATGTTTGTTTTTGTAGTGCCGTTGGAGATTGTCCTTCCGTGTGAATGAGACCCCGCATATTTGACAACTTGGACCATTTGTCAACATCCCATGACGCCTAGCCCAGCCACTATGGGTATGCCCAACGTGTCGGCGCATGTCTCTTTGTTCTGCGGCGGCATAATGGCACATGTGGCATTTAACAGGCTTGATGTGCGATCGTAAATGTTTCCTGAAACGCTTAGATGGAACTCTGGTACTTCTGGTTGCGGTATGGGAAGTCTTACCGAAAAAGCCCTTTCTGCTTGAAGCCCTTTCCCCCGTGACACCTCTCGTCCTGGCAGTGATAAAGGCCGTCTGACGAAACGGTGGTCATACTAATTGAAGGCATTTCTGCTTCTTCGAATCGCCACCCTGAGTACAACGCGCCCCTGGGAGACTCTGACTTCTGATCGATGTTCGTGATCAGTGAGCCGCGAGCCTCTGGAGCGGTCATCGGGCGGTCGCACAATTCACTCACGTCCATCGGAAACGAGTTCGACCGCGCGCTCTATAGAGGCTCTTTCCGGTCCCAAAGTTCCCGATCGAAATCAAGTTGAATGTCCGTTATGTATGAACCGACATACTCGTCGAGGCTAGCATCACACGTTAAGGTCTCGTGAGTTGCGGGTAACGGGAAGATGCTGTCGTGCTGGCTGCTGCAAAACATTGGCATCTCCGATTGCATTTCAGGAGCAAACTGATTATCACTATCCATCGCAGAAGCTGTTGAATGAGACGAAAAATCCACAGCTACTCCCAGCGAGGTCCAGTCACCACATTCGCTTTCGCCAAAGAACCTGGGCTCCATGACGGAACGAATGAAGCTGAAGCGATGGTCCCTGAGGCCGTTAGGAGAGAATATATATGAGGCAATCACCGTGAGGTACCTGGTAGATAGAATATACGTGGGGTTAATGGCGATAAGAGCTGAATGACGGGGATGTCGCCTAATAGGATCTCAACACATTGACTTGTTGTTCACCGCTAGTTTGTTATGCAGCTATCGTATTCATCCCTGCAGGCTGCAACAGGAATCAATACTTTGCATATATGTCGCTGTAATCTGAGTGTGTACACGGACTCCAGTGTCAGGTAGGTTGACGGACTGCCACGTAGAGCGAAGGCAACGTACACCGTACTTGTAGCCTTCAGGACCTTTCGAGTAGAGTAACAGAGAACTCGCGACGCTGCAAATTTAGAATGGAAGCCATGTCCTAGTGGGAAGAGGGAAGAGCGGACGAGGAGTTCTCCAGGAGCTGTATACACTACATAATAGAATGGCGGGTCACAATCAACGACAGGGTTATGCGTGAGGACACGGATGAGGAGCTCAATTTGGCTCTTAGTTCACACTGGTAGCTCTTCTTTGGAGGGTAAGCTGGGAATTGTCCCTTGGTGAAACAGTTTTATGCGACTGGCGGGTGAGGGCTGATGAAACTGAAATTCTCGTACTCGACCAGTAAACAATCGTTCCCATCATGGTTTGACCAAGTAATTCGACAACCTGGCAGCACCTTTATCCATTATCTGGGATAATTACGGGGAATGATAGTGGACCGCACTGACGTCAGAGACGAGATGATAGCTGCAAGGTGTTAAGACCTGTGCTGGTCTAGCAGAGGGATTCGTCGCGTCCGGAGGTGACAGTCGTATATTCCCGGTACTACCTGAGGCGTTGAATCGTGGGGATAGCTTCATGGCGAAGCCTCGTAACAAGCCGCGATTTGCAGTAGATTAGGGATTGGTGGAGAACCGACGGGGAGGAGAGGTTCATCTCCCAATGGATTGCTGTCCGAAAAAAAGAGTATAAATGAGAAGTTGCCGATAGTGTTGGTGATTATGAACTGCAAGTGGTGTATCACCCAACACAAAGCTGGAGGTCCCTGGTTCGCTTCCTCTTTTTTTCTTTTTCTTTTTCTTTTTCTTTTTCTTTTTCTTTCTTTCTTTCTTTCTTTCTTTCTTTCTTTCTTTCTTTCTTTCTTTCCCAACTTATAATTTCTATTCTCATCCCATCGATCAACAAATTGTTCACCTTGCATTAAATCATAAGAGGTGATAATGAACAAGGTCAATATATTCGCTGAGGTGAGGATAGACTTAAAAGACTAAGTTTACCTCAAAATCAACCGTGGAACTGCTCTTTGGCTTCCCCAGTCTATCCCATGCTCAGACCAGCTATGTAACCATTATGTATTCCCAAGCCAGGCCCAGCACCATCAGAATCTTACCGTCCCAAACCTCTGGTATTGTTGCAACCCGCCCCCAAGATGAACTCTCTACTTAGCAACAAAGTCATCGCAATCACCGGCAGCTCCTCTCGCATCGGCCAAGCCATTGCAACAGCATGTGCCCAACACGGAGCTAACCTCGTCCTCCACCACCTCGGCCCCCGAACTGAAAAAGCCGTCTACACCCTCCAAGACAAGCTCTCCACACTGCCCCAATACGCTGAAGACAACGGACCGGTCGTCTTCAGCGGCGACCTGACAACCGAGCACACAGCCGAGTATCTCGTCCAGGAGGCCGTGTCGACGTTCGGACGACTGGACGGGCTGATCAACACCGTGGCAATCTGCAACTTTATGCCGGCGCAAGCGGTCACACGGTCCATCTTGCAGCAACACCTCGATACCAACTTCGTGGCGACGTATCTCCTGGCTCAGGCCGCCACGACCCGGCTCACGCACCAGGGACACGGGGGCAGCATTGTGAATGTGTCGTCGATCACGGCGCTGCTGGGCTCGGCGCACCTTACGCACTACGCGCCCGCTAAGGCCGCTGTCTTGGGTATGACGACGTCATTTGCTACGGAATTCGGGAAGTATGGTATTCGCTATAACTGTGTCTTGCCCGGTGCCGTCGACAAGAACTCCTCCCGTGGAGAGGAGGGTGTGCGGACGGATGAACGGAGGTCTGCGGTGGCGGACACAAGAATCCCGTTGGCTAGACTCGGTACCCCCGATGATGTGGCGGGCGCAGCCGTGTTCTTGGTCAGTGATCTATCCGCCTATATGACCGGGCAGCATCTTGTTGTTGATGGGGGTGCGTCGGTCCACTACCATCCCACTGACTAGTTCGACTGCCAAGACATTGTTGGATGGGCCAAGGAGGTTGATTGTGCCACGGATGAGGCCGCGGTCGATATGGTTTCGTCCAAGGCTTTCTTAAAGCTGGGGCTATGGTTTGGCAAGGAATAGCCTAGATTGCGCCGCTTCTGTTCGATATACAGGGTTTTTCTTGCAAGGGCGCATCTGACATTCTATTTAAATAAAGCCTAAAATTTCTTAATATCAACTTGGTGGCCTGATGGATATCTGCAGTCCTCACTATAAATTCAAGCTATCATGGTTCAGAGATCTCGCTTAAGGGCAATGTCGATGTAACAACAAATACGACTTTGTGCACTCCCCCATCAGAAAGGCAACGGCAAGCTACAAGATGAGACCTGCTCCAGCCAGAACTTGGCATCCAAGTTACACAATCTGCTCGGGCAACCAAACATCATGAAATAGGGCTTTGATCCCTTTGAATGCAATCGCCTACCCCACCGTCATTATTCTAACTGGGACGGCGGTCCTACATTCCCGTGCATTTATGACCGGGTTCCCCTGTGGAGAAAGAAGTAAACATTGTTCTTTGATAGAGCATCCGCCGATCCAATATTCTACGCAGACACAATGTAACTGTGAGACCGAGACAACAAAATGTGGCTCGATCTACCCGAAACATATGCAGAGGTAAAAGTGCTCAAACGACTGCAGGGAAATAAGTCCAAGCACAGGAATTGGATCTGATATGCTGTGTTGCCGTTCATGCTGCTTGACATGCCTGACCCCTGCTGGGAAGAGGCACCGTTGCAGTGGCCAACGGTCAATGCAACCTATGTCTGAGGCAAAAATAGAAATCTTGTGTATTTTGAGATCAGGTAATTGCAAGGACTCGAGCTCTAGTTTCTGTTTGGTTGTAACGTTAGACAGGATGCAAGCTCTTTTTCCAATCCTCGGGGCGTTGCATGACTTCATTTCCTAGAGCCTATAAAAACTATATATTGCTTCGATAATGTGCATACTTGTTCTCATCAACATCCTTTCTCTTCACAAACATTGGCTTACGCCTGTATAACGATCTTGGTCTGCGGTAGACCATACTCCCTCGAACCTTCCACCAGCTATGGCCCCATCGATTACTCGAGCCCTTGTGTGGACACTGGGATTCGCATCTCTGGCCTTGTCTGCAGCCATCAATAACGAAGTCACCAAAAGTATGAAGGAGGGGGATGAGGTGGCGCCGATGCAAACTGTGCCGTCTTGTAAGTGGGCTTAGATCTACCTTGCGAATCCATCGTATTGAGCTGGGGGCTAACAAATGCTATAGGCAACCTCTTCTACCAGGTACAGAACGGGGATACCTGTTGGGACATCATCTCACGAAGCGAAAACACTTTCACCATTAAACAGCTGATGTGCTGGAACCCGGACATCAACCCGTGGTGCTCGAACCTGATTCCTGGCCGAAGCGTCTGCGTCGGGGTGCTCACCCCCGGGCCCTCCTGCTAGATGACTGGGATGAAGTCTGTGAGAAGGGGCTGTCTTTGTGGACTTCTACAATTGACTTTTGGAGTGGTTCTGGATGAAAAACGCATCGACTAATTCAAGTCTGCGGGGATACGGGGTTGTGTTGGTTGTGTGCTCGCTTCGCTATATTCTTCTTCCACTACTATATCGCCATGATTGAAGTGCTCTGCAACCTTTTATGCATAATTATGAGCGATGGTTTCCCCATGCTTTTTCCAGAAACCTCTTCATCGTAATTGGCTTCACATCCGGAAATCGGGTATTCAAGCGGTCTTTCTTTGGCAGTTCGAAGACTTTGTTGATAATAAGCCGACTCACGAGGGCGGTGACCTCCTTGAGGTCGTCGGTCGAGTATCCCAAGGTGTTTGGCATTGGGGGTACAGTGACATCGCCCTTATTGACTTGATCGACAGTATCGTAGGTTACGTCAAATTTCTTGCCTGTTGCGGTCTAGATTAGCATCAAGTGAAAGAAAAAGAAACAACAACAGCGACAGCAATGACAGCAATCACGACAAACTACTGCTGCGATATACTCACCCCAAATCTCTTCTGCTATGTGCAAGATTTGATTGTAGGTGACTTCATCACCCACAACCACACTGAACTCGGGCCATTCGCTGAGACGAAGAGCATGGACCACATAAGCCGCCATATCGTACGTGTAGGTCATACCGATCACATCATTGCCGTCGCCGGGGATGGCCGCGGTGCCGCTGGTAATATCTATGCCAAAGGTATACGGCTGCAGATTGGTTCGGACATGCGGCATCCCCCAATAGTCCATGAAAAAGCCGGGGATCACGCGCGTGTACTCCAGTGAGCTCGACTTGAGGCGGGAGGCTGCATCGAGCCAGAATTGGATGCTTGGGTCCACGGGTAGGAGGCTTCACAGTAGAATCATTAGCTGGTTAACCGTACTATGTGTACATACACTTTGTACATGCTGGGTGGGTATAGTTGGCGGGTCCACGTACTCAGGTGTCTGGATGAAGGAATATTCACTCGGGATGAATCTCCTGGTTGACTGAGACTTGTCTGCAGCATCGATCAGGTTCAGCTGAGACTGACTTGAGTCTTCGGAAATGAGGCCAATGGCTGAAATGATGGTGTGGATGTTGTGTCGTTCCAGCTGCTGGGTCATCGAGGGGACGTCCTCGTAGTCGATCTGCACTTGCTGGATTTTTTTGAAGAGTTCGTCTTGTTTTGCTTGCTAAACAAAGATATTAGCTTGCTTTTCTTCTGTGCCAGAACTCATGCCTGGACACCACCGACACCGCGCGATAACACAATCACCGTGAACGTGGGGTCGTCGACCAACGTCTCGACGATGGTCTTTCCCACTCCGCCAGTGCCGCCTGCTACAGCTATAACAGACATTTTTGACAGCGTGTATTGTGGGAATAATGTTTCACGCTCTAACCACTATGGAATTCGAACATTGGAGTGATGAAGTGTGGACTGCATGTTCAGGCCAAGAACTCGGGCTCCACCCGATATGTGCCCCGCCGCTGTGGATCTGCGGAATACCTTGGTGGAATCGCTTGGAGAATATAGAATTTTTGGTAGTCAAGGTAGAAATAGGATTGTACAATTTATTGATTTGCCCACTTCCTGGAGTCTCCGTGGAATTCAGTTCATTTGCTGCAATGTCTTCATCATACAGAGGCTCTGTGACTCACATGAGTCATCCATACATTGTTGCCTGAACTATGTACACAAATCCTACAATATTTCTTTATTGTCCTGCTTGCACTCCAAAAGAAAACAATCACCCATTTACTGGTGTCGTCGCTACCTTCAAGAGTGAAAAAGGGAACCGCCCTATCCGGCGATATCAAGACGAGAATAACCAGACCATGAACCTGTTCGAGATTGACGGGGAGGCCAGCAAGAATGCAGTCGCTCCTATGACCAAGTCTCTTGCCGAGAAGTGCATCTTCTTCTGGAAACCGGCCGGGAACTTCGGGGAATTCAGCCAGTGGTTCAGGTCCACATTTATCTACGATGGCTTGAAATTTGTCACCGCCGAGCAGTTCATGATGTACAAGAAGGCCAAGTTGTTCGGCAACGAAGGAATCGCGCAGGAGATTTTGAAAAGCCCCAACCTCAATCCCGCTAGACATAAGAAAATGGGCAGGTCGGTCAAGAATTTCAATGACAAGGTGTGGCAGAGGATAAGCTTCAGCATCGTCGTGGACGGCAACTTCCACAAGTTCGTGCAAAATCCTGAGCTTGCGAGGGTGCTCTTGAGCACGGTCGGATATCGTTTGGCCGAGGCGAGCGGGTTTGATAAGATTTGGGGAATTGGTTTTAGTGCTGCACAGGCAACGGCCAACTGGCAGCATTGGGGGCAGAACAAGCTAGGTCACTGCTTGATGGTGGTGCGGGATATGCTTGTCGACCTCCAGTGTCGGTTACCCTCTTCATTCCAACCTGGCGTGAAGATGCAGAGCAAAATCGCGGTGGAGGCGACCACTGTTATCCTCTGCTGCATCTGCGCGCAGACGACTGTGGTGGAGCCCAAGGAAAGAAAGATCAAGGACAACTCCCTCGCGCTCATGCTTACGACTTGTCAAAAGTGTGTGGAGACGAATGGGCTTGCCTGCGGTTGGCGTACACACAGCCAAGCGCAAGCGATGATTGAGAGAACCCACGAAGATGCCGGCGTACACAGTCGAGCGCGTGATCTTATCGAACCACGCGATGGCGACAGGCACATCATGACCCATCCGAGCGTGGCCGGGATGAACAATATGGAGGGCTGCATGACGACGACAACGAACGGCTACGAGCTCGGCATCGAGGATATGTGGCCTTCGGAGCAGCTCGTCTTTCCTTAGATGATGAACTCATTAATGGAAGTATATGATTTAAATTCTACCGCTGGCCTATTAGTCCCATAGTAAAAATTAAACCCTAGGGTATACCAATAAGTCGACATGAGATCATGTTTCGGCCTGAGAAGAAGACTTTATATTCAAAAGAAAGATTCGACGGGCCATAGTAGGTCCTTTATTCCAAACCCATGCCAATATGCAACACAGGGCTTGAACTTCGAAGATAGAAATTTTCTACTTCCGTTTAGAGGTGATATTATTTCTAGCTTGTGGAAACCTCGATCATCATACTAGGTAGTAGACCTGTGGTTCATGGCCATTAGAAGAAAAGGTCTGAGGTTACGAAAACCAAGAAATGAGCACCTTATCAGGCACGGTGACGATAAGATAGAAAAATAGATGAATTCACTATATAGAGGAAGCTAAGATATGGTATTCTTTTTCCCCCTTACTATTTTAGCTACTAAATGTTTGATACTTTAGGGGACATTTATTTAGGTTCCGGTTTATACTAAATTCCTCTCTCGATGACGAAATGTGGATCCTGATCCCCGTACACCTGCTTAAGCTTAAGACTGTTTTGAGCATCACATCATATACTTCTCGAAATGATAGATATAGTGACCCAGCACTAATAAGATGGCTTCCCTTGCGCTTGTCTCTTCCTAGTCTTTCTTGTTCTTCCCGGTATAATTCATCACAAATGCTTCTAGCACATCCTCAAGGCCTTCCAAAATACCACCCTTCTTAAAGTGAGGGCTATTAGGTGTCTGATGTGATAAGATGTGAGTGGATAGTGCTTTTCCTCCTTATTGAGTCGACCTAGCAGTAAGGACTGTACTGATATATCGACGAGTCATATTGTATTAGATCATAGATGCTGCGCTCATTGGCTTCCCGCTGGAGCACTTTCCTCTACGTTAAGATGTGTGACATACTTCCCAAGCATTCTTTACTTGATAGATAACCTCCCTCTTTTCTCTCCTTTCCGGCCAGCGGATAGAGGAAAGCAACAATCGTCTATATAATTGAAACTAATTTCCAGTGTAAGGTCTTTAGCATTAAGTAAAAGATCTGACTACATCAACAGCTGTTTTTCGATGGCGGTCCATGATATATCGGTATCGTCAAATCGTTTGGCCAAGTCTCGCTTGATAGGGTTCTATATAGTAGACTTTGAAGGCTTTAACCCATCGTACCACGACCGGGTTATGCCAACCAACAAGGCATATATGAATAAATAAACAGAAACATAATCTTGGGGATTGATTTTCACATTGTTTCATTTTCATTTTCATCTCTTTTTTTTCATTTCTTTTTTGAACGCCGAAAGCTCGGGCTTTCGGGCTTCACTTATCGGCATCTCTGCAAGCAGCTCTGACTAATGGCCAGGCGAGTCAAACTATAAAAAACCACCTCCCGCCCAGCGGGGCTACAAATACGCCACATCGACTTATTACTCCGCTTAAACCACTTATCCTCTTTCAACTACCTCCCAAAACCACCTACCAGTACATACCACCATGTGCATGAAGGCGCAGTGCTCGACTTGCAGTAAGTTGACTATATTCTTCTGTTTTTGTGTTTCGAGTCACCACTGATTCCCACAGACAAAGTCACTTGGTGGGGCTGCGGCAGCCACATTCCCTCGGTGATGGACTCGGTGCCCGAGGATGAATGGTGCGCCTGTACCCCGCAAGTTGAAAAAGACGGAAAGAAGTATCCGCCCAAAGCAGCTCGGGCTTCTTGACTGTATGGTTGTGTGGTGTCTTAAGTTGGCGATTGGTATTTGGTGTGGATGTTGCTCAGTTATTCAGTTGGAGTTTTGAATCGAAAGCCTCAGTATAGGAAGTTGTGCATAGCTTTGAAATCACTTTTTATTGTTGGTCAAGTAGAAAGACCGTTATATATTGGAGATTGATCGATTTGCTAGGACGATGCACGTCTGGAAAGCTTAGAGGTTTTGAAAATCTTTGAAGTAAAAATAAGGATATTCTTAGCAGATTGGTAAAGCAAAACACAAGAAACAAGTCAATATACCAAAACGGGCAAACAGACAGACACACGAAGAGAATATAATCAAAATCAATCAATCAACGGTATACACACATATAAACCAGAAATAGCAAAACAGCAGAACAAGAAAAAACCACACAAATCCTCGAATGATTTTTTGCGGGTAAGCAAACCCCAAATTCCATATAGGGATCCAGCAAAGATTCGTATAACAGTGTTCGCAGATTAGGGCCTCCGTGGGGACATGACACCCATTGTATAAGTATTCAGAGGTTCTAAATGTCTCATAGGCGGCTGGGTCCGCATGTGAGGATCCAAAACCGGTAAACTATTCATCATCGGGGTCTTGTGGGAATCGAGATAGAGCATCCCTGAGTCATCCGGCGCCGTTGCCGAGTATATCAGACGGCGGAGCCAGGCCCCGCCGAGCCTTCTGTCTCCCGGAATATCCTCAACAGCCCCTGGTGATATAGAGTATTGGATTGGAAACCATTCCTGAACCATTGTCGGTCCACCGGGAGCGGAGAAGATGTTGACCAGAGCCACGCCGAACAGGACCCAGATCTGCCCATTCGCGGTGATTAAGTCGCCTTCGCCGACAGGGTACCAGTCGCCGCCATGCTGTTCAAGTTTCCACACATCTTGTTCAAAGAGGCGCATGCAGGTGGCACCTGTGTCATCCATAACTTCGAATTCCGTGTGTCCGGTTCCATTAGGCGGAGCGAGTGTAACGTTTATCTGCAAAGAAAGAAAGAGAAGAGGAAAAAAGAATTAAAAAAAAATTGACTCCAATGATTGTTTTCCATCTATCTCGGGTGATTTGGTGTTCATACTAGGTTGTGATAGCGGTCAGCACCGTTCCCCGGAATAGCCATAGACGGCATCATGATGGGGTTTGCGGGTGTCATCTGAAATCAAGGGGTCAGAGATCGGGAAGCTCCATGGATTTTGGGGGAGTTGATTCTCACGCCTTCGACGGTAAAAGCCAATCTGTTTTTGGCGGCATACTGGTCTGAAATCGCCATGCACTCGTAGATATCCCAAGGCACGGGACCAGCCACTTTGCGTCCTTCATACCAATAAGTCGCCATGCCCTCTTCATAATCCAGCTCGCGTGAGCGGTACGCTGCCATGATAGCGAGCACATTGGGAAGTCGAGGGTTGTCAAATTCCTGGTTCATCATGTGCTCCACGAGACCTTTCAGCCTGTCGAGGCGATCACAAACCTTCCACGGGAGTCCCTCAGGCTCGGAAGCCATGATCCTCCTATAGATAGTATTAGTATCTGGCAGATTTGAGAAAGAAAGACGAAGGAGAGTAAGCTGTTGCATGGGTTCATACTCGCGCCTTTCCTTCTCTTTCTTGTGACCTCTCAGCTTGTCTTTGAAAATATCCGGCATGATGCCTTCTGAAATCCTCTCCTCGAGTCTCGCGATGTTGGCATCGGGATCACTATATTAAACAAAATCAAAGAGACAGTCAGGACTGAAACTCCGAATTTCTATTCTGGAGGTCATTCTTCATCCGGGAAAGGAGAAACCAACTTTCGATCAACGTCTGGGTCCTTGTCCGACCAGGTAAGAGGAACATCTTTCCATTCCGTGATGGGCGGATCAACCTTCCATCTTTTCCGTCCATTTTTCTCGACGGTGAGGCCATAGCGAGGGTCCGTCTCTTTGAGTTGTCCTCTGAGCGCGTAGGCCTTGTTTAGCCTGGTCGATTGCTTTTTGATCATCTTTTCCATGGCGATGGAAGCAGCAGAAGGGGTTGCAGTCTTCTTCTTCCGAGGAGACCTTCGAGCACTCGCGAGAGACTCCTTTGCTTTGCGTTTGTTGCTGCCGGGCTTGGGGGGCATCTTGCATAACGAATCACGAGATGTTTGATGTTTGACAGTATGTGAATCCTAAAGGAAAGAGAGAAGAATAGGGGATTGGGGGCAAATATAAGTAACTAGGCGGCCTGTAAACACAAAGAAAACTATTGGGGGCTCCCCGAAGCCGGCATCTTCCAGATATTCCAGGAATAGCGCGTTGTCAACAAAGAGGGTCGATTCGCATGGTTAGGGCTTGGCCGGGGACCAAGTCTCGATTTCTTTCATGTCGCCAACGGACCTCGCCAGGGCAAAGCTTCCCTTTGTTTGGAGTTTCTGAGATATCAAAAGACGACAATAACTCATCTTTCTTATTTTTGGAATCGATACATTAATTTTCCGCCACACCTGAATAATTTGAGCGGGATCACGGCAGAGCGAGGAAGGTAAAACATCAACGTAGAGACATGCAAGGCGAACTTTGGTGTGAGGCAAGTTTGCAAGATGCCGTCGGGCGGCTTTCCTGTCCAAATACCAAGAGAATCGCGCGTTTCTGATGGATACCCCTATCTTCATCCAAGGTTTTCCAGAATGCGTGGGCCCAACTTTGATGCCATGTGTGAGGTTGTCATAAAGGTGATGTGAGATTTCGTCGTGGAGAGTGACTGCAGCAAAGAATAGAGAGAGGACTTGTCGGGGGCTGCATATGGTTTGAAGTTGAGTGGGTTTGGAGAAAGAGGAAGTCCCATATTAACAGGCGAAGCTCGGTTGGTAGGTAGCTTTGAGAAAAACCCCATCTGGGCAAGGCACTCGGTCTCACCTAGACCTTTTTTGCTGACTGTAGCCATGATGCCTCTCCATCTTCAAAAGGAGATGTTACGAAACGTGGATGTTGAGAGTGTTGAGGAGATTCCGAAGCCAAAAGAAGTTGGTTGTTTCATGGTTTTATGCAGTAGATTCCACGGAACCTACTATTAGGAGAATTCTGTAGGTCCATGGCGCACTAAATACATACTCTATTAAAACTAGGAGTTCTTCTTCTATATGGCTTGATTTATTTTATCTCATTCATTTCAACTATGAACCAACCCTCTTTGACTTTTATAAAGAAAAACCATATATCCTCTATGCTCTCTAGATGATATAATATAATATGGGGTCCTTTTTTTTAATTTTCTCTATTTTATACTTTTTTTCTCATCCTTTTCCAATATATTTTTTGTATCTCTTTCTCTACCTTGTCGTTTCTATAGGGCGTGAGCCGCCTTTATGTACAAAGCCCCCAAGAAAATTCCCAGATACTCAAACACGTTCCACCCCAACACTACTCGCCTCCTTTTCGTCGCCCTGCTGCTCCGATTGTATGTACCCGTATGCTTTGATCTCGGCTGCCATCTTTCGAGCCTGTACCACCGGGTTCCCGCCCCGAGAGAAGATCAGATCAATATCCTCCAGACGCAGGTTGCTAGTTTCAGGATAGAAGAAATAGACCGTCGGAATGAAAAGGAAGTTGGTGACCATGAAAATCAGATACGCCTTCCACTGAATGCGGTTGATGATCACCGGCGTGATCATGACGACGGTGAAATTCCACAGCCAGTTCGAGCTCACGCCAATGGCTGTGCCTTTTGTTCGTGCCTCGAGGGGCAGGATCTCTGGCACGTACACCCATGGCACCGAGTTGATGGACATGCCGTGGATCAACATGTAGAGGAAGAAAAAGGCCACCGAGGCAGAGGCGTAGGATTGTCCGTTGGGGTGTTTGGCCTGGGATAGTAGAGCTGCCGCCATCATCATGCAGATCCCAAGTCCCAGTGACCCGATCATCATGGTCTTGCGGCGGCCCATCCGGTCTAGCATGAAGGCGGGGAGAAGAGATCCGAGCATGAACATGATCTGGATGCATCCACCGAGGATCTGGGATAGCTGGGAACTTAAGCCAACGTTTTGTTTCAAAACGGCTAACAAACAAAACTTGGGTGAGTGGTTATTCTCTTCAACATGGGGCCTGCGTTCAAAAACATACTGGGTACAAAATAAACCACCAGGTTTATTCCTCCGACTTGGTTCATGAGCTGAATACCCCAAGCAAGGAGCACTCGCTGACCCGTCTTGACTTCATCATTCTGGAAGATCTTCCAAAAGGACTGCTTGTTGGCTGTACTCTCGAGCTCGATGGCGGACAGGATGGCGGTGCGCTCATTGATGATGTACTCATCATCTGGTTCCTTGTCATAGACAGCACACATGACTTGCATGGCTTCTTCCTCTTGGCCATGGTTCATCAGCCACCGAGGGGACTCCGGCAGACCAAAAACCAGCACAATGACAAAGACAGCGAAGACAATCTGCATCGCAATGGGGAGTCGCCAGGCAATTGGCCCTCCTACAAAAGACATGCCGAAGTCGAACCAGTAGGCCACGACAATGCCAACCGCGGTGAAGAGGACCTCCGATGAGATCAGCCGACCTCGCGTTTTGCCCTCGCACATCTCTGCTTGGTACCTGAATCCAACCGTCAGCCTTTTGATCTCAGGCTATTTCTCTGGCAAGAAACTTACATCGGAACCGTGGAGGTCTTCAAGCCTGTGCCCGCCCCCGTCACCAATCGACCGACGATCAGATGCGGTACCGTGAACGCCGTGGTTTGCAGAACTGCTCCCACAATTACCACCCCCATCGCCAGCCAGATGGTGTTCTGGCGGCCGAATATCTCTCCAATGCAGAAATTGACTGTTGTCAAGTCAGTCAACTAAATCCACACCAAATGTCACAAAGCCACATGGCCCTGGACTTACTAAGACACCCAAGAAGACAGCCCAGGTTATAGCAGCTGACGATAATGCCCTCCTCCGAGTCACCGGGGTAGTTAAACTGCTTCCTCCAGTCTTCATTCCAAACAATACCACTGAAGACGCCTTGGTCATATCCAAACAACACAAAGGCCACCAGACAACACGCCGTGACAGCAGCCTGAAGAGACCGGCCCCTTCCATACCAAGAGCGCATGATGGTGGTCGAGATCCAGGAGGATACCGTCAAGCAAAGTTCATGAACACAAAAAGAATAAAGCCCATCAGATTCAAATCAGCTCCCCGGATCCATTCCTTTATATTGTTTTCGAACACGGGATAGGAGCGGGCTCTTGGGATGGTGAAGAAGAAGACCCGTATCATGGCCGACGACGATGGTATATTTCGTCCAATTGATGTGTAGCATCCAAGTTTTGCAGTGGACCCAGCATTGGTGTCTGGAGGAAATCTGGAGAGAGCCATTTGCACGAATTTTGGATATCTTTTTGCCAGTGGAGTCCTGCCTCTCAATGTGGCAAGCCATCCACGGGTGACGCGGGCGAAAGACACGAAGATCGACCACCCTCGGCAGGCACCGATGCAGTTTACTTGCCTTTTTGGGACATCGACGCGGATGAAAGTTCGTCCGGCAAATAATCTTCCTCATTTGGAAGGAAGGTATGCTCATATAGGAAGTTGCAACCACCTCACTATGAAACCACAGCACACTCAACTTCCTATTTATGAAACGCAGAAGTATAGTGAATACCAATCAACCTTACGATACTTTCAAAAAAAAATACAACTGAAGGATTAGAGGTGTCATATATAGCGAGTATCTCCTATATAAAATGCACCTTCGCAGGCACGCAGAAGATGTTCATCGCCTTGCCACCATTCACAATAACTACGCAAGAGAAGAATCGGGATCGGACATTAATACGGTATGAGACATGCAATTACTTTTGATTGAGTAGTTACGCCAGGATTTATCACAGCTTTGAACACTGCTGAATTGATTAACTTGTGACTGTTTGCCGTTGATGACCCTGTTTCGTGCCAACAACTGCTACAGGATGATACCATCGTTCCTAACCCTCTCAAAATAATTTGACCATCTCTGTCTTCCCTTCTGCCTGTGCAAGTTGACGGGGAGTAAACCCTTCTCCGTCAGCCAGATCTGTCCGCGCACCTCGCTGCAACAAAAATCGGACAAAGTCTTCTTGGTCATTCTGAACTGCAACATGCAGCGCTGTACCAATCATGTCTCTCATGGCGTCATCATCCCACAGGTTATGTCGGAAGACCTCGTTGATGTCAGCCCCGTGTTCGAACAGTACGGTGGCGGCATCGATACGGCCGCTCTCCGCGGCACCCTTAAGGGCCTGTGAGCCCTGGACGTCTGCACCGTGTTTGAGGAGGAGGGTCACAATTTCCAACGAAGGAAGTGATGCGGCGCGTGCCAGGACAGTGTCGTTGGGGATCCAGTACTGATCGTTTGCGTCAGCGCCCTTGCTTAGCAGAAACCGCACCATCTCTACATCTTGTCGCTGGATTGCGACTGTGATAGGAGATCCAATTTTGTCCATTGGATGGTTGATAGGCAGACCGAAGTCCATGAGTGTTTGGAAGGCAGCTGGTTTAGCTCCCTTTATCGTGCGCAGGACGACGAAGTCGGGGAGCAGCACAGCCGACTGCCATTCTTCGGGAACCTCACGCTCTTGGATATCGATCTTCGGCTTCCACGGGCCGTCGGTCGATTGTTGGCATCGCGGGATATTGGTGAAGAAGTAGCGGAGAATATTGGAATGGCCGTTCTCGGCGGCGGTTGCTATAGCAAGCTCCAGAGGCGGGACTGCCCTTTTGTCGATACCAGTGGTAGTGTATAGCTGAGGAGCATATGTTTTCACACTAGAGAGCGAGCCTTGGGCGCATGCTTTGAGGAGCGAGCGCCCAGCTGAGTGGATGGACGCTGTTGCTATTATATTAATAGTGATCATTGTAAGGGAACATAAGCACCCACGTAAGGACATGTTCGCTAGAGTTTTGGGGAATTTCTGAAATTGGAAAACTGAAGAGTTTATTTTTAGACCAGTTGATATCTAGAGTATTAGATGATGTTGAACTCAGAAAAGTAGTTATCCAGACTAGTGAGTCTCACCGCTTTTGCCTACGTAAATTAAATTGACGTTGTTTCGGGGGTATTGTGATAGGAACACTGCAGGTTTTCTGCTATTGGCACTACAAAATCTGACATGATCACCTTTTATCTACACTTTCAAGTATATTAGAAGGTTTATTACTATAAAAATTGTAAATCCAGAGGTATTGAGATAATTTATACTTTATTTTTTAATAATATAAAAGAAAATTAGAAATAAGGCGTGTAATGAGTGCTGGATTTAGGGGTCGAGATAGACTGTAAAGTAAACGCATTTCCTCGATCACATGACTATTTTCGCATCAAATTCTTTCTTACCACTTTTAGAACCAAAAATATATATTATACATTAATCTACTAAATAAGGACTTTAGTTACTTTATATAGTAGGTTAAGGCTATAATAAAATAATCATGTGATGAGAGGAGTGGTTGAAATTTGATTATGTCAGATTTTGCAGTGCCAATGGCAGAAAACCTGCAGTGTCGCTATCAATACCCTTCTCTTTGAGGGTAGATATCATATATATATGATATCTAAGTGGACCAATTTGCGTAAGACCGGAGGCCGCGGTATGCGACCGCTGTTCTTGTTACAGCATGAGTTCAAGGATAGACCATAATGAATGAATTCTGCACACTCAGCGCTAGATTAATGACTGGACAAACAAAACTCCAAAAGAAATACCGGCTCCAGCAGAAAAATCAAGCACTTCTATCCTAGGCCCCACGCCTATGCCCTCAGCTCTCCATTGCAAAAACCATCACTCCATCACTCCTCAGCTTGCGCTGGCTCATCTTCAAATGACAAGGCCTTCTTGAGGGAATGGTGTAGCTGTTCCTCGGCGGCCATATCGATAATGACAGCCTTCTTCTTTTCCTCGTTACGCTGTCGGCTCAAGGCAGTGATCCTCCGATGAACTGCCCGAATCTGGTCCTGCTGCTGCTTGCCCGTGGATTGGAGTGCCTCATCGACTGCAGACCTGACTCCTTTGGGGATCTGTTGATTGATCAGCTTAGCTCTTTTGATTTAATTTTCTTTAATTTTCTTCTTTTTGGTTGGCATACCTCAACGCATCCATGATGGACTTTCAAACAGTACTGGCAAGCTTTGCATCCCCGGCTTTGTACACATACATGACAAGGGTGCTTGTCCATGCGAAGAAAGCAGCGCTGGCAAGTGACGGCACGGATGTTGGGAGCCTTGCGAGGAGATTTGCGGATTGCCTTTGGGGCCTGGGGAGGATTCATCAGGGTGGTTTTGCGTCTGGGTCGAAGGGTGACCATGGTGAGTGAGTGAAGAAGTAATGAAATTCCAAGAAGATTGTTGGGATGGTATTCTCGATGAGAAGTTTGCACTTACTTTTTCATGTGGCATGATTCCACGCCTGCTTTATATAATTGGGATACCAGAACATGCTGCTTAAGAGTAGAGCTGTACAAATAAATAGCACAAAGCTGTCTCAATAATTGGACCTGCTACAGATTGTTCGATGGCAGGACAAGGGTATTGTTAGGCACTAAGAAGAAAAGAGATACGGAGTCGAATAGGAGGACTATACAATGAAGGTAAATCTGGTTAACTGAGCTCTAACAGAGGTGGTTTGGCAGGTGACCGTCATATTCCTCAAAGGTTTGCCTAATAGCTCTTTTCATTGTCTGGATTTGATATGTTTCATTGCAGATCCCGGGATCTTGACTCGGACTGACCGGACCTGAAAAATATAGACTTAGCCTATTCAAAGAACCACCCAACAAAGCATGAAGAAATTACCAGACGGTCTTGTAAGACAAATCTCATCTAAAGCCATCAGAGACAATGTCTCTAAAGTGACAATGAACTCCAAAATAGGCATTATAGATCTGCTGATGTAATGCACTACAAACACCAGCCACTGTGGCTGGCAATTTGTGGCGTAGTGCTTCTGATTGGTTACAGTTCCCGTCTTGACTCTCGCGTCCTCCGTCCGTCGACATTGTTGCACATCGAAGTCGATAATCTTGATTGCTTCTCTGCCTTGAATTGCGATCATCACATTCAAGCTGCCGAGTGCCTTGTGGACACTCTGCTTTCTCCTCCCCACCAATACATTTATACATTGGGACTTGACTGGTCTCAGCGCCCTCCGAGCCATTCAAACACGCTAAGCGCATCGCTTCATAGCCCATTGGTTCTTCTTTTTGGCTCATCTTCTGGCCTTCTTGTCTCAGCAAGGTTGGGAGAGTCTCAGTGAAACACCCCAACCGGGACACCCAGTGTATTGAGAGCGGCTTTCATCAACTCGCCCTTTGGCGCATTTCTCTCCACTCTGGTTCAACAAACCATGTCCACAGCCCAAACCAATGCTGCTTCGGCAGCAAATGTCAATGGGGCCTCGGCTGTGCCCAAGGTCGAAGATCAAGCGCAGGGCCCAGCTGCAGTCAGCAAGGGTGACCCATCACCCGTGAACTGGGACTCCGAGATCCAGCTGGTGTCATCACTCGCAAAACTGCAAGAGCTCGAACGAAAGGTCAGTGGAAATTTTGGTCAACAGACCCTGGGAAATACTGTCAAGTTCTATCTTGAAACACCATACCCGGGCTATCTTTCCTTGATACACAAAGAATGAACCCTTCAACTAACACTAACCCAGATCCATGAAATGCGCCATCTTCTACCACAGGGGACACTAGATCCCCTAGTACCGGTCGCCAACCCAAACAAGACATCACATAACACCCCGATCGCAGATTCGCCACATCTGATGCGGGGTGATCTAGACGAAACGTCTCGAGCGAGCCTCTCCAGCATCCAGCAATTCCAGTCCATGTGGCGCAGCCCCGAGCTTGGCCCTGTGTGGGCGCGCGTAGAGGCACGCATTAATGAATCTAATGGCCAGCTTCTACAGCCATCAGGGAAGTGGGAGAAGGATTATGACGTGCTTCTCGAGGAGCTCGTCAAGGAAGAGAAAAACAAAGAAGAAACCCATCTGCGCGAAGATGAAGATGCCGAGCGTGCTAAGGCATTGTCAACTGAAGGAGGGTGGCTGGCTGCCCTTCAGAAATTTATCGATCGCGATGTGCCCGGCGTACGGGTTATCCGTGGTCAGCAAGAAACGTCTCTGGTGGTTGCGCTTGTGCGTGCGGGTATTGTCTTTATGGTTCAGGGTGTGCGCGAGCAGAATGAGGTTGGAGTTGGGGAATGGCAGGTTTCGAGTAAGATTGCGCCAAACAGGCCTCAAACGAAACTCGAGGGCTTTATCCTCGACTGTCTAAGTTCTCGTCCACGGAAGTGGGATCTTACTTTTCTGCTGGTAAGTTCTGATCTTGATCCTTTGCTATGTTTTGGGTACGATTCTGATTGTATTTCTCTAGGACATGATCTCGTCATACGCAGATATCAAGCAGACACCATGCACCAAATGCTCCCGCCTAACCGACAACGCCGCCCAACTCCCAGCCATCCGCCGCGCCCAGCAAACTCAACATACCGATGGCGAGCCGCGGACATGGACATTCGAAGCATTGCACATCAGCTGCACCCAATAACAACATCCCCATCAAGCCATACAAATACTAAAAAGCTCACACAAAATACACCCATTTTCTACCTCAATCATCATGCGCCCCATAGATAATATCATGCCAATGATTCGCCGGATACTCCTCCCCATTCCGATCCCAATACCGCCGCGGCACACAATGCCGCTCATACCCTCCAAACCGTTTCCCCCACCGTCCAGCTACTTTCCGTCCACTGCAATACTCCACCTGGCTCCATGTTCCCTGGTCCGGCACCGTGTACTTGCGCCGCCGGAAATCGTAGCGCTGGCCGCCACGGCCCCGGGCCCATGGGATCGGCGTGTCGTCTATGTCGGCGTCTCTGTGCCATCGGGACCATTCGGCTGTAGATGGGTTGTGCTTCTTTCCGGTGTTGAGATTTTGATTCTGAGGCTGGGGCTGGGTTTGGGTCTTCTTTTTGGTGTTGCTGTGGTGGATCTTCCCGACATAGATGTCTGGTCCCCGGTTGCTGAACACATCTGACAACCGCCAGCGCCGAGGCCAGTGGCTTGGGTTGCCGGGGCGTGGGTCTTTGGGCCAAATCCAGCCTAGGGTTTGGGGGTGCCATTGCACTTCCACGTTTTCTTTTCAGGGTGAGGTGTAAGGTTGGATTGTTGTAAGGTAATAGGTGAGTGGGTATGACTTTGCTTGAATCAAGGCAAAGTAGTAGACTAGGTATTTCCAAAAAAAAAAAAAAAAAAATGAATCCGTGGATGGACCTTAGCACTCTTATAGAGCCGGTAGATGCCGTTCTTTGTGTCTTCTTTGGTTGTTTAGCCAGGCAGTTCATAGCATGTTCTTTCAATGCTGTGCTGGGAAACTGCTATTTTTTGGCTTCTTGTCATAGATCATGGCGATAGCAAACCCCCTCTCCCTCTTTCTCTTTCTTACTTGCATGTTTGTCTGATGCTGTTCCACTCATTGACAATGCCCACCAGATCTAAGACCTAGCATTATTTTTGAATCAGGGGCAGCTCTATTGAAAGAGCTTTCATGGAGCTTCCATGCATGCGGTTAGTCTCAGCCAGACTTTTGAATAATGATACCGGAAAGCACGCAGATTCAATATAAGACAATGGTCCCTTTGTATGTGATATAGTCTCAGTTTTGCTTGATTAGGAATCATGAAGGGTATTTAATACTCAAGTTTGCTGGTTAAGATCATCCTGATTTGAGCCTACAAGCCTTGGAACTCCTACTGGTACTACATAGAGTTGTAGTTGGCTTTTAGTTGTTTGATCAACGCATTAAAATCGTATTCCGAAATCAAATTTAATAGCCGTCAACAGACTAGGTCGCTTGATGGTTGCAAAGCGCAAATGCAAAGAAATTCAAAGAAATAAACCAACAATCCGCAGTAGAACCACCCCTATGCCAGCTCACAACGCCAGTTTTCTTGCTATTATCATAACCCAAATCGCTTCAAACGATGCAACGCCCTAACTTGGAATATATCTAGAGAAAAACAAAGGCACTTTGGTTGTGGAATGTGCCTCACATTGATAAGAAGCCAAAACTACCGGCAAACCAGGTAAAAGACGCAATGGTGATAATGGCCATACCCAGGGCAAACTTGAAGGCTTGGCGGTCGATGTCGGAAATAGCACCACTGCAGGTGGCACATTTGAATTCTGGGACTGTCAGTGATTCGATCAAATCAAGGATATAGTTGATGTCAAAAACTCACCGTTGAGTGGGGTGTATTTTTGCGGGCGATACATCCCAAAGTAGAACTGGCTCTGCGAGCTCAAGTGGCCGGCCTTGGCTGTATCGTCGATTTCCTTGGCGGCATCATAGATGACCAGCGTGTACGTGGCCGTCAGCAGCTTCATGGTTGCAGAGGCCTCGAAGTTGTTGGTATCCCAAACCACCGACCCCGTAGCCTTGGCGCTCATGTTCGAGGTGATGGTATAGGTGGCACTGTTCAGGCTGCACGAGGCGACTACGTTGACTGCCGACGGCGTCACTGACAGTGAGGTATAGTTCCAGACGAATGTCACATTGTGCCCGATCTTGTAGTAGCTAGTTGACGAAGACGCCGGGGTGATCATAGCCACACCGCCCGCGCCCGCAGCAGGGTCGATCGAGATCGATGAAGTGGCCGTGGTTTTCTTGTCGGTCTTGGTGTCTGTTTTGGTGGCCTTCTCCTTGTCCTTGTCTTTGGCGGTATCCGTCTCGGTGGAGGTTTCGGACGCACTGGCGGTCGCTTCGGTGGTCGATGCATCGGTGGTTTCTAAGAGACAAGATGTCAGTATGGTCTACCAAAAACACAACCACATGCAAGACCATGGGGAGTCGAACCTGCTCGTTTATCCAGCTGGTCATCCCCAGCGAGCATCAACGCATGAGGCTGCCATGACCAAGCCGAGGCAATCGTCGCCAACAGCAGAAAAGAGCACACGATGCTCAGCAGAAAGGCCCGCATGGCGAGATTCTCCGATGCAGATCGTCGGATGATCAAGGAGAAAGGGTTTCAGGCCCAGGGGCTGTATTATCTGGATGACAGGAACTTGGACCAGGCCGATAAGCCCCTTGCACCGAGTTGATATTCACGAGGGAATAGGAGCTGATAGAGTTGACAAGGAGGAAGGCGTGGACTGGTCGGTTTCACTGGTGTAGCCAGCAGATTCTGCGAGAGAGAGAAAAGACCAAAACAACGTGGAGGAAAAAATGTCAGTGATTGGGACCGTCTGGGCCCTGAGACATGCAGATCACCGGAATGTTTGGAGGCGACTGAGGGGAAGCAGGACACCAAAGCGACCGACAACCACAAATAAAGCGAGGGAAATCAAACGAATGACATGAGAAGCGAGAGGAACGACAGGAGAAATCAGGAGAAACGAGGAAAAAGCAGTTGAGGAAGCACAAAGAAGCAGATGTGTCAGGCCAGTCCTGCCAGGCTAAACCCAATCAGGCGGTGGCTATCGAGGGATGTGAGACATCTATTTATAGACGTACAACTATGATATTCTAGATAGTAGAGAATATGAGGATTAGACTGAGAATATGAGAATATAGAATATACTGGAGTATTACCAGTGATACGGATCATATCCATTGCATTATAAATGGCTGGGAAAATGCTCGACTTGGTGCTTTGGCCCCGTTGCTTATTTTTAACGTTATTTTCTTACTTGTCCTAATTCAGTTATTTTTAAATCTCAAGTACAAAATCATTCACAATAATATAACTATACATCATATATCCAGAGACCCTTTGTACAATCCCATATCATCCATATGCACATCAAGACAATGCATCATTTCGACTCCTCTTACGAAGTCTTGTACACAGCCTGCAGCTTGACAATGTCACAGTTGGAAGGAACCGTAGTGTCAGAAGCCTGCGGGTTCTGGAAGAAAAGCTGGTTGTCGCAGACTAAATAGCAGAAAACAAAACAGTCAGCCACAAGGTTCCGGTCATCAACAATCCCACGGATTACAAAAACTTACTCGACCAGCTACCAAAGGTCTGGCTAGGTCCTTGCAGACCATCCTTGTTGATATAGAATCCCTTCGTGCCGGCATCTTCATGAACGCCGATCCGGACGGGTTCCTTGAGACCATCTATAGGAACAAAAAAAAATAAAACGTTAGCTGCTATTATTCCCGCCAAATATGTCACCCAACTAAAAGTGAGAAAAAGAACTTACTGCCTCTCTGGACCGTCACCAGATCAATCGCCCACGGAGCCTGGTTCTGCTGGTTCGGCGTGTCGTATCGCACGGTGCCGTTGTTCAGGTAAAAGGTGGCGGCATCGGCGGCCTGTTTGGTGAAAATGGGCTCGCTGTCGAGTGGGCCAGACGCAGCGCTGTGGTAGGAAACGAGCCAGAGGCCATTGTGGGAGCTGTTGGAAGCACCGGAGGTCTGCAGGTTGAAGAGCTTCTGGACGGGGCTGGCGGTGGCGGCGGTGGCCAAGAGGGAGACGGCGGCGAGAAGCTTCATGTTGCTTGAATGAAGAAACGAAAAAGAAAAGATAAGAATAAAGTATTGTTTTGGTGGAAATAGGTGAGGGTGAGATATAGAGAAGATTTGAAAGTAATGGCAAGAATGACGAGGGGATGACGCCCGCTTTATGCTGTAGAACCTGGTTATTGAATCCGTGGTGGAGCAGACAATTGGGTCTGTTTTGATGCAATCCCTGGGTCCAACTGAGAAGTAAAATGGAGCCAATCGTATGTTTTAATGTTTGGATGCAAATAAGCATGAGGGATCGACAGCCTGCAAGGTCTGCTTCGCCAAGTTCCCTCTGCCACCTTGCGGCATAAAATTAAAGCAAAAACAAAACTATAATCTAACAAAAATTGTTAGATCACCGATTTCAGGAGTAGGATCATGTCCGGATCAGGGGGAAATGGATGATCCAACCGATCCGTGAATCCGATGATTACAATCGGCTGGGTTCACAAGCAAGTGGATAACCGCCCTGCTAGCTTGAAGCATCTGTACCAGTCACGATCGGGCGAAGATCGCTTCCCCGCAAGGCACCGTCTATCGGCGCCAACGGAGATCGGAGAGACATCGGCACGGTCATCCGGGCATTCCAACTATCACAGTATTACAATGAGAATGTGGAAAGTTTTGGTGTGATTAATGGTGTCAGTTTTTCTTCTTTGCCTTCTTTCTGCTTGGAATGAAAGGCAATCGACTAAATATAGACCTGGAAGGATCCGTTCCTAAGTTATATCCATGGGAATCACATCCCGAACCCCTGGATTTACATCTTCCGCCTGGTTTCTCAGCAACCCCCAATATTCGCTTTCCACGGTACTTGCCTGTGAAGCGGCAGAAAATGATATTCCTATGGGAAAGTAAGAGTCAGGCACCCCCTATTTCCTGATATTCGAACCAATGGCAAATGTCGGGGCTTGCACTTGACACGCTCGAATCTTTGGAAGGAACGAATTGTCATTTCTCCCAGGTTGCTACCATTCATCCTGTACATCCTGGCCATTCTTTGGATCAGAACTATAACCAACATGCATCGCCCCGGGGCCGTGAACGCTGTTCTAGTTATCACTCTGTATGCAAGTGGACCTTGGAGACCCATTTAAAATCGATTAAAATCGATTCGAATAGCGATCGTGGAATCGGTTTGAAGGCACTCGTAGTATGTAAAAGCCACCATTTAAATAAATAGCATGAAAACTATTGCCATGCCACGTTCGAATCTCCAGCCCCCATACCCCAACACAAGCCATTTCGGCGCCATATCATGGCAACTTTTCAAAGACATCACTGACAAAAAAGACAAAATGTTACAATCACCCTTTTACAATGAAGAGCTTTCATTAAAACTCCATTTCTAGCGGTGTAGATCCTGTCATCCTGACATCCGGGGTTCGATAAACGCATCGAATTAGCGATAAGAAAGAGGCAGCCTTACGACTAAAAAGGGTTAAGAGATATCTGTAACTTGGGGGCAGGCGCCCCGCCTCCTGCACTCCTAACCTATGTCTGGCTTTTGATATCCGTCAGGGCGGAGGGGCGTATCTCGAGTCGGCGCTGGGTCAGCGAGCACAGGTGGGGTTCGGTCCCTGGAGGCTGATGTACTGGTTGAAGCGACTCCATGAGATTTGCAACGAGGCTGAGAAGGCTGGCGAGAATGGGCTGGTGGAGCTTGCTGCTGATTCTATTGGATTCATGGTGAACAATATTGAGGAGAGGAACTCGAATGTTATTCGGGTATTTGCGGCTGCAAGCGATGAGGTGCGTCAGGATGAACATCTGGTGGGATTGAAGAATTTGGCCGAGGAATACAGGGGCACGTAGAACAATGTTTGGTGCCTTCGGTATTTTGGCATTGCAGTCATCTTGAGGCTTTCGGTGGCCAGTTTGAAGAGAAATATTTTGATATCCCGTCAGCCATCATAGTTCTTTCATTACAATCAAAGAGATGGATTTTCATACTCGAAGTTTACTGAAAACAAACGACGCTTTTATTCGAAATTTGCACTCTCCAAATTCGGAACATCTCATACATAGCTGCAGACATAAGAAAAAAATTGTGAATGGGGCGATGTGCATAGACCAACAGCGCCCGAACCGCCTCAAAAGTACATGCAGGCAGGGAACGCCATCCTTCGCGTTGTTAGCGAATAACAGCCACTATGTAAAACGCCCTACATCAACAACCCCTGAGCAGCAATGAGTTGTTCCCAGATGAGCCAATATTGACGCTCTAAATATAAATTTCCTTTCGGTCCTTCCTGATCTAGAGAGAGCTCATCAAAAGCCACAATAGCATCGCAAAATAATGCCATATCGTGTTTATAAGTATTATTAGAAAAGACGCTTGCAATGCGGGGGGCGAAAACATGATGCTCTCTCCGGTATTTTGTTAACTGAATACTTTTAATTTAAATTAAGCCTGGGAATGCCCCGGTCTTGCTCTCCAAGCCCTATTTTGTTTCTGTGCTTGCGAGTATGGTCGGCGCCCAGCCGGCTTGGTACCCGCTTCAAAGGCAGTCGGGCGATGATATATCGCAGCCTCTGTCAGTGATTGATTCCTTTTTGTTATTATTCACTATTGATAATTCATGAACTAACTTACTCTTAGGGTTAAACCTGCCGACGATTATAGAACCGAAATACCAACAGCAAAAATATCACACCCCAAACCCTCACGATGGGAAGCCATCTTCCGCGCCTTTGGGCTCAGCATCATCTACGCCAAATTACACAGCCACAACGAAGAACAACCCAAGGTCGCCATCTGGAAGAGCCGCCGCGTCGCCCTCCCAAAACTGCTTCTCCATGTAATCCCAGTCCTGGGCTGCAGCGTGTTGCTCTGGCTGAACCTGAGCGGATACTACCTGGGGACCGAGATCACCGGGATCGAGGGCCACAACAACGCCAAACTCGGGGCGATACAGTTCGCGGCCAAGACACACGAAATCACCATCATGGCCTCGCTGGGTATGATTGTCTTTTCCATGGTCCAAAACCGGATCGTCTCGCGCCCGGCGGCCTTTGGGACGGTCCTCTCTGGTCTGCAGTTTGAGAAACTCAGTTACCTCTGGTCCAGAGAACTCTGGGAGATTATCAGCGTGGAATGGAGCCAGCCGTCTGGGAAATTGTTTATCGGCACGCTGCTGGTGGCTATGTTCTTGGCGCCAACTGTCGGGCCCTCGTCGGCTGTGCTGATGGTGCCCCGAGTCGACGATCTGCAGGCCGGTGGAACGGACTTCTGGCTCAATGCCACGCGCGAGCAGCTCTGGCCGGCAGAGGTCAGCGATAGTGGTGTCGACCCGACATGTCTGGTTGATGAGGGAAAGACAACGTGCCCGGCTGCGGGCTGGAAGGGGCTCGGTAGCGCGGTCTTTCCAGCATTTGAACATCTCACCCCGCCGGGGCCGTATTACTCATATATCCAGTTCCCGGGCGAGGTGTACCTCCTGGGCAAGTATGGATTCCGCTCGATGTTCTTCAACGTTCGGGGATATTTCGACGTGACGCTGGCGTCTTGTCCGTCGGCCGTTGTGGCTGACTCGCTCGCCTTGGCCAGTATGTACTGGCAGCACGCCAGCGAGTGTCCGTCGTGGCGAAAGCACTTCAACTGGTGGAACCGGGCCAGCTGGAGCGTTAAGGGCGTGCAACAGCCCGTCACCAATGTTGCCTGCATACGAATGAATCTCACCGATCAGTTAACTGCCCCCCACGGCGTGTTCGCCGCCCTGGGAGGAGGAATCAGCTTCCCGGTCTTCGACACATACCGGTGGATTGGCGACATAAGCCATTACGACCCTGTCAACTATACCGACCCCAGGCTGCTGTCCCAAGTGGCAGAGCGATTGACACACTCAACACACCCGGAACTGCTGTGGCTCCCCCTGAATCAGACGCGGTTCGGAAACAACTCGGTTGGTGTCATCGCGACGTTTCCTCCCAGCGAGAAATTCAACACCACCAACGTGATCAGCTGCGAGGTCGATTCGCGCTGGTTGAACGCAAACCAGAAAATCACCCGCGAGTACAAGGTCGACAGCACCTGGACCTCCAAAGCCGATTTCTTCTACGAGCTCATCAAGAACCGCGCCAGGATCCCCCTACTGCCGCGCATCCAGATCTCCCCACAATGGGCAAAGTACGTCAACCCGCGCCTCCCGCTCTCCAACCAAACCGTCTTTGAGCAGTTGCTCATGGCCTCAGGCCTGTGGAATATCCAGCCGGAGGGAGAATCACACATCCTCGCCCCATCAGACGCCGCCCTCGGCGACGTCGTCGAAGCCGCTCTGGCCGGCATGGTCAATAACGGCCTGGCGAACCTGAGCCCCATGACAAGTATCCAGGGCACGCGGCCGGGGGATGAGCTGTGCACGGATGCATGGATCGACCCTCTCATGCCGCAGGGCCCCAGCGCGTTCGGGAAGGGCGGCATGTTCTGGAACATGGATGGCATTGATACCTCCAACATGACCAAGTTCACCATGGAGGTGATTGTCAACGGGTACGCGTACTCGGTCAAGGGAGCCACGTCCATTGCTGCTATGGTTGTGATGCTGGTTTATTGTCTGATGGTGATTCCTCATACCATCTATGTTGTACGGACCGGGCGGAGCTCGTCGAGTTGGGATTCTCTTCCTGAGATTGTTGCGCTTGCGCTGCAGTCCAGACCCACGGCTGCGTTGAAGAACACCGGTGCGGGGATATCGACGTCGGCCATCTTTCGTGCGCCGGTTCAGGTCCTCGGAATGGAGCGACGGTTGACATTGGCGTTTGGGGATACCCAGAAGGGTGGGACCCCGGTCAAGGAGAATGAGGCGTATGAATGACTTGGTATGGGTATAAATGCTGTATATGTGACTATAGTTAGAGTTAGGTTAGACCTGCTTGCATTTGCATGGCCTGTTCGAAGTATGTTCGAGTATCCAAATGCATCTGCGTAGACTACCTTTGGTAGGCAAGAACAGTCGAAGCACATCATTATTCATCGTCGTTCATCATCACTCGTAATCTGTCTCTATTGTACATGCCATGGCCCCAGGATCCCTAGAGGCCATTAAAAATGAAGTCTAAACAGCTTACTCCTTCTGGGGCGGTCGCTTCTCAAACTCTGGCTTCAGCGTCCAGCGGCCACGACCATCGCGACTGCGACTGAGTGTCGCAACGGTCTTGAGCATTTCCTGGAATTCAGCAACGCGCTGCTGGTTGTTACAGTAATGGTTGAAGTGATCCACAATCACCTGCGTGTAAACTGGGCCGCGGCGCGAAGCGATGAAATCGCGAATCAGAGAAATGAACTCTTTGCCACGAGGCATACGGGAGGGCTGGGGGCTGGCAGTATCAGCCCGCGCAGCCTGAGGGTTGAGATTGGCAAGAAGGTTCGCAGACGACGGGCCGCCGACGGGTCGTGCCGAGCTCCCTCCCGAAGAGAGATCCGAGCGGCCCGCGACACCAAATTGGCCCGTCCAGGTGGGAAGTCCAATGGGAGTTGAGCGGGCAGTTTCTTCGGCCTTGCGCAGCTCTGCTGCTGCTTCGTTGGCGACCCGGCGCGCTTCGGCTTCAACCATCTTCGGGTCCGCTCGAAGAACACGCTTTCCGTTCACGATCTGATCGTGCTGGAGGGCAGAGTGAACGCCGGACCGAGCGAAGATGCCATGCATAATGTGGTCCTCGGAGTTTTTGGGGTTGCCTTGCTCGTCGGTATCTTCGGAAGCAGTTTGGAATTCTTCGATGTTCGCAATCCCCTGCAGGCTGTTGATGCCCGCATCTTCTGGGGAAGCGGAGCGTGCTTTCGATTTTCCTTTAGGCTGGTTACCGTTCTTGCGGGCCGGGGTTTCGTCAGACTCTTCCTGGTAAGTGACCTCGGCGTTTTTGAAGAGCCTAGTTGTCTCCAGCTCCTTGTCGTCTTCATCAGTGAGCGAAAACAAATCATACAGGTCGCTGAGCTGGAATCCCTCTCGTTGTTGGGGGTCACGAGTGATCTTGTTGGTCAGGAACTGCTTGAAGATCTGTCGGTGATAAATCTTCTCTTCGATGGTGCCTTTGGTCATCAAGCGGAAGATGGTCACGTCACGCTTCTGGCCCAGTCGCCACGCGCGCTCGCGTGCCTGCAGGTCGGTCGATGGATTCCAATCGGGGTCGTAGATGATCACCCGGTCGGCTCCCGTCAAGTTCACTCCGATGCCCCCAACTCTGGTGGTCAACAAGAAAAGATGGATACCAGCATCATTGTTGAAGGTATCCACCATCGCCTGTCGGTCCTTGATTGGAGTGGTACCGTCCATTCGGCGGAAATTGAAGCCTCCCAGTGATTTGATAAATTTCTCAATGATATCCAGCACCTGGCGAGTCTGTGCAAAAAGCAACGTTTTGTGTCCAGTATCTTTCCACACTTCCAACAGACCCTTCAGAACCTGCATCTTTCCTGATCGCTCGCCACTGCCGTAGTCAGTCTCTTGAGATCGTAATGCATGATCCGCGAGGTCGGGATGATTGCAAATTTTGCGAAGAATGTCAATGCCGAACAAAGAATTCCGTTTGCCCCGATATATAGACTTCATATCGTCCGAAGCAAGGAACCTCTTGTAGATAGTTCGCTGGTATTGGGTGAGTTTACAGAATATAACCTGCTCGCTCTTTTGGGGAAGATCGGCCGTTACATCTGCCTTGAATCTCTGGATAAGATACGGGCTGATGGCATCTTTCAAGGTCTCTGCGCACTTTGCAGCCGTCTGCACCTGCAGATTGGTCGCCGAGGCATATCCACCCTGGCGGATAGGGATCTCAAATTGGTTTTTGAAGGTGACCAGATTTCCCAAACGCATTGGAAAGACAAAGTCAAACAGAGACCAAAGATCAACCAAACTGTTCTGCATTGGTGTGCCAGACAGGATGATGCGATGGGGGGTCCGAAGTTCTTTGCAGCTGAAGGTAATGCCGGCATCCGGGTTGCGGATTTTGTGACCTTCATCGAGGATAGCACATCCCCAATTCACATCGACAAGAACATCGGCATAGGACTGCAACCCCGAGTAAGTCGTCACCAAAACATGTCCTTCTTCGGTGACCCGTTTGATCATCTTCTTGGCGGCTTTCTGCCCGGCGGACAAAAACCGGGCATTGTGATGGCCCATCATCTCAGAGGTCAGGGCATTCTCCCTGCTATTCTCTTTGCCAAGGTTGATCATACCACTTCCGGAGGAGTGCAAGATTGAGACGCGGAATGGCGGCCACCAGCGATGGAATTCGTTAACCCACTGCTTCATGAGCGTGGCAGGACATACGACGATAGCCGGCTTAGTGAACTTCTTGCTGTGATGCAACGAGGCAAGGTAAGCGATTGCCTGGATTGTCTTTCCCAGCCCCATTTCGTCTCCAATGATTCCACCGACGGTCTGCCGGTGCAGTTCCCAAAGCCACTGGACACCAGTGCGCTGGTAGGGAAAGAGGTAGTGATGGATGTCTCCCGGAACACGGAGACCATCTTCGAGCTCCATATCCGGTTCCGTTGGGTGCGGCTTCAGCCATTCCTCGTCTTCGGTTTCCTCTGCAACAGGGTTTGTCTGGGCACGCTGACGAGCGGCACTCCGTCGATTGATCCACTTCTGAACGCGACTCTGATAAATTGCTTCATTGCCATCATCTACTCCGCTGAGATCCTCGAGCTCAGTTTCAGCCTTCCCCTGTTTGCGCTTACGAGTCGGCGGTGTGTCCGGCAGCGTGTCAGGCATGAATTCTTCATCCTCTGATGCGGCCTCGCCATCCTCCGAGGCCACATAGCTCGCGGACCCATCATCCGAGACACTGGTGGCGCGAGCCTTCTGGGGCTTTGGTTTAGCGGGGGTTTCATCGAGCTTCCTGCGCTTCCTGCCGCCCGCTAGAGGACCGCCCTCGCTAATTTCATGGAAGTCGAGGTCCGGGCGCACAAGATCGCGGTGAGATGCGACTGGTTGGTGTGCTGCTTGGTCGCGCTCTTCTTCTTCGTCATGTTGATCCTCGGCATCTGCGAGTGCATCTTGGAGATTGGCTAGCGGCCCATGAGGATCGGCGTTCATCAACGCAAATGGTGTTATTTTCCCCGTCCGGAGCAGGTAATCGCGACGGGACTCGTTTGGGAGCCGGCCCGTCCCATGGACTGGTGTGGCGCTGTCCTGCAGCTGACGCCTCTCGTCGATGCGCTTCTGTATATCCCTCACATCGTTGACCAATCCAGACTTGCGTGACTCCAGTCTATGCAGTTCGGTTTCGATGCGACGTCGGGTGCTGGCACCAACAGGCTGGGTCAGTCGATGGCGCGCCTGGCGGATCTGGGATTCGGCTTTTCTAGAGCGGGAAGTAAGCGACTGCGACCTCACAGATCAAACTAAAAAGCTCACTCTTTGTCAGTCAAAGCCTTCTCCAGCCTCTTTGTTTCATTTTCTTCGGCCTTCTCCGCGAGGATCTTATCGGCCTGTAGAACGGGATGAGCACCATATGACGATTTCAACAGTATCCCTCATACCTTCCGAGTGATGTCTCTTTCTAGATCATCCTGATCACGAACATATGCCTGAAGCTCTCTCAGGCGAATCGCTTCATCGGAGCCAGCTGGCGCGGGGGCAGGGTCGGGAGATGCCATTTCGACAAGCGAGGGATGCGGGGGGGAGTACAAGAAAGAAGGAATAATGAGGTAAGTGAGCTCGAAAAAAGAGAGTCTATACTAGGGGCTTGATCCCAGTCCAAGCAAACATGATGAATGCTCCAGAAAAGGCACGAAAAAAAAAGAAGTAGAATTGTCTCGAGTGAACAATCCGAGCGAAGGCACCCGACATTATTGCGATGCAGAACCGGCACAATCACCCACCGCCCTTCAGACCGCATATGTCCACGTGACTCGGTGACTCATACCCCGGCAAGATACATGCCTCAGGCCCTCAGCCAGCTCCAGGTGGCTGTGGAAAATGAACTGTTCAACGCCTCATCCAGGGCATTCCCCCATTTGCCAGTATTTAGCATTGGCTACACTGTCCCATTTATTTTATATTTTTTTGAGACTAGAGTCTCCGTTCAGCCCGAAAACATAACCTGGAACAACTTATCCCATTGAGTAGCTAAGAACCTACGATGGCCTCCCTGGATACTACCTGGATAATAGTGTCCAAGCGACCAGTATCAAATACTATCAGTGTCTACTTCAACTTGCTGCGTTGGATCAAATCTGCTACACAATAATCTTGAGAGACCTGAAGGTAATATCAGGCATTACACCCCAGGCATGGCAGTTGGGTATGCAACAATGTGACGATCCGAGGGCCTCACGGTCGCCAAGGAGACCACAATCCTCCAAAGTGCCCAGTGAGCCCTCGAAAGACTGTTATGAATTTCGACAGAGTATCAATCATAGAAAGACTCCAGTCGAGTCGAGAAGTGCTCTTCAAATGCCAGCAAGAACAAGAGAACAAGACCGTAGAAGTAATGAAATGATGATCTTTTCGTACGGTACATGGGCTCAAGGTCGCCCACTTCTCCAACCTTCTCATTTCCTTCTTCCCTTTTTCCCCTCTTTGCAGTTCGAAATTTCTTTCGTTGAATGTTCGTCTCATTCTGTCTGTTGGATTCCCGATTCTTCGGGTTTCAACCCTCGACTCGGTTTTGACTCCCTCGCACTCTCCGAGTCAACACGGCGAATTGCGATCGCCCATACCTTTCTCTCCAGCCTCACCAGATCATGAGAGGCCCAATTCCACGTTAACGTCAATTCGTTCTCATTTCCCCAGTCCTGTCAAAGGCGTCAGGATTTCCCCCTGCTTGAGATCGCGCCCCTCGCGTGGTCCTCCCCCGCGGGCCATCCCACGCACTCCCCCCGATTACAGTGCGTTGGTACTGTGGACGGTGACAGTGAAAGTGACGGCAAATCTGATACTTGGTCTTCTTCTGCCCTTTCTTCTTTCCCATTACCGACCGCAAGTGAGACATTGAAATGGATTCTGGCTGGCAACCGTACCAGGATCCCTTGATGGGTCGTCCCGCGCAGTTTAATACTGGGTTGGCGTCTCATCCCCAGCAGCTAGCCTCGAAATACGGTCAGCCACCGCAATCACAGCCCCCCGTCGGATACACGTACGAGACTTTCCAAACTCCTGCACCCAAGGCCCCCTCGGTTGGCCCCAACTCCAAGACCATCTCGATGGCCTCGTCCCCGACCGCCACGCCACGTAGTCGGGATTATGTCACCGATGCGGATACCACCATGGAGGACGCGGATCCGTACAACCGAGCTAAATATCCCACGAGGCCAAACCATCACAGTCGCGCTTCATCCCAATTCCTGGCCCAAACCGAGGAGTCGTCGGCTGCTCGCAGGTATTCGCCGATGAACGCCCTGTCGCCGCCGATGTCATACCCTACCAGCCCTGGGACATCCCAGGGCTCATACGGCTTCTCGCCTGCGGGTCAGAACCCTTCTCAGCGCTCGCCCGCAAGAACATCCGACTACTCCTCGCCCCCACAGGGTTACCAGTCGCCGCCATGTGAGTGTAGGATGGAATACAAAATTTCTCAACGGTTGACTAACCTCGTGTCATGCAGCGATTCGGCCCCCAAGACTTCCTCCGCTCCAATCCGCCGACCTCAGTCCCGAACAATACTATCCCCCATCGGCCTCGTCGCACATGGGCGCGGCATTTGGTCCAGGTTCGCGATCCCCTCGCTCAGGGTCGTTACCGTCGCAAACCCCCGGTCGCGGTCCGGTGCCGAAGTTCCAAAAGCTCAAGTCGGTGCAAGAGCTCCAGCCGAGGATGAGTGTTCAACCTGCCTATCGGCGCGCCAATCCGGAAGGTGGTTTTATTAGCGTGAGTATTCTTGTAAGCCTTGATTGTGGGAATGCGGAACTCACGATTCATAGCCCTTGCAAGCGTTGACGACGCACCTTCCGGCAACTTATCGCATTTGCAATCCGGGATTCAACTACGAGTCATCGCGAAATCCGCGACGAGTATTGACCAAGCCGAGCAAGGGAGTCAAGAACGATGGCTACGACAACGAGGACAGCGATTATATTCTCTATGTGAACGATATTCTTGGTAGCGAGGAAGCTGGTCACAAGTATGTTCCTCGTGTTTCTCTCCCTATCGTTCTATTATCTGACTGGAATTCTAGGAATCGCTACCTCATCCTTGACGTGCTAGGCCAGGGTACATTCGGACAAGTGGTGAAATGCCAGAACCTGAAGACCGGAGAAGTGGTGGCTGTCAAGTGCATCAAGAACAAGACAGCCTACTTCAATCAGAGTATGATGGAAGTGTCAGTTTTGGACCTGGTAAGTTTACATTCCAACATCTATACCACCTGAACGCCTGCTAATAATGCTATCCCTCCAGCTCAACAGCAAATATGACAAGAACGACGACCATCACCTCCTTCGTTTGAAGGACACCTTCATCCACCGCCAGCATCTTTGTCTGGCCTTCGAGTTGTTGAGTGTCAATCTCTACGAGCTCATCAAGCAGAATCAATTCCGGGGATTGAGCACAACACTCGTCCGCGTCTTCGCGCAGCAGCTGCTCAACGCACTGAGCCTTTTAAATAAGGCGCATTTGATTCACTGCGACCTGAAACCCGAGAATATACTCTTGAAGAAGTCAGTTGCTCTCCGGTGCTACTTCCAACAATCATTGTTACTAACACCTGAATGCCCAATAGTCTTGAGAGCCCCATCATCAAGGTCATTGATTTTGGGTCTGCCTGCGATGAACGGCAAACAGTTTACACTTACATCCAGTCGAGGTTCTACCGCTCACCGGAAGTGCTCCTTGGTTTGCCGTAAGTCACCGTATCCACGCCATGGCTCGCCGATTTTTTAATAACTTAAATCTAGCTACTCATCCGCCATTGATATGTGGTCCCTTGGATGCATTGTTGTTGAGCTTTTCTTGGGTCTGCCACTGTTCCCCGGGTCCTCAGAATACAACCAAGTTTGCCGGATTGTCGAAATGCTAGGTTTACCCCCAACGTGGATGTTGGAAATGGGCAAGCAATCGGGCGAGTTCTTCGAGAAGACCCAGGACGAGTTCGGGCGAAAGACCTACCGCCTCAAAAGCCTGGAGCAATACTCAAGGGAACATAACACGAAGGAGCAGCCCAGCAAGAAGTACTTCTCGGCTTCGACTCTGGAGGAGATCATCCGGAGCTACCCCATGCCGAGGAAGAATATGAAACAAGCAGAGGTCGAGCGAGGTATGACCCCCATTTTCCATTAACACTTTGACATAATTTCTGATCATCGAGCCTGCAGAGCTGAACAACCGAGTTGCATTCATCGACTTTGTCCGTGGCCTGTTGACGATCAACCCGCTGGAGCGGTGGTCACCCCAACAGGCCAAACTGCATCCATTCATCACCCAGCAGAAGTTCACTGGACCTTTCGTTCCTCCCATGAACTTGAAATACTCGACTATCAACAAGACGGTAGCTCCCGGTGTTCAGCAGCAACAGCAGGCTGAAGCTGCTAGCAAGCAGAGAGCGGCACAGGCGGCACATGCGCAGACGGCCTACTCCATGCAGATGAATCAATTCCACACGCCAACCCACGCGCAACCTCCGCCCATGTACAATGGGATGTACCAGCAAGGAGCTCCGCCCCCGTACCCTACGCAGCCACCAGGCTACGGTCATCAAATGGGTTTGATTCAGGGTCAAATGCCCCAGCCCCAATATGGACCCTCCCAGAGTCTGTATGCGCAAGCCACGACCCGCGCTGGCCGCCAACGTGCATCCACCATGGACCACCAAGGTGGGGGCATTCCTCCCACAATCCAGCGCGTTGCCAGCCACTTGGACCCCAATGCCCCAATTCGGTTGCAGCCTAGCCCTGCATACTATCCTCCGCCCGCTGATGGCTACGTGGACGCGAGTGCCAACCAACGCCGACGTGGGAGTCGTGCCGGTGGCAACCAGCGTAACCGAGACTTCATCCGCACTCTTGAAGATGGCGTGCTGGGTGAAAGCTATATGGGCCAGAACCAATGGCACTAGGGCTGTCCAAGGTATCAAGGGCGCGGATGCGTGCCCTCACGCGGTTTACTTGCTCTTTTTGCCACCGAGTGCCTGACACTCGGGGCATGTACTTTCGAAATTGATGCAGGGCGATTATCCTTTCTTGTCTTGCATTGTTGACCTCGGTCGTCGGTCTGTGGAACTTTGCTTAGTCCACCAGTCCCTTTCCCGGCCATAGTCGTTTCCAAGCCCATGCGTCTCTCCCCCGGGTGCGTTTCCGATGTGCCGCTTCGAGTCGCTGACATGGGTCGACTTTGAGTCTCCGCAGTAACCATTTCCACAAGGTCCAGAACGGGCACACCGATCTACACAACTGCATCACTTGTGCCGCACCAAACCGCATACTTGGAATGCCGCGAGTAGTACTTTTCCACAGGGGTTTTGTTGTCGAGTCTGCCACAGCAAGGAAATTATCAGTGCCGTCGCTGTCTTTTAGAATCCTTTTTGCTTGCTGGTGCATGGCTCCAACTTTCCCAGTCTGGTGTTCTTTGTTTTTCTTTTAAAACAAAACAGAAAAAAATCCACCTAACCCCTGTTCGGTATGTGCGGCTTTCCCTCTCCCTTGCGTGATTTCCTTTCGGCATAGCCTGGAGTATGAAAGAACGATTTTCTTTGCTTGTTGCTTCGCTTTTTTTTGCTTCCAAGTTTCTCTTGCTTTGTCTCCGTATTCCCCTTCGGTCCATTCTACTGTGTCTGTACTTTGCTTGGGGATGTCGACCGATTTCTGTCTGTTGAACGTGTCTACTTCTTCGACTTTTTGGGTCCATGTGTGTTTTGTTTAGATGCTCGGTGATGTAGGCAGTGGCATCCCATCACCTGGAATTCTACTTCGTATAGCATATTAAGCTTTGTTGTCCTTTTCTTCTTTCTTATTTTATTATTTCTGTGGTTTCTTGCTGGCTCTAGAAGATATATACACAACAAAATACCGTGCTATCCATAGTAACTGCCGGTTCTGTCAGGGGTTTTACTTTCCGGCTTGTAGACTCAAGGCGTGGTTTTATTGGCTATCTAATACATCCATAATGCCTTTTTTTTTTTTTTTTGTGACTTATGAGGTTTCAACTAATAGAATTACTTCAGATATCTCGTATGGTTGATCAAAGCCCTTCTATCAGAAATATCAACTGAGAAAAGAAACCGAACGACATTCCTACACTAGATAGTAACACTGCTCGGGTCTTTCCGACGTACTCTTTTCTGTTTGAAGAAATTAAAAAATAAAAACATGTTGAGTTTTCGGGCGTGCTGTCTTTGAATCACCAGGAATACTGGCATACTTTCATCCCTGCAGCTCTGTCCAATTGCCATGTTGCGGGTGTGCACAGGTTGTGGATAGGGCTTGAGTTAAATCCGTGTCACCAGCAGCCCAACCTAATTTTGGGCATTGAAAAGATAAAAAGGTTGACGACTTGATCTACCTCGAGTCTAAAAGATCGAAATCGTTGCGATCTGAAGTTATTTATATGGGTCTTCGGGTGGAGTGAACTCTACGTTCAGACCAACCGAGGCACACACAACAGCTGATATATACAAATAGTATATAAGGAAAAAGACAGGGATAACATGTAATCTTCTCATTTATAGTTAGTTTGCAGAGTATCAGCACAACACATCCATAGGGCCAAACAATAATTCCTCGCGCTGGATGCCCAACTTGGCCCACCAGGGCGATCACGGACTCGATCGGGGGCCAGAAAAGCCCGGCATGTGGGGATATTTCCGCCCCGGCCTATTGCACCTCTCCCACTTGGACATCCGTCTTACCTACCTTCCCTTTTCACGACTCGCCATGCCGTCTACTCCCCAACCCGCCATGGAGAACAATCTATCTCCCACAGGGCGGAAGCCAAGGACCAGTCGGCCAAAGGTGCGCACAGGCTGCCTGACGTGCAAGTATGACCTCCCCGTGAAGGCTGCGTTTCCACCCCCCCCCACAAAAAGAACTCCCCCTCCCGTCTCCATCGAGGATCAGCCGGGTTGCAGATAAGAATCCGAGACTAATGGATGGACCCTGACTGCAGGATTCGACATAAGAAATGCGACGAGGCCCGCCCGGCTTGTCACCAATGTACCCGCATCGGTCGAAAATGTGACGGATACGCTGACACCCCCGATAAAAGAACTCGTGCCTGGCGGGTCAATATCCACTCCAAGGCCCCGTCCAACACTCTGATCTCGCTGGTCGATGTCAGCCAGGCGGACCTCACGCCGCACGAGCGTTGGTATTTGGACTTCTTTCGTAACTGCACCGCTCGCCAATTCGCCAGCGTCTTCACCAACGCTTTCTGGGGGCAATTGGTCCACCAGGTGGGTGAGGCCCAACCCGCTGTGCGCCATGCGGTCATTAGCATCGGTGCTATTCACTGGCATTGCCCGGTGTTGAAGTTCGCCGCCGACGCTACCTCGTTCCCTCTGCGTCAATGCAACAAGGCCCTAGTGCATCTGCAGCATAACCTCGTGACTGATCTCTCTAGCCGTACACGCATGGAAACGGTCTTGGTGTCCTGTCTGATTTTAGTCTTGCTCTGCTTTATTCAGAGAGATGTTCGTGCGGTTAGCTGTCACCTGGCCGCCGGCTTTAAGCTGCTGGATGAATGGCAAAAGGCCCAGATGAACTACAGCCCGCTCGGGCCAGTTTTGCTGCAGGCTTTTACCCAGGTCCACTTGCACTGGGCGGCCGCGACCGAGTCTAACCCGGCTAGTGTGCCTACTGCCCAGTTCGTTGCCTACCATTTCCCCATGATGGACATCGTGGAGGCTGCCGAAGAGGCCGGAGGGTTCATGGTAATCCTGGGTTGGCTGCTTCTGCAGACGGATTCCAACTCGCAGCCGTTCGGTGGTACCAAAATGGAGAGCGCGTCCGTGATGACCCTCAAGAAAATGCACGCCTGGAGAAGCCGTATAATCCGGGCTTTGACTCTTCGTGGCGAATCATCCCCGCACACGAACCCGAATGTTTTGTTTCTCGACATCTGGAGCGAGGTGATCTTTATCAAAATCATTACCGATGCCCATCTCGAGGAAGGCGAGACGAGATACGATGCTTATCTGCCACACTTCCAGCGAACCATTCACCTGGCGAGGCAGATCTTGATCCCTGCAGCCCACTCGCCCGTGCCCGGTTTCTGGGCCCGCACTGGGATCATCTCGCCGCTCTTTTTCTGTGCGTTAAAATGCCGCGACTGGAACACGAGACGAGAGGCACTGTTTTTGCTGAGTCTATGGGAACACCGACCAGGCATCTGGTCGGTATCGGGGACAGCCCTGGCGGCGGCCCGGTTGATTAAACATGAATCCGAGGATCTCACACCAAAGGATGTGGTTCCCGAGACTGCGCGTATCGAGTCTCTGCGCGTAGACTTCTTGCCTCAAGAGTGTCAAGTCCGCTTACGGTACCGTCACTCTCCGGGGTTGGGCGCGAAGTGGATGGGGAAGGACGGGTGGCGGAGCGAGCTCATGTCATACTAACGGTGTCTGGGTGCCTTGACACCTTGACACCTTGACACCTGGGCGGTTTTTGATACCCGGAGCCTGGCGTTTCAGGTGTCTCTATTTTCTGTTGGATCTGCAGTTTCCCTTTTTTCTCACCACCTTGAGTGGCCAGCGGCAGACATGCTTTTTCTCTTCCTTATTTTGGTATTCAAATCCAATCTTTATTCCAGTCCATCTAGTAGTGCATAGTCAATGGTCAATGGTCGCGACGCCTTATTGTTCGAATACACGCTAGTCCGAATCGGGATTAGCCAGCCCCTCGCTTAAATTTCGTGTGTGGCTCGCCGCTCTCTCTCTTTGATCGTCTTCCACACCGGATTTCAACGCCTTTTCCCGGCTTTTTACTCCCCCAGATCCGCAACCATGTCGCGTTTCTTCTATCGCGGTGGCAGCGACAGCGAGTCCAGCTCGTCGGACGAGGAGGAGGATGTCTACAGCGACCGCTCCGAGGAGGAGCAGGAAGACAGTGAGGAGGAATCCAGCGAGGAGGAGACCTCGGAGTCCGAGGACGAGGATGCCGACAAGGAAGCTGGTGGTCGCACCGGTGCCAGCAACTTCCTGAGGGATGTCTCGGACAGCGAGGAGAGCGAGGACGAGGAGAAAGTGACGATCGTCAAGAGTGCCAAAGACAAGCGGTTGGAGGGGCTCGAGAACACCATCCGACTAATCGAAAATGCAAAGAAGATCAACGACTGGGCAGTTATCTCGACTGGTGAGTTCTCGTGGAGAATTCCGATTGCTTTCTGTGTAAAGCCATGCTAACATGGACGGTGTCGTAGAATTCGACAACCTGAACCGACAAATCGTCAAGGTCACGCAGTCGGGCCCGACCCCTAAGATTTACATCAAGGCCGTTGCCGATCTCGAGGACTCCGTCACCGAGACTATCTCCAAGCAGAAGTCTTCGGACAAGAAGATGAACGCCAGCAACGCCAAGGGCTTCAACGCCGTCAAGCAGCGAATCAAGAAGAACAACAAGGACTATGCTGCCCAGATCGAGAAGTACCGCGAGGCCCAGGATGATTTCATGCTGAGCGAGGAGGAAACCGAAAAGCCTGCTCCGGCCCCCGCACCCAAGCCCACCAAGGTGGAGCGCATCCAGAACCTGGCCGCTGTGGCCCCGTCGGCCGGGGATGACGACGGCTTCGCAACCGTCGGCCGTGGTGGCAAGACCCTGCAGTACACCCCCGAGAGCATTCTGAAGCACCTGCGTGCTATCGTGGAGTCGCGAGGAAAGAAGAACACCGACCGCTCTGAGCAGATCCGCACTATGGAGAAGCTCCTGGAAGTTGCCCAGACTCCCTACCAGCGTATCCGCGTCTACCTAACCCTCATCTCCACCCGCTTTGACCTTACCGCCAGCTCCTCCGCCAACTACATGGGTGCCGATCAATGGAAAAACGCCAACCAAGAGTTCTCGACCCTTCTGTCCGTCCTGGAGGTGAACCGCAACTTCCTGGTCAGCGAGGGCGCTGACGAGTGGGAGGACGACGAAAAGCAGCCTCAGGTTGCCCCCGACCAGACCTTCCTCATCCCGGGCAGCATTGTCTCGTACATTGAGCGGCTGGATGACGAGCTCACCCGCTCCCTCCAGCAGATTGACCCCCACACGGCCGAGTACATCGAGCGCCTGGGTGACGAGCAGCAATTGTACAACAACATTGTACGCACACAACTCTACATCGAGAGTCTGAGCACTAGCGACAAGAACGATCCTCGCCAGGACAGCGCGAACCGAGTGGTGATCCGCCGTCTGGAGCACGTCTACTTCAAGCCTTCGCAGGTTGTCTCCATTCTGGAGGATGCCACATGGAAGGCCACACCCTCCAACCTGGACTCCGCTGTTACTCCTCGTGCGAAGACGGGCGATGTCACGGATCTCATCCAGACTCTGTGCAACTATCTGTTCCAGTTCAGCGATGGTATCATCCGCGCCCGAGCCATGCTGTGCCAGATCTACTTCCTCGCCCTGCACGACCAGTACTACCGTTCTCGTGACCTGATGCTTATGTCTCACCTGACTGAGAACATCTCCAACTTTGATGTCAGCACGCAGATTCTCTTTAACCGCACTCTTGTTCAGATTGGTCTGTGTGCCTTCCGCGCTGGCCTTATCTACGAGGCCCAGAACACCCTTGGTGACATCTGCGGCAGCGGCCGCCAAAAGGAGCTGCTCGCCCAGGGCATCATCCTCCAGCGCTTCTCGACCGTGTCGCCAGAGCAAGAGCGTCTGGAGCGCCAGCGCCAGCTGCCCTTCCACATGCACATCAACCTTGAGCTGCTCGAGTGCATCTACCTCACCTCAAGCATGTTCCTCGAGGTGCCCCTCATGGCCCAGACCTCTTCCGCTCCTGAGATGCGGCGTCGGATGATCTCCAAGACCTTCCGCCGCATGTTGGACTACAACGAGCGCCAGGTGTTCACCGGTCCCCCCGAGAACACTCGTGACGGCGTCATCATGAGTGCCAAATTCCTCGCCGCCGGCGACTGGAAAAAGGCGGCGTCGATGCTCGCGTCGATTAAGATCTGGGACCTGATGCCCCAGGCCGACAAGATCAAGGAGATGCTGTCCCAGCAGACCCAAGAGGAGGGTCTGCGCACCTACCTCTTCACCTACGCCCCCTTCTATGACAGCCTCTCGATCTCCTCGCTGGCCGGCATGTTTGAACTGCCCGAGAAGAAGATTGCCGCCATCATCAGCCGTATGATCTCCCACGAGGAGCTGGCTGCCGCCCTCGACCAGGTCAACGACGTTATCGTTTTCCGCAAGGGTGTCGAGCTTTCTCGCCTCCAGTCCCAGATTGTTACCCTGGCCGACAAGTCCATGAACCTTCTCGAGGCCAACGAGAAGACCCTTGAGCAGCGCACCCAGGGTATGGCCAACGCCTTCCAGCGCGAGCAGGGGCCCTGGTGCCCGCGGTGGTCGCGGTGGTGGCCGTGGCGGTCGTGGTGGTGGCGGTCCTCGGCTGCCAGGCGGCCAGCAGGGTCGCCGACCTGGTGGTCAGCAGTTCGGTGGTGGTGCATTGGGCGGTGCAATCAAGGCTTAGGTTCTTCTGATGTAATGGCATGTCTTTTCTTTTCTCTTTCTCTTTCACTGTCTCTTTTTTCATAGCCCATGTTTCCTCGTGCCGTTTCTTTTTCGGAATGCGAGTCGACACCCCCACCATCCCGTTCGTGTCTATTCGGCCTCGTGTTCTTTCTTGTCCGGAAAAATTGTGCTTTTTACGTTTTCTTTTTTAAATGGAGGGGTGTGATCTAGATGATTTTCATGCACGGAAATGACCAAGAATCAAGAATCTTCACAATCAGTTATTCATTATCAACGGCCTCATGGAACTAGGGGGCTGATTATAGTCTGTAATTCTATTTATAATCTGCTTCTATACTGGAAACCATCCCACCATGGGCTCTTGCTCGAGAGTGGCCCTTCCAACTCGGACTGCTTGGTGGTGACATATGAAACCCCTCAGTTGGCTAGCAATGAAGGCATCCCTGTCCAGCTTGAAGGTCGATCCTATCTGCATGGCTTCGGATTGGCCAGCCCACGGCTCCAGGATGCTGATGTTGTTCTGTGCTGCTGAGGTGATTCCGGGCCAGTTGCCATGTATTGAAAATTTCCTATACCCAAGTAGAACCATGAACGCGGTTGGCAAGAGATTACTTGCAACAACTTCGGTTGTCCGAAGTGGTCATTCAGTTCATGTTGCGCTGCCTTGTCAGGCATTATCTCGCCACCCGTGGAATGCTGTAATAAAGACGCGTTAGACAGTTAAAAAAGCCATGGGGGAGATGGGGTAGTTACCAAATGATTCGTTCACCATGCAGAGCAGTTGCTCAGCTTCAGGTGGTGGATCAAAGACATTGGCCAGCAATATGTTGTTCTTAAAATCAGAGGGCAACAATAAGAAATTATGCCTATATGTGGACCATTCTATCCACTATCATCGAGCAGATTTTGAGGTGACCAGTATTCTTTCTCCGGGCCCTGGGCATCCAACCACACCAGACCATCGGCAAGGAGATCATCGATGACAGTCTGCGCACGAGCCTTTTCCCACTTGAGGTTCAGCCGCAACATCGAAACGCTCACGTATCCAAGGACTTGGATGGCTTCAAGTACAGCGGCCTGGTCAGTATTCAGCTCCTTGGGGATCGACCGGATATACTGCTTGCTGCCGACGAGGATGATGGAAAAGCCAGAGCCAAGAGGCTCAAGAGATCGGACTGCGCGTAGTATATCGTCGCTATTAGAGGATTAGCAATGAATGTGTGCAAAAACTAAACAAGAAAAAACAATGAGTCTTGCTCAAACCATACTCGGTGACTTCCAACCCACTCCCGATCGCCTTCCCCTTCCCGACTTGCTTTCGACACTCTTTCACACCGATTAACCCGCCGTTCTCGCTGCGTGTCTCCCGACACAGTTCCACAACTCGGACCGCAACCTCAAAATAGAAGTCGTTCATGTCCCCGCCGAGGATTTGCGTCCAGAAACTGCCGCCCTCGCCGAGTCCACGACGGCCATTCTTGCCCTTGACGTTGCTGGCCGCGAGCGGGTCCACGCCGATGGTGTTGCACATGCGCGCAAACTCGGCTCGAAATGTCGGGTTGGATTTGATATCAGAGCTATGTTCTAGGGCGAATGTATGCAGTAAAGATTGGAAAACCGAAAGCTGGGTCTGGAGGGAGGCAAGATGTGTAGAGCGTAGGTTTGCGCCATGAGTAGCGTAGGATTGTGTTGCTTGGTTGCGGTTCGCAAAGGCTCCAAGGCCAACACCACGACGTGACATATTGCGGGGTTTTCTGTGTTCTGGCTAGATGATCAGGAGTCTCCAGATTGAGCTGCCTCGATAGTTATCGAGGGGAGATGAGGTCATCTGACGGGATCCAAGCCCTAATCGGCGATAAGGGCTGGTGGCCCAACTAGGTTAGCGTGGTTTGCATAAAAGGCTAACTATTATAGGTTAGCGCACCCACACAACCGAATTCTCTTTTCCTCTCTGCCTTTTTGCTCGAACTTCTCTCCCGACAACCTCGCCGACCAGCCAACTCGCCTCGACGGACCTTCACAATGGCCTCGACTAACGCGTATGCTTCCCCTTGAACCCCCTCTGACTGATTCAATCTCTCGAGATTGTGAGGTTCCAGGTATAGTCGTCCTTCTCGCTGGAGATGCTACGGTTGTCATGCACGCCGCTGAGCACCAGCTCGATCCTTCCTACGTCCTTTTCCCTCCTTTGCATTGATCTCGTATACACTCGGTGATCGGTCGAACGACTTGCTGGGGTGATGGGAAGAGGGCAACGGAGTCTTGAGGTTGAAAGCTTTAAGCCTTCTCCTCCAAAAGCATTGTTGTCAGCTATCATTCTCTGACACACCTGATGTGGTAAAAATATCGCGTGTCTCTGGAGATGAAGAGCGTCGACACATACTTCCTGGACATTTGTTCGGGGTGTTGTCGGATGAAGGCGAAATGGACACGCTGCGGGTCGTTGTGTTTCAGACCTCATGCTGAAAAATTGCACGAGTTGATTCCCACGTCAATCCCCACTGTCCTGGCCCTCACTGATCAAAGAGATTTCGTCGAGTTTTTTTTTTCTATAATATTTTGCCTTCAGTTGAGAATGTGGCGCTATATGCTGCAATTCTTGCACTCGGCGAATTGTCTTTTGTCTATTTGATCATGCGGACGGACTATACTAACCTCAACAGCACCGTTCCCACCAAGGACCAGGTCCTCGTCCCCGAGACCCTCCTCAAGAAGCGCAAGAGCCAGGAGCAGGCTCGCGCTGAGCGCCGTGCCGAGGCCGAGCAGAAGAAGAAGGTCGGTTTTTTCCCCTTTCACATCTCGCGACCCCCTTCCCTCATCAACCTGATGACAACAACCAACCACGCGACTAGACCTAAGGTCAATGCTGTCGCTTCGTTAACCATCTTTCGGGGCTGATACTTTGTTGATGCCACCTCTTAATGTGTTATAATTCCACATGATGAAAACTCGCATGCTGACTGAGTTTCTTCCAGGCCAACAAGGAGAAGCGCGCTGTCATCTTCAAGCGTGCCGAGTCCTACGTCAAGGAGTACCGCGACGCAGAGCGTGAGAAGATCCGTCTCTCCCGCGCTGCCCGCCAGGAGGGCAACTTCTACGTTGAGGATGAGCCCAAGCTGGTCTTCGTTGTCCGTATCAAGGGGTATGTTTACACGTCAAGCTGCCTTTTTACTTGAGTCATGGCTGACCATCCACACAGTATCAACAAGATCGCTCCCAAGCCCCGCAAGATCCTCCAGCTGCTCCGTCTGCTGCAGATCAACAGCGGCACCTTCATCCGCCTCACCAAGGCCACCCAGGAGATGCTGACTATCGTCAACCCCTACATCGCCTACGGTTACCCCAACCTGAAGAGCGTGCGCGAGCTCCTGTACAAGCGCGGTTACGGCAAGCTCAACAAGCAGCGTGTTCCCCTGACCGACAACCAGCTGATCGAGGAGCACCTCGGCAAGTACGGCATTGTCTGCATGGAGGACCTGATCCACGAGATCTACACCGTTGGCCCCAACTTCAAGCAGGCCAACAACTTCCTGTGGCCCTTCAAGCTGTCCAACCCCAACGGTGGCTTCCACTCCCGCAAGTTCAAGCATTTCGTTGAGGGTGGTGACACCGGTAACCGTGAGGAGAACATCAATGGTCTCATCCGCCAGATGAACTAGATTGTTTCACTCTGATCGGAATCGTGGCTGGCGGGAGGGGGCGTTTGCTAGCGAGCGCTCCTTTTTCCAAAAATTCTCTTTTCCTTCTAAAAACAAAAATGATACGACGTTCTTGTCTTGGGTTGTTTGTACAGCACGGGCTGTTTTATCTTTCGAGTCAATTATTAGCGATACGATGGTCTGGGGTTTCCGGTAATGAAATGCTTCAAACAACCCACAATCCGCATACTTATGGGATACACCTATTTCGTAACTCGTAAGAAGTGGTGCAGCTTGAGCCAACAAGAGCTATATTGTACTTCATGGCTGCGACACCATTATGGTGGTTGGTTTAGTCTGATGGCCCGAAGTCTGGTGAGTTGCAGCGATCAATCAGTCGGCATGTCCCGAGATCCGAGTACCAATTACTCAAGGATCATTCGCGAAGTATATTAGCAAGGGCCACGAGATTTTATTCCTCAATTATTTGCAAGACCTATTTGCTTGTTGAAATTGATCTTGCAGTGAGAATGTTGTGTTCTCGCGAACTATATATATCGCGAGGTCCCACCAAACTCCCTCTACATGATGGGAGCAAAACCCCACAAATTCGATATGCAATGGACCAAATAGTCTCAAAATGGCTCCAGAATAAGTAGTGGAGATTTATTTATCCCGACAGGTCCCTGAAAAAGCCAAAACTCTGCTCTACTCTCACTAAGAGGTGCGTTCTATATACATACTGACCTACTGACAGCTTTGTAAGCTTTTTCCTCGTGAGTCTAGGAATATAGTTAGATTTGTAGCACATCTTGAACCCTCCGGTTCTGGTCTACCACCAGACGGAGCTGTCTCCCTTGCCAGTCGGACTGCAATGCCGACGGGTTGTGCGGGGAGGGCTTGAAGGCACCATCGCGAAGGGTTTCGGTGAAAAGCTCGTAGGAGGGATAGTCTGAATGATCGAGTTAGCTCGCCCTGTTTGTAGTTATAGCCTTCAACCAAGAGAAGAGACACTCACAGCCATCCACGAAATGGTTGACTTGCTCTTCGGTCATCCCGGTGCTCTTGGTAGCGCGGAGGTTGCGTTCTTGTTCCTGGCGCCAGTCATAGACGAAGTGAAGGTCTTGGGCATCGCTAGAAGTGATAATTTAGCAGACAAAAAAAAAAGAATACAGATGAAGTGAGAACATACATATGGATCAAGGCGTCAAGCTTGCTGCCAAGCATGTTAGCCGGGTATTCTTTCTGATATCCCAAATAGCTGGGAGCACCAACTCGGTCAAGGCATCATATCCCTTCAATGCCTCATTGACTGTCTGAACATCCTCAAACTTCACATGGCCTAGTCGGCCCCGGTATTCGCCTGTGTCCTTCTGTCGCACGGCAGCCTCCCACTTGGCGCGCAGGGTCTGTTCATCCCAGGCGCGGAACCCGACACACCAGCCTTCGAAAATGACGACCTTGACCTTTTTCTGTCCATCGGCATTGACGACCTCCCATATTGATGAGGGAACTCGGTCACCCTGTCCCTCGAATGCAGACTTGTCGTATTGCGGGACAGCAGTGAGTTGTTCGGCCGCCAAAGACGCGAAGACCTGCTCACCGAGAGCGAGATCGTGGGTCGAGGGCTGGCCGCGGTGCTGGAGAAGCGGGTTGCTCGGATGCGCCTGGGCGAGAGCAACCTGGTCGGCGTTGGTAAGATAGATATCGTCGAGCGACAATGTTACAACAGAGAGCGAGTACGGCTCGGACCGGAGGGCGTGCTGGAGCGTCGAGACCTGGGTGAGTGGTTAGTAGAGCGAAAGTCTGGGTGTTTGAGGGCAAGGCCGAGCTCGACTGGAAAGTTCCCGAGGCATTGTCGGTGCTGGACCCAGTTCCGATCAAACTGCTTACCAAAACGGTTTTGCCGGCGCCCTGCACGCCATTCAGTCCCAGGAAGAACGGCGGGGTATTGCCCGTGCCCGAGTGTCGCTCGGTATGGACGCGAAGGCGCTGCAAAAGGAAGGGGATGCAGTGCTGCGACTTGTCGTCTACAATCTCGGGCATGTTGGGTTCTTGTCAAGAGAATAAGATACTTGGGAAGTGTTTCCCTTGGGCCATGACTTTACTTGACTACGGAGAGTTCTCCGATCGGCAGAATCTGGGGTTCCCGTGATTGCTCCCCCGCGAAGAGAGTTCAGCCTGTACGTTGAGCCGGGCAATACCTCCCAGACATATATATATATATATATATATATATTTGGTGAGAAATCGACGGTCAATGATGAAGCTATTCGAGTGAGCCGATGAACAGAAGATAATTCGAGGCACATGGCAATGACGTTGTATGTCACATGTCTGAGTCAGCACGGTACTCGGTTACGGGAGACAAGTAGATGATATTATATTCGAAGAGTATAGTGAATAGCATAGTGAATAGCATAGTGAATCACATAGCTAATAAGAATTAAAAAGTAATCCTCATAATTCTGGTCCCACACCTCCCCAGAGCAGTCGGCATGTGAAGCGGGTGCATCTGCCATGTAACAATACGCTCCGCTGTTACCGCTGGCTCAAACGTGCCGAGGTCCCCCGAGCTACCGAGCTGCGCTTTAAACTCCCCTCTCGGCCTTCATCTTTCTCTCTCCCCAAAATACCCTGAACTAGGACATTTTTCTGTTTTCTGTTTTTCCCATCACGCACAACAGAAATGTCCGAGCTGCGATTCGATAACCAGACCGTCGTCGTCACCGGCGCCGGCGGTGGCCTGGGGAAAGCATATGCTCTCTTCTTCGCCTCAAGGGGCGCAAATGTCGTCGTGAACGACCTCGGTGGCTCTCACAAGGGTGAGGGCAAGTCATCAAAGGTAGGTCCGGCTCTCCCGATCTGCGTAGACACTCGACTGACCCCCTGAATCATACAGACCGCAGATGTCGTCGTTGATGAGATCCGGGCCGCCGGCGGCAAGGCTGTTGCCAACTACGACAGCGTCGAGAACGGTGACGCCATTATTGACACGGCTATTAAGAACTTTGGCCGTATTGACATCCTCCTCAATAACGCTGGTATTCTGCGGGATATCAGCTTCAAGAACATGAAGGACGAGGACTGGGATTTGATCAACAAGGTTCACACTTATGGCGCATACAAGGTGAGATCCCTCGGCTCCTCATACATAGTACTTGATATTGATGTGCTGTCTCTGCTAGTGCGCAAGAGCTGCATGGCCGCACTTCCGGAAACAAAAGTTCGGTCGTGTGATCAACACCGCCTCGGCGGCCGGCCTGTTCGGCAGCTTCGGTCAGGCTAACTACTCGGGTAAGTGCGGTGATCACCCGCCGGTGTTCAAAGGATGGATGAATGAAAGCTAACAGATTACCCAAGCTGCCAAGCTCGGCCAGGTTGGCTTCACCGAGACCCTGGCCAAGGAGGGTGCTAAGTACAACATTCTCGCAAACGTCATTGCTCCCATTGGTAAGCCTAAGAACAATATACCACTGTTGCAGATCAATTTCGCTAATTCCAAACTAGCTGCTAGCCGCATGACGGCTACCGTGATGCCGCCCGATGTCCTGGAAAATCTCAAGCCCGACTGGGTGGTTCCTCTGGTCGCGGCCCTTGTGCACTCGTCCAACACCACCGAGACGGGCGGTATCTACGAAGTTGGTGGTGGCCATATGGCCAAGCTGCGCTGGGAGCGTGCCAAGGGTGCCCTCCTGAAGACCGATGACTCCCTGACTCCTGGCGCTATTGCCCGGAAGTGGAACGACGTGAACGACTTCTCCAAGCCGGACTACCCTAGCGGCCCTGCCGACTTTATGGGTTTCCTGGAAGACGGCCTGAAGATGCCTAGTGCTCAGCCGGGACAGGAGCCCGACTTCAAGGGCCGTGTTGCTCTGATCACTGGTGGCGGTGCTGGGTATGTATCCCCTCTCGATATGGATTTAGTCGAGCTTTGCTAATAATTCCCAGTCTCGGTCGCGCATACTGCTTGCAGTTCGCCAAGCTTGGTGCTTCTATTGTTGTCAACGACCTTGTCGACCCTGAGCCGGTCGTTCAGGAGATCAAGAAGCTGGGCGGCAAGGCCGTTGGAAACAAGGCTTCTTGCGAGGATGGCGATGCTGTCGTCAAGAGTGCGATTGATGCTTTCGGACGCATTGATATCCTGGTTAACAACGCCGGTATCCTGCGCGACAAGGCTTTCACCAACATGGACGACAACCTGTGGAACTCGGTTGTCAACGTCCACTTGCGTGGTACCTACAAGGTGACCAAGGCCGCATGGCCCTACTTCCTCAAGCAGAAGTACGGCCGCGTGGTCAACACTGCAAGCACCAGCGGTATCTACGGCAACTTCGGCCAGGCCAACTACGCTGCGGCGGTAAGTTCATTCCCAGCACTGATGCTTACCCATATACTGATATCATTGCCCAGAAACTCGGTATCTTGGGTCTGTCCCGCACTCTCGCCATGGAGGGCGCCAAGTACAACATCAAGGTCAACACTATTGCTCCCAACGCGGGCACCAACATGACCCGTTCCATCATGCCCGAGGAGATGGTCCAGGCCTTCAAGCCGGACTACGTTGCCCCGCTGGTGGTACTGCTCTGCTCCGACAACGCCCCGGAGCCATCGACCAAGGGCCTGTTCGAGTGTGGCAGTGGCTGGTTTGGCCGCACTCGCTGGCAGCGCTCCGGTGGCCACGGCTTCCCGGTGGATGCCAAGCTGACCCCCGAGGAGGTGGTTGCCAAGTGGAAGCAAGTTACCGACTTCGAGGACGGGCGTGCTGACCACCCGGAGGATGGCCAGGCCGGTGCCGAGAAGGTCATGGCTAACATGTCTAACCGCGCGGGCGGCGATGCCTCGAGCGGCGAGAATGAAATCCTGCAGAATATCGAGAAGGCCAAGACATTGTCGACTGATGGCACTTCGTTCGACTATGTGGATCGCGATGTGCTTCTCTACAACCTTAGCGTGGGCGCCAAGCGCACAGACCTGCCCCTGGTCTACGAGAACAATGAGCACTTCCAAGCACTTCCTTCTTATGGTGTGATTCCCTGGTTCAACACTGCCACCCCATGGAACATGGACGACATTGTGAAGAACTTTTCGCCCATGATGCTGCTCCACGGTGAGCAGTACCTGGAGATCCGCAAGTTCCCAATCCCCACCGCTGCCAACACCTTGACGTACCCCAAGCTCGTTGATGTCGTGGACAAGGGCAACGCGGCCCTCGTGGTGGCGGGCTACACCACCAAGGATGCTAAGACGGGCGAGGACCTCTTCTATAACGAGTCGACCATCTTCATCCGCGGCAGTGGTGGTTTCGGCGGCTCGCCCAAGCCCACCGCCCCTCGTCCCAAGGCGGCCATTGCTGCGTACAAGCCCCCGCAGCGCCAGCCTGATACCGTCGTGGAGGAGAAGACCTCCGAGGACCAGGCCGCGCTGTACCGTCTGAATGGCGACCGCAACCCGTTGCACATTGATCCGGATTTCAGCAAAGTTGGCGGTTTCAAGATCCCGATCCTGCACGGGTTGTGCTCGCTCGGTGTTTCGGCTAGGCACGTCTTCGCTAAGTACGGCGCCTACAAGAACCTCAAGGTTCGCTTTGCGGGTGTCGTGCTGCCGGGCCAAACCCTCAAGACCGAGATGTGGAAGGAGGGCAACACCGTCCTCTTCCAAACGACTGTTGTTGAGACCGGCAAGCCGGCCATCTCTGGCGCAGGTGCTGAGCTGCTTGAGGGTGCCAAGGCTAAGCTGTAAAAAAATCTATGGAATCGGCGATATCCCGTGGCATGTTGAGCCGACCCACTCGGATTCAGAATGTGGCTTCTTGTTTGTATATACATACTAATGTTTTGTTACTTTGCCCTGTGTGTTTCATTTTTATTATGAGATCAATGAGATCAGTTCATTTTTGTGCTGGTATTCACTGTAGAGTGGTCGGTCTCGAACCCATTTCTCACCCTCGCATGATGCATCGGCCCCACGGTATGCGAGATCGATCGAGGTCACAACGCGAGGGAGGTGAGATATGCGAAAGAAAAAGTATAGAGCGCAGACATTCTAAAATTAGGAAGAGAATGAGAGTGCGAGCGTGAGTACTCCGTATATATACGCTCACTTGCCCAGTGATTGATGCCTAGTCGGTGTCTTATGTAAACGCCTCTCATCCACCCGTGGACCCTGGCATTCTTTTCGATCCCCCAAACATCCTCCAACTCATTCGATCCTTGAATCTGATGGCCCCTCTCCAGTCTCCATGACACCCTCACGACCCGAGGATGTAGCAGTGTCTCTCACTCAGCGCAAAAATGGTGCTCTCGTTGCCGGTTCCCAGCTTCTCCAGATCCTCCGCATCTCCCCCACGCCCCGCCGACGCCAACACGCCCGCACCGCAGCCCCGCCAATACCAAGCCTCCGCGTCAGGCTCGTCCACCAGCTCCTCGTCGAGCCGGAATGTCTGGAGACCCCCGGGCCTGGGCGGCCAAACCGGCTCGTCTTCCAGCAGCTACTCCGTCACTCTCAGCGAGGCCCTCCGCAATAATCCCTTCGGCAGTACGCGTTCCCGAGACGCCAGGAGCTCCATCCCCGAGGCGGGGGCTCAGCACCAGGAGCAGGAAGAGCTGAATGCCGCACTGGAAACCCTCGCGCGCATCTTTCCGGATGTGCGTATCGAGGTGTTTCGGGAGTTGCTGGTGCGGTTTGACGGCTTGAGTCGCTTACAGGTCTGTGTGGAACAGCTGCTCAGAAATAAGGAGGAGTGGGTTGCTGGCCGCTGGAATATCTCAAAGGGCCAAAACGGAGAAGAATCAGAGTATGGTGGCGATGGCGCTGCCCACCGTAACCATCCAGCTGGGAATGACCGGGGCGGCTCTGTTCCGGACTCGGAGGGGGAGGAGAGCTTGATCCCTCCCGAGGAACGGTTCCGGTCGGAAGAATACAAGATCTCTGTTCGAACGGCGCTGTCTAAGGAATTCAGTGGTCTGAATAAGAGTACCATCGAGGGTGTGATGGCCGAGGTGAACTTCAACTACGCGCGCGCGAGAGTGACGCTGCAGGATACCTCCCGACGAACATGGCGTGCAACTTTGACCAACATCATGCCGTCGTTCAAGCGGAAGAAAGACCGAGATGAGCACCCGTTGGTGGTGTGGCAGCGCGGCGCAGACGGAGAGCTGGTCCCGCGGCTGAAAGAGACCGGGTGCAGCGAGCTGGATAGCGAGCTACATGAAATGTTGCTGGCTCCAGTGTTGCGACAGAAGCGTGAGGATCAGGAAGACCAGGACTTCCGCTTGGCTTCCGAGCTGAATGAGAAAGAGGCTACGGCGACCGGCGCTCTTTACGAATGCGAGTGCTGCTTTGCCGATGTGACCTTTGAGCAGATCGCAACATGCTCGGCCGATGCCCATATTAACTGCTACAACTGCATCCAGCGGACAATCCATGAGGCGCTCTTCGGCCAGGGCTGGGGCAAGTCTGTGGACTTGGAGCACTCGACGCTCACATGCCTTGCGCCGCTGTCCGTCGGGTCTTGCGATGGGTGTCTTCACCCGCAGGTTGTCCGGCGGGCAATCCTGCTCAACACCGCCGGTTTTGAGACATTTCGCAAATTTGAGGATCGCCTAGCCTCAGAGGCGTTGCTCAAATCGCAACTGAAACTCATTCGATGCCCTTTCTGCTCCTACGCCGAGATCGACCCGGTCTACCACCCTTCACCCCGCGGCGTTCGTTGGCGCATTCGCCGCGACGGGGGGTTTATCCCTACGATTCTGATGACGGCCTTTCTCCTTGATATGGTGCCTCTGCTGATGATCCCGTTCTTCATCATGCTTCTCCTCAAACCCGCAGTCGTTAAGGCCATCTTTAACAACTCTATTCACCATATCTGCCTCAAAACCCGTCCGAAGCGATTTAGCTGTGCCAGCCCTTCCTGCCGGCGTGTCAGCTGCATGACGTGTAAAAAGCCGTGGCGCGATCCACACGTGTGCAACGAGCCGATGTTGCTGGACCTCCGCGCCACCGTCGAGGCTGCGCGCACGGCTGCCGTGAAACGCACGTGTCCTCGCTGCAGCCTCTCCTTTGTCAAGTCTTCCGGCTGTAACAAGCTGACCTGCGTCTGCGGATATTCCATGTGCTATTTATGCCGAACGGCCTTAGCCCCGCCCCCTCCTGTTTACCAAGGGCATTTTCGCCGGTACCCTCGCCGCCGTCGCGTGTGTGGTCGGGCGGCCTACGACGGGCCCGCCGATAACCACGGCGACCACCCTGGTGGCGAGCAAGGCGCTGGCGCAGCTCCCGCCCAGGAGTTTGAGCCGGAAGGCTACAAGCACTTCTGTGAACACTTCCGCATCAACCCCGGGTCCCGCTGCACGGAATGCACCAAGTGCGATCTCTACCAGGCCGAGGATGAGGAAGCCGTTGCGCGCCGCGCGGGCGAGAAGGCCGAGCGCGAGTGGCGCATTCGTCAGGGCGTAGCCGGGGATGACAATACCGCGTCTGCTCTCGGTGTCCGCAACGTCAACCTCGACCTTTCTTTCGGCACCGAGGGCAAAGCTTCCAAGCGTCGCGCCTCGGCCTCGCCGTGGGACCTGCAACTTACTGCATCGGGTAGGCCTTTGGCTTACTGGTTCGGCGATGTGTGGATAGAAGGCCGATGGAAAATCGAGGGCCAGGCTTTGGTCGACTGGGTCGTGGAGCGGGTGATTGTTATCGAGGATGTGTGATGCATGGTCCTCGATGCATTACTCTACCTTTCTCCTCTTTGCTTTTGCTTCGTTTCTTTCTCTGGCTGGTTCTTTCTGTGATCTGGACGGTACTGGTTTCGGCGTTTTCTCTGTGTTCTTTGAGGCCTGGCTGGTGTCTCTGTGATGGACTTTTCGGTGGATTTTCTTCATTGCTGTGGCTGGATCTTCGGACGACGTGATGACTTGATATGACACTCTCCTTTCATTCTTGTTTCTGGTGGCTGATACGGGGCATGGCCTGCCGCTGTGATGTGATGCTATCACCCTCTTTAATTGACGACTTGTTTGAGATCTACCTGTGGTTTAGGTTGCCATGAATTTTCATCTTCAATTGCCCATCTCAGCAATACACAGATAAAGTCATAGATGTGATCGAAGTGATCCAAGAAATAAGAAAAACACAAATGCATCTTTCATATACATCCCCTCTGCCCTATAATCAACAGAGCCAAGGCACATAGCCCCGAAAAAGAAAAGAGAAAGTAAAGAAAAGAAGATGATCTAGTATCCCGGATCCTGATCACACAAATGCTTCGGACTCTTAAACCCACCCATATTAGCCGCATTAATGAAATCTTTCGTCTTCTGCAGATCACCACCACAGATCGGCCCACACCACACGGGCCGGCTGTCATGCCCGTACGGCTGCAGGATGTAATCCTTGAGCTGGTAGTCGGCGTCGACGGCGCCGCCGATGTCGCACACGGGCACGGTGAAGATCCCCTCCCAGGAGGCGCCCTGTGAGCCCGGGTTGGCCCACGAGTTGGAGAGGGCGTCGGAGGCGCGCTCGGAACCCTTTTCGGCGGTGTAATCGTAGCCGGCGACGTTGTAGGCGTCGAGGGAGGAGTTGATGATGTCCTGGTTTGTTAGTATATCATCAATCACATCACATCGCACCCATACCATATCATACCATATACCATATCATAGGATAGTACGGCATATATGGTACGGCATATATGACACATATCTCTGATGGCAAACTCACCTCAATCTTCACCCCACTAAACTCATTCTTTCCCAACTGATCCGCCCCCGGCGGCGACGCAACCCACCCCCACTGATGCGACGTCGTCGAGATCACGTCGTTCTCCTGCCAGTAGTAGAGGTACCACGCCTTGCCGTCGCGGCACACCGATGCCTCCCACGGGCCACCGCCGATGCCCTGCGCGTCGCCGCAGGCTGCGCCGCCCATCACGAAGATCTTCTGTGTGCGGTACAGCTGGTTGATCGCGATGCCCTCCAGCATGTTGGTCATGGCGTCCGTCACGGCGTTCTTGTCGACACCTGGGTACGCCAGGAACGCGCCGCCTGAGATGTACGCGCGGATGTCGTCGTCGTCGTAGGTCTTGCCGCTCATTAGGTCGTTGTTGGCGGATGTGAAGGATTTCAGGGAGTCGGTGACTACGCTGCCGAGGATCTTGCCTAGGTCGGCGGATTTCTCGAACGTGTCGTCTTGGCTGGAGAAGATTCATGGGTTAGTATATGTATATGTGGTTTGTTGGGAGTATGGTATGGTTTATGAAGAAGAGGGTACGTACTGCTCTCCCACTGCCAAGTTCGCTGCTCCCACTGCTCCCGCCAGCAGAGCAGACTCGGCACCCGCAACAGCCGCAGCTTCAGGCCCCGCAAGGCCCGCAAAGGCAGCGCCAATCCCGACAACAGTAGCGACAGCATTCAGCACCTCCTTGAGCGCCGTGACGCTCTTATCGTCCTTGTCCTTGTAGAAGGTCGTCGCCCACGAGTCCTTGGAGAGAGCAGCATCGAGCGCCGAGACAGTAAACGCCTCGCCAATCCCCTTGAAATACATGTGCAAGCGGTTCACAGACTCGAGCACGTAGTACGCCGGCCGGATATCGTCGCCGCGGTCGTTCAGCACGCGGTTGTCGCACAGCTGCAGATCGCAGTCCGAGTCCGACCCGTCGTCCCGGCATGTCCAGTCCGGGTTGCCCATGGCCCACTGCCCAAAGGCACCCGCGAAGCCGGCGCTGCTGCCGGACATCAGGTCGCCATTGGCGTTCCACCAGTTGTCGAGCCAATTTCCGGTTTTTTTGTCGTCCCAGTCGCTGGTCTTTTGGTTGTAGAACTGGCCTACTGGGCCGCAGCGTTTGTATAGATGTGCCGGGCTTGAAGTGAAGGGTGCGCCTTGCACGACGGGTAAGACGGCGAGGGCCGTTAGTGTGAGTGTGGGCAGCATTGTGGAATACTGAATAGACTGAGTATACTGAGTATCCCGTGTGGTGTGGGGTTGTTGGTCGTCAACGAACAGACCCAAGGATCAATCAGGTCGACTTCGCAACCACAGCTGCAAGTGTGTCCTAGGAGTGAAGAAAAAAACAGAGGATGATCACCTACTGGCCCCGGAGGAGATCCCGATCTATTTATCCTCGCAGAACAGGAAACCCATCACGGATCCTGCAGAGTATATACCCAGGCACGGAACTAACCCTAGTAGTAAATTCGTCTTTTCAGCTCCGCCCCACAGCCAACCCAATGAAGAGACTGTATATCATCAGCTGTCCAGCAGCCACAAGCTCGCTCCAGAGACATGCCAGGAATCTCCCATCGCACCCACTCTCCGAGTTTGGGTAGCGTCGACAACGTACCCATCCTCACTGATCGACAGGGCCTTAGTGAAATCGAGTATAGTTCCTGACGCTAACATTCACTATAATAGGCGGGCTTGTAGGCTGTGGGGCCACTGTCACCCCGCGCGCATTGTAACAGGCTGCTAACAAAAGGATGAGCACGCTTGGCAGCCCTAATGAGAGGGTAGACGAGCGTTTGGCATTCCCGTTTTAGGAAACTGGTGTGGTGTTAAAGGAGCATCCATGTCTACTGCGAGTAATCTTGTGCGAGAGAGCCCTATTCTATTGCTAAAAATAAATACTGGGGGCCGAACGGAGGTTTGATATGACTGAATTGAAAAAAAATAAGACTTTGGTTGGGATTTATCTATCTCGTGTTCCGGTTAAGCCTCCCAGTGCCTGTGTCTTTGTCTTAATTTTGGCCCCATCACCAGAAATCCCGGTCAAACTAGACTTACCCATGATACTGCAGCATGTTACTGCAGTACATTTGTTTCTGGCAGGACTAGATGCTTTGCTATATTTATCCAAAAGCCTGGGTCACTGACTGATTTGGCGACGGAGCTAATGCCGCATCTTGAAGAGTTGAGATAGGCCGACAGAGGGAATGAGAGCATGACTTATGACTTGGTCTATTGACCTACCAACTGAACAGAAATAATCAAAATATTAACATTATTTATGGTATTTGTTGGGCGACTCTATTGTCTATGTGATTCTTGTCTACCCTTCTAATGCCCATCTCTCACTAATCACGAAAAAGCCACTCAAGACCCCCGCTTCTCTTCATCCAACTCCCCATTGACTCTTTTCTTCCCTTCCTCCTTGAGCGCTTCATCATCAGACCGCTTGAGGCCCACCTGCGGCATCAACCAGCCCGCCAGGAAAAAAGCGAGCGCTGCAAGTGCCGCACCGATGATGAAGATGATTCGGAATCCCTTCTTGTATGCCGGGATCAGGACGTCGCGCACATGCTGGGCGTCGTCTGCAGACAAGCCTGACAGATAGGTCTGCGGGCTGGAGAGCAGAGAGCGCGATTCGGACTCGTCGAGGTTCAGCGTCGAGATAGACGAGGAGACGACGTTGTTGCTGGGATGGTCAGCGGTGTCACTAACAATGCCGCACCAAAGAAAAAAAAAATTCAATGCTTCTTACATGATGGTCCCTGCAATGGCCAGACCCAGTGTGCCGCCTAAGTTGCGGACGAAACTGGTGGTGGTTAGTTACAAGCAAGAGAAGTACGTAGGTCGTGGCTACTCACTTTCGGAATGAGGTGACCACCGCCATGTCGCGTCGGTCGACACCCGCTTGGACTGCGATGAGGGATCTGCTTGTTATCAGCATGTGCCATCGCAAAATATTTCGGCCACGCAATGGACTTACGGCTGCAAGGTATTCCCCACTCCCACACCAGTGAGAATACCGTATCCGATCTGCTTGCCCACACCCGATGATCCATCCAGCGTGGAGAAAAGACCGAGTCCAGCGGCCCAGATGACCCAGCCGAAGAGAATACATTCTCGGTAGCGACCGACCCAGTGCACAATCAAACCAGAGGCAGTGCTGCTGACGGCTGTGAGATTCTCATTAGCATCACAATTCTCATCAGGGTGGATGTGGTTATATGACATACTCTGCATCAGCGTGATAGGAAGCAGCATTGCACCCGCCTTTACCGTCGAGTACTCAAACACCAGCTGATAGAAGGTGGGGATATAGTACACCTGGACCAAGAAGTTCCAGCCATTAATGAACATGGTCAAACAGGCGCCGTTGACGATCCGGCCTTTGAAGATGTGCATGGGCACCAGAGGCGTCGACGCGCCCTTCCACTGCCACATCACAAAGGCAACCGAAACAACACAGCCGACAACAAGAGTCGCAATAACATGCGCCGAGTTCCACTCGTACTCGCCGCCACCCCAGGTCAGCCCCAGCAGCACGATAGACGTGCCACCGAGAGCCAGGAGCGCGCCAAAGAAGTCAACCGCTTTCAGCTTGACTTTCCAGTCGCCCGTGACCTTGCGCAGCGGCATGAAGAACAGCACACAGAATGTGGTTAACGCGGTCAGCGGCAGGTTCAGACGGAAGATCCATCGCCACGAGTCGTGCGAGATGGATGCCAATGCACCACCGATGACCGGACCGATGCCGTTCGCGATGGCCACCACGGCACCGAGGATGCCCTGGTACTTGCCTCGCTCACGCAGAGGGACCACGTCGCTGACAATCATCTGCGCCACGGTCATGAGCCCGCCGCCACCGACACCGGTGAATGCCCGGAAGACGATCAGCTGCGTGACGGTTTGCGCGAGCGACGCCGCCAGGGACCCGAAGAAGAAGATCGCCAGCCCAACAAAGAGGACGAGCTTCCTAGACCAGATGTCCGACAGCTTGCCATAGAGAAGCTGGAAGCAGGTCGAGGTCCTACATTGGGTTAGTGAGACGAACACACCAAAAGAAAAACCAGGCCAAGGTGCTCCAACTCACACAAAGTACCCGCTGGCAATCCATGAGGTCTGGTCACTGGCGCCTAACGCGTTCCCAATGATAGACAAACTGGCGGCCAGGGTGGTTTGGTCCATCAGTGCCAGCAGATCGACGCTAGAGCACGCCAAAAAGATCTAGCGCCGAGAGGGTTATATTAGAGACCGCTCAATGGGTGGCTGCTGTTCTAGCGGGAGTATAACATACCGTGATAATGGTGCGTTTGGGCACATAATTGGTTTGTTCATTGAAGACTACCTCTGTCTTTCCCACCGTCGAGACATCCGAGTCCTCGACGGATGAATTTGCCGGACTGTTTGCGAGAACCCCGGGCATATCGCGTGCTGAGTATACGAGTTGAAGAGAAAGGAAAACAAAAGAAAAACTCGGGACCAGGATACACGCAAAATTAAAAAAAAAAATTAAAAATTAAAAACAACACGAAAAAGAACGGTCAGGGGGACCCAGCAAGCCCAGCAAATGGCCCAAGATCCCGGGACTTCATCTCGGTATGCGGAATCGACGATCGACATCGACCCATCCCGGAGAAGAAGAACCTTGACAGAAGATCTGCAGTCCCCGAGGTTTAGGGTTGGCAAACCTGCTCAAACACTCTCAAGGTACTCAGGCCCTCTCCTTCTCCCCTTTTTTTTATTTTTTTATTTTTTATTTTTCTTTTGCGAGGACCTGGCAGGCAAAGTACTGCATGATTTACTTTTGATTTTTCTTGTCACTTCCTTCCGAGGACCTTGACGAGCGCCGATCTCGAGAACAATCGGGGGATCGGAATTCTAGAAACATTACTGGGACTGATCCATCAGATACCACCATACCGAGGGGATTGTCGATCCTGCCGTTTTCAATGAAATTCACGTTTTTTTTTTCTTTTCTTTTGCGTGACAAAGTGCATTTGCCTCGAGGCGATCAGGGTCCGAGACAAATTGGATTAGTTGGACCTCGATGAATCCCGAGATCGCTTCGTCGCGCTACCCAGTTCCTCTCAGTGGAGTTTTTTTGTCTTTCTTTCTTATTATTTTCTTTTCTTTTCTTTTCTAGCGCTTGCAGCGTTCCCCTGTGCCTGGTGGATCCCCTCTCCTCCTCCCCTCTCTACTACCGTATAGCATAAAAACCAGGGATTGTGGGACCACCTGGAGTAGATCGCACGCCTCTTTTCTTTTTTTCTTTTAAAATTCTCTTTTTCTCTCTTTCTTTCTCTGCTACCTTCTGGGTGCCAAGAAAGGACAAGACGGAAAAGGGAACAAGAAGAGGGGCATTGCTATAACCCGCTATAGAACTATATCTGCCCAGCACGCGCCCTATACTTGCCTGATTACCACCATTATTATTTCATTCCCTCTTTCCCGCCCGCATCATGGGCCTTGGAAACCTCAGCAAGATGACCAATTCATCCAAACCGGTCAATTCCAATGAGCACAATGTATACTTTGGCACCGACTCCCTCAAGAAATACTTCGACCCGGATTGTCAGCCCCCGCTGCCATTAGTGGAGCTGCCGCCGCACCTGAATCCCTTCTATGAGGATGGCGTGCGGGTATATGCCAAGATGATGACCATGCACCCTGCAAACAATGTCAAAGCAATGCCAGGTAGGACAACAGAAAGAGGGAGAGAGATAGAGCAAAGGAATAAGATGGGGAGAAGGGAAAAAAAAAAGAAGAACCTTGCTGATTCATAAAACAGCATTAAACATGCTCGAAGCCAGCGTCGAGCCCAACCGCACCGACACCGTGATAGAATACAGCTCCGGATCCACGGTGATCTCGATGTCAATGATCGCACGCGTCATGCACGGGGTGCGCGACACGCGCGCCTTCCTGAGCAACAAAACCAGCGACGCCAAGCTGAAGCTGATGCAGTTCTTCGGGCTGGACATCACGCTGTTCGGCGGGCCGTCGCAGCCCGAGCCGGTCGACGAACGGGGCGGCATCCAAAGCGCACGCCGCATGGCGCTCGAGTCTGAGCGCATCGCCAACCCCAACCAGTACGAGAACGACCGCAACTGGCAGTCCCATATCCGCTGGACGGGGCCCCAGATCTTTAAGCAACTGCCGCAGATCAACGTGCTCTGCGCCGGTATGGGGACCTCGGGTACGATGACGGGGTTGGGCACATATTTCAAGGGTGTTAAGCCGTCTGTTTTGAGACTTGGGGTTTGCACGGCCCCCGGGGACCGCGTACCCGGTCCGCGCTCGTTTGCGCTGATGCGGCCCGTAGAGTTTCCGTGGAAAGAGGCCGTGGATGTGATTGAGGAGGTTGGCTCCGCGCACTCGTACACTCTGTCTTTGAACCTGTGCCGCGAGGGTCTCGTCTGTGGACCCTCATCTGGGTTCAATCTTCAAGGCTTGTTCCAGATGCTGGGCAAGCGCAAGGCCGCGGGCTCGTTGCCGGAGCTGGCGGGGTCGGATGGCATGACGCACTGTGTGTTTTTGTGCTGCGACCTGCCATATCAGTATATTGGCGAGTACTTTCAGAAGCTTGGGCCGGAGCAGTTCCCCCCATCCGAAACGAGGTAAGTGTCTGACGACCGTCTCCACACTCTCCCGAGTCTCTCCACCATGACGTGCACGACAAAAAAAAAAAAAAAAGGAGTGAAAAAGTTAATTGATTCCCCTCATTTGTCCAGCGGTTGACAAAAGTCGATCTACACCGATACGACGAGAGCTGGGAGCGGGACGCGCTGGAGGTACTCCCGCAATTCTACGGATCGCCGCGATCCCTCGAACAATGCCTGCTGAGTGAGATCGCGCTCAAGCCGCAGACTCGCGTGCTGGACCTACGCAAGCCGGCCGATTTCACCGTGTGGCATCTCCCCGACGCCGTCAACCTGCCGCTGGCCAGCCTGGGCCCGCACAGCGTGTCTCCGTTTTCAGACCCGGAGGTGCTGGAGGCGCAGTGGGTGGAGCTGGAGCGGATCTTCACGGACGGCGGGCTGGGGTTGCAGCTGGGGACAGGAACACACGTTCTTGTGGTGTGCTATGATGGAGACACGGCCCGCGTGGCGACCAGCGTGCTGCGCGCCAAGGGGCTTGAAGCAGACAGTATACGTGGCGGGCACCGCGCGCTCCGTATGTATGGCATCGGAAACGATAACCCTGTGGCTGCGCCTAAAGTGCCCGTGGCGACTACTGTGTCCATCTCGGCGGTGCCCCTGGAATAAATAAACCCCGCTCTTATGCTCCAAAGAATTTGAAAGGAGACCGGAGAGGAAATTGGGGGAAATTGGGGGAAATTAGAAAGGGAATGTAGGGTTGGCCTGGCCATGTGAGACACTATGCCCGATCCGGGCCCCTTTGTACATACCGAAATCAGGTCGATTATTCATTGACAGTTGTGAGTTTGCTAGTGTATGAAACGTAGTGTATGAAACCCTGCGAGATGATCCAGTAGGCTGAGAAGTTTCGTTCCTTTTTTTTTTCCTCCTGTCTATCCCACTCCATCCGCACATGGGTGTTTCTCAACCGATGTGAAACACCAAGTAGGGCAGGTATAGGAATGTATTGAGCGGATATAAGCAAATATAAGCAAGTTAATTCTTCTCGCGCCTATACCTCTATTATATACACGTACCTGAGCTCTGGGCTAAGTGGGTAAGAGTCAGATGCCAAGCGATACGCTCAGGGGCAAGTCGGAGGAATTGCGCCTGTAGGAACGGTTACAATCCCAATGACAGTAAGGATATGTGGGGAATATGAGAAAAAAATAATTCAATGACAGCTGGAGAATCGCGCGCAAATCTGCTCAAACTAAAGCAACGGCGTCCGAACACCTTCAACTGGCAGCCAACCACGCGCAGTGGATTTTGATCGCAGGCCCCACTGCAGGGCTTGACGCTCCCGAAATGTGCTCAATTACGAGCAGATTTGGTGGATCGGCATTGGAATGCCATCGAAAACAAGCTCTTCATAATGAAACCACTTTCTCCCTCGACTTACTCGCACACTCCCCGTTTTCGGTTCAACCATCCATCTGCCATCTTTCTGCCATCGTCTTTATCTCAAAATATGCCCGGCCTGCAATTGCCAAGCTTAAACTCGCTGATCATCCCCTGTTGCTTTGGCTCTTTTTGAGATCCCCAATTTCCCTTCTTTTTAGTCCGATAATCTATTTCTGTCTCTCTCTCTCTTTTTTTTTTTTTTGCGATTTTTGATTCCCCCGCGGTGTCGAAAAGTGTTGCGTGGTGATCTTCCTCTCCTTGGAGTCGCGTGGTCCCCGTTTTAAATCGCCATGATGGACATGGATATGGCGGGAGGCGGGACTCCCTGGCTGGATCAGCCGGTGATGCTTCACTCGTCTCGTGCCGATACATGCAAATTGACCAAGGCGCAATGTGCCTATCGCAACTCCCGTTGGCGCTACTGGTATGGAGCTCCCTTGGCCCGCCCTATGCCCTAACACCCCTTCCTAGCTCCCCATTCTGGTTGATCCAAGCTAATGTAGGGATTATGACTTCATAGGTATGAGGCCGATCATGTGTACGGGCTCAATACCGTGTACTTCATGTGTGCTGTCATTGGCGTCTTCGCAATCTCGCATTTCCTCGTGCTGTTTGCCCCAGACTGCGTCAAGCGCACGTGGATATGGCGCACGACTACTTCTGCCTCGCGATATCTGGCCTATCGCGGGTATCGCTTCCCGATGTTGCAGTACTGGTCTCCCTCATTGGGAGTGCTGGCCTTAGGGCTGGTCGGCGCGGTCTTCTGTTTTGGTAAGTTTAAACTTTATGAATAGCGTTTGAAAGCTCTCTGGGACTAACTCGGGTATAACAGCCATGACTCTCGGCCCGAAACCTTACTACTGGCCCACCGATGCTTCCTATGGCAGCAGTCCACCCATTGCGACGCGAACTGGCTGGATGGCGCTGGGATTGCTGCCCTTTGTGCTGTGCGTATCACCTACAGATCATACTCGGAGTGGCATAGTTAACTCCCTTTAGGGCTCTGAGCACCAAAGCCAACATGATCTCGGCGTTGACTGGAGTCCCCCATGAAAAGCTCCAGGTGTTCCATCACTGGACTAGCTATGCCATGTTCGTGCTGGCCTTGATCCACACGTTCCCTTTCATTGTCTACCACATCTGGAGTGGAGACATGGTGATGGAGTGGAAGACGAGTGTGGTGTACTGGACGGGAGTCGTGGCCCTGATTGCGCAGACGTATCTAACTGTGATGTCTCTGCCGGCGATTCGGTAAGAAATGCACCCCAAGATCAATTCAAACCGGGCCCTAACTGATCTGGCACTACAGAAACCGTTACTATGAATTCTTCAAGTCCACCCATATTCTCGTCGCCGTGGTCTTCGTGGTATTCTTCTTCCTCCACTGCGACTTCCGCCTCTCCTCTTGGTAAGTTGACTGCAAGCATTCCCGTGGAATGCCTTTTTAGCTTTTGGAGTCTGGGCTGACCAGAAACAGGGACTACTTCATCGTCTGTGGTGCCATCTACCTGGCCAGTCTGTTCGCGGGACTTGTGCGCACGTATCTCCTCCACGGCATGCACACAGCAACCATCGAGGTCCTGCCCAGTGGTCTGGTCCGCGTCGCCGTACAAACCATCATCAAGTGGACGCCCGGCCAGCATTTCTTCGTGCGATTCCTCACCCGGGACCTGCACCTCCTGACGGCACACCCGTTCACCATCTCCTCCGCATGCCGCGACCCCGACCGCACGGGGCAGGCATCGGAACTCGTCTTCTACATCAAGCCGCGGGGCGGCGTGACGAGACGACTCGCCGCACTTGCCGCCAAAAACCCCGGCGGCTCGAAACGAATCCTCCTCGAGGGGCCCTACGGCGGCGTCAGCGCGCCACACATGAACAGCTTCGACACGATTCTCGTGATTGCCGGCGGGTCCGGCGGCGGATTTTCTCTCGCCATGGTCGACGAGGCCCTGCGCGTCACAGCGCTGGCCGCATCCGCCGCCCGCGACGGCCGCGACTGTCGCCGCAGTCTGCAAGTAGTCTTCGCCACGCGCGACTCAGCCATGGCCGACTGGTACGTCGAGGAGATCGAATCCCGGCTCTCGCGCTCGACCACGCTGGGCTGCGACCCGGAGTGCGGCTTCGAAACCGCCGTATCGGTGCACATCACCTCGCACCGCAATTCGGGGCTGTCGTCGTCATCCGAGTCCAGCGCCGACGTCAAGGGCACGGCGGGCAAACTGCCCCCGACCGAGATCACCACGACCGGCAGCTTCAGTCTGAATGTCCACCGCAATGCCCGTCCGGATATCCCCGGTCTGGTTGCGCGCACCGTCGCCTCGGCGCACACGCACGGCACGCATGTGCAGAAGAAACAGCGCGTCGGGGTGTTGGTCTGTGGGCCGGCGTCCATGCTGCACGATACCCGCAATGCGGCGGCGATTGCGCAGAAGAGGGCGCTTGGCGGCGAGGTCGAGGAGCTATATTTGCACTCGGAGCCGTTTGCGTGGTAGACGTCTCGGGAGTGGTGAGAGGTGTCTGCTGGTTTGATGCTTCTCTGAAAATAGATACCCGTATGTTTATATAGTATATGTATTCATTGATACCTTCTCTTCATTTGTTTTTTTCTGTTCTATTCTGTAGATGGTAGAGGGTAGATGCTTTTGAGTTGTAATGGAATAGTTATAGAAGATCGAGGTATGCAAGACGGGTCACGACACAGCTTCTGTCCTTGCAGTCTGCATCAAAGCTCACATACTCGAAATTGAGTTGGCGTGTACCGTCCACTCGTCTGAGATCATCGATCACCCAGATCTCAGTGCTACCCTGGAGGGTAGACATCCCCGTCGCACCGGAGGGTTTCCTCCCATCACAGCCAAGCATTGGGGTGTAGTTGAGTCGCACAAAACGGATCAAAAATGTAAATCGTCGATCTGGTCGATCGATCATATGAGATGCCTCTATACCTAAGTGTAAGTACTCGCAAAATGCGACCGATATGGTACAACGCCGTTATAAACAAAACCAACAGCACTCATGGTTCGTGAATATGAACAGAGGGAATAAAAAAGAAAAAAAGAAACTCCAGCAGGCCAAAATGAGAAATGAAAAATGAGAAATGTGCCAAAAAAAAAGGAAAACAAAATGCAAGGTCATCATGACGAGATTTGCTCCGGCTCTACCATGGAGCATCCGTCACCTCAGCCATGCGATACTCCCTATTATTCTTCTTGACAAAATCGATAAAGTCGTTGGCAGCAGCCCGAGTATCAGGACTCTCGCCGTAATCGGCCATGGTGTATCCATAGATGATGCCATCGACCTGGGCATCTTTCAGGAGCTTGTGCACATACTCGGTATCCTCCTTGCCGCTCGTCCAACCCAGCACCTTACCGAGCTGGTCACCACGGGCTTGGCTCCCCTGCCGCAGCTCGGTGCACGTCAAGCCACCGTCCTCATAGCAGTCGCCGAACCCATTGGACAGGTCGATAGTGCCGTAGTCCATGAGACGCTGGGGCACGGGGACGTTTTCGGCGGTCTCGTTGTAGACCTTGAGCACGTGGTCGTGGAAGCCGCTGACCATCAGGGCCTCATTGGGGTTCAGCGACGTGCGGATGGCATGGTAGCTGCGGCCGCCCTCGGTGCCGAAGAACCCGAACAGCGCCTTGACACCGGCTGGCTCCAGCGTCTCACGGGCGACATCGCGTAGCGCCTCGATTGAGCAGCGCTCGCCGGCGCCGCACTCGTCCGGGTTCTTGAGGTCGAACCAGACAAAGCCGATCGGGGCACCCTTTTTGCGCTCGTTGGCGATCGCCATGAACAGGTCGCGGGCGGGTGACCCCAGCGGTGTTGGGCCCATGTCGTGGTCGGCGAACCAGCCGTCGCGCGTGGCTCGCATGTCTGTTTCGATGGCGTTGGCGCCGTGCGAGGTGGCAATGGACACGGAATCAGCGTGCAGGACTCGGTGGGCTATTGCGTACACGGGCCGTGGGTCGAAGATGTCGTCGACGGGACTGCCGCTGCCGGCGGCGGCATCGTTCGAGGTGTTGTAGAGGGAGCCGGCGTTGATGGTCGCGATCCAGATCAGCGAGAGAACGGCCACGGCCCCGAATGCCAACTTCAGCACGGGCAGCGAGGGATAATAGCGAGCGAAACCGTTGGAATCCCAACGTTTGACCGATTCGAGCACCATCAAGGCGAGTCACCAACCAAAAAAAAACCCCAAAAATAAGAATAATAACCAAAATAAGGAATCAACTCAAGAACAATGAAAAGCGAGGGAAGAGATCTTCCCTCGTTGCAGGATGTGGGCCGGGGGTTCTTTTAAACCACCTGTCTTCCCCCCCCGGATGCAGCAATTCTGGTTGCCAAGAAAAACGGGGGCTTGGCCTGGTTGCGCGTCGTGGATCGGCAACCAGTCTCCAGAAACGCCAAGATAGGGCTATCTCTCTCCCTCGTTGGTGGGTGCTGGTGTTGAGAGAGAGAGAGAGAGAGAGAGAGGCGGGGCCACCAATTCCTTGGGGGCTAATGGTGCTAAATGAGACTAGGTGAGAGGGGGAATAATCCTGCAAGTCCCAACACCGTCGACCCTTTTCCAAAGCCAGAACCAAGTGGAGTTCACTCCGGACCCGCTTGGTGTTGTACGGGGATTGTAGGTTGGGGGCGTGTTGGATCAGGATAGAATATGAAGTTAGGGTTTCTATCCAAACAAAAAACCACGAAAAATGCAATATATGAAAGAAGGAGAGAATTCAACGGAAGAGAAAGAGAGAGAGAGAACGAGAGGACATGTCATCCACTTCAGGGGGAGATCCTCATTATCAGTCTCCACGCGTCGTAATCTCTTTTTTTCTATTTTCTATTTTTTTTTCTCCCTGCGCTGGAGGCGACTGTTTTTCCCCGAGTCAACCTGGGAAATAAAACATAACAATCAACTACACCATTAATCATAATTTCGAAACACTCAAGCTGGTGCACGAATCCATGGGTGTGTTTCTGACTCGTACAGCGGAAACTCGTACTCGTAGGGCTAGCCGAATCGCATTGCATATTGTTTTGCCGAGATTCGTGTGACGGGGATTCGGGAATTCGGAGTGGGTCGGGTGTGGCAATCCATGCCCTCTACAAGTGGATTCTCTGGGTGATAACTGCAGATATTTAGCCACATCTGCTTGAGTCTTGCTATGCACTTGGAACAGGGAAATGTTCTAGGTATACTTGATCCTAGACTCTCACAGAAATAACCCCCAATATAATCTGATCATCTTACAATATTATCAGAATGTATACGTATTCACCTGCGTAAGGCCGTGCACTCCCAGCCAATCATGCGATCTGATCGCACGCCCCCAGTCCGAGATTTCATGTCGCTAGATCCTGGGCGAGGTGGGGGCAACATGACATGATTCGTGATAGCCAGCTGCAATTATCTTACAGTATCTCCTGGGCCATTTCTCCATGACCTCGGGCTCCCACAGAAACCCTGGCATGAGGGGGCCGGCAAATCAGTCGGTCAGCGACTGCCTCGGAGTTAACTATGTAAGTCCATCTCCGACTTGGCAGTCAGCCAACAGGCATCCAGATTATAATGAATGCGCCAAGACTGTCCAAGAGAATTGTGCAAGGGCCGAGTGTGTTTCCAAGAGAATCATGTTGCGGTATTTTCATGACTATTCTCAAGCCATGTCGCAGCCTACACATGCACATACTGTAGGTATCCATAGATGCCCTCCAAGACTATGGTAGAGCTCTTATCTAACTCATAGAAGAGTGGCTCTTTCCCTGGCTGTTTAATATTGACGCCAAGGCTACAGCCAAGAGATGCCGATCCCCAATACTCCATCGATGAGCCACCACAGCCCAGCCGGTGCCACGGGCGCTTATGCACATGGCTTACTTCCTAGCTCTTTTGATAGACCCGCTCTGCATCGGTGTTGAAGACATCACATACTCAACAAGACTGTCTGGGCAGCCTAACCATGACGGTTGAGTCCTAATTGGTTCATGAGGTGAGATGCAATGGATGTCACGCCTGACATCTATAGTTTGAGCCTCGACTTGGACGTGATTGCCATGGCATGCCTCTTACAGAACTGCATTTTATTTTATTACATCTTAGATGGTAAAAGCAAGATACATAAATAGATTGCATATACTCTGAAGTACACTCTCACAATGCGAATTATGAGATGTTATGCTTTGTGGTTCCACAGTGCTAGATAGAGCCCAGGAGGCTCTCTCGGCTTTCTATGCAGTACCAGATTCAAATCTATATATTTTTTTTAAGTGGGATTTGTTTGCTCTATCCTGCAATGCTTTAGAGATAGAGGTAAAACCACTGACATTCTAGCATTCTACCCGATCCCCCGAGTTACAATATTATAATAAGTGCTCCAGAGCTATGGTAGATAGTAAAAAGGTTTAACCTTATTTCTGCCTTTCACAAATGTCCATTTTTCACGATTGTGTAATTTATTTCTGCTCAGAGCATCATTCAATGAAATCTGCTTGGGTGGGAAAGGAGCCATATTTTTCTATAGTAATGTTATATCCCACATATACATAGTTCACGCATCTTGCGCGATCTGTAAAGGGACATGGCATGGACTCAGTCAATTCCTTTATTTCGATCCCTATCCCGTCCACTGTAAATCCATTGCCTTTCAGCTCATACGGCAATTGAAGACAGACATCTCAGATGCCATCGAGGATATTTCATGGGTCTCTGATGTCAATGGAAAAAGCAAACTACACTGTCTTCGTATTCTATGGCTTTCGTTTTATTTTTAACAATCTGTATACTCAACACAGTATATCCAAAACGAGCTTTCATACATCATTGTCATAAGAAGATCACAGCCCCCACAGCGGAAGTTTGTACAGTGGAACTCAGAGAGTGTGTATAAAAAATTCTTTCCCCATGTTATCGAACACTGGTACTGTGGCATGTAAATATTTAACGATGGTGCTGTTGGTCCCATTTTTGTGAGGTGGGCACTTGTCAATTCTGTGACCTCTCTTGCGCAGATCTTTTAGACTTGACTGCCGTAGCCTTAATGATCTTCTTTTTAGTATGTATTGGGGTTGATCCTATTATTATACACTGTAAATATCTAAAATTCTTAAGCAGTATTGTACGCGTCGTAATCTTTTAGCATGTACTTTTTTTTTCTCCCTGACAGATTACTTTTCCCGCTTCGACCCCTTTTTATCTCACGTTGGGTTCAGTGTTTGATAGAATCAATCACTCAATATCCCATGGCCCCAGCAAGGCCAGAGCATGAACTTACATGTGAACGCGAAAGTGTGAAGATAGCCATCACCACTAAACTCGACCAAGACAACAGACCTCCCGGCCCAGCCGACTTTGGCGAAGCATCAGATGGCGGCCTTCAGGCATGGCTTGTAATTGCCGAAGCCACTTGCATATTCTTTCCAATTTGGGTTTCTCCAATGCGTTCGGCGTCTTCCAACAGTACTACATGGCACACCAGCTCCACAACAAAACCCCAGATGATACCGTCTGGATTGGAACCCTAGCAGCCTTTTTCCAGTGACACACTTACACTCATCACCTACAGTATATACTGTACCTATATTATGCTCTAATTTTAGGGAAAAGGGGTGCTAAAACTTAGCGACTGTCACTATACTAATCTCAGCTTGCAGACCTATATACTATTAACAATGGGGAGTTGGCATAGTTTCGTCCAATTTTCTCATAGATCCACTTGTTTACGATGCAGAGGGTGTGTTGAGACACCGACCTGGTCCCAGGTAAGCCCGATCCGAAACCACAACTCACTCTCACTCAGTATCTCAGTTTCATCTTCCACTCAGTTTCTCCTCTCCCACTCCCACAGCTCAACAAATCTTCCATCTGTTACCTCCGTTACCAGTTTGCCAATCTGTGCTCTCCTAATCACGCCTAACCCCATCTTCGGACCAGCCTACACCTTGCCGGCATAGAAATGGAAGAGAGGTTTGGGCCCTTCGCTATCGCGACTGAGTTGAATGAGATCTGCTGATCGAAGCTTCGAAACGACGACTTTCTGATCTCCAACGTCTTTGAGCTGGTCGTGAAATGCCCAGAAAACACTCTCTTCCTTATAACCATAGTTCGATGCCCGCAAGCCATCGAGGCAAATGAACGATGAGTCTTTCTTTCCAAATGATATTACTGAACTTCCCCAGACCTCACCAAAGTCAAATGCTTTGAACTCGAACAGCTTTTCCGCTCCCCGTTCGAGGGTTGGGGATGCAACTAGATCAGAGGATCATTCAAGGGTTATGGGATTTCCAGTGACTGAGAAAGTATTGCTTACTGTCGGTGGGACTGCCGTTTTCACGGGGTCTTGATTGGGCAATCATCGTCACTGTCTTGATGCTTTTCTGTTTGACTTTTGAGTATTGAGAATCACCTTGGGAGACTCGTTCCGGACTTACGATAATAGAAGCCTGATACACCCATGGCTGATCATACTGGAGTATTTTCTCCACCTCACTTGGATCTTTGCTGATTGCTTTGACCTATTCTTGTATGAGTAAAAGCCGTTGATGCACGCGTGGTATGCGCTTACCTTGTTGTAGATTGCCTCAGTTACGTCCAATCCTTTTCGTATAAGGGTCTGCTGTTGAGTTTTGCCTTCTTTGAATTTGTTGGACGGCACTGAATGAGGCAAGCGATGGTTAGCTAAGACGTAACCTCAGGTTCTGCGTCCAATAATGACAATACCTTTCTTAGCACCTTCAATGAAAACACCGTATTGAGTGTAATCGTCGAAGAGATCCCAGCACTGGTGAGGACAATCAGCAGCCACTGGGAGAATCCAGACAACTCGGCGGCTCACCTTTCTACTCGCATTGGAGTAGTCGAACGGTTTGAAGGTATTGTTGAAATTCGAGACATTGGTGTACGGTGATAGCACCGCACTAACCTTAATATCAGCTTGTGGACTGCAAATGAATGAGTGGACACGCACGAGCGCCTGTATCGATGCTTTCCATCCTTGAGTTCCTTGTAGAACTCATCGGCCTCCTTTTTAACTGCAAGGAGCTGGGAGCCACCGTCGGGCTCCTCTGCGGCACAAGTCTCGACTACATCGCTTCTGTTTCCGCCTCCAGAGAGATGAGTCCAGACTTTGACATGAGCATTCTTCTTGAGTGATTCAAGAGCCTGTTTGACCTCTTCCGTTACTTTCCCGGTCGTTCCGTACATCTTGAAAGCAACTTCGGCCCTAATCATTGTCAGAGGGCATTTTCAAGCATTGAATTTCTGAAAACTCACGACTGCTTGATCTCCTGCTTGGACGATTGGGTTGTCGTAGAAATGGAAACGCGGGCAAGGTATTTACCACCTTTGATAAAATCTATAAGATAAATGAGCATCTGCCGGGCAAACCTGCCGGGCATGGCTTCCTTGCGAGATCCATACCTGCAATGAAGCGGTCTCCATAGAGCTCATTCAGATTATCGCCGGTATACTTGTTGAAGGAATACTCGTTCCCGACTGAACCTTGCTGACGTGACGACACCTCGACTTGGTAGGTAATGGTGCTACTTTCATACTAAAAGCTCGAGTCAGCAAGACATATAAAGTAGGATCATGTTAATCGGTTGCTTACCTCAGAGCGGTTGAGATAGCCTCCCTCTATCTTGCCCTCCTGGCCTCCGCCCGAGATAGCTGCTTCCGCGGTAATCTCCAGAGACTGGGCGAGCTTCCTGCCGGTAGTCAGAATCTTATCATGTCCTCAAACAGGGCTATGGACATTGAAGTATTCGACTGACTTGTATTCCGTAACCTCTTCGCTTTGGTAGGTAATATCGTAGCTAGGAGGAAGTGGTTTCTCGGCCGTAATAGTCACGGCCTTTGCAATGCGGAGGTTCTGAAGGTACGTGTTGTACCTAGTAAGAGGAATCAGATTATTAGTTCATCGAGAGCTGAAATTACCGCCTCTTAATAGTTGCTCGCTAAAAAGATATAGAACATACCCCTGCCCTTGTTGCATTCCATCAAAGTAAGGAACAACTTCATGTTCCATTTTGAATCATTCGATTGTTTAAACAGTCTCTGTGTCAGAAAGGTGTCGATGTAGGCAGAAGTGAAGATTTGGAATGTGTGGACAAAAACCAAATAGAAGTAGCGAGCGATCTCGCTGATATTAAACAATAATCAGATTTACAAGTCAAACGCGTTCAATACGGTCCGCTAGTCCCTTCACTTATCCATGAACAAGGAAATCTCGGTTGGATCGTGATACAGATGCATTTTGCTGCATGTATTGACAATCATGAGGCATTTTCTGGAGAGAGGGATGGTGAGCGCGTAAGCGTGTACGATGGCGAGGCAATTCGACAAAGATCACGTACACGCTCGGTTCCTTCCTATACAAGATAATGTACGCACTCTGTGATGTGAATGCAGGCATGAAGGAAAATCTCGGTTAGGCCGTGATGCAGATGCACTTTGCTGTATATGTTGACGATTATGAGATATTTTCTGGCGGGAGTGGATGATGGATAGATGGAGCTAGGTGATCTACTAGAAACTATCCAAGGCAGAGAACTAAAATAAACAATTTGCACCCAACAGGGTTCCCTAAAGCGACGTATGACGTGTCAACACTGAAACATATCTAGATGAGCCCGCTGTAGAGCTCTCTCTAAGCGAACATGTCGCACTTTTTTAGATGCTACTTCATCTAGTCTTCCCATCATGCGAGATGAGTGGCGATGACTATCTTAACATGTCATGCATGAGACAGCCACTTGAAATTTCGAACGTCTAGGTGTCGAAGAGATAGACAGCTAGCCCCTTCTTTGGCCTAGTTCTAGGTGTTGGCTTATATTTGAAGATTAAGACGTCCCTTTGATTATATTAGGCGTAGATGTATATTTCAAAGAGTTATACAAGACCAGCAAACTGAAACTCCTTAGGAAAATAATTATGCTCGAAGACGCGCATCTAAATGTCCCGAGGTCAAGACTAACGGCTTATGCAACCGGTCACAACCCATATCATGCTGTAGCACCCAACATGTTCAGCTAGCCACAAGATTCATATCGTTACATAACAGTCGGATATCTAGCCATGTATTCAGTCAGCCACCCAATCTATGCAGTGAAGAGAATAAGTGGGTTTGGCATACATACTAGCCAAGAAAAGCAAATCGAATCACTAACACCATTCTATAGTGCCTAGCGTGACTGACTAGATGGCAAGTTAAATAGGATATAGGAAAACAGATTTGGAAAGCAGTAAGCCCTTAATGAGAGCGGAATTAAGTTGTAGGATCAATAAGCTACTTATTCTTCTGGGAAGGAGGATGAGGATACCTTAGGAACCACTATTTGGGTGATAAACCCGACTCTAGACTTATTTCATCACACCGAAGTACTTGTCCACATATACAGCGTATGGTTACATGGCACCCGGGAACATCCAGATCGATCGATCGATCGCCCAGATTCAATATGTACTTGGGAACTACCTATACAAGCATCGATCTGCTGGACGACCGTTTCCGTACTTGGGCGCCTTGTTTTGTGTGTCAATAGACACGAGTCGCATATGCTGTGTAACATGCAATATTTCTTGATACTCTACACTCAGCATGCAGTTACTAGCTACAGTTCATGTTTGAAGACCTCATGGACAATGTGTAACCAACACACCGCATAGACAAATGAGTTAGAGAGCTTCGACTATAAATCACATCTACATTCCCTAGAGAAAAGGACCATCTATCATTCAAACAGTCAGATCCCTCAGTATACCTTGACGACAGAATATATTCAACTTTGCGGAAGTCTCCATTACCAACTCTGAAATCACGATGGGTTACGCACAATGGGTCGTGATCAATCTCATCAACAGCATGTCTTCGAGCACGCTGAGTATCTCCAATGCCATTCCTGACGCTGACAAGAAAGAAGGCTGGTATGTAACAAGAAATCTCATGTCTATATATGAATATCATCTTCTGACAGGACACCAGGGGCAAATTCTATCGGGACGGGAACAAAGATGAAGAAATCAAAGTTTCTGAGATAAACAGAATCAAGGTGCCTCCGGGCGGTACGAAAGCTATCAGCTCGTGTGGTCGAGAGAATTCGATGTCTGGAACGACCGGACATATTGACCTATATGATGGCGAAACCAAGATTTGCAGAGTCTATTGGGACTGTCCCTACGGTAGCAAGTCCAATGACTTTGGTACCTCGGAGCGGAGCCATGGTTACTGGGTTCAGCAGGGATCCTGGAACAGAGACTCCGGAGCTATTGGCTCCGTCGATGTTGAGGTTGGAAAGAAGGGCTAAAGCAGACCGATGCCTTGATTGTGCAGAATGGGAACTGCTCAATCCCCTTTTCTATTGCCATGATGAGATCATTTCGCTGGATTGTCACTCGTTTTGATGTATATATGGACAGAGCTTCATAGTGCACACCATCAATCCATTCTACATTACTACGAGCTATATGACTACAGCCTTATAATTTCGAATTTCTAGGCGGGTATAAGGATATCCTATTTTTCTACATGATCTGTGTATAAAGAAAAGTCAAAGAACTGAAAAGGGTACCGTTCTTGCAGTTTTATTCCTTTGAACTATTAAATGCGTGAAGTATCTTCCGCGAAGGTCCTTAAGGGTACTAGTTAGGTGTGCACGATAGGACAACATCAAGTCTACATGTAGTCTCAGAAGATCACTTCCGGCTAGAGCCCATATGAAAGTCAAAGCTGAGGATAACGTATCACGATCACTAGAAGCACGCAGCTTTCAGTGATACACGCTCAGCTGGTACTGGCCTTGTAATTTAGATGTATGCACACGTCATTCGAGATTCCTAACTTAAATGGCTTCTTGTTTCCAGCAAATTATCAACTACCGGTCTATTCCATCTGGGTTGTGTTTCTGCCCTCGATTTTTCAATTTCCCCCCGTTCTGTCTGTTCCCTGACAGCTTTTACTTGATCTTCTCCAACCGCGCTGTCTCTTTTGGCAATCATGTACGAGTTTGATGGTATAATAAAAATCAGAAACGGTACTGGTGAAAGCATCTTTACCGCACGGCCAAATTTGCAATAGTATGTCTCATACCCAGTTGCTCCGAAGTTGATGTTGACCTGTTGGCAAAATCTCTAGCGGCAAATTCTACGATGCGCCGGATAAAAATAAGGAGATTCTTCCTCGTGATATCGAAGGTCTAGAAATCAAAGACAACGAACATCTTCTTATTCACATCTGCGGTCGTGATCAACAGTTTGCCGGCACAACAGGTACGATTGATCTCGATGATATTGACGACCAATACGTCGCCACCCTCTACTGGGATGTCCCCTTCGCTTCGAGCACAAACACTTTCTCGGTGTCGGGGCCCGGTAGACACTCTATGTATATCGTGACGGCCGATGGATATAACAGAATTGGTACCGGACTGGGAACTGCGGACGTCGAAGTCACCAAGAAGCCAACTACTCGTGGTTGACATCTCTGATAGGCTTTATTCTATGAAGCTTTTCAATATGAGATGAATTGTGTAAACACCTAATGAGGGCCACTCCAGTCGGTGCAGCCTATACGCATCTCAACATTGTTACAGTAAGCGTACTAATGTCCCATGAGTCATTGTAAATTACGGTAAGTCTCCATATTATGGAGGAGTCTGGCGATCTGGCTAGTGCCCGACACGTAGAGCTCTGCTTTTAGTGCGAGGTAGAACACCCTCGCAACCATGCACAGCGTAAATACTATCTTACAAGAAGGAAGCAATATGAGCGACTGCTGTACAAAGGGCTTCAAATGGGACGGAGAGCCCAAGGGCCACGAAATGACTCTCTCGGACAATGCAGCGTACGTGACAGGCTCCAACAGCGAGGTTGCCATCCTCGTCATCCACGACCTGTTCGGTTGGACATTTCCCAACATCCGATTACTGGCCGACGCATACGCCGAAGAGGCCGACGCTACTGTCTATGTCCCAGACTTGTAAGCACGGAGTCTTGCTATCTACTCTCGGTTAAGTTTGTTTACCAGTATCTCCAGTTTCGGCGGCGAGGTTCTCGCCTCCGATATCCTCTGCAAAGATCCCTCGGAATGGGGACCCCTCGATCTCGCTAGCATGACAGCTCGCAATAGCAAGGTCATCCGAGAGCCTGAGATCTTCGCCTGTGCCAAAGCCCTGCGTGCACAGTACAAGCATATCGCAGCGATCGGGTTCTGCTACGGCGGCTGGGCAGTATTTCGCCTGGGCGCCAAGGCAAATAATGGATTGGTTGACTGCATCTCGACTGCGCACCCATCTTGGCTCACCAAGGAAGAGATCCAGGAGGTTGGCGTGCCAGTACAAATCCTGGCGCCAGAGATCGATCCTGTGTTTTCTCCCGAGCTGAAAGAGTTCAGCAATCGGGTTATCCCCTCGTTGGGGGTGGACTATGATTATCAGTATTTCCGTGGCTTGGAGCATGCATTTGCTGTTAGAGGGAATCGGGCGAATCAGGCTGAGATGAAGGGGTTGGAGAGGGCGAAGAATGCGGCCGTGTATTGGTTCAAGCAGTGGCTGCATTGAGAGCAGGAGTGGGTGGTAAGAGGTAATGCTTTTGAATATCATTCAGCTAGCCACCAACTCAACCCCACTTACCGGGCTGGAGACGTGCATACCAAGCGGCATGATTCTTCTGGAGAAATACAAAGGTACGGCCCGAAAGTTTAACTTTGTGCCCACCTGGCATGCTTTTGCAGCTACCAATCGCGATTTAACCTTGAGTCAAGATCGCACGTAGCATCAAGACCAGGAAATGCACGAGGCCCGAAGCCAAGGGTTCTTGATCTATCCTGACTAAAATATTTTAAAAGCACTTTAAACGACCCCAAAACTGGTTAACATCTAGCAATGACCCCTAAAACTAGCGAACATAGGAGCAGAGATCGAATAGGCGCAAGGAAGCGTATTCCAAAAACAGACTTATAGAATGCAGAACAGGCTCGGCCACATTGACTTGACTCATCCAATACATCCACGCCTGTCAACAGCCCCCCAACTACCATCAATCACCAAGGAACATCGGATTTTGTGGCACGGCGGTGCGTCTCGGAGTGCTGATCCAGCCAACTTTGAATCAGTCCAATTGCAACGCGGATGTCTGGATGATCTCGATAATCATGGGTCGCCTCGCCATAGATCAAGCCATTGGCCTTTGCAAATCCCAGGAGTTTGTCCACACGATCGGTTCCTTTGTCGTTGGCCCGGATGGTCCAGCCGAAAGTCATTCCCACCTTGGGCTTTCGAGGCTGTCGATCGCGCAGCAACTTCGCGCCTTGGTACAATTCGTAGCAGACACCAGTCGGATAGATCACGTCCTCTTTATCCCTTGGCCCACGGCAGTCCATCACGTACGGCCAACCGAGGAACGAAATCCCATAGTCCATCACCTTCTGTTTCACAGAGAGTTTGTCAGAGCTGACGCTGTCAAAGGTTCGCCCTACAGCCCTATTCCGGCCGTTGATGCTGATTGCCTCGTTCCCACTCAAGGATATGGCTAGCTTGTCGAAGTCCTTCAGACCTGTGTCTTTCATGCTGAAGCCATACAGAGCTCGGATCCCGGCGGGCTCCAATTTCTCTTGGACCATCTTTTGAAGCTGTTCAATGGAGGTCCCTTTGCTCGCCCATGTCTTTGGCTTTTTGATGTCAAACCAGACAAAGTTGGTCTGGTTGGCATGCTCCACAAAAGTATCCAACATTGCGTCTACCGTATGGCCTGGCTTATCGCTAGGCACGATATCATCATGGTACGCATACAGCTTCCCGTTATAGGGTGCCACGTCCATTTCAAATGCATTTGCACCATCGCGGAGAGCGATTGGGATTGCTGTTGTGTGCAAGACTCGATGAGCGATGAGATAGATTGGACGTTGAGGCGTAGTTTGGATGTCTAAAACCTCCTGCGCCAGGTTGTCAAAGCCCCAACAGACACTGGAAAGCAATGAGGTCGACACAAATGCCTGGACAAGATTGGGCATTATACGCATGATGAACTATGAGCACTGCACATTGACTATCAGCAAATGTTGGTAGCAATAAAGACAGACAATAAGAAATGATAGAGAGATATATTTTACGGATTTGAACTGAAATTATGACTTACCCTGCTCAATTCTCTTGTTTTTGTTTGGGCGTGTTCGCTTCTATGAGAGATGCAATTAAAGTCGGGGATTATAAAAGAATCCTAGTCGTACTTGTATCATATTCGCGTTACACAAAGCCATTCCTTACATGTAAGGATGTCACTATACAGAGTGTCGTCTCTATCACTAATTTTCGCGATAAACACTATGCTTTCTGTTTTAAGATCAGTGCTTCAGCCAGCCACCATTCTTTCAGCTAGCCGTTAAAGCAATTTTGTCTCTCTAGCTATGCCCTTCCTCGCCTCGCCACTGCCGGTGTGGGTGGCCCCTAGCAGGTAGCCCTGTGATCCTGCATAGTGTTGACTCGTCCCCAGAAAACAAAAGAACTCTGGAAGTAAATTAGGCATTCCACATAATAGTATTGGCACAATCGGTATAGGTTCGACTATCTAACTCTGACATTGCTCTTTAATCACAGTCCACCTTCCCCTCTTTGGATCGCAGTTGTTGATATTGATCTCTGCGTGGGATATGGCTGTCATATACAATCATGGCATGTCGATGATATTCGGATTGCATCCATGTATACTGCTCGAATTTGGAAGAGTACTCCTTACTACTGGGATGTTTTCACCACTATCTACCTATTTACTAGTTATCCAAGTTATGTGTAATCTATATTGATTCGTGGTAGAGACTCGCATGTCTAGCGTCTATTGTATGTAGTAAGTAGTTATCCATATCCCCAGTCATGCTTGCGAGGAAAGTGCAGTATTAACGACCAAGTCCAAACTTGTCTCAAGCCCCATTAGTATCACACAGCAATATAAAAGATCCATAAACACGAATGAAAAAAAAAAGCAACCCAGACAGAATGAGAAATCAAATCAACGCCACGGCCAAACGGCCTAATGCCCATGTCTCCGACTCGACTGATGCGATGAGACCGGATCCGAACGCCAATAAAAGAAGCCAGAAATCCCGAAATGGAGTAATAGATGTAAGACATGAGTGTAGAGTGGAGAGTGTGATCACAAGAGATAAACTGAAGAAGAAATGAGAAGAAATGTATGCGGGATTGAGGATCAACCATGAATGCAGATCAAATCCCAAGGAGAAAAAAAAAAGGTCATTAAGTCATAAACCTCAACTGCTTCGGGAGCAAGCCGATTATTCCGCCTGTTTCTCAAGGCGCTGCATCAGCGAAGCCCTCAGCCGCACATTTGCAACGCCGCCAATCCCATACGCAGGAACAATCTTGCCCATGCGTGCAAAACAGCTGGGGACATAGTCGCGGCGAATGCGCGCCGCGCGCTCCGTCCAGGGTAGACCACCTGGCGGTTGGCGATTGTACAAATCCAGACCTAGCAGGTGCATCGGGGTGCTGGCGAACTGCATCAGAGCCGGACAGGCGAATTGTGCGGTGGCAGCCTTCATGCCCGGGGTTGAGGCCACAAAGTCTGGTATGGAGGGCGCGATTAGGGCGGGGATGTTGAATGAGGCGAAGATGGTGATGCTATCGCGGAGACAGAAGAGGCCGTAGGAGATCTTGGGGATCTGGTTTGCGACTGCAGGTGCGGAGGATGGGTGTGGAGCTCGGAGGGCAGAACGCGGTGGGTGTGTAGATGAAGTAGAGGGCGATGATAATGACGGAGGAGCAGCACAAGAAGGTGGTGGTGAAGCCCCAAAGATTCGAGCGAACCGCGCGTCCTTGTATACACAGATTGCCATGTTCACTGTGGTCGTCGTGATGAATTTGGCCGGGCCCGGCGTGACCGTGGAGTACGATTGATTGCGCAGTGTCGAGGTGACCGTGTCGATGACATTGGCCGTCAGATATGTCGAGCTGTACAGCGTGTAGATGAGCAGGAACGGCGTGCTGAGGAAGAATCCGCTGGGTCGGGTGACCATGGACCGGAAACAGCTGCTGATGGTCTGGCGGATCGGGAATCCCTTCGAGGCTTTCTCAATGATTGCACTGGACGAACGCCACTCTTGTCAGCTTTGGTCATTGCTTATTTTGAGTCTGCTTGTGGTCAACTTGACTCACCGATCAATGATGGTAATCAGCGGACAGGTCAGCGCCCCTGCTGCCGCAGCGCTGCCAGCGTCGACACCGAGTCGCAGACCCAGGTTTTGGGAGTTCCATGTTGGCGCGTTGCGCGAGATGGGGCTTTCCGACACCGTTGCCATAGGGAATGAGGCATCCTGCGCGATAGCATCGCGAGTCATACTCGAGCCGAAGAAAAGAAGGAAAAAAAAAACTAATGCGAGAATAAATCACCGTGCATCCCAGACAACGAAACCCCCGATGACGCAGAACGAAAGACGGCCAAATGAAGGAAGATCAATTACAAATGTGACAGGAGGTCGATCTTATACGCCGCTCAATCTCGGACGATAATGGCCCGGGCGTCACTCCGATGCCGGCCCGACTCGGATAAACGATTTCTCACGATATACAAAATGTTTAAAGTTTAAGATTCATCAAGATTAAGTGAAGAAAAATGATATTTTATAACCCCGGAACGCCAATATTCACAATTCTACCATACCTACGCAGAAGTGCCCTGGCGGGCTTGGATGCCGTCCAGCGTGACGTTGACCGCGCCAGCTTGGACAAGCTATGAAAGAGTTAGACTTTGGTCTAGAATAAACAAGAACAAGGAAGAGAAATACGTACCGCCCGTCGCAGGTCGTCGATCAAATCATCCACATCCTCAATGCCCACACACAGCCGAATCAGGTCCTCGGGCATGGCGCGCTCAGCCCGCGTCTTCGCGTCAATGCTGGCATGGCTCATGCGGCAAGGCATACTAATAAGACTGTTGACACAGCCAAAACTGACACTAATAGCCCAGATCTTGGCACTCTCGACAATGCGCTCGCTAACACCGACATCGCCAGTCTCGAACGAGAGCACGGCGCCGGAGCCTCGTGCCATGGAGTGGTGCAGGTCGTACTGCGGGTGCGAGCGCAGGCCCGGGTAGCGCACCTTGAAGCCGTTTGATTCAAGGAACTCGGCGATGCGCTGCGAATTGCTCTGCTGCTGTTCCATACGCACCTTAAGCGTCTTCACGCCACGCATCAGCAGCCACGAGTCGAACGGCGACAGCCCGCATCCCGACGCGTTGATCGGGAAGTACAGTCGTTCGCCGAGCGCCAGATCGTTAACTGCGATCACACCTGCCATCAAGTCGTGGTGGCCCGACAGGTACTTGGTCCCACTCTCGTACACAATGTCTGCACCCAGCTCCAGCGGGTTCAGCAGCAGCGGCGACATCATAGTGTTGTCAACCGATACCAAGCAGCTGGGGTTCGCTTCATGAGCTGCCCTGGCAATCCGCCCAATGTCCACGATCTTAATCAGCGGGTTTGTCGGCGTCTCCAGCAGCACCATTGCGGTCTTCGAGTTCAGAACCTCGAATACCTTTTCAGGCTGTGTCGTGTCGATGTGGTGTACGATAATTCCGTTGTTGGTCGACAGATACTTGAGTAATCGGTTGGTGCCGCCGTATAAGTCATCGCCGGTCACCACCTCGTCGCCCGGACGCAGGAGCCGGGTGATCACGTCCAGCGCGGCCATACCGGAGGATACTACGAGAGCTCGCTGCGCCGACATGATCTTAGCCAAGTGGCGCTCAAGGTGTGTCCGAGTGGGGTTGCCAGACCGCGTGTAGTCATACTCCCCACCCCCACCGCCGGAGCTCTGCTTGAAGGTGGCACTCTGTGTTGAGAAATCTCGTTAGCACCCTGAAAAAAAAAAAGAGTCTGTGATAATCGCAGTTTGGCCCTTTGACCATTGGTCCACTCTTAAACATACCTGGTAAATTGGCACGCTGCTCGCATTGTACTGGTCGCTGCCCTCGGTGAAGACCAACTCGGTGGCAATGGCATAGCGGCGGCCGGCGTGTGGACTGGACGGGGCCGGGGATGGCGGCAGGTCATTTCCTTGGAGATCCACGTGAGGAAAGCCCTTCTTCAAGGCATTCGAGGGCCCCGACGCAGCGTTGGGCACACCAGATCCTGACGCCGACATCGCTGCAGAGCGGGGCAGATGGTCGCACAGAAGGAGAGGAGAAGGTGCGGGCGAGTCTCTGCGACCAATGAGACCAATGTTGTAAATTGGAGGCTGAGGACTCTCAAAAAGACAATCAAGAGAATATACAAAGAGAATAAAAAAGAGATTGTTGATGTAAGTCGATTCTCCTTCCACAGAGCCCCCCAGCTATGACTCCTCCCGGGCGCACGATGATTGGCTGAGAGGTGACCGCTGCGATTTCGTCATCCGCTAGGTCATATCAGGTTAGCGTGAGGCTCGCCAGTTGGTGTTTATTTTTGGGCACTTTTCTATACAACGTGATCTTAACATTGAAGTTCAATGTTTTGAAGAATACGGCCACTCTATACTATATAGAAGTCGCCGCCACCATATATGATATTTCTTTCCCATAAAAAGAACTTTTTACATCGGCTTCAAGAACGAGTCTACCAGACGAATCCAGCATATCAGCCGGCAAGTCGGCAAGACATAGTAAGTCAATTGCAGGCACAATCTGGGCCCAGGTAGGGGCGACTATTGGAGTGAAGGTAGGAAGCTCATTCCCCATCGTCTCGCGATAGATATTCCGTCTATCCCGCGGCATCCCTATACTCATGCGCCAGTTAAAAGGAATCGGTCTTGAAAGCACCGGTTCTAGGGCATGAAAGTGCCATGTCGGTAGTGGGCACAAGAGATGGAGAAGTGCAAAGCCGGCATGGTGATTCAAGTTTAGGATGTGTGTATATGGAAAGGGAGAGGGCAGAGAAAACAAAAAGGAAGCAAAAGCGAAGATTGTGAATTTCATGCCTTTTATTCATGGCACCGAAAGAAGTACTGAGCTATACTAAACAACGTAGAATTCGCCAAACGCAACATTCCTTTCCAAATAAACAGAAGTTTCTCCGCCGACTTCGAGAACAATTTGACCCAATAAGTCTAGTATATCTAATAAAAAGGGGAAGAAGACCACTCGGACCACTAGACTACAATGAGTCGAGAAGAGAATAAATGTACAAGGTATGATGGGAATTGAGGCTATGAAGCTATTACACATGCGAGACGGCGAGCAAGCTGCTGGCAGAAACTCTAGACACCTAAATATCTCAACCTTGACACAATATCAGTCGGGTCGGCAATCCATCGTGAATTGATTGCAGGTACACTTCTAGACCACGTGGGGGGCGAAGCTTGGATGTAAAAGGGCCATATATGGCTATGTTTTACTTTTATACGAGTCAGTACTTGCGGCTGGGTTATTTTTGGGTTATTGAACAGTGTAGGAGACTCTTCTCTCAGCCTGCAGCTCTAAACCTTAGAGCTGCCCCCAAATACCAAGACGCTAACATGAGTCGTGTAAAAGTATCCACTCAACACTACTCGCTCATTTTCACAAAGTTCCACAATGCATCAGGCAGCCTGACCCAAGCTGAATCGATTCAGGATAGAAGGCTAGGTGCTAAACAAGGCTTTCGTTCGCTTTTATAAGTAGGATATCTTCATTACTTTTCCTTTTCTTCCTATCTTGAACTTTCCCTACTCTCCACCTCTCCATTACCCTTCCAGACCTTCAAGCCCAAGATGTACTGCAAGTCTTTGGCCGTTGTGGCTGCTCTTGCAGTAGGTGTAACTGCCGTTCCTACCTCCGCTGCTTCCGAGGCTACCCATGTTGCTTCCTCCTCTGCTTCTCTTTCTGCTTCTCCCGATGCCACCCCGAGTCCCAAAGTCGACGTCTCCGGGTTCTGGGCTATGATGCAAGTGAACAGTGACACCAACAGGTGCTACATCCACCTGAACTTCCCCGGGGTTGGCTGCACGGGCGACACAAGCGATCTGATGCTCCATGAATCGAATAACTGCTATGCTTATGGTAAGCACTCTCCCCTCCCAGTTCTATCTCCCGATATAGATCAATAAGTTCTGACCAATGTGAAATGACTCGAAGTTTCGAGCGGCTCGGTTAGTTCTCAACTTTACTGCGGCGATGCAACCGGAACGTTGTGGACCAAGGGTACCAAACAGGGTGTGTTCCAGTTCGTCAACGCGGAAGGACAGTCGGTGGATGTTCGATTCAAGACGAGCACGAGTGACGATGGGAAAACTTTCAGCATTCCTGACAATGGGCCTGGTGCGGTGTGGCCGGGTAACTAGTGGGAATTCTAGGTGGCTGTTGTTGTTCTGTTTTATAACTAGTCTTTTATATGCTTTCAATCTAGGAGCATGACTTTTCTTTTCTACTTCTCAATACTTTCCTGTTTGTAATAAGCACCCAGATAATACCTAAGTCGTACCCACAATATAGCTATCCACAGTAAAATGTTTACCAGTGAGTGATTAAACCCATGGGAGCCATATGGCATAAATAGTTTGACTATGAACGTGGCTATTCAATCAATACTGACGGGTGGCAAACTAGAAGCTAAAAAATCTTGAAAAAGAAAGCTAATGAAGCCAAGAAGCCTTTCGTTCTCTTATAAATAGGGTGTCTTCTTTTCTTCATCTTCTGTCTATCCTTATCTTTCCCCTCTTCTCTATTCAAATCCAAATCCTTCAACCCCAAGACGATATACTTCAAGCCTTTGGCCGTTATGGCTGCCCTCACAGCAAGAGCCATTGCCGAACCTACCTCCGTGGCTGCTGCTTCCGCTGCCTTTGCCTCTGCCTCCTCCCCAAGGTCAACGTCTCCGGGTTCACAGCCGTGATGAAACCCAACAAGGAAACAAACATGTGCTATGTCGAACTGAACTTCCCCGGAGTCGGCTGTACAGGTAGAACCGGTGATATGATCAGTTATGGCTCTCCCTGGCCGCACAGCTGCTACGCTCCTGGTAAGCCGCTTCTCCATTCATTTGCTACTATTACTATGATTGATCCCTGTTCTCCCTGTTCCACATCACCCCAAACTTTGGTATATATCAATCTAACAAAAATCTGTGAAATAATTCAGCAGACGGCAAGTAAATCTGGAGCTTCGATATCTGCGGTTCCGGACGCGCAACCTTGTATACCAAGAATGGCTATGGTGGCAAGCAGGGCCAGTTCCGCTTCACCAACCACGAAGGTCTGAGCGTGTATGCTCAGTTCGACGTTACCGACAATGGCGATGTGTTCAATATTCCTGGAGATGATTCTGCAAAGCTGCCGCCAGTGCCTGAGTACTAAGTTCAGTAGGGGGGCCAGGTCCAGTTCGACGATGTTGGTAGTTGGAATGAATTTCTCTAGGTGTGGCTGCTTGTTATCCCTGGTTTATGGGCTGGTCTATTTTTGGGTCTTTTTCTTTTTTGTTCATTTTTACATTACGCACCTAGATGATACTTTAGTCTTAACCACATAGAATAATTCACTATTTATATTGGAATGTCTGATGCTAAAGAATAGAGTCCCAAGATATTACTAGACTCAACTACATCGAGGTTCCTTCTATCTACTATTAGACACTGCAGATCCATATCTAGATAGAAGACCATTGAATATATCGCTACTTCTTCAAATCTGCTTGGTCTCCCCATTGTAGTCCATGTACCATGAGGTTGGTTCTGAAGATGCCCAAGGAGGGATCTGTCCCTATTTTGTCCTACAAACGTATCTCTACAACTAATCTACGGAGTACTTCATGATGAAAGCTGATGTCAACACAAATCCATTTCATTCCTACTCCATCCAGAGGCCAGCGCCCGCAATCCATCGAGTTTGCTTTTCCCCTCCAAAAAGAAACAGAAAAAGAGAAAAACACATAATAAGGAGATATAAGGAAAAATAGAAAGATACAATAGACATGACAGAAGATCCAAAACAACCAAAAACCACACCAAGCCACAAAACGCCTCAATCACCCAGAGTCCCTCCCAATCCGTTTTGTGAAACCGGTCAGAAATCAAGCAGGAAGATAAAAGACATAGTATGTATATATATATACCGCGACGCGAATGATATTAGTCTCCTCATAGTCGACACGTCAACATGCCATGAGCAAACCTGACGAGAACGCAGAGACCATGGTAGAACTCCATTGTTTATGCCGCCAGATCGCCGAAGCCGCCGTTGATGCCGAAGAATTGGAACCTGGTTCACAGCAAATGTCAGCAACCCTTCACTTTCAAAAACACAGAAACTCGAAAAAAAAATACATACCAGTCTTCCACGTTCAAGGTCGTCGGCGCAGTTGGGCCACTGCGGGAGCTGTTGCTCCAGTTGTCGTCCTGGCTGCGAGCGTCCAGCGCCACACCACTCATGGTCCCGTCCAGCCCCTGCATCGGCCACTGCTGACCTTCCATGCCAAACATCTGCTGGGGCCCCTGGGAGGGCATCCCCATCCCATTTGGCAGCCCCGACATCATCTGCGGACTGCCCTGGGAGACGGACATGCTGCGAGCAGGAACCTGCTGCGCCGGGTTCCCCACCATGGGCCGCTGAGCCACATTCGGGTTGTGCAGTTGCGATGGCATTTGCAGCTGCGGATCGACAGTTGCTGGCGGCGGGGAAGTGAGCTCTGGGAAGATTGCGGTACCGTCGGGGAAGAGCTGGTCGGGCTGGAAGTTCTCCCACAGCGAGGGCGAGAGGTTGGGCGAGGTACGCGTCACCAAGAAGAAGTCTGGGGGGGTGGCAGGCAGGGAGAACTGGGCGTTGAAAGGTGTGGTGGGTCGAGTATTTCCCCGCGAATTGGCTGGCCCAGACACCGGGTCGCGGTGCGCATTCGGCGATGTCGCGCCCGGAGGTTGATTCAACTCCCGGGAAGGAGTGACAGCGGGCGTCTGCGGACGAGAGCGCTCGTACGACACAGGAGGCGTGGGGCCGCCGTTGGGCAAGCCGAGTTCCATATCGTCGAACTTGCGCTTTGGGGGGTCCGGCTTCTTTGCAGGAGCCGCTTGATCATGTCGCACTCGTTGGTGTCTCCTGCCAGCAGCTTTTTGCAGTCGCTCTTCCAGAACCTTGTTGCCGAGAATAGATTCGAACAGCGTGTTAACCATCTTCGCCACCAGCCAGACCTTGGACACATCCTTGAGCGCCAGCATGCACACGTTGATTCTTTCTTGACAAGTTGCCACAATCGAGGGAACTGACGAGCGCATTTGATACACGTGCATTATCAACGCAGAAAATAAACTGTAGACACTGTTGGACGAGTTAGTGAAATTCCGAGATGAAATGGCTCAAGAGTAAGGCCCAGGATGGCCAGGACTAAGAGACATACATGAATGCAGGAGTGTAGCGGAGCTCCTGGTGCGCCTGCAAGTTCTCGACAATAGACGTAATCATGCCCGCGGCTTGGAACGCAATGGTGCGCGATGGATACGCCATTTCTTCAACGCGGTAACTATTCGGAGCTGACGAGGCGGGTGGCATATGAGCACGATGTAGAAGACAGAGCGTGGTGCTAGAAACTGTCAGTGATCATGTATAAGACTCGATAACAACCGAACACTTACTAGTAATTCGAATGAAGCAAAGCCGCCCAGAAATGGTGTCGAGACCGTTGCCAGCACACCTCCTTGGGGCAATTCTGCAACCAATCGGCAAGCGCCATGTCCGAGTGGGTGAGATCCATCGCATTCATGCGCCGTGACTTGGATGCCACAGAGTACTGCTGCGAAAGGACCAGACCCATGATCTCACACAGCTTGACATATTGAAGGAAGAATTGCACATGAACTGGGTCCGCAGGGATTTCGGCGGGGGTATCAAGCTCATCCTCGATGAAATCATCTTCGGTGACCATCTCCACGTCCGAGTCATCAGTATTGATCCCGATCGGCCGTCCCAGAGCCACTGCCACGGAGCGATCCCGGGTGAAAAGCGTCCACCAGATTCTCTTCCAGAGCCTCTTGTCAGGCTTGCTAAGCTGTGATGTTTCCACACTGCGACGACGTTAGATATGGCCGGAGATGATATCAACACTACCAATTACATACCTGCGGTGCATCCCAGAGCCTTGGGCTACAACAATCGCGACTCGTGTCCAGTAGAACACGTTTTTGGTGACGTCTACGAGTGGTCAGAAAGAGCAAGCAAACAGAGACCTTGTGGAAACTTACCTTCCGGCCCTTCCCAGTACCAGCCCAACAGCACCAAGGCCTGTACGATGGTGACACGGTCATCCTCGTAGTTGGCATCATACAATGCCTTGGCACGCTTGTAGAACGTCATGGCAGCCGGGGTGGTGGAGCCATTGGCGTCCATCAGCTGCGGGTTGGTACAGACCCGCGAGCCCGCCAGCAGAATTGCCTGTAGCAAAAGCAGCGAAGGCGGGTTCTTAGGGTCGCGGTAGTGACGCATAAAGCGACTACGGTTGATAATGGGTACCACAGGGGCCACCCATTTGAAGTAAGCCTCGACCAGCTCATCGCAGAGCGGCTTGGGCGGCAGTAAGAACGCGCCGCGCTGGTGGAGAATGTCAATTTCCAGGTTATCCAGATCGGTCAGTCGTGCGCGAGACCCTCTGATATTCGGGGGCAGCGGATAATGGACCACGTCGGTGGTGCCATGACGGTCCTGGACCAGCAAGGACAGATTGGACGACTCGCCCAGGTAGGCGACGCGGCCCGCCTCCTTGATTGGGGCACGAGCAAACTTGGGCTTCATGAACTGGGCATACGCATTGTCGGCCGAGGCCTGGTGCGCAGCCTCGTTTTCGTTGAGAGAGGTGGCGGGCATGCCGTCGGCGACCATCGAGTTGTTTCGGTAGCCAAAGGCATCGTCCTTTTCATCCGATTCGATGGATCCCCGGCGTTCCTCTAGAGCCTCGGCCTGCACAGGCTCCCCGGTACTGCTGGAGCGAAAGTAAGCAACCGCAGTGTCGACAACCGAGGCAGCGTGGTGGGGTGGACTGTCGACATACCGACTGTCGTCCTTGGTCTTGGTCTGGTTCTTCTTGCGCTTGGGAGTCGGGATCTTGCATTCGATCGAGAAGGCGACGCAGTTGGTGCAAGGAACCCCGAGACTGGCGGCGTCACACCGGACCTGTGGATGCGACGATGGTCAGCGACGGCAAGGTGGGGAAGAGGTGCGACCGAGGAGTAAAAAAAAAAATCAACTTACCTTGCGGGAATGACATGTCTATACAAGAAAACAAGGCTTGCATCAGTATATTTATTTTTATTCAAACAAAGGAAGGGGGGATATGTGCGCCCGTGGGGGGTGTCTCCGACAGCATCGCGATAAGAACGTGTGAGCCGAGGTGCTGGAGAGAGCCTCGGCACCCCCAGACACATCAGGTCGCGTCTCCGAAGGAAATAAAAGAACGTACCTCGCACGCGCGTGACGCACGTTGTCTAAGAAACAATCAAAACGAGTCAGCATCTATAAAAATGCTTATCTTCGCATAGAACCCTCTGGGGTCAGGGGCAAGAGGGAAGAAATCCCGGATCGCTTCCCCCTCTTCTCTCTTTCTCGCTTCAGGGCTGTTCTGGTTTCGCGCATTGTGCCCACATCCTCCGCGCAACCAGCATACCATCCACAGCGATCCCACATAAAGACAAAAAGAAAGAAAAGAGAAAGATAGTCGCTTACCTTCTGAAACTCATCGGTTGACCATTCCCTCCGCGTACCGTGATCCCCGAGGTTCCGGTCGAGCCAGCGGTGCTGGGAGCTGGGCTGGGGCGCGTGGCCGACGAGGGTTGTTCCGTATGAGATTCTGTCGTAGTGCTCATTGCCAGACAGTCTCCATCCAGCTGAGCTCGCGCGTCCAAGAACGTTTCAGAGCGGGGAGGGGGAGCAAGAAGGAGGGGGGGGGGCAGGAATCCTGGGGATGGGGAAGGGCGAAATGATGATATAAGAAGGATACCGATTCGAGACCGGAAAGGGGATAGGGGGGGGGTAAGAAGGTATCTACGCAGGATCAACACCACGCGCAAGTCCAACAAGAAAAAGTACCGGAACGAATCGAGAGAGAGGGAAAATGAGAACCGTTTGAAGAGAAAAAGAGAAGAGAGAGAGCCGTTGAGGGACCTTTGGATGGGGATGTGGCAATAAGAGGATCATCTGAGGTCACTGTGTGGGGGGATCTGTGCAAGACTCCTATTCTTATAGAGACACTTGGGGGCTCTGTTCTTCTGTAGATACTTTTTATATCTACAGAATATCATGTTACTATTCAGATCGAATATTCATTCTATATAGTTCCCTCTGGTTTGACTCAAGTCCATCTTAACATGTAGTATAGCTTCGACTCCATGTCATCATTCGGGACTCGGGACCAGACCAGTAACGAGACTAACAGAATAGATCTGTCACTAGACGCTTGGGAAAGATCGTCATGAAAATATGGAATGAAAATATTTGAAAAAAAAAAATTGAAACGAGGTGGCAGGTACGAGGGTAAACGTGCAGGACGATCGACCCAAGTACACAATAATGGTCTTTTTCTTCCCTTCTGCCTACCTTGGGGACTCTCCCTCCCTCCCTCTAGTTCAATCAAACCCCCCACCCCAACCCAAGTGCCCACGGTCCAACGCGAATGTGTAAGTAAACAAGTCCGGGCATCCGACTCGCAGTGGATGAAGGGATCGACGAAGAGGAAAGAGAAGAGGGGGAGAGAAAGAGAGAGAACCAGAACCATGACCGTGGAATGGCCGGGACTCGGAAATGGCTCTGAACTGGTTCTGAAACGGTTCTCCGAAGCAATGACCATGGGTCCATGAGGTCAGGGACGCCTAGCGGTCGACATACGCTATTTAGGGGTCTCTCCACTGTTGCCGAGAGCGTGGAAATACCACTTCGCCTCTTGCTTCGGATATCGGGGATTTGTTCTTGTGTTCGTGTGGGTGATATTCTACACATGGGTTGTTCCTTGAACTACCCAAGTGGCGTTCGTCGCTTGGTTCCCAGGCTCCCAGCCCTCCATCTCGTGGTCTATTCCACGCGGGCACACGCGGAGGGACCTGCGACCGCCAAAATCGGGGATCTACCGAGTCGGGCACTGAACCGGGCACGGGCCATTGGGGCGAGGTTACGGTGGACAGATCCATGAAGGTTGTCCACAGGTGTAGAGGTCAAAGGTCCTCGCGGTCAGCAGGTTAGATCCTGCCCTAAGTACCCAAGCTAACCCTGAATTAAGCGCGAAAATAACGAACTATAATATTATGTCGTAGTGAGTACATAGTAGCTAATATATACTCCCAGACTTATTTCCTAACTCTCCCCTATCCACAGTCTAGTATGTACAGTACAATTTGTTGGATCACTAGATGCTAGTGCAGTGTGCGATATGTAGATCATCGGAGGCGATCACGCCTCCATCTCCACGAAGTAGAACCGGGAGAGAAAAAGTGTGTGTAAGAATTGCGGGGTGAAAAAAAAAAGACGGGGAAGATACATACTTGCGGGGAGGATATGGCATTGCAGCGAGAACCATGTCCCTGCAGGCACCAGCTACCAGCCACTGCGTAAAAGACCTCATTTGCATATTGCAAGCTTGTGATGCCTCGGTAATTCTGAGCCAACTAATAGCCCAATCATATGGTGATCATTCATTTCTCCACCGGCCCCAGACATCCACCCCCCAATCCTTTCATCTGTTGCCTGTCTGTCGCCCGTCAGGCACCGGGTTCTCCACGGCTTGGAATTAAGTGATTGATGGTCCATGGCTCGCACGTCTTAACCGTATTTGTCTATGTTCCATCCCTCCAAGATTGTAAGCCGTAGTCAGGTCGTCGGGGGGATATCTATATCCGGCCCCAGATATGTAGGTTCGCATTGAGTTTGACCCTGCACGAGACACAGCTCTTAGTCATATCAGATCGTCTGCCCCTCTTGAGAGATTACTAGATTGATCTACAAATAGCGCACTCGATATGAACAAGGGCCAACGGCGTGGCCGGGATAAATTACAAGAATACCAATTAAATAAATCCATGGATCACTCGGGGCTAGGGGAGACGCGAGAGTTATGACGGCGCATTCGCTGCGGCACGGGCTTTTGCCGCAGACTTCTGTGCCTTGGAAGCCTTGGACTTGGCCTTTTTGCCTCCAGTGGGCCGGCTCCCCGTCGTCTCTTCGGGCTTCATCTCGTGCCCACATTCGACCGACTCATCCACCGCCTGGGCCACTGCGGACCCCAGTGCCGACGTCGTAGGGCCAAACCCCACGCCGCTGACGAACTGTTCGCTGAGGAACTCCAGCCCCGCGACAAAGGTGCAGAGTCCACTGGCGATGCAGAAATGGCTGATGGTCATGCCGATGTCGAGCCATGATCCCTCGTCGCGCACCATGTAAAAGAAGTTAAGGGTCATGACATCCGAGATGGCCATGACTACCATGAAGAGTGCGCTGGGCGCCACCTCCAGGCGGCGGTTGAGAATCCCCAGGTTCGCGCTGATGATGGCGAAGGGAATGAGAATCTGGAACATCAGGAGTGCCCCCTGGCCCCAGGGTGAAAATACGGGGATGAGACGGCGAACGCTGTCTAGAGAGAACGTGGAGATCGAAGCGACATTGCCGGTGCTGAAAAATGCCGATTGCAGCAGGAAGAAAAAGAATAGCGCCACACGGGCATCCGAGAGAGTCAGGGCGCGGTAGCGGTATGTTTGGCCATCAACGATCATCGCCTGGGTCTGTTTGGGCTGCTTGGCCGATACAGATCCATTGCTGACCGTTTGCTGCGGTTTGATGGCGCCGGGCCCGGCCGAGTGGACGTAGATGGCATGCTCGAAGCGAACCCAAGTAACCAACGTCATACAGAAAACAAAGTAGAATAGCCCCTCCCATGAGATAGCAAGGATGACGAAGATAGGGGAGAAGGTCAAGAAAATGACCATGAGGCGGTGCAGATAGTCGCTGTTCGGATATAGACGGTGGAAGAACGGCAGGACGGTCGACATCACTAGACAACGGGTTAGAACTACGGCCATCCATTGCAGCTGCTGGGGAAACCCACCTAAAACAGACCATCCAACCACCTGGTTCCCAAAGGGCAAGCCCTGTCGGGCTTGCAGGGAGAAAACACTAGATCGGGTGACAAGCAAGGCAAGCAGAATGACGCCAACCTGCGAAGCAGTATGATCAGTATACTCTGACATTCTAACAGAATAAGAGATGATCGAGAAAAGGTCGCATACCTGTGTGCCCATAATGACCCGCGAGCCAAAGCGGCTGGTAAAGCTGCGATGCCCAACAATGGCATCCTCGAACATTAAATATAAGACGCCAGTGAAAAACATGAGTAGACCGCCATAAGTACTGCAAGAACAAGATTAGCCCCACATAGATAAATCCTTTCCGCATAGATAGTACTCACATTTGGTTGATGTCCTCGATCTTGGTAACAGGGAGGAGAGTAAAAACACTCATCAAGCCGCAACCCAGAAACCATGTCGCAGACAAAAGTCCATGCATGCGAATAAAACCGACTCCATAAAACACAGGCCAGACCGAGGCCAAGCCAAAGCAGATAGTAAATATTTCGCGATGAAAATATGATTGGACCTAGGAGAAAATACGTCAGTCATGAATAAGGTACCCCAGCTAAGATATGTCAACGTACGAGCGCTTCCAAAACTCCAAGAAATGCGACCAGCTGAAATCCAAATTTCAAATATCCGGTGAAGGAATGAACGTGGCCCAAGATGATCTTGCGGCCAGCAATCAGAGCCTTCCGGCGGGCGAAAACCTCCTCCCAGAAATAAACAGGGAAAAATCCGTAGAAGTAGTAGCGCCAGGAGGAGCCCTGGTAAAGGAAAACGGAAAACAAGGCCACCAAGATGGACGAGAAGAATGAAATGCTGGCTACCGTCCGATGCGAGTCAGACGTTCCATGCAAGACATGCAAGTCAATCACCGTGGTGAGAGCATAGGCAATCCAGCCCAAGTACCCGATAGTGACGATGTTTCGCAAGAAGAGCCAGTCGTATGTTTGCAAATAGCGTAGCCCCTCAAGGGCGCCAAGCAAAAGCTCCGATGATCGAGCAATGGACTCCTCATGGGCACCGTTCGAAATGAGCGTTTTGATTGTCGCAATTCGCCGTTCAATTGAATCACTTTCATGGCCTGAGAGCGGCTCATAAGGCACATACCGAATCACCGCCGCCTTCTTTTGCTCTTCCTTGACCCGGTACATCTCCAGCACCCCTTGCGTGTTCGCGAAAGCGGCCAGTGCTTTCTCTTTAGGACTAGCATCAATATAATCCAACGGCAACTGGCCGACAGAATTGACGGGATAGTCAAGACCAACCAGGTAGGCCATGAGGGCGGCAACATCGGCCTGTGCTACATCGTGCCGTTGAATTTGGTCAAATCCCCAATCCGACGAAAATCCGTCTTCATGACCGGTCACAGCCCCAGGACTCGTTCTCTGGGGTAGTGCAACGCCAGAACCCCAGGCCACGAGGGGAGTTCGTGTGTTGTCCGGATGGCCGTCGCCGTGGCTGCCCAAGTCACTCATACCATGATCCGCAGTGAAGACGAATGCGGTTTTATCGTCCCCGTAGAAATCCTCGACCAGCTTTGTGACTGCCTGCACCCCTCGATCCACCACCTTGATATTGTTGAGGTATTCCTTGGAGTAGGGTCGGTAGCCGTGGCCGGTGGTATCCAGGCCGAGCAGGTGAAGGAAGAAAACCAGTTTGTCGTTGCGCAGTTTCCGGTTTAACTCTGGATCATATTTTGCGGATTCAAAAAGCTCGAAAACTTTCGAAAATACCCAGGTGTCCAGAGCAGTTGCGTCCATGTTAAAGTCCTCCGCTTCTTCGCTATACATGTCGGCATCAACCCTGCCAGGCACCGCGCCCTCCTTGAACATGGCGAGGATGTCAGGGCTGCCCCAGCTCCACGTATGTCGACTCCGATTGAAGACGCTATCGAAATTGACCGGATTCAATTTCCAGCCCGTAGTGACCGCGGACACGTCCTCATACAATCCCGCAATAAGGGCAACATGACCCGGGCGTGATTCGGTGGGGACCCGAGTGTGTGAGACGCCAAATGTTCCATGGGAGAGCACTTTCGAGCGGATGAAGGGGGTCAGGCGAATCAATTCGTCACTGTGGTGGTTCGAAGATTCGGGGGACGGGTCTGGGAAAGCTTGGAAGGCCTTGTCGGCACGCAGGCCGTCGGCGACGAAAAGGACGAGTCGTTTCGCGGGTGCACTAGTTCCTGCTGGTCGTTCGACGCCAAAGGATCGCATGCCACTGACAATCGGACTAACAAAATAGATATCGAAGATCGAATAGGTATAGATCAAGTGGAAGACCACCGCCAGGGCAAGAAACCCAACGCGGCCTAGACGCGCCATGATCTATTTCTTCTCACAGGGGGGACTCCAGTTGAGAGATGAACGAGTGGAATTGGTCCCCTGGGACAAGAAAGAGAAAAGAAAGTCCAATCAACAAAAGACGCCGAACATGGTTGATGACAAAAAGATGTCGAGATTCCTGACGGGGAACTTGCGGATGGGCGGTGAGCGCCAATCACAGGGCTCCCATTGCGCACGGCAGAAACGGTGTTTACTTTCGTTGTATGCGCAATGCAAGTGATATATTTCAACACTATCCAACATCCTAAGACAAGAGAAAATAATAATCAAGGCTATATAGATGAGCCTCCCTATTGTGTCGAGCTCCGTCGCTTCGTGAGAACATCAATCACCCGTGTATAGAACTTGGATGCCTGCTGGCGGCTGAAGGTTATGTCCACCGTCAAAAAGTCGGGCAGGATATTTACCAGGTCGCGATCGCGATTGGCATCCAATAGGGGCAGATATTGGAACTCGGCAGTTTCAAATTCCGCAGCAGAAACCTTGGGGATGGCCAATTTGAAATGAAGAGCTGTGGGAGTGGTTAGCGGAGCCGTATAGATCCAAGAAGATAAGGAAACTTACTTCCGTTCACTCCAGTCTGAATACAATCGTACAAATGATCCGACTCCCGATTCTTGACATCTCGGACGATCAGCCCAGTCAAGTCGCTATACAAGTCTTCTTTCAACTGCGCCAATTGTGCGGCTTGTGCAGCTTTTGCGCTGGCTGCCGCATTGGCCCGATTGGGCCCGCCAGCCTTGATGGCACTGCCAGGAGCCTTCGCAGCACCTTCAAGGCTTGCGGCCGTATTCCGTGCGGCAGCAAGCTTGGTCTGCAGGGCTTTGACCTCGGACTGCGAGGAAGAAAGCTGTGAGCGTGCCTCATCGGCCTGCGACTTGAGCCGAGCCATTTCGGCATCTCGCTCCTTCAGTTGCTTCTGGAGTCCGCGACTTTGCTGACCCACCGCTCGTTGTGCCTCCAATTCCGATCGAAGCGACGCGATCAGCTCGTTCGATGCTGAAATGTGTCAATAAAACCTTTCACTGGTGGGAATTGGATTCAAATTAGAGAGAACATACCAGCAGTGACACTTTCGCTTTGCTTTCGCAGCTTTTCCATGTTGGCATTGGCCTCCAAAATGCCAATCTCTCGAAGATTGCGATATTTGAATTCCAATGCATCATGCTTCTTAGAGAGCTCACCAAGCCTTCGCCTCAATTCTGGATCTCCGCTTGGTTCAGCGTCGGCATTTGCTAGTTTGCGCTTACGCGGGGATTCCTGTGTGTTGCGCAACGCGGCTAGTCGAGCCCGAGCGTTCTTCACCGGTGACGATGTCACGTAAGGGGTAGGTGCCGAGTCTTCGGGAAGGATTGTTTCGTCGACAATTTCTATTGAAGGTTCCTCGTTGTGCCGCGACCCTGTGCCTTGAGGATCGTCTCTTTGTCGAGTACTGTTCGGTGTGAACTCGAATTCGCCATCGGTTTGAAGTGCCGGCGTTGTGCTGGCCGCACGGCCTCTACCTCGACCACGCGTGGGTGCGGGCTTGCTGCTTTTGGCGCCCCGGGTCGGCTTAGTGTCTTTAACAGCAGTATACTCTTCGTTCTCTTGGTCGTGTGTATTCTCATCATCGTCGAGTGCCTCATCTTCTGTCACCGCTGCCCGCGCTTGCGCGTCGGGATCGACGGACGCGCGACTGCTGCCCCGGGGTCTTCCTCGGCGAGTGGGCTTCTTGGCAGCAGGGGCCTCTGCTTGCGCTGGTTTTGAAGTTGCAGATGTAGGCTGTTTCTTTGCTTGCGTAGTCGTTTTAGGCTCGGTCGCATCCTCATGCGAAGTACGGGGTCTTCCTCGACGTTTCTTGGGGGGCGGTTCATCGCGAGTATCCTGCGCGTCATTCTCGGTCACTTGCATCAAATCCTCATCATCCGACTCCACGAGGCCGGAGATTTTGGAGGCAACTTTTCGCTTCGGCATTGCGCAATTGGGGCGTTGACAACGAGGTGGTGTGGACGCGGCGCGCACCACAACAACCGGCAGACATGTGACATTCCCGAGCCACAGCGCCACAGCTGCCCGACCCGGGGAAGTCAACCTGCCCTCTGAGTGTCGGTGTGATTTTCTTCAATTCCCTTCTATCGTTATCTTTGTTTCTATTCTAGGGTGTCGCTGCTGGGATATTTAATCCCATACGTATCTTTCATCTCACTCGCGATCGCTATGGCTTCAGCTGGGGGCCGTCGGTGGCAGCAGTTCTTGCAAGAGCTGGTGATGATCGCCGGCACAGTAAGTTGGCTTTTAATGATTTGACGGTTGTGTCGGTCTCTGATGCAATATATACAGTCAGCCTCCGCGTACTTTTTGATCCGTCATCTTCTGTCGCGCCTTGACTTCGACCCCGAGAGCCAGAAGAAAGAAGAACAACGGCGCAAGTCAGCAGCTGTTCTGCGACGACTGGATGGCGGAGATGATTCAGAAGAGGACTCAGCAAGAGTGGGAGAATCCAAACGAGGACGCAGACAACGCCGAGGAGAGCTTACTCTGAACCAATACGAACAAGCCATCGCCATGGATGTTGTTGCGCCGGAAGATATCCCTGTAACATTTGAGCATATTGGAGGCCTGGACGATATAATCGAGGAGCTGAAAGAATCTGTGATATATCCGTTGACCATGCCTCACCTCTACGCCTCGACTTCGTCTCTATTGACCGCACCGTCGGGCGTCCTGTTGTACGGCCCACCTGGCTGCGGGAAGACCATGCTTGCCAAAGCGCTGGCGCACGAGAGCGGGGCCTGCTTCATCAACTTGCACATCTCAACTTTGACGGAAAAGTGGTACGGCGACTCGAATAAACTTGTCAATGCGGTCTTTTCCTTGGCGCGCAAGTTACAACCCTCCATCGTCTTCATCGATGAAATCGACGCTGTGCTCGGAACCCGGAGAAGTGGCGAACACGAGGCTAGCGGAATGGTCAAGGCGGAGTTTATGACACACTGGGATGGTCTTACTTCATCGAATTCGATGGGGGAGCCCCAGCGCGTTGTTGTCCTCGGGGCGACCAACCGGATCCAGGATATCGACGAGGCAATTCTCCGTCGCATGCCCAAGAAGTTCCCAGTCACTCTCCCTCCGACTGCGCAGCGACTCCGCATCCTCAGTCTCATTCTCAAGGACACTAAGGTCGACCGCGAAAATTTCGATCTGCATTACCTGGTCAAGACCATGGCTGGCATGTCCGGTAGTGACATTAAGGAGGCCTGTCGAGATGCGGCTATGGTTCCTGTACGGGAACACATTCGACAAATGAAGGCCAATAGCCAGCAAATGACCACGGTAGACCCCTACGAAGTCCGTGGTGTTCGAACGGAAGATTTCTTCTCTCGCGCTGGTGGAGTCAAGGTCATTCCACAGCCCACTTCATTACCAGCCGCAACTCCCAAGGCCAGCGCTGAGAAAGATGAAGGCGAGTGGAGCACTGAGTCTGAAGCTGCCTCGGACGTTGAGGCCCGGCCCTCTATGATATCTGAACCACCAGAGTGATGAAACATGACCATTCGGAACCTTCATGTTGATATATTATTATTTTCTTCTCTGTGTTCTTCTCCCACACGACGGAAAGGGCGTTTAATGTTGGAAATGTCGGGCTTGATTTTCTGGTTTTGGATCTCAAGGATCTAGTTGCTTGTGTTTTTGCTCTTGGACATACGTCTTTGGCATACCATTTTGTCCATAGACATGATCCCGAGTTCTGATGTACAATTTAGATACAGGTTTGCATAATGTAAACCACTTTGCTCCCTGTTGAGTGCTTTTTTTTCTTTTTTGTATAGATGAGTTGGTACACGCAATGTGCGGGCGGCCCCAGGGAAACGTCATGTACCTCGACACACGAAGTCACCTGCCGATCATCCAAACCCCCGAAACTCGCTCCAACTCCAACTTGCCCCCCTTGATTACGGCGTCCTTGCACCTGCCAGCCTTGTACAGTTTTAAATCATCTTTTCCATTGACCTTGACTCACCGAGTCCTCTCTTCTGTTTCATCTTTGGTGCCACCCAACCGAGATCGTTTGGGGGCTGGTATCACTCCCTTCCGGGACGCCACCTATTGCACAGTTGAACGTCGCCTGCGCAGGGCTCGGAACTTTGTCTTCTTTGAAAATTCTATATCAAGGAGCACTTTTTTACTGACTACATGATTCGCCTTCCGTCTTAAGGCTACGAATGCGACGTTAAGAGGTGGATAGCGAATGGGTCTCCTATAGGAGATCGCCGATGGCAATCCGTGCCTAGAGGGAGCTTACGTTTCGCATTCTGGGAAGACAACACCCACTGAACTCGTCGTCAGGGATGAGTTCCCAAAACAGCTTTGGCAATGCTTCCCTGGGCTCGAACACCGTTAGCGCAGGCAACGCGACGTCCAGTTCCACGGTCCGATCGCGTCCTCGCCGATTAGTTTCGCTTATGGATGATGACGACGACAGCAGCGACAGCAATAGCTACGCTTACCAAAATGACTCGCAACCATTTGCCTCCGGGTTGTCCTCGAATCTCTCGTCATCCGAGATCGGTGCCACTCGTTCCCGTGGTGCCACCCCCTCCCCTTTATCGTCTCGTGGAGTCTCGCCGATGCCTATGAAACATCCCTCCCGCGCCAACGCATCAAGGAATCGCAGCGACTACAACGAGGCTTCTTTGTTTGGCTGGAATGGATCATCGAAAGCGTCTTCGTCGCGCGGCGCCGCTGACTTTTTGGACTCGTCGTGGTCGTCGCTCCAGAGTCTAGCATCTTCGGTGTTGGGGAGTGAATCGGGGCGATCTACGCCAAATAACACGACAAATACGCACACGCGGAGGAAACCATCTCGGTCAGACGTATATATTAGAAGCGCCCCTCGTTCGAATCCTGCGACGTGGGGTCCTACGACCCCTCCATCCCAGAAGTCGGAGCTGGAACCAAGGAAGAGCGACAAGCTTTCGTGCAAGCAAAGAAACGGGAGGCACTATTACTCGCCGATGCCGATCCGATGGCGAGTCCCAGCCGTCGGCATAAACGACGAGACTCGGGTGATTATTTCGATCAAGGGCCTGACCCGGACCAAGATGAGGATGCGCTGGCCTATATTCATCATGTGCAATCGTCGGATACCATCACAGGTGTGACGATCAAATACGGCTGCCAGCCTGCAATCTTTCGAAAGGCCAACGGGTTCTGGCCCAGCGACAGCGTTCAAAGCCGAAAGACGGTCCTCCTCCCTGTTGACGCTTGCTCTGTGAAAGGACGGCCCATTCGTCCGACAGAAAGCACGGATTTACTAGACACCGATTCCGAGGACCCGAATGACAGCTCCATCGCCCCCGCGTCTGGTTCTAAGGGTGTCCTGTCACCAGGACCAACAATGACATCGAGTGGGTGTGAAGCGGAGGCTAATCGGATCTGGAAACATGAGTCGTCGGTGGAAATAGACGGGTTTTCAGCGCCAGTGGAAATTGGCCGCGTTCCTCGAAGGGCACTGGGATTTTTTCCTCGCACGCGCCGAAAATCGACGTCTTATACCGATGCCGAACCCCTCTCTATCTCTTCCCGAGAAGCAACCCGGGACTCCTCCCCATATGGATCACCGCAACCACCATCATCTCCGGGAATTCTTCCTCGAACTCGAATACAGGGGGATCAACCGAGTTCAACAGACACACTTGCCTCTCGTTCTCGCCATCGCCGGCAACGCAGCAGCATCCACCTCACCGGCACAGGGGTAGGCACACTGGATCATTCTTCAACGGCCCCTGGCCCTGCCTTGGATGGTCTGAGCCGGTTCTTTGCCCAGCATATGCCCGCCCTGGCACCCCCTCAACCTCCACCCAACGTACGACGATCCTCGTTTGACTCCGCATCGACTGTCACATCCAATGCATCGACCGGTCTTGAGAATATCGGCGGGGCTCTCGAAGGATGGGTTCGAAAGGTGACGATCCGTGCCAAAGCTGGCATCAACGAACTGCAGCAGGGGCCCACGAATCAGCAGGGCAGCAGCCGAGGTCGTAATATGTGGGGCTTTGGCGATTTGATCGAGCTAGATGATGCCCGCGAGGAACGGCAGTCGCCCAGTCCATTAAGAGCCCCGCGAAGGTCCGACTTGCAAGGGACCTCGTCGTCTTCGTCCTCTTTCCGATTGAACAGTCCTTCAGCGTCCGCGGCGAGCAGGTCTCGCGCAGCTGGCTTTGGCTCAGGATCGGCTGCATATGGCGAGCGCGTAAAGGACGACTGATGTGGTTGATTGACTTTGCAAAACGTACATAATAGAGTCTCGGAGCGTATGTGGAGGTCTGGTGATCCGCAATTTTGCATCTTTTCCCTTCCTTTTTTTTTCTCTCTTCTTTCCTTTCCCCTTTTCTCCCCATCAGCGGCTTGGTGTTCGAGCTTTTTGTTTCTATTTCACTGTTGATAAGAACATCGCGTGCACGACAGGACAGAACAGGACAGGACGAGGCTTCTTGGTCGATGCAGCAGATCATCGTGAAGCCGTGAGGTGGCAGGATCTTCCGTGTGGATGATTGCTTAGTTCCAACCTCGGCCCTTCCCCGTCTTTCTGTTGTTCTCGTCCATTTGAAATGTCCGATGTACACTTTTTTTTTTCTGTTGCTACTGCGACAATTCTTTGCCATGTCCCGCATGAGCCTGTATCCACGGATACCTGCTGATAGTCCAATTGGGCACTTTCTGATATATTTGCCTCGTACTATCCGTCTTGCAAAATCTTAGTAGACTCTTTCTAGAGATAGTCTGCCGATCAGGCTCTCTCCGCCTGCTTCACCACGGAATTCCCCAGGTTTCGTTTTCCCACCTATAGGCGCCTTTCCCCGGGTTCGTGGCTATATATATATTGAATATGTCTAACTTCTGTTCCCAGCGATCATGGAATCAGGCAACACCGTCGGACCCCATACAACGGAACAGACTGGCACCAGCCGATGTACGACCGGATCATCGAGCGAGCGGGGTGTGTCTGCATAGGTAACGAGTATGAAGGCACGGCTGACATTCTACGACAAGATGCACGCATTCATCAAATACCCTCCACTGCCTCCGCACCCTGCCCTATCACACCCTCTACAACGCCGCCTGAGAAGGTCTGGAATGGTTCGCCACGGTCGACGGCACATTCATCACAGAGTCTCCACAGCGCAGCTACATGCAGGACAGATTTGTGCGCGTGCCTATTCTGCTGGGTACCAACACGGACGAGGGGGCTAGTTTCGGGACGACGGGCACGGACACTGAGGAATGTATTGAGTAGTTGATGAGTGAGTTTATCCCTTATACTCTGTCCATTATTCCCTCATACATTGATACTGCAATGATAATGCCGATCTGCTGTATAGAAAAAGAGTACCCCTCTGACATCAACCCTAACCACAGCTTCGAAACGCTCCGTCCTCTCCCGCTCCCAGGCCACTCACCTCCTCTCCATCTACCCCGACACCATTTCCCTCGGCTGTCCCTACGGCTGGGGAAATACGACCTGGCCACAGCTGGGCCTCATGTATAAGTGGTATGCATCGATAGCCGATGATCTGACCATGGTGACACCGCGACGGATGCTGGCGCAGGCTATGTCCAGGGTCGGGAAGCAGGTCTTCTCGTGTCAGTGGGATGTGGCGGCATTGAATACGAATACGTCGAGTCCGATTGGAGTGCAGCATTTGGCAGAGGTATGACTATTCAACACTGAATAGTGAACTATCAAAAGCTTGCATTGCTATAATGGGCGTATGGTTGTTATGACTGGTGGTAACACTGACTTTTATTTATGCAGATCCCCTTCATCTTCGCCAATCCAGTCCAGAACATCACCGCGCTCGGGTCTGATCCTGCTCGTTTGGAATTGGGGCAGATGGCTGCACGGATGTGGGTGTCGTTTGTAACGGATCTGGCTCCGAATGGACATGGTGGTTTGTGTTTTATACATCCCATACACGACTGAACCAAGGCAGATGAGATTTTGGCTAACTTCTCCTTGTTGATGATATCTCCCATTGGCCGCGCTACACATCAAAAGCTTCCAATTTCGTGTTTCTGCTTCCGCGGGGGGAGAGCTACGTCGAGCCAGATACCTATCGCGCGGCGGGCATGGATTTTATCAACCGGATTGTGCGGTGAGGGCAGAGATACAATCTGCGGAAGTCGGTGCCAAGCTCATCCCTCGAGGGGACAGCTGAACAGATTGCTTTCTACGGTGCTTGGCTGGAAGAAACGAACAATACTGAGAATATTGGAACACCAGAGGAGATAGATAGGGCGTTGCTGGTCCACTCGACTCGACCTGTGATTCAATGGGTCGAATCGGTGGACAGCATACCAACAAGGCTTTTTTTTTATTGTCTTTTTTTGGGCAATGTGGCCCGTCCATTCCACCATGGAAATAGCAGAAGACTGTTCTTTTTTTTTTTTCGAGTGGTGATAAGGTATGACATTGGAGGTCAAAAGAGTTGGCAATTTCTTTCTTTCCGTGTCATCAATGCATTTAGGCACTCTTGCCGTTGATGCTGAGGAGCTCGACCTCGCTGTGTAGTGTTAGTCTCGGTCTTGAACGGTGTTTGGGGAAAGTCAAGAGCGGGCTTACAAGACCAGAGGCGAGTTCGGAGGGATCAGGCCGGGGAATCCGCTGCACTCGAGTTAGTGTCTAATTACTTTCATGATGAATACAGTATACTCCGAGTCTGATCAATGGCAGAGCTAGGATGAGGGAAGTAATCACGTACTTAGGACCGTAGCCATAGTCACTGCAGACAGACGTGTTAGCGAAATTCTGGGATATCTGGGGTAACTCGATGTTTGGATCCTAAAAGAGCGAAATGCCATAATACATACCTGCTGATGGTCAGGATGGCCCTCTCGCCCAGGCTCATCTGCGGCACACCCTCATCCCAGCCTATGCGGAGAAGTGTATCAGCACCCATGTAGGTATCTCAAGACCAAAAAAAAAAGCCCGGGTCATCCCAAATTATAGACATTCCAGTGGTCAATCCAAGGAATATGTATCCATCACACACCTTTGATGAGTCGGCCGACACCGATGGGGGTCGCGAGGGGCCCGCGGCCGGGGTTGTGGGAGCTGTCGAACCTGTAGAAACACCAGTCAATCCCAAGCCCATTGGAGTAATAACAGTAAAACGAGAAAGAAAGTACTTACTTGGCACCCATGAAGTGGGAGTCTGGCTTGCTCTGGTCATACAGACAGCCCGTGTAGTGGATGGCGACGTTCTCACCCTTCTTGGGGTAGTCGGTGCCGTTGCCGGGGGTCAAAATCCGCTTCTCGACGCCCATTGTGGTGGAGTATGGGAGTGTGGGGATGATAGAAGTGAGGTTAGAAAGAAGAAGAACAAGAAGAAGAAGTTTTGAAGAAAAAGGAAGAGGGAGGGAAAGATGGAGGGGCAAGGGAACCATCCGCTTTTTCTCCAAGTGGGGGTCGACGTAATCGCCAGTAAACACCGCACCGGATCTGGGGATTCTCTCTACAGTCTACAACGGACTCTACTATACAGCTTGAGGGGCATTCCTACTTGAGGGAGGTTGCGTGCTCGAGGGGAAGCGCCGATCCTCTTGCTCCAAGGATTATCGCCCTGGTCTTTGTCCATGGGAAATATCGGGGCGCAGATGGCTCAATGGCTAGCTGACTCCTCGGGCGAGACACACCCTAGTGGAGGACGATCTGCACCCGAATGGGGGAGCGTGCGAGTGGCTTCATGCGCGCGCATGGAGCCGACGTGAGATCAGTGAGACACCAAGGTTTCTTGGGATGGGGTCCGCGGGTACAGTCTGAAGCTCTCATTTGCCCCCCGGACGAGCATGCCCCGCGGTCGTGAAGGAAGTGGCGGAGGGGGGTGGTCTAGAGCGGATAGTGGGAAAGAATCGTTGCTCTCTTATGCTATGTACAGAACATTTTATAGTTATCTATGCTGTCTGCCAGAAAGCCAGCTGCTTCAACTCCTCCACCGAAATGGCCGCAACCTGCGTACGAGGGAACCGAGGATCGAGCGCGGCTGAGGCTTCGCCCAGCTGCAGATAATACAGCGTTGAGATGCCAGCACGGCCCAGAAACTCGAGCACGCGGTGGAAGTTGAGGCCAACCTGGTCGACGCCGTGGCTGTCATCGGACAAGCAGAAACGACCGCCGCGAGCCACAAATTCCTGTCAGAAATTAGTGCAATCATACAGCAAAATGGAGTTATATCTGGAAGCAAAATGTAGAACAAAAGAAAGAGAAAGAAAGAAAGAAAGAAAGCACAACAGAACTTACTCGACAGATCTCAGCCTTGGGATACGGCTCACTCATTCCCTTCCGCAACGCCGCCGAATTAAGCTCCAATAACCCTCCATACGAGGCGACAAAATCCAAGTTCCGCAAGATACGGCGCCACACCCCAGACCAGGTCGTAAAGCTGCGCTCCATATCATCGCTCTTCAACCGGATCAGGTCAAAATGCCCCACGACCGGCGGCCGCAGCTGCTGAAGGAGATCCAGCTGCGCGTCAAAGTAGTCCTCGAACAGACGCTCGTCAGTGCCACCGGCTGCCTCCCGAGCCCGTTCGTACATGGGCCGGTCATAGTCAATAGGCTCGGTGTGCATGTGGTGGACGGAGCCCACAAAAAACTCGAACGGGAACCGGGCCAGCGAGCGGTCGATCAGCGTGCGTGATTGCGGCCGGATCCAGTCGCATTCGAAGCCGATGATGATCTGGATTTCCGAGGCGTATTTCTCGCGTAGCCGCACGGCTTCGGCCCAGTAGTCGGCTTCGTTGGCTGCGTGGCTGGCTTCGGTGTTACCGGACTCGATCTGGGCATGTGAGTATACTATTTCACAATAATTGCTGGATAGACATTATTCATGGCAGTAGGACAACCTCTGACACACCTCTTCGGGGTAAAAGTCTTCTTGGGAGCGGGGCATGTGCTCGGTCAGACAAAACACTTGCATCCGCTGGCGAATCGCCGTTTGGATGACATCTTCCAGCGAGTTCTTAGCATGGCCCGGGCAGAACTGGCCCGAATGACTGTGGTGCGAGAAGGGCATGCTGTCCCTATGGATAGGAGATTTGGCATGTCGTCAGCCATGTCATCCAAGCAGGGTCTGTGGAGGCAGGCTGAACCGGCCGCAGGGAAGGGTCGGGCCTAAAAGACTATCATTCCAGCGAATGTTTGACTTACCGAACTCTTTGTAGGGCCTGTGTCTCCAGGGATAATTCTATAGTGATGAGGATAATGATACTCGGAAGCAAAAGAGAGTTGATAGCGATAAGCACGTCGTGGGGCTCCTACTCTAAGTGTACCTGCAACTCATTGACAAAGATACCATTACTCTCAATTTTGATTAACTGATGCCTGTATTTCTTTTGTGTATTGGCTCATCTGGTCATCTGGAAGAGTGCCATGGTTCTCACCTCTAACTGCTCGCAGCCTACTAAGTCTATTGTACACTAAACCACCTCATGACCTCTCAGTACATTCCGCCCGTGGGATTCTGGTAAAACCAGTCCACAGTGTATCAGAGATTCCCAGGGTCCAGCTCCATGGTCATCCCCGATCGCAGGGTCAGTATGATGTGTCTGGGACGGACACTTCATGTAGTATACCCAGACTTGTGCAGATAAACTCTCAGTGATTGATCTGGACAACGACTTGCCAGACACAGTACGGGCAATGGATCAGCTCTTTCCAGAAGAGCAACGCCCATAGCGTATCGCATAGCACAGAGACAGGTCAGTCCTCAATGGAGCCCCGAAATCCAGATCAGATCGAGAGCAAATATACCAAGCCCAAACCAATTCATCCAGCAGCTAAAACCGTCGCAACCACATACTCCCCATCATGCGAAATCGACAACCGGCCCACCCGCCCCTCAACAGCCTCCTCACCAGCTCCTCCCAAATACACAACCTCCGGCCGTCGACTCACAGTCCCGCCGTCCCCAGCGGGGCTATTAGAATCCGCCTCAATGCGCACGAGCACATCCTTCCATCCGACCGCTGCCGCCCCGCCCGGCGCGGCCTTGCGCGCGGCTTCTTTGGCGGCGAAGCGGCCAGCGAGCCAGCGCGTCATGTCGGGGGTGATGATGGGGGAACGTGAGGACAGCGGTGATGAGGATTGGAATCGTTGTTGTTGCTGCTCCTGCTGGTGGGCATGTGTTGGGAGTATTGCGCCGAAGCGCGCGCGGAAACCATGCTGTTCTTGTTCGCAGAGGATGCGGCGCGTGAAGCGGGTGAGGTAGTCCCCTGGTCGAGTGATTAGGCGGGTGATGCGGGGGAGGTGGACGATGTCGGTCCCGAGGTTTAGAGGGAGAGGGAAGGGGAGGGGCCTCATTAGGACTGCGTTGATGCGGGTCGTGGGGTGACGTTGTGTAGGAGTGTGGGTTAAAAGTGGGAGGTGTCGAGGTTGAAGTTGGCCATGCCGCGACATCCACTTTATTTTCCAACTCTCATTTCTGCCGAATGAAATACTTCTCTGTGGCTCTCTCTCTCTCTCTCTCTCTCTGAGCTATCTGGCTCGTATTGATTCATATTTTGAACCTAGCCTACGCAGGACTACATTTTGGATCTACCAGTGCGTATCCACTACGTCAAGGGGCACAAGCTGTCCAGAGCTTCGAAAGAGCACTTGAGCATCAATCAAAGCCAGGAGAACATCATGCAGCCAATTCCGAACTTCCCGGCGAGACTCTATCTCGAGAACTGGACCATTCCGTCCCGCCACAAGCCCATGTCGACAACCACAATAAAGGGAAACCTTTTCTATGCAGCGTACATGCCTCCTATGTACAGATCCACCAAGAAAACATCCGACATCCCAGGCTCGAAATCAGCCTGCGCTGCTTCCGCAAACAAGATCAGGTCACACAGGCCTGGCAGAGGATCGGACACGCTCGGGAAAGAAACACAGCAAACAGGATGGGCGATTCGAGTCATGCATCACATGGTCCATGGTTATAACCCATCTCGAAAGTATCGAAGGGGAGTGTTGGGATCTAGTGGTTGTTGGGCTTTTTCTCGCCGCCATCAACCTCCTTCATGAATTGTCTGTGGGCGGGCAAGCAACGTCAGCGAATGGCTCAGCAATATATATGTATATGTATATTTCTTTGCTAGAGACATGGAATTGGCAATGGCACGTACTGGATGAAGTTCTCCTCATCCTTGGAGGAGGCGTTGATCGGGGGGCCCTGCGCAGTCTTGGGCTTCTCCCCGCCACCCGAGGCGGCCCAGGTACCGGCGAAGATAGTACCGAGGGTAGCCATGGCGAGCTATAGTCCCCGGTGAAAGCAACGAGGTTAGTTGCGGATGCTTCGAGCTTTTGACCTCAGGCCACAACGGCTAGGACAGAAAGGGATATCGCGGGCGGACGCGCGACGCCCGTCGGGACCGGGGGAGACTCACGACGTGGGAGCCGACCTTCTTGCCGGCAATCTGGTAGTAGACGACCATCTTGGAGGATTGGGAGAGGGGCGCAAGTGAGGATCAGGTGCAGCGAGGTGGACGGGAGAAGGCCTCGGGCGTGGAAGAGTTGGCAGTCGCACGGAGACCGCCTTCCCTAATACGGTTAGCTTTTGAATCAGCTGATTTGAAAATGACTCAGCAGAATTTGTGTCATGTGACCTCCCGGAATGGTCCGATGTCAAGTGATTTAGGAATGAGATGCAATACAATGCTTTCTTTGCATCATGAAAGAGACATTTACTGTACTGTCAAAAGTAAAATATGCACAAGCGTAGACAATATAAACAGCCATTCAAAGACCATCCAATCCCGTGACTTCCCCGGATCCCGGGAGTGAGGAAACTCGGCAAGGAACCTCGGGAAGACCAGCGATTCCATGGTCGCCTTAGTATACGGCTGCGCCTCGGGAAATGCCCAAAGTTCTCAAGGCTCCATATCTTTTTCTCTCTAGCTCTTCTGTACACTCTTTGTTACTCTTTATTGCTCCTTTTGATATTGTCTATTCTTCCCCCTATTCATATATCTCCCTCTTCTTATATCTTACTCCACCATGGTCTGGGGCAATCAGCCCTCCCCACCGGACGTGGACCAGCACATCCCCCGCGAGAAGCTCCCCGCCAAAATGCAGCAGCTGGTCGACCGCGACGAGGATTTCTACGATGATTTATATTCTCCGTAGTACGTGCTATTCGACTCTTACTCTTATTTCTGGCAAATATCTTGCCTTGTCTTGCTTGTCCAGTGTCAATGTCTGGTGTCGCGTGCCCAAGACATCGCGTCAGGTTCCACTCCACTCAGCTCAAGACAGCGCAACAGCAAAGGACCATTCAGCCCCGGGCAAACCCAAGAAGAAAAAAGACCAAGCAGCAAGCTAACCATTCCCCCATCCAGCTCCGTCGACTCAACCGAAACCCCTTACCGCTACGCCGCCTACGCCAACCGCATCCGCACCATCCTCCTCTCCGCACACCGCTACGTCGCCTATACCTCCGACATAGGCGAGTCCTTCCGCCCCGTCGCACACCCCTGGCTCGTGCGCTCCGCCTACGGCGTGTCATGGGCGTATCTGCTCGGCGACGTCAGCCACGAGGGCTATAAGGCGTACCTGCGCAACCGGCGCGCGCTGGCCCCGGCCGGCGAGGCGTACAAGGATGCCAGCGAGCTGCCGCAGGAGCAGATAATTCGCGGCATGGCTACGGGTAATGTGAACGGGCCGTTGACTTCATCTTCATCTACTGCTCCGTCTTCAAAAGACCCTCTCACACCCTGGCCGACGGCGCAGATCCCGCTCGCCGAGGATTACCGCACGGTGATGGCCAAGCGCGCCGTCTTCCAGGGCGTTGCGTCCATGGGACTGCCGGCGTTTACGATCCACAGCGTGGTCAAGTATTCGGGGCGCATGGTGAAGAACGCCAAGAGTGCGATGGTGCGGACCTGGGCGCCGATTGGGGTAAGTTTGATATCACACAACACACATACAGAAAGATGTTTATCCAATTCCAATTCTAATTTGGTTCCATCTATAGCTCGGTCTAACCGTCGTCCCCTTCCTACCCTACCTCTTCGACCACCCCGTCGAAGAAGCCGTCGACTGGTGCTTCGGCGTTGCGCTACGCGCCTACGGCGGCGACGCAGCTGTCCAGCCTCTGCCCTCGCATGCTCTGCATAGCGGTAGCGGCAATACTGCTGCTGGCACTACTGCCGCGGCAGCGAATCTCTCATGGGATGAGTACAAGGCCGAGTGGGAGCGCGGCCGTGACGAGAAGCAGCAGAAGCAAGGGGGTGTTGGGACGCTGACGGGGTGGTTTAGGCGGTTGGGGGAAAAGAGTAAGAAGGAGTGATCTTTCTCTCTCTCTCCCTCCTCCCCTCTTTGATCAATCGTCTCTTCTCATCTACTGTACAGATGCATTTCCCCTCTTTCGCACACTTTCCTTGTATATTTAACTCGATTACCTATTCTCTCTTTGGTCTGCATCTCCCATATTCTGGAAATATCGACTCTCGTACTAGTCAACGCAGAACATTCTCAAGTAGAACCTGGGGAGTACACGCCTTCGAACAACATTGAAGTAGAGGCCATCAACAAGCATGCGGAGCTCTATCTAGTCATCACTGTAGTAGCTTAACTCCAAATCTATCCGTCTTATTCGCAGCTCAAGGCCCACTACCTATACATGTACAAACACAAAACCAGACAGCCAACAGCACAGACAGACAAAGAGAGAAGCAGAGAGCAGGGAATAGGCCAGCTCGAGGATGGCGGTAGCCCAGACCATTAAGCATGTGTGCAGAACAAAGTCAAAACGCAATATAACCAGAAAGATATAAGATTCTCGGTGGCACAGGAACAAAGAACATTGAATAAGTTCGTTTCATATTCCGTTGTCACAATGCCATCGAAAGAAGAGGATAAAAAAGGTATTGGTAAACAAAAGGGGGAATAATTCAAGAAGAGAAAAAAAAGTGACACAGGCAGCGGCGCCGAATAGACGTCGCTCGGAGTATCGAGAGAAAAGAAAAAGGCCGATCAAAAATTCCACAGAACGAAGATATGCGATATATGACATATATATCCTTGCAAAGAGGTGATAAACAATGAAATGAAGTTTTGTGCAAGTCTCTCTTCCTCTTCCCGGCCTTTGGTCCGAGAGACAAGGGACGCGAAGGGAGGAATCCACCTCGGCTTCGAGAACTGGAGCGCGTGATCGCAGTCCTGAGGCACGTCCCCTGTGATCCGGGAAGAGTCGTCTATCCGTCTGGTCGTCAATCTAGTTCCACCCAAGCGAGTTCTCAGCCATCACCGGCGCACTGATCATCTGGGAGCGGTTGGTTCCGCGGCTGTTTTGGCTGCCGAGCGAGCGACCACCCGCACCGAAGACTGAGCCAGCGTGCGAACCCTCGCTCATCTGGTCGACGGTGGAGCTGGAGCGCTGGTGCAACTGGCGTCTCTTGCGGTAGCGGCGGGCGACCCAGAACATACCCGCTCCATAGGCGGCGGCACCAGCGACAACGCCCACGCCAGTTCCAACGGAGCTGGCCTTGATCTTCGAGCTGTTGCCCGAGCCATCGTCGGTATTACTGTTGTGGTTGTCGCCATTGCCATTACCATCGTCGTTTCCGTCAGAGTTCCCGTCAGACGAAGGGTTGTTGCCTTCAAACATCAGAGGGATCGACGGGTCGATCAGCGACATCAGCTGGTCGATAGCCTGGCGGTTGCCCTTGTAGAGAGCAGAGTTCGGGTTACGCTTCTTCTCCGCCAGCGAGTCGATTTCATTGCCGGGCCAATAGAAGATGGCAAGGGTGGCATTGTAGCCGGTCTTCTTCCAGGAGAGGTAGGGCTCTAGGGCGTACATGGCAACGTCCTTGACATCAGGGAAAGCATGCTTCAGTGCGGTCGGTACATAGTCGAAGATCTGCGACGAAGACAACGGAGTGGTTGCCACAAACGGCCACGGAAGCTGGCCATTAAAACCCAGTTGAAGCAGGGAGGAGTTCTCCGGGGGCTGCTTGATCTGGCTGGCCGGAGGAAGAATTGAGTCCGGCAGCGAGGTGTGGCTGGGCTCACCAGTTTCAGAGCTCGAGCTCCCCGAGGTCGAAGAAGACTGGAGAAGAACGCTCGACGGCATGAAGTCGCTGGAGTCGCTGGACGACGACTTCTCACTGGGCTTGGGCTGAGGCTCCACGGGCTTGCTCGTAGTGACTGGGGGAGGTGGAGCGATCGAAGTGGGATGAGGGGCAGTCGAGGCCTTGGTGTCTTGGGCACCGCTCCCGGGAACAGAAAGCGTGGGAGCAGACATGGGAGGCGCAGAAGCCGCGCCGGAGCCCGCCTGTGTGCCAGAGGTCGATTGAAGGCCGGGCGAGTGCGGAACGGGAATGCCCCCAGCGTACTTGGAGGTTCCGCTCGGAATTGGAGCACCGGTAGCACCAGTACCAGTAGCACCAGTACCATTCGATGATGCCGAAGTTTGGAAGATACCACCCGGTATAGAGGCAGTCGGGACCGCGGGAGGAGTAAGGCTGCCCGAGGGTGAACCATTGAGACCGGGAATGCTCAAGCCGCCCGAGGGAATACCACTGAAACCGGGAATGCTCAAGCCGCCCGAGGGAATACCACTGAAACCAGGAATGGTCATGCTGCCCGAGGGAATACCACTGAAACCGGGAATGGTCATGCTGCCCGAGGGGATTCCGTTGAGACCGGACAGAGGATTTAAACCCTTGGCAATTGACTCAACAGGGGCAAGCGGATCAAAAGACTGGGTGGCGGTTGCCTTGGCGATTGGCGGAACGCTGATGGGGAGTTGGGACAAACCGCTGGGATGAGTAATGTTATGCAAAGCATCGGTGACGTGGTTGACACCCAGTTTGTCCAAGAAACCCTCGCTTGAGCTCGAGGACGAAGAGGAAGAATCCTTGTTCGAGGGGCTCTTTCCCTGGCTGGTTGGTTGGGACGAACTGGAGGCGCTGGACGAACTCGTAGCAGTTTCCGGGGAGAACCTGTCCAAAGCAGACCTGACATCTTCTCCAGCAGTCGAGAGACCATTATCCACGCGAGACAGAAGCTCCGGGATCCCGCCGTCATAGGACGGAGACCCTCGGGGCTGTGCTGAGGTGGACGACTTTGAAATCAAGTTGGGGGCGTTGGACTTGGAAGATCCGTTCGACTCCGAGGGAGAACCGTTCGGCTTCAACAATCTACTCGGGTCGTTGTTCTTGAAATTGGTCAAATCATTGTCTTTGGGGGAGTTTGTGGCCGACACGGCATCCCGGAAAGCGGAAGTGGCACCACGCCACGCAGACGAGGCACCGTTGACGGCACCGTTGACCACACTGTTGGCAACGTCGGGCACAAGGTTCAAAGGGTTTCCACCTTTAGGCCCGGACTCTTGCGGGTTGGCAGGGGTTGTCCGCTTGGAAGTTTGCGTGTTGCTGGACTGATCGAAACCCCACTTGTTTTCGGTGGAGTCCTGCGAAGTTTGGGAATCCTTCCTGAATGTCGGCACTGAGCTCGTTGTCTCGGGACGCGGAGTGTTGGGTGCACCATTGCCCTGCGAGGTCGCGACAGGGTTGTTTTTGGACTTCGACTCCGCGTTCGAAGGAATCGCTTGCGTGGTCTGAGTGACTGCATCACCCGGCTTACCAGGCACATGCGTGGTACCGCTAATGGTGTGAGTGATCTTGGTGTTGGCAGGGTCGACCGAGTAAGTCACCACGACCACATTGTATCCCTCTGGCTTGTCAGGTTGAGTGCCCTGGGACGAGGCGCTGGGGTTGGGGTTCGGGACGGGGTCAGAGTTTCCTCTCTGGATTGCCCGCTTGATTTCCCGCGGGAGAGTAAAGCGAGGACGCTCCACCTGGTCCGCATCCTGCGCTGCCACCAGGTCCAAGCCCGTCAAGGCGAGCAGCGCTGCCAGAACAGTCACAGAGTCGAGACGCATGCTGTTCGACAGGCCACAAAAGTGGTTCAAGAACAAATATTAGGGGGATCAGTGCCGTCGGTTAGACGTCGAGACGAGCTTGATCAATCGAGGCTGGGACAGTCGCAACACCTCGCGGGTTCGTTTTGAATTAACCGGCAATCGATCCGCACGCGTCTCGATGGCAACGGGGTCTGAAGTGAAACACCAAGTCGAGCACACAGATATCGGACTTAGAAACGAGTGGAAAAGGGGGATTCAGACGAAAACTGAAACAGGCCCCAAGACGAATAGACAGAATGCAAGTTCAAGCGAGTGTGGGAAAAAAGTAAGGAGCGAACGACCTTTACAAAGGCAGAAACGTCAAGGCTAGCAAACAGAGGTGAGGCGAAGGGCGACCGTGGGTTATGCAAGGGGAGGGGGATTGACTCCCAGGTCGAAGGCGCCAGGTCGAACAGATAGAGCATATGAAGAAAGAAAGAGAAAGGAGTGAATAAGGTGCAGGAGAGGCAGATGGGCGAGGAAGGGGAAGGGGGGGTGGTGGGACACGTGTGGCCCGTAAATTACGGTAAATGACCGTAAATTATGGTTTATGCCCACGCACCGCTTTTGTTTATTTTTACTTGCGATGATTCTTACTTTTGATAACTATAGATATAATTATTAGATCCATGGATATATTATCATTATCTGGATATCTTCGAAGTCTTTGAAGAATTTGCCCTGAGATTGCCTGGTTCCCTCGATCCCAATGCACCCGGACGTTTGTCTGTGCGACGGTCTGGCCCCGGGTATATCACGATCGACAAAGGGTGATTCAGGGTGGAGCAGGCCACGGGGCTATCAACAATGACAATTTCAGAGTCGTCCATAGTGTAGACCCATAGTTTGTCGAGATTTATCATGCTCCTTTTTATTTGATTCTTTCTTTTTTCGTCTTTTCTCTTCTATTTTATATTTACATCTATATTTTTTTCCAATCCATAAGCACAAAATCTTTTCGACGCTAGCAGGGCTAAAAGGGGGTCCACCCGTTCCTGGCCGTGGAGCCAGGGCGCAAAAGTGCGTTGACATAAACGGCGGGTAAGTGGGCCACGGTACCTGGCGTGGATATACGATACACAGGCATCCAGCAGGTACCGGCTCAGGGCGCTAGTGCTCGGGGACAGGCCTTTTCGCTCGTTTGGCTTATTCGGGTAAGCGATCAACAAAGAGGTCGAATCAGCTTGCCCTGCGCCTTACCTAGTCCAGCCTCACCCAGCCCGCTAGTATTATTTCGGGGCGGTTGATTGGTGGTAGGGGAAAAGGGCTTGGGGTCCGCGCCCCAACTCAGGATTCGATGAAAATAGCAAAGAAAAAAGTTCTATGAATATACTAGTTGCTGAAGTGGAGAGAGGCGTTCTTTGACTCGAAAATGGGTGAGAACGAGATATCGTCACATCCACGTGCCTGACTTGGTCGGAATGTTGGTTTCACCTCTTTTCTGTCACATTCTTGCAATCTGATGAGATCGTGATATAAGAGAATTCAACAATAAAGAGTGAAAAATTGGAAAGAAAAAGAGAAATGTCACCATCAAACTTGCAACAAAGAACCAGTGGCCCGGGGCGGTTTGAGCCTCCGCCCCATTTCTTACAGTAGTTCGGGAACCGAATCCGCCCCCTTCCGTAGTCAGATGGATAAAAATAACTATATATAATACATTGTATATATCAAAGTGTAAAAGTATATCATCTACCATTTTATATATATTATATATTCTATATCAACAGGATATCACTTCAGAAAAGACCCTGAGTCTGAGGTCGATGCTCTTCGCCCGTACCACGGGTCACGGGGCACGCTATGCCTGTTCCTGAGCTCCACTCTATATCCAGTCATGTGATATGTGAAAATAGTGCTCCTCCCAGAGTGGATAACTTGTATATCCATCAGACTTGTATTTTAGGCTTCTATAGATTGTATAGAAATTCGCATTCAATCGGTTCTCGACTCAGGTTGCCATTTTGCTGCCATCACCAGGATATACTATTTGTACTGCATTGACCATCCAACAGTACCTAGGTCAGAGCCTAGAACTCCTTCCAGCTCCCTTGACCAGTCCCGAGCATTCAATCTCAACATCCGTTCCCAGTGGTAGAGACTTGACACTAACACAGGTTCGGACCTACCAAAGACCAGACTCGGTTGTCAGTCAAATGGACCGTGGAACAGGGAACCAAAGAAAAAGAAAAGAAAAAGAAAAAAATAGCTCACCGGTTTGGGATCCACAAAAAACGTATCGTAGACTTCATTGACAGCAGGAAAGTCGGCCATGTCGGCCAGGAAGATGTTCACTTTGATGGCATCGTGTAGACTCGACCCGCCTGCCTCCAGCACGGCATTGAGATTGCGCAGGATTTGTCGCTATTCATGTTAGATGTCACACCACACATATATTGAAGGGTATAAATCTTTTATTTAGTTCGTACCGTTCGGTCCTGGATGCTCCCCTCCACCAATTTGCCCGTGGTCGGATCCGTGCCCACCTGCCCGGAGCAGTACACCACGTCACCGACGACGAGACCCTGCGACAGAAAGGGCGCTGGGAGGGGTGCTCGCTCAGTGCGGACGGGAGTGCGGGTTACTTTGGCCATGGTGTCTGAGTCGATGTTGAGAAGAACATCCGAAGACGTTGACATTCTGCGGGGATTTGCATCGATAACTGGGTTGCCCCACAGTTTCCCGACCACTGCCGTGGGGAGAGATATCAAGTAATGAGTGACTGGTTAAAGCACACAAATAAGAAATGCTTCATAGGTTGTACTATTGTATTACTGTGACATTTTTGCAATTCTGTGGAATTGGGTAAGTCAACTTGATTCGGCATGATTGTACATATCTTGACTGTCTGCGGTACACTTCGAGAGATCGAGAAAATGCGAAAGTCGAGATTTACCAGCAGGCTTTTCGAAAGCTCACCAGAGTGCCCAGTAAGCCTTGAATAGATTCAAGGCTCACTCTATGCAGCTGTGGTTGTCGTGTTGCATGAAGCAGTGGCATTGACTAACCATCTCGTCATCGTTCTTACCTGAGTATATTAGCTATTTAGCCAGAATATACCTTCAAATATTTAGACTTGCCAATTTCAATAGTCTATATTCTGTGCCAATTTAGGTCCTTAGTTGTGGGAATGTCCTTAAAATCGAAATTCACCTCGATGGTAACTCTCAGTGTGAACATGCCCACACCCTCAAGTGTCCATCCCCATGTTTACCTCTCACTTTCTTCAACCTGCTTCACTCTTTTTCCCTTCCCAAACTCCTTACCACTCCGCCCTGTTAGCCAACAACGCTCTCCCCATTCCTTCACTCTTACCCTCTACTCATCGTCTATCTCCACAGTCCCATCTATGAAAGCAACCCACCACTCCACACATCTCATCTCGTCCAACAGAATGGAAGTCTCCACACTCATGGACACATCCCACGGTCCTCCCGCGGCGCATCACTTGACCCATCCCGATCTCACGCAGCCAGGGCCCTATGGAATCGATGTGCACCACTTGACGGCCAAGGTGTTTCTGAACCGGCCAGTGGAGGACCTGATTCCTGTGCGGTTTCTGAGAATGGCCGAAAGAACTCGTGAGATATTACCCATTACTATCCCTCCTCTTTCATTTACCTACCTTTTCTTTTATTTTCTTTCTTCTCCCATCTCCATTTGCATCTACCACCCTATTTCCTACAAGACCTTGCAACCAGGCAAGCAGACCTTAAACTAACTCCATCTTCACCAGCAACCGTCCAACGCAAAGCCTGGATCTTCCGCAGCGGCGTCGAAGATGCCCGTGACATAGACCTCAACGAATGGTCCAAGATCGACATCCGCTACCGGGGCGTTTTCAAGACCCTCGCCAAGGTCCCGTGTTTCAGCAAGGGACTATGGGATGGGGGTTGTGAGCTGTGCCAGGTCGAGCTGGAGCAGAAAAAGCCCTGGGCCCAGGCGCAGGTGGTCTATGCGCTTCTGGAGGAGATCGGGGACATGTTGGATATCAAGCGATCCACGGCGGATGGCAAGAAGGTGTTCTTTCTGAAGTGAGATCCCCCCTCCTATGTATAGAGGTATAATTTTCTGCCATGTAAATTTATATACATACTAACACTGACCAGACCACGTCTACTCGCTATGCCACTCGAATACTGGACCGGCTATCGAGAGAAACACTTCGACGCCCCCGAAACAGCGGGCTTCCTGGCACTGGACTTTAGTCCGGATGGAGGCATTGCCATCCCGATTCTTCCTGTGTCGACGGTAAGTGATACAACTAGCTTTGCTCCCTTATAGAATGATTCTATATTACTATAACATAAGCTAACTCATACCTTTTTAACTAGACTATGGAAGAAGAATCACTCGCCTCAGCCCTCAACGGCAAATTCAAGCTCATGCTTGGCCAACTCCTACTCCATGTGCGCCCCCTCCCGCTCCCAGGCGACAAGTTGCCAGACCAAGAGATCTTTCTGGTGGGACAGCACGGCTCCAAGCTGCATCTGATGCGGGCATTTTTCCCCGGCCAGAAGATGTCGAGTCTGTGGTGTCGGCGCGAGCTACCCGGTCCGTCTACCAGGCTGCCGCCGGATCTGGGGCGGGAGGTGCTGTCGGTGTCGGTGCCGAGTAGTCCTGTCGGAATGAGGGGGTGTCATGATCCAGAGGAAGAAGAGGGTGATAACAATGCACCAGAGAACAACAACAACATCAACGACACCTCCTCCACTACCACTGTCAATGTCCACCCCGAACCAGGTAGACGCCGCAGCAATAGCACTCGTTTCTACGCCCCGCCCAACATCGAACGCCTCCGGCAACACCTCGAGCAAACAAAACTCGACACGCTCGACCACGAGCCGAATCTGCACACCTTCCGCGTCCTGGCCACGCGCGAGTTCGACCTCTGGCACAAAGATGATTTCGCCGCCGCCGTCCACGTCCTCACCGCACTGCACCTGTATCTGCTCAGCGGGCAGGCGCGGTGCGGCACGCTCCAAGAAACCTTTGAGGATCATCCGTACCGCGAGGATGACAATAACCACAACCAAAGCTACACCCCCAATCCAAACTACAGACACGCCAATGACTACAGCTGGAACAACAACTACGAGGCTGGCAGCGACATTAGCAGAAGTAGCCGTGCCGAGGACGAGCATGAGGAAGAGGAAGAGGAACGTCATAGGAGACTACGCGCTGACATCGAGGCAGAGGAGATGCGGCTCGCCGAGAAAGAGGAGGAGTTGCGTCGGGAAGAGCTGATTCAGAGACTTGAGCAGGAGGAGGCGGTGCGCGTGCGGGAGGCGATGCGGTGGGCTGGGGAGGATCGCATTGGTAGTTTGCGGGACTCGAGGCGGCCTTGGTGGGATTTTGTGTGGGAGGACCGGGAGGGGGAGGGGGCTGGGTATGGTTATTCTGCTGGGGATGATGCTGATGCTGATACTGAGGGTGAGGGTGAGGGTGAGACTGAGACTGAGACTGAGACTCAGGCTCAGACTCAGACCCAAAATGACACTGCGATGAAGTACGACCCGGCAAAATGGTGATGACGATACGGTTCGTGGGGAATTGCAAGTGACTTACTTTGTGGGGTGCAGTGGAGTGGTGCGATGGGACAGCGAACCCCAGATCGTTGAGAAAGTATCGAGATCGTTAGGAATCTGACTCGTGTTTGATTATTTTACCTGGTGCCTACTTTCTACACAACTACATGTTCGAGTTTGTTTAATTGTAATTGAATGAATTCTGGTATATATATCTAGATTCACTCTAGCTGCGGGCGTCAACACCCCAAAGAAAAGGAAATTGATATCATGACACATGAGAGTATGAGTATAAAAAGACACGAGTGGGGGGACGAGGGTATACATGAATGGAATTGTGAAGCCTGCATCTCAATTCCTCCCCCAAGAAGGTCTCTGCAGATAATCGACTCGCGATCATCCCAGAGCGACACGAACATAAAAAAAAAAGAGAAAAAGGGACAATGATACAACCATCGACGAGGTTTAGTCTCGTCGACGGCGTTCCGACTCGAATGCAGTAAATGCATCGATCCCGAGGCCATCCTGACCGCCGGTGCGGAAATACTCGATCACGACTCCAATGGCATAGCAGGTTGCGGCAGTGGCGCTGCCGGCAATGAACATCCGGCGAAACGCCCTGCGGACTGAGGACTCCGATTGTGATTGCGAGGTCTCGACCTTATCGAGCAACGGTTCGTATGTTGTAGATGATGGCTAAGGCGACCAGTTAGGAGGGCGACCGAATAGACAGTTTTACTGTCTACTCACCTGGCTGGCAAGAGAGGCCAAGTCGAACGAGTCGTGTCGAATGAACTTGGCAATCTCTGCTTGGGCCAGGGGATCGACAGGTTCTTGCTCGGCGGCCGCGGCTTGACCGCGAGCCCTTCGGAACACAAGAATGTCTCCGCCGCCCGTGGCAATGTCGTAGCCTTCGCGCTGCATCTGATCGAAGAAGGGCACGAACTTGGCAGGGTTGTGAAGTCGGGACAAGATCTCAGTGGGCTGCACAGTCTCGCCGGCGCCGAAGAAGGAGTCGGCCTCAGCCGTGGTGACTTGTGAGGTTGATGAATCATAGGCAAGAATGCGGTAGCTGGCAGCTGCTGGTCCCTGGGCCTGGCTTTGCAGGAAGTCACCGACACGGTCCTCCGAGCCCTCAAACTCCAACGGCCGAACCGGTCGCGATTGTTGCACCTGCGGCCCAAATGAAGCGTACCGAGCGCGGATGTCGCCCGCTTGGAGTGACTCGCTGTCATTAAGGGCCTCGACGCTAGCCGCATCGGAGGTGAACAGAGCCCCCAATTCACTCCCGGGTGCGCAGTCCTGGGTCATGTTGACTCGCTTGAGATGACCTGGATCGGCCATCAGCTCAGGCTGGGACAATCCCTCCTCGGCAGAGGTTGGATCTGCGACAAATTTCGCTTCCAGCTCGTTCCCCGGAGGGCAATCGATGCTTGCTGCCGACACTTCGGCCTGAGAGCCGACCGAGTCTGCCAAGATCTTGGCTTCGACCTCGTTGCCGGGAGCGCAGTCCACCGTCGCACCAGTGGACTCGGCAGTAGCCTGGAAACCCGTGGCCTCCGAGGCGAACTTGGCATCCAGCTCGTTGCCGGGAGGGCACTCGACGGAAATGCCGGCAGGGTTGCTAGCGGACTGAGTGCCAAACATCTCGACCGGACGACTCTGGTCCAGGCGACTGGCAGGGTTCGACATGAACATTGCTTCCAGCTCGCTGCCCGGAGCACATTCAACATTTCTGCCAGATTCCAGGCCAGCATCGGCATTCAACACTTTCGAAGAGCCCTGGACCTTGAAGGTTTCTGCGCGAGGCTGCTGGGTGCGAATTGAGTCGGAGATAAACAAGGCTTCGAGCTCATTTCCGGCAGAGCAGGCGATGTTGATGTCGGGCTTGTGAGCGGCCTCCTGGTGGGCAACTGGCCGAATGTGAGCATCCTTGATACTAGCCGGGTTGGCAACAAAGTGTGCCTCCAGTTCGCTGCCGGGAGGGCAGTCGACCGAAGCCTCTGACTGGACCGTCTTCATGGCGTCGATATCGCCAGCGCCAGCAGGCTGAAACTGGCCATCCTCAACCAGGGTAGGGTTGGAGACGAATTTTGCCTCCACTTCACTTCCCGGGGGGCAGTCCACAAATTCGCGGGCGTCAGCCTGTGCGTGGGAGTGAAGCGCTCCTGTGGGGGAGTTTGGTGACTTGGGTGACATACGCCCAGTGATCGGATCGTACTCGAGGGTCTGGCTCTCAGAGTGGGCGAAGTTGAAGTCTTGGAGGAGTCCCTTCTCGGGAAGCTCGCTTGATTTCGATTCGCCGCTCATTTGCCACCCGGCGGCTCCCATGGGATTGGAGTTCGCGAACTTGTCGGTGTTCATGAAAGACTGCAGAAACGCAGTCAATGGGTTGGCGGACTTGTCCTGGTTATGGTAGGGCTCAACGGAGCGACCGAAGATCGCACCGTACGGATCTGTTGTGATGTGCTTCTTCAGCTGCGTCATACGCTGCTGCATCTGCTCGCGCTCTGCATCCCAGAAACTGTGTTCTCGACCAGCCGAGAAATCCGAAAAGCTGGAGCGAGATCGCAACGATCCCCAGCCTGCACTCCCGCTGGGGGCCCTGTGGGCTGTGGAGGGCCAGTCTTGACGACTTTCTGTCTTGCGGCGGATGTTGGTCAAGGGATGTCGCTGGTACTTGTCGATTCGTCTTGAGATGCGTTCTGTCTTGTCATGGCTGTCACTGCGGGCACTGCACCATACATTTCGAGTTTGTGCTGTGTGTGCCGCCACCAATTGAGAGAAAGCAGGGCGCCCAGCAGCGCCTGTAGACAATGCGACCGAGGAACTCATGCTAAATTCCTGGGTCTGAACAATCCAAGAAAAGAATTTCTTATTGTATAGGATATAGAAGGATACAGGATCAGGTGATGGGGCTCCAATGCGTCGATCGTACCCACATGTGATAAGAAAGTGTGGGGGAGAAGAGCTAATGTGGCCCGAGAGTCCAAAGTATACCGTTTCAAAGCAGAGGAAAGGGGGAAAAGTGTGATGAAAAGGGGATGATAGGATGAAGAAGAGAACAGAGACAGTCGATGGGAGAAGGGCCAGAAATAAGGAGCGAGCGAAATGCCCTTAGGACCAGAGGGCTCCGGTGCAGCGGGGATCCTCAAACCCATCAACCGGGAATCCACCAATCAGCGCGCGTACCTCGGTTCCCCCGCAAGCAGAGCCCGCTGATGTCAGCGTCCCTGACGTCACTGACTTGCTGTGCAGTCCGAGAGCCCCCGATGAAACGCAACTAGGCATCCTTCCATCGTCATCCAGTATGCATGGGGAGTCGATCTTCTCCTCATGAGGTAATCGGTCTCTCCATGAAGTATTCGATACAACCAAAATCAGGGAACCATGACGCTATTCAGGGGCTTTTACACCGCCCAACTTTCTCCCTCTCCTCCCCCCCCCCACCCAAGAGGCATTTCGACGCTGTCGCTGATGTAGTTGCGCCAGAAACGGAGCCCCTCAATCCCTGCTTCCCGACAAACGATCCCCCGGTCCTCGGCCATCTCCAGCTCTTCTGCGGCCACCCCGACGCTCCACTTGAATCGCTGGGCTGCTTCCTGTGCCGTGACGGCCCGACCGAACAGACTCCAGTCCCAAGGAAGAGGATCTTCGGGTGGAACCCGCCGGAGCTCTTCCATCCAATCTTGAAGCTGTCCAAGGGTTCTTTCGTCGCTCCAGTCATATCGCTGCACGACCAGCAGCCCACTTTTGAAGCGTCGCAGCCGGACAGGCAGCTTGAGTTTCTCCCAGAGCTCGGCGGCCTTTTGGAAATCCGATGGGCTGACGAGCTCGACCCCATTACGGGACCGATTGAACACCGCCCAGAGATCTATGAGACTCATAATGCCCCCTTCCCGATGTAAGATGCCCTGGCTATCATCCGTTAGGTATTCGGCCAGGTTACGTGATAGTTCGGAGAGGTAGAGATTCTCTGATCCCGAGGTGAGCATGTCCTTGGTAGTCACCATCCCCAAGGCTGCCGCCGACTCTGATAGCACCGCGTTCGCTTCTGTAGAGTGCCCGTTTGTGGCCATCCCCGACTCACGTGCCAGAGTTTCGGCCAGAGCTACAATCTGCTTGGCTGACGCCATGAGAGCCTCGAGGTCCTCAAAGGAGTTGCCAATAACCAGCTCATTATTCTTCCGAGTTTCAAACCCTCGTCGTTCCAAGCCAGCAATGCCAACGCCTGATGGACGTGGGGCCGGCGGGGGGCTTTCCAGGGCAGTTGGGATCTGCAAACTCGGCGAGGAAGTGGCCTGCGACGGCGGGGGCACTGGAGGCGCATCCTGAAGTAACCATTTTCTTTGAATCAACGCCCCTTTGAGTCTTTCATGAAAGACTTTCTCGCCGCCTGCGCGGAATGAGAGCTTAATGCTTTCGCTCACTTCCGTATTCGTAATGCGCGACTGTTCGAAGAACGGTGCAGGGGAGTCCGCACGGATTCCGGCGTTCGAAGAGCCTGAAAGTAACGGGGCTCCGCACATCTCACACTCCACAAGGGACGGGTGATTGACGAACGTACACCGTGGGCAGGAAACTGATCCACCCGGCTGGAGGGTCTGAGCCTGGCCATTGAATTGTACTGGATTGTCTTCACGCAATGCGCCGGTGGGTAGAGGTGAGTCTCGACTGGTCGCAGCACTGATTGAAGCCTTCAACACGGTTGTAAATGGTGGCTTGATGCCACATGCGAGACAGGGTGGCAAATGCGTCGCCGCAGTGGCCGTGGCCGGGTCGAAATTGGATGGGACGGGGTTGGAGAACGAGCATATCGGACAAATCCATGTGGCACTGGCCGGCTTAGGCGAGGGGGACTTTTGTGGTGTACTCGTTCGTGGCAGAGGAGATAATGAGTTCCCAAGGCGGGGTGACTGGGATATGCCAGGACTGGCTGTTGCGCTTCGGGACTTGTCGGTCTTGTTTTTCTGTGGTTTCGGGTACAGAGTAACCTTTGGAGAGGACTTCAAAAAACCTGCCTTTGACTTGACACAATTCTTAGCGAGTGAAGGACTGGGTCGTGGTAGGGGAGTATGTCTCGGACCTGGTATTCGGCGCGATCAATTTCCTTGAGATCGATGCCTACCGAGAACTTTCGTGGTTCCTCTGCTGCAACATAACACACTCGATGGGAGGTGAGGTAGGCATGGCCATTTTGGTAGTCTGGTATTTTAAATTTGCTGTTGCGCTCCCAGTCAGTAAATGGCGTCAACCATGGCCACCGTAGCTACTCACCCTTCATATAACCCCACCGCATCCTGGACAAAGAGAAGGATCTCATCGGGCAACAGTGAGGGCCGGAGTGCAGTGGTCAGGTCCAGAGCCTTGAAGAACATCTAGCAGGTTCATGTCTCAACGAGAGCCGACCTGTTGCTCAGAGAGAGGCGCGATAACCCGATAACGGGCGACCCCGGATGTCCGGATCAATGTATTTCCGTCAAGCGAATCTCCTCTCCTTTGCTCTCGCACTTCAGCATTTTGTCGAGCATCAACACTTTGTCTGGCGATCCTCAAATACCACACTCTCACTTCTACCCCGTAGGAGTAATACATCTCCTTCTGTCTCTCTTCTCGAGCCCAACACCACGTAGCTCTTTCGGCTTCTCTTTTTCTTCCTTGACCGTGTTTCTTTATTCTTCGCTTTGCATCAGTTCCAGGCTGCTTTCGAGATGAACTCTAGCGTTCCACCGTGGCGTGCAACAGCTTCAGCGCCTGTTTCAACGCCTTCTGCGTTTTCATCTGGTAAGAGCCCTGATCATCGAACCAACTTGTTTTGGGTTTGGCCTGATGCTAACCCTGACCCAGCGACTCCTGCCTATATCCCAGTACACGCCCGTCGTAGCCTCGCCCCTAATCAAGCCAACCCCCCAGCACCATACGCATCGCAACCGACGATGTCCACTCCCGCAGAAGCAGAAACCCGAAAACGAGTGGAATTCCCACCGGCCGTGCGCACATACGTCCAACGGTGTTTTGCCCCGGAGAACAATATTCCCAGTGTGACCACGGCTGAAATGCAGGAGAAGTTGAGAGCCACCATCACCACTGCTGCCGAGAACCAGAAACTGGGTCTTATCGACTGGGAGCGGCTGGCTCTACCCCAGGTCATGATCCAAAACGAACGCAACAAGATTTTGGCCAACCCTAGTGTTTCAAGCTGGGCCATGTCCTCCCAATCAACTTCCCCTGGGGATTCCTCACGGAAGAGAAAGTCAACAGATCTTCACCAGTCGGAAACCGGCTCGCCACCGTGGAGAAAAGCTAACCATCGCAATCGTTTTGAAGACCGAGTCACTTACCCCCCTACAGAAAAGAAGCCACGCATCACCCTGGATGACTCTAGTAAGTCAAGAGCTAATTTGGAGATGAGGCGGAAGCGGTTTGAGGGAGTTGGAGGCAGTCATGGAGGCTCTCTCTCTTCCTCCCCCACCGATTCTCCGGCCCCTACTACCGAGGTCGATCAGGGACCCGTCATCGGACGGTGCCAAGCCCTGGAGAAGAACTATTTCCGCTTGACCTCGGCTCCGAACCCAGACACTGTCCGTCCCCTGGCGGTGTTGCGGAAGACGCTGGATCTGCTGAAGAAGAAGTGGAAAAAGGATGGCAACTACGGCTACATCTGTGATCAGTTCAAGTCGCTGCGGCAGGACCTGACGGTCCAGCATATCCGGAATGATTTCACGGTCATCGTCTACGAGATCCACGCGCGCATCGCCTTGGAAAAGGGGGACCTTGGTGAGTATAATCAGTGCCAGACTCAGCTCCGGGTGCTCTACGCGCAACAGCTGGGCGGACACCCGACGGAATTCAAGGCGTATCGTATTCTCTATTTCATTTACACTCGCAACTGGACGGCCATGAACGATGCGCTAGCCGACGTCACAGCCGAAGATAAGAAGGACCCCGCGGTCAAGCATGCACTGGATGTTCGTTCTGCACTTGCCCTTGGAAACTACCATCGTTTCTTCCAGCTTTACCTTGATACACCGAACATGGGGGCCTATCTCATGGACATGTTTGTCGACCGCGAACGCCTGTCTGCCCTCGCCGCAATTTGTAAATCGTGAGTTTGCATCTCTCTTCTGTTCTCGAAGAAATCATTTGCTGACACACCTCCAGGTACAAACCCGATGTTAACATCCGGTTCATCACGGAAGAGCTTGGGTTCGAGTCCGACGAGCAGACTGCACGGTTCATCCTGGATCACTCGACCGAGAAGATGCTAGAGGAGAAGAATGGGTCTGTGAGGCTGCTGGCCCCCAAAGCGTTCACATTCTTTGAACAGGCCAAGGCCGAGGCGAACCGCATCGTCGACATCAAGGGCCAAATCTAGCATGGCTCAGGCGATATTCGTGGCGTGGGTATTGATCCGACTCGGACTCCGATCTTTATTCCTTTCCTTTTCCCCCCATCTTCTTTTCGGCGCAATTCAGAGAGACGGGCACCCACTTGGCTTTCCGAAACCCACAAAAAAAGGCTTTTACCCGAGGTCTTGTTGCATTGTTCTTTTTTGTTTCGGCGTCGTCTCCGGAGCCCATTCCAGAGGAGCCGTTGCCGGATTCACGATGATACTAATACCCACCGGCGTTGCGTTGTTATTTTCTGGGTTCTTTTCCTTTCAACTTTCTTCTCTGGAGGGGAGTATGGTGGGAGCCTTGTGATTGAATGCATGTGCCGCACCGCGGCTCTGAGTAGATATGGTCAGTTGATACCATTTACCGAAAGCATTTTATCTTATTATTTCATTTTATGTTTCTTGCATGACTCGACCTTATCAGATACTATCTATAGAAGTGGCGAATCGCTCATTTGAAATCCCGTAGCACCAAGCCGGGGGTGTTATTTTCCCCAAGACATCGGCCCCGTTGAATCCTTTGAAGATTTGGCCCCGATCACCTGGTCTATCTGAGCGATAAAAGCGATCCGCCCCCAACTAGGGCTTTTTTTTGACATCCTTCTACGAGGCTTCCATGGAAGCCTTTCAACGCCCCCGCCACGTGGGGTCCAACATGTCGCTGGGTCGAACCAGCCTAGGATGCGTGATGTCTCGTGGATGCTGAAGGTTGGCATGAATATCATGGATACTGTACCAGCAAGTAACGAAGTATTAAGTTTTGCAGTACGTCATTTGGAGTATATTTCGAGTAATTCGAGTAATTCAAGTGGCAAGGGACCATTTTTTTTTGGTTTCTTTTACATCCAACTGCCTGGGAAGATCCACTGATGTCGATCTACCGTGCCTAGGAGGTGCATATAGATGTACAATCCTTAGTCTTAGTCTCTCCCGAGGGCGTATGTATATGTTCCACTGCAATTTCCATCGCGACCTGGCAGCTTGCAGCCCCGGAACTAATTGCCCCACAAGACTCTAGACCTTTTGAGATGATTGCAATTTGATGAATTGATGCCACTTGAATCTACTAATTCATATTGAATGACTTCAACCATTGTATCTCATATTACAGATTACACATTCAATACTTACTATTAAATATCCTCTCTTTGTGGTCAAAGGAACCTGGAGGGGTAAGGTCAGATCCACGGGTTTGCCGTTGCTGGACCACGGATAGTTGCGGGTGGGGGGGCAAAAAAAAGAAACGAAAGGGCGACTTTTGTGGGAGGGAGAGATTATTATTCTTTGTGTGCAAGACAATGTCAATTCCATTTGTTGCCCAACGGGGCGTTTCCCGCATGCTGGGATATGGAGAGAAATGTAATGTAGACATGTAGACACACAATACACGTCATATCGTGACGATACCTCCGTGCCTGAATATTAAAGGAAATCCAAGCCAAAGCGGGCTGTGTCCCCCGTTGGAACTTCAATACGCTTGGATGGCCCTTTCGTTCCTCTTCCCTTTTCCCCTTCTCCCCTTCTCCATCCCAATCCTCCCACCCCCCTGGTCTTCGGGTGTGTCTTCGGGTGTCTCAAGCAGGATGAAGGTGAGTTGCCCCTCTTCCGGAAATATTACTGGTATCGTGTGTCATATTAATTCCGTGAAAAAAAAAAAAAAGGCCATCAGGCGATCCTTGAAGGGCGAGAAAGATCCCAAACATCACCACCACATTTCCATTACCCCTAAATCAGCCATCGCCATTTTACCTCCCAAAAAGGTATCGTTCTGTCCTCTTCTTCCTCTTCTTTTTTTTTCTGGAATGTTGTAGCTGTGTTGCTTCCAACCTCGAAAATCCTCCCCTCTTTTCGCTTCCCCCTCCCCCGTCCCACTCTCGACTCGCCTATTCTTGGCAAGTGGCTGACCGCATCTTCTTGCGCGTGCGCGTAGGTGATCAAAGCTCTCTACGACTATCATCCAGAATTCAACACCACCCAGGAATTGGCCTTCAGCAAGGGGGACTTTTTCCACGTTATTGGTCGCGAGGACGACTTGGACTGGTACGAGGCCTGTAACCCGCTTATCCCTAGTGCCCGGGGGCTCGTGCCCGTCTCCTTTTTCGAGGTTATCGGCAAAAACGAAAGACATAGTGGGGGTTCGGTCGACCTGCAGAAAAAGGATCACCACGACTCGGGCTTTGCTGATCGTGCTCCCCCCGCCGACTACACCAACACCACCAAGAACGGCGCTTTCAGGATGTCCGCGCTCGGCAAGGGCCAGGGCGCCATGGTGTATGGGATCGTCCAGTACGACTTCCAGGCCGAGCGGCCCGACGAGTTGGACGCCAAGGCTGGCGAGGCTATCATCGTCATTGCCCAGTCGAACCCGGAGTGGTTCGTCGCGAAGCCCATCGGCCGGCTTGGTGGGCCGGGTCTGATCCCCGTCTCGTTCATCGAACTGCGCGATATGCAGTCCGGCCAGGCGGTCACCGATCCGCTCGAGGCCGTGCGACGCGCTGGCGTCCCCAAGGTCGAGGAGTGGAAGAAGATGACTGCCGAGTACAAGAACAGCAGCATTTCCCTCGGCAAGATTGATACCGGTCACTCCGGCAGCGGCGTGATGGCCGTAACTGCCGGCATGGATAAAATGACTATGAACCAGCCAGGTGGTGGCCACTACAGCCAGAACAGCAACTCATATGTAAGAACTCTCAAGTTCTCTCCAGCCAACATTGCAGTATCTTGAGACTTACCGGTGCCACTTTTTTTGATCTCTAGGGCTACCACCAACGCAACGCCAGCAGAGGAACTTTGGCATCGCAAGCGCCCATGTCGCAATCCCCATCGCAGGGCTACCAACCCCTTCTGGCCCCCATCGCCGCCTCCATCCCGCGTTACTGCTTTGATAATGACAAGTATTGGTATATCATTGAGGCAAAGATGGAAGACGGTCGCTGCTGGGAACTATCACGTTATTACCACGATTTCTACGACTTCCAGATCGCCCTCTTGACCCAATTCGAGGATGAAGCAGGCAACCGCGGCCGCCCCCGGACTCTTCCCTTTATGCCGGGCCCCGTCACCCATGTCACGGATGCGATCTCCAACGGCCGGCGGCAAAACCTTGACGAGTATATCAAGAAACTATTGTCCATGCCGCCGCACATTGGCCGGTGCCAACTTGTCCGACAGCTGTTTGCGCCGCGGCAGGGTGACTTTGAAATCGACCCCAGCGCGTTCGGTGAGGAGGCTCGATACTCGGGTGAATCGCACCACTCCTCTGGCATGGACCAGTCCCGCAGCGTGTCCCGCCAATCCTCACAAGTGCCCATGAATGCGCCACCCGAACGGGGCTCCCAACAGCGTGGCCATGGCGGCTCTGGGTCATATGGCAACGGTGTTCCGCCGGCCATGAACCGCCAGCCGAGCTCCCTCACCCAGGTGTCGACCTCGAGCAATACCGCAATGAAGGTGAAGGTGTTCTTCCAGGACGATTTGATTGCCATCCGCATTCCGCCTGGCGTCAGCATGCAACATCTCAAGGACAAGCTGTCCGACCGCTTGAAGATCCGCGAGGATATTGTCGTACAGTACCGCGACGAGGGCTCAGGCACCTATGTCGACCTCAACACGGACCAGGATCTGGAAAACGCTATGCAGCGGAATACCAAGCTGACGCTGTTTGTCAGCATTGCATAAAAGCAGTCATTTCGTTTTGGTTGGGGTTCTTCGCTGAGATAGACCTGTCCCTGCTTTCGCTTTTTGAGGTTTCTGCAACAGGCACGGTGCATTGGTGTTGTGGCGTCTCGACCTTCTTTTTTATACCTCTATTTCCTTGCTCCATCTGTCTCTGGGGCCATTCCAACATGACTTGAATGTTCCCGATGGTCAGGCCGCGATGTGACGAATATGATGCGTGATGTATGGCATGGTTTTGATTTCTTTTTCTTTTTCTTTTTTTCCCCATCTCTGTTCGAGTTCATGGTTTTTTTCGGTGTCACCGTCTCTTGGGTTTCTTTTGTTTGACTTGTTTTCTTGCCCTTTCATCTATATTCCCTTGTGGGCGATGTGCCCCGGCCTGCTTCGGTAATATGTACATATGCTCTTCTTCTCGTGCATATACAGGGTAGGCTTACCTACTTGGATTCGATATTTGAGTAAGATCGTACTCGTGTCTATGTCTATGTACATGAATTCATTTCCCTTCATACTACATTCATCAAATTACTCCTCCTTGGTTAGGTAAAAACCCCCAAGAAATTAAAAAATAGCTCAATGAATCTGCGCACCAACCCCTACCTCCCCTTGACACCACATCCGCCCCTCCCCGCCAGTCTTATCCCCAGTGCCACATTCATCCACCAGCTGCGTAACCACATCGATAACATTATCCGCGTCGACATGCGCTACAACCACCCGGTTATCGCCCACGATCTTCACCTCCAGCGTGCACAACCCATGTGACAGAATCTCGTTGTGCGCCGCATTCCCGATCTTTCAGTCCGCCTGGTCGATCGTGTCTAGCATGTCGCGGCAGTCCTGTTTCAGTGGCGATGCGTCGCTGGCGTCGCATCCCGCCATGGTTGTTGAGTCCCGGTCGTCCGGGTCGTGCGAGCCCGCGCATAGGTTACTGTTGCCGCTGGTGCGCCATTTGGCGGCGTGCGTGAGGCTGAGGAACGTGGTGAGGATTGCGAGGATTTGGGATGTGCATTTTGGATTGTATGTGCAGCTTGAACATACCAACGCTGTCAAACACGAGCTCATTTTATCAGTCTAAAATGGCCAAAAGAGACACTGATACTCCGCTCTTCTTTGTTATGGTTATTCTTCGAGTCGTGTTTCTTTATTATTCAATAGCATGGTCCTCTTTTTGTACATTTCATCTACAATTACTGCTATGCTATTCGAATGCCATGAACTAGCAACCAATGCATATATTTCGGCATCTCAATTAATCTATTATGAGAACAACAAATATACATCCATAATGCCTAATGTCTGCCGAGGGTATAGACCCGACAGCCCGATGCCGAGTCACATGACTCGGCATCTGTTCCGACCTTTTTCGACTGATGTCCAAGGCCATTCCGTGTTTCCAGTGGGGTTCGATACACATTTGGTGGGAGCTCATAAAGAGTCGAAGGACTTCTTGTGAACGTGATCGCCTAACCTGCTGTCCGAACCTCTGCGCCTAGCCGGTTCATCCTTCATCGGAAGAACCAATTCCTGTTTACGGTACCTCGGTTACACTTTCGCATCGCAATCACCCCCGCCACGCGCTGCGACTGGGAGCTCAGAACGGAAGTCGTGAAGGAGAAACGAGGGACGATAAAATAAAATACTGCGCCGGCAATGAGCCGGCCATCGGCGAAGCTATGCGCAGACTGCTTCCCGGGCGCGCTGCGGCCTCGGGGACTGCGTCCTGCGCCGGTGTTGCGGGGTGCGGCCCGTGAGAGATCGTACGCTACCCAGCGAAGGGGGCTTGCGCCGACTCATGCTCACGGGGGTCGGGCTCTTCGGTACTCGCCGTCTTCACGGCGGATCTTGCCCTCGCAGCTGCCGGTGCGCCCGCTGCAGAAGGGGCGGGGTTTCGCTACCGCGACTACCACGTCAGAAGCTGAGAGCCTACTAGCTACGCCTCCTCAGGATGGTCCGCTGAGGGAATATGACACGAGAGTGCAGGGGGGCCGTCTCCGCGATGACCCATATCAGAGAGGTAGGCATTGCAGCTCTGTCCGAGAGCCTCAATGAGGGCACAAACAAAACCAGAAACTGTGAGGCTGATGCCAGGTGTAATGAACAGGAATAGTTGAGAATCTTCAAACCCTATTCGAGGCCTTGAAAGGCTACCACCCCCCGGGCGTCGTCCACCCCAGCGTCGAATCATTGGATCCTCAACCCAAGCAGTCATTCCTCGGATCGTTATTCGGACGTGGAGCAGCTCGGAACACGGCACAGTCGATCCCCGAGAATCTTCCAAAGGGACTATACATGTACGGCGATGTCGGGTGTGGGAAGACCATGCTCATGGACTTGTTCTTCGACACACTGCCGCCCAATATCAAAACCAAGACCCGTATCCATTTCCACAATTTCATGCAGGATGTCCATAAGCGCATGCACGTGGTGAAGATGCGGTATGGAAACGACTTCGATGCCCTGCCAATGGTTGCGGCCGACATTGCCGAGACGGCGAGCGTCCTCTGCTTCGATGAGTTCCAGTGCACGGATGTTGCCGATGCAATGATTTTAAGGCGGTAAGTTTGCCTCTGTGTGTTGCTTCTTGAATTATGCTTATTTTATTCCAGCCTCCTTGAATCCTTGATGTCCCACGGTGTTGTTTTGATCACCACCTCCAACCGCCACCCGGACGACCTGTACAAAAACGGCATCCAGCGCGAGTCTTTCATTCCATGCATTAAACTCCTGCAAACCGCTTTGCAAGTCATCAATCTCAACTCGCCCATCGACTACCGCAAGATCCCTCGACCGCCAGCTGCCGTTTACCATCACCCCCTGGGACCGGACGCCGAGCACCACGCCCAGAAATGGTTTGACTACCTCGGCGACCTAGCCCATGATCCTCCTCATCCAGACACCCAGCAAGTCTGGGGCCGCACGATCAAAGTTCCTCTGGTCAGCGGCAAGGCGGCGCAATTCACTTTCCAGCAGCTAATCGGCTCAGCCACGGGAGCTGCCGATTACCTGGAGTTAGTGCGGCACTACGACGCGTTCATTGTCACAAACGTGCCCGGGATGAATCTCAACCAGCGCGACCTGGCGCGGCGATTCATTACCTTTATTGACGCGGTGTATGAAAGCCAGGTAAGTGGCTCGATGCTCTTCACAACCACCCCCCTTTCCCAGCTAATTCGTTTGAACAACAGGCCAAGTTAGTTCTTACCACCGAGGTCCCCCTCACCAACCTCTTCCTCTCCGAGTCCGATGTGAAGGATTCCCTCAAGGGCGACGACCACTCAGACCTCTCGGACGCTATGCGCAACCTCATGGATGACCTGGGCATGTCGGTGCAGGCGCTCAAAGACACTTCTATTTTCAGTGGCGACGAGGAGCGCTTCGCCTTTGCGCGGGCGTTGTCTCGGCTGGCGGAAATGGGCAGCAAGGAGTGGGTGGAGCGAGGTCTGGGCGTTGGAATGAATGCACAGGAGACCAAGGAGGAGCGCGAGGCGTGGCGAAAGACCCGCAGTCATTGGAGCGAAGACAACATGTAGATATGATTTTACATTCGCTGTTCTATATAGAGAGAGATATATCCCTCCAATTGTACATCTATTGATACATCGATTTCTTGGGTGACGTCACAGCTGCTCTATCCAACCTTGAACCTCCAAGTGTTTCGTCTTCTTAATACTCTGACGGTTGTTGGGGATTACGAGCATTATTAACCAGGTGCTCCCAGCAAGGAATTAATAACATTGTCCAGAACTCATACGACCCCCGGACACGTCATTGTGATCGGGTGTACCCAGAATGAAGCCCCTCCGGTGGGACCGTTGATCAACCGCCGCAAACCAAGGAACAGTACTGGAGCTCTCTTGTGTAGACGAACAAGTTAGTAGAAGGCCAATTCTAAGTGTTGAAAGCCCCGGTCCACGAATCAGCACCAGCTAAATTCGCAATAATCCTTTGGTTCCGGGGTTATGTCAGTCTTTTTATACTTGGGTACATCAGCCTGGACTCGGGAAGGACCAACAAGGTCGAGAAAACTGGGTCTTACAACATGCTTGTTTCTGGTCTGTTTGCGGCTGGGTCTCTGAACCGGCTTCCCTGATTTACCCTGAAGTCATCGTTGATTTCATTTTAGGGCTTTGTGATTGGCATGCTTTTCTGGGACACATTACATCATTGACACCAGCTGCCATCTCATAGACAACGGCAAGTTATATCAAGGAGCTTGGTAAATGAGGTGGCGTTGGGGACTTTTTTGAGATTTTTGCCTTCCATACATTATACCTAGGCTCTTTTCCCAACGGACCTACTTTTCATCTACCATTCATCGGTCCGAGAATCACTGCAATCCATCATGGCGACAACCGCCAACTCCAGAACAGCCAACGGCAAATTCGCCGACATGTCAAAAGAGACGGTTGAGGTCAATGGCCAGCAGCATATGACCACCGACTCTGGCATGAAGATCTCAGACCCAGACCATTGGCTCCGCGTCGCCAACAAGTCGAATACAGGTCCTACGCTGCTGGAGGACCAGATTGCGCGCGAAAAGGTACGCACCATTAACTCCCCTTCTTTCTTCTCAGTTAAGGAGCTAGAAAGCTGACCTTTCTTTTTGAATTGTCAATAGATCATGCGTTTCGACCACGAGCGCATTCCCGAGCGAGTGGTGCACGCCCGCGGGACGGGCGCCTTCGGCACCTTCAAGCTCTTTGAGAGCGCAGAGGACGTCACCACGGCCGGCGTGTTGACCGACACCAGCCGGACAACGCCTCTCTTTCTGCGGTTTTCTACCGTCCAGGGGAGCAAGGGCAGTGCGGACACCGTCCGCGATGTGCGCGGGTTCGCCGTCAAGATGTACACCGATGAAGGCAACTGGGATATCGTCGGGAATAATATCCCTGTGTTCTTTATCCAGGACGCCATCAAATTCCCCGATGTGATTCACTCGGTCAAGCCTGAGCCGCACAATGAGGTGCCGCAGGGCCAGAGTGCTCATAATAATTTCTGGGATTTCCAGTATTTGCACTCAGAGACCACGCATATGAATCAATGGGTATGGATTCTTGCCAATCTCGTGTAGATACAGGATTTCCGTTCTAGCAGTTGACTTCCTTCTAGATTATGTCTGATCGAGCTATTCCGCGCTCGTTTCGTATGATGCAGGGCTTCGGTGTGAACACCTACTCTCTCATCAATGCCCAGGGTAAGCGCCATTTTGTCAAGTTCCACTTCACACCCGAGCTAGGTGTGCACTCGCTCGTCTGGGACGAAGCATTGAAAATCTGCGGCCAAGACCCAGACTTCCACCGCAAGGATCTCATGGACGCCATCGAGGCGGGCCACTATCCGCGCTGGAAGTTCGGGCTGCAGCTGATCCCCGAGGAGAAGAAGGACAACTTTGATTTCGACCCGCTCGATGCCACCAAGGTCTGGCCCGAAGAGTTGGTGCCGATCCGGTATATCGGCGAGCTAGAACTAAACCGCAACGTCGACGAATTCTTCCCGCAGACCGAGCAGGTCGCCTTCTGTACGAGCCATATCGTGCCCGGCATTGATTTCTCAGATGACCCGCTGCTGCAGGGCCGCAACTTTTCCTACTTCGACACGCAGATCTCGCGGCTGGGCCCGAATTGGGAGGAGCTGCCTATCAATCGACCTGTCTGTCCGTACTTGAGCCTGGTTAATCGCGACGGCGCTATGAAGCACCGCATCACTAAGGGCACTGTCAACTACTGGCCAAACCGGTTCGACGCTAACCCGCCAGCCGCGCCGGCGCAGGGCGGTTTTGCCAGCTACCCGGAGCCGCAGCACGGATTCAAAGCGCGTGCGCTATCGGACAAGTTCAAGGAGCACTATCAGCAGGCGCAAACCTTCTACAACTCGCTATCGCAGATTGAGAAGATGCACGTGGCCAAGGCATTCTCCTTCGAGCTGGACCACTGCGTCGACCCCGTCGTCTACAAGCGCATGTCCGAGCGCCTGGCCGCTATCAACCTGGATCTGGCCCGCACCGTGGCGCAGAACGTGGGCGGCGACCCGCCGACAAAGGCCCTCAAGGAGAACCAAGGCCAGAAGGCGCGTGGGCTCAGTCAGCTAGAGTACCAGCCCGAGACGCCGACGATCGCCACACGCCGCATCGCCATCCTCATAGCCGACGGCTTCGACTATCCCTCATACACCACCATCAAAGAAACCCTGCAGGCACACGGCGCTTTCGTCTTTACGATCGGCGCCCAGCGCCAGGGCGTCAAGGCCGAGTCCGGGCAGAGCGTTGTCCCCGACCACCACTTCTCCGGCATGCGGTCCAGCCTCTTTGACGCGGTGTTTGTCCCCGGCGGGCAGCACGTCGCTGCCGCTCTGGCCAAGAATGGCGTCGCGAAGTTCTGGATTACCGAATCGTTCGCCCATCTCAAGGCTATTGCCGGTATCAATGAGGCTGTGCCGTTTATTGAACGCCAGATTGGTCTTGCTGAGGTTAAGGTGGCTTCGTCTGGGACGGCTGCCACGGATTCATATGGTGTTGTTACGGGCCACGGCGACCCTGCTGCAACCCTCAAGGTTGCAAATGTCGGACCCGAGGCGAAGGGTTTGGCGGAGCGGTTTATCTGGAACGTGTCGAAGCACCGGAATTGGCAGCGTGAGTTGGACGGGCTGGCGGATCAGGTTGCTGCTTGAGTATTAGTTCAGTTATTATGTGGATTCTGGACACGTGGTTGCGGAATTGTTTTCCTCTTATATTTTTTAGGAGTTATCTCCAAAAAGTGTGTCTTGGTGTCAAATTATGAATTGAACTTATCGCATCAATACCTTTTTCTAACGCGAATTCCACTATGAATGGCTCGTCGGGGCGGGATGGATGTGACTGACATTCATGCTCAGATTAAGGTAGCAGACCAGCATTTTTGGGCGATCATCACAGAATCCTCGATTGAATTTAATTTCATAAACAAATGCATGTACAGTAGGGCTGGAAGAAGGGGGGTCCCCCCTTTAAATTCTCCGTGTATTGTGTTTCTTTCCCTCCCTTGGACCTCATGCGTGCGGAGGGCCAACCAAGCCCTAGACGTACCCAATTCTACGAGTGTGCAGCAGCCAGTCTTCGCAATGGATTCCCAGCATATCAGTTAATTAGATAATGCTTTAGTAAATGCATAGCTTTTCCTCTGGCTACTATTCTCTGGTTAATGCCTATCAACCATAATGGGCTCCCGCATACCGTGTTGTCACATACTTCGCTGCGGGCGGAGCTCCAACGCGAGTAGTTACACGGCCACTGGAACATCACACCAGCCATTGATTTCCCGACCAACCCTGGAGAAGTATTCGGGATCTGGATCAAAGGGTGTCGTTGGCCAAATGCCCCGGAGATTTGAGCTAAATTTTCTTTCTTTTTTTTTCTCTATTTTATTTTCTATTTTCCCCCCTCATTCCTTTTTCTGGGCTATATGTTTCTTTTCCTTTCGGAGTAATCCTAATTCCCTAGGCCTTTTTGTGCTATATACATCTGGATATACGGTTGAGATACTGTGGATTGGAGACTATTTCACACAGCGACGTCACATGAGAGTCCAAGAGGCACAGATACCCGGGGTTTGATTACGATGCCCTTCCGACTGTCGCGCTCGACGCGGCTGAGTGTGGTGATTGCTATATCGACCTGCTTTTTCCTCGGGGAGATCTCCTGTATGTGGGTTCTTGTGGGCGTCCAATGGATGCAGATGCTAACTACCCACCCAGTGGGATTCTATACGCATTCGCTGGCCTTGATTGCAGATGCCTTCCACTATGTGTGTTTCATGCGACCAGCTCAGGAATTACTAGCAACTATGGCTGACATATTCGCAGTTAAATGATCTGGTGGGATTTATCATTGCGCTGGTCGCATTGAAGGTAGCATATTCGAAGCACGACAACAATACTTCAGCAATTCATGTGCTGACACCGTTTCTTTCAGGTCTCGGAAAGCAATGAATTGCCTAAAGGGAATGGATTGTCTTTTGGATGGCAGCGGGCTCAACTGCTAGGCGCATTTTTCAACGGAGTTCTTTTGCTGGCGCTGGGGATCAGTATCTTCTTGCAGTCGATTGAACGTTTTATCTCATTGCACCGTGCGTTGTCTTTCTTTCCTGCGTCTTTCTTCTCTCAACTCTTTTCGAGGCGGAACTGACCCATTTTAGGCGTCGAAAATCCTATGATGGTGTTTATCGTCGGATGCATTGGATTGACACTCAATATAATCAGCGCACTCTTTCTCCACGGTAAGTACTCGATGAGTGATTCGGCTTTAGTAAATTGATTAAACTAATACTCCCCAGAACATGGGCATGGACACAGACATGACGACGGCCCTCCGACCATTGAATCACCAATATCGCCTGTCAGCGAAGAAGACAAGGATTCTCTCTCCAAGGTTTGGATAAGTATCTCCCATAGATATCCCGCAGCTTGCTGACAATCCTTTTAGCATAAAAACCACAAACATTCGCATTTTGGTCAATGCCGTGACTATGTCCCCGGTGGCCATGGTCACGGTCACGGCCACAGCCATGGACACAGTCACGGACATGGACATGACCATGGGGATCTAGGGATGATGGGCGTTTTGCTGCACGTCATTTGCGATGCTGCCAATAACCTCGGCGTCATGGCTGCTGCTCTGGTGATCTGGCTGGCCCACTATGACGGCCGATACTACGCGGATCCGGGGGTGAGCATGGGGATTGCGCTGATGATTATCTTGTCTTCGCTTCCGCTGGGTGAGTTTATTTACACACATCCTGAGAGATATTTGAAGTCAAGCTCACATTTTACACTTCACCAGTCCGGAGTTCTGGCGTGATTCTGCTCGAAAGCGCCCCTCATGGGGTTGACTTGAGCGATGTGCAGCATGACCTCGAGACGGTAAGATTACACACACACACACCCTCTCTCTCTGTCTCTCTCTCTCTTCTTTTTTACAACTGAAGAAATGAAAATACAATACTTACATACCTCCCAGATCCCCGGCGTCCATTCCGTGCACGAACTGCACATCTGGCGGCTGAACCAGCAGAAATCCCTCGCATCTGCACATATCGTCGTATCGGACCACTCTGTTGTCGATTTCCAAAGGACAGCCAAGATCATCAATGAATGCTTCCATGCGTATGGAATTCATTCGGCTACGCTGCAGCCCGAGATCCTCTCCGAGTCTGCAGATCTCTTCCCCAAGGACCAGAAGCTGCCGCGTTGTCAGATAGTTTGTGGCACGGTTTGCGAGCCGTTGACTTGCTGTGGATGAGGTATTGAAAATCCTTCTAGTGGTAGGCTTGCCATGAATAATGATAGGTGTGAGCCCCTTTCTGTGTTATCTTTGGACTGTAAAGTGACAACCTTTGAATTTACTGTGACGGCATGTAATCTCGTCTGTCGCTTCATTACTTCCGTCATGACCTTAAATTGCACCTTTCTGAGAACCGGACGAAAGACATACTTGGACCATATTCTGAGGTCTGCCACGGCGAGCTGGGCTCGTAGCTACAGAACATCGGTGGGCTCTCTTATCCATCGAATCATAAACAATTCTGCATTTCCAAATTACCCTATTTGTGGCAATTTGTATGAGGATAGTTCCAAAATCAAAAATAGCAAAGAACATTGACAATTTTCCTGATAGACCGCAAAAGAGTGGAAGCAGACATCTGCACTACGATAGTATAAGTTTTAACCCGGAAGCTGCCGCCACACTTCCAAGTCATCTCCACTATAATCTAGATGGTATCTTTTTTATTAGCAGGACACTGTACATTGCGGGTTTGATTTCCGGCTAAGATTGTGAAGGGCTAAAGCAAGGTTAATTCAATCTAACTAGGCCACGGTCAGTCTAACAAAAACTTAGAGAAAAGAAAGGGGTCGGAGCGATGCAGTGTAGATATACTGTTCCAACCTGCACGTGATCGAATCAGGCCCTGACCCGTTACAAAATGAAGAATTGATTGAGCTTAGAGCTTCAAGCCCCAGGTGAGCAAGATAGAGAGCAGCGCTTTTTCTAGTATAGTTAAATAAAGGCATTTTCTAGACTAGAACATACTATGATGACGAAAGCAAAAACCGCCAGGGAGGTTGGAAAGCAAAGACGCTGGTAACTAAACCTTTTTTTCGTTACGTGCAGCACATGCCCGCTGGGAGCTTCAGGGGCCTTGCCCAAAAGTCCTTGTAAAAACTAGACACCACCCACAAGCGAGCTGTCTTCGCTGGGTTCATCAACCATGAATAGCAATGATGGTCTCGAGCTGATCAGTCTTGGCCGAGCTGGACGCGTGATGCGCTTCGGAAATATTGCAACGAAAAACCGCCAATGTTTGGACTGTGCTCGAAGAGAATCTTTCTCCCCAGATGTGCGATTTCGCCGGGTCTGTTATTGTTTCGAACAACGATGACATGGACAGCTTCGTATCTGATGACTTTATTTCAGTCAAGTTCGATATTGCTCGCTTCGGCTCGATGATGTACGAGGTCACATCCGGAAGCCGATACGGATTCTACGTTGTACCTGAAATCGAGACCGATGTCGATGAGAACCCTGAGTCCAAGACATTTAAGGCCTGGCCAACTGCTGAGGAATTTTCTAAACACGAATAATGTATTTCTGGGGGATATCATTTGGAGATGCTGGGTTGAGGATGGATTTCTCACCATGCAGGAAGTTTGTCACGCCTTGGATAATGCTGATCAAAGGCCAGCGGCCCTAAAGTCTTCTGGAGACGCAGAAAAGACAAAATTGAATTGGCGACATCTATTGCGTTTAGCAAGCCCGGTGGCGACAACAATCATTCTCGCCATTGTCATTGTTCCACGACTTCTTTTTCCGTGGCGGACAATATCCGCCGTTCTGCCCTCGACCAGACATTAATTTCGCAATCTTTTCCCGCAATATAGCCGTTGTCAGAAGTCCTAGACGGTTCGGAGCGAATTAGAATAGGTACGACTGTCAACCCGTCTTGTGCGTATCATGTGCCTACATGCCTACACGCATCCAGAAGCCGAGGAGCAAAATAAAACATCCATGAAATTAGACAAAAAAAAAAAAAAAAAAAAACCAAATAACTTAGTGGTCTTCATTTTGGGCGGGCTGGCTAAGGCTGCCTCTTCCACTTCCTACTCTGACCTAGTATGTGGATTTGTAGACTGGCACGGCCTCCTTTAGCTCATTTTCTTGCTTGGGCCCTGTGATGAACGCCTCGTAATCAAACGAAGCCACTTCGCCGATTTTATTCAACTAGCTAGAGCATAGCTAGATAGCTAGATTATCCTAGAATATCCATCTCAAATTTGCAGCGCGCACACAGCGAACCAGCTTGATTAGCCGGTTGTCTTCACCCAGCTACACTTCAAGTCCAACTGGACCAGTCTATACCGCCATCCTCTCGAACATGGTGACAGTCTCCTCCAATGCCCGCAGTCTAGCTTCGACATCCCTCTTTCGGCCGTCAGCCGATTGTATGGCCTCGGTGACATCCTTGTCCAGTACTTTGCCCAGCTCTTCTCTAATAAAGTTGATGTCGTCTTGGTCCCTTCTTGCTTCCTCCAATTTTGCCTTGGCCTTTGCAGCCTCCTTTCCGGCATCTTTTATGCGATCCTTGACCTCAAGATAGACATTCGCGTCAGCAGAAACAGGGAAAACGGCACAACCAGCAGGAATAGCTTCTTCAATTTTCAAAATGCCGACATCCACTGGTGTCTTGCCACAGAGGGACTTGATCGGGGACAGCTGAGTGGACGCGGTGTCATGAGACCTTTGATTCAGAGGTGCTATATAAGCCACGCCTTTATCCTTGACAGCATAGTCTGCTAGGAGTGAACGGACACCCTTTGAGCAACCCAATACAAGCTCATAGGCTGTCTCTGATTTCGGGTCATTAAAAGACGACTCATACTCCGGGTACTCGGCAGTTGTGATCGAGGGTGTATTATCACCCGGCCTGCGTGGAAGCCGTTGCCAGAGCTCCTCCGTGAGGAACGGCATGAATGGAGACATAAGTCGCAAGCCAGACTCAAGCGTCGTGTAGAGTGTGTCCATGGCTGAACGAGCTTCTTCGGGCGTGCCGTCTGAAATTATCGACTTCGAATTCTCGATGTAGATGTCGAACAGCTCATCATACAAGTACCGGTAAATGATCTCGGTTGACTTTGCGAATTCACGCTCTTTGAGTGCCTGGTTGATTTGCCTTGCGGCAGTGTTCATCTTTGTCAGGATCCATTTCTCTGGCAAACTCTCCTTTCCTGCCAGAGCGCTGCTCTCACGAGGAACAAACTCATCGCCGAGCTTTCCGAGGACATATTTCGTGGCTTGGTAGATCTTGTTGCAGAATCTGCGGTAGCCTTGCATTGTCTTGACGTCAAAGTTGATGTCGCTGCCAGATGCTTGAGTGTAGTGGACGAGCGAGAACCGCAAGGCATCAGCGCCCACCTCAGGAATACCTTGTGGGAATGCCTTTTTCTGGTACCTTTCGGCATTCTTGACTTCACTCTGGGCTAGATTTCCTTCTAGTAGCTTTTGATGCAGGGAATCAAGACTGATACCGTCAAGGATATCAATCGGGTCAACGACATTACCGAGGGATTTGGACATCTTTCTCCCATCGCTATCCCGTATCAGGCCATGGCAGAAGACTTCTTTGAAGGGCACTTTGCCAGTCAGCTGTAAGGAGAGCATGATCATGCGACTGACCCAGAATGGGAGAATGTCCCAACCGGTCTCCATCGTCGTGTTTGGGAAGTAGTTGTCGAGATCTGACGTCTTGTCAGGCCATCCGAGGATACTAAACGGCCACAGTCCAGAGCTGAACCAGGTGTCTAAGACATCCTCATCTCGTTTGAGGGTCACTTTCTTGCCAGGAAATTTCTTTTCTGCATTCTCCTGGGCCTCTTCTTCTGTCCTGCCACATACCCAGTAATCGTCGTTGGCATCATCCCCACTATCTTCACCCTTGATACTGATGTGATATGCCGGGATCTGATGGCCCCACCACAGTTGTCTCGACAGGCACCAGTCCTGGAGGTTTCGCATCCACTGCAAATACTGTCGTTTCTGGAGCTCTGGCCGGATGATGAGTTCCCCGCTTTCAATTACTTCTATGGCGGGTTTCGCCAACGGCTCCATTCTCATCCACCACTGGGGTTTCAAGAGTGGTTCAATAACATCTCCTGACCGGCTGCAGATCGGGACAACCATTTTGTTCGGCTCTTGCTTCGTAAAGAGGTCCAGTTTCTTGAGCTCTTCGATCACGCCATATCTCGCGTTGAACCTCTTCTCTCCGGCATAGTGACCAGCGTTGCTGTTGAAAGTACCGTCCTCGTTCAGGATGTTAATGAATGGTAGATTGTGCTTTTTGCCAAGATTGAAATCATTGTGATCATGGGCAGGTGTCAACTTGACTGCGCCAGTACCGAAGTCCCTTTCGACATGTTCATCGGCGACGATCTTCAATTTCCTATCAGGTATGAGCGGGTGCTGCGCCGTCTTGCCAACAAAGTCCTTGTATCTCTCGTCCAGAGGGTGTACAGCAATCCCAGTATCGCCCAGCATCGTCTCCGGTCGTGTGGTTGCGACTTCGATGGTCTTGTCAGAGCCTTCGATTGGATATTTGAAATACGTGAGTGTTCCAAATTCAATCTTCTTGTCATAGCCAGGCACGTCAAGCTTCGTTGTGCCTTCAAGCTCTTTCTGGTCCACCTCGAGTGTGGATAAGGCCGTGGAGAGTCGACAGGACCAGTGAACAAGCCTGTTGGCTCGATAGATGAGACCTTGAGCATGCAGTTGCACGAAAGTCTCAGTTACTGCTTTTGACAACTGCGGGTTCATTGTGAAGGCTTCTCGCGACCAGTCCACAGATACGCCAAGTCTGCGTGTCGTCTTGTTGATCTCTTTGTGATAATCCTCCTTCCAGTCCTGGCATAGCTTCACGAATTCCTGTCGACTAAAGTCCTGTCGCTTAGATTTGCCATTGATTGGGTGTTTAGCGAGCCTCTTCTCGACAACAGCTTGGGTCGCAATGCCTGCGTGATCACAGCCAGGAATGTAGAGCGTTGAGAACTGCCGCATACGATGCCATCTGATTAGGGTGTCTTCTAATGAGAGTGCTAGAGCGTGTCCAATATGGAGTTTGCCAGTCACCTATGAACAGTGTTAGCAGATGGCAATGCGTGCGATGGATGAGTCCATACATTGGGCGGCGGTATCGCAATCACGTATTTCCCTTTTGGCTTGAGATCGCCATTATCTTCGGTTTGGGGTTTAAACAGTCCTTGGTCCTCCCAGAAACTGTACCATGCAGACTCGACGACTTTTGGGATGTACGCCTTGTGGAAGTCATCGTCCAGTGGTTTCAGGATCTTTCTCTGTCCAGCTGGCGTCTCCTCTATCCAGTCTCTCGACTCAACCGCAGATATATCCTGCATCTTGGATTTTTTCTCCTTGGAGACACCAGTACTGGCTTGTTGCTGTTGCGACTGATGCGCTTGCTTCTCTTTCTTTTTGGCGAACTTCTCAAGCTTCAGTCGTTGCTTCTCGCTCATAGGCTTCTCTGGAAGCTGTGTAGATTCCATTATGGATAATCACACAGAAATCTTGTGAAGTGAAGAGGGAAATATGTAAAGGACAGGGGAATGTGGGAAGAGACTATGACTCAATACCATGACCCTGGCCCCAAGTCGCCCCACACCTCGCGGTGTACATGCACTTTACAGCAGTGTCGATCGGACTATAGGGCAGGATTAATGGTAATTTCCGTCTGCAACATTTCTTCCATGGTCTATGTGTGATATCAAAGGAATTTGGGGTCACAGGGTTGCAGGGTTGGGTGCATTAGGGGTCAGCTGGCGGTAGTAAAATTTAGCAATTTGCCAGATCTTGAGTCATAGTGTCTTTAATATTTGTTGTATTGAGATTCCTTAGGGCTCAAACCGCAGGGTATAATGCAAGTCTACAATTAGAATAACTACTATTTTCTCTTCACCCTGCGACCCCGACGCCTGTCAAATAGTAGTGACAATCATAGCTCTCTATCCAAAGCATAATAAAACCCCCTAAAAAGAGTAAGATCTGGGCAATCGGAAAATGATTTTTTACTCTCTATTACATTTCCTTCGAGCCAGCGAGAGTCAGCAGCTTGTACAGAATAAAGCCCTAAAGCCTGGAGCCCAACCGCCCCCGAACAATCTCCTCCACAACCCTCGCTGCAGCCAAAGTCTCCTCATCCTTAAACCGCCTTCCGGCAATCTGTAACGCAACAGGCGCACCCTCATACCGCTCAGGGCTCGGATACTTCCGCCACTCCCTCTCATCGGCCTCGTTGCGCGGCTGGTATCTGCGGTCCTGCGCCAACAAAGCATCCAGAACCGGATCCACAGACAACCCCGACGGAAACACCGCCGCAGGCAGATCTAGCACGTTCCAGATCGCCGTGTAGTTCCAGTATTGGGACTCGCCCAGTACGGCGGCGGCGGCCGGGTGTGTCGGGGAGAGGATGAAGTCGACGCCGCGGCGCTTGAGGAGTGCATTGTACTCGTCCCGATAGATGTCGCGCTTCTCTTGGAGTACCCAGGTCTCTTGGTGGGACAGGGCCGTGGGCTGGCTGTAAGAGAAGGCCCATTCGGTGAGAGGGCGGGCTGGCTCGCCGGATTCGTGGAGGAGTTGGCGTTGTAGTGCGGCGGCGTCGGGGTAATAGAGAGCAGACTAAAATGTGAGTATTTTGATGGTGTTTTGGAGACGACCAACGCTTTTTTTGGCTCATAACAATGAATTCCAAAAACTCACAATAATCTCCCAGCCATGCTTGTGTTTATATGGCTCCCAGTCGACGACTTTAAGTCCCGCCGCTATCAGTTTCTCTCGGGCATGTTTAAGGGCTCGTGTGATAGGGGGATGAGGGCGTACACAGCTGTTGAGCAGATCAGCACTAGCCAAACATTTAAGTGGCAATAGAAAAACTGCATACCCATCATCCCACATAATCGCCACGGTTATATTCCGAGTCGGAGTCACCATCTTCCATGGCACGGGCATCAACGACGTCTCAACGTCCCAGGGCTCCTGGTCCAACACGACTTTCTGAAACAGCTCAAGGTCCTCAAGTGAGCAACTCGCCATAGGACCCACGACACCATGGATATTTTCCTGGCCTGCTGCGGCGACCTTAATCCCCGCTAGTGGGTTGCGCATCGCCGAAGGCCGGAAGCCGTAGGCGCCGCAGAATGCAGCCGGGCAGCGGATCGAACCGCCAATGTCAGTGCCAATTCCCAGCGGGGCACATCGAAAGCCCATGGAGGCGCCTTCGCCGCCGGACGAGCCGCCCGGGGTTAGAGTGCGGTTGTGGGGGTTGAAGGTTGTGCCGGTGATGTTGTTGCTGCAGCACAGATGCTGGATGAGGTTAAGAAAATGGCCTGGAAGATAGAACTGGACCAGTAAGCTTACCATTAGAGACTGGGGCTGGTTTGTGCGGACATGGAATACGGCTCCTGCTTTGGCCAGCAATTGCAGCAAGAGGGCGTCTTCGGTGGTGACTTTGTCGACCCTGTGAAGTGTTAGGAGCAGCTCTCATTGCATCCTGTTAGTATGCTTGAGATTTAGAAACACACCAGGCAACATAACCAGTGTTGCATGTCCGATTCTTGAACCCAATGTGCTCCTTCACGCTGATAGGAACGCCATGCTTGATGTGAGTTATACTATAAGTCTCTTTTCTTTTGCAGAGGCGTGGGAAGACAGCTCACCAAAGGCCCGACCAATTTCCTTGTCTGCTGATAGTATTCATCCAGCTTTTTGGCCCGAGCAATAGCTTCATCAGCCATGAATTCCGTCGCAAAATTCAGCTACATGGTTGGCCATGAGTAATTACACCTGACAATGAGACATGCAAAAAGGCCCTCACCAGTTGATGCCCCAACACCGCACGCTTCAGAAATGCAACCACCACCTCTTCAGCTTTGAGCCTTCCATGCCCCATCTCAGCCACGAGTCCCGTCGCTGACATTTCCGTAATCGCCAGCTCATTTTCACTCAGCAGCCCACTCTGTCGCGGGAAGTCGGTCACATTCTTCTGGGTAGCCGGAGGGAGTCTATCAGCCGAGAGAAGCCACTGTTTCGGAATAGAATTGTGAAGAATATCTCTGCCTTTCTGGGCCTGAATTTTCCAGCCAGTAAGGGACATGTTTATTTCAATAGAATTGCAAGATGGAAACCTATAGGACTGGTGATGTGATTAGAAGGATGAAGAGAGAAACGAAAGAAAGGAAAGGGGGACAAGAGCATGGCTCCCCGCAGAAGAACCCCATGGTACTCCCTTCCAAAAGACCGTTATCTCGGAATTGGAACATTCTCGAGTTGGCTATCAAACCCCGCGTTGCGTTGGAGAAAAGTGGAGGCCTTGTTTACTGCTGACGATCTCTGCGGACGGATTCCGTTATGATGCAGATTTGCCTAATAATACTTGAGAAAAATAAATTGAAATTTATTTCATATTATATTTTCTTTTGAGTACCTCTGCGTAAATCGGATAAGATCAATTTAGCTAGCATACATAAAGAGTTAGGGCTATCAACATCGAGGACTTTCCCTGCCTTATTTCTCTTGACACTTGCATAACGCCGTCTCTCTTTTCACTCAATATTCCAAAAAGAAAACAAAATATATATAGTAGAATTTGAATATAAGAGATCCAGTATTGTCTTGAAAGGCTAAGGTGCATTTGGCAGTGCCGTCACGGTATTCCCAATGCCGCGGCTTGTTACCAGAACGGATGTGTATTAGCATGAGTTTAAATATGGCAATCCGATTCTTGCCACTGAGATTTGGTCTGATTTGAAGTCTCAAGAGTGTGCATGCCTTGTGGGGAAACAATCAAACAATCACCCGCATGACGAGACATCACATTGGCCATCCAGCCCTTCATCTTCTCTCCCCTTTCTTCCCCCCACACCCAACTACCATGACTTGGAAGATCGCCTCCGCCAGCAACAACTATCTGATTGATCTCTGCCATCAAGCGGAGAACAACGGAGGCAGGATCGGGGGAGAGGAGTACGGAGACCGAGTCGTCCAGGTTTCCCCGCAGATCGCCGTCAAATATGGCTACGGGGTGACAGCTTCCGAAGCAGCCACACAGGATTTCGTATATCGCCGAGTTGATCCTCGCGTTGTCCATATTCCACGTGTCTCCCGCTTTATCGAACCTCATGAATAAACGTTTAGAGATCCGCAATGACTCTATCGACCTCACACCCTATCCTCTCGTGCTATGCCACCTGGATCTCTGTCGAAGAAACATGATTCTAAGGGAAGATAACTCGCTTTCTTGTAGAAAAGGGGTTTCGCCAGCCTCTATCCTCGCTTCCATGAAATGGCCATGGTTCCCTGCGTGGGGGTTGTTCCACACGATGCAGCCTTCGAGCCGCTATTTATACAAGAGTTGGAGAAAGCCATGGCGTTGACTGATGAAGAAAACCGGCTTGCCAAGCTGGTTCACTGCGTCCTTACTGCAAATTTAAGATAGACCTTGTAAGAAAAGCTACCCCCTTGGCTATGCTCTAGCTGATTGAATAATAGTGGCGAAGTGGCTTCGCTCGGTTATAAGGCGTTTATCACAGAGCCCGAGCAAGACTCAAAACCAAACCCATGTTCCATCACCGTGCAGTCCTAGAGCCTTTTCTACGATATGGGTATGCTACTGGACCAACGAAACCAGCTATATAAATAGCATGGCCCTCTGCCTGAGCCTATTCGGCCATATATCGGCCTCTGGAAGGAATCCTTTCCTTCGGAGATCTCCCGCCTCGAAACCGTCTACTCGGCTACGGATTACCTAGCCGGGCTGGCGCATCTACCTGGTACAGAGATGCGGCCGCATACGTTCACGGGGTACTGGGGTGCAGTGCGAGATCGGATCCCGGGGTCTGGGTGGGATGCATTTGAAAAGAGCAGCAATGAACAGCACAAAGAAGAGAACGGCCATCGTCACCAACCCGAGAACCGATCAAAAAAACCACTTTGAATAATCAAACTACCATATCCACTTCGTCTACCGGCAAATCTCTTCGAGGCACAAATACCCACAACACAATACATATCCGCCCCGGCCAGTTCTGGGCGAACTCTGGCGCCGAAGAGGGCAGCGCGTATAGCAACACCATCGAGCCGAAACTGCGGCGCGGGTTGAGGTATCTATGGAAACATCCCAACGAGAATGGATCGATGGGGGCTCGGTATTTGGTGAATACGAGGAATGCCTCAAGTTCGAATGATTCGAGTGAATCCAACGAGTCTCAACCACTCCAAGAAGCATGCGTTACAGCCTTCTTCCGCAGCAATGCCCACCTTGAGGCCTGGGTGGTCAAACAGCCGTTCCATTTGGCAATCTACGCCGTAGCCATCCAGCACGCAAAACGATTCGGGGATGGAAGTTCCGGACGTGGCCTGAAGTCTCGGTGCTGAATGGGAGTGAAGCACAATTCGAGTATGTGAATTGCAGGCCAGGGACGGGGGTTGTAAACTAGATGGTTTTTACAGAGGAGCGAAACCTGAAGGGATGATAGACATGTACAGCTACAGATACGGATAGAAATGGTGATGATCATCCATTCAGTGAAGCCACATAAATACATCCATCAATACACATAGACACATATTCCCAATCATAGCGGGAGGAGACGTAGCAAAAACAATCAAAGAAAAAAAAAGACAAGATAAAATCCGGTATTCATCACAATATGTCCTTCATGAAAAAAAAAAAAATGAAAAAGCAAATCCCCCCAATGCATCAACTCCAAGATAGAATAGGATGAAGACTACTTCCGCCAGAACATGAGCTTGCCCACTTTCCGACTCGTCGCCCAACGCGCCTCAGCAAAGCGATCCTTGAGCGTAGCACCGCCGCCATAGCGCACAGGGCGCGAGGAGGAAGAATTGCCACCAGTATCAGAGCTGCCATTGATACTGCTGCCACCGTAAGAGCTGGGAGTGAAGTTGGTGATGTTCCCGGCATCGAACTTGGTTTTGCCTTCAACAATCTTGTGGACGAGATTCAAAATCGCGTAGGTTGTAGAGCCAGTGGCACGGACAAGAGCGAGAACAGCCACGGACCACAAGATGATGGCCAGATAGATGTTAGTGCCGCCGGAGTCGGTGCCATACACTTCGGACACGGCCATACCGAGGACGACGTTGGCGGCCATCCAGATCGACACCATGTACGTGCGCACGGCTCGGTAGTAGTCCTCTTGCATCTGGGAGTCTGACACGGGCGGCTCGGGGACCTCGAGGCGGTCCCGGAGATTGCGCAGGGCCGCGTCGTAGCCGCTGTCAATATCCAGCTGCTCCGAAGGCATCTCGACCACCACCGTTGTCCCGTTGATTACCTTGGCTGTTCCCAAATCCGTGTTGATCACGTTGTCTCCCTTGGTACCCCATGTGACATCGTGCGTGTTGCAGAAAGCGTAAACCTGCAATGTGCAGATGTAGCTGGGCATCAACAGGAAATACTGCGCCGACGACGTGAACATGTGCCATGGATCGAGGTAGAGGAAGGACGTGTAGAAGTAGAGCCCGACAGTGCACAGCATGGACATGACAATGTTGACCATCAGCCCGTCCGTGACATCCATTGAATCGCTACCGGCCCCGGCACGCGACATCAATTCTTTCACCACCAAGTACAAAGTACAGAAGATGGTGTAGAACATGATGATGCTGTACACAATGATGCCAGAAAGATACAGGTTTTTGGCGCTGGAATAATGTCAGTATTTAATTCTGAATAGGGACGATTTCACGACTTACCCTTGCGGCCGATTGCCCATGGAAATAATAAATTGCAAACACATGACCAGAATACACGCGTAGCGAAGTACGATGAAGATATACTTGCCCATGTTGTGACCGAACGGATCGAGCTTCTTGTCAGTCAACGAGCCGGCAATGAAGTAAAAAGCGAGATAGAAATTGGCCTGCCCGGGTTAGCCGACGCTTCGAAGAAAGCCACCTGAGCATAAGCGATTGTCTTACCAATCCAAAGTACGTGAACAGAAGGTTGAAAAACTGGTACACAAATTCAATGTGCAGCAAGATCTTTCGTGCCAGCGTGTGATCCGTCTTCCAGATCTGCTTGGCATTGAAGATGGAATACACAGCCGCAAAGAAGGCACCATTGAGCCATCGTCGTCGTTGGGAAATAAACTCAGGGACCGAGTCTGCAGAGTTGGTTAATAAGGATTCCCAATAACAACGAAAGAGAGAAACATACCAGGAACATCAGTTTCGCCAACAGCGCTCTTGACGAACTTCAAGACCCATCTCTCTTCCCGCTTGGCCACGAGCTCCCAGCAAAGAATACGGTCCTCGGCCAAGTACATGTTCGCAGTAAACACATCGGCGTCCTGGCCATGCAAAGTTTCGCCCTTGAAGTACTGGTTCAGCGGCCCGTGGCCGTCGGCATCATTCTGCAGCGCGAAGAAGCGATACGCACTGAGCGCACCAGGCAACACGGTAATGTACCCGAACACAGACTCGAGCGGCTTGTCAAGGATGTTGGACATCTTGTACTCAAAGTTCTGACTCGCCACCAGGGGGTTGAGCAGTCCCAGCATACCCTTACCTTTACCAGCCTTGATCTCTCCGGCCGCACCGGCGACATTGGAGTCTTGGTCAAAGGCCTTCCACAGGTGGTAAAGGGCAGTTGGCTCCGGCTTGGTACCGACATCGAGAAGGATACAGATATTGGGCTGGAGGGCACGACCAAAGGCATTGAAGAACCATCGGTGGGAGTTCAACTTCTTCTGGTTGTGCTCCTTCAGACAGAAAATCACCTGGCAGGGAACGACGCCCTTTTCGGCACCCTTGAACTTGAGATCCGAGTCAAGCGACACCTGGGTGGTGTACTCGTACACGTGAGCAGTGACCGGCTTCTGGTTGACAATGTTCTTGGCGATTCCCTCCTGGTAGACACCGAGGGCCGCCAAGGCGTTGAGGGTCCGCGGGTGGACCTTCTTACGGCCATCTGCCACAATGCAGACCACGATCTTCTTCCACCCATCGCGGCCCCAGGTGCGGGACTTGGAACGCGAGCAGAAGTGGCTGATATTGCGCATAATGCCGTGCATCGTGCGAGTAAAGCCAATCTCGTCTTCGTTGTACATGGTCACACAGATAAACAACTCGGTCTCGCGCATGGTGCTCCCGATCTGTTGTCGAAGTTTGTAACCCCGGTTCGTGAAATCATCCGGATCAGATGTCACGGCCGTATACCGCATGTGCGTGAATTCACGGTCATCGCGGCGCGGAAGGAAGCTGTGAAGGATGGTTGGGATTTTGCACTCCAAGATCAGCTCGCCGTTGATCAGCTGAACTTCCTTCTTCGCCGTCTGTGCCGAGCGGACACCACGACGACCCTGCTTTTCCGGCGCTGGACCATAGTGGAGGTTGGGGTCAATCATGCTGGCCTCGTCGTCTTCGTCGTCCAAGTCGACCTTGGTCATTTCTTCCTTTTCATCTCCCATAACCGTCGACTCGCTCATGAAGGAGCGCACACTGCCACGGGAGCCATGGTAAATTGTTCGGCCGTTGCCACCAAAAGGATCCTCCGCACCAAATCCATCGCCAATGTCGATGCTCGTGTCCGCACCGTTCGTCGATGCTGGCTTGGAAAAGAGCGGTGCCGGCGGCAATGGGCGTCGAGGGCTACCCCCATACCGCGAGCTGGGCGTTCCCGGCCGCGGACTGCCATTGATATCGGCACGTTCATAGTTGGCCGTAGAAACGGAGGGTGCGCGTACATGGGACGGACTCCAAGGACGCGTCGGGGAGCCTGTTCGGGGAGGAATAGATGGGTAGACGGAAGTGTCCGCCAGGCTGGCGGTAGGAGGGGGTAGATTGGGGGCACTGCCCAGACTAGATGCCGGGCGGGATGGTGAAGACACGCTCGGGACCTGGTAGAAGCGGCTGTCGTAATCCGGTGCTTGCCTTGTCCTAGGGTTTCGCGTTCTGATGTTAGATCTCGGCCGCGTCGGACGCTCCATTTTGAATGGGGTTGGTAGGAAGATAACCCAGGTGGAGGCAGGGCATGGGACACAACCGTAAACAAGTACGGCGCGCGTGTATTGTTTATGGAGGGGAGGGGATGGGCTCCCAGAAGAAAGTATGCTCTCATCCAATAGCAAAGCCCACTTCTGGACGATCTTTCCAAGGTATTGGAGAGCTTCACCCTTGACATGATGTCAAGGACCGCGTCCAATGGAAGAGTATGGACGGGCTTTCGTAGGCAGGGGGGGAACAACTGGAATGTGTGCAGAGGAATAAGGTTGCATTGGAAAGCAACGTGGGAAGCACTTACGGAGTAGAATTCAAATATTCCGACTCATAATGGGACGGGGATGGTGCCCTCTGGCTGCTATTCATATCCCGGTTGTCGCCCGTAGTGGGTAACAACCGCATCGTGGCGCTATTGTGACGCGAAGGGGCCGTGGGAGACCCGGGCTCGTCAAGAAACGAAGATTGCTCGTCGTCCATGTACGCTGGAGGCTCGTCCCCGTAGCTGGACGGAGGGTGACGGTTCATGGTGTGAACGTGGATTGCGGTCTGGTCTTGCTATCTCAACACTTCATACTAGAGCGGTTTGGTTGGATTTCGATGAAACAAGCTGCGCAATGAGACTCTGGCACGTCTTGTGGTACTACTGAGACAGAAGGTCAGCTCTGACAGGTCGACAGTGACTTGGGTGGAGAGGTTGAGGAATGAGGGTCGAGCGGAGGAATGTCACTCACCGTGTCAAAATACCTCGAAGCTGATGAAGCTGATGATAATCGAAGGTCTTTTTTGGTAGATACAAGTGAGAGTGCTCGAGAAGAAAAGAAGAGAGAAAGAGTCCCGCAATAAGAATAAGAATAAGAACATCAAACAAATCCACGCTCCGCTTGTTCAAACAAAGTGGAGATGCGCCGTTTCCACGGCAACGTGTTTGCAAGGGGACCGCCTCGGCCTTCCAGCTGCACGGGGGATGCTGTGCTTTGAGCAATGAAAAAGGATTATTGACAATTAAGTCCACGAAGATCGTGTCCCGTCTCTCGGCCTTGTCCTTGCTTTGCCCAGGTGCGAGGAAGCTCAACTTCCCCGATCCAAGATCTCCACCGAGTGGGTCCATCAACACATCCCTCTCGCTCCCTCTCCATAGTCACATCTGTCACGCTCGTGCATCTTTACAATTTGATAAGGACATGTAACCAGTACGCACAGAATCAATACTAGAGACACGAGGGAATTGATCTCCACAAAAAAAAAAAGAATAAAAAAAAAGAATAAACCAGTATTCATATCCAACCAACATAAGCACGTTCCCGGTTTGGATATATATCCTACAGCCGAGAAACCCGAATTTTTTTTTTAACTCAACCACTCACCGAGTCACAGACATTTCTGTGCCATGCACCACTTATGTCTACGCTTCTTCATTCAACAAAGGCTGTCTCTCGCGGTCGGAGGCCTCGGGCTGAACAACGCGACGGAAGAGACTGTCGCGCCCGTAGTACTTAGTGCTGGAGATGTAAACAGACACCACGAGGAAGACAGCGAAAATGGTGAAGGCGAAGATCCACTGCAGAGCGATCACCTTGATAGCGACCTGTTTGAGGGCGAGTGCTAGAGGGAAACCCATGAGCAAAACTATTCCCTACTTGTATATATTATCCCGACGGGTCGGGGGGAGGGGCGGTGACTTACACAGAGTCAACAGGCTCAGACAGTAGCCCAGGATATAATCCTGGCGCAGCACAACATCCGTGAGACCAACCACCAGGATCACCCAGATGAAGATGTTGGCCACGATGCGCGCCGGGAGGTTGTTGCTGTGCACGGCGACGGCGCCGTTCCAGAACAGCGCGGTCAAGGTCCAGGCATAGGGGCCCGCAATTACAGAAAGGTGCACAAAGGCCGGCAAGCCGCTGTGGCGCCAGTAGGTGATGGTTTGGTTGACAAGGTGGGCGATGAGGATGATCTCAGCGCCCCAGAAGTGGTTGCGGGTCCAGAGCAGGATCCACGCAAAGACGAACAGGTTGTTGAGAATAAAGTGCGTGGCGACATTCGCGGCGGCTGCTACCACCGCGGCGTCCTTGGAGAAGAGGTGCCACACATAGCTGAGCTGAGACAGAAGAAGGAGAATCCTGTTTGAGAAACTGATGAATATGGACAGGACTTTTTTTTTTTCCTTCTTTCCAGATTTAATTCATGGACTGGTCAAAACTCACCAGTAAATCCCAGTCACAGTAGTATTCTGGCTGAACGGCGTGGTGTGCTTGTTGGCCTGCTTCCAGATCTTATGGCTATGCTTGACATCATCGGGCGAGTGGAGCGAATAGTAGATGCCGACCACCACCACCAGCGCCCAGGTGAGGGGCACTAAGAGGCGATAGACATTCAGAGCATGCACGTTATGGGACTCGCGCCGGGCGAAGGGATTGTAAGAGGCCATGTTGTTGATGGATAAGGGAGGAGGAGAAGTAGAGAGCGGGGAAGGGGCTATACATATACCCTCTCATACTCTCTCAAGGTACTCTCCTACAGAAGTACCAAGAGTACTAAAGCAAGTACCGACAGAACTACGCAGTGACACAATCCTCGACGCAAATCAGAAATCAGGAAACCAAAGGAATCCCCCGCCTGATCTGACCGGTGGCGTTGATCCCGAATGCAGCACTGATGACATCAACCGCATGTTTTATGAGTTTGTGCGGTACAGAAATCCTAGTGTTGATATTCTGTTTTTCATGCTGATTCTGTAATTCTTCGAGGCTACTTTTCTTTTGCGACTGTACAAGGGGACACACAGAGTCCTGGAACTGGGCTGGGGTCCTTTGAACGGTGCAACCGCCAGCGCGAATGGCGCAACTGTCTCCGTTGTCGATCCTCGTGCACGGCCCTACCAAGACAGACATAAGATCGACGTTGGGGTGAAACTCTCCATGCAAACCTCAAACAAATTGGTGGAGCCCCCGTTTCTACAAGACCGAACACCTGTCACGAGTTTCAAGCCATAAACGAGGCCCAGGGAGTACAGAGTGGCTACACCGAACCATCCATGGATCCATGGAGATGTTGTACCAGCCGGCGATTGTCAACCGGGGAAAGACCCGGGGAACGCGGGGAAACGAGGCCAGTGCTCCATACCCAGAAGAAAGGAACGCGCCTTGACCGCTGGTTCTGAGCTACGGCTTGGTCCAAGAGCCTTTTTTGTGTCTTGTCTCTTTCTTTATCATGAGTTGAAGTGAGCTTCCTCCAAATTAACTGGAGATGGGTTGCCGGACTGCCTGGACAGCTTCGACCACCCGTGGATGGATGGAAGCCGGCGCCACAACCATGCCGTAGCACGAAGCCAAGGTTCGACCCAAGCCGCAGTCAACCGGCTGGCCCTCGAGATCGGTCACGGTACAGCCGAGCTCCTGCACCAGAAGCATGCCACCGGCATGGTCCCAGAGCTTAGACCGATATCCCCGGTCGCGCGGCATCTTGACAAACACATTACACCCGCCACGCACCGCGATGGCCACATACCGCAGCTGCGCCGACCAGAGATCCACCGAATTGGGCCAGGGGCATCCCAAATGGGCGGCGACTCGGCTGTGACTCTCCAGGTCTGGGGACGTTGCCGCCTGCGTGTCGACGAACCGCAACTCGCGCGGGTCGGTGATCTGCGGAATTTTCTCTAGTGGCTGTGCAGGAAGAAGACCACCATGGCCCATCGGGCGGATCGATGCCCCGTGGCCGGCCACGGCCGACAAAAGCTGTCCATAGCCGTCTCGGTCGACGAGGTCCTCGGCGACATGCCCCGACCCCAGGTTCAGGTTCGGACAGCCCAGCACTCCAACTTTCTGGCACCCATTTTCCAACAGCGCCAGACACACAGCATATTGCTGACCGCGCATGAAGGTCGCAGTGCCGTCCACCGGATCCAGGGTCCAGACCCTTCCACTACGACCGCTCTTGCCCTTGGCCCCGAGATCGATCAGGTATAGGAGCTCATCTCGGGTACGTGGCGTGTAAAGGAGTGCTTCACTAGCCTCATCGTCAAGATGGATAGACGTGGCTAGCTCCCATGTCCGTTCGAGGAGGCCGGGATCCTGGCGCAGCGCCGTTGCGTCTTCCTCGCCCACGATGTCGTCGTCCGGGAAGGCCTGGTGGATCGCGGCGATAATCGCTGCCTGTGCGGCAAAATCAGCGATGGTCACTGGGGATGAGTCGCTTTTGTCCAAGCTGCCCTTGTCGACTGCTGAGAGCAGTTCCTTGGTCAGGAGAGCTGCTCGCTGGACGGCCAGACTCGCCAGCTCCAGCTCCTTGGCATAGGGGTGAGAGGAGGCCATTTTTCAGGCACTGCGACAATTGTAAGAGCAGTGGCTCGTGTATAATACGGGATTGAAATCCCGGCGAGTTGATGCCGGCCACTAGAAATTCCGCAACTCCCAAGGTTTGTTGGGCGACCGGGTAGATCACGTGTTCTCTCCGCATACGTTATGTGCCGATCAGGTTTTCGCGCTACTATAACTACAAGCCAGAAAGAACTTAACCACAAAGGCTTACAGAAATACTTGCTTGTCGATTTACTTAGGCCCCAATGGATAGAATTGGTATTTCATAAGAATCGTGGTATCGGGTATAATCCCTCAAGAAGCGCTGTGCTGGTCCTCGATTCACCGTGAGGCAACCAGCGCCTATAGACAGTCGTATATCGCTAAACGCCGTACCTTAAAAAAGACTAAGACTCAAAATAAAGACACAATCCCCAAGTCAAAAGGCCAACTCAAAAGGAGGCGAATGCTAACTCGTAGGCAAATGCCAGGCTCATCTTCGCGTGTTGCAGCATGTGCTCGAAGCTGAGATACTCGATCTTGTCTTCGGTGGTGTGGATCTTCTTGTCGGAATGCTCAAATTGCGACTCAATCACAAATGCCGAGGGGTACCCGTATCGACTGGCAGAGGCATGGTCCGAACAGGCGTAGCCACACTTGGTCTCAACATAGGGGACATCACAGTAAGTAGTGATCACCTCCTTGATGAACTGCGTCAATCCCTGGTCAACGTAGTCAACAATGACACCGACAGACTCGGGACGGCCAGCATCCAAAGTTCCCTGGACGTAACCGGTCATGTCCTGCTGCAGCATGGCCTTCACGTCCTGGGAATTTTTCTTGTACTTGGAGAAGATGGCCTGAGAACCCAGCAAGCCTCCTTCCTCCGCCGAGTACCAGTGGAACTCGATCGTGTTTTTAGCATTGCCCTGCACGATCTTCTGGGACCGCAGCAGGGCCCGCAAAGTTTCCAGGATCGTGACCGTTCCACTGCCATCGTCATCTGCCCCTGGCGCAGCCAGGATGGATGGAAGGAACAGGTTGATGCTGTCCTGGTGGGCGCCCAACACCACAGTCTTTTTGGTTTCTCCAGGAATGCGCGCGATAATGCTGAATTGGCCCCAAGGGTGATCGAATCGTTGCACGGTCGCTCCGTACAAGCTGGCGCCAGACTCCTGGAGTACGGCCGCCACCTGATCGAAGAGCCAGGTAGCTGACTCGATTCCGGTCGAAGATTTGTAATAGCGGGTGTGGAAAGAAGTAAAATGCTGCAAATTGGCCTTCATGTTGTCCGTGGAGAGCTCCTTGGCCAGCGGGGAGATTTCCGATACGTGCTTCATCTGCGCGGGGTATCGCACAGTGTTGCTCGCTTGGACCTTTCCATAGCTTCCAGATTGGTATTCCTCGGTGACATCGATAAAGTTCACTCCGTCCTATCGACCCCAGTTAGTTGCCGGCATTCAGCGGAAAAAAGCGGCGTGTGGGCATACCAATTTCAGCGCCCATTTCTCCTCGTCAGTCACCCATCGGACTTGGGACGGGGACAGCTCGACCAGTGACTTGGATTGACGTGTGTGCTGGACCAGCGAAGGGCCCATTGGTTCTTGTTCTTGGGGGATCACCGCAGCCAGAGCGGTTGCGCTCAGCGCAAGAGGGGCCAGGAACTTCATGGTGGTAGAATCTTGAGAGGTAGACTGGGAGCTGAAAGAGTTATGGAAGAAACAAGGAAGAGAAATCTTTATACAGGGAGGACTTGCCTCGACCCAGACGTGCTTTGTAGAGGCAAGTGGAAGGAACAGAGTTGTGCAGCCTTAAGTTGGGGGCCGATCCTCACGTGCCCTTTGGACCCCATGGCCTCTATCCATGGATGGCTTGATGTCTATTTCTTGATGTGATTTACGGGCCGAGGACCAGGCAGATTGAGCATGCTTGTATGCTTGACTGATTACCTCTACTCTCCAAGTTCAGAAGATCGTGTCCATTGCGTCAGAACTGGGCTTCCGAGGTGCTCCACTATGTGTGACTCCGAGTGGAGACGCTCCGATGACTGTTCATTGTGCCGCGTGAGTCATTCCGATGAATGATGGAAGCCTGCAATGCCCCATAAAATAGGACATTGTCTTGAGACGTACATCGCCAAAGTGGCTCTTCACCTGAAAAGGATCAAAAGGGACATCCCGAGGTCATCCGTTTTGTCCCAAAAAGGCAATCAGGGCTAGGGCCACCACTGACCAATCAGCCGAGGGAACCAGCCCAGGTGACTTGGGACGGAGTTATCGCTTTCTTATCTGGCGCCCCCTCCCTGAGTATACACCCTTCTCCCCTAAGGTCTTAGTCTTATCCTGTTTCTATCCATCCCCTTCCAATCGCTGCAATAGTGTCGCCATTATCCACCATGGCGATTCATCCTCAGCTACACTCCTCCCAAGCGGCCCAGGGGACCCTGTCGCCGCAGCAAACTCGAGCCATCTCCGCATGGACTGAACAGGCGACGGCATCGCTGCACGATCTGACGCTGACGGAGACGAGTGCGGCCGATGGAAACGCATCGCCCTCGACGACCCGGCCGAGTCTCCGTGGTGCTACCATGTCTTTGTCGATCCCGCTCGATGACCAGGCCCCGGCCACTGGGTCCTCCCAAAGGTCAAGGTGGTCGGTCCCGAGTCTCGCCCGGCCCCGACAGTCAGCTTCCGGCGCCGTGAGCCTCTTCGTCGAGATAGTTTGAAACGGCGCGACGCTCTGCTCAAGGGCAAGGATGGGAGCCGCCGGAGACAGCGTTGGGAGAATGGTATGTGTTATCCTCTGCATGGGACGGTTGTCGACCTGAGCCCAGCCCGGTAAGAGGGGAGAAGTTGGGATACTGACACCCCTCCCAAGACCGTTTGCTGCACAACCCGTGGGCAGAAGCACCATCTCCGAACGACTGGGTGGTCCAGCCGACTTGCCCGCGTCATGACCCCATGCCATACTATCTGGCGCCGCTCTGGGATGTCCACTATTCGCGGATGGCAGACCAACCGGCCAAGAAGACTGACGAGAAGCATCGCGTTCCCAGAGAGCTGCGCTTGAAGTTGAAACATGCTCGGGCCGCTCGCGGCATGCTCCAGGATCTTGAAGAGGAGATCCGAGTGTTCATCCGGAAGTGGAACGAGAAGCAGCTTCTCATCCAGAATGAAGGGTTGCAAGACGCCCCCGAATCATCTGCAGCGGAGGACTCGGAAGATGAAATTGTCTTTGTTGGCCGCAACGGCCAGATGCATGACACGCCCGAGCGAAAGCAGAGGCTGCGACAGCTGCGCGAGGAGATGAGCGCGCACAACGAGCGAGATGGCGAGAAGATGGTCTTTGAGAGTCTGGTCGATGACCGCGCCGCTGGGTTTGGGTGAGTTTTGTTGTTGGTAGTAGAAAGCGCGCAGTGTACTGACTGGATGGTTCAATCAGTCGTTGGCTGGTCCACTCGATTGCCTCATATTACGGTCTGCACACCTGGTCGGTCACTGTGGGAGAGCCAGCTCGCCGAGAAGCCTATGTAGGTTTCCGTACCCCGGCCCCGGGCAGCCGAGCCGGACTGGTGTCACATCCAGCCTGTCGCTCGGAGGCATTGATTCAGCCGGGCGATGAGCTTCCGCAGCCTTTGTACGCACAGGTTTAGTCTGCCCTCAGTCTATCTTTACCTGCTTGTAAGGTTGTACTCGCGGATTATAGAATGCCGCCATTACTTGGTCGGGCCGGTCAAGGTTCGAGTGGTTTCTTTATTACTATGATATATTACATGTAGACTTGGATTTATTTTATCTTACTTTCGGTGATTTTTGCAATTAATATTGCAAGATAAGGGTCTGACACTTGCAAGTTTGGAGGTAAGACGTGGCCAACTTCCCTCTTCCCCACGCTCAGGCCGATGTCGTCATAGCAGAGTTATCAGATGCTCCCCAAGACAGGCTTTTCAGGCACCGATCATGATTCAATCACCTTATTTACCAAGTAATTATTGCCTAAATCACCATATCCATGGACTTGGTGAAGCAAGGCGGATTCTCTGAGAAAGTGTGGTTTCGGATCGGACCGCAGGCCCACGAACAGGATCCATCCTGACGTCTACTTACTTCTACTTAGCCAGACTATTTAAAGCCCCCAGTCGAGGGCCCAGTTCGTACAATAAATTTGCAGTTCGAGAACCAAGCCCCCCGCTCGGACCTGATACACTTCACCCATGACGTGAGCAGCCAAAAAGAATCTTGGAAGAACCTATCTTTTTTGTCTTTCTAGAACGCCTCCTGCGCCTACACGCCCCCCCGTCCAGGCTTGTGGCCTATCATCATTTTAGCTGAAGCATAGCGGGGTTGTAAGCAAAAGAAAAGAAGGGGGGGCTGCGACCGCGAATGAACAGGCGACACAATCACATCCTGAGAGCTTGGGCATGTTAGGTAGACACATCACTCCCCCCCCCCCCTCTGGCTTAGAGATGAACTGCCCAGGTGCTTTCTAGCTCTTCTGCTTTGGGAGAAATCATCCCCAGAGTCTTTGATGCTGGGAGATCGATCACCGATCTCTTTTGAATGACGAGGGCATTCCTGGGCTCATTCTTCTTCTAAATACTCGTGCCACTCCACATTCTCCTCTTCGCTTCCCCCACTTCACTTCTGTTTCACTTGGATTTCTTTTTGCTTGATTCTTATTCTTATTGCGATTATTACTATTACTATTATCTTTTCCTGCCTTCTTCTACTTTTCAAGGCATTTCACCCCTCAGATGACAATTGACCCCCATCTTACTCGCCAGACCCTGGGCCATATCTCGGCCATCGCGTGGTGATCGGGATTCCCTTCATACCAGATAGCTTGTTCTTCAGCGCTTTCACGTCATGGGAATCTGACGCCCCTCCTGGCATCAAATTTCCCGGGTATATTTGATCTCGGAATCGGCCGGCCACCCTTGGTCCGATCCCCAACGGGACGTGCGTTCTTCTGAATACTGTCTCCTCTGCTCGCTCCCTATTTCTCACTCTGTCTTTTTTTGACCCCATCTACTCGATCTTTCTCTCCTCCTGTGGATCACTGGTTGTCATATACGATGGGTTCCTGTAAATCCTGCCAAGACCGTGCCGGCAGCGGAGGCAGCTCAAGTTCAACTGATAGTGATGGGTCAGATCGATCCCAAAGTACGGCAACAACTGTTATCAGCGACCGAACTACTGGAAACACCAACACCAAAGACAAGAACTGGCCCGAGTATGAGGCTGATTCCCAACGGCCCCGCGATTCAGTGTCAACCTATGCCACCACCAGCGGCTCTATAGTAGACGTCGTGCCACAGGAGCCGCGGTATGAGGTCGAGGAGCGCCAGGAAGACTTCCCAACCGAGGTGCTATCCTCCACGCCGTCCTCGTTTGCAGGTCTGTTTCCTTCCTCGCGCCGGCTGCTCATCCGCCACGATGACACGACCGTCGATGGCAACATGAATCTGCGCGTCGACACCCTGGTCCCGCGGCGGGGCGGATACCAACAGGATGTCACGCTCTTCCACCTGCGCATGTATGATCTGTTTTCGCGCAAGTGCTCGCTGCGCCGCTACTGCCGCGACTCAGGCCGCGAGGTGTGTCACTCGGCTCGCAAGGAGGCGCCCGACCAGGACCGGCGGCCGGTGTTTCGACGCTCGTGGAGCAGCGTGCTGGCCGGCCTTCGGCCAAGCTCCAGCGGCCAGGCAGCCGCGGTGGACCATCTCAAACGGCAGGACTCGGGCTTTGAGTCTGCGAACCTGCACGGGCTGGGCGAGACTGCGGATCGAGACCCAGACGTTAGCGATAGACCGCCCGCGCTGGAGGATGCCATGCTGCTGGAGTTTTCCAACTATGCTCATGTGGTGCTCAAACGACGGGGCCCGGGCGTGAATAAGAGGTACGAGTATGTGTACTGGTCCACGCGGTACCAGTGGAGGCGAGAGTTTCGGAAGGAGGGGGATTTGCGTGAGGTGTCATTTTTCTTGGTGGACACGCGCACGTCGAGGACCATTGCCCACATGGTTCCCGAGATCCTGACACCCCTGGAGGCAGTCGAGGAGGACAGCAAGGGGGGCTGGATACCCCCGTCATCCTTGTGGATCAGCGATGAGTCGGTCTATGAGAAGATGCCCGACGTTGCCGAGTAAGTGACTTGTTTGTCCTCTGTATTTTTTTTTTTCTCTGTGAGGCGAGTGTGAGGCTAACAATCCGGTTCTCTAGCGCAATCGTGGCGACGGGGTTGATGACCCTAGTAGATGATTTCATTCGACGTCGCTGGCACCGGCCTTCATGGGTGCCCCCCGCACGTTCCTCGTGGACCAGAAGCTTAGAACGAATGGGACCCCGACGACTGATCGGCGAAGTGCTTCAGCGTCGAGGATCTGCTTAGAAGATGATCAACGAACCTATGATGAGATGCATGAGCTGGGCTTCGGCTGTCTCGGGCTTGAAGCTATTATGACTTAATGATTTGCTTACATTTTTTTGATTTCTTATTTATTATTTTTCTCCACTTGCCTTCTATCGCTGTTTTTTCCTTCCAAAACCCCTGTCTCGGGTGGGTTGGGTATTGGTTTGGCGTTTCATGTCTTGCTTGCATCAGGGATTGGAGATGGCAGTTCGGAAGTCATCGAGACGTGCTATCTTTTTTTTTTTCTTGTTTTCTTTTTTTCGGGAATGCGTGTACATGGTATCAGCCTGCACAGTTATGCTGCCTAGGTGGCGATGCATTGATTCTAAGTAAGTAGCTCTGACCGCTCATACAAATCAATGATGCTCTTGAGATACACCGACAGACTTGGTCTGAAGACTGAAAACCCCTGTGAAGAAGGACAATAAACAAATAAACAAAGAGAATCATGACTAATATGATCTTATAAATATGAATTCAATGAAATGGATCGATTGACTTTGAATGAATCTTTGAAGCGAGAACTATAAGCGCCCAAGACACCCCTGGGCCTTGCTGCCTTAATGAAGCTCGTGCGGGGCCTGAGAAACCCACAACCAACGGCTGCTATCTCAAACCATGGAACCATGATGCTGTCAGCACTGCACGTATGAATGCCCAACTACCAGGAGGGATTCTAAAGGGATGCAACGAATCATGCCCACTAGCTACTCAGTAAGTGAAGAAAAAGAAGGCGTTGGTGCTGGAGTGTGAATTAATCGAGTTCATGCAGGGCGGCCCAGCCTTTTTTTTTTTTTTTTTTGAACTGTGAGTGTCAGATATTCAAGGATGTTATACTTCAAGAGAGAGGGAGAAAGAAAAAGAGGAACAGAACAATTCTCTCTCACCAAGTGATTACCCTCTTACTAAGTGATGCGCTGGCATTCTTCGGCCCAACTGTTCGGGCAAAAAGCTATGGCCCATTTGCTCCGCTTTTTGGGCAGAGATCAGCTTCCAGAAAGACGTTCCACCCGCTCGGGAATCCTTGTTAGCCTTAATTATAGTATTAATACACTTGAAATAACGGTTCCATGCCAAACGTGGGGTTTTCTGACTTGTCATGGCTCCATGCATCTCCCCGAAGCTGTCAATTTTGGTCTTCCCCCCTAGTGATATATTCTCTAGATGGTTATCATGTTCCCATAGAAATGATAAAGGAGAAACCTTGTGCTGGAAGTGTCAGTCATGTCAGATAACCCTAGATCATAAGTCTATACCCAATATTTCAACTTACCGTATTTCTTCAAGGGTTTGTTTCGGCGTGCGCCGGGCCGTCCCAGCTTGCAGCCTCAAAATGATCCGCATGTCCCTCACTTTTGCTTGTCTGGACCAGGGGGGGGAGAAGGTGGATGGGCGTGACGCTGTACCATATCCACATGCATAAGCCCGTTCCGTTAGGTTTGACGGTTAGGCTCCATGTTTGTCAGGGGGAGAGAAACACATAAAAATGAAAATGAAAAAAAAAAGAAATTTCATTATGACGAGCAAGGCCCGCCCCCCTCCTTCTTTTCCCCCTCCCCCCCCTCGAGAACGGCTTTTTTTGGAGCCCTGAAGATATGGTCCACTGTTTATATGAGTCCCCGCTCCCCATGTTGCTGGACACTGGATAAGAGGTCAATTCTTATTTTTTTTTCTTTTTATGTCTGTTGCAAGATTCTCTTAGATCCATTGAGCTCTTGTACCTCTTCTTCCTCCTTGTCTCTTGATTCCCATTGCTTATAGAACTTCTTTTGGTTCCTTTTCTTTTTTTAACACTTTGCTATTCTCAATTGTCTGATTTGCAAGACTGACACCTCTTGCTCATCTATTCAAATCCCTCCTGTGTCAATTGCATTTTGACATCATCCCACTCTACTCATCTCTCGTCTACTACAACCCCACCAAACCATGTCCCTCCCAAACAGTGCACAAGGCGCTGCTGCTGGGAATCAGCCCTCCTGGCAGGATCGGCTTCGGGGTAAGCCATTGAACTAGCTGATGTGACTGTATCAACTGATCAATTGACTTTTCTGAAGCACATTGTAGAATCACTAAGCTGCCGGCCCCGGTCTTCAATATTGTGTCCGATCGACGAGGTACATTCCCGGTTCCGTCTTTGATCTTTCTCTTCTCTTTTTTTCCCAGACCAGTTTCTCTTGTTTATCTCCAGCTCCATGCACCTCTTACCATACCTGACCCATTGCATGCCTCGGCATTGAGGGAATAAAAAAGGGTGGGAAAAAAAAGGTGGAGCCCGAGAAATCGCGTGTACACCGACTTTCCTTCTTTTCTTTTCTTTTCATTACTTTCATTTTCATTTTATTATTCATTTTCTTTCTTACTTGTGTTGGTACATGCTGACTGCCTGCTCGTTCGGTCTATTACAGGAGGTCGAACTGCCTGGTCCAGTACCGTAACCGTCCAGGGCCAGAATGTCGCTGCCCGCTACTGGTACGACGGCCAGTTCATCAACAATGCCAAAGAGGATGCCGCCGAAATGGCTCTGAAGGTGCTCAACGAACCACCGCGTGCATCTACGGTCTATCCAGGTCAGCTGTCTTCTCAGCAGTCGCCGTCCGGGTATGGCCGTGGGGCTGGCAGGTTCTGATTGATGTCTTTTTCTTTCTTATAGTTGTTTTTTTTTTTTTTGGTGGGGGCGGCTTTCTCCCTTCTATGCTTGTGTTTCTTCCGGAGTTGATTTCTTGAATTATCTTGTTCCTCTCTGGGAATCCCTGTTTTGTTTTGTTTTGTTTTGTTTTGTTTTGTTCTTGTTTCTTGTTTCTCTGCGCATTCCCTGGGCGGGTCCCGCCCTCCTTGCCGTTGTCCTCTTATTTGGTTTATACCCATTACAGGGGAACAGAAAAAGTGAAAGAAACAAGAAAAAAACAAAAGAAAGAAAAAAGGAAGACACAATTACCACGCACCCTCTACCTCCGATACCGATTGCTCCCTCCTCGGGCACAGCCAATGCATGACTCGTTTCAGTTATCAACAACCCCGTGGATGGATATACCCGAGTATTGGTGTCGACGAATGTCCAACACGGATGCTGGTTATGCAGCCGGCAATGGTTGATATGACGAGATGGTCAAGACAAATATGCAACGCGTAACTTGCCACCAGATGTGGGCCGCTTCCTTGCATCCGTTTGGGACTTGTGGAACTCTGCAATCCGGCCGTCATACCCCGATCCCGATGTCATGAAGACGTCTTTTGTGGCTCGCTCGCGCCGCTTCCGGGCTGATGCTTTTCCTGCATGGATATCTTCGCGGGAATTGGATGCTCTATACAATACATGTCATCACACGTCAACTGGTTTTCGGCTGGTTTCGGTGGTGCATTACACAGTGTTTGCTGTGGTGTGCTGTGAAATTGGACAAATCTCTCCAGGACTTCCTTGCGATGAGTTCTCTGTCTGTCATTAGATAGGCGTGCTGGATCCCCCAACAAGCACTCCTCTTTTACCTCAAGACCTGAGATGAAAAAGAGCAAAGCATACACACCACTCGGACATCCTGGCTTCTCTATGCCGTGGACACCCAATCCACACATTATCAGCGTGAAACAAGCCAAGCCAGTGTGCCTGCTTTACCTCCTGGAGCCTAGAATCCTGTCTTGGGCCAATGTGCATTTGTGTGACCTCAAACGGGAATCCACTCGTCCGGATGCCAAGCAGACAGGCATGACAGGGGAACGACGGGACAGAAAAAGAAGAAAGACAGTGGCAAAGGGGATCAAATAGGGGGCCAAATAACCAGGAGCTAAAAAAAAACACAGATACAAGCTTTTTGTTTTGTTTTTCTCTCTTTTGTTCTCTTTTCAAGAACTAGTCAACTTGGGCTGTTGTGGACCTTTTGTTTATGCTGATGCTTATGTTTTGCTTACTACAATTTTTTTTTTGGATGCGTTGAGTTCAATACGGGAGTTTCTTTCTTTCTTTCTTTTTCTTTTCTTTCTTTTTTATCCGTTTGGCTGGATTGTATGGATGGGATGGGATGGGATGGGATTGGAGTCTTTTATTGCTACTTGTGCTGGACTTGGTCTGCTGGGGTCTGAATCAGCTGCTAATCCGTATATCGACAGGACATTACCATTGATGAATTTTGCTTTCTATGATTTGACTATTCTTGGTAGGCTGGAAATGGCATTCCTATGATAGAGGGTGCTGTAAAGGAGTTGAAGAGAGCTGAAGTAGTGACTTCTCGGTGATATTGGATTAAAGTACAACACCTTGTGGATTCAGGAATAAAATAGCTCTTTGAACTTTGTGTTTAACTCGCTGTTTCCCTTCCCCTTCTCTTCTGTCCTATAGCAGCATCTTTGATAGTATCTTCCTAATCGCTGATCCTAACGTCACTAGACTCCCTGTTCTTGTAATTAGAATAAATATCTAAATTAAATTTCTCCCCTTGAATATAATATTTTAATTAAGATTCTGTCGCATTAGGCCACGGTCCCAGCCATTAGCCCTAACTAGATCTGATTTATAGTAAAACCCTCTTCTTGGCTTGCCTCCTTGCACAATTGATATATGAAACATATAACATAAAAGCAAATCAGCCAGAAAAATACCAACTCTCTCAATTATCAAAATGTTCGTCTTCTACATAAATCAACCTGGAATAGTATACCTCGGCCTCGGCTCATTGATGCAAACCAAGCAAACAGCTTATCGATAAACCAAGTGGGATCGCGTCGCCCACGTAGATGAACCCACCTATCCTCGCTCCATGCAATGTCACCGATTCTTGACGAGATCCCGCGCTAGAAACCCTCCAGTGGCTCAATCTTTCCGCATTGCCGCCATGTCCACCACCGCGGAGCCTAGCCGCAAACCCATGCCCTCCGCCTTGACTTTTGCCCGGCACGCCAAATGCTCGGTAGGTGGCCTCGTAGAAAAAGCACAAAAATACAGAATGCAAAAGAACAGATCTCTAACCGAGAATTATATTCGTGTTGATCTTCATAGACTACCAAGGCCCGCGCCAGCACTCTCCATCTCCCCCATGGCTCGGTCCCGCTGCCGATCTTCATGCCTGTCGCGACGCAGGCCTCCCTCAAGGGTCTGACCTATGATCAGCTCCGACAGACGGGCTGTATGCTCTGCTTGAATAATACTTATCATCTAGGTCTAAAGCCTGGTCAGGCGGTTTTGGATGCCGTTGGCGGGGCCCATAAGTTACAAGGATGGGATCGGAATCTCTTGACTGATAGCGGCGGGTGAGAAAAAAAAAAAAAAAAAAAAAAAAAAAGAAAATGAAATGAAGATCATAGACTGACCTATATGTGTTAGTTTCCAAATGGTCTCGCTTCTGAAACTGGCTACCGTGACCGAGGAAGGCGTGCGCTTCCTCAGTCCACACGATGGCACCCCAATGTATGTATTCCCCGGCAACCCCCCCTTCTGTCTGCTGCTTAATATCATCTAATGATACACCAGGCTCTTGACACCCGAACACTCTATCTCTCTTCAAAATTCTATTGGCTCCGATATCATCATGCAACTAGACGATGTGATTGCAACCACATCGCCAGATCATGCCCGCATCAAGGAAGCAATGGGGCGGTCTGTCAGGTGGCTGGACCGGTGCATTGACGCGCATAAAAATCCAGAGAGCCAAAACCTTTTCTGTATTATCCAGGGTGGTCTTGACCTGGAGTTGCGGCGGCAGTGCTGCGCCGAGATGGTGGCTCGAGATACACCTGGAATCGCCATTGGGGGCCTTTCTGGAGGTGAGGCAAAGGAGGAGTTTTGTAAGGTGTATGTGTGGCCCTGTTTGCGAGTATTGATATACATACTGACTCGGAGAAAGCGTGGATACATGCACGGGGCTTCTTCCAGAGGAAAAGCCGAGATACGTGATGGGCGTGGTATGCCTTTTGTCATCTCTACTGTGTTTCATTCTGCTCATCTGTGCTCTAGGGATATCCCGAAGATATGATTGTGGCGATAGCATTGGGTGCAGACATGTTCGACTGTGTGTGGCCCACACGGACAGCGGTAGGGCCCTTCTCATTCTGATGTTTTTTTATAGGTATACTGACATAATTAGCGCTTCGGAAATGCCATCGTCTCATCTGGCACATTAAACCTCGGACACAAAACCTATGCGCAAGATTTCGGCCCTATTGACGAAGAATGCACCTGTGCCTGCTGTCGCCCAACCAAGCAGGGAGGCCTTGGAATTACGCGGGCGTATATGTTCCATGTGACGCAGAAAGAGACGGTTGGCGCCCATCTGTATGGTCTAGCAACTTTTCCTCCTGTTTACTCTGTACTTCGTTGATCACTGACATGCTCTAGTCTCACGATTCATAACGTCCATTTTATGCTGTCACTCATGGGTGCTGCGCGGCAGGCAATCCTCGAGGATCGATATCCTAGCTTTGTTCGGGATTTTTTCTCCAAGATCTATGATGGCGATAAATCGAAGTTTCCCGAGTGGGCGGTGGGTGCATTGCGCGGGGTTGGGGTGGACTTGTTGGCGGAGTAAATGGTCTAACGACTGCCTCGAAGGTAGTTCAACGTCGGTAAAATTATGGTGATTCTACTGAAGATTGAGAGTGTTTGGCTCTATGTATAAAGAGCGTGTGCATTACAGGAGTTGGGTTAATTGAAGAGCTTTACTTTAATGATATGGTTGAAGCAGGCATGATGTGAAGTGCTTTAAAAAATTATCATACTATCCAATGTTGATTACTATCGTCAGCATGAGTAATGCCTCAGGCCATAATCGATATTGATGTTTCACGTGACCACGTGTCGCGTCGACGCGATCCACGCAGCTCGAGGCTCCTGTCCTCCCCTCCGAAATCCAAAAAACCCCCAAAAGGACAATTAAGTTAGCTTAACATCCTACCTAAACCATGACTCAAGAGCAAACTGCACCCGCCGCTGCGGCCCCCTCGCCACCACACAACCCCTCGCACGAAGAACACCAATATCTGAATTTAATCCGAACAATCCTGTCCCAAGGCGAGCACCGCCCCGACCGCACCGGCACAGGAACACGATCAATCTTCGCGCCACCACAACTGCGCTTCTCACTGTCCAAGCCCAACCCAGACAACAGCGGGTCCCCAATCCCCGTGCTGCCGCTGCTGACCACCAAACGAGTCTTTCTGCGGGCGGTCCTCGCCGAGCTCCTTTGGTTCATCTCTGGCAGCACGTCGTCGCAACCTCTCTCAGACGCGGGCATTAAGATCTGGGACGGGAACGGCAGCCGCGAGTTCCTGGATAAGGTGGGGCTGGGCCACCGCGAGGAAGGCGACCTGGGCCCCGTGTACGGGTTCCAGTGGCGCCATTTCGGCGCGGAGTACGTCGACGCCAAGGCCGATTACTCGGGCCAGGGTGTCGACCAGCTCCAGGATGTGGTGAAAAAGCTCATCCACTCGCCATTTGATCGCCGTATCATTATGAGCGCTTGGAACCCCGCTGATCTGCGGAAAATGGCGCTCCCGCCTTGCCATATGTTCGCCCAGTTCTATGTCTCGTTCCCGCCGGGTATGACTGTCGATGAGAAGACTGGTTGCCCCTCGGAGAAGGGCATTCTCTCGTGTTTGCTTTACCAGCGCTCGTGCGATATGGGGCTTGGCGTTCCGTTTAATATCGCCTCTTATGCTCTGCTTACCCATATCCTTGCCCACGCTGCTGATCTGCATCCCGGCACTCTTGTGCACACTATGGGCGATGCCCATGTCTATCTTGACCATATCGATGCCCTGAATGAGCAGCTGACCCGTGAGCCGACGGAATTCCCTGAGCTGCGGATCAAGCGCGAGGACCGGGGGAGTGCGGTTATCGATGGCTGGAAGGATGATGAGTTCGAGGTGATTGGGTACAAGCCGCACAAGACGATCAAGATGAAAATGAGTGTTTGACTGGTTCCTTGGTCTTAGATGGGGCTGGACTTTTGTGTTATGATATTATGATACCAACAGTGGAATGAATCCGCTGCTTTAGATGTTGGATGAATGATAAATGTTTTCATTCTTGAACTCGATTAGTTTTCGACTTAGATATGAAATATCCATAGGTAGTTCAGACTAAAGCAAGAACAAGACGGTAAATCAGAACCGGGTATCACATTGATATCCACACGCTTTGAGTGTATCAAGCTATGTACTTTACACCGAGATAGCTCAGAAAAGCCAAAAAGAAAAAGAGAAAAAAAAAAACCGCAATGTATCATGCAAAAGATCATGCAAATGTATCCACGCATCATGACTTCCCCAGAACAGCCCCAGCCCCACGAAGCAACACAATCGTGTCACCCTGCCTCACCTTGCCAGCTCCAATCGCTTCGGAGAACTCCAAGAAATCCCCCGACTCGACATGAAACACTCGTAAGCGAGCATCCTCCCCACCACCACGATTATTGACATTCTCAACATGCAGCCTGCGCGCCGCATCATCAAGCACCCGCCCAACCTTCCACCTCGAGTCAAAGTAAAAGTCGCCCGCCGGCGTATCCGCCGCCTGCGTATCCGCCGTGCCGACAGTACGCAAATACAGCCGCTTATCCGTCGGGACAGAGGCCTCGCCCTTGGCCGAGCGTTTAAGTGTATTGACGCGCGCAGCACGGGCAGCGGGGCTGTTGGCGGCGGGTTTGGGTTTGGGGAGGAGGGTACCGCTGGCGGCTTGCTGCTGCTTATCGCGGCCCCAGGAGCGCACGCGCGCAAACATACCCTTGAGCGTGTCGTTGGCGCCGGCGCCGATGTTAGTATTGCTGCCTGGGCGGCGTGCACCCAGCGGGGTAATCTTGGCGCAGTCGTGTTCCTCGCGCAGCCGGTGCTTGAGACAGTACTGGCGGTTGCAGTCGGGGCAGCGCACGCCCGGGTCTTTGAGGGTGTGGATCAGGGTTTTGCATTCCAGATGGGCGCATTGCTCTGAGTTGTATATGTTGGGTTTCTCGGGCGCGCTGCGGTTCTCTTTGGTGTTGGCTGTTGATGATGATCTTGCGCCGCTACGGCGGCGGGCCCATTCTCCGGCGCGCGCGCATTTGTGTGCTGTTTCGCTGCGGTGGTCGAGGCAGAATGTGCTGTGGCAGGACTCGCACCGGAAGGGGAGGAAGTCGAGCTGGCCGCAGTATTCGAATTGGCAGTGGCGGCCGATGGATTCTAGGTCTTCGTCGGCCATTTGGGTGAAGGATTCGTTTGTGTTGGAGGCTGTGTGCGCCTTCGATATACTGATGGGAGGCATGGTGGAGGGAGGTATGAAGGAGGAAGAGAGAGGGAGGGAGTACAAAGCACAAACAATCTAGAAATGTAGATGTAAATATGTTCGGGGAATCTATCGGTGCTCGGCCGCCACAAAGGCGTGTTGACTAAGCTGAATGCGGAGAACCATGACTAATGCGGAGAAGCTTCCAGTGTGATCTACAACAGCTAGACTACACGTGGATAGCCACAAGCATACTAACATACAGAACCAAAGAAACACATTGCCCACAAAAGAAATCCAGTTACACAAGGGGTATATGACAAAACATGGAATCCACAGCCAAGTCATCCTGTGGATATGACACCAGAGCCCATCCATGACGCCAGAAAGAGAAAAGAGAAGAAAGTAAAGAAAAAGGGAAAGAGAACCAAGGGAATGTCAAACAACATGTGTCAAATCACAGTGGGTAAGAAGGACCACCACTCTGGCCATGAGAACCAGAAGCCTCAGTGGGAGGGTGCTGGGTCGGATGTGGGTCTATGTGTTCGTCGGTGCGATTCTCTGGCGTGGCAAAGGGAATAGGGCTGCTAGACGTGAACACCGGGAGCCCGTGCTTGGTTTGGGCTGCGGACATGGGAGGGGAGAAGAGGCTCGACTGAGGATGGGTTGCATCGGGGTTGGTAATGGTGTCGGGGGTTAGAGGCGGAGAGGTATGGGTAGAGAACAGTTTCGGCTGTGGAGCTGCAGAGGTAGACACAGGCGGCGGGAATATTCCCCCGGGTCTTGCGTCAGTCGTGCTGGCCACAGGAGCCGATGGCAGAGATGTCAACGGTGTATCATAGGAAGGAGCGAACTTCTGCTCCTGATTCTCCTGCTTGACCACATCTCCCGTGAACGCCCCCACAGATGAAGTAGGGAGAGGGGGCGGCGAGCTGCTGGGTGTGGATGTGAAGTGAGCAGCTGCTTTGCCGCGAGCACCTTTGGGTCCACTGGTCTTCCTGGGCGATTTCGGGGACTTTGGCGTCCGCCCCCCTCGTGACGAGGCCTGCTTGCATTCCTCGGCGGCTTTCTTCTCCCGAACACCCTTCTTCTCCCGAGCAAGTTGTTCCTCGGGGGATGGCATCAGCAGTTTAATCTTGCGCACGCCGGCAGACAATGCCTCCACGTCATCGGGAGGTGGGGTGCCCTCATCAGCAAGTTTCGAAGGAAGATAAGCGGCGGGAACTCGGGGCACTGGAGGAGCTTTTCTGGGGCTTGCAGAGCGTTTCGGGGTGCCCGGCCGCGAACTACTGGTCTTGCGTGTACCGGAGGATGCGGTGGACTTTGTGCTTGCCGCCGAGGCCGGCCGTTCCCCAGCACTCGCTTGGTCACCAGAGCCGGTCAAGTCACCCATATCAAGGGAAGCTGCAGTGGCACTCTTTCTGCGAGTGGCATCCACTGTCGGCGAAGACTCCCGCGACGGGTCGGGCAGATCATTGACATCAATAGTTGTGCGGCGATTCTTCCGCATTGCCTGCTGTCGCGGAGTCGCAGGCCTGGGTGAATGAGGGACCGGAGACTTGGTTTTTCTCACGCGAAGCTGTCGTTTCTCCTCGGGGGCGCCGGGGGCGGCGGGGGCGCGGGCACTGCAGCAAGATTGACACCACCATCCAATGCTACCTGGCGTTCGCGACGCTGGCGAGAAGCCTCCGCGTTGAGGTCCTCCGGACGGCAGCTCGTGGTTTGCCGGTGCTCGGGGATAAGTACCTTGGAAAGCTCATGTGCCGCGGTTGCCCAGCCCACTTCTGGTAGTGGGGGAAGGCTGGGATCTGGGATGGCGTGAGAGCCATTGGACTTGCGATCACGCGTCGGAGTAACCACCTTGGCCGAAAATGAGCGAGTTGGCGCAAAATACGTCGGAGCTGATTTCTCTCGTGGCTTGGTTGGCGGCCATACAAGCGCTTCCAACTCGGAGAGCAAAGTCGGCGTCCACCATTCATTATCGTATTCAGCTCGGTTGAGAGGCTGTTTCGAAGTCTCAGTCGGGGAAGAGGCTGTCAGACTAAGCCGACCCGTCATCTCGGATGCCAGCCGGCTATCAACCGAATCATGTGCAACTGAGTCGCCCAAGCCAGCCAAATGGCTGAGCACTCCACTGGTCAGGGCTCGGTCACTATAACCTCCCTCGAGAACACTGATGACACGTCCGTCCACACCGAGCCCTTCCTCCTGTGACATTCGCACAACATCGGCCGTAAACTTGGCGTAGAAGTCAGTCGGGACGTGCACCTTGTGTCGCTGCATCCCAGGGCTTTCCCACTCGCTCGCGTCAAATCCAGCCGAAATGAAGATGGCAGCTTTCGGCGGCGGCCCAGTCGGGTTTTCAGAGAGTCGTTTGGTATGATGGCGAAGGAATGCGCGGGCTTTGGTAAGCAATGCTATGTACTTGGTCCGGTACAGTTTCCAGAACTCGGCATCGGTCTCCCAGGTCTCCAGGTGAACATTCCAAATGGATTGGCCGTGAGCTCTATCAATGCACACGCTTGCATTGCGGACCTTATCTGGTTCGCCACCCTCACAGGGGTAGGAGTTGATATCGTGAAGGCTGTAGTATCCAATGGCGGTTTTCTTGTAAGGAGACGCATTGCGCGGGGCCATGGATGCCTTGTAGTTGTGATCCCATGTGATATCCTGCGAACCATCTCCGTGATGGAGGTCGAAGTCCAGGATGGCGGCGTGAGTGAGACCATGGGTCATCGCCGCGTAGGAGATACCCACGTGGACGTTGTTGATCCAGCAAAAGCCCGAAGGGAAGTCTGCCGAGCAATGATGGCCCGGCGGGCGAATACACACAAAGGCGCGCGAGGTCGGCCCGGGCCCGAGGACAGCATCCACACCTTCACAAACACCGCCCAGAGCCCCCTCGAATGCATTCAAAGATTCGGCACACAGGTAAAGATCGCCCGAGTGAAGTGGCGGGCCACCAAATGCCAGACCATCATTGCCTTGAGTGCGAGGCCGAACGAGTTCTTTGCCCGTCAACGCGAGTCGCGACTCCGCGATGTCGCACATGCTCTTCAAATCGGTCATCCATTGTGTTCCATGGACATTCGTCACAGAAGTGTCCGAAAGTGCCAGCGACCGCGACGTCTTGCGGATCTGGAAAGGCGGCGCAGGCAAGGAATGTAAATCGAGGTGTGGGTGTGGCGCGAACTGCTCACCCGCGTGTCGGCGCCCGAGGCGCACATACGCCGCAGAGACACCAAGGACACAGGCGCGAATGCGCTCGGGTCTCTCGACGATAGAGCCCAACACAGCCTTGGATGCGCGCGGGCGCGAGAAACGGTGGCCGTAGCAGGCGTCATGGACAACCACCACCGTCTTGGCTTGAAGATCTACCACCTGGTGCAGATCAATCTCCTTCTGGAAGTGTTCAGCTGCAATCGAGGCAGCAGTTGGGGCCTGGGGCTCGGTGGTGGGTGATAGCGCGAGTCTTTGCGGCAACATGGCGGGCGACGCGGTGGTGGTCGGGGACCCCGCGAAGTTGGAAGAGGAGCGGCGCGACGAGTCCGCCAGTGGTGACGAAGGTCCGGTGTTGAGGGAAACAGATCGGAGAGAGGCAGCTGACTGGCGCTTTTGAAGGGCTGGAATAGATTTGCGGCGTTCGTCGCGCAAAGAGGTGGAGCTGGGGGTTCGGCGCGGCGCAGGCTGAGAGGGGAGACGCGACGAACCATCGCGGGGGGATAACAGAGAGGGGGAGGTAGGCAGAGGAGTTGCGGCAGCATGAGCCAAAGACAGGCGATTCAAAGAGTCAGACAGAGGACAATGGGATCGATCCATTGCCGGTGGGTTGTCCACGGGAGGCGGATCATCCTGAGAGGGGGGGGTTGGAGGGGTCCATGATGCAGGAAGACCATGAAGCGCGAGACCATAAGGATTCCACACTTCTTTTTCGTCAGAGATGCAAGACCAGGGACTATGTAAGAGGATGCGTAGAAGGGCAAAAAGGAGATGCTGGATGGTTCATGTTTGTCCCTGTGGTTGGTGACTACAAAGGGCAAGAGACCAGTCGATCACATCAACACAACTAAATCAGACATTCCTGCACATTCTTGGATCTAAGACACGGGATTGTTGGTCAAATAGCTTTCTTTATCAATACATAAGAGACATAAAACATAACCATCAAACACTGAAGTCGTTGAAATCATTCCTCAACGCCTATCCTCTAAGTAGATCCATCCGTCTTTGCCGAAATCAATGCCAATCAACCGAAACACCAGAGCTGGAAAAAAAAACTGGAAAAAAGAAAATGGACAAAGAAGGTAAAACCACATGAAAGACAAGGCTCAGTGGGAGCGCAGGCCCCGCCACTGATACCACTGGAACCAGCGGCGACCAAAGCTGGCCTTCTCATCCATGGAATCTTGAGACTGGCGTCGCACCTTGTCTTCTTCCTTCCGGGTCTGCTTCTCTGACTTGAATCCTCGGGTGGCATGAGAGTTGCAGAAGCAGTGCATGTGGACTGTCTCGATGCTGACCCCGGGGCAGCCGCTGCGGCGGTAGCCGGCGCAGACACTCTGGCCGGCGTCTTCTTCGCACTGGCACCACTCGTAGAGGGTGAAGTATTGGCGACACATGGTTTGCAATTGGAGTGTCTCTGGTGATGTTGAATGTTTTTCTCTGTAGTAATCCAAGCCAACGGGCTCTGTGGATTGTGCGGGTAGATTCGGAAATGGTCGATTGGGTTTGGTTTCTCTCTCTTCTCTTGATCAGATCAACTGGAAGGCGAGAAGACTTGAAGAAATGGATTGAAACTGCTCAGAGCGATCTGACGTGTCAATGGCTTTGAGATCGGTGAAGTTGGTGATCGGCGCTTGTAAGTGGGCAGTCTAGCCGGAAGACCGGGTGGTTGATGTAGGCTGTAGAATGTATAGATGGAAAGAGAAGAAATATGACTCAGACCAGCTGAGAGAAAAAAAATCGGATAAGACGGAGGATAAGAGAAAGAAAAGGATGAGAAAGTCGCGAGGGGAGGAAAAGCCTACGCCCAGTACAAGGTCTCGATCCACAGGGCAGCGTAAGGCTGTGGGGGTGCAAAATGATGAGTGAATGGATCATTGCAGGTCATTGACGTCAAAAGACGTGGTTTTTCTTTTCATTATTTGAGTACTACCCGCTCCGGCGTCTCCTGCTCCACCATTTTTTTTTTGGTTACATCTGGGCTCAGAGAAATTACTTGGTACGACTTGCTCGCCAGTGATTCCCCAGCATTCGCCTAGCATTGGCCCAGCTTGGCGCTTTGGAGGGATCAGATGAGAGAGAAAAAAAAAACGAAACTAGGTGGCTGAAGCACACAAAGGCGCTAGAAATAGGCAGAGGTTCTGCACGAAAATAGCAATAAAAGAATAAGAACGATAAAGAAAAGAAACAAAGCCTTACAGTTTCAACGCCTCACCGTTGAGGCTGACACGGGGATCTGCAAGGCGCGAAGGGTTTCTTTTCCGACGCAGATTCATCATTGGGCCAGCCTGTGTCTGGGCTAGCGCCAGGGCAGCCCGAACTTCCTGCTTTGGCTGTTTCTTTTAGCGCAGAGAGTTTTCGGTTGCAATGGAGCCGACACTCTTGGGGTCGCATGGGCAGAGAGACGAGATGAGATGAGATCACACGTCGATCCATCTAGATCCGCAAACGGAAGGAACACTTGAAGATCCTATCTGGGAAGGCGGTGGAGCATGGCCTGTCGGTCAAGTCATGTGGCGCGGGCATCTCCGAGGAACAGTGCCTCAGGCAACTACCGGGCTGGGGTTTGTATATCTTTATTCTTTTTGAGAGAAAATAGCGCCTGGACACTCCAGACTCGGACCATACTGCACAGACAAACTCTGTGGCACCCTTGAATGATCTATCATCTTGGGACAAGGCAGTCCATCAGACCAAACCCTCACTTCAACACCAACAATTGTTTAACCCAACCTCCCCAAAACCCTTTGCTTTCTTTTTCCCACCTCCCAACCCTGCCATGACCAGTCCCTCCTCTACCCCCAACATGACCGCTTCACCCGCCCGAACCTCCAGCCTCCTCACCAACCTCACCGCCGTAACCGCCCGCATCAGCACAGCCGCAGCACACGCCCCACCGCCGAGCAAGCCCGTACGACTGGTCGCCGTCTCAAAGCTCAAGCCGGCCTCGGACATCCTGGCCCTGCACAGCGCGCCGGCCTCGCAGCAGCACTTTGGCGAGAACTACCTGCAGGAGCTATTGGAGAAATCGCGCATTCTGCCGCCGACTATCAAATGGCATTTCATTGGCGGTCTACAGTCCAATAAATGCGTGACGCTGGCTCGTGACGTGCGCGGCCTGTGGGCCGTGGAAAGTGTCGACTCGGAGAAGAAGGCTGGGTTGTTGGATAAGGGCTGGGGTGAGCGTCCACCACTCGATGCCAATAATACCAGCATTGAGCAGCGGCAGCAGCCGGCTGCTGCCGCTGAAGACGCACGTCTCCGCATCTACGTCCAGATCAACACCTCCGGCGAAGAAAACAAAGCCGGCATCGACCCCACCGCCGCACCCGCCCTCTGCCGCTACATCCGCGACAAGTGTCCCCGGCTCCTGCTGCAAGGCGTCATGACCATCGGCGCCATCGCCCGTTCGCAAGCAACCACCCCGGAGAACGAGAACGAGGATTTTCTGCGTCTGCGCGAGACCCGCGATCACATCGTCGCCGAGCTGGGTCTGTCCGGGCCCGACGCCACCTTGGAACTGAGTATGGGCATGAGCCAGGATTTCGAGGGCGCTATTACCCTGGGCAGTGATCAGGTTCGTGTTGGGACTACTATCTTTGGGGATCGGCCGCCGAAGGCTCAGGCGGTGGTTTGAGATTGAAATGTGGGGATTCGTTGATTTTTCTTTCTTTTTTTTATGAGTTACGAACTTGTTGCATTATTATGGAGCATAGACATGTAAGAAAAAAGGGCGCCTGCATGGAAGAAACAAAAAGAAGACAAAAGAAGACAAAAGCGTCCGGTAGACTGGAGATATCTGGTTGCTCACTCATTGTACAACATGGCAGATACAGCTACGAATCATAGATCCCGTTCGAAAGAACTGTTCGTGATATTGACTAGGAAGCTGATTAGGAATATACAATGAATGCCTCGCTACGAGCCTCAGGACCGGTCCACAATTCCCTGCGCCAGCTTCTGCTCCATTTGCCTCGTCAGTGCCTGTGGGACGCCTTCTTGCGTGGCTCGGATGGTGATCCGATACATCTGAATAAGAGTCAGTATGATGATCAAAGAACAAGAGCAAGAAAAGGACGCGGGTACATACCGCCTTCTCGTAGTTGGGCTCTAGGCGCATCAGACAGCCCGTCTTGCCTCCCTCGAACTGGAACACCGCGCAGCCGACAATGTTCTTCGGGTTCGGGTCCACGTCGTCCAAGATCCTCCAGGCAAAGTTCTCCACCATTTTCCGGGTGAAAGCCTCGTTGATGGACTTGTTTTTCCCAATCAACCCAAAGGTCTTCTGAGACTCGAGCGGTGCCCCTCCGATTTGGCGCCAGCGCTTGAAGAACTCTTCGGCGGATAGCGCCGACGGGTCCATGTATCGGTGCATCAAGATGGGCAGCTGGAGCGTGTATGCTTGGAGCGCACCGGCCAAGTATGAGATACGGATCGTGGGCGCAGCGGCGAAGGGACCGTGCGCAGAGCAAAACAGTGTCTGTTGTGTCTGGCCAGCAGAAACCACGGAGGGTTCGGGGAGGTTTTTGGTGTCGATCTTCAGGTTGGGCGAGGCCGGGTTGTCAAGGGTAGTGGTCAAGGATCCGATGGGGTACGTAGACTTGTTGGAGATGTAGAGCTTCACGACACCCATGGGGCCGCGGTATTCGGAGCGCAGTCCGACCTGGATCTGTGCGTCCTCAAATAGCACACCCTCTTGATTGAAGTAGAGCCGGTTGAACCCAACATCCCACTCCGGTGTCAGATGCGCGGCACTGGCCATATTTGGAGGCGGAGCAGACGGTCCACTAAGATCCAAGCCGGCCAGGTCACCCGAAGAACTGGCCGGGCTTCCGTTGGCAGCACCGGTACGCGTGCTGTTGACAATGGTCGTAAAGCTGCGCTTCAAGCCGGTGTTCTGGGCCATAAGCACTTCTTGCTTGTCCGCATTTGCGGCCTTGCCTCCGACCACCCACGTCTTTCTTTCGGTGGTGCCAGCAGTCTTCTGGTGAAGTCGGGAGAGCAAGATGGAGGCACGGTCAGAGAACGGAGGCATTTCATCGCAAACGGTTCGCAGCAAATCATCAGTCGGGAGCGTGGCCAGTGACAGGTACTCGAATGCTCGCTGCTGCAACTCGGAATCGGGGGAATGACTGTACAGGCGGAAGATCTGCAGGAGCTGGGGTTTGATTTCAGGGAACAGGTTCACGAACTTGACAAACGACGACAGGATCATGGCTCGCGCGTTGTCGGAACTGGTGAACATCTTGGCCTGTAATGCCAGGAATTGCTCAATGGGGCTTGAGCCAGGGTTTTCAGCAACGAGATGGCCGAACTCGCCCAAGACGTAGCAGCCAATCTTCACCAAACTTTCGTGGCAGTCGGTTTTCAAGTAGCCTAGTAAGGTATGTGCCGCATATGCCTGCAACTCCTCGTTGTTGGTCACGATCTGGATCACTCGTTGCCATACTTCTTCGTTGACATGCTCGCCGGCCAGCGAGAGCAGCTTCAAGGTCATGTCGATGTACCACTGGGCATCTGTGGCATATTTCTCCGTAAGGATTGCAACCTTCAACACCATCTCCTCGCGAATCGCATAGTCTGCAGTCTGCAGGTACCGCAGCAGTTCATTGACAATCGGGCCAGCATTGCTCGTGTCACACATGCTGTACAATAGATCCAAACCTTTGCGGCGGACACTGATATCCCGGTCCCGCAGTGAGCCCAAGATGATATTCTGGTGCTTCTTGATCGGATCGAGAGTTTCGGCCCGGGCAGCAAAGTGGGTCATCGCGTCCAGGCCGAGGTAGCGGACATTAGTCTCGCGGGACTGTATGTATTTGCCCAGACGGGTGGAAATTTGCATCATGAGATTGTGCTCGGAGTCAAGATGGATGAGGAGGTTGATGGCTTCGAACAGAACAGCATTTTGAGCGTTATTCTGCTGGACGTTCTTAGGTGTTTCCATAGCAGCTTGCATGATCTGCTGTAGGGAATCCCGAATAATCTCGCGGACATGGCTGTCTTCTACAGTGGGGGTAAGAACCTAGGCAACGAAAAGGAAGAAGATGGCAGCATACCTGACGGGGGGTAGTACTGCAGCAGACGCAGTAGCTTGACCTGAATCCAGGGGCATGGCACACGGTAATAAAGATAGTCCGGCGCAATGTCGTTGTCGACCACAATCCTCTTCAATCGCTGCGCGGCCTTGACATAGCTGCCCTTGTATTCTTCGGGCAAGTCTTGGGCTAGAGCCATGACTAACGAAGTCACCGACAGCGTGACTCCCATGTCAGGGTCGTCCATGATGGAAATGATTCTCTCGGCCCATTCATTCCGAACGATGCCGGGGTATTTCCGATACAGACGAAGCAGAGTCAGCGCAGCCTTCTTCTTGACGAAAGCTTTCGAGGTACTGGAGATTATCAGTGGAGTTCACAGCCGAGGGGGAAATGATCGGACAGAATCGAAGACTCACGGTGAAATCAAAAGTCTATGAACCTCGCCGCCGAGCGCCTCCCCGAGCTCCCGGCCACCAACATTAGCAACGGCATGCAACGCCAGACAATTGTTCAACTCATGGTGATCTAGCAGATCCTTCCGGATGCTATTGACAACCAAATGAATGAGCTCATGCTGTTCATGTAGGAACAGCGTAACCGCCAAATATCCGATCTGCTTCTCGGAGTACTTGGGGGAGGAGATCAAATTGACGGCCTCAAGATGGCCAAAGTCGACATCGTAGCCCTGGATATAGACATAGAGCAACTTGCAAACATATTTCTTCTTCTGGTAACCGTTGAGGCTGCCCGACTTAAACTTCTGTCGGATGTTGGCCAGTTCTTTATTCACCCGCTTCTCCTCCAATTCCCGCGCCCGCGCGTTTCGCAGGTCGGCGATGAACTGGACGAGTCCTCGCATCGACGACATGGTGGTGGTCCCGTCTGTGTGTGTATGTGTGTTCACTAAGACGAACCAACACTAATTAAGGTGTATGTGGGGAGAGAGAGAGAGAGAGGGGTGGGTGTGGCTGTCGACGATTTCTCGCATGCCACGCGGAGATCACCTCAGGGTGTTTGCGATCGGACAAACCGCGTCACGCAACCATGTCCCGTTTGGTTCGGTTCGGTGTGTCGTCGATGGTGCATTGGCCACACGGAGGTCGGCAACGGGAGAATCGCGATGGGAGGGTTCCTCGGCGAGCTGCGTGTGGGAAACAGGGGGTATGGACACGCAGGGAAGTCCTGGCGGGCAGTCAGCAACGAGGGCAGATTAAGGCCAACGACGGACCAACTCGGGATTGACAAACTAATTCAGCAGTGGAATGTCCCCGGGAGAAACCAGCCAAGCAGTCTCGGGCGAGTCGAGTTCATCGCCATCACCGGCGCTCCCACTCCGTCCTGAGTCCACTTCCGCTGTCGATCGCCGGTTCCGCTGTGGCGGTGCGGGTCAACGTTGATGCGCTGTGGCGGTGCCATATACTATGCTGTTCTTATAGCTGGATATTAGCCAAAGAATGAGAAAATAAAAGATAGATAGAAAGCTAGTGGTTGTGGTTCTTCCTATTTTTTCAAATGGAAGAATTAGAGGCAGATATATCATGACAGACAGCCGAGAATCGAGATACCGGAAATCAACGTCGAGGGAACACAAGAACAGCTCAAATACGGAGATTTAAAATAGAATAAAAAGATAAATATAGTTCTGGGGTATTCATGTTTTATTTGTTTTTTGCTCATGTCTCATTAGAGAGGTACCACCGAAGACAAATGCAGATCAAGCTGTTGTACACAACCCTTGTTTACCTGAACGCCACATCTCGAGCAACCCAGTAAACAATAGCAATGCAGATGGAAAATGCCGAGTAATCATAAGCCACAATAAGGAAACATCCGCAGAGGTTTGGGTCATTCAGGCCCGTCCTGCAGTGGTGAAGTCCACTTCCAGAGCCGAGTCACCGGCACTGCCCTTCTCACAGGTACAAGAAGCTAAAGGCTAGTTAGCATCCATTCCATCATCCTGAAATGAATATAGCCTAACACATCCAGCCATGGAGGAAGTATTTACCAGAAGGTCTGCTGCCACAGGCACAGGCATCGCCTTGCACGGGCTGATTCTCGCTCACCGAGCGTTCACAGGTGCATTGGCCAGCCGGACGGGATCCTAACACAGTGTGTTAATATCCTAGTGCAAAATAAAACTAGTAGAAGAATACGTATATAAATAAACTGGGGAAAACATACGGCATGAGCATCGCGGTCCCGAGATCGTGTTTTCGGTCGAGGCCTGGTTGCAGGTGCAGTGGAGGGCACTCTCCTTGCCACAGGAGCACTTGGCCTGGGCAGCACAAACACAACTTCCACCCTGGGTGGTCTTGCAGCAGGTTGAAGTCGGGTGAACCATGGTGAAGATTCTTAAGGAATGTAGAGATGTAAAGATGTAGAAATGGATTATCACGGAGTTCCGGTCCGGGAAAGAGATGAGTTCTTTTGGAGGAGTCGTGCAAATTGCAGAATTACCAAGTCCAGGGCACACAACAACAAAGTGTTTTTGATTGATTGAAGCTGAGATATGGAAGAGAAGAGAGTCTGGGGGTTCTTTGCATTGGATTTATAGTTGCTCGATGCGTCAGAGGGCACTGACCGGCTTATCAATTCCTGCTCTCTGATTGGCTTGATTGGTGGGTCACGTGGGGTATTCTGGCTGTCTCCATAAAATGGCTAACATTTGATGCGTTGCTGATTCGATACATTTGCCACTGCTGTGCCTTGATTATATTCCCTGGCTGCTTATTGGATACGAAGATATGATTAGGCATTCTAGAGGTGTATTTGGGGAGCCAATGAGAGCTGTGGTATTGAATCACTGGCAGACGGCTGCAACCCTAGATCTATACCAACACAAAAATGCTCGTCTTTGCTAAACCAACAAAAAACACCAATCAATACAAGGACATTAGCATTAAACAGAATCGCTCAAACGTAGCCAATTATGGCGAGTATCCAGAAATTAAACTCGGAATAGACACTGAAACATATATAAAACCAAACGCATTTCAGAAATGGTAAAGAAAAGGAAGTGGTAATAACACAGACAACTGAAGAAACTCAACTTCAAAGAACAGGCAGGAAATGTGCGAAGATTGAAAACATGCTGAAGATAAGACTCAATCAAATATATCTGGATGTCCACAGACAAACCAGAGAGTGTGGTCATTGGAGGCTGGCAAGGTCGTAAATATCACGGGTCATCGGTTGCTCTGTTTATTTATCTTTTTCCCCGTCTTTCTTCTTATTGCTGGATATAATTGGGATAGTGGAAAGACGGATGACTGAATTTCGACAGCAGCGGATCCAGTGCCTGTGGTGTCTTATGCAATGAATCATGGGCGGTGGTTCCCGCTATTGACGGCGCATAAGACGTCGAAATGCTCAGATTGGAGGCTGGGGCATGGGTGTATGGGATTGCGGTGCCCATCGATCCCGACGTGTTGTCGTAGGGGAACTGGCGATACTCGTGCGGTGCAGGCACCGGGAGGGATGAGAGAGTTGGGACGGGTCGTGCATGGGCCGGGACTTGGGAGTCCATTCCCAAGCTGGTATAATCTTTTGGGGTTGACATCGATAGGGTCGGTGGATAGGCCTGCGACTGCGAGCCTGTTTGGGATAACTGGGTTAGGGTTGTGTGTTGTGCTTTTGTCGAACAAAACAGAACTCACCTAGATGATTCATATCATAAGCTACGGGCGTCCCTTGTGTGTCTGTCTGCGATACCGAGTCTTCAAATGATTGCCGTTGATCGTATGGTTGGATTATGCCGGGATGTCGCGGCACGGCATAGTCCACGGGGCGTCGAAAATAGGACATATTCGCCTGGTTGGCTTGTGCTCCCGTGAATCGATTGTGCATTGAAAGGCCATGGTGGAAAGATAGGGGCTGCGCAGACGTATCGGATACGCTGCTGGACCGGGTGATGGGATAATCATTGCGCATTGTTCGTTGTAAATCAGACATGGACGCGGACGCGGCGGGCCGGCTGAATATCATACTCGAGGTCGGTGCGTTGTCGGACCGGCCCTGTCCATGAGAAGACATATACGTCCCTGTAGTAGAGGTCGAGCTAAGTGGCGAGGCAAGGTACTCGTCTTCGCTTTGTCGAGGGAAACCGTCAGTGCGCAGGGCTCTCGGTGCCGCGAAATCCACATTTGGCGCTGCGTATTCTTGCGGGGATACCCCACCTGTCTCGCCGATTGATTTGCCTTCAAACGGCGTGCGGAGTACCTTTGTGGTGTCAAAATCATCCGGCAAGGCTCGCGACTTGATCATTCTTTCGCGATCATTCGTAGTGAGGCGCTTGAGCTTTGCTCGCCTACAAAGTGGCGCTGGTTAGACCAATAAAATGGTTTCAATGGGAAAACAGCGGGGATATACCTGTTTTGAAACCATACTTGGACTTGCCGTGGAGTCAAGCCGGGGATCTCGCGCGAGAGGCGCTGTCTGTGGGCAGCGTCTGGATGTGCCTGCCGAGTGAACTCACTCATTAGGAAGCGGGTTTGGTTATGAGTCAAACTGTTCAAAAGGTTAGAGCGTGTGCCCTTAACCGAAGGCTGTCATCCAGAATCTTACCGAAACCGCTTCATCTTTTTCTTGTCCAGCGGAGGCGATCTGTGGTACTCATCGCTTCCCGTCCCTTCTGCCTTTTCAACGGAAGGACTGAGAGAATATTCCTTGTCCGATTCTTCCTTCATATCATGAAGGCCTGAGACTAGGCCGTTGGGGTCTTCAAAATGGTCAGTTTCATCCTGATGTTGCGACATCAAGAGTCGTGGCTGGGGCCCGCTAGGAATTCCTAGTTCGGCCTGTGATGGTGACTCCTCTTTCCCAGTTCCCATCCTCGGGTTAAACGTGTCATGAGACGAGCTTTCTTCCTCGGGGGACGATGTAGACTGAGCCGTACTGGAGGCCATCGGATTGGACAAGGCATTCTCAGCCTTGACACCAGACGTGTGCATTTCAGCAGCAAGCCCGGGTGTAGCACCAAGCGTGTTCTCTCTCTGCAGTGACAGCCGTGGCGAGGTTGATCTGGACCCCGGGACACTCTTCTCCCCGTTTCTTGTTGCCGCAGACAAGTGAGATGTCACTGCAGACAGATGCGAAGTGACAGGCGTGGATAAGGCAGGCAACCAAAGACAAGGGCCGCCGATGGACATGATAGGCTCGGCTTGCCCTAACCACAAGTTGGAATGTATTGCAAGACGATATCACGTCTGGATAGAGAATATAGTCGACTGTGCCGGCACGTCGAATCAAAGTACAAAAAAGGGAAGGAAAATAACAAACGAAAGAAAAAAAAAAACCAAGTCCCCTTCTCCTAGATGAGACGGGGGTGGGTCTGATCAAAGTGCCGGGGCACTTGCGCAAGAGGTTTCAGGGTTTCTGAAATAGAACAGAGCAAAGGGCGAAGACAAAACCAGCCGTTGGATGAGTAGGATCTCTGTATTCTCTGGAAGAGCAGACCGAGAGTGCTTCCAAGGTGCCCACAAAACCTGACAGGTGAAATCGAGTGCAGTACCAGAGAAGGACTACAGAGCAGCAAGATGTGCCAGACGGGACAGTCTCCAGCCAGCCCTCTGGATCTGAGATCGTTGGGCAGCTTGTCCAGCTGATCCTTACGCAGCTCGGTAGTAGCACGTACGAAACACGCAACCATCCAAACTGTGCCGTGTCTGGGGGGCAAATCCAGTGCTGGGAAAAGCCAGAGAGATCCCGGACAAGAGGCAAAAATCGCCAAAAGCTCCAATAGTGCTGAGCCAAGCGAAGACAGGGCGGAGGTAGTGGAAATAGCTGTCGGAGTGGGATATTAAACGGACGCCCACGAATGTCTCCAGGGTCCACAGGATGTCAAGAAGTTTGGCCACCCGAGATTTTCGAGGTATCTAAAACACTCCAGCGCCAGAGAAAAAGAGGGGGGTCTTTTGAGCCGTTTGAATCGCCTGAAGGAATCAACACCTTTGGGTTTGGTGAACGACGATCCTCGCAACGGTCGTAACGGTAGATGCAGATGCACCAAGTCCAGAGAAAAAATAAAAATAAAAATAAAAAATCAAGGAATTCAACAGACGCGACTAGCCGGGGGGGGATGATGCAGCCCCAAGGACCGACGGCCTAAATTTTGCTCCCAAGCAGTGGAGGGGCGTGAGAGGGGCGAAAGGAAAGGCAACTGGTCATGGATCAAGTGCAATGACAGAGAGATCGGCGATCAAAGGCCTAATCCAGTCGATCGTAGAGATACGCCCGAGCTCACCAGGATATCAGAACTAAAAGAGATCGTCTCAGGTGGATTGTAGCCTCAGATCCTGTACCCCCCCCCCCCCAGGCGGGTGAAGCATGAGGTCGTAACTGGGTCCAACAGAAAATAAACAGAAACTAAAATAAAAGGATACCGAGGCCCATGCAGCAGAAGTACGGGGAAGAGATACAGACTGGAAGATGGCGTGTCCAAAGCACTGGAATTGCTCCATCTCCATAAAAACCACGGCCAGGTCTTGACAGCAAAGCCGAGGCATCCACCCTTAAGTCTGTGGCGAATGGTACTGTGCACGAAGCTAACAGCTCCATGGGAAGTGGGAATGACCCAGGAAGTAGCAAGTCTCAGCCCAGGACCCGGACAAGCTCTAGACGGCTAGACAACCGGGAACAATCCATGGATCGTGTTTGTAGACCTAGGGTATCAGACAGGATGGGGCCCGAATTCTGTGGACACCGGCAACGGGGTAACTCAGTGAGCAGAGATCCACCAGTGTCCAACTGACTTATGACATGACGGGCAATAGAAAAATTTCCGGCGTGGATCCGTAGCCAATCTGTATTGGCTCGTGCAATGGATGTGGCCCAAAGCCAGGCGTTGATGTCTGCAGGGGTCACCAGCCAACCATCCGGAAGGTCGACGAGTCAACCCTTGCTCACCGGCCGGAAGATGCACGTTGCTGCTTGCCTGCGCCATGTGGAAGAGGTCTGTCGGTTGTGCTAGCGGCGTGCTGGCCCCATCCAACGGCAGTCCAAGTCGTCGGACCCTCGGGGCTATCGATCCAGGAATGGAGTTGAGCAGCCACTCAGCGTGCTGCCCGCCACACTCCAGGACAAGAAAAGCCTGGGTCTCGGCGAGATTTCGAGGCGAGAGTGGTGCATGGAGGTCCGGTGGAGTTCCCGAGTAACCGGTTAGAGACGAGAAAAGTAATAATAATAATAATAATAATAATAATATTATTATTATTATTATTATCATTATTCCAGCCCAGAGGGCTGTCCATGGTCGCCCAGAATTCTCTAACAGAATATTCAAGGCTCATTGGCAAAGCCCGCGGGCCCTGAAACTCGACATTCGGGCAACGCCGTGATATCCCGGCACAGGGGGCGACATGTTTCGCCCGGGACCAAAAATAACGTGAAGAACGAGCTCGGATTCACGGAGAAATGGGCAGGAATCCTAGAGTTCCAGAATTAGCACACTCTCAGACAAAAGATCAGGAACCGGTGTCGACGCTAGTGAAGGGCTGAGAGTGCGCTCTCTGCCCCCACCAGAGAAAAAGCTCCCTGGAAATCTCCACTTCACAGAACCATGAAACAGTCGAGGTTCCAAGGGGTTGCGTGAAATGAGCTGCCCAGTGTTCCACATCAGACTCGAATCTAGAATTGATCTAGACTCGTAGGGGAATGGATGAATCGGAATTCGATGGATTTGTGGTTGCTGGAGGTGCCTGGTAAGAAACAGCTCGGTTGCGGAACCCGATGGCTCTCTCACCTCCAGGTCGGCGCATATCACTTCCTCATGAGGCACATAAGCACATCCAACATGGAAAACAGGGTGGGACTCGGCAAAGCAATAATGCCACGCATTGGAGGCTGAAGGCTGCGGGTTTCGGGGAGAAAACTCGGAGCCGTTGAGCTCAGATCCCGAATCAGATCGCGTCCATGGGCCCTCCGGCCGAAACTAACCAAACCTCGATTACATCTTGCACTGCGGAGAGTGCCGATCGCTGCACTCCGATCGATTCGATTGCCTTGTGCTCAACAGTCTATACATGTCTATCTTTATATGTCCATGAATATCTAAATTTGATACAGAATTTGGCTGACGCTGAAGCACCGTGGAAGCACAGAGCAAGTATTTGTTTTTATTGTACTCGAAAAAGCCAGCGATATCAACATCCCAGTATATTCTTGCTCAATCAGGTATATGCTGCGACGCACTATTGAGGCACCGGTGGGACATCGGGTCTACGATCCAAGTACAATCAATGCACAAAAGTACTCTCGAAGGATTGTGAAGTAGCGTGCTCCATTGGTGGAGCCCAAACTTCAATGCTCCATCGGAAATTTCCCCATATTCATGCGTCTTTTTTTTTTTTTTTTTTTTTTTTTTTTTGCGAGCACTGTTGCATATATCCTGCGAACTCCTTTTTGAATCGAGTCAAACACCCGCGAAACACCCGCACTAATAACCGGGGGCCACAACTGCAAAATGAGAAATTCTTGCCCCTGCATCCTCGCTTGTGGGAGATATCCGCAAGGGAAGCCACTTAATTCTAGTCGTGTTGCAACGGTGAAACATGGCTGCGACGGTTCGGGCGCCCCAGCCATGCCACTGCAATTATTCCTGGGCAACCCCCTGGACACAGAATCCTCCGTGGATACATACAAAATAGAAAAAGAAATAGAAATTGGAAAATAAAAAGTACACTGGTTGCATTTCATGCAGGAACATTTCTAGTCCACCGTGTTAGGGTTGCCGATCAACTAAAGAAGGCCGTGGTCCCCACGGCGATAGCTAATTCGACCTCCAAGTAGTAAAAACCATATTCCATCGCGTGTGCGTTTCCTCGTTCGGCTGTCGGGTACATCCGAACGGTTTAATGTCCGCCTAAGCCCCGGTGAAAACAGTCCCGGAAACAATTCAAGTGCCGTGGTCCGATCCTTGGGGGGCGTTGATTTCTGACAATTCCATCTGCTGACCCTGAGAGATAGGTTCTAGGGTAGAAGGCATTGCAGCCAAATTCATCCCTTGAGAAAAGTCGAGTATTTGAAACAAATCCATGGGATCGCCCAAGGCGACAAGTGAAGCAGTCGAGATGACAGTGACCACGCAGGCGGGCCGATGCGGGAATTGCTCCCGTAATTGGCAGGTATAAAACTTTGCATTGCCATGAAGTTGATACATGCGAGATCTGCAACTTGCTTGACCCATGAATGGATGTTGCTAGGCGCCATGGCTGCATAAGCCCATTGACAGTAGGACTCCGGGGCACCGAAGACTGGTCAACTCTTGAGTTATACCCAAGTCCTCATGCTAAACCGAGCTTTCGTCAAGACGCGGCGTCCTCTTTGGTGTCATTCACTGGAACGCCTGATGGATCAGGACCCTGTTCATTGCTCGTGTTCTCGTCGGCGGTAGGATTCGGCTCTTGCTTTTCATCACTGGTGACATTTTGGTTCTCGGTAGACCCGTCCTGCGCTCCATCTAGGCCCTGGGGTAAATCCTTGGCACCCTGAGCGACTTCCTCAAGAGGTTTGGGGGTGCTGTCAGTGCCCCCTTCAGTAGGCTGAGGCGTGCTGTCTTCAGGCGCGGCAGGTGTCTCGAACAGCGCCTTGAGGTTATTGCCGTCCTCAATCTTGTCAAATGCACCAAGCTTCGATTTGACAGAGAGACGGAGGACCCGCCAGGCCTTGCTAGTTTTGGCCCTCGCCGCATTTTCTTTTTCTTCCTGGCTTTGTGCCATATCCAAGTCCATCTCGTCATCCATGATGCCCATAATGAACGAGTCTGCCGCAGGAACGGAGAATCGGTCCGACTCCTTGAGTCGCTCAATGTTGGCCAACGACTCGCCATCGGAAAGAAACTTGAGGTCGAGAGATCCCATAGGAGAGAGACGGAGACGCTTATTGGCATAAGCTTTGCTGGCATGCGCGCGGGCCGTCGTGAAGTCCGTCCCCGAGACGGCTGGCCGCTCGATTAGTGGACAGCCTTCTGCCTTCCAGCGCGCCCAGTTTTTGTCTCGGGACAGGACGGTGTCCACCATACGATAGTAGAACTTGCCCTCTGGCCCTTGTTGCAGGTATCCTTCAATGCTTTTCCTCATTTTTACCGCCCATTTGGCATCCTCCTCGCCCAACACAAAACCGTAGAGCACAGATTTGTTCGTCAGGTTGGCCATGCGGGCTTTGGCCTTGGGAGTGAGAGAGAGCATAAAATCGAGAAGAATCAGTGCCTGGACAAGCACATGCCTGCGGAATGCGGTATCGCTGACTTCAAGATCAAACAGATCCCGGCTAGTCAAATACTTCGGGTTGAAGCTGCTGGCAATTTCCACGTCATCTGCGCTGCGCTTGCGCTTGTTGGATTTTCGGGCGTCTTCTGCAGCTCGGGCGGCGCTTTGGCTGTCAAGGTCGGTTTTGATGTTTTTGAAGGCAGACAGCGTCGCCTCGAGTCCAGACTTGAACGTGGCGAAACGTTCCGGGTCGAACATTTTGCTCGGTGACGAAAAGTAGGCTTGGAGACTCCAGAACACAGGATAAAGAGCGTTCAGATCAATCTCTTCCTTGTGCTTTTTCTTATCGCCCGTGGAGACAACAACCTTGGGGACTTGCGATGCTTTCTCAGGAGCCGCCTCAACATCACGACCACCATCTTCTTGTTCACCAGGTGTCCCATTGTCGTCGGCCATGGTTATGTCCTCCTCTTTATTTTCTTCAGTAGCTGATTTTGCAATCTCGTCGTAAGTGGTAACATTTTCGGTGTGGAACTCGCCCCGAAGGTTGACAGAACTTTTGTCGCCAAGCGGGAAACTCTGGAAGAGAAATATGAAAACTCGTCCGCAGAATACCGTGTCCTCAGCGCGCGAAAGTCTGCGAAGAAGCTCGTTGCATGATCTCAGAATAATCAGGCTTTTCTGTTTAAAGTGTTTCTTTGAGGACAGTTAGTCGGTGCCACTAGAATAATCAAGGGCAGAGCGAACCTTCGTATTCCGTTCCCGTCGCGACTCCAAATAGTCAAAAACCTTTCGGCAACCATCGATTGTTTGACTGTCCAACAGCTCTTCAATGAGCCAGAAGATCAGGCCAGGTTCGCATTGTTCTAAAGGGACGTTAGAGGGGACGCGGGCATAGGAAAAGCTGCAGCGCGAAATGGCTTACCATTGTCGGAGAAAATGGAGACGATATCAAGAAGATTCCAGACCTGGATGAAAGCAGGGTCGTCAATGGAAGTTGAGGACTATGATGTTGAACAATTGGTTAGCGTTGTCATAGCTCTTGACGGACGAGATGCGATCAGCTCCATACCAGGACGCGATAGAATTTCTCTCGAAAAGCGATTTCCACGGCAGCAAACTGTGTCTGCTGATTCAATTGCGAGACAATGCCCTGACTTTCCTTTGGAACTTGCCAGATCGGTTCGCCCAGGTGAGCTTCGGTCAACGGGGGTTCGATCTGCTTGTCGGGCTTGACCTGCTCTGCGCGATCGAGGACGGTGTCCACCAGGTTTCTGTAGACCTTGACGGCCTCAACATCCACAGACGCCATCCTCTAGACGCGAAAAGAGGACAAGGAGGCAAAGTGATGGTCGGGACGGAAGGGAAAGAAAACAGAGTGAGAGATCGGAGCGCTGGATGCGGTGGAACCGGCAAAGCCAAGACTCGCTGAAAAAGCTCCCCAGCTCCAACTCTGCGAGATTCCCGACTTGCGCAAACCAACCTCACCACGCCAATTTATCGGGATCAACCGCAATTGACTCTTGAGATGGCGCAGAATCTCGAGTCCAGGCCGACGGTAGTGGACTTTCGCGAGGATAGCCCGTGGGTTCAACTGGCCAAGACTCACTGGCTTGACGCGAAAGTGCGCAAGGCCAAACCGGATGTCATTCAGCAGCAATTGTGGGGTCCTTTGGAAGCAGAAGGCTTCAGCAGTCACTCACTATTGATCTTGGAGAATTTGAATGTGCTCGAGAAGTACGAATTCCTCTTGATGGTCGCTCTGTCCGCCAGGCTAACCGGTCACCGCTAGGTTCCTGTGGCCAACCTACAACGAAGACGCCTCGAATCACCATGTGCTATTGATCTCTCTGATTGTTAGCATCAAGCATCGCGAACACCTGCCCATATGGGGTGAGTCGACGCGACAATTGAGCAGTACAGAATGATGGATAGAAGCTGACAGTGAATGCAGACATCTTCTCCGACCGCGCGGATGATTTCTCGAGTCTTTTCCATCGCATCCTCTCTATGAGCATTGATCACTCCCTTCCTACTCCTTCACGCCTCTCAATCATCTCATTTATCATTAGCGCCTTCCAGTCACTCGAAAATGTATTGATCCGGAAGGAATGCGCACCCCTCGTGTCTATCTCGATTTGGCACAACTTGACCAGCGATGAAGCTAGAGACCGCATCATTGCAAAAGCACCTACATTAAAAAAAGCATGGAGAGCTGCTGCGAAACGATACGAAGCGGGAGATGAAGCGGCTAAAGCCAAGATACGATTTGAACGGTCATGGCTGTACACAATGCTCTTGGACTTCCTACAAAAGCTGAACGCGCCCGAGAAGGAGCTTGCAGATAACCTGCTGTATTGTGAACGGTTTCTTGAACTCTTGGTTGATCTTGAGAGCCAGCTCCCCACCCGGCGCTATGTCAACACGCTGTTGAAGGATCTCAATCTCCTGCCTGTCATTCGCCTTTCGCAGTTATATCGCGTTCCCGAAAATGCGCTCTTCCGCGACTTTTACAACCTTCTCAAGCACTTTGTCAACTTCGCGATCGACGACTATTCGGGCGAGGCGCTTTCCCCACAAGCAGTGTATGATCTACACTGCCAGGAGCTGGCGCAGCTGCAACGAACCTCGATGAAGTTTTTCAAAGAAAAGCTCATGATCCTGGCGCTATCGAATCTGGGGTCAATTGATCAGCGGTCGGAGCTGGAAGGACAGCTATCTTCATTGGACGAGTCAGAGCTCCAGAGCCTATGCTCCCATCTCGGGTTCCGGACGAGCTATCCCAAATCATCGCAGGTTCATTCCGACCGCCATCTCTATTTGGAAGTGCTCATATCGTTTTATGAGCGTAAGCTTCCATTCCAAGAGGTAGCGGCACAGTTGAGCATTGTCCCAACCGAAGAAAGCCTCTATGACCCGGCTTTACTGAGAAACGAAACCTACGATGGCTCGCGGCCTTTGGCAATTCCCAAGCTGAATCTCCAATACTTGAGTTTGGGCGACTTTCTGTGGCGCTCATTTCTTCTGTATCGATCCGAAGCTTTCTTCCAGATTCGTAAGGATATGGAGGCAGTTGTCAAGCGAATGCAGCCACGAGCGGGACGCGACGGAAGCTTGGCCTTTGAAGGGTTCTCTCGCATGGCCATCCCGATTTCCAAGCCTGCTATCATTGAAGTTGCCCCGGCGAAGGTTGGCTCCTCGAACCCTGCTTTTGTGCGTGCCGAGATTGCAATTGAAGTAGGCAGATTGGCAGACCACATTCGAAAAGAATGGGAGTCACTTCGTCCTGACGATGTCGTTTATCTGTTGGCTGTCCAGACAGCTCCCCCGACGCAACTTGGGCTGCGAGATCGAAATTCATCCGAGGCCCCGCGCATGACACATCTTCGAACAGCGGAAGTTGTGCAAGTTCTCGACGATCAAGGCCGTCCGTTGCGGCAGCCGGCAGCCGGTCAGACAAATGGACATCATTCTCGCCCACGGGTGAGAAGATTGCTTGTCAATTTGGATGCCTCTGCATTCAAAGCCGACAAGGATCGTCATGCCCGAGGCAAACCGGATGTTTATCCCCTGATCAACGTGATTGTACGACGTAAAGGGAGAGAAAATAACTTCAAGTCCATTCTTGCGACCATGCAGAATCTCATCGTTTCGGACATGGCGCTTCCTTCCTGGCTCCAGGATATTTTCCTCGGATACGGAGACCCTGCAGGTGCTCAGTATACGCAGCTCCCCAACCGACTCCAGACGATTGATTTCCGAGACACGCTTTTGGACTGGCCTCATTTGGTGGAAAGCTTCCCTGGCATCGAGCCTTCGGGATCCGAGACCTCTAGTTTTGGGCCGCCATACGTTCTTGAATATGTCGAAAGTGAACCAGCACCGGCGCCACATGGCCCATCAAAGAAAAGGCGGAGAGACCAAGCGGAACAGGCTCAACAAGCGCCTAGTAGCATGCGCGTTTCCACTTACAAGCCTCCCAACCCTGGCCCCTATCCTGTTGACACGCCCAGGCTAAACAAAGTGCGCTTCACGCCGACGCAAGTGGAAGCAATTGCATCTGGGACACAGCCGGGACTGACTGTCATTGTTGGGCCACCGGGTACTGGAAAGACAGATGTTGCGACGCAAATCATCAACAACTTATACCATAATTTCCCCAGTGAGCGTACGCTGCTTATTGCCCACAGCAATCAAGCTTTGAATCAACTTTTCCAGAAAATCATCGCTCTTGACATTGATGAACGGCACCTCCTGCGGTTGGGTCACGGTGAAGAAGAATTGGCGACTGAATCCAACTACAGCAAGCATGGCCGGGTCGAGTCCTTCCTAGACAACCGCAATCACTACTTATCTGAAGTCATGCGACTAGCAGCATCTATCGGGGCTGAGGGCGCGCATGGGAACTCGTGCGAAACTGCTGGATACTTCAACACAGTCTACATCCACCCTGCGTGGGCCAAATTCTGGGACCAAGCAGGCGCCGAAGATGCGTCGAACGAACAGATTATTGCCTCCTTCCCGTTCCACTCATATTTTTCTGATGCCCCCCAACCTTTGTTCGAGTCCGACTCTGCAAGAGAAACGATCCTGGATACGGCCGCGGGTTGCCAACGGCACATCGATCGGATCTTCTCTGAGCTCGAAGATATTCGACCCTTTGAGATTTTGCGACAGCCTCGAGACAAAGCCAACTATCTTCTTGTCAAGGAGGCCCGGGTGATTGCCATGACCTCAACACATGCTGCAATGCGCCGGCAAGAAATCGCCGACCTTGGCTTCCATTACGACAATGTAGTCATGGAAGAGGCTGCGCAGATCACGGAAATCGAGAGTTTCATTCCCAACGCTCTTCAAAACATGAAAAACGGCGAACTGCCGCTGAAGCGGGTTGTTCTCTGTGGAGACCACTATCAAAACTCGCCCATCATCCAGAATCTCGCTTTCCGCCAATATGCCCATTTCGAGCAGAGCTTGTTCCTGCGTCTGGCGCGACTGGGCGTCCCGGTGATCACTCTCGACATGCAAGGCCGAGCGAGACCGAGCATTGCCGAGCTGTTCCGGTGGCGCTATAAGGAGCTTGGAGACCTTCCTGTGGTTGAAACTGCCCAAGAGTTCACGCAGGCCAATGCCGGTTTTCAGTTCGACTATCAGTTCATCAACGTGCCCGACTACCAGGGCACGGGTGAGCGAGAGCCTACGCCCCATTTCATACAGAATTTGGGTGAGGCAGAGTACGCAGTGGCTCTGTATCAGTACATGCGGCTACTCGGTTACCCAGCGTCGAAGATCACTATTCTCGCCACCTATGCCGGCCAGACTGCTCTGGTCCGAGATGTCCTGAATCACCGATGTGCGAAGAACACCCTGTTTGGCCTACCCAAGATCATCACGACCGTGGACAGATACCAGGGAGAGCAGAATGATTGTAAGTTCCCTCTTATTTCTGGGCCTGCCTAGCTGCGATGCACCCGCTAACCTCATGCTTTTCTTTCCCCGCTAGATGTTATTCTTTCCCTCACCCGCACCCGCACAGTCGGCTACTTGCGTGACGTCCGTCGTTTGACCGTAGCCCTGTCTCGTGCCCGTCTAGGATTGTACATCCTCGGCCGCCGCGAGGTTTTTGAGTCATGCTATGAGCTCAAACCCGCCTTCGACCGTCTGCTTCAGCGTCCAGACAAGCTGATGCTGGCGCCGGGTGAGATGTTCCCCACCACACGGGCTCTGGATGCCCCCATCGAAGGCACCCCCATGGAAGGAGTCGAGCATCTTGGTCAATACGTCTTCGAAATAACCCAGGCCAAGGTCAAGACCATGGGTGATGGCGATATTACGATTGACGATCCCATGCTGGACGGCGATGAGGAGGTCTTGGACGAGGATGAGGTTATGTTGGGTGCCGATGAGGATACAGCTGAGAACATTGTATGAACCTGGATAGTGCGCAATAAATGGTCCCAGAGAACAGACCTTTACCAAAGAACTACTGTAAGCATCGATGATCCGTGCGGAAATCTGATTCATTTTCTGTTCTGTATCTTCACGACACACGTCTCTTTCTTTCCGCTCTTTTGGTCTACCTTGCCATTCATTCATATGATTGGAAGGTGACTGGATTTTTTCGGCTTCCAATTCCGCTCTGGGATGGTGTATTTACCTCGAGATTGGCTGTCGTAGGTATTCCCCATAACGAGTTTCTCCAGGTCCCGTTCCAAAGCCCAACGAAGGAGACTGTAGTCCCTTTCAAGGGAACTCAAAAGCAAGAAAAAGTCCTTCAAGTCATTCGAATGGAGTGATGAGAGGAACCATGAGACGCTGGCAATGAGCCCGGAAAGCTTCTTCCCCTCTTCCGTATAGCATATCCCTCGTTATCAAACCGTCGCACATCTCGCAAATGATACACAGACGAGATAGGTTGGCTCGATGTAGACGGGTCCATGCATTATCCCAGGCCTGGTAGAGAAGACTGTCCGGGAAACCAAGAGGAGAAACAGGGCTATAAATGCAAATACGCAGGACACGGAGATATCTGGGCGGCTTCGAGAAAATGGTTAGAAAATCTGCCACAGGCATCGCAAGATCGTCTTTTCCTGATAAGTGAGAGAGGGCGTCTGAGAAAGATGAGGTGAAAGTGGCAGGAGAATCCTGAAGTCAAGTGGTACTCAGTAAGATGAAAAAAGCTTAAGAGAGACAAGATATTCAAATGCTCTTGAAATTGTGGCTACAAGAATGCTCTCCAGACTGATCTAGCACGCTCATCGCATTGACAACGCCCAGGTTTACTGCAGCTTGTTGATTTCCTCCACGATGTTCTGAGGGTCTCTCCAAGCCAGAGTCACGTATCTACGCAAGAGCAATCAGTTTGCGATCTGCAGTCAATGGGAGCTAGAGAGCGAGGACGTTACGTACTTGGTGTGGCTTCCCCGGGCAACAATATCTCCCTTGGCATTGATAAATTGGATCGAGGTGAAAGCAAGGGTTTTTCCGACTGTGGGGGTTGATCAGTTTGAGAGTAGAGTGAAGCGAGATCCATTTGCTATCCACATACACTTATCACAGTTCGCCTCCTAGCAAAATGTTAGCTTGTTTCCTTTATGGAAATGGATGCCACAAAAGAACTGGGAGACATACAGCCAGGATCCTGTCTCCAATCTTGCCTCCAGAATTGAGATACGTGACTATTGCTGATGTGTTAGAAATTCACTGATAATCAACAAGCGTCTGAAGATTTGGCTTTCCATCAATTGCTAGGGTAAACTCACCATTGAGGTCAGTCGACACTCCTGTCGCAAATAGTCCCCTAGATGCCACTGCGAGGGAGCCACCCAGATCCACTAGTTCAACCATGAGCCAACCATATCACCAGTCATAGTCAGATAATACATACCCATGCTAGCAATGGTGCCTCCATGGAGGATGTTCAGGCGGTTCTACAGAATTCAAATGTCAGCAATATAGATCGATCAAGCGGATGTTGCTGTAATGTTTCAAACACCAAGCGCACTCTTTGAAGACTATCCATCATGTAGAAAAAGCTGTGGATAAACTGACAGTGTGTTCCTTCTGGATATCCAGTTCAAAGTTAACAGTTCCAGGTCTGGCAGCAGTGACGCGCAGCTATATAGACTCAGTCAGTATATATTCAAACAAGGGATACTAGGAGACGCTGAGAAAACCAACATTATTCAGGAGGCTTTATCGATTGAAGCAATAAGTCCATCAGCCATGGTGCCAGAAATCGCTGGATGGAGTACTGCCCATCACCTACCGAGGCTCCAGACCCGAAGTAGCCCGAAAGGACTCCCATACCTGAAGGCCCGTATCAGTAAGGAAACAAGCCACTTGGTATATAGGGACTAACTCACTGATCGAACAAATTTGAGGGATGCCATTGTGACACTTTAGAATCTCGATTCTTCTGGTGTCTGTCGAGAAAGAGACGGCAGTTGGGCCGGCTCGTCCTCGGAGACTGCACTTGGTGGCCGCTGCGCCCACCGGAGACAACATCATCACTTACCCGCCAGACTTCCCCAGTTGAACATTTCGACAAAGCTGCCAGCTGCCCATCATGGCGACTGCAATGTCCCGTCCCCTTGAATACTTGGAGGGATTACCGGGGACAACTTTCTACAAGCTCTACCAGCAACCGTCCACCGCCCTTGCCATCTTCCGGCGCATGCTACCTGATCTGGGTATCTCAAGCTCTCCATGTTGCGAGCGCGACCGTTACACTGACTTTGACGATAGCAAAATGTTTTGTGATGGCACTGTTATACTTGAAAGACCCTCTTCCCACAGCTGATCTCGAATTGTGGGTCAACTCCGACAGCAAGAAGTGAGTTGCGCATGCTGTTCCAAGGCTTGCTTTGTTCTGCGACAAACGTTGACCATCGGAGATCGGGTGGAAAAAGACAACGCGACAATGCATTATCTATTTTGGGCAGACTTCATATTTTGCAGACGACGATTACCGGAGAGAACGTCCGCGCCTACCGAGTGACCGATCCTTTCGCATCTTCGCTCAGACAGGCGCTCATGGGCGCCGAAGACTCGCAGTCGTTCGGTGTCTTTTCCCAGGTTCCGGACGAAAATCCGGTTTCTATCGCCGATCTGGATGAATATGCGCGACGGCAGTGGGAAGGCGTCTTGGGATACATGGTGGGCACCAGCGCCCTGGGTGGACCGCGCGATGTGAACTTGAGCAAGGGTGTGAAGCAACTTCTGCAGGCGGGTCATCTGGTTGAGATCCGAGATCGCCGAGTTGATATCACTAAGGACGGATTTGGATTCGTGCTCCAAGATGTCAGTACCCAGGTCTGGCACATCTTGATACTCTACGTGGAGAGTGCCGAGGCCATCGGCATGGACAGCGTCGAGGTCCTCTCGTTCTTATTCCTCTTGAGTAGTCTGGAGCTAGGCCAGTCCTACGAGAAGAAGCACTTGAGTTCCGGCCAACTCCGCACCCTCACAGACCTCGCCGACTTTGGCATTGTCTATCAGGAGACCCCGGAAGCCACGCGCTTTTATCCCACACGTCTTGCAACCACCCTGACATCAGACTCGAGTGCCCTCAGCAATCCCGTCACGGGGTCATTGACAGGACCCACGGGCACCTCCGGTGGCTCAGGTTCCGGGTTCATCATCATCGAAACTAACTATCGTCTCTATGCCTACACTTCGTCCCCTCTGCAGATCTCCCTCATCTCCCTCTTCACCAACCTCAAATACCGTTTCCCGAATCTAGTCACCGGGAAAATCACAAGACAGTCGGTGCGTCGAGCCATCGAGTTGGGCATCACCGCCGACCAGATCATCTCGTACCTGTTGTCCCATGCGCACCCGCAGTTGCGCAAGCACAATGCCGCCCATGCCACCTCGAACACGGCAGGCATCCCCCCATCGATACTACCGCCCACCGTGACCGACCAGATTCGGCTGTGGCAACTGGAACGGGACCGTCTCCGGGCCACTGCCGGGTTCTTGTTCAAGGACTTTACCACCATGGCTGAGTATCAGGCGCCATGCCAATACGCCGCGGAAATCGGCGTTTTGGTATGGAAGTCGGACCGGAAACGCATGTTCTTTGTGACTCGACATGAGCAGGTCGCCGCGTTCCTGAGAAGCCGGAAATAGTGACTAGCCTCGGAAGAAGCAAAGACAGGCAAAACAAGGAAAAGAAAAGAAAAGACATTGCATTTAACCGGTCATGATCCGGGCATGGCGTTTGGACGTGGGCCAGGCATTTATGAATTTACGATGTTTTCAACAGTTCATGTTCATCTACTCCATGAAACATGTATAATCCGAGTGGGCAAAACTATACTTATTTTTTTTTTTTCTTTCTTCGATATTCACAAGGCTATGAGCCGGCTTTTCGTTTGAAGTTGATCCACTTCCCATTGGCATCCCCCTTCCTGTAGGTGATCGAGACATCGCCTGTGGCCGTCCTCCTCCCGGGGACAGCCACGTCGTAGATACGTTGTGATATCGGCACTTTGGGCATGGAGAGATCCCTTTCTGTGAGTGGACTCATGCCAAATGGCTCGTCGATGAACGGGTCTCCCGCATAAAAATCGCCCTCCTCCCCTTCCACACTTCTTCTAGGACTCTGGCCATCAGCGGCCCATTCCAGACGCCTTCGCGGTGGGGAGCGGCCTTGAGGGTGTGGATGGCCTGGCGGTGAATACGCGGCACGCGGCATTTCAGCGCGGTGTAGTAGATGGGTGGGATATACCCCACCTCGACGGTAGTATGTTCTCAAGGTCCCAGGAATTTTGTAGGGCGTTCGTGCCTTGCTCCCCACTTTCAAGTGTGCAATGGTCCAGGACCCTGCCCCTTCCCTTGGATTTCTCCATGAATTCGGCTATCTGCTTGGGGGTATTCATGTTCGACCAGGACTTCCACAGGTTCAGGAATCCCGTCATGGCGGTGACCAAGTTGTCGGTGTAAGCGTCGACGTCCGTCTCTTGGTTGTGTGACAGGCAAATCAAAGTATAATCATGCCCATCTCGAAGTACACTCGCAGGAACAGGAGCCCGAATTTGTCCTTGCGCGATGCCTCCGTGTCGAATCGCGGGATCGTGGCGTTGTACGCCTGGCGCCAGAGTGTCATGTCAGCCAGGATGCGCCGCTGCTCGTCAAAGATTTTGGCGGAATTCGCAGGCTTTGATGTCCCCCACGGATTCACGAAAGTGCCTGTTCAGGCAGTGGACCCGGTTGAGAAGGTCGTCAAGCGTTCGCCGCGCTTCATGTAGAGAATCGAATGGGTACGGGAGTGTGTCAGTTTGTGGATCGCGGGTCATGACACACATCTGGGCGGGCACATGGCCGAAAAAGGCCGACTGGATACCCATCCGAGCAAAGGCGTCAATCGGGGCGTTGTGGGCAAAGTCGTCTGCGTCGCCCAGGACTTTCGGTGCCATGACTGAGCGCCGACGGCCCGCGAAGATGTCAGCTAGCAGCTTCATTCCATATTGTAGATGGGCACTGCCCATGCAGTACTGGCCGCGCAGGGACTCCAACGTCACAAAAATCATGCACGTAATTCGAGCCATCCGGAGCGACTGCTTGGTGTCGGGCGTCGGTCGGGTGCGCAAGTAGTGAATGGCCTTGTTATACTGCTGGAGCAAGAACCGTTCATCCTCGTCGCCATAGGTCACCGGGATGGTCCATGGCCCGTCACTTTGATCATAGCGATGCGCCGAGGACAGGGCCACCAGCGCATGGCGCACGGCCGGCTCCTACACACTCGCCTAGAAAACCAACACTTCCCAAAAGTCCGAGGTAAAGAGCCCGGCGAATTCTTTCGTAGTCTTATCCAAGAACCAGTCGAAACAGTGTTGTTCCTTAGGGCCCAAACTGCCTACCGGGATCGGGGTACAATAGACCGGCAGAGCCCTGTTGCTTTGCGGCTGGCCGTACGGGGAGCCGCCTCCTCCCCCGATGCCGTACCCATCGCACACCCGGGCCTGTGGACACGCATCGGCGACATGCCAGTCGGCCCTCGTCACATTTGATTCAACGAATCCTGGGGCACTTGCTGAGTGGGGGGGCAGGTGACACACTGACTTGAATGTTTTACAGCCCGTCTTCACCTTCTAGGCAAGTTTTGCGCGGGCATCGTGCCCCGGTTGGAGAGCCGGCCAAGGGATCAAGACAAAATGAGTTTGTCCCCGACTTTGTAGGGAAGACCTTTGTAAGTGTGTGGGGGCCAATAGCACAACGCCCTTTTATCGGGCATTCTGAATGGCTGCGTCGGAAGTGTTGACTCGCGTGAGGCTGCGTGGATCCCTTCGTCTCTTTTTAATTTCTGCGTAATTACACGATGCCGGGGTTGGATCAGTTGGAATGATGATTGAAGATTGATTATGATTGAACAATAAACACTCGAGATCGCTCATGCAAGGTGTACCGCCAAGATCACCCAAGACGCCCCCAAAAACAAGATCTCTGATTTTCTGGGCACAATGGACATACATCTAGCATGCAGGTAAACTGATCGACGCGATGTGTTCGCCTCGTGGATTGGCATATTTCGCTGTGAGGGGGGCAAATCATCCCTACCGTCCAGCGGTATAAGAGTGCCCCGGCTCCCCGGATTTCATCTCCCCTACCTCCCCTCTTTTTCCGACTTCCCCCTTCCCCCTTCCCATCCTTCCCCCCTCTTCCACTTCACATTATACATCTCTATCAACACCTCTCATCAACATCCCACATCAACCATCCTCATCCCACGTCCTGCTTCATCGGAAAGTGGGTCGGGTGGCGACCAATCGGTGCCCCAGCCCCCAAGCCCCCCCCCCCGTGCGCCCAGCGAACCACGGGCCAAAAACCCCGCGAAAATCTCAACCCCCCTGGGTCTGTGTGTTTTCCCTTTAGACTTCCCTATGTGACACACCCATGCTCGCCATTCGAGATGTCGTCCTCCAGCGATTCCAGCCCCGGGAATTGGATTACCGGCAGCTACACTGGCGGTAGCGATGGGGTGCGCATCGCCATCGCGACCTTCGTGGGCGTCGCCTGGTACAATGTGGTCGAATTGGTGGTCCTCATCTTCTTGACCTTCAAGCGCTATCAAGGCGTGTACTTTTGGAGTATGTTGATCTCATCAGTCGGCACCCTCCCCTACAGTGTCGGATATTTGATCAAGTTTTTCAACCTCACCTCGGCCACCTGGCTCCCCGTCACGCTCCTGACCATCGGCTGGTGGACCATGGTCACGGGCCAGTCATTTGTGCTGTATTCGCGCCTGCACTTGGTCCTCCAGAATCTGCATGTGCTGCGCATGGTCAAGGGCATGATCATCATGAACATCTTCATTCTGCACTTGCCGACTACCGTCCTGACCTATGCCGCCAACTTCTCCCAGACCAAGGCCTCCGTGGATGGCTACGATGTCATGGAGAAGCTCCAGCTCACCGGGTTCTGCGTCCAGGAAGTCATCATCTCCAGTCTGTACATGTGGGAGACCAATCGCATGCTGCAGCTCAACCCCGACCGCGTCAGCCGCAAAACCATCCTACAGCTGCTCGCCGTCAATGCCGCCTGTATCCTGATGGATATCGCCCTGATGATCATCGAGTTTATGAACTTTTATATCTACCAGACGACCCTCAAGGCCACCCTCTACAGCATTAAGCTGAAACTCGAAATCGCCGTGCTGGGTAAATTGGTCAACGTTGCCCATCAACATGTCTGGCGCTCGTCCGTGTTTGATGTCGGCGGTAACCAGTACCCGTCATTCGTCGATCCCACGCGTGTTACCTGTGATTTCAACCATCCCGAGTCTGTGGCCACGAGTCAGGGGTCCAAGGGCCGCGCAACCGGTCTCGAAGCAATCGACGCGGACGCTCGATGATCGCCCGGGGGTTTGTGTAAACAATCTCTTTACACACCTGGTGACTATGTTACCAGGAGTCTTTGGAGGCGATCTCCCGCTCCTTATTTCAACTCTTGCCTATTTGGTCACCACCAGTCCGGCATCCATCCCTCAACAACGGACGTCGACCAGGCCCGAACATCTCGCCAGCGCAACAGATGTCACCTTCCCCACCCAGCTTTCCAGGGTACAGAAGAAATACCGATGTCCTTGATCCCGAGACTACCGGGATGGCCGCGCATTTGGGCATGAGCCATACCTGGGCATATCTGGCACAAGACCAACGCAAATCCACTGGGACTAGCCTCCGGCTAAGGCAAGTCCAGATATCACCGCTATAGAGATAGACGGGTTGTGATCCCCGGAAAGGGATTTTGATTTTGCATAGAGCGATTTATTCACGATGTCACGAGCCACGCATCTTGCCAAGTCGGCCACGATGTTTATAATACCACTTGCATCATATCCTGTGTCAATATATATCAATATATATCTTGAACTTGTTGATTCCTTCGTTCCCACATAGCTCTAACGATGATCTGTGTATATGCTGAGGGGGCACTCGAGCGACATCGGCACGTCCCGGTGTGACGGGCAGTTGATGACAGATACTGGCTGTAAGGTCTAGCCTACAACACTGAGAATAGAAGATATCTTGTCTAATTAAACCTTGTGTCGAATTGAGACTATAAACCATGCTCATAGTCATATATAGAGGGTTCTGAGCCGAGGCGGATATCAAGTACAAGATAGGTCATCCCGTCAATCATGCTACCCTTGCAAGCACGCAATCAGAAGTGCATTTGCATCGGTTTAAATACTATGAATAACCAAATTAGCATTGCATTGACACCGGAACGCGCACCCGATACGATGCCGACGCGCATAGAGCCGGAACCGGGCCGGTGATAGTGGGGCGATAAGCACACAACAATATTGACAATCCCCAAGTACAGAGAGAGACGTAAGAAAATAAAGAAAGAGAAAGAAAGAAAAGAAAGGGTATATTGCTCTATCATTTATAACCAAGCGTCTTGAATAGACATCTGTATGTGTATGTATAAGAATAAAAAGAGAGAATGCATAACTCATCAGGCCCGTCCATCCAACATCTCATGCAAATACACCCGCCCCTCAGTATTCACAAACCCGCCAATCCCAAACGCCGGGATAATGCGACACATGCGCAGCAGCGACGCCCCAATCCAGTCCCGACTCACGCGCGACACGCGGTCGCGGCTCGGCAGCGTCTGCGGCCGGTTATATAGATCCAGTCCGAGGAGGTGGATCGGCGTGCTGACGAGTTGGATCGAGGCTGGGATGGCTAACTGGGCGATTAGGATCTTGAGGTATTCCTGTGATGCTACTGAGTCTGGGATTGAGGTCGATACCATGGCTGGGAGGCTGAAGGATCCGAAGATTGTTAGGCCGTCGCGGAGGAGGAGGGCTGAGTAGGTGGCTAGTGGGATGCGGGTGCGGCCGATGGAGCGGGCGGTTTTGGGTGGGGGTGGAGGGTTGGAGTTTGGTTGTGAGATGGATTGGTTTGTTGTTGTAGAAGAGGAAGTGGCGGTAGTAGTAGTTGTGGAGGCAGTAGTGGGTGTAGGTTTGGATGTACTGCTGTGGCCGAAGAGTTGGGCGAATTTCACGTCTTTCCAGATCCCGACGGAGGAATTAACCACAAAAGTCGAGGCAAAGGTTGTCATACCGGCAATGGCATGGTCGATCTTGGGCGAGAGCTTGCTCAGGATGGTTTCAGAAGCGTTGGCCGTGGCGAATGTTGCGGTATAGAGAGACCACACCAGCAAACTGGGCCGCGAGGTGAGGAACGTGGCGGGCTGGGTGATGGAGAACCACAGGTGCCGACGGAATGCCGGCAGCAGTGGCTGGTTATAGAATGACTTTTCCACAACGAGTCTACGGGAGAACCGTTAGCTGTGCTGCTTTTTTTTCTTTCATGTTTCGTTGCTCGGTCACAACACACCGGTCAAATATCATCACCGCCGGGGTGATCAGTGTTGCTGAACCTGCAGCAACGAGAGTATCTGCCGCCAGCAGCTCACCGAGCCGGCTGCGGCTGCGTTGAATGCCAAAGGGCAACGGTTGGTCCCGGAGATTTTGGGTCATGATTTGTGTGCAAGGGCTGCCTTATGTTGGCCTTCCGATCATCCTTTTTTCTAGGAGACCGTCTCGCAGTCGTGTGTGTGTGTGTGTGTGTGTGCTCCCAGCAAAGAACACAATGATAACCAGTGCCGGGTGGATCTTTATATGTAATTACAACTGCCCAAAGACTGATCTGGCGCGGGGCAGTCGATACGCAGTGGATCCACCCACTCACGGCCGGTGGGCCAAGAAAAAAATAAGGAGAGGTGCAAGAAGAAAAAGAGGAAGACTAAGAGGCGAAGAAAAATACCAAATAGAAGAATAACACAAAAGAAGGAGAGAAGAGGACAAGATATATCTCTGATCCAATCTTCATCTTTATAGATCGTTTTCAACCCCTCGGCGTTACCTCCCAATCACACCCAACCGGCCCGGCTCCCGGGGCTGTGCTGGCGCCACTGATTGGAGGGTGATGCCGCAGATCGACCTTAAATTCCAGGAACAAAACCTTGACTTCGACCCAACTTGCTCTGACTTGCGATGCCTTACGGTGCCTTGGAGTAGTCGGATGCGATTGCCTTTAGGGTAACGTCTCCCCCCGCATTTTCCCGATGTGTCATTAGGAACGATGATTCAATCTTCTACAAGAATCATCGCAGATTGTCTTACCGACTCTGTGGGGTGGGGTTGCTCCCCGCGCCTTCGAAATTGGGCAGGTGAACCAGACCAGCTCCGATTCTATGACTACACGTATTCCAAAGTTACTTGATCTTTCTCTCTCATGTCATCCTTGTGCCTTGAATTGGTCTTTGCTGCGATTCCATGATGATATGTTTTGATGTGTTTTGGGTATATATTTTATGGACATAAATAGAGGAACCATTATCTATCAAGAATGAGGTAACTACTAATTTTTAGCTTTCGTTATTGATCTTCTGACTGTGTCTTCTATGGCGAGCTTGTCCTGACCATTCGATTCCTTGAAGCTATGAGTCTAGATGTAGCGTTTCGAACATTCAAAGGACTGCTATTGTCTAGGTATTCAGCTAGCATATGATGTTAACGTACTAGGCTAACTAGTCAATTAAAATTATCAGCATTTAAAATAAACACTTAGGTACTTTATGTCCGCAACGACAGAGCTTCATCGGCATGTCAAGCATCCGGAATTGTATCTCCCAAGTTCAAGCTGGAGTTATACACATGTTTAAAACCAGTGAGAGTAGAAATATAATTATATGTGAAATCAGTGTAAATAATTGAATAATAACATTGACTATGAATCAGAAACTATCACTAGGGTTGGTGGGCAAGTGAGAGCTTTTAGGGTTGTGGTTTTCGGGCCAATAACACCCGGGTAGACATATCTTCAACACTTTGTTTTCTTTTTTCGTTTCTTTTGCTGAACAAACATCTTTCGGTACATTTCTCACCACTCATGTCTATCTTAATGTCTAGGGACAAATGCGTGGGCCCAACCATCACCATTCCACATTCCACTCGCCTCGGTGGAGCAGACCAGGCAGCAAAATTACCCTGGCCTTTGCGCTGCGCAATGCTCCAATTCTACCGTCATTTGATTCCTGCCAGTTCCACCAAGACCAAAGCTTGTCATTTCAGCCCTACAGGGCTGAGTGGGTGCACCTCCATATGCCAATTAGGGGGATTCGATTACACATGTCCTTGCCAGGTTCTCTAAGAATGGACCCGAGAAACTATTACAAAACAGAGCATTACACTAGTAGCTATGTACTAATACTCCTAAGGTCCTTTCCTTTTTGTCTCAAAGATTGTCTCTTTTTGCAGCCTCTGCAAGACAATGCGTTTTCCCCTCTGCTCGTTGACACTATGAAGACAACCAGACCACTGCGCCCATTGAAGGACTTCACCTTCAAATTGTTCTGTGCAACATTATGCTTTGGACTTTCTGGGATGTGTCGAGGTACGTACCAGCTACGAGCACAAGAAATGACCTAGGAGAAGATCGCTAAGAAACAGGACTCGACGAGGGCCTCATCTCAATCACCGTGGCACAAGAATCCTTCACCCACGAATTCGACCTGCAAGCCAGCTCTCTCGATGCCTCCCAGCAGGCAAATCGCCTATCGAACATTACCTCCATGGTGCACATCGGCAGTATCCCCGGGGCCCTGATTGCCCTTGTTCTTTGCGAGCGCACTGGTATGCTCTGGTCGATGCGGCAGCTATGTTTGCTATGGCTCGCGGGTGTGGTCGTTGTCATCACAGCGAGTGGAAGACTCGGACAGATCTATGCGGGCCGCTTCATGATGGGATTGGGTATCGGACAGGCGGGCATTGTGGCCCCGACTTACCTGGCTGAAATTGCGCCCTCGCATGCCCGCGGTCTGCTGGTGGGTATATTCGGCATGTCGGAGTATATTGGCATTGTGGTAGGAGTAAGTTTTTTTTTTTTTTTTTTTTTTTCTTTTTTTCCTTCCGGAGATGTCTCGTGCTGGGCTAATCTTGAACAGTATTACGCTGCTTGGGGCGCTGCTTTGCACATCCCCAATAATAGCGCCAAGCAGTGGATCATCCCTCAGAGCATCCAGATTATGGTTGCTGGGATTTTGGGGATTGCCTCATTTCTGTGCGAAGAAAGTCCCCGGTTTTTATGTAAAGTCGGAGATTGGGAAGAAGCGAGACATGCACTGGGGAGGTTGAGAGGTCATCCGGCCGAGCACCCAGAGGTTACCTTGGAGCTCGAAGGGATTCACGCTCAGCTCGAAGCGGAGCAGGAATACCAAACCGCTCGATCCTGGGTAGCAGTTATAAAAGAGCTGCTGCTGGTCCGGGCTAACCAGAATAGACTCCTTTTTGTGGTCTCTGAACAGATCCTTAGCCAGTGGTCTGGCGCCAATTCCATCACCAGTAGGTGATCCCCAGCCCTAACTCTCACCAGAGCATAAACTCATTCTCGCTCACCTCATACTACAGCGTATGCACCTGAACTATTCTCTCTGTTCGGATTGACTGGCCAGTCAGAAAGACTCCTGACGACCGCCGTCTTTGGTGCCGTCAAGCTGATTGCCTCGCTGCTGTGCGCACTTCTTCTGATCGACAACATCGGACGGAAACGGTCATTGCTCTCAGGGATCCTGGTGCAGCAGGTGGCCATGCTCTACATTGCCATCTACCTCACTGTGGAGCCCTCCTCAGACAGCTACAAGTCGTCATCAGCTGATAGAGCAGCCATCGCTGCAATTGTGTTTCTCTATTTTGTCGGCATTGGCTGGGCCATGGGCTGGAATGCGATCCAGTACCTCATCAACGCGGAAATCCTCCCCTTGCGGGTCCGGGCGACAGGTTCGAGTCTCTTGATGTGTTTCCACTATGCTAATCGTTATGGCTTATCCAAGGTAAGTGTGATAACATTGGTTCATCGACTATCATGCAGTCGCTAATTTCTATAGGCCGTTCCGTCCATGCTGCTGGAGAATGCGTTGCAACCAAAGGGGACCTTCTGGTTCTTCTCGGGTGTGACCTTCTTTGGACTGCTATGGACTTGGTTCTTGCTCCCTGAAACTGCTGGGCGGAGTCTGGAAGAGACAAATGGTTTATTCTCATAGATGGAATGAACTCATTTACTAGATCTCGAAAACCAAAGCTTCAAAGTGAATTCTTCCCAATCAGAGAAAGACTGCTTCTTCATCAAATATCAAAGGATTCCTTCAGCCGAATATCCTTGGAAGACGCCCCAACAAGCACCACATAATGGCCTCGAGGCGTCACCCACTTCTGTCGAAGAACACTCCAGTAATAGATAAAGCACTAGAGAAAGCAAATTTAAAATCAAAATATATTTTATTAATTGCTTTGTTGTTTTGTAATACTAGAGCAGGTATTCTTAAATCCTGTAAATTACTAAAATAAGAATAAGAATGACCATCGAAGAACATTGTTTTAACAATAAATAAATAATTTTTTCAAAGAATCGGTAGTCTACGGAAATTCCCTCAGTGTAGTTGATTTGTGGATATGGCGCGATAGTATAGACAAGTTGCCCGGTGGGGTTCACATCGCCGTAGAGAATGTTGACAAGAGCTGGCATTGAGCAGGAATCGGTCATTGTCTCAGGCTTGCATACCTCCATGCTGACGGGCCCCACCGACTGAACAATCGGAATTGTCACAGTTATCGGCGACGGTTGTGATCAATTTATCACCGTTGTTGATGAGGGTCAAGCTCCTATCAATCCCTTCGCCGGCGACTGAAGCGACAACCGGAAGATATACCGTTGCTCGCTGGGCGACGGTAGCTGCGAATGTTATATTGTGTCCCAGAGACCAGTCCACCAAAGGTAGGTCCTGATTCGCCCGTTGTTGAATGGCAGCGCTCAGTAGATCCTGAAGTCTAGGATCTGTAGAATTACCCGGTCAGCGTTTTCAAATCGCCCATAAAATCTAGTAGAATGGATATAGTTGCCCACAAAATGTGGATCCAGAACCCATGCCTTCCGCAGGTGTCCCTTGCCCTAATCCCATTATAGATGCCTCTTGCGGAATGTGAAACTCGCTCGGAAGCACCGCATCGGGGATGAGGTATTGATTAGGACCATAAGAATTTGGACCCGCTGCCTGACCGCACAATGCGATAGTGGTTGGTTTCCGGAGTGGCAGGCCCTTCTTGCCCGGAGAGTTCTTCAGCAGAACAGTTCCAGCAGCGGCAATCACCCGGGCCAGATACCTGTGGCGTTGGCGCTGAGCATTCAAGATCGTCTTACGTGGGTTCGTCGACAAGATTGATGTCCAGGTAATCTCGATCCTGACCCAGATGGAGGTACGGCGCCCAGTGAAATTCAACCGAGGGATTGGTGCTATCTGGCCCTGGCACATTCGGTTGGGGTTGTTTGGATCTCTGTGTTTCTTGTGAGCAAAGACATTTGTTATCAGGAACAGGTACATCACCTACGGTGGAAATCCAATGCCGGTGCACATTCCAACTTTTTCTTCTAGAGTCATCTGAGAGACCAAGCGTTTTGCCTTGGCTATAGCCACATCCCATCCCCCAATTCCGGTGGCATTGGGACTTGGATAGGAGTAGGGTGATACAGGCTCGCGTGGATGGAATTCATTTGGGAGGAGTATTTAGGGACTCCCTTGCGCTGTCGCAAGTGATATCATGCAAGAAAATACGTAGCTGGAACTTCATGGCGCAGGAATGAATGTAGTTCCTGGGCACCGATATAGGACTGATTGACCATACCCACGGTGACCAGGTCGAGGAAGGCAGCTTTATAGTCCCATTCTGCAGGTTCATTTCTCCGCAAGAAACATGAATATAACAATCTGGGGTAATGGAATTGCGGGGAGGCCAGTAGGAATGTAGGTCGATGCCGGGGAGTTTCGGGGATCGGCACTCAATATCAGGGCGCACAAGCCTGTCTATCTTCTTTATTTTTCATGGTTTTTCTTTTCTATTTTTCTATCTAATTTTTATCCTCTAGGGATAGGAGCAAGGCAGATAACACGAAGCAGGACCGCAGGTCATGTCAGTGCATAGATCAGCTGTTCAAATAGGTATCAATTTTAGACTTTGAAGCAATTAGAGCCAGTAGGTTATAGCGTAATCTCCAAATGCTCTCAAGACCCAGAAAGGAGATGCTCAAGAATCACTCTTGCTTTGACAATATCCCCCGGAGCACCATTCTCCCAATATCGAAGATTCTCCACCGCTAGTTCAACGGTTCCCCTCCATCCCGACATCTCCAGGTTTCTCCTGGCTGCCGCGATAAGAGAAAGCGCAGACGCGACACTCAATCGAAGCATATACCACGTCCCATGGTGGCGATGGCAGATAGAGTTGCCCTCAATAAGTCTGGTGGAGCAATACAATGATTCTTCCACAAATACCCCTAACGACGACAGGTGAATATTGTCGGACGGTAGATGAATGGCCAAGTACAGAAACGGCCGGAAGATCCAAGACCGGATCTCTTGCAAGCGGGTATATAGCAAGTATGGTAGCTCCTCGTTTGGGATCACCCCGGGTCGGCTGTCATCGAAGCGCATCTGGCTTGGGAGACATTCGTACCACTGGTTCAGTTGGCGGAGGAACTCGTTGGCGACTTGCATCATGGATGGGACGTTGAAATCAATCCACGCTTGAAATCCTTCCTTGTAGAAAGAATCTAAGACGCGATTTCCGATGCGCCGGAGTGCAATCTCGGAGAGATAATAAAACCATGCCTGCTCTTGTTCATGTGGCGACGGATTGCAGGCTTGTTCTCTGCCACCTGGGGAGAAAATAGACCGAGGACTTGGTCCTGTTGTATACGCATCTGGGGGACATGGAAAGACATGGATGTAACCTAAATGCGAAACTCCTGAATGGGGTAGGTCGATCTCAGATAGAATCTCGCTGGAAGCGCCGTCAGTGATCTTGCCAAGAATATCCATCAATTTTTACTTACCATTCGGACTTAAAACAACTCCAAAATAACCGCTGTTCAGTTTTTGGGTCGGTATCATTTGTCACAGATTCCCCTTTTGATCGTGAGTAGACTTGGTACATCACCGACGCCTGGTGAAAGCTCTGGAAGGCGTCTAATGGCCGGAACGTGTACATGAAAAACACCCCTGAGAGAAAGTAGCACTGAACGGTGGCAACGGACTGGCTTAAGGTGCCTATTCGTCGGCGAGCGAGCATCAAATATGTTTCCGCCTCTTCTAACTCCAAGGGACCGAGGAGTTTAGGAAGCATCGGATAGTCCTCAGGATTGAGACTCGCCATTTGGTGAGAATCTCGAAATGGAACTGCGAGTGTACCCAGTGCACATGCTAGGAGCTATCGACAATATGAGTGTACAATTCACTATTGAATACAGGTGCGAAAGAAAGCAACTTACCACAAGACATGATCCTTCGTCCCAGCCGAGCCCATCTTCGATCACTTTTCGAGCATCATGCCTAAGACTCTCTTCATCTACAATGGGGTTTTTGATATGCACCAGGTAGAAAAAGCGGTCCATCAGTGCGGGCACTTTGTCTTCCTGGAATGCAAACTTGGTGCGCTGCATACGAGGCGTTTGCGAGCTGGACGCAAAGACGGCATCCTGCAGACACTTTTCTGGATATCTTTGTTCGAATACCGGCCAGATCAATATATTGTCTGGACTGGTATTGGACGAGGGAACATCAAAGCTGTCTGCTGCAAGCTCATGGCCTGGTCTGGTTGCGCACACTAACAGCTCGTGGGGCGATGGGAGCGGACTCTCGGAGATGGAGACTGCATTTGGCCCTTGAGATAGTCGAGTATTGGTAGCTCGTACAGCTGTTAAGACATCTTCCTGGGTGTCGATGATGCGGTTGAGTCGATCAATGATCTCCAAGCTTGCCGGGTCGAATCTAGAGATTTGGTAGTGAGATCGATGTAGTATAGAAGACAAGACCGGGGGACACTCACGACGAGTGGTCTGTGCGATCGGCATATTGGCATGGGACTCCCACCGACAGACAGATCCGGCAACTGGGACGCTGATTATCGCACTTGGTCTTTCGAGCGCGGCATAGTTGGCATGCTGTGACAGCTCTCTTGCGCGGATATCGCATGGGTCGTTCCAGCGCAGGCGAGCCGGCATTGCCGCGGCTGCGCGGCTGAGTTGGACCGCGTTTCCCCGAATCCATATCGGTACAAGCAGAGTCAATTTGTTGCAAAGCAAGGTGCAGCAGGCGGTTAATGTGTGCTGGTCATCAACGTGGAGATGCTCCGTTCATCGACTCCACCCGGGGAGTTTCGGAGACCCGCGCGGGGCCAAGCTGGGTATATAAGCGCTGCTTTTCCTGGTCGCATCCACACAAGTCCCCAAGAATGGCGATCGCCGAGAACACGATTTTGCGCGTGGGAATCGTAGGGTCAGTGTCAACGGGTGTCCTTTGCTTGTCGAGCTTGTCGAAGATTCAAGCTAACTGCCTCGCAGGTGCGGTGAAATCACCCAGGTGGCTCATATCCCGACTCTGGGATTCCTGTCGCATCGGTTCCAAATCACCTATCTCTGCGACGTCTCCCAGGACGCCCTCAACCACTGCCAGACCAAAGTCATCGGCCCTACGCCCAAGACGACTCGCAATGCCGAAGAACTGTGCGCCTCGACGGATGTCGACGTTGTGATGATCGCCAACACCGATGCCTTCCATGTGCCGCATGCACTTCTCGGCCTGAAATATAACAAATTTGTCTTCATCGAGAAGCCCATGGCTTTAACTCTGAAGGACGCGGATCTTGTCATTGAGGCTGAGAAACAGTCCAAAGGAAAAGTCATGGTGGGGTATATGAGGCGCTATGCCTCGGCGTTTCTGGATGCCATCCAGGAGATTGGAAGCCTCAGACAGATCAATTACGCCCGGGTCCGAGACATCGTTGGTCCAAACTCTGCCTTTGTGGGCCAGTCGGGCACGTATCCGAGGACTTTCCAGGACTACGACCAGAAGGATACCACCGCCCTGGCCAAGATGAACGGCGAGCTGATCCAACAAGCTCTTGCGGAAGAACTGAAGGTTCCAGCGACTGCCGACCTGGCCCTTATGTGGAGGCACCTGGGGAGTTTGGGCTCGCATGACCTGAGCGCCATGCGCGAGGCTCTTGGAATGCCGACGAAAGTGCTGGGGGCCTCTCTCTGCAAACCGACAGGCGCACCCTTCTGGAGGTGAGTAATTGTAGCATTTATTGGATCGAGAAGTATATTCGCTGATTGTCTGTTGATAATCAGTGCACTGTTCCAGTATCCATCATTCAGTGTCGCTTATGAATCGGGCATTGACGGTGTACCTCGATTCGACGCCTCTATCGAAGTTTTTGGAGACACGAAAACCGTTTTAGTCCGCTATGACACCCCCTACGTTAAGGGCCTACCGGTCACGATGGAAATCAAAGAGCAGATGCCGGATGGATCATACCGCGAGTCGACTGTGCGAAAGACGTACGAGGATCCCTACACTCTGGAAATGAACGAGCTCTATGCATGCTGTGTAGAGGGCAAGCCGATCAAGACAACGGCGGCAGATGCCCGGCGGGATATTGAGATTTTTGGCATGGTTCTACAGGCTGGCGCTCCGAACAAGTCCAGTGGAGCTCAGTAGACACGTTGTGCATACACGACAATCTAAATATTTGTGATATAATCCTTGGTACCTGCGTAGATGACTCTGCAAATGTAGATCATTTGATATAAACATCCTGGGTATACGCTTGAGGCTATATAGTTCTTTGGCTTCAATAGACCCATTGCTATTCAAGATATCGACTTACACTGCTAACAACCCCTTAGCGGCTAAGTTGATAATTTGAATAGTTCATAAAATGTGGTATCTTGAATGGTTTGTAGGTATTATTTTTCCGAATCTTTGTAAAGACATTTTAATCCAACTATTCCCATGCTAGCGCATCTCACGTTCGCCGAAACTCCCCGTTGCGGATATCCGAGACTCCGCGGCCGGGGACTACGGGGTCTGCCCTGTTCAGAGGAATGGCAGGGAACGACATGGACTGGGGAAGTGGGTAGATCAACATCCTTTGATGTTTTGTTCCTCTGGATTGCTAATCCTCTCGAGGCTTGAATACGCCCTCCTGGGTGGATTTAAATACCACCCAGACAATCCCGTAAAGCCTCAATAGCTCTCGGGTTTCACAATCTACACCTCCCTAAGACGCTTTATACTACTTTGATACAAATTATTCGTTTGGGCTTTATATTCCCACAATGGGACCGCCATCGACATCCCCAGCCGTCGGGTTATCCGCAGCAGAGCTTCGACTACAGAGATCCAACGGATCCGGGATCTCGGGGCTCTTCAAGAATGGAAAAGTGTTTTCGATCGCCTTCTTTGCCTCGTGAGTATTTGGTGAAAACAACTGCATGTAAGAGAGACAAGAGGGAGAGACTGTTCCCTGACACGTTTCTAGACTGGGTGGCTTTATATATGGATATCAACAGGGCGTCATCTCGCAGGCCCTGGTGATGGCTCGCTTTAAGAGTGACTTTCCTAGCATTATCGGCTCATCCGGAGCCACAGGATGGCTGACCTCGATTTTGCAACTCGGTGGATGGGTTGGGGCATTGTCTGCTGGCGTGTTCGCCGAGGTTTTCACTCGAAGACACACTATCTTTGGTGGCTCTCTCTGGATCATCTTGGGGTCCTTTCTTGCGGCTGGGGCTCACAATGGAGCATATCTCTATGCCGGTCGTTTCTTTACGGGTCTCGGTGTAGGAACTTTGAGTGCTGTGGGGTAATAATCATAATCTCCTTCCAAGGCTGCTCATACCTTCAATCATGAAGATATCTTAACTCGCTAACTCAACTGCAGTCCACTGTACAATGCAGAGCTTGCTCCTCCCGAGATGCGTGGTTTCCTGGTTGCGCTCCAACAACTGTCCACTACTTTCGGGATCATGATCTCCTACTGGATCGGCTACGGCACCAACTATATCGGCGGCACAGGAGAGAATCAGTCTGACTGGGCATGGCGCACACCCCTAGTGGTGCAAGGCGTGCCCGCCATCATTCTTGCCTTGGGAGTGATTTCACTGATACCCTTCAGTCCCAGAATGCTAGTAGGCCGAGGACAAGACAACGACGCCTTGAAGGTACTATCTCGTCTCCGTGGAGTCCCGCAAGACGACCCACTCCTCCAGATCGAATACCTAGAAATTAAATCCGAGGTCCTCTTCGAGCAACGCACATTCGCCCAACGGTTCCCCGATTTGGCCAATGGCCGCAGCATCTGGCGCCGCGAGTTTGCGCAATATACCAACATCTTCCGCACCAGAGACAACTTCAAGAGGGTCGCTACTGCTGGCTTGGTCATGTTCTTTCAGCAGTGGAGTGGCATCGACTCGATTATTTATTACGCCAGCTCGATCTTCCAGACGCTCGGGCTGAACTCGGGCACTATCTCTCTGCTGGCTACGGGCGTGGTCGGGATTATTAACGTGGTCGTGACCATTCCGACTGTTATGGTGATTGATAAAGTCGGCCGCAGGCCTCTTCTGTTGGTCGGGTCGATGGGCATATTTTGTTCTATGATTATTGTCGCCATCATCGTTGCCTTATTCCAGGGCAACTGGCAGGACCATGCTGCTGCAGGATGGGCAGCCGTATCATTCATCTGGATTTATATCGCCAATTTTGCCTATTCTTGGGGGCCTGCCAGCTGGGTCTTGATTACCGGTAAGACCTCAATTGATGACAGAATAAAAACATGAGAAGTACAATGCTGATGTAGTGGGCAATGCAGAAATCTTCCCGCTGTCCATCCGCGCCAAAGGTACCTCGATTGGAGCCTCGTCCAACTGGATGAACAATTTCATTATTGCTCTGATTGTGCCTCGGATGATTGAGGGCATGGCATGGGGCATCTACCTTTTCTTTGGGGTGTGGCTGTTGCTTGGCGCCTTGTTTATCTGGTTCTTTGTGCCCGAGACTAAAAATAAGACGCTCGAGGAGATGGATCTGGTATTTGGAAGTACTATGGCTAGTCAGGACCGTGAGCTCTCGGCCGCGGTGAGAGCGGAGGTTGGGCTGACGGCGATGTTGGAGGCGAGTCGAGAGCCCAAGGGAGAGGTGCAGGGAACATCGCATGTAGAGAGTGCATGATAAGTGTAGAAATATTTGTTATTTTGGTCTGACAGTCAGCGCAGTGACGGCTCGGCTGGCGTTGCCAGCCCTAAGTTGGTGGCGGAGCAGGCAGCAGCAGAGCCTCACGATTGAGTCATGCAAGGTGTTCAGCTTTAAAACATGCAAATATCACCTGTCCATAGATGTCAGTTGCACATTCTGATTCAACCACACCATCACGATGGCCAGTCTCCTAGGGGATTTTCTACGGGGTGCGCCCCCCAATGCCTCGATGCACCAGATCGACTTTATGCACACAACACCGCCCATCCCCGCGCTCAAGGACTGCTTCGCCATAGTGATCGACGACTTCATGACCGAAGCCGAATGCAAAGAACTTCTGAAACTAGCAGAAGAAAATACAAAGCTGCAAACCGCAGATGCGTCCACTTCTTCTTCTACTACTGCTGCTGCTTCATCGCCACCCCCCATTTGGCAACGCGCTATGATCAACGCCGGCGGCGGCAGACAAGTCATGTCAATCGACTCGCGCAAAAGCGGACGACTCATCTTCGACTCTCGCGAGGTCGCCCAGCGTCTGCAGGACCGCCTGATGCCATTTCTGCGGGCGCACCAGCTCGACCGCATCACCAACCAGCCCCTCGTAACGGGACTTGGACCAGCAAAACGGGGCGAGGTGATGCGGCTCAGCCGGCTCAACGAGCGTCTGCGATTCCTGCGCTACGAGGGCGGCGATTATTTTCGGACGCATTGGGATGGTTGCTATGTCACGCCGGACGGGACGGAAAAATCGCTTTATACTATACATCTGTACCTGAACGGCGACGGCGAGCAGGACATGGCTGAGTTGTTGTCGGAGATTGAACGCGCCGATAAACGAGATGGCTTGTTTGTGGAAGATGGCGAGGTCGATCTGGCGCAGGTCGGCGCGGAGGACGAGTCTGAGGCGTCGCTGTTCCGAGACTCTGCGCTGGAGTCGCTGGATAACAATGCGCCCCTCCTTGGTGGAGCGACTTCGTTCACCGATAAGCTTTCCACCGCCAACGCCGTGCGAGTCTTCCCCCAAACCGGGCGCGTGCTCATCTTTCAGCAGCGAAATGTGCTGCACAGTGGAGATGATGTGTTCCGTGGAGTCAAATATACCATGCGCACAGACATGTTGTATACCACAGAGCCGCCTGAATAGGTTTGAGTTCTGAGTAGAAAATGAGAAGCAAAAAGAAATGCAAAGTTGATTCATCATCCTCGGGGCCCGATAAACACCGAATCGATTGACGTCATCCGCTTGATTCCCCCAGCTTAAATCGATGCATGTCACCTCCCAATGGTTTGAACAGCCCACTTCATTCCCTTTGATCGAGTCGCAATGCCTGCAGCAAACAACATCGCCTTCACAGCCCCGATCAACCCGTCGGGCGCAACCCCCGTGCTCACGCCCCAGCAAATCTGGGCGGGACTTCTCCTCAAGATTCGCTCCGCCGAAACCTTTGTCCCGGCCGCAATTCAGTCTACCACAGTGGTGAGTGACTCGGTCGATTCCACCACCGGCAACCCCGTTACCGTCCGAGAAGTCACCTTCCGCGAAACCCAGCGGAAAGTGCAGGAGACCGTCACAGCCTTCGAGAGCTGTCGGGTGGAATTCGCCCAGCCAGATGGAAGCCGGGTCAGCAATGTGGTCAGTGAGGGCGCGGGCGGGGAGCTGTATATGACCTATATCTTTGAATGGCGGCATCCCGGGGTCTCGGCAGAAGAGCTGGCGACGCTGCTGGAGAAGGAGAAGAAAATGAGCCAGATGGCGGTCGAGGGGACGATCAAAGCTCTGCGACAGTTGGTCGAAGAGAAGAAGATCTGAGGATGTAAGACTGATTGTCATGCCTAATGCATGTTTCTTTTTTTCAATAGCCATCGAGGTGTTCTGGATAACTATCTTCTCCATATCTTTGATGCACCGTGGCCTCGAAGTGGTGCTGCTTGAGAGCTTTGGCCTTCATCGCCCGGTCTCCCCCCATGTGTTCTCCCGCTTGCGGCGAGAATGTGAAAGCCAAATGAAGCGGACTGATTCGATTCGACGCGGATAGATTTCACCTCTCTGTGGATGCCGGGAGAAAATGACGCGTCGGTTTACCCGAATAATCCGTATCAGAAGAGCCCAGTCCAGCCGACTTAGGAGTAGTACGTCCAGCTCCAGCTCGGGCAATTCGCATTGTCGAAGCAATCGCCAACACTAGCCCATGTCCTTCCATCCACTCCAGGTCGGCTCGTCATTCCCCTCCCTTTGCCAATGCGACAGGGCGAACTCGTCATTGTCGATATACCAAATTCGGTCGTGCAAAGGCATAAACGAGATACGCCGAATCCAGGACCGAACTTGGGAACGGATGGCAGACAGGAATCCAACGAGAAGACACGGATTCTCAAGGGCAAACCAATCCTCGGATCAAAAGATTAGGCCGGCTTCATCATGGATTTTCCGGTTGATGGTCAGGATATGCAGATTCTGCCGGCGTGTGCAGAGACATGGCAGAGATCTCATACAGGGCTTGCCCTCCCAGCGTCCCACTTTATCCCAGTAACAGTTGTCGCAGAGGAATCCATTGCTGTGCGGAGTGCCCCATTGGCCGCGAGCAGGTGACTGGAATATACTGGGCTGGGGCATTTGGTTCCATCCATTATCGTGGCATCTGGCGCAGTGCAAGTCAAACTGGCGACTGTGCTTGGCCCTGGTCTGGAATAGCCAAATGGGGTGCAGCTGGGATCATGGAGGATGTCGAACCTGCACGGCTGTACCAGCAGTTTTTGATAGACCACGTTCTTCAATTCACGTGGCAGCGCGAAGAACCTGGGTGTGTGAGAATAGAAGAATTGGTGGTGAGAGATGGGGACCTACCGGTCGAACAAGGTCAGCTCCATGCTGTCGAGAACTCGACTTTTACATAGTTGAATATGAGTGACAATGAAACAAAGAAAAAAGAATTAAACGTTTACATCTTACACTGAAAGGCCAATTAGAGGGGCATCGTCCAAACATAATTAATTCCATCCACCTTGTTCTTGCATGACTCGACATGGAGGATCGTCACGGCTGTGACACAGCCAACAGTCATCGATTGAGCTTGATCTTCGATTTACTCTATACCCAGAAATAATGTGTCTGCCTATCCTGATTAAACATCAGGGACCAAAACCCGGCCCTCAGACACCCGCACCGCCGTCCCTGTCAACAACATCTGCTTAATCTTCATGTCAGGGTCCAGCGCCACTCCAACTCCAATATCACTGCGCCTTCCCATCTCGACACCCTGTACCACATGGTATAAGTGAGGCTGACCAGCCTGGCCCTCCGTCAGGGTCAGGTATGCCGCCAGGCCACAAGCCGAGCTACCCGTTGCCGGGTCTTCGAGGGTTCCTAGCATCATCCGCGTGCGAATAATCTTCTGGTCCGTAACATCGTCGTCCACCTCTCGGACGAAGAAGTAAACGCTCACCAATCCGGATCTCCACCCCTCGTCGAGGTAGTTGCCGTTGGTCGAAGAGACGAGCTCGCCCCCGGTCGCGGGGGTCACGGCGGCCAACGCGGCCAGAGTGGGAAGCTCGATGAAAACCTGGCTCATACCATTGACGATCGAGAAGACCGGGAAACTGACATCCGGCTGCGGAAAGAACGGAGCCAGAGTCGGGTGAAGGCGCAGCAGATCCTTCAACCCGAATCGAGCGGCGTGGATGCGCGTGTTATGCGCGATCTGTGCAGAAACAGCCTTGGAAATGCTGTCCTGGATGGAAATCGGGATATCGCCTGACTTGGTCGCCAGCGTCGTCACCCCGCTAGCATCCGCTGCATCCGTGGAATGACACAGGAACCAAGATGCGGCGCCGATGGTTGGGTGGCCTGCGAATGGCAGTTCGCAGTCTGTAGTGAAGATGTCGATGGTACGCTTGCTTTGCTCACGGGCCGGGTGCACGAAAATGGTCTCGGACAGGTTGAACTCCCGCGCGATGGTTTGTTTCTGGCTCTGGCTCAAAGAGTCCGAGTCCTCCGGGAGAAAAACCACAGCCAGCGGGTTACCCGAGTAGGGCTGGGATGTGAAGACATCGAGAGTCACAAACGAGAGTTGGGCCATGGTGTCTTTATAAATCGAACATCCCGTTGCAGGCAAATGGCGGGAGAGGGACTTTTATAGTCTCCACTTTCTTGACTCACTCGTGTTCGGCCGAAGACTAGTGGGTCGGCGCTTGAGCATAGAGACGATAATGAGGATTGAGTCAAAGTGACCCCTCTCTTCCCCCGCTGTGCCCCTCGTGTTGGCGGCGTCATACTTGACAAGCGTAGGTTGTTTTGCTTTTACAGGGCTCGAGAATTAGACATAAAAATAAAAGAGGCTCAGAAATTATCTTGAAAAATATGATAAAAAAGATCTTAGAGAAGAGTATAAAATCTATTCTAAAATATCCCTCAGAAGATATCTTAATAGCTAATAGAATCTAATAGAAATATACTATATATACAAAATGAATAAGCAAGCAAACAAGTGAAAAAAAAAGTATATATAAGATACGCCAGCTTGATTTACCTCTTTCTCCTTTACTACTCTCCTTGATAACTCTCCACGATCAGGAGAGAAGCTCTACTGCCCCTCTAGTTTGCTTTCGTTGTTTCCCTTCTTCATCTTTGAACCCACTGGCTGTTTTGAAAAATGGAGCGTAACGAATGGGCCCCGGCTTAGCCTGGGCCCTAGGGACTTGGTGTCCAACTTCCTCGGATTTTGAAGCCGTTCGAATTCATGGGGTGAGTGATGGTCTATTTGAACGAATATCCATCCCATGCCGTAGTGGGAGTTCAATTAACTAAGAGGCAGTCTCAAAAAAAGAAAGAAACCACTGCAAGCCAGTTCTTCGAGTTAATTGGCAATGAAGCAACCAAGGGTTGTGTGCCCCGTGGCTTACGGATTCCGAGCAAAGGAATGCAGCAGCATCTCTGGAGTCATGATTTCCAGCAGTCACACATTATATACTCCCTGCCTAAGGCCTAAAAGTATATCATCATCAGAAAGTACCTTACTCTTTCCTTGATTGCTTCTCAGTATATGGATTATTTCGCCGACGTGCTCCACAGCTCGAAGTAATCTGCAAAAATACAATCTTATATATATCGCGAGCCAAATTGTCCAATGGTCTGAAAGGAACACTCTAGCCTCGTTCCGGTGTGTCTTAACGTATCAGATCCAGACTTAGATATGCCGCATGAAGGTGATGCAGAGCAGGGGGCTGCTCAACAGGCAGCCGCCAAAGCGGCCAAGGAGAAAAGAGATCGCGAGAACAAGGCAGCTGTGGCTCAAGGCTTACAGAACCGGTGACAACTGAATAGCTCTCATCGTCGGGCTATGAAGCTCAGGCCCGGAGAGGGAAAAAGTAGGGCAATTCATTTGATGGCTAGGTAGTTATTGGTTTTAGAGAAAATGTAAGACTCCTTGTAAAAGATTCACAGCCTAGAAAAAACAATTTATTTCGTTTACTTATCTCAGCTTCGTGACCAGCTTGCCCGTGTTTCCCCCGGAGTATAGCATCATCCAGGTGCGAGGGATATCAGCAAACTCCGTGTCAACAACCATTTCACTTTCCTCGCTGATAATCAGGTTATCCTTCTTCCATTCATCGATGAGCAACGCTTGCACCTCGGGAAGATGTTTAATCCAGTCGATACTGATAAATCCCAGGATCTGTAGGCGCATGGTGACGACCTCCTATATAAAAATGAAAAAGAATCAGTCAATCACCCGTCTTCTTTGGATCTTCAAGGGCATGTCTACATAGAAGTTCTTCAGCCCGATGATATCAGCGTCGCGGTTGTAGTTCGAAATGGCACCACTGAAGAGTCAGCATTCAGTGTTCAATATAGATCTCCCAATGACATTGGCCCTGAAGATATCAACTGGAGATGCCTACCTGGCTGCGACACGACCAAACTTGGTCATTCTAGTGAGCATGAAATCCAAGATTTCGCCACCGACGTTGTCTGCCTCAATGGTCAGTTTGTACTATATTTGAAGTCCAAGACCACACATAACAAACCAAAGTAGATCTCCACAAAGCCTTCGGTTTCCTGGGTGAGCTCCTGCTTGAACGAGGGCGACTTGTAATTGAGGCAGACATCTGCCCCAAGCTTTTCCACCCATCGACACTTTGCGTCAGTGCCTGCAATCCCGATCACCTGGATAATCGTCAGAGCTACCACTTACAAGCTACACAGATGACAGACAAGAACACTCACCTTTCGACACCCGATCATCTTTTTGGAAATCTGAACAGCCATCGTGCCGACAGCACCAGCCGCCCCGCTGATAACAATCGCATCAGTCTGCGTCGCCTTGACGATTTGTGTTAGGGCATAGTATGCCGTGAACCCCGGTAGCCCCAGCGCTCCCAGGAAGTGCGTTATTGGCAGTTCTGGCAGAGAATCAATGACCGAGACATTCTGAGCCTCAGTGACCGAATACTCAGTCCAGCCCGGAATCCCCAGCACTAGACTTCCCGTAGCGACTTCAGGGCTGCGAGACTCCACCACCTGGGAAATGCCCATAGATTTCATGGGCTCGCCCTCCTGCACCGGCGGCAGATACAGTCGCTCTGCTTGGGCCAGAGGCGAGATCCACGATCGCTGCGTGGGATCGTTGCTCAAATACAGGGTTTTCAAGAGGACCTCGCCTTCCTGCAGTGCTGGGATCTCAGCTGTTTCCAACGCAAACGTCGACTGGTCTCCGTTTAGTATGGGCTCTCCATAGGGCTTCTTGCGGAGAACCCAGTGTTGGGTTTGGGTTGGCTGTTCCATATTCGTGAGAACCGTTGATGGCGCGAGTTGGGTCGAGCCGGGAGAAAGATGAGAGTCATGACCATGTTCCTATATACTCCTCGCTTCAGTACCACGTCATGATGCTTGCTCCTAACGAATATCAGCTAACTTGGGACGGGAGAGTCCTCAACCGAGTCGGGCTATAGTTCACCGTGATCCGAAAAGCGGGTGGTTACGATCCGCTCGGGTGACCCTCAACATCCGCCCCCGAAGGGGCTGGCCCAAACGGGGGCGAATTTCAGCAAATCGGTTTTCAGAGAAACAAAGTATCCGTGGAATCATAGCAATATGGTCGTTGAAGCTATCGTGGTCATTTCTTATGTGCTCGGCTACTTTAAGCCAATCCCAGTTTCAAGCGCCTCATCAGGTCATTATGAACGTATCGCCTTCATTCCGAGTCACTTTCAATCACAAACCCTCCACGCATGCGTCGTCGAGGCGCAGCCACGGGGGTATCCTCGTCGGCATCGGCAGTAGTCCCGGGGGCCGTCGTGTCGGCGTTTGTCTTCCGGTCTCGACTGAAGGCTAAGTCGTCATCGAAATCAAGGTCGTCCTCCCCAGACGTGAGAGGAGTGTCTTCATCCTCTCGAGCATCACGGCTGGTGGAAACATGCTGGGAGTTCGGCGACTGCGCGTCCAGTTCGGCCATGAGGATGTCGCCGTCGCCGTCACTCCCGGCGGAGCCAGAACTGCGTCGTTGGCGCTTGCTTTTTGTTGCCGCGGTGGAAGTACCAGCACCATTGTTGCGTTTGCGCGCAAGAGATTTGTTGCCCTTGGCGGTTGTTTTTTCCACGCTGGCTGTAAGCAAAGCTTTCTTGACCTGCTCCGCTTGCTCCTTTCCACGTTTTTCTTCGAGACGGAAGAACTCTTTATCAGCTTCTTCGTCGGTCTCCTCGTCGCTATCATGGATAAACAGATCGCTCTTGATCTTCGCCTGGCGAGCCAGCGCATTCGTAAGACGCGCCTCGCGGCGAGCTTCAAGAGCTCCGTCGTCTAAAGGCTCCTTCTCCGAGTCATTCCTTTGCTTCTTCTTGCGTTTCTTCTTCAGATCATCCAGGGCATTAGATTTGGATCGTGGATTTGGTGGGAATAAGGGTCCATCCGGAACATTATCTTCGCCTTCGGAGTCAGATCCGAAATTGACGTCGAAGGTGTCCTGGGCCCCTCTGTTCCAGGCGCTCCCAGTCTCCTTGCGTCGAAGGTGCTGACGAGGATCAAGTTCACTGTTTTCAGACAGAGGGTTCTGGAGAGCCTTGTGGATTGCCGAAATGGTTTCATGTAGATCTTTGGACGTCATAGTTGCCGGAATAACCCAAGACGCGCCAGGTATATCTTCCACCCCGAGACGTTCGAACCCAACAAGAGCCATGAGCAAACGAAGCTTCGCGTTCGAAAACATGGCATTCTGGCAGAATTCATCACGGGCCTTCACAGCTGTATGAAAGTTAGTAGACGTCAAAAAAATCAAAAGCAACCAAGGACGGCATACCAATCATCGGATTAGGGATGTGAATGGCGTCAGTTGATTCCGCGCGACGGGCTTCATCTTGCGCTTCCCAGTCTTCTCTTTCGGATGCGGCCGAGCGCAAAACATCACCAATCCATTTCACCAGATCGGCACGCCCATCAAGGACAAGGGCGCCAACCACAATACCCAACCTGGCCTCTTTTGTAGTAGCCTCCCTAGAGGTGATCTCAAGCTCGGCGGGCGGTCGCTTGACAGTAGACAGGGTTTGCCTTTCGTGCCCGTATTCAAGGTAGAACACGGTGGAGTTAATCTTGCTGAATAGTAGCTCGGTGATCAAGGCAGGACGCTGGTCCAATTTCTTGAGGAGTCGTCGAATGATCTGTCGGACTAATTCCTCCCATTCTTTGAAAATCGGCTTGCTCGAATCTAATCCTTCTGGGCCTTTAATCATGCGATAGAAAAGACTTATGATATCCAGTCGGAACAGCAGGACGGTCATCTCCTGCTTGAATGCGATGCGGTAGAAGTAGCGATGAGCTCGCTTTAGTTGCTCCGAGTTGAGCTCTCGGTAGTATCCCGTGAAAGCGACAAAGGTGTCAACACATTTCTGGTTGCAGAACTTTGCTGCAAAGCGCTTGAAATCAAAGCTGCGCTCCTTGATGACCTGCGCAGTGTCCACCATATCCTCATCTTCCGAGTTCTGTTCGTCATCGTTTTGGGCACCACCTTGTTCACTAATCTGGTCGGCCTTCTTCTTGCTGCGCTTGGCCCTCCGGCGAGAACGCACTTGCATGTCAGCGTTTTCTTTAGAGTACCGTTCCAGCATCCGCAGAAAGACGTGAACAAGCTCGGTGCAGGCATCGAGATAACCAAACCCTTGATCTTTGTAACCACGCATAATGGCAATGATGCGGTCATGTGTGGTTTCCTCGTAGAAAATTCGATTTTGAATGTTCTCGGCGATTTCTTGGTCTTCGTCCAACGGAGACGCAGCCATCTCCTGGACGGTCAGCAGGATCTGGGTGAAGCAACGCATCTGCGCATTCAGATCTTCCCATTCTTTGTTGTCCATACTATTCTGCATAGCTCGATTCAAAGAGATAAATGTCTCTTGGTTCAGGACTCCAGCAACAAGACCATAACTATCTGGCTCTATGTCTTTGGTCGTTTTCGCGTTTTTGGCGCGCTGGGATTGCTGTCGAACCCGTCGTGCCCGCTCCGCTTCGAGGAACCAACTAACTGTGTAGAAAAATTGTCGGGTGTTGATATCCATCACACGGTCCGCTTCGCGTTCAATGGCCTTCCGCACGTGAGTAAATAGAGGGTTGAATCCAGAGTCCAAAAACTCCTCCACAAAGGTTCTCAGGTTTTTCGATGCCAGAGACGAGAGATGGATAGGCATGTTGAAGTTGTTGTTCTGGACCACTTCCTCCTGTCGACGACGAGTACGAGGCTTGTTCCACTTTTTGCTCTGGTCCATTTTGTTCAGAGTCGTCTGACTGTCTCGCAAGGTATCTTGTCCTGAGACTGTGGACACCTTGGCCTCATCCCGCTTAACCCAGATCATAGTTCCAAATCTCCCATGCCGTGTAGGTGCAGTTTTTGCATATTCTCTCTGAAGCGAGTTTTCCTTGCGGAGAAGATCGCCGAGTTCGTCGGTCCGTTTGACTTTCCTCTGGTCCTCGTCCATGAATAACTTGTCCACATTCACGCCCTTTACTAGGTGAAACAGAATCTCGAGAAGAACGACATCTTGCAAGTTGAAGTCTTCCCCAATGTTGGAGCACATGGTCAGGAGAAGAGCAAACGCATCTTGGCCTTGGAATGCATTGATAGTGGAAGATCTGGAAGTCTCCTCCTCATCTCCTTCAGCCGCAAGTCGTACGTTGGAGGATATAACGGCCATATTTCGCAAGAGATAGAGCATCAATTTGATGATTCCTTCGTCTCGGGTCTCGCGGTCGGATCGGGGAATGGCCATGCTCGGAAGGGCAATTCGAACGATGGTACGGAGGAGATTTGAGCCATCATGCTTGAGAATGCCTCTTTTGTACTGGACCTGAGCCTGTTGAATGTATGGGGTATGACGATGGTGGTTCACTGTCATCTGGCTGTGGAATTCCACCGGCCAGGTCAAGGGGACAAGAAGCTCCACTGCTCGAATTAGTACCCAATTCCTTCCCATCTGGTTCAAAACATACAGCATGCTAGAGCAACGCGAGTCATATGTTTGCTTTTCTGACCACTGGCCCACCAAGTCGAGAGAATCGGAAGTAGATCGCCGTTCACCAGGTTGGCTTCTCCCAGACATCGCGCCACGTCCATCCGGTTATTTTTCTCATCGTACAATTTCAACCATCGTTTGATATCGCGCAAGCAGGCCAATGCGTCGTCTCCCAGGATATACTGGTCGGCATTTTCGCCATTGAACCCTCCCAGCTAGAGTCACCATATCAGCTCAGCTATCAACAGCGGAGGAAATTGGAAACTCACCGCAGTGACCAAGCTATACACATAGCCACGCACATCAGGGTCGACAACCTGGACATCGTGGCCCAGAGGGCCAACCTCGTCATCCATGATGATGATGCGACTTTACGTGGAACGCGTCGACGCGTTGAGTGGCCTCGGGTCGGATAAAAGCAATCGCCGACTGCCGGAGATAACCGATGACGTCGGAAAACACGTGAAGATCACATTGTCTCTTGTAGATGCGCTTCTTCTTTCTTTCTCTCTTTCCATGTTCCAAGTTTGCACAGTATTCTTTGTATTCTAGTCATGTTTGCTTCTTCCCTCCGTTCGATTGGCCGCAATAGCCCTGCAGTGGCCCGCACCTTCAGCTCTACCTCCGCAACATGCGCAGCCGAGGTCAAGTCGTTGGGCGTTATCGGAGCGGGACAGATGGTCAGTTCAAATGAAAAGATGCTCTTCCAGTATTGCTCATATTATACAGGGATTGGGAATTGCTCTAGTCGCAGCGCAAAAGGCTCAGGTCCCTGTGACCTTGGTCGACAATTCCCAGGGCTCGTTGGATAAGGGACTGAAGTTTGCCGGTAACATTAAGCCCCTCTTGATTGAAGCCGGGCGTGGTCTTTTTTGTTATTGAGTAGTACTGACGCGGATTTGGGGACCAGATAAACTTCTCGAGAAGGATGTCTCTAAGCAGCGCCTCACTCGGGATGCAGCCGATGCAGCCCGTGGGCTCATCGCTCCAAGCTTGAAGATGGACGATCTCTCCTCAGTGGACTTTGTCATTGAAGCCGTCCCGGAGATTCCCGATCTCAAGACGTCAATTTTCACCAACCTCGCCCAGATTGCACCCAAGCATGCTATCCTTGCGACCAACACTTCTTCCATCTCTATCACCAAAATTGCTGCCGCTACCACAACGGACCCGACAGATCTGCAAGCTCCATCGCGCGTGATCTCCACCCACTTTATGAACCCTGTTCCCATCCAGAAAGGTGTGGAGATTATCCGGGGTTTGCAAACCTCCCAGGAGACCACAGAAACGGCTATTGCCTTTGTGGAGCGTATGGGTAAGGTGGCGTCCATCTCGGCGGACTCGCCCGGCTTCTTGGCCAACCGGATTCTCATGCCGTATATCAATGAGGCGGTCATTTGTCTGGAGACGGGTGTGGGTGGCCGTGAAGATATCGACAATATCATGAAGACCGGAACCAACGTCCCCATGGGCCCCCTGACCTTGGCCGATTTCATCGGGCTGGATACCTGCCTCGCCATCATGAATGTTCTTCACCAGGAGACTGGAGATAGCAAGTACAGGCCGGCCGGTCTCCTGCGCAGAATGGTAGATGCTGGCTGGACGGGCAAGAAGAGTAGCAAGGGTTTCTATGACTATTGATTGCCACGATGTCGGCAATGAAACACAATCAGAACATGATACACCCGCTGTATGTTATCATCTTCGGCCAGTTTTCCTCGGTCATCATTATATAAAGGTCATCTTGTTTTGAAACGCTTGGATCAGAAAATACACTCCCATTGCCTCGGTAAATCGGTCACTGCGACTGTTCTGCCTCTTGTATCTCTGCCTCTTCTCGTTCCGCCTGCTGCATGGCAGCAACCACTATGCGGATATCAAGGTCTTCATCCAACTCTAGCTCGTTATTGTCCTGCATCAGAGGGCTCTTCCCGCACTTGCACCGAGAATATGGATAGGCGCAAGTATAGCTGGTCCTAGTTAGCATGAAACATTTCCAAAATGTGTGGAGATGAGAGAGCCGAAGAAAGAAAAACAGCCACACACCAAAATTCTGCGCCGCATTTGCAGATAATATGGCTGCAGCCTTCTGTTTTCTCAACCACTGCCTGGCAGTGGTAGCATCGCTTCCACTGATGACGCTGCGCCAGTTCCTGAACTGCCTCGAAATCCGGATCCTCGGAGCACTCCAAATCCCCATGGACAATATCATGGCACTGTGAGCAAATCTTTGCCCGGCAATAGGGGCATCTCTGAGTTCTCCTCCACGTTGCGATATTTTTCAGGGGAATCCAGCGACCACAACTCTTCCGAGGACAGTACCAGCGCTCAGCGAGAGGGGTGGCTCGCTCGTCTGCTCGTGATTTATAGCAGCTCTTTCTGTGCCGATTCGTCTGGAAAATCTGTTCTGCAGGGATTTCCTGTGAGCAGCACCGGACAGGGAAGAATTGCTCGTCTTGTAATGCTACCTGTCCCATCCGGCTCAGGCAGAGCTGGCAATACTTATGCTCGCATGGAGCAGACACCAGTTCGCTGGTTCGGATTTGTTTGCAGCATCCTGTACACGCCCTAGATCTGGTCAGCACCTCTGGCGTCTGGGATGGACTATGGAAAATACTGACTCCCGAGTTGATGATCCCTTTCTGGAGGTGAAGCAGCGGAATCGCGCCCTGACTCCGTTCTCAGCACGGTGCTTCAAATGCCTTGGCACTTTGTGGCAAAAGCCTTGGCCAGAGACTAGGTTGTTTCTCTCGTCTCCTGTGTGGTTGTTGATGTCACTCCATCTTCGCGATGGCCCGTCCAAGGCCCGGTCCAGATTTGGCGTTTGACATCCTTTTTGGCCATTGAGTTTCGACACGGCTGCGACAATTGTTGTCAGGTAGGTTGGGAAGATCTTCATCTCTGGTCGAAAAGGAGACTGCTACCTTGTAGCTGCCTAGCTTTGTTGTCGATTTCCATCTATGCCCCCATAACACGAAAGACCAGAGCTTCTTATATAGTGACATAGGGCAATACCACTCCCTGAAGCTAACCGAGGATCTCACAAACACTGTTTGAGTCTGTTTGAGTCTGTCCTGCCCAAAAAGGTCTCGGTGACCCTGGGTCGTTCTTAAGGGTAATTAATGCCTACCTTGGTCAGCTCGAGCATGATCTTACAATGACCAACACACCTTCATGTCATAAAATCCTCGAAGAGCTGATCAGGGTTCTTGTAGCTCTGTGGCCAGCTCTAGTGACACTTGGAAAATTAGTACTCTTGAAAAATGCCAAAGGGTGTGCGGTGCAACTCTCATGATCGTAGCCAACTGAGCTATAATTGTCTTGGATCGTAATAATAGAGAATACTCTTAATTCCGCTGCCTCTTCCTGTTCCCCATGAACAGATCCATGGTTGAACGGCTAGACAAGACCCCATTTGGATAGCATCAGGGCGAGAACTGGTAATCACTCCGTCATCTGGTGTCAAAGCACCCATGGATGGGCTCCCTACTGGAGTAAATCTAGAGCACGCTGAGATAAAACAGGGTAGGCTTTTCTGGAAGATTTCATATCGACCGATCATTATGCCAGGGGTATCATTAATAAAGCTACAAAACGCCTCCCTGCGCAAGACTCCGAATTTTCCCAATTTGTCAGCTTGACCACTGTACTTAACGTTCACACAGTGCCAGCGAAGCGTCGACCAGCCCATGTAGACCCGTGCTCTTGATATTCCTGTCGGGTAATAGCAACCTTGCTCAATTCTTCTCGGTTGTTGGCGAGACGAGATGCTCCGAGCCATGCCGAGCGAATAGGACTATTGTTTTGGATACATATCAGCATTGTTCGGTGCCTGTAATAGGGTGCAAGACCACTCACTCGTGAGCCCGGCGCACTCTCACAACACATTCAGCCGAGGCTATTTGCCGTAGTTCAGTTTCCCTTCAAGATAGAAAAATGAGGTTAGTTAAAGCTGGGACCCCACACGCTTGTCCATAAGAACTTACAGTCTCTCCATGAAGCCTGGAATCAATGCATTGCCACCAACAACCAGGACATTCGCCAGGAAAGCGGCGTGCAAGCCCGGAGGTAAAGCAGACAGGCTTTGAATAATGATTTCGGGGACTCCGGCTTGCTTCATACCAATATCCTTTGGAGTAAACAAGAGCTCTGGAACAGTGAAGCGTTCGTTGCCCAAAACCAGGACATCTTCTGACAGGACCTCAGCGCTAAGTCCCGAAAGAGCACCCTTCTTCTTTTTTGCATGTAGAAGGGGGTCGTGTGGTCTCATGAAGCCCTTCTTGCCCGCATTGGGATCAGGCAACACGAAGTCAACCACCACGCCCTCCTCGGAACCAGCCTGGCGCTTCCGGCCTGCTTGCCAGGTCCGTTCCATATCCCCAGCAAAATCATTGCTCACAAAACAAGCCGATTCCTTAACTTCATTCATGATGTATGTCTCATCCACCATGTTGTATTGCCTCATCGACACAATTTCCTTGAGATAGTTTGTCAGGTGCTTCCCTCCAATGTCAAGTCTGCGGATTCCACGCTGAAGGGCTTGGCCTTTGTAAACGGGGGTCACAGTCGTATGGGAGTAGCCCGAGTCAACTACCAACAAGCAATCGGCAGGCGCGATCACCGAATCAGGGTTCGGGGTAATCGAGTCGCCGAATAGGGTATGAATTTCGTTCCAGGCGTTGAGTGTCGGGCCTTCAATTGAATGACATATCAGTATTGACCTGGATGACCTTAACGGTGGGTATTCAATGATCTTACCCAAGCACCTCACATACCCACCAAACCCCCATTCCTCCATCACCATTTCATCCGTGTTCCGCTGTAGCGTTGGCAGAGTATTGGGCGCCTCGGTCAGCACCAGCGTCGTTTCCTCGGGGGAAGCCACTCGAGTGTTCTTATTCCGTGCCGTCTTCTCATCGAAGAAAGACTGCTCCCAGATTTCCTTTTCCGCTTCCCAGTTCACAAGATACCCCTTCTCCACGGGGCGGCGAAACATTGCCTCGTTCCAATCGCTCACATTCGTGGTGATCTGTGCACCAATAACGACGCGATTATCACGGGTCTTGACGAGGGCATTAGGGACCGAGGAGCAGGCCGAGAGCGCGGCCTCGTCGGAGGATGGTAGCTCGGGAGCATAGCCGGCTTTGATTGCATATGCACCATTGTCAAGCACGAAAGTCTTCTGGGGTATTTGTCGCGTCACTTTTGGCTCTGTGGCGGCCTTCGGAGGAGCCCGGGTCTTGGCTGTTCCCATACTTGGTCAAAGGAATGGAGAAGTTGTAAAGCACCGCGGACCCAAATGTCACTGTTTGGTGTTTGTCTTGTTTGACTCAAAACATCCCCGGACGTTGTGTTGTCCAATGGAATTTAGCGATCAACCTAAGCAGATTAATTTGTGGTATAGAACTATTTATGGCCAATGCTGAAGCTGGGATATACATTCGAGGCTCTTCATGTCGTGTGCATTGGAGTCCAGCAGGACAAGACCAAAAAAGTATATAAATTTGGCGTATAGATGTATGAAAGAGCTTAGTGGATTGGATTCTTAAGCTGAATACTTTTTTTAACGAATCGCTACATTTTCTACCAATATCGGACAAGAAATCACTATAACTTGAACCATATATCAAAGCAAAGCAAAGCTCCATCCTGGGGTTTGTTTATCGTGGTCCAGCAAGCTTTCCTGTAAAAGCGGCGAGGGGATCGACCCGAACCAGAAAAGATCGCAGGTGATCCCGCCGAGCCCTAATCAGCCCCGCGTTATCAGAATTCAAACGAAATTTATCTCTTTCAACTCAAGAGATACGCGAACGGTGGGCGCTGCGCCTTTCATCATGTCTAAGCAGCTATCAACCATTCTGTCGACAACCGTGGCCCTGCTGGGGCAGTTCCAAGACGCCCTCTCCGCAACCTCGGCCGCCGGCCGCGCCGAAACACCCAAAGATGCCGAAGCCCTGCCCCTCTTATCGGCATCCTCGGCCGCTCTCAAAGCGCAGGTCACGAAACTCTCGCTGCTAGCTATCTCCTCCCCCTTCACACATACCGCCGTGACCGGTGTGATCCGCGACCTGAATGACTCGGTCCTTCCCTCGCTTGTCACCGCCGCCCTCCTCGTGACTCCGACCCAATATACCAAAGCGTTCCATTCCGAGATCTTAGTTCTGTCGAAAACCGCCCTAACCGAACTCTCGACTCTGGTGCAGGAGGTCCAGCGGGTCGCAGACCAGAAGGACCGCGCAAAGAAGGAGAACCCGGCAAAGAAAGAAGCCGAGCTGACCCAGTTCGAGAAGGACGCCGTAACACTTGCCACGGGTCGCGTGTGGGATGCGTGCGAGACAGTGACGGATGTTGCGACGAAGGGGGTCGTAGGATTCGTCATGCGACGCGTCGAGCAATGGAGGGACCTCGTGCGAGACGCAATTGAAGAGATCGAAGAGTGGGACCCGAACGAAGAGGGCGATGCGTTCTTCGACGATCTCATGGGCGATGACGATGCCAAGGCGAGAGATGATGATTCCGAAGACGACGATGAAGACACTGCTGCTTCACACGAACAGAAGAAGTCTACCATTCGCTTTCTCAAGCCCATCGCCCAAGTATATCCCGCGATCATTAACAATCGACTCAAAAAAGCGGGGACGACACCTTCGTCTTCGCTGTCGGGTGTTACGAGGCTGCAGTCTTTGATGGCGAGCCTGCAACCCATTCCGGATCACGTCGACGAAGCTGCCGGCGCTCTCTATGAGGCCAATCTAGCCAAGTCGGCCCGATTCCTGGTGCGTACGAAGAAGTGTGCCGTGCAGGCGGTAAATGTGGTTATGGCCCCCTGGGATGCTGCCAATGGAGCGAACGGTCAGACACAAGCGGAAGATAAATTTACAGTATGGTCAAAAACATGGCTCAAAGTCGTGGACGAGGTCAGTAAACCGATCGATGCTGCTGCAGGGCCTGAATAGACGCTGCTCGGCACAGCAATGTAAATAGAAACCTTTGCATTATCAAAATACCATCGTATTGAAGAGAAATAACCCAACAAATAGCATCCACAGTGATGCTGGTAATATGTGCATGAGAAGAAAGAGAAAAGAAATGGTCTAAGTAGTATACACAAAACATTGACAGATCCCAGCTTGCCGAGTGCTGGTATCGAATTCAATATTCTTCGGCAGTGGGCTCATTCTCGGTTTCCCACTCAGGGAGCTCCGCCGTAGGTATTCGCTCTCTCAGGAACTCCAGGACAGCCTCCGTTCCTTTGGCAACTACCTGCCATCGAGGAACACGAAATCGGTTGCCTGCGACCTCAAATCGTCTCAAGGCCGATCCATTACCCCAGTTCCGAGGTGAGCGTTCAGCTCCCAACAAGCCGATCTTTGGCGGAAGAAAATCGATGTCATTATTACCAACATCTAGAACCTGCAGCCCTTGAACGGCTTCAAAATCAAGCCGAGAAATCTGGTTATCAGAGGCCAGGAACGTCTTGATTTCGGGGTACTTTTGTCGAATGCGTGGCAGAGAGCCCGTTAGACGATTGTTGGAGACATCAAGGAATGCCAGTGACGGAGCAGCCAGATTGGTCATGAGTGGTTCAAGTGTTGTCAGACTGGCGGCGTTCAAAGTGAGCGTCTGAAGTTTGGGCAATTCAAGCGTTGAAGAAACCAGGTCAGAGCTATTCAATGGATTATGCGACAGATCAAGCTCCACCAAACCTTGTGCAAGCATTCCAAGTGCTGGGACTGGAAAGCAACGCAGCTCGTTATGCTGCAGGTAGAAGCAGCGGATATCTTGGAAGGAAGTTACCTCCAATTTTTCGGTCTCCAAATCTGTCATATCAGAGTGTGATCGGTCAAGGACACCTCCAGGCTTGATGCGCCAGGCACTATCTGGTGTTGGGGTCTCCGGTGCGAGGGTAAATTGCGTGGCCACCGAGCCCTCATCATCTGTATCTTGAAGATCAGGCTCACATCGGTTTCGCATGTCCTGTTTGATTTCTTCGGTGTCCATGCTCAGAAGCTTTCGCTCCCGGAGCGGGTTGTTGGCGATTCGGAGTGTGGAAAGGCTTTCCATGAACCCAAGTTTTTCATCCAGGCGCGAGATATCATTCCCTGTGAAATCGACCGTCTTAATTTTCTTGAGTTCCACAAGTCCAGATGGGAGCTCTGCAAGGCTGTTGTCTTCGGCTGAGAGCATCAAAAGTGATTGCCATGAAGACACACAAGGTAGATGTTTAATGCGATTCACGCCAATCAGCAGAGTGTGTAAACTGGGAAATGCAAGCATTTCATTCGCCGAGAAATTCTCAACCACATTGTTGGCAACGTTCAGGGATTGCAATGTCTCCATGCGGTCCACCGAGGCCGGGATAAGGGTGCCTTCCAGCTTGTTATTTGGGCAGTTGAGTGTTCTCAAAGGAAGTTTGCTCAATTCCTCAAATGGCAGAGTGACAAGTTGGTTGTCACTCACATCCAACATCTTGAGACAGGTTAATTCAGCTAGTTGCTGAGGGAGCTCGGTCAGAGCATTTCCACGAAGATCCAACGACTCCAGATCGCGGAGTCCACAGATCGCGGATGGCAATGGCCCTTGTAATTGGTTATTCGCCAGTTTCAAGTCCGTCAGAGACGGGATCTCTATGATAACCTGGATGTTTTCCATGCTCAAGGAATTGTGCGACAAATTGAGGGAGCGTAAGTGCTGCAACCACCTGAGTCCCATCGGCAGACTTTGCAGCACATTGCCGTGCAAATCCAGGGTTTCCAATGCACCAAATTGCAACCCCCGATCATCGCTGTCCGGGTCAAAATTCTCAGGGTCAATATCGGGAAAGGTAGCATCCGATACCTCAGCCAACTCGTTGTCTGCGGCGATAAACTTGACGAGATCTACATTCTCGAACCAGCTGGAAGAGCTGTCAGGATCAAAGTCGTACATCGTCAAAACTTCCTTTGGAATCTCTGTCAAAGACAAAGCTGCAATATTCAGCAGGCCTGTCGAGCGGGCCGTCTCCACGCGCTTCCTTAAGACCCCAGGGTTGGATCCCTTGGGCAGCTGATTGAACGGATCCTGGATATCAGCGCTTCCCAACTGATCGGCAGGTGCGGCCTGAGGAGCAGATTTTCCACCCTCTGCCGCTGCCTTTCGCGCAGCTTTGGCTTTAGCAATGCTTTCACGGAGCGCGCTCGACGATTTGGAGACCTTTCTGTTTTCGCTCTCTGCCTGTTGATCCCGCGAAAGCTCGTCCTGCGCATGAGAAGACGTAGACGCATATCGGGAAGCAGCCGAGGGAGTTCTCAAAGTCGAGGGCGATCCTGGTTTGGCCTTCCGTGTCTTCCGTACATGGAGCGGTCGCTCTGGAGGGCCCATCTCTGACTTTTGAGTGTTTGAAGACGTCTTGTTCGGAGAGGGGCGAGGAGTTGAATTCTTTCCAGGCGTGTCCTTGTTGCTTCCAGACACGCTCAGATTCAACGGACGCTTTTTGAGCGGCGATGCGGCCTCGGATATGGCAATTTCTCCCATTGCAACACTGTTTCTTGCCGATGACTGCCTCATTTTTGAAGGGCTCTCATTCGCATCCGCGGCATTGAATGTTGACAGAGAGGAAGCAGTCGACATGCGCGACCTAGAAGGAAGCCGAAGTTTGGATACTGGTTGCGCTAGCAAATCGTTGCCATTCTGCTGGCTAGAAGACGATCTGGATGGTGACCTCGAGTAGCTAGACACGTTCGACGGCGTTCGAGACGGCGAACGTATCGGGCTGGCCCCGTTGAAAAAGCTGGACTGCCTTCTGACTGACGCTGGGGATGGCGGGATCTGCGCTATGGTCTCCATTGTGCGCTCTGACAAAGATGGGCGCTCCTCGCGCAGGCGCCCGCGGGGTTCTTGAGCCGATGCGCCATCTTCCTCCGCCGACACGCTCACATCTTCTGGAATTTTTACATCATCCGCTGCAGCTTGAGGTTCGTCTTGCTTCGGAGCTGTCGTGACCCGAGGTTTAGTGGGTGTTGAATGGCGTGGCGGAGGTTTCTTGAACAACGACTCATGGGATGGTCTTCGTAACCTGTTATGGTCCAACCCCGGATCGGCCTGCAATCTTTCTCGGGAGGGAGAAGGTCTGATCGGTTTCAACGTGGACGTGGGCAAGGGCAATCTGGATGCCAATCGTGGGATGCCACTCGGTTTAGGTTGTCGTTCCATGATGGCCGGGAGGGACTCCGAAGGTTCTTTTGGTCAGGGAGTAGAGAGAATGCGGGAGTTCATGTCCGACAGCCAAGAACCGAACAAAGAATGTGGACGGTGGGGGAGGGGGTGATACAGCTCAAAGAAAGATTTTAGAAGAAAAGAAATTGGGATCAATCCAGGGACCAAGGGCTGATCGCCGTGAATTGAGGTTTACAAAGCATTGGATTTGTTTACTTTTTGCCATCACCGGGGGATGGGTAGTGATGCCTGAGGCAACAATCGAGTCTCCATTTCCATGGTACACCCGGGGTACCTAAGGGACCTCGCCAGGTACATAACCCCAACAGGTATTTCGAAGTACCCCAGTCAAGCGAGGTGTAAGTTGGCTGGGCTGTCGCATGCGGTGCCCCTTGCGTTGATTTCTTACATTCCAAGGGTCCCACGTAAGTATACCCGTGCAAATGTCAGAAGTCAATTTCGAGAACGACTTATAATGAATAAATTCTATACGACAATCCACATAGCATTGTTATCTGATATCTATAGATCTCAATATTTTGAATATATCCATGGATTATTCTTATTCTTATTATAAATCTCACTATATCATGATCCGGCTCGTTGCCGGCCCAACGCAGTCTGCTGCTTGCGGGTGTCCCGTGACCGGAGGCTGGGGCATTCCGCTCCCAGCCTCCCAGCCCCCCTCATTATGATCATATCACATACATTGCAAGTCAAAAACTCCCCACCCTCTCTGTCTGATTTCTTCTTTGTTTAAGAATTCAAAACCCTTGACTCCTTTCGTCTCCCCCCCCCCCCCCTGATTCCCCAGATCGTCTGTCATCTCTGCGATCTTGCGATCCGATTATCTGGTTCCCCGGGCGACACTCTAGGCGCAGGGTGATCCGGTGAATCTATTGACTCTGAAGTTTGGATTTAATCACTCTCCGGTATGCGCTCGATCACCCTCCAATTGCTATTCGCTCAATGCTGATTCAGAACATAGTGCGAGGACCCGCTCCCCACGGTATACAGCCCTCGTGGTCTTCCCGACGATCATACACATCATCCACAATTATGTCCCATCACGCAAATTCTTTGTCGCAAAGTTCTCTGGCAGCGCCAGCAGAAATTGTTCCGGCCACATCAGTGAAGCGGGCCACTTTGTCACCATCGCCGGAGCTGAGCGCTATGGCCAAAGACCAAGCCGACAAAAACAAATTCCTCTCGCCCCCGCCTCTCTCCTCATCCGACATGACTCCCCCTCCCTCGACTCAGATTCCCGGAGCGCCTCTTCGCCGGTCCCGCACTCATTCGCGCTCCTTAAGCCCATCGCTGGTGGCGCCGGCCGACCTAGACAAGTCGCTGTGCGACGCCTATGGAGCCTCGGAGAATCTCCCAACCACCGAAGACATCGACAATGCCAGCGAGACGCAGCTCCGAACGATCGCGAAGGATCTTCTGGCCGTGGCTCAGGAGTCTCGCATGTCGGCTTTGCACTTCAAGTTGCAGAATAGTCTTGTCTCTTTTGCGAGCAATGAAGCGGTCAAGCGCGCCGAGGTCGAGCATCAGCTCGCTAAACGAGAAGTGGAAATTCTTCAGAGTGCCGAGTATCGGAGTCGCTCGCGTCCCGCCGAGCCTCTCACACCCCAGCAGTCCCAGTCGGTCACCAAGGACGAGTATCTGGCCGCCGTTCAGCGGTCGCAAGACTTGGAGAGCGTCAACACGGTCCTTGACCGACGACTTCGACGAGCCAAGCGGGCCATTGATGATTCTACAGCCAAGTCCTTGGAACTGACGGAGCAGAACGAAATGCTGAAGAGGCGCATCGAGGACAATCGCCGTCACTTTTCCCAAATTTTCAACTATGGCTCCCTGTCGCCCAGCATGCAGAGCGAGCTCCAAACAATTTGCCGCGGCGAGCAGACCGACGGCCTTGCCGCTCTTCTCTTTGCCGACAAATTTACCAATCGTCTGTCCGAACCCCATGCTGCCTATGGCGCTCATCCGTCATCTCTCCCCATGACCCCGAACCACCCGCGTTCGGCCCGCCAGGAGCGTCATTACTTGACGCCCTTGGGGAACATGCGCGACAATCATTACGACAGCGATAGCACTGTCTCGCTTTCTGTCTCGGAGGCCGGGGAAGAAGGCCCAGAGTCGCCGTATCCGCAAATGCGGTCTGGTGTCCCGAAAAGCAGCACCCTGCTCCAAACGAAGCTATTTGGTCAAGTGAGCAAACCCGGCGTTGGGCGGAACCATTCCACCAAGCGCAAGGCAGGTTCCGAGGAGAGTGGTACAACCACAAAGAAGTCAAGAACGAACCGTGTGGGTCTGGGCATTGAAGCTTAAAACTACGACACAAGTCCGTGCGCGCCCTCGTGCCGTCGACTTGGATATGATTCATGACCTAGCGCTGCTCTTCTTTTCTCACTTGATGTTACGACACGCTCTCGGCGGGAACCATCACGAATAATGAACGCATGCGGTGTTTGATACTAGCGACCCTTGTGGCAATATTTTCTCGGTTTGCAAAACCATATTGCACTTGTGTTTTTTTCAGTCTTTTGTATCCAGCAATTTGAGAGTTTTCGGTATGGACTACAAAGACTTGAGGGGGGTTGACGTAACTGGGTACTGGCTTTGGAATAGCATTCTTGAGCTACTTATGGCAGTGTACGGCTGTACAATAGAAATCAAGCTTTGCTGAGTCCCATAAAAGGGATTGCATGAATAATAGCTATCTGGCAACTACGTTCAAACTTTCATCAGCGTATCTGGTATATCCAGGCTCACTAAGTGATATGATGTAGTCAACGATCTATGGAAGTATACCCACGCCCACCTGGGCAGGTGGGCCTTGTGGGCCTGGGGCAAAAAAAAAGATGACTAAGTGTGGTCTGGCAGATTGCCCGACTAGGACTAGTTAGGGCTCGCTAAGCGAGGCGGTGAAGCGGCGAAGCGGCCACACCACGAAAATTGGGAACCTCATTTTCTGCCGTGAAGGGAGATTCGACCAGCAACCTTCGACGACCCTCCGGCTCGATCCTCATCCGTCAACATGGTGCGTTTCCTGTCCCTACTGAGTGAAAAGAGAATGGAGAATATCGCCAATTCGACTCCACGGAACAAAGAACTTCAATATCGGCGATCGCAGAGTTGAGATGGCTGACGGATTGTGGGACATATAGACGATCAAGCACAACAACCAAATCCAAAAGAACCGTGAGTGATCCCGCCCGGCTTGGTTTCTGTTTAATGAAATCGACTGCTGGAATTGAAAATCAAGGAATCGATGGACTGACTGGTTTTGGGTAGACTTCCGCAAGGACTGGGAGCGTCGTGTGCGCGTGCACTTCGACCAGGTACGACCTCGAACACATCCATAATCAATTTTTACCCCTACCGAACGACGTCGCGAGTTAGCGGAATGGGGAAAAATTGTCATTCGACGGAAACTCGATCAACTAACATAGTTTTTTTTTGCGATCGTCTAGCCCGGCCGGAAGCACCGTCGTCGTGAGGCCCGTCTCGCCAAGGCGGCCGCTGTTGCCCCCCGTCCGGTGGACAAGCTGCGTCCCGTTGTGCACTGCCCGACTGTCAAGTACAACCGCCGTGTCCGTGCCGGTCGTGGTTTCACCCTGGCTGAGCTGAAGGTAAATTTGAGTTCCTAAGAATATCAAACGGCAAGGAACGAAGACTTATTTTTCTTTCGCACGATCTAGGAGGCTGGCATCCCCAAGAAGCTTGCTCCCACTGTCGGCATCTCGGTTGACCACCGCCGCACCAACTACTCGAAGGAGTCGCTGGTCGCCAACGTCGCTCGCCTCAAGGACTACAAGGCCCGCCTGATCCTCTTCCCCCGCAAGAGCGGTCAGTTCAAGAAGCTCGACTCCTCCGCTGAGGACGTCAAGGCCGTCAAGGCCGCTCTCGCCGACGGCAAGCGTGAGGGCATCGCCACCCGTGTCGGTGCTACCTTCCCCATCAACAACCTCTCCCCCGAGGAGGCCGTCACCGAGGTCAAGCGCGACTCGCTGCCCAAGGGCGAGGAGGCTGCCTACCGCCGTCTGCGCGACGCCCGCTCCGAGGCTCGCCACCGTGGTATCCGTGAGAAGCGCGCCCGGGCCAAGGCTGAGGAGGCGGAGGCCAAGAAATAAATGTGATTCCCTGCTGCTGATGATGATGATCGGGTCGGTTTTCGGATCGGGGATTAGTGTACTGTGGCATGTCGTGGCGCCTCATCTTCTTGGAAACTGATTCCTCTCTCCCTCTCCCCCTTTATCCTTTTTGTCTCTTAAAAGAACTCGAAAGATCCTCTCGAAATACAAAACCGCCCAATTTCTCCATCCACGACCGTTTTGTTGTTACTCCTGGTCCGTGTGGCCTGGACAGCGCTCGATGTTTGTCCTTGATAGGACCATACCTCGATCGAGTTGTGGTTCTAGTAAAGCATCTAGCGGGGGTTCCTAAGGGCTACGGGGGAACGATGCTGGCCCATGTCCCATTGCAAGGTTATGTCACAATGAACGGATGCTCTTTGATCTCAAAATCTCCACGGTTCATAGTCTCATAGTAATCTCAACTTGTATTTCTCCCAATACGCGCCCACTCCATGTGCTATGTACGTTTTAACCAATGCCTTTGGTCTCAAATTGACATTAATCTAAATCATTCCATTTCGTTTATTCATCGACCAAGCCCCAAAAACCATGCTATAGTATCTCGGAAAGAAAAGTCTACACGACCATTGACGACCTATAATCTCACGGGTGGGACCAGAACATATCAAGTGCGGCCAAACAAGGCCCCAAGGGCACCTTCAGTCGCCCGTAGGATGGCGTCAATATGAATGCCACCTTCCCCTGGCGTGTTGGGCATTCCATTCTCGTGCAGCAAAGTATGAAAGAGCTTTTTCGTCTCCTGATCAATTTTCCTGCTCAAATCATTGCTGACACTGACGGCCGCAATGCTGATTTCGGGTCGTAGCTGGGGCTCGCCGGTCCAGTCATCAATGGTCAACGGATTTGATAGTAGCACTCGTGCATTGTTGTCTGATGACTTGGGGTTGATGATCATTGTGCTGCGCTCAAGGTGCGGGATTAGACGTCGCAGATCAGAAACAATGTGACCTGCTTCACTTGCAGGCCCAGTATCTTTCCGGCCACGCGTGGGCCTTTGACTACCGTGGTTGTGTTCAATCTGAGCCCATAACCGAGCACGTTCAACAGATGCTTCCCAGTATCGGTTGATACCCCAACACAGAGTCGTAACATCGAGTCTGAGAAGTAGATTTTCCAGTCGGGATTCGATCCATCGGCGAAGCACCTCGGGCACACGTCGTTTCTTACTCTCGCTGCCTGTTGGTACAGAGACAGAGACAAGGGACTGTGTTTCAGGGTTGGTCTCATAGACAACAGTCACAGTATAAAGATTGGCTGGGAATGAAGGGGGGGCAGTGAATGTCAACGTGTGCATTTCAGACAGAGATTGGGGCTCGCGGGACGAGGACCGGCTTGTATGCGCGCTGAGTGTCAGCGGCGCAAACACTGTTAGGTACGACCGAGCTTTCGACGCTTCTTGCAGCGCAAACGGGTTGGTTGGTAGAGGCGATGTTGGGCGCGCCGGTCGAGATATTCTGCCAGAGAATGGAAGCAATGTGGAAAGAAGGGACGATATTGGCATAGGCGCTTGCTGGGGCACGGAGCGACTCGTGTGTGATGCCTCTTCTGAGGTGAGCAAGGAGCTGAAATTGAATCAGTAATCTCATCTGTTTCGGGCTCGTCCATTAAACTCACAGGAACCGATCAAGCCCCTTTGCATGGGCTGTCAAGTCTTTTTCAGAGTCTATCCTCCCTGACCATGTCTCTAGCTCTGCCACGTCGTTCTTTAGTTGTTGCAATTCTGCAGCCAGGCTCTTTCGCAATTTGCGTTTCTCCAGCACAGCAGCCGACAGCTCCTGTCTCGAATCTAGTTCTGCATCATCCGAGTCTTCTGGGCTAGGTGATTGAACCCTCGAAGATTTCAATGGACTCCCTTGGAATGCATCGACTGTTCGTCTTTTGATTCGTTTCTCATGCCGCAAACTCGGGCTGCTACTCAATAGCCCCTTGGGCCGGTCGGGGGCCTTCTCCAGACCCAGCTGTGTCGGAGTGGGAGGAAGCTCGGGCTCAAGTGGATCGTCATCCATAAACGCGCCATCCAGGCCTAGATCCATAGCAGCATCTTTTGTGGCACTACCCAATTCCAATGCCAGTTGATCCTCGGGAGTGTTTGACTGTGACTGCTCGGCGGGCTGGATTTGCTTTCCGACTGGTGATCCTAACATGAAATCGGAGGGGACGATCTTGTGGGAAATTCTGCGAGGCGGCTTTGAAAATGCTTGAATGCCACTCGAGCGTCTGTTGGGTGACAAAACAGGCGCGCCGCCAGACATTCTTGGTCGATTTAGGGGACTAGCAGAAACATTAAGCGACGGTCGAAAAGCTTTGCGGTCGCGCAGTCCAAAAGACTTGGCTTCAGATCTTTCTGGTCGGCCATTCTGGCTTCCTCTGCTAGTCGGTCGGCGACTTGGAGACCTGCTGAGCGCGCGCTCTAAGATTTCGGGGTGTGCTCGTGCCAGGCTTGCCCTAGTAGGGGACTGGAAGGAGGGCCGGTCTGAGGGGCGCGTGTCATTTCCAGAATCAATGGTCTGCGCGACAGCGACGCCAGTGGTCTCGCTAGTTTTGCGTCGTTTAGGAGGGGATGGCATTTTCGCGTGGGATATCGCAACCGAGCAACTCGCGGGCAACGGTGGAGTCGCATAAACAATGCATGCGTGGAGTTTGCACCGTTTGCAGTATGACTTAATCGCCTTGCGCAGATTCCAGGATTCCGTCGATCTTGTTTCTCCCACCTCAACACCATGGAGTGTCTGTTGGCAGGCACTAGACACTCGCTTCGGAGAACTTGGCTCCAATATTCTTTGCGCAATAGACCATTCCTTTTGTCCCATTCTCATAGATATTATGCCTTGGACCCCACGCCTAGGCGCATGAGCGCCCATAACCAGTCCGCCGCCCACAAACCCCAGGATACCGGTGAGGACGACACCGATTCCTCTCAAGCGCATCCGCTTTCCGGATACTATTCATTGATCCTCAACTCCCGCTCCCCGTATCCTAGCCATCCGCCAACTTCGCGATCGACCACCCTTCGGCCCGATGACAAGCCGATACCGGGAACGACCGTCGAGCCCCAGTCACCCCAGGATAAAATGTCGATTGTATTCGGTACTCGTCTTGCTGGCCCTGGTCGCTCATCACGCTATAATCCAGGCGAAGCGCCGCCGAAGTCAATGTGGAAAACAATCAACGGGGTTCCCATTCCACCCCGGCCCGATGAACCGGACAATTGCTGCATGAGTGGCTGTGTACACTGCGTTTGGGATGATTTTCGCGATGAGATGGAGGAGTGGGCTGGCAGAGTCGAAAATGCCAAGGCAAAAGGCGGCTCCGTAAAGGGAACAATGGATATGCGTTCGGCGCCACGAACCGAGGTTGACTCAGCCAGCCATAGCATGGATGACGATGGTGGTGGCAGCGAAACCAACTGGACTGTGCCGAGCCAAGAAGATGACTTATTCGGTGGCATCCCCGTCGGGATTCGCGAATTCATGAAGACCGAAAAGAAATTGCGCGTGAAGCATCAGAAGGAGGCTACAGCTACGCCTTGAGTACTTCAGGCGGCCTGTTATTTGGTGATCAGGGGGATTCTGTACTCTTCTTGTTGTCAATTCCCTGTGATATATGTGGAGGAGAATCTCGCTGTGTCTACCAGGTAGAGGACAGGCAGTATATACAAGTAGATAGACTGTACATAGAGATTACAAACGAAGCTACGACTGTTTTATTTCAGCTCGATATTTAGTGAGATGTCTATATTTTATTAAATATCATCATTAAATATCTTATTATTGTTATTTAGTTCAGTTGACACGGTCTATCGCGTGGAACACGGTTCGTGCCAAGACTATCGGCCTCCGGGGGTTTTTTTTTTTGCCTTCCCTCATTGTCCTCTCCAACCACGCCAACCACTGGTTTCTTTACTTGTTGGCGGAATTCTGGCGCCATAGGGTCCTTCTGTACAGATACCCTTTCTTGTTCGAGTTTTGCTGCAGAGTCTCCAAGCGCCGAAACACACGAGGACATGCTATCTCTCCGCAATGTGTGCATGTTGGGCCATATCTCACGGTGAAAGACTAAGGTAATACCATGACGATCGGAACAACTGCGTCCACATGTCTCCGGACCCTCAATCGAACGCGCCTACTCGCCCGAAACGAACCCCGTCCCGATGCCTCCTGTCGGGCCCGCAGTCGGTCCGCGTTGCCGCGGTCTACAAGACGAGAAATACACGTAACATGCCGAGCCGGTGCTTCTACCCAGTCATCTTTCGAAGGTGGTAAGACAAACGCGACTATCGCTGGAAATGAAAACGCGTTGGAGCAATACAGGCGGTCGACAAAATCTCTTCGACTTTCCGCCACGCGACAGCAATGCGCACGCGGGTTGGCCGATCTCGATGAATCCCGAGACCATCTTGCCGCCGAATCACATCCAAACTTGGAACATAAAGATGCCGAGCCCCAGGATGGTACGCGATCATACTCGGTTATCAATGACACGAAGGAAACATCCATTGCATCGTCACCGGATTCTGCCACCATCTCATACGTAACCCCAAGACAGTCCCAGAAAGACATCTTTCGACGCTTGGTGCAAGATGGTAAGATAAAACTTGATACGGCATATCGTCATGGCCCTGTTACTTCGTGTATCATGACCCTTCATATTCCGGGCTCTCAAGGGCCGGTGGAGGTAGTGGCGGCGGATATAAATCCAGTGCGTTCTCCTGTGTATTTCTGGGATCCGGCTTGTTCTAACCACGTGCTATGATAACAGGGCAAGGCAAAAAGCCAGGCGCAAGCGCTTCTCATGTCCAAGCTACAGGAGACTGGGGCTTGGGGAAGATTGAAAAAGATGGCCTCTCTTCATCCCGTGCTCGACGTCGATGATGACCTACTTTTCATGATGCGCTGGGCAACGCAGGAATTGGTCAAAGCTGGAGACACGGTCCGGAACCACATGCAGCCTTTGACAAAACCACGACCACGAGAGAACCGCCTCCCTATCGCTTCCCCCAATACAAAGCAGCTATCGCAAGAGATGTATGCAAGGTTGAAAACCATCCGAAAACTCAGAAATTCACGGGAGCTTGCTGGGACGCCTATCTTACCTGTGGCCCATCACAAGCAACAGCTCCTCGGTCTCATCAAGGATCACACCTACAGCATCATCGTGGCTGAGACTGGTTCTGGAAAGTCAACTCAGGTGCCTCAGATAATCGTCGATGATGCAATTGAGAATCACGCTGGGCTCGACTGCAGGGTGATGTGCGTCCAACCACGGCGCATAGCAGCACAATCCCTGGCATATCGAGTTGCCGACGAAAGAGCGGAACCAGTTGGTCGTTCCGTTGGCTACAATGTACGGTTCGATCGTAAATCGCCTGTTTTTGACGGGGGAGGGACGATCACCTACTGCACCACTGGGATTTTTTTGAATCTCCTACAGGACTCGTCCGCCCGGCTACAATCACTGTCCCACATTATACTCGATGAAGTCCACGTACGGGATGTCGGCATCGATTTGGTTATGTTGTTGTTGAAGCGTTACGTGGAAAAGCGCCAAGCGACTGGAGCCCCTGTGCCCAAGATTATCGTGATGAGTGCAACTGTGGATGTCGACCTGTTTTCCTCCTACTTTCGCAACAAGGCCCTAGATGGGACGCTTATCCCTGCTCCACATCTCACGATTGCCGGCCGCAGCTTCGAGGTGAAGAAACATTACCTGGAAGAGTTACTTACCACCCTAGAGGAGTTCTACTCGAACAAAGACCTTCGCCTGTTTTTCGAACAAGATATGACGCGGGATTACTTGGCCAACCACGCCAAACAATTTGGTGGTGAGGGTTCCAATGAGTCCGAGACACAAGATTCCCTTGCAGAGAACGGGGGTTCTTCCGCATCTTTGGCTGACCTGGACCCATACGATGAGGATCGGCTGATGCCTTACGGGTTAATTTGCGCGACTCTCTTCTACCTCCTGTCCAAAACCAAAGATGGCTCCATGTTGGTTTTCCTCCCGGGTCTTAACCACATCTTCGCCCTGGAACAAGATCTTCAAACTTACGGGGAACTCATGGGGATTGATTTATCCAATGAAACTCGATATCGAGTCGTGAAGTTGCACTCCAGTCTACAGGAAGAACAACAGAAACTCTCTCTCGAGGTGCCGGATGGTTGTCGAAGAATTATCCTCTCGACAGACATAGCTGAGGCTTCTCTCACGATCCCGGATGTGCGGTACGTGATTGACGCCGGCAAAGTCAACGAGATGATTTTCGATTCAAAGGCAAGCTCTCACCGAATGGCCTGCTGTTGGGTCAGTCGATCCAGTGCGCTCCAAAGGGCTGGGCGCGCAGGTCGAGTTCAGCCAGGCGAATACTTCTTTCTTGGAACGAAGCAGCGATTCGACACCCTCCGGATCACCAAATCCCCGGAAATTGTCCGAAGTGATCTCCGGGAAACCTGTCTGCGGACAAGAAAGGCCTCCCCTGAAGAATCCCTCTCGGCCATCCTCCGGCGGGCCATTGAACCACCAGAAGATACCAAGGTGCGCATCGCAACGGAATCCTTGAAACGACTCAAGGCATTGGACCAGCATGAAAACATCACCAGTCTCGGCTCTATCCTCTGTCAGCTCAGTATTAACCCGGCCTTGGGCAAGTTGATCATCCTCGGCGTCATCTTCCGCTGCCTGGACCCTCTACTGATTCTCGGGTCAATGAGCGATGGCACCTCCCTGTTTCGTCGGGCGGTCAGTGTCGAGGACCGCCAGGTCATCGCGGAGTGTGTCCGGGCCTTTGCCGGCGAGTCCTCCAGCGACCAGATTGGTTACATCAATGCTTTTAAGGCTGTTCGGGATGTTTGGCATGGGGAAAGTCCACGCATGGCTTGGCAGTATGCAATTCAACACAACATATATTTCCCCTCGTATCGACAGATGTCGATCGCGGCTCGCCATATGCTACATGTCCTGGCTCGAGCTAAGCTCATCAAGAGATGGCAGGCTACTAAGATCGATTACCAACACCGGTTCGGTGGAGCTGAGCTGAACACCAATTCTCACCATGTGCCTCTCATCAAGGCGCTGTTGCTACATTGCCTGTTTCCCCAGATCGCTATCCCAGTCGTTCAAAGCAGATATTATACTCAAACGGATCCCGCCGCCCTCATGGGAATGACCAGCGTGAACAACCCCAAGGTCTCGAAATCATCTTTGACGTTGTTCAACCGGAAACAGTCATTTCCCGATAATCTCCCGATGCTATTTGACACGTCCAACATTACCCCATTGATAGCATGCCTCTTTGGGGGCAACTTGGAACGGAACGACAAGTTTCTAGCCTCGGGCTCGTGGCTGAAAGTGGGCATCAATAGCAGAAAAGTGGAGCTAGGAGGCGAGGGTGACGACGCCATCACGAATGTGATTGAGTTGTACAATGCGATTGACGATGTGAGTTATTAATCCAGTCTCCTTCCCTCTTCGGTGTGTTAGGGTGGACACTCTGTATGCTAACTGAAGATCCCTGCAGGCCCTTGAAGCGGCATTCGAATCCTTGGCATCCGGGCGCAATTCTTTCCTTTCTTACGGGGAGAAAGTTGCATTGTATCATTCTCGCAATGCTTTATTTGCAACGCTCCACCGAACCCTCCGGGATGTGCTGGATCGAGACCTCAACCGAATCCCCACGATCTCCGCCCATGCCGACAAGTGGGACGATTATGCATCTGTTCTGCAAAATAGCTCTTCGTGAGGCATCTAGCATGTTTCAACTTTGCCCACTCTGGACTTTCAGCTCTCCGCAAGGAAGTCTGGGCCAGATCGGCCTGTATAATAGATGTGTATCCACACTAGACTAGATTTTTTTTTTTTTTTTTTTTTTTTTTTTTTGGCGAGAGAAGTTTTGAAATTTCGCCGCGTGTACATTATCAGTCACCCTCGAATCTGTAGATTTATTAAAACATGAGCATAAATCTTAACATACTCATTATCATTGATCAATATCCATCCATGGATGCCTTGTCCTGGTGTACCGTTACCCTTCATAGATCCGCTCTCACCGCCTGAAATCGCCATAAAAAAAGCAACGCGCCGATCCCAATGCAACATCCGAGAGGGAGAAAAAAAAAAGGAGAGATGGCCTTCTCCAAAAGCGAGTCCGACGTCATTCTCAACCGCGCCAACGTCGCCCTCTCGCGCAGCCAACGCCTCGTCGCATCATGGCTTCCAGAACAGAACGCAGACGAACTCGCCAACACCAAGTCCGAGGAGGAACTACAGCGCGAGGAAGATGAGATATTCACAGCGGTACCAGAAACGTCAGCTCTATTCCCTCCCTCTCCTTCTTTCTTTTTGTCGTCTCATTTGGTGTCCTCTCATTGCTGACACTTCCATTTCTGCAGACTGGGAGTCGGTGCACCCCTCCCCGAAAAAGCCGCCGACGGAAGCTGGAATCGCACCGAGCTGGGCTCAAACGACCAACTGCGCAAACAATTGCTCGGCAAGAATTACCAAAAGGTAATGAAGGCAAACGCTGCGGCCAATTCGAGACCTGGTGGTGCCGCGTCCGCCACGGGCTCTTCGCCATCAAACCCCCATACGTCGCAGACCCACGGTGACAAGAATACGGCGGATGACGACGATGAGGAGGAGGAGGAAGGGCGCGCCGCGCTGGTAGGGAAGAAGCAGCAGAGGAGAAAAGTCACTCAGCAGGCTCCTTCGGCATCTGCACCTGATAGCGGTGCCAATCACTCTGAGCACGGCGAGATGGCTTCTGTTAAACCAATGCCTGCGCGGTCGAAAGGGAAAAAGAAGGCGACGAGCTATTTGGATGAGATTCTGGCTGAGAGGGCCAAGAAGAGAAAGAAGAGGTGAATTGGCCTGCTTCTGGAGGTTGCCTCTCTATTGGAATATTCGAATATCTTTTCTTCCCTCTGCGGCATCCAGTGAGCAGCGGCTCCTGGACAAAGCAATGAGAGGTTCCATGTTGGAACCTTTGACTATGGCCCGAACAGTACGAGTGACATCGTCCTTGGCCCTCGGCTCCGAGCCGATGAGGTTCCGGGTGTCCGGTTGGGTCTTAATCTACTCCGATGGAGAGCATGGATCCATGAAGTGACTTCGTGGACAAACCTGCAACAGGCCTGGCTGTGGAGGCATGGTCAATCCAGTAACCTACATCGAAATGAACAGCAGATAATACAATTCGATTCCAGGCTCTTGCTCTAGATGCTGCAAGAATCCGTGTTTTTTTTTGTTTTGCTCCGTCCAACCCAAGGGTATATATGATATGCTGAGAATGATGATGACCAGAGCCTTCACTTGAACTGGCGAGCCTCCACCTGGATCAAAATGTCCAAAAATGAAAAGGAATAGGGGCAAAATAGAAAGAAAAATGACATCTACAGAAGCAATCACGCAGGAATCAAAGCTGTCGATCCTCTTCGAAATGGAGAGATAGCCAGAACAGGATCCGATGCTGCTTTCAGTTATACAGGTGCAGTCCAATGAATAAAATGGAGACAGGGGATGCGCGGCCTGTCAGAGTTATGTAGACGGAATGGGAAAACGGAGACGGTTTCCAATGGCGGGAGATGCGGGGGCAGTATACGTATAAATGGGCTTTGCAAGATTGTCGTGCTAGGTATTTCTCTGGCGCTTGTCGTTTACTCCAGCCGTTTTCGCTTGCGGTCATCCTGTTGGTCCTCATCGGGTCTTTCGGCAGTATCAGCAGGGTTAAGCAGCGAATGCACGTTGCTTGCCATGCTGGAACGGCGGGTTGCGGGTAGTGAGGATTCGTGCCGAGGGTATCGGGATCCCCCTAACGTCCAGCCATTGTCAACGCCGAGCAAAGATGGGGAGGGCTCGACATTCGCGGGCGGAGTAGCATGACGAGATTCCTGAAAGCGCCGGGGAGCACCCATTTCGTACTGAGCCAACACGTCGCGAACCTGCTGATCACTTGATACCGGCGTCCGATGCGGCGACGGAGGCCATGGGCCACTAGCGGGGTTGCCAGGAGGGAAAGGAGAAGCAGCCGATGGCGACCAACCATGCTGCCGAATGTCCGCGGAAGTGTGGCGGCGGGCGAGGTTAGGCCCGGGGGAGTCGAGATCGAAAGCGGATGGGGCATTGGCTGTGGTGGCGGAACGGGGGTGGCTGCGGTCGACTGTAGGTTGATGCGGAGTTGGCGCCCCCAATCGATCCGTAGCGACGGGGAGACACAGCAAGATGCGGGGGCACGGGCGGCCGAATCATGCTTGATCGAGAAGGATCCATTATAGACTGTCGACGACCATCGTCCTGGGGTAATTGGCGCGGGGACAGCGGCGGGCCCGATTCAACAGGTATATTCGCAAAGTACGGCTGCCGCGGCGGCATGAGCGGCTCTTGGGGGTTCTCGAGGGCGCGAACGGTTTCAATGTGTTTTTCGACTTCTCTCTGCATGTTGGAGACTACAAAAAGACAGTCAGTCACGATGGGTTCGACACTATGGTACAGTTCGTTTCATACCATCTCGGAAGAGAGAGCTCTCCCTGTCGGGCACAACGACCGACAGAAATCGCGAAATAGAATGCGTCCACTAAACACAGGTGAGTCAGCCAAGACAAGACATACTCCAAGTAGCGAGGGACAGCGTGCATACATTGTAGCACTTTGTGAGACTTTCGGCCATGCCCTGGCATCTCGAATTCAGCGCCGCGTTGCCTTCCTCGGCACGAGATAAACGATTATGCATGTCATAAAGGGTGTGTTCCAAGTTCATCAGCCTGGCTTCAGTCGCATCCGGGATGGGTTCCGCAGGTGTCCCGGGCTGCGACACAGGAGCTTTGTGACCAGGGAACGAGTCTCGATGGATCAGAGCATGCCGGGAAGCGCGACGTTTGATCTCACGTAGACCAACTAGATCACCTCGCTTGAAATTGCCATTCCCATGTTTAAACTCCCAAAGCGCAGAGTCTGGGGACCCTGTATGAAACACATCGCTCACTACCAGTCTCGGTCAACAACTGCTGGCTTAGACTATTCTCTCAGAGCGACGCACCTTTGTGAAACCCGTACATATTGAGCTGTCGGACGAAGGAAGAGATATTGGTGTGCTTAAAGTACGAACTGCGAGGTCGTGTCAGTGGCCCAGAGTGTTCACAGGACGAGGCGAAGAAGCTGGCAGAACTAACGCTAGGACTTTCGAGAACTCTGAAGTTGGAGACATGACAAAGCTATCGTTGGTACTCGACCAAGATATCAGATGTTGAATACTGGAGTCTTCGAGCATGCTGCCTTGGGGGTGAGAAAACCAAACAAGAGGCGCAAGCAGCGCAGGAGTCCGAAAGAGCACCTACTTGTAGAGCTTGTGAATGAATGCAGTTTGCACCACTTTTGGTTGCTGAGCTGCCGCTGCAGCTCCAATTGCTGGGTTGGAGATATTGTTACCGGCGGCTTCGGAGCCATTGGTGTTGATTGCGTTGGTCCGGTCGCCATCGGGGCTGCCGTGGGCGGGGGCGCCACCGCCCATCGCGGGCGAAGAAGGAGTAATTTCCATCGCTCCGGATGAATGATGACCGGAAGACGAGAGAACAGGAAGATTTCGAGTCCTGCCCCGGGCGTCTGCGCCGGGAATTGCGTTTCTGGATGGAGGATCGGCGAGGCCACTCATGTCGCGCAGAAAGAACGGCAGTGGGGTGGGGAGAAGGGAAGAAAAAATACGGTAAACGGTCAACACCTGACTCACGCAGGGCGTGCGACGAAAATCAGGGGGAAAGGTTGAAGAGGGGTGTTATGGGGACGCGATCGTGGACCGTTTGGCTCGTGCCGAAGAACGTGGGAAAGGATCAGGAGCCCAGGCCAAGAGGCGCAGATCAACGGATAGTCACCCTTTGGGTCATGGCGCCACCGGATTGAGAACTAGCGATGGGGTTGATGAGATCGAAAAGCGCAAGTAGAAATCAAGACAGAAGAGCGAGGGAGCGAGAAAGAGAGAGAGAGAGAGAGAGAGCTTGAAGTTGAGGCTGCGGGGAAGGGGGCGGAAAGGCGCGATCTGCAAATGGGAGAAGAGCAGGGATGAGGCTGAGTGGACCGGGGGGGAATGTATAGGCAATTTAGGGCAATTATTGATTTCTTGAGAAAAAGAAAAAAAGAAATAGATGGCAGGAATGCGATTTCAATCAAGTTGTATGGTTTGGTCGACTCTATATGCCTCCATATCACTCATCCCCAATTCTCCATCACGGATGCCTGCCAGGTCTCATCAAGACTCCATATCTGCACTGTCTCGAATCCGACTATGACCACGAACTCGCTATCCCCGAATACCCAGCAGCAATCCTTAGGACATGCCACCATGCGTTGTATGCAGTGCTTATAACCGCAGGGGCTCAACCGTCGAGAATCTAGAATTGCCAGCGTGCCAGCCGCTATTTGGGGCGCATAGATTATGTCCTGGCTCACGGAGACCAAATTCGAGAACTTTCTTGGGAGATTTGGTATGAGATGGGTTACCACACGGTCGTCTGCTAGTTCCAATGAGAAGAAAGGAAATGCAATTTCGTGAGAGAATCCCGGTCGGAGCATCAGGGCACTGCTCTGACCACGGATGACTTCTTGTTCATGGGAAATTGGTTCAATCCAGTCATAACAGAATTGATCCATGAAGCACTCTGATTCAATCCGATCCAACTCATCCCGGGGATTGACTGAATATTGTGCGGTCTTCATCCAACGCCCCGGGGGAGCTGTGGCAGTGTAGTAGGGAGCCTCTTCCCTGACGACAGTAAACTGGTCTTCCAGGGGATGCAGCGCCAGTGCGAGAATTTGAGCTCCTGTCGGTATGCGCCGAGTAAACCCCGAATGGAAACACCAATGGACGATGTAATCCTCGTACCCCAGAGCTACCTTGACTCCATGAACCAAAAAGTGTCGATAATGGGATGAGGGAATACGGAAGGATTTGTGCTCTTGCGTGTGAAGGTGCCAGACATGGCAATATCCTCGTGCCGAGACCGCAGCGATCAAGGTTTCGGCGATCCGGAGCTCAACCAGTTGTTCGCGGTTCTCTGTGGTAAGATGGTCATTCTTGCCGGTCCACAGATGCAAGAGGGAGATAGATGTTCGACTGGTCCGCCCGTCGATCCAGGCATAGACCCCATGGGAATAGCCCACCCCACGCGTGTACATGGTCACATCATAATCTGTCGAAAGGGGAGATGGGATGGTCGCTGTGGCTGCTGGCTGTCCTCGCTCCAATCGAAGTCTCTTCTTGATGCATTTGATATAGCCTGGGTGGGTGCCTGCCAGTGTATCTGCCCCAATAGTTGCATGGACTGCAGCACGATAGACCAGCGGGGACGAAAGTACTCGGTGCCATCGTTTGGAAACCTTTGGATTCGTTGTTAGTGGTTTGAACCTTGGAAACAAACAGGTCTGTATACCCTCTGGTGCAGGATAAGATCGGTCAGGTTCATGTACTCGGCAACGAGCGCGACGATCTCAATAGGGAGTTTGCCCAGTAGATCACATTGAAATGTTTGAGGGTCAATGCGATGTTTGACCTCGCGCCATTCATCCGAACGAAGCTGGTCGAGGATGCCATGATATCTGATTCACATGGTCAGTCGATTGCATGGATGTGGGGGCGAGTTTTCCTACGCGACTCGGCGATGCAATTTGTCCAGATGTCTGAACCGAGTCAAAATGGACTGGACCTCGAGGTCGGGATCCATTCTGAGGGGGACCGGGGATTCATGGGGATTGAGGATGTTGGGGTTGGATCGATCGAGGGGTCACTGTAGTTACAATGACCCAAAGTGCTTTCGATAGGCGGTAGAGAGATATCAAGGGAAATACTCAACTTTCCATCGTGACAACTTTCGCCAAATAAGCAGCACCATAACACCTTCTTTAGCCCCAGCTTGACAGCGTCTCACCTCTATTCCTTGTCTCTCTAGAATACAGAAAGCTTGTGCCGGCATCGAGTAACATACAAAGCTACACATTTCACCTCAACACACATCCCAGTCCAATTAGGAATGATATAGAAATGGTCATAGAAACACTCAAGAATACAGTGACAAAAGAAATATAATTGACACAGGAACGGGCAACACATCACACAGATCTGAGAGATCTGATGTCACTGCAATTCGGGAAACCCAATGCCTTCGCCCCCTTCCCCCCTTAGATGCCCAGGGTGAACTCCACGCCGACGTCAATCTCACGGGCCATCTTGACAACCTTGGAGAACTGGACGGACTTCTCGGCGGCGTTCTGGAGGTCCTCGATGGAGAAGATCTTGAGACCGGACTCGTTGATCTGGGAAGCGTTAGCATTGGACATCAACCGTATATTTGTCTGTCAATAGGAACTTACCAGCTTGTGAGCCTGCTCCATGTTGGTACCCTGCAGACGAGCGACGATCGGAGTGCGCAGACCCATCTCCTGCACGACGTTGATCAGACCCTGGGCGATGGCGTCACAACGGACGATACCGCCGAAGATGTTGACGAAAATAGCGGAGACTTTGGGGTCACTGGTAATCAGCTCGAAAGCGCTCTTGATAGCAGCGGGGGTGGCACCACCGCCGACGTCAAGGAAGTTGGCGGGGCTGCCACCGTTGAGCTTGATGATATCCATGGTGGCCATGGCAAGACCGGCGCCGTTGACTACATTCTAAGTTAGTATTGCAGGGGCATTGAATATTTCTCCAAGGAATTCTTACCCAGACAGCCAATGTCACCGTCGAGCTTGATGAAGTTCAGGCCGTGCCTGTCCAAAAGTCAGAACAAATTGCCCATGGGGAGATTCAAAACAAGCATCATACTCAGCAGCCTTGACCTCATCGGCATCCTCCTGGGTGGTGTCTCTCCACGAGAAAGCCTCCTGCTGGCGGAACTCGGCGTTGTCGTCAAAGCCCAGCTTGGCATCCATGGCCAGAACCTGGTGGTCCGAGGTCTCCGACAAGGGGTTGATCTCGATCTGAGTAGCGTCGCGCTCCATGAAGACCTTGTAGAGGTTCTGGATGGTGGTCTTGGCCTCCTCGATGCATTGCTCAGAGAAACCCAGGTCGGTCGCAATAGTGCGGGCGATGTCGTCCGTCACACCGACGTTGATGTTGATGGGGGTAGTGATGATAGCCTCGGGGCTCTCCTTGGCGACGGCCTCAATGTCCATACCACCTTGCGACGAGGCCACGATCACGGGGGTCTGGGTGGCACGGTCCATGAGGACAGCGAGGTAGAACTCACGGCGGGCGAACTTGCGCTCACAAATGTAGACCGAATTGCAAATACGGCCGCCGGCACCGGTTTGCTTCGTGATGAGCTTGTGTCCGATCATCTGGCCGGCAAACATCTTGGCCTCGGTCGGACTGACGTATCGGTCAGTTACGCGCCCCTTCGCTAACTGCAACCATCCCAACTCACGAATAGATCACCCGAACACCACCCTTCAAGCCGTTGTCAAAAGTACCCTTGCCACGACCACCGGCGAGGACCTGGGCTTTGATGACCAGGTCGTCGTTACCTGATATCAAAGTGTTCAGTAAGGCGCATGGAAGACAGGGAGAGCAGCAGGGCAAAGTATACCGATCGACTTGGCAACGGCCTCAGCTTCCTCGGCAGTACGAGCAACCTCGCCCTTGGGAACACCGACGCCATACTGGATCCTTCATCAGCAACCCGACCTTGATATGAAAAAAAAAAAAAAAAGCCTCATCCGCGACCGAAGGACCCGCAGGGCACATACCGACTTGAGGAGCCTTGTGGACAGGTATTCGTGAATGGAGAGGTTTCGCTTCTGCTGCAGACCCAGTCTGGACTGGACGGAGGACTCCTAGAATCGAATCCTACATCAGTATTCCAACAAAAAACAGAACACGGCCCGATCGAACGGCTCGGGAAGATCTCACCGTCGCAGCCCTGAAAGCCGCGGCAATTGGCCGACCGCGGGCAAGCTTGAACATGATGAAAAGAGGTAAGAAGAGAGGAGAGAGTGGATGAAGGAGAGAGGGCACAAATGCACAGAAGCCCTTTCAAGCAGAGATGGGGGGAGGAGTTGGCACGGGAGAACAGCTTTCTTTTTCTCTTCGGGATGGCATTGCGTCGCGGTAAAACCGGGTGTCGCAGCCAACCACAGCCCGTCCCTGGCTGAGTCAGCCTGGTCTCGGGCGCGGGCACGCGAATATCACGGAACCCGGGGCGCTCGGGATGCTCCCTCGGTGGGCTGGTCTGATTTCTAGCTATTCTCTAGCTAATGACGCGCCGGTCCCTTATCTAGCATTTTTGATCTTGTACAGCTTGAACATCTTGGTCATTGTCCGACCAAACATACCCGACCACGCCCAGCCTCCCACGAGAAACCAAATTACCCAGCTGCGGTGACCTTCCCAGATCCATGCCTTGCGCCCCTGGGCCCATGGCCAAATCCATCGCCACGGGGCCGACCCATAAAGGACTTGGGTGACAACGCTGCGAGCATACGCTGCATGTGGCATAGCATCTTTCTGGCTGTGAGTCACCCGACCAGTATACTCTGCCTCGATCGGGGTGTAGAGGGAATTCGGCAGCAGAGTACGTTTGGTACGTGCGATGCGAGATTGCACCCCGCCCGTAACGACAGTTGTGACATGAACGCTGTTCCCTCCAAGTCAACAATCTTATTGCAGATGGGTAGTCTGTGGTGAAGAAAAACATACCCAAATGGTGCCAGTTCCACGCGGAGAGTGTCACTGAATGAATGCAACGCTGCTTTGGAGGCATTGTAGACAGATCCAAATACATACGGAATGATCTGCCCAGGGAAAAGGTCAGCAGATTTAGGCAATAAAAGACGGACCATCACAAACTGACCCCAGCGACTGAGCCAACCTGGACAATGGTGCCCTTGGCCTTGATTAGAAGTGGCAGGAATGTTTGGCACATAGTGATGACGGCGAAGAGATTGGTTTCAAACGTTTGACGGGCCTCGGCAAGCTCAACTTCCATGGCCGGGACCGTATAGTCTAGGGCCACATGGTTAGCTGGTTGACAAAGAAATACTGATATCCATGACGACGAGCTCCCTGAACTCCATCAGACGTACTCCGGCCCCTTCTCGAGATTAGCGATCCGACTTTAACTTAGTGGCCCACGGCAATGGAGACTCACGCATTGTTCACGAGATAATCCAGTCCCCGATCACCGAGTCGGGTCTCAACGTCCGCAAAACATGCTTTGACGCTTTGCGGATCATCAACCACCAGACTTAGAGTCTCAATGCCAGCATCAGCTAAGTCGGCAATAGACGCAGCGTCTCGGGCTGTGGCGAGCACCCGCAGTCCATTTCGATGGAATTCACGCGCAAGGGAGTTCCCAATGCCCCCAGGGGAACACCTTAGAAGCGATCAGCATGTCTCAGGATCTTTAATCGTGCTGGACACTCTACCCGGTGATAAGGACCGACTTTCGATTGTCAGTTCCTCCTGGCATAGTTAGTCTCCGAATCAACAATCAGGAGGTCATCAGTTGACAACAGAAGGTCTCGAGATACGCCATGCGTCAGATGCCTCGGCTTTCAGCCACAGGCAGGAACCCTAAACCCTATTTCCTCTCTTGGACGATCTTCTCGTCCAGCAATGTATATTCCAGAAAGAAAATAGAACCTGGGAATAATCCAGTCAATCATTCAAGAAGAATTGATCTTTGCCAAGGGTCTCCTGAGATAACCCTTCCGATTGACCCACGGGTGGACCATGCCATAGATTACCCACCCGTCGGATGCCAGAATAAGCTTCATATCAATAGCCAAGCCCATTCTTGTTAACGGAGAGTTAGGTATGCATATCACAATTTATATCAGCGGCCTTGGTCAATTTTCATTTTACTAGCTTCTTTTTTTCGGTTTCTCTAAACGGTTTTTCTTGGGTAAACCGCTGAGCTATACTGTTCGTCTGAAAATTGAATCAATAAAGACGTCAGTATAAAAATCTCGGCATATAAGCATGAGATCTTTCTAAATCAGTGGAATGTTGCAAAAAAAAAAAAAAAAAAAAAAAAAAAGCAGGCATCACGGTTAGCTCCAGTCAAAGGGGGCATCCGGCGAGAGTGCCGAGCATCCACCGGGTAAAGTCAACCGGACTCCCGAGTGGTCTTCCTGCCCAATTCCCCCTCACAATGACGATTCTCGAGAGCATTTTTTAGCATCGCGCATTCTTTTCCACCCCTCCATCTATGCTAGATGTGGGACAAGTCCATTGTCATCTGCCATTGCAACACTGGGAGAAAACGCTACAGTCGGTCCCCCCTTTTGAATAGGGCGCGGATCCCGACGTTCCCGACAATCGCTACACACGCCCGAATCGGCCTCATATATATTGCAGCGCAGCCAATATCGCATAATATCGTGCTCTTCGTATCGAATATATCTCTGACCCCGGTTGTTAATGGTACATGAGTGGCCATAAGAAAGGTAGTGGCTATCCACGCCGATCATTCGAACTGGCTGTCTGAATTGTGATGGCCACGGAACAACCAATTCCTCGACACCTCAGGAGCCCTGGTGACGATGGTTATCGGACACCCACCATCGAAGATGCGGAAAGGACCTTGTCCATTCTCGGGGGAGACAGTCCCGGCAGCGTCACTCGCGATGTTCATAGTTCCGCTTTAGATGCAGCACTACAACGGACTTTGTCGCGGGCGACCGATCAATCGAGCAGCAAAGAGCGCAATACCTCTGCCATGTATGAGAGTTCTGCTCTCTCGCGAAGAATCACCGATGCGTCGGCTTCCAGTCTCAGTTGGAAAAAGCGCATCCGACATGTTACGTGGGCGTACTTCACGTTGACTATGGCGACGGGTGGCCTGGCCAATGTCTTCTATGATGGTAAATACAACAACAATCTCTGACCACGCCTGTACTAAATGAAAAGCAGTTCCTTATCGGTTCCGGGGCTTAGATACGATTGGAATCGTGGTTTTTCTGCTCAATATTGTCCTCTATCTTATGATTTGGGGTCTCTTGATTGCGCGGTTTTATCATTATCCCTATACCTTCAAGGCTTCTTTCTTGCATCCGACCGAGTCCTTGTTTGTGCCCGCCTCGGTAGTCTCCTTTGGCACAATATTGATCAATATATCCCAGTACGGGGCGGGAAACGCGGGTGGTTGGCTGATGCGCGCAGTGGGCATCTTGTTCTGGATTGACGCCGCACTTGCGGTGATCTTCTCAGCGGGGATCTACCTTCTTCTGTAAGATTGGATTCTTCAACCGCGTGAATCGAAGTTGCTAACCTGCTCCAGATGGTCAACACAGACATTCACAATTGCTCAAATGACCCCGATCTGGATCTTTCCGGCATATCCTATGCTGATCATTGGACCGCATGCCGGTATTTTGAGCAGCAAACTGGACCCGTCGCGTGCTCTGTCCATTATTATTGGGGGCACCACCATTCAGGGAGTTGGGTTTCTGGTTTCCCTGATGGTATATTCGGCCTTTATCTATCGACTCATGACTCAGAAGCTCCCGAGAGAAAACGTTCGACCGGGTATGTTCGTTTCTGTTGGACCAAGCGGCTTTACAGTCGCTGGGATCGTGAACATGGCGGCTGAGGCAAAGAGGTCGTTTCCGATTGACTTCATGGGCAATGGGGCATTGGCTGGGGATGTGTTGCGGGTGGTCGTCGATTTTGCGGCACTATGGCTGTGGGGGTATGAACGACCTTTTTTCAACGCATTGTGGGATTCGACTAACTCACAATCAGGCTGGCCATCTTCTTTTTCATCATTGCAGGTGCCGCCCATTGGTCGGCTATTGGGCCAGGTCGAATGGTCTTCTCCATGACCTGGTTCTCCTTTGTGTTTCCCAACACTGCCTTAGTCACTGCCACCTTTGCCATTGGCAAAGCATTTTCCTGCAAAGCCATCAATGTCGTGGGGTGTGCTGCGGTCTTTCCGCTCATCTTGATGTACTTTTTTGTATGCTATATGATGATGAGAGCGATCATCCTGCGCCAGATTCTATGGCCCCAGAAAGGCGAGGATCGGGATGAAGGCGGGTTCGAGATCCACCAAATCAAGCCGGGCGCTGAACTCCAGGATGAAGATGTTGTTGTTTAGCTGTTTTTGTCTCGAGGCTGGCGAATTTCACCCCTAGAAGTTTTTGCATCACTATTGACTATTGGAATATGGGTACCTATTTAATTGACACTGGAAAGGACCGCTGTTGGCAGTCCTAATTAAAATCGATGCTGAGATTAGAGCCTGGATTAGATTGGATTTTCTTAGACATGTATGGATGTCTGGTGGTCGCGGTCAAGGGGAGCTGCAGGTGGCCAGCATGATATCCTAGATATACCAACAGGAAATCAGTGAGATGAACAGATATAAGAGGAAAGAGAGTATAAGCATCTACCTCTCCATACATCTAAAGGGGGGAGTGGTAGGGGGGTAGCTAGCAGAATCCCAAGGTCCCCTCATGACTAAAGCTAAGGATATTCCTTACTAGAAATAACTTCTGATAGTATTTAGTTGGTCTGAAATCTAAATAATTAGGAGGCATCTAAAGAGAAAGATATATATTCTTTCCTATAATAGTTTTGCCTCTAATGGGTTGTATATTATTTTATACATTTATTTATATTTATATAGAGGAATTATTAGTGAAAAACATAATTGAATTAAATGAATAGACAGGGTGGGAGGATAAATGAGTTCAAAAGATATAAATACAAAAAGATCAGGCAAAAAGGAAATTTCACGTAGGGTGAAACAGGAACTGGACTCACGGGGAATCGAACCCCGGACCTCTCGCATGCGAAGCGAGCATTATACCACTAAACCACAAGCCCAATTTGTTGGAGTGATGTAAGGAAATTGGTATTAAGTGGATAAAGCAATATACGTCTATATATTGGCAAGATCGGCATTAATTAGATTCCACCCTTAAAAAAATGTTTCAAAAGCATGAAATTTAGCTATATAACAGCTAGGTAGCTATGTATAACATTAGTCTCCCCACACCTTTCGGTGTTAGTGCGCCCTAGCCTGATGGTTGCCTATGGCGTAACGCAATATGCTTTCCTTATAGGTATTTCAGATGAAACCTACATCTAGTAATTTTCATATATTGCAGCCACCCTTGTAGGTATTTAAACATAAATTTACTTTATACATTATAAACTACGAAATATTTCTGTCATATCTTATAGTATCTTTAAATAGTGAACGAGAGCTAGAAAGCACTTTAGTATTTAAGAGTTTTGTGCTATATGTATTTTTTCTAGGTAGAGATCTTTGGCTAAACTATCAAGATACAGCGATCACATGATTTCACTATGTGGGGAGAATCGGAGGCTTCATACAGATCCATGGATGAGGTTGGTGGAGCTGACCGAGTACGGTAGCTCAAATGGTCCACTCGCGCAGGACCCATTGAACCACGTGACCAAATAACTCTTTATATTCTGGAATAACACTACAAGCCAAAAAAGCTTCGATTTCCTACCTAAACTCCCTCTGAACAGCTTCATTCATATTATCCCATCATCGAGAAAAAAAAAAAAAAAAAAAAAACCCGTCGACCTCCGTCTTCCCGACTGGACACACTTCAATCCTCTCGGCTGAACTCCTTTCGTTCACTAGCTTGGCACACAGACACAGCCCATCTAGAAGGTTCTTCCACTCCTCAACCCTGGGGAAGCCAGTGCGTCGCACCGCCTCGAGGGGATCAGTGACTGAGTCACCGAGACCACCTTACCCTTGGCTCGATCGATATTACCAGCTGATCGAGGCGCTCGGAAATGCTGTTATGCCGCTGCACCGCCAGCTGAAGCAAAATCGTCTGGGTGTTGTTATGTTCCACGTAGCGTTGGACTATGTGATCCTGAAAAAGGATCCATGCCTTCTGGGGAACAGTCTGACTTAAACAGTGGCCTCGCCCGATCGCCTGGAAGAGGTCGTGAAAGTTCAGAGCAGGTTCGAACAAAAAAAAAACCCCCCGAGAGCAATGACTGTGGAAGTTTAAGCCTGTAGCTCCCATGTTATATATGGTCACCAGGGCCGCGCAGGTATCTGTTGGGCTTGTGAATTGACGGAGAGCATCGGCTCGCTCAGATGGGCGTATATCAGCCTTGATGCTTGTGGAATCCACACCCAAGGCTAAAAGGAATATTTCCACAAGCCAGGCTGTCATTGGCCAATGACAGAAAATCAGGAACCGTGGCCGTATCCCAGTCACGGTAAAGAAACCTTTATCGAAGATCGATAGAAGATATCGCAACTGTGGACATTGGGTTGCTAGGTACACTGCCATCTTGCCTCGTTCCTGTGCAACAACGACGCTACAGTCCAGGCCAGCATGAGAAAAGAACAGGCCGAAGCCACGGTCTGCACTAGACGCATTCTCATGAATCTGGTTAGCAAAAGTTGCTGCCGGGATCTCAAAAGTCCGGCGACGGAAGAAGTCCAGCTTTGGGTGCACCGCGACCAAAGACAGGCTGGATAGATGCTCCAGTCGATCCGGCCCGGGGCGTCCTGCATATTGGTTTCATTCACACAGCCAGCCCCCTTTATGCCCTTTATCGGGCGATGGTAGGTCTTTTTATGGTTTGTATGAATATTGATTTATATACCCAAGATCAATTTTCTTGGATTACTTCAATACATTGGGCTTGTGGCTCAGTGGTATAGAATCTGTATATTCTATATAAATTTGATTCTCTCTTTTAAGACTGTCACTAGATGCCATTAAAATACAATTACCTAATAGCTAAAGGGAGATATATATTATTAAAAATAAAGGGTGATAGAAATAATAAATAAATAGATTATATCAAAGATTATTCTAAAGGGTGTTTAAAAAGTATTCTCCGTTAGTACCACAGACAACTGCCGATAACGACATCCTCCACTTGTTTGAAGAAGCCCCGGGAAAAGGGAGCCTCAATTTTAGATGTCCCATCGCATCATCTTCAGTGACAAGCATACCATTCGAGATATGACCTCAGTTCGGGATTCTGAAGTAGATATACCGAGTCTATCCCTCGATTTCATGAATATAGACCACGCAGCAATTCACAGTATCTACACCCCTTCTACCCTAAGCGACCCTCTACACTCTCCAATGACACAAAAAAGTGTTCCGGCTACAGACCCTGCGGTCTACGCCCTATACCAGGCCAGATGGTCCACGCTCCCAGACACTGCAGAAGCCTGGCTGGCTCGAGCTCGCGAGGTAGCCGAGGTTCTGGCCCAAGATGTGGCTCAACGAGACCAGGAAAACAAATCACCGCGCGATGATGCTCTGAAGATTCCATTTGCCAGTCTGCTCCTGCCAACGTGAGGATTCTCGATGGTTCCCTTATTGGTGTGTTCATTCCCTGACCGCTTTTCCACAGTATCCAACTTGTCTTCAGCAACTTCTACCTCGGCATCGCGATTGGCGCTCTGGAGTTCGCGGCCAAGTACACCAGCACAGCAACACGGTCCTGGCCCTTTGGAGGCGAGAACAAAGCATCGGCGACGGAGGAATTCTACATCCTCGAGCGCTATGGCAACTTCTTTGCGCATCTGCGAGCCACCGAGGCCTTGGCCGACCGAGCCGGGGACCAGCTCTCGGCTCTATACAGCCGGCATTCGGGCGATCGCCCTGTCTTGACTGCCGAGGGGCGAGGCGAGATTGCCGAATGGGTCGCAAGTGTTAAAGCGACCACCACCGACGTTGGGCTGCGAGTCACATCGGGGGTCTTCGAGGTGACAGAGGCGCGAGCAACGGCCTTGAAGGTAGCCCTCGTTCGGTTTTGGAGGGACCTGCGGACACACACGCTGCACGACCCGGTGGCATACAAGAACCGCGAGTTGGGACGATATGTGCTGTTGCATGAACTGCCCCAGCCGTCGTGGTATACCTAGTATTGAATATGAGTTGAATATGAGACAATGAAGAATTCATGATCCATGATGGATGAGGAAGTAGTCGCGATAAGCCCCGCGCGCACAAGCGATAACAGCGCCGATCGAATTTTTTCGCGTTTCCCCTCCAATTCTTCCCCAGAGATCTTCGACTTGCTCGGTGTGGTGTTCTTTGCCTCTTTTCTTTTGAATCCCTTTTCTATCTCTTCTCCGTTGCTTTATTTCCTTTACAGCCATCATGCCGCAAAAGATCTATGTCACCTACAACCAGGTATGCAGCCAAGGGTCTTTGCAACTGCTTTTTTCCATTTGTGTCACCAGATCCACAGAGACAAGGACGTGGAAAGAATATAGGTCGAAGCGCAGGTTCTTTGATATCGGAAGACAAACAAGCCACTGACACGTCTCTGCTTTCGTCAGGTCCACAAGCTCTGTCAAGAGTCGGGCAACAAGATCCTGGCTGAATTCCACCCGAATCTGATGATTGCCATTGGCGGTGGTGGTTATGTCCCTGCCCGTATTCTCCGGTGAGTTCGGCTTCCATCTCGCGCAAACAAGTCCCGTCGCAAGCAGTACTCATACTAGTCACGCGACAGGTCCTTCCTCAAGCGCCCCGGTGACCCCAACATCCCCATCCAGGCCATCGGGCTGTCCCTCTATGAGGATCTGGGCCGCGGCGACCCAGAAGAGGTTCCTGGCACCAAGGTCACCCGCACGCAATGGCTTGACCTGAGCGCGCTGGAAATGGCCAACCTGATTGGCAAGAACATTCTGATTGTGGACGAGGTCGATGACACGCGGACAACTCTTGAGTATGCCGTGCGCGAGCTCCAGAAAGATGTGGAGATTGCCCAGAAGCAGCTCGGGCGCGAGGGAGAGAAGACTAACTTCTTTGTGTTTGTTCTGCACGTGCGTTTCCCTCCAACTTGGTCCCTGGGCGCTGGATGTCGCAACCCTGTACTAACGTGGTGATTGCGAATAGAACAAGAACAAGGACAAGAAGGGTGCGCTGCCCGAGGACATGATGGAGACTGGTCGCTACCACGCCGCAGTCACGACTGACGACGTGTGGATCTGCTATCCTTGGGAGGCCAAGTATGTTACCTCGGCAATATCTCTCAAGACTTTTGAACGGAGACTAATCTTGCATTCCCCAGGGACATCGATGAGCATGACGCCTTGGCCAAGGAGAACCCTCTCATTTGAGAGAATGATTGCATAGTCAAACAGCGTTCAATTGTGCCGCGGCGCTTGGCCACTTTTTCTGGTGACACTTTTCGTCTCGACTTGGCTGTCCATTCCCGGGGCCCATGTATATACCCCCCGGGCATGTAATGTTAACGATATCCTTGATGAACCAGCATACAAAAGTTACTGGATTATACCTGATCGAAAACTGATTAGCTCTGTTTGGAGATAGCGAAGGCCATCCCGTTCCTCACTCTAGGTCTGTAATAGTTGGGGAATGTATCCAGTAAGACACGGATGTTCTCTCCCCGATCCACTTATCCAAGGATAAATTCCATCTTCAATCGCATCTTGGTTTTCTCAGTATTATAGTGCCCGTTCCTTCGGAGGTTCTACCCAAGGTTTGGCCCAGCAAAACAAAATCGTGTCGATGGGTATCAAGAGAATTTTGATTGATGGCGAACTAATGATCGAATATCGAGTATTATAAGCATGTTCTGACAAGGTCTTTCAGTGCTTGTACACAGGCAAAGCCGTCGCATCCATGTGCCAACCCGCAACCGCCGAACTTCCCCAGACCAGCGCAAGACCAGTGTATCAGCCCAATCCACGCGCCAGATTCCCCGAGAGTGCTATTTAATCGACTTCGACGTTGCCGCGGCGCAGCTCGACCTTGGCTTGTTCAATCTCCTCCTGGAGCTCGGCGTGCGCTTCGGGGACGTCGTTGAAAGTGAAGATCGCGAGACCAAGTCGAGCGAGCAGGTAGCATGCGAAGCTAATCAGGGCGTAAAAGGGAAGCTAATGAATGGGAACTAGTGTGAGTTTGGTGTTGCGACAGTGGAAGGCGAAGAGCGAGCGCGATGTCCACGTACCACGGGGATGATTTGGATCTGGACAATCTCGTTCAGGGGGACCAGACCGAGGTAAAGCATAAGATAGAGCTGGTGAGAATGTTAGTCGGATCTCTCAACCAAGACTTCCTCGACCCCAGAAACGAAACGGGCGTCTTCGACATACCGAGGAGACCAGCAGGAGAACGGACACGGTTTGCACGGCGCGCGTCATGATGAAGGTTGCAAAGGGAGGGAAGGCCCGGATAAATCGCAATTGGTTTAAAAAGGAGTGAAAGAAGACCAGAGGAACCTCGAACAATTCCGGGTCTAATTCGCAGGGACTCTTCAAGGAGGGACTGGAAGAGCAGAGTATGGGGCAGAGAGACCAGCTTGAGCGAAGGTCTTGGCTCGACGGAACGGGGGACCCATTGAGCGAAATAGTATCAACATATGTAATACCTGCGATGTAATCCCATACATATTGTTTCTATAATGTTTTATTTATTTTATTTTGCGTCGATATTATTCCTCGTGATATATACTATATAAAACCATCTACTAGCCCTTGTACCTCTACATCGCTGCTGCTGTCACCGACCGGCGGCCACGAAGTACCTGGTACCGCACTCTGAAAAATGCCTGAATCCCCGTCAGGCAGCGATTTCTCGATGGAACTAAAACACTAAATCGCTCGATGCGAGCTTTATTCCCGTATGCTCCTGTGCCGACCGAGTTGAGCCCGCTCAAATCTAATCACCCCAATTCCAGGTTTTACAGGTGGATTTTCTGCCTCAAGTCGGTTCTGGCCTTGGCTGCCTGGCAGAGAGTCTCTAGTCAACACTCGTGGATCGCACACTGGCGTGGGAGCTGATGCCACCGGTGCTGTTCCACCACGCTTGACTATCTTTGAATGTTCCAACCGGCTCAGTAGGATCCCATCTAGGCTCCTTCAGTCATTTTCTGGAGATAGATCCCCATCAGGGACACTATCGTCCTCGCTCTCAACGGGGCTGATCCTACGGAAGGCAACAACCGGGGACCTCAATTTTGGAGACCATGTCATCGACTGTTATATCTACTGCCCAAGTGGCTGGGCAGGGAGCTGCCAGCCAGTCTCTCACCCCGGCTACTTCAACTTGGGAACTGCCTTCGGTAGAACGAGTCTTCTCAGATCTACCCGAGTTTCCTTCTTTACCACCACGAGGCACGGAGGCAATTGACTCCCAAGAGCAGCAGACCATGTTCCGTGCTCTGCAAGATGCCATTGAAAAGGCCGAGTGGACCGATGACTCTGGAAATAGCTTCAACCTCAAGGAACTCCATGCCTCTCTGGAGCAGGCGGATGCTGATGCACGGCATGGTCTGCGGGACATCGGCGCTTTGCACGGGGTGCGCGACATCCTATATAAACTCTGGTCTGCCAACTCGGAGTACTTGGCACAAGCAGCCGAGATTCTAGCCAACGGCAGCCGAGATCGTGAGTCTTATGTGGTGGTTGATGACTTGACAAAGTGCTCATGATCTCCAGCTTCCTGGCGCGCTCCTTTTGGCCAGTCCGGCATCCTCAAATTTTTCCTGAATATTGTATCGTCAAAGGACATTGTCGACACTACCTTGCTGCTTCATTCCCTACGGCTAGTTGGTAACTCTTGTGCCGACACAGGTATGTGGCAGTGGCCCTGAGAACCCCGGCAATCGACTCAGTCTAACATGGATTTAGATGAGAATCGAGAGATTGTTGTCAAGGACAACTATACGCTCGCGATAATCCGGCATTTCCTTGACTCAGAGCTAGTCTTTGTGGCGATTCCAGTGTTATACAACATCTGCATGGATTTTGGTGAGGATTCTACGTTTCAAGACTTGAATTCACCAGTGGGCGAGGGCTAATGATTTTTAAGAGCCCGCGCATGCCCAAATGGCTGCCAACAGGACCGCGTACATTTTATTGAAGCTACTCAGAGATGGAGCCATCGAAAACAATGACGCCCTACTGGGCTTTTCGTACGACCTGGTCGAACTGGCCTCAGAGCAAGGTAGCATGTTCATTTTGAATTCTTTCATATTTGAAGCTGACTTCGAACTGGATGTAGGGCAAGGCGTGGAGAATTCACCCGATGGGACAATTCTGCTGCTGATGGAACTGGCTGATAGCGACACCATCGCTTTTGCGCATTTCTCATCGTTAGTCACTTGTCTCGCCACTTATCTGGACAAGGAACGCTTCCAGAATGCTTGTGTATCGAATGGCATGGTGGAGGGAGTGCTGTCAGTCTTGCGCCGGTCCTACTCGGTCGAGATCGACCAATCTTCCAGTGAAGACATCAAGGCTCTCACCCAGCTCCGATTGAAAATCAACCAGGCTTTGTCGGAGGTCTCCGCCTCGCTCTTGTTCTCAGGGCGCTACCCCCTTGACTCTGCTCTTGCGCAGACCTTGAAGTCATGGGTGGTTGCAGACGAGGATCAGCTTCAGATTTGCGCATGTGTCATGCTGGGTAACCTAGCACGATCCGATGAGGTCTGCCAGGTGATGGTCCGCGATCTGAAAATTCACGAGGAACTGATCAGTGTCCTCAAAAGTGATGCTCGTGGCGCAGTCCTGCACTCCGCTCTGGGATTTTTGAAAAACCTAGCCATCGCCGGCGATAACCGACTCAGTTTGGGCGAGGCTGGCATCATCCCCGCGGTCTCGCGCCTGTGGGCCTATGAGTCTGTTCCGCAAGTCCAATTCTCGGCCGCAAGTATTGCGCGCCAAGTAATCATCAACTCGACAGACAACATTTCTCGCCTCTTCACGCCGCTTTCGCAAGACCCAGATTCCCCGGCTCACAAACGAACCTACCTCTCGCTACTGCTGTCTCTGTTCGAAAAGACAGACTCCACTCCAATCAAGACGGAGATTGGGCGATCGGTTGCATCTATTTGTCGGGCTCTCAGCCCCAAAGCTCGTGATGGGAACGAAGAAGCCATCTCTCTTCTTGACCGACTTTACAGTCTGCATGAGGGTGTAGCGCGTCCAATTGGCACGATGATCACTCAGTCCCAATGGCCTGTTGTTCGAAGTGAAGGCTGGTTTGCGCTGGCTCTAATGGCAGCGAATCACTTGGGATGTGCTGCGGTGGTGGACTGCTTGCACAATGCAGAGGTGTCTGAGTTGCTAAAGATGGCGCTGAGTGCAGATTCCTCCAGCGAGGGCGAAAAGGATGCGAATAAGTCGCAAAAAACAAAAGATCGTGACAATGCTTTTGTCCTTGTGCAAGAGCTGTTGAAGAACGAGGTAAGTCTATCACCGCAAAGCATGGAATTATGTGTATTGACTTCGGAGTAGGCCGGGGTGCTTCCCTCGGGATATAGAGATATGCTAGAGGATTGGACGAAGGAGCATGCTCGCGTCATTTGAAAAACACCAGGGATGTCTAGGAGGATCAGGATATTTTGGTCATTCTAACTCGGACCAGCCTACAATCAAGTCTATATATAGTTCTCTCGATCTATGGGATAGATGAGCATGCCGGAAAGTGGAATGATTTAAGACTTAAACAATTATCTTGATCTTCTATCTCGGAATATAAACAAAGCAGATGGGTATATGTATGTGCCGAAGGATCCTGGCACTTCAACAGTCACGGTTTTTGCAGGCACACCTTCTCCTGCGCATACGCTCGGTACCGATTCAGCAGATCGGTCGAGTCCAGACCAGAAGCCCCCTGGCGGGCGGAATAATGCGACACGAGGCCCTTGCCGTCGATGACAACATGTGGGTGCGTGTCGTCTGGCGTTGTCCACGACTGCAGTAATTCATCTGGACTCGAGTCGCCGTGCTGGAAAATGTTGCCGAGGGCTTGCGCGTCATTTCCCCAGAAACATCCAAAGTGCTCGCTCGTGGGCTCCGTAGGGTCTATCCAGAGAGGGAACTTGTAGTGTCCCAGGTCGCCGGCTTCCAGGTGGTATAGAAATGAGTAGTGTTGCTGCGCAGCAACAGTCCAATCCGATAGGGACGGACCAGTGTCGGTATACACCGACTCCGCGATGGGGCCTAGGTCCGAACCTGCGGCGGTCGGGAGCAGCCACCGGTGGCCCTCGAAAGGCGGCGTGAATTCCTTTCCAACTCGGAAACTCGGAGACCCTTGCCAGAGTGGCAGGCTCGATGCCCGCCAATCTTGGCTCAACTGCGAGTTAGCCTGGGACGGTGGCTCTGTGCGGTGCAACTCTGGGAGATAAGGAAGGGCGACCCCAGGATGGCTGTGGAGGGACGCGAGAGCAGCCTCATTCACAACATTGGCTGACACCATCAGCGATGAAGGGTTATTGAGTTTCGTCTTGACGATAGTGGGGATGGTATGGTCCTCCAGAAACACGACATCTCCGTCGATTCGGATATACATCACGTTGTCCTCGGCAACATTCCAGTCTCTCTCGGTGCCTGACCCAGACATGATATATTCCGGCGTCTGGTCGACGAGAGACATGAGCCAGTCCAAGCTGGCCGTGTCCTCGGTTTGGGGAACAAAGACTACTTCGTCGAGGAACCCATGATTGTGAACCAAGTTTTTCTGGAAAGGTCAGCGCTCGCGTCAGATCCGCAGCAGGAAATGCATCTCACCTGCAAGTAGCAGTCCAGGATAGCTGTGCGTTCATGGTGGTTAAAGGGGACCAGCGCAACGATCTTGAAGCCCGATGGCTTAGGGAAATGGCCCGATCCATGCGAAAAAGCAAAGAACGGGGACACTTCCTTGTGAAACAGCAATGCAAAAAGGTCGAGAGGCAAAATAGACGGGCTGAAGTAGGTGACCACCATCGAAATAATACACAAATAACCCACTACACTCCACATCACTACCGTGGCCCAGTCGCGCCATGCAGAGGGCTTATTCTTCCGGTGGGACTCGACATCGCGAGGGCTCAGCGGGCAGCCCATGGTGAATCCCAAGGCAGCTCTGCAGGGTCCAAGTTATTGGAGAATAGAGAAACACAAAAGATTATTTCTCTGGACATCCTGGGCCCATTAAATGCCGTGGCAGACGGTCTTTCTGGTCGTTCAATGGGCCTGGCGACCCGTTTTCGGGAGAACGCACCAGCACAGTACTTCGATATCCTGCTGCAAAAATACAAGATCGACCTTGGAGACAAAGCAGTCGGTATCATTCAGCGTCCGGGGTCAGTAATGGCTGGGGGAAGGGGTCGGAATGCCGCGATGGAATGTGGGGCGACGACGGCTTCGACCAAAAGTGACTATGGGAACGCAACTATCAGAAGGAACTGGATTGATGGGATCTGCGAGAAGAGTATCGGAACAATCAACCCCATCAAATGTCTAAGGAGAGTAAAAGTAAAAATAGTGAAGATGGTGAAGAAGTTCAAACTGCAAAGAAAAGATATGACGCAACACGTGCCGGATCGGATCGGCGACTTGGCTCTCAGCTCCTGGCTTCCAAGATCAACGCATCCACCGCCGCCTACATGAGACCATGAGGACGGCTGTCCTCCTGGGCCGACTTTGTTTCAAGCGCGGACTCGGGCTCCGCCCGCGACTCGGCCGCCCATGGCCTCGTCTCCCCAGCACCCCGAGACGGGGCCCGGTGATCAGCGGGGTGGTGATGGCCACTTTGGCGCCGAGCGCGTTTCTCAAGCTGGCAGAAGACGCAAGTGATCATGAAATGACGGGGGAGATGCAGATGCTCGAAGCCTCGCGCAAAGAGATCCGGAAAGTGGTTCCGGCGAACGCGCGAGGCCTCGCAAGGCTCGGCCAGTCGCTTTGGGTCTTCTGGTATTGCTATATCTATGATCCCATCGCGACGGGCTTTAGATTCATTCACCTTGCGGTTATTTTCCTACCGGTTATCGCCACGGTGCCAGCCATATGGGTGGGCCGACGACTTCAGAACCAGAACGGTACGCGGACGGGGACTCTGTGGTGGTATCAGTTCTTGGTCAAGGCGATGGAGCGCGCAGGTCCGGCTTTTATCAAGGTGAGCTATCACCGTACCGCTTCGACTTTGACCGCATTGCTGACTTCCTGGAACTCAGCTCGGACAATGGGCCGCCTCACGGACCGATATCTTCCCCCCCGAAATGTGTAGTGTCATGTCCTCGCTTCATTCGAATGCCCCCGCCCATTCACTTCATGACGCCAAACGAATCATCCGAAAAGCGTTTAACGGACTCCCCTTCGATGATATTTTCGAAGAGTTTCAAGAGGAACCCCTCGGAGTCGGCGCAATTGCGCAGGTGTACAAGGCGAAGCTGAAGCCGAGCCTGGCTGCCAGTAGCGAACAAGAGCTGGGCCTGGAACCAGAAACGCTGGGATCCAAGGTGCGAAAGAATGTCGATGTGCTCGTGAAGAGCTCACCGCAGCGTGTACCGTCATCCTACGTGGCGATCAAAGTGCAGCACCCCCGGGTTGAGCAGATGATTCACCGAGACATACGGATCATGTCATTCTTCGCATCGCTGATAAATGCCATCCCCACCATGCATTGGCTGTCCTTCCCCGACGAGGTTCAGCAGTTTGGGGAGATGATGAAGCTGCAGCTGGACCTGCGCATCGAGGCTACTAATTTGGTTATGTTCCGCGAGAAATTCAAATCCCGCTCCACCGCGTGGTTCCCCTACCCATATTTGGAATACACCACGCGCGAGGTTTTGGTCGAAGAGTTCGCTCAGGGTATTCCCTTGGCCACTTTCCTGGACATCGGAGGGGGTGTTTATCAGCATGAGATTGCCAACGAAGGGCTTGATGCCTTTTTGCATATGCTCCTCATCGACGATTTCGTCCATGCGGATCTTCATCCCGGGAATATCATGGTTCGCTTCTACAAACCCAGCGAGTTGGATCTGTCACTTCGCAAGCATTCGCGCGCGACAGATGCCCCGACCCGAGCAGAGGTCGATGTGACCGAGGCGGTGCTTGCGCGGTTGCGCCCACATCTCGGCCACGTTGAGGAGTGGAATTTCGCTCTTGCGCAGCTAAATGCGGAAGGGTATCGGCCGCAGCTGATCTTCATTGACACCGGTCTTGTCACCCAACTCAACGATACCAACCGGCGGAATTTCTTGGATTTGTTCCGGGCGATTGCGGAATTCGATGGCTATAGGGCAGGCCAGCTCATGGTCGAGCGATGCCGCACGCCCGCTGAGGTGATCGATCCCGAGGTTTTCGCATTGAAGATGCAGCACCTAGTTTTGAGCATTAAGTCGCGGACTTTTGCTCTTGGTAATGTCCGAATCGGTGACGTTCTCAGTGAGGTCCTGACAATGGTGCGAGGCCACCACGTCCGGTTCGAAGGGGATTTCGTCAATGTTGTCATTTCCTGTCTTCTGCTCGAGGGCATCGGGCGGAGTCTCGACCCGAACTTAGATCTTTTCAAGAGGTGAGTGTTTTTCAGCGCCCACTTTCCCATATACCACGGCTGACATACATCTCCAGTTCCCTTCCTATTCTCCGACAGCTGGGCTCTGGCGGCTCCTTTTTGCAGTCAGTACGCTCGGGTGACACTTCGATGCTCCGGGTCTGGGTCGGCTTGGAAGCTCGTGGGTTGCTGCAGGCCAGCATTGAGAGTGTCGAGCATTGTGTCAAGTATGACCAGCTGTCGCCGAATATTTGAGACTCATCTCCAATTCTTGTACCATAGGACTTTGCCTTTCCCTGTAAACATGATTTTCTTATTGGCACCGAGTTGCGTGTGAAGGCAGATTTGCATTTGATCATGATAGAAATATACAGATATCAAGAGCAACTCCAAGAGCCTGACTCCTGTCCCATCCATGAAACCAAAGGCAACTCATTCTCCCATCATCATCAGAGCCCAGAAGGCAATCCGAAGTTGAGTTGGCAAGATGTATAAGACAGAGGCAAAAAATGAAAATATCCAACAAAGGCCCGAAAAGTGGACGAACGCCCGCGCCATGTCTATAAAATGTACAAAGATAGAGTGGAGAAGCACCCAACCTGATACAAGCCCAATATTAGATGTTTATGGATGGGACTGTTCGCGAACGGCACCGCCGCTGGCTCGCCACCAGACATCACCTCCCCATCTCACCAACCGCTCAATAGCAGCTGTCGGCGAATCCAAAGCAGGGCGGATGTCAAGGTAGAATACCGGCTCGCCCGTCGGTTCCGGGGGTCCCGAGTAGTAGTCAATCACGTAACGAACCTCCTTCGGACCGGAGGGAGATTGACGGGAGACAAACCAGTCATGCCGGTCAAAGGGTGGGGCAGTCCTGTTGATACATGTGTGAGAAAAGGCGGCAGACATGTGGGTTGAAGCATGTAACACAGGAAACTTACTCGAACTGGGCCGGGTACAGCCATCCGAGTGCCTGAAGAACTCGAGCCTTGGGAGTCAGCTCGCGCGGCCGACCCTGGAATCTGATCAGACGAGGTTCAGCAGCCTCGTCGATGGCACCGGTCATTTCCGCCTTGGCCAATTCAAAGCTCAAGTTTTCTTCACCCCGGCGGCATTTTTCCCATCCTTCCTTTAGTCCCTTTGTGAAGACACGCTCCCATCCAACAATTTCAGCCCAGGCGCCTTCGTTCAAGAAGTTGTGGACCGCAACCATTGATTCCACCGCGTCTTGGGGGGTATCAGTGTATCCTTTGCGCAGCATCGCATTGTACATCTGCTGCGGAGACGGATACTCCCAATTGCCTTCGGAATCGCCTCGCGGGATGGTGGAAAGTTCACGCTCGACGGGAAGATCAACTGTCTGGTTGGGCGCGCGCTCTTGGGAGATAGACGCGAACATGTAGTTCAAGGGATTCAGTTTCGACAGGGTCGAAGAAGTTGCCGAGGCCGCAGGCGGAATCTGCGGTGGTCTTTCGGATGACTTTGGTGGTGTATAGAACGGAGAATCTGGCGATTTCATAGGGCAGTTGCTGGGAGGATCAACACTCGCCGGTAGCGATGAAGCAGGCGCTGCCTGCGACTCATGCATGGGACATCCCGGCTGTAGAGATAAGGATCAGGCAAAATCACGGCCGGGTGAGGCTGCTACAACTCACTGGAGGAGAAGCATTTGAAGAGGCCTGCAAGCTCGAGGCCACAGGCGGCTTTGGTTGCAAATCTGCCCAGAACCAACCCATTTTTGAAGAAGAAGAGAAAAAAAAAATCTCGTGGACGTGAGAGCAAGATCGTCCCAAAAAGCATTGATCGGACAGAAAATCGCCATTTCAGATGACATAATCCACACACGTGACATTAACAGTATACATTAAACCTAAACAGGCAAGCGAAGGCGAGGACTCTTTGTAGAATACCATAGGAGATTTATTTAAAAGAAAGTGTAGATCCACGTCTTGGTAAAAGTGGTCGCTTTTCTCTGGGGTTTATTACACCTCGGATATCACAAACCCGGTCATCGCTTCGTCCCATATGAATCTCCAGTTCGCCTTTGAGGGAACAAAGAAGTAGTCGGACAGAATTTCGGAGACCTGCTCCCAAGATTGCCATCCGCAAATCATTGCGACGCGGCCAAGCTGCTCCACAAACCATGATCTCTCGGGATGCCCGAGAGAACCCTGAGCCCCGATGAACAATGCCCAGACAAAAAGTCCAAAATTCTCTTTGGCCAAACGGACGAGAAATGATAGCTTGCAATTACTCACGGCTGCCTTGAGATGCTTTGTGAGAGCTCGACCTAGGCCAGACGAGGAAGGCGAGACGATGAGAAAATCATTAAGAAAGCAGATCGAAGCAACGCGGGTAACAGCCTCGATAGGATGGAGGTCTAGTTCCGAGCCGGAAGAAATACTCTTTGGCCCTGAGTCCTCTGTAAAGACATAGCTGAGAAGTTGATGCTCAGCTTCACAATTGAGAACACGGAAGAAATCCGGATCGGTAGCATGGATGACCGCGGGAGTCGTTCGGTAGGCAATACTAAAGAAGACCATGTCCCGGAGCACGTTCAAAATCCGAAGCAAGGGCGGGCTGAGAAGCGTATTCGCAAAGAACCCGGAGCCAATTTTGTTGAGAGGCGATGACGCGGGAGGCCTTATTCGCTGCTGGACCTCTTGCGGAACCGGTTGTGCATCCCAGGTCAAAGGAAAGACGGGTTTTGTCATAAGACCTGAGGCAGCTTTGACGTCGGCGCTATGATAGTCTTAGCCGTGGACACAATTCGATGCACGGGATTTGAAGAGACATACGTAATGATTGCAGACAACATCGAGGATGACCGGATGCTATCATCTGTGATGCCCCCGCGTAATTCTACCATGCGCTTGAGACCGGTCAAATGAATGCGAACTTCGTCAAACAGACCAACGATCAACTGCGAAGCGTTAGAAATTTCAGAATGACCAAACCCAGATTCCCCTGGTAGGGGTCCCTACCGAGCCTGTCAAGAGGTTGATAATGGTATCAAATGCCTCGTTGCTGAGCGCGCGGCGGGGATCGCGCACTTTGGCATTCATCTCCCGGATAGATTTGGCCTTCATTATACAATAGTCGGGGTCATTCAAGACTCGGTTCGCCCCTCCCGGCGTGTGAAGAGCCGTGAGAACAGCTCGATGGGCAGCACACATGCTCATTAATCCAAAAAAGCTGCCTGGGTCCGAGAACGAGGATTGGACCATCAACTCCATTATCGAGGTATGGGCTTTAGTGATTTTGTCTACATTGGGGAAGGTCATGGGGACAAACACGGATTTCCCTTGGTCAGGCAGTTAGTTAGCTCCACTTCAAATGAAGGATATGGGTTTTATCTTGACTACATATGCGAAGAAGGGTAGGCTTACAGTAGAACACCAGGTGCGCCACCGTGGAAGGAAGCTCACTGGTACCCGGCAACGCACAAAAGGGATCAAAGAACCAGGACGTCGGCAACGACCGTGGACTGGGATTTGTCTGGAACGGCAGGCGATAGCCAGCACTCCACCTGACGGGGCGCCCGCGTCGGGACTTTGAGCCGGTAGAGCTATCCCCGGACCCGGTCTCCACGGATGAGGTGGAGGATGAGGCTCTCAGCACCAGCCGTCGCTCGTCTGATCTATCGATAGCATGGTATGGTGCCTCCGAGGCACCTGGGTGCCGGCCGTCACGTTTTGAGGTTCTCTTTAACCCGGCAAGCCTCTCCCGTCGGCGCACATCGCGCATGACATGAGAACGGATGGCCTTGCGCGCGTTGACATCCTTGATCCTTTTGGAAGTCAAGTCATCGTCATGTTCGATGAAGGTGAAGGAGGGCCGATTCACCGGCGCCGGTTTCGAGTTTGGCTCTGGACCAAGATTTTAGCCCCTGATTCTTTTGATCCAGGGCAACCAAGAACGAAGACATGAACCGGAGGATTTTCAACAGGCAAATGGGATCAGACGAAATGGACCATTGCCACACCCCTGGTCAAGAATCCCGGGGGGAGGGGTAGACTGGAGGGACTAAGGGGAGGGGGGAAACGCGCTACGAACCCAGTACGGTTGGAAAGGGTGGGGAATCATGCACCTGGAATCCCACAAGACAAAAAAGAAAAAGAAAAAAGAGAGAAGATACAGAAGATGAAGAGAAGAAAGAATGAGAGAGAAAAAAAAAGCAACGAGAGCACGAACCTGAATGGGAATGTCGAGAGGAAGCCGAAGAACAAGTGTGCAGATCCATCCGAGGCAGAAAAGTCGGGATGCAAAGAGGGCAGAGATAAACCAACCAAAGACAGGCCATGCAGAGGGCGGATTTAGAAGAAAGAAAGAAAAAAAACAAAGAAAAGGAGTAGTTACGTTGCCAATTGCGGGGCGAGCACCACCCCAATTGAGGCCGCCTGGAAGATCCGGTGATGGCGCGCTGTGTAACTTGTCTTGTCTCTCTTGTCTCTCGTGTCTATGTTCGCTAACCCATACACTCAAAATTAAAGGGTATCCACTCCCGCTCATCCTCGCACATCGCTCACCAGTCGCGATAGCAGCGCATATCCAAACACCACCGCCAGCCCGATCCATACTCGGTTTCGTCGTGCCCATCCTTGTCCAGCCTCACGCGCAACGTGTCTCCCTTCCATGACAGCCCCAATGCCGGGGGCACTGCCATTTGGTCGTCGACGGAAGGCACTGGTCTCTGGAGAGCACTTAGTAGCGTTGGGATCAGGAAGAATTTGGCCAGTGGTGGTATCGATGCGATGGTCCTTCATCCAAGTCCAGTTGTCCTGATCCAACTCGGGCCATTCGGTTCGGAACTTCAATCCTCCATCTCCTGCCTTGACGTTATTGATTCCTTTGGCTGTTCGAGTCACTCCGGGGGTGGCGCTGACATGGGAGCCTCCGCCGGTCGAGTTCCACCACCGAGATCGTGCTGCCAGCACTCTTCGCTCCCCCTCTGATGCACTGACACTGCCGGTAGTCATTTCTTCACTGGTCATAAATGACATGAGGCCAATCAGAATAGTCGAGACCTCCCAGGCAGGGTTGAAGGATTTTGGATGGAAGTCACTGATGCTAAGACAGAGTCGTGTGGAAGGTTGGAATCGGCCACTAGGAGTGTGCATGCGGATGGCAGGAGGAGCAAATGGGTATTCTGGAGGGAACACTAACGTGCCCCAGTATTGCCCATTCTCATATGGAGTCCCGGGAGGGCCAGTGAGGATGTAGTGCCACCTAATGAGGTCAGCTTCTCGGACATGATAGCGCTTTGTGTGGACAAAATACTTACTCTAGAATATTGGTCTCTGATGGATGAGCCACAATAAATGGTGGGGGGTTCTTTTGGATGTTTTGATATTCTCGAGTGAGCTATATATCCATGGATGTCATATCGTCAGCGTTGGTCCTCCACGCGCATAACGGTCTGGCCACTGACCCGTTTGAATGCGGCTTTAGTTGCCATCTTAAAGAATGAGTGAGTTGAGATTAAGGAGACGAGATCTTGAAGAAAGTGAAGGTTGCAGATACACCAGCGACCGAAGAGCAGAAAACCGACAGGAAAGAAAGAGGTTTCAAGGTTGTCACAATGCGCCAGCAGTGATCGTCCCCCGAGTCACGTGTGGGTCCGCCTTTGATGGGCAGGACACACGCGATCCCAGTGCTCCCTCAAGATTCTGGTCCTTGCAGCCGCCACAATGTCCTCTTCCCTGTCGGCCGAAGATGACGATGTAGGTGGTGCTCTGTCAGACATTACAGGTGTATTGACCCTAGCTGACCATTCTGTTTGCTAGATCTTCGAGCGCTTGCAGCAGCGCAAAGACCCTCAGGTGCTGGAGGAGCAGCAGGAGGCCGTGAATGAGCGGATGCGGGCTATCTACCAGAAGGCTCAGACTCGTCTGGCAGAAATGGTGAGTTTGGGAATTCCTCTGGCGAGCAAAAAAGCCAATACCGGAAGCTTCCAGCTAACATGACTTGATATCAGATCGACCAAAACTCGACTCTACCTTGCACCATCTCTTCGGTCCAGATCCTGAATGCCCCCCATACCCGCCGAAGCTTCCTGGAGCGCATCTTCAACCCACTCCTGAGTGCGAACCAGAGCCGACCCTACACATTGTCCGAGGCATTGCGGGAGATCTCGGCACGGGCTGACAAACTTGGCCGTTTTGGTCTGTCATCCCGAACCTGACAAGGGGAGAGTAATGGACTAATACGGCAACAGATCTCTTTCAACAGCCAATCTCAGTTTACTTGGACGAGTCACAGGTGGATGGGTCGACCGGGCTGCGCAACATCGATGTCTTCTTGGCCGCACGGGAGAAGTCCCGCGTGCTGTTGAAAACTGGAACGGACCTTGGAAATGCCGAGGGCTCAGCCTACGGGAATCTTTTTGTGGCGCAATGTCTTTGGTGGTGCCGAGACTCTGAATTTAAACGCTTCGCTGGGGACTCGAACGCGGTCTGCCTACCAAGCTGCATTCGAGACTCCCATTCTGAGTGACCCTGATTTCCGGCTGGAAGTTGGCGGAGTTGCAAGCGCTACGCAGAAGTCTTGGGCGAGCCATGAAGAGGTGGTCCGGGGAGGTTGGAGCAAACTTCGGTGGATGTCCCAATCTGGACATCGCCATGAGGTGGGCTATACCGGTTTTTGGAGACAGATGACCGGTCTTTCGGAGAATGCGTCCCCTACTGTTCGCGCCGATGCCGGCGATAGCGTCAAGAGCAGTATTTTCCACAATTGGGTCAACGACCAACGGGACAACCCGCTGCTACCATCCCGGGGTTACTACGCCAAGGCCTTCAATGAATTGGCCGGATGGGGTCCACTGAAGGGCGATGTGTCTTTTTGGAAATCAGAAATTGAAACGCAGGGCGCGATCCCAATCCCAATCCCCGGCATCAAGGGCGACAGCGGTGTCAGCTTCACCACCGGATTCCGTGCGGGTCTTCTCTATCCTCTTGGACTGGACTCAAGCCCTCGCCCGCAACTGTCTCGTGTTAATGACCGCTTTCTCCTCGGAGGGCCTACCGATGTCCGCGGGTTCCGTCTCTGCGGTCTTGGTCCTCGGGAGGGACCCGATGCCCTCGGCGGTGACGTATATGCGGCGGGAAGTGCCAACCTACTGTTTCCACTTCCCCGAGTAGGAGCTGACAAGCCTGTGCGGATTCAAGCGTTCCTGAACGGCGGTCGGTTGCTGCCGCTGCGCACGTCGCAAAAAGCCACGCCTACTAGCAGTGGGGAGGCGCGGGATGCGATGGTCTCGACTCTGTCGGAGCTGCATAATGGCCTGCCCAGCGTCGCAGCTGGTGTCGGGATCGTCTACGCTCACCCGGTGGCACGATTCGAGCTGAACTTCTCGCTGCCGCTAGTGCTACGGAAGGGCGAAGAGGGCCGCAAAGGCTTGCAGCTGGGCATCGGCATCAACTTCCTGTGAAAAGATTAGAAACTTGTCACTGTAGAACTCTCCACCATATCTTTTGAATTGGGCGTTGCCCCTTGTGCTATTCTACATAATTACTATATAGTTCGGTCAAGTAAATCCGCAGTTCCGGCCCCGGGTGGAAACGGTGGGGCTGAGTCAGCGCTTCTTGAGAGCTTCGCCGCTCCACGTTGCGGTCACAACACTCACGCTTCCTTCTTCAATCCACCTGTTCCTACGCCGTCTGTCTGCGGCAATGGCCCAGTACTATCCGCAACAGCAGGCCTACGGGCCCCAGGGCTCTGCTCAAAACCTCCAGTTCTTCCCCTCGTCCTACTCCGTGTCCGGCCACACCACCCCCTCCCAAGCATCGTATGGTGCCGGCTTCGGGGGTGCCCCGAACCCTTCTACACAAGCTTTCCCAGGTGGTGGCTATGGTGGATTCGGATCTTCGGCAGCGGGTGTGAGTGGACGGATGGGCGAGCAGGGTGGCTTGAGAACCGGGTGGCTGGCGGCATTTGGGACGGAGGGATACGATGGCGAACCGCCGTTGCTGGAGGAGCTTGGGATAAATTTTGAGCACATTCGAACCAAGGTGAGTACATTGAGATATAAGAAAGGCTTTGGGGGATAGGAGGGCGGAGATCATCTTTGCTGGTCTCCACATCCACTAGGTGCAATGGAAACTCGCCCACCAGAAGCTAACATTGCCCCGAATGTATAGACCTTGACCGTCCTGAACCCTTTTGCTTCCATTGACAACCACCTCATGGACGATAGCGACCTCTACGGCGCTTTGCTCTACATTGTCCTGTACGGGACCTTCCTCCTGCTGTCAGGCAAGGTGTTCTATGGCTACATCTATGGCGTTGCTGTCTTCGGCACCGTGGCCCTACACCTGATTCTTAGTCTCATGTCGCCGGCCCTCGACACTATGACCCCTAACGCGGCCGACCCCACAAACTACAACCCTCATCATAAGCCCTCCGCATCAGCCGCCGGTCATTTCTCAGCAACCCTGACCTTCCCTCGCTCCGCCAGCGTCTTGGGTTACTGCTTCTTGCCGCTTGTGCTCACCAGTCTCATCGGCATCCTTATTCCCATGGACACGATGTTCGGGTACCTCTTGACCACGGCCGCCGTGGGCTGGTGTACCTACAGTTCCTCGGGCATGTTCTGTGCTGTCGCGCGCATGAGCGGCATGCGCGGCTTGGTGGCGTATCCGCTGGCTCTGTTTTATGTCGTCTTTGGCATCATGGGGATCTTCTCCTCGCGGGGTACCGGTACGCTGGCGGCGAAGACGGGAGCCGCTTGAGTTGCGTTTTCCCTGGATAATTGGGACGTGGGGTGGACTCGGATGGACTCCGTGGCTATTGTGCTTGTAAGGATCACTCGGTTTACGACCGAAGATATTTGGATCTTCTCATGAATATTATGAAACTCGGCTTTGTGTGATATATGTTCATTATGCATTACTAGACTCGTGGGCTGTCTATTTCAATTCCAATGCTCCCTCAACCTCGCTCAAATGCAGTATAAAAACCATATCCGTCATTGCAAGGCCTCGCCTTGAATCGGTGCCCATTTCGTCAGCCATTCCCTCGTCTTCTCCAAATCTCCACCTGTGGCGTCGGCGCCTGCAATGCACCATCCCAGATCATATGCTTTGCCTCCAACTGCAGCACTCTCAGCAGCGATCATTTCTGCCAGCGCGCGACGGCGCTGACCAGTTTCGTCGGTACAAAAATAGAAAGGCGCTGTGTTGGGTGCATCAGGATGGGCGTTGACCGCACCCATGAGCGGGCGGATGAGCTGCATGATCTCGACCACACTCATGGCCGCCGGGGTACCGGACGTAGATTGCATATTCTGTTTCCCGGTTTTACAGTACTCATTCTGGCACCATGATTTGCCGCATCCAGTCATCATTTGTGAGAGATACCGCCGTTCGATGCGGCGCCGCAGCGCCTTGCCCTCTGGATCGTATGTGTCCACATACAGCGACCCGAAGCAGATATTGCACAACCCAAGGGACTCGTTCCCCGTGTTAGCCAGGGTACGTCCACAATTTTGATTCAAGCAGGTGCGAGGCGGAGGCCGGGATAGGCGCTCCAAATCGTGATGACGAAGGTGGGTTGCCATATCTCGGAGTCGAATGATTTTATTGCACAAGTGACATTCCGTAGTGCGACCTCCATCTACCAGCTCGTGCGGAGTAAGACCAGAGAGAATGACCTCAGGATCATGAAGGTCAGGGTCTGACTCGCTTTTCTGCGGCACGAGAAGATGACAGAACCGACATAGAATCAACTTCCCGGGACAGACGGTGGTCCGGTGCTGTGCGATAGCAGGCAACCCTTCAAGACGTACGGCGCAGTCAATACATTCGTGAAACTTGTGAAAAATAGCATCGTGACTTTCTTTACTAGCGGCATCGTTGCCGTGCGAGGAATCGTGTGGGCAGTGCCAGTGGTTTTGCCACTCGGGAGATCGCTTCTGGAAAACATTGCGACACTGGGAGCAGAAGGCGTTGTTGCGCAGGCAGAAATTTTCATGGAGAATCAAGGTCCGCTCCGGAACCCATTGCTGGCAGTTCTGGCACTGCACGTCGCCGGGCTCATGAGACTCCTCGGTCTGGTCGTTGGTATCCGTGAGATTCACGGTGATCCGTAGGTGATACTGCGCTGGCGTTTGCTGTGATGAAGCCGAAGATCCAGTACTTGTGCTCGCGGGGTTTGCATGAACGGACAGGTAGAGGGCCTCTGCTCCCTCTAGAGCCACATTTGTAGGCCGGAATTGCATTTGCTTGGGCGATTCATTGGAAAAGTTTCCCCAGACATGCACATCCGACCGGGGTCGGCTCTGCTGATGGGCAGCAAGCGGGCTGACGAAAAGACACACTGTCGGGTCATCCGTGGTAAGTTCGACTTCGAGAATGTCCTGGCGGTTCCAGTCTCGAAGCTCGTAATCCACGTATTCTCCGGGTAGCACCTGGGCTGCCACATTCTCCCCAAGACTGAGTGTACCACCTATCGAGCTGCCGCTGGTCGTCCCTGGTGCACGCGAAGCCTTTTCCAATCGCTTTTGTAGAGTCTCCCGGGCTTGTTCTTCGGATAGGGCCACAATATCGACCTCGAGATCCGTGTCAACAACGCAGATTCCTTCACCTTCGGGATACACCTTATCGAGCAAGAACCGAAACGACTGATTCCTCGTTCCCGGCACCGTCAATATTTCGCCAGTCGTCAGGGTGGTGAAATTCTCCCGCAAGTGTCGTTCCAGCAGAGATTTCCAGTCCTCGGGGTCATACCCGGCTTCGAGTGGGCGAAGGCGAACATATGTGCCTTTAGGTAGTTGCTTTGCATGCACCGTGACTGCGGGGCCAGAGTCGGAGGGAGGATCGGACGGAATTACGCCAGGCGTTTCCGGGTCAGTCGTCGCGGTTTGCGTCTCGCCAGTCCTCTGCGGTGGGAACTCTGCATCCTTTATTTCTAGGGATTCTTGGAGCAAAGCGCTCAACACGACTTCGTTTTCCTCGGCGGAGAACTCGCGAATTCCGGCGTACATAAAGCGACCATTCTGAGGGTTCTCGATACGAAAGGTTAACGGATGAGGAAGCTGCTGTTGGCGTTGCTCGATGTGTTGGCGCGCTTGGGACTCGGCAGCGAAGGTATGCGGGTTGAATGGATCGAATGCAGAGGTATATACTCGAGAATTTTGCGGGGACACGGCTTGGATGGGCGCAGCGGCGAGGAGCTGTTCGAGAGCGGATTGCGGCAAAGTGATTTTATCCCCAGGGAGCCGAGGCGCCCGATGAGGAGGGGCAACCGCTAGCTGCGAGGACCAGCTCAAGGAAGTATCCATGGCCAAAATAGATTCATAAGATGGGAGGTGGATGCATTTGTGGTTTTAAAGTGGAGAGAGATGACACAGCTGAGAGAAGCTCGCGGGGAGTTCTGGAAGACTCCACGTCTACATATTCGCCGCCAAAAACAAGAACACCCGCTCAACCCCAACCTCGAGAAAAAAAAAAAAAACCACACAACTCGCCGGCTTATAAATCTATGTGCCTAAGGAGTCATACTCGGGAATATCTTAACGGAAGGCCCGCATTCGGTGGCGAGCACTGGTATGACACCAGTCACACTGCAAAAAAAAAAACAAAAAAAAAAGGCACGTTAGCTCGGGTCAATGGCATCTGGGGTTGGGTGCGTACCATAGTTGCAGAACATCCCTCGTTATGCTCGATACAATAATCTCCCTGACAGCTCTGGCAAGTGTGTTGGCAGTCCGTCTTGCAGGCAGCGCACTGGATTGCAGTTAGCAGCGGCGTAAGCATCATGAGCTTGCCGGAAACTACTCACGGTCGGTCCACATTCCCAACAGTCTCTGCTCACACCCTGTCCGAGGGTCTCGCGCTCCGCTCTGTTGACCACGTTGCCCTGGCGAGGTGGACGAACCGCGGTCTGGTGCGGTGACAGGTTGACCCCGACACGCTGCGGCCGTGGCAGACAGTTGGCACAAAACCATTTGTTGCATCGGTGACACCAGCGGTCGGTCAGGCAGTCCGCACATCGAGAAATCAATACGGGGTGCTCGCCCGGAATCACGGGAGGGCGTTTCGCAGCTGCAACGCTGGACACATGCAATGGTGGAGGACTGAGCAGTGGAAATTGCACGTCTGAGGACTGTCCCCAGATAGCCGGGCCCTCGGGTGAGCTGTGGCACCCATCGCAACCGCGCGGTCCTAGAGCGACGGTGGCTACTGCAGGTGCAAACAACGGGGGCTCCGGTGGTGCGTTCTCCTCATCCGAGTAGAGATTCACATCGTGTCGTGGACCGCGACAAAGCACCGCATCAAATGTGATAATTCCTTCGCATTTCTGGAGCGTCTGTGCCCACCCGTCCTCCAGGCTGTGCTTGAAAAGTTTCCCCGAGGGGCTGTACCACTCGTTCTGCTGCGATCTTCTCGGTTCCAATACCCCATTCTCAGGCTCCGGCGAGTTGGCCAAGGGCGTCTGGTTGGGGCTGTGCGACTTTCCCACGCGAGTGCCCCACCAATCTCGATACTTGTGACGTGCAGCTGCTTGGGGAGGCGGGTGCATGGGGGTGAAATGATAGATGCCTTTCACACGAGGCGTCCCTTCGGGACGCGTGGGTCGAACAGCTAGCTGGATGACCTGCATGAGCTTTCGTTCATTGAGATGACGGCATTCGCGAATAGACAGGATATTGACATTGAACCGATCGGTCAAAATGATATCGGCTACAAGGTCTGCCGGCACTGGCAGTCCATCCAACACCAGTGTGCGCACATCTTGCAGTATGGATCGTTTCTCGAGGCTGGAAAATATGCGCCGCATAGGTGCCGAATACACCTCGTCCTCGGTTTGGAGATCATCGTCGGGTTGCAGTGTAGTCGACAGCTGTGCTCCTCGACAGCGGGTCAGATCGAGGTGTCGGAACACATATGGAGTTTGGGTGATCATAGTATGCAGAAGCCGCGAGGTCGATGCCAGGGCCAATAATGACGGGGTCGAGAGATATGGCGCCATGTGGTCGAGGATCAAGCTATTGGTCAGCACATCGACGAGGGAAGCTCGCTGAGGCGCCGTGGGCAAGGGCTGCGTGTCTGGCACGATTTTGACGACCTCGGCAGGGAGCTCGCGCACAACAGGCTCCAGGCCCAGTTCCTTATGAGTCAAGCGACGGGTGCCATAAAAGCCAGGGGCGCGGCCGATGAGATTCTGTCGATAGGCGGACATGGCGCCCACCGCAATCTCATCGTTGAAGCGCATCAGGGCGGCATTGGGTTGGATTTCGTGAAGAGCGGCTCGGGCCTTGACGAGCTCGGTCTCGAGCAGGTCAATGGTGGATTGAAGAACGGCAGGCATGGCTTCTGTATTCTTGGGATCGATCGCAGAAACCAAAAAAGACCATAGGTCACCGTTGGACATAGTCCGGAATTTTATCGAACAATAGAACCAGGGATGGAAGGGAAAGAAAACAAGAGGAATGAAAGATAGGTTAAATGAACGGTGGAGTGGGGGGGTCAAGATGAATCGAATCAGAAGCCCCAGAGAGAAAGGAATCTCGCAATTGTCAGGTCATACGGAAGACAATCAAGAAAACAGAACCAATGAAGCTCTGGTGGAGACGGAAAACGAGATCCGCGAGGGTGGAGAAGTGGAGCAAAAAGAAGTCGATTCAACGGGAGGCCCAAATCCAGCAATCCGTGATGGTCCTTGTATATATATATATATATATATATATACTAGACACTGCCTAACATGTTCCTTAACATACTAAATATATTATATATTAGATATTAGATTTCCCCCCCTTTTCTATCTCTTCTAGCATGTTTGATTTCTTTCTCTTGGCCTGCAAGGGAGATCCATGTATATTATACCTTAACAATACCTGGGGCTAAAGTTTCCTCGACCTCTCAAAAGTATGGAGCTATAGTGGGTGGGTCCTGTACCTTGCCCTGGAGTCCGAGGTACCCTTCGAGTCGCGCATACCGCTGTCAACCCCCACTCAGTCTGAGAGACGTTAGGAAAGGATCCGCCGGTCACGCGCGAGTGTGCCGTCAGCTCCACCGGGTCTTTTCTTTTTCTTTTTCTTTTCTTTCCTTTTTTGTGTCCCAGACAGAGTGGCAATTTGTGCCCTTTGGCCCCCAGGTACATAGCGTGGCCCAATGGTTCCTGGGCGAGTGGAGATTCGCAATTCTCTCTATTCTTCCAGAAATCAGGCGACGATCATGGCGATCAGCGTCCCAACTCGGTGATAAGCATGTCCACAGCCTCAAGGGAAGACTTGACGATGGCACGAGAAAATGTCCTGGACGGAGACACTGCCAAGACAATAGCCACGGAATCCGTCCCACGCCAAGCGAATACCGATGAAATTAAAAATTGATCCATCTCTGCCTTCAGGACTCTCTCTCCCTTTCATGTTTGTTGATCCTCGCTTGGCGAATGATCTACATGCATTATGCCGAGCCTTTGCCGAGAGTCAGACAGCAGGGGGGGGGGGGGGGGTGACGCCGAGCCACCACAGCACTGCATCTTTTGGTGAGTTGGCCATGGATCTACACCTACATTCCCAATTCCCAAGAGCGAAAGAATTGCCAGTCCAGTAGAATTCGAGGATCAAGGGATCTTGAAATGGGTCACACAATGCATGCGAGCATGATCAAGGGTGGAATTCGAACTACTGATACACATCTACTTCCACAACTTCGACACCGCAACCTCCTTGTCGTCGTGCTTGTTGAGGATCTTGGCAGTAGCCAGATCGAAGTCCTCCTGCGTAACGTGCACCCGACGCTCACGCAGCGCGTACATGCCCGCCTCGGTGCAAACACCCTTGAGTTCTGCCCCAGAGCACCCATTCATCTTCTCCGCAATCTTGGTGAGATTGATGCCTCGGGTCAGGTTCATCGAGCGAGAGTGGATTCGTAAGATGTCGGCACGAGCTTCGACCCTGCAAAGTAGAAAATGACCTGGTCAGTAATCACGTATGGTAAGCAAGGGTGAGGACGACTGACGATGGCGGGGGGAATTCAATCTTCCGGTCGATTCGCCCAGGCCGCAACAGGGCCGGGTCGAGGATGTCCAATCGGTTAGTCGCCATGATGATCTTGATGTTCTTGGTCGGTTCAAACCCGTCCAGCTGATTGAGCAACTCGAGCATCGTCCGTTGCACCTCCGAGTCACCCGATCCAGCCGAATCTATTCGGCTGGACCCAATACTGTCGATCTCGTCCATGAAGATGATGCTGGGTGCATGCTCTCGGGCCATGACGAAGAGCTCACGCACCATACGGCTTCCCTCACCAATATACTTCTGGACCAGCTCCGAGCCACTGACCCGGATGAATCGACAGTCGGTGTGATGGGCCACAGCTCGGGCGAGTAGCGTCTTCCCGGTTCCAGGTGGACCGTACAGCAGAACACCCTTCGGCTGAGCGATTCCCAGCGACTCGAACAGCTCGGGGTGCTTCAGGCCCAGCTCGATCACCTCCTTGATTTCCTTGATCTGCTGGTCCAAGCCACCAATCATGTCATATGTACTGTCCGGGACTTTCTCCACCATCATGAGCGACACCAGCGGATCGACGGAAGAAGGCAGCATCTTCTCCAGCTTGTAGGAATCAGAGAGAAGGGCAACCCGTTTGCCGACAGTAAGCTTCCCGATATCCACGCCATCTGCAATATCCACCACTATAGCACCGGTATTAGTATAGACTCAAGAGCTGGGAGGACAGACCAAACACACCATATTTCCCTTCCGGGTGTACTTTGACCAAGACCTTCTTTGTGCTCATCACCTTGACCACCTCGCCAACATACGAGCCCGGCTGCTGCAACAGACCAAGCTCCTCCCGCAGTAGACGCACTCTCGAGTTGTAGTCATTGCGCTGTGCTTCCAATCGTCGCAAAACGGCTTGACCCTGGATAATCTCGAGCTTCATGCCCTCGATTTTGTTGCGATAATAGTTGTCCAGAGCCATGGCGCCGAACGGGGAGATGCGATGCTTGAGAGCGTCAAGGGTTTGTCTGTCGACCTCAACCGAGCACCGCTGCAATAAGACGGAACCTAAGCCCTCCCAGTTCAGCTTACTCCGAGAAGCAGACGAGGGATATAATAGAGAGGATTGAGGGGGGGGAGTTGATGATTATGTTTTGGATGAGAGCTGAAGCGATCCAGTGACGTGAAGCTGCGAGACTGCGAATGACTAATCCTAATGCCTGAAAAGCAGGGACTCAATGAAACAAATAGTCCAAACCAAGCAAACCAAGCAAACCAAGCAAACAACAGCTGATAAAAGCTCCCCACCGGGTGAGTCAGCGCGCGCATCATTGGCTGCCTTGAGCTGCCTGGTGATGGGGTCATCTGCGAAGGAGCAAGACAGCAGCCAAGCGATCGTTGAAACCCTGTAGCATCTCGTTGCAGGTGGTTGTCTGTTCTTTTTTTCTGTGTATTCGGGCTAATTATCTCAGCTGATGCCAAACTCGTGACTACACTGCACTTTGACTGACTTGCGTTGCCAGTTTCAGGTTTACTTTCTGTCAGCGATGTAACTGGGAAGCCCGACACGCGGTCAACGTCTTTATTGTTTTTGAAGATAATTCTTACTTCTGTTCTATATTGTCTTTCGTCCGGGCCGCAAATCCTTCAGGTTCGATATGGCCGGTGACAATGGAAACACCGACTCTCCCGAGTCGCAGCGGCCATCTGGGACGACAGGCAGCGATAACCCCCCCCTCGGACACTCTGCCTTCAATGAGATCCACTGCGTCGGTTAGGAGAGTTTACGGTGAGACTCGAGATGGTGTATCCATGGATCAACTGAAGCTGATGAGGTTTGCAGGTACCCTGGATTCGTATTCCTTTGAAAATAACCCTGACGCGCACCCTGATGACGGCCAAGGGGAGAGTTCGAATCGTGCCTTCACTTCCCAGCCGTTCACTACACCAGATAAACCTCGAAAACCCTCCGTGACGCGTCGTATGTCGTCCAAGCGCCAGATACCCCACAAAGGACAGGGGTTCTCGACCGATGACGATGTTAAAGAGGTCGAAGAGGACATCGCTATGCAGCAAGCCACAACCACGCAGCCTTCTCCACGTATACGGCCGATGCGAATCCAGAGCTCTACCTTGCGACGACGTCCCAGTGCCCGACCAAGTCCGCTAGTGAAAGCCGACTCGGACAATTACAGCGAAGATGAGGCCGGCTTGCCTGATCCCGGTCTGGGCACACAGGGCGAAGCTCATATCAATGAAGAAAGTGAGGAAGGGAGTGATGATCATTCTGAAGAGACGGATGATGATGATGATGATGGGGCAACCAGTGATGCCGAGAGCTTTACACTGAAAGACCGACAGCAAGCGATCAACGAGACGCATCCATTTGGAATTCGCATTTGGAAACCCGCCTTGTACAAGAAGAGTCGCTCTGTGGAGAAGACAGCAGAAGGCGATATTCACTCGTCGCCAGGGGGTCGCGTCAGTCCCATTTTATTCCTAACGAACCTCTTGTGGTCCTTGTTCTTTGGATGGTGGCTAGCCCTTGCCGCCCTACTCGCTGCAGTTGCTTGCTTTTTATTCGCCTACTCCTCAAGTGCCGTGGCTTATGGCAGGGTGTTTGCAGGTCTCTCGCGTTACCTACTTTACCCGTTTGGGTCATTCGTTCTTTTGGAGACGGACGAGCATTATGCGGAAGAAGACGAGGGCGAAGGTCGCAGCATCAGCGAGTATGAACAATGGCAGAACGGCGACCTGGAGCATGGTCGACTCTTCTTTGGGCCCCGCCGGGACCGCTCTCTCCTCGGCCGACGACGCAACAGTGTCGATTCTGCCGGCGAACAAGACAGCCTACTGGGTCGACCTCAGCGCGGACAAAGCCCCGATGCCCACTTCGCTCACTCTAAGCGTCGTCTATTTGGCCGCGGTGAATGGACATTGGGTCGCGTCGTGTTCTTTATCTTCTTCTATTTCCTAGTGGGGCCCTTGATGCTCACGGTATCACTGGTCTGCTGGCTGCTCGTCTTCTGGATCCCGATGGGCCGCACGACCAACATCCTGGTGAGCCATCTACGGCGGCATCCTCTGGCCTTGTCGTTTCATTCTGATACCACATACTCCCGACTGAGCACCACTTCCTCGTCTTCCATCCTCCTATGCACCTACCGAGCTGCAGGGACACGTTACTGGAAGTATACCGTCGATGGAACGAATATCTTCTTGATCAACCTGCTCGGGGTTGTTGTATTCGTGATTGTTGACTATTATCTTCTGGGGAGATTCCTGGGTCTGCAGACCTGGCTGACGCACCCTGGCTTGATCTTCACTCTTGCTTTGTTCTCCATCATTCCTTTGGCCTACTTTATTGGGCAAGCCGTTGCTTCGATATCCGCCCAGTCGTCGATGGGATTGGGGGCTGCCATCAACGCCTTTTTTTCAACTGTCGTAGAAGTATATCTTTACTGCGTTGCCTTGACTGAGGGTAAAGCCCAGCTTGTTGAAGGTAGCATTATCGGAAGTATCTTTGCCGGTATTCTGTTCTTGCCCGGTCTTTCCATGTGCTTTGGAGCTATCAAGCGAAAGACACAACGGTTCAATGTGAAATCGGCCGGTGTGACTTCGACGATGCTATTATTCGCCGTGATCGCTGCCTTTGGGCCCACACTCTTCTACCAGGTTTATGGCAGTGTAAGTACCCTTGTTCTCGCAAACCCCCCCCCCCCTCCCCACGTCAGGCCTGGCTGACCACTCCGCAGCATGAGTTGAACTGCCATTCGTGTACTGGACCTATTGGGTCCGAGGACCGAGACTGTCGTCGCTGTTACTTCTCGCAGACTGCAGCGATCAACGACCAGTTCTTCCAAACTGCCGTACAGCCTTATGCATGGTTCGCCGCCGGCCTGCTCTTCCTATCTTACATCATTGGCCTGTGGTTCACGCTTCGGACGCATGCCGCTCTGATCTGGCAGACGGAACTTGAGGAGAAGAAAGCTGCCCAGGCCGCCCAGGCAGCCCACGAGCAACTTTCTTACGAACCGCGTCATTTGCTTTTCCCCAGTGGGCAACCCGAGGCTTCGGGTGCAGCTTCGGGACAGAAGGACTCGATCCGCGAATCGCAGTTGTATAAGCGGATTCTAGGCCAATCCCTGAAACATATTGGTCTGGAGGACAACAACATGGGCAACTATGAACATTCCGAAAGCGGGTCAATGACGGAGAGCAGAGCCAGCATCCCACACTTGGTCCCGCCACGTTCTGGAGGCGAGGACACTCGTCCGGCAGGGAAGATTGCCCAGAATCGCACTGGGGAAGATAACGAGCGGCTGGTGCGCCAGGTGACCGAAGTGGCGGCAACGGCCGCCGCTGTAGCTGCTCGTGATGCGGCTCGCAATCGCAAGATTTCCACCCAACAAGCTCCCGGACGTCAAGCTGGCCGTGCCACTGCGGAGACAGCAAAAATCCTCGGAGAGGACGCGGAAATGGATGGGGGCATTGCGGTGGAACCCACCCAGGGCGGCGGGCATGATGCACCAAACTGGAGCAAAGTCAAGAGCTCAATCGTTCTCCTGGGGGCGACAGTTCTCTATGCCGTGATCGCCGAGATCCTTGTCAACACGGTTGATGTGGTACTGGAAAGCGTGGACATCGATGAGAAATTCCTCGGCATCACTCTCTTCGCCTTGGTGCCGAACACCACGGAATTCCTGGTATGTTGAGCTCTTACTGGTTTTTAATATTCTCTTGTCTCCCGCTAACATGCCCCGACAGAATGCCATCTCATTCGCAATGAACGGCAACATCGCGCTATCGATGGAAATCGGGTCCGCCTATGCGCTGCAGGTGTGTCTATTGCAGGTTCCTGCTCTGGTTCTTTTCAGTGCCTTGTATGGCCGTTTCATTGAACCATCCGAGCTCATCAGCCACTCGTTCAAGTAAGTTTTGTCTTCTATCAAAAAGTTTTCCTTACTCACAAGTCCGATGCAGTCTGATCTTCCCTCAGTGGGACATGATTTCCGTCATTCTGTGCGTCTTCCTACTGTCGTATGTATACGGCGAAGGGAAGAGTAACTATTTCAAGGGCTCTATCCTCGTCCTCACCTATCTCGTTGTTGTGGTTGGGTTCTATCTGTCGGGATACAACAACATCGAAAACATGGGTGTGAATCGTTTTGACACGCTGGCTCTGGGGGCTAGCAGGTCGGAGAAGTTCTACACCATCGGTCGATCAACGGCTGGTGCGGCTTATTAGATAGGACGTACAGGTTTGCTGTTCCCTATCCATTCAGGATCGGGAATAAGAGCTTCATCTCATGGCATATCTGCATAGCGTGCTTTCTGGGGTGGGGAAGTGATGCCCCGTTGGCTGGTTGGTTCTACTGTCGTCCGACAGAAAGAATTCAAGTCATTGTGCATAAATTGACTGAATAGGCGCTTTGTTCTCAATTATTTGCTTGCGTGATAACGACCGATGCCAAATATAACATATAACTTATGCCCCTGGCAGAGCATTCCAATTCCAATATTCATGAACTTTTCAGTGGAAAATCAGCTCGAGCTCCACGCCTCGTCAACCATCTGCCGGTATTTCTGCTGCTTGAAGCATTGCTCCAGAAAGACTTCATATTTAGCGTTGAGAAGGGCTTTCTCCTTGACGTTGTCGCTCGGCACCACCTTCCTGCCGGGCTTGCTCATCCGATCCATGATCTCCCATAGGTCCTCAGTCTTGCCCTGGGAATCTGTACTGGCAGCTTTGACACCCAGCATGGCCGCACCGTGGCATACAGTCGCATGGATGTATCGAGGGATTAGCACCGGCATATCGCAGGCAGACGCAATAAGCCCCACCAAAATATCATTCTGGCATTGTGACCCCGACATAAAGACCGAAGTGATGTTGTGGCCGGCTTTATTCATGGTCTCGATAATCTGCTTGGTTTGTAGCGCAATGAACTCGAGAGTAGCGTAGTAGTATATGGCGAGACCATCCACGGTGTTATCACTCGTTAAGCCAAAAATAGATCCGGTCATGTTAGGGTCGGCTATGGGGGAGCGATTACCCCAAAGATCGCCATAGAAGAAGAAATGACGGCCCAGATATGCCACGCACGGGGCTTCCCGATCGTGCACCATCTCCTTGAGGTGCTCATTCAGATAGTCGTATATATTGATATGGTATGACTCGGCGATAGAGATGGCTTGATTGAAAGCCGGGTGGGTTTCAATGACATGCTTGAGCAGTTCCCCGGTAGCCGATTGTCCACCCTCGGCCATCCAGTACCCGGGAACAATAGTGTCCCGGTAAGGGCCCCAGACCCCGGGCACAAAGACGGGGTTGGGAGACATGGCAAGGTGGCAGGTCGAGGTTCCTGCCACGGCCGCCAGGCGGGAGAACGCCTGCGATTTATCATTCTTGGCTACCTCTGTGGACAATTGATCAGGGCCCAGATCGACCTTGCAGCCAACGGTGCCGATCCAACCGGCGTACGCATCGATCACGCCGCTGCCAATGGCGATACCGGCGGGCAAGCCCAGCTCGGCGGCCGCCTTGTCACACAGAATGCCCACCAGCTCACCAGCACTCAAATAATCGCCATTCTGTTGAAAAGCAAACATGGGTCAGCCGAACTGTCCTGGAGTTTTACGGGAACAGGCTCACCACCATGTCGACTCCGCCCATTCGCTTGAAATTATCCTCCTTCAGATCACCCAAGCCAATCTCCTCCAAGAAATCTTCCTGCCACCCTTTGACACTCCCGTCGACGCCAACGGGGACATACCCTTGCTTGCAGACCACACTACAAAAGCTTCGTTTTTCGTTCCCAGTGGCAATGTGGGTGAGAGCATCTGCCAGGTCATAGAACTTGCACCTGTCAAAGAGTTCCTTGGACATGTGGTTTTTCAGCCAGAGCACCTTGGGAATTTCCATCTCAATGGACATTTTCCCACCGACATAGCGAAGTAAATTGTGGTTGGTGGCATTGATTTTGGCGGCCTCTTCAACGGGCCGATGGTCCAGCCATAAGATCACGTTGCGGTCCGAGTCGAAGTTCGGCCCTGTCACAGAAACGGGTTCGTCGGTGTCATTGGCGAAGACGGCCAAGGAGCAGGTTGCATCGAACCCAATTCCCCGTACCGTCTCGGGGCTGATATTGTGTTGGCTGATGGCGCGCTTCACGGCAGCACAAATGCAGCGCCAGATATCAGAGGTGGATTGTTCCTGTCCATAAATTGTCAGTCTTGGGTCTTGGATTGGACTGTTTCGTTATCGATCTACATAATAGCCTTGCTCGGGTTGCCAGAGACCAATGTTCTCAGAAGCCAATCCCACAATGTCGCCTTTGACATCAATGATGCAGGCACGAGCACTGCCGGTGCCAACGTCAATGCCAATGAAGTGATCCTGATGAACTTGGAGCTCTTCGCGAGGGTCACTGGAAGCCTGGCGAGAGGAGCGACGATAAGGCAGCGAGGCCATGGTGCCGCTCAGGTGCTCTGTCGTTTTTCGATTGGAAAAAAAGTTGATGTGAAAGAGAATTGGGGAGGATGAATTAGGAGAGAAAGAAGAAGAAGAAGAAGCATCCCAAGGCATTTGTTTTATGACATTATGACATCGCTTTACCCCCGGGTTGTGGGGTTAACGTAGCAATCCTGACTGGTACTCGGGCAGTACCTGGGTGATACGTTCCCCCCGAGCAGCGTTTCGTACCCAGCGCTAGGTACCCCGCAGGTCTTGCAAAGTCACCCAAATTAGCTACCGGAGAGGATGGATGTTCTAGCTTGAGATATTTGAAGTAAATAATAGGGATGTCCTATTATCTTGCGCAATAAGATATGCATCATTAAAGGCTTAAATATTGTAGATCTGTATGTACAGCTCTTTGCCCTGCGACGATCGGAGTGGAGCCCGAAGCACGGACGTCCCTCTTCCTCTCTCACTTCCTTCGATTGTTCCACGAAAGTCCGCCCCTTTGCATCTTGCTCACCATGCGACTCCTATTAACCCTCCTCGGGGTGCTTGCCCTCCTGGCATTCGCCCGTGCCGATGCTTCCCTCCCCGTGTCAACCGACATCCTCTACTGGCCCGTGGGTGCTTCGCAGCCCTCCGTCCTCGCGCGCGTCGCCTATGACCCGACGTCGTTGAATTCCGACGTCGTGTCGTACCACCCGCCTAAAGATCAGGCTGGCCTCGTTCGTGTCGGCCTCTACATTCCCGGCTCCAAGAAATGGGTCGGTAGCGTCGTGTCGTCGTCCTCCTTGGCTGGTGAACAGCTTCAGCCAATCTTCCGTCTTCATCTCGGCCCCGCCAACCAAGTCTACCACGTGTCCCTGATGGCGTCCTCTGCCCCCGTGGCTAAGGACTCGACTACCAAAGCCCAGGTTGAACTCGTCTCGAACGAAGCAGGGGTGCAACCGCACCTCAATCGGCCAGTGGTTGTCAACCCCGATGGTCAGAACACGGAGGAGGTACCGGAGAAGGGTTTATTGCAAAGGTAAGTGATCCCGCAATCAATATTTCCCAATCGGATCTAATGGCTTTAATGTAGGTACTGGTGGGTCCTCTTGATCATCATGTTCCTGGGCATGTCTGGTGGCGGAGAAGAGCAGTCATAAACTTCACTCGAGTGTAACCACGCGGCTATATTGCATAAATGATACTTGAGAATTGGCATCATGAAAAAGCTCCATATTGAATATACATATACAACGCTATGCAAAACTTTCCATACTACACTCTGCTTCCTCAGGGACGATTGTCCTCCATGATCCCATGTCCATGGCTATCGAGGATCTGCGTACCTCTGCCATTGGGGCCAAGATCCAAATACATGAGCCCACGGTCGGTGATCAAAACCAGCTCATCCTCTTTTTGGGTGAATCTCATTTGAGAGCATACCGCGTCCAACTGGAGGGCGGCGGGTCGCAGCTCAAGTATGCCAGAGCTTGGAGATCGCCAAGCAGGCGGATAGAAGCCATTGTTGTTGTCCTCGATCAGGACCTGTGGCTCTAGTGCCCAGATGTAAAGTGTCTTCCAATTTGCAACGGCTATCCGAGTTCCCTGACGTGATGCGGCCACGCGAGACCCTGGAGACGTGCTCAACTCCTTGAAATCTCCAAGCTGCGCCATGATTTCCCAGTTGTCAAATCTTCTTCCGCGGTCGAGGTTCAATGTGTGTCCACAATGCCGAACCTGACAGTGGGCCTGGGACTTCAAGAGACACGCGACAGTCCAATTTTCCACCCGGTGCGTAGCAATCCCTAAAGCAAGGTATTGCCAATGGCATCTAACTCCCTGGTTTATGTCGCCGGTTTCATGGGTACCAAAGAATGGAATACCGATTGAAAACCGGAGGGACAGCTGGTGAGAGAAAGATACAATACATGCATTCTCGACCAGCCTCGGTTTATGCTGACCGAGCAAAGGGACCGAGTGTATTCTCTGGAAGGAACCGTACAGAGACTGAGCTCGGTAATGGTGGAGCAACTGTAGACCTCGATCATTGAATGATAATCCCACCGTCAGTCCTTTCTCCGAGAGCATGTCGTCACTTGATCCCTCCTCGTTTGTTTCCGCTAGAACATATGGCTCATAGGTCACATCTGGTGTTGGCGTCAGTATGGTCAGAACTCTAGGCCCTCGAAAAGAAAACTCGTGGAGGAAACGAACAAGTGATATGAGATGCCCCAGACTCATTACCACTATCCCATTCATTCTCTTCCTCCCTGCCTGGCTGCTTGATAGTGTAAAGGACAACTTCACGGTCATTCATCTTGTTGGTATGGAACCAGGAAATTGCAAATCGATCCTCGTGGGCAGAAAAAGCGACAGGCTCGTAGCCCTCGTGGTCTGGAAAGGCACACATGCGAATTACCCCTGTCTCCGACGTCGGGTCATGGTAAGCCAGAAAGATGCTGCCGTGGGAGTTGGACTGCTGCGCATGTTTGACAAACGGATGGTTTGTATCCAGATTGTGGTCTTCGAAAGGTTTGAATCGATGCAGCACATACACCCCACGGTCCCTATCGAACGCAGTGCGGAGGACCTGTATATCCCCCAGATGCCTTCCAGGAGGTTGAAATCGATCTTCAAGGGTCAATTTACCGTCTTCCATGCGAAAAAGATGAACGGTGCTATGACCTTTGAATACAAGAAGCACTCTATCCCAATCCTTCGAAGTTTCCAGCGTGGACGCACGACTGTCGATCACTCGGTTCTGGAAATCAAAGACTCGGCGATCTGCATAGAATTCGGCGCCATAGAGTTGCGCGAAGGACCTATTCAGGAGCAAGCTAAACAGTGCCTTGGTCTGAAGAGCTTCAAGGCCATCGGTGAGGCCGGGAGTCTGATACAGCTGGTGCAGAATGATCTCTCTGTTGCTGTAGGCAATTTCAAATAGTCTGCGACTGGTAAACGCCGCCTGCAAATAGGCTGGTGGATCACAGTTCCAGAGTACGAGCTGGATCAGCTCAGTGGGGAAGTTGAGGAGCATGGTTCGATGGTCTGTAATGCGGGAGTCTCAGAATGTTCCTTTATATAGATAGATCCCAGGGCCAAAGGTACCAGAACAACCAGCCGGTGCCTGATCACCAGGCAGAAGATGTGGGTCGTGGTGGAGACGGGTGAAGGCGGAAGTTCCCTCAAGTTCAATTTTTACCCATTTGTTCTTAGCAGTCGGATTTCGCCAGGTTGATTGGCATGGGCCTACTAATTTCTTAATCAAAGATTTCATGAATACGTGAGGATCACAAAAACGATCTGGGGATTTCATGCAACTAATCCAAGTCCTCCAGACCGTCCCGAACACCCAGATATATGCATATACTCAAACACGAGGGCGTGCAACATTGTACAATAAAAAAGGCCCCAAATATCCGAAGATCCGAAAGAAAGGAGAGGGTATCGTGATTCACATCAAGCAAAAGAGACTCTTAAAGCCTACGCAGTATGCGCTAAGACTGGTTCTTGAATTGGGAAACAAACCACTCGAGAACACTTTCATAGCAGAGCACGAATTGACTCAGGTTCTGCACCATGCTTGGCCGCTGAGTCCGGAAGTCCTCTACTGTCTTTGCAATCAAGTCAAGACGGTCGTCATGGATCCAGGCCGGGGGGTCCTCAGTTCCAGTACGGTTGCTCTCGGCACGTTGTCGTTTCAACATGTCCAGCACACTGTCGACCGTGCAAAACGTTCCCGTACGTCCACAGCCCGCACTGCAGTGCACCAGGATTGGCCGTTGGCCCCTCGGTTCTGCTTGCTGGCTATTATAGCTGACGGGGCTGGTCGCACGGATCACTTTGTTGCATTGCTCAATCAAATTCAGCAGATGAGTCGGTTGGGAAGTGGTTCCGAAATCGGGCCAATACGGGTACTGGAGCTGGGTGATCTCCCGCAGTGGCTGGAATGGGAAGCCTGTATGGCTCAGCCCGAAATGCCGAACTATGATGACCGGGTTTTCGTTGGATCCGTCGGCAGGCGGGTGTTGCGAACTCGATCCACTGTGACTGTCCCCCGTATCGATCGGCCGGCCCTTGGATTCAATGTAGATGTATCTCTCCGAATAAGCCTTGACTTTGAACGGGCCATAATCCCCAGACTCCCAGTAAGGGTGGCATTTCACCTGTCCTCGCTCAAGTTCGGCTGTCAAAGAAACGAGGAGCCTAATGTCTTGCTCCCAAACCACACGCCAGAAATCCTTGAATGGAGTGTGAGCAGTGAACAAGATATAAGAGAAAGGACACTTACGTTGAACGTATCGGGGACAGGAGCCTGCGTGGCGATGTACCGTCGGTTGCTGAATTCAGCTTGCATATAATTGGCGTTCACATAGTCGCAAGCGCCGGACGGTATCCCTTCGAGCCGTACCCGGGAATGATCGAATGGGTAGATGTCATTATATCGGTTCTTCGTGCCTTTTTCAATCCCTGCGACACGATACTTCTTGGACGCACCACCAGCCGAAGCCGAAGATCCTTTATATGCCAGCGCCTGCTTCATGCGTTCCAGCTCCTTCTTCTCCAGATCCAGAAATTTATCCGAGACAGTGTATCCTTGGTCCTTGACATTCGAGGCGTCTCGCAGCCAGAGAGGAAGTGATTGCCGTTCAGGCTCGGTCAGATCATCGGGTTGTTTCAAGGGAATCTGCCCGACGCCGCCGACAAGGTCCATGTTCTGTCTGATATTGCCGAAGAAAGGATTGATCGCATATGACGACTCCGGAAGGGCGCACCCTCCAACAACTGGAGCAACGGATTTGAGATCAATGCTCATCGGAGACCGCTTTTTAGGGGACGGCCCTGCCACCCCCGGTCGATGTATCAGTCGCGGGAATCGATCAGCAAAACCCTCGAAGCCATTTTGTAAAACCATTCCATCACCTTCCCAGCCTCCCGTCTGAAACTTTTCGATCACATTCAAAAGCGGGGCGGCATCTTTTCGCTCAGCCGTATTGGAGTCATAGACAATGATCACACTACACTGTCTCCATCGGGCAAATTTTTGTTTATCTGCGTCGTTGGTAAAGGTATTCTCAAGTTTCTGAGTATCGAAGGAACGGCGCTTCAATAACGTGGTGGGAATGCAGAGGTTTAATGATTCCTTGATGTTGGATTGCACATGATGAGCGTATGGGCGGACATCCAATAGCAAAATGGTTTGGCGATGTGATTTAAGCAGCTCGGCACAGCGCTCAGCCGAAACCCACAGGTACGGTACAGATGCTGCAACAGAATGAGTATTTCGAGTGCTTGACTGATTCTTCGAGATGGAAGAAGTCCATACCTTGTGAGGAAGAGAATCCGGTTTTTGCGATCCCATGTCCACGCTCGCTTGATTGCCCATCCACCCGAACATTTGATCCAGCACTTGTATGTGGTGAATAGGGCTTGGACCACAAATGCTTGGCCAGTATCTGGCCGTTTGTGACACGGGGTTTTTGAGATCCCGAATCTCGACGTTCTTTATTCGATTCAGATTCAGACTTGAGGCGATTCGCCAGACCTTCTGGTACCGATTCCTGGGGATACCATCGCGGCTCTGGACTAGGAATCGAAGATTGCGTGCGCGACAAAGAGCCCCAATTCTTTTGCGTGTGCAGCCCTGGGCTGGAGGTCGGTGGGTTTCCGGGATTTTCTACTGCTATGCCGAAGTAGTTGGGACTCGGACGTTCTGCAACCGAGCTGCTTGAGAGCAAGCCCGTGTTGGACGGGGACATTCTCGAGTGGAAGAGGGAGTGCGTTGCGCCGCTATCACAGTGGGCGCCCTGCGCACTCTGTACCCACGGCGAGGAAGAGGGATGCCCTGGACCTGTCATGGCTGACGGGCTGGATCCCACCTCTCAAGGAGCCGCTGGTCTGAAGGAACGCGGTCAGTGGGGATACCGCCCAACCATCTCTCACACACTTTTTTTTCTCTCTTTTCGTTGTTTGCAATTGCAGCTCAATGGACAATGTCCTGAATAGTTCCCAGGGATCAGACTAACGAATGTTACCGAGACCACCGTCAGATGTCGAGAGCGAAGTCACAATTCAAATATCAAGAGCATGCAGCACCAGAAGCAGATATATTAGGATAAGAAGAAAGAGGACAAGAGGAAAAGAAGAGGTGAAAAGGACAGAGAGGATATCACTGACGTAAAGAGATAAAGAGAGAGGGAGAGAGAATGGGGCAAATAATGGGCGTTGGGGGGGAGATCACCCGAGAGGGGCAGAGAGAGAGAAAACGTAAAAGATTCGGGCCCAGGCAAAAAAGCCCAATAGAAAGAAGAAGGCGAATAGTGGGGGGAGGAACAGGTTTGATATCGGGGGATTATTAATGTGAGAGAGGCAAAGAAGACTGACGAAAAAAATCGGTTCCAGACGCTTATGACGTTATTGTGGGGATGGCGTAACACAGCTTCGACACGGGTTTACTACGCACTACATATTGTATACTATTCATGGATTTTTCTCCATGGATATTGTGTAGATCATCTATACTCTATTCTAAACCTCTCTGGGTTTGATCTTTTATTCTCTTATTCTATCATATAATTGAGCATATATAAATATGGACAGTAATGGAAATTCCTTGCCGTCAACACTCGATCAATATAGGGCTGACTCAGCGGGTGCCCCCAGGCCGCATGGTACCTAGGGAAGGTAGGGCTAGAACCATGGATATATCCATAGATGCGTATATGTACATGCAGGTAGCTGTGCGCCCTGCGCTCAGAACCGCTGGACATCCTCAAGTAGATCGGAGGCAAAGATGTCGAGATTTCCAAAAGGTCGTACATATGACACCCAGGAAATGGACCCTCGCGAAAACCTGGACATTTCGGGAACCCACCAGGTCGATTGGTCAATTGCAAGTTATGCGGACCCAAATGCCTCCACTGCCTTGGCGAAATGTCTGGTATGTAGCCGGTTCAGAGGCATTGGGCAAAATCCCACCCGGCAAGAACAGACAGCGCCGTCAAGAGATACATCTTCTTCTCCCAAGGAGCAATGTCAAGGTTCATCCCTTGACCTTGGGCATCGGGAACACGAAAGGATCACCGTGATGTAGAGTTAAATTCAGAGAGAGGAAGCATGGCTGAATATCGACCAGCTGGCTTTGGTACGTCAGAGCCTTCCATCCGGTTCACCCTCAAATCGCTGAACACGTTTTTGTTCCCAGTTATCCAAATCTTTGGCCATCAGCCTCTGTTTCACAGTGCCGTTAGCATTGAGCCCAAAATCGAGCACCGGGAAGAAACACATCACGTACGTAGTATTCTTCCTTCTCATCACCAACGATTCTCCTCCGTGGGTTTCGCTTGATCCCCTCTTCGCCGTCAGGACCCTTTAGTCCAAGGTCGAGAGATTCTTCTCGACTAAGCTGTTTGACTTTGCGATCATATCGCTCATAGCGCAGTGCTGTGGCTGGAGTCAAGGCAAAAGAAGCAGCAACGATAACAGCCATGAAGGGAAACCCGAAGAAAAGGAACGGGTGTCGAGGTAATCGTGCACGGTAGAAAGCACCGAGCCGTTCTCCCAAGGAAGACGACTCTGTGGTGGCTCGACGAAAAGTTTTGGACTGAAATACAGGCATTGTGGCAGCTGGATAGTTCAAAAACGAGGCGATGGGAGCGTTGAGCTTGGTTCCTTGGCGGAGGATTGATAATCCGGAAGCCCGAATGAATTGTTTGGATTTGGCGGAGCTCTCCAGAACTTGCCCTTCTTCTCCTTCTGAGAGCTAAAATCCAGGCATTGGAGAGCATTGTCTGTAGGCATCTCTCAAGGAACCATCTATTCTCTGGGCTTTTCTTAACTAGCTCTAGCGAGCTTCAGGTGCGCGATCACCCCGATTCTTTCACTCTCCTACCGCATACCACGCCGCAACCCAGTCATTGCTCAAGCGAACAAGCTAACCAATTGACCTGCTTCAAATTTAGCTCTGGATATTACTCTCAAAAATATTAGACCGACGAAGAAAAAACCCCTTTCCTTCATGAACTCGAATTCTGGCTCTCTTTTCGGAGGGAGCGGCTTGGGGGCTACCACAACCCCACAGCCAGCCAGCCTGTTCTCCTCAAACAATGCCACCGGTGGGCTTGGTGCTTCCTCGACTACAAATGCGCAAGGCGCACAAACCTCCTCCCTGTTCGCGGGCCAATCCCAAGCTCAGCCACAGCCTACACAGTCTTCCATCCTAGGGCAGACTCAGCAACAAGCCAGCGATGGACAAGCGCAAGGACGACCTTCAAGCCAATCGACACAGCCGGCTTTCTTCAACAGTTTGTTGGAACGTGGCAAAAAGCGGCCGCTTTCTGCGGCGGCACAGAACACCAACTTTGAAGACGTGCCGAGTCTTCAATTGGGTCTAGATGATATTCGCAGAAAAGCACGAGAACTGGGGACAGCGACACACAAAGAGGCCCAACCCAATACTACCAAAGCGTAAGTCTATGGCTCTCCATCTCACTTCGACTTGTCGCGTCGTTTGGCTGACTTTTGCAACTATCGAATCATATCTATAGTCATTATCTGCTGGCAGCATCCGGTATCTCTCCAGGCCAGGCATTGCGAGACCTCAAGTCTCTGGATCCTCAAGCATCCCTCGCGCCATCTGCGAAAGACGTCGATAGTTTTGACCCGGACAACCAGAGGTTCTTGCGGAACATCCAGCAGCGTGGCCGACAGGTGATGATCGCGGAAAGCCTTGCTCGCGCCCATCGAGATTTTGATGCGTTTCTGGAGGAGAGGGTGGACATGGACTGGGAAGATCAACGCCAGAAAATTTTCCAGCATTTTGGACTTTCCCAAAAGGATGGTTCAGGCGCCGGTGACCTCAGATCGACTACAAGGGGCGCTTTTGGCCGATCAGGACGACAGTCTAAGCAAACAGCGGGCGGTTCAGCACACGGCCCTTCCACCGCCTCGCGCAGGAGCGTTTTTGGCCGTTCCGGTCTTGAGAAATCTGTCATAGGAACACCTGGAATTGGCTTGGCGAACCGCCAGCTCTTCGAGGATCCGGCGGAACGAAATGAAGGGCCTTCTGCCCCCTCGCCCGATCTCAGGTTCCTGCGCGAGAAAATGGGCCACTATGCCGAGAAGGTTCAGCAATTGAACACCATTCGGCTCCAAGGACAGACCTATCCCATCCTTCACGAGTTTTCGGATGTTGAACAGCACACGGGTGGAGATGTAAGCCTCCCGATTTGGATTCTTGATTGTAAACTGGCTAATCATCCTTCTTTAGGCTCCTCGACAACTCTTCGACGCCTATCAAGCTTTGATTCGGATAGTTCATGAAAACCCCGGCATTGCTGGCCCATTGGAGCCCGGCGCTATCAAAGAGCGTCAATACGCCGAAGACTATATGGAGGAATCATCCAAGTCCCGAAAGGCAGTTCACCTCCGGAAGCAAATCCTTGATGGATCAAGGGGATTCCTTGAGAATATGTTTTTCAGCGAGGTGGAGAATGTCGTCGCAAAAAATCCTCGGGAAGCCCAGCTTGGAGGAATTCCAACCGTGATCAGCAAGATCCGCGCATACATCCGCCTTAGGGCTGCGAGGAAAGATCTGGCGCCGGACGGGGCCGAACTGCAGATGGTTGGCCAAGACTATTGCTGGATCCTCATTTTTTACCTTCTTCGATGCGGGTTTGTGACCGAGGCGGCCGAATATGTCAGCCAGGATCCTGGATTCCGGTCTTTGGATCACAAGTTTGTGACGTACATGACTACCTATGCGCAAAGCCGGCGACTGCCACGAGACCTGCAGCAAAAGATCAATGGCGAGTATCAGCAACGGTCCAGAAACGCTCCCGACAACACTGTCGACCCCTATCGAATGGCTTGTTACAAGATCATCGGCCGCTGTGACCTTGCTCGGCGTCGGTTAGATGGCGTGAACCAGAGCGTGGAGGATTGGATGTGGTTGCAATTCAGTCTCGCTCGAGAGGATGATCGCACTGAGGAAGTTGCGGGAGACGTTTTCGGTTTGGAAGACATCCAAACCGACATTACCGAAATTGGGCAAAGAGTCTTCACCAAGGGCCAGGAAGGGCCAGGTGGATATGGGACTTTCTTCCTCTTGCAAATCCTGGGAGGAATGTTTGAACAAGCCGTGGCCTATCTCGGCACCTACTCCCCTGTCACTGCCGTCCATTTTGCCATCGGTTTGGCGTACTATGGTCTCTTGCGCGTTTCTGACTTTTACACCTCCGGAGAAGAGATCTGTAAGTGAAGCCCCCTACCCGGCTACAGTCGGTCTGTGTCATTTTGCTAACCCCAGGTCTTTCTGCTCGATAAAGTGTCCTTCACCGTGAAGCAATACCCTCAGATTAATTTCGGGTATTTGATCACTCAATACACGCGCGAATTCCGCACAGGTTTTGTCGAGGCAGCCGTCGATTACTTTACCTTGATCTGCCTCAACGCAGATCTTCCGGATTCCCTAGGCAAGTCTCAGGCGTCGGTATGCCATGAGGCTTTGCGTGAGTTCATCCTCGAGACCAGGGACTTTGCCAAACTCCTCGGCGATATCCGTGCCGACGGAACGAGGATCAAAGGTGTGATCGAGCAGCGTCTTGATTTAATCAGGCTCGAGGACCAGGAAGAATTTTTGAAGACCATTACGATGCAAGCCGCTGCCGTGGCGGATGACAAGGGCTTGATCACCGATGCCGTGCTCTTGTATCACCTGGCCGAAAACTATGACCGGGTGATTGATATCATTAACCGGGCTCTGTCGGATGCAATCGCCGTGGAACTGGGCGACGCCATGCCGAAGCTGCAGCCTCTCCATCCCCGAGTCGAACAGGGCCACAATGCGTACCGCTCGGGTGACCCAGGAACAATTGAACCGGGAAGCAGTCTCAGCTTGACCACCGTGGATGATCCGATCGTTCTCGCCAAGAATATCATTGGCCTCTACGACCCGAACACGATGTATTACAAACAAATCCGCCAGATCAACCGGGATTCTTGTGGGCTGCTTCTCCGTATGATGGAAGCGAAGACCCTGGTGGAGGCCTGCCAATGGACGTCAGCGCTAGACGTGAGTATCTGACGAACCTTTTTTTTGTGTATATTTGCCAATATTAATCTATGACGCAGGCGATCAACGCATTGGGCGTGCTGCCATTACAAACTAATGGTTCTGTTCCGCACATTCGAAGTGCCGCGCAGGCGTTCTCCTCTTTCCCGCCGATTATTTCGCGCAACATCGGGCATGTCATCATGTGGAGCATCACTTGTATTGGCCATGAGCGTCACAGGCAAACTTCAGGGGCGTATGAGAGTGAAATGCGGCAGGGCCTGGCGGAGGGACTGCTCGTCATGGCCAAGGATCTCATGGTCTTCTCGGGCATGGTCAAGTACAAACTGCCACCACGAGTTTATGAGACTCTGGCGCGGGCTGGGGCCGACATCGGGGCGTATTAGCTGGACGACTCCATGTTTCTTTTTTTTTTTTGGTTCTGATTGTCTGATGACACATAATTACTATGGATTATTCGGTCTTGTATACTCTGCGTAAAGTTGTACACACCGTAGATAAGAGATAGCTCGGTAGATGCCGATGCCAAGCCTGCCGGGGGAGGTCTTGCTTCTGCACGATGATCGTCTCGATCGCCCATTGTTTCCCCCTCCCTTTTCGCGCCTGGATGGCCCTGTGGTTTTCCCTTGGCTCAAATGGCTGTTCACTCGTGCTGATCAGGGACCTCTAACCTGCCGATTCCTGCATAGCGCGCGCGTGTCTCTGCTCCCGGATTCCAGCGAGAGACAACATGGACCATGCCTCCCATGCGTCGGACTCGAACCCACGGCCGCTGGGATCGGACAGTGGCCCCGAAGCTCCGAACAATGCGGATAACATACGAGCAAGAGATGGATTGGAAGCTGCAGACGCAGAGGTCGAACCGATACAGGATATGTCGGTGCGGGCAGATGTGATGGACGAAGACCCGCAACCAGAGAGCGCTACACCCCTCATGAACCTGTCCGGGGCTCTGGAGAAACAAGCGCTACGAGCAGAAGACAATGACTCGACCTCCCACTCCGTTGCCGATAATCGACCAAGCAGTGAAACCGAGCCAACGGCTCAGAATGTGGAAGCCGGCCACAGCCTCTTTAACAACCCCCCAAACCTGTCGAGGATCCGAAAAGTCTTGTTTGAATGCAAGGACCCGATTGAAATCAGCCTCGAAGAGTTTGAGACATACTGGCCCTTCATTGATAACGTGTGGGTCAAGCAACGCTCGAATGCCAGCATGGAGGGCCATTGCACCACGGACTACTACATGTGCCGGCTACGGCGTCCAACCCATCGTACCTCAGAGACTCGCCCATTACCGGAGGGCAAACGCCCCCGAAAGAAGCGCGTGCGAGAAGGGGGGATCTGCAATTTCCAGATCAAGGTTGTGCGGTTTGAAGGCGCATATTCGACCGTTACTATCGCACGAACGCCTGGGAGTAGCAGCGCTCACTCCCATGACCTTGACTACATCGACCGAGTCAAGCGCAACTCTGGATTGATGGAATATGCCCGCAAGGAGTCTGTCAAAGGCTACCTGCCCTCCTCGATCTACACGAAATTCCAGGAAGAGCCAGAGAAGCTGTGTGAGGCAGGGGGTCGTTTTTTCACCGTGACGGATGTTCGCAACGTCTCCGCAAAATGGCGACTTCAAAACCCCGAAGTCAAGCTGGTAGCACATGAGGGCTATGAGTATCAGAAAGGACACGGGATCATCAAATCTCAGTCCGCAGACGGTGCCCACGAGGGCTCTTCGCAACCAAAACCGACCCAGTTGATTCCATCTTCGTTACCACAAGACACCCTACCATTCCCTCAATTTCCGCTCGAATTCCTAGATTCTTACCTCCCCAACCACTCCGATCGGCGCGAGCTCCCTCATGTCACTTTATCCTATGCGTCATCAATGGATTCAAAAATCTCCCTGCAGCCGGGGATGCAGACGGTCTTATCCGGCCCCGAGGCGAAACTTATGACTCACTATCTCCGCTCCCGTCATGATGCGATCCTTGTAGGAGTCGGCACGGTCCTTGCAGATAATCCCGGGTTGAATTGCCGACTGGAAGGGGCCGGGGGATTCGGAGGTCTGGGGAGGATGTGGCAGCCACGCCCTGTCATCATTGACCCCACGGGACGGTGGTCCGTTCATCCTGAGTGTCGCATCCTACGAACCGCCGTGGATGGGAAAGGCAAAGCCCCGTGGGTGGTAATATCTCCAGGAGCTCAGATCAACCCCCAGAGGCTGATGATGCTCAAGGGCTACGGTGGTGACTTTCTCCGGATTGTGGAATACAATCAGCATTGGCGACTACGCTGGGAGGCTGTTCTCCGGGCCCTGGCTTCCGAGGGCATCAAGAGTGTCATGATTGAAGGAGGTGGAACAGTATTGAGTGAGCTGCTGAACCCTGAATACACACAATTCATTGACTCGATCATTGTGACGATTGCGCCCACGTACTTGGGCCGTGGGGGAGTTGGAGTCAGTCCCGATTCAAAACAAGACCAAGAAGGCAAGCCCAATGCAGCCCTGAATCCTCGCGATGTCAAGTGGATGCCACTGGGGCAAAATGTCATCATGTGCGGCAAGATCCGTGAGGCCGGTCAATGAAGGTGTTGATCGGAGGGAATCAATAGGAAAATAGAAATGAGAAAGGACACCAATGAATGAATCAATAAATCAATCAATGAAAACAATAGGGAGAGAAGAGAATAGAGAAAATACAGCGCTGGAATTGTTGACGGAGGTCGGGGGGAATGTCGCATTATTTACTTGGCCTCGTTCCGCGCCTCTTTTTTTTTTTCTTTGTTTCGCGTCCGCCTCTTCCCTTTCTCCTTTCCCTCTCAGCTTGCCCTCTTTCTTTCTCCCTCTTTTTTCATTCTTAGAAATTTATCTTTTTTCTCTCACTTTCACCCCTCTGTTCTCTTGCCATTTCTTTATTTGGCATTTTCCGGGCGCAATGCCTCCCAAGAAGAGCTCGGCTGCGGCACCGAAGAAGCCTGCGACGAAGACCTCGACGACCAAAACCGCAACCAAAACCTCGATCGCAGGCCGAGGACGCCCCAAGAAGACCACGGCGATCGAAACGACCATGAAAACGGTGAAGGAACCCGCAAAGCCGCGTAAGACGAAGGCCACTACCACCGCGACCACCACCACTGCGAAGAAGCGCAAGGCCGATGCCGTTGAGGAGAAGCCGCGCGAACTCAAAAAACCGCGTGTTGTTCAGCCTCGCCAGCTGAAGCCCAAGGTCGTCATCAACGAGGCCCCGAAGACCAAGCTGAATGTGTTCGTCTGTGGTGAAGGGAGCTCCGGTGAGCTTGGTCTGGGTACCGCTAAGAATGTCATCGACGTGAAGAGGCCGCGTCTCAACCAGCTCCTCTCTGCCGACTCGGTAGGAGTCGTGCAAGTTGCCGTGGGCGGTATGCACTGTGTCGCGTTGACCCACGACAACAAAATCTTCACTTGGGGCGTCAACGATCAGGGTGCACTCGGCCGAAGCACTGCATGGGAGGGTGGATACAAGGACATCGATGACAACAGCGATTCGGACTCGGATGACGAAGACAGCGGATTGAACCCACACGAGTCAACTCCCACCGCAATCCCCGCGAACGCCTTCCCTGAGGGCACGGTTTTCGTCGAGGTTGCCGCTGCCGACAGCTCGAGCTTCGCTCTTACGGATGATGGCCAGGTCTATGGCTGGGGTACCTTCCGGGTAAGAGAATCTCATCAAATTGGCATTGTTCGTGGGCGCTAACAATAAATTCTAGAGCAACGATGGAATTCTGGGGTTCGATGCGACCCATCTAGTTCAAATGACCCCAATTCTCATTCCATCTCTGAAGAAGATCAAGCACCTGGTGTGCGGTTCTAACCACGTGCTTGCTCTCAACGACAAGGGCAGTGTCTTTTCCTGGGGCTCGGGACAGCAGAACCAGCTGGGCCGTCGCATTGTGGAGCGCAACCGGTTGAACGGCTTGCAGCCGCGGGAGTTCGGACTTCCCAAGAACATTGTGCACATCGGCTGTGGTTCGTACCACTCCTTTGCGGTTCACGCGTCTGGAAAGGTTTACGCGTGGGGACTGAACAGCTTTGGTGGAACGGCTATTCGTGAAGGAGCCGGCGACGATGAAGCCGCCATTGTGCACCCGACCGTTGTCGACTCCCTTTCAGGTCGCAACATCTCCCAGCTGTGCGGTGGTTCCCATCACTCCCTGGCCATGACCACGGATGGTCAGTGTTTGGTCTGGGGTCGCCTGGACGGTTACCAAAGCGGCCTGAAGATTGACACCCTCTCTGACGATGCCGTCATCAAGGATGAACGCGACCGCCCCCGAATCCTGATTGAACCCACTGCCATTCCGGGTATCAACGCCAAGGTCGTGTCTGCAGCCTCGGACCATTCGCTGGTGATCGATGCCGATGGTCGGGCCTGGTCATGGGGCTTCTCTGCCACATACCAAACCGGACAGGGCACCCAGGACGACATTGAAGTTGCCACTATCATTGACAACACTGCTGTTCGTGGGAAGAAATTGAACTGGGCTGGCGCGGGTGGCCAATTCTCGGTCTTCACGGCACCTGCCGTGTGAACATGATCAGTACTGTTTCTCTCGTCTTCTGTATCTCACCCCTGCTGTTCTCATGTCCGTTTGTTCTGCTCGCTTTGTTTTCAAGGAGCCCATTGTGAAGGAAATAAAACCCTGACATATTTGCCGTCAATACTCGGCGCATCAATGTGATATTAATTCTATGGTTATTTCACGAACGCAACTCGGTTCAAATCGAATATGGGAGAATGCAATTTTCCAGTGTACACATGGATCATTTGTAAAGATGTATTTTATTTCTTCCATTAACAAATTATATTTGTACAAGGGTATTTTCCATGGCTAAATTCCGAGTTCCTGCATAACTTCATATTCCGCGTCATAGTTGTCATGGCCGCGATCCGGTGCTTGCGACATCGACTCCGATAGGTTGGGGGGAGCAACGTCATCCATGGCCTCATCCTGTTCCCTGAGGAGATCATCAAGATCATCATCCTCGGGTTCCGGGTGACTGGTCGTGGGCCGTGTATCTTTTGTAGGATCCGGAATGAACAATTCTCGATGAGCGGTCCCTTCTTCGGAATGGGTTTGCTGAAAGGGTCGGTCTTGGTGAGGCTGACCAGTAGCTGCAACTGAAGGACCTGTTGCGTCCACATTCTCGCTTGGGAGTTCACCAGACTTTGGGGCTTCGGGTACAGGGTCCTCGTCGAACAACCTTGGTTTTTCCTCGTCGATCCATTCCCGTCGCATGGTCTGAATTCGTTTTGAATGACCCAGTTTTTCGATCATAGCCAGGCCGTCTGCAAATTTCGCGCGCGGGAACAGGTCATCTAGCCAGAGCTGGTAGAAATTCAAAAGACGCGCGGCATCCGAGAACTGTCAAGAGTCCGAAATCAGCCACTCGGTTGCACATTTGCAAGTTGGTAGGTCGGCGCCGAACCTCATGCCCTTTTCCCTTGGATTTTAACTTGTGTTTGGCGGTGTGTCGCAGCTTGGGAATGCCCCGTTGTGAAAGTAGGCTGGACGCGAGAAACAGTCAATGCTGGGTTCGCCATTTGTCTGCGAGCAGCAGAGTGACTCACCGACCCTCGTCCAACTTAGCCACTGGTTGTCGCTTCTTCGTCACTGTGACCTCTTCATCCAGCCCCAACCCAAGCCCCGAGGGATCTTGCGTGGGCGGCTTCGACACAGGAGCGTTCGATGTAGCATTGTCTGGAAAGACCATATCATCCAAACCAACATCATAGTCAAAAAGATCGTTCACAGCATCTGCTGAAGGACTCCCTGGGTCGGAGACAGCCATATCGGACATGATGGAAAGTGTGGGAAAGATAATGTTGAGAGAGGTCTACCATTCGCGTTCATAGAAACCTTGGAAGGGAGCACGCGTTGCGGTCATCGTCCATCTGATTGGCCCGTGGGTTGATCCCGCGCTAAGCCACAAGCGGTTAGCCCGACCTCGAACGTCTCTTCGCTCTCCTCGCTCCAAAAGTCGTCGATTGCACCCTCCACATCTCCCACCATGGCGACGGACACGGTCGTTGTGCCTCCCAAGCGGGCCAATACTGATTATCCTGTATGGATTGTTCCAGATTCCTCCCTCTCTCTCTATCACCTCGACTGCTAACCTTTGCTCCTAGTTGATCGATTCCGACCCGTATGATCTGATCCCCCCCGTGTTTGGATTGCGACTCATTGTGTGATTAGGCACTTGCGACGTGTGTTTGGTTATGCCCGACCCTCCGATTACGCTGCGGCTGGTGGGATGGCGGCGGTCTCACCCATCTCTTTCTGGATCATGGAACGAGTGAGCCCGTCGCATGTGGGCCGCGGTGGTTTTGCCCCCGTAATGCGTCTCGCAACTGCCGTGGGCCTCCTTGGTGGTCTTCACGTACTTTATCAGCGATCTTGCAGTATGTCAACTCATTGAACCCAACCTCGACTTCCCTCAGCCTATTCAATCCGCGCTCATCCGCTACTAGGACGATTTTACGGATTTACGGAGAACGCCAGAGAGACCGAGATGGATATGAAGGAGATGGTCGACAAGGTCAAGAAGGGCGAACCCTTGTATGGCACTTCAAAGCTCTCGTCTTATCTCCAGGGTGTGGCCGCCCGGAACTCTCGATACTCGGAGCTGTTTATCCATGTCATCCCATGGTTCAACCTTGTCAACCACGATCAGGTAGGTTTTCCCCCTAGGAACGTGCTATGGACGGAATTGACTGTGGCTAGCATGGTATCGACACGGCCAAGTACTACCAACAAGCGGAGCGGGAATTGGAAGCAGAGCGATTGGCCAAGCCCGGCTCTGCATGAACCTTTTGATGCCTCAACCGGTGGCAAAAGAAAGAAGTAAGGTGGTTGCAGAGGGTTGTACACATATCCGTTTCTTCTGGGGTTTTATTTCTAAGGTGCAATTGAAAATTCGTGATTTTCTGCTCAACTACCAACGTCCCTTCGGCCACAGCGCCTACAATGCTGGAGAATCTCCAACGCCACCATCGAAATGGGTATTCAGCTCTCGGTTCTTTTTGGGCCGCGGATTAGGTGCTGGCGAGGCATATTAGCAATCGGCTGCCGTTCGAGACTAGAGATGTCGCCGTACCTTTTTCGTTTTCTTGTATATAGAACCGTCGAAGCAACATGATAGCTTCTTCCTTGAATAATCCGCCGTGTACAGGGTATGACGGGTCGATCGAGTGGTCAGAGTGCAATGAGAGGACACCTCCGGTACCCCCAAAGCGATCGTTGGCACAGCCAAAATATACTCGACGGATGTGGTATTGCTTGAGGGCAGAGGCACACATCACACATGGTTCAACCGTCACATACAGATCGGTAGATTTCAAGGCTGACCGGGGATAACATTGAAGCATTTCTGCAATCGCCAGAAACTCGGCATGTCGTGTTCCCTGCGGGTTCTCAGCGATGCGTTCCATATACAGCGAGGGATCTATGGAGATTTCGGCGTACGCCTTAGAAGGAACCTACATTCATCGACCTATTCGTGTCATTCATACCAGACCCCACGATTTGGTCATCGTGCACCAAAACGCAGCCAACAGGAGTTTCGCCCGATTGAAGTGCTTTCTCGCCCTGCACAATAATAAGTCTTGTACGAGTATAACCCGGAGAGAAGAGCTCACCATCAACAATGCCTGCTGCATGAAAAAGGCGTGTCTCGAGTCCTTCGCGAGACTCTCTCCACACTCCATACTTGCACTTCCCCAGCGGTCAATTGGAGGAGTGACCGAGGTTGGCGCAACTTGGTGCGCCTGGTGCTTGATTTGCGAGAGCAGGAAGCTTTGCCAGAGCCGAATTTTCAAGGCACTTGGCAATGCGACTTAGACATTCCCACTCTGAAATCTGGGATATGATCGATGAACAAATAGTCTCCACGGTAGAGGAGATTTCGTTTTGTTCTCTTCCTTTTTTTCGCTGCCGGGAGAGACGTGGTTGAGCGGGTACGTGCTGCCTCAGGTGTCCGCGACATAACAGTCGGTCCCGCGTTTCTTCGCCAATGCTTCATACATCACTCCGCGCGTCAGCTTGCTGCAGACTAGTCGAACTTCGTCTGGCCATGTGTGTCCCAGATGGCAATTGACGAAGATCACCAACAGGTTTACCCGCCTGTAAATGACCAGAAATTTGCAGAGCCTACCTCATCACTCCTCGCGGCACACCTTGCACCGCGTTTGGCGACCCAAGGACACGAAACACACCGGCTGACGCGGGAAACATTCCACCAGCTTCGTCAAGAACTCCTGGGCGAAAGACAAAGCCGGCTACGATTTGATGAGGGCGCTACCGACGTCAACAAACTAGTATGCATTGTCTTGAAAGCCGGCCTGGATGCCAGCCCCAGCAACAGCTCGCCAGCAGATGACCTGGAAGGGCAAGTCCTTGACTGTCTGGACATTATCCAAGCAAGTATCGAGAAGGTGCCACAGGCTCTGTGGGACACTTCGGACCCTCTGATTTTGGGCGAGGACGCCCAAGCCCCACTGTTCGCATGGTTGATCCTCCGACTGATCAGGCTTGCCGGTACATGGAACACCCAACCTGTCCAAGAGAGAATTCACCTTGTCTTTACCAGCATAGTCTATTCGCAATACAAACAGTCCCGGTCACTGCCATCGTGCTACGGCGTTCCTACATTTCTGCGTGCTTGTATCTCGGGTCTGTCGAATGTTTCCCACTTATGTAGACAAGCTGGACTAATTCACCACAGATATTTTGTGCTCCCTGGAAGCTTTCCAGGAGACTGGTCTGCGAAGTCCACGTCTGGCGAGACTGTCTATCCCCACAGCAAACGGGTTGCTCCTCGTGGATCTGGACAACCTGGGCCTTCCCCGTGGACTACTGGAAAACAAGATTCCACTCGGGAGGTTTGCTCAGACAATAACTCTAGCCTCGCGCTTGCTGAGTACATTCAGCACCAAAGTGGAAATTCCATGTCACGCGAAACACCAGGACTTCCTTCTTCGCCAAAACCTCTCATGGGTTCTGAATGGATACCAGCGCCTACGAAAGATTATCTTCAAGTGGGTGCAAAGAGCAGGATCAAAGCTCACCCCCGAAGAAGAGCAAGTTCCTTTGCACTACCTGGCGTATATGCGTCGTTGCTGCATTCCCGAATCAACTCCCTCGGGCTTGCTATCAGATGCTACCCTGACCTGTTATTGGTCCCAGTGCCTCGCCGGGTTTCTTCTGCTTGAGAACATATGCCAAATGCCCGCCCTCCAAGGGGGACTGATTCACTTCCTGAATGATCTGGTGCAGGGGAAACCACGACCCTCGCCTGTACAGCAGCTGAGGGAAACATTCTTGCCAGTGCTAGCAGAGATTAAAAACAAAGATTCGAGCCAGTCATTTGATCCAAGTCTTTGGGTAACTACTCAACCACAGACAATATAACCACAGAATAACTCGAGCTGACATCCCACTAGAACTCCCTTCAGACCTTGCATGCCGAACTGCTAGATCCACCAACATCTACGGTGCGCCGACTTCGTGCCTCTCCTGAAAACGATTCGGCTGATTCAAGAACAGCCAGCCAGAGAGCTGGGTTGTTGCGGCATGGGGTGGAGATAGACGAAGAGACTCGAGCATCAAAACGCCTGTGTCTCCCGGGATTCCCTGTTGAACCCACGAGTGCGGGGTTGATGCAATTACTCATGGCAAGGCTATCCTCTTTACTCAATCGTGACTGCGGAAAAACTGTAGCAGATCTGAGTATTGCTGTGCAGTGAGTGCCAGAACGTCATGCTAAAGGCGTATGATCACTGATCAATCTTTGTGATAGGAAATCATATGAAGTAGTTGCAGAATCCCAGAAAACAGAGCTTTTAGACACCATAGGCAAGATTTCCTGTGCCGCAACCGGGAACTTACTGAGGAAAGCCTCCGACGTCATCGCAATCGACACACTCTTTTGTCAAGCATGCGACAACGAGCAATATCACTACAACCATTCCCCTGTCGGAGAAAGTCCCGACTCCGAGGCGCTGTGGATCATCTTCAACTTTGTCTTACCCAGGCTTACACGCACACCTGGTCCTCGCATAGCTGCAATGGTCGCCTTGAAAAGGGCCCTGGTGCACTCCCCGAGTTCTCATCATATGCAACTCTCATATTCTACGCCAGGGGAATTCTGTCTCCATTCTCTTCGAAGCTCTATCCGAGAGTTACGGCTTGCCACTGGGTACGTTGTATATATTGTATGTCTGTCATTGACAAAGTTGACCAGTTTCAGGCATTCCGTGGTGGCTTTCGTGCGTCCAAGTCTACAGCCAGATATTCGTCGAGCTAACTTCGTCATTGTACTTGAATGGTTGAAAAACCTCTCCGAGAAAGATGACATGCCCTTACAAGAGGCCTGTGTCATAACTCTGTGTCGGCTTGCAAAGTACGCTCTGTTGCTCAGCATGTTTTGTCTCACGCTGACTGTTTTTTTTTCTTGTTCAGGGTCTCGGAGGATGAGGAGAAGAATATCATTCTCTTACGTCTCTTGGAGTATCTTGGTCACCCCAATCCATATGTTTGTGCCGTGGCCTATAATGAGGTGAGTACTTGTATTTTGACGGTACCCCCTCAGCAAAATGATAGGCTTGGCCTGGGTTGCATTCCCTGTTCCAAATCTCAAGCTAACAATCTTAACTAGCTGTCAAAGCTCGCGCAGCAATTTGCTTTGACCCCAGCTGGGCTCTTTCGGCCATACTGGAGAACGCTCTCCGTGACCGTGGTCAAAAATCTCCAATCTCGCCCATACATGGCGGAGCAACTCTGCGAACTGCTTGGCATGAAGGTCGATGGTTTTCTCAGGCTGACCGAAGTCCATGTCCTACCGTACCTGGTTTTGACTCGAAAGCGAGACATCATCTGCAGAATTGGAGCTAGTCGGAACGAGGGAGAGACGCCATTTGACGTTTGCTCCGAGAAAAATAACCTCGCGGCAATCCTCGCCTTCCTCCTATCCCAGCAATCGAACAACCCAGAAAGTATGATCATGTCACTTCTGGCGGAAATTGATCCCGCGTTCAAGGGCCGGACTTTAGCAGAGCTGGTACGAATCGAGCCAATCCTGATTGCCTGTGACTTGTTGAAGAGTCTTGGGGATGCCGGCGAACAACACAAGGAGCGAGTGAGTGGATTCGGCCTCATAATACGGTTGATCCTCTGGCAGTTTGCGAAACCTTACTAATTCGGGTCCATCTAGTTTAATCGAGCACTCCATCGCCTGGCCAGTTTTGTCCCACGGAAACTTGTGCATGGAAGCTCATCCAAGAAGGCAAATCTCTTAAGCTATTTCATCGAGGAGCATGTGCTTGGAATCATCACTCAATTTGCGAATGCTATCAACGACTTTCAGGTGAGACAAACATTGGCAGAAAAGAGAAGAAACATCAAAGCCATTGAAGAAATGATCAATATCGCCCAGGGCCATGTGAGCAGTGCCTTGCCCCAGGTATATTAGGAACGCTGGCCCCATTCCCCAGGACTTAGCGGCTGAAATATTTAGGTGTGTGCTTGTCTGCGGTCTGCACTCGAAATCGAAGAACTTTGTGACCGTGCATTCTCAGCGTGGAGGACGTTGATCGGTTCCCTCAGCGAAGAAGATCTTGAACCTTTGATCGATCAGACCTTAGCAATTGTGGTCCGCTATTGGGGAAAGTTGACCGAGGATAGCAGGGGCCATGCTTACCAGCTCGTTGACCATATCTTGACCAATCATTCGAACCTTCTGCAGGATGCATTCAACACTATGCCTTCGCTTGCCTCCATTCCCGAAATGGCACCGTTTGAGGCTATTATCCATGAACTAAAGGACCATATGGATGTTCGAAGTCAATTTATGGCTCTGATTCGTCGCAGTCAGAGTGAAAATGCCACTGTTGTCGAGCAGACCTTGAAGGAATTGATGCCTTTTCTAGTCGAGAATGAGGAGTTTCTTCATATCTCCGTCCTTAGCGAACAACCGGACCCTGTCATCGCTCAGTTGACAAGAGCATTGCTGGACTGCTGTGTCAAATTCAACACCAACTTGGACAGCGTTACTCTGCTAGCGGCCCGGTGCCTGGGTCTTGTCGGCTGCCTCGATCCGAATCGAGTAGAGACAATCAAAGAAAAGAAGGACATACTGGTTCTATCCAATTTCGACCGCATGGAGGAAACGGTAGAGTTCATCCTCTTCTTTCTTCAGCATGTGCTGGTTGAGGCTTTCCTATCTGCATCCAACACAAGGGCTCAGGGCTTTTTGGCATACGCTATGCAAGGTCTTCTCAGAATCTGCAATCTCAATGCTGCTGTCACTCAGCGGTCTCGCGATCTACAAGGCGACGACAAATATCAGCGTTGGATGGAGCTCCCAGAAAGTGTCCGAAATACCCTCACACCTTTTCTCACATCAACGTACACCGTCACCGTCGCCGCGACTACTTCGAAGATCAACTATCCTTTATTCTCTTCCAAGCTAACGCATGGCGAGTGGCTTCGAACTCTGGTTCAAGACCTGCTGCAAACTGGAAATGGAGACAATGCAAAGCTCATATTCGCAGTATGCAGTCGAGTTGTGAAGGGTCAGGACATCTCTATATCCGCGTTTCTCTTGCCATTTGCGGTGTTGAATCGCATTGTGGGGGGCACCGAGCAAGAACAGCAAGACCTCCAGCGCGAGCTGATGGAAGTCCTTTCGCATCCTCTGCCAGACACGAACAACAACTTCCGTGAGACAATGATATGCTGCAGCCAGGTGGGAGACCTTCCGGTCTGTAATTAGATTCATAGGTACTAATTGTGCATTCTCTTTAGAGCGTTTTCGAAGTGTTGGATTACCTCTCAAGGTGGCTGCAGGGGAAGAAGAAACAACTCAACAGTATTTCTCACCATTCTCATCAATCGAGCCGTTCTCATAGGGATTTGAATCGTGACTCGCTCCTTGACAAATACTCCTCACAAATCAAGTCAGTTGAGGCTCTTCTGGCTTCAATACCACCCGAGATCATTTCCAAACGAGCTGTCGAATGCAAATCTTTCTCCAGGGCACTCTTTCATTGGGAACAATATATTCGCAAATGCAAGCCGCATGCAGAAATACAAGAGCGCACCAGTCTTGAACCGCTATATCAGCGGTTACAGGACATCTACAGCCAGATCGATGAGCCGGATGGGATAGAAGGGATTTCAACCCATTTGTCTGCGCTTGATATCGACCAACAGGTCCTAGAACATCGAAAGGCCGGGAGATGGGCCACTGCCCAGAGTTGGTATGAGCTGCAGCTTGAGAAAGAACCCGATAACACTGATGCTCAATGGAACTTGGTGACTTGTCTCAAAGAATCCGGCCAGCAAGGTAATGTTGAACGTGCAATCAGGTTTCATGGCGTCTTGCTTACACTCTTTAGATGCCATCCTCACTCGCTTTGAGATTCTCAAAGGCAATGAGTCCGCAGTGTCTCGATTCTTGCCCTTTGCTGTGGAGGCATCCTGGATAACAGGCAGATGGGATAAGTTGCAAGGCTACCTTGATCTGTGTGCAAGGCAAGGGACTGGGGACTTCAGTGTCGGCATTGGTTCAGCTCTCCAGGCTCTTCGGGAAAGCCGAGGCGAAGCATTTATGGAGATCATCAACCAGCTCAGGCTCAATGTCGCGAAATCACTGACCACGAATTCCGTGGCGTCGCTCCAATCTTGCCATGATGATATGCTCCGGCTACATGCCTTAGTGGAAATGGAGTCCATCGCCAATGCAGGCGCTGAAGCTTCCCATTTGGACCCAGCCTTACTTCCTGCTCTGGACCGACGATTGGATGTTCTCGGGGGCTATCTCGCTGACAAGCAGTATCTTCTGGGCTTGAGGAGAGCCACGATGGAACTAGTGTAGGCTGAAGTCACCGTGATGGCTGCAATACCCGCTGACAAGTCATTTAGGGGTAAATTTGCCAACTCGGAAATAGCCGCGGCGTGGCTTACCAGCGCTCGTTTGTCGCGGAAGGGCAGCTTCGTCAGCGAGGCGTATCACTCGATGCTTCACGCAGCGCGCCTCAAAGACAGATCAGCAACCATCGAACATGCCAAACTGCTTTGGAAAGATGGGCATCATCGCAAAGCAATCCAGACACTCGAGGGTGCAATATCTGCCAATGAAGTCTCCCCAACTACATCTTCGGCCGAGGCCGAAACGATGTCATTTCTCTCAAGCCGCGGGCAGCATCAAAACGTAACTGTCGCTAGGGTAGGTCTTTGATCGCATGTCTGAATTTCCCATGAGCCAACATGCTAAGGAGATTCCAGGCACATTTGCTACTGGCGAAGTGGACCGACCGGGCGGGCCAGACTCACTCTCAGGCGATTGTTCAAAGATACCGAGAAGCCATCAAGCTTTATCCGAGGTAGGCTGGACTGTTGTGGGCCAATGTCGCAACACGGGAAACTAATGGATAAACACAGGTGGGAAAAAGCGCACTACTACTTGGGTAAACATTACAACAAGATCCTAGAGTCAGAGAAGGTCAAACCCATGGGAAAGGAGGCTCAAATATAGTAAGTAATTCGGCTTCTCTGTCCTGGTCTGCCTAACATCCTGTGTGTCAGTCTGAGCGGAGAAGCCACAAAACTGGTCATCGACAACTACCTCCGCTCACTCACGTACGGGAGCAAATACGTGTTCCAGACGCTGCCCAAGCTCTTGACGCTCTGGCTGGAACATGCTTCAATCGTCGATCAGCCTATTGACCCCAAAAGAGGCGATAACGAGTGAGTCCACGAACCTTCCGACCCTGGTTCAAAGTTTCGATACAGGGCTAATGACGGATTGTAAACCCATTAGAGACTTCCAGAGGCATACGAAAGCTCAGAGGCAGAAGAGCCTCGATGAGATGCATGCTCAGCTGAAAAAATACATTTCAACTCGCTTACAACCTGCTCTGGTATGACCATAATCTGTCCTCCGAGGCCGGTGAGCTAACAGGAATTTAGCTGTTCACCATTCTGCCCCAAGTCGTTGCTCGTATCTGCCACCCGAACAGCACGGTCTACGATCTTTTGACACGCATTGTGGTCAAGGCTGTCAATTCCTTCCCACAGCAAGGCCTATGGACTCTCCTTGCTGTGGTCAAATCTTCCAACAAAGACCGAGCCTCCAAGGGTTACAATTGCCTCCAGAAAATCATGGTTAGTTGGGAGCCCCTGTTAAAACAATGGAGGATGCTGAGCTCTCCAGGAATACACCAACAAGCCTAAAGTCGAATCACCGCTACCTGACATCCGCCGCATGATCAACCAGGGGCAAAAGTTCTCGGAGGAGTTACTTCAGCTCTGCCTGGCACGTGTCGATGATAGGGCGACTCGAGTCAGTCTGGCTCGCACTCTACGATTCAACCACAGAGTTTCGCCGTGCCGGCTAGTGGTGCCTTTCCAGGCGATGTTGATTCCAAGCCTTCCTGCTAGCCACGATTCTGAGTATCTAAAGGGGTTCCGGCCATTCCCCCGAGATCCCACAACGATAGATGGTTCGTCGAAGCCCTGAGTCTATTGGGGCTAAGCTAACTGGTGGCAGCCGTTCTTGACGAAGCCCAGATCTTAAGGTCGCTTCAAAAACCTCGCAAGATCAGCATGCGCGGGTCCGACGGAAAGATCTACAATGCACTTTGCAAGCCCAAAGACGATCTGCGAAAAGACCAGCGTCTCATGGAATTCAACAACATGATCAATCGGTTCCTAAAACGAGACGTCGAGTCCAGCAAGCGGCGCATGTGTGAGTGAATCCTACTAGACTCGGCCGTTCCCCACGGCTAACCGCAGCAGATATCAAAACCTACGCCGTGACACCTCTCAATGAGGAATGCGGCCTCATCGAGTGGGTGGATAATCTCCGCACGTTGCGAGACATCGTCATCAAATTACTGCGTGAAAGAGGCGTCAATCCCAATGTAAGCATAAGTGCCCCCTTCTCTTCGAGGCAAAAACTGATATTTCCCAAGTACAACGAGATCAGTCATTACCTGAAGGAGATCTGTGCCGATCGGTCTTTTTCGAAGTTGCCCTTGTACACCACTAAGATACTAGCCAAGTAAGACACTTGACAATTCCATCCCCCGTGGGATGCTAATCTGATTATCCGATGGCGCAGACTCCCTCCTGTTCTCCACGAATGGTTCGTCGAGATGTTTCCCGAGACTGAAGCATGGTTCACGGCAAGGCTAAGGTACACGCGGTCTTCTGCCGTGATGTCTATGGTGGGATATGTTCTAGGGTGAGTACATTGCTTGTTGATTTTTAACCCCGCCCTAAACGACAGAGCCCACACTAATCGGTATCGGAATACATAGACTGGGCGATCGACATGGCGAAAATCTTTCATTCGAGGAAGGCACCGGCGGCGTTTTACACGTTGATTTCAATTGCCTCTTCGATAAGGTAAGACTGCGCCGTCCCTCTTCTGGATTGGAAACTAATCCAAACAGGGTCAAACGTTCGAGAAGCCCGAGTTGGTTCCATTCCGCCTGACGCCCAACATGGTCGATGCCTTTGGTGCTTACGGATACAACGGTTCGTCCATAGCGAAGCCTTGGGCGCTGTTGATGCTGACCTCTCCCCGGCGCAGGTCCATTCCGAAGAACATGCGAAATCACTCTCAGTCTCCTTCGACAGAATGAGGATGCGCTCATGACGGTACTTGAGACCTTCTTGCATGATCCAACAACAGACTTCATTGGGAAGAGGGTGAGTGTTCCATCGCACCTTGAAACAGACTGTGGCTAATATCTGGTCCCCACAGCGTCGCACCCATGCCAATGTCCCGGACACACCAGCCGGGGTTCTGGAGGATGTTCGAAACAAACTACGGGGGTTTATGTCCAAACAACCCATTCCACTGTCGGTGGATGGCCAAGTTGATGAGTTGATCATGCAATCAACCGACAAGAAGAACCTGGCATCGATGTATATCGGATGGTGTGCATTTTTCTAAGCGTTAACAGTGATTAACGAAGTCATGTTGGGGGGGGGGTTTCAAGCAGTGGCATTGTTCAATCGATTGAGAGAGCTATTCTTGATATCCTCGGCACTCCAATGACGGTGGTTATTAATACACGATTCCATGCACGCCTTTTGAGACCTCATAACCTCATCGAAGAACCATTTCATGCTTAACGTAGATTCCGGCTTCGGCTCCTGCGAGGACTTGGACTGCGACTGCTGTATCCATAGCTACTGTAACTGGGGCTGCGACGCTTACGGTGTCTTGGCCGTTCCATCCGGGGACTTGGTCTCCTGGGTGGAGGGGACCGTGACCGGGAAGAATATGATCTCGAGCGTACGGGGGAACGTGATCGTGACAGAGACTGTGGTCGGTATACATCATGCCGTTCCGGAGGTCGTGCTCGGCCATGTCTTCTGGGTGGGGACGGGTTGCCTCGACCATATCGGGAACGGCCGCCATTCCTTCGACTTGATGCGGGAGGTGGTGAGCGCGAAAATGTCCGTCGCGGAAGAACAATTGAGACATTTAAAATGGCGCCATCGAGTTGAGCTTCGTGCATGTGAGCAATGGCTGCCTCGGCATCCGCAGGGTCATAGTACAAAATGTACGCAGTGCCCCGGTTCGTCATGACTGGAAGAGAGACATCAGAGACTGGTTGATAAAATCGAAGTATTGGATATCAATCTTACAAGCTCGGTTTACTGGGAGATCAAGGTATTCAATGTCCCCAAAACTTCCGAATATCTCTCGTAGGTGATTTTCCGTCACATTTTTCGTTAATTTTTCCACCACGATCTGTAGAGCAAGCAGTGTCAGTGAATGTCATCCCCTCGGCGACCTCTATCGTAAAAGAAACGCGTCTTCATTAGAAATGAGGTCGAACTCACTTTGGAACTCCTCGGTGGGCTCAGATTCGGACTTGGCGTACGGCTGTAGCTCCGACCCTGATACCGACCACCTCTGCTGCGACTTCGGGAGCGTGTTCGGCCGCGCGAAAGAGATCGAGTGTGGCTTCTTGACTGATGGCGGCTGCGACCGGGAGATGGGCTCCGAGTGACACTTGGTGATCTCGAGCCATTCCTGGGGGATCTGGAGCGACGCGCGGAACGCGACCGCGCTTGGCCGGGGTCGGGCGAGCGCATTTGTGCGTGAAGTGATACCAATAGCCACACGGGGCAAGATGTCAAAGAAGAAAAATGGGCGTGCAAGTCAATAGCCGGCGACCTTGCTGAGCTTCTCGCGGGGGGGGGTCAAGAAAAGCGAGGGATTGCGGCAAAGTGAAGAGAAGAACCACAAGACTCAGGCATGCGACACTAACCCAATTAGGCAACTACCTCTACAGGACTTCCAAGAGCTCCAGAGCTACTTCGTAGACGGGCATTACGGCATTTATCTCTATATATGGGTTTGTGTACATGGAGATGAGGTATGTGGAACCTCAAGAAAATCACGGTCCCGACGCCTCCCGCCATTGCTCGTACTCGTAGATGACAGCGTCGGTGATCTGCCGGCGCACCTGTCCCAAGGCGTAGTCAAAATGCTTCCGCTGAACATCTTGCTCTTGCATGGTCTCTTCTTCCTCGTCCAGAGCTGCGTCCCCGGCGGTTTCACAGATACTCACTATCTCCGCGCCCGAATACCCATCAGTTTGTGACGCCAGGTCATCCAAATCCACATCTGGGTTTACCACAGATTTGCTGGCCCAAATTCGCAGGATCTCCCTTCTGGCCTCGAAATCGGGCGGCCCGATATAGAGAATGTTGTCCAAACGCCCGGGGCGCATCAGCGCCGGATCCAAGACGTCTGGCTTGTTGGTAGCGGCAATGACTAGTACATTTCGCAGCTCTTCAATGCCGTCCATTTCGTTGAGCAGAGTCGTCAGCACATTAACCCCGCCTTGAGAACTGCTGCTGCGTCGAGCTGCAATTGCGTCGATTTCATCAAAGAAAATAATGCTGGGCCGCGCAGCCCGAGCTTTGCGAAATATTTCTCTCAGCGATCGCTCGGACTCGCCAACATACATGCTGAGGATCTCTGCGCCCTTGACCGCCAAAAAGTTCAAGCCAGCCTCCGTAGCCAATGCTTTGACGGTCAAAGTCTTAGAGCAACCCGGTGGCCCGTAGAGCAGGACTCCCTTTTTGCTGTTGACGTTGAGCCTGCGCATTCTTTGGGGATACTGACATAGGTGATTAGCCCTAGGAACGAAGGCCGGCTGACATGACCATACTCACCTTCAGAGGTCTTTCAACAGCTTTCTGGAGGCGCTTCTTGATCTCATGCTGCCCGCCAATATCCGACCATCTCACTTTTGGTGTCTCCAGAAAGACCTCCCGCATGGCTGTGGGGCGTATTTCCTGCAACGAGAGCAGGATATCTGCTTCCTGGATCTTTAACGGGATGGCAACCACATCATCACCGCTACCTTCAGTCTGGACTGCAGAGCTTGTCGGTGGAAGTGACGAGCTTGGCTCCAACAACTGACGTTGCCGTGCCTTGCGGCAGATGAGTTGGAGGAGGGCAAAGAGGTCCGCACCGACATACCCGTGGGTTTTTTCAGCGATAAGGTCCACGAGTTGGTCACTGAGGCCTGCCGACACCGGACCACGAATGGCCCGCAAAATTTCACATCGGTCCTGAGCTGTGGGAACCTGCAGCTCAATCTCAGTCCCCAGCCGATGAGGGGTCCGAAGTGCGTCGTCGACATGATTTGGATGGCGGGTGGCAGCCACGACCAGAATAGATGCGCTTCTGATGGCATCCAAGTTTTCGCACAGCACAGATACTAACGACTGAGACTCGAAGGAGGTTCGCTTAGGTGCGATGTATTCCAGCTGATCAATGATGATCACACTCGGTTTGGCGCGAGCGGCTTCCTGGAAGATAGTGCGTAATCTAGCCTCGCCTTCACTAATACTCCTGCCTATAGTAGACGTGCCAATTTTGAATATTTGTCTCCAGCCAGCCTTCTCAAGCTGCTGCAGAAGAGCCGTCTTCCCGGTCCCCTTGGGTCCATGGAGAAGAATACCTCGACCATTCTCGTAAAATGATGGCATGGCGGGTTTTCGCGGGTCCAGGTTAAAATCAGACAAGCTCTCGTTGATGTCTTCAATCTGACGGGATAGTCCGCCCAAACCGCCGGTCTGAACGGCAATGGAGGGCGAACTGCCTTCCGTTTCTTCCGTATCTGCTCCGAGGGAGATTTTCGAGGTTTCTGTGAAACGCAATAGAGTACGACCAGTGCTTGGGCTCGGAGAACGAAGATTGACCACCTGAAAGCTCCTGCGCTGACCCTTGAGCTCTAACTCAAAGATAAGGCCTGTCGCGAGAACCTCGCATCTCGACAGGTGAAATTCCAGCGCCCACTCCCAATGGCATCTTTCAGCTTCGGCAATCGGGCCAAGCTTGGCAAGCTTCTCGGGGTCAGAACAATCCAGTAAAGACACAGATTCGATATCTTCAAGGGCATCGTCAATTCTACTGATGGCAACCTTGTCCCCGATCTTGATTCCATAGCGATCTTGAAGGGTTCGTGACGTTTGAACCACCGTATTTTGTATATTCTCCGTGGCAGTCCAGGCTATAGCCGTTTTGGGTGGTCCATCAGCCGGCGTTAAGCTGCAAATATCCCCCGCTCGAAGTCGCAGAGCTGCCAGCGAAGACGAAGATAGATAGATCCGGAACGCATCTTTGAAATCACTTCGTGCCTGTTTCGACAAGGGGCGAGCGGTAAAGCTGCGCAGCTCGGACATGGTGCGCCAGGACGGGGAAGGACTCGAAAACGGGGAACTAGACCAAGCACACCTTGTCTAAGTGAGTTGTCGAGTCAAGCTCCCTGTCACACACACACATCGGGATCAACTCCTTGCAATCTCTCCTTTGGACTCTTTGGAATCCAGAGGCAGAGCGAATGCACTCCAAAAACCAGGAAGCTAAGCAAGTGAAAATGACCCAAGAGAAGAAAAAAAATTCTCGGGGAAAAGCGAGGGGTTGTATTGGAGTGGGGCAGATCAGATCCCCCACGAGCAAAGGGCAAAATTTATGCGACAAGACAGCAGAATGAGAGGAAGCTGTCAATAGCCACATGAAACAGGTCCGTGGAAAAGAATGTGGGAGAGGTGAGGGTATCCAGAGAAAAGAAGAAAAGAAGAAAAATCGGGCCCTGAGGTTGGCAGTCACGGTTGACTTGGTAGGTGAAAACCATCCCTCCCGTACCAAGTCTTTACCAAGTCTATACACTTACACAAGCTATAAGATTTTGGTTTTGATTGTTTTTTTATTTATTCGATAAAAAAAGAGAGACAGAGATCGATTCCTTTAATACAGACACAAAACACACTATTCCCTCGCACTCAAAAAGAATGAGTATGGACAGATTGTATGAGTCGGACATGGGGCGCCAAACACTATAGGCGTGAGAATTGGGGACATTGAGATCTTGACACATGATATTGTTGCGGGCAATTAACAGAAAAGAGAAAGTAAGACAGAAAACACAAGGAAAAGAGAAAAGAAAAGAAAAAGAAAAGAAAACAAGCACGGGGCAAGAGAGATAGTGGTACAACGTCTAGCAACACTTTCCTCCAGTGTTACCATTCAACGAGCCCTGGTCTATACTGACCCCCTGAGCACCAGTCTGTTCGGTCTTGGAAGTGTCCATGCCCTTCTTGATGTCTGAGGCAAGGCTATAGAACGCTTTCTCAATGTTGGTGTTGTTCTTGGCCGACACCTCCAGGAAGGGGATACCAAGCTCATCGGCGAGTTGTTGGCCCTGCTCCGTGGAAACCGCTCTCTTCTCTTCCCAGTCACACTTGTTTCCAATCAGAATCTTGTGCACACCCTCACTGGCATGCTGCTCGACGTTTGAAAACCAGGTTCGAATGTCTAGGAGAGGTGAATAGGGGTTAGTGATGACACCTTTTGAACAATCGCACGCCAAGGTCATGGAAAGACAGAGAGCAAAGGTGAAAAAAAAAGGGAGGGCAGGATATTTACTGTGGAAGGATCGCTCATCTGTAACGTCGTAGACAAGCAGTATACCCATGGCACCTCGATAATATGCCGTCGTGATGGTTCGGAAGCGCTCCTGACCCGCAGTGTCCCAAATCTGCAACTTCACCCGTTTCCCATCCAGCTCAATTGTACGGATCTTGAAGTCAATTCCGATGGTAGTGATGAATGAGGGGGTGAACGAGTCTTCGCTAAACCGCAAGAGACAGCACGACTTGCCCACACCAGAGTCCCCGATCAACAATAATTTGATCTATAGCCACGGTCGCAATCAGTAAATGGATTGGGATATTGTCAATGATTACTGACCAAGAAGTCATAATTCCGTGTGCCCGCCATGATGAATGTTTCAATCGCCGGGAAGTGCACAAGGTTGTAACTGGTGGAATCGACGGATAGGAGGTTGGTTGGGTCGTTTCAAAATCAAGTGGGAGGGAATGGTGGGGGTTGTCTTCTACAGAGATCAGAAGAACAATGCTGTCTGAAGAGATAAATCACAGCCACCAGGTGGTGGCTAGGTTGCCAGGTTTCCTCAATTGCCCCGAAGACTTATCAGGAGCTTCAGGCCAAATCTTCGCAACACCTGAGCAGGAGGAGCACGGGAATCAGATAATTAAAGGGGGTGGGCTCTGGAGATTGATATCAGTTCTACAATCAAGTAGACAAAAAAAATGAGCAGGTTCAAGAGGGTAGATGAGAGCGTAATCACCAACCGAGTGGAGGTGATGACGGTAGCCCTGGAGCGCACTGCGGTCAGGAGTGTCGTTATGTAAGCAGGATTAGGACCCGTGGACAGTGACCACCTGGTGTGTATAAATCGAATCTTGGAATGAATACAATCTCCCAGTTTATGTGTCTCTACTATATGGCCTTCCATGTGGATAGGTGACTAACAAGAACTATGGAGAATAGGCCCATCTCATCCTCTCAATCACGCGAAGCTGCTTATCGACTCCACTCTGGATATTCAGCAAGTCTTGAATGTCTTCCCGAAACTCTTGATACTGTATTCCCTTGAGGACAGTGGCAACCTTTTGCAGTAAGCCCTCTGATTCACACATGAGTTGCCCCGAGTCCTTGTAAGACATGGCCCCACCTGGAAGCGAAGCAGAAGAGGTCAAAATGCGGGTGATGTTGCTAGGACCCATCAGCGTTTGGCTCGAAGATATACTTATCTCAAGAAGGGAAGCACAGTACCGGAGGCCACGTCTCAGTTCGTCTTGTCGCTTGCCTTTACGCAAACCTCGTCGGCTACCGAGAAAGCCACCAAGCCATCTCAGGCTTGCGTATGAGACCAAGATACCCGGGGTGAGGCCAACAAAGCTGCATGGCGTCAGTCTGGTCGGTCTGCTTTTCTACTGTTCCACTGTACATACCCAAAGACGAGTTCCTGGCTTTTCAAAAGTGCATCAATTCCACTGATGGCAATTTCCACGTCAACCTTGGTCTTCTGGATCTGTATCAAAAGAGCGCGGATAAGATCGCCCCGTACGGTACCAACAAACGGTGAACGCAGGTCTCTCTCATAGGCTCTCAGCACGGGAGTCAAGTCACCCTCTTTCACAGAATTAGCGAGGGCGGTAGTATCAACCGCAGAGCTCCCGTGGATGGGGTCGGGACGATCGCGGACAAAATCAATGACCATCCTCTCCAGACTAGCCCGGTCTGCCATGAGGCTGTTCTTGCTCATGATAGCAATTTCGCTGTTCTCGTCATGTCGGATGGTCCCAATGAGTTTTCGAATCGGGTCCACCACCCAGTTGCCCCCAAAGTCAATGATCGTTGCGCCGAGGTTGATAATCCATTGGATGATTTCATCCTGGCGGTGTACCATGAACCTCACCGATGCACTACTCGAGAGTACCGCAGCCACCACTGGGACCCAATAACGGACCATAGTTGAGGGGCGCCCATGACGGCCGATCAACGTTGACACTGAAGTTGTATGGGTGGGTAACTGCCCTCGGAGAATCTTCACAAGGCGTTCAACCAGCTGCAAAGGTTGCTGGATAGATGGCTTTCCATGAAACCGCATCTGACTGCTCCCGCTCTCCTCTATGGTGGCAACAACCTTTTTTTCAAATTCAAAGGCATTGGGCTGATGCATTGCCTGCTGGAGAATGGTTTCTATTAGAACCACAGTCCTGTATACTGCATCGTACCACTTTCTGTCCGGCTGATTGTCGGAGTTGGAGGGAATGATGGAATCCTCCATCTCAAAGGAGTGCCATCCTTCCATGAGGAGGCCGAGACTGCTGGCATGGATCTCTTCCATGGCCTTCACCAAATCTCTCTTCTGCTGCACTTCTGATCTGCATGATCTGATTGGGGACAGCAAATGGATCCAGATGGGGTAGCCTTGCCGCCCCCGGATACTTTCGTGGGCAATCTCATAGAATTGTGCCCATCTGCAGAACAAAGACGAGGACAAGGACAGCGCCCGGGTGGAGGATGTATCCCTTGTCCAATGCCATAGTCGAACAGGAGATGTCTGCACCGCATAGAGGCCAGTATACCACATCGACTCTAACGTGTCATTCCAGTAATCTGCCTCGTTGTGGAGTCGGAGCGTTTGGTCAAGTAGGGTTTTCATGACCAGTCCGGATACCTGTGCCGCCGCCTTTGCTGCCACTAACCACACATACTCTGAAACATGGTCAATGAATTGCTCAGAGACCCCAGACGTTTGGAGGTGAGGACCAGTAGTTGAGAGCAAGTCCACCAATCGACTAGGGGCAAGGAGTGGTTGGGTCTTGGAGGTGACCGAGACAGCATGGATTAAGTCTTGGACATGGCGGATTTGATCTGATGGGAAATCCTCAGTGGACAATGAGGCACTTGGATAGATAATCTGCTGGAAACGATCCAGCTGTGTATTCACCCTACAGACATTCCTTTGAAAGGTTTAGTACAGTCCCAGCAACAACATTCAAGAGACTCACTCTTGAATAATCGACATGTCTTGGTTAAGGAGAGGAACAGAGGAAGCCTCAGTGGCTTAGAGTAGGTATACCATCTTGCCTGGGGCAGAGATGGATGGCGTCATATACAAAAATGCAATCATTACAAAGGGTGCAAACATTACAAAGTAAGCAAAGAAAGCAAACATTCCTACTTTGTACTCACAAGTACACAGTACAGTGTATCCCGGGGACTTTTTTTCCGAATGCACTGAGGATTCCTGCTAAGAGGTACTTGGGATCAAGGAGCTATGTAGGTATCTGGTACGTGATTCCTCCCTCCAAGATACAGTATATAGTGTATGGTGTACTATGTATTCCATAGATAAGTAGATAGGCGAAGTAATTATTATTTATGGGGTCAAGATGAGCCAAACATAGACCCGGCAATGCCCATGACCCTCCCTTTGTGGGAGCTCGGATGCTGGTCGGGTCAGCAGTGGCCTTATCCCCCCTTATTTATGTAGTGGGTCAGGGGGGAAATCACAGAAAAGAAAAAAAAGTGTGTCTCGCCACTTCGGGAATGGACGCTCCCTCCTCTCCGGGAAAATCATAAAAGTCCAGCTTTCTCCTTCACTCCCCCAATTTTTCTACACTTATCTCTCTTCCTCAATTTGATCCTCTTCTTTCCCTCTTTTCTTATATCCTCTTCTTGTCTGGTCATTTCAACACAATGTAGGTTTCCTCTTTTTGGACCTTCCTCTATCCACAGTCTCTGACGTCTTTCTACAGGAACTCCACGGTGTCCGCCGGGACATACTGGAACCAATTCGAAGAGGTTTCTAAGTACAATGCCGACTTGAACGTCGCGGAGAGATTGTGGGTGGCCTGGTATGCGTGGATGCAGAACGATGTCCTAGCCACAGGCATCATGTCCTTTATGATGCATGAGCTGGTGTACTTTGGTCGTGCGCTGCCATGGATTTTTATCGACAGCTTGGGTTTGTTGAAGGCCTACAAGATTCAAGGGGTGAGTTTGGTAACTGGGAAGGCAATAGCCCTCTGCTAATCATACTGGGTAGAACAAAATCCCCTCGTTACGTGAACAATGGAATTGCGCCAAGTTTGTTCTCCTTAGTCACTTCACTGTGGAACTGCCCCAGATTTGGTGAGTTTCGAGTTTCTATGAGTTTTTTTTTTTGGGGGGGGGGCTAACACTCTCTTTAGGCTCTTCCACCCTATGGCTCAGTTTTGCGGCCTTTCGACATCGGTCCCTTTCCCCTCGCCGTGGACAATGGCCTACCAGATTGCGATTTTCTTTGTGATGGAAGACACCTGGCATTATTTCTCTCATCGCGCTCTGCATTGGGGCCCACTTTACAAGGCCATCCACAAGATTCATCACCAGTATTCGGCACCATTTGGTCTCGCTGCTGAATATGCATCTCCTATTGAAGTCATGATCTTGGGCTTTGGTTCAGTTGGCCCCCCAATTCTGTGGTGTGCCATCACAGGTAATCTGCATATCCTGACTATGTACATCTGGATTGTGTTGCGCCTATTCCAAGCCATTGATTCCCATAGTGGCTATGAGTTCCCCTGGAGTCTTCACCACTTTCTCCCATTTTGGGCGGGTGCTGATCACCATGATGTTCATCATGAGAAGTTCATTGGAAACTATTCTAGCAGCTTTCGCTGGTGGGACTATCTCCTTGACACTGAATACACCCCGGATGCGCTGAAGCGGCGAAGGGAGAACAAGGGTCTCAAGTCTTCCAAGGCCCAATAAACAGGCCTGGACTCATGAAAAAAAATGAAGCAAACCTTGTCCTTGATGATTCAGGGTTACTTGTTTTTTGGTCTTGTTAATTCCCTATTTAGGATTATCCCTCTCTTATGTCTGCTGTAATGCTATCATAGATGTGGTTGGTCAATGCTTGAATATGTCTATTAATATCTCTATAACACCTTAATAGACTGGAAATAATAAGTTAGATTATGATCTTAGAGGTAGAGTTAAAATTCATACTAGTGGATTTTTGGAAATCTTGATAGAGAGCTTAGCATAAGTATAGTTAATATAAAATATGAAAGTAGAGATTAGGTAGTATTAGCAAATTTAGTAAAGGGGAAGAGTTAAATAAGACTACTGGAGCTACCCTATATTAGAATAATCATATAATAGGGTCAAAGTCTCCTGATACTCTACTAAATTAGTAGTAAACACTATATTTTAATATCTTTTTTCTTTTCTCTCTACTATAACTACTATATAATATTTTGGCATAGAAATTAGTAGAAATTATAGGCTAAATAATAAACTATTAGGATCTATGTATATTACTATTATTTTTACCCTTAGAATGGTCTAGGTCATAGACTACCCATCCAAAAATCTGCTGACATTTGCTATATTCCTTGCAAAACTTGATGATTTTAATTCTGAATATCTCAACAAATTTATATAGTATCCTTTCTTCATAATTATTTTTTTTAAGTATTAAATAAATAGTAGGCAATTGACTTATATATAATACTTTTTGTTTAGTTTTTTTTAGAAGGCTATATACTATTAAAGATAAATAAGGGTAAAAAAATCCTATTTTTGGTATAGGAACACTAATAGAATTTTCGATAAATTTCGCGTACTTTATATCTTCTATTTTAAAAAGCTCCTATTTTATAAATATAGGTCTATTTTAGAAAATATTTTATTTACTATATAGCTTAACTAATTCTCTTTTGAGATATATGTATAATTTTAGAGAGATATTATAACTTAAAGTTAGTTGGATTTTAGGGATTTTTTTGAATATACTTAGCAGGGTATAAAACCTATTGATTAGTAACGAATTAAATAGTATATCCTTGTTAATATTAAGACTAGATCTTATCTTACTAGTCTAATATAAGAGTATTGATTTATTATATAATACCTTTATAACTCTATATATTATTAATAATATAAATAATTGTCTCTACCGAGTATCGTGATTATCCTATTATAGGGTAGATTAAATGACAGGATCTAACTTTCTATCTCTCTCGAGATTATATAATATACAAAGAACCTACTTGGTAGGGTATAAGGCCTATCAATCATGTAAAGAAACAAAGGGAAGGAGTAAGGGAAAACAGTAGATCTTTATTACTATTAAGACTAAATTTTGTCTTGCTAGCTGGATATAAGAGTATTAATTTATTATATAATATCTTCGTAACTCTATATATTATCGATAATATAAACGACTAGGTCCCTATTATATATCGTGATTATTCTATTATAGGATAGATTAAGTAATAAGTTCTGACTTCTTTTAGGATTATATAATATTACCTAATTTATCTCTTCCGTTAGTTAGGAATAACCTTATATCTTACTATTTTAGTAGACCTTTTATAATTATCTCCTCTTTTAAGGTTAGATAGCCTTAACTAACGCGTTTATCTTATTGCTATAATATAGGCGTGTTAACGCGATATCTTTCTATAGGGTTTTCGTTTACCTTATTATTAAGGTAATAAAGAGATTATATAGTTAATTAGTAAATAAAGATATGTTGAATTATATATTCGAGTCTTTATTTATATTTTTAAATAGTAATTTTTTTCTTTTTCTTCTTTTCTCTTTTATACTATATTTATTACGTTTTATTATCTATTTCTTATTATTTCTATTACTTTCTATTACTTTCTATTTCTTTTTTTATTATTATTACTATTATTATATCTTGTTATTATTATTAGATCGGTTATTATATTAGCCGGTGTATTCTATTACTATTTTGCCTATTTTCTTATAGTATACTAAGTACTTTCGGACTAAGGTTAAAGTATATATATAACTCTAACTCGTTTTATATTATCGAATATAAACTAGATATAATAGCTTTGGTTATTTATTGGTAGTATTCTGCCTATAATATATTATATAATATAGTATATTCCGCGGTATCTTTATTTTAATTTATTCTAATGTTCTTTAGATTATAGAGGGTATAGTTAGGAATATCTATAATCTATAGATAATCTTTAATTAGCTAAATAAAGAATTCCTAGAGCCCCTAGGGCTAAGGATATTTTTAAAAAAGGGGAGAAAAAAAGAAGAATAAATAAAAAGAAAATATACTAATCGTGGCTAGAAAGGCTACGATAGAGCTTATAAAGGCCTTTAATATAATAGAGTTAATATATTACCGTTAGTTTTCTTTTATTACTATTTATAAATTAACTATAATAAATAAGGTTACTAGTACCGATATAATTCTATTAATATTTTTATACGCTTAATATAAGGTTTATATAATATATATTACTATCTATTATTAGGATATAGCTATTTATATCTTTCTATCTAAAGATCTCTTAGGAAAGTATCTCCGAAAATTCTAGTCTTAGCGGTTTCTCTGTTTAGTCCCGGGAGATAATAGTTTTATATATTAGGTTATAGCGAAATAAAGATTTCTAGCGATTTTATAGATAGTATCCTAAGATAAATATAGTCCCGATCCGGAGGTCCCTAATCCGATTAATAATCCTATTACCGAGTATCGCCTAAAATAGCTAAGAACTTCCTTATTCCTATTCCTAAGTTTTAAGTAAAATTCTATATTTATATTACTATTTTACGATAATAATAATAGTATTTTTCCGATAAAGTTTTAGTAGCTTTCTATTTAATTTATATGATTTCTTTTTAAGTAATATCTTATCTTTTTTATCTTTATTTCTTATATTTTATAATAGCTTTTTTTATATTTACTATATTTTCTTCTAGGATCTACTAATTATATTTTAATAACTAGCTTTTCTATTTAATTAGAAAGTAGGATTTTCTATTAAAATATTAGTAATCTTTTATTTTTTTAATCTTTTATTTATTATTATCTTATAATTCTAGTATCGGTATATTTCTATTATTATTTTATTTTTTATCTCTCTATTTCTAGAGTTTAAAAAGTAATATATAGAATATATTATAAATTTAATTATATTAGTTTAATAGAACTAGTTAATATATCTATAATCCGATCTTCTCGAGAATTTAGAGAGATCTAATAAACTTAGATATTAATTTCTTTATTATCTTTAATCTTAAGTTTTTTATTAATAGAGCGACTAAATCCTTATATTTAAATAATATTTCTTTATAGGTTTTATTATAGGATTTTATTTACGTTTCTATTATTTTTCGCTATTATTCTATTAAGTTTTATCTTAACTTTTATAGTTTTTTAGTATATATTTCTGTTATTAGGATCTTTTTTAAAAATATATTATTCTTAGTATATAGTTAGAAATAAGGTAAATATTTTAATAAGGTCTAGAATACAGATTTCCTTATTATTATATTAGGGGTATTATTATATATAAATTATATATTTTTTAGTAATTTTAGCTATATAATCTATTCTCTATTAATAAAATAATAAAGATAGCGTTCTAGCGTTTAGTTTATCCTCTCTATTTAGCTATCGGTTTATAGATAAAATACTATTAAAAGGCAGAGTTTAATATAACTAATATAATATAATTTTAACTAAAATTACTAATAAAGAGTAATCCTTAATCTAAGATAATTCTATTTAGTAGCCTATACTATAATTCTATTTTATTATAGAATAATTCTATAAGTTCTATAATATTAATTATTATTAATATAACAAAGAATAAGGACTATTTTATTAATCTATCGATAATAACTAGTATTACGTTAATTTCTTAGGTTCTATTTCTATTTAGTAATAATCCTATAATAAAGTCTATTAATAGTTTGCTAAAGGGCTATAATAATATTAGTAGCGATTCTAGTTTACTATATAAATAATATCTTAGTGTTATTATTTCTTAATATATTATATATATCTAGATATATTCTTTTATATTATTCTAAAATTTAATTTAGTAAAATTTCTTTTTTAATAGCGTTTCGGTCCTATTTTACCTAAAATAGCCTATTAAAAGATTATTATAATAAATACTTAGTAACTTTTTTCTAAGATTCTCTTTTATTAGAATAAAAAGATAATTCTTAAATTAAAGAAGGTTTTTAGGATTAATACCTTAATTCTTAAAGTTTTTAGATATCTAATTTAACGCGGTTTTTAGCCTTTACATCTTTAGGTCTTTATCTTAGATCTATTTAATTATTATCTATAATTTAGTATTAGCTTCTGCTAAATAAATATACTCTTTTTTATAAATATCCTATATCTTATATTAAGATATTCTCTTATTTTTTATAAGATTTTTCTAGATAGCCTAGTTAGTTATTTCTATATTAATAGACTCTCTTTTATTTTTTACTATATAGATATTAAATTAGGGATCGCTTTCTTTTAAAAATATCTTATTAGATTTAAACTAGGATTTCTTAGTAATAAGATCTATAATTATAATTATTTAAATAATAGCTTTTTATAAATTAGATAATAGCTCTTTAATTATAATCTATTCTTATAATAATATAAGTAATTCTTTTCCTAGAGCGTCCCTCTAAATAAAATTAGGTTTTCTTAAGAGTTTATTTATAGAATTATTTTTTCCTAACTAATATTTAACTATAAAATTAAATAATATAAGATATATATATTAATATATCTATTTTCTATTTAGCTTAGTTTATTTTATAAAAGATTAAAGATTTAGGTAATCTAATAATACTTTAATAGTAAATTAGTTATTTTCTAAGTACTATCTCTAATATTTAAAGGAGTATATAATTATAAGAAGTTCTTAGTTTAATATATTATAGTTTAATTTTACTCTAAAGAATAATTTTAACTAAAA